CCCCAACCCCAACCCCAACCCCAACCCCAACCCCAACCCCAACCCCTTAAAAATATTAATAAAAAATGATTTAACTGATTTAAAAAAATTTAATCATCCTATAATAATAAATCATAATGCATTAAGAAGTTATGGAAAAATACAAAAATATAGATTTATACCCTAAAATTTCACAAAATTCTTATCATAAAGTTGGTTAGATAAAATGAAGAGTTGTTAAGCTCTATCTAAAGTTTATATGATTTAATTTTGAATTATTTTTCAGCTTATAAATGAATAAATTTTATTTTTAATAAATTTTAAAAAAAATCTTGATTGATTAAAGTATTACAATTGTTCAAGCTTCTTCTTTTAAAATATAAATTCAATTAACATATTTTATCCTCATATTTAATTATTATAAAATTCAAAATATTCTTTTATGAAAAACAGTGTGTATCATAAAAATATTTTTTTAATTAAATTTAATGTTTTAGAATACAAGATATTTCATCTATTATTTTATACAACGATTTGATTTTTTTGTAAATAAACAATCCTAATTTGATATTTTGTCAAAAAGTTAAGTTTACTAATTCCTTTAAAACATTCTAACTTTTTCTGAAGTCTGATGAAATAGGGAACTTGCTGCTTCTAAAAAAAAAATTTAATGCGTAATTAAATAATTGATTGTATTTGAAAAAAAAGATATTTGTAATTACAAGATTATTTATTTAATATCATACAAGAGGTCAAGTTTTAGTTTTTAAAGTATAATGAGTGGTAAAAATAGTTAATAATAAGGAAATGTCGAGGAAAAAGATGGAGATAAAGTCGTAATAGAGTAACTTAATGAATGCTTAGTAGAATTAGTACTTAATAGAGTAGAAAAAATGAATGCACTAGATTTACATGTTTTAGAAATATTAGTAGGAGCAATAAAAACTATCAACTTCTAAGCTCTGGTTATCAGTGGAAGAGGCGATAGAGCCTTTAGTGCAGGAGGTGATATTATAACAATTTACTAAAATCTCTAAAAGTAAAATGGAAAATATTTAGAAGATTACTTGAAAGCACGTTATACTCTAGAATATGAATTAGAAAAGCTTTCTTTAATTGAAGATAGAAATTCAATTATCATTTTTAATGGTATGTGCGTAGGAGGAGGATATTCTTTAGCACTATATTCAAATTACAGAATTTGTACAGAAACAACTTAAATTAATTTTCCAGGTATTAATAATGTTATTTATGATCAAATTAACTTAAAATTTAACCATTTTTTTTATTTTACAGAGAGTTAAAATGGTACAGCAATACCTTGCATAAAGTTTTTAGCATCATTAGAAAAATAATATATCATAAGATATATGATTTTAACAGGATCTAGTTTAAAAGGATAAGAGTTAGTTTATGCTGGATTAGCTGATTATATAATTCCTTCTAATAAAATAAAAATGTTTAAAAGTTCTTTAAAAAACTTAACAAATATTTCTAAACTTAATGAGCACATTCTAAAATACACAGCTAAATTAAAAAATGCTTCTTAAATTGTACTTCATGAAAACCTCATTTAAAAATATTTTTCAGGAGACAATTTACTTGAAATTTTGAAAAAGCTAGAGCAAGGCCTAAATGAATGGGCGGATGAAGATAGATTATTTTGTAAAAGGTGTTTAACAAAAATACAAAGAGCTTCTCCTCTTGCAATAAGAGTTAATTTTGAAATGATTTTAAAAGCAGCAGAACTTTCAGAACAACAAGCATATAATTTAAATCATAGAGTTTAATATAGATTATTTAATCACAAGGATTTTTAAGAAGCAGTTTATGTTAAATTTGAATAAAATAAAAGGAATATACCTATTAAGTGGTAACATAAAAACGTTTTAGAAGTTACTTAGCAACAAGTAGATACAATTTTATCACCCCTAAATGTACCCTAACTTCTTCTTAAATGAAACAAAATTAAGGAATATCTATCTCTTAATCTTAAATACTCTATTTAATCTTTCTATTAAATTTGAGTTATAATTAAAACCAATATACCGAAAATTCTCATATATTAAAAAACCCATTAATTAAGGTTCAATTTTGGAATTTTTAATTTGAAAATTAAATAGAATTGAGATCTTAAATGAGAAAGAGAGTATTTGTGGTACAAAGGTATGTATTAGATAGTTAAAATATATATATATATAATATAAGATATATTTATTATTTTTGATTGCAGTAAATAATGTTTGATAAAATTTAAATTTAATAATAAAAGATAAGTAATAAAATAATGTTTATATTATAATATAATCACAAATGTAACTATTCAAAATGTTCTAAATTTAAAATATAATTTATTTTTAATATTTTTATATTTATTAGTATGTGTCAAGAAATATAAGATTTTAATTAGCAATTTCATTAGTTTCTAACAACTTTCTCTTTGAATTCTTCTATATTTTGGATAAACATATTTTCAATTTGATTATTAATCCCGAAGAACTTTTTAGAGCAATTTAAAGCTTTTTAACTGGAATTATATGGTTAAATAGTAGATTTTTTATTGCCATTTTAAAATGAAGGTTCATAAGGGTTTGAATTGACTGCTGCACATTTATTTTTAAAAAAGATAGCTTAATCTTTTAAAGTTTAATTTTATTCAGGGTCTAGATATTTATCTATATTTTGTGATATCATTTATTGCTAAACTTGCTAATTACTAGGGTTATATAGTGATTTAAATGTTTATCTATTTTTTTAAATATTATTCTAGGTTTATTAGTCATTTTAAGTTATTTACTAGTTCAAATGGTTTTTGAAAAATGTATTTCCTGTATCAAATGAAGAGGTAGATTTTTTTAAAAATATACTATTTTTTATTTCATCAATGTCATATTTTTTATTTTCATTTGCAAAACAGTTTTATTAGTTTATTTTTTTATTTAATATAGATGGAGAATATACTGATGGCTAAATATCATATTAGAATTAACTACTTTATAAGGCTTCCTCAATGTCTTAGTTATTTTATTAATTTTGAGTTTTACTGGCTTCATTGTTTAAAGATCTATTTTTGTGGTGGAAAGTTTTGTTTCTGCTAAAAACTCTGCTTAATTTTTGTTAACTTTATTACTGGTTTGTTTGATTTTAGTTATTGTTTTCTGCTTGCAATATATTATTTAAAATATTTTCACTTACATTTTCTTTATCTAAAATCATTTAGTTATTTAAATTATTTGATTATTTTTCAATAGCATTTTCTGTTTTATTTGATATTTTTTTGTTAAATTTGAACATTTTAACTTTTTAATGTTAATTTTGGTTTTCCTCTGCATACTTTTCTAATAAATTCTGATCTTAGTATATTTAGAAATTATTATTATTTTTATTATTGAATTGTAGAAATTTTGTTTCTTAAAAGTCCTATGACATCTATTTAGTAGTTGGATCCACGCGTTACTTAGTAGCTATCATTATTTATGTATTAGAGTCTTTCTTTTAGAATTATTATTCTTTTTGTTCTTAAATTATTTTACAAAAAACACTCTCTTTAGATATTTTGATAACTTTCTTCTTTGGTTTATCAGATACAGCATTTTCTTTTAATTCAAGCATAGATGTTTCTTCATTTATTTAAGTGTATTAAGTCTAAACATTTCTATCCCTATTCTAAATATTTGTAGAAGATTTTTAAGAAATATTTGAATCTGCTACTACCATAGTAGCTTTTTATTGTAGGTCTAAAGTATCTACTAGTGTATTTAGACAATTTGTTTGATACTAATCAATAAATTTATTCATATTTAATTCTTATATTTATTTAATTAAATATTAAGAATTTTCAGTTGTATGAAAATCATTTTGGAATAATTCTTGATTTTATTGATTGCATTTTTTTAAGAGTTGATCTTCAGGTTAAATATGTTTATGATATAAATTGTTTGAGGATTCTTCTTCTATTTTTAATGTAAAGGAATTATTACTTAATTTAGGTTTATTTTTTTCTATTTATACAGGTTTAAAGTTTCTATCTTTCCTTTTAAAAACTTTAACATTATTATTATTATTATTATTGTTGTTGTTATTATTATTTTTAGTAAAGGGCATAAAAGATGTCTTAAATTAAAAATCTTTCAAATTTCCTTCTTATGAATCAAATATTTCAGCTTCTTTATAGTTAGTTTCTATGTTCTATTTCTCTTTATCATCTTATTCATTGCTTTTTAAGTTATTTTTTATGTTTTCATTCACTTAAGCTGAATTAGGATTATTAAAAGTCACTCTAAATGCATTTCTAAGGCTTTGCAAGAAGTTTTACTATTGCAAATTTTGATTAATTGCCTTATTATTTATTTAATTTAGATAAGGATGCTTAATAATACCTATTTGCTAATGATTTAGGTTATTTTTATTATTACGAGTTTCATTACTGAGTATCCTTTACCTTTCAAATTTATGATCTCTTATTGTAAAGATGTTGTCCCCTTAATTGCAATTGTTTCTTTACTAAACAAACTATTTATGCAAATTATCACTTACTGAATCATTAATAGAATGAGCTCTAAATCTGCTGTTAATGCCTGATATGCTATTTATAGGCATTTCAGCGTTGTAAATTCTTATTTAAGTTTAAATATTTGGAAAAATTGAATTTGTTTTATTCGTTTACCCTTCATTATTATTTAATTTTGAGTATTGGTTAGCTTAGTTGTAGTTAGTCAAATTAGCTGTTTCCAAAAAATCGCTAGTTTTTGTAGTTTACTTTTGATTGTTTTAAAGACTTGGTTCAGTGTTTTTTTATGTGTTTGCATATTCTTAGTCGCCTATTTATTCACAATAATTATCATTCCCTTCAAATGGATTTAAAAAAATGATCTTGTTTTTCTTTTGGGTTGATGGAGGTCTTGCACTAAAAGTTTAAATTTACTTTTTTTCTTTAACAACCTCAGTTTCAAATATTTTATTTAAACACTTTTTTACTTGTAAATCGCAATCTTGCGCATTTTCATCAAAATTTAAGAATCTGACCTAAATTTATTGCTAGAAATTTTCAAAAAATTCATCTATTTCTTTTTGGCTAGATTATATTTTTCCAGGTGAAGACTTGTTTGAGGCCAATTCGTCTTTGCAGTCACTCAAATCAGAATTATTAACTCTGCCTCTCTTAACTTAAGGTGATAAAAGAAGATTTTACTATTCCATGATCAGTTTTTAGATAAAGTTTAGCAAACAAAAGTATTTTCTTATTTTAATATAACTAGCTAATTAACCTTTAAATAGAAAACAAGAAAGTAATATTGGCAATTTAGATTATTATTAATTGGTTAGTAAATTTGAGTGATATGATTTTTTTTGTTTTTGTTATTTGAATTTGATAAATTTTTAATTTTCAAATAGCATCTACCGATCGATAGATTGATCAGTCAATATTTATCGAATAGTTAATAAATAAGTAGAAAACTCAACAAAATTTATAATTGTTTATATTAAATTATTAAAAAAGATATGTTGATATAAAAATTAAAAAAATTAAATGGTTTTATGAATTATTATTTATTTTTACTGAATATTCACATTTACTTTTAAAAATAAATGCATAAAATGATTTCCAATAAAATAAAATAGCTGTTAATTTTTTGCCATAAAAAATTGTGATTTAAAATAGTTTAAATTTTTTAAAATATATCAAAAATATTTAATAAAAATTAAAGCATAATGTATTAAAAAAGTTGGTATCATCTTCTATTAATTGTCTATATTTAATTAGAACTCAAAATAATAAATATGCCAAAATTTACTTTTTAATAAAAATAAAATTTAATACAGGTTCAAATAGATGTATTACTTGAAATTTTTAAAACTAGTTTGTTTGATTTTTTAATAATAGAAAAACAAGAATAAAAGAAAGAATAGCAAAAAAGCTGATTCACTCCTTATTAAAAATAAACTATTTAATGAGAAATAGAGAGAAGGAGAAAAACAAAAAATTCACAAAATTATATATAACTATTATTTTGTAAAATCTATGTATTGCTTATAACTCATGATATAATCAGTTAAAAATTAGGCAAACAAATAAATAATTAAGAAACCTAAATATTGCAGAGGAATAAAAAATAAATACAATCAAATGAAATTTTATTTGGAAATCATTATGCTGATAATCTCAAAAAGCTCAATTTGAGAATTCAATATTTTTACTTTTTACCACTTGAATTATAATAATTTAATTTTTTTTTTTCCCTTGATATTTTTTAGATTTATTAATTAATATTCAAAATAAATTGATTAATTCTTTTTCTACTTGGTAAACTTCAATATAATTATTTATTTACTGTAGCATATTTACTGCATGCGTAAATATTTTTTAAAGTATTTCAACATAAACTTAGCATTTTAACGATTCTAGAATAAAAAGGAGCCTTAAATGTAGAATTAAGCAGAATTAATCAATGAAGCAGATGAAATAATTTAGATTGTTGATGAAAACAATAAGCCTGTAGGTGCAGCAACTAGATAAGAAATGAGAGACAAAAAGTTAATTCACAGAGCAACTTTTATATTTTTAGAGAATGCTGCCACAAAAAAATTGTACGTCCACAAAAGAACAATGCATAAAAAGTGGTGCCCCGGATTTTGGGATCCTGCTTTTGGAGGTGTTGTCTAATACGAGGAATCCTATGAATTAAATGCTTAAAGAGAACTATTAGAAGAGGCGGGAGTAGAAGAAAAACTGGTCCCTCTTTTTGAATTCTTTTATGATTGTAGACCTGATGTTTCTGTGTGGGGTAAGGCATTTTATACAAAAACGAGATAGAATTTGAAATTACAAGAACTTGAGGTGGAATAAGCTGTTGAAATGAGCTGTGAAGAAATACAATAAAAAATAAAGGAAGGGATGAATATAACATATGATGGAAAAATGTGCTTTGAAATTTTTATGTAGAAATATAACCAGTATAAAGAGTTGATAGACAAAGAATTACCTTATTGAATATTTTTTCTATAAAAAACGAAAGATTAAAATAGAAATGGATTAAATTTTTTAATAAATTCTAATTATTAATTTAATATTTAATTTTCAAATCAAGTAACCCAATTGGCTAAGCAAGAATCCATTTGTTTGAGGGTGATTAATGCCAAAAAAGCTTTTGTGATTAGCTTGTCCACTTAATATCAGCCATAATTAATTTCATGTTAAATGTTTTTTGAATTTATAATGTACATAAACTTTAATAGTTGTCAAAAATAGATAAATTTTCATTTTGACTTTGTTTGTAAAGAAAAGAATATTTAAATACAGACAATAGAATAAAAATATTAATCAATCAATCAATGTAAAAAGTTAATTAGATATTTAACAACGTGAATGTTAATTTGACTACTATTAATCACAATTTGTTCTAATTCTAAGATTATTTTTAAAATTCTCATAGTCCAATTAGCGACAAAATTATTTTTGTAAATACAAATAAAACAATTTTGAATTTTATTTAAGATAGAATTATGTATGCTACACTTGTTTTAACGTTTATCTATAAAATATATCTGAAAAATTAATTTTACAAGTTGTAATTTTATGAATCCAATAATTAATTAAAATAATTGAGTTGTAGTATGGAATAGATGAATGATATTGGTTAATAGCAAATGAATGGAGCATGCCTTATAATTTAACTAGAAAAAAAATATTTTAAGCATTTAAGTGTCTAATAAGAGAGTAACATATTACAGTATAATTGAAAGTAATAAATCTTAATTATTTTATATTAATTAATGATAATTTGAAAGCACTTACCAGCATCCTTTAATCTTAAACATTTACATTTACTGAAGACTAAATGATATCACAATATTTCTGCAATAATAAATGAATAATAAGAAATATATGTTGATTGACTAAGGTGAGAGAATTAGCAAAAATAAATCTAATCAAGTCACCTTTTCTTAATTATTTTTGCAAGCAAGCAAGCAATCATTATTGATTCATTCACTCAACTTAATTTTCAATAACTATAATTTAATTATCCTGCATAATTAAATTAATAAAAAAGAGGAAAGTTAACCACTTATTCAAAAAAAAAACCCTCTGCCAGATATAACATTTTTAATATCACTTAAAAATTAAAATCTAATACTGCATTAGAGCAAACATCAATTTGGAAACACTTTCAACATACCTGAAGATAAAACCTATTAAGGTTGTATCTATTGCATGAGCGTCAAAATGATTTAAAAACAACCTGTGATCAGCCCAAATAAAAAATAAACAAATTAATTGTCTTAGATTGATATTTCAGACGAAAAGAATATGACACTTGAGAATTTGATATTAAAACATAACAAATTAATATATGAAACCATAGGCAAAAAGCCTAAAAATGCCCTAGATTTTGAGTGGACTACAATTTAAACTCATTAGGGTGCTATGAAATATACGATTGATATGTAGGACAAAAAAAAATTCGACTATAACCCTGAGACTCACGAAATCATATGGTATAAAAACTTGAATATTCCTACTATACGCGTGAGCAAAAAGACAGAACAAATATAGTAGAATGGTTAAGAGCTCAAAAGAGTATCTACCAAAATAATGGCTGTGAGAGGAGTCAGGGAGAGAGTTATTTAGCAAATAGGCCTTTCTGGTTTATTAGAAAAGCAATTTGATAAAGATTCCTGCATATTTAATCACCTGCGTTTTAAAGAAACTTATTTCTAATATAAAGTAAATTTATTTAAATTTCCTTTTTGTCTATGATTTGCCTCTTTAATTCATTAATTGAGTCTATATTTTCAATATAATTGTTTAAATATCATTAATTCACACATGAGGAGATATCCAAAAAAAATTAGAAACAAAAGGATTTCATTGTTTCTTTCTTTGTTTTATTATTATTTTTTTAATAAATTGTCAAAAAAAGTGGCAAGATTCTAATTTTTCTATTCCCCATCTATCTATCTAACTATTAATAATAATTATTACAAATAAATATATCCTCAATAGTCATTAATTTATTTTTCTCTTTACGATTACTCTGCAATATTAATTACGCAGAGAGTATTGATTGACAAAGAAACAACAAACAATACTGATACTATTAATTTTTAGTAATCTTTTCTTCTAATCACACTTTCTTGTTTACAATTTCTATTTCAAAATCTCTAAGCACTAAAATCGAACTTGTTTTTCTTTTTTTCACAGCCTTTGATATAGGCTCCTCCATTACTATTTTTTAATATTAGCTTAATTGAAGAGTAGCTTAGTCATTATTCTTTCAAAATACTTATGAATAAAACTAATTTATTTTTATTTTATATTATAATTTTGTATTATATTAATTTTATTTTTTTACTCCAAAATAGAGAAGCTATTTCTCTTTGATAATAGTCATATAGGAATAGTATGAAGATTCTAATGTTATCTCAGAGATTAAAATATCTACCCCAATAAGAGTCGAGGCACGTAAAAAAAGTTACTAAGACAGAGTACTTAAATTTTCATTTCTTCAACTCCTCATTTAACTAATATAATTGAATAATGTTACTAATACAGAATATTAATTCTTTGTTGTTTACTCATTCAATTTATATTATATTTACTTTTTAAATTATTTGGCGAGTATTTAAATGAAAAATAAATGGCCTTTAACGATTTATATTGACATCACAACAGCTAATTTCAACTTGCTGATTACATTTACTCATATAAATTTTAAAAATATAGCTAAATACTTCTTCACTATTAGATCCGTTTCTACCTGATTTTATTGAAAAGTAATATTTAGTCTTCAAGTAAGGATCGAAGGATTTAATGCCAATAAGTGAAAACTTAGAAGGGCTCTTAGATTATCTGAAAGCATAAAATATTAGACACAAAGTAATTTTTTACACAAAATCATCACTTTGATTGTATTTTTAAACAAAATTTTTTAATTAATTAAAAATTAAAGGTATTCCACCCTTTTTTCTTCTTGATTAAGTTTTTCTAAGCAACTTAACTTTATTATAACTCGAATATCATAGAATGCGAAAAAGACATCAAGGTAAATAAACATTACAAGCAAACAAACAAAAAAGAAACAAATAAACAAACAAACAAACAAATATTGCTTTTTGCTTTGGATATTAATTTATTTTTTTTATTTCATGAAAAAAGCCACAAGAGCTCTTTTTAATGCTCTAAAAAGAAATATACAAATACCAAATAAAAGAATTTTCTGGAGAATCTATTCCTTTTGAAAATAAACTACTCATCTTATGCTTGAATAATCAAGGAAAAGACTCTCACATTAATAAAGTTTGTGAAAAAGTAATATTTTTAGTATTTAGTTAACTAATTAATAAGTTACTCATCTTTTTAAATTAATTAAAAAAGATTACAAAATTTCTCAAATTTTTAGAGAACTCCGCTTTGTATTACTCACAAGCAACTGTTGATGGTTTACCTGTTTACTTCAAGCAAATAACCTTTTCAGTAATTCCATGGATTTATTTTTATAGAAAACTCTCTTTAACAGCTATTTTTATTATTTAAAAAAATCAGAAAGATGACTTGAAATAAGGTTACATCAAGGCATATAATAAACTTAGTTCTATGAAATTTGAAATGGTTATCAGCAAACAAAACAATATCTAATCGCATATATCTATTTAAAAGAAAGGATAAATACCCAGAGATTTAAAGATGGATAAAGTAAACTTTATTTGTTAATTAATCATTTATTACTTATATTTTAAATACCATATTAACTATTATGCTATAAATTAATACTCAATTAGGAATCTATAGACTATTTAAGCAATATTCCAGGTCCTTTCCATAAAGCTATTTTTGACTTGACTATAAGAAATAAACAGCTCTATTAAAATGCTCAAAGAATAAAAGTCAGATTTGAAGATTTTAACTTATTTTCATATGAAATTCATGAAGATTCACAAAACGAAGTTTTTGGCGGTCCCTCTTTAATTAATGAACTTCCTGCCAAAATATCAAGAGACAATTAAGAAATTCAAAAAATTTTAGAGAAGTAATTTCTATTAAGATTAAATAAATAAAATATTTAACCTATTACTTACCATTAATCCTTAAAAGAAAAAAACCCAAACACGTGCCCGGTAGTATATCCGGAACGACTAAGCCTTCTTCAAGCGACTCAAATAATGGTAAAGGTAATTCTTAATCTGGAGGTTGTGAAATAGAAAACAGTGATTCTAATAATAACTATAGTTACAGTAACTCATCTCTAAACGATAGTTAATACAAACAGCAGAATCAAGATGAGTAGATCTTCGAAGTAATTCAAGATAAAAATTCACAATTATCCAAGGAATACAGAGAGGGTGAAGAATATTCTAGCTCTAAAGAGCAAAATGCTTCATGTAAAAGCAGCAATACTAACAGCAAGAAATATAAAAACCACAAACTCCTCTTAAAAAATGGAAAAATGCAACAAAGGTTCAAAAAAATGTGTACTGAAAGCTCTAAGCAATCTTTTCTAGATTTTTAGAAGGAAAACAAATTTAAATCCGATTAATTTTGTTTAACTAGAAAAGAAGAAGAGGATAATGGAGATCTAGATGAAGAGGATAATGACGATGAGTATTAAATGTAACGAGAGGTAGATAAATAAGTAGAAAAAAATAATAATAACAATTTAAATTTAATCTGAGAGAATAGATCATAATAACTAAAAAATTTAGTAAAACTAAATTCCTCAATATCTGGAAAATAATTAATTTATTTTAGTGAAAAATTAATTAATTAATTAACTAATTATCCTTATTATTTAATCATAAAGCAAATCAAACAAATTAAATGCTGAAAATTAATTCATTATATTCTTATTATAGATGAATTGATCTATTGATAACTCTAAAAGTGAATTAGAAAGCAAATAAATAAATATCTTATTCTTTAACTCACTCACTTACTAATTCTATCAATCAATCAACCAAATACATTCAACTGCCTTTCTAACTGATAATAAAAATTTTAACACTAATTTAATTATAATAAAATTTTAATCTTTCGACTATCATAATTATCTCTAATTTAATTTGATTAATCAAAAAAATAAACACATAAATAACTAAATAAATAAGCAACGAAACCATTTCCATAAATTATAACAATAACTATAAAAAATCTAATATAAATATAAATCTTTAAAAGCTAAGATTTTTCAATATTCTAATACAACAAACAATTTTACTATAAGCTCATTTTAATTATTTATTAATTAATTTGCATACATACTCATATTAAACTTTCTTACGTCTTATGTAAATGTCTATATAAATTTAGTATTTACAACATTAATTTATTTATATTAATAAAATCCTCCTCATTTATTAATTTAAATTACATTAAAATATGATCAAAGAGTTATTTTGTATCTATGTTTAAAAAGTATATTTATTTATTAATTTATTTTCATTTTTTTAATAAATTATGCCAAAAGTAAAAAAATTCTTTCTTTCTATTTTAATAATTAAAGTTAAACATTTAAAAAAATTAAATCATTGATTTTATATTTTAAAATAACTGCTATAGAATTAATTTAATTCCTTTTTCTTCTCGCCGCCCTTTCTTTCAATTAAAATAGCATATTTAATAATTAAATTCTTTTATCTACTATTTCTGATAGACTAACCTTTAAGGATTACCATCTGAGTAAGCATTTAAATATATTTTTATAAGATTATTGGAACTATTTTATGATATGGCTATTTAATTTTGCTATTATTTATATTTTTTTCTTTCTGTTTGTGATTTTTGTATATATTTTATTACAAATCTCTAAATTTTATTAATTATTTTTTCTTTGCGGAGTGGTAAATTAAGATGATATATTTTTTATTTAAATTAATTTAGCCATAAATGCAAACAAAAATTAAATTTTAATATTTTTTAATAATTCAATAAATAAATAATCTAAAATAATTTTAAAAACAACTTTCTAAATTTTAAAATATTTCTTTAGTGCTAAAAATGTTTTACAGATAAAAAAATTTCTAAAAAATGAATAATAAATAAAGACGTTAAAATAAACTCTTAAGCTTGAAAAATTTGAAAAATTAAAGAATAATAAAGAAAAGATAAATAATTACGCTCTTTAAATCTTTAGAATGATTGTTAATAATAAGAAAAAGCATAGCTAACTAACCAATTTCTCTAATTTTTTTTTTTTTGTTTTTAAATATTTTTTACATTAATTAATTATTAATTGTTGGTTCACAAATAAGATAAGGTTTAAAAGCAAGCAAATAATAATAGTATTTTTTTGTTTGTATAATATTCAAAACATAGACCTATTTAGAGTATATTTTAACAGACTTAGATTAGAGTAGCAACACAAAAAAGCATATGGGAGCAAAAGAATCAATTGTATCACCTAGAAACTTAGGTGAAAAAACAGTTGATGAAGATCAAATTGAAGTTTTAAATTCTAGTTCTATGGATTTAATTGAAAAAACAGCTGATTTCTTGAAAGTTGCAGAAAATGAAAACTATGGGCGTTTTAAGCTCATGCAATACAGAGTAAGTAAAAGATAGTTTGCACTAATAGAGAGAATCACTTCTGACTTTAAAGAATTTGAAAATTATTGCAATGAAGTAGATAAAAGATTAAAATTTGATTGCTAATAATTAGTTAGGTGGATAAGAGCATATAGATCATGCGAAAAGGAATATTGCAGTTCTTTTTTTAAGGTTTTTGTGAATTTAGATTACATACCTTTTACTTTACATGATCAATTAGAATCTAGGAAAAAAAGAAAGACTCACTGCGGAGAAAAAGAAATTTTTACTATGATTGATTCGGTTTTAACTGGATTAATTTACTTGAAAAGTCACAATTTGAATCATAAATTTATTTAGCCTAAGACAATTCTCTATGATTAAGCAAATAGAGTTTACTTAATTTCTGATATTTAGTTTTTAAATGGAGGTATTAGTGAATATTAATAATATCTATTTGGAGTCCCAGCCACTTCTTGTTATCTTTCTCCTCAGCTCTTAAAAGCTCTTAATCATAGGTAATAAATTCCTGAACATAGTATTTCAAAAAGTGATGTCTTCTCTCTAGGTTTATGCGCTCTTGAAATGGCAACTATGAAATCAATTCAAAATATTTATGATTTCAATGACTTTAAAATCTATGAAGATTTATTATAATAGCTACTGTAAGAAGTGCAAGTTATTTATTCTGATCACCTTTCTTAATTACTCATTTAAATGCTAAGTTTAACTGAAGTATAGAGGCCTGATTTCGATGATTTAGCTTATGTTTTAAAAGATTTATCTGCTAGGCCTTAGTTTATAGATTCAAGATAGAGTCTAAGAGCCAGTGTTATTTCTGAAGAGCTATAAAGAACATCAAGTGGGACAAATAGAAAAAGTGGATTACTAGAAAGACCTGTTTCCTGCAATCTACTTAGATCAAAAGAAACGAATAAGAGCAATAATAACTAAAATAGTAATAATAATAACAATAGCAGTCTTGATTAAAATAAATACATGTAAAAGCAGTTTTCTAGCAATAACAATAATAATAATAAAACTTTGAGTGGTATAAGACCTGCATAATCCATTTTGAAGAAATCTGGATGGAAAAAAGAAGGTGGAACTATTGGAGAAATAGAAGAAGAAGATAATTAGTTAACAGCAGTCAATACATAAGGAGGCGACACAAAAGATTAGTAAGTTCCTTTTATAAGAGTTTTAGAGCCTATATTAACTCATGAAAACGATGAAGTAGCTTCTCCTGCTGCTATTCCAAGCCATCAATAACTTGGTGAAATATCCTCACTCAATCTAATTAGTTAAAGAAATAATATAAAGTAGCTATCTGCTTATAATTAAGAAGATTTGCAAATGCAACAATAAACAACCAAAAGATCAACAAATAATAATATCAAAACTCCAAAAAGTGCTCTATCAGCTAATGATTAATAAGCAAATGAAATTCAAAATATAAATTTATAATAATAATCCCATCAATAATAATAGTAATAACTATAATAGTAACAATAAAATTAATATGACTTACAACAGATATAAAGTCTTCAATAGTAATAATAAAAATAATAATCATAACCATAAAATAGATAATAAAGATCACTATCATAAATATCTAGCTTATCTTAAAAGCCTGTTTTAGACACAGTTGAGTAAGAATATGAAGAGTTCAAGGCCAAACAAAGATAATTATATATGTAATAGAAACATTAAATTATACAAGATGAATAAGCTAAATATCAGTAAGAAAAGTAAAGTTGGGAGTAACAACATTAGTAATTTATACAGGAATCCAAAAAATCGGTGGAAAGCCAACAAATATATTTGTAATCTCAATTTGAGGATAGTAGAAAATATTTAAATTCTTAGTAATAATATCCTACGCAAACAAGAGAATTTACTAATTATCTATAGAATTAAAGGTTCATCTAAAATTCTGATGCTGTTACACCTTTTGCTGCAGATAAATCACCTGTTAGAAATAATTATTCTCGAATGGGAAACAATATTAATACCCCTAACAATTATCGAGTAGATTCTTATTCAAACCCAAGACTTCCTCCTAGTAGTGGTAGAAACAACAATATAAAATCATATCATCAATTGAATAAATCTCCTAAATTAAATTTAAAGTTCTTTAACGATGAAAATGAGTACAATATTGATAATAGATTAACAGGTAGGTCTAATCTATAGAACAACTATAATGAAAACACTATGTATAATGAATATTAATCGTATAACAACTTAAATAATAGTAGATTAGATAATAGTGTTGTTAATAGCAAAGCTGATATGAGTATGCTAAGCAACTATGAATTGAAAGATATTCACATTTAACCCCTAAGAAGAAACGATATTAATATATAAAACACTCTTAACATGCTAGAGGAGAAGATAGATAAAATAGATTAAAGTTTAAATTATGCCAAAAAGCCTTTGAGGAGTTCATCAAATAACTCATTTGCTTTTCATTAAAATAGCAAACTCTTATCTAATAATAATAATAATAATTAAAAAGGACAACAAAATTTGTAGTATTCCAAAAATAATTAACAAAGAAATACAGGATCTTCTGCCAAAAACTATCGTTTTTACAACTAAAATTATGAAAGTAAAGGTGGTTATCCTACAACTCCTTTTTAGAATGCTTACAATTTTGATAACACTTACCACTAACACATTTGACACTAATTTATTTTTCTAAATATTTTGTATAATTTAAATTAAATATAAAAGGTATATTTGTATGTATGTATAAATTTAAAAAGGTTGTTTAAAAAAAAAAAAATTTTTCACTAAAAAAACACTTTTTTTTTCAAAAAATTATTCTTCAAGATTAATTTGAAATACCATTAAACTTATAAATAAATTATTATGAAAAAATAAATAAGTGCTCATTTAATTTCCACTTTTATTTTACTAAAGAACATTTAAAAATTTATTTAATTCATTAATATTTTACAAAATATTACTCCCTAAAGAAGATAATACAATAAAAATGAGTTTTAGAGAATAATATTTATAATCTAAAATATCTCTTTCTATTTAAAAATAAATATTTAATTTTGATTGAATGAATTATGATACAATAAGTAAGTAAATAAATAAATAGCTTACTAAATAACAAACTAAGATAAACTTAGTTTTAAAAGATGTATTTATAAGATAAATTAAATAAAAACATGCAGAAACTATTAGCATTCATTTTTTATAGGAATACGAGATAGATGTGCAATAGAGATTAAATTATGTATCATTAATCTAAAATCTTATTAAAAATGTTTAAACTACTATGATTAATCAATCAATTAATTAAATTAATTATCAATCATGGATTATTTTATTAATTATTAGTGAAGAAAGCATTACTGCTAGTATCATTTTCTTCTTGTTCTAATTTTTATTCTTCATTTGTATTTGACTAGCTTTAGAGATGATCCTCTTCGTTTTCACAGTCTTATTGATACTCTTCATCCTCATCATCACCTTCTTCTTCACACTCTATATCCTCTTATTCTAGTTAATTACTTGATTCGCTTCTTTCTGCATTTGCTTTATTTTGTATTTCTTCCTCTTCTTCTCCCTCCTCTTCTTCCATAATTTAATTTTGATTGTTATTATTTTTATTAGGAGTTAGTTTATTATTAGGAATCAAAGACTAAAATGTCTATTTAATACATTCTATTGCTGAAAATTTCTTTTTTTCTGAAAATTTTTCAGGTAGATTATAATTTAATTCATCAGATATAAATAATCTAACTGTATGATCATCTCCTGCTGCTATTAACATTCCAGGATATACAGGATTAAAGTGAACTTGATTAATTGTTTTTTTGATTTCCTTTATTTTATTTTTAAATAAATATTTCTTTTTCAAAACATAAATTATAAAAATAAAACTTACATCATCAAACGATTTATGGTTAGGGTCATTCAGATTCATAGATTTTTATTTTTCACTTTCAAGCTCCATATTATTAGAATATTCACTTTAATTGTTAGTAGCTTACTTAGCGCAAGATTCAAAACCATTTTTACCTATTGGGAATTGTTCTATTTTTGTTTCATATAGAATATCATTATGAATTATGCAAATAGGCTTTTAAGGAATATTCTTATGCCAAATAAAAATTTTTCCATCTTCATCACCTATTTATTAATTGTTTATAGTTTCAATTATTTATTTATTTATGCTTTTTAAATTTTTTTATAAAATTAATTACCTATTGCAACATATTCATCCTTCATAGAAGCTCGTAAGTAGCAGTCTATCTGCTTATAACCTCCAAAGCTTGCTTCTAATTCGCTTGTTTCAATGTTCCACATATTTAAACTATTTATTTCTTTACCTAAAACACTTAGTAATATATGAGACCCGTCACTTGATAGGTTTGCATTAACTATTTCATTTTTTTCAACAAAAAAGCCAACTTCTTACTTTTTGTTTAGGTTTATCAACGATATGCGCCCTTATTTACAGACAGAAATTAAATCTTACATATTAGGATGAAGATGGATACTCTAGTTATCGTATCCACATTCTATTTTAGATACTTCTTTATCTGTTTAGTAATCCCATTTATATATAAATTTATCTTCTGAAGTATAAAGGATTTAACTTCTATCATTCTTTTCTGGTAAAAATATGATGCTAATTATGCTTTTATCCTTAACTTTTGTGTCCTACAGATTCTTTACTTGTTCTATGGTTTATTTTTCAAAGTTTATTTTCCATACTATTATATGCTTATTTTCTTAGCTAGTAACAATCATATCTCCCTTTTAATTCCAAGAGAAGCACTGCACTGAACTGTTGTCATTTAAATCTTTTTTTGCTACTAATTCAAGTTCAACTTTGCTCAAAGATTTTTATTATGGTGCCTTATTTGATTTTTTTGCTAACTTTTTTTCATTATTTTTAAGTTTATAACTTTTACTTTAAGATATATTTGATTATATTGGTGATTTTTTCTTTACTTAATTACAGGTCTCTAACTATAAGGCTTAAGTACTTTCAATTTATGTCTAAGGAGAATTTTCATTATCTTTTAATAGTTGTTAGTTTGATTGAATTGGAGTACTGGTTGAATTTGTTTTTGAAGTTTATTTTTTTGTTTTTTTCTTTATTTAAGCTGGATTTGATGAACTACCTTATATAGAAGAAGATGATTTTGTATGTTTTTTCTATTTAACGATTCTCCATATAGCTATAGTAGATTTTTTGCAAATAGAAGCTGCATATAAACCATTAGGTGAAAATTAAACATGCCATACTTCATCTTCATGCACTCTATGCTAACTGGCTAGTTAGTTAGGATATCCCTTAGTTCTGCAGTAATGATTTTCTAAAATAGAAAAGTTATTAGGAAGAGATTTATGAACTGAGCATTTGAGAATTTAGTAAGATTTTGCTTATTTTACTATGCTATTTAATCGATTTACAGGAGGTATTGATTTTCTTTCTTTGATTAAATCCCAAATGCTGTGAATTAAATAAGTGTAAGAGTCTTAAAACGTTTGCTTATTATAATTTGCTTAAGATAAAATGAACTGGTTTTTTTCATTCTAAGGGGTTTATTTCTAAGTTGTAACAGTACTGCATAATAAATCTCTACGATCTTTAGAAATACTGAAAAAATCAGAGGAAGCTACATTGTCTTCTGCCTTTACTTTTTAATTGGGATTTGAAATATTTTATTTACTGGTTAATCCACTTTAACTTTCTACAGAATAAATAATATTGTTGATTTGCTAAAGTAGTTCTTACTGATCAGAATATGCAACTAAACTTGAGAGCATAGTTAGTTCTGATTAGGAAGAAATAGGCTTTAAATGATTTCTTAAGGAGTTAAGAGCCTATTCAATTTTTTATTTCATGAGACTGTCAAAGTATGAATGACGATATATAAGGTACTTGCAGCGATTTTTGCTTTTTTCATCTAAAAAGGGAAGATTTTCACAATATTTTATTGCTTCTTCCCATTAACTTGATAAAATGAGTTGTTTGAATTTTTTCATTTCAGTAGTTTCGATTCATATATTGCTTTCATTCATTAAAGTGTCAATTGTCTTTTCAAAACCCATTTATTCAAGAGCTTGCATCATAATTTTGATAATCTCTTCTTTATTTTAATTATTTTTGAATATCTCAAAATGATTCATTTCCTAGATATTCTTGTCCACTAGTTTCTCATATTTGAAGGAGAGCGGATTCATTTTTATATAATAATAAATAACTAGTCAGATTGATTAATTGATCGATTCCCTTTTTTATTGCCTTTTATTGTTTAGTTTTTACTTCAAAAACCTTTGTCAAGTATTTGTTTTTCTTTCTGTTTTGCCTTAGTCTTAAATTTTTTATAAAAATTTGATTTTCTTTTCTACTTAAAATAATCTTCCTATTCTATATTTTATTGGTGAATATTATTTACCAAATCTCTATATTACTTATTTCTTTTCTACTTCTCTTCCTTCTATCAATTATCATAGTTTGCTTTTTTTCTCATTTTTAAAAACTCCTTCTTACTTTGTTTCCTTCCTTCCTAGTTTTTAAAAGATCTATTTGTTTTTATAACATAAAATAAAGATTACCATCTTTATTTATATATTTCGTTCATTTCTTCGTTCTTCATAAATTATTATAATTGTATTACTATATTTAATTTTTTACTGAAGATACACTTTGAAATAATTTGAATTTTATAATCTAATGTCATAATAGAATTAAAACAAAAATAATTAAATTACATTTAATCTTTTGTTTTTTTAGATTTAAAAAATAAAAAAGTTATAATTTATATCTTAAATTCACATTTGCAAATATTTTTTATCTGTTCAACATATAAATGAGCTCACCAAGTAAATTAATATACAAGTATAGAATTCTATTTAAAAACTTAAGTATTTGATAAATTTTTACTTATTTTTTTTTGATAAACACTCTCAGTAGATTTAACTTTGGAATGATATTTTTTTAAATTTCTAAAAATAATTTGATTAAACTAATAAAGAATATAATTTATTTATTTTTTATACAATAGCTAAATAAAAACTTGATAAATGAAAAGCCTACTTTTAATATTTTCATTAATAATATTTATAGAAAGCCAGGTTGTAACTTATAATTAGTTAGACTATTTAAGTACACCATTTTATTGCAATTTATTAGCAAAAAAAATGATTTAAATAAGTTTAACTTAAAACTAATATAAATATAAAAATAGATCCTAAGAACTCCTTCTTTAAGCTATCATTATTTGATATAAACAATAAAAGCATCTAGGTTTAGAATATAGGATAAATTATTTCATGTAAGGTAGATGGCGATAATATGAGAGATTTAGTTTTTTTATATGAAAATAAGCTATATCTGTAAATTTACAATTAATTTTGTTGACATTTTTTAATTAAACTCAATAAATAAAGGAGTTAAGATGTGGTTTATAATGCTTCTCTAAATTATACATCAATAATAAGTGAAGGAGACTTCTCTTTATTACAGGCTTTGGGTATAGACTCTTACTAAAATATTTTTGGATTTTCTAAATTAGTAATTTTAAGATTTTAAATACATTGCTCTATATAATCATCAACATATAATAATTATAAAAGGATCGCAAAGGATATATTTTCCAAAATAAGTTTAAAAACAATTTAGATTAATGGTAAAAGATAGAAGTATTTTCCATTTAAGATATTGAGTAGCAACTAAAAGTAAAATTTATTTTTAAATAAATATTAAACTTAATATTTAAATAAATTTTAATAGATCTCTCTATCTAATTTAATTGATGTAAGGCTAGAGTAACCTGTAAAAGGCAATACTTAATATGCAATTTTAGCATATGACCAATAGACAAAATAATACTACATTATAAGGTAAACAAATTTACATTGACTCTACTACAACTACTCATTTTTCTAACCCTTTTCAACTTGGTATTTTTAACTATCAAAATTAAACTTTTATTGAAATAGTTTAAAAAAATTAAAACTTTTATTTTTTTAATTTTTATGTTAATATTTTAAATAAAATTTACTTATAGCTAATTAACAAATTTAATTTAGATTTGATATAAATTTTAATTTTAAATAAATAAATAGAAATCGTATTACTTTACAACATACAACTTATGAGATAATTTACCAAGGAAGCTAATAAGCTAAGATTTTATATTTTAATTTTTCACTAGACTAATACTTCTATAGCACAAAAAATATAGTAAATTTTATTAAACAAAAAGTTATATCTAATTAATTTGTTATTAGCTCTATGATAAGGATGGCAATAAATATGATTTAGCTCATTAAATATAATAAGTATTTTAATATAGAGATAATAATTATTAATCATTCGTGGTTATAATTGCTGAAAATCCATATGTAATTTTGATTTCAAAGAATGATAATGATAAGCAGTATTAAGTAAAAGATACAACTCTTGAATATGCAAATTATTATTAAAATTAAGATGCTGCTCTTAATTTTTGTTTAGAATTTTAATTTTTTGATTTCTTCGGGAAAGAAGCTAGGAATTATCTCTGCTAAATGAAAAATGCACTCAGTAAAATTAATTCCTATTTTATAAGTGATCTAATAAAATAAATTTTGGATAGGATTTATTTTTGAATTTCCAATGCAAAAGAATGAGGAGGGCAATCATAAATTACTTTATAGCGCCATTGATTTAGATTTATTTTCAAACGAGAAATCATTCAATCATACCATTTTGTATGAAAATGATTTAATAAAACTTGATCATGGTATATTGGAAGGGTAAATTTTTCTTATAAACACTCCCAAAGGACTTTTTACTATGTAAAATACTCAACCTAACTTTGATGGTAATTAAAAACTTTAATCATAATAAAATATTCATTTTTTTTAAATCAGATTTATGGAACACAAACTTTTGGTTTGAATTAATGACTTTAACTATTTCTTTAATTTTGTTGTTTGGAACTATTCACTTTTATCGCTTCGGTCAGAGATCATATTCTGTATGAAAATTACATTTTAATTTAACTAAAAGCTATAAAAAATATTTATTTAAAGGGTGAAACAAAGTAAATTCAATTAAATAAAAACTATGAGGCAGATTATGAAGATGATGATGACGATGATGATGACCTCAATTTTGATTTTCCTTCAAGAAAAAATAATAGAAAAACAACAATTTGATTTGAAAATAAATTAGAATTATGAAATCAAAATATGCAAGGAACATATAAAATTATTTTTGAAAGCATATATAAAAAGTATAAGAGGGTAGAGTGTTATTTGTTAATAATCAATATATTTAAGATAGTGTGTGTGTATGTTAATTAATTATAGTTTCTTGTTAATAATATTCTTTTTAGTATTTTATCTATCTATTTATTTGTTAGTCACCTAAATAATAATTTATTAATCAATAATCTAATCACTTTGATTGTTTAATTATAATATTTTATTTCAAGACTTCAAGTATTTATAACTATTAATAGACCATTTCAAAAGCATAGCTAATTATTTGTTGTAGAAAGATGATAGCTACATCACATTTTTTTCAAATTCTTTCTCTTTTTGGATCATAGTTAAACCCATTGTTATAATTATATCTCTCATCATGGTTTCTATTTCCATATCTATTTTATAAATCTCTATCCTATTATTTTATATAAAATTCATATAAATTTTTTAAAAACTTATCTAAAATTAAATACTGTTGGAGATATGAAAGATGCATCATAGCCTCTTCTTTTAAGTTGGTTTAAGGTTTGAGCATCTGTAATAAATCTCTATCCAGTTTCTGGATCATAAACGACATACTACTCAGATGAGTTAAGCAACTTCATCACCAATACATCAAATATTAAATAAAAGCCAAGAATAACAAATGTAAATGCTACTAATTTTTTCTTTGTTAATCTCATTTTTTCTTCAGCTGACATTGATGGTTCAAAATCATACTATATTTTTAAATGAAAAAAATAAGGGCTTGGATTAAATATATTTTACTTTTAATTGATGATAAAATTAATATTATTTCTTTAAGCTCTAAAAAATTTGTTAAAGTTTTAATTTTACTTACATTATTTTAAGTGGAATATGGATTTTGCATGTCTTAGTAAAACTGAGATTTGCTAAAATTAGAGTTATAAAAATCTCCTTAAGTTTGTCTCTACGCATCTGCGGAAGAGTAGTATTATTACTCGTAGCGTTTGTAATCATATTTCTAATTTTTTCTGTTCCCATATTAATAATATTATCCATAATTCTGTTATTGATGATAAGATTAAGAATAATTGGCGGAACTATTTTAAAATGGATTGGCTCTCATAGATATGTATTCATTTTTAGATTATTCATTACTTAATACCTCATATGCCTCATTGATTAACTTAAAATGCTCTGCGTTATTTTTATTAATATCTGGATGATATTACTTTACAAGTTTATAATAAGATTTTTTTATTTCTTCAGGAGTAGAATTTTCGCTCACTTCAAGGACTTTAAAGTAATCTTTACTAAAGTCTACCTTTGCATTAAAAAATCTTAATATATTTTGGTGCTTGAAGAAGAAGCTCTTATTAAAATTTAAGCCATTTTTCAAGCTCGAGCTGAGTAGTCTAATCATAACTTCTTTATTTTAATTTTTCAAATATAAAATAAATATTTCTGGTTTTTTCTATTTATAAATAATTAATCACCAGTCAAATTTGATCAAATTCATCAATTTTTTAGAATGTTACTATTCAAATGGAAATTTGTCTATTTAAAATTATTTAGTAGAAAAAATCTAGGATTTTTGTTATCAAAATATATTTATTCTATTTATTTTTTTCTAGAATTTTATTATAATGATAAATATTAAATTCAAAAATAAATTATTTTCAATATTTTTTTGTAATTATAGTTTGTAACACTAATTAATCATAAAATTTATTCTTTTATTTTATTTTACCTTAAATAATTAAAATTAAAACAATAAATAATTATTTATAATATATTAGATCAATTTCATGTTAAATTGAAGAGTTTGTTCTTTCAATAACTTGATTAAATTTAAAATAAAACATCAATATGTTTTAATAATAAATGACTCAAAGAATAACTTGATACATCGCTTTATAAAAGATAAAAATAAATAACACATAAACCTTATATTTTTGAAAAAATAATCAAATGACAGTGAAATCAATTTGATTTATCATCACATAAAATTTATAATAAAATTTAAATATGCCAATTTTCTGATATTTATTAGTTGATGAAGTAGTAAATTAGTTTCTTGATTTTTCTTTTAATAATTAATTAATTAATTATTAAATAAGTTTATCTAAACATATTTTTAAAAACTAGAATTTAGTTTATTTTTTTCTGGATAAAGAAACTTATTATCTATTTGTCTAAACATATTTTTAAAAACTAGAATTTATTTTATTTTTTTCTTTAAAGAGAAACTTTATATCAATTTATATTTTCAAAATTTATAGAAATTATTGAAATATTTTAATTTAAGTGCTTTTCTTTTTTTATTTGTTGTTAATTTCAGTCGCTTTATTCGCTATCCGATTCAGATTCGCTCTCTTCTGTTAGCTCAGTGATGTAGAGAATTTTAACTAAATTCTTTTGCTTCTTGTATTAAAGATCAATTTACAAGATTTACTTAATTTTCTATGAAATAAATGAAAAATAAAATAAGTATACTACTAATAATTATTTACTTCTCTGCATAAATAGCATTCCCCTGTTATTTTCCATATATCCAAACTGCAATCATAGCATATTCCTAATATTTTTTATTATTTAATATTGTTTTTTATTTTTTAATATTATACCTCCATGTCCACAGTTCATAAAAACGGAGTCTTGACTATTTTAAAAACAAATTAAGCAATTTTATTCCTCTTCTTCTTTAATTTATTGATTTTAAGGAGTACTTGTTTTATTACTTTCTTATTTAATTTCTGTTTTTTGTTCTTAATTATTGGGGTTTTATTATTCTTCAGTAATTTTTTTATCAGCTTACTAATTAGCATTTTCAACAGAAATTATATTTTATTAATCTTAATTTTAACAAGTTGTCTGCTCATAATTTGGAGGTTAAATATTTTCTATTTATATGCATTCTATAGATTTTTAGTTAGTCAAAGAAGAAATTATTTCTTTTTCAGTTTCTTTTTCTCTAAATGAACTCTAGCATGATTTCAGATATAAATTACATTCATGTTTTCTAAATTAGTGAATTTATTATCTATTCGATTTCTGCTTTTCTCCCTTCGCTGTAGATTGCTCTGAAATATCTTCTTTTTATTGCATTTACTCAAGTCTTGCACTATTTATTTCGCTTCTAATCTTGATATAAATATTATTTAACTTCAATTATTTATTAAATTTAAGAATTTTACTTTCTAGATTGAAGGTAGATCTATTAATTTCATTGAAGCAGGGAATTATATTTCAAATACAGGTATATTTTTAATTGTGTTTTCTAATTTATTTTGTTTGGATTCCTTTGAATTTCTAATATTTTCTGACAATTAACTAATATCAAGAGCATTATTTTCATTAATTTTTTAATTTTCTTATGATTTTTTGCACTCAGAATCTTCTGATTCGTCAAAGACTATAATTTTATCATCATTTTGCAGCGTTATCACTTCTAAATCCTTAATTCCCTAACATTAGTTTAATTAAGTTGCTAATGATTCTGCTGCCACAGCATCATACTTCTTTCTGCTACTAGAACTTATTTAATCATTTTAGTTAGCATTAATTTAATCAATATTTTAGTTATTGCTGATATTATCTGCCTCAACTTGCTGCTGAGAAGAATCTTTTTCAGATTTTCTATGTGAATTTTATACTGATTGCATTTTACTTTCAGAGTATTATTTGAAATAAGTATTGGAGAATTTTATCTTTTTTTAACAATAAACAATAATAAAATTTTATTGTATTATATAATTAATTTTACTAAAAATTTAGGAAGAATATTGACAGAAATTCTTTTAAATTAAATTTCAGGAGGTTTAGATACTTTGTTTCTGATATTTTGTTAATGATTTCTTCTATCGTATAAGTTTATATTTTAAATTTAATTCTAAGGATTTTATTAATTTTATTATCGGTTGTTATTATTATTATTGTTATTATTTTGATTTCTTATATTTAGCAAGTGTAAATGATGATTTAAAATTATTCCACTATTGTTATTTAAATTATTAATTATATTTTAATTTTATGCATCTCTTTGGGCTTCCTCTTACTCTGAGTCTTCTGATACAATTTACTTTATAAATTACCTAAAAAAGTTTTAGTCAATTTAAAATAAATTAATTTTTATTTATTTTACTTGATTGAAGCATTGAAGATAGCAGTGATAATAAACTGGCTTAAACCAATTGCGAAATTAAATATTACTGAAATTCTTATTTATTCTTTATTAAAATATTATAAAATCTTCTTAAACTTAAAATTATATTTACCTGTAGAATTATTTTCTAATGTGTCAATAATACTAATAATAGCAAAACAACTATTGATTGACTAGCTAGTGATAGTATAGAACATCCAAATAATACCTTTAACTTATTTTATTATCTAAATTAAAAATAGAATTTCGTAATTCTAAAAATTTACATTCAAACATCTAAGCCTACCCCTAGCAAACCTAGCACAATTTAGTCAATGACATCATGAATAATCCAAAAATTAATCCACAGACAATTGAAAAAAAAACCCAATAAACCCAAAACACTTCAGACCAACTCCAATCTATATCACCTGAAATTTTCAGACTGACATTTATTATTTGAATGATAATAAAAATCCTAAAAGTAATGATTAGCTATGTAAAATTAATTAAATTAGAATATATTTAAATGAATTCAAACAATAATAATTACAAAATCAATAAAGGAAATGCACTCGTTCTGTTTTTTATTAATAATATAAATCCAGTATCTGAGTAAACATGCAGCAAAAATAGGTCCAATAGTTATCATAAAAGAGAATTAATGTGTTCTAAAATACGCATAAAGTACTCCTCCAGACAATAAAAACGTCATATCTTCAAATATTTCTATCTGTAACAACCTTTGTGTTTATTGACTTTTTATTAATTAAAATTATTAACTAAAATTTTAACATACTTTAAAATAAATATTTTACTCGTATTACTTTTTGAGTTGTTTCAACAATTTATGAATATCTAACAAAAAATAAACAGAAATCGAGATAATAGGGAAAATTGGATCAAGTTAATAAGTTGAAAAAGCGCTGAGAATCAAAAATATTGTTAAGCAAACAATAGCTTAGTTAGCTATCATGTGATTAAACCATTAGTCATAAGTCTCCATACTTTAATAAATCAAAGCATCATTTTCAACTACATCTAAGTTGCTTAAAACTTACATTCTTCTTTATTAAATTTATTATTATAAGTTCTGTTAAAGTTGCTATTGCTGAGGATACTGCTGCTGTTAATTCTGGCTTTGTGCTTATATAATTTGTTCGTTATGTTCTACATTTTAATTCTACCTGGAGTTATTTAAAATACTTTGATTTCGTGGATGTAGCTGATCTTAGTAATTAAATAAACATTTTTAATAAAATTTTAATTGATTTCATCAATAAGATACTTATAATTTAGACATTAATCTAAGATTGATGGTGTAAATTTTCTTATTGGTTGTTTCTTGAAATTTAAGGATGCTATGATTAGTTTGAAAAGTTTATTATGTTTATAATATTATTTCTGTTTCTATTGCTAAAGTTCTCGATATTTAAGTTTTAATTTTAATTATTGTCAATTAATTCATCTTAGTTCTAACCAATAATTTACTCGACAGTATCATTTAAATTACTTACATGCATCATTCTTTATCTATTTTAATTGCTGCTAGCATCCATACCTAAATATACAAATTTAAAATGAAAGATTAAAGTACTCAAAAGTATCAAATTTGAAATCTAAGCTTACTAATATTTTAGCGATCAATAGCGCTTATTGAATAAATAGTACTCATTTAAAATATGAAGGAATAAAAGTAGATTTAGTTAGTTAGCTATATTTATTTTGAAGTAAGCTCAGAAAGAAATTAAAGCACTGTATATTCTACTTAATTAATATAAATAAATATTTTTTTACTTTAAACCTAAATTGATGTTTATATTTTCTTTATATAATAATTTATTTAAACTAACCCTATTCATTTTTAAATGTTTTTAACAAAAATATTGGTGATAGTTATATTGCTGTAAAACATGTAATAATAATAATAATAATAATAATGATAATCAAATTTATTTTTTAGAACTTCATAACATATTCAACAAATACTATAGAATAAAAAGTAGATGTAATATTTAGATTTTATTCAATATTCTTTAAAAAATTATAGTATGGTCAGTACTTTTTAAATTTATCATAATGATTAAATATTTATCGTTTGATATAAAATTATTTAAACATTTAAGTTGAAGCATCATAAAATAATATAGAAAATAAGCACAAGTTATTTTTCAGGTTTATAAAATAGCTATAGTCTTCCTTTTTTATAATTTAATAAAAACTTAAATGTAATAGCTCTAAATAAAATAATACAAAATCAAATAAAAAAACAATTAATTAAAAAAATTATGTAAAGAATGTATATTTAATATATATATACTCTAGCTAAATTTCTTATCTTAAATAAACAAGTAAAGTGCATAAATTTCTTTTGTTTTCCAAAAAATTTTTTATGTCTTAAAATTATTAATTAATTATTATCAAAATAGTAAATACTTTCATATTTTTCAAATAATAAATAAATTATTGTTTTGCAATTTTTGAGATATGCATTTTGTATCAGTTAATTAATATTTTTAAATTTTAAAATATTTTAAAGGAGAAATTAAATTTCTTAGTTTAAAAATATCAATAAGAAGATTTTTCTGAATATTTTAATATGTCAATATAAATTGTATATAAATTGGATTAATAATTTTTAAAAAAATAAGTTTTATTAATAATTCTAATACTAAATTTACAATTCATATATATCTTTGTATTGAAATATAAAAAGACTTTTATTATTCATAAAATTTTGCTTAAAAAATAAAAAATGTTAAAATTTTATCAAAAAATGATTATATTTTTCCATTTTTTCTTGTTTTTTTGAGTGTATGGTGATAAAATTAGATTGATAATATTTAAATTTTAAACAATAAAGATAAAATTATTTAATTACATTATTAATTAGATTAAATTAGATTATACTATAATATAGATAATAATTTTAACCTTATGGAAATATTTAGATAGATAATTAATAAAATTAAAGTAATCTTAATAAAATACTAACCAACCTCTCAAACTGGACGAAAAGTTAATAGATTTAAAAATATTAACGGAATACTTTGGCAAAGTTGGTTAATGATATATATTTTTAATCTCTAGAGAATTTTTTAGAAGATAAGAATTAGATATAATCAATGAAAATAAAATTTTCTTTTTTATTTATTAATAAAGATTGATGACAGATATTCATTCACATTATTTCAAAATTGCGGGTGATATTATCGTTAATCTATTCGTTTGTGATTTGATTGTTAAGGAATTAGTAAACAAGCAAAAAATAAATTCAAAAATAAAAACAAGACAAAACAAAACAATTATAATAATAAAAAGAAGAAGAAAATAAATAAATAAATACTTGCCTTTATTTGTTAAATCCACACATATATTGAACAGCTTCTTCTTGCAGCCATACCAGCAACAAAGAAAAATCACTTATTTAATTTAATTAAGCCATAATTATAAATAATAGAGCTTCAAAGCCATCTAATTACATAATAAACTAGAAAAATAATTATAATAATGCATCGTAGCTCGACTAAAGCAAATCACAATTAATTTTCTTCTCATAAATAACAAATCTTTTCTGCTAATCCCTTAGTTAATTCAGAGGTTGGATAGCTTATTGGGAAAAAAGCTCAACTGCTATTCCCTTAGTTTGATATTGAATAAGAAGAATTTATAAAAGGAGACATAGAATAAGCTATTGCAAGCTTTGTGGTCAATCTTTAGTCACCATAAAATAAATTTGATCTGGAGTCAACAATGATGAAAATGAGGAAAATTGCTGATGAGTAAGAAAAGAAAATTCAAAAATCTATCAATAAAGATAATCAATATACTGAGGAGGATGCCTTCGGATTTACTTCTGCTATGAAATACTAATTTAAAGCCTAATTTGACAACTTAGAAGAGTAGAAAAAAAATGGTCAAATTTTTGATAATAGTTTAATAAGCGAGAAAATGCAACTAACTCATAAATTTCCATAACTATAAGCACATTCTTAATCCACTCCTTAAACTCAACAAGGCGAAACTAAATAATATGTCACTCCTATGAAGTCAGGAGGTCATTCTAGTGCAGTTAATCCTTTATGCGATTCTGCAAGAGTTAATACATCTGCTGGACCCTCTACTCATACAATATAAAGCAATAATATTAATTAAATTTAATAATAACAAAGCTAACAATAGCTTTTATAAGTACAAGGAAGTAACCAAAACACTCTTGCTAGTAATGCTAATTAATCAAATTCTTAAAATATCCCAATTCAATATCTACCTCCTTAATAGTAATATTATTAATATCCTTACTCATATCATCCAAACAGTTAAAATACAGCTCCATACTTCCTTACTGCCTAAAAAGAAAACAACTTCCCACCAAATAATTTTCATCATTAATATCATCCAAATTATAATTAATTTAATTTTCATCCTTATCCTCCTCCTCACCACCACATTTAACATCAATAATAATAAAATTTTAATAGCTATAGTGAAAATTAAAATCCTATGGCATTTATGAGCGCTCCGCCAGGAGGTCCTTCTTATGGTGGCAATAATACAAAATTCTTACCAAGAGTACCAATAAAAACTAATTAATACCACTAAAAAAACACATCATCATATTTAAATGAATAAGAGTAGCTTAAGAAATAGTAATATCTATAAAATAGCAATAACAGTTAATAGCTTGGTAGCAAGTAACAGGCTTTGCAATAATAGTAATAAGTTTAATAGCCTTAATAATAATTTTAAAACTCAAATAACCCTACTTAATAGTAAGAACAGAGCTTTTAATATCCTACATAGATTTCTCAGCAGCAACAACAACCAGAAGATATTTAAATTGACGAATAAATATCAGTTTCTCTCAAAAGAATAAATTCACTTGAAAGTGTGCAATAGCAACTAAATTTTGATGTAGTAAAAAATGATGAAAGTTTGCTAAAATCTAGTAAATTGATTGAAAATAGCTCAGATACCAAACATAATATGAATAACAGTAATAACTAAAACTGTATAGAAGAGTTCTTAAGAGAGTCAAGAATTAGTTGCGAAGGAGAGGATATTCTTTCAAACAATAAATTATCTCTCTCTCCTTCAATATCAATAAAAAATGTGAAAAATGACATCAACGAATTTGAAAGAAGCATAAATTAAGATTCTTATCCTTGTGAATTGATTAGCAACCATAGAATTCCCCTTAGTGATTAATCAACAATGATTAATATTAAATCAGAAAATTAACACATAGAGAAATTACTCAGATACGAACATCTACACAAAAATTCTAATTTCAATGATTTTATGCACTATGAGAGTAACAGTGACCTCAATTTTATGATGGAGGAAAATCCCATTTAGCATTTAAATTAGTGTGACTTTGATAAGTACATTGATTGATTGATTAATTTAATCTTTCAACTATTCAAATAAATATTTTTTTTGAAAAAAATATTTTAAAATTTATTAACAAACAAAAAGAGCTAAATGTATTTATATTATTAAAAATTCTTAAGAAAATAAACAATCGCACATACTGTCTAAATTGTAAGTATCAATTAATTAATACAATAGAATGAAAAAGATTTAAAAATATGTTGTGATTTGATAAAATACTTTTATGTATATAATAAATTAAAAAAATAAATGGATAATTAAGTCATATATAATATATATTATTATTATTTACCTTTGCATCTTGCAAATTATATTTTCTATATTAATTAATAATAAATTTTAATAATTTTTTATTTCTATCAGAAACAAGCAAGACATAATACTATTTATTTCATTTATTTAATAAAAAAATTCATTTTCTCCATAAAAACATGAATTATTTATTATTTTTAACTGATTTCATAGTTTTTAATTAATTTTTTCATTTGCTTCTAAAGTAAATCATAAATATATGAAATCCTTTTAAATTCGTTTTATATATTAAAGATCTGAGTTTTTCATTCATTTCATGCAAAAAACTGAATATTCCAGTTAAGCAAAGTTAAGATTAAAGCAAGTGCAAAAACTGAATATTAAAATACAAAATATTATCTGTGAAAATAGATGCTTCCAAAAGATTATCTCCTAAATTTTTAATTTTTTTATGACTTGAATTTCATATATTTGTATAAAAAAATAAAGTATTGCAGTATATGAGAATTTAATTCCCTCAATTTCAATTCCAATAAGATTTAATATTTTAATAAAATAAAATTTAATTAATTAATTAGTTTTATTAATTAAGTTTGAAATAATTTAAATTCATTAAAACACATATTTAAATAAAATTATCAAAAATTTTAAATCATCTATTTGATAACTTGCAAAGATTCCTATTGAAATTCATAAGAATTTTTGCTTTCACTCTTAAATATAATCTTATTTTAATTCATCTAAAGTATTAATTAATCTTCTTCATTCTAATCGTCATTTTCTTCATTTTGGGTACGAACATAAGCTTCTTTAATTGATATATTTTCTAAACTTTACAATTTCTTTGGATTAGTTTTCTCTTCATCAATTGTAACTTAGAACGGTATTCCAAATGAATTACTAGTTAAAAGATCTATTAATTTAATAACAAGATCATAGTCTTATTTGTATTAGCTAAAATTTTCAGCACTTTCAATTTCAATTTATGCAAGCTCAAGAAGACTTGTGATTAATGTTTAAACTACAGGCTATAAATCAATACTGATTTTATCACATATTAACTTTGATTTTTGATAATTTTCTTCAGTTATAACATCCTTAAACATTCTTTTTTAATTAATTAATAAAGGATTTAAAAAACTATTAGAATATCAAAAATTAATTAAAATATTTCTTACTGTATTTGTTATTTGGTAAGTGGAAGCTAAACTTTCTAACCATTGTAATTAAATAGTATTGCCATTTCTGTTATTTTTGTAATAATTAAATTTAGTAAATATAGTATTTATTTTTCTTATTTTGATTGATTTTGCTTGTTCAATATTTTTAGATAAACATTTTAGAGTATTGAGCAATGATATTTGATTGTAATATTTATGAATTCTCTAAGCACTATACCAAACTCATTTGCAAAATCGTTGTCTATTTGCACTTCTTTATATAACTAATTTGACAAATACTTATTTATTATATTTTAACTATAGTTCTATTAGCTACATTCTTACAGCCAAGGTTCATTAAACAATCCAAATAAATCTATTCTTTCTTCTGGATTTACTTTGAGCATTTTATCAATAAATTATTTGCATTCTTTTGAGATTTATGGATTAATAAATTCTAGTCTCCTATCTCTGACCATGTCTTCTAATTCTTATCTTTTATTGTGACCAGTTGGGAAAAATGGATATCTGCCATGAGTCATCTTATTTATCAATAAACGAAAATTTTTTAGTTTGAAAATAAAAATATTTTAAAATTACAGCATAAACAATACAACCAAAAGACCAAACATCACATTTTTTATTGTATTCTAATCCAAATAAAACTTCTGGAGCCATTGTCAAAGGAGTTCCAGCATAAGTGTGACCTATCTCTTAACATGATTTTGCTAATCCAAAATCTGCTATTTTACACTCAAAATTTTTGTTAATTAAAATGTTTTGCAGCTTCATATCTCTATGAATAATATCTAAATCGTAAAGAGCAATAAATCCTAGCAAAATCTAGTTAGTAAATAGTTTTGCAACATCTTCTGGTAAAGTTCTATTTTCAAATCTATTTACAAAACTATCTAAATCTCCGAATTCACATAACTCAGTTATGATATAAATGTAATTTTCTTCACTAAAATTATCAATAAATTCTAAAACATGGCAATTGTGTAAAAGTGACTAATGCAATTGACATTCTTGATCAATCTTATCTAAGTAATCTTTATTTTTTATTGCATCTATTTTTTTTATTGCAACTAGCTTATTTTTATGAGTATCTTTTCCTGGATAAACAATAGCAAAAGCTCCTTTTCCTAATTCAGTTTTACCTTGTAAGTATCTTTTATCTTTTAAAGTCTTCACTTTTCCCATTTGTTTATTAGTATTTTCTTGATTTTAAAATATAATTAATTGTTTTTCTAAAAATATTAATAATATAGATGAATTTTTTGATTTTTTTTATAAATTTAAAAGTAATTCAGAAAAAAAAATATTTATTTCTAATTAAAAAATAACCAAAAAAAGGGACACTCTTTTAACTGATATCAAAAACTAATATACTAATATCTTCACTAATAATTTAGAGATACCTAACTCTATGGTACCATAAAATCTTTTTAAAGGTAATTTATATTTTTAATAAAATTTATTTTATTAGAGATTGAAAGCTTTTAAATTTATGAAATTTTTAGAGTAATAATTTTTGGCGAAAATTAGAAATATTATACTTTATAAATTAAGAAATTTAAATATTATAATAGCTATTTATAATGGTATAAAATATTATTTAATTTTAATTGTATTTATAAAATTCATAGTTTTTGTAAATTTTATAGTTAATTAATTAATTAGTCATGTTTAGAGAAACACTGCAGTCAGGAATAATATCAGTACTTTATAGTTAAGGGTAATAAAAAGTAATATTAAAGATAAAATGAAAACTAATTATTATAAATCCTATATTTTTATTAATTATAATTATAAAAAGATCAAAACCATTGCAAGTATGGGATTAAAAAAGTAAAGATATTAGTTTTTAGATAATGTAGAAATTTAGAATAATCATTTATATTAAAGCTTCAGATGGAAAAATAGAGGTTATAAAAGATGAAGAAACAAAAACACACGTTGTAGAAATAGTTGGATAAAATAGTAGTACAAATTATATAGAAGGGCCTAATATTCATAAAGATGGATTTGGGCTCAAATTAACATGGCTCCATGTTTTAGTTAAAAATGTAAGAAGTTCATAAAGCGAATTAATTGAAATCAAAATTATAAAAATAGCTAAAAAAAGACTTTTCTTTTGTTGTTGAGGTTGTTGATCATAAAAAATAGAAAAGAAGATTTAAATTTAGTAATTGGTTCAAAGACACAAGAGTAAAAAGCACAGTTACTAACATTAAATTAAAAATGTAAGAAGGGTGGAATCACTTTGTTTTTGATATAAAGCACATATGCTTAAAGTCATACGGCACAAACCTCTAAGAAATTGTTAAAATGGTAGTAAATGCAAATTGTAGACTTAGAAGAATTTATTTTGCAGAAAAGCCTTTCCATCTTCATTAAATTAGCTAAATTCCAAATGATTTTAAAGTATTTATCTAAGGCTAAAACGTAATAAGCATTTAATTTATTTTAAAATATTACAAAAGCAATTATTATTATTAAAAAAAATAAAACTTATTGGCAGACATTCGTTTAATCTTGCTTATTATAGACAGAAAATGTTTATTTATTTATTAATAAAATATATTTTATTTATACATTCTTATTTTGGCAAAATCTATAAAAATGTTTTATTTAGGTTTCTACTTATCAACATAAATAATTTATTCTTTATTACAAATAATTAAAGATGGAATAAAATAATAATCTTTAGCATAAATTATTTAAATTTATTTGAGCTTATAAGGGTTTATTTAATAAAAAGTATAGATTAATATTTTAAAAAATAATTTTATTTTTAAGTTATTACAAAAAGTGTAAAACAATAGCTTAAAGTTTCACATTTAAAATTAAAATAAAAATAATGCAAATATTTTATTTTTTTTTTAAATAATCTGAAAATTAAATATTATTTTTAAGATTTTTCTATTTAAATTTCTAAAGTAGATTTTAAAAATTTTTAACTTTGAATTAAAAAAAAGAATGGAAAGTATTAAGAAGAACCAGAAGATGAGCAAGAGGAGGAAGAAGAATAACCAGCTGATAATAATTGAAATTTTTTTTTCCTTCTTAGTTTCTAATGGAAATTGTTAATTGCAAAAAGAAGATTTTTAACGAATAGATTTTTAATAAGAAATAAGTAATTGATTTAAGTGTAATATTTTTTACAGATTTTTTATTTATTTGTTATGATAGAAATAACAATTATTATTCAATAGAAAATGTATTTATTTTTATTTATCTAATAATTTTGTATTGAGTGGTTCATTTAGAATGTATTGAAATTGTATATAATTATGTTAAAATATAAATTTCTTTAGAACTTCTAATTAAATTACTTTTGATTTTAATTAATTGTTATAGAGACATACATACATACATACAAAATAATTCTTTAATTTTGCTTTACTTTGAAATTGTTTGAAAAATTTAATTTTTTTGAAAATTTTACAATAAAAAACAAAAAGCTGATTAAATTTTTGCAAAAAAATATATATTAAGTAACAAAGATTCTTTAGACTAGAAAATATTTTAGGGATTTACAAAGATTATTCTTTATTAACTTCTAAAAAATAAACATTTTAAAAACCAAACTTATTTTAAAATCTTAAATTCGCGTGGCATTTAAAATTTAATAGAAATAGTTTAATTAATACTCATATAAATGGGAGCAGCTGGACCTAAACTATCTAAATCTGAGGTATAGCTCGTAGATCAAAAACGATATTAAAGAGAGCCTAGTATTCCATTCGATATTCGCTATGGAGACTAAGTCAAAATATACAAGTAGTTAGACTCTGCTTAAAGAGTAGCCATAATTTAAAAGGTTTTTGATACATAAATGCAGTATTAAGTGACAGTAGATATATAAAAATCATTATCCAAATTGAAACATCCAGGATTAATTTAATTGCTTAATATTGTGACCAAGAAGAAAGAGTAGCTTTGTAGCTAATTCTTCAAAGTAAAATTTCTCTATGAATATGTTGATAATGATTTATAAAAAGATCTCGAATAGCGCCGTTAGCTCGAAAAAGATCTAAAAAGTATTCCTTAAAATTTTTTAACTTCTATTGAAGACTTGAAAGTTAGTAACAGCACATATAAAATTTTTTATGAAGAAAGTGAACTGTGGTATATAATGGCTACTGTAATAGCAGTACTTTCATATTTAAAAGAAAGAAATCTTATTCATGGTGATATACGCCCATTTAATTTATGCTTAACAAAAGATAATGCATTGAAAGTGATGACTATAAATTCATTCATTCAAACAAATTGGTCTTCCTATATGGAAAAGCTTGAAAAATTAGATACACAATCTACATATATTTCTCCTATTTAGCTAGGAGCACTTCAACATAATATATAACGTCCAGTACACAACATTCCAAAGTCTGACTTATTCTGCTTAGGAGTTATAATTCTAGAATTGTGCCTCCTCGAGAGTGCATAGGACATATATGATTTTACCACTTTCAGCATTGATCTTTCTGCTCGAGTTAAAAAACTTAGAGATCTTAAAAAATATTCTGAAGCTTTTATAGATTTCCTATTACAGTTACTAGTTTTAAATGAAGAGAAGAGAAAAAATCCAGAAGATTTGTATTAAATTTTAGCTGAACTTGCAAAATCTTGTAAACCTTTATTCATTCTTGCTTATGTGAAATTTAAATCAAACAATAAATTTTAAACACTAAAAAATGAACTGGCTGCTTTATAATGAATTAAAAAAAAATTATTTCATAATCAGCCTAATTGTTGTATTAAATTTGAAAGATTTGATTTTATCTTTTATCATTTCAATTTTAGTTTTTACAAATTAAAATCTTTATAACCACTTAATATTAATGATAGCAAATCATAATTTTCAAATTTTTATTTTTATTATTTGACATACATTAATAATATATTTATAATTAGAGTAAATCTCAGTTTCGAATAGAATTTTTTCTCATGAAAGAGTAGCTTTACTTGTCAATAAATGGAAATAAAAGAATTAGCTGAATGTAAATTTTGATGCAGTACTAACTTAGCAAAATGCTGCAAATAACCCAGCTCAATAATAATAGTAATAAAAGGCCTTAGATTTAATTTTAACTCAATAATAAGGATTCGTGCTCCCAGAGAAAATTTTTGAAAACGAAGGTGGACAAGAAAATAAAAATAATGAAACGATTGATGAAATGCCAAATTAAGAGGAAGGAGAAATAATTTAAGAGTTGGGTTTATTGTCTAAGAATGAAAATAGGGATAACAACAGCAATTCATTTTCAATCTAAAAAAGTGCAAATAATATCTCTCCAAACCAAAGATAATCGGAAGAAAATAAGAATAATTTATCAAATTAAAGCATTCATCATCACAACAACAACAATGAAAGTTTGAATAGAATTAAAAAGGATCTAAGTGGAGAATTTAGGAATGTTGAAAACAAAGAAAATATATTTTAAGGAAAAGGTAATTAAAATCACTTATCTAACAATATTTCAGCCACAAATTTATTTGATTAAAACAATCTTAATAATAACTTGTAGCAGCAATAAGGTGGATTATTTTCAAGAAGCTAAAGCTAGCATTTTCCTAATTAGCAGAATTAAAATAATAAATTAAATTTTGGTAGCAATAATGTATTGTAAAATACTAGTAACTTATTATAGAATAGTAATAATAATAATAATAATAATAATTTACTTTAAAATAATAATAATTTACTTGGTTAATTTAATAACAATAACAACAACATGTTTTTTGGATAAATTTAATAAAACTAATTTGGATAGTCACAATTCTCAAACAATCTTAACATGAACCAAGGAGGTAATATAAGTCATTTTGGAGCTAATTTGAACAATTAAAATTAATTTGGAAGTAATAATAATGGAGTCTTTGGCCTACAAAACTTTAATAGCAATCAAAATAATTAATTTTAGCAGTTTTCAAATTAAAATATTAGCAAAAACAGCTTTGAATAAAATGTATAATTATTAAATTAGTTACTATAATATAGAAATATTAATAATCCAAATATGATGCAAGGTTAGATTAGTGATTAGTAAATCAATTAGTTGGTATTTTAATTGTAACAAATGGCCTCTCTTTAATAACAATAAAATATACCAAATAATTAAATGCAGCATATTCCTTAACTAGATTTTAATTAGTTAAATAAAAATAATAGTTTGTTTGGAAATTTTGGTAATAGCAATTCTTAGCAATTAAACATGAGTCCAACTTTCAATGGCTAGCAAAACATTAACTTTTAAATGAATAGAGCTGGAGGTTACAGCAATAACAACTAAAGCAATTTATTAGCTTAAAATACTTCTTTCTATTCAAATAACAACTTTGGTGGAAATAACAATATCAGTAACTTTAACAGTAATAACAATAATCAATTTTCTAGCTTGAATTAGAACACAGTATAATAAAATTAAATATAAGGATAACTAAATATATTGAATACTCAGTAATCATTCAATCCATAGAATAATAATAACAATATCCTAATGTAAAACAACAATAATAATACAAGTTAAAATAACAACAATACCAGTTAAAATTAAAATGCTAATATATTTAATGTGTTAAACAATTAGCCAGCCACATTTTCTAACACTAACATTGGAAACAATAATTAAAATTAAAATCCAACACTAACCAATATAGCAGGTGGAGGTGGTCAATCATCCTAAACAAATATCTTCAGTAGGAATAATAGAAGCATTTTTTGATTATAAAAAAAATATTTAGCAAACCAACATATAAAATTTGTTTAAAATGTATTATAAATATTTATTTTTGTTTTTCTTTATTATTAATAATTAATATTAAAAAATATTTTCACAAATAATTATTTTAAATAATTAATAAAATAACTTTTAAGAGAAATTTAATTTATTATTTTTAATTCATGAATATTTATTTATAAAAATAAAATTTTATATTCATTAAAAGGAAATTAATTAATGATTTAAATTAAATGTTTATCCTAATTGAAGCATTTTTTGAGGAAATAAAAAATATTTAGTAAGGCAACATATAAAATTTGTTTAAAATAGAATAATATTAAAAAAATATTTTCACAAAAAATAATTTTAAATAAAGAATTAATAAAATAGTTTTTTAAGACATTTATTATTTTTAATTCATGACTATTTATAAAATTGTATCTTCAATAAAAAGAAATTAATTAATTAATTATTCAAATTAAATGTTTATCCATCCTAATTTTTGTATAAAAGTATCCTCGATTTATAAAAATTGTTACGCAGTATTTAAAACTAAAAATATATCTCACTTAATTGTTTGTTTGTTAAAATATTAATTATTCTGCAAGTAGAAAATAGCAATTTAGTAGTAAGTTAGAAATACTTGTATTTAGGTAAAATTACAAAGGAGACATTTAAAAAAGGGTATTTAAATGGAACATTTTAAAAGAAGAGTTGAGAAGTATTAAAGTACAACAAATGGCGAGCATAGATATGGTATAGGAAAGTACTTTTTGAAAAAAAAGAAAGTCTATCTAGAAGATAAATTTTCCAAACCTCTAGATACTAGACCAATAATGTAAGAATATTTAGAAAAATGTAAAGAAGAAGGATTGGAAATTAATAAATTAGAATTTGGCTTGTTTACTGCCAAGAATGGATTTTAGTATGAAGGATTTAGAGCTACTGAGGAGATTAATCCTTCTGATATTCTAATTAAAGTTCCAAGGAAACTTATTTTAAATACCAGAACATGCATGTTTAGTGATATTCAAAAAGTTGTTAAGGAAAATTTAAATTTCTTTACTGCTAAAAAAGGAGGGTTAGTAGAAGATCATATTATGCTTGTTTACTTGCTGCGTTAGTATTAACTAGGAAAAGCCTCTCCCTGGTATCATTTGATCAGTAACCTTTCAAGATACATCGATACAGTAGACTTTTGGGAGGATGAAGAATACAAATATTTAGATGATCCTATCTTCAGAGAGAGAATTAGACTTTAAAGAAATTACTTTAACTACATTGCAAAAAATTTAAGGGTATAATTATATATATATTATTATTTTGTTAAATATTTTAAATATATCTTCATAATTAATTTATAAAATATAAATTAACTAATTTAATAGATATTAAAACAAAATTTTTTTAATATTAGGAAATTTTACCTAAGTACCCTGATTTATTTGAAGAATAAACTTACTCTGAAGAGAATATTAGATGGATTTATATTCATATTTGGAGTAGAAGCTTTGGTGGTTCAATGGATTACATTAGTATGGTTCCCATCGTAGAGATGATGAACCATGAAAATACTAATATGTTTTTCAGAATTCACAAAGAAGGAAGTGAAATAGAATAAGTTTAAATCACAGAAGAAGAAAGATTGAACTAAACTTCTACAGAAAATGAAAGCTATATGAGTGAAGATAATATAATGGTTAATGAGTATGACTTTGAAGAATTTGAGGAAATGAAAAACTAAGCTGACCAAAAAATGATTAAAATAGATTAAAATAACCCAAAATTAAGAGATATTAGACGCTAGTGTCTTGAATTAGAATAAATCATTTTAAATGATTTTAACTTAGGTGATGATGTTACCATATTTTTTGCAGGTAAAATCATAGAAAAAATAAGAAAAATCGAATTATCTGCTTTACAACCAAAAAAAAAGACTAATAAGGTTCAAGAAGAGATTTCTCGCTTAAACCAGTTATGTTCATTTTTCAAAGAGCTACTGAAAACTTACCATAAACAAACAATCAAAGAAAATGAAGTCATAAATACTTCATAGAAGAAAATTTTTGAAAAAGATGCAAAAGAAGCTGAATAGGCTATTCAGCAAATTAAAAAGTAGAGCTAAGAATTTGAGTAAGCAAAAAATGATCAAGAAAGCAATTAAAATTAAGAAGAAATCGTAGAAACAACTTAGTAAAACAATACAGAATGCCAATCTAAATAAGAAGAGTAGATAAATACTACAGAAGGATCTAATTAGAAAATTAAAGAAGATTCAATTAACGATAAATAAATTTAAAATGAAATTTAAGAAAATAACCAGTAAGAAAGCTAAAATGAAGGTTAAGAATAATAAGTTGATGAAATTAGCGGTGAGAAAGAAGAGTAGATTGATAAATAAAATGAAATGAATGAATAAAATAAAGAAGAAAGCTGTGAGAAAGATTGCAATTAAACTAGCAGTGAAGATGAAGAAGAAGAAGAGAAGGAAAATAAAAAAGAAGAAAAGGAAGAGAAAAAGCAAATTGTGGTCTAAGAAAAAGAATAGGTAGTTGAATAAAGTTTGAATGAATTGAAACTTGAATATACAGATAATCCAGATGATTGGAAACAAATTTAATATGATAATTTCCTTTTAATGGCTGATAGCAGAGATAGATTCGAAAAAGGAAGTTAAGTTTACTTTTGCTATAATAGATTAACTAATAGAAGTATGTTAAGTAAATATGGTATGGCTTTAGAATATAATAAATATGAATTTGTTCATCTAAGATATAAATATATTCAAGATATAGTTGAATACGCTCCATATGCTTTAAGCTATATCAAATATTTCGAATTAAATACTCACAAGAGATTTAGTATTCCTCATCAAAGATTTAACTCTAAAATTATTTCTTTTGCTAAAGCAATGATGTGGGATTTAGAAACATAAAGTGTAGAAGCAATATTTAATCCTACTGTAAACATAACTCTTGAAATCAAGGGTTTAGAAAAAGTTAACTAAATTTATAAGTCATATTTAGACTCAAGGATGTATTCAATGGATGAGAATGAAAGTATGCTAACAAAAGATAATATGAATGGTCACTTATATTTTGCTACTATTTACCGTCTCGAAAGATAGAGAATTATTAAAAATTAACAAAATCTTGTTAACATTTTAATTTATACTCTCAAATAAATGCTTGAGTAAGGAGAGATGGGTAGATAATTCTTCAATACCCCTACACCTTATGATGAAGATCCTTAAGATCCTGAATTTTTCCATAGAAACAGATACATTTTAAGAAAATACATCAGGTTATTCCCTGAATAAAATAAGCAATTTTGATGAGCTAGCTCAAAAAATTAATTATTTTCAATACACTTTATTAAAATTTGGAAAATTAATTAAGTATTTATATTTTATTATTAAGAAAATCAAATTTATTGGAGTTTTTCATAAAAATTGTATAAATTTCCATTAAATACCTAGAAAGAAATAAAAATGAATGAGATATTTATTATTTTATATAACTATTTCTTTTTAGAGATTTATTAATTATTCTTTAGTAGTTTGTTTGATCTATCTTTTGAATTTTATTAATGATTCAATTATTAATATTAAAAAATAAAAATACTCAAAATTAAATACATTATCTAAAATATTATTCTAAATCCACATTCAATAATAATTAATATTATTATTTTAGAGTTATATTATTCTTGAATGTAATAAATAGTGAAAAAAATTATGTATGTTATCTTTAAACATTTTTATTATTTAAATTTACTATAATGTAAAACCTCAAAACCTTGTTTATTTCTTAAAAAAGACAATAAAAAGTAAATCAAAAATAAACTTAATATTAAAATCAGTGAGAAGGATGAAATGAGGAATTTGTTTACAAAAAAGTAATAAAAAATAAATATTCATTTTATTTAATTAATATTTTAATTTTAAATTTTTTTCACATTTAGGAATCAAATTCTTGTACAGTAAAACTTATTAAATTGAGTACCCTTCTTAATTAAGCATTTATTAAAAATGGAACAAATTTTTTAATCTCAAATTTAGCTTTTTGATTAAAATATTCATCTATAAACTATGTATCTGTTTATTTTAGGTAAAATTTTTGGTTCATTAGTTTCATTATTTTAGTCAATTTTCACTATATTAAAAATTTGTTAAAAATTGTTTTTAAAAAAGTCTAAAAAGTAGCCCTCCAAGGAAAATACTTGGAAGGCGAAAAAATAGTATGGCAGAGAGGTTTTTTCTGCCTACTGATCTAAAAAAGCCCCGATTGTAAATTCTCTCTAGTGATTTGCTTATAAAATTAGAAATAAATTTAGAATTTAACTAGGATTAAAATAATAGATAGATTGATATTTATATTTAATTATTTACGAATATTGTTTTTATATTGAGCTAAAGAGCATACTTTATTAAATAAAATATAAAATAAATGAGGGATTATATAAAATTTTACAATCTTATTTTGTGAATTAAATCACATTTAATAATATTAATTTTAATTTTAAAATCTAATTTTTATTAAACCAAAAATTAATTGGCTTTATATTTTATTTTTATTTCTTTGCTTTAAGAGGTAAAAATAATAAAATAAATATATTTTAGTAAGAATTTGTGATAATATTTTTTTAAAAGAATTTCATTTTGCCTCAAAATGTTAGTGATGTTAAAAGCATAAAGATATAGGATTTCCGATAGAGATAACTTTAGATCTAGGAGAAAAATGGTATTCAGCATCATTATTATCTATATTGGCGTTTTTTGTATTTTAGTCTATAGCAGGAGGTGAAAAGCTGGGTTACTTTTTTAAATTAAGAGATTTTTGCTTAGAATTGAAATAATCAGTGCGTAATTAATCACTTCCTTTGGGTTTACTACTTTTAAATAATGGTGACTTCATAAATTTAATAATCTTATCTTAATTATGAATAACTTAAATTCTTTCAATTTTTTCTTCCTAATATTTTAAAATATTAAAATAAAAACAAATCAATCATAAATAACTATTGAATTTATATCATTTTTTTTAAAATTATAAACATTTAACTTCTATTAACTATATTTATTTATTATTAAATTATAGTTATATGATGAATCAATAAATTAATTAATTAATAAGTAAATAAATCTCTTGAATTTTTTTTAATTATTTTTTTTTCCATAAGTTTTTTGTTCATTAATTTTTAAGGCTGCTATAAAATGCGTTATTTATTTATTTAAATATTAATTACTAGCCACTCATGCTAAAGTGCATCTCTTAGCGTGATTCTATTTTTCGGATCCTTTTCTAATAGTTTTGTCAAAAGATTGTATGCCTCAGGTGAAATTTAATTATTTGCCATATACTTTTCATAATCAGGTTCGCTATGAATAATCAAATCAATAAGTCCTAATTCACTATCGCTATTTTATTTATTTATTAATTAAAATGAATTATCTTATGTGTTAAAATTAATTTTTTTTTTAACATTAATAAAAAAATTTGATAAAATTATTGTCTTACTTTGGATCAATGAAAGGCAAATCCCCTGTTAAAAGTGAAAACATTATTACACCTATACTCCAAATATCTATTTTGGGATTATATCCATCATTTTCCTCCATAATTGACTCAGGAGCGACAAATTAAAGCGTACCTGTTTTCGTCCACATTTTTCTGTGCTTGTTTCTGTACTCTTTTGAAACAGAAAAATCAATCAATTTAACTTTTCTTGTGTTCACATCGAAAATGACATTATTATTGCTTAGATCTCTATGGCATATTCCTTTTAGATGTATGTAATGAAGTGATTTCAATAAAGTCCTAGTTATGTATTTAACTTCTTCCTCTATTTTTAGAATGTTAAAATAAGTTAGACATTAAGCTGAACCAAAAAATATTTATTAATCAATCACGTCAATTTTTTATGATCCATTATATTAATTATACTTAAAATTCCTTATTATTTTGAGTGGCTGAAAATTATCATAAATTTTGATTACATGAAAATGGATGTCTTTTTTGGATAAGCTTAGTTAAGCTTTTCCCTTCACAGTATTCCATAACTAATTAGACTGAGTGCTTATTTTTATCTATAAAAAAATCTATCAGTTCAACTATATTTTGGTGCTTTAGCATGTTCATTATGCGCTATTCTTCAATTATCTTTGTATTTTATATCAAAAATAAATTAAAATCTCATGTTTAAATTAATTTATACATTAAAAAGCTATTCTGTATCTGAGAATTTAACTATCTTGACTGCATATTTAGCTTTCTAACTTTCATCTAAATTTACATGTTTTATGAAACACTCCTTCACCACTGAGTTACCACCCTTCATTTTAAAAATATATTAATTCATCTCATAATAAATAAAAAATAAAAGTATATTTTGTAAGAAGTCATGGTAAATAATTCAAACTCAAATGCATAATTTTGATAATTACTTCACCAATTTTACGTCCTAATTCATAAATATCATCAAACTTTCTTGAAAAAGGCTTTGGGTCTTATTTCTAATGTTTCTTAACTGCATATCTAGATAGAGTTTATTTATCGAATTTCTTTTGCTCACAAGAATTTTCTAAAGTAATTCCAATCATACCTATTAACTAGCATCTCAATTAAGAAATATCATTATTTAAATGAGTAGGTTTTAACTAAGGCGAGTTAAAAGATAGGTCTAGTCTTGACAATTTTTCTTTTCTTTTAGCATAAAAAGAAGACCTAGTTCTTTGGATAGTAATAGGAGAATCTAAGTCGAGCAGGCTCTAATTAGTAGAATCACCGGCCTTTGGAGTTAAATAAGTAGACTATGGACTGAAAGTGGAGGAATTTTAAGTTTAGTTAAAGGAACAACAGAAAGAATTTCCATTCATTATATTTAATAATAGAGTAAAATTTAGGATTTATATGCTTATTTAAGAATTATAATGTTTAAAGTTAAATTTGAGTTCTTATTCCAGTTGAGTTCCTGAAAAAATTAGTTAAATTTCTTGCTTTTTAACTTAGTTTTTATGTAGAATTAATCTTTAATGAAAATGTAATGTTAGTTTCTTTGTATTAATAATTGTAAAATTTTGATTTTATTCTAATTAAAAACTAAATGAATTTAGTTTAGTTTACTTTTCTTTTCAAAAGCCTATCACCCTGAAATTAAGTACTTGGTTATAATCTTATTATTTTTTTTATTTTTTATGTGAATATATTGATTGGTTTTTAGTCCTCTCTCATTACTTCTAACCTATTATAAATTACCTAATTTTATTGAACTATTTGTAAGTTTTTCATGAACATTTATTGGATTAAAATAAAACAAATTTAAAATAAATATCAAATATTAAAATAATAATTAATTAAAGAGTTATGCAAAATGAATAAAAGTGTTTTTGAAAATAGTATAAATTATTAAAAAAGATAGCAATTATTAATCTTAGAAAAATTTATTTTAATTAAAAAAGAACAAAATAAATAGAAACTTGCCAATTCAATTCTTCTAAAAGTATTCTTTTTTATTTTTCGAATTAATTTTTATTTAATTTTTTTTTGATGTTTCTTTAAATTTTGTTTGTCTAAGAGCAAAAATATATTATTATGTGTTTTTTTTATTTTTTTATGTTGGAAGGTAATTTTGCTCTTCATTTTCCATTATATAAAGAGGCAAATTATTTTATTTAAGAATTTTTAGAATAAAATAAAACACATTTTTGTTATGTAATATTTATTTTTTTTAAAGATAAAATTATTATTTTACATATTCATAAAAAAAGAGGAGAAGAGTTTAATTGTGATACAGAATTTGTTAATTAATTTATTTTTTTACAAATACACATTTTGCAATAACTTAACTGAGATACGTATTTTATCAATCAATATAAATTATAAATTTGTTAAAAGAGTTAATTATATACAAAAATTTTTAATTATTTGTTTTAATCATAAAGAATGAATCTTTATTCAAGCATTTTGTGATTATTTTTGTTTTTTTGATAAATGATGGTGTTAGTAACAGTTTTTATATATCAGATTATTGTTTAATCTTTTAATAATTTAAAAAAGAAAACATTCATTGTGGTTGGTTGCTAGAGCTAGCTTTTGTGTTAATTAGTGACCAAATTATGATGAATTTGCATTTTCACTGCATTTGATATGTTTGAATTTCAGATTTATTGTTGCATTCAGATAGAGTTGAATTGTTTAAATTTTAGTCCTTTCTTATTATTTCAAGAGTATTCTTTTTAAAGCATGGTGAATGATCAATTTTATCTGTCTTTGACAAATCATATTGAGATGATAAAGTTGATTTTACTATATTTTGTTGTGATTTGTATTGAAAAAGCTTTTCTCTGTTTATTTAGTCGTTTCCTATCTCTTGCTCTTCAATATGAAATTAGTTATCACTTGAATCATCTAAGCTTCTATGAAAACCAAGACTCTCTTTCTTTTGGAGAGAGCTATCAATACTCCTATTCATGAGACTCTAGAACATGTTGTATGACTCACGATCAAAAGTTAGAGTGTCTTAATGCTCATGAATTAAAGTACCCTTTTTACTGATTTTCCTTAAATTTGAAGAACTATTCTTTTGCATTCTTAAATCTTAAGAAGGCACATCATCTTTACTTTCATCAGAATCTTATTCTTCTTAATCTTGGCTCTCAATAGAAGCAATAGAATTAGTAACATCAGTATTAATGCTACGTTCAGGATTTTCTTATTGGTTTATAGATTTTTGTTGCTAAATGTTTGAAGGAAGATTTAAAATCATTTCGCTTTGGTAACTTTAAACTCTTTCATGATATTAACTTTCATCATTGTTGTTTATTTTTTTAGAGTCATGAAGATCTTTTATTCCTTTTTATTACATATCTACATTTGTATCATATTAGCTAATTTCTTCTTAATAAGTGTAAGGTTGTTTAGAACTTTAAAGAAGTTACAAACTTTGTTATTTTTCTTATTAGTCAGAATAAGTAATTACATTATCTTAATTGCTTTTAAACTTCTTCAACTAAGAAGTCTACAGATGTTATTTAATTTACATATCAACGGCTGTTTGCCAGTGACTTATCTCATCCTGATTTGCGTTAGTTAACCTAGAATCTTAATCGTACTTAATACTCTTTTTTGATTCCATCTATTCGGTCAAATTATCAGAATTATTCACTTTCTTCAATTAGCTCTCATGCTTAGTAATTGAACTATATTCGCAGTTATCTCTTTCTTCAGGTACAGAAGACAATTCGTGTGGCTACTTTATTTTTATCTAAAGGAGTTTTTCGTGTTCAATCAAAAAATCTTCCTCGTGCCCATAGTAAGAATAGAGCTTGGCATATTCATTATTCCTTTCATAACAATTTAGATATTTAATTGCATATTTGGCAATAGTCTTTTTCTCTATTCTATATGAATCAGCTTTCTTAACGAGGTCATTAATCTTAAGATAGAACTCTGATTGAGGATTGGTTAGTTTTTCTTCATCTTATGTTAGCTAAGTAAAACATTCCATAAAAGAGCAAGGGTCTTCATGAGACATGAATTCCTTTTTAAATATATTTAGAAGAGGGATAAAAAGTTTAATTATAGAAAATATATCATTTGTGATGATATAATCCCAAAATCTCGAGCAAATTTTAACTGGGAAGTTGTAAAGGAAAAGAGTCAGGATCCACTTAGTTAACCAAAACGAATCAGGAATATCATTTTATTCAAAGAAATCCAATAATTCACTACATTACTCCTTGAGAATTTACTTTGCTACAAACTCTAAAAATTTCAAAAGTGGTAATTCATTTTCATAAAGACCCATGAGCATAAAGTCAGGGTGTTCAGCTAGTACCTTGAACATCCAAAATGCTTCGTCTTCTTTAGACCCGTTGATCATTAGTATAAATCCCAAAATAAAGTTCATACCTTGGCAGTAACCCAAGTGAGGATACATGTTACTTATACTAACTAAAACTCTATATTATATAAAATTTATATTTAGAAAAAAGCATGAAGCAAAAAATATAAAACAGATAATTGATTAGCACTGATCTCTATAACTCTAAATTGAGTATTAATAATTATTTTGGTAGTAAATTAAAATTGTAATATAAAAATTATTTATCTATCTTGAGTACTATAAAAAAAAGTAAATATTTTCCCAGATCAATTTAAAAAGATCAATTTATTTATTATTCAATTAAATATTGATTAATACTAAATTGGTTCAGGCAGAAATAAAAATAAAAGAGCTTAACTTTTTTTCTATTTTCAATGAACAGTTGTTAATTTAAGAACGAGAAGAGTAATTTATCTGGAGATTTGAATTACTTTAATGATACATGTAATTGATTGATATTTTCACTTGTAATAAGTACATTTACTGTAACTTAGCTCACTAGACTAAATATGATATTTTTTTATATTAAATATTTTGGTTCTAGTGAAGCAGAGAGTTAGTTATAATAACCCACTTACAAAACTATTTTTTTATTTCTTCTTTTTTTGTCGATTCCTAAATCAATTTAAGCTAAATACATCTAAAAAATACTTCTATTAATTTTATTGATTTATTTGTCTTTTCATTATTATACTAATTCAATTCATATTAATCAATCAATATTTCCCCAAAGCTAATTTTAAGTAAATATTTCAAGCAACAATTATTTCTTTCTTTCAGCTTGAATAAAAAATTTCGAATAGATTTAATTTGCTTATGATTTAAGAATACTAAGTATATTGAATTATTGATTAAGCTCTTGCCATTATTAAATATATTTGTTGACTGGCTTGATTTCTAAGATATTTTATTTTCTCCCATAAAAAATTAATGGATATATATATTGATCTCATATAGAAAAATATATTCTTCATAATTTGTCTTAAAATGTGCAAATTGTAGTTGTTTCCATTAAGGAAAATATATGTAAATTACCTTTTTAAAGGCTTAAATCCAATGATTGTGTCATTATCTCTTGTATATTACTGTTAACTTTTTGTTGCAAAATAAGGCTGTGAAGGGAAAGTTCTATTGATATCCTTTTCTATTTGTACTTCTTCTTTCGATTCTTATTGATTATATTACTAATATAGTTTACACATTTCAGAGAATGCTATATTTGGATTGCTTATTCTCATTAGATGACTTTTCCATGAATTCCATCTGTACTTTATTGGTGGACCTTTTTTAATACATTTCTATAAATCTTCGTGCTTGACATTCTGAAACATTTAAATTTGGAATTTTTAAATAAGAGTTTTTCTTAAGTCATCCTAGTCTATTTATTTTAATCCCTTGCTTTTTGATTTCTTATGCTACTTTATCATATTTTCTTATCCCTTTTTCATAATCTACTAAAAATCTTGCATTCTTTAATGATAACTTATAGCGTTTTATTCGAGAGCAGATCCTCCACAAAAGTAAGCTCCTATCATATTATTCTTGTTAAAGGAATTATCAATGTTAACTTTAGACATAGAACTCACATCTCTTACTTGAATATCACTATTATTGTAGTCCCCTGGTTCTAAAAGTTTAAAAGTAAAATAATAAGTAAAGACAAATATCAAAAATATCAATAACTAAAGTAGTTTAAAAAAGAAGCTTAACAAAATCATAGATAAAATAAAAAAATGGAAATTTCATACAATGATCCTCTGTTTTGATTGAACTCCTTAAGCTCCTTTTCTTGTGATTTTAAGAATTTTCATTGACAATTTCTTTAAAGCAAATGCTGCCCATAGTTCAGTATCAATAGTAATATGAACCTTATTTATCTAGATTTGAGCAAGAATAAATTTTATAAGCAAAAAATCAATTATGAAATTGCTTGTTTTTTGTTAAATAGCTTATTTGTCTAATTATTGGTATTTTGAAAATTTTTTGTTTTTATATCTTTATTAAAAGTATTATCCAGCAAAAACTGAATATTACTGTGGGATGATGATAAAAATTGTTTATTTAATTTTTTTTTTCTTAGTTTCTTCTCTGATTTTTAATCGTGTATTTTTTTATTAATCAAATTAATTTCTTTTGAATTGTATGAAAATTAAACTAATACCTTTTGCGAATAACATATAAAGTGAGTTGGAGAAAAAATTAAATCTATATTAGTAATCAAATCAATTCAATAGAATTTTTTATTATTTTGAATAAAAGCTCATATTTTTTGGCTAAAATAAATCAAATTTTTGTTAAATTTAGTTAGTTATTGATAATATCAACAAATATAGGTAAATAATACTTAATATTTATCAGTATTGCTTTTGTAAATTTTTAAAATATCAATACACTTAAATAGATTAATATTATCAACAAAAATTAATTTTTATACTATTTTATTGAGCAAATAAATATTCTCTAAACAAACTAAAGTATATTTGATAAAGTTCGTTTTTTAATTATTTGAAATAGAAAATTTTTTATAATATTGTAATTTCAACCCATATTGTTTAAGCAATATATAAATTTTAGCACTTTTGTTGAAATTTCTAAGCAATTACTAGATTTATTAATAAATTTTAATTCTGTTTGTAAAAAATAATTAATATCTATTTATTTATAATATCTCTCCTTTTTAAAAATAATCAAATATCTACAATTATTCATCAAATGGCAAAAGACAAGCTTAATTAATCATTTGTTGATGTACTAATAAAAATTTAGCGCTTTATTGATTCTAAATTAATGTGTGGTATTTTTTTTAATTTGAAATATATATCTTTGATTAAATAGGATAAGAAATATAATTGATATTATAGTTTACGAATACACAAACTTCAAAAAAACATCTTCAATTTTATTAATTTTATATGATACTTCCTTAATAATCAGATATTTATTTATTTATATGATGATTGTTCATATAGATTTTTAAAATTTTTAATAATTAATATTTAAAATTAATTTGATAAAATATTTTGCTAATTTTAAATTTTAAAAAATAAATAATAATTTTTTTTTTGTATAAAGCTTTACCAGATAACATACACGCTTAAAAATACTATCAAAGTTCTAAATTGTATTTATTTAATTATTTATGAATGATATTATAAATTTTTAATTTTTATTATAGGCATATTTGTGTTATTCTAGGTTAATGATTTTCATCACTAATTTAATATGATCATGGATCTGGATTATTTATTTTTACTTCGTCTTCAATTTTAATTTATAATATTTTTACTAATTCTGAATTATTTTATTATTAGCTTTAATCAAGTATTAGACCAACTTCATAGTTTGGGTATTTAAATTTATATAAATTCATTTAAGATTGATACCTTATTTCAAAATTTTAAATTAAAAAATTATTTTTAATTATTTTTTATGTAATTCCAGTAATTATAAATAATGAAAATTTATGGCGATATCACCTTAGAATCCTACAGCCCATTATTAAACTCAATCAAAGAACTTTGTAATTTCATAATAATATGTGAATAACAGATGGATAAGAAGTAGGGATTAAAATTTCATTTTGGAAATTAACTATGTAATTTAATTCTATCATCAAAATCAATAAATACTGAAAAATTTAATGTTAAATATTTTTAATTTAACGAAATTTTAGTACCTCCTTTAATCAATAATAATAAGCCTATATTGAGAGTATAAATTATTCTAGCTATTAAAAATATTGATTATTTATTAGATTTATTATCTAATATATTTTGCATTTTTAAAATATTTAAAATTTTGTATCCTTTTATAAATCAAATAATAACCATGTATAATTGAGATTGATACAAATATGCTTATATCAAGATAGTCTAATAAAACCAAATTTGTCAAGTAAAGGTAATTTACTTGCTATTTTTAAGACAAGTAACTTTAAATTTTAAAAAGAACTCATCTGTATTTGGTTTGTAAAGACACAAGTTAAGAATTAATTTATTTATATATTTAGTTAATTTATTTATTAGTGCTTGATTTTGTTAATTTTTAATATTGATTTTTAGAAATTAAAAAATAGTGTTTAAATTAAATTATTCTCTTCTATTTAATAAAAGAAAAATAAAAAAAATAAAATAGTAATTTTTAATATTTATTGTAATAAATAAATTGCTATGCTTTATTTTTATTAGTAATAATAAATGTAATTAAATTACATTTAATATTTTGAAATACCTAAAAATTAGACCAAATACTAGTTTAATAGTTAAATTATAACTATAATTAAAAATCTTAATTTATTGTAACAATTTTTATTTTTTGCTCCAGATACCTAAACTTAATGTTACCAAGATTATGATAATTTATTGTATTTTAGTAATCTTTTATTGAAATTAAACATTTATTTAAATATTTTTTTCTCAAAAAAATGGATTTTAAAGAATATTTAGCTTTAAACTTTCATATTTTGACCTTTAAACTATATTAAAAAATATAAATGTTTGCATGTTTTATGCTACCATTTTGAGGAGCTTATATTATTTTTATGTTAAATTATATGTTTGATGAACAAATCAGCTATCTCTAAATTGATGATTATATGAAAATACTAAGAAATATCTACTAATTAAATTCTTACATCAAATATTTGTGTTTGCTTATCTGAATTTTACATAATAAAAAATGATTTTATAGCTTACTCAAAGTTGAGCATAAATGAAGCAGCAAGTTTGTGTTAGACAGAGTCTAATTTTTAAAAGAAATTTGCATTAATTATGTAATTTTGTTTTACTTATTTTTATTTTGAATTAATGACTACAAATTATTAAATCTATTAAAGATATTTATTTATTTCTTCTTTTTTTTGATTAACTTTTATATCGTTAAGATTAATTAAAACTTGAAATTAACAAACAAGATAAACGAATACATGCTTTTATGCATTTGATAATATTTGTTTGTATTTCTAATGATTATTTAAGTATCACATTTAAGTTAAAAGAAAAGTAAAAATAAAATATATAATTTTCTATTATTTTATTTTCCATTTTGAAATAAGTTTGCATCATTTTTTATCGGAAGGGTGGGAGCGAATATTTTTTTTGAGATATCCTCAGAAGGAACATCTAGCATTTGGCAGAAAAAATTAATTTAATTAGCGCATTTTCATAATAAATTAAATGAAGAGCACAAACATATTTAAATTTTGTCTTATCAAATTTTCTTAAATTTTGATTGATTTTGATAAGAAGCTATCAAAGAATAATTGAGATGAAAAAAAATTTTGATAACATACAGGATAGAGATAAATAATTTAATCAAGCACAAAGTCTGTAAAGAATTTAAGTTAGAATTTGCAAAATTAATAAAAGAGAGGAAGAAGAGTTATTTTAGAAATCGCAGTTGGTTTGCGTAGCTCGTTTGAGCAAGATCATTAAGGATGCAACCTCGATTAAGAATTGACCATGGAATTTTTGCAAGCTGAATTGGCATATAGGATTCTCTCTCAGAGATAGATATGTTAGATATTATAAATGCTAATAGAATGATTTAATTAAATCGATTAATGTCATCATTGATTAGAATTATATTTAATGAATGATTATATCTTCATAACTATTCTTATCTATCTTATACTCTTTAGTGGCTAGATTTTGAGTGATCCAATTATATTTGATGAATCTAATACAGTAATGCAACATAATCCAATATAGCTGTTGATCATCTAATCTGCTCATTTATTCATCCTAGAAAACCTAATGTTTGTTCTGATTATCGATTTCAATCTATATTTTTAGATATTATGCTTTTGATTCCTTCTTTCATCTTTCGCTATTTATCATTTCTGTTTGAAGGAAATATCTACCTCTTAATGCAAAAACAATAACAAAAACCTTTTATTTATTCATTTTATATTAGCTATTCCAAAAAATCACCACTTTAATGACAATTTCATCAGATTTTTCTAAAGTTTTATAGCCAAAAATTTGAATTTTTAATTTATAAAAACAATTATTCTAAAATTTTTCTAAGTCCCTTTGAGTTAATCATAATTTACTAATCGGATCTATTTTCTCTAATTCAATTTTGTTTAAAAACAATTTTAATTTTACTAGCACCATTTTTTTTAACAATAATTAAATTCTAAAATTAATGAAAAAAAAAAGCTGAACAAAAGTTTGAATTTCTTAAATTGGAATATATTAATATCTCTTTTCAAGATATTTTATTTATTCAAAGTCAACCTTTCTTTTTGATTGCTTGTTTGTGGCAGGTAATAAATTTTTTATTCAAGCTATCTAAAATATCCTCTATAGTGGAAAAGGTTAATAAAGCAAACAAAATCAACCAACTTAGTAGGATATAAGTATTAAAAGTTCTTATTCAATTTGTTTATATTTTGATAAAAAGGAGTATTAAAGAAATTAAATTATTTTTGCTCAGAGAAGTAGTTCCCCTCCCTAGCTTGCTCATAAAAAAACTTGCTTTTTATTGATTTTTACAATAGAAATGTATTATCATTTAGAGAAATATCAATCTTCTTTAAGTATTATTAATCGCCATGAGATTTGCTTCTCAGTAAAAAAAAAAAAAAACATAATCAATTCTCCAAAATAAAATAAAAAGTAAAATTAAATATTGATAGGGATGCTTATATAATTGATAATTTACTTGTGAATATTATTTGATGTTGTTAAATAAGTTCTTCTATTAGGGAAAAGAAAAATTAAAATTATCTCTCACTTTTGAAATGTGTGGCTTGATTTGCTGTTTAGAGTTTTTAATTAATTAAAAAATATTTATTAGAAATTGGTTCTTCCTTAAGTAGCTTAGAAAATAAAAAATGAGTTACTAAAAAAAAAAACTTGATCTTATTTTTTGACTTAATTAATTAAATAAATAAATAAATCTTTTTTAGATTATTAGCTTTGTATTATCTTTAGAATAAAAGTATTTTAGGGATTAATTATCCTTTAAAAGCTTTTGTACAAATAAAACAATTTCAGTGTTTATTTGCTTAAAGTAAGTAAAATAATTGCTAATTTTCTGCTTTTGTGATAAATACTTATTACCATATTCTTTGTTCTAGCTAGCTGTTTATGAGTTTTTTAAAATTTAGTTTTTTGCTTTTTTTAATTGAGATTATGAATTAATGAATGAATGAATGTATAATAAATTATACTTAGCAAACTTAAATTGGCTTAAAAATTGATTATATTTCTAAAATATAGTTACTTATTAAAATGTTAGTGAAAATCTTTTAGCTATTTTAGAAAAAGAATAATAATTTAATAAATTAATCGTTTACTTGTTTAATAACTTTTATAATTAAAGCAAGCTAACTAAAAACAGTACTTAAATTGATAAAGTCATTTTAGAAATATGGCCAAGGTCTTAGAAAGCAAAAAAAGTAACAAATTTATTCAATATTCAGCAATTTAAACCCCTTAAAGTCACTCTGACCAACATTTTAAGCTATTTTTGACTAGAGTAAGTGGACTTTTCAGTTGGCAAATGCTTTTGCTTGGCTCATAAAACTAGATAAGAATTTTTTTTACTAGATAAATTTTATCTGTATCAACTAAACACTCCTTTATAATAATATCATTATTTTCATTAGAAAAGGTAAATATCAATAAAGTAATGAAAAAAACTAAATTTGGTCAAGAAGAAATAAATGAAAAAGAGGAAGTCTACTACAACTCCGACTCCGAATCTAATATGGAAAACAACCAATCCAATACTAATCAATAAATTAATTCTGATTAATAACCAGCATCGTGCGATAATTAATCAAATAATTAAATCTACCAAGATAGCCCTAAATCGACTAAGCAAAAAGCAAGCTCATAAAGCGAGCTCGATGAGTAAAATCCTCGATTAGAACAGCCAATTACAAAATAACGCAAAAAAAACAGCAAAAACAGCAGTAATGCTCAAGTGTCAAAGACAATTAGCAAAAAAAATAATCAAAAATAATTAAAAAAATCAAAATAATAGAGGGGGGATCAATGCTTTTTTGTAAAAAAAGATGATCATCATGATGATGATGGTAAATAATCTAAATTAGAATCTTTTTCAAGATTATGACAAAATATTTTTTTAAAAAAGAGAGGCTAACTGAAGACAACTTGTAGATTACACAAAAAAACATGCAAAATGTGATTGATAAGGTTAAATAGTATTTAAATGAAATGTTCGATTCTGAATTCTTTGAAGAAGTTGCCGAAATTGTGAACCGCTCTATTTTTGAAAAAAAATATACAATTTTCATTGAAGATATAAAGCAGTTTACTGCATTTCTACTTTAGACTTCTAACCTTAAGGTAGATCGCATCAGCAACTACTTCAATAACCCCTTTTTACAATTTTCAAATATTATTTCAATAGAATTATTTTTTTTTATCTCTTCTTGTCTTGCATCTAAAATCTAAAATCTCCATGAGCTTTCTAATTTACTCACAAAAAAAATAAACTCAGATTAAATTGAGTATTCCTCTTTTTCTGAGATTTCATCCTAATCCTAATAGCTAATATAGAATCCTGAATTAATTAAGTCTAATTATTTGGACTTTTTTAGTGACTACATCTTTGATTTTTATAACAAAACAATATTAATTAATCCATCCTATCTTGAAAGAAGTCAGCCATGTTTTTCACAAAAAGAGTAATTACCTTATTTCTTGACTAACTAAAGTTTTAGTAGTATACAGATACATGAAAAAAAGGTAGATAAGGTTTCTTTTAAGCTTTTAAGAGATTAAATCCTTCTCAAAAAACCAGTATTCAGTTGCTCAGGAACTCAATTAAAATCCTCTCCAACTTCTATTCCCGATTTACTCTATGATAAATAAATTAATAATCTAAAAATTGAATAAGAAGAGGAAGCTGAAGAAAATGATAAAAATGGTACCATAGAAGATACAAAATAATATAGCTTCAACTATAACCCAAAAACTCTTTAGCTCGTATCCATTCAATAAGTAGAATTAAATTCTGAAAATATATATAATGGTAAAGTCCACTCGAAATCTAAATAGAATAAAAAAATTTCCACTTAAGAGGTTTTTTAAATTGACATATCTAACCCGAATCCAAATAACATATAATAAATAATCTTCTAAGATACTAATGATACAATATATACTGTACTACTCAAGTAAATTTCATTCTTTAATTAATTAACAAATTTGTCTTTGGATTTTTTTTTAATTTATCATTTTTTTTCCCCCAATTAATCCTGTTGCTAGAATAAAAACAAATCTTCTTAATTATTAATTAAATTTGTAAAATTGAACAATCCATTATTTTTCTTACTTATTATTTATTTCATTTTTATTAAAATAGTTCAGTAAATAAATGAATAATTTTGTACTAATTTACATATTTAGAATTGCTTTTTTTCAATTAATTTATTTATTGTATTTTAAAAAATAGAATTTACAACAAATACAGGCCATTAACAAATATTAAGTTAGATGAGATGGAATCATTTTAGTTAAGAGCATACTCAGAAATAGTATATTCAATGTGCATATCAACTTTCTAAAAGGCTCTTTTAGAAGAATTCAAAACAGACATCACTCGTCTGAAGAATAATTATAGTATATTAGAATAGCTTTTCAAAGATGTATTAAATTTACTTACTTAAAGTATTGTGGTAATAAAGAAGTTATAAATTCAAACTGAAATAATTGTCTAAAGACACTCACTGTAAAAGAAAAAACATTGTAACTTTTGCTTAGTTTGCAAATATAATAATGAAAATAAAGACGAGATGAAAACAAATGAAGAGTTTAAAAACGAAGATAATATAATGCTTAACGAGTAAGAATAAAATTCAAAGACAAAGAAAACAAAATATGAATGTATGATTTGCTCTTGTTATTATAAGAGAACTATTTCTGTTTGTGTTGATAAATGTGATGAAGAGTTCCACAAAAATCCGACTAAATATGTTGTGGGAAGATCTAAAAAAAAGAAATATTCAAACACAGAAAACATGCTAAATAAAATTGATCAAGTAGGAGTAGGTAAAACTCTTGAGTAGCTTGATTAAACTGAAAAAATATTAGAAGAAGTAGTAAGTAAAGTTAAGCATGATAGAATAATTGCTATTGATAGCATTAATAAGCCATAAAATGATTTAAAAAGTAAAAAATACAGAAAAAAATATGAGTATAAAATGAACAATTAAAACAATTAAATTTACCTAAATGAAGTTATGGATAAAGTGCTACTAAGACTACCAGATTAGCTATTTGATCCAGATATTTAAGAAGAAAAAGATGAAAACCATCATCCAAATAGTTAAAATGATTCAGAAGATGCAGACCCTTATTTACACCTTTAAGACGAATAAATTAAGCAAAATTAATTAATTCTTAATTTAAGCTAGGTACCAAAAATAGAACATCAATTTATTGTCAAATAAGAAAAAATAGAATGAAAATAATCAATTAATTAAATTAATAAAATTTACTGATAACTAAATAAAATAAATCAATCAATCAATCAACAATCCATTTAATTAAATACAAATACTAAGATAAAAAAATATGAATAAACAAATGTCAATTAAATTGAAAATTTTTGAGAATTATGAAATTAATAAATTTATTCTATATAAAATATATTGTTTATATCTATACAATTTAATGAAAATTATATTAATAAATCTATTTATTTGTTTTAAAAATAACTAACTAACTAACAACTAGCTGATTTGAGATAGTGAATACATTTCTTTTTTTTATTTTTGGTTATTAAAAATGTAAAAATAAATAATTTCTTTTCAAGTTTTAAATTGAAATTTGTAAAAATAATTCTTTTTTTATCAATTTGAAAATTATTTATTGAGTAAAGATAATTTTTATGAATAAAAAAGCATACCATTTATTTTCTTGATTATCTAATTCATAAAAATAAATTTAAAGGTTTTTTTTACTCGTTCGTTTCATAGTTTTAAGTCATAAATTGTGTTTGTTTTTAAAAGATTTAATAATTTTATTTATGGTAATTAGCTAATGATTTTCATTAAATATCTTTTCATAAATTTTTGTCTGTTTGAAAGTAGTAGATAAAGATTATTTTTACTTATAATTTTTACATTAAAAAAAAATTTAAAGAAAAATGATAATAAATATATAAGAGTTAATTTATAAAAATAAAAATTACTTTACTATAAACATTTTTATTTTTTTAATTAAAAAAATAAAATATAAAATCACTCAATCAATATTCTTAATTGTCTTTGATTTCTCCAATAATAGCAAATATTTTTTCATCATCATTTTCTTCAATAGTTGGGACTATATTATACTACTGATTGGTATTCATATGCTCATTATTAAAAGCTGTATTATTATCAAATTAAGTTTCATCATTTTATGCAAATAATGTTTTTATGTGAGATTGTGAGTAATTATATTTATTTCTATCTTGTTCTTGCAAATAAAAAGGCCAAGTCTCATAGTTTAAGTCATAATTTTAATAAGAATATCCTATTTAGGTATTGTTATTTTGTAAAAGCATTTAATTTTAATAGTATTATTACTATTATTATTGTTACTATAATTATTATTACTATTATTATTATTATTATTATTATTCATTATTAAATTGATATTAATCTTGTATATTCATAAATTATTCTTCCCTATAGGAAGATTATTAATTAAAGTTTGTCTAAAAATAATTATAGTTAGTTTTATTAGAAGATAGATCTTCTGAAAAGCATAAACGCTAGTAATTAGTGGTAGTATCACTACTTTAATTCATATCTGATGTTAATTATGGTAAGGGAGTACTAGGATATTAATATTAACTCTGTTAATTAGAGCTTTAAAAAGTTTCTACGATATTAGTCTAATCTGAAAGGACTTAAAAATTATTTTAAATACTAGCTTATTTCTGTTTATTTTCTAACTTTTCAGTCATTTTTCTTTATTTTCTTTTTGGTTATCTTTTTTAGTTTTAATGACCTTATTGATTAGATTCATCTACAAAATTTTATTAAATATTTATTGAGTTTTGGTTACAGTTATTTTCTCTTTTATTAGTAAATATATCCCTATTAATATTATTTTAACTCTTCAAGGATAATTAATCATTTTAATATGTGTTTTTGTTTTAAAAAATTATCTAATTAGATTCTATTAAATTATTTTTTCCAGTAAATTATTGTTGAATATTCGAATTTATTTGATTATCTTTTTGTGGTTTAGTAAATAAATTGTACTAAAATTATTAATTTTAGTGTTTGTCTTATTTATTAGTTTAGTATTGGCTTATAACATTTTATTATTTTAGTTATAAAGTGTTTTGAGTAGGTTATTGATAATATTAATGTTAACCCTCAAAGCTTTTTTGACCAAACTATTCTTAATTTCCAAAACTATTTTGACTAAATTCTTAAATATTGTTCCTAATTAAATAATTATTTTAGAATAATTCACCAGCATTCTTTGCTTGATTAGCAAATTCTTTCTTTTAAAATTAAACTTTAACTAGATTTGAAGAGCTCTATGAAGGCAATTATTTTTCATAATTAAGTTGTTATTATTGCTAAAATGAATTAGTATTAATACTTAATTTTTCTATTTTAGGAATCAATTAATCGCCATTTAAATCTTAATTTAACTGCTAATTTATTTTTATTAAATTTTTTTGTTACAGATCTTAAAATTCATTTTTGTTTTTTTTAATTTATTTTTGTTATAAAATTGTAGATCCTTCAGGTGAAGCTTCATCTACTTATTAGATTTTCTATTTTTGATTATCTATTTTATTACTAATTTAATTATTTTCAGTATTTGACTAAATTAATTGACTCTTTTGACGAGTAATTATATTACTCTATGTTGTATTCCTTAAAGAAGAAGTTGAATCCTAAAGATTTTCATTTTAGGTTACACTTGAATTTTCTTTTCTTTTAAAACGTTTTATTACTTACTCCTCTTCAAAATCACTTACAGTTTCTTCATCTTCATCATCTTCATTTTCTTTTTTTAATTTTTTTTAGGTCTTTTTTTATTTATTTTGCAGTTTTTATTTAATATTTTTGTTTTAGCAAACTTAATTTTGCTAATTCAAAATAATTTAATCTCTTTTAATATTCTCTAGATTCTGAAATTAATTTAAAGATGAGCCTTTATTTATACTGTTAAATCTGATTTCTTCATTATTTGATGCTTTATTTTTCTCATTCTGATCTATAAATTTACTTATAGGTGGGCTATTAAGTGCCTATTTAATTAGTAAAAATATTTTTTAAAATAACTTATTTAGTAGAAATTAAATTTACTTTAAAATTGTTTTTGTTTGTTTTGTTGACAAATTGTTGCTTATAAGGAAGAAAATTGCAAGGAAAAACTATAAAATTGTAAGAAAGTTCATCCGCTAAAGAGTTATAAGGAAAATAAAAGCTGTCAAGTTAACTTTAGTTTAAAAACATTGTAGGATTCATTCCTTAACACCTTAAAATGACATTGTCCCTAAAAAGATTATTGTAGTTAGCAAACAAGGAGTTTCTTAATTAACTAGAAATAAAAGGTAGTTTTTAAACATGTTACCCATCTTTTTTAAGCTCTGCGCTATTAGCTACTTTTTATTTAATTGAAGACAACTTGTTCACAGATTATGACATTTGAAACAAACAACTTTAATTCTTTAGGTTTTTTTTGAGAACAAGAGAGTGAGTCTTTTGTTATTTGTTTTTTAATTGATTTGATTCTTAATTTATTATTTTTTTTAATATTACTTTTAATTAAATCTTGTTTTATCAAGTTTTTTTTAAACAGATATTTTTGATCACTATTTTTCAATTTTTAATTATTTTTCCTTTTTAATTAAATCAAGGTATCTTCTGGTATCCAAATTCTAAAAATCAAAGAGTAATTAATTTAAAAGTATCTTTGATTTATACGGTATATTTTGAAAATTATATAAGAGAGACAAAGCTTGTATTTTTTTTTTTTTGTAAGTTAGTTATATTTATAATTAAAAAAAATGTTAGTTAATCCAATTAACCTTTTTGATAAAAATTTTAATTTATCAAAAATATATCCTAGCACAAAATCAAACGTATTCCTAATATGAAAAATGTTTTAATTAAAAAACACTATTGTACTTGTCTAAGTATTTCAATATTCATCTAAAATTACTAAGAAAATAAATTAAAGTACTTCAATTATAAAATTTAAAATATTTTTTATATTTTCTAAAAAATTAACGAAATTCATTTTTAAATTAAATTTCAAAAGTTGAATGGAAGGAAGCAAGAAAAAATAAATAAATTTGATATTTTTAAATTTATTTTTCATACAAATACATTAATACAATTTATTAAATATATTAATTAGTCAAGCAATCAATCAGTTTTTTTCATAAGATTTATTGTTTATTTCTTAATTTGTTAAAATTTCAAAAGAATTAGATAATCATTTGAAAATTCTTATTACTCTACTAAATTTTCTAATTTTATTTACACAATTCTGAATTAATTCTATTTACTCTTTTTAAAACTTTTTTGATTAAAATTCACCAAAAATTTTTAAGATATTTATTAAGTTGAAATAACTATTGATTTTTTTACAGACAGACACAAGCACTTTTTATTTACTAGTGAGAGAGACTCTTATAAAAAAAATATATTTTTTTAAATTTCAAGATAAACAATGAAAATAGAAGAAGATATTTTGAATAATTTAAATTAAAAATGAGGTGTTTTGTTATTATTGTTGTTATTATTTTATGAACTTTACTTAGATGATAGAGGAGAACAATATTGTTATTTTTTCACTCTTTCTTTTTCATATTTAACTTCTTTTAGAAATATTTTCTGATATATTATTTACATTTGAAATCTTTCTTTATTTATATAATAATTTGGCATCACGCTTACTTAAGAAGAGCTGTTCTGAATTTTTGATATTCATCTATTGAATTTCTTTATCAAACAATTCCTCATCACTATCTTCTTCTATTTTTTCCATACGATTCCATTAGCCAGAGGTTTCGAATTATTATTTCTAAGTACGCTTAATATTTGCCTTTTTCTTCTAAATGCTATGATTTGGATGGTTCGAAGAATTTGGTCTACTTTAAGTTCTATGAGGTTTGTTATTTTAGCTTTTAATTTGATTTTAATGATGGTTATGATTATGATGATGTTATTGCTACAGTTAATTTTAATTTTAATGCTAATTTTTTTTCTAGGTATGATGAGCTTGTCTTTCTTAATCCTCTTCACCTTTCTTATTAGATATTGAATTCGAAGTAGAATTCATTTAGTTAGATTTTTCATGCTTAGAGTTTTTAGGTGAGTCAGTTTCACTACCAATTTGATTTTGACTTGAAATATTACTGGAAGTATCATTAATTTTTTTGTTTTACACATTCTGGTTGGTGTCTGAGCTATAGTAGCTAAAATAATCGTCTTGATCGTCTACATCAAGTAGTTTAGATTGCATTTAAGATAATTCATCTTTACTCTCATCACAGCACTCCCCACTTTGCTGCTCTTAATAAATTTAAGTTTTTGAAAGCGATACTCTATTTTTTATGGCATCAAGAATTCTTTTGTCACTTAAAAAAATGATCATAGTGAAAAATCCTTGAGAGCAAGTCAAAACTAAGGAAATATCTGTTAGAAATGTATTTCCTTCTCCACCAAAAGTTATGATTGTCCTATTTATAGTGCCAGCAAACCAACAAATTATCCAAAGACAGGGGTAATACAAAAACCTTCTAATAACAAAGTAAGTTTCTGTGTTTGCAATATCAAGATCTTTTAGCATTTTCATAGTTCTTAAAATGAGAATAAAATTTAAGAAAATACATACCCATAAAGGAAAGTAAAATAAACCCCACACTTATAGCAGCTCAGCTACTCTTCCTAAATTATCAGTAATCCAGCAAACACCATTAGCCCTCCCAAAAGACCCAGTTATAAAAGGGATTACACTTAGAACTAAAGGTATTACAAACCCTAAAAATATAAAGACTTTTTCTCTCTTTGCCATGTTCTTAATTTTATTCTTTACTGTATCGTGAATAGTCAAAGAAAGGATAGTTATCCATATTAGCATACACTCAGAAGTGTAAGTAGAGATAAATGCTTAAATCATACATAATGGATTCATACTATCGTTTTCATATGAGTTATTTATATCTAAAATAAACTCAAAAAACGCCTAAAAAGAATAAATTGTATTCGACATCCCTACATACATAATCATTTTATTACCAAAAGTCTTCAATTCTGGAAGTCTGTAATAGCAAAATATTATGATGGTCCCGCCAATAATAGATATTGAGCAAGAAATCATTCCAAATATATTAATTAGATACAAACTCATGACTAATCTAAAACTAAATATTCTTAATGCTCAATGAAAGTAGAATATGTGAATTAGTGTCCAACAATGATTGATTAATTTATTGTCTATAAACTAAAGCGCTTATTTTGTTACCGCTTAGCTGTTCCTTTATAAAATAAATACAAGGGAAAATATTTGCTTCAATTAGCTTACTTGCTTGTAAAATTATTAAGCCTCTTAAATTACTAATTTCTCTACAAATTTGTTTTATGTTTTTATTCCCAACCACACTCTAAATATTAATTAATATATCTATTTATTAATTAATGTATTTGTTTTAAATATCTTTCTATGCTCCTTTGATAAAGAATGTATAAAATCCAAATCTATGAGTCTTTATTTTCCTAATTCTTATTTAAATTATTTTTTACCTTCCATCTTTTTTTTATATTTTACTTTCTTTTCAGAAAAACTTATTACTGATTAGAGCTGAAGCAAAACTATCTTTTCAGCTCAGCAAATAAAAAGCTATCCTATTTTGATAAATTGATTAATTGGTTTGTTAGTTTGTTTAATTTTTTTACAACCTTAAATGATGAATTGAAGTAAATATTACGAAATTTGTTTATATTCAAATCATTTACATATTTTTTCATTTTCAAACCAAATATCTCATTAAATAAATAAAGTAGATATGTGAAAAAAATAAAGATTTCTTCCTTCCTTAAATTTTATAATTTAAATATTTGTAAAATCACAAATTTTTCAATAGAAGTTAAAAATTAACTCCTGCATAATAAATAAGATCAAATATATTACAATTCTTTATATTCTTAATAATCTCCAAGTATATCATTGTATAATTGAAATGAAGATATGTAAACGCATTCTTAACTTATTAGTAAAATCATGACGAAAAAGCTAAGCTATAAAAAATTATTGATATCTTTCTAATAAGAAAATTAAAAAAATAAAAGATTTGCTCTCTAAATTAAAAAAAAAATTGGTACTTGTATAAAAGAATAACTTCAAAAATTTATGGAGAATTGCTTGATATCTGCAATTATTTTACTACAAAAATTATCAACCGACATCATCAAAAAAAAAAATCCAGAATACAATTTTTTAGTTTTATAGACAATTTCTTTTAGAAAAATTCAACAACAGTAAATTTTATTAAAAAGATGAATTAAACGAATAATTAAATATCTTTTTTGATTTAGTAATTATCATTTTTTTAATTTTTTAAGTATATTTTTGGCTGGATTAGTATCACTTGTTGTAGTTGCTTTTCTTCTTCCTCTTCTGCCTTTTGTTACAACAACTTCATCTTCATCTTCAGCTTTTTCTTCAACTTGCATATCTGCTTCTTTATTATCTTTATTTTATGATTCTTCCTCCTTTTCAGCTGCAATTTAGTTATCTATAAGATCTTCATTCTTTATTTCTTTTATGGGTTATTCATTATCTGAATCCTTTTTTTTAGCATAATTAAATATAGCAAAATCATCATCACTCTCATTACACTCTTTAACATTTTTATCATCTTCCTCTATTATTCTGCTTAGCTCTCCTGTTGCTGCTGTGGATTCAGAGATGTCTTTAGTTAATTCTTCTCTTATTTTTTCTTCCTCTTCTTCATTAATTTCTTTATCATCTAATGAATCTTCTCCATCAGCTTCATCTTCATTTTAGGCTTCTGGTTTTAAGAAAATATTTCCTTCATCAAAAGCATTATCAATTACATTTTCACTCTCTTACTCCTAATCTTTCTTTTCTCCCTTAATTGTTCTCTTTACAAAAGTTATATATTTCTCCATAGTATCAACATAATCAGGAGTAAACTCTTTTAATTAATTTAATTAATTTTCATCTTCTTTAAAGCTGGTACATTAATTATCTCCCTTAAATTCAAAAAGTTATTTTAGTTTATCATTATTATATTGTTTAACAATCATTTTTTCATCAACTACATTTTAACTTAAGTCTTCTTTCAAGAACTATCTCTGTAGAACTTTTTCTTCCATAGTGCCACAAGCAACTAATCTGTAAATATGCACTGGTTTTGTTTATCCATCTCTCCAAATTCTTCCCATAACCTTAATTGATAAAATTTGATATAATTAATAATTCTATTAAATTCAATAATGATCTATAAAAATCACCCAAAGATAATTAAATATATTTAAAAATTATTTAAAAAAGGAAATTTAAATTAAAAAAGCATTAATATTACAACATTTTTCAATACAAACTGTGAAAATTTGATACTAAACCAAAATTTATTTTTCTAAAATTAATGAAGATTAATTACCTATAAATCGTTTGAAGGATTCCAGTTAGCTTCCATTAAAACCATTCTGTTTGCTGCACTAAGATTTAAACCTGTACCACCTGCACTACCACAAAGCAAGAAAACTTTGATGTCATTAGTGGGGTCTTAGAATCTTTTTGTTGAAAATATTTCTATTTATTGGAAAAATCAAAAAAAATTTCTAACCTATCAATCAATTCTTATCTTTTTTGTGCATTCACTGAACCATCAAGACGGACAAATTTTAAATTTTTTTATTTGATCATAATTTATAGAACATCAAGAGTTTAAGTCCAATAAGATACGATAATTATTCTTTCAGTTGATTTTTAGGCTATTTCAATCTATCTCATTTAATCTAGTAAATCTGAAATAAATTTAAACTTAAAAGAAGCTTCCCAATCATCAAGTTGATAATCTTAAGGGAAATATTGCTTAAACTCTTAAGACGTTTGCTATTTTTATTATAGATTATTAATTTAATCAAATATAAAAATAATTATTTTATTTACGTTGCCTACATCAGTGTATATAAGCTAAGGGTGATTGAGTAACTTTCTCATTATAGTCAGAAGGCCAAAAGCACCTTCACCAGTATCAAGTTCGCTTTTATTATATCTTGCTTATATCATCTTCTTATATAACATGTTTTAAAAAGGTGTAAGCTTCAAAAAGATAAAGTATTCAGAACGAGGAGGTAATAATTTTTCCAAAATATCAGCCTTTCTTCTTAAAACGAATCTACTGATTATATGAGTGAGTTCTTTACTTCTTACAGCAGCCTTTTCGACAGCATCTGCAGAAGCATCACTTTTTAAAGCTGCCAAAATAGGATCTGAAAAAACAAATTTAAACTACTTTTCGTTTTCAAAGATATTCGGGTTAACAAACCTTTAATTAGAAAAAATTAAGTTCATAATAAAAAGATATTATAATTTATACTTAACACAAGAGTAGAATTCATCTAAAGAGTTCTGAAGTGGTGTACCAGTTAGTATAATACGCCTATTGCATTTAATTGAATTAAAAGATCTAAATGTTTTGATATTCATGTTTTTGAGTCTGTGACCTTCATCGAAAATTAAGAGGTCACAAGCATTAGATAAAGTCTCTACATGCATTCTAAATTACTCGTAAGAAATTAGAAGCATTTTAGCTGAGCTACTTGCGAATTCTTTGCAAATTCTGATTACCTAATATTTATTAAATTTAGCAGTTTAATTTAATCAAATTTTGTTAAATTAAATATATTTTATACTGTTTCTCTTTTGCCTAAAGCTATTTTAGGGATTAAACGTGCATCTCCTAGCCATTTTTTTACTTCTTTATTCCAACTTCCTAATAGACTTACTGGTGCTACTACTACAACTTTTCTAATTAAAGGTGAAGTTCCTGAATGTGGATCTATTAATTAATTAATTATTTTTTTATAAACTATTTATAACCTAAAATAAATTTTTAGCATTACTTCTTCTTATCAAAGTCCAGATTAATGCTATTGTTTGAAGTGTCTTACCGAGACCCATACTATCCTAAAATTGATTATAAAATCAATTAATTAGTTATTTGAATAATATTTTAATAATTTACAGCTAAAATGCAACCACCAATATCAGGTCCTCTAAGGCCTGAAATACACTCAAACATAAATTTAACACCCAATCTTTGATGAATTCTCATGCTATTATTCAAGTAAACATCGATGTAAACAGGAAAAAGTTATTTATTAGAAGGGTCAGTGAGCAAATACGAGTTTTCAGGAACAACTATATCTGAGGGTTTAGGCCCTTCAGACTATGTATTTTTCTTCATTGGGGCTATTTTTTTTTTGGCGCTTTTAATGTATTTTAGACAAAAAAGAGTTAAATTTTAGTTTTAGTAAGAAATCTTTATCAAAAGAGTAGCTAAAAATAAACTAAATTACATTGTTTAATCTTTTTCATAAGTCATTTTGGCCTTGACAAAGCATCTTCCACTTAAGAAATCATCTTTTGATATTTTATCATCCTGCTCAACTAAATTTTATTAAAAAAATCAATTGAAATCATCACTTTAAATTACTTTCTGCTTACCAAAATATTAACCTACTATGTATTAGTTTCCATTATCTGGATTAGGACAATACAGTTTTGATTTGTAGCTATCGTAAATTTTTTCTCCATCTGAGTTATATATTTATACTTTACTAGAAGTAAATACTATAATACCATCATCTAATACTTTGTGTTTTTTCTTAACGTCTTTCGACCAAAAGCATTTATAAAATTCTTCAGGACTATTTTTTTCTTCTTATTATGGTGGTTAATTTTTTGCTGTAGGATTTGTGCTAAAAGTTGAGCTAGGTTTCATTTAAGTTTTAGTATCAGTATTACTTTTAACTTCTAACTTACTTACTAAAGGTTTGAATGGCTTTGACTTCAATCCTAATAAGCCCTATGGTTTATTTTAAATTACAGGAGTAGTTTTTTCTTTGTTTTCTTTTAAATTTTCTGAATCACTAATAGGCTATTCTTTTGAGTCAACTGACTCTTCTTTCTTAGTAGCTTTTGCTGACTCTAAGTTAGAAGGAGCAGAAATAGTTTATTTCAGCAATGGCTTTTAAAATGGTTTTGATAAACCGCTTGTATTTTCTGAACCATCTTTAGATCCAGGAGGTTTGAATGGTTTTTTTAACATTATAAAGTTTGAAAGTTGTAATGATTTATTATTTACTTTAAATCTATCCAATTATTTTTTAATAATAATTAAATATTGCGGCAAAAGTTGTATAAGGTTTTATCAAAAACATTATTTTTGATTTGAAATTTATATTAAAATTGTTGAATATTTAAGAATTTTAAATTTTTTAGTTGAAATTTGTTGAGAAAATTCAGAAAAAATAAATTCAATTAAGATATCATTTTTATTTTTAATAATAAATACTTTTAAAATGAATTTATATAACAAAAAAAAAGAATCATCTAAGAATAAATAGATGAATAAATCAATGAATTATTTAATCAATCAATTAATATAAATTAATCTAAATCTGAAAAAATTCATGTAAAATGTAACATTTTAAAAACTAAAATTAATCTAAATTTTAATTAAAAAAAAAATTTTATAAATTTTTTAAACTGTGTTTTATAAAAACTAAGAAAATATTAAATAATATTTGTAAATTTTGAATTTTATGAATTTAAAAACTAATATTTTTAATAGTTTTTTAATTAAATCTAATAATTATAAAATGTCAAAAATTAAATTTATGGTATTAAATATTTGTAATGTGTTTAAGTAATAAAAAATAAAAAAGCTAAAAATAATGATAGGTTTAAAAGTGGAAACTAGTTAATTTAAAAATTTTTTTAATTTTCTAACTAAAATCTAACAAAAAAGCATAAATAACTAAATTATTAATCTAATATTATTTATTTTATTAACTAAAAAATAAAATATTATCTTTTGATAAATTTATGATCAACCTACCTTCAAAATAACTTATCAAATTTAAATTAAAAAAATTGAAATCATTTTAATTTAAAACTCAAAATTACTCAATTATTAATTAATATCTTTACTGTCTCTTAGATAAATAAAAAAATAAACATATTTTTATTAGCTAAATTTGATTTTATATAAAAAAAATAAATTTTGCAAAAAGAATCTATTTAAATAACATTTTTTATTTTTAATTGATATTGATTATTTATATTCAAATCATATAAAGTTTTTAGGATTTATTTATTAATTTTTTAAATTTATTTTTACATTTTACAAACTTTATTGCTGCTTAATAAATGTAAGAAATTTTTTTTGCAAACATTTAGCTACTTATTAAAAAAAATATTATCAAAAAAAATATTTGTTCTTTTTTATATAAATGAATTTCTTTATAATGTTTTAATAAATCTTTTTTCTTATGTTTGTAAACTAATTGCTATAATGAAGTATAAAAATGAAGTTATAAAATAGTAAAATAAGCAACATTATATTTTTTTATATTTATTAATTTATTTATCAATCTATCATTTTGTGTTGGCAGCTAAAGATTAAAGTGCTAAATCACGTTCTTCAATAAGCTCCTTTGTTGTTACTTCGATTCTCTTTTTAGTTAACTCATCCCATTAAAGACCTTGTACTATTTGCCATTTACCATTTTGGCATGTTACTGGATATGAAAAGCATAAGCCTTCAGGGACACCGTAAGAACCATCACTGATTACTGCCATTGAAACAATTTAACCACTTTGGGTTCCAATAAACCAATCATGAATATGATCACAGGCTGCACTAGCTGCTGATGCAGCAGATGATTTTTCTCTCATCTATATGATAGCTGCACCTCTTTTTGCTACAGTTTCAACGAATTCTGTAGTCAACCACTTATCGTTGCTCACAGCTCCTCTAGCAGCTGTTACCATACCAGGTTAAGGATAATTCATGATTATTCCTTATGAAGCATCTGGCACTTGAGTAGCAGAATGGTTGCCCCAAATAATCAGATTACGAATTTATCTTGAATGGACTCCAATTTTTGAAGCTAAGATAGAATCAGCTCTATTTTGGTCAAGACGAGTCATAGCTGTGAAATTTTATTTAGGAATTGAAGGGGCATATCTTTAAACTATTAAGCAGTTAGTATTTGCAGGATTACCTACAACTAAAACTTTGCAATCTCTGTCTGCATACCTATCTATTGCTTCACCTTGAGCTTTGAAAATCTTTCCATTTTCGCTTAATAAATCTTTTCTTTCCATGCCTGGGCCTCTGGGTTTTGCACCTACAAGGACGGCTACTTAGCAGCCAACAAAAGCCTCATCTATACTTGTAGTTGTTCTTATGTTTGCTAAAAGAGGATAGGCACAATCATCCAATTCCATGACTGTTCCCATCATAGGTCTCTTAGAGTTAGGAAGTTCTAGAAGAGTAAGGTCTATTGGCTGATCTTGTCCAAAAAGACGACCTTAACCTGCAAAGAATACAAAAGCATAACCAATATTACCTGCTGCTCCTGTAACAGTAACCTTAATTGGCTATTTAAGTTGCTTGTTAGGACACATGTGTCTTCCAAGGGTATGAATTCTATCCATTTGGTTTATATTATTGATTTACCTTTTTTTACTGAATTATCTTTTTGATCAAATATTTATTTGAATTTTATTTAATTATAACGATTAAATAGGAGACGTATCCTCTCTTCTACTTACTTACCATTTATTTAAAAATTCAAGCAAATCAACATGATTTATATGGGAATGAATTAGGTAAAAGAAAGCAAGCATGTATATTTTTAGAACAGAATTTTGGGTGCTTTTGAATTTTATTATATGGATAATAAATAAATGTGATATATGATTGAGCCATAAAATATCTCAATAATTACGTCACTTACGTAGAAATGATTATTTACGCACTTAAAATCCTTAAGCAAATTTCATTCAGCTTTCTTTCTCCTTAACTTCTATATTTGTAAATTTAAAAGCTTTTCTGATCAACTTTAAAACTAGCATTATAAATTGAAGTTAAATCTTAACTTAACTATTGAAGTATCAGATAACAACAAAATTATTACTTAACTATAATAGAATTTTCTAATTAGAAGAGTATCTTTGTAACTAAAATTTCAAATCTATATCTTATAAATTCGAAATAAGATATAAATTAAAAATATTAATTTCTTATCAATTTTCTATTTATTATTTAACAATTTTTTTTTCTACTCAAAATAAACAGCTTGTCTCTTTCTCTTCCCTCTGATCTTAATTATTCCACTTTTAGTAATTAAAAAGTTTAAATAATTTTTATTTGGCTATTTTTTATGCATCGTTTTACGTTATTTAAATGATCATTTATAAAAATACATCCAAAATCTACTAATAAAATGTATCTTAACTAAAATGATTTAAATAATTTTAAATATTACGAGGATGCTAAGAACTTTTTTTTAGAAGTATAATTAATTTTTATATTAAATACTGATGATTTTTTCCTTATATTTTTTCGTTATTATCAAATATTCAAATATAGATTTTATAAGTATTTAAAAGTAATAATTTTTTTTAATTACAAATAGACTTGAGTATTTCTTAAAAGAATTAGTTTTTAAATATAAAGTAAAAAATGTATTGCTTTTGAAGATTAATACTTTTCTGTAATATTTATAATTAAGATTATTGAAATAAATATTTTTTTTAATTTAACAAATCTTTGGTTATAAAAAGCGGTTTTTGTTCAATTTTTTGAATTAAAACTTGAGATTTAAAAAAATAAATCAATGGACTTAAATTAAAATATTAAAATTTCTACACCAAAAGAATTAGATAATATTATGTAATAGTAGCAGTAGTTTTTGTGTAAATTACATAAAAAGTAAAATTTATTCAAATGTTCATGTGAGTAAAATTTTATTTGTACAACTTGCTTTGACTCAGGAAAGCATATAAATCATGTAGTTGATACTATAGCATCAGATGAAGCTCCTAATTCAATAAACTTCTAAAAAATATATTTAAAAAATGTTTGTTATTTATCACCTTTCATAATTAATTTGTACAAATTTTGATATTTAGAAAACAAATAATTCTTTTAATTTAAAAGAAAGATGAAGAAAAAGGTGAGCAAGGTTAAGTTTTTGAAGTAAAAGGAGATTTGTTGAATTTTTAGGCTGATATAATTGTATAATAGTGTAATTGTATTACTACAAATGAAAAAGGGCTTTCTTAATCTATATTAAAAAAATTTGGGGTAAGTGCTTATGAGACAAGAGTGAAAGGTAAAGGAAATATTGCTGATGTAAGCTCAATAGATATTCCAGGTACATGCTTATTTTAAAAACCTAAGATAAAAAACAAAAATTGCTAAATCCAATATATCGCAAATCTCTTTAGCCAATTTACGCCAGGAAAGAATGGATTTAAATACTAAAATACACTATGTCAATAAATATAGGATCCATTAACAAACAAACCTATTGTTGATAATTTCTCAAGTAGAGAAAAATGGTTTGAAGTGTGCTTATAATAATTGGCAGATTTTGCTAAGGAAAAGCAATTATTCAAGATAGCATTTCCCTATAAAATTGGATGTGGCCTCGCAGGAGGTAAATGGGAAAACTACAAAAAAATGATATAAGAATTTTCAGAGAATAATATAGATTTAAAAATATACATCGTCTAACTTGAAGAATGAAAATAATTTGTAACAAATAAAAACAATAAAACTATCTCTAAATTATAATATACTTACGAAATAAGATATGACCTCGCGAGAGGTAATAGGAAAACTAAAAAAAAGAACTAAATATGTCTAACTTGATAAGTGAAATAATTTTATAACAAATAAAAACTATAAAAAACTAACCCTAAATTATTTAAAACTATTTTTTTTATTGGTTATTTAATTTTATTTGCGATTTGTTAACCTATACTTCCTTCTATTAATCTTTTTTCGTATCAGTATTCTAATCAATTATATCAATTTACAGTAGTATTTCTTTATCCAGTAACTTGGTATGAATATGACTATTATTATAGATAAATAAAAATTTTTATTACTTTTTATTATTTTAAAAAAATATTACTTGGCTTATCTAACCAGGAACTTAACTGCTGTATCTTTAACCTTCAACTGGTGTATAGGTTGTATTGCTATAGCTATTTATACGAAAATAATTTAAATGAGAAAAGAATAGGTAAATTAGATATATATATGTATTTTACTTTGCATCTCCAGCATAGTAGGATTTATATTCTGGTAGCTTTCCAGATGTTGTAGTATAAGTGGTTGTGGTAGAGTTAGCAGTGGTATAGTTTTGTGGTGTTCCAGTAGTCACATTAACAGTGTAAGATGGAGTGGCAGTTGTTGTTTGAGGAATGGTGTAAGTTTAATATGTAGTAGTTGTGGCAACACTTTGAGGAGTGTAGATACTCTCAGTTGTTTTAGGTGCTGATCTTTTTACAGTCTCATCTTCTGTTCTATAAAGTGTGGCAGGAGTGTTAAAAGTGCTATTAAAAATATTATTTTAAATCTAATAATTTTTATGTTGTTATTTATTACTTTGATTAATAAGCTGAAGTCTTTTAGAAACTTGTTCTAGAGGCATCTAAGTTCATGGTTAAACTGTTTCTGAGATCTCTGCTTCCAGCTAAAATTTGATTCAACTACCTAAATTGATTATAATCAATTTTAGTTAATTAAATATAAATCATGTAAAATTTACAAGTTATTGATTGTTGAGTAAGTAAACATTTTCCTGCTTTGATCACTTTGAACTCCATAGACTTCAATTTGGACACATTATGGATTTTCAGCAGTTTGAGGAATTAAGAAACCTTTTTTGAAATGTTTCTCAGTATTTTTAACAAAGCTTTTTGAAAGATCTTTTCCATCTATCCATATTCTACAATCATCCTTGGATAATCCAAAAACGAGTCCTGGTTCTCTTCCATAAGACTCTTAAGTAAAGAGATAGCTTGTAGGAAGAGGCTTTGTGTATTATGAATACTAGTTATTTTCAATAACTGGGTAGAAGTGTCTATACCTTGGACTTAATTAGAAAATATAATTTTCCATACTTAAAGAATCTGTTGATCCCCATTTTTGAGAGCTGAATCCACCAACTGTGTATTTTTCTCCTTTAGCATCAACAAATTGAAGCAATATAAAAGTTTATCCAGCAAAGCTAGTAAGTTGTGAGGAAAACTAATCAAAATTATAGTTTTTTACATCAGCTTGATATAGTAACTTCAATTAATTTGAGTTAAGCAAATATTAATTGTTAAGATAAAGATGGATTAATTATTCTTGCTTGACTAGTTATTGTTTTGAAGCCTCGGGCATTTGAGGAAGTAAGAAAGGTACAGTTCCATCTAAAAATTTGCTCTTGAAATAGACATGGATAAGGGAAGCAATCAGATTAATTTAATCTTTAACTAACATTCCAAATGTCCAAAATTCTACTTTTGCTATTAATTAAATACAAATGATTGTTATTCTTTGATTCTCCCAAAAATATGTTATTCAAACATTAAAAATGTGAATTTAAATTAATTTTGAGAACAAAAGTTTATTTAAAATAAATTGATTGGCTCTCTTTAATTTAAAAAATTATATTATTTTATTCTTTTATTTTTTAGAATTAAAAAAAGAACATAGAAGTATTTGAAAGCAAGCTATATGTATATATATTTATTTTCAGTGAATATCTGGTCTTATTTTTTGTTGTTTTTTATTTATTTAAAAATAAAAAGTAGACTTCTGAATTGATTAAGAAATATTATTCGTTTTTAGCTTATTTAACAAAACTGATAGTTAGAGTTTTAATAAAGTTATCTACTATTCAGTTATTATATAAACTAATTTTATTTTTTAAAATTGATGAAGATGAAATTTTATTTTTTGGTTTTATAAGACAGCAATTTAATGTTTAAAGTAAATGAATTACTGTCATTGTTGGGGAAGATCCTGTCAACAATTTATCTAGATAATGCATCATTCATTTTTTAATCAGGGTTGGCATTCAACATATGAAGAATTGTTAGAACTAAATCAAGGGCCTCGCTGTAATTAATCACAATGTTTATGTATTCCTTCTTTTTCATAGCTTTTCTCATATGTGGGAATAGGATTGCACTTAGAAGTCCTACAACATCATGCTTAAGGTAGGTTTCACTAAGTGATTTGTTTGAGGGCTTTCTTATTATTAATTCAACTATTATAAATTTAAAGGATGGATAAAGATAAGTATCATTAATTAATTATAAGAAATAAAATAAATTTATAAATTATTTTTGTCAATTTATTGATCTAAAAAAAGTTGGAATCTTGTATAAAATCTTACGAACTTCAATAAATATATCAACATCAACCTTTCCTGATGATGAATTTTTTAGCATAAACTCATGGAGTCTTTCTCCTAGTAGTAAATTTTCTGGGAACAAGTCTTTAAAAGCTTAAACATTAAGCTCATTCTTGTCCTTAGTCCTATTTTTTATAATGTATATATTTAAAATTTATGTTTAAACTCGTAAAGCGCTTTAAAAAATCATAATTAACCAACTTTAAACGCTATCTCATATTTAAAAACGAAATCTTAAAAAGTATTAAATACAGCGATAAATTATGAAATTTAATAAAAAATGAAAAGATCTATACTCAGCGTAAGAGTTAGCTGTCTTCTAAAAGAATTCTTTGAGTCTTTTGATTTCTTCTTCTCTGAATGAATATTCTTTTCTGCTTTAATTACAGCCCATTACTGAAATGTATTATAAGGGTGTTTTTGATTTATTATTATAAATATTATAGTTTTGTTGATTTAATCAATTATTTGAAATAGTATTGTTTTTTTGATTAAAGAATTGCTGATTAAATTTATATAATTTTTTATTCAAGATTAATGCAAATTAATTTCATTGAATCATTATTTTCTAAGATATATATATCTTTGTTTATTTATTTGCTTTTTTGATAGATATATTGATTGACCTGCATACCCTACCTAACAAAGTCTTATATATTTATTTTTTAGCTTAATGGTTATTTATAACTATAGAAATTACATTTTGCCAATCTAAGTTTTTTATACAGTAATTCTTGTGCATAATTATTTTAAGAAAAATTTTGAAAAATTTATAACCACTAGTACTAAAATATAAGTGAAAAAAACAAATAAACTACTTAAATTTTAAGATTTAACTAATTTAATTATTATTTTAGATTTATTCATAAAAACCAATAGATATTTCAAAAAATAAATCCATTTTCTAAAAATAGTTGTTATTATCATTATTCTAGATCTGGTGAAAATAAAAATAGTTTCTGAGGCAACAATATTTATTAAAAATAAAATCCTAGAAAAATTTTGTAAAATAAATTACATCAATACTTTAAGATCAAGTATAAATAAATAAAAAATAAATCACCACTTTTAAGATCATTAAATCATTATTATAAATAACTTTACAGTTTAACAAAAAAAAAAAATTATATAATGTTAGAATTTGATAACAATTAAAAGCTAATTAGGTTATTGAAGAAAATCATGTAAAAATTAATCTATATTAATTATTCATTTTTACAAAAATAATTAATCAATATAATTTCTTAATTTGTATAAAATCAAACAACTTAAAAACTACTCAACTTAGGTTTGCTTAAAAGATTAGAGTTAATATAGTATATTTAGATTAGTTTGGCTCTTCATTAAATATTCATGATAGAGAATTAAGATGTAAAACTCATCATAATATTGGTCTTTTTTTTTCTCACTTTAAACAAAAAAATAATAAAATACCTCTCAGTTATTAAAAATACACAAATTTATAGAAAAAGATAGAAAATAATTAAATAAAAAGGTGGATTTAATTCGCAAAAATGCATAATTTTCCTTTTTTTAGCTTTTTTAATTTCTAATAACAAGTTAAAATTTTATTAAAAAATTAATAAACTTTTTGACTAAAAAGAGGAAGGCTATTAAATTTTATGTATCATTAAATAATCTAAAATAAATGGCAAGCCTTGAAAATATTTAACTTACAATATTTATTAAGAGTAAATGCAATATTTAAATTTGACCAAAATGCTTTTAAATTTATAAATTTTGATAATAATTTATGTATTTATTTCTATTTTTAGAAAATTAAATATATATTTTTTTATTTAAAATCTTGTAAGTATCACTTAGTTCATCTCAAAAATATTTTCATAAAAAATTTCATGCTAGACTTTAGGTTTTAAATTAATTTAAATGATAATTTAAGGTTTTTTAAAAGATTAGTCTTTTAAATTTCGTTTTTCTCTTACATTTACAAAATTATTTTTTTAACTTATTTGTAATTTATTTTATTAAAGATTAATTATAATAAGGAAATGAATCATTAATTATAATTACTTGACCAAAGAATTTTAAAATAAATTTATCCATTTATAAATTATTAAAATTTCAATAAAATCTAAAAAATAATTATTTTTATCGCTGAAAATTTTTAGCCACTTTAGTTTTTATATATTAGTAAGATAAGAGGTTTGATTTATTTAAACAAAATTAAATATTTTTAGTAAAAATTGAAGTACTTTCATAGTTATCTTCTTAAAAGATTTCCATTTTCTAAATTATTTTTTAATTTCTTTGATATTAATAAATGGAAAAAAATTTAAATAAGAATACAATTCTTAAAGATTACTTGCTTATTTTTTAAGTAAGTATTTATTGTACTTACACTCATCTTGATTTCATATAATTTATTTATTTTTTTAACAATTACTTTTAAAATTTATTATCATATTTTAAAAACTAGAAATTTAATAAAATTTGGTGTTAAAGGGCATAAATGATTTATTAAAATTAGAAATAAATATTTTTTTTTTGGCAAAAAATAAATTGAAATATTAACAGACAAATTTCAATTCAATAAATTAATTTATGTAATGTTTTTTTATTTGTTTGCGTATGCTTTGTTTGTAATTTATTGCTTTCCATAAGATAATTTACTTGGTTTTTCTATTGTAAAAGTAATAATTAATTGACTTTTTGATTATTTATAGGTTAATAAAGATATTTATTTATTTATCTTTTACGAAAAGATAGAAATTGACTAATTCAATATAGACAAAAAAATTAAATTTAAGAATGACAGAAGAAAGCGATTTAAATAATATAAATTTAATAGAATATGAAGAATTTATTTAAACAGAAACAACTAATCAAAATATTGAGGTTGACTAATTAGGTTTAGAAGATGAAAGATAGGGTATTCAAGAAGTTTCGAATATTTTGAAAGCAAAAGATAATGATTAAGATTCTAATAATGAAAGCTATGTAAATTGTGAAATCAGTAACTAAGAAAAAGAGAATAATCGAATTTTACTAACTAGCGATGATCAAATTGAATATGATGTTAATAATTCTTAAATGAGCAATAAAAGTATGATTAAATTAAGTTTTATTTGAGTAAAAATGTTAATTTGTACAATTTATTTGATAAATTTAGGAGACATAAGTCCCAACTGCGATAAAAAAAGATAATACAAAAGTAATAGAAGCAGCTTAGTTAAATAGTAGGAAAATACAAATAAGCAGCCAACATTAGATAATTTAGCCTATATAACCAATTCACCTTAATCCTCAAAGTAATCAATTATTATAAAAATTTAAATGAAAAGTTAAATTACGTAGCTTTTTTTTAGAAAAGGGAGCAGAGAAATTATTTTCGAAGAAAAAATTATCCACATGCAGAATATCATAAATGCCTAAAAAGAGTAGATAAACTAGAAAGACGATAAAATAGCATTTCTACTGAATTAAATTTAAGAGATGAACTAGCAAATGCAGAAGAAAAATGCAGAGATATCTTAAACTAGGGAAGACCTTAATAAAGCTTAATAGGAAGTATTTAATTGGCACTTATATTAATTTTTAGTATTTTACTTAGTTATTTGTTGATGCTTTTAACTGCATTCAAAATTAAGAGAGTTACTAAAAACGTTGGCAGACTTTATTAATAACAATTTATATCAATTGATTTTTTATTTATTTATTTATTTAACTAAAAAAACTTACTAACTTACTTTGCTTAATTTTAGTCAATCAGCTAAATTTTAATGCTTTTTTTCTTAAACTTTAAAAAAATAGATTGATCTTTTAAAATAACAGCAGATGATCAAAGATGAAATTTAGAATGGTAAGTCTCAGATTCTAGATATTTAAATATAAAAAGAAGGTAGTTAATTTATTTATTTATTTAGTGCTCTAATTTATATTTACTTACTTAATTAATAAATTGTTTAAATAGTTGGAATTATTTTAAATATGCTTTAATTTGTTAGTATTAATTAAATTATTATGTAATAGAATAAATAATACAGAATTTAGATAATAAATTAGTTGCTAGCAGAAATAATTCACCTATCATAACAAGTGATATGAAAATAAAAGATAAAGGAGCTAATTAGATTTTATCTGAAAATGAAACGAATATAACAGAAATTAAATAAACGAATTCGAAAAATAATAAAAAGCAAATGGAAAAACTTCTTAATTCAGCAGCTACTACAAGTTATTATAATAATAGCTAAATAGGGAATAGCTTATCAGCTACTACTTAAAAAAATACCTAAAAAACTAGAGAAATGGGCATTAAAAATCCTTGGAACAATCAAAGTTAAATTGCATCAAACCAATAATTATCAGCAGAGAATAATGCAGGAGCTGACACAACAACTTCATAGAATATCATCCATTAATCTCCTATGACAAACTATAATTCTACTGAGGTAAGAGCTAATTTAAATAGTAATAATAAAGATAATATTGCAAATTCAAATATACCTAATTTAGCTTAGTTATTAAATGAGTAACCGAAATAAAATAATTTTTGCCACAAAAAAAACACTATGTCTACAGATTTCGTCTACAAAAGAGAACCTCTTGCACAAGCTTAAATATAGAATATTTAATCTACATTTAACATAAATAACATTTAAGATAATCATGAGATTTTACCTAATAAAATTAATAACAATTTTTCAAAATACATTTCAAATACAAACATAAATGGAGGATTGCATAATTTTTAAAATATTAATTAAAACCTTTACAGAAGCTGTAGTAACCACACTTCCAACATTCTTACTAATAATACATCTGGGAATAAATTATATCAGCCAAATGAGAATAGAGTAAAAGAGTTTTATGAAAAATCCAACTCATAACCTCCAACTCAATGTTCGACTGCTAAAGGTGGCTCATCTTTAATTAACTAGGAAAACAACAAAAAAAGCGAAAGCTATAGAGAATAGTACATAAAAAATATAGAGGTAATTTATTCTTCCTATTGAGACATTTAATTCTTTATTCAGCTTAAAAATTATATTTTAGGGATATAAAAAAATAAAAAATAACTAAAATATTATCTTTTTTTTCACTAATTTAGGAATTGCAGAAAAGACTCGATTTTCTCAAACAAAAAAGAAATGAGTATGAAGTTAGGCCAGTAAATTAATAAATAAATTAGTTTAAAAATAAAAAATAATTTTACATAATTGAACAAACAGGATTACCTGAATGCCTCTTAGAGCACAAGATTCACTTCAAATGTACAAAATAATTATAAAGATAGAAACTTTAATTCAAGCATCAGTAGCCCTATTAAATAGGTTCCTAACTTAAATAGTAAACTGCAATAATCATAAAGTATACTCTTAAATCCTAACAATAACTCTCTTATTTCATCAACAGTAAATTAAAAACTAAATGAAAATATGCTGGTCCACTTTGCATAAATTAAAAAGCTAGAAAATATGGTACCTAGCAAAGATAGTTACTTCAACAAGTAGGTATTTTCAGTTTAAAATAGCCAACCTTAACCTTTGGCGTTTACAAGCAACATCCAAAAATAGGAAGAAAATGTAGCTTAAAAATATGCATAATCTCCTCAGCCTATATCGAGTAAATTAAATAAATATATTAATGGTAACGCTAATAGTGCACTTAACTATTATAGTTCAGTTCCATTAATACCTTAAAATGATGAATACAAATCAATTAATGTTCTTAATAATGTTTAAAATTAAAATCACCAAGCTGCCACGCCAAATTTAGATTTGGGATTACTTAGTGCTAAGTAAACAATAAATAAGCAATACTTTCCTGTATCTTCAAAGCAAAAGTTCAAAAATAACGAATATAGTCTTCAAAATAACGCTTACATTATATAAGATAAAGTAGATTCAGTTTCACCTACTAAAGTGTACTCCACGAGAAATAGTTAAAATAATTATCAGTCACTTCTTGATAATCTAGCTCTTTCAGCAAGTCTAAAAAGTAATTCATATATCAATCCAAAATATTCTTTTCTCAAATACAATTAATTTAATCATAGAAGAAATTAATAACCACAAAATGAGTTGGGACAGTCTAAACCTAAAAGACACCGGTACACCTTCTAATTTTATATCAAGTGGTGGAATAAGCAGTTCACACATCAAGCATTCTAGTGTGACAGCGTTTAATAAATTTGCTCCTATATCTGTCAAAAATAGTTATTGTAAATTAAATTTAAAATATATATTTTACCAATATTTAAAATTAAAACTAAATAGAAGCCTATGAAAGCGAAAAAAATTAGAATTATTTTAGCAAAGTAAGTAGTAGTAACAACAATCACAACAACAATACTAATAATATTAACACAAATAGTAATAAATGCTACTTTAATATGCAAGATTAGCTTAATTAAGTAATAATTGATAATAAAGAATATTGTAAATAATAATGACAACTTAAAATAAGAGAGATGGGATGATATTATTGAAGAAAGAGATAAAATATATAATAAATACTAATTTTATACTTTGTTTTTAATTTAATTAACCTACCCTTTAAATTAAAAATAGAATATGCATGAAATTAATTACATATAGCATGCAAATTTAAACAAAAATAAACAAAATATTTCAAAATGTATATTTTTTATATATCAATAAGAATAAAATTAATAAGTATTAAATAAATTAATAAAAATAATTTTGGTTAGTTAAACAACCAATTGCTGCAATTTTAAATTACTTAAATTTCATTAAAATAGGTCTTCTTATTTTAAAGATATTAGATTATTAAAATTTACAAAATGATAATCAAAATATTTTAAAGTTTGTATTAAATTTATATGTAAACAATAAATATTTTTAATCAAAGAAATAATCAAATAAGTAATAAATCTAATAGTAGTGCTTTTAAAAAATATTTTATAGCATATTATATTACTTAAATTTATTATTTATATCTCCCCAATTTATAATTATTAAAATTAATGAACCTACATTTGGTTATTAAAATTAAAAGAATCATAAATGAACTATTATTGTATAAATTTTATGTGCATATTTAAAATAACTATTAGTCAATTAAGTAAATTAATTACTTTGCCATAAATTTTAAAACAGTTTAAAATAATTATCTAAAGTTTTTATTTATATTTAAAGTTTTTATGTTAAAAATATAAAGTATAAAAAACTAAATATTTTTTTATATGTTTATAATCATAAATCAATACATCTATCAAATAATTAATAAATATTGTATTGAATTAGATTTTATTTTTTATTTTTTTGAATAAAAAACATATTTTTGTATTTAAATTGCAAATGAATTTAAAAATTAAAACATAATGCTTTTAATGTTTTCATTTTTTTGAGTTTAACAAATGTTTATATATAAATCAATAAAGTAAGTAAAAAGTTAATACATAAATTTATTATTGCTCATAAACTTCAATATTATTTAAATTATTTAACTTGCCCAACCAACTAAATATTTAAAGATATGATTTGGTTTTTTAGTATCTATCAAAATTTCAATCAAAAATTTATTTAATATTATTATTTTTACTTTTTTGTGATTAATTAATTAAATATTTAAGTTAGAAACATAAAATGGTAAAAGTAGAATCTTAGAAAGAACCTTAAGTGGCAGTTTAAGAAGAAGATTTTAAAAAAGATGTTATCCATAAATATAGTTGGAAATTTATTCCCGTACTATTTCTGATTTGGCTTTCATTTTAAGTTGCTGTTTTCTTTTACGTTGGCTCTATTTTACCTGAGTAATTCCTTTTTATATTATAATGAAGATGCTTTTATTAGTGAATAGTTTGAAAATGAATTCCACATTTAGAAATTATGAGGATTTATTGGAAGATATTCTTTCTAAAATATAAAATTAATGAATTAGTATTTCAAGTTTTTTAAATGATTTTAACTTTAACTCTTTACTCAATGTTTATAAATTAAAAATAAAAACTCTGAATATTTCATTATAATTTTTAAAGTTTTAAAAAGGTTGGTTTTCCTACTTCTTTTGAAAAGGCATAAGAGTTTTCCCATATTATGAGGAATTATCTTGAGACACACTACTACACTTTACTATTCTTTGAAGTTTCTAATTTCTTATTGTAAAATAAAATAATTTACTATTTGATAAATTATCCTATTATATATTATACAAAAAAAAATTCTAAAATTCTAAAAACTAAATCTTCGTATTTTCAAAAAGCTTATAAACGTGGTGCATCCCAGGTACTTTTGTATTTAATTTGTTAGGAGGTGCTCTTTTTGGAATCAAAGTTGGATTCCCAGTTTGCTTAGCAGTAAATATTTTAATTAAAATATATGTAAAATGTATTAAAAAATACTTATTTATTTACTTTTTAAAATTCAGTGCAACACATTAGGTGCATTTATATGCTTTAACATTTCTAAATATTTTGCAGGTGATCTTATAGAAAGAAAGTTATCCAATTAACTCAAAATGATAAAATAAAAGGTAGGATTTTAAATTTTATTTCAAAAAAAAAAATGTACTTTTGTGTATTAAAATTTTACCATAAAATAAGGTATAAGAACACAAGAAAGACCTTTTCTTCTACATGCTATCCACTAGACTGTTCCCTGGATCTCCTAATTGGGCTATGAATATCACATTTCCTCATATACATATTCCTTCTCATTACTTTGTTTTTAGTATTGCTCTTGGACTTATTCCTTGGAACTTTTTGACATGTGAAGCTGGATCTATCATCAGCACATTCAAGTCTAAAAGTGAAATTTTTAAGCCAGAAACATATTATATGGTAATTATATTATAAATATTTAACTTTTACAACTTATTATTAAAAATTACTTTTAAATTTTATAGAGCTAAAAAATATTTTAAAATATTACTTAAAATAAACTTCATTACTTATCTCTCTTGAAAAATTAAATAACTAAATTTTATATTAAATTATTTTTAAATATGCCAAAGTTATTTCCATAATCAAATTTAAAAAATAAATATCTTAATTAAAAAACAATATTTATATAAATTATAGCTTATAGGTATTGCTTTGTGTGTACTTATACCTCCTATAGTTAAAAAGATAATTAGCAGCAAAGAGAAGAAAGAATGATGAATAATATTTTAGCAATCTAATAATTATGTATTTTATTGAAAAATATTTTGATTAATTAGTAAATCTTATTTTTATATCACTAAATAAATGTATTTTTTTATATTTTAACTTTTTTCATATTTTTTTTAATTTTCATAATTTTATACTATATGTCCTCAAAACAATTGTACGAATCGTATATGACGATGAGAGTTTTTAATTGAATTTTTTTTTTTATAATGAATTCTTCACTAAAGTATGTATGATTTTATGTGAATCGAGGAATTAAGGTATTTTATCATTTTATATCTGTATAACTAATCTCTTATCTTTTAAATTACATATTTAAGCTAAGAAAAAAAGTAAGTTAAGTAATAAGTAACACTTATTTCATTCAAAATGTTTGTTATTTATATGATTAAAATAAATAAATATTTTGAATTATTTGTTTGAGAACACAATCATTGAAAAACAGTTTTTGTTACTCATATTTGCGTAAATACTAAATGAATAGTTGATAGAGAAAAATTAAAGTTATTGTAATATTATGGTTTATGATAATAAAAATAATTAAATTCCACATATATACTATATTCAAATATACGCTATAAGTTTGTCTTTCTCATCAAATTGAAATTTAATTAATTTTAGAAACTCATTAAATAAATTTATTAATTCATTTAATGTATTAAAAAATCATCTTCAAGTAAATCAAATATATAAATTTTTTCATTTAAGATTACATTTTACTTGACTTAAATTTTGAATTTACAGATATTCAACTATAATTTCACTGAATAACTTTCTATCATTTCTGATGGCCATGTAAGCTTTCGCCATAATACAACGAGCTACTTTAGCAAAAATTTTACTTATTTTAAAATAAATTTCAATGAATAGAAAATAATATTTAAATTTGTAAGTATTTAATATTTGCTATCCATTTAGAATCATGAAATACTTATCAGATAATTCAGTATTCTATAATTTATGGATAGATCATTTTTATTTTATCTTACATTTGAGAAAAATTTATTTTAGAGATTATTTGATAAACCAGAAAATAAAAGAAATAAACTAAAAATTAATTAAAAAAATATAATCTTTTTAGGATCAAATGTAACAATATTCAAATTCATCATAATTTAGAAATTAAATTCTGATTAAATTAACCTTTAAATATAAATAAAATTCCATATACTTTAATAGAAAGTAAGAATAGAATTGAAAAATTATATTATTATTATATAAGGTAATATTTAAGAAACATCATGACCAGAAATATCTATTATCATTTTTCTTATTATTTTTTGATCATTATTATTAAAGCTCTTGGAATAAATGAAGGTTTTGTAAGAATTAAAGAGGATTTATGGTGTAATACTTTTTTCTAATATCTTTTTTAATATTTCTAATTATTAATTGTTTATAAGATGTTCCGAAAAATATAATGAACACTACTTTATCTCCAGTCAAATAGAAAGTATTTATGTGTTTTTATACTATGCAATACAAAATTATACAAACCTAATTTATATTTGTTTGTGTATGGAAATTAGATAAAATATACTTATTAATAAAAAGTTAGCTTTAATTCATAATAGCATTATTTTTAGCTTTTTATATTCCAAAAATCCAAAAGACTTGATAAAATATTTTTCTTTTCCTATAAGTTATATGCAATTACAAATCAATAAGATATTATTAGATATAAGTTAAATAAAAATAATTTAATAGATTTTAGATATCGCTGTCGTTGTTCCTCTAAGTGGATATTAGTAGTATTTTATTTAAACAATTTGAAAAAGAAACTCAATCAAACTTTTATCATCCTAAATTAATAAATCATGTATTTTCATTTATTTTTTTTGCTACTATCTCTATCTTATTTGAATGATTTGTTTAAAAAAATATCTAACTGATTAGATCTTTAGATCTTTAGATTTTATTCTATTATAATAGATTAAATACTATAGATATGATACTCTTTTAAAGAAATTACGCTACTTGTTATAAATTTAATTGGTCAATTCTCTTTTTACAGTTTGATCAGGTATTAAACAAAGATAATTTTCTCAAATTCTGAAAATAAGTAGTAAAGGATTCATAGAGAGCTAAGTTTAATTTTCATTTTGTATTTAACTTATTTTATAATTAAAACATTTAAATTTAATTTATTTTTATTTTTATAGTTGTTTATCCACCAAATTTATAATGGAAAATAAAAAAATAATTATAAACAAATCTAGATATTATGGTTATTTTTAATATCATTCACATTTATTAAATAAGATAAATTTTGTAGAAAAAAAAAAAATTTATTAGTTTATTGGCGTTGAATCAGATACAGATAACTTTTATCACACTTGAGCAAGCTAATTCAGATTTCAAACGTAATTTGTTAATTACTAACTCATAAATTTCTAAGTAAAATAATAAAATTAATTTTTCAAATTCATAATATTAGAATGTTGCTATATTTGGTTGATAAATTAAGCTTCTTGATATTTTAATTTATTGAATACTATTAAAAAGTCAATATTGATTCATTTTTTATTTAATTATTTATTCACATAAATTAAGAGCATTTCTCAATGTATTAACTTATTATTTTTAACTCTAACTTAATATAATTATCAAAGAGTATATAAAGAAATTAATGAATCAATATCATAAATAGAAATAAGTATTTCTTTTTCTTCATTTGTTTAAAATAATTATCAAAAAAATTTAGTGCTATTTAAATTTTTCTCTCTTTTATTTTAAATGAAGTAAAATCTAAGAGTTATCAATCAAAAAATTTGCTAAAATGGAATAAATGTAGTCCTTTTTGCTGTTGTTATTATAACAACATAATCTAAAAAATAAATAAACAATAAGATATATTCTTATAAATTAATGAATTGTCAAATAAAATATTAGGGTGTGATAGGTGGGAGATGTTTAATTTATCAATTATGAAATACTTTTTATATTTGAATATTTACACAAAGCAGGGGTAAATACCAAGAAAAATAATAGAAAAAAATATTTCTATTGAATACCAGACTCAAAATTTGTAAGGTTTGTAAAATTTATTTAATAAAAATATTTTAATATTTTTTTTAATTGATAAATTTAAATGCTAAATTATTTTCAATAAAAATTCATTACACTCATTCACTTTATATTACAGTCAAGTTTTCAACTTTAATAAAAGAAATAATAATTAATTAATTAATCCATGAATAATACTTGTTAAATGTAAAATATCTAACATTTTTGTAAAAATAGTATTTGAAAACTATAAAATTTTAGATTTATTAATCTAATTTTTTGTAATTTTTATTAATATTTACTATAATTTTTAGAAAAAAAATATATAAAAACATTCAATTTATTTTAATATATATTGAATTTTTATTTTCCTAAAAAGCAATAATTATTTTTGTGTAAGAATTTTTTGAATTAATCAGATTTGCTTACTGACAGTAAGTTATAATAATCAGGCTTATAATAACGTTATCCTTGAAAATAAAGAAAGTAGGTTTGGATTTGAGTGTAAAAAACTAAGAAATTATTAGAAAAAAATTTTTATGATGCTAGTTAGTAATTTGATTTATGAATAGAATTTTAATTTGATAAAAAGTTTATTTTCGATCGCAAAAATTAATTAGAAGATTAATTATGAAATTGATTAAAATATAGATAGATAGATGAAACGCAAAAACTAAATAATTATAAATTTTTGTTTTTTATTTATTAACCATAAATTTGTTAAAATATTATTTATTTTATATATTCAATTTGTTAAGGGTAAAAGATATTTTTATTTGTTTTAAATTCAATATGATAAAGTTCAACAGAGTTAGTATAGAAATATTGTTTATCGTGTGGCCTAATTCTATAGTTATAATAGGTTGTTTCTTCTTTCATAGATTTTTGCCACTTGAACGGATGAGATAAACTGATTGAAAGCCAGCCTAGATTTAAATCTGTCTTGTTCTTTGGTTGTTAATAAATTTTAATAGAAGTAATTTGATAGTTTTTTAATTTTACTGCTCTTAATTTTGCTTATTTTGTTATGGTTGTTAATTAATATAATTTTGTTGAAAAATTCTATTTATTTGCTGTCAATTTTAAGAAATCTAAAATTTATTTTTTTACAGCTTTGAGAAGTAAGACATTTCTTCTTAAGCTTTAGCTTTTGTTTTTCTAATTTTTTTCTTTTTTTATCCAAGATTTTCTAGTTCTTTTTCATAATATTTTTCTAAAAACATAGAAGAGAAGACACTTTCTTAAAATTCCTCTTCTAATTGACTTTACTTATAGGTCTTTGATGCATCTGATTAGCGATATAGCATCAGTTATCTTAATGCGAGTGGATGAAAAGAGAATTTCATTATTACTAGATAATCTATAAGAAGATACTTTACTTCTGAACTGCCTTAATTAGAATAAGGTAGAAGGTTTTGATTTAATGGATAATACTCAAATTAAATCGTAGATTTTATTCTAAACCCATCAAAAGTCATAATTTCAACTTCTTATTTCTGATATCCTCTTTATGAATTTTCTTTACTTACCATCATCAAGCGACCCATTGAAATATTAAATTAAGTTTTCCAGTCAAAAAATGAAATACTGCCCTTACGAAGAGCAATTTTAGCCATTTCTTCAGAGGACACCCCCAAAATTTCAAGCAGCAAAGGACTAAAACACTATGCTTTTTGAGTGTAAAAATCTTCTTCATCTCCAAAACCAATGTATGAACAAAAGAATTCATTAGGGTTTTGCTTTGATAAAATAGCTTTTGCGTTTTAATAAGAACTTTCTCTTCTTGTTGTTTTATCAATTTCATTAATTTCTTCCTATTTACTTTATAGTTGTTATCTCTTATAGTCAACATATTGTTAGTATTATTCAACTAGTTTTGCCATTTGTAAGGCTTTAGCAGTACCCAAGGAATAAAGCATTTATGGCAAAAATTTAAATTAAAAGAGGGGCTGCTAGCGTTGTTCAAGTTGTAGCATCAAAGACTTATTTTAAAGAGTGTAAGTGTTAGGACACATTTTATGAAATGAAGTATCAATACCATTCAACGTCTCATCGTCCATATTATTCATTACCCAGCGTAGATCTATAACCATTTCTCCACCCAAATTATAAGTATACTGTGTTGATGGGCTATTCAGTATTTTTAATTAATATTAAGTTGGGATATATATATAGTTAGCTTGTACAGCAATTTATTTTGTTTATTAAGCTTTTTTACATAAGCTTAAGGTATTAATTGCTTTTTATTAAAGAAAATGTAATTAACTAGGAGTATCAGTACAGTTAGCATCTAAACCCATATCTTCAGTTATAAATTCAATAGATTACAACGGATGAATATTTATGCTTGAATTTTGTTTGTTATGAGTTGTTGATAGTGAATCACCACTAAATTCTTCATAAATCTTTTATTGATGTTAATTATTTTACTCTTAAGCCTCAAGTAAAGTGAGTGATGGAGATTATTGAGTTAGTTAACTGAAGCTATGTTATTAGCGATCTTCAATCATTTATGATGTTTTATTTATATGAATAAATTATTTAGAGTTTTGTCTAAAATCAAATGAGCTATCGAGTATTTTATTAATGGAGGTGATTGCACAGATTTATTTGATTTTAAAAGTTCGTTCTTTTTGCTTTTTTTATTTCAATTTTACTTTTTTTAGATAGAAATAGTAAATAATTTAGTGGCTTTTTAATTACAATTAATTACATTAGAAAAAATTAAATCATTTAAAGTTAATATTTAATAAGAATTTTATGTGGTTTTTAAAATTAAGTTATGGTGCAATTTCTTCAATACAGATTTGATAGAACAAAGGATAATTAAAAAGTGATTCATTCATCCGTCCATTAACAAGTATTTTTTAATAAAATAATCAAAAAGCAAAACAAATCAAAACAAAACAAAACATAATTTTTTTGAGATAGTAAAAATCATAACAAGTATTATTAACTTTTTAAAGACAGATAGATAGATACATTATTTTTTTGTAAACGACATATATTTAGGATTGATTAAATTACTTCCCACTAAATCTTTGTGTCTTTGTTATTTATTTTTTGTTATTTTTATCTTTTACTTCTAAATTAGCAATTTAGTACCTGAAATACTTTTTATCTAAAATCAGAATTGCACAGAAATAATATTTTTTAATATACTCACTAAAATTCTAACTAAATTGATTAAAAGTTGCAAAATAATATTATCTTAAAAATTTAACTTTAGATATATTTTCAGATAAGCTATTTTATTTTTTATTTATGCTAACCCAATCCATAGTTATCAAATTCCTAAATATTAAGAGATGATTTATTTATAAACAAAATTTTTCTAATAATAGAAGAAAAAATATATTTAATTTTCTGAAATACCTTTTTAAAAAATATCATTTGCTTAAATCATTATTGAATACTTTTAGATACTGTAATTTCTTTTTTATTAAGGCAAACTCTGAAAAAACTTTTTCATTCAAATGATATCTAAATATGACTTATCAAAAACCACTTTTTCAAAATTATATGACTTGGACTTATTATATGAGAAATTACAGTATTTATTTATTTTAAAAATTAGTAAGAGTAATCTTTAGATAAGCTATGCTAAAGAGGTACTCTTTAATGAAATTTAGAAAAGCTTTACTGAATTTAATTAAGGGGAGAAAAATCATAAAATAGAATAACCGTCTATTATAAAATTTAAGTGTAATTAGGTCAAACCGAAGCGACTATAACGCTAGAACCATTTGATAATCTTTTAATCATTTTAGTTAATTTGTATAGAAATAAAAAACAAGTACAATACATTCATGATTAATTAGTATTAAAATAATAAATATTTCTATTAGTAGTTAATGTAATTTTTTTCATAAAAATATGAATAAATCCTTCCTTTTAATTTATTTTTATTTAAGCTACTCAGAGTCTAGGAACAGGTTACTGTGCAGAAGTATTTTTTTTCTTTAGGAGACCATAACTTTCAACATCAGCTTGTATTTTAGGAATTACTGAGGCATCATCGATAGTAGGAGGGATCTTTTCTATTTTTTCTCCATCTACAATTTTTTTAAGTGTTTGTCTTAAGATTTTACCACTTCTGGTCTTTGGTAGCTTATCAACTAGAATGCAGTTATTAAAAGAAGCGACGGGTCCTTTTTGTTATTTAAAAATTAATTTTTCAAAAATCTTATTTAAAATTTAATTAATATTTGGTAGTATTTTTATTTATTTATTTCATAAACACATTTCAAAAGCTAAATCCTTGAAAAAAAATATTTGTTTATCCAGTAAAACTTGTAAAAATTAAAGTTTATAATAATTTTTAAAGTTTTTAAAAACCAAAATAGCCTATGCATTTTATTTAGCCTTAATTCAAGGTTTTCTTACTAATTGTTTTTTTTTTTTTTCGATTATATTTAACTGAATACAAAATGTAGGATGAAATCAGTAATTAAAGTATTTAAAAAAACTAAGTTGCAAATTAAATAAATACCTATTTCTTATCTAACTATTGTTGTACATTCTTTTTCGAATTATTTTAAGTCTATGTTACCACCTTATTTAGCAACTACAAAACCAATGGGAATTTCTCCTTTGAAATCGTCTACTTTTGCTACAACAGCTGCTTCAACAATATTTGGATGCTTGAGGAGAGCTTCTTCCATAGCTGCAGTAGATAATCTGTGGCCAGCAGTGTTAATGATATCATCTATTCTAGCCATAACATTTAAATATCCTTTATCATCGAAGTAACCACTGTCACCAGCTAAGTAGTATCCTGGTGATTCAGCTAAATACTTTTAAATAAAGGCTTCATCATTGTTATATAAGGTAAGCATAAATGAAGGAGGCATGGGGAGTTTAATGCAAATTCTTCCAAGCTTATTTGGTTCAGTGACTTCCTTATTATCTTAATCAAGGATGCGGACATCAAAACCAGGAGCAGGCTTAATTGCTGAACCAGGTTTAATTGGGTGTGTGTAAAGATTCTATAGTATAATTTAAAACTTAATACAATATGCAAAATTTTATATGTTACCTTATAATTGCATGAAATAATCCAACCAGTCTCAGTTTACCAATAGTTATCATTGATCAAAACTGGTACATGCTTTTGAATCCATTCATATGTTGGCACATCACATCTTTCACCAGCCATAGATATGGCTTATAAAGAAGAGATATCGAACTTCTTAATCCAATCGCCATTCAAATCATCTCTAAATTTAAGTTCAAAAAATTAATTAATTAATTAATAAACTATTAAATTTTCAATTAAACTTTAAAAAATTGTTGTTAGAAATAATTTAGCCAAATAAAAATAAAATAAGTAAATAAGTTAGTATCTTTTGTAAACCAAGCATGCGTTTGGGAAATTTAATTAAAAACACTTTCAGATTGAAGAATTATTAAAAAATAAATTAGATCTAAATTAAATACTTTCTGATAGCTCTTAGAGCAGTTGGGGCAGTGTAAAGACCCTTAACTCTATATTTTTCAATGATTCTCCAGAATTAACCAGGATCAGGAGTACCAGTTGGTTTACCCTCATACAAAACTGTTGTAGCACCTTTTTTATTTAATAAAATTATGATTAAATAAATTTATATTTTTTTAGAAAGCTTGCGATTAATTTTTTTTTGTTGATTTCAAAAAATTAATAAAAAATTTTGGATAGATATTTTCTTTTAATCAATCAACCTTATTGCAATAGACAAAATTTTTTGATTAGTCTTTTTAGCTATTAAAACAAATTTTTATTAAAATTGCTGATTTTTGGATTTTTGATGATAATTTACTAATTGCTTCTTTCTATAAATAAGTTAATAAAAATGATCTATTTGCTAAATGAAAAAAGTGTTTTGTTTAAAATCTTTGAAAAAAAATTATTTGAATTCTATTATTAATCAACTTCATTAAGTTGAAGATTTTGTTTTTTAAGATTTACCTCTAATAAGGGGTCCATAAACTATGAAATGATGTCCAACAACCCAACCAATATCACTTCCAGAGAAATAAACATCACCTTTATGAATATCCATAATATGTTACATAGTCCATGAGGTAGCAACACAGGTACCAGCTGTATCTCTCACTATACCCTTGGGTTATCCAGTAGTTCCTGAAGTATAAAGAATATACAATGGGTGATCTCCTTCAACAGGGACACAGTCAACTTTTTCAGCAAACAACATTGAAGAATGATAGTCGAAATCTCTACCAACTTTAATGGGAGCAGTCACTTTGTCACCTCTTTACAAAAGTAAAACTTTAATACCTTATACTCCAGATATGTCAATAGCTTCATCTAAAATCTACTTATAGTTAATAACTTTACCAGGTTCAAACCCATAAGATGCACCTAATATCAAAGCAGGTTTAGAGTCTTAAATACGACCTGATAACTCTTTAGCAGCAAATCCACCAAAGACAACAGAATGAATAGCTCCTATTCTAGCACAGGCAAGCATACCAAAGACAGCTTCAGGGACCATGGGCATATAGATAATTACTCTATCACCCTTCTTAACACCTAATTTTCTATAAACACCAGCAAGTCTTGATACATTATCAAGCAACTCAGCCCAAGTGTAGGCCTTTTCTGTACCTAAGTATCCACATACATATTAAATAGCTGTCTAGTTTGCAAGTTCTCCAACATGACGGTCAACAGCATTGTAGCACATGTTAACTCTGCTATCTTTGAACCAACGCCAGAAACCAGGATTAGGGTGAGATCTATCTAAAATGACATCAGGTTTCTTGTACCAATCAACTAAATAGGTTTAATCTCTCCAAAAGTCTTCACGAGTTTTATCGTTTGTAGCCTTATCGAAAGCTATTTGGTAAGCATTATTGGGGTGGCTCATTCTATTTATAATGAAAGACATTTTATAAGCTTTGATAATAAAATGGAGCTATAAAAATTATTTACTTACTTATTTTAATGAAGATTGTAGTCTTTTTGAATATATTTAATTTGTTGCTATTTTTTTGGTAAATTAAAGATTTGATATCTTTATGCTTAATATTATTAATAACTATATTATTTTTGATATTGGTCAAGTATTTATAAGACGTATTAATATGCAATAATCGCTTTGTTTTGAAGTGTAAATTACTCACTTAAAAAATTACTGCAAATCTTATAATAACTGGTAAATTATGGTATTCAAAAATAAAAACTTTATATCAACATTAAACCCAACCTATAAAAATATCAATTTTAAATCCTCGTACTATTGTTTAACAAGAATTACATAATATAAAATGTTAAATAATACATTATTTATTTTAGCAAAAGTTGTTCATTTAAATAAAAGAATTTTTTTAGTTGTTTAGAATTCTGAAAGTGACGTAAAATATATCTCAAATGAAGAAGAATAAACCTTTGCTTTCAATTTATTAATCAAATTTGAATAAATCTATAAAAATGGTAATATATCTCTAAAAAATCTGAAACGCAATCATATTTTTAAATTCTAGAACAGCTCCTTAATTTAATCTCTACTCTAATCTCACTCCTTTTATTACGACATATTTTTTGCCAGATGAAATATAAATATTTCCAATAAAAATAAACATTTTTTTACCACTTACATCTAGTTAATTTTTAATTTTTGTGGTCAAATTGAAGAATTTGTAATTAGTGGCTTAAAATAGTAAATTTACTAAGAATTAATACAAGTTATAATTAATATCTGTACAACTCCAACAAAATCTTAATCATTTACATATCAAAAAGCGCTTTATCAGAAATAATCTTTAAAATATATTTTGTTCACCTCGCTTAAACATTTTTCTAGCAGTATCAATTTTTTTTCAAAGTTCTCCAATAATAATATCAAAGTTTTTAACTTAACATTTACAACATATATCCTTAAAACCAATAAAATGTAGAAATTTACAATAATTTTTAAATTTTGTTCATGTATAATAGCATTTTAACTTGAAGTAATTAAAAATCGAATAATAATTCATCTTTAATTTTATGCAATTTGAATCGATTGCATAATCAAAGCTTCATATATTATTATTTAATAGATATAAATAGAATGAAGAAATATACCATCATAGGTATAGTGGATTTTTGAATTTATTACCTAACTTTAGAAATGAATTTAATCATCTTTTATAATTATAAACGAATAATTAAGAGTTTGACTTGAAAATATCATTACAAATTTCATAAAATTTCTTAACTTCGTCATCTTTTCTTAATATCTTATAATTAAGATTTAATTTCAAAATTATACTTTAAACAGATTTCTAAAATTTATATTATTACTTATTGGACTTAATTTTAAGTATCCTATGCCTTTTAAAGTAAATTTCTAAAAATTTCAAGCCATACATAGTTTTCCTTGGACACTACTATTTATGTCATACATAAATGCTATATTAGTTCAATATATTTATAGCAAAATGTAGAATATTAAAAAAACAATTTAGTTTTTGAGATAATTCAAGAAATTTAAAATAGATTTCAAATAAATTTACAATGAAACAATTTTTATAAATTTGCATAAAATGACCTATAATTAACAGCTGGTGCATTCATACATAGCTTAATATATATATTATTGTGAATAATTAACATTTAAATATACTATGTTAATCATTTTGCAAAGAGATAGTTCTCTGTTAAAATACTGTTTTTAGTAATAATATATAGTTGTCTGCTCTTAAATTTCCATCAGTAATTAAAAACTTTGATTTCAAAATCTGTGAAGCTTTTATAGCTTGCATCACTTAAATTAAAGTCCTTTATAAGTTTCATCAGAAATAAGTAGAAATAAATTGGTTAATTAGAAGCAATTTGAATAGTTTATGGTTGAAAAAAATATGAAACAATTTTACACAAAATAACCAAAAAAATAAAGTTTATATTGCTAATATTTTAGAAGAGCAATTAAGATTATTCATTCATAGGTGTTTTTTGACCTCCAAAACTTTATTGAACAATCATACCCAAATGTTATTAAAGTACCAGATTTAAGCTATAAAATCGAACGTGGAAAGCTTTTATGACCAAAAAGCTTTGTGGAAGCTGTGTTTGTGTCTAAATTTACTATAAAAATGCTTAAATCTTCTCCACATACAATTAAAGAATTGTTGTCGTTCATTAACTTAATACTCCATATAGAGAAAGGCACTATATCCATTTTAAATACTTTATCAAATGTCTTCCAATTCCACATAATTATTATACAATCATCACCAGCACTTAATATATAATCTTCTTTGTATTTTTCCAGTGTATTTACTTAGTTATTATGCCCCTTTAAAGTACCATAGCATTCCAAGCGATTTAAGTTCCAAATTTTTATATTGTAATCTGCTGATGAGCTCATTAAGAGGTTGTCTTATTCGCTCAGCAGAGTTATATAAAATACACCGTCCGTATGACCCACAAGCGTTCCTATAAAGAGTAATATAAATAATAGGTATCCAAGTTAATATAATATATAAATAAAAAGCAGATATGTCATCGCTTTCATCATTTATATCTGTATGTATGTTATAATTTACATCAGATTTTAGATTAATTAACATTTTGTGACGTTTTTATTATACAAGTAAATGATTTTTAATTAACGGTCACAGTAATTACACTCACTAGAAGGAATAATTTTGATTAATACTTGTAATAATTATAAAAATAGATACTTTCTTTCTTTATTTCTTATTGGCTAAAGCAATCAATTCTTCATTTTAACTTATTCAGAAGTAATTAATGTTAACAAGTAAACTCTTCTCATTAAAGTTTTTATTTTAATGGTATTTATTTAATTTTAATGAAGATATTTCAATTCAAATAAAAAAAACGAATTTTAAGTTACAGAAGAAGATACAAAATTCTTAACTTGAACATAATCTGCTTTTTGATTTTTATCAATTAAAATAAAAAATTACCATCAGGTGACTGAGAGGCAGATTCGTAGTGCCAAACCTTAATTGTATTATCAAATGAACACGTAGCAAATAATTTATTTGAAATCTTGCATACACACATCAATATTTCATTATGGGCTTAGAAAGTCTTAAAGTTCTCTGAGTCGCTGATATCCCAAAACTTTACTACACCATCACTACCTCCTGTTATAATAATACTATCGTGATAGTGTATAATTGACATTACAGAGCCCTCATGAGCCTAAAATTCATCAATAAATTGGTTTGTAGCTCTATCAAAAATGAGAACATTATTTCCTGGAGATCCTGTACCAAATGCTATTGTTTAAGAATCAACTTCGCAAGCACACAGAATAGGATCTTAATCAATTCTTTATATACTCCTGTAATTAACAACACTTTTAGAATTCCAAATAGAAACCCTATTGTAATCTTCGGCTCCCTTTTATAAAATTAAATTCAATAGTATGAAAAATAGAAGAAAAAATCAAATTAAAAGATAAATAAATATTTCTTATAAAATAATTTACACAATTTAATTTGCAAAATTTGTTTTTGTAAAATAATTAATTTTTAAAATATTTTTAAAATCTACATTTTCCTCAACTAAAACTCTCTTTGCTTCTGATTCGTTTGAGACTTTTACAAGTTGTTCGCTCATGAATGTTTCTATTTTTGGTGATATTTATTTTAATATTAGTAAGCTAGTTTCACTTTCAAACTCTTTAATGTAGAAAGAAATAAGACGAAAGTCATTTGTAAGTTGCTCAATTTTTTATTTATCTGGAAAATCAACTACTTTTTTAATAATTACATTCATTTCATCGAAATCTTTTACTTTTACTACGTTTACCATCTCTTTTTCAATATCAAAATAAATATCATCTAGTTGTGGCTAAAGAGAGTCTAAAATTTCTTTGCATAAATTGTAATTTTTCTATTTAAAAGCAAGAACTTCTTTCTTAGTTTCATTAATCAGGTTAATTAAATTGTCTTAAAGTATACTAAACTCTTTTTCAACAGTTTAAGTTGCCATATTGAATGCAAAATCTAACTTTTTCATAAATTATTATTTCTCCTGAAGGAAAAACTCAATGTCCAATACTGACTTTTCTTTAATCACTTTCTTTTCTTTTTTCAATTTGAAAAATTCAGAAAACTTCTTAGCATACTTTTTAATTGGAGCATGATCAGTTTCTAGGCACTCATCGCAAAGTAATTTTTTGTTGCAAGTTTTAATTGTGCATACTCTGTTGACTATACCATGCTAAAATCCTTTATCACAATTAATCTTTGGAATCTTATCATCTAAATTTTCTAGCAATTCCTTATAAAAATTTTCATCATACTCCTAAATTTCTTTAACTATCTCCTTTTATTGAGATTCAATATCAATAAAAGAATCGCTTTTTTTCTTATCTCTAACAGTTATTGTCTTTGAATTTGATTTAAACTCTTAAATTGACATATTTAAATTTATTTTATAGACTACTTAAATATTAACTTCAATTATTTACAAAACTAATAATAACACAAATTAGACATGAATAAACGATAGAAAATACCCAAAAATTAAAATAAATAAATATCTGTATTGATAAGTATTTAAAAAAATAAAATAAATAACAATAATAATAATAATAAAACATTTAAAAAATTTAATAATTTTAATTTGTTTTTTCTTCTAAATAAAAATAAATTTTATTCCTTAAAAAAAATTATTTTTTAAAACAAAATTTAGGAAATTCAGGATTTGAATTTAAATTAGCACAGATACATCAATAAATAGGTTACAACAAAAATATTTAAATTTTAATTATAAATTAATGCTATAAAAACTAAATTTATTTATTTTTAAAATGATAACACATGCTTTAAATTAAATTTTTAGATTAAAAGAAAATAAATAAATGAAAGTTTCTAAAGATAATAAATAAAAATGTAGATATTATTAAATAAATTTTTCAGTTAAAATCGAGTTGCCACTTTTAGGAATCTTAAAAATTTAGAAATTCAGTAAATATTGTAATTAAATAAATTATGCATAAAATAAATATAGACATATACAGACAAGCATATATACATTCATTTAGAATCCAGGAATTATAATAAAAAGATTTTGTTGGCGGAAATAAAATTTATCAATAATCAATCATAAATAATTAACTATATAAATTAAATAAAGCAAAAAAAGGAGATTCATAAATACAAATCATATAATAATATATAGAATTATGCAAATATGAAAGGCAATAAGCAATATCAATATTAAGAAAAAGAAAATATCATCCCATTTACATAAGGTTTTCCTCCAGGCAAGAGTAAGACTATTAGGAATGTTAGAACATCTGCAAGTTAGAATGTCCCGCCTATAATTCATTCTAACATTTAGGCTAACTACCTTTATGATTAATAGATAAGCTAATTTAATGAGCAATTCAAGTAGCCAAAAGACTAAGAATATAATTAAGATCAGCAGTAGCATAATGAAGAAAATGTGAGATCATTTGTCAGATATCCAAAATCAAGCAGAGGAGAATAATCATAAACAAGCCACACACATACTGCAAAAGATTAGCCTGTAGTCTTAGATATCTAAGATCTTAAATAATTAAAGTGTTTTCTATTAGAAAATGATTTAGAAGAAGATACTGTGATTTCTGGAGAAGTAAATGGCCAATCAAACCATTACACAATATCTCATCCATCTTAGTATTCAGAAAAAAATTAATCAGAGTAAAGCTATTTTCGAGAAAAAATTCCACCATTTAGAGAGATACAAACAAATATTTTGTAAAAAACTTCTATGAACATAAATTAATAGGTTTAAAGCTTACCATTAAAGCCACAAAATAGGTAAAAGTCAGCAAATTAGTAACATAAAGAAAAATAAGAAAAAATTACATGCCAAAGCAAGCCATCAACTAGATAGGGAAGATATTGTTATGATAGCAATGAATTTAGTGATAAAAATTACCAAACAATATCTCATAATGAACCATCATAGTTAATATGTACTTGCATTAACATGAATGACCAAAATCATAAATAGCATGGCACTTTATAGGAAAAAAGTACAAATATAAATTCATTCAGAGAGCTTGTATTCTGCTAAATACACTCATAATATCAAAAAGGTATGTATCCCTTAAACAGCAACAATAATAATAATAATAATAATAATAGTAATGCTCAATGCTCATCTCATTCTAATTAAAGAAGACCTTTGACATAAAAATTAAATAATAACCAATAAAATGGGAAATAAATACAAAAGTAATAGTAAGATTTTGAAGATTCTACACTTTCTTAAAGTAACAATGAAATACAATCAAAAAGAACTATCTGCGTAAGGAAAAGGGGGAACTCTTAAAATTAAAAGCCAACTAGCTAGAACTCTTTAGAAGTAAGTCTCTTTTAATATTTACAAAATCCAATAAATTGTGGAGCAAATTAGAATATTATATTATCAAATGAATTTGGTAGAATGCACTCAAGAAGTGTTTTTTCGGTATCAAAAGACTAAATTTGCAATTCAAGCAATAGTAACAACAATAATGTATCATAAAATTATTTAGCAAAGAGCTTAGCTTAGTAATCAGAAGAGAGAAAAAATTTTAACAAAGCTATTCATAATGTTTTAATAAATTTCAAAGCTATGCAATAAACACAAAATAATCTTCCACCCATGAACAACAATATTATGGTTAACCACTAATTTTAGCAGTTTTCATAACCTGTAAAATAATAAATATCTAACTTAAAATAAGATGTAGAAGAAATAAATTAAACTAATACTAATGATCAGTAATTGCCAGCAAATACTCCCAATAATATTTATCTTAATAATAATGTAATCATTAATAATTATAATGAGCCAAACGCTTAAATTTAACAAAGAATAAATCTACCATCAATAAATAAAAATAACCAAAAACAAGCCAGATCTTTGAGCTTTAATGGTGCTAATTATAATAATAAGAATACAACTATTTATAATACAAATTAATAAAATTTTAAAATTTAAAATATCAACAGCAGCTTCTTTAACAATTAAAATGAATAAGAATAGTCAAATCAAAAAATAGAAAATCTTTACAAAGTATTTAATTGAATTTAGTAAAGAACATTTTTAAATAAATATAAAGACAAATAAAATTAATTATTCTTATATGTATCCATCCCATCCTTTTATGTATATAAACAAATAAATAAAATAATTTCAAACATTTTAATGATCAAATTTATTTCAATTTTAATATTCTTGGTATAAAATTACAAATTATTTGATAAAAAAGAAGGTTATTTATTTTTGTTGCAATTAATAAAATAAATCTTTTTTAGCTTTTTTTCTGATCATCTTTCAACTTTGTATCTTAAAAAAAATATACACTCATAGATCAAGTGAGTAAATTTAATCATTATAAAAGGATATCCACTAAAAAAAGGCAAGAAAGAATTAAATATAATAGGAAGAAAATTAATTACATCTTCTTAAAGAATTAAATTATTAATAATTAATAACGCTAAAAATTAAGATTTTAAAGAAAAAAGGCATATAAATCTATTAATTTAATAAATGCAGATTTAAATACTCTTAATATTTACCATTTTTATTTCTTCTTGCTTAGCTGGAAATTATCTAGATAATTATTTCTGCCAAAACGAAATTTGTAACCAGTACTGGGTAAATTGTAAGGATTAAAATTTAACTCCTGACTAAACTTAATATTGTGCTACAAGATCATTATTTTTAGGATGCATTGCTTTAATTGATCAAAATCTCTCACCATCAGTCAAGTACCAAAAATACAACGATTGTAGAAAATAGGTCACTTTCGATAATGGTAATTAGTTTTTTTATTTTTTGAACTGTTAAGTCAATTGCGGATACTAATAGCTATGGGTACAATGCAGCTAAAAGCTAAAATAAATTGATACTTGCCCAGGTACTGATTGCCCTTCTTCTGAAGATTTTTAATCATGGAATAATGATTATCAAAAATGCACTGCTGAACAAGATACAAATCTATGTTCATTTGTTTCAGATGATTTAGTCACTGACTGTTCTAACTCAGTAAAAGCCAAGTGCAAAATTTTAGCATCAAAATCAGCAGGATCATCTAATAAATATGTATAATTGATGTAATGCAGCTCAAATTCTATGCTTCTTATTTTCTCATTAATTGCCTTACTTAACTTTTTACTATTCTGAGATACCAGATAGATAGATAAATTAATAAATACATGAATTAAATAATTAGTCAATGACTTGGCAGAAAATTTTGAAACAAAAAAATAGTGAAATTTTCTGATCGTAGAGTAATTGAAAAAGCATTGATAGATATCAAGTATATTATAAAAAATTGAATAAAAATTAATATTATCTTCATACATACATACATACATGTAAATAAGTATTGTGATAAATAAGCAAATGTTAATATTTTAATGAATAAAAAATGTAATAAAAATAAATTTATTATTTGTTTTGTTGCCTACACAAAATATTAATAATCATAAAAAATGTATTGGTTCCTTATTTTATCTCTATGATTACTGATGAATTAGCCTATTTTTACAGAGAGAAATTCAAAAAATAAATAGCTTACTTTCTGTTTTATTATTTAAAGTTTATGAAATTAATAAATATATGTTAAAGCTATTGATTGCAACAAAATTTAAGCTATTTTTTAATTTGCACTTTACTTCAACAATAAATTTGGAAAATAAGATTAATTTTAGCTAATAATTACATTTTCATAATATTTACTTAACCCATTTAAATTATTGCAAAATTAATATCTAAATCAAATAAAAGGCGATCTATTGATTAATTGATTAATTAAGAGGTAAAGCTAATAAAAATAATTACCAAATAAAATTTTAAGTCATTAAAGAGTGAAGACAGATAGTAATAGTATTTTAGGTAAAGCAGATTTTTCTATTATCTTTGTGAATTAAATCAGATATTATTCATATTACCATTATTGATTGACAGATATTAATAGACTTTTCAATAATTTGATACTAATATTTATTTTATTTAATCTAGGATGGTTATTTTCTAATTACTTCAAATCATTCATCAAATATAAAAATTAAATTAAGTAAGTAAAAAATCTAAAAGATATTTTTTGTTATTAAAATGCAGATAAGATTGATATTTTAAATATTATGCTTGGTTTTTTGTACAGCAAGTTTAACTAGTGCTCGTCATACATTTTAAGGAACATCTGTAGCTGAGTTAAATGAGCAGTCTTTCCGCTAATTGACAGGAATTGGATCTGAAGACAAAAAAATTAAAGAAGATTTTATTGTTTTCTTCTACGCATATTGGTGTTCTTATTGCAGAAAAGATAGCCCTGCTTGGATTGATTTTAAGAACCAAAATAATAATGAAAACATTATGGTCTTTCACTGCCCTGATAACTAAGCCTTTTGTGAATAATTGTACGTGTATAGCTACCCAACTATACTTTTATTCCCTAAAGACACTTACCAATATTGTATATTCTCTGGAGTAAGGGACTAGTATGAAATACAAAAATTCTGGTCTAAAAAATGTGAAAATGAATAACTATATGAAATCAAAGTTTGAATAATGTATGAAAAGCTTAAATAGATATATATTGTAATAAAAATATTTTTTATTTACAAATTAACTAATTTAGTACAGTATTTTTATGAAAACAAATATTTCTACTTTCTATTTTAATTTATTAAATAAGCTAAATTTTACTCATTTATGGTCAAAATTGCAGACCAAAAATTTATTAATTTAAACATAAAAAAATTCGATTGATTAAAAAATTATTTTTAAAAAATGATCATCCATTAATCTAATCAGACTTTTCTTATGAATTTTTATTTCTCTATAAATATTTTTTAGGTTGAGATATCTTTGAAATAGATAAAAAATGACTAAATTGGTACTAAAAGTAAAAAGAAGAAAAATTTTTAATGATGTATTAAAATTATTCACACATAAACTGCTTAATTGTTAAGCAATTATCAAATAATTTGATAAAAAAATTAAATTTTTAAAACTAAAAATGCTTGTTTATTTCATTTTTATTTATTTTAAATTTAAGAGAAGAAAATGAATTGAAAAAAACATCTTGAATCATATTATGTGTTTCTTTTTTAAAAATATACAATAGTTTTTTTAATTTAATAAAATTATTAAATCATTTAAATTAAACTTATTTTATTCATTTTTTGGTTTTCTTTAAAAAGTATTTTTAGAAAGCAAGCAGAAATGATCATTAATATTACTTTTATAACAAAATAAATATTTTATTTCGGTTTAAAACATCCTATAATAATAAAAAATTCGACTAAATTAACATTAAAATCAGAAAGAAAATAAAGATTTTCAAGAATATTTTAAAATCATCCATAAATTGTGGAGCATTAATGAAATAATTAGGTAAACATATTTGATTTTTTTAAAGCTAAAAATGATTATTTTTTGATTTTATTTATATTTATATTGAAGTTATAAAAAGAAAATAAATTAAAAAAAAAATCTTCTATTATCTTTATTTTACTTTAAATGTAGTACAAAAGCCTATTTTAATTAAATAATATAGAACAAAATTTAAATTTAACTTACTTACTTAATTTATTTGTTTTTGTTTAAAAACTATTTTAAATTTTTTGAATATCTAAAAATAACAAATTAAGGGTGAAAATTTTAAATTAGTTAAAAACGGAACATGTTAGGTGTATAGATAGGAATAAAATCCAAATAAGAAAATTATAATTTAATTATTTTGATAACAAGCTCTTGATATATTCTACGATTATTGTATATTTAGTTAATTGATATTTAATTAAAACAATCAAATATAATTTGAAATATTTATTATGAAAATAAATTTTATTTTTGCACTAGTAATTGCTTTTGCAGTAGTTGCTTATGCTGACCATAGCTTTATTGGTACGATTGTTGAGTAGTATGATTAAGTAGATTTTGCATAAAAGACTGGTATTGGTCTTGGAAAGAAAAAAATGAAAGAAGATTTTTTTGTAATGTTCTATGCCGGATGGTGTCCTCACTGCCAAAGATTTATGCCTGTTTGGATTGAATTAAAAAAGGATAATATGTAAGATAATTTTATAGCAGTTCATTGCCCTGATAACCATGATTTATGTGAGGCCTTCGGAGTGTAAGGATACCCTACTCTTTTATTATTTAACTCTAAAGAGTATAAGTATTGTCAATTTTCAGACAAAAGGGATAAAGAAACTACATTATAATTCTGGAAAAAGAAATGCGAAGGAGCAGCTATGAAGGAAATTAATTTTAGAGTTGACACTGACTTTGAAAGCGAGGATGAAGATGAGGAAAACGAAGATGAAATTTAAGAGGCATCAGACTTAGATGGTTCAAAAACTATTGTGAATAAGAATAAAAATAAAACAGAAGACCCTAATTTAGATGAAGATGAAAAGAAGAAGGATGTAAAGAATTTTAGAGTTTAAAAGAACAAAGCATATTAAGATAAAATCATGAAATTTAAAGATTATTTTAAGAAACTTGGTCCTCTCACTGTTGTTATGTTAATAGGATTATGTATTTTATCTGTTACATTTGTTTGCAATAAGTGTTGCTCATATGATTAAGAAGATCCTTTTACAAAGACAGTGTTAAAAGGTGCTGATAAAAAATCTAAGTCTGGTTATTAAAAGCAAAGCAATAATAGTTCATACGTGTTATGATATCAATAAATTTCTTATGATAAAAATAAATATTGTGTATACATATAAATTAATTTATTTTAATTTAAGTGTAATTTATCATTTTACATTAGAATTATTTTGACAAAATTCATTAAATATTTAATTATATCTCTTATAAAAATAAAAGTCATCTGTTTATAATCGAAGTTAATTTACTTGGTTAGTAAATAATTAAATATCTCTTTAAAAATTTAATATAATCATTGATAAATATGTAGCATACTCTTTAAATTAAGTAAAAGTACCAAATTTTTAATTTTTATTATTCTAATCTCAAAATTAATTTTTTAATTTGATAAAATTAAGCAAATTTATTAATATATGTAATAGTAATAAAATATTATAATTAAGAAATTTTCAAATATCTTATATCAATTGTATTTTATTCTAAATTTTTAAATTAATATCAAGTGAATTAATAAAAAAAATTTCAAAAAAAATCTAAAAATAAGAATAAAGATTTGTTTATTTTAGGCTTCTGTTTAAAAATTTTTACATATTTATCCTTTGCTGCATTTTCTAAAAAAATATTTTGTTTAAAAAAAGCTTTATAAACTCAAATTAAAATTGTCAATATTATTTTTCTCATTTATTTTTACTATTAATAAAATAAGATCAATATCTTAATTTAAAAAAACAAGTTTTAAATATTTTGTAAATTTATTTAAGATTATTAATTAATTGATTTAGTTAAATTCATAAATTAGTTTTATAAAAACAAACTAATTACTTTATAAAATAATATTAGAGTTAATTAAAATAAATTGATTAATAATACAAATATTCATCGAAATATAAAATAAGCTTTAATAGAATATTATTTTAGCATCTCTATCAATTAATTAATAATTAATTAAATATAAGTAAACTTTAAGAAAATTACTTTTATTGTAATTAATTCATGTTCGAATTAAATCAAAGAAGCTTCTCAATTCTTGATTTAAATCTTCCGAGAGTTCCAGATAGTAAAGAATTAGCACTTTCCTATTAGTTGTAATCTTCTTCAATTTCATAGCTATTTTCTTCTTCTGAACTGTCATTAAAATTAGTTTGCTTAATCTATACACCAGTAGATTTTCTAGCAGCTACTACACGTGGTTAATTTATATGTACTTTTATTGGTCTAGATTGAACTGGATATACAAGAGGAGCAGTATGTAAATTATTTTAGGTATATTCTACTACATCATCTTCTACCATCTCAACACTAGAATTCTTTTTCCCTTGAGCTTACTTATCGAATGATCTTATAGAACTATTTAATAATCTATTTTAGCAACTTTAATCACTTTCCGAGTCATTCCCAACCTCTGGAATTACTTCAAGTTTCGACTTTGTAGAATGATTTTCAAAAATTTCTTTAGCATGCAAATGTTAATGCTCATGTAGATGGTGATCAGTAACAATTGGTTCGAATAGGTCATCACCTTCTTTGCATTTAAGTTCTTCTACTTCTTATGTATTTATTTTGTTGTCTTTCAAGTTTTAAAATTTGACCTAAGGAATATGAGAATTTAGATCATCACTTATTTCCTACTCCTCTTCTTCCTCTTCATCTTCCTAATAAGTGTCTAGGTCTATCTGAATTATTTTCTTTTCTTTAACTTCAATTTCTAATTCCTTTGATTGAGATTTTTTTTTTTCAGGAGTTTACATTAGTTCCTCGGTATTAACAGTCAGCTTTTCCATCATTTTTTCTGTTGAAGTAGTTTTCTCAACACTCTTTGTTTTGTTTTGCTAGTTATTTTCTACTTCAAAGAGTTCATTTACTTTTTCATTAGGCTCTTCTATTTGCATCTCTTCATTTGTAGCAGCTTAAGAGGTTGAATTCTATTCTTTGTGAATTGGTTAAGAATTTGTATCTTATTCTACTATTTCTCCTTCTTCTACAGAAATAGCTTTAGAATGTTATTTATCATTTTAAAGACAAACTTGATCTTTCTAATTATTCTAATTTTCATCTTTAGATTCAAAAATAGCAGAGTCCTTTTCAGTTTCTAGTGATTCTTATTCAATCTATGTAGTTGTCTTATCCTCTAAATTGCTTTCTTCAACAATCTCTGAAGTATTTTACTTTTAATTTTCTACTGGTAAAACAATTTCCACAGATTATTATTTCTGTAAGCTTTCTTGGTCTTCAAATGAAATATCTTATGGTAATTCTTAAACTTAGTTCATTAAAACCTCAGAGTAGGTTTTATCTTATAATTACTCTTAAGGCTTATATTCTTATTCTCCATCTAAAGGCTTATGCTCTGAAGGTTCTTTTGCTATTTCCTATTTATTTTCGAAGAGAAGTTCTTCTTATTCGTTCAAATTCTTTGAGTTCAACTTTTCATCACAATTAAAGCAAGAAGGATTGATCTCCTCTAATTACTATTGAGAGCTTAATTGGCTTTTAGCCTCTTTGGTTTCTTATAACAACAACTTTGGATTAGGATGATGTTTCTGTTCTTCATTTTATTTATCATTTGATTCATGAGTTACCTTAATAACATACGAGCTACTATCTTAAAATTGCTTCTTTTAAATAAGCTCTTTTTCTTAATGAGATTGTTCATGCTTATACTTTTAAAAGTCGCCAAATTGAGTTTCTAGGAACTAAACATATATTTCAGGAGCATGTTTCTTGATTTCACTTAACCTTTAAAAATAAAAATAATAAATTTTAAGTTCAAAATATAAACGATATTTACTTGTAGACAGTGCTCTTTGGTTTGATTCTAACGCTATCAATATGTTTTGATTAAATATTTTTCCATTCTACTAAATACTGGTCATTCGAATAGTCATGAATTTGCATACTTAAAGCTTAGTGACCTTTCTCAAATGAGCCTTGAATATCTTCAACCTAACTCTCTTCAAATAATTTATGTAAACTATCCATTCTAATTGGAGAACATGCAGAATTCGATACAGTTTTAGCTTTAATAGGATTTTCAGATACAGATTCCATTTTATTCGATTAAACTGCAGAAGGTGTCAAGTACTGTTATTGTTAAGGTGGTGAGATAATACTCTTTTTAAGGATAAGCTTTTTGGTTAGCTTTAAACTTTATGAATTATGATCTTAATCTAGCTATTTTTCTAGCTTCTTAGTTTCTTATTCAGAATTTGAATTCGATTAATCATCTTCAGTATGAGGCCTTTTAGGTAAAATTTATGACAAATTTCTCTTTTCATTTATCTTGGAATTAAAACCATTATTTTTCTCTTGTATTTAAGATTTATGTCTGTTTTCACTTTCAAAATAATTTTAACTCTTGTTACTCCTATTAGCATGTATAAGTTAACTGTTACTTCTGGTGTTTCTCTATTCATGATAATTAAAGTCAGAAGAATCCTCATCATTTAATATTTATTTAAAATGATCATTTTAGGTAGCATCGAAATACTTTTTCAAAATTTGATCTTCATCTGAGTCAAAGCTATCTGAATATTTAGAGTTTGATTAGTGTTTTTTTTCAATCTAGATTGCATTTTTTCCTTTGTTTTACAAGTGAAAAGGTTTTATTTTTGGAGGTTTTTATTTTTAATAGTGATTAGATTAATCATTTTATTCCTAGTAATTCTTCTAAGTTTAACTCCTTAATTAAATTTATTGTTTCTACTAGATCTGTTTGTCATACTTTTAGAACATTTAGCTGAATTCTTTCAATTCTTAGTCAGATTCAAAACTGCAATTAAGTAATTCATCTTACAATAAAAATTCATCATCTTAATTTGAGCCATATTTTTTTTAACTTTTAACTAACTTGGCTTCTTGATTATTTTAATCTTCTTTCTTTTAAATTTTGATAATTTTTTTCATTTTTTCTGACAATTTAATTTAGAATTTAAAATCTTTTTATTAATTAATATTAATAAATTTAATGAATCTGAATGCTTTCTATTTATATCAATTTTTACCAATTTTTAGAATACATTATTTAATTGCTGCAAACCCTCTAAAAAATTGACTAAAGTAAAATTTTTTCAAATTAAAAAAATTGCACTTATAATTTATTTTAAACAAGTTAGTTTTTTTAAATTAATTATTAATTTTAATTAATTTTTTTAAATTTAATTTTGTTTAAAATTTTGATTGAAAATATAAAATTAGGAATAATATATTTGATTATTTAGATGACAAATTAAAAGATTTTTCTCTTAAAAATATTCTTGCTAAAAATAAATACACTAATTTTATATATAGTTAGATCAACTATTAGCATAAAGAAAATATTTAGTTATAAATATGTAAGCAAATCACAATTAAAAAAATGTAATAATATAATTAGTAATATGAGTATGGTAAAGTTGATTCTAATGAGGTATAATTATTAAAAATTTATGGATCGTATATTTTATATTAAGCTTAACTATTTATCTATCTAGCTGATTACATTAAGTAAATTATTGAGAAAATTTTTTATTATACATGATATTTGAACCAAAAAAAAGATAATCAAGAATAAGTGAGTATATAATAATAATAAAGAAAAAAAAATTATATTCCTGATCATAAAAAAAAAATCTTGAAAAGTAGTCCAAATTACAAATATATAAAGCAGATAGAAAAAAAGTAAGAATGAATTTAAAATTATGTCTAATACTAGTTTTAGCTAGTGTCTTAACTCAGAAAGTCTTAGCCGATTATATTAGCCTCCACTAATGTATTCAAAATAGCTGTTTTTCACTTTACACATACTGCTAAAATGAAACTAAATGTAAGAAATCTTATTAATTAGTTAATTTATGCTCTTAAGTTAATCCTGAGTTTGTTGGAGACTGCATTAACAACATCCATAACTATCTACACATTAGTCTTTAATAATGTCTCACCTAAAATTGTGGCTACAATTCTTATTATGAAAAATGTGGCATAACCAACTCTAAAATTAGAAATTGTATTGATGTTCCTGAATCAGATTGCTACTAGAAAAATGGTGGTAGAGAATTCAAAGCTAATGTAGATAAATGCACAGCTTAAAACTATTTTGACTAATGTGGTACCATAAATCCTTCATACAAAGAATATGTATTTAGATGTTAATAATTAAACATACTTTCCTGCTATTAAACTAGTCTTCCTAATGCTTCTTAAACAATCCAAGAACTATTCAAATGCTCCTCTCAAATATTAAAGTTATTTTTAGCTGCCTTAATGGTAGTTTTAATGCTTTGAGCCAGTTTAATTCCTAATAATAAAGTTTAATTCATTCTAATTTATGTAAATAAAATGTTTAATTTTATAAATTATGTTTAATTCTAAAATATTTTGTATAAATTAAAAAGTATATTAGTACTAATCTATTAAAATCAAGACAAATTTATATGCAAAAAAATATTTGGATATTGATTAAAGAAGCAAAAAAAATTAACAATCAATCCTTTAACTTGGAAAAGCTAATAAATAAGAAAAAAATTATAATAACTAACTAATAAAAACAAAAATCTAAAAAAGTTTCTTTTAACATTTTTCCTTAAATTTATCTTAATTTTTAGTCATTATTTTTACATATTGTTGATTTTTTATTTTTTTATTTAAAATGCTTTATAAATTTAATAAATATTTTTTTTATTGACACAAATGAAAACGTACTACGTTTATATCTATTTAGATACTATATCTCATCAATTTCTTATAACCAAATTACTCATTTTTATGTCTTTTTTTCTGTTTATATCTTTTTTACTTTAATTTATTTTTAATTTAATATGAAAGAAAATATCTATTATGAATTTATAAATTTATTTTGATGTAATTTGATTTTATATATTAATTAAAAAAATATTAAAGCCAACGAATTAAAATTATTTCTGCTTAATTTACAAAAAATATTTACAAATAATGCTTGAATTTATTGATTCTATTTAATTATTATTAGATTTTTTAATATCTTTAAATAATTTCATTTGTTAGTGTTTCTTACTATTTTACCAGGACATTTTACTAATTTAGAAGCTGATGAATTATTACTTGAATCTCTTAAATTTTTTCTTTACATAATTTTACTTAGTTCATTTTGGAGTGAGTCTACTGATATATGATCGTTTTAGTGATTTTGATGTATGAGAGAATGGGAAGGTTCAATATTTGAAAAATCATTCTAATTTTGTAGATTGTTTTCATAGTTTGTTGTCTAAAAATTCTGCTAAAATTAATCTCTTTACTAATAGTTTTGAGACTGATTCAAATTTTATTCAAGTGAGTTATGATTCCCTTATGAATAAAACTTTTTAATCAATGAAGACTAGTTTTTAATTAAAGGTCTAGACTCTTCTGTTGTTTAAGAAGTTTGCAGCTATTACTAAGTATATTGTTGAGTTTATATTTATTATTATAATTAGTTAAATGACTATGCTGAAGTTGGAAGAGGAGGGATAAGTTGGTTGCTTAGTAAATTGCTTTAAGCAGGAGAGTTAAATTATTGGTAGGATTATATTTTATTGAGGGTTTAAACACTTTATTAAAGGTTATGTTCGCTATAATTATAGCTATTTTGAGATAGGCTATTAATATTTTGATTTAAATTAAGTTGATGCTTTAAATTTTAAATGGTATTCTCTTTTTCTTGCAGCTAACTTTTGTATTTATTTTCAACTGTATTCTCTTAATCCTTGAATTAGCTCTCTATTTGTTTGGTATATTCGCTTAGAGCCAATACTCTTTATGTCATTTTATTTAACTCTATTTAAAAAGTCTCATTCTGCTTAATCAACTTTGAAATTTTATTTGCATCTTTTTATGCTTTTAAACTTAGTGAGTTTTCTTTTTTTTATTGAAAATTATTTTAAGTGTTTTAAAATAAATATTAAGGAATAGTTTAATTAAATTTATCTAGTAATTCTCCTATAGACTATAAAGCTTCCTTCTCAAATCCACTTGAAGAGCTTTTTTAGCAATTCTTATCAATAATTCTTTTAATTTGCTCAGATAATTTGTCATATTATTAAGTTTTTTTTGATAAAAATGAATTTTTAATAGTTTTGTTTGGCCAGTAACCTGAAGCAGCATTACTAAAATCGCCTTTAACATTTGTTTTTTTTATTTTAACAATAAATAATACAGAGAAGACTCCTTTTCTAAAAAGCTTATAAATTTAATCTTTCCTTTATTACTATTAATTATTCTGTTTAGCTTAGCTAATGTTATGCTTTTCTGCAAAAGGGTTTAAAACTTAATTAAGAGTGCTAAAATACTCAAAAAATTTTTTGCATACTATAACATCCATCGATCTAGTTTATAATTTATTGTGCATATTAAAAAACCCATATAAAAATTGCTCGATTACTGAAGTAAATAATTATATTTTATTTTCCATATTTTAAACTTCCTGCTCCAATTTATAATAATTTTAATTAATCTTTTCTGCCTCAAAATATTTTTAAGAAACATCTATAAATTCTTTTTCTTTTTGCTGCTAATCGTGCTTTAGATATTCTATTTCCCCTTAGAGAGACATGATTTGATCATCACAATTATAAAGTTTGTTTTAGAATTCTTATTCATTCTATTCAAATAATTCTTTCATCCTCATAATTTTTTCTTCATATTCTTCTTTGACAGCAAATAATGTATTTTCTTGTTGTGCCTTATTTAAAATAGTCATCTACTGCAATTATTCTATGTGATCTTGCAGTTTTTCAATATTTGAATTTAAATTTTATTACTAGCTTTCTAAAATTGATACTTTCTTTTTGTACATTCCAACCATTTATGCAAAATACCCTATTCTAATTTTTAATTATTCTTAAGGAATCAGAAGCTCTAAATCAATATATTGCCTTGGCGTATTTTAACTAGTTATTTACTAGCTCTGAACATTTTCGACTTGATTCTAATTTGATTTTTTTCTTTTTGTGATAATTTATTTTTTTTATGTAGTTTTTGGAGGTTTTGTATTGCTTTTACTTCTTTTTTGTTCCTTTTTGTTAAAAGAATCTAAACTAGCCAAACGATTACTTATAATAGCATTCTAGAACCCTCTTATACTTGCTCTACTCTAATTAGAAAAGCTATTAGAAATAGAAGTATCTTAGGCAGATTTATTATGAGTTTGGTTTTAGGTTTAATTATCATCATCTTAATCTTCTTCATCTTCTTCGTTACATTCTTCATCATCATAATTTTAATGTTAATTCATGTTATAAGAGCCTTTAGAGTTTACCTCATTTTAACTCTAGTTATGACTATGATTACCTTAAATTAAAGTAGAAGTTTAGTTTTTTATTTAGAGGAGTGCTTGATCTCCCTCAAATTCGTCAAGCTTATCTTTAGCAAATTCAGAGATCTCTTAAATAATTAAATCTGAATCCCTCTACATCCTCCTATTTATTTACTCTAACTCAATTAATTACTCTTTCAATTGCAAATTATCATTTATTAGCTATTCACTCCTTTTTTTAATTTCTGCTTAACATTTTTTTGATTATTATAAATCTCTTTATAAAATATCAATGTTTTCTTCTAATGAGCTCTTAGATTAGATTTGTCTAGCTAAGCTTGCTCTTGTGTCCTCAAGAGACCTCATTGATTCCTCATATCTCATTTTAAGAGCACTTAAATCGACTCTTAATTAAGAATTTTCTGAAGAAAACTTTTGATTATCTGCAGTTAATTTTTCAACTTTTTAAATTTATTGCTCCATTTCACTTATCTTATCTTCCTTTGAAGCTAGTTTTTTTTCCAATTTTTCTATTTTCCCTTTGCTTTTGTCGTTGGCTTATTCTAGTTATTCAATTTATATCCTCTTTTTCTCTAGCTCAATTCCTCTATTTTCATTTTCACTGAGCAAAAGAGCCATCTATTCTCTACTTCCAATCGTACTTTACTAAATCCCTTTAAGTACTCCCTGTTTATGTTTAAAAGCGTATAATTGAAAAATAACTATTTATTTAAATATTAATTAAATTAAAATCTACCTTGACTTGGCTAACTTCACTGATAAGATTTTATTTTTCTATGTCATATTTTTCAATAGCTAATCGATACTGTGTTATATCTGATTAGTATTATGTTATTTATTCATTTTAAATTTGTATTCTCTACTAGAGCTAATGATTAAATTCCAATAGAGATTCATTCTTCTCTTAAAGAGATAATAAACGAATATTAAAATCATCCTCATTAAACCTTATTTGCTTCTGTAAATCATAAAAATTTTATTCAAGCTAAGTCTTTTCAGTTTCAAGTTCTTAAACCTTTGATTTTAAATTAAATATACTTTTTAAAAATAAAAATGAGTAATTAAGATTACTTATTCTTTTAAAATGTCTATTTAATGGTCTTTCATTTGCAAGTCATTAGTCAGGAGTTTTATTTTAGTTAATTACTCTTTTAATAATCCTACAGTCTCATTATTTCCACATTATGTTTATTAAGTAGTTTACAAATTGAATGAAATATTATCATTAGTCAAAAATGACTTTTCTGTTGATTTCATTGTTAGTGTTCTTTAATCCTAATAAGGTGAATTTTGTGTATTGATTAAATTTTAATTTGTTTCATTAACTTTTTCACTTTATGCATTTTATAAGCTATTTAAACTTGTATTGTGAAGAATAGATAAATCACCATTTTAAGTAGATGAATTTGTTTACTTTGTCAACAATCCTTTAATGCTAGAATTCTTAGCTATAATTTTTTCTAGCTAATCAAAATTCATTAGGTTTTGTTAAATAAATGCTTTATGTGTATTTTATTAAACTAATTTTATTAAATCCCTAACTAAAATATTTTAAATTTGAAATTGCTTCACTATTATTCTTGATAAATTTTTGTTTTAATTTTAGTGATATTTTAAAAGATATATTCAAAATTTAATAAACAGCTTAAATTTATAATTCAAATAAGAAATACATCAAAATATTATTTATTATTTCTCAGAATTTTATTATTTGTAAATCTTTATTTACTTTTTTATGATTTAGCAATCAATCAATATTTATTTAGATTATTTTTAAATTTTCAAAATAAAATCTTGTAAAAATAGCTTTCTTTTTATATTTCTACCAAATAATCATTAATTTTTTTTTTTGAAAATAATTAGTTGATTTTAGTATGCTAAGTGATTGTTTGTTTTAAAATATTTAATGAATATAATAAATTTAAATTAATAGCTAATTAATTTAAAGCACAATCTTATTATTTTCTTAATTTCTAGCAAAGTAAAATAAGTAGCCATAGCTTGATAATAATAACAAACTTCTCAAAATACTTAACAAGGATAAAAATATTAATAGGTATACTCTCTAAAATATAAATATAGGGTACTATTTTTGAAATTAGTAACAATGTCAGAAGAAATAAAACCCGTAATTGCTTCATGCAGTAATATAGTACTTACTCATGATTTATAAAATCCTTATCCTCTACTGAGTAAAAGACCACACGAAGGAAATGTTAATTGCGTAGTATGGAACCACAACAGTAATTAATTTATTTAAACATTAATCTTTTTTTCTTAGCTATGTTAAAGAATAAAAAATTATTTTTAAAACACTTTTTATGTAGCAAAAGAAATTTGGTTTTTGTATCATTAATACTTAAATAAGAATTTAGAATTTAAATTGCAATTGAAAGGAAATATAGAGTTTTTATTTTATATAATAATTTTAATAGACCTTGTACTAGCAAGCTGTGGTAATGATGGTAAAATAGTACTTTCTAACTCAAGAAAATAAGGAAATCTCATATAATTTGATGATGATATTTAAAATAGTTCTCCATTAACTTCAATATAATTTACTTCTGCTTCAACTAAATTAGCAAGCGGAGGAAGCAATGGAAGAGTTAAAATATACGATTTGAAGAATTAATGTATAGCAAAAACATATTCTAATCATTTTGGAGGTGTAACTTGTGTTGATTGGCATTAAAATGATTACATTTTAGCAAGCAGTAGTTAAGTTGGCGATATTTTTCTATATAATACAGAGAATGATTAATAAGTAGCTACATTTAGTGAAAATAATTCAGTTCAGCAAATAAAATTTTCTCCATAGAGAAATAACTACTTAGCTTCTTGTTGTGGAGATGGCAGAGTAAGCTTTTGGGATGTAAATACAAAATAATAAATTGCTGTCTTTTAAAATCATCAAAGTAAAGTAAATTCTGTGACTTTTTCTCCCCATAACAGAGTACTTGCAACCTCAGCTTCTTTGGATGCTACAATTAACTTATATGATATAAACGAAAAAAAAGTGGTCAAGAAACTATCATGTGATTCACCAATAACTTCACTTGCTTTTCATAGTGATGGATACACACTTATAGCTGGTACATTGTATGGCGAGTTGATGGTTTATGATCTCAAAAATTTGCCAAAGCCTAAGCTACTGCTTGAAGGTCACACAAAAAATTAAGCAGTTAACTATATTAGTATAATAAAAAATAATGAATCCAGATCTCAAGTAAATTCAAGTGCACCTAATTCATAATAAGCACCAAATAATAAAACTAGCAGCTTAAAAGACATTTCATAAACAAAATACCCATAAAATTTAAGCTAAGCTAGTAATTAAGAGCAATCAATTTAAGGCACAAAATTAAATGGTAATTAATTAATTAACTAACTTATGCTTAATCCAATATAAATTATTGAAAATATTTTTTATTAAATCATAAAAATAGATACAATTTCGTCTTAAAAATCAAAAACTTCAGAAACATCTTCTATAAACCCTTCCAAATTTAAGTAAAATAAATATTATTTAAATGAAAGATTAGACTTTTAAATTAAAAAATAAATTGCTTTTCAAATGCTGAAAATCAGAATTTTGATTGCAATGAATAGTTTTTTAATTATTTTATAAAAAGCCTTCAATTTTTAATTAATGCAATAATTTTTAAAATAGCTAAAACAATAATTATGGAAATTATTCTGATAGAGATATTTAATAGAAATAAATAAACAATAATAACAACAACTATAATATGACTTCTCCTTCAATAAATAACTCTAATGGAAAGTAATTTAGTAACAATTAGTTTGCACAACCATTAAATTAAAACACTAGCATAAAAGAAAGTGGAATTTAGTAGCAATCACCAGCTCCAATATCAAAGTAGTCTCAAATATCTAATTCAAATACTCTAGCTAATAACACAAACTTGCAAAATATTTAAAGTGGAAAAAGTTCTCAAATAATCTAAAATAATTACGATAATCAAAATATATCTACAATTAATTCTTAGTTGGCCAGAAAATCAAGTGCTAATTATCAAGAAGAAGACAATAAAGGATAAAATGGACTTTCTAAAAACTATAGTAGCAAGCATATCTATAATTAAAATTCCATGATTTTAAGCTCTACAAAATAGTCTACTTTATTATAATAAAATTAATTATCTTCTAGTAAATTATAATCACCTGGATAAGAAGATTACTCAGAGATGAAGAGATCAGGAATAACTAATGTTCAGCCCTATGAGTTACCACCAAAAGCCTCTACAATGTAAATTATTATCATTTTTAATTCATAGAAAAAAATATTAACTGAATTATTATTATAAAGAATAGAAAGAACTAATGGCAAAAACCTATCATAATTATAGTAATAGCCTTCACTGCCTACTTAATAAGGGGATGATTTTACAAGCAAATAAAAATAATATATTAAAAATATGATGGAAGACTATTTTTTAGATATGAAATTTAGCTTTTCCGAGTAATTTTAGAACCTGCATATCGAAATAATCCGTTAATTTTAAATTTAATAGGTAATCTATTATTTTAACATAAACAATTTAAATACTCTTTAGTCAATCAATCTACTTTTTACATTTAAATTTATAATAAAAGCTAATTTTATTTTTTAATTTGATTGCTTTTAAATAAATTTAATTATTTAAAACAATTTTCTTAATAACTGATATTAAAGATTATTTTTAATTTAATATCATTTATTTTGACAATTAATTATTTGTATAAAAATATGATTTTAAAATTACTAAATTTGTAATAATTTATCAAATTTTTTACATTTAATATAAATTAGAATGAGTTAACAGCCCTACTTGAGTAATATGTGAACAAGAATAAAGCTTTGGAGGAAAAAATGTAATAGTTGTAGTTAGAAAATGATAGATTAAAAAAATCAACTTATTGAAGTTTGTTTGATTAGCTAATTAAGTTAAAAAAATTTTGGAGTGTTTCTTTTAAAAAATAAATTTCAAATTATTTAAAAATTAAAATTAAGAAAGATTAATCATTTAATATTAGTTTTAAACATGATAAAAAAATAAAACTAGATTTCTAAATTTATTTATTCTTCATTAAATTTAAAAAATCCTAATCCAATTATATAATTTAACACAAGTAATTATTTATAAATATTTAGATATAAATGTCCATAATTTATGTTCTTAAAAAATGTAAGCATTTTTATGTATTCTTATTTGTAAAATAAATTTTTAGTCTTACTATTAAGTTAAAAATATGGTTTACTTATTATTTATTAAAATATTAATATATTATTTTAAATTATTTAATATTTTTAAAGATATTTCATATAATTAGTTTAATTAATTGTTATATATTTTAGCCAAAACTCTAAATTTTATAGCATCTACTAATTTCTAATTATCTATCTATTTGATTGATTTTTAGATATTGTTCTATCTTATAATATTTTTAGATTAATACACAGCAAAAATTTTACTTGTGTTGCTCCTTTAATTTAGACAGAATTTATTAATAATTAGGCTTAACAATTAAGAAGAAATTTAAGACAAGAAAAAATTTTTTCAAGGACTTGTAGAAATATAATGAGAAGAATTAATTATTTAAAAATCTGATGAATTATATAAAATTCTTTGTAAATTTATTTATTCATAATTTTTTAATTTATATCTTGACTAATAATACAAATAAATTATTATAAATAAATAAAAGTAGAAAATTTTAATAAAAATATCACCATTAAATAATAAATATGCTTTTGGAAATTCAAAGCTCATCTTTAAATAATTCTAGTCAATAATGTATAGAAAATTCTTAATAACCTCTGAATACTTAAAAAATTGAGGATTTAGATATAGAAAATGCAGTTTATTTATAAAAATAAGATTACTCAACATTAAAAGATTTAAAAAAGCATATAAGCACTCCTTTTTTGCATTGTCCTTAAGTTACATTTAGATATACTTAAGGTTAAGAAGGGTTAGAACTTACAACCTACTTAAAAGAAATTAAAAATAACATTTAATGTTTTGAAAATATTATATTTGTTATCAAATTGTAAATTTTAATTTAAAAAAAATAATTTTATTAAACTAATATAATTTTAAAAAAAGCTCTAAATCAATTGACGAATGCAAATAAAAATATCATAAAACTATAATAGGAGGGTATTAAAATGAGTTTATGATAGAATGTAATATCAAAACAAAAAAAATCAAACTTATCTTAGACTATCTTACTCAGTTTACATATATTGAAGATGTTATGATCTAGAAATATGCTTTACAACAATCAAAAGTAAATTCATATAAATGTTAAATGAAGTCTTAAATTTTTTAATACAGTTCAAAAATTTAGAAGGTATCCACTTACAAAAAGAGCTTTTTTAAAACTTATACTTAATAAAACAAATATCTAAATTTAATACCGTTGAATTTGCAGTGTCTCAGTAAATAAATTACTACTCAATTAATAATTAAAACTAATTTTTTATTTATTTATAGAGCGTTTTTACCAATGAACTTTTATAAAATATTGGATGTATGGAGAGATCTAAGAGTCTTAGTTATAAGTTGTGAGAAGAGTAAGATAACAATAGATAACCTTAAAAAAATAATGTAAATAAAGTTATTTAATCCTCAAAGAGAATTAACAAAAATGATTTAACCTATCTTGGGAGAAAATATTTCAGAAAACTATTAAAAAATAATAATATGTGATTTTCCTTTTAATTAAGATGAGCTTGGGGGATTAGAAAATATAAAAAATATAATAAAGTTAAAAATCGATTTAGACGTAGATTTTAAAATTCAACCTTATTCTCCCATCGAACTCTTTAAATACTTATCAACTTAAAAAAATATGAACTCTCTTTATTTTAGAGTAAGTTTTTAAAGCATTTTATTTTTATTTAATTAAAATAAATTCTTAAAATATCTTAGTGTTTACCTTATCCTCCAACTTAAAGACTCAGCCAATAAGACTTTGGAAACATTTGCACATAGATTATTAAAATTAAAAGTTTAACTAATTTATATTTAGATATGAATTTTAACAACATCTAAATAGAAAGAATTAATAGATTAGAATTTAAAATTAATTAAAAATAAGTTTATGTAAAATTTTTAAAATTACTCAAAGAAAAATTCCCAAAATTGCATTAAACTAGATGGGAAGTAAAATTCGAGCTTATAAACATGTTTCTTACTGAAAAAATGAGAGAATTGAAAACTACTTTGCCTGTTTCTGATAAAAACAGTAGAAAAAACCCTATTTATTCAGAATATTTCTGTAAATTTTGACTTTTAAAAAATAAACATATAGTATATTTATAAGTTTTCAAATTAATTAAATTATTGTATATTTATAAGCCACTATTTTATTTTATATTTGCATTTAAATTAATAAAATTATTTAAAAATTTTTTAATTTAATGTAATTAATTAATCATATCATATTTTTAATTTTTTAATATTGATAAATTTTAACATGTATATTTAAACTGAACAACTTTCTTTTTAATTTGAATTTTTGTATATAATTAAATCAAAATACAATAAGTTATAATTATAAGTAATAACATAATTTAATAAAATTAATATAAATTTAAAGATTGTAAAATATTTTTGATTATTAAGAGATTTATAAATGAATTTCATTTTTAAATTTATATTTAGATACTATATTTATCAAAAATTTTATTTGTAATTTTTATCTAAGTAAATTTATTTTCTAAATATCTCTTCTATCAATCAATCAGTACTCATTACCAGAGCTTTAAGCTTCATAGTCATTCACTTTTTATTAAACTATTTTGTCTTGCAAACAATTAATAGTCTCTACTAATTTCATATAGTCTTTATCATTCTATTCTTGAAGGTAATCTAAATCTCTAATCATGTTATTGTTTAGCTTAAGCATATTCACAAGATTAATATTTCTTTAATATATTATTATAAAGAATCAATATTATTTTTAAATATAAAAATATAAAAAATTATGAGAAAAATAAAAAAGATTTACTTATTGTTTTAAGGCTATTTTGAGTTTTATTATAAAATTGAAGTTCTCATTTAACCAAAATTAGTTGGAGCTTTGATAATATTTGATTTTCTTAAAAATGAATTGTAATTATAATTTTATTTCTTTTAACTAACTTCCTGAATACTTAGCTGTGATTCACTACTGCAAACACTACTGTTTGATTAATCCTCTTCATCTAAACTTAATTCTATAAGTTTTTTAGATAATCCTGCTTAATTAGTTTATTATTTTAAGTATTATCTGCATGATTTATGAGTGCAGCCTATTCCATTACACTTTTGTTCTGAAAGCTTTTTTGATGCTATTTACTGTACTCCTAAGTTGTTTTTATTGATTTCAGAATTATTCTGCATAGTTCTTTGAAGTTATTTAGAGTACTTTTCTTAGAATTACTTGCTTTATTCAGACATGTACACTTTATTAATTAAATTTAATTCATCTTTTCTACTTAGCAAAAAGGGTTTTTTCTCATCCAAAAAGAAACCTCTTTTCTTTTTGATTGCAGCTATTTTACTAATTAGAAGTTTATCTTTAATCAATTTACAGTTTCCTAAAAACTTTAAAAAAAATAAGTTAAGTTCAAATAAAAGTTAAATAATTTGATATAATCATGAGTACATTAATATTCATTACACAAATTTAACATCTACTAAAACAAATAAATATTTATCAATTTTCATAAATTATTTTGTTTAATTTTATTTCTTTATTTATTAAATTAAAATTTTTTTATTTTTTTGGGTCTTTAAAGGTAAAATTATAAATTAATATAAAATAAATTTGATACCTTATTGATGTTTTTATCTGACCATAGGTCTATTACACCCATAGTACCTTTAGGATCTCCATCAGCTAAATCTTCTAAGACAGGACGAATTTAAGCATTATCCTATTTTTCATATGACTTAAATGCAAACTTAGAAAAAGTTTTTCTTTTGTTTTTTAACTCATTGAATATTTAATCATATTATTCGATTCTTTTCTTTTTTTGTTAAATCAGTTCTTCATTTTTTTTATTTAATTATTCTGGGAAGCGAGCTTTAGTTGTCAAATTGGGGAAAAAATCTTTCATAATTTGTTCTGAACTTCTAATTTCTTTTGGAGGATCATTTGTAGCAGTTGCAGGTACATTTAAATAGGATTTTCTTGTCTCGAATATTTGAGATGACTAAGATGCTATTATTTTAGGGGCATGACTTAGTAATGTAATCTGATGAACAATAGGAGCCTTTTATTCTTACTTTTAATTTAAATTACTATTTTCTAAGTACTTTGAAGCAGGAGGTATTGATTACTGTTTTTAAGGAGATAAACTAATACCCTAATTAGAAGTATCTGCTAAATTAGAATTTTCTTAGCTTTTATATATTCCATGAATTTGATCCCCTAACACAATCGATTTCTTTCTAGCAAATTGCATAAATTCTGAAGAGCTAAATCTGTCATTTGCAGTTGAAAACGTTTATTTTTCTTCGTTTTGTCTATTTCCTCTTGGAGTTGATTACTTTTTTAGAGCAAAATGAGATTTTCTTGATATATCCTTAACTAAGTATTACTTTTCTTATGAATTTTATCCTTTTATTTATGAACGGGTGTTCTTAATATAAAAAAATAAAGAGATTAATTTCGCATTTAACATGAAAAACCAGTAATTTATAAGCATTTTTAGCTATTAAACTAAATAAATCAAATACAATAAGTCTTAATAGTTTTCAATTATAAATCAATAATTTTACTTTAGAATCTTCAAAAACACCTTGTAATTGACTCTCTATTAGCGATTACCTTCTGGATAGTGTGTCATTTTACTAATTAATAAAATTGCTAACATGGGTTTCTTTTTATTTCATAGGGAGAGTTTCAGATGAAAAATAAACCTGGCTTTGTTATGATCCATTACTTGTATATGTAGTGAAAGGTGTTATTTTTTCTTTTGATTGATTTAAAAATTTTTTTGAGAATTTTGAGTCACTCGAAGCTGGTGTATATTAAGTTTTATTGAATGAGTCTTTTTGCTTTCGTGAAAACAATCCGCTTGAATTAGGTGTAATCGTGTTAGGTCTAGATTATCTATTTATGTTATCTTAATTTAAAAGATTAAGTTAAAATGTAATATTTAAAAAATAATAAAACCTTATTATTATTATTATTGTTGTTGCAAGCTTGGATTTTAAAATATTTTTGAAATAAAGGATTTATGATCTTATTATTTTGGTCGGGTATTAGATTTTACTGATTGAGTTATTCTATCTGGTATTGCTAGAGTTTATAAAGACACTTGGTTACTTTGTGAAATATTCTTATTGATCATGCGATTTTATTTTGCTCTAAATTTTTAAAAAAATATGTATCTTATAAATGGATCTAATTAATAATATGAACAAAGTTCTATACATCATTTCTCGAGATTTCATCTATGAAAAACCTAACATTTATGGTAGTTTTTTTGAAGAGCAACAAAACGTATTTTCAAAATTTTAATAGCTTCAAATGTATTTCTTTGTTTTAATTTAATATATAATATATATCAAAATATCTATTCCGCGAAAATCAATGTTAACCAATCTCTTAAGCATTCAATTAATCAATCAATCAAAAATTATATATATAAATCATAATTTTTTTCAAGATGAAAAAATATTAATTAATACATTTCTGAAGTCAAAATTTACTTTTTAAATTATATAAACTTAATTTCCTTTATCAAATTTGTAATTTTTTAAATTTATAAAATAGATAATATAAACTTTATTAATCTAAATAGCTATATAAAAATGGTATTACGAATTTATATGTCAAACGAAATATTAAAAAGCCTAATAATACATAAAATCTTTCATTAAAATAAATATTTGCTAAAATTTTTTGTATTCTTATGTGAAAGTATTTATAGTTGCTTTCAAATTAATATAAAAGTAATTTTTTTAATTAATTTTTGGAACATTTCTTTATTAAAATTTTATTTAGGTTAGCTGTAGTTAACAACTTTAAAAGTATTTATAGGTTAAGGAATTTTATGAATTTATTTATTTATTTTCAGTTAATTTTTCATTTAAATTTAATTTAAAATGTTTTGTGTTTTACATTTTTTTTTAAATACTAAAAGTTAAAAATTTTATTTAAAAAATTATAAAAATAAATAGTCAAAACTAATTTTACTTTTTATTATTGTTAGAAAATATTTTATGTTATTAATTTACTTCAGGATAATAAAAAAGTTTACTTTAAATTAAAATATGTTATTAATTTACTTCAGGATAATAATAAAGTTTACTTTATATTAAAAAAATAAATATTTAAAATTGGATTTCGAAGCTCATAAAAAATTATGGAAATTACATAAATAATTTATAAAAATAAAATGAATGTAAAATATTGATTACATTAATTTTTTATGATTTAAATATCAATAAAATTTTATGAAGATATCATTGCTTTTTTTAGGTGTTATTATAGATGGATTATATCAAATACTTATTATCCATTAAATAAAACAAAAAATGCAAATGTTTTTACACTCACTTTTAATCACCCATACATACATATTAAAAATCTTGATTATAGTATATTCAAAGATATAATCTTTGTGATTTAATTAAATTAATAATATTTAATTTCACAAAAAAAAAAAGGCAAACATTTTCTGACTATTGATTGATTTGCTTATTTATTATAATTTATTAGATAATTAATACAACTAAAATTAATGAAATAAAATTTATAGCAAGGCAGATCTTAAACAAGAACTCCTATTAGAGCTAAAAAACTCGATAATAACTACCACAATTAATCAATATAGAGTACAGCAATATCTAGTTAGCTTAATAACTCTTCAATAGAGTTATCTATATTCAACTCAAAGGATTATAAATTTTAAAATTAATCAACTGATAGCATCATTTTTGATAATAATATCAATTTTCAGTAAAACTTTATAGAATGCTCAAAGTTTGAGACTAGCTCATAAATTTTAATAGATAAGTATTCAGGAAGTGAGTAATAATATCCTCGTATTTAGCAATAGAAATAGCATAAAGCACACTCCTCTGCTGATAATAGATACATTTCTAACTCGAATTAGATATAAAATACGGATTTTATATAAAGACCAAAAAGAAGACTTTCTCCTAAATAAAAAGAAGTCAACAAAATTATTAGTAGAATTTATGAAGAGAGACTTTTTCCTATATTGATTAAGGAGTGTTCAAATGCTGGGATATTAACCAAAGAATAAGTTAAAGATTATGACATAAAATAGCACTTCAAAAACTAAAAAGCAGAAGAATTCATGCTAGGAAACAAACCACTTTTGAATAAACTTAATCTAAATAGTAGCTATAACACAATTGGAAATTATACAGGAAATAACAAATACTTAAAAGTAGATTTAGATTATGAAAAATTAAAAATAGATCCAGAAAAAACTAAAATTACAAAAAAACAATAAAGAATTAAGAATTTTTTCGAAGGCATTAATCCTGCTTAAATTAAAATGAAAGTATTACCTCCATTGAGGCCTGTTTAATTAGCTATTGAGGAAGTTGAAGAGACTAGAAAAAAGAAGTAAAAAAGCAGTTCTACTCATCTTGATAATATATAAATATAGAGAAGCTCTGTTATTTAATTACCAAGCTACATTATTTCAAAGAAATAAAAAATAAAAAGAGATTAATCTTTGACATTAAATAATAGCGTTTGCTCTATTAATGTAAATAAAGACATAGATTCTTAAGAAGTAAAAGATATTTAATAGTATGATAATAAAAAACAATTTTAGTTGGAACTTGATTCTATATTTAATTCAAGTTAAGTACAGCATTCATCAGTTTATGAAGTTGATGTAGACAAGTATAAAAAAAGAATAACACCAACACCTATCAAAAAAAACTTTATGCCTACACATTACAAAGATCGCATAGTTGCTTTGAATATAAAATTTTGATGCCTTTTATCTATAACTCACTCAGAAACTAACTCACTCACTCACTAATTCTTAATATATTAATTAATAAAATTATTTCAACTTATTAAATCCAAAAATTATACTCAACTCTTATTTTTTCATTTCTTTTAGCTATATATCTTTCTTTATATAATAAATGATTTATCAAATTATTATTGCTTACTTTTCTAAAATATTTATTCAATATGTATTTTTTAAATTATTTGAAGTCATAGATGCACTATCTAGTTTTAATATTAGTTCAATACGCTAAACTTAAGTTTTTCCCTATTGAAAATCAAAAATTATCAAACTTAATAGGTATGCAATATTTTTATCAATATAAAATTTATAGAGATTATATAAAAAAATAATGATTTTTATAAACTAAAATATAATTCAAATTAATTAATAATAAGAAAATTTAATGAATTATACGAAAAATAGAATCTTTTTTTTAAGAAATTTAATTTATAATTATTTGCTTCATCTTATTAGGCTGATTTGTGAGAAACTTCCATCGAGCTGCGTTGGTCTAGTGGCAGGATTATTGCCTTCCAAGCAATCGGCTCGGGTTCGATTCCCGGACGCAGCATTTTTTGAATTTATTATAATAATTTTTAAGCAAAATATTTTGACTGTAAAAAAAAAAAATGCTGCGTCCGGGAATCGAACCCGAGCCGATTGCTTGGAAGGCAATAATCCTGCCACTAGACCAACGCAGCTCGATGCATGTTTTTGACTAAAATATATAATAAGATGAAGGAGAAAATTTTCTATTAAATTAATTTTTATGCAAATTTAAAAATGCTGCGTCTGCCCTAACCAAATTTGTTTAGAAGACAATAATCCTTCCACTAGACCAACATAGATTGGTACTTGCTTTATAAATTATATGTAAAACTTTAAGCAGAAATTTATAAAGCTTTTAATTATTTGATGATAGCTTAAAAATATTATTAAAAAATGCTGCGTCCGGGAATCGAACCCGAGCCGATTGCTTGGAAGGCAATAATCCTGCCACTAGACCAACGCAGCTAGATACTTGTTTATACAAATAAAATTAATAACTTTAAGCAAAAATTTATTAGATTTTAATAAATGAAAGTAAATTGATTATTAAAAAAATGCTGCGTCCGGGAATCGAACCCGAGCCGATTGCTTGGAAGGCAATAATCCTGCCACTAGACCAACGCAGCTTGGTACTTATTTTATTAATTAAATGTAAAAATTTTAAGCAGAAATTTATGAATTGTTTAAAGCTCACTAAATAATTCTTAAAAAATGCTGCGTCCGGGAATCGAACCCGAGCCGATTGCTTGGAAGGCAATAATCCTGCCACTAGACCAACGCAGCTAGATATTAATTTTTCAAAGAAAATTAGATAACTTTAATCAGAAATAAGTAAAAAATCAGAAAATCTAAAAATATATTTTCTTTTTAAAAAAATGCTGCGTCCGGGAATCGAACCCGAGCCGATTGCTTGGAAGGCAATAATCCTGCCACTAGACCAACGCAGCTTGTTATTTGTTTAAAGAAAAAAAATTAATAATTTTAAGGAGAAATTAAGAGAATTTAAAACAGTTTTAACTAAAATTATTTAAAAAATGCTGCGTCCGGGAATCGAACCCGAGCCGATTGCTTGGAAGGCAATAATCCTGCCACTAGACCAACGCAGCTAGATGAAATTATTGGTCTAATTTTTATTTTAAAATAAAAAATAATCTTTAATAAATTCAAGAAATTAAAAAAAATTAGCATTTTGAGTTGACAAATTTATTCAGTGTGTAAACTGGAGTAATTTTTTTTTGAAAGAAATATTTATGAATAAAATTTGTTTTAATATTAAAGTTAATTATTATTACTTTTTGAATAGTAAGTTAATTGATGACAAGTGAATAATATTATAAATAGATAGATTTACTAAATTAAATATAAATTAAAAAAATTTTTTTTATTTTTAAAACATTATTTAGATATTTTATTAAATAAAAATAGTTTTCTGATAAGTTATATTTAATAAAATTTATTTTAATTAGTTAAAGAAGAAAAAAAACAAATAATAAATTGTGTTTATTTATTATATTATTAATTTAAATTTAAACTAAATTAAATTTTTGATGAGAGATATTTTTTGTTTTAGATTTTGAAAACATGTAAAATAAAATTCCTATAAAAATGAGCATAATAATCTAATAATAATTTTAAATTAAATTAATTAGTTTTATTTGTTACTTAAATCTATTTAAATCTATACAAGATATTTTATAAAAAATCTTTAAAATCAAATAATAAGTTGTCATGAAAAAGCTTTTAAGATTGATTAGACTTACTAGGGGTAATTTGAATTTCATAATATATATTCTTTATTTATTAAATTCTTTACAGTCATAGTCATTTTATACTATTCGTATTAGGAATCAGTTAAAAGCTTTTTCTAAAACCTTATCTTTTTTTATCTTTCCAAATGATATGTTTTTTCATAATTTTTTTGAAAACATGCTTAAAATTGTGGTGAGGAAAAAAATATAGAAATTCGCACTTTTTATCAAACTCCCAATAGTAGATAGAAGTATCCCATTTCATCTTTAATAATGTTTCGAATCCATAAGTAAGGCTATTCATTTGGTATTACTAGTTAAATAATGGATATTACTTAAAAGCTTACTATAAGCTATTTCTTTGACTAAGGGAAAGCGAAGGCACCCTTTAATTTATTTCTTAAATAGAAGCTTATTAGTTTTATTCATTTTCTGAAGAGTTAGAGTCAATCTACTAAGTAGTATCATTTATCTACTTTTTAAGCAATTCAAATACAGAATATTTATTTTGTGTTTTTTATGCTATTTAAGCTTATTATCCTTATTCTTAAAAGATATTAATGCTAGTTTGTTTTTGAATTCTTTCTTTAAAAATAGGTTTTTCAAATTATTCCTTCTTATCATAACTTAATCTCCTATTAAGAAGAGATTATCTTAAACTCTATCTTTGTATAGCTAATTTACTGACCTATGAGTTATTCCTAAAAGTATCTCCAAATGTATTAGATTTAACATACTATTGGTCTTTTTTGGAATTGTTGATCTAATTTTTACAATAAAAATTATTGAGTTAAATACAATTCATTCAAAATTACTCAATATATTTCCTTAATTTATTTAATTTTAAATATTTCAATAAAATTTAATAATTTAGGGGTGTGTAAATCTTTACTTCTTATACGTTATTAATACTATATAAATTTTAATCTATATATTTTACTATTTAGTTTACATTTTCAAGAGAAGATTTATTTGGATAGTTGTATTTATTTGATTCATCATCATTCTCTACTTCTTCTATAGTTTCTGTCTCTATATTCATATTTTTATTTATATACTTTTGACTAATATGCTGTGTACTTTAGATTTGTTATTATGAATAATCCATTCCATAGTTAAACTCATTTTCTATGTAGCTCGTATTTTCATCGTCTTCATTCATAGATACTTTTTAAGTTGATGTCCCATTATCAAATTAGTGTTATTGCTTTTCTCTTTTCCTAATAAATTGATCATTTCTTTACTGAAATGGAGAGTGTATATACTTAAAAAGCAATATTTTAGATCTTTTAAAATAATGAGTGACACTACAATCTATGAAATGGTGATAATATGATGAACAAATTAAACATTTTGTTGAAATAGCATAAGTCTCTTTATTTAATTGTATTCGATGCTTGATTTCTTAGTATTTCTAGTAGTCTTGCTTATTTTTTTTAACAATCTCAATGAATTTACTTGTATTTATTTTGGCAACAGTTGTATATTTTTAACTTCTGACTATGTATGGAAGAGGACTATTAGTAAAAAACTCACACTCACCAAAGTATTCTCCTACCTTAAGTATTTTAATGGTTTTTTTACCATCATTTTATTAGTCAATCATCTTTTTTTTATCATCACACTAATATTAAATCCTTTTTTATATTTTTTCATTTAAAAAAAAGTTTCTAAAAATAAATAAACAAAACGTTAAATCTTCGTTGTTCTCATCAAACTAAAACTCTTAAAGTACCTCCACTATTATTTTGTAAATTATATTTATTAATATTACTTTATTTTAAAATTCAAATTTACCTTTTCCAAATGTAATTAGATAAACACAACTATCACCAGTTGCTGAATCAAAGGTATTGATAATTTATCCTTCACTGTAACATTCTTCTTACATGATCTAATAGATACTAGAAAGTGTATTTTAAGAGAAACCATCCAAAAATTTTAATTATTTAACTATATTTTTATTTGACTAAGTAACTAACTTGTTCTTCATGTGATAACTTAATTTTTTTAAAGTTTCTTATTCTAGATCAAACTGAAAATTTTACTATTATTCATACTAGTTTGAGAGATGAATATTCATTATTCTCTATAACTCTCTAAAAAAGAAATTGAATTATTAAAAAAGGTTTTAAATTATAATTGATTTAATTTTTTATTAAAACTTTTAAAAGCTAATTAATTTAAATAAATTAAAATATGAATCAAATTAAATTACAAATCAATTTTTTTTCTTTGCATATATTTATTTAAGATATTCAAATCTTTTTTATAGTTTTCAGAATTAGAGTTTATATTTTATATGATATTTCCTAAAGTGTTTACTAAATAGGCATACAAAACACAAGAAATAAGCATCCAAAAAGAAGTAAAAGCATACTCATACTGACTTATTACTGAAATAGAGAAGGAGTTACCCATAGTATGAAAAGCCCAAAGCTGAGCTTCTATATATATACTCCACCAATCACTTTCATTGGCTATTATTTTACCTGAAATTTCAATAAATAATTAACGTATATAAGCAATTTAAATAAAAATGAAATTAAAATGTATACTACAACTAAGCCATGTTTATTATATACCTAGAATATTAATTTCAAAATGAGCCAATAAAGAGTAGGAGCATGCCATTAAATGGGTTAGCAAAAAGAGTTGAATGAGAAGTTTAAATATTTGTAATATATAGTGTTTTTTTAAATGCTAAAGGATCAGAAATTCCAACTTAACTAATATGATAGACATCCCTTTAATTTTAAGTAGTAATGGGAGCTAAAAAAGGATATTAATTAATTGATTTTAAGAAGTTTTTCCCTCGAAGATTAAGGGGAGAATTTCAAAAAAAAAATAATCCTATAAATAGATTTTAAATAATTGCTTTCTATCAGTGATAAAATCTCCTTCGTAGTATGTAGCTGTATTCATTTATATTAGCATTTCTGTAACCCATGCTACTATTGCAATATAGTTAAAAAGATGCTATAAATCCCCAAACTCTGCTTGAAAAAAAATGGTAAATGAGATAATTAATAAAAAAAAGCAATTATAAGAAACTATGATAGCATTAATTAAAATCCTAAATTTATTTTCAGGGTTGAAGAGAGGTATTCTATTTAAGATTAAAAAAAATCCTTTTTCTATTCCATTGTATATAGAAATTAAAAAGAATATGAATTTTTAAAAGCAGTTGTTTTCAGATACTCTACTGCTTATAAAGTAATCTGATTTATCTGCTATTAGAAACCTGCTGTTGCTATCCAATTACCTAAACTTCCCAAACATAGTATAGTTTTATAGAAATTTTAATATTGAGGGTTTAATTACAGTCAGCATTCTAACAACTTTATCTAAAGTAATAACCTAACTGTTGAATTTCCTTCTTACTGACAAATATGATCCTTGAGAATACTGGCTTCATAATAATTTTAAAGTAAAATGTGATTTGATTGTCTAAATATACAAATTGCAAAAATAATAAAAATAGTTAAAATAAAATAAATAATTATGCCTTCAAAAGTTAATTATAAATTACTTTTAAGAAATTCTTGATTTATATGATGATGCAGTAACAACTTACTTTTTTGAAATGTTTAAAGGACTGTTAACAGTACAGCATTTTTTATATTATGGTTATTAATTATACTATTTAACTTCGATATCACCATTTTTTTTGTGGTTTTTCATTAAAGTATCAAATATACTGAAGTTATTAGCTAATTTTGTATCCGTCTTTTATTAAAAATTCTTTTATTTTTCATGATTTTCATTATTTTCTGCAATATCATCATCATAATTATCTTTTTTTAATAGAAACAAAAGTACTTTAAATTATCTTGCAAAAGATAAAAAAAACAAATTATATTTTTTTAACTTTTTTCATGCTCTTAAATTCTAAAAAATTTACTTTCAGCATTTGAAGAATAATTTACTTAACTAGATGAGCTTTATTGTTAAATTTATTCATTTTAATTATCTGAAATTTCTACCTTCTACTCTTTTTAATACTCCAAATAGTTTTCTTGACTATCATTAAACTCATCAATGATAAAAGTAGAGTCAATCTTTTTACTTATTTCATAAAAAGAAGAGTTATTAGCTCCATCTAGCTTTACATTTAGCTTGCTTTCTTAAAAATAATCTTTCTGGTTAATCATAAGTAGAAGTATTTTTAATTATTAATTATATTTGTCTTTTATCACTTTCTATTTAGTTCAGTTTTTCAGTCAATTTATGAATTAAAGGAAAAAAAAATTATTAAATTTAATTAAGAATAACTTTTATAGTTATTTTTAAATTTCGTGCTTGAAACATCAAAAAAATATGTTGGGGAAGTAAAATTTTTGATTAATACTTATTTAATAAAATAATCTTCATTTATATAGGAATATAAACTAGCATGAAGAGTTAGTTAATCAATTTAGATATAGTAACATTTGTAATGAATTTAAATTATTCAAATAAATGTTAACAATTACAGGCAATCTAAAAAATTGATATAACTGTTTAATGCATAGATTTTTTAAAAATTATTTGATTAAATTTCAAATAAAATCTAGTAATATGATTTCATCTATTTAATATCTACCCTATTAAAATATGGTTAATGTCCATGCTAAATTAAAAATTTTAATTTATTGGTATACCGTAATTTTAAAAAATATTTGGTTAATAATAACTTAAATTTATCAAAACTGTAAGATATTACAATAAATTATTAAGAAAATTGCTAAAAATAATAAATTTTGCTTTTTGAGTAAAAAATTTGTTAAATAAAATTTTTATTAATTATTATAATAATTTTAAATTTAAATTATTTTAAAAAAGAAAATTTATAAAGCTGTATGTAATTCATTAATTAAGCAAGTAAATATATAAGCTAATTATTTGATAGAAAATTACATAAATTATTTTATAAAATTAAAATATCATTTTATATTATAATATGAAGTTCCAGCTTTTTTTAGTTTTTTCTTTTTCTTTTCTTTAATTAGATTTTATCTTTTCTCGAAGCTTTTCAGGACATGCTTACTATTACTTCTAGGAAAGAAGTAGAGGAATTCACATTTTTAATCAAACATCCAATAAAGTATTGTAGTGTCCCATTGAGCTTTGTAAAATGCATTATCAAAAAAAAATCTTTAACTACCATTTTAGAATGAAACTTATTGCTAAAATGAATTCTTTTAGAAAACTTATAAATTGTTATTTTTATTATTAATTGCATTTAATTCATTAGTTTTATAATGTAATTCTTATTAGAAATGCAAATTGTCATGATCATTACCTAAACTTTTATTATCAAAATTCTAAGGAAAATTATTGGTAGCACTTTGCCTATGAGTACTAAAAGTTTAAGGAGTAATCACTTTTGATGAAAGCTGTTTATTAAAGGCATGATATACACCTTAGTAATTCTAATCTATATTGTTAAAACTATTTTATTTATATTATTTTTCTCTATCATCATACTAAATAACTTAATTATCATTCTGATCTTTTATTTCTATATTAACGTTATTTGAAAGTCTTCTTATAACTATAGAAGTTCTGGCACTTGATCTTTTATTATGAGTGTTAATATTGCTGCTTTAGATATTACTATTGCTATTGTTATTTACAATAATAGGAGCTAATTAAGTTAAGTTATTCCCTATAGAATTATTTTTGACATTACTAGTTTCATTCACATTTAATTTCTTAATTTTATAAATAATTTAATTATTAAATATTTATATTTTATAAAAATAATTCTTAACATTTTATAAATTAATTTTTCAAAAAATATTTGAAATATCAAGTTTAAAAAAATAAATAAATTTTTGGAAATGTATGTAAAAAATATTAAACCTAAGAATTTATTGCTAATTATTATTTTATCAACAATATTACTAAAAAAAAAAAAACTAATAAATCAATTTAAATTACTTATGGCTCTAATTCTTTTTAAGATTGTTCGCTATTTAATTGTTCTTATACATTTAGTGCAGAAATTCCATAGCTATCTTTTTTATTTAAATTAATGCTAGGAGCTTAAGATTTAAATTGCTTTTATTTAGAAGACTCATCATCTTTATAATATTCATGAAAACTTTCTTAATCATCATCTAAATAAGGAATAGACTATTTGTTTTAATTTTAGTTTATCATTAAACATCTTGAGTGCTTTCCCTACTTTCTTTAATGGTTTTAATCTCTTTACTACAAAGGAAAATAAGAATGCTTAAAAATAATAAATTGAGGATGTTTTGGAAAATGAGTTTAATAGCAATCAATAAAATTGTGATTTCGAGCATTGCATATTATGCAACAATTATAAATTTAATTCATTTCATTGTTTAATCGAACCTTATGCCTTATTTCCATAAATTTTTGGTAGTCTTATTTGTTATTATTAATAATTTCAATAAACTGTCTCTAAGATATCTTTATGACTATAGTTTGTTTACTGCTTTAGACTTTATAAGGAAGTTAAGTATTAACAAAAAAATCATATTCTCCAAATGATTATCCTGCTGTTAATCTTTTTATTACCTTTTATCCTTTTTCTTAATAATCATGAGATTTCTTTTTTTCATCAGTTTAGTACTCTTATCTAATATTTTAAGTAAATTATTTTTATTTTACTTAAACTTTACACATTTTAAAAATTTTAAAGTATTTTATAGCTTTAAGGTTAAAATAATGATTTATAATTAATTCATATAAATAATTATTACATGAAATCGCTTTCTTCTTCGTTGTATTAAAAAAGCTAGATAATATCAACTAATTAATTAATTAAATAAATAAATAAGTTTACATAAAATAATTTATATTTATTTATAGAAAATATTTTACCACTCCCTTTAACAATTAAGTAAACATAACTATCTAAAGTAGTATCATCAAAAGTGGGTATTATTAAACCTTCAGTATAACTCTCTTCTTACATAATTTAATAAACTGATGTTAAAGTTTACTACGAGAATTATTTTAAAAAATGAAATTATTAGATTATATTTTTATTTGATTCAGTAAAAAGTTTGTTTCTCATGTGATGACTTAATTTATTTAATGTTTCTTTTTCTAGCTCAAACTACACTTAAGATTATTATTCGTATTGGTTTTACAAGTGGATATTCATTATCCTTTACAGCTCTCTTTTTTATAAATTATTAAATTATGATATTAAAAATTTTTCTTTAAATAAAGCTTAAAAAATATACAAATCTATTTTTTTTCTCTGCATATATCTATTTAAGATGTTAAGGTCTTTTTTATAGTTTTCTGAATTAGAATTAATGTTTGAGAGTATTGTTCCTAAAGCATTCACAAGATAAGCATATAGCACACATGATATAAGCATCCAAAAAGAGGTGAAAGCATATTCTTATTAAGTGTAAACTGATATAGAATATGAATTTCCCATAGTGTGGAAAGCCCAAAACTATGCTTCTATGTAAGCAGACCACCATTTATACTCTTCTACCATAATTTAACCTAATTATATAATAATAATCTTTTCTTTTGTACAAAAATTAATTAAATAAATGTTAAAAGTAAATAACTAAGTAAATTTTTATGCTTATTTATAAATATAAATTTAATTTATTAAAGACTATTTTTTCCTATAATTAGCAATTAGAATTTTATTGTAAAATTATTATTTACTTTTATTAAGCCAAGTTGTTTAAATCCCTAATATATTAGTTTCAAATTAAGCTAGAGCAACATAAGAACAAGCCATTAAATGAGTTAGTAATAAAATCTATAGTAATAACTTAGAAATTTAGAGTATGTAATGCTTTTTCAGGTGTTAAAGAATGAGAAATTCAAGTTTAATTAGCACAATAGACATTCCTTTTAGCTTAAGTAATAAGGGTAGCTTGTAAATAATATTTAAAGCTTAATTTTATGAAGTTTTTCCTTCAAAAATGAGTGGAAGAATTTCAAAAAAAAAATAATCTTTAATATAAATCTTGAAAATTATTTTTCTATCTGTAATAAATTCTCCTTCATAATAAGTAGATGTATTCATTTAAATAAGCATTTCGCTCACCCATGCCCCAATCGCAATATAATTAAAAATGTGCATTAAATCTTCAAATTCTGCCTAAAAAAAAACATTTAACGAGACTAGAAGTAAAAAAAAACAATTGTAGCAAACAATAATTGAGCTTATAATTATTCGTAGCTTATTTTCAGGATTAAAAAGAGGTAATTTGCTTAGAATGTAAAAAAAAGAATCTTCTATTGCTTAAAGCAAAGAAATAATATTATTTAACACTTTTTTTATACACTTGACCTTTTTTTCGTTATTTTACTCAGTAAAATCAACCTTATCATTTAATAAAAGTCTGCAATTTGCATTAAAAAATCGATATCTTCCAGACATAGTATAGTTTTCAAAATATTTTAAAAGCTGTGGTTTTATTACTGTTATTATACGAATTATCTTATCTATTGTGTTAAGTCCACTAAATTTGTATTTAGTTGATCCTCTTACTGAAACGAATGAATAATTTTGTGTACTAAATTTATTAATATATTAAAAATGTTTGATTTAAGAGCTTAAAAATTCACATTATTTTCACAAAAAATTAAGATTAATTCCATACTTTTGCTAAGTTTTTGTAAACTAAATTTTTGATTTTGCAGATAATCTTTTTCCTGAGACAACTATTCTCCTGTTTTGTTTGGACGATTATGATTAAGCAGTGTTTTTGATGTTTTAGCTATTATCCACATCTTAATCTAATTGATGAGTTGTCTCTTTAGTAATTGCTTTTTTATTGAGTTTACTGGTTTTACTTCTTTTTACACTCTCGAATTCATTTTATAAACCTAGTTGTATTTTAAAGATGAATTATTTATTTATAATATCCTTAAAGTATATATTGAATTTCTAACCATTCCTAGTAAAATCAAAAGATAATATAAGTTACTAACTGCATTTAACTTTATTTAAAGTGATTATAGATTACAACTTATTTACATTGTGACTTGGAAGTCATTTAAATAATGGATTAAATTAATCAGAATAGTATTTTCAATAGAAAATACTTTAAATATATATTTTTAATAAAAAATCATATTAATATATACCTGCAAATGAAGAAGCATCTTGGGATTGATTAAATGGATCTATCGCCACTCTAAAAGATGTGTCATCTGCAATCTATTTGCATTTATCTTAACATTGGTCAAATGTTTCATCAAAGATTATATTTGTATCTATCTTTTTTGAAAGATCTACTAGTGATTAATGGTCGTTACCTTCAAGTTTTACTCTAAGCTTTTACTCAGAAAGTAATTCACTCATATTAATAAGTAGAAGTAAATAATACTTTTATTTCTTGCTTAAATTTAATAACTTAAAAACAGAAAACAAAATTTACTTTCAAAAGCTTTTAATAATAGTGCAGTAAAAACAACTTTGAAATTTTAATTTTGTAAATTTCCAACATTATTTAAAAATGTAATAAAAATAATATACTTTAAAAATAAATACAATAAATAGTATTTAATTTTTTCTTAAAATTACAATCATATTAAAAAAAACTTTAATTTTAAAACACAATAATAATTAAATTTGTAAAAATTAATATTTCTAATATTTTATTTTATGAAATAAAACGTAATAAATTGCTGATTTTTTCGTAAAATTTTGTAATAATAAATAATTTTAGTCTTTATTTATAAAATCTAATTTAGTCTTGTAAGTAAAAGTATTTACCAAATAAAATATATGATTTTATTTCATGGAAATAAATATAAAAATCAATTAAATAATTAAAATTTTAGCTCCAAACTCTAAATAAATAAATAAAAGCCTATTTACTTGAAAGTAATTTTGAAGCACAAAGTAGAACTTTAAAAATTAAAGAAATTAACTCACTTTTATTCTTAGCATTGAATGGAAAATGTTTTAAGTTGCTTTTTCTATTTCTATTTAGTTGTAATTTAAATTTTGTTTTAAAAAATGTTTTTTAAAAATTAAATTTTCTATCACATATTATAGATATATTAAACATATTTTTAAAACTTTATTATAACAATAATATCAGGCTATTTTGCTATACTTTTTTTTCAATATAAATATTGCATCAAAATTTAAAAAAAGGTATTCAAAATGTTATTATCTTTAATATTTTTTTCATTTTCTATTTTCTAAGTAAATGGATAGTCTTGCTCAAACTCTTATATAGACTTTTAAGGAAACTGCATCTCGTAATGTACAACATTATCAGGAGCAGTTAATCCTTCTTCTTTTAACTAGCAATGTGTTTGTCCTCTTAATACTCCTTATATCAATCCCTAGAAAAATGGATGCATTCAAAACTGTTCTATTGCTAATTCTTATTCTAATCCAAATCCTTTAAATTATTAATGTATTCTCAATTGTCCTCTCACAATAACTGGATCATCTAATCCTACATCTTATGGATTATCTTGTATTTGCTCTTAATATGTTTCTTTTGATGGGACTTAATGTCTTTCAACATGTCCAAATTATTTATCATTTAACAAAAAAGTATGTGTAGACGACTGCAGCTCTATTTCTGGATCTCAAAACCCTCCTCTTTAAGGACTAACTTGCATGTGTTCTGATCCAAAATCTTTTGTAGGGCCAGATGGTATGAGTTGTGTAGCCTAATGCATAACGAGTTATAAACATATAGACTCTTATAATTAATAGTGTATTTCAAATTGTCCTTAGATTTTTGCAAATTCTTAAAATCCTACTAGCTATGGATAACAATGCATTTGTGGTGGGTCTTATCCTTATTTGAGCTTGGATAGAACTTAATGTATAGCTTCATGTCCAACTTACTCAACACCTAACTCATTTGGAATTTGCGTTTGCTCAACTACTCCTTACATTTATATAGATATAGCTGGGAGTAGCTGTATCGCTAGCAATCCTACAGCTTATATTAATCTTGACCCTATTTATCCAAGATTTATTTCAAATTGCAATTAAAATGTGAATGTTTAAAACCCAGTATCTTTCAATGCAAAATGTGTATGCGTTTCTGCAAATAAGTTCTTGAATTTTGATTAATTTAATAATTATTTTTGCTATTCTAGTTGCTTTTATTATTAATCAGCAGATTCCACTAACTTTTCATGTACCAAAGACTGTACTTAATTTACAAATATGGTAAATCCTACTTAAATTGGTTAAAAATGCTAATGCTCTTTAACTAATCCATTCCTATTACCTTCTAAATAAGCCTGTAGCTCTTCTTGCGGAACCAATTACTTAGGATTAAATCCTAATGATAAAAATTGCTACTCTAATTGTCCTAGCTCTTTCTCAAATACAGCTAACTCAGTAGCAAATAATCCATGTAATTGTGCAACAGGATTCCCATATATCTTAAGTGATTACAGTTCATGCACATCCTCTTGTTTATATTACAACACAAATCCTTACATCAATGTTTGTGTTTCTAGTTGCTCAAATATTATAAATGCGATTAATCCATAATCTATACTTGATTAAGGTAGATGCAATTGTAGAAATACAGCTTTTCCATATTTGAGTACAGATGGAAGTTCTTGTGTGTAGAACTGTGATTCTTAATATATTTCTATTATTGATGATATGTGCGATAATAATTGCAGCTCCTACTTTCCTTCAAATATACCAAATTTTAATGGATTAAGATGCTTTTGTAACTCTTCTTAAAAATACTTGTCTGAAGATGGAAAGAGCTGTACCAATTAATGCTCAAAATATCTTCATCCAAATTCAAATAAGCTAATTTGTATCAGTGATTGTACTAAATATGGAATGGCCAACCCTGCTTAATCGGGCTAAGTCTGCTCATGCTCAGGAATGACTCCATACTTAAGTGTTAAAAAGGATATGTGTTTATCATCTTGCCCTACAAACGGAATTTTGAGTGGAATAAATTGTTCTTGTGGAACAAATTATCTAAAGAGTGATAATTCAGCTTGCGTTGCTACATGTTCAGATTACTACCATGCTGATTAACTTTTATAATAATGTGTGTAAAATTGTCCTTTGACCATTTTAGGTTCATCTAACCCTACATCAACAGGCTAACAATGCTAGTGCCCTTCTAACAGACCTTATTTAAGGATAGATATGCAAGGAGGATATTATTGTGACAGTAGTTGTCCCAATTATTTCATTGGTAATTTTTGTGTTGATGATTGCTCAATATATGTTGGCATGACTAATCCTCTATACCTTAATTTTGAATGCCAATGCACAGATTACAAATAGTACTTAAACAGAAATACAAGATAATGTATTAATTCATGTCCTTAATATGTACACATTGTAAAAAATGTATGTGTTGATAGCTGTTCAATGATATCAGGTGCTTAAACTCCATCAAGTGGAAATATTTGTGTATGTACTGCTTCTAATCCATTATATGATTATAGTTCTGACTCTTGTACAAATACATGTAGTTACTACTTACATCCTAACCCATAAATAAAAATATGCTTTAATAATTGCCCTATTTAGCTTTTGAATTCTGTAAATCCAACTAATGGAAGTAAGTACTGCTAATGTAGTAATCCAAGTTATCCTTATTATGGTGAATAAAGTGCTTCTGTACCTTTATAATGTGTAACCTAATGCTTAAATTATCAATTTTTTAATTTATGTTTAAATAATTGCTCGTAAATTACAAACTCTTAAAATCCTGCTAATTTAAGTAGTGGGAAATAATGTATTTGTTCATCTACTACCTAATATAGAAACCCTAATAACTACTCCTGTACTTCTAAATGTCCATAATATATATCACTTAATCCCAATAGCTAAGATTGTGTAGATAATTGTTCTTAATTTACGAATGCTATTGTTCCTAACAGCACAGGGAATAGATGTCTTTGTAGTAACCCACTTTATCCATATATTAGCATTGATGGTTAAAGTTGCATTTCATAATGCAATGGTTATTTAAGTTTTAGTTCAAATAACTGTGTCTCAGACTGCCCCACAAGCTTTTAAGGTTCTATTAATCCAATTTTTCAAGGTTATTAATGCTAATGTGGACCTTCTACGCCATACTTAAATCTAAATAAGTCTCAATGTATTGCTGCTTGTAGTATTAATCAACAAGTAAATAATGGAGTTTGTGTATGTTCAGGATCGAATGTATATAAGAGCATAGATGGATAATCCTGCTTAAGTAACTGTCCTAACTACATAAATCCAAACCCAAGCATAAAAGAATGTGTTAGTGATTGCTCAATTTTTTAAAATTTTGTAAATCCAACTTAAACTAATTCATAGTGTGTTTGCCCTTCTAATTAATAATATATAAAAAGTGATTTTTCTTAGTGTTAATCACAATGTGATTAGCAATAGTTTCTACATATTAATACTAAATAACTTTATTGTATATAAGATTGTCCATCGAGTATTCCTGGATCAGTCAATCCAAGTTAGTATTATTAAAGATGCTAATGCTCTACTTAAACTCCTCTAATAAGTGCTGATATGACTTAATGCGTATCAGCATGCTCTGGTGGTTCTTTTACAAACCTTAACAACGCTCAATGTGTTTAAAGTTGTAGCTCAATACCTAATTCTATAACTCAAGGAGCTAAATGCATCTGCTAATCAAATTATTTTATAAATTTTGACTATTAAAGTTGTGTTGAAAGTTGCCCACCATACTCTTAAAATATATCAGGATACTGTAAATGCACTGTTGGTATTGATAATTCTTCTAACTCATGCATCCTAGATAAAAACTCAACTTAGAGTTATTCACTTATTTTAAATAATATTTTATTGCTTAATATATTGATAATCATATTATATATTTGAAAATATAAAAAGTTCATCTTTTATTTTTTCTACTCAGTGTTTTATAATTTTCTATTTAAAAATAATTAAATTTGATTCAATTTTAAAAATTTATTGAAGATTGAAATATATAATTTATTTCAAATAAAGATTGCATTATTATTTTAAATAATTTTATTAATTTATTTTGTAAAATTAAAGTAAAATGCTGTCTGCATTGATAAATTTTCACTCAATAAAAAAGTAATTTTACAATAAAAATTAATAAAAAAATTTATTAAAAATTGTTAACATTAATTAAATTTAATAAAAATTAAATTTTTTATTGATATTAACGATTAAATCTTATTAAATTCAGAAAAATTAAAAATAAAATAAATATAATATGTAAAAAAAGATAAATTATTTGCCATGATACTTTGGCTTTATAAAAAATATTGTGGTGATTTTAAAAAATTATATTTTACCTCAGAATCTATGAATGGATAAGCTTAATTTTTAATTATATAAAATATTTAATACCTTCTATTTTATTGCAATTACTAAGATTTAAAATAATTATTAAATTTAATTTTAAAAATATTTAATATTATTTCTAAGAATAAGAGAAAACTCATCATACTTATAAATTAAGTTAAATTTATTTGTAAAACATCTTTTTAGATAAATTAATGGTTGTCAGTGAACACTAATTTAACAAGAAAGCTAATAAATTTAGTGATAAATTTTAGATTTATTTTAAAATACTGCTTACATGATAAAATAAAATATGCACAATCCAATACAATTAATATTGAATGGCAAAAATTTTTAATTTAATAAATATTAAAAGTTAGTGGTAGAATTGATATTAATTTTGTGATATTCAGTAATTAATTAAAACAAAAAGAAATTTATTGTCAAATACAGCTCATTTGCTCGAATCAGAAAACGCTTATTTGCTTTACAGGGAAGTTATTAATTACTATGGAATTGTTTGATTAAAGTTTAGTTTTAAGACCTAATTCATAGGCAAGGAAGAATTCATCTGCTAAAAAACATAAATATTAGTTTCTAAATTATGATACCATGTTAAATAAACCTCTAAATTAAACATTAAAAGGATAATCAAATGGTAATGGTGTATAAAATAGCATTTCAAAGATAATTGATGAATAATATTATAGTAACTCAGTACAATATGATATTTCTGATTAAACGATAATTATTTAAAACGAGTCTAATGGTTAATTTAAAGAAAAAAACCGGGCATTTTCTCCTGATTTGATAAAAAATGCTTTAAACGAGCAACTTTTAAAAATTAATAACTCAAAAAATAAAATTGATGACTAAAATGAAGCATACAAAGAATCAAATTTAAAAAATTTTAGAGATAAAATGTTTTCAGTTGATTTAAATTCAATATTAAGAGAAACTCCCAAATGTAACTCTTCAAGACCAACTCCTTAAAAAAGCAGGCTATTAAGTTTATCGAAAAAGAGATAAAGTGATTGTGAATCATTAACTCTAATTAATGTAGAATAATTATGTCTTAAAGAAAAGCTCAAAAGAACGTATCAGATTTAATAAGACTAAAATGGTTTTATTTTTAAGATTTCATAAAATAAATATTTACTAAATTAATTTATAATTAAGAATTAGATCAGTAATTTAGGAATACAATAGGGATATCTCCATTTAAAACTACTTTTAGAGTTAAAAAGCAATATAAAACTAAATGTCCTGCAGAAATATTTAATAAAAGAATCAACCAACTCGAAGAAAAACTTAATGATAATTCATTTTCTTATTCGACTTAATTTTAAAGTATTATGAAATTATTTTATATGAAATTAAATATTTTAATCAATATAAATTAATATTTTTTAAATGAAAATTTATTTGATATATTGATAACAATAAATTCTTTTTATTTTAAAATGTGAAAATTAAGCTGAACAAAATACTTAAATTGGAAAAATAAATAATTTGAATCAAACAACTGAGGAGTAATAAAACAGCTTTTCTGAAGATTTTTTTCCTGTAAATGAAAAGGGAAAGGAAATGAAAAGTTTAGAAATAAACTATTTAGTTAAAAAGCTAAATGAATAAAAGAATTCAACAAAAGTTGATTTTAAATTCCCTCAATTTAAATCAGAAACGAACAAGGCTAATACAGATTAAAACAAGGTATTTAATAAAGTACTTCTAAAAGCAAATCTGAATAAAAGCTAAGAATATGATGTATTTTACTTAATAAATAAACTGTTTATTTATATAATTTATTTAGAGTAATAAATCTAAAAGTTTGGATTAGAAATCTAATACAGGATTGAAATACTCACAATGTTAGCCAATCTTATAAGTAGATAACTCCTAGTAATAGCAATCTAAAAAGAAGATTAAAAAGCACTCAAAATTGATTAATCATTAGCTAAATAATTTTAATTCTTCTTCTCCAGTTAAAAAGAACAGTATATAACTTGTTAAGGTAAACAACTCATTAGTTATATAACAGAGTCCCATATTTATGAATCCTGAAATTAAATTAAATTATTCAATATGCTATGGAAATAACTCTAATCTTATAAGAAGAGTTATGTAAAAAAGGTAACCTTTGTGGAACGAGATAAGTACTACACTTTCTAATTACTAATTTAGGTGGTAACCTACTTCTCAAGGCTTCAATTTTCATTCATCTTAAGAAAATCCAAAATATCCTAAAGTATTTAATCATTTTGAGTTTCATAAGCATTTATCAGATAAAGTAAATTTATTCATTTTTCTTTTAAAAATGTTTTTTTTAAATATGAATATTTATTTAAAATAAAATTCTTAATTTTAATAGAATAATTAATTTCTGTTAAAAATTCTTTTTGAAAATAGATTTAAACTCTTTTCTTTTATTGATTATAAATTTAATTTAACTTTTGAGTTTTTATAATTTAATTATTATTTAAAGAAAATCGAAATTTCATAAAATTTATTTTAAAAAAAGAGTTTCTTATTATTTAATGTTGTTAATTATTGTGTAAAAAATAATATTGACGCTTTTGAATTCATGCCAATTAGTTTTTATTTTGATTTCAATGAAGAAAAATTTGAGAAAGACCTTCAGAAGTTTTCTTATTTGTTTGAGAGACTCAATTTTTACTCTAAAAGTCAGGAAAGCAAGAAAAATATTCCTTCAGACTAAGAAATAATACAAATTTGTTTAAATGAGTTTAAAGATTCAATAGAAATTTCTAAAGCAATTCATGAACAAAAAGCTTAAAATAGATTATAATTTTAACCTAAAACTACTATAGATATTGTTGAAAAACAAATATTAAAATAATTCTTGTAAATTTAGGAAACAAATTTTTTGAAAAGTAGAATGAGTGAAAATCTGCTATCAAATTTTAACATTTGGGTTTTAAAGCCAGTTAACCTGAACAGAGGTAACGGTATAACAATAGTTTAATCTCTCAAAGAAATTAATAGTGCAATAAGTGTAGGCTTTGAGTAACAAAGTCATGTAGTTTCAGATTTGTAACCATCTTAAAAGCTGTATTTTAATAGCTCTGTGCCAGTTAGTCCTGCCAAAAAGAATAAAATCAAACCTTTATTTTACTAGTTCATTTTATAAAAGTACATTGAAAGACCTCTACTTTTTCATGGTAGGAAGTTTGATATTAGAATATGGGTACTTGTAACTTATACAAATAAATTTCAATATTATTAATCAAAGTAAATATTTAATAATTTAATCTTTTATGTATATTTTAATTATTTAAAATTAAGAGAAGGATGGGTGAGAACTAGTGGATATGGTTTTGATTTAAAAACAAGTAACAAATACATTCATTTGACCAATAATGCTATTTAAAAAAATTCAGAACAATATGGATAATTTGAGAATGGAAATTCAATCAATTATGCAACTCTTAAAAAATATATTAATTCAATGAACAGCAAAGAAAGTGAAGGAGTATGGGATGGAATCTAGCAAAAAATAAGAAATATAATTAAGATTACACTTTAAGCTACTTCAGATAAAATTAATATTTTTAATAGAGAAAAATAATTTGAGCTTTTTGGCTACGATTTTATGATTGACTAGTCTTTTAAACCATGGCTTATAGAAGTGAACACTAATCCATGCATTGAAGAATCTAGTGAAGTATTAAAACAAATTCTACCTAGGCTGATAGGTTATATTTATTTTTTCAATATTTTTATAAATTAATTAATAAAATTTGTTGTTTATTTATTTAACTTTTAGATGACATGTTAAGATTGACTATTGACTAGTTTTTTAGCAAGCAAACAAACCAAAATTAAAGTTTTTTTCCCTTAATAGGCTACTCTAATGAGGATTCTATTTTTGAGTAATTTGAAATATGATTACGATATTCAAATAACTATTATTGATTTCTTGATGAAGAAATTTATTGTAATTAACTAAGCACCTTTAATACTTGTAAATACTAATTTAAATTGAAAGATGAGGGAAATAAACAATCTAAATTAATAGAAATAATTTTAATAATAAAAATGTAAGTAATTATGAGATTTAAAAAAAATGAATCATAATTGAATTAAATTAATTAAATTTTATATTTTAACTTTAAAAAGTTCTACTAAAAAATATCTAGTTAATTATATGATGTAAAATTATAGTTAAAAAAATAATTAATTATTGTTAAAGAAGAATTTAAATGTATAGATTGATTGTTATTTATTTATTTATTATTTTCAAATATATTTGATAAAAGAAAATTAATATAAAATGAATTAAAATTAGCTTTATTTATTTTTTTATTCTTTTATTATTTTTTTATTGATTTTTAAATTTAAAATAAAATATTTGCTAAAAAAGTTGAAAATCTAATAACAACTTTTTAGTAAAATAGATAAATTTATTTTGTTGAATTGTTTTTTTTATAAATAAAGTGTCTGTCTATTTTTGATTTCTAAAAATTATTACTTGCTAGTTAGATAAATATTGTGTTATTAAATTTTATTTTTTATAAATAATTAATTTATAAAATTAGAATTAACAGAAAATTTAAAACTTAAAAAACTAAATATTTTGAATTTATTTTAAAAAAATTTTAAATTGAAATTTTTTACTTCCACGTGTTGGCTAATATTTAAATCACTTTATGCAAAATTATTGGTAGATAAATAATCATATACATTTTGTCTTTACTTCAGCTGCCTTTTTAAAAATAAATTGAATTTGAAATAGAGGAGAATTAGAATTTTAATAATATTGCTCTACATCAAGTATAAAATTTAATAGGTTCATTTTTATTGAATAATTAATATTTTTTTTAATTAATTTGCTTATTAATTTAATTCGTCTCACTTGATTTATTAAAATTCATTTGATTACGTTATAAGATTGTAAATTACGTTTATCATTCGGTAAAATTGGATAAATAATATTGTATTCTCTATAATCATTTTGGATAATTTGCTTTTAATAAAAATGATAAATAATTTAGAAATGATAGCTTAACGTCTATAAAATTTATGTTCTAATTCAATTTAAAATTCATAGGAGAGCAATTATTAATTTTTAATTGATTTTTTTAAATTTTTTGTTTTTTGTTAAGGATATAAAAACAAGAAAGTAAGTAAATTATTTGGAGGAATTTAAAAATTTGAATTAAATTAAATTTAATTGACTATCAACAGTATTAGAAAATATAATATATACTTGTTTATTTTATTAGGTTTAAAATAGATTTTTCAAAGTAGAGTTAATTGTAAACTGAGTTTTAATGTTTTAAAATTCTAAAAAATGTAAAAAATATAGTATTAATTTTAATAAATTAACTTATGAATATAATTTTGATAATTATGTAAAAATTAAATCGGATAGATAGAGTAAAAACCCTTTAGCTATTAAAAAAATAAATAAACATATAAATTCGTATTACTAATTATTGATTTGTGCTTAATAAAAGCTTGAAAGGTTTTATTGAATTTCTCCTTTTATTTGGGGATACTGAAAGGAATATTTGTAAATAATATTTTTAATGAAGGTAATTGTGATTTTGCTGTCGTTTTCTTGATCAGCATGAACTCAATAACTCAAATTTAGAAAAGAAATAAAAAAGAAGAAAAAAATTAGTTGCTTGGCATTGCGATTCTATTATTGTGGACAAGAGACTAATAGAAAACAATTAAGTGAAAAAAAAAAAAAAACAAATGAGAAAAGATAAAAATATTAATTTTTTTTCCCATTATAAATAATAATTGTGAGTTATCTATAACTATCAAAAAAATAAGAGTGAATAAGTAAACATACATACAAGCTTAAATACATAACATTTCATTTAAATTAATCAACAATAATACACACTAAAACTTATTGCATCCATCCTACTACTATTTTTACTTTCTAAAATGTAGGACGTGAACACTAGTTAGCAACTTGACGAATTTTTATAGCAGCCTTCATAACAAATACATGCTGCCCATTTTACTGATTTACCAAATTAAAATTAAATAAAATAATTAACATTTGACTTGTAATAGCAAGCCTCATCAAATAATATTGATCTTCCCAATTTATTAGATCTTAATCTAGAAAATCATAAATTTTCTGCATAATAAAATGAAAATCAGCTTACAAAAATGGAAAGCGAAAAAGGTAACAGCGAACTTACTTCAACAGTTCAAAATGTAGGCAGAATGCAGGTGTTCCCTCCTATTCTAGCTGTAAAAAAAAACGTTTCAATACAAAATAATCATACACAATACTAATACCCCTGTATTCACTAAAGCAGTGAAGATTTACGTAGCTTAACTTAATCTCAATCTCGTTTTAGTAACAGAAAAACTGAAGCAACCAGTTGCAAAAATAGCATAGGCAGAGAATATATGTCTTCTTCTTTCTTTTCTGAAGGCGATGATTCAAATTTCTCAAGAAAAAATTCTGATGCCACTGCTCCTGCTGCTTATAATCCATCAATTATATCTACTACTAGTGAAACTACGGCATAAAAAAATTCAATTAAATTAAGTAGTTAGTAAAATAATTAAGCTTTTAATCGCTCTTCAAATCAAATAAAGAAGGCAAGAAACTCCCTTGTCTGCATTGAAGATTTAATCTTTTAATAATCTCTATAATTGGAAGAAGAAGAGCCCTAATCTAAGGTAATAAGAGTTTAAATACCATCTTAAAACAATAACTTTTAAGATGAATCAGATGTAGTAAATGAAGAAGCAGAAAAAGGGATTTAGTAATAAGTTATTCAATCAATCTAAAATCCATTAAAATAGTAATCATAGAATAATAACAATAATAATGTTAACAACGAACAAGTTAATCAGTCAATTCAATAGAATGAAGGAAAATAAATTCCAAGCAACTAAATTATAAATAATATCATTATCCCTCAACCCGAAATATAGGTATAAACCATTTCTTAAAACCTAAATAATGTACCTGATTTATTAGATGAAGGTTCTTTTGTAAATATTACTGCTAATAACAACATTCAATATTCTGAGGAATAAAAAAATTAAAATGATTCATCTCCAAAGGAAAACACTGAGAATACTACTGATAAAGAAATGCTAGACAAAAATTTGTCAGATGCTTAGAGTGAAAAGAGACCTTAAATGAACGTCCTTCCTCATCTTAACGAAGATGAAACAAGCAGTGATGACCCTGAAATGATTAAACCAGTAGGTTTTACAATTCATATTGATCATGAAGAGTGCTACGAAGATGGAGATAACACTTTAACTTCGACTAAAAGAAAACGCAACAAAAACCAAGTACTCTCATACAAAAACCATAATTATAAATAAATTACTTATATGGAAGCTTGGAGTCGTGTAAAAACTATGGATTTAAGCAAAGAAAAAAAATTATTGATGGCTATAAGAGATAGCACTTATCAAGGCCAAGGAATCTTCAGTAGAGTCTTCACATTTTGTACAAATAACTCTTCTAAGATTTTATAAACATCTGCTTTGAATATCGAAAGAGATTAAATACTGGCATTTTCGAAAGTAGCTTTTGATACAAGCGATTCTCTGCATGTAAATATGATTTACACAATTTATTGTTCATTGAGAAATACATAATACTGCCCACTCTATGGCCCACACTGGTTGACTATTGGCTTTAGACATGTTAATCCTAAATAAAATTTTGATATCGCTGGAGTCTTTGGAGCTTTATAGATTCTTGCATTTATTTTCTGCTATAAAGAGTACATATTAGACGTTGTACAATAAATTGATGTTTTAAATAAAAAAAATGAAGAAATTCGCCACTAACCTTAGATAAATAATTAATAAAATCAAAATAATTAAAACTCTTAAAACCACAATAACTCTTAAAATTCCTCTTCAATGAACTGCAATAACAACATATTTTTACCTGATAAACTCCGCTTAAAAGAAATAAACCTTTGCGTAGTGATGCAAGAAATTACAAAGCATGTTCTAATTTGGTTAGAAAAGGGATTGCTAAATTAAATGATCAATGTAGAGAAGAGTGTTATCAGCGTAGTGAATAAGATGTATTTTGCAACATTTTATATCTTTTATGAGAACTTCAAAAGAGAAAAATCTGGTTTCCTTTCTATCTCTATAGCTTTTAAGACAACAATAGAATAAGTTGAGCAAAATCCCTTCCAAGCCTTAGAAGTTTTCAAAAAGAAAATAGGTCTATACTATAAACTCCGTGATTGAATTAAAAATAATAACAAATTGTCTATATAAACTTCCAAAGCTATATTAACCTAAAAACTAAATAACTAACTAACAAATGATAAAAATAATTTTCCTCTTCCACATAAAATAATAAATATAATTAAATTAAAGATACTTACTTACTTATTAATACACATCAAATTTAAAATAAAAATGTTCTAGCAATTAAACTATTTTTAAAAATTGATAGAATTTTTCTTTGAGTAAATTAATTGCCATAATAATTATAAAAATAATTTCTAATAAAAATTTAACAATAAAATTTCCTTGAATAAAAAGCTAAGTAGAATTCAATAAATAAATAATCAAATAGATAATTAAAAAATTCAATTAACAAATAATAAAAAATAATTATCATTTATAATAATTAATATATTTAAAAACAATAATTTAATATACTTTTATCTATCTATCTCTCCCTCCTTCTAACATCAACATATTTATTATAATATTCTCTTTCATACACCATACAAATATTTATGTTTATTTATTTGAATTATTAATTTATACTTTTAAACTACTAATATTTATTTCATCTCTTTTAAAGGTTTTTTTTAAGCAAAAATTAATTATTATTATTATTTTTTCGTTTAAGTAAAACAATTATAAAATTTTTTTTAAAATTTAAAGTTTTATTTTATTAAGGGGAAAAAAAAATTCTTAACATAAGTTTGCATCCTCTTTTTGGTTTTCTAATAAAATTTAAGATAAATATACATTTTAAATTGTTAGAATTTATTTGAATATTTAAGTTATACTTAATATCTTTATAAAAAGAACTTTAAAATTATTTATCTAAAGCTTAATTTATTATCATTATCTATTTTTTTTATGATAATTAAGTTTATTATGTTTGTTTTCAAGTACATTACAGTATCTAAACACATTTATTAATTTGTTTAAAAAATTATAATATCTAATCAAATAATTAAAGTACTTATGATTTATTATTTTTCAAAATATCTTTGAACATTTTATTTATAAATATTCTAAAATTATTTGATCAAATTTATGCTTTATTTTTTTTATTTTATTAAATATTAAATTTAAATATTCTAAACTTGTATCATACTAATATTTAATAAGAATAATTGATAATACTTTTTCAAATAAATTTCTTTATAAAGTTTAAGCTTGGTCTATATTCTGATATAAATAAGGGCATACCATACCATTCAATACTTCTATACATTTTTTCTATGTTATTTTAAATATAATTCATTACCAGATTTATTTGTGAATTTGATAATTTCAAAAATTTATTTTTTTGATAATTTTTAAAAGAACTTTATAAATTTTTTTGAAAAGACAACAATTTACTAATATTAAAATAAAGATAGATTTTTGAAAATAAGGATTAGAGTGAAATATATAATTTAGAGATTAGCAGATGTCAAAATAAAATAAAGCGATTGAAATTTTCTTAAGAGTTCGTCCAGCTAAAAAGACATATAATGGACTTAGTAAAATAACTTTTAAGATTTTATTTAGGCTAAAATTTTATAGAAATCATAAAAATAAAAATTAGCTGTTGATGAAGAATCAAGTAAAGTAGAGTTTAAGATACCTAAAGACTAGCAGTCTGGTTACATTAACAACACTAAAGAGCACTATGAATTTATATTTGATAAAGTATTTGATTAAAAAACTAAATAAGAAAAGATTTTTAAAAATGTTGCATAAGATGTTTGCGATTAGGCTCTAGAAGGTTTTAATGGAACTATTTTTGCATATGGTCAAACTGGTTCTGGTAAAACTTTTACAATGACTGGTGGTCCGGATAGGTATTTAATTAAAGAGTTTAAATAATAACTATTCAATTACAACATTACATATTAGTTTTAAGATCTTATGTTAGAATACTTATTTCATTAAGTAATTTATAAATTAAATTTTATAATCAATAAAGTTATGAAGATAGAGGTATCATTCCAAGAACTTTAAGTTACCTTTTTTAAGAAACCAAAAAGAAAGAAGATGCTTTTTATTAAATTTCTATTAGCTATATTGAAATATATAATAATTCTGGTTACGATTTACTCGATGCAAACCACTCTGCAAAAAAACTAGAAGATTTAACTCCAGTTATTCCTCGTGAAACTGAAAATGAAGAAATTATATTAAGTGGGTTGTCAATTCATAAAGCATAAACTGAAGAAGATGCATTAAATTTATTGTATATTGGTAAACTCAAATTACAAAAATTTCTTATAAAAATAAAATTAGCTTTAGCAATAGCAAGCATATATTTAACATTATTCTAATCTATTAATATTAAAACTATAATATAATATAATTTTTATTACAAAAAGGTGATTTGAATAGAGCTGTGTGTGAAACTCCAAAGAATGATGTTTCAACAAGAAGTCATTGTATTTTTACTATAATGATAGAAAGCAGAAAGCCAAATAGTGATGTAAAAACAATGAGTAGAATTCATTTAGTAGATCTTTCAGGTTCAGAAAGAATAAAAAATACAGGTGTAGAGGGGAAATTAGAAAAGGAAGCAAGAGGAATTAACTTAAGTTTGCATTTTTTAGAGCATTGCATTGTTTGCCTTAATAAAAGAGCTTAAGGAGAAAATATTCATGTTCCTTATAGAAATTCCTTGATGACACTTATTTTACGTGATTCATTAGGTGGTAATTGTAAAACGAGGATGGTTGCAACAGCTAGTGCAGAAGAGCCTGATGCTCTTGAAAGTATAGCAACATGTAAATTTGCACAAAGAGTAGCTTTAGTTAAAAATTATGCAGTTCGTAATGAATCAGTTGACCCAGCTGTCATAATAGAAAGATTAAAAAGAGAAAATGCTGCTCTAAAAGCTGAACTCAACATGCTCAAGGGAGAGAGTATTTAACTAAATTAAAATATACAAAGAATAATCTTAAAATTTTTTGATAGATGCAAAAGATAAACTAGATTCAGATGATATTGAGGCTTGTAGGACTAAAGTGGAATAGTTTCTAGCTTCACGAGATCCTTCTCATTAAATTATACTCAGTAATTTATTTTTAATAGAATTAGTTGTATTTTCTATGAATTATTTTATAATCCAATTAGGTGATAAACTAATGATTGATGAATGCTTTTACTAACTAAAGCACAAATATAATGCCCTATTAAAGAAAGGTGGTAATTCAGATAATACAGTTGAGGATAATTCCTCATAAGTTTAACCACAAAAAAGCTAAAACAATCCATCAAAATAAAATAATAATCCTCCTAAGGAAGATGCAGCTGATACATCGCATCTTTCAGAAGAAATAAAGAGATTAAAGCTGTTGGTTTTATAAAGAGATAACGAAATTATGATTTTACTCAACCTTATTAATAAAAATAAAGATAATAAAAATGGATAATAACTTTCAATTCCAGTATAAAGAGAAAGTTAGAATGAAATGGCAAGCGAGTTAGCAAGCAGTATTGTTTAAGAGCCAAAAGAAATTAAATTTCCTTAGTATGAGCAATTAAAAGAAGCATCTTAAATTCCTGCACATAAGTACCAGTAATCTGTTTCTTCACAAAATGAGTTTTAATCTTAGGTTTCAACTTAGCTAAGAGGTGGCGTAGCAAGCATGGACTATTCTTCGCAGAAAGGTGCATTCACAGATTTAAACTAGTCTTCAGCATAAAAATCTAATGTAATTATTTTTTAAATTATTTAAGTCTTTGCTATAAAAAAAATAGACATATTAAACAGGATTAGATGTAACTGATGCATAATCTATAGTAACATAGGCAAGATAAGCTCTTATACAAAGTAAATTTGAATGCATTATATTAAAATAAAATATTTCTTTCAAAAATAGATAAGGAGATTAATGATATGCTTTTAGCTCCTCTAAATTTGACTAATGAATAACTAATGGATAGGGCAAATTGTCTTGAACTTTTTAGAAGAAGTTATAGAAGAAACTAGGTCATGGAAGATAACAAGCTTGTACTTAAAGATAAATTTGAAGTTGCTAGGAAAATGGGACAAATCGTGAATGCAGCAAGAAGCAAAATAGATTAATTGAAATAGAAGGTTAACTTAATAAATATACAACTCTCATTTAAATTAAATTTTTTATAGATTTAGGATTTGAGAAAGGAAATGGCTTTAAAAGGACTTAGTAATGATAATGAAGAAGAGCTTGTACATCCTTAAGAAGGAGAGATACTCTCACAAATAGAAGAATAAAAAAGAATGTATTTCTTATCACATTTGAATTCAAATAAAAAAAGAATTAATTTTTTTAATTTTGCTAAAAAGATATAAAGAAAATTTCAATTAGCTAAAGGACATAAAAGCAGAAATAGAAAGCATTTAAAAAATGCTTGAAAAAAATAAAGATAGAATGTAAAAAGATTTTGAAAAATGGTTAGAAGCAATGATGTAGCAAAGATAGGCTTTAACAGATAATGGATAGTAAAATGGTCTAACCCAATCTAATATTAGCTCTAATAATAACCAAAGTATGATGTCACAATAAATGTAATAGGTAAAATTTTAATTAAATTAACTACAATCTTTAACTAAACCAATAAAAATTAAAGACTTTAAGTAAAGTACGTGATAAAGAAGTAGAGAAAAAGCTGCAAGCTTTCTACAAAGCAAGAGATGAAATCTATAAAAATTGATTATAAAATCAACAGCAATGCTAAAAATTTTTTAATAAAAACAAAATTTAAAGCAATTAATTAACTCCATATTTATACATTAATTCATACAAGCCATTTTGTATTTTCTATAAAATGATTCATAAAAATTTTGAAATTCATTTAAATAATATGTATTTATATAGCTAAATTTACTTTTTCTAGAGTATGGTGATTGTATGTTATTACTTTTACTTTCCTTATCTAATATATTAAACATAATTTTGATAAATGGGCAAAAATATTTATTTATCATAAAAAATTAAGCAAATTTAATACTTTATAATAAAAAAAGCTTGTAAAAACACTTTTTTGCTATTACCATTTTCACTTTATTTATAATACTAAATTTAGAGTAAACATATTATTAAATGTTTTAGCTAAATATTTAACTGATATAATTAAGGATTTATGTATTTGATTAAATTAATATTGATTATCTACAATATTTAATAGCCACATATTTTTATTTATTAAAAAATATCATAAAATTAAAAAAGATTTGATTGTATTGGAAATTAATTACTTTTTATTTTATTGAAATGAACCTTAATCATTAAGCAATTAGTTAGGTAAGGCAAGATTAGCTTGTAGGAGAAGAAAAGGTCATTAAAAAATTAATATGTAATATTTGCTAGTTTTTATTATAAAATCCTTTAATGTGCAATAAGTGTATGAATATATGGTGCGAAAAATGTTGTCAACAAAATTTACATCAAAGAGTTCAAAGATGTCCTAATTTATGCGAAGATGTAGAATTTTTAAAGTCTCCACCTCTTTTAGACGAATTGTTTAAAATTATTAAAATAAAATGCCAATTCTACAAAAATAAAGAAGAACCTTAATTTATTTGCAACAAAATACTTGAATATAATGAATATTCTCCTCATTATTATACATGTGAATTTGGCTATGAAAAATGCGATATATAGGAGTGCTCTAAACTTATCAAAAGGAAAGAAATTAACGAGCATAAAAAGGAATGTCCAAACAAAGAGTAATTGCTTAGAATGGTTAAAGGAGCTCATCTCAAAACAATAAAATAGGGAATTTTACTAAACCAAATTACAGAATTAACAGAAGTAAAACTAAAATTTTGTTATCACTTTTAATATTTTTTTAACTAAATTAGAGGATTAAAAAAGATAATGACAAACTTTCAATTCAGTTATCAGAAAAATCATAAAAATTATAATAAGTGTAATCTTTTTAATTAAATTAATGTAGGAAGTGTTTGCATTTATTGTAAAAAGATAAGTAATGAAATAAATAAGTAAATGAATAACTAAATATTAAAATTTTTTAGAAAATTATTTCAAAAAATATTAAATTTTTCTTAAATTTTTGTATGCTTACAATAATTAGTTATTATAAGTAAGATAAAGCTTTAAATTATTTAGAAAAAACAAATATCATCAAACAATTTCAAAGCAAAGTAGAAATATTTATTTAATTTTTTATTGATTTATATGAATTTCTTGTAAAAATAATTTTAAGAAAATTCAAAGCATTGGGAAAACTGTATTATGTGAATCAAACCTTTTAAAATAGTAATCTAATTTTTTAACATCTGGATTAGGTACATTTAACTTTTTTTATTCATGAAGAGTATTAACTCTTTCAAGGATAAGATAGTGAAGTGGATAATGAATATGATCTTAATTATCTCTAATAAATAAAGCTAAGTTATCCAAAGGGACCCACTTATATTCACTGTCATTTTAATTTATTAGTGGGTATTTTAAATCACATTTATATTACATAGCAAAAAGTATATCAGGATGCCCTGATTAAGTTTTAGTTATTTCACGTATTAAAATCAAATCTTAGAATTTTAAATTTGGACTCTCGCTGTTTTAGAGAGTGAAAGATTTTTTTATAATTTCTTAAGCGAGGTTATCTAATTTCATTCCAATTTATTTTTATGTATCAGCCGGTACTCCCCATTTAGACCCCTATTTTTAAAGTAAAATATGATCATCTTCTGATATTACAACTGGAGCACATGATATGTAATGAGTAGAATATGATGGTATCTTATTAACCTTTTAAGGATTCATCCATTTGTTAAACATGATATATTAATTCTAAGAGTGATGGACATCAAAACCTAATTAATTTAGAGAATGAGAGAGATAAACATTTTCAGGGCTTAGCTTAATCCAAATACTAGAGATGTCATTATCTTCTTGCTGTCTTTAATTAATAAAATGCTCAACTTATTTCTTAAATTGTTCCTCTGAATCAAACTTTTAGTTTTCTGTTGTGATATGAATGCCTGAAAATTCATCTTTTCTGTACTTAAAACTTTCATCCATTAAAACACATTTTCCTTTAAAAAGCAAACCTGCTCCTAGTCCAATTAAGCTGCCAAATCTAAGAAAAGATTTCATAAAGTTACTTCTATTTAATGTAAATTTAATATATCTAAAAATAAATAATAAGATAAATTTATTATAAATAAATAATGTTTATTAAAATTAAAAATAAAACTAAAAGATAAACATAAATTGATTAGCCTTTAAATAAGTTTATTATTGAATGAATTTTATAATATTTTATTAACTTAAAAAAATTAATTTAGTTTTTTAAAAAGAAATTGTAAAATAACTCATTAGTATTAAATTATTTAAATAAAGATAAAACAAGTTAGTTAAGAATAAATAATTTGTATTTTTATTTAAAGATTATTTTTTTAAGTTAAAAATAAATGAATTCATTCATTAAATAAATAATATTAATTACATTTTATCAATACTATAAAACAAATAATTATAAATTTTAAGAATTTCTGATTTATTTTATACTTTTAAATTTTAAATAAACTTTTAAGCAAAAAAATTATCAAGTAGTCGTTTCAATTAATAATATCTATATCCTTAATGTATATAATATACTTAAGAAGAGACTATTTTTTTTTCACAAAATTAAAGTTAATTTAGTTAGTTATTTAAATTTGTAGCAAATCTATTTAGCTTTTTAAAGATTTTACTAAATCTAATCCTTTCTTTTAAATTTAAAAATTTTTTAAAAATGAAATAAAATAAAAATAAATACCTGAATTCAAATGAGAGAGTATTTAAGTATTTTAGATGATTTAGATCTAAAACTATGTTAAATAACTCGCTATTAACTAAGAGAGAAGTTCTTTAAATTACATAAAATTTTTAATTAAAAATAACCCATTTTCAAATTACTTAAAATCAAGTGAAAGAGATTTTAAATTTTAGCATTTAGAGATTGCTTCGGAAATATATCTTAATTCTATTCTTTAGATAATTTAGTGCCTTGTGTTTTATTTAATTTTATATTATTGTTATTGAATTTAAATTTTATCTTTTAAAAAATTATACTCAAATAAAAGTGATAAATTTTCTAAATTATTTAATTTTTGCACCATTTTAGAAAAATTTTCAATGCCTGCTGAGTCTCTGTCTAGAATTCTAATATTTATACATCAGAATGACGAAAAACCTTAATCTTCATTTAAAATAAGTAATTTTACGGAAATTCAAATGAAAGAGAAGTTAGAAAATTGCAGTTAGAGATCCCAGAAGTTAAATCTTTAAAGTCATTTCTATTAAAATAGACTCCTCTAATTAATTTAATTAAGTTTGTAAATATTTTAATATTTTAAAAATGTTTACTTTAGATTCAAGTAAAGATTTTTCAAATTTAGACCTCCTTCAGTAATAGCTTAACTAAGTAAAAAGCAAGCATCTAAATCTAAATTATTATAACTAATATAAAATTAATTAACTAAAGATTAAAAATTTAGTTATTGTTTTACCTCAAGTTAATTTCTAAGCTTTCTAGTTTTTTAAATTTTAAAATCGCATCTTTTATTTATTCAAGATCACTTTCTTGTAAATCTTAATTGCTTAAAAAAATTTAAACTTAATTTTAATGTTTAGTCAAATAAATTAATTACCTCATGTAAAGTATGAATTCTTTTGAATTTTCATAATCTAAAGTTTACAACTTTTTACATGTTTATAAAAGCAATATTGGTTTTAAATATCTCAAAAATAAAAAATAATACATTTTCTAGACTTGAAGTAATCATTTTATACCTAATTTGTTTTAATATTTAGCTTTGTTTTAATTTTTAGTGATTAAATTTAATTTTATGTTTTTTTTAATTTCATCATCATCAGAAAAAGATAATATATCAAAATGATTAATAACCTTGAAAAGAAAATTTTATTCTCAATTTAAATTAACTACTTTAATAATTAATAGCTTTTATTTATAGTCTTTGACAACAGATATTAGTTACTGAAGAATTACTGTATATAAAACTAAATTGATTATAAATACTATAATTTAAACTTTATGCAATTTAAACTAATTATAATGTTATTTAAAATTGATTTTAGTCCTCAAATATCAATAAAAAAAAATGACTAAACATAAATGTATAAATGATATTTAATTTTTAAAGAAATTATCTATATAAAAAAAATACGAATATTTATAACATTAATATAAAATGTTAGTATTTATTACTTAAGTGAATTAGTTAAAAATTAAAGATATTTTTGATTTAATAAATTTAAGTTTATTTAAATTTAATTTAATGTTTCTATTTGAAAATTAGATGGTTAGTATTAAATTAACTTATTTTAAAATGTTTTATTTAAATCCTGTTTTTAATTAATTTGTTTATAAAAAAGCTATCTAATGTTTAATAAATTTAATACCAATTATGTTTGTTTTGATTGAATTGAAAAAATCAAATAATTAAAACTGTAAAAATCAAATTAATAAAGATTATTGTTTATTTATTAACTTAATACATATAAAAATCAAAATTAATTACTCTTTAAAATCTATATTCTTATTAAGAAAAAAGGGGATTACTTACATATATAGATAGATAAATCTATTATTAGAATACATAATTTAGTTAAGTAAAGAATGCCAAGAGATTATTACAGTGATTTAGAAATTAAAGCTGACGCTAGTCATGATGAAATATGTTAAGCGTATTGATGTTTAAGATTTTAAATATAATATTGCAAATATATAAATTCTGCCAATTTAAAATAGATATAGAAGATTAGCTTTGAGATTTCACCCAAAATTCAGTATTATGGATGAGAAAACTACTCATCATCACTTTTCTATCATTTCAGAAGCTTTCGAGGTTCTTAGTGATCGTAATCAATTCATTTTTTACTTGAATAACTATTATTTTAATTGGGATAATTTATGAAAAATCAGCTATGAGAAGAGCATTCTATGATAAATTTGGAGAGGAATAACTGAAATAGGGATTTTTTCACAAAGGAGGTTTGTTTTATAAATTATGAATCATTCAAAGAGTTTATTATTATTTTAAAAAAATAGAGCTCGCAGTAAGAATTTAGTGTCCTTTTTTGATTACGCTTTGATTTATTTATTGAAAAACATGCGATTGATAAAATTAAATATTGAATAAAAGGGAGGATACAAGTTCCACAAAAATCCTTTAGAAATATTTGAAAAATTTTTATGCAAGTATAATCCACTAGCTGATATAGTTGGTAAATTGTTTGTTAATCTTAACAAAAAATAATTATAAATTATAAATTTGAGTAGATTTAACAGGAGAACATGCTCATGGCACCATGTTTGGTTATTAGTTTTAGGCACAAAATTATCAATTGACCCATCCTCCTGAACCAGTTTATTTAGAAGTAGAATGCAGTTTGGAAGAAATTTATAACGGATGTTCAAAAGAGATATAATATTATAGAAGTGTAAAATTTTAATAATAAGTTGATTAAAGCAAATTTATATAAATATTTGTATGTTTCTAGTTATTGAATTAAGATGGAAGGACAACAAGAGAAGTACTAGCAAATAAGTATAATTTTACTAAGAGTTTTTGAAAAATTAATTTTCGTTTGTTTTTTTTATAATAGAATCGTTCAAATTAGATAAGGTGTAAAAGATGGAGCAACTGTTGTTTATAAAAAAGATGGAAATCAAGCTGCTAGATTTGACAACTGTAAATAAATTAACAATAAAATTAAGGATTCAAAAATATTTTTGTAAAAAAGCTGATTTGGTTATGATAATTAAAGAAGTCCCTCATAGTAGATTTAAAAGGAAAGGAAATGATTTGGTATATACACAATATATCAATCTATCACAAAGTTGGTCATTTAAAGGAGTTCATCTTATCACATTAGATAGCAGAAGATTGTATATTCCAATAGATGAAGTGATCACGTAATGGATTGAAATAATGTGCTTGTTTTATCTTTTAATTAAACTAATTTTAAAATTAAATAGCCCTAAAACTGTAAAAGTAGTTGAAGGAGAAGGAATGCCAATTCAATTTGATTCTTTGAAAGGATTAAAGAATAAATAGTTGTTATAACCTTACAAAGATAGAGGAAACTTAATAATAAAGTTTGATGTAGAATTTCCAACATAACTAAGCATCGAAGAACTTAAAAAAATATCAGAGCTTTTAGGGGAAAATGAAGAAAATGGTGATAGAGCTAATTGAATTAAAATTAAATTGTATTGAAATAATTGTTTATATTTTTGTACATATTGTATTGATTTTACTATTTTAGAGACGTTATCTGTTAAAAATGTTTTTCTTACTCAGTTAATTTCATAAAATTAAAGATATCTAGAAGAAGCAACCAAACCATACCTTAAAGATTAAATTTAATCGAAATACGAAAGTTTTAATTGATTTTAGCATGTGTTTAATGCTTTTAAAATAGAGTGAAAATAAAAAATAAAATGTATTTTTTTAGATAATAAGCTTGAAAGAAAAGTAATTCTTATGTTTGATGATTTCATATGAAGGACCTAGAATAAAAAGTAGAATAATATATTTGCAAGTTAAAGTCATTTAATGGTCACATTATTTTTAATGTAAGTTTTTATAATAATAATTAATTTTGATATAAAACCAAGAAACAAGCAAGAGATATTATATCTATCTATAATTCTTACAAATATTTATTAATTAGCTAAAAGTAGCAGTATTACTCAACCATATCATTCAAATATCTATCATACACACCTTCTATTTTAAGCCATTCCAATGATTACTTAAGTGCAATACAACGAGAGGAGCAGAATGAGCTCCACTAGCTCTTTATCTTCCCAGCAATAAGATCTTGAGGTTATCCATTAAACGTAGCTTAAAGTAATGATAATATTATTATGAAATAAATTTTATTTTTACAGTTAAGATAATACCAAAAATAAAGAGATTAAAAATCGATAATAAAGGGTTTAAGGAATTTTATTAATATTTAAATAATAATAGATCAATAACCCTAACTAGTATCTCAAATAAATAGAAGAAGAGCAAGAAACATATAACTTTTTATCAGAACTAGAAGTAATTTTTTTATTTTGCATTATTACAAAATCTTATGTGGTTTAAGCTTTCAACTAAAATATAATCTACAGGATAAGTGCTTTGATATCCTAAATGACTTAAAGAAATTGAAAATAGAAGAGGAATCTATAAAAGATAAAACAAATATAGAAAAAATAGATTAAACTTCTAAGATTGATTCATTTATTTAATTACAAGGACTTGAAATATAAAGGCTAAATGATATCTATTAAAGAGAAAGTGAATAAACAGGAGATTACATTTAATTATTTGAAAATTAAATATAATAAGAAGAATAGTAATATGCAAAGTTGTAATAGTAGATATAAAAAGTATAGCAGCGTATAGATAGGCTAAATTATGATATAGGAAATATTTGAAATTTACTTTCATTCATTAAATTAAAGTTTTTTCAACAAACTCTAAATTTATTTTACTTTAAACATTCGTAATTAGCATTATTGTGTTGTATTTTATCAAAGTAAATAATAAATTTTCAATATTTTTTTAACATTTTATTTGATTTTATTAATCTGTTTACAAATTAAAAAAATTTTGTTTTAATGTGTACTCAAAAATAGAAGTTTTACAATAAATTATTTCTAATTATTACAATTAAAATTTAAATTTGTTAGAATTAAAACATATTTTTTTAATTATTTTGAAAAATATTCAAAAATTTCACAGCATATTTTTAAAACCTTACACGAATACACGAATCTTAAAAAGTAGTTATTAAAATATTTAATTAAGTTAAATATAGCATAAAATCTATTCTATGATAACTTAGTTTATTTAAATAAACTTAATCATTTTTTTAAATTATAATTTTTAATATCTTAAAAAATAAAATATACTTCCATTAAAATTTTTATTCGTTAGTATTAATAAGCTATGGATATTTAGTCAGTATATCGGGTTAGTTATATAAGCATCTAAATCAAAACTTTAAATATAGGCATTTTTTTTTTGAAAAATGCTTGTAGTTACTTATTGAATTTTTAAATTGAAAGGAGAAAATTAAAAAATTTTTATCAAATTGGTTTGCAGAAAGAAAAAAATCAAATGACAAAAAATTTTTGAAAGTAAAATTATAAAATAAAATATATATGAATTTATTTATATATTAATTAAAGATTGATTAATAGTTTTGGAATAAATATTCAATTTTGTATGCTTTATTGTTTTTGTTTATATGTTTATATGTTTATTTATTTGTTTGTTTTATTGATTGATTGATTGCTCAATAAAGTTAAATGCGAAAGTAGTGCATTTTAGTGAACTGAAAATAGTCAGAGTGAAGCAAAATAAAAAAGAGGCTTATGAAGTACAGTAAATAAAAACAGAAAAAATAAAGAGAAGATTATTACTTGTTTTAAAGAGAAAAAAAAAAGCAATTAAGATAAATAGAAGAAATAAATAAATAAATAATAAAAAGAAAACAAAATCAAATAAATAATAAATCTCTATTCAAATTAAAAGCAGAAGAATAGAAAGCAAGTAAAATATAAAAATGGTTGATAAAGGTGCAAAATAAGTTGACATCGATGTAGATAGCATCATCGAAAAGCTTATTGCTTGTAAGGAATACAAGCCAGGTAAATAGGCAAGTATGACAGAATAAGAAATAAGAGGTTTGTGCATAAAAGCTAGAGAAATTTTCATTAATTAACCCATTCTCCTTGAGCTCGAAGCACCACTAAAAATTTGCGGTAAATTAAATTCTGATTTTAAAAATTCCAAGAGCTGAACTCAGATGATAGTTTTCCTACAAAAGCAAAAACGATTTCTCTTAATAACATATAGGTGATATTCACGGACAATATTATGATTTGCTTCGTCTCTTCTAATACGGCCATTGTAAATATTTCATTTATTTTATCTTTTTTGAGCAAGCAACAAGAAACTAACTAATTTACAGATAAATAAATATATATATCTCTCTTTTCGTTTTAATTATATGATTGACTTCTAGCTTTTTTATATATTTTCTTTGATTTGCGTCTCTAACAAAAATGTTCAAACGCAAATTTATTAAGTCTTTTAAGACTCTGCATAAAAAAAAATTTGATAGTTAAGAGACGGATATATTCATCTAAATAAAAGCCTGTTGCTTACTTTCTTATAATTTATTAACATTCTTTTTCTTAACAAATAGATCCTCCCGATACTAACTATTTATTCTTGTAAGATTATTTTTAATCAAACTCAAATTCAAATAGCTTATCTCCAGCGCGTCTTAGTTTGAAAAAAATACAAAATATTTAAGTATTGTCTGTCTAAAATGCTTTCAAAAGTCTAAAATGACAAATATCTGTATAGCAAAGCTAGCAATTTAATCACTTTTAAGCATATAATATACTTTTTTTTGCTTAGTTAATATCCTTCTTTGCATTAATCACCTCTTAAATCACTAAATTTAAATAAAATGGGTTCAGTAGAAAATATTCAATAGTAAATACAATTTAAAATAAAAATAAAATAGCAAACCAGTAGAATGTATTCATCCGCATGTGATTTCGTGATATTACCCAAGTTTAATGACTGAAATCCTTAATAGCATACATAGCTAGAAAATATTAGCTTTTTGAGCAGAAATAAAATGAAATTTGCAATTTTTTTAAAAAAAGTTTAAATTCTTTCCAATATATATTGATAGTAATTAAGTAGTTGAACAAGTCATGCTGTGCTTAAAAGTGGTTGATTGAAACTAAACGCGAATTACAAATCTTTACAATAATAAATTTTGCTTATCTCCTAATCTTTTTTTTAAAAAAAATAGAGGTGATTATGTTGATAGAGGTAAATAAAGTTTAGAAACAATAGCTCTTTTACTTGCATACAAAATAAAATATCCTGAGAACTTCTTCTTACTGAGAGGTAATCATGAATGCGCATCAATTAATAGAATCTATGGTTTCTACGATGAATGTAATAAATAATTATATAAAAATTATTGACAAAAAATATTTTGTTTCATATTGTTTTTAAATAGCTCAAAATATTTAAAATAGATATTAAGCAATAAACTCAATTTAAAATAATTACTAGGTAAAAGAAGATACAATATAAAGCTTTGGAAGACTTTCACTGACTGCTTCAACTGCTTACCTGTTGCTGCAGTTATAGATGAAAAAATCTTCTGTATGCATGGTGGTTTATCTCCTGAACTTACTAATCTTGAATAAATCCGTCGTATTATTAGACCCACTGATGTTCCCGATACTGGTAATTAATATCTTTAAAAATTGCGCTTAGATCATCCAATAAATTAATTTATTATCTTCAAGGTTTATTATGCGATTTACTTTGGAGTGATCCTGATAAAGATGTATAGGGTTGGGCAGAAAATGAAAGAGGTGTTTCTTATGTATTTAGTCCAGAAATAGTATCAGTATTCCTGAAAAAGCATGAGTTAGATTTGATATGCCGTGCACATTAGGTAAAATTTACTTTAAGTTATTTAGAAAAAGTTACTTTTAAAGTTATATGAAAAACTTCCGAGTTTAAATATTAATAAAACATAATAAAACTAGAGAGAATAAATAAATAAGTTACAAATAATATAAATAGAAAAATAAAACTATAATATATTAATTATGTAGACAAATTTATAAAAATTATACTTCTAACTAATTAGGTTGTAGAAGATGGATATGAATTCTTTGCTAAAAGATAATTAGTAACCTTATTCTCAGCTCCTAATTATTGTGGTGAATTTGATAACGCAGGTAATTATTTAAATACAAACAAGGTTTGTAAATAAAGTAATAATTAATTAAATACTTTTTGATTATAATTTAGGTGCTATGATGACTGTAGATGAAACTTTGATGTGTTCTTTCTAAATTTTGAAACCTGCTGATAGCAGAACTACTGGATAAGCTGGCAGACCTTATACTCCTCCTAAAAGCAAGGTAATATTATTAAGATATTATTGAAAAAATAATAATTAATTTTTGTTGCTTGTATAAAAATAGTGAGAAACTAGAATAAAGGATGTATAAAAATTAATAACAAAATAGTAGTAGTAGTAAGCAATCAAAATAAGTAAGCAAGCAAGAGCGATAAAGTAAAAAATAATATGATAAATAAATTTATTCTCTCAAAGTTCTCTTAAAGAATAATATATTATATAAAAATGTATAGCAGATTGATAGTTAATTAATTAATTGATTACTCTTTTTTTTTAAAGCAGATATTATTATAATCATCAAAATATCATATTCATTCTATTGTTAAATTAATTGTTCATCAATCAATCACAATCATTTAAACTTACATACATACATATATACTTACCTACATATATATTTACTTACTTACATAACTTTACAATTATTTTAAAACTACTTTCAAATACAAATCAAATCAGTACTCATAAAAATAAATAAGTATGGAGGAGTTTATACAATATGCATAATTACATATACGCCTAAAACTTATAAATACATTATATATTGTCTGTTTGATTTCAAATAAACTTGTTTTTATATCTCAACTACTTACTATCTAAAAATAATCGTAAAATCATTATCTAAATAAAAATTAATTTAAGAACATAAAATCACCAAAACAAGCAATACAATCGTACTATAAAATAAATTATTTTTATTTTAGTTAATCAAAAAAACTAAAAGTCAGTCAATTTTTTAATTAAATTCTTATTGAAGAATAATTCATATAAAATCATTAAGTAATTTTTAGATAATTTTAATTAATTTATTTATTTGAGTGCTTCATAAAAATGATTAATTATTTTTTTACAAATCAATGCCAATAATATTGATTTAATATTCTCAACAAAATATATTGTTGCTAATTAAGAATGAAATAATAATCATCAATAATTTATTTTAAGAGTATTAGAATTTATAAAAAACAATCATTTTAATGTTTTATTATTATTCTGTATACAATATCTAAAATTTATTAATATTGGGTTGTAATTTACTCATAAATGTTACACTTTAATAAATTAACTTTTGCCTTAGGATTAAGATTTATTATGAAATGCTAAAATGAAACTTCTTTAAAAATTAAATTATTAAAATTTTGTTTTATCCTTGATATTTACATCAAACAAACCCAAAGTCGAATAGTATTTACTTACATACTTTCCTATTTATCTTTTAATAATATTAGCTAATTTCGAGATAAAAATATACACACGTTCTAGTTATTAAAAATTATTAGGATTAAGATTTATGATGAAATGCTAAAATGAAACTTCTTTAAAAATTAAATTATTAAAATTTTGTTTTATCTTTGATATTTACATCGAACAAACCCAAAGTCGAATAGTATTTACTTACATACTTTCCTATTTATCTTTTAATAATATTAGCTAATTTCGAGATAAAAATATACACACATTCTAGTTATTAAAAATTATCTGGTGTATTATTTGTATGTTATTGTTATTTATAATAAATTGAGATAATTTATAATATTTAATGATTAATAAATCAGGTTATTTTACTTAAAAAATTCTTTATTTAATTATTCCAAAACAGATTAAAAACTAAAAATTTAATCAAAATCTTTGTGTATTAGAAAAAATAATAATAATAGGATAAAAAACACTAAATTGATATTTTTATATATTTATGAGTGACCCTTAATTGAACTCACGTTAGCTCTTAAGCAAATCTTTTAGTCCTATAACAAAAGATAAGGCTTTAAATTGCATCAGTTATGGATTAGCAGTAAATTATGGTTCAGACAAAAAGAAATTCATTGCCTATTAAAACGAAGTTGATCCAGAACTATTGATGCTTTTACCATACAATTAAGCTGTACCTTCCAAATTAGATTTTATAGATTTAACATAAGTAATAGATATTTAAGAGTTATCTCCGTTTGAGAAAACTCTGAACACTTAATGGCTGATGTTAGAGCTAAAGAATAAAAAGCATTATTTTAGTTTTAATGATTAGGAAGAGAAAAATCTACTTTGGCAAGCTATCTTAAATATTATCAAGTCAGCAAATGTCTCAAAGCAACAGTAAAATTATTTCTTAATACATTTTAAGCTAATTTTTAACGATTTTAACCTAAATTTTATCTTTTATTGTTTAAAAAAGAAACATGAAGGCTGATTATGTCAAGCAAATGGCTTTAGATTTTTTTTCCAAGGCTGATTAAGATTTATCTGATAATTTAACTTATGAAGAATGCTTAAACTTAATATAAAAACTGAATGTGAACATTAGCAAAAAGGATCTGTTGGAAAAATTCTAATTTTATGATGAAAACAATGACAAACTTCTCCAAGTGAATGAGTTTGTAGAGATTATTAGAGATTTACTTTCGAAAAGTGAATTAATGCCTTTGTTTAAGAAATATGTGCCTTCTTTTAACGAAAAAAGTAATCTTAACTCACCTGCAATGAAAAAAGAAACATTCTTCAAGTTTATGAAAGCTGAACAAAAACAAGAAGAAATTGATCTGAAGTCTCAATAATTTTTAGATATGTATTTCGCTGAAAAAAACAATATAATTTCTTACAATGACTTTATAAATTTGATCTTTAATTATTAAAATAATATTTATGATCCAGCAAAGCTTAGTGTTTATTAGGTATTAAATTATTAGCCAATTTATTATCAATATGTTTAATTAATTTATCAAAAAATTAAAATAACAAAATAATCATTTAAAATTTTAAAAATCTTTGCTTTTTATAAATATAGGATATGGACCAACCACTAACAGATTATTTCATAAATTCATCCCATAATACATATCTCATGGCCAATTAACTAACAGGCGAGTCTAATGTATAGGCATACATTAATGCTTTTAGAAAAGGCTGTAGGTGTATAGAAATCGATGTGTGGGTAAAATAAATAAATTATTAATTAATTTGTTTCATTTTTGTTAACAAATATTTAATAAAAAAAGGATGGAAGTGAACCAATAGTTACTCATGGTTTTACTTTAACATCATCCATAAAGTTTAGAGATGTTGTTTAAACCATTAAAACTTATGGATTTGTCTGGAGTAAATACCCTATCATAATTTCTATAGAAAACCACTGTAACCAAGAAAATTAGAAAAAAATGGCAAATATTATGAAAGAAATATTTGGAAGCTCAATATATCTTATCCCTGAAAATTATTCATCCATGAAGTTCTACCCTAGTCCCAGATAGCTTAAAAAAAAAATAATTATCAAAGCTAAGGGAACACTAAGCCAAATTTTAGAAGAGTCAGTTTAAACTGTAGATTTATAGTTGAAAAAGCAAAGTAAAAGTACTCCACACTAGAGCAGGAGAATTAGAGATTCTGTTTTGTTTTCTAATATTCACTAACAGGATTAAATAGATTTAAACCAAATCTATCACTTTAATATTGAAAAAGCCTTTTCTTAGAATGATGTAGATGATAACACAAATATGCTATATTATTCACCTATGTAACTATTGTAAATTTCAGAATCTAACAGGTAGTTTAAATCAATCTAGTATGACTAAGAAGATACAGAGAGAACAATTATGGACAGCGACGACGAGACTGACAGCAAGTCTTAAGTTGCATAAGTCAAGGATTTTTAGAGATGTATTTCCATGGTAGGTGTGAGCTTTACAATGGATATGATCAAATTCTAAAATGGCTCAATTTTCGATATATTTTCGCTAAGCGAAGAAAAAATTAAATACTTGCTAAAAAAGCATGAAAAAATTATTGTTGATTACCATAAAAAATTTTTCAGTCGTATTTATCCAAAGGGTTCGAGAGTAGATTCTTCAAATTTCGATCCTTTACCATCATTTATAAGTGGATCTTAAATTATTGCACTTAATTTTTAAACTTGTGATTATCATATGCTAATGTATCTTTCTAAATTCTAGTAAAATGGTGGAATTTTTAGTGGATATGTTTTGAAACCAAAGTATTTAAGACATAGTCACATTCAACAAATCAATTCAGATGACCATAAACTATGTGATGATTTGAACAAAAATAAAAATACTTTGCAAAAATATCCAAGTGACTTTGTAAAACAAATAAAAGAAATAAAAATTACTATTATTAGTGGATAGTGCTTAAAAAGGGAAGAAGATGATTCAAAGTCATTTAATCCGTTCATTGAAGTTTCTTTAAAGGGTACAGAGCTAGATGAAAAAAACAACAAAACTTAAAGAACTAAATCAATAAATAATAATACATTTCATCCTATTTTTAATTCTTCTCCTATCACTTTTAAAGTTGCATGTCCAGAACTTGCAATGATTTCATTTTAAGTATTTAGTAATGGAATCATAAAAAATGAATTATTCGCATAGTATGCCCTTGATTTTGAGTGTATAAGAGAAGGCTATAGAATAATACCATTATGGGATAAAGAATTTAAAAAAATAGAACATGGTATGTTGCTTGCACATATTGAAATATTGGATTTATATACATGAAAATAACTAAAAGTAATTATTTTAAATAATAGAACTAGTTTATTTAATTTTAACTAAAAAAAAATAATAATTCAAAAATATGAAAAGTTAATTTGCTTATTTATTTACTCTCAGATAATATTTGTTTAAAAATACTTTATATAAATTCTTTATTTTAATGTGATTATATATTTTTATAATAACTTGCTTTTATATATTTAAAATTTATCTAAATTTTCATTTCATAGATAAACATTTCAATAACAATTTCATTACTTAAATCCCTCACATTTTTTACAAATACATACATTTCATGCTAAAAGAATAATAAATTAAAAATAAATAATGGATTAAAAATATTTTAAAATTATATTATTAATCAAAAATATTAAAAAGGAAGCTTGACTTTTTTTTTTGATTGACCAAGGTTTAAAAAATTACATTCATTTTGAAGCTAGTAAATTGAATGAATTCGAATTTCTACAAAATTTGAAAATATATACTTTCCATTCATCTTTATCAATAAATATTATTTTTAGTCAAAGGAAAGCTACTTTTTTATTTATTTGATTAATAGAACAATTCCAGAATATTTTTAATCTAATCTATTTTTATTATTTATTTATTACTTTTTAAGCATAAAATAGTAGGGCTTGTAAAAAATATGGGGGATCATTTTGGAAAAAAGAGATACTCATAGACAGATAAAAATATAGTATATCGGTTGAAAATACTAGAAAAAATCGATTTTTTAAAAATCATAGATCATCTGATTGGTGCACAACTAATATTCATTGTAAGTTATAAATATTTAAAGACTATAAATTATTGGCATTTAAAGTTTAATAAATGGTATGAGGTCTAACTCTTAAGCTTAATTATATATTTTATATAAGCATCCTTAATTTTATAATGATATGAAATGATTTATATTTATTTATTTGATTGATATGATGCAAAATGAATTTTAAATAGAAAAAATCAATTTAATTTAGTTGAATAATTGTAAAAGTAAACAAATTTATTAAAAGTAAGTAGTTATACAAATTTATTAACATTAATTTATTAATTTAGAGTAAGTATATTTTATAAATTCTATTTTTAAGTTATTATTTCTTTATTTATTTTTTATATTTTAAAAAGCTTTATTTTTACAAATGAGCTAAATAAATAAATAATTAATTTTAATTCATTTATGGAAATGTTCAATAATTAATGATTATGCTTGCTTTTTATTGTAATTTAATTTCAGTTTACATTTTTTCAATCTATTTTTCTAATTCTTACACTTTTTTCTTATACTCATTGTATAGTGTTTTGTTTTTATTTTATGAGAAAATCTGTAAATTCATAATACCCTTAGCTTATTCAAATTTTTTCAAAGCTAATTCATATATGTGCTGCTCTAACAAAATTTTAGTAATAACCAAAAGGCAATTTAGATTATAATAGTCTCCAGTAAAATTTTTTATTTCTTAACATAGCTTTCTAAAATCTTTTGAATTACTACCATATAGCTTGAATGTGACAAGGATATAATAAAAAAGTAGCTCAAGATAGTCCTTATTACATTTTGAGTCATTATATCTCAAAATATAGCACTGATTAAGATATTCGTAAGCTAGTTTATAATTTTTTTCTTCAAACTCTATTTGGCCAAGGTATTAGAAAAAAGGAGGATACATATATCTAGGTGAGTTTGATTCTAATGATTTTAAAATTTTTTTTGCTTCAATTATCTTTTTGTTCCTACAATATATTCTAGCAATATTCGATTAGCAGTAAAAATATATCTTGTCTTTTTCTTTCTCAGTGCTATCTGTTTCTATTTTAATTTAGTTTAGACACTTCTAAAAATACTCCATAGCCTTTTCATTATTTTCAACATATTTATAGCTACATGCTAACTGATAATACAATATAGACAAATTAAAAATTAATTCCTAGTTAGATGGTTCTGGCGTTTGTGGTGTGGGCATAAATGGTAAAATTTGAGTACATTTATCCTTAAGCTTTTACTTTTACAATAAAAAGTCTATAAGAGTCTGAATATCTTCTCTGACAGTTGGTGAGTTTGTCATCTTTAATTTAAATTTAGTAATTTCGAATAAATCGTTTGCATTTGAAGGGTTTAAATTATTCCTTAAATAATTAGTATATGGTTCTAGGTTAAGAAGTAAAAGTTTGTGAATTTTTTCATTGTAGTAAGCTTTACATAAAATTGATAAAGTTTTTAAATACTCATTAGAATCAATTCCATAACACTCAGCTTTTAAATTTTTAAGATCCTCTAAAGTTTTTAAAAATTCTTTTTTCATAAAAACACTTTCATAAATTTGATAAAGATAAGTCAACTTTTAGCATTTCTAAAAGTTAGATTTTTCTTAAATATTTTATTTTGAGTTAATTTGACTTTCAAAAATGTTAATAAAATGTATAAAGTGCAATCTTTTCATTTTATATTAATTAACTAATTTTTAATTATATTTTTCATTATTATAATTGTTTTAATAATAATTAGCATTTAATAACTATTATTCTAAAAAAGTTAAGGAGTTATTTAAGATTGTGCCTTCATGCTAATTTTACTTGAAAATTTCTTGCAGTTCATTTTAAATATTAAAAATAGCTTCTTAAATGTTTCCTTTTTATATCAAGTTATATAGCTATTCATGAAATTAAATATATTTATTCTCATCTATGCTTTCGTTATCGTTAATCATAGTGCTAGATGCTATTCCAACACTAGATTTATCCTTGAATATTTTTTTAGATAAATTTTAAAAAATGTTAATGATTTAATCTCTTTCTCTTTGTCTGATTTAGTTTTCAATATTTTAGTCTTTATTTAATATGGAGTAACACTAAGTTTAGTTATTTATTCATTAAAAATGGATTTAATAAAATTTTAGATAATATTGAAATATTTGTTAAGACTCAAAAAAATTATTGCTTAAATTTACTAAAAAAATATATATTTATACTTGCAAAGGTGTATTTGAAAAACTTAATATATATTTTGACCATATTAAATTAAGAAAAAATTCGAGAAAAAATAAATAAATGAAGTTAATTGCTTACTAATTCATTAGTAATTTTAATGTTTGTTTATTTTTCTCATCTATTTTCATTCAATCAAAAATATATTAAGTAAATAAATTATTTTTTTGCATAATGAATGCATTTTTTTAAATTGAAATGAGCTAAATTTTTTTGTTTCTTAACAATAAAACAATAAATGCCAATATTAAAAATTAATTACACTCTAAAGAGAACTAAAAGAAACAGCAAGAGAATTGTAACTTATAATAATAGTTTAGGATGATAAATTAGGAAGTGCGATCTTCTCATTTAGGAAAACGTTATACACTTTTAAGATTTCTAAAAATAAAGTTAAAGTTTATTCTTGATTAAATAATTTGAAGCCCAAAGAAATCTAGCCAGTGTACTATATGATATCTTCAACTGTAAAAAAATCTTCTACTTCTCTGAGTAAGTAAATGTCATTTTCTTCATGTTTGTAGAAATAAATTTTTTTTTTAATTACAGAAGGTATTAATATTCGATCAAATACTAAGTTTGATAAGAGCATCTCCTAAAAAATTAAAGAGCACTCTTCAAAACATTAAAACCTCAAGAATTAATATTATTTTTTATCTTGTGTGTCCCTTAAATACAAAATATTTTACAAATTTTCAAATTTATTTGATTTTTAATTTTTATTTATAGAGGGTAAATCTACATCGCTAAAATTGAAATTAGGAATATCAGATGATTTAGAATTGTATATTTTACTCTTGATAATTTACTTTTTGAATTTTTCTAAAGATATTTCTACCGATTCATAATCTTCTTTTTCTTAAATATTTAGTTTGATCTAAAATATATCTTAATTCTTGTTTTATGAGCTATTTGAATTGAAATATTAATCTTGATCTAAATCAAAGTCATCTGCTTTATTTTTTTTACTACTTTCAGATCCTATACCTTATGTTATTTTATTTACTTTTATTTAGCACTATTTCATAGGTTCCTTATTGAAATAAACTGGTATATTTTAAATCAAGGAAAATTTTTTCTCTTTGTGGAAGTACTACAATTAATGCTTTTCATCTTTGCTTTTAGAATTTACATTTTAATTGATATTTGATGGATTGCTGTTATCACTACTTAAAGCATCCGATTCATAATTTATCTACTTTACTTTAAATTTGTTATCAACAGTTGCGTCTAAATTCCTATTGAGATCCTTTTGAGACAATTTTGTTTGACTAATATAACTATTTAGATAATGCTGTTATTCACCTTTAGAAGAAGAAGTTGTGTTCTTTTTAACAATATTGGATCTATACCTTAAGTTATGATTTTAATTATTATGATTTTAATTATCTTCTTCGTCACTCCATTCTTTGCTACCAAAACTTTCAACATTTAAAATTGGATTATTCATACTGGTATCTGGATTTAAATGTCTTTGAATATTACTAAGATCGAATTATAAGCTTTGATCTTGTAACATATCTCTAGAACTATAATCTATATAATTTTATTTTTACTTTTATTTTAAATCTATTTGTTAGCATTAAACTTCACTTATTTTATCAGATTTATGCTCTTTTTAATTCTCAATATTATAATTTATAAAGCTCTCTTCGTTGATTAACCTATTTGATAAGTTAATATCTTTATTTTATTGATTACTCAGATCAAGCGAGGCTTCAATTTGTATATAATTTTGTATGACTACATCCTAAGGCTTTGGCTCAGATATTGTATTCTAACTAGAACTCTCTACTCCAACCAATCTTTTTTATCTAAAAAATTAACCGTTATTATTACTTTAATCTTAATCAGCACGGGTATTATTTAATTGACTGAATGAGATATCTTAATATTCGTTTCCATTTTTTTAATTATTTGTTTAAATTTAAACTCGATTTACTGTTGTTATTGCTTTTTTAATAAAAGTTTATTTGATTTATTTATTACTATTCACATTGCTATTATTTTTTGTATTAACTTTGGTAACTTAAGATGCAATTTATGGATCTTATGAACAAGTAAAACTCCTAATTATAGAATCTATTTATTCAGTGCTCTATTATATCTCAAGCTACTTTTTAGCTTAAGGTTTGAACTAATTTTCGCTTTAAATATTCATAAAAAACTAAGCGAAATATCTTTATGGTAATTGTTTGACTTCAAATTTAATTCAATAGATAATAAAATTTTTATGTGTATTAATTTTGCTGGTTTTTATTAACAATAATATAATAATTCCTAATATAAACAAAATAAAGTACATATCTATATTAAAATTAGTGGTTATCATGTACTTTGAGAATGAATAAGCATATAATATTTTCTGTATTCGTTAAAATGTTGCGCTAAAAAGTTAAACAATAAACACTATCAAGTTTCTATGTATTCAAATTATTAATTGCAATAACCCATATAATCAAGGGTTACAAAAACTAAATATTAAAAAGAAATTAAATAAATATAAAGCAATATCCTAAAATAAAAAGGATAATTCTAACTTTATCAACCTTAAATAGAAATAAAGAAATCAATTTTAATCACCAATTTTAATTTATTACTCAAATTAGAATGGATAAAACAAAACTAATAATTTTTATAAAAGAAGAAAAAAACAGAAAAATTTAATAATCTAATTAGGAGTAAATTTTCTAAATAGATAAATGAATGGTCATAAAATCCAATGAATTATCTAAGGCAATTTTAATCATAACTTAAAAAATACTTAGATTTACACAAATAAAGCCAAATAAATTTTAATAATAGACAATTTAGATTTTTTTTGTAACAGAGAAAAGTTAATTTTTACAAGAAATATTCAAGCTATCAAAAATTATGTTTTTACTCTTAAGCTTTGAAATATCTTAATTAAATCAGATATTTAGTTAGATCAAATAAATGTTTTTCTTTGACTTTTAAATAGAACTAAATTTATCCTTTTATAGATACTTTTCATTATTTATTAATAGAATTATAAGTATTAGTATTAAAGCCTTAATTTGAATTTGAGAGCTGCATCTAAATATTGATAGATTCGTTTGAAATAAGAGCAAGCTGACTCAGTTTAAATTTTTATCTGCTCAGATTATTTTGGTTACTAAAATGTTTAAAGTTTTATTAAATTTGTCCTTTGTTATTTATATTTTATTATGCTGGCGACATTCCCTATAAGGTATTTTTCTATCCTAAGCGCATAATTTTTTTATTATTTTAAGACTTTGAGCTGAACTAGGTGTCTTTTAAGACAGATATTGTTGAATTTAAAAAATTCTTTTTAGTACCCAAACCACTCTACGCAGCTCTACTCAAGGTGGGCTCTACGCTTTTAGAAGGGAGTACAAAGTGCTAGTATGTCTTTCTCAACTCGTGGTCATTAAAAGTGTTACTTTTATTTTCTTTCGATGAAACATCAAGGATATCTGAGTTAAGAAAATCATTTAGTCTATTTTATTTTTCTTCTCGAATTCCCTCTAAAATATCTACACTTTAATTTAAATATTTTTTTGTATTGAATTTCTTATTTTATAATTCTGATTTTATCGAAGTTGGAAGTTGTATTTCTTTATTATTTTCGAAAGAGTAACTGAGTGATGGTTTTGAAAATAATTCTTTTTCTTTTGAATTTGATGAAGAGTATTATGGAGAGCAATTTATGTCAATCCCATGTTCTAATGACTATGAATGGAGATTATTCTTCATATAATATTAATTAGAAGAAGGTAAAGTTGAAATTTCACCTGTTGTATTCAAATGTTGAGAAACTGTTATCTATCTTCCTCCAAACCTTAGAGACTGCCTCTATTTATTTTTATCAAGATTTTCAGATTGATTTGCTGCTTTAAGTACAATTTAATATGGAATTGACTAATTAAGAACAGACATAGTTTAGATTAATGTGTTCTGTCTCATACCATTTTCGCTATTTAATGAATTCCTTTTATTATTTTCTTTATTGTTCGAATATGTGCAGTTCTTTAAAAAATTTTAAGTAGTGGTTAAGGGCATATCTCTCTGCTTAGGGGAAGATGACTGTTCTTAATTTTAGACTTACGATTAAGGAAATAAACTTTGGTTTAGATTTTCTATTTTACCAGATGAATTAAAAGTAACAGCCGCTTGAATTTTTTTCTCAAGCTATGAGTGTAGAAAAGCAATTTCTGATCCTAGTTTAATAGTTATATCACTGACTCTTTCTTCATGCATCCTCAGTAAATTATTGTATTCCTGCTTCATGTTTGATACAAATCTTTTGTTTTCTTCTAATTCCATATTTAGCTTTGTTTCGTATTGAGTACTTAACTCCTTTTTAATAGCTTGCTCTATCTACTTGACTTCAATTTATTGCAGCTTCTAAGAGTCTAAATCTTTTAGGTTTTAGAATAATCTGTTAATTTAATTCTATAAAATATTTTTAAAATCCTCCGATTCATTCCCTATTCTATTCTGGTTTGCCTTTTGTAAAGCAACATTCTCTTTAAGAGCTTTTTCAAGCTATGTCTAAAGATTTACTTTTTCCTTTAGCTCAGTGTTCATTAAATTTGAAATTTAATTTATTAGGATTTGTATTTTTAGCTCTTTCATTCTACTATCAAGAACTAATGCAAAATACTCTGTTGCCTTTAAAGTAAATTGCTTTTTTTCTTCAAAAGGTAGATCCAAAACTCTTGAATCTTTTTCTATAGTTAATCTTATTTCTTTAAAAAATGAATTATGATACTATTTATCAATATTGTCTTTAATAGCTGAGAGCGTCTTCTCAAAATTAGCTTAGAAATCACTCATCATTCTCGAGCAAAACGATTACATTTACCAGAAATCATAACTAATAAAATTATTAGCATTTTTCGTATTTTACACATGTGATTACTTTAATTATGTCTTATTTTGCATATTAAACTGTTACGATTGCTCAAATAATTATTCTATTGATTGATCTTGATTTATTTCTAAACCAATTGTATTAAATATACTGCTATTATTATATTATGTTTTCTATCCTGACAATAACTAGTTTTATTAATTTTAAATTTAATTACTTATATTAAAATGCTTAGAAGTATTTAAAGAGATTTTCTCTACCTTTAAAGATTGATTCAATTAATCTTGCATATGATTTTAATTTTTATTTGATTGAGTTATTGAGATAATTTCTCTCTTCAGATTTTATATTTATTGCTCTAATTTTAGCTGAGACTCACACTACTCTTTTTCTATAATTTACCTCAGTTCTTACTCTTTCTGAAGCCTCTACTTTATTTCAATAAGCTCTTATTTATTCTCTTCATACATCAAACTCATTATTTGAGCTTTCTCTTAATACTGAAGAGATTCTTTTTGAAAGTTATGCACCATATCCAAATAATTTTAATTTGACTCTTTTAACTCTATAACTTGATCTTTGAGAGCTTAATTTTCATTACTTTATAAGTTAACAGCATTCTATAGCTTAAGATTTTGCTACATTATTTCTTATATTTTATGTTCAGTTGCTTCGACTGTTCTCTACACGTTTTATTGGTAATCTTCATAAGCTTTTTATAGATAGTATTTAGGTCCATTTGTTATATTTTGCTCAAGCTCACATAACTTTTAGGAAACTTTGTAATAATTGTTCTTCCAATCAGTAACTTATTTCTCGTAATACTATTTTTAATTTTAAATTTGCATATTATGTTAATCATTTTTCGTTATATTATTTTTTTCATGTAATTTGATAAGCTTAGCAGTGTCATTTCTCATTGTTTCTATCTTTAACGTGCTATTCTCAATTTCGTGTTTGATTTTTTGCTCCAAAGAATATATTTTTTAAGACAAACCTAAATTCTACTTTTTGTATTCTTTAATTTAGTTAGAAAGGTACTAAATATTCTTCTCTAATAGCTCATTATTATTTACAAATTCCTTCTTTTGATTTTCTGATTCGTTTAACTATTTTTACAATCGCTATGTAATTTAATCTTATAAAATATCTTTTTGTTTTATTAAAGAAAGCACTTTAGCTGAGAACTCATGTAAGAGAGTTTAATATTATGATTACATTTATTCATTCTACTTCTAATGCAATTAAATAATTTAATCTTTTTCAATTAGTTCTTACTATCTTTCTTCATTGAGTTTTTGATATAAATTAACTTTGTTATTTAATTTTGAGAGATGCTAAATATAGTTTGAATTATCTTACTATATTATCTACTATTCTATTTTCATCATCCTAATTTCATTTGTCAAACTTATATTCTTAGTAATCACTTCTTAATAAGTTTATCCATTTTTATAATTTTTGAATAATCTGGTATATTTCTAGCAAATGCTATGATCTGCGCTTAAGATATCCAAAAGTTCAGCATTTTTACTCATAACATCAGCAATCTAAGAGGAATATTCGTTTATTTATTACTCAACCTAGCATTTAAATAATTCTAATTGATATTTGTATTTATGATTTAGTTCCTTAACTTAAATCTCATGATCGATAAGCAACTAATCATATTTTAACTTAATTCTCTTTATTTCCGACACTAAATTATTTTCTTATGTTTCTTTTTTTTATATTTATGTCTTTAAGTTCATAATCTACTAATTATAAGTTATACTATACTATTCTATTTCTAATTCATAAAAAAGCTTCAAATTACTCGTAATCGCATTTAAGGTGTTTTCATCTACAAAATCTAAGTCTATTTTCTCCTCTTTAGCATCTTTTTTCTTCTATTTCTTTACAGGAGAACAGCTCTATGATTTATCTGCATTTAAAAGCGAAAATCGCCTTCGTTCAATCTTTTAATCAAACTAGCTGTTATTATTTGCACTTTATTGCTCTAATAACAGTTGGTTTTATACTTATCCAAATTACATTCAATTTATTTGTTTATTATATAATTAAAAAAGAAAATTGAAATCCCAGATACTTAAGATACTTAGAAACTTATCTCATTCATTCATCCATACAGACATACAAATTCATTCATTCATTCATCCAACCATACATACACACCTAATTTAAGTAATATTAGCAGCTTCAAGATATTTCAATATAAAAAATATAACTAAAATTATAATAGAATATTCATTTTTATTAAATTTTATTAAATTTTTATTTCAATTTACAATCTATTTAACAAAAAATATAAAATTAAAAATGATAATCAGAATTTAAGCACCCAAATTAATTAATAAAGGTATTTTAAAAATCTTTAATACATATTTTAAGTATCCACGCATATGTTAATAAATTTTTTATAGTGCTAGAAATTTTAATCTGATTTAAAAGTTAATATTTGAGTAATGAAGTAAAAATCTAGTTTCCTTTATTCATGGCAATTTTGATTTTTACTTAAAATATTTTTAAAAATAATCTTTTCTAATCAAAAATTTACAACTTACTTTTAAAATTTTTTATGATTTAAAAAAGCAAAAAAAAAATTGTTTAAAATCTTTAAAAGTTAAAAATAACAAAATGTTTTATAGTTTCCAACAGAATAAATTAAAATAAACGTAATAAAAATTTAAAATTAAATTTTAAAATAATACTTTTATATAAAAATTAAAAATTTAATAAAGATATAAAAAGATTGAATTAGTTTTTGTTTACAAAATTAATAAAATCATTAATTAATTCATAAAATAATTTAAATGTAAAATTAAAATATTTATGATTAAAAATTAATAGGACATACATAATTACTTAAATTGTATTTTAGAAGAATGTTGATATGAAAAACAATATTCAATATCTTAATTATTGATTTGGTGGAGAAATTATAGATTATAATAACAGAACTTACTAATATAATTCATAAATTTTATTTAAAAAACTATGCCTTACACTTTTTATTAAGAAAATGTGAAGGATATTTATTCATTTAAATATTATCTCAAGGTTTACTTTTATTAACAGAACTTAAAAATCAATTATTGTTTATTTTTTAGTTTTTAATTTTTTAATTTGCAATTCAATTTAATGTCTCTTTATATGCATACATACATGTTTGAATTATTATTGCTCATAGAACTAAGAAATACAGATATAAAATTGAATGAAAATAAAAAGCAAAAAATAATTTTAGTGAAATTTAAATTACATCTCTGGTAGCTAGCTTGATTACTTTAATAAAAATTAAATTCTTTTATTATTGAGTTTTAATTATTCATAAAAACATTTAGCTTATTTTTAAATTAAAAGATCGGTTTTTAATGATCTAATTAGGAAATATTTGATTTCTGAAATAGACCATGATGACAAGCTATTAATCATTTCAAACCTTTGTAGTTAATTACAGTATCTAATAAGTGTCTATTTATATATTTTCCATAATACTGCAATTTTAACAAAACTAACTTTTCAGTTCAGTCCTAGAATAAAATAAATGATCTTACATGTGGCAAACGTTATTTCATAACATTGCTATATCTAAATTTAATAATTATTTTGCATACTTCATATAGTCAATTAAAAAAATAAAAGAAATCTAATCTTTATAATTTGCAAAATTTTTACATCTCAATATAATCAAAATAACTATTAAGGGTGGAGAAACTTATTTGGAATAAACCTAGAAAAATTTATAAAGTTGATGGAAATTATCCTCACCATGAAATTATCAAGCTTTAATCTAGATTATTTTAAGACCAAAAATTTTCAACATTTCCCCTTTAGCACTATAATATTTCTTACGGATGATCAAAAATTTGAGATTACCAATCAATCATTCATTTTTAAATTTTTATCGATATCCTTACAAAGTACGAATTTTACGTCATAATTAAATTTAGATAATTTGAATTTGGTGAAAAAATAAAAGATTGGTAAAAAGATAATAATAATTAGCTTGGATTGCATCATAATATACACAAAAAATAGAAACTATTTCAGTCATAACATATTAGGGAAGAGATTATAAGGGAATTTATCTAATAAAATCATAAGAATTAGATTAATGTAATTTACATTTTTGTAAGTGTATAATATTGACAATTCAATTAGATTTTCTTATTATTTGTTTGACTCATACTTAGGAACCAATAGTGAAAGAAAAATTTTACTTACTTCTTTATTAAAATTTTATCTTATTTCTTTTATTTCCAAATATTTTAGCAGTAAAGCTCTTTTTACCCTATGAATAATAAATCGATTACTAGTGAATCAGAAAAAAGCAGTCAAATCTTTCGCTATAAATACTAAATTTTAGTATATGTTTTCTAAATTTTTATTCTTGATATATAGACTAATATTGGACAACAATTATGGATTTAAATTATAAAATTAGTTAATTTGAGATAATTTTCATTTTGTATTGTAAATAAATATTTCTGTTCACTAAAAATGAGTTTCTGAAGAAAAATTATATTACAATTTGATTATTGACTGAATTTACATCAAATTATGGTGAATTTGCAATCTTATTTGTTTGCGAATTTCAATTAAATTAATTTTTGCACTTATAAAATTGGTAGATGAATGTGTGAATCATCCAATATAAGAAAATATTAAGTTAAGGATATTTATTGCATAAGAATTTTCAAACAAGTTGATTATTAAATATCAATTAATTAATTGTTTAATATCTTAAAGGGTAAATTGAAAGGATGAATGAGCCAATCATTTTGATAGAATGATATCCTCTTTTTATAAAAGTAAATTAATTTAAGTAAAAACAATCACAAGATCAATCTATCACAAAGAAAAACAAATCAAGACAAACAAAAAAAGAAATATAAATTCAATCTATTTGTTTTTCCATTTAACTGATCAAAGGAAGCTTCTTTAAACAAATTCCGTTTACTTCAACTTTTTGATTGTTTTGCTTAGTTAAAAACTGAATTAACGCCTTATTTATTTATACTTCTTCACACTATAGTCAATTTATTTCTGAAGAATTAATATTGTGTATTAAGAATAAAAGAATTGCTTGAGTTTACTTATTAAATAAAGAAAAAATCCAATAGATTATAATTTAAAAGTAATTATTTTAGAAACAATATTAAATGAAGTATTTAAAAAAACTCTGGGTGAATCAGCGTAAGCTCAGAAACTGCTCAATAATTTGCGGTGTTATGGGTGTATTGCTAGTTGTTGCAGGCTGTGTTGTACCCATAGCAATTAATGCAATTATCTAAAAGCAGGTAGCATCATAAATAACTATGACTGATAGCAATTAGGGAATGTGGGCTGACATTCCAGGTGATACCAAGGCATTCATTGTGAGAAATTTCACCTTCTTTGAATTCAAAAATCCTTTCGAGTTTTTGTTCAAGTAGCAAACTCCAGTTGTTTAAGAGTCGAAAGTCTATTCCTATTAAGAAAGCGCATAATTTGTAAATTTGGAGTTCCTTGATAACGGCGAAAAAGTCAAATACAATTTCTACAGGCACTTTAATAATTTATATGATACTAAAAATGATGAACAAATAACTACATTAAATTTGGGAGCATACGGTGCATGGAATATTATGAAAAACACAAATTTAACAAACTTAAATCTAAATGGTCTTTATAGTCTTTTCAATTCTATGAACACAACAATTCTTCCAACAATCATCAATTTAGGTAACTTTCCATTTCTTTTGTCAAAAAATATTCTCTGAATTTTACCAAATCCATTTAAAGTCCTTCCAACAATTGTTACAAAATTAATTAATTAATTTTTTGCATTTGCTTTTATTTAATCTTGTTCAACTTAAAGTATGAAAGAAAAATTATTAAATAAATATTGATGAACTATTTTGGAAACATACTTTAAAGAAGTTTACTGAACAGTATATTTACAAACAAACTTGCATAAAATAAAATATTAGACTTTGGAATTTATATCAAAGATTGGATAACTTTAAGCAAATTATTATTAATAAGTTGACTCCCTTAAAATAAATAATTAGAAAGAAAAAAATAATTAAAATTTCTTTAATGAAAGAATAAAAAATTTGTTACAGATAAATTAAGGTTGAATTTACTATAGAGAGCTTTATCATTTAATTTTCCTTAAATATATAATTTTATTACAATGCTAAGTTATAGTTTATATAAAAATTATAATTTTAATAAAAAACTTTAATTTGGAAATATTTCAATAGCCTCCTATTTAATAGATACACTTGTTACTGATTGTTTAGCTTACATATTTTATTTAATTAGATTTTATCATCTATTATTATTTTTATTTACTCATAAACACTTTTGTACTACTTTTAATTTAGACTTATTAAAAATTAACTTTATTTTTTCTATCAAAAAAATAGCCCTCTCAAGTTTTATCTATGATATTAAGGATATGGATGCTGTTTCTACTTAAGCAAAGTAATTTTGTACAGCTGGTGGTATTGACCCTAATGGTAGCTTATGTCTGAAGTTATGGAGCGATCCTGTTTATGGATGGAAAGAAAACACTACTAGAATTCATTGGGTTATAGCTTAGAATAATACTTATCCCAGTAGCAACAATGAAAAATTCATGTTGTAGGATTATTTCAAGTTAAATTTCTACTAGTTTAATGGTGTTTTACAGTAATTTTAAGCCATTTGCTCAACTTATTAATCAGTCATAGAAGCTTACTACTCTGCGATGGAACTAATGGGTCTTGAAACAGACTCATTTTCTCTGGCTGCAACACAATGGGTCTAGTCATACGTAAGTTATGCCTTTATTATAAATTAAAGTTGAATTTAATTTTTATTTAGGTAAGTTTGCATCCTTAAGGAAATTTAAGTGCCTTCGACTCTCTTACCTAGCTTAACAAGACACTTTTTTACATGCCTGAAATAAAAAATTACAGAGACACTGTTTTCCTCTAGTAATATCCTCATTTGTATAACGAATACTTCAACGTTTCATTGCCTTTTGATTGGGCTCGTAAAGTGATTTATTATACTGATTTTGCTTAAACTGGCACATTCACTAAAAAGAAGTACAGTATGCTAAATTTAGGTAACTTAGAATACCTTTGGATTAATGGCTTGAATTATGACAATTCCTCAGACACTTAATATTTAAAAAACATTGCCAACAGATTTGAAATCCCAGAAGATTAATCAGATTTATCGGTCCTTGGTAAATTAATTTGCAGATTAAAAATAAACTAATTAATTACTTTTTACAAATTACCTTAGGCATCCCTAAAAGAACATTCTTATTTTGGAATTATATTAAATACTTTGCATACAATTTTACTATGGCAGGAGCTTAAGGAGGTAATTCTGGTCAAGCAGCCATCGGCTAATTTGCTTCTAATTCACTCCAAGCTAGTTTCTAAGAAATGAAAAATAGAATGCCAGTGAAGATTAAAGCATCAATCCTGCAAAAGAGTATTTCAAGTGAAACTTACAATACCTGTTTAGATTTCTTCCAAAATGGATTATTTTATGAAGACCAATAAGATTTGCTAATTCTCACCCCTGAACAAGCTCAAGTAATGTGTGATTAGCCTTAGTTCTAAAACTGGAAAGATCCAAAAACTTTCGAAAATATAATCGACTATTATATGGCTTTCAGAGATTTGGTTGGACCTCAACTTGATATGGTTGCAGATTTTGAAGATAGTACCAAGTTTTCCAATTAAATATCAACTAGCATTTTCTTACGTTCCACAATAGTAAATAATTTCAATGCTTAAAATGTCTCTTTATTATATTTTAATTCTTTTAAAAATTAAGAACTAATTAGTTGAAAGCACAGAAAATTACTTGTTTACAACATTTAACTGTTAGAGCTAAGAACAGTAATTTTAGAGATGTAGTAATATGGAACTTGCATTAAAATAATGGTCATCTAGTGAAATCACTAAAAATATTGATGAAACTATTTAAGACTTATACAAAAAAAGTGATTCCTACTTCTTTTGGGCAAACAACAAAAATGAAATCTATGCTCCATTTGAATACTTCTATTTCGCAAAGAATGTTTTGAATCTTGATAACACTTAAATTTAATAATTTACTAATGATGAACTTCTTAAATTGCTTAACTATGATAATCTGTTCAGTTTGACAATTATTCCTTTAGCTTTTAGAATGCATTTAAATGGTGATAGCTAAGGTATCAAGAATCAATTTTTCTTTGACGACAGTCTATAATTAGTTAACTATATCAGATATATCATGATGGAAATAAGTCTTTATTCAGCAGTTTAAACTAGAGAGCTAAAAGACTTATTATTTGGTTATACTGATCCTTTTGTCTACTCCTAGAATACAAAGGATCCATAATAAGGAGGTAACCCTGCTTTAAATTACACTGTAATGCTTAACGATCCTAATATGACTTCACCCTAAGCTACTTTAGATTATGAAATCATGTACACAGGCAAAGGTAATATTGATAACACAAGACAATACTACAGTCTAAATGGATCATAGTATGTTAACTATTATTACACTTGGTTTGACGGAGAAGAAGTTAGAGATGTGCTTGCCTCTCCTTGGGAAGAAAATGTTTTAATTTAAGGTTCTGACTCAGTTTAAAATCCTCCAAACTTAGACTAAGACAGTAAAATTAATGTCTTCGTTACTACATTCTACCGTGGTGGTTCTGCAGTAATTAATTAACTATTTTAAATTAAAAAAGCATCACAAAAAAAAACATCCATCCGTTTTTTAAAAATTAATAATAAATTTTTGTAAAAAAATTTAAAAAAAATAATTTGAAATTAAAAAAAAAAATAATGTCTGAGTTGAGTTGGAAATAGTAAAAAAATTCACTTATAAATTTAATAAAAAAAATTAAATAGAATAAATAGATGAAGAATATCAAATAAAAAAAACAAACTAAATTTTTATTTTCAAATTAAATTCTCTTATTAAAAATAATTATAAATAAATTAGGTAACAAATGGAGAAACTCATGACCATGGCGGTTTATCTTGTTACAGATTCTAGAATGAACAAAGCTTTTACGAATCTGGCTAAGAATATCCTCCTAACAATGTTTATGACTCCTATGTTTATTATGGTTTATAAAATATGACAAGAGTTAAAATGGCTCCAGTATTTATAACAAATAGACACTTATACAATTCTGATAGCAGACTCATAAATACAGTTACTATGCTTGATGTTTCAGGTAATCCAGTTACAGCAAACCCAGAATCAGATGGATTATTTATGGATGTGGAACCTTATAGTGGCTTGACACTTGCAGCAGCTCTTAATGCTCAAGCAAATATTTTAGTTGAACCTGATGATTTATTTAATATTACATAACCTACCTTACTTCCAGTGTTTAACACTTTTAGAACTGGTAATTGGACAGATGCTAGTATAGACAACTATTTGGGAGAGCTTAAAATGGCTCTTATAGCCAAAAAAGCAATTTTAATAACATGTGTAGTGGTTGGAGGACTTCTATTAATTGTGTTCTTTTTATTCCTATACAGATACATTGTTCTACGTAAGTTAAATGCAGGTAAAAGTTTAAAGGAAAGTGTTAAACACGACGAAGAACAACAAGAAATCTAACAGTAATTGGTGTCCGAAAACTACATTTGATAAATATATAAGTTAAATAATATTTCTTAAAAATAAATTTCATAAATAATACTTATACTAAAGTTTAACAAATTAAATCCAAATTTTGAATATAATTAACTAATTAATTACTCTATAAAATAATTACATATCTATTTACACATACATTTTCTTTCATCCTTCATTTATTTTAAATTCCAACTTTCCACTTCATAGTTAAAAATATTTTTTCTTTAATTCTTATTAAAATAAAAAAAATATTTTTTTTATGTAAAATCCATATCAGTTTTTAAAATATTTTAATATATTTATGAATTTTTTGCATTATTTTATAATCTTTTTGAGTAAAAAATAAAAATTTAAGAGCTTAAATCTAATAATCTGCTTCTTATATGATTTAACTTCTCTATTATTAATATTTTTCTAAACGCTTTCTAACTTTTTTGTATTCTTCTAAAGGTTTCTTAATTATTTATAATTTAGATAAAAACCATAATTTATAATAAATCCAAATTAGTTTTTTGAATATTCTTAAAATACTCATTTTTTGCTACAAGCTAAGAACTTTTATGTTTATTTTAATAAATTTATTTTGTTAATAATGAGTTCTTGATTAATCAAAAAATACTTTAATTAAAAATTAAATGAGCTTTATTTAATTGATTTAGGTCAAATATAAAATGCAATTAGCTTTAAGCAAAATATCCATCAGATTTTTAGCTTTTACTGTTTTTTTAATTGTATTTAAGGTAATTTTATGATTGATAAAATATATTAAAAAATTTTCATTGATTGATCGATAATTATATTTATAAAAAAATAAATTAAAATTTTTAGATAAGGCTTAATTAATAATTTACATTAAAATTTTAAAAATAATCAGTAACATTTTTGCTTTCCTTTAAATTAGAATGGTTGACTGAGAAAAAAATTCAGCTCTATCAAAAAAAATTGAATTATTTATTTTATTTCTACTTTCTTCTTTTTTATAAATTTTTGGCAAGTAATAAATAAATTAATTTAATCCTACTTAATAGGAATAATTAGGTATAAGTAGAAGAGATAAACATTATTTATTAAAAAGCTTTGAAAAAATAAAATAAATTGAGAGTATGACAAGCTAGTAAGATAATAATTTTCCTTTGAAACCTTAAATAGTAATAAATGAAATCTAAAATGATATTAAAGATAACAAATAATAAATGGAGAGTCAAGTTTAAACCCATTAAAATGAGATTAAAGTTTAAGAAAACTAAAATAATTTACAACTCAACTTATCACAATTATAAGAAAAAAATGAGTAATCAAAATAGAAATAAAATAAGAATAATAAATTGGAGGAAAGCAATACATAAATATAAAAACCTAATATAACAATTTAAATATCGGATACATAATTATGTTCAAACCCATCTATCGCACTTGATATTGGTCAAGAAGATTCTTAGCTCTAAAAGTAGGATTAGTGTTCTTAAGCTGAACTTGCACATTAGAAAAATAAAAAAAATGTTTAGAAATATATTGTTCCAGTAATCGCAGCACCTCAATAATTTTAGAAGATTGATTTAAAAAATGAATAACATTAAAGAGTAAATATTTTTAATAAATCTTATAATTTTTCAAATGATAGATGTTTATTGTGATAGTATTAAATTTCTCTTGTTAATTGTTTCTTTTAAAATCCTCTTTTTTTAATTTAAAGTTAAAACAATTTTTATCCACAGAAATAATATAAGCTTTTAAAAATAAAGTATTTACTGATTGATTTTTAAATAGCAAAAAGAATTTTTAAAAATTAATTATAATTTCTATTAACTCAAGAGAATGATAAATAATTAAAATTAATTTTATACTAATGAATTAACTACAAGCTAGCTAAAAAAACTTTTAACAAAAGCTATTGACTAATATTTAAAAGTATATAAATAGAAATATCAATATTTTTTTATTAAATTAGATAATAATCAATATCCTACAGAAAAATAGACCTAAAAATAATATTGAAACAGATATTATGTTTGACCTTATTGAGAATTTACCTTTTTTTAAGAATAACAAAGCAGTCCTCAGCCAATCAGCAACAACAAAAGAACTCCTGCAATCCTTAAAGCTTGAATTTTTTTAAAAAAATGAAATTCTCTTTTCTAAAGGTTTTATTTTTAAAATTGATTGTTCAAAATTTTTAATTTAAATTTGTTAATATAAATGAATAGGTGATATAGGAAATACTTTTTACATTATTTTATCAGGTAAATTAAAATAAAAATTTTAATTTTGTTTAATTTTTCATTTTAAATAGGCTCAGCTTACTGTCTATTAGAGCTATAAAAGCTAGAACAAAATCCTAAAATGTAAGTTTTTAATTTATTAAAATCAAATTTAATATTGTTTGTTTAAATTATTTTTAGAAAAGAAGAAGGCTCAAAAAAAAAAATTTTATTTACTTTTGATTTAGCCACAAACCCTACTTTTGATTAAGAGCAAGCTGCATTAAAACAAATATTACCAAACATGAATATGGTCAAAATTTTTTTACCAGGAGAGTCTTTTGGTGAAATAGCATTAATAACTTCATAGCCAAGGTAATTATTATTAAAATTTTATTTTTTAATTTAAATTTAATCAATTAGAACGGCTACACTCATACTGAGATAAGATTCTTACTTGATGACATTGAGCAAAGAAGCTTATAATAAAATACTAGGATAATATGATTAACTTATATTAAGAGACAGGAGGAAATTTCTTATGAATTTTTAATGTTTTAAATATCATAACTATAGCAAACTTTTATCTTTGTTGCACTTTATGAAAATTTAAGTTTTTAATAAAAAAGTAAATCATTTAAATACTGAGAAGTTTAAATTTTGAATAAAGTTTACTTAAAATAGTATGTATTGTATAAAGAAGGAGATAAGCCAGATCATATTTATTTCATAAAATAAGGTGAGGTTGAAATATCAAAGTAGTATGATTTAGATAAGGAAATTGAAGAAAAAGACACAAGTCTTGAGCTGTAGTAATGGAGAACTTAAAGAAAAGCATAAATATATAAGCTCAATAAAGTGTAGCAAATTAAAGACAAAATAGAATCTCTGTTCCAAATTGAAGTTGTGATTTTAGGCTAAAACAACTGTTTTGGAGAGGAAGACATCTTTTTAAATAATACAAAAAGAAAGTCTTCAGCAACAGTAATTTCATCTTCGGCTGAAATCTTCTCAATAGAGAAGCAAGTAAATAAATATTTAAGTTTTCAATAAAAATAAATACATAAATGATTTAATTAAAAATCAAAACACTGTTAAAATAAAATATTTTCTGAAAAACTAATTAAGTTTAATTTTGATTTGATATTAAGTTTTAAAACCATAATAAATAAATCTATCTCAAAAATTATGATTTTTTAAATTTAAAATAAATAAAAATGAAAGAAAATGCTATAATTAATATTAATTTTATTTTAATTTGATAAATATTTGAAGAATCATTCCTTCTTTTAAAAATCTTTTAATATTTCGAATAATTTTTCGATAATATTTTTTATTAGATAAAAATAATATTTTTAAATGATCAAAACTTTATCAATTTCAAATATACTGCAAATCCTCAGATATTCTCCCTCTTAAATATTCTCATTTAAACATTTTTTAATTTAAAATAACCTTCCCATGCTTAATAAATCAGGAGATGACTTGGTAAGAATTTATGAGCATTTACAGTATACATGAATTTAAATATTTATTGAGAAAATTTTAGTAAAATAAATAAAATCCATAGATAATTAATTTTTTTCTAATATTTGGCAAGTAAATAATTTGGTTAAAATTATTTTTTAAAATAGAAATTATTTAACGAACTGAACATTTTCTAAACACTAGATTTGTTTGAAAAAGAATTTAAACTTAAATATTAGCAATAATAGATCAACTTTTAAAAAAATATAAATTCTGCTATCGTTTCAAGGAAAGCTTAATTATTAAAAAATATGATGAAAAACGGAGTTATATCTTAAAGCCCTTCCAATTAATTGTAGATTCTTTAAGCTTGTAATTCACCAAAACAAGAAAAGGGATTTTATTTGCCTAAAATATTCTCTGCTAGAAATTCAAATTTTATGTAGTAATCTTTTGGTTCTGAAACACCAAAATTTTAAAAATAAACTGAAGAGGATTTTAGTTAATAATTATAATTAACTTAAAATTTGAGTAATGAAAATTTTGCGTTTCACATTAATGGTGGCAGTAATTATGGTACCCCAAAGAATAAATACTTTTAAAATGAGTTTTATGCTCATTAAAGTTTGAATGATAGAAGAAAAAATAATTTATAAAAAATTACTCAATCTTCTAGCAGAGTAAACACTGAGCCTTCTAAGTTCTAAGAGTTTGAGCCTTGTAGTTAAATGAAAACCTTGAACAGTTAAATAATGAATAATTTTGATTAAAATCCAAATTTTTCAAATAGGACAAGTATTGACTCTTCATAGATTTACAATCATAAATTTAAAATGATGAATTCTTAAGAATTTTTATCAAAAAATCTTAAACCTTCTTTTGAAGATACTTCTTAAGAGGGTGGTGATCTATCTTTATTTAGCAAAGAACAATTTGCTTATAATTCTAAATCTATTAGTAGCCCTTATTAACTTGAAAGCTTAAAGCTAAACTTCATAGATTCTTCACCAAGTTAATCAATTGATCAATTAAAATATTTTAGATCTCCTAAAATGAGTAAAACTCTTATTTAAATTAAGGAAACAATAAGAAAGACTGAAGAATAAAAAAAATATTCATAAATCGATATCGTTAACAGAATTAACAAAGAACTAGAAGAAAAATAACTCTAATTAGTAGATTTAAATACAAGAAGCTTAGACTTAAGAGAAGTTAGTGGCGAGCTGCTAAAAATTTATATTTAAAAGCACTCCTAACACTAAATGAGTGAAAGTTTGTAAAATATAGCATAACAAAGATTACTTTCTATGAGCAGTACATTGAGGGATACATCAAATAACAGACTTTATATGAAATACTCAGGGAGTTATAATTCTAAAAAACCCAATGATATAAAAGCAGCTTCAACATAAAGAATACAAACACTCACTTCACCAAAATCATTAATTTAAAATAATGAAACGAAAGAAGATCAAATTTTAAATAATGAAAAAAACGAAAAATAGCCTGAATCTCAATAAAATTAAATAGTTTCTACTCAAAAGAAAAAAATAAACATACAAGTAAAAATTCCTGAAAACTCTTTATCTGATTGGCAAGATACTTAATAAGTAAGTCATACAAAAAGCAGTTTTAATAAGCAAGAAAGCTTTGGATTTTAGAGTGTATAAAACACTCCTAAATCTAACTTCAATGAATCTTCAAAAACTCATAAAAAGAATGAATTTCAGATAGAAACACCTTTGACTACTACCGAGTAATTTAAATATTTTAAATAGTAAGTAGATTTTTTAGAAAACTCTGATAAATACATTGAAAAAATCAAAAAATCAAACAATAGCCAGATCAAGCTTAGCGATATTTTATAAACTAAAGAGTAAAGTCGTTCGCCTTACCAAAAGTAAATAAATGATAAAATTGCTAAGAAGGCTTTTAATGACTCAATGAATCTTCTCTCTTAAGAAATATTCAAAGGATAAGCAATTAAAAATATTTAATTACAACGACATCACTCAGTTTTATTAACAGGATAAATCTAGCTAGATAATATTTCACCAAACACTATAAAATTTACAAAATCTCCATCAACCTCACAGGATGGAGCTTTTTCAAACTTTATAAAAAATATTTCTAATTTTTCAAGATTGAATTCATTAATGTCAGAAGATGACGACTAATTAAGCAAAAAATCAGATAAAATTCAAGAAAGATCTAATTCTTTAATGAGTATGTCTCCTATAAGAATAAAAGAAAGGAGATCAATTTCTAAATTCAGTGACTCAAGTGATTAAAAAATAGATTAAGAATTAATTTAAAAAGCTTAAAAAGTTAACAATAACAGTCCTCTTCCAACTAATCCAGTAAAGCTTTAGACATAAGAAAGTGTTGAAGAAATAAAAAAAATGTTGAAAAATTCAAGTAGCTCCTTTAAAATAGAATCGACCTTGTAAAATTCTGATACTTAAAAAACAAGATTGAATTCCTTAAAATGTAAAAAAAATTAAGAAATCATTGACAATGAGTAATTGATTAAGAATTTCAAAAATGCCTCGAATCCGCAGCTGACAAAACTCTATACCTAAATTTAAAGAATTAAAAGGTTAAAAGACAAAGAGAAAGAAAAAGATTACTGCAATATAGCTTAAAGTTTGTAAAAAAAAGTGAGTGAAACATAAATTTAACAAGAAGCAAATGATATCAAATAATTAATTCTCTCCCAAGATAAATACAAAGATAGCCTTACTAGATTTAAAGGAGATTAGCAGCATTACAAAAAAATTAAAGATATTAATTAGTAGCAAACTGCTATTTTTAAACATGCCAAATTAAATAATAGAGGAGTTTAACAGCAGTAAAGCGACTAATTTACTTAATAAACTCCATTAATACTATAAATCTAATAAAAAAAGATAAGTAAGATGTAAAATTCATGAAATGAATTAAATTTAAATAGATCTTTTTTCATCAAGTTGAATATTTGAAACAAATTTTAATTCAAATTATATTATATGGTATGGTATAATTAGTAAGAGAGTTAGTTACATGTGAGCAAATTATTGATAAATCTAATATTAATTTAGCTAAATTTTAATTAAATTCAAGCTATTTTGAAAGAAACGAAATTTTCTATTCTTAAATTTCTATTCAAGAATATAATATTATATTTAGTTTGTAAAAAAGTTAAGATATATATATAACTTTTTATTATCAATTGTTTAATGAAAAACTATATATTAAAAAGGATAAAACAGTTAGTTATCTATCTTCAAATATTTTTTTTTAATTTAAATAACTTATAGACATTTCTATTGAATTAGAGGCAATAAAAAAAATATAACTTATTATATATATGATTGGTCTCATTTTTTAATCTCAACATATAAACAAAAAGATATAAAACAAAGATTTATCATTTAATCTAGAGATTTTAGAAGTAAAGGCATAATCTTTGAGTTTATATAAATGAGCAAATATTCCTGTTATAAAAATCATTTTCTTATGTATGTATTGTTAAAAAAATTTATCTATTTTAAATTTCAATCCAAATTTTCCATGCCATATATAATTTGTAATAATTATTGTAAATATTTTTTTTTAAGATAAGGCAATTTAAAGATTATTTTTTCAATTTTATAAAAAATTGATTTCTAAAATTATACAAATACACAGCTCAATTTATTATAAAAATTATTGATCTTATTTTTCAATTAAGTGATTATAATTTTTTTGTATATAGATATCATCATTTCTTTTTGAGAGGAAATACTTTGTTTATGTATGTAAAAACCTTTATATTTGTTTTAGAAAATAATTAACAAAATTAAAGATAGAAAATGAAAGAGATAGTTGATATTAAGTATTCAGCAATTCTTTAATTATAGAAAATTCATTCTTTCTTTATACAAATATTTATTTTCAATTATTTAGGCAACAACAAAAAATGTAGTAACTTATTAACAAAATTATAATTTTTAAATACTTCGAAAAAAAAAAATTACTGATAAAATATTAAAAAGTAAAGATAATTTGCTATAATTAAAAAGACTTTCTTTGATGGTTTTGAATAATTTTTCTTAAGGCATTTAAAACTACAATGAGAGCAAATATAATGAAGCCATAAAATTCTTAGATTTAGCAATTGTTGAAAATAATAAAAATCCAGGAGTCTACTTTTATAAAGGTTGTGCTCTTAAGAATTTAAAGAAATATAAAGAAGCTATCGATTGTTTCAACTTATGTTTAGAAATATATCCAAAATATGTGAACGCATTAGTAGAAAAGGGTTATGCCTTCCTAAATTTAGGTTTACAAGCAGAAGCAAGATAATGCTTTGATTAAGTTGTAATTTTAGATCCGACAGCTAATAGATATTAGTAACTAGGTTTATAGTTTTTGTTTTTAGGAGAGACATAGATGGCAAATAATTATTTTTAAAAAGTGATTTAGATACACCCTAAACCAGTTGAAGCATTAATATATTAAGGAATTACTTAAATAATACTAAAAAATTTGGAAAAAGCATCCGCTATCTTCAGGAATGTGCTAGAATTAGATAATTAAAATACAATCGCTCAATGTTTCTTAGGTTATATTTTTAATTTATAATCTAAATTAGAAAATGCTTTAGAAATATTCAAAAGAGTAATCGAATAAGATAAAAATTAATTTTTTGGCTACTTATTTAGAGCTCAGGTTTATTTATATGAGAAATAATACAAGTAAGCCAGTGAAGATCTAGAGTTCACTTTGGAGCTTTTATAAGAAGATAAATATCCGTTTTTACTTAACGAAAATATAAAGGAAATACAAAAATATATTTTGCAATTTTAAAATATTTAAAAAATGAGTGATCAGCTTTAAGAATAAATAGATAATAATAATAATTTTAATCAAGACTAGAAAAACTTGGCTAAAAGATTTTTCGACAAAATTAATTTAACTACCTCATAAAATATTTTATAAAAAATTGATTAAATTTTTGTTTTTAATGTAGATAAATTTAATATAACTTAGCAATTATTATATAGCAAACCTTAGTAAAATTTACACTAAATTAGTACATTATTGAAATCAATTTTGCAAATATCGAAGAATAATGATATAAACTCAAATATTTTTGAACCTATTTAAACCTACCTAAAAGAAAATTCAGAAAAAGCATCATCACCTAATAAAAATTAAATAAAAAAAAATACTTCCATTTGTGCTTGTAACATTTTTTGATTGTTATTTTAATTTTAAATAAATAAGTAAGTAAGTAGTAATAAAGAAATAAGTGATAATTAATATTTATTGTTAAATGTATGATATACTTTAATTTATTATATATATCTAAAATAAATTATTTTTAAATTTATTAATAGTTTTCTATTATAAATAGTTTTTATCTAAATTTTTTTGATGCTAAAATTATATTTATTTAATATATTTACATTAGATAAGAATGGATTTAAATCAATAAAATAATTTTAGGCAAATATTATAAATTGATTTATCAATTAAATTGTAAAAAATTGATAAATAAATTGAGTTTAATTTTAATTCTACTCATTAAAAAATAATACCAATAAACAAATTTATAGCTCTTTATATGAAAAAAATACATGTATTTATTTGTAAAATAATACATGATACTAACTATTTAAAAAATAAATAAAGATTAATCTATATTTTTGAAGATAATTTTAACTAAGAATTTATCAATAAAATGAAATATATAAAACAATTATCCTTAAACTAAATTTTTTTTGTCTTTTCATAAATCAGTTTTGCTTTCTATAGTGTTATTTTGTTATTGTGTGGCATTATCTGCAGATTGTTACTATTCCTATTGTTCTTGTTATTAAGATTGCTATTGTTATTGCTATTGCTAATTTTAAACATGTTGATTATGAGAAGTTTACTTTTCTTATTTGGTTTTTTTCTTTTTATTCTCTCTTTCCTTTGCACATAGAGAATCCCATTCATCCATTGCATTTCTGTATTTATCTCTGATATCCCACCATATAGCAAACTCTTTCTTTCTTTCAGCTTTCTCCAATCTTAACCATATCTTATTAGCAATAGATTCCTTTTCTTTTTTATTGTTATTAGCTGTTACAGTACTGTTATTAGCTGCAGTTGTATTTACCTAGGCTTATTCGTTAGGGTTTTTTTATGTATCAGCTTATCCACTTTAAGAATTTTATGAATCTTATTGTGGTGTTTCTGCTTATTATTATTAGTTTTCTTCTTCTTTTTAAGTAGGAGTTTACTATCCTTCTTATCCTGCTTTAACTTGTTATTCATTTTTCTCCTATTCTGTTATCTAATTTTCTTCTTCTTTTTCTTATGTACTTTGTTCAGCTTCTTAAGAAGGTGTAGGTCTTTAAATTTGACTATCATCTCCTAGATTTACTTGATCTCCTTAATTACTAGCTTAGATTTTATGAATCTTAGTCAGATTAAAGAATAATGTTCCTACAGAGTCTTCATTCCAAGAAGAAAGTTCAGGGTTTATTTCATCATATAATGTTAAATTAAGATAAAATCTAAGTGGTTGGTGAGATTATATACCATATGCACTCATCAATAAAGTAGAATTTGTAATTTCTATCTTTTCAACTTTGCAATGAACACAGGCAGGAGAATCAGCTCTCATACTTAATTTAATATGTAAGAAAATATTGTCTTCGCTTTAAGCCCATTTCAAAACAGGTTCGATTTACTGAACTGCCTAATTTGCACTCATAATTTTTTAAATAAATTTATCAAGATCTCTTTTTTAAACTTAAGTAAGCTTGAGAGTGCTTTCATGAAGATCTATATTGTTTGTGAGAAAGTAGTCTTCAAACAAAAGGATTGCAGCTTTGTAATATCCTCTTTCTATCAGAATGTGCAGACACTATGCATCAAAAGTCTCCTTATTTTAAATAGACTCTTTTATAGAATTTATGAAACTTATTTCACTTGTTCCTAAAGTCATTTTATTAAAGCATCGTTGATCCTTTTCTTAGCATTAGGCGAGGAGGATAATTGCCAAAAATGAAAATAAAAATTGACCTTTCATTATTTTTTCTTAGCTGTTGTTGTAAATTTGCCTAAATTTTTTAACTTTTTCTTTTGCTCTTTTTGTATCAATTTGAAAACTTGAATGTCCGTCCCTTTAACTCCCTTTGAGAATGTAGAAATTCTTCTGACTTTTACTTTCTACTTTAGCTTACCTTTTTTATTTCTCCTTGCAAATTGAAGCAATTAATTATAATATCTAAATTAATTTATTTAATTTTAAATAAAAAATCAATCGTGTTTTATCACGTGTCGAATATTCATCTAATTTTCTTTGTTATAAACTCGTTTTTAATTTAAATTAAGCGAAAAAGACCATTAAATTAGCTTTAATTTTATAAAGCCAAACAAACAGCTATCTTTCATTTCAAATAAAAATTATTTCTTATATAAATTCATAAAAATAATATATTTACTGATTTATTTCACTATCTTAGAGCATTCTAAAATTCTTAATTGTTTTTTATTGATTATTGAACAAGTTCTTAATTATTGTTAATTCAAAGTTAAAATTAAAATAAATTTTTATTTTTTTTGAAAAAGGCATTCTTAATTATTTTTAAAATATTAATGCTGATATAAAAAATTTTCTTTAAATTTCATACTTTAAACTTTTTCAGTTATAAATCTATTTACTTTTATAAGCCTATTTTAGACCAATCATCTTTCAATAAAAAATTGATGAAAAAATATATTATATAAAGTTAATTATGTAAATTTTCATAAAATATTATATTTTATAAAGAAGATATTTATTATTTATTGGTAGAAATCACAAATAAATTTGATTTTGAGTATTATGTTTTAAGCACAAATTGTAAATATAACATTATTTAAGGTTATTTATTATATATTTATTATTTTACTGATCCTGTTAATGAAAAAGCTAAATACATCAATATTTTTATATGAATGTCATTAATATATCTTTGATAAAATCTTTATTTATTAATAGAGTTGTTTTTAATATTAAAATATAAAAATTACATTTTTAAAGAAATTAAGAATTAATCATGAATAAAAAATCATAAATAAAGCAATATAAGACTAAGGTTAGTGATGATGACCTTAACAGTTTATATTAATACCTTCAAGATAGAGATGAAAGTATTGATATTTCATTGCTAAGAGATAAAATTTAAGAATTTGGTAATTTATTTTCAACTTGAATTAGAAAATGTATAAAATAATAACTCTAAATTTCATAAATTTATTCAGGATTAGATTAAGAATGCTAAGTATTTATGGAAAAAACTAAAAATCCAGAAGAAACTCCTTATTTGAAAATAGATCAATTAAAAAATTGGCTAGACATTGACTATAACAACGTATTAAATTTAAATTCTGAAAAAACATTAAAAAAATGAATGTATTTGTAAAAAAAGGAAAGAGATTTCAAGTTTATTTTTTCTGTTATGACTAAAATAAATGATAAAGATTCAATAGATGAATAGACTCTACAAAATTTAAACAAAAAATATAGTAAATAATTAAAGTAGTTTCATTATCTAAGAAATGTTAAATATTTTACAATTAGAATTAGATCTTACTAAAGAAGATATAGATATGATGATAAAATACGCTAACAAGGATTCAAAAAATAAGACAGTTTCTATGAAAGAGTTAAGAGAATTTATATTACACTGAATTTAAAGTTAAAAATGAATTTAATTGTATTTTATGTTGATAATAAATAACAAATAAAAGTTTAATAAATAAGAGTTCAAAGAATTTATACTAGATTGAATTAAGTTTAAAATGAATTTAATAGTATTTTTAATTGATAAAAACAATATAAAGTTTAATAAATATATATTTTTCATTTAAATTAATCATTTATTTATTTATTTATTTTTAATACTATCTCTCAAATTAAATTGATTCATGCATTAATAATTTTGCTTGATAGCATTCTTATTATTATTTATTTGTTTCAATTTATTAAATGAGTTTTTTGAACTTTAATAGTAATCGTTAATATAATAATAATTTATTTATTTATTTGCTAATTTTTTATTTCATTATATATTAAAATAATTTTTAATTTATTTTTTTATAATATTCATCTAAAATTTCAGATTTATTCCTACTCAGACTATTCAGAGTGTTAAGCTTTGTCTTGATTTTGTTAAATCGAATCAATATGCGTTTATTATTCTAAAATGTCTTCATTAAAATTTTATTACTAAACAAGTTTTTCAATATTGTCTTCATATATTTCAATTTTTTCATCATTTAAAAAGTTTATATCATTTTATATATTATATGTTTCTGTATTTTATTCTTTTAAACCTTCATCAATCAAAGGCTAGTTTAATTATAAATCTTAATCATTTAGATTTTATTATTTATTCTAAGAAGATAAATCAATTCCAAATTGTGTTTAATAAGAATATTCAATTTATTCAATATTATTTAAGTCAGTCTTTTCATTGTTTAAAAGATTATCTTAAAGGTCTTTTATATCTTGCACCATTTAGTTTTCACCAACAGATTATTTCACTTCTTCTTATTCGTTAGCAAAATTCTATATCTCATCACTCTATTCTATTTTTTGAATTTCATCATTAACTAAATCATTATTGAATTTTTCTTTCAGAATAGTATCTTTTTAGCTACTATTATTTTCAGTATCTAATTTCACTACTTCTTTATTTAATTAAGTATGCTAAAAGAATTCATGGTCAAATAATAAGGCTTAATCATTTGAGCAAAGTTGGATTTAACCTTTTGAATTTATATTATTATCAGAAAACTTTTCTTCTTCTTCATCCTTCCCTTATTTTTACTAGTCCTCAGCATCTTCAGAATGTTGACTTTCTTCATTTTTTAAATTGTCTAAGAGATAATCCTTACTAATCTAATTATCTTCATTATTTTTGATAACTTCGTTCATGTTTTAATCGTTATTTTAAAGTTTTGTTTCACTTTAATCTACACTCTTTTCTTAATTAATTATTTAATTTTCATCTTAAAGAGTACCTTGTTCTTCATTGTAAATGATTTTATTCATTAAGAAGTTTATTAACTTGCTTTGTTCCCTTTCCAACCTTTACTAGAATTATTTTAATACTAATTCTGTGTCAATATTAGAATCTTTCTGCATAATAATATCTTACAAGCTTAAAAATTCATTTTACAAATTCAAAAGCTACTCTTTCGTTTAACTCATATTATACATTTCTTTATCATACTCGTTTAAGTTAGTATGTAAACCTTATTCATTAAATTCGAAATTTTCATATCCTTCTTATTCTTCTTCATCTTCATACTCTTCATCATCTTCAGCTTATTTATTCTAATCATTATTGACTGAATTATCCTTTTAGTTTTAATTCTCTAGCATCCTTTGCTTGAAAATCTAGAATATATTTTCTCTTAAACTTTATCTTTATGCTTGAAGCTGCTAAAGCTCGTCTTCCTTAGATTCGCTCTCAACTTTTTTATCTTAGTTTTGCTATGCAATTAGCTAAGATAAGTGTTAGTACATCAGTACATCTCTTTCATCTCCTTCGAAAAGATTTTAGTTTAAAATATCTTGAAGAGTTAAATTATTATTGATCTAGCTTTCTAATTAATTTTCTTGACCATTTGCATTCTGTAAATTTTGTTATTAATCAATTTATTGATCATCTGCTTGAACTTCTTGATTATTGTTATTTTCATTTTCATCATTTTAGTTATTTCCTCCCTGATTTTCATTTTATTGAGGTGCTCTTGGCTCAAATATAAAGTTAATTGTTGGCATTAAAAACCTTGCTAAAAAATCGATTGCAGAAGTAAAAATACCAGGTTTATTTGCTATGTTATCAAAATTAAGATTAGGAATCTCACTTCTACAGATAGGACAGCGTGAGTTTTACTGAGATTTCAACCATTTAAACAAGCATTTGATGTGAAATTTGTGTCCACAAGTTTCAATTCTACGAGCTACTATCAGTTCATCATGACAAATTGAACAGACATCATCGCTTTGGAGTTAACTAATGTCGACTTTAGGAAACATTATATCTAAGTTTAGTTGGATGTTACGATATCTGCGATAGGCTTAGAAGTTATTTTTAAGTTATCTTAAAGAAATATTAATTTTTTTGAAGAGGTATAACAGCCATAAGTGCATTATAAACTAGTAATCAAGCTTGAAGAAATAATTATAAATGAGTTAAATGAAATGGAAAAGCTAAACAATATGCTAGAATGAATCAAAAAGGGTCTCTCTTTTGAAGAAAGGGTCATGGATTTCTTCAGTGTTGTAATTCACATAGAAATTCATGTGGTCACACAGTTTGGTTGTACATATAACAATTTTAAAAGAGTCAAAACCAAAAAGAATACCTTCGTAAAACAATAGAGATAATTTGTAGTAACCACTCATTGAAAATGTCCAAAGACCTATAGCACAAATCCATAAATTAGCTAAAAATAGTATTGCTGAAAATCTCTAAATTTTCTTAATACACCTTAATTCTTCTTAATAGTCATCATTTATATTTTAAAGTATCATTTTTAGTTATTAACTGCAAATGCTGTGGAATATTTTAAAAGTGCTAAAAGTAAAATAAAAGCATAACCAAACAGCCAAATCGAATTTCTGAGGTATTATATTAGGATCAGTCATATATATAATAGAAATATGCAAAATAGGATTCTATTCTAAATATAAATTTAGAACCGCCTTTTCTTGATCACTCCTCATAGCCCCTATCACTGTTATGTATAGCTACCTTACACCAAACAGGATAAAGCTGCAAAAAGAAAGGCCACCTGTGACTACTAACATCCTGCTTTCCTTTTTATTTGTAAAAATTAAAGTTATTTCAGTTAATAAATTAAATAAAATTTATTTAAAGCTGTTTTTTTATCATAAATTAAAAAAAATTGCATCAATTTTTAGTCAAAATCATTATTTAATTTTTTTTATTTTTAAAATTACAAATCTTGTTAAGTAAAATTTGATTAAAACAGTTCTTAATAATTTGATTATAAAATATTTTTAAATTTATTTTAAAGAATCAGATATAATTTTATCATCTATTTTAAGCTTAAGTTCATTAAATAAAAATTTAAATTATTTTATTTGTTGTATTTTTTATCATTTTTATTTAGATTTTTATTTTGAGAAAATTTATTTTAATTGAAAAATTAATTATAAACTGAATTTAAAAGATTTAATTACTCTATTATAAGCTAGCCAATTGAAGATTTCAGAGGGTGGTTATTTAGTCATATCAGGTATAGAAAAATAAGAAGAAAAGAAAAGAAGAGTTAGAGCTAAAAGAAGACATCTTAGGATATTTAGAGGATTTTTCATAAATCCTTAAATACTTTAATAAGTCTTTAAAATACAGTTTTTAATGTAATCTCTAAATGAAAACGATTCTCTATTTGACTATAAATCAGCTTGTTCATTTGCTTGCTGTTCTTAATTGCTGGATTGGTCTGATTGGTGAAGATTTTCTTATTATTAATTTTATTATTCACTAATAGCCTACTTCTCTCTTTAAACTGCTTATAGATACAAATCCTAGTAGTAATCATTATAATTTTTATGATCGCCAAATCCACTTATAAAGCTTTATAACTCTTAAATATATGCCTACTTTAGGCTGCTATTATTCTATTTTTAAATTATTCATTCAATCAATTAATTTATAAAATATTATATTTTACTTCATCGTCTTCTATCTTAGATTTAATTTGTTAGAGAAAATTCAGGATGTTTCTAATTTTTAATAGCTCCTCTGGTTCTATATATTGTTAAATTTTCATATCTGACGAAATTTATTCAAATACAGTTGTTAGCTTATTCAATTTATCAATAAACAAGTCTTATTGAGCTTACTAGTGGAAGACAAAGTTGCCTAGTTCATCTGTCATATTATTTCTTTAAGAATTTAAATTTTAGTTATATTAAAATTCATAATCATTCTCTTCTTCTTCTTCTTCCTCCTCCTCCTCCTCATCTTACTCTTCACATTACTTTGAGTCAATATGCTGCTAATTATGTTCTATATTTTAATCTTTAGACTCTTCAAGAAGTATGTTTTACTATTTTTCTTGCTTTTATACGATATCTTCTAATGTTAATCCTTCTAAATTTTCATCTGCTTGCTTCATTTTTATCAGTTGATCATCAAAGTTTTATTGCTGAATAAAATTCTACAATGGATTTTTTTGAGTTAAGGTGTTTGAATACTTGTTGTTTATCCTAGGGAAATAGGGATGATTGAGGGGTGATATGTTTTAAATTTCTTTAATTGTTCTTTCTTCTTGCAAATTATCGTTGCTACCTTCGTTTTGACTGTTCATAGGATTTGGTTTCATATTAAATATGCGAGTTATCTCATTACTTGAATAATTTCTAGACATTACTTTCTAAGCGGGCTTTTCTATTATATATAGTGAAGTAATTAAATAAAGAATCGCTTTTTTTTCTTATTATCAATCTCCTTTGCTTTCTAAATAGTTATTAAATGTTATCTCTATTTTTTGTACTTTTAATTAAAAATATAATAAAAACTTATTTTTTTTAAAAATTGTTTATGTTATCACCTACTTAAAAATTAGTTTTTTTACTAACAAAAACTTGTACAATCAATTATCAGTTTAAAAAAAATTTGTTTTACTAAGCAAAACACATTATTTTGTATGTAATTATAAAAATTAAAGTTTTCAATCAGATAGTCAATTTAAAATCTCAAAGTAGACCCTTTCAGTTTAGTTGAATTTTACAGAATTGCTATAATTTTTGTTATATAAAATATGCTATTTGACAAAGCAATTATTAACATTTAAATGAAAATACACTTTCTCTTGTGATGTTCTAAAAATTTATTTAATAAATTATGACAGTTAACACTAAAAAAACTATGCAGTTTTGTTTTAGAAAATTAGAAACTCTTTTATCGGAAATTAAAAGTATTAAATTTAAATAACTCAAAATCTTTATTTAAAAATTATTTTAAAATAATAAAAAGGATTTCTTTTAATTAATTTTTTTATGTAAAAACTTACAGAAAATAGAATATTTCTCATAAACCTTAATGAAAACTAAATATTGGTTAAAAAAACAATTAAATTTACAATAATAAATATTTGTTTAAAAATTTTAAAAATATTTCAAAAAACTAAATTATTTAAAACAAACAAACAATCAAGCAAAAAAACAAACAATCAATATCTAATTTGATTGATTTATTCAATTCTTCAAATTTCTAATAAAGTTATAAAATCAAAAATAAGCGAAGCAATTTTTTCAAGTGTAAATTATAGATAACATAATATAAACAGGAATGGACAGTATGTATTTTGAAAAGCTTAGTTAAAAAAAGAAATTTTACTTATTTATATCATAATAAAATATAAAGAAGACGGATTAGATGAGCTTATGGAATCTGAAAAAAAGAAGGAAGAATAAAAATTTAATGAAGCAGATGATGATGATATTTAATCATGTATCTATCTATTATTTTGTAAAAATAAATTAGCAAGTAATTTATGAAAATATTAGGTATTGACATTAGGGAATTCGAAAGGAGATTGAAAAGTGCCAGATCTAGCAGAATAAAAAATAAGAACGATTCCTCATCAGACGATGATTTTGGCAATAATGATTTTGGAAGGTCATTCATGTCTATAAAAAGCGGTTCACATATAAGAAACTCAAGTAAAAATAGCCTTAACTCGACAGCATAAATGAATTTGAGTAAAAATAGCATATAAAGCAAAGTTTAATAAATTAAATAGAGCTAGTAAATGATTAAGCCTTCTGCTTCTAATATATAAGCATCTCAAGCAGCTAAAAAAAATTTGAAGAAATACGATGATCCTGAACTGGAATAAATAATGAAAGCTTCAAATATAGAGTAAAAAGTGAAAGAATTGCTAAATAAATATCAATAATTATAAAAAAATTTCGATAGAGAACGCAACTTGTAAATGATTTATGAAAGATTAAAATTATTCATATATTTTTAAATGAATTTTTCCATAATTTTATGTTTAAATTAAACTTTAGGAGATAGAAATACGAAGGTGAACATTTATCATAAAATAAAACTCGCTTGGAAGAAACTTCAACAAATATCACAACATATTAAAGTAGTAAATTAGGAAAAGGTTCAATATTAAATGCTATTAATTAAAATGAGGTAGATTTTAAAATATTTTTAAGACTTTATAAATTCTTGTGAGGATTTAATAAATAGAAATATATAGATTAGAAAGATACTTTTTTGTTTCATATAAGATTTCATTCATTTAAAATTTTTAAAACAATCTATATGCCTATAATTGTACAATTTATATTTATTATAATAGGAAAATGTTACTTTAAAGCAAGAAGTCTAAAAATTATAAAAAGAAGTATAGAAAAAAGAAAAAATGTTATAGGAACTTATTATGGACGTATTATATTATATTATATTAAATTCATTGCAAAAGTCTTTTATTTATTTCAAAATATTAGAAAGCAACTGGAAGTTCAACTAGCTCTAGCAATGGATTTAAAGTTTTCGAGGACTCCAAAATAAAAAGATTGGAAAATGAACTCAAAATACTTAAAAAAGAAAGAGACGAATTTTTTGCTTCTAGATTTGATAAAGTAAAATTTAATAAAATTTGTTTGAAAATTGGCTCATATAATTATTAACTTTAAGATTTATTTTTAGAAAAATGCAGAGCTGGTCAAAGATCTCTCTTACTAAAATTCTAAAATGAGAGTCAAAATAGAAGAGCTCGAACAAATGTTAAAGAAAAATTGAATTTATTTAAAAAATAGTTAAAATATATTTAATTAAAAATGACTAAAGTCTAAATGCTTTAAAAATTAAATTAAGGATAAAATGAATATCTTAGTTATAAACGGAAATATTGTATCAAGTGATAAATATTCTTACTTTAAATCATGTTATTTTGTAATTAGCTAATCGTAATTAATTGAATTTATTTCAAAAAATTAAATAAATTAATTTAAATTAAAATTAAAAAAAAGGCAAAATATAATAAGAAAAAACATATTTATAATATTAGCTTAAAAATTTAGTAAAATATTATTCAAATAATTTTATTAAAAAGTATATATAGCATTTTAACCTTTTTGTTTAACTAAATTAAAACAAAAACTTAAAAAATTTGTTAATTTTTACTCAATAAATTTGTTTTAAAATTTAAAAAAACTAAAGATAATAAAAAATGATTAATTTACAAAAAAGATAATCAAAACTCAATAATTAGTATTTTAAAATATAATTTGATAGTTTAAAAAAACATTTAGCTTTATAATTTACAAATTTTTGCTAGCATATTAAGCTTAGTTGTAATACTATTTTAAGTTTTTCTAATTAACACTAGAAATAGTTTAAAAAAATTAGAAATTTTCAGTTTAAGAAAATCAACGTATAACTTACTTTTTTATTTTCATTTGATTGTGAAATTTTTAAGTGGTTGCTAGTAAGATTATTATTTTGCTTATTTTTTTAGTGAAGAGATTTGATAAAATTGTAATTTGTATTTGAAAATTAGTAAATATTTATGTTTTGATATAATCTGCTTATTATAATAAAAAATCATACTGTTATTAATTAATATAAAGCTTTTTATTATAAGGTCAATGAAAGATTGATAGTTTAGGTTAAACTTTTTCTATATTATATTTTAGTTTAAAAACAGATTTTTCTGAATTATCTTAGGGTTCTTTAATTCCCATCATACAACTCCTTATTCTTTTATTTAACTAATTAGCCTATTCTTCATTTTAATCTAATTACAAAAACTTTTTAAGCTATTCCTTTTTAAAATCTGGTTCTATATCAATTTTATTTAGTATTTCAAGATGGTTATGAATCTATTTTTTTTATGTAGAAACTACCATTTTTTCTTCTACTTTTATGTTTTATAATGTTTGCATTTATATGTTTATCTGCTGTAACTTTTGAAGCTAATTTCTATTTTTTTCTTTTTCATTTTATAAAACATTATTCTATATTAATTAATTATTTATCTAAATTTTATTTGAGCTATCTTATAATTATGGAACTAAATCATTATGTGTTGTCAATTCAATTTTTTTATTTTCTTATATTTTTTCAGTAAAAGATTACTCACTTTTACTAACGGTTTATTCAGATTTTTCAAAGTTTTATTCATCTGAGGTGTTTTAGAGTAAGTCACAACCGCACATTTGTATTGCAGCATATTATTCTGGACTCACTAACATTTTTATAATGAGCTTCATTTTGAGAAGCTCTTTATGCATTTCATAAATATTCATTTCATAGTTTGTTTGTTTAATTAAATTTTCTAGAGTAACTTGTTCTTCTGTTTTGTGTTTTCTCTTCTAACATACTGAAGGTAAGTAAAACATCGAAAACCTATTTATTTTTAAAAAAAATAAAATGTTAACTAAAACATAATACATATTCTAATTAATGAAATAAATAAATACTTTTGCCATTTAGAGATGTTAAAATAATTTTGTATGTTTTTTTTATAGTTTGTTTTTTCAACTTATTCATTTACTTCAAAAATATTTGAAGCTTAATCTCCTGTTGTGTCTTTACTATTATATTTATTTTCTTCTTAGGGACACAGCCTCCTTGCAGTCTTTTTGTAGTAAAATTTGAGTTAAATTTATAATAAATCTCTAACAAAACCTGTCTCAGATATAATTCTTGCTATATTACCTAAGACTAAAAGTAACGAAATAGTGGTCCAAGCCTCAGAAAGAACTTAGGTTATCGGTATAAATTATATTGTTTCATATTTCTAAGGTCTATCTAGTCTAATTACTGTAGATATAGGATTCATCAGTTAGTTTGGATTTGTGTTTTAAGGAAAAAAATTATTTTGGTTAACCATATTATAGAAATACGTACTAGAGTCTGATGACTAAAATATAACTCCTTTAATAACTTGCATATTAGTTAATTAAAGAAATATTGTATTATTTAGAATCTCTCCTTATCTTGAATATAAATCTTATGTAAAATTCGTATGTACATATTAATCTTTATGTAGATTATAAATATCTGTTTCTATTGAAATCTAAAAATTGTTATCTTGATCATATAAATATGCATTAGTTTCATCTACAGTAGCACATCTGTAGCCTAACTTAATGTAATTTTATTGGCAATACATAAAATCTATTGTAATAATTGTATTAGCATACTCACTTTCTTCTAAAGCGACATAATCATTTTGATCTTCTTGATTGAAGCAATAATAAAATCCTTGATTCAAACCAATAGTTTTTTCTAAATTTGAGTCATAACAGGACTCATCAAAGTATTATTTAATGACTTTTGAATTAGTAATAACGCTTAACCTAATAGTAAAATATTTAATTTTATTTTAAGTTTCAAGCTAAATTAGCGTTTATTTATCATTATAAACGAAAATACTCAAATAAGTAAGCAATAAATTTAAAGATTTTAACTCAGCTGTTTGAGATGTGTAATCGTTTTATTTAGGCTGATATTTTCCATTTACATAATTATAAAGTAGATATGATGCATATCCAAGGCAAATAACAATTATTATTATTGAGAATAAACCTCCTATAATAGTTGATCTTTTACTACTATCATTTAGCACCTTTTGTTAATATGTAGGTGCAAATATATCAAAAATTTTTAAATCTTTCTTGTTAAACATAATTCTTATTTTTCTCAAGTTTTCTTTCTATATTCAAAAATTTTTTTTTTTCTAGATAAACACATTAATAAATTTTTATTTTAACCAAAAGAACCAATAGTCCAAAAATTTAATATGTGATTTCTATATTAAAAATAGAACTACAAGAGAGCAACCAAACAAAATAGACCATGTGTTATCAATAATATTAATTTTAAGTATATTTTTAAAGCAAATTATTACCATTAATATTTAAGCAGTTGTGTTAGTATTCATATTTTTAAAATTTTAATTTTGTAAACAAAAAATCAAAGATAAATTTACTTTAAATGTTTACAAAAACCTAAAGATTTTGATTTTAAGCAAAAAATTATAGAAGATGGCTTTCATAATACCAAAATGTAATAAATAATCATAATTTTAATCGACCGAAACACAAATAATAAATAATAAGCATTAAATTTTATTTTTAATAGATTAAAATAATTTAGCAAATAACTTTCTCATTTTTAATAAAACTCATGGTATTTCGTAAGTAATTATTTGAAATCAAAACAAAATCAATTTATATTAATTTTAATGGTTAATTTTGAATTCATTTTGATGTTAATTTTTATGGAAACCATCAATTAATTATTTTATAGGTTAGCACTTACACACTCTGAAAGAAATTTTTTCATTTACAATACTTTATTAAATAATTTAATTATTTATATAAAAATATTTAATAATTAATTTAAATATGATTTTTTATAAAAAATTGATTTATTATCAACAATAAATATGAGTTAATCAGAAAGTGTATTTTATATTCAAAATAAATTATTTTATAATATTTTTAATAAAAAAAATATGGTTAATAAGAATTAAATACTTTATAATTTAAGACTTACAAAATAAAAATACTTAAATAATATTTTTAAAATAATAATTTATAAAATTTATATAAACTTCATAGCTTAAAAGTAACTTCTAAATGCTAATGCAATTAATTTGCTTTTGTTAAATAAATTAATATAATTTATAAAAAAATGTTATTGTTGATATCTAACACAATATTAAATACTTATACAACTTTAAATTTAAGTTCTAAAAAATTCAATATATTTATACGAACATTGTAACATTGAATAAAAAATGAAAACTTGATTCGTTTCTAAATACAAATAAAACTAGAAGTAAATTTTTATTACAATTTTAATACATAAAAATAATAATTGAATAAAATTTCCAATCAATAAAACTTTTTATTTAAATAAAAAGATAATCGAATTTTTAATTAACGTTATCATTCTATTTTTTAATATAATTAAGATATGTTGGTTCTCAGGTATTATATAATAATTTTAAATAATGGATATATAAGCAAATTACTAGGATAAAAGCATAAAATTATTAGAGCAATTAATCCTATCCTGGGATAATACACAGGCAATTCAAATTCAACAATAGCAAAATAATATACTTCTCTTAAATTCAATCTATTTTTAGAATTTTAATAACTCCTATCTCTTATTTTTCTAAAATTAATGTAACAAGGCCTTGGCTATATTAACTATTCATATGTCTCTTTATTTCTAGGTTAACACATCCAAGAGGATAGCTTTATATAACTAAAATTATAAGTACTAACTTTACCTTTTCCTACTTATTCGCAGTTACCTCTTAACCTAAGATTTCTTTTTCTTCTTAATTGCTAAAAATCTTATTCATATTTTTTTTATTTTCCCAATAATCTCACCCTTTAATTATATTGAGTATCATAAGAAGCTCCTACGTTATCGCATGCAATATAATCTCCTTTAGATATGGATAAGTAATTATTTGAATTTTACTATTGATTACTGGTGCATGCATAACCCAAAAATTTTTAATTTTCATATTCAAAGTCTACATACAGAATTGTGTATATTTCATAACTTGGTTAAGCCATTGGAGCCATTCCAATAACTTAGCAGTTTTCAACTTTTTCATAAGATAGTGAATGAGTAGGACTAAAAATCCCAAAATATACACCTATGAAAATAGGTAGGGTTATAAATGAAAGAAGTACGTGAAAAGCAAAGCAACCAATTTTGAACTCGCTACTAAATAATCTTTTAAAGACATCAAATATGAACTATAATACTAAAAGTGATAAAATTAAAGGCAGTAGCTAAATAAAATTCGATCCAAGATCATTAACCCTACTGAATGCAATCTATATTATTGAGATAAAAATAGCAGAAAATAGAAAAGAAATCACTTTAACATTTATGCTTTATATTTTTTAAGATTGCATCTTTCTATAAAATCAAATTTAAATTTATATTGACTATTTAAATGTTTTTATAGAGTTTTATAATTAATGCCCAAAAATGCAGATTTATTATTAACTTCTTTATAAAAATATAAATTACAGCAATAAATTATTTTTAAATTTTTGTCTATTTAATTAAAATTTTTTAGGAGCTTTTGTATTTTACAAAAAAATAAACAAATTAACTTTATAAATATTTTTAGTTATTAACAATTAAAAATATAATTTCATTAATATACATAAATTATAAAACTATTTATTTTTAATAAAATATATGTTTGGTTTTCATAATATTAATAATAAATTATAATAGATCCATATCATGATTTGGAATCCTGTAGGGAGGGTTTTGGGTATGATTTAGAGTTAAGAAAGAAATACTAGCAAGTTTTAGAGATCTTTAAAAAATCTGTAAGAATATTTAAAGTGATTTATTTTATCTTCTTAATTTATTTAGTAATAAAGTTTAAAAAAATTTAATTAATGAAAATAAAGTATTTATATTTATTTGATGTAAATTTTTAAGATAATTAAATAATAAAATAGTTTTTAAAAAAATACATATTAATTCAAAATATAATTATTGTATGATAACAATAGTAATAAATCATAAATTCATTATTAATTCTTTTTATTTAAATTATCATTATAAATTTTTTATTAATGAGCATGAAATATCTTGGTTTAAAATTTTTAAAAGTAAAATATTTTTTTACAAAAATCATTATATTTTTTTGTACAATTTAAATATCATATTGTTCAATTTTAATAAAATTATTTTAAATAATGGATATATAAGCGTATTACTAGGATAAAAGCATAAAATTATTAGAGCAATTAAACCTATTCTGGGATAATAAGCAGGCAATTCAAATTCAACTATAGCAAAATAATATGATTCTCTTAAATTCAATCTATTTTTAGAATTTTAATAACTCCTTTCTCTTATTTCTCTAAAATTGATATAACATGGCCTTTCTTTAGTTAATTATTCATATGTTTCTTTATTTCTAGGTTAACACATCCAAGAAGCTAGTTTTATATTACTAAAATTGTACATACCACGCTTTTTTGGTGATGTGCATATTCCTCTCTTTCTAAGATTTCTTTTTCTATTTTAGTTATTTATTTGTTCTCCTTCGTTTTTATTAACTTTCAATAATCTCAGTCTATAATTGTATTGAGTGTCATAAGAAGGTCCTACATCATCACATTTACTAATAAAATCTCCTTTAGAAATGGAATAAGAACCATCATATTTAGTCCATTCATTGCTCGTACATGCATATCCTAAAAATTTTTATTATTCATACTCAAAGTCTACATAAAGAATTGTGTATATTTCATAACTTGGCTGTGCCATTGGAGCCATTCCAATAACTTAACAATTTTCAACCTTTTCATGTGTTAAAGAATGTATAGGATGGAAAACTACAAAATAGGTTCCTAGGAAAATAGGTAGAGTTAAAATTGAAATAAATATACTAATATTAAAGTATGTTTCTTTAAATTGCTTGTTAAAACATCTTTTTAACATATCACCTATAAACTATAGAGTTAAAAGTATTAAAATCAAAGGCAGCAGTTGAATAAAAATAAATCCAATATCATTTGTCCTACTAAATGCAAACTAAATTAGTGCAATAAAAGTAGCAGAAAGTAGAAATGATATCACTTTCAGTTTAATATTATTAAGTTTTTGTGGCCTCATCTTTGAAGGATTAATTTGACTATTTTAATATTTTTATAAATATATTAATTTAAAGTAAATGTAAATCTTTTATAATATTATTTAGTTGATTTGGTTTTCTAAATAATATTTTAAAGGGAGAGTTAAGGGATATTTATTTAAAAAAATTATAGAATATATTATTAAAATACATAATTAACCAATATAATTTTATAATTAAGAGGTAATAAAATAATACTCTTAAATAATTAAGAATTTAAAGAGCACACATATATCATAATAATTGGGATTTCAATTTACAACCCCATATTTTGCCCCTCCAATTAAATTTATTAAAATTGCCAAAAATTTATTCAATAAAACTAAAATATTTTTTTGAAAAATATAAAAAGCTTAATACTAATAACTAAAGATTAATTAGGTTAGCTAAATTAAGGCGATTCACAATCAAATAATAAATAAAATTTTATAGATTTTGTATAAAATAATAAAACGTTTTATTTAATTTTTTAATTAATATTTAATTAGTTGTTTTCAATATTTAGTTGAATATTATTATTAATTTTTATTGTTCTCATTTTTATTGGATTATTTTTGAGCATCAGATAAGAAAGAGTAATCATATCTAAATCCAAGATTTATTGATGGATTTTTTTATGTACTTTATAGACTTAGATTACCAAACTGAGTTGTATTGTTGCTTTACTTTATTCCATTTGTATAAAGTGAGTTGTTTGTAGCAGGGTTATTTGCATTACTTAAATTATTACTGTTCTATTAATTAGGTTTTGAATTTTAATTGTTATAAACCGTATTCCAGTTATTATTTATTATTGACTACTGTTAATAAGGCTATGATGATAAACTTTAAGATTTTTAATTTTATTTATTTTAGTTTGAATTTTGATTTGATAAAAGCTGTTTTTATCCTTATTACTATAAAATTTACTATTATTATTAGGGTTACTGCTATTACTACTATTACATTTAAAGGTTTGTAGATGAGCTTTATGAGCTTTGGTTTTAGCTAGAGTTGGTATTGTTAATAGAGGCCATTTAAATTTAATATGTAAGAGACTTTGACTCAAATGCATCAGCAAAAGAATTCTATCTCTTAAAGAAATCTAAAATCTCTTAATAAATAGGTTTCTATTTTATTATTAAAACAATTTATTTTTTTTAAATATTTATTTATTTATTAATTTACATGAGATTCTTCTATTTACTATCTTAATTTGCTGTATTCTTCTTTTTGTAGCTTCTCAAAAGACTTTTGTGTGCTTTTGAGGATTTCATTAATTTAAACTACTTCACTACTCTTCTTTTTTAATTCCTATAAAAATAGTAAATTAATAATTGAAATTAATTTTCAAAATAAAAATTTACTGCTTCAATAATCTCTATTTTTTTATTTGAAAGCTCTAATTCGTTAATCATAACCAATATTTTGTCTTATAGTCTTTTATTCTCACTAATATATATAAGTTAGCTAATATTGAGATTCTCTCCTTATATGTTATTTTCAACTTTACTTTCATTCTAATTTGTGTAAATTAATAATTAAATATTTAAAAATGAATATTTTATTTTAATCTTTTACATATTCAGCAATTATTTCTGATATTTTTTCTTTAAGCTAGGTTTGAAGTCCTTCTTAGTAAATTTAATTACAAAGACCATCAACGTCAACGATTCCACATTATTATTTTTAGAATTATAACTCATCTATTATAAGCTCCTAAATTGCTTAATATAATTAAGTTGCAGAATTCTTGGTAAGCAAAGACTGTTTAGAAATGTTTTATTTCTAGTTATTGTTATGCACACTTTAGACTATCTTACTTTTTTTCTTATCAGGGCTGCTTTAATCTATTCCTATTTTTTCTTAATATTTAATAGATTCTTCTTCCAAGTTATCTATTCTTTATCTAAGAATTTCGTGAGTTTTTTTTGCCTTAAATTAAAAAAATATTTTTAAAACTTAAAATGATTAATTTATTTTTATATAAATTACCTTCTCTAAAATACCTTATAGATTATTAGAAGTGTCTATTTCATGTAGATACTTGCTCTTAATTATTTTATTCTTTTGATAATTAAGTGATTCTTATATTTCTAAAGATCTAATATTGCATTCTAAGCTGGAATGTAATGTATCAAATCTCATAATTTCTAGGTAAAGCAAATTCAAATTAGTAGAACTGTCTTATTGTGTGTCTTAGGAAATTTAAGAATTATTCTAATCTAATTTAAATAGAAAAAATATTTAATTTAATATTAACAAAAAATATTAATCGTTTACTAATAAGTTATTATTCGATATTTTTAATGAGCTCTTAGAATCTACACTTTGAAATCTTCTGATTGAAGACACATTATTTTACATCTTTCAATACTTGCTGAATGTTAGATTTCACTTTTAGTTAACTTTCCTGCTTCTTTTCTAAAATCTCTTATTACTACTGCTCAAGATTATTCATATTGTATTTAGCTAATTCTAGCACAGTTGCAAAATTTTATTCAGCCTATTGAGACTTGAGCTTTAAATAATCCTATGCCTTGAATTAAAATAAATAATATTATTATTTTACTTATTATTTAATTATTTCTTACAATTTATTCATAGTTCTTTAACGATTATTATAATTGAGCAATCTATTTAGCTCTTTGATTAAGTTCTTACTCAGATGTCATGTTTGAAGTTTAAATTTTAGAATGTAATGTCTATTTATCTTGTTGAGCTTATGACAATTTATCTTGCAGTTACAAATTTTCTTTTTTCAACTTAAGATGAGATTTTAATTTCGAAATAATTATAAGTAAAAATTTAGTTTACCTTTGCTATTTAAGTTTCCTACCTTTGAATTGTATTCTCATATTCCTACAGAAGTTGTTTTAAATCTTAAATTTCTGAGCTCTGGTTATCTACTCTTTCCTTTATTTAGATGTTTTAAATAAAATTAAAGTTATTATAGTTATATATGATATCATTTTCTGAAATTTTGATTTCATTTTAGCAATAAATAAAAAATATATTTTGATGAAAATTTGATAAAAGCAAATAAAAATAATTTCTAATTGAAAATTGATAAAAAATTTGAAGTGAATTTACTTAAAGAATAATATTTTTTTGAACATGATCAAGATTAGAGTATTCTTCTTCTGAAATGTTCTCACCTCCATATTTTTTATAAGCGTTGTTAGAAATAGTTGTTGAAGAGGAGTTATCTTGTGTAGAGTTATACTAAGACTCGCCCTTTTTAAATACAGATTTGTTCATATTCATGTATGTTGCTGTGTCGTATTAAGAAGGAAGCTTATTAATAGTTTCTTCATTTGGAATGGTCACTTCTTAAAATTTTTTTACTCTGTCTAATTCATGTTTTGCTTCCATTAAATCTTTTTTGAGTTATTGGATTATTCTTTGAAGTGCTTCAGGAGAGTTTTTGATATTCATTTTAAAATGATTTTTTATTGATTTGGCTCTGGTAGCAAATTTCAAAGTAGATAAGGTTTCTTCTAAAGAGCTTGAATGGCTAGAACATGTTACAAGAAGAGAAGTTTTAAAATTACCACCAAGACTTTCTTAGAGTATTCTAGTTAATTTTGAGTCTCTGTAGGGAATATGCTCAGAATTAGTTGTAAGAGAATGAATAACATTACCGAGACAACTTAAACTTAAATTAATTTTTTTTGCTTCTTCTAAAATATCACCTATTGCTCCGGTTTTACCTACTTTTTCACTACCTGCTAAATCAACTAAGTTCAATTTTCCCTTTTTTTCAGTATCATTTGGGTATCTTTACTTTATTTCTAACATAAAAATTGTGTGTGAACGAGAACTATATTGATTAATTCTAGTAGCTGCTACTTTTCTAGCCTATTCACCTAATTCTAGCATAGTGAGCAATTCATTTTCTGTTCCAACACTCTTTTTAAGTTTAAAAATATTTTTTTATGCAATTAAATCTATTAAAAATACTTTTCCAAATTAATACTTTTGTATTTTAAAATGTATTTTGCTTAAAGAATTAAATTCAAATAAATCTTTTTATTTTTTTAACAGATTTCAAAATCAAATTTGAATGATTTGATTTAAAATATTATCAAAAAAGCCTTTTTCTATTTTTTGCTGTTTTTAGTATTAGAATTTTTCGAAAAGAGAAAAATATAAATAGAATTGATTGTTCAGTTTAGTAGATAATTATTGGCAAATATATTAATTATCTATTGAAAAGTTTATGTAAATTCTAATAAAGATGCTAAATAAAGCTACTTACTAATTAAGTGAGGCCTTCTACGTAAATACCTCTTGTGGGAGATTCCTTTATTTTTAAATCACATTTTTAAATGCAAAGTAAATCATGAAGATTTTCTTTGTAAATTTCGAGCATAGAGCAAGTTAGAATAAACTCAATATCCATATCACATTGGTTGATGGTTTGAAAAATATGTTCGCTATTTAAAAATATTAAATTATAATTAGGCATCAATTATAAAGTAACTTTCAGAGAGAAAAATTAGATCTCTAAAATTGCTTTAAAATAATATAAATGTAATTAAATAATAATTATTACATGGATCGTGGTATTAAACCTTTTAGGTTTTTATTGTAAATATCACCGAACATACTATATGTTTTTCCTGAACCTGTTTAACCATATGCAAAGATGGTACCATTGTATCCATTCATTACATCTGTGATTGTTTCTCTTCCTACTGCTTCATAAATTTTATGCTAAGATGTGTTTGGGTCAAAGACATAATCCATCGTAAAGACTGTTGAATCTGGCATTAAAACAACAGTTTTTTCATCAGGGTAAAGACAGCAATCGTTTCCTATTTCATTTTTTGTCAGTTCGATTTCAATTTTATTTAAAGGTCTGAATCTAGCGAATACCTTAGTATTAACGCATTTTTCATTATTTTAGAGTGCTTGTTGAAGAATTATATTTGAAGATGAGCGTGAAAGCCCTTTTTACTAATTATTTATATTTTAATACTACTACTAGTTTTACTTCTCTGAATGATTCTATATTAATATAAAATAATTTAAATAACTGTCACAAAAGCTAGATTTATTCATTTGTAATTTATCTATTTGAAATATTTTAAATTTAAAACTTGCACTAGTCTTTTTTTTATATTGAATATATATTAACTCCTTTTATATTTAAAAATAAACATAGTAGAAGAATTTGAATGATTACATAAGGTTGCTCAGGTTTAGCTCTATATCTTGATATTATTTCGTTTTTAAGATTAGCTGAAACATGCTTAAGAGATTAGTTTCCACCATTTCTGCTTTTTGAGCGGCTCTTAGAATTATGCTTTTTAACTTTTGCTAATTCCTTTTTTAATTTTTCAAGCTAAAGATTTGAACTTGATGGAGTGTGATTATTACTACGTGAAGAAAAAAAATTTCCTTAAGTTTTAGCACCTTCGAGGATTGCTTAGGATTCTGAGTAGTTCCTAGAATGCTCGTTAGTTGCGCTTATTATAGAATTATTTTGCTAAGGTATTTGATAATTAGTTTCAAACAAAAAATTATTATGATTATTGCCATTCAAATTGCTATTGCTATTTGAGTAATTATAGCTGTTGTTTTTCATTCCTTGCTTTCTTTAAACTGATCTTTAAGATTTATTAATTCTTTTACCTATCTATCTTTTAATTTTTGATTTTTTGAGATTCCTTAATATTTCAAATTTTTGATTAAATAATTGATTAACATCTCCCTTAATCAAAAATTAAATATAGAGCCTTCATTAAACATTAACAAACAAATAATCAAAAAAACATACAAACAAGCCTAATAAATTTGATATATATCTATCTATCTTAATAAATTTTCAAAGAATAAAAAAATTATTTAAGATTACCAGCTGAATATCCATTCGTTTTTCCATTTGAAATGTAAATTTTTTTGGTTTGGTGACTTAGTTTTGAATTAAATTTTTGTAAATTAATTTATTTGAAAGAAAATAATTAAAATTCATTTGAAAACTTTTACTATTTTTAATCAACTAAAGTAAAATGAACAATAATTGTACTTTAAAAAAAAATCAACTTTTTTATAAAGTGTTGAGCTAGCTATAAATTAAATTTAGATTATCAAAAAATAAATATAAATTGGAGAATTATCAATTGATTTTTCTAAATTTTAAATTATAATTAAATATTTTTAATTTTTTAAAATAAATTCTAAATTGACTTTAATTAATGGCTTTTTATTTGAATTAAAAAAAAATTAATTTTAGTTTACAAAATATATTTGTTAGGATAGAAATTGACAGATAGATTAAATAATTTATTTGAATAATAATTTTTAAAAAATTAATCAATAAAAACTCTTTTGAAGAAAAGCAAAAAAAAATGTTGAAACAATAACATATTATAAAATAAACACATATCAATCTATGTAAACAGTTCCACTTGCAACTGATTCTAGTAGTGAGTTCTAGTTAGTTTTAATAGCGTTTGATAATTTACTGATTTTGTTCTTAAAATCTTGATATTTTGTAAGAATATTAGGTGAAAATATAGAAGAAAAGTCAGTATTTTTAATCTCCTTTGTATAGTCTATAAAATCACTGGAGAGCAAAATGGCTAAACTCTCACAGAATCCTGCGAATTGCATTTACAGATCTTCAAAAAGTACTTTTGATTTAACTTACTCTGGAGTAAAGAAGTATGCGAAGGCATAAGACCACTGTAATGTTTAACGAGAATCAAGCAAAATATTAAATCCATCCTCCAAAAACTGTGAATCGTGGAAGGTAATCTATAGCTATTTACAAAGAGTTTCACGAGTTGGCTGGACTAATTCGTTTTTCTTTTTCTTAATAACCTCAATTGATCTTAAACAATCTTTGAATTTGCCGACATAAAAACTACATTTTTCAAGCATTTTTTATTGCTTTTCTTTATCGGTAAGCTTTTCTTTGTCAGCATTCTAGGCTCCTGTGTAGTTATTACAGTTCATATGAGGAGATTTGTGATGAGTACCATCAGCATCATCTTACCAAGGCTATTCACAAACATAGCAAAACGATTTATTACAAGGAGGAGAGCAGCGAATATAATTACAACCCATCGAACGCTCAACAGCTCTATTACAAAAAGGACATAACTTAGCATTTTGGATAATCCATAATAAGTTTGCATCGTCTCTACCCATCATTTCATTGAACTCACGATGCTATTTGCATGTACAAGGATAATGATTATTTTGCTGGCATTTAAAGCAGAAAGATGTACCACAAAGACATTTAACTTAATTGACAGAAACACCATCCATTTTTTCAGCAGCATACTCACAATTATTACCTGGACAATACTAAATATTCTTGTTTTCTTCAACATAAGACATACCTAAAAATTTCTTGTAATTATCTTTTAATTTAGAATTATTTTCATCTTAAGATAAAACATTAATGATGAAAGAATGGCGAATATAGCTATTACATCCTTCCATCATGCAACGGAAGAATGGGTTTTTTTCCTTTAACTTTTATTCTATAAACCCTTTCCAGCAATCTGTGCAAAAGGTATGACCTTGCTTGCAAGATGCAACTACTTCGCTCTCACAGAAGCACAAATTACATAATTCATCGCTTCCCTTTCTAAATATCTCTTTGATCTCTCCTTTCTTTCTACAATCTTCGTAATATTTCTCTTCCCTGTCAAAGCCTAGATTCTTAAAGACTTTTTCTTAATCAGGAAAGTACTTATTTTATAGTTTTTACATCGACCATCCAAACTCATGGAAAATCAAAATACAATCATCTATGTCCATACAAACAAGTTCTACAACTTCTTCCTTAATTTTGATCATCATTTAGTCAAAGATTTCACTCTAAAGAATGAATGCTTGACCTTCTTCATTTTTAAAACGCTTACTTTCCCACTTTGCAGATAATCCTTTAGTCAAAGTACATTCTTAAGTATCTTCACCTGATTTATATTTTTTGCTACTTTTTTTTTAAGTCATTTTTAGGTGTAAATCACTTTATTCATCCATTTCATCATGTTGATACTCTTCCTCATCATAGTATTCTTAATCATCATATCCTTCATCATCATAGTATCCTTCTTCGTCACTCATTTACTACTATCTATCTATTCTTCTATAACTAAAATTTTTCTTGTAAACTATACTTTGTAAATTAAATTTCAGATATTACAAATTAATTATCTTTTCTATTGAATTTGGAAAATCTTTTCATCGTCAAAATATTGAAACAAATAAATTAATAAGTATAAAGTGAAGAGCGAATTATTTTTGATAAGGATACTCGAAAACACATTTGTTTTTATTAGACTCAACTTTTATTTCTGATCTTATTAATTCTTATAAATTATGATCCTACCTATTTTTTTAAATTTTTTACAATAAAATCAAAGCAACATCTAACTTGGGTTTTTATCATTTCTATATTTCTATGAAATTTAAAATTATTTTGATTTAAGCTTAAAGAAATATAATTTTTTAATAAATAGAGAATTAATTTAAAAAATTTAAATTTAATTAAATACAAAAGAATGAATTATGAATAATTTTAGATTTAATTTCTTTTAAATATTTCATCTTTTTAAATTGATGTTTGTTAAATATATAAAAATTAAAATCTTGAATTAAAAAATAAAACTAAAAAAAAAGTAATTGATTATTTATTTGCAAAGAGATGTTTTTGATGAAGTATTTTGTAAATAATTTTATCAATATGCAATATAAATTTAATAATTAATATTGAAAAAAGCAATACCAAAATAAATGTTTAGAACTTGACTTAGGTATTAATTAAAAATATTTAATAACTCGCGAGATATTTTTTGGTTTAGATATATTAAATGTTTGGATGACCAATAAATTAATAAATAAATATATCTATGGATATTGTAATATTGAAATTGATTAATTTAATATTTATATTGAAATATTGTAAACAAATATTAATTAAAATTATCTTAATCAAAGCTAGGTATTGATTGAATATTTTTACAAGTAAGTTATAGAGTTAGCTCTCACTGAATATTTGAATGACTAGCAAAACACTTATCAATAATTTGGTTATTCCCAATTAAATAGAGGATACTAATTTGGAGCAGATTAATGTTTAGTAAATAGTCTCTTAGTTGGTCACAAATTCTACTTTTTATAAGGAAAAGAAAAGTGTAATTAAATCTTCTAGGGCTTATTATGCAGATTAACCGTTAAGCATAAATGTAGGAGTTAAATATGAGCCCTATGTATTTGAGAAGAATTTAAAGAAAAATCATCGGTCTAAATTGGAAGAAGAAGTTTATAAAATAAAATAATACACGATTGACATCTAGAGAGCGGATTAGGAGGCAAAAGTTAAAGATAAAAATTTTGAGAAAATGAGATAATTAGATATGCAAAGTTTAGAGAAAAGGATCCCAAAGTTAGCGATTTTACATAAGATTTAAGCTTTTCATAGACGAAAATGTCCTTAATTTGATATAAATAAATGCCTAAACAGAAAGAAATAATATTCTGATGATATTTCAAGAGAAGAAATTATTGAAATGGAAGAAAAAAAGATTTCTTAATAAGTAGCTCGTAAAACATTACTTCAAAGACAATAGGATATAATAAAGAGATGTCTGTCTCCAAAGATGAGAGAAGTCTTAGGAGTTCATATAGAATTAAAAAACGATAGTTTTGGAGATGAATCAAACAATCACTAAACTTATAATTAAGCTAGACGTGTAAGCTCGTTTGGATTTTCTAGCCGTACTCCTTCTAACCGTCACTAAACTCCTTGTTGCTCTTCTTTCCATGACGATAATATTTAAAAGAATTATATGAATAAATCATATAATAGCTCAAGAGCGTAATCATCTTCAGAAAATAGAAGAAAAAATTTAGTTAACTAGTCTTTGGAAATGAATATGCAATCATATGGATAAACTTATTAAGAAAGTTAAGCTTAACCTATAAGCCAGAAAAGGCATAGCTTTTTGTTCCCTGCAAGTCATCAAATTCTTTAGTAAAACATTGAATAAAGTAGTATTTAGTAATATAATTAAAACACTTATAACGGCAGTACATTATAATCTACGATTTAATAAGCTTAAAATAAACGAAAAATTTCTTCTGCAATGTGTAGCCCCTAAATACAGACACCAATGTAATAAAATTCACCTGAAAGGGAAAAATAAGATCTATTAATGTAGAGAAAATAGAGAGAGAATAGCCCAATGAGATTCCTTTTCAAAAAATATGAAAACGTTGTAAATGAAAGTTATGATGATTTTAGAATTGAAATGAAAAATATAGCTGATGTATATTTGCCACATTAAAAATAAAGTAAAAATTCAAACAGTGGAACACAGCAAACTGATACAAATAATGCTAAAACTTAAAACACAGAAATAAATTAAGCAAGAAAACTATCAGTTTAATAGATCCTAAATGCAAATGCTACCAATCAGAATATTTATGAATAGCTTTCAAGCCAATAAAATTTATAGTAAAATGCAAATTAAAGAAAATAGTCTATTTCACTTTCATAAAATAACTAACAAAAATCAAGATTTAATAATTTTTAATCTTCTTCTCCTCAGTAATAGCAGTAAACTACTGCAGATAATTTTGAAACATAAAATGTAGAAAATTCAGGAATGCCAAGTTAAAAGCAGTCAACTACTGCAAAAGGCAGATTCATAGAGAAAAATTAAGGGGTGTAGTAACTGAATAAGACATTAACAGAATTTGAAAAAGAGAATTAAAAAATTAAAAAACAAGTAAATAATTTTTAAAAGAATTTGGAAAAAAACGATAAAAAAATGGATGAAGCATTAGAAATGAGACGAAAATGTGATTCTTACAATGTAAGTGATTTTCTAATGAAGGTTCAATAAAAAAAAATAACTGAATAAGAAGAAAAATAAAAATAAGAAACAATAAAGAAAAAATTTAGTAAAGTAGAAAGAAATACTTAAAATAATGGGCAAATACATTAAAATAATTGATATTATTATTTTAATCATTTTTAACTATTAATTTGTAAACCTTTTTATTATTCTTAGCTTTTAATAAAATTTTTATATTACTTGTAAATGAAATTACTTTTGTAAATAAATTAATAAAATGATTGATTTTTAAAATATTAAATAAATAAAAAAATGTTAATTAATTTTAAAAAACAAACTGAAATTCTTTAAAACTTAAAAATAAATATCATAAGAATTAATTAGTTGTTTAAGCAAAGAAATATTTATTTATAATTAACTCCACTACCATGTTAATTTATTTTATTTATTTTTAAGTTTCAACTTAGTAAAGATCATTTTATTTATTTTTCAAAAATTATTAATAAAGTTATAAATTATATTTTGAGTATAAAAAATGAATTTATTTAAAAAGGAAAATTTTATTATTAAATTTACAGATAAATACTTAGTTTCTTATATAAGTATATAAATTAAAAAGTTTTATCAAATTAAAAAGTATTATTAATTTAACCTTGCTTTTAAAGCAAAATATCATTTTATATTTTATATATCGAGATTTTATTATTAAGAAATTATTTTTTTTAAATTTTTTTAGCTACTTAAGATTTTAATATTTTATAATGCAAAAATAATCTAAATTTCTCTTCTTGATTAAATTTATCTTTTTTTTAGAGCAAATCATGAAACATTTAAAAAATTTTTATTTTTCACTTACCACAAATTAATAACTATAATTATATCACAAGCAAATATAAATTACAATAATCTGATCAGAAAAAAAATTTGTTTTAATAGGTTAAGAATAAATTAATTAAAAATGATTATTATTCAGAATAATATATTTAATAAAGAATTATTTAAATTTAATCATTAACTATTAATTATCCTTATTTACTTTATAATAGTATACTTTTTTTAACAGAAAACGAAAATAGTTAAGTTACTGAAAGTAAATATGGATGGATGATTCTTTAGGTATGCTTATTATGGATAGTGTTAGAAATTTTATATCCACATAAAGATTTATTAATTAAGAATATTGCTTATCTTTAAGCACTTGATTTGACTACTTAGTAGTGGGAGTGCTTGTATTTAGCATCACAAAATATAAATAAGAATGAAATAAATAAATAAAAAAGCAGGAGTAATTAAAAAAACTAAATCAAAAAAAATAAACTTTTGTAAATATTATTGATTTTCTAAATATTATACAAAAGTAATTTATAATAAAAAACAAAATTGATTAATCAATCTGTGATTTATTAATTGAATAGAATCTATCTATATAAATAGGGATCGCTCATTTAAGTAAATCACTAAAATAAATTAATGAGTGAAATGATCAATTAAAAGATTAAACCTGATGTAGACTTGCATTCTTACTACAAAATGAGGACAAAGGGGAAAAAATTCTCTCTTGAATTTAATTAAATGTCTTATACTCATGGTTCTTTAAGTGAGAATATAAGGGACGGGCTCATTTTAAGTAATCAAATGAGTAAATAATTATTAATACTAATTTGAATATCATATTTTATTATGTAAAACTGATCAATCATAATTGATAAATAAATTGTATTTAAATACTTAGAAACAATTAACGAAAGTGATGAGTTCAATCAATCAAAAATCAATGAAGCGTAGAACTAATTTTTGTAGCCTTAATCTGATATTTTTATAGGTAGTTCTGAATCCCATCTAAGTCAATCAGCGAATGAAGATTAGATGAATTCCAAAATCAGGCTACTTAATAATAAAAAGTAATCGATGGAAATAGGAATATAAAATAATGATATGTTTAATGATACTAAATGCAATAGCTCAACAACTCATTACAATCCAGAAATGCACAGCAAAATAAAAAAAACTCATAAAATTGGAACGAAAAGCTCACGGAGTTTAGATTACGCTTCCAAATATAAGAATAATTATAATTATATTAGAAATTTTCTTGTAAGTGGCTAACCTAAATTTAAAAATAAATAAGATAATTGTTTTCCAAATTAATAAATAAATCAATAACAATTTGATTAAAATGATTGCAGCGGAGAGAACATTTAAAATTTGAACACACATAAGAAGAAAAGAAAGTATAGTCATTCTATTGATGAAATATTGTGGAAATCTAAGCATCAAAGCTTAGCATCTTAATTGGAGTTTTAAAACCAAAAAAAATTAACAACACGCTTAGAATGTCAATCCTCTATTCATAATTTACTAAAAAGTAAGCTTGCCTAATTTAAGATGAAAAGAGCTAGTTCAGATCAATCATAAATGCTAACAGTAATAGAAATTATGGAATAATTCTATTCTAGATAAGCTATTAAAAATATCAATTAAAATGAATTAGATATTTCCTATGATTTCAATACTTCCTGCTGTTCTAACTCTATTACGCCTTAGTTTTTCACTGAGGAAACAGCGGCAAAGTATATTTTGAAACTCTTCAAAAACAGAAACTTTTTAAAGAAAAATTATTTAGAAGAAATTCATAAAAGCAAAGAAGGTCATATTTAATTTAAGGAATGCTGTCTTGAGGGAAAATGCGCAGCAAACGGAAACAAAACACCACATGTAAATAAAATCAAGTGCATGCATAAATACCTCCTTTTGTATAGAGCATTTTAAGATGAATAATTTTTCAATGAGCTAGTAATTAATACATACGATTTTCTAATAAGCAATCATGAGTTATTTACTCAAATGGTTTGCTTCTTCTTTTTCAATGATAATGTCTCTTTTAATAGATAATTTAAATGTCTTGAATTTTGTCTTAAATGGATCTCTAAAAGGCCTTTTACTTTCCAAGAAAATTCAGACCTGTTTTATAAAATGAAAGAGTTTGTATAATTTATAAAATTAAAATATTGTTCTTTCAAATTATCTGAAAATGGAGCAGCTTATTAAAAGCAAGCTTCTCCCTGTAAATGCGATTCCTTTTTAAAGCAATTTAATTTTGTAAATAATCCAAATGATAATTAAGAGCAAATTTATATTATATAGAAAGATCCTCTTACTATTTAATCACCAATAAAACTTTTGAAACAAAACTTTTCTACACCAGCAATGGACGAAGCAAGGTCATATGAATTTTATAAGTTAAAAAATCTTCAATAAAATAAATCTGAAGCAATTAGTCATCCTGAATATAACTTAAGACAAAACAGTATAGGCAGTAACTAAAACTCATATTTTGATAACCGTATGCAAAGCAATGACTTCTCTGTCTAAAATTCCTTTAACAATATAAACAATAATAACTCTTACAACTCAATTCCTTTAAATAACATAAAAAGTGAATCAAATAATAATAGCAATAATAACGACAATGTTAATAGTAATAATTATGATAGCACACATGTATCTTTAGCTTCTAGATCTGAAAAGAGAAGAGGCCCTCCACCTGCTCTTGCTAGATATAATAACACTCCAAATTAAAATTAAGCTAAGAAATTGCTTTCTAAAATTATTTTAAACTAAAATTCTTCTTCTCCATAAAAAATTTAAGAAGAAAAGTAAATCGAAAAGAGTTAATAACAAATATAGAGTTTTGATAGTAAAACCACTTCAATACCTTTTATAAAAGACAGTAGAGGAGCTACAAGCTCAATATATTGTAATTCTCAAGCGACTGCAGCATGCACCTTTACAAATCAAGGAGAGAATGTGATTTTTTCATAAACAGAGTCTTCTGCTCACATAAACACTTTTAAATCATTATTTTCAGAAAGAAAAGAAAGTCAAGATTTGTTGTAAATACCTTAATTTAAGGGTCCTTAAGTAAAATCCATGCTAATTAATTAAACATAAAGCATAGATGAGTTTTCTTCATCATACAACAATAAAACAGGTCTTATTTATCCTACCAATTTATCTGCTTCTCTCTACCTAGAATAATAGTCTAGCAACAATTTAGATAACAATTATTTGTCTGGATCTAATAGTATGAGCAAGTCTCATCAACCACCATAAAAATAATATGCCAAGTTAAGCCAGCTAGAGACTAAGTAGAATCACATTTAGTATAAGGATGGAATTAAAGAAGAAGAAATTATTGAATCTTAGGAATCTTCTTATATCTCTTCTTAGTCTTCCTCTGTAAGAGAAAAAAGTTACAGCGCCAGTTAATTAACATTAGTTGTTTAGTCTATTTAATAGGGAAACTCATCATCGAATTCGAATGGAAATAATTCTAGTTTAAAATCTTATCAAAACACTAGTGCTTTGAAATTAAGTCCTCCAAGCTAAAATGTAAGCCAACTAAAATAAATGAGTCCTAATAACAGTAATCAGCAAAACAGTTCTTTAAAATTGAGCTTGAATAATGATAGCGAAATAAAAAAAAATAAAAAAAAGTAATTAAATAAAAGACTAACTGCTGATGAAATATAGCTATAAGAAATGTCTGAAAAGATTATGCAAATAGAAAACACCTTAATTTAGACAGAGGTGAAACAAAATGATATTAGATTGACTTCATAATTTGCTTAGACATTTAAGTGTCTTTCTTAATCTTAGCTCCAATAGATTCAAGATAAATGGCATGCAACTATAAGGTCAAGATTCTATGAAAGACTAAATACCTAAATTCTGAAGGAAAAGTTTTCTCATGACATTTTCATTTAGTTTGATATAGACATAATAGCTTAACAAATATGTCTTATTGACCACTCATTATTTTATAATATCAATATTTATGAGTTGTTCCAAGACAAAAGACTCAAATCCTTTAATTTATTTACGCAGTATGGTTAAAAAAAGAATCTTAATCTTGTCAAAAGACGCTTTAACTTATTTACTTACTTCATTATTTTTATAATATTATTGCAACATTCACAGTCAGAGACACTTCAAATGTATGAAAAGCTACTTCATTTAAGTGAAAGGGCTCTTGAGTACTAAAATTACAATCTTTGTCTATAAATTTATTCATCTTTTAACTCAAGTATAATTTATGAGAAAATAAAGCAAGTCTAGTAAGTATCTTCTTAGTTAACTAAAAAAAGATTCTCAGTTTTAGAAAAAGCTATTGAATTCAATCGCTCTTTTCATAGTTTAAAAGAGTCTATGAGTAAAGCTAATCCTCCACTCGTACCTGCTTTGAATATAATCACAAGAGACCTCACATTATTAGATCAGATTAAAGATGATTTCATCTAAGTTCAGCACTAGTAGCAAATAGATCTAGTCAAATTTGAAGAAATATCTAAACTTTCTCAAATAATTTTTAATGTAAAACGTCACAAATATCCTTTTGTAATTTACCCTGCAGTCTATGACTTTTTCTCTGTATAATTTGAGAGGTACATGGCTCAATACATAGATATGAAAGATATATCAACAGTTGAGTTTAAGCTCTCTGAGTTTGCTAAGAAATCTTGCTCTTCTAATTCTTCTAAAAACTGATCTGGAAATAAACTCCAAATAATAATAATAATTTTTAAAAATAATAAAATAAAAACACATAAAAACATAAATAAATAAATAGAAACAAAGAAGAAGAGTTTCGTCCATATTAGCCAACATCCATTTTAAATTACTAAATAATAATTTAACAAACAACTATAAAATACCATAATAACTTATAATATAAAATAATAAAAATTTATTACACTTATTTAAATTAATATTTGAAGATTATTTATATAGCAATTTTCTCCTATAAATTAAGTATTTATATATTAAATAATGTCTGTCTGCTAACATATACTTATTCTCCTATATTTATATTAAAATGGTTTATTTGTTATAAACTTTAATAATTGAATTTTGCATACGTTCCTTTAAATAAAGCCTTATAAAATAATAATTTTTTTAATCTTCATTTCTAAAATTTAAAAATAATTCTTCATTTAATAAAAAAAAACTAAATTCATTTTTATTTTGGATATTTTAATAGACTTTTAAAATAAAATACTTATCAAATCCTTTGTTTTTTTTATAATTTAAACTTATTAAATCAACTTGAAATCAATTGTATCTTTTGAACATAAAGTTATTAAATATTATTAGATATAAAAAAAACAGGATATTCATAATTAAAAATGGGTTAAAAAATGTGTTTAGATGGTCACAAATCAGAAATATATAAATAACATACCAGCAATAGAGGTTTGTAGAAAAAGCCAGAAATATATTAACCTGAAAGCGAATCATAAAAAATATATAAATAACATACCAGCAATAGAGGTTTGCAAAAAAAGCCAGAAATATCTTAATCTGAAAGCGAATCATAAAAGTATGTAGAAAAAAATTATAGTGGCGACATCACAATTTTGTTATATGATATTACAAACATAAATAAAAAACCTCTAAAAATAAAGTATTTTAGAAATAACTTTGATAAGGGATTGCTTTTAAGACAAGTTCATATAATATACCCAAGCAGTTATGTATATTATTTTGATGAAAAAAATAATTTTAAGTGTTTAAATTCGGAAGATAAAAGTGCAAAAATTTATGACATATTATGTAACCCTGATTTTAAATAGCTAGGTGCAAACAAACATCCATGGTTATATATTTCTTTAACTCCAATCCAAAATTAAATAAATTAAGAAGATGAGATATTAAAAACAATATAAGAATGTAGAAATTATGTTAAAAGCTTATGAAAAAAAAATGCAAAATTAATTAATAAATTATCAAACATTTTATCATTTACTACTTTAAAATGAAATTTAATTTGTGTTATTTATTCCAATTTAATTAAGAGTTATTAATAGATTTCAAAGCTTTATATCAAAAAAAGTTTAATTAAAAAAAATATTTTAAAATATTTATAAGAAATATCCTAAAATAGTAAAATTAACAAAATTATTTATGTTTACACCCATCTTTATTTATTTATTTAATTAGTTAGCTGATTAATTATTAGTTTTTTAATTTAAAAACAATTCTAAAATTTTTAATTTTATATAGATATTTAAATTAATATTTGATAAATATTAATATATAAAAAACAAAAAAAAAATATTAAAATTATGAAAAGTTTTTGGTTGAAATGACATTTTATTTTGATAACATTAAGATGACTGATTTATTAATAAATAGATTGATAGCATAAGATAATTTTAAATGTATAAAAATATTAATGTTTTTTAATTAACACTATATACTCTATTAATTAATACATAAGTCTATTTTTAGAAAAAAAGTTAATAATTTGTTATAGAACAAAGCATATATAGTGATATAAACATTTAATTATTTATATATTATTAATTCTAATTATAAGTATATTACAAGAGTTAAATAAATAAATAAGTAAATCTTTTGTTATAGTAATAATCAACTTTGTTAGTTTTAATTCTTTTAATTAATTTTATCCTTGAAAGAAACAAACTGCTTGACTTCTTTTGGATTCATAACCTCATTTACTGTAGTTTTTTGCATATTAGCAAAATTACTTTCGCTTCTTAATTCCAGGACAGAGTCCCCCACATCTAAATATTAGAGTTAGTTATAGCTTTCTTGAGTTTTAAAGAAAAAAGGTCTTTTGTATTTAGCAAGGACTTAGTTAAAATCATGTCTGTATATCATCTGTTATTAAAAATAGTAAATTCTATTTAAGAACTATAACCTAAAAAAGATATTACGTCTATGGATTTAATTTAAAACTAAAACTATTTCTCTTCTTCTGATTCTATTACAATTGAAAATCCTTTCAAAATAAACTTATCGTAAATGAAATTCTGCATAAATTTCTATTATATGAACAAAAATCATGAATTACTTCAATCAAACCTAATCTAAAAATATTACAGATGAATCTTGTCCCTTTAGTTTCTCTACTAAAAATCTTGAAAAAGGAATCTAAATTAAAAAATGTAATTAAAGTCAAGTAAAAAGTAAAGAAAATATTTTTCTACTTCAACAGTTTACCATTCATTTGTATTATCGATAGTGAAAGCCTAAAAGAAATTTAAAATTATTTTAATCAAGTAAATAAAAAATTAGCTAATTAATTAATTAATTAATTACATAAGCATCATGAAGCAAGTCATAATCTGAACTACAAGTGATGTGGGTTTTATATAAATTTCCATCTGTTTTTATTTGCATTCTGATTCCATTGTAATTTTTCAAATTAATTCTGGATGAGAACTATATTTTTAAATATTTTATTCATTTTATTTATTTAATTTAATTTTTCAAAAAACTTGAAGTTATTACTTCACATGCTAAACCTACATACATTCTTTATTAAAGCAAATTATTTCTTTCTTCTACTAGCTTTCCTTTTACTTCAGCTATTATTCAAATAAAATATTTAGAAATTAAATTTTTATTCAAATTTGGAATTTAAAAATAAATATATTTAAATTTACCATATTTTTCTTCTTCATTAAATGCAAGAGTTCCAATAGATTCCCCTCCTACTTATTCATCAGTTGAAAGAGCCCAATCATAGAAGAGAGAAGGAGAATCGAATTTATAAAAAGGGACACAAAGATCTTTGTATGATTCTTTCTCAAATTATTCAACGCTTTCGATAGAATTAGTGTTTACTTTTATAAATTATTAAAGAATTTTAATTTTTAACTCAATTTTTATCATAAAATTCTAACACCAATTAAACTATAAAATGAATTCTCATATTTTTTATAATCTAGAAAGTGCTACAATATTGATTAATTTATTAATATACTTGCTTTTGTAACTCCTTTCCATCTAATGCTCAGAGGTATCGAAATGTGATTTTTAAAGGACTTTATTCTATAAAAAAACTTGAAAAAAGAGCTATAATTAGTTAAATTCTTCATGAGGATATTTTTCAGCTTGTCTATTTGCGCTTCTTAAACAGTATTAAATTTGTATATTGAAAGATATTACTTTATTAAATACTAAATTTTGTTTGCTTTGCCTTAATTAAAAACAAAATCAATTCAGTTTTAAGTATTTTGATAGACTTAAGGGATTCTTTATTCAATTTTTTTTTTCTGTCACATTATGAAAAAAGATGAGTGCTAAAGCAAAAATTATTAGCAGTTCACCTCAAAGTTGGACATTACTTTTCTAAATATTGTTACAAAGTAAGTTAAGTTTCTTTTATTCTTTCGAATTTAGAATAAAAAGAGAGTAAGTATTGATTTTTAATCAAAAGAGACAAATCATAGGATTCTTCAGTTTTTTTGATAATACTATCAAAAGAAAAGTATAGACTAAATCTAGAATAAGGATTAAAGGAAGTTTATTCTAACTATAAGAATATTTAGAAATTTAATTAGTGGAACAATATTCAAAATTCTTCTATTATATTATATAGAATTTGGATGATCCAGTAAATTTTTTTATCTCAAAATACAAAAGTCGTTATTTTAAAATTTTTGGCATTTTTCTGTTTTATTTACTAGCAGGTTTTAAAATGTAATAATTAATGCAAAAAAAAGGGTGAAATTCAAATTTTATTACGTCACTTAAGAATGAAAATCATACTAAAGTAAGAAAAATAAATAGACTTACTTATTAATTATGAGAGCTTAAAATTATAAAAAGTAAAATTTGTGTTTGAAATCATTTCTAAAAATCTAAGAATATTTCTAAAAAAACTATTATAGCAAACAAAAACGTATTTTTATGCGGTGAAATTGACACATAAAAAAACTTGAACAGCTTTGCATAGTAGGGAATATTAAAGGAGACTGAGCATAAATAAAGTTTAATAAATATATCAAATTTATACTTTAAAATAAAAGCAGTATGCGTTTAAATGGATTAATTCTTAGATTATTTTAGCGGTGTATAGTTGAAATTGAAAAATTAAGTAATTTTTTATGTTTTTCTAAATTAGAGCAGGGACTTTACTAAAGAAAAACAGATATAATTATTTTATTATGGAGTATGATTATTCGAAAAGCAAATGTCAATCAGTAGATATTCCTATTGAACAAATTATGAAGTACTTAAAATAGAAACGAAAACTCTTCAATTACGTAAATTTCGGTAGAAAAATAGCTTTGAAGATTTGAAATATCGCTTATAAAATTTCTAAGTGGGTGAATCAGGAGTAAATTTTCAATTAAAATGAATGATAAGCTATTTCTAACTTAATAATAATATATTAAAACTATCACATACACAACTTGCACTTTTTTATATGGTTTTTTTGTAAAAGAAATTTTGTCACTGTATGCAACAATTATGATTTTTCATCTATTTATGGTTTTCTCTTTTATATTAATTAAGAATTTGTTATAGAGATAGATATCGCTTCGAGCTATAGGGTAAGCTAAAATCAAATAGTCTTAGAGTTTAATTTATATGTTCATGAAAAGAGTAGAAAACCACAATGGGGAGAGATGATAGATTGATATATCGATTGAAAAACTAATCTAAGGAAAAAGAGGAAAATAATTAATTTTTAGAAAGAAAAAAAAAAAAAATTGAAAAAAAGGGGAAAAAAACTTATTTAATTAAGTCCTTAATCCAAAAGATAAAAAGTAAATTTTATCACTCTTTTAGAGAAGAAAGCGCTTTTACGCAAAATCTAAAATCAAAAAATCCTCAAGAAGAAAACTCCTAATAATAACAAAGCAGCAAGCAATTTCCTCGGAAAAAAATAAAAGAAGAAGAAGAAAACTTCAGAGCCTGCTAGAAGCCTAATGAATATTGACGAGATAAAATATGGCCTTTTTGTGAGTATTGTTGAAGACTAAAATTAACGTTTTATTAATTTATTTGAAAGAGAAAATGTAGACATTGATAGCTATTTAAACAAATATAACTGGACTGCTCTCTAAACTGCCGCTTATACCGGCAACTTAGAGATAGTTAACTATTTGCTCAGTAAAGGAGCTGACTTGACTATCACTAATAAGAGAGGTATGAGCGCCATGGACATGGCCATGCAAAGCGGTCACCTCCATCTTGTTGACTTACTTAATCCTACTAATTATTGTTCTAATTTTGGAAATTAGATCTCATCCTAATCTTCATCTTTTAATGATGATAACACCCTTTAGCTCTCTTACGACGAAAGCTCTTATTCCAACTGAAAGCTTTGATTTTATTTGCTTTCATGTTTCTATCACTTAGAAAATCCAATTTCACTTCTTACATCACTATTAAAAGTTGTTTATGATAATTTAACACTTTTGGCAAAGAGCTAACTTGACAAAGTAGCTTTAATAATTAATTAATGATATTTTCTTCCAGATAAAAGGGAGGGCATTCAAACAATATTTTTGATTACTAAAATCAATAAAAAAGACTTTTTCAAAATTATAAGCTTAAAGAATGAAGTTTTTTTGATAAGTTTGAATCCCCATAGAATTTATTTCTTTAATGATGGTTGCTAAATTATTGAGTATGTTAATAATGTGTAAATAATACTTCTATCTACTACGTAACAAATTTTCATTTATTAATAAGAAGCTGGATTATGGATTCTAAAGTGATCAGACCAATTAACTAACTAACTAACGAAATAACAAACTAAATAAATAACAAAATGACATGATTTATTAATATTTAGAAGATTTGCATTTAATCTTATTTGATTTATAATGAATACCTTAAAAAATAAATATATACTTAATATTAAGATGTACAAAGCTAACTATAATATTATTTAGTATTATTAATTATATAAATTAATATATATAAAACTTTCTTATATTAGATTCTATTATACGCCCAATTAAATTAATTGTTTATAATACTGAAAATCATCTATCTTAATTATATTACTAAGTAAAATAAATAGATTACATAATAACATGAAATAATATAAGAAAGTAAAATAAAAATATAATTTTCTATTAATTTCTAAATACTTTTGAAGGTATATAAAAATACTATCACTAAGATCACCTTTACTTATTTATTTAAAATAAAAAATAATAATGTAAATAACTAAGTAACAGTTTTGCCCTCTTGCTCTTTAGCCAATTGATTTAATTTGTCATGTCTAGGTAAGCTTAAAAACAATTGATTATTAGAATAGGTAGCTATTGATTTATTTATTTATTTGCTTTATTTATTTATTTATTTATTTATTTATTTATTTATTTATCCAACCATTAATCAAAAGCCAACTATTATTTAGACTCTATTATTTAAAATTTTTAATTTTTAAAAATTTAATAAAATATAATTTTCAATTTTAGAATTTTATTTAGCTTTATTTTACATTTACTGATTTTTTTTAAGTAAGCAAATTCATAAATAATAAAATTTTCTAGTTAAATCTAATTTTAATAAAAAATTTGTAAAATTCTTTCTAATATAATACCAAGTTTGCTTTTAATATAGTAATTTTAAATGTAAACATTTTTATGTAATTAATAAATGTACTTTTCTATTTTTCTATTTTTTAATGATGTAATTCATAAACCCTTTTTAGATAAAATAATAAATAATTTCTTTTTTTAATTATTTTAAAAGAAGTAAGATTGATGTTTTATATAATATTGATATAAAATTTATAAGTTCAATTTTGTAAAAATGAATATAATTGATATTTTTAATATGATTATTATTTTAAATTAAAAGAAATTTTTTATCAAATATTAACACAACAAAATAAGTAAAACACTGATTTGATTCAAATAATTTTAGGAAGAACAAGTCTCATAAAATAAATTTAATTAAATTAGTATCATAACGAGTATAAAAAACTTAAATGAAAATATGATCTTTATTATATCTATCATTAAATTTTTTCTCTCGTTTAATTTTTAATGTAGTATCTAATAATTTCAGGCTAAAATAAGATAAAAATCTAGTAATCTACTTCCCTCCCATTTTTATAATAAAAAAGCGACTTTTCTTAAATAGCTATATTTGAATTACAAGTGGGTATTTATTTATTTTAATATAATTATGATAAAATATTTAAAATTTTATTATTTATAAAAGAAACTAGAATCTAAAAGTTCATCACTAAAAATCCTTAAATTAATAATTTATTTCTTTAAAGATGTTTTAATTATATTTTAAAATAAAATGTATGTGTTGTATCAAACCATATAATAAATAATAACAATTTATACCTACCTTATCTAACTTTTAATTCAATAATTAATATTCTTATCTTTTTGAATTTAGTGAAAAACAAACTATCAACTTAGTTTAAATTTTTAGTAAATTATACTTTTAAATGTTTTTAGATTTTTCATATAAAATCTTTCTCATTTATTTAAAATATAATTTCTAAATTTAATTTTCTAATTCATAATATTTTACTTATATGTGATATGCTTATTTAATAATTATTTAAAAATATAATTTTTAAGTTTAAATAAACTCTTATATCTCTAGAAAAAAATTTAAGAGCAAAATAAACAAAATTTGATAATTTTATATAGAAGCTCAAATTAATTTAAATTTTATAAATTAAATATAAAGAATATGAGAAATATATAATTAAGAAATAAATTTTTTATTTATAATTAGAGTATAATTTTAGTATAATTAATTAATTTAAAGAGTTATTTCTATTTCAAGATATTTTCTAAGTTATTTATCACACTATTTATTAATTATAAAGTATATTAAAAATTCTTATATGATTACCAATGGATTTTGCTTTTGTTTTTACTTTTAAGAAGAAAAAGTTTATAATTATTATTATAGTTCTATATATTATTGAAATGCTAAAATGTGCTAAAAAACAAATCATTGATTAAATTTAAAATACAATAGAAATAATTTAATAAAATTATCTTAAAAATAGAAATTCTATTTGAATTGAAATGTATTAATATTGAAGAGTATAAAAAATGAAGGCAGAAAAGAACAGAAAGTTTATTTTTGTTATCGGATAAATATCTGCTATTAAAGAATAGTTCTATTATTAATTCTAAAGCGAATTTAGTTCAAATAAATAAATTAATTCAAAAATTAAATTTGCCAGAATAGCTAAGAATCTCAATTCTGTAGAAGAAATTAGTTAATGAATGATATTATTTTTTTAAAGTAAACTTTATCTCACTTATATTCAGTGAATTTTGTATAGAAAGAGTATAAAAATTAAATAAAATAAAAAATATTTATTTTATGTTTTTGATTGTAACTTTTTTAAATTATGAAATGTATTAAAAAGCAAATATAAATTAGTTATAAAAAGTATTTTGATATATTTCGGTATTTGGTATCTATGAGTTGGTGCAAGCAGGTGTCTCAGTAAAATAAATGTTAAAATGAAAATACAGTAGTAAAACAAGACTATAAGCAGAAAAGTCAAAATACAATTAAGTTTTTAATTTGTTTAATAGTAGTAATGAATGTTATTTATCGTTAATAGAAAAATTAATTATTTAATGCATATTAATATAAAAGTAATTTTGCATTTTCAAGACACTCTGTGAGAAATATACTACTTAATATAATTATAATCAGCAAGCAAGATAGATAGATAGTCACTCTTCAAATAAATAGAATAGATATTAAAAAATAAATAGCCAAACCACCAAAAGTGTTGAACCAATTTATTTTCAAAATACTTCCTATCAAGCAGTTTTTATCGTCAAATTCTATCAAAAAGTCTGAAAGAAAAATGGGTTGATTGCTATTAACGAAGTCCTATGCCGATGGATATTGCTATTTTAATTCAATTTATCATATAGAAAATTATAAATGGAAGTAGAAGTGTAAGACAAACTTCAAATTTTAAAAGCAAGTAAAAAACGAGAGAAAATGCTTACAGTCGAGGCTGTTACAATCTATTACTAGCCATTAAGTGTAATTTAGAGTCCGCAGGGGTCATACTTAACTGTTTTCTTAAGAGTAAAGTTTAGAATTTTCGATTAATAAAAAAGTGATTAGCTTTATGTAGTATTGATTAGTAGCGCAGAGGTTAATTTGATAAGAAAAGTAAATCTAAGAAAGTAGAAAAAAAAAAAAATGCCAACTTAAATATTGCATGAAGTTTTTGGGTGTTTCTAGTAGCAATAGAAAATTAATAGTTGCTTGCCAATGTAGCAGCATAAATAAAACTAAACTTTGCTTAAAAGCTTAAAACTATAAATTAATTTTTACTTCGTTTAGTGGAGCACCCCAGACTTTTGAAGAGAAGAAGTTTGAGCATACTTTGAGAACCTTTTTCCCTTGAGCATTGGTAGATGTGTATTTGGGTTAATCTGGTGAACATCCAAAGCAAAAATACTACTTTAAGCTTGGGTAACGACTTTTAGATATAAAAATAAATGGATGATTTATTGGATTCAAATTAATTAATTCAACTCTATTTTTGTATTAATTTGCAAGAAAAAAAGAAGCAAATTAATAAAGAAACAAGAAACACTATATATGAATAGAATAATTCGCACTCATTCATTAACACAACAAAAAAAAACAAAAAAATAAATTTAATTCAAATCATTAATCAATGAAGAACTATAAAGAATACCCTTAACATCTTGAAGAAAAATATCCTTATGCTAAGGCCTTTATCTATTAGTCTTGAAGCGAATTACAACATGCGTTAGTTTGGTACATAGTGCAATATTACAGAGGGATGTTTGGCTATTTAATTTAATTAAAAATATTATTTTGGACACATTACCCATTTTATAGGTGGGACAAAAGCAAATTCAAAGTAATTTTATTACTGTTGAGGGTGACAAACCAGTTAATTAGCAAGTCTGACAGTTAGTCAAATCAAGCAGAGTACATATAGTTATTGTGATTGCTAAAATATTGTGAAAAGGTAAATTAACTTTAAAACTCTTCTTTGAAATCATTCGAAAAATAATTGAATATTTTAATATTTTTAAAGACTCTTTCTGAAAAGCAATATTTTTGAATTTTGTAATTTTTTTAGTAATGAATAAGAATCAAATTGCGATAAAAACAGCACAAGTATCTATTCAAAATCTTAAATTAATTTTTTAATACATTTACTATTTTAAAAATAAATGAGCTATAGATTGATGACCATCCATTGATGCATATAAAGCTAAAAAATACTTCTCAAAAAATGATTTTATTTAGCAAAAAAAAAAAAAATCACTTTAATAATTTTAATTTATCATTTAAATTCTAATAATTAGCAGCAATCACTATAAATAAAAATTTTTTCTTTTTAAAGTTTTTAATCTAAAAAAATATTTTTTTAATTTTGAAATTATTAGTTTTTTGAAATTTATTTTTAAATTAATATATTAAAATAGATATTTGAGCAAGGAAAAATTGGAAGGTTTTTTTATTTGGTAAATTATTAAAAATCATTAAAAAGTAATCATACTTTATACCATCTGATATTAAATCATAAAAATAAATGAATCTTCTCACTTGTAATATTCCTTAGATGCTTAACTACTTTCCAAGACTGCAATTCTTGTTATTTGAGACAATAAATACTCAAAGATAGTATTTATATCTAATTGCTTGATGAGTGTAAAAGTTGTTGTAATAATTATAAATCTAAAACTTAGAAAAGAAAAAATTAGCGAAATGGATACATGAATAAAAGTATAATTTAGTAGGCTTTAAATTTTATTTAATTTAACTAAGAGATAAGAAATGAATAAAAAATATATTTTTATAATGGAAAATTAAAAAAACGCTCCAAGCACAACACAGACTAATAATAAGAAGGAAATTAATGAAAATTTAAATAAGGATTTAAATGAGTTAATACTACAAAGATTATTGATAAAAAATGATTAGTTAGTTAGTTATAGATTATTAAAAAATATCTAAGGCTGAATGATCAGTCAAATCTATAAAAAAAAAAAGTAAGAAAAGGAAATTAATCACAAATTCAACATATATTCATTATTCATAGAGATATACCTTAAAAATAAAAATTAATTAATTAATAAAATGAGTGAGTCAAGGATTATTCTAATTATTAGTTTGGAAGTGTTTATTTATTTATTCATTTAGTTAGTTAGTTAATTAATCAATAAATTACTAAGCAACTTAATAATAAGCGATCAAAATAAATGAATGGAAGCTGTAAAATATAGAGAAAAACGATAAAGCTGTGTCAATAATAGATAAATAAATAAGAAAGTGAATAAGAAAACATAATCGAAAAAGTTAATACTATCTAAAAAAAATGATTGATTGATTAATTAATTAATTAATGTGAGCTGAGGAGGAAAATGAAATTGAAGAGAGGAAAGAAATGAATTAATTTAAAAATAATAAACTTTAGATTAAAAGGAAAGAAGGAAAGCATTAGAGAGAAAATAAAGAATAAAAATCATTAAAGCAAACAAGCAAGCAAGCAAACAAACAAACAAACAAATTACTAACTTAGTAGCTTTGGAAAATAAATAATTGAATTAGTATATAAAGAAACAAGCATATTTTAACTAAGAAAGAAAGAAAGAAAAAGAAGATAATAAGAAATAGCAACAAGCTGAGCGAAAATAAAATAAAAGATCATTATTAATTAACAAAAACAAAAATTTATAATAACAAGAAGAAAAAGAAGGAATTTAAGTGAGGAAAAGATTATATACAAAATAGGATATTTTCTGGACACCAAGACGAACAACAAGTCAGCAAAACCTTGAATTTTCTAAAGAAACTTTCATACAATAATGAATAAGAAAGAAAATTAGTGCAAATATAGCAAGAATGATTTAGTTTACGCGAAGATTAGGGGTTATCCATGGTGGCCAGGAATCGTAATTCATTTATTAGAGTTAGGAATTTTCCTTTTTCATCATGCTTCCTTACTATAGATATTATCATATGATCAAGCATAATTATTAGCAATCAAGATTTTTAGGGATAAAAAAATAGAATAAGCGAGCATGAAATTAAGCATTTTTGCAAAATTACATAATAATCTTACATCTTTTATTAAACCTAATTAAAGATAGGAGAGATTAAAATGAAGCCCGGAGAAAACGGAGAAAAAAAGTACGAATTGCTAGTCAATTTCATAGGTGATCACTCACAGTAAATTCGATTTATATGTTTATCAAATAATACCAAAGCAAGCGACAAAGTTTAAAGCATAAAAAATTGCAAAGCCATTCTGGTGCATAAAATTTTTCATAGATGTAGATTGAATAGCCACAATTGAAATATTTTTAATAATACTTAGACAGATAGCATTGAAGCATTTAGATTCAATATTTTTCAATTATAAATAGTTCAATGGTTAATGAAGATAAGCTTCAGAAATTTTATGTTAAGGAGATAGATTTTAAAAATAAAAAGCGTAAAAAATTAATGCAATCCATTCAAATAGCGAATGACATTTATAATGGGAAGTACACATACGAAGGTAATACGATATTCATATATTTTATAACAATAGCATCATCTTAGCCATTTTTTAGAAAAGAGATTTAGTTTTTCAGTCGTTCATTAATTAATTATTTCATTTGCAGATATAACTTGAGCAAGCAAGCAAGCAAACAAACAATAATACAAAATTTTTGCTTTTTTTCTTTTGAGTTGATTTTTAAACTATCGGCTGAAAAAATGAAAATGGAAAAGTCTTAGTAGATCACTTAAATATGTGAAATTGTATCAGAGGAGAATTATTGTGTAGATAGATAATGTTGTGCATTAGCATTAAAAAATTTAAAACAAATTCACAAGCATATAAATCTCTCAATTTCCCTCCTTCCTAATAATATCAAAATTTTTTTTTCCCCCCCTCTACTTTCTTTTCTTAATTCTTATTTTTGTTTGAATGGGAATAAAGCAAATAACTCCTCTTGATCAAATTCCTTTCTGTCTCAATTTAGATTTTCGCATCGATGCTGACTTTTTTGTTAAGAATTCAAGCTTAAACACACACTCTCTCTCACCTTTAATACCAAATATTGAAATAAAAAATTAATACAGTCAGCAAGTTAGTGAATTGTCTCTCATAACAAACAATTGCAAATATAGATATTTATAAATATTAGATAGATCAAATAAAAGCAAAAAAAAAACAATAATAGCAAATATTTTATGAGGATTTAAAATTCGTTCTGCAATTCCATTCATTAAAATATTTTTTTTCTTTATTCAATTTAATTTCCAATCATTATTGAGTATGTTTTTTTAAATATTTTAATATTTATCTAAAATTAGAATGGCGAAATAGGGATAAAAAGAGGTCACAGTAATAGAAAAAGTCAAAATAGAATAAGGATAAAAAATCCTAGTTTAATGAAAGCAATTCTGAAGATGGAAATTCATCAGATGATTAAAGAGATAGCGAAATAGAAGACGATGAAGAATATGGACCTGTTTTAACAGCAAGACAGTCATTTAATTCTTAGGTGGCAGGAACACCTGTAGCAGCACTTTCAAATGCTGGTATAAATAACAATTAAATATCTTAGCAAAGCAAGTAACCCAAGACCATGAAAAAACCAAGTGGAAAGTTATCTAGTTCAGCAAATGGTCATTAATATCATGAAATTGACGATGAAGATGCTCCTTCAAAGGGCAGTAGCAAGTTAAAAAATAAAAGAAAAAATAATAAGGTGATCGAAGATTCTGAAGAAGAAAAATATAAAGGATTATTTGGTCATCATATAAGCAATTCTGATGCGAATCATGGTAGCGGAATAGCTTTAAATTAAAATGGCATCAATTCTGCTAATGTAAAGGGTATGAATTCTGCAGTTAGAAATAGCAATTCAACCCTTCAAAGTACTGCAATATTTTAGAATGACCCATCAGCGAATAGTAGCACAAGCAGCAGTAGTCATTAATAATAACTGAATTCTAATTCTAGCTCCAATTTTAATAATAGCAATACGAATGGAGTCAAAAATTATACTCAAAATTCAGTCTCAGCCAATTCAGCACAAAGCAAAAACCTTAAAAGTAAATATTTTTTAGTTTTTTCCTTCAAATTTTATTGCTATTAAAGCTGCCTTCCTTCCAATTTAAGTGCAATATTTTTCCAAGAGAATTTAGAAGCGAGTAGAAAATAGGTTTGTTTGAAAGAAAATAAAGAGGCGAAATGATAATAAAATGAAATTTTTGCATTAATATATTTTATTGATTTAATTTTTAATTGTCTCAAAAAATATTTTTTAATTTAAAATTTTTAACACTTTTATCTAAAAATAAATCAACTATGGCAGCTTTATTATTAACAAATAATTCAAATTTATTCTCAAAAAATTTAATTTCACATATACTTATGAATAGCGGTTTTGATTCAAATATAATTAGAAAAATTTATTTAAATAGATGATACCATGGTTATTGAAACAGACGATGACGAGGAAGAAGAAGGAGGTGCTATTCCTAATAATAACTTAATGAATTCTAAAAGCAGTTTAGGAAATTCAACTGAAAAGCAAAGTAAAACTAGCAATATTCCTTTATCTAAACTAGATGAAACATTGGCTAAATATCCACCCTTGCTAATGAACCAAACTGCCTAATCGTCAGAGGAGAAAAACAAAGCCTTATAAAATAGCAAATAAGAAAATATACAGCAAAAGAACTAGGGTTTAAGCTTAAAGAAATAGCAAAGCTTAGAATAAAAGTAAAATAATAATGCAAGTATAGATTTTACTAGAAGCATTAGATCTAAGCAATCAAGTTTAGTTTCAAATCAATAATAAGTAATAGAGGAGGAAGATGATAACTCAGAAATAGTATAAGATAGTTCTAACAATGATCAGCAAGTCGAAATAAAAATTGAAGATTATGAAGATGATAGCAAGATAATATCTAATAAAAGTAGATTAAATAACGAAAGCTCTCAAATAAAAGAAATATAAAGTGATGATTTAGATGACATTGACTAAGATTCTGAAAATAATTCAAATTAAAGACAAACGAGAGCAAGCAAGCGTAAACAAATCAAGAAATCTAAAAGTAATTAATTATTATTAATTTGAGCAATTTAATTTTTTCACTTTTAACATAGTAGAACATTCATTAAGTATTAATTAACAAAATAGAACCAAAATAAAAGCAAATAAACAATTAAAAATATTACAAAAACAATCAAATTTTAATTTTTTATATTTTTTTAAAGTAGAAAAATTTTCCATTAATAAATTAGTAATTTATTTATTTATTTTATTTTAAAATCTGCTGATTATGTTAAATATTTGAAAAAACTACTCATTCATTTTTTACCTCCAAATTAAACAAACATGTTAATTTTATTAAAATTCAGGAATCACTCCTTACTATTTTTATTAAATTAAATTTACATGTCATTTAATTTCAAATTTTTTAATAACTTAGATTCTGCTCTGATAACTAAAATAGATAAGATGTCACTTTCTAAAAAATTATCAACTCCATAACCATAATAGGATACTGAAAATCTAGCTACTATTAAAAATGGCAGATTGACAAGATCCAGAGCATAAAATTTAAAGGGCAAAAAGAACAAAAATAAAATAATATCTTCTTCTTAAAACTCTAGTAAATAACATACTTTTTTAAGAACTAGAAGCACAGTTAAGGGAAAAGAATCCAAAATTACTACTAAAAACATATCTGATGATTTTCCTTCAGTAAGAACTAGAAAGGGAAGTATGAGAAGCTAGTAAAATAATAGCACATACTATTCTGAAATATCAATCTCTCATTCTTCACCACATATTTCCAATAATTTAAGCTAACCTTTTATCTATCATGATTAAATCCTTAACCTAGAAGATGAATTTAACCAACTGTTCTCACATCTTTAGTCAATGAGTTCTTTAGATTTTTCTGATACATTCAGTATCCTGCAAGATATAATATATAAAATTAAAACCTAAGAACCTAAAATTGATAATATTATTGGTATTTTGGGATCTGATAATGGCAAACTTCTCCTTTGCGCTAAAACTTTGCTATTTAATGATAGTTTATATGGAACTAGCAATACAACATTTTCTACTTAACAAATTAATGAACTTCAATAAGAACTTGATTCTTTAATTGATACATTAAAAGGCCTTCTATTTAAAAGAGTAATTTATATACCATAAATTTTTTCATTTTAATAAATTAAATTTATAGATCTGTTCAAATTTTTTTTTAATAAAATAAAAAATTGAAATTATTCTAATATTTTTAAATAGTATATGAAAGTTAAGAATAATAAGTATATAATAATTTAAATGGATAAATTATAATAATAAAAATTGATAATATTTTAAATTAAAAAATAGTTCTTTGACTTTGAAGAAAAATTAAGATTACTCAAGACAGTCAATAGCAGTTCAAGTAAGAATAGAGAATTTGAAGAGTTTGAAAAGGCGTCATAGAAAATATCTCCAAAAGGAAAGAAGAAAGAATTTGATAATTTAACTTAATAAATGTCTTCCTCTTCTTCTTCATGCTCTGTGCGTCCTAGAAAACAATCTTCTTCTCAATAAATAAAAGACTTTACACCAAGTTAAACTTAATAATTTTCACTGTTATCAAAAGACTCATCAGAAATCATGATTCCAGCTAGTTCTTTAGCTGAGAAAGAAACTGTTTAAGAGCAATCTCTGGCAAGTTTGATTCAAATGCAAAGCGAAGCTTCTTTAAAGATGTCTCAAACTCCAATGAGCGATTTATAATAAAGTGTTGCTACGTAAAAAATATAAAACTCAATCGATTAGGCTATAATTAGCAATAGTGCAGGCAGCAATTCTACAAATGGAGCTTTCCTTCTAAACTCTTCTCATAGTTACTCACTCGGAGCTACTGAAAGCTTTGATTAAAAGATTTCTCGTTAATAAAATTCTGAGTAAAATTATAATGATAAAATAATTGACGAATAATCTGAAAACAAATGTGATAAAGAAAATAACATCAACAACTTAACTGAAGATCAAAAGCTCATGAGAAGGAAGATATGTCTTAAAATTATCAAGCCTCTAATAAAAATATTGAAAGACTAACCTTCAGCATAAAATTATGCCAAGAATATTGAGATAATGATAAGACAAAAATATCCTTAAATGTGTGGTGAGTATAAAAACATATGCAAGAACTTGATAACTCTCATAAACTAAATTGTAAATAATAAATTTCGTTTAATAATTAATTAAATAATTCAAATTTATAAAAATTAGGACTTTCATACGACTTCAGAAAAGATAGAGTTATACCTTAGTTCACACAACCCAGAAAATATTTCAATTCTTGGTAATTATTTAACTTACTTCTTTTTTTATTTTTCGATTTTGTCTTACTTAAAATTATTTATTATTTTTATTTTATTTTATCTTATTTTTTGTTTTTTTTTAGAAGTGAAAATTTAAAATTACAACGGTGAAAGTGCAATAAATAATGACAATCTTAAAAATCCTACTCATTTGAATGACGAAAGTAATTTTAGTTAACATGCTAACAGAACTCCTAATTCATGTAGAAAATACTCAAATACGAGTATGAGAATGGAGGAAGAAGAAAACATGAATAGATACGATAATAGCTCTGAATCAGGTGGTCATCATGATGTCCATAATTAGAGCTAATCTGGTGAAGATAAGAGTGCTGTTTTTGAAGAATTTGCTTCCAAAAACCTCTCATCTGAAAAAAAATAATAACAAAAATAAATTTAATAAATCGACCAACAAAACAAGATAATTGTGGATGAAGAGGATGATGAAGAGGAAGTTTAAGTAGAAGTTCATCAAAAGATTTCACTTTCTGTTAACAACTCACCTCATAATTCATAAATAGAGGAAAGCAAAAAAGATAGTTTATTAAATCCAGTTGAATAAAACCAAATGATTTTAGATAATCATGGCAAGTTAGAGATCAAAGAGGAAAAGATGGAAGAAGAAGAAGTTGAAAACTCTTGCCTTCAAAAGGAAGAAAGAGATGATAAAGTAGAGGAAAAGTAGGAAGATACTGAATTAGACTTAAAAATTAAAATTAATGAGAATTCTACTCCAATAAAGTCAAATAAGGAGAATGAAGATAATATCTAAGTAGAAGATGATGATGACGAAGAAGAAGAGGAGATTGGAAGTTAATACAGTTAATAACTAAAGAAAAGCTAAGAATAAATACTAAATTCCTCTAGAAAATAAAGTAACGAAAGTAGGAATGAAAGCTGCAAACTCTCTGAGTAGTTATAATGTTCGCCTTGTGACAAATATTTATAATTAGATGCTTTAGAGTCACACTTTGATCACGATACCTCTAGCAATAAACCATGTTCTATTGAAAAAACCTAAATTTAACACATAGAAAATGAGCATAAATCTGTGATCAACGATGAACACCAAAAAGACATAATTACTGCCAGTAATGAAATAGATGCAGAGCATAACGAAAAAGTTAACGTCTCAAACATAAATAATGAAGTGAATGAGTCTTCCTCTACTCCTCTATTGTGTGATAATAATTAAAATCCTGCTGCTCCTTCTCTATAATGAGAAGAAGCGTATAAAATATAATAAATTACCAAATAAAGAAATAAATAATAATAATTCTTTTCAATGAACGAATAAATAAATAAATAAATTATATACTATTTAAAGTATAGTTTTTCAATATTTATCTATATAAACCAAAAGACTGATAAATATGAAAAACTATTTTTATAAATTCCAAAACTCTATAATAACTAAATAAAATTAATTAAAGTAAGTCAATAAGAAAATAAAGAAATTAATAAAAAACACACGCATAAAAAATATTCTTCCTTAATCCTTCTAAAGAAATTACCTACATACATACATACCTATCTACCTACCTAACAATCAATGAATACCTCAAAATAAAAAATAACTCACTCAATAAACTTCCTTAACAACTTTATTTATAATAATCAATTAATTTATTTTATAGCTCATATCTACTATTTTCGTTATACATATAAAATTTTGTCTCTTCCAAACAAAACAAATTGGATTATATTTTAATCTATTTTTAAAATTGGTTAAATAAATCTATCCGATTATTAATTAGTTTTCAATATAATAATTTACAATAATCCTGTAACTTTCTAAGTTCATATCATTTATAAATAGTTTTCAAAATTTCTTTCTCTTAAATTCCTTAAAAATAGTTTCTAATTAAAATTATAATTTACTCAATAAACCTCCTTAAAATGTTTAGATGCTTTAGCGATTTATATTATTTTTAAGAGCTTTCTTATATTTGATTTTTCTAAAAAATTTATCTATGACACAGTTTCAATTTATTTTTGCATTTATTAAATACTTTTTTGTCAAGAATATTTATTTTGAATAGATAAATTATTTAAAAAATGGCTATTATTTAAAATTAAACATGACTTTGGATCAGAAACTTTTCTTCACACTTACTTTTATTAATTATTATTTTATTAGTAAATAAAATCCTAAACTTAAAGTAAAATATAATTGAAAAAATCAGGGCATTTAAATCATTAAAATTTTGTTTTAAATTTTTGATTAAATAATTCTATCTCAAATTTTGGACAAATCCACTATTCATTTTTTAAGCTTAAATTTGATTTCTAATTTTAAAGTTTAATTTATATAAATTTTATATTAATTTGTTAAATAAAAAAAGGGTGACTTGAAATTAAACAGAAAAAATAAGTTTATTTTAAAATTAATTTTAATAATATTGTTGAATAAAAATTGAAATTCGTGGATATTTTTTTTTCATTTATAAATCGAATTTTAAACTAAAAAATATTATTTTAATTAATTAATTTAATTTTAAAAATATTAAAAAGTTGGCTTATTAAAAAAATTGAATTATGAATTTTAATATTTTTTATTAAATGATGATATTAAATAAATAATTTTGTTGGAATGATTGATTTTATGGTGAAAGTATAAATAAGAGTAATATTTAGAATTAATTTAATGTAGAAACACACATTATTATATAAGTATAGCTAATAATTGATTACACAGATAAATTATTTTTTTTAAAATACATATTTTTAAGAATAATTTCTTGTTAATAAAATTATCAAATTTATTTGAACTCTTGAACATTGTTAGGATTTTGGTTTATTAAATTCTAGTTATTATTTTTGATATCGTTGAATACAGCATCTATTTATTATATATGATGAAAATTTATTGATTATTTTAATATTTTTTTCTAAAATAAATAAATTTTACTATTGCTTTGTTAGAGCTTTTGATTAATTTCCATGGCATTTTCCATTTTTAATTGATTAAGCATATTATCAACCTTTTTAATTAATATTTCAAAATTATTTAATATAAATTTTTTCTTAAGTCATATTTTACAGCTACATCGGTTCCAATATCATTTTTATTCATTACGCCATCCATAACCTTTTGTTGAACAGTAATTTCATCCATAGCTTATTCGAAATTGGCCATTTATCCATACATCTTTATAAATTTTATATTTCATTTAAGCATTTTATAGAAAATTTATAATTTTTTACTTATTCTAAAGGTAAATTCTGAGAGTGGAATTGTAGATAAGGAGTAATCTTGTTTAATTATGCAACCATCTATGGTTTTAAAGAAAGATTTTAGCAAATATTATTTGAATTTGACATTTTATAAACTAATTATCTAATATTTTACTTAAGTATTGCCTTATGCCATTTTCATTTGACATTAGACAGCGTCTAATTTATTAGCCATTCTCATCATGCTAATTGAATGCTTTTGCTTCATGGAAGAATTTTATAGATAGAGCCTTTAATTATAAAATTTTATTAAACTTTATATTTTAGTTACAATAATTTGCTATTTAATTACTTTGCACCTTCTTCATTTCCCTTTTGTAATGCCTTTTTTATTTTAGAGGAGTTAATTATATTTTCTGAATTTATCATATCAAATTACCTATTTAGCTTTTTCAACCAATTTTTTCGATTCTTATTCGGCCTTCTTTGATTCTCTTTCGAATTGCTTTGAGGTCATTTTCATATCTAAGATTGCATCCATAGGATCAACTGGCTTAGCAGGAGCAGGTTTTGGTGCTTCGTTACCCATTTTTAATACTTAAGTTTAATTTTGTGAAAATTTTATATTGTTTTTAGAATTCTAATAAAGAAATTATAATTAAATTTTTGGCGACTTAATCTCCTTTAATAGTCTGATGGTTTTGTCTATACTATAAAATTTCTTCCTATTTATTTATAAATATATCTTATTTTCCTTTCAATATTACAAGTAAATCTAATTAATTAAATCTTTAAGTTGTTTGCAAAAAATTAATCATACAATTTTAATAATTTAATAACATCAGGTAAACACTGAGGATATTAAAAAAATTTTGTTTCTTTCTTTTTTTCAATAAATTAACTATTTTCATTAATGAAAACTAAAAAAAATATTTTCAAAATTATTAATTTTTTTATTAGTTAAATTGTATTATCGATCATAAGTATCCTAACTAAAAATTATCGTTTTGATATTCCATTAATATTAAGTTTTAAGTACTCTTATTTTATCAGTAAAAAATGCCTAAATTTAATTCAAAATGTCTATTTCATTAAGAAATAGATTAATATTTAATTTTCAAATTTAAATTATTTCTAATTTTGTTAAAATATTTTAAATTTAAAATCAATCTAAGGTTAAATTATTAAATAAAATATTTTGTTAATATCTTTATTTATAAAAAATTAAATATTTTATTTGTTTTCAGAATTCACCATCAATAATTAAAGAAAAATAATAAATATTAAATAATGCATATCCAGAGAGTATTATTAGATTTTCAAAATTAGTGATAGGTTTTGACAAGAAGTGAACAAATCAATAGAAAAAAAAATTATTTTTTGTTATTTTTACCTCATCAAAGTCTCATAGTTGCTAAAAAATTGCCACTAAAAATAATCAAACAATTTTGATGATTCTGAAATACTCTACTAATATCATAATTTTTTTAAGTAGATTTATATGAGTATCAATAAATTAATGAGCATATTTAAAAGTGAAAAATGGGTAATAATATTATTTTAATATTTTAAAGAATTAATTAAATATCAAATTAAAGAATTATTTATTTAGTATGTTAGATTGTTAATTAATTTTATTAACTAACTAATTATATATTGTAAATAGTAAATATATATTTTTAAAGTTTATCAAAATATTTGTTATTAATTTAGATATGTCATCTCCCTTCTGCTTAGCTTAAAATATTAAACTAAGTTTCAATAAAGTCCAAATCCTTCAGCATTTTCAAGAGATAATAGCAGCTTTTGCTTGAGAATTTCTTTGCTCTTATAAGCGGGGATTAACAAGTGGTTGAAACAAGTATGAGCTGATGGGAGTTATTCATTCTCTTCACCGTGCCTTTAGTATTTAGTGAAATTAATTAAATGAATCGTAATAATTTTTTTTACCTTGAAATAATAAATTTTAAAGATGAGAATCCTGTTACTGGTGCTCTATCGCTACCAGTACAGAAAAATAAGAATTTTTTCTTTTGCTCCATAGTAAATTCATCTAAAATTTCCCAAAGCCACCTAAATAAATAAGTTTAAGAATAATTATAGTAAAAGTCAAATTGAGAAAAAAAGAAAGAGGTACTTAATTTAATCTGATTCTTCTGAATATCCTTAATCATAATATGTATTCTCCTTTAACTCATTAAAGTCAAGTTCTTCTTTACCAGTTAAAATAAGAACTAGCTCATCAAATGTAAAGAACTAATAATTATAAAAAGAGGGTATATTGAGAATATAACTTTAAATATAAAATTTACCTAAATTATTTCTAGATTCAAAACCTTAAAGAAGCCTCTCTTGAAATTATTAAATTATCTTTCAATAGATTTATTTAAATACCAATCAACATAAAGCTCTATGAATTCTTTTTTGTTTTCTTAAGTAACTGGAATACAGTCACCACCAGGCTTTTAATCATAATTATATATATTAAAAATTATAATTGCTTTTTAATATTCTTACTTTGAGCTCATATACTTTGGTCTAATCGAAATATTCATATTCAATAGAGAAAGTCAATTAAAGATCATTTTCTAAGTCTCCCTCGTATTCAAGAATGTGTTTAAAACCATTATATGTAGCAGCATCAAATTATTTAATATCTTCTAGTGAAACAGGATCACCAATTAGTTTTTTATATACTACATTTGGTAATCTTACATCCATTTAAATTTAATTATAAATAGCTATTCCCATCAAAGATCCAATTAAATCATAAAGCATTGGCATGTCAATAGAATTACTGTTGAACCAAAAGAACTATTTGTTCTATTTAGTTAAAATAAGTATTTTATTTAACTATTTCATCTTAATTAATTAATTAATTACTTATTTTTCAAGGAATAAACCAAAGTCTGGATTGAATAACTATTTAATCATAATTTAATAATATTCTTTACGAACACCGCCTTCATCTATGCCCTATTCTCCTCTAAATTTAACCTTTTAATATGTATTTAATTTAATTACAATAAATAAGAATTATAAATATTTTTAAATTTGATAATAGTTTTTATCTTATTTTATCAAATCTTCAAAATAAAAATTAAATTATTATTTTATTTATTATAACTTTTTAATTAAATTTTAAATACCTTAAATGGAAGCTTAAAATTTAAATCTGGCTGAGAAATACATTAAATGGTATCATCCAAAATGTTATCTCTACTCACTTCAAAAATGAGGAAAAGCTAGCTTGAGTTAATAATAAATTGTCCTTGCTATATTTAACTTCTAATTTTTTTCTCATGTTCATTTCTTTAGTCAAACTTGGAATTGATTTCGAGGAGTTGATACTTAAATTTAATATCCATACTAAATGGGTAGTTACAGAAAGTGAAGAATCTTTGGTCTTTGTCTTAATTTTCCTTTCCTTTTAACCATAGTATATATTCGCTCTTAGGATTGATTCCTTCTTCGTGTTCATTTTAAAAGATATCAATGATAAAGTGATCTCTTTCCATTCTTTTCAAGATTACATTTGTAGTATATATAATTTTCAAGGCATTCATGGCTGCTTCTACTTCGGTTTCTCCTTGATAAAGACTTATCATTACTTTAGTTTTTATACTTGTATTTATTCTTTCTAAAATTGATGAATCCAAATCTTTTAGCCAATATCCCTATTTTTCATAGTTTTGTCAGTAAAATCATAATTTAATTTAATTTAAAAAATGAATATTTACAAACATCTCATAATCTCTCTAAGTTAAGTAAAAGAATGAGTGCATAATCTTTATAAACAAGCAGTGCTCTTCAAATAGATTAGGATATATAATTAAAAATACAAGAACTCTAAAGTCATCTATAGTAGAGAATTATTTTTTATAATCTGCATATTTTGTAATTTCACCTAAGAGCTTGATCTTTTGAATTAGAAAAATAAGATTTTATTCGTTAAGCTTGAAATTTCTTTTTCTATTTATTTAAGATCAGAAGATTTGAAATGTTAATTAAATCTCTAATCTGTTGTTCGTTTTTGGCAAATACCTTATCAAGTAGAACAATTTAATAGAAAATTAATTATTATTCATAAAGTGAAACAAACAAACAAACACTCACTTCTTAAAATTTTGAAATATTTTATCAAGTAAAATTTATTACGAATGATTTAGAAAACATATCTTCGACACATTTTTTCATCTCAGCATTATTAAGGTTCAAAAGAACGTTGTAAAGTTCAATTACTGACTTAAAATCAATCAATCCATTGTGCTATTCAATAACTTAGCAGGGATTTTAATCAAGGAAGAAGCTATTATTTAAAGCTTCAAAATCACTAAACACATCTTCTAATCTCTAAATTATTTCTTTGAAATTCTACTCCAAATACTGAGGTTATAAAATAGCATCTATTTCTGATTTTTGTAAAGATTTTATTATCCTTTAAGGGATATTGCATATTTCTATTTTGGCAAGTTTCTTTTTTAAGAATTCCACTGCTTTCAGTTTTGCCTGATTTTAGTCATTCACCAAATGTCTATTTGCTTTTAAATTTCAATACATAAAAATTAAGGTAATAAGCTATAAATTAGTTAAATCAATATATTAGCCATACATGGATGAGCTAGGCATGTATCATATTTGCATTTTTCCCTTCCGCAGCCTTTTGACAATCTTTCATAAAGTTATTAAAATGTTTCCATCAAAATCTTTTTTTATCTTTCTGAATTTTCCTACACCTCTGGCTTTTACTAAACTGGCTACTATTGCTGCTTTTCTTCTTTTTCTTCTTCCATTGGAGGTAAGGTTTTAATTTATTCATTTTCTTCGACAATTTAGGAGTCTTTATTATCCTATTTTGCTTGATTTTCAATATCCATTTGCCTTTTCAAATTTAATATGCTTTTAAATGAAATCAAAAATAAATCTTAAATAAGTTTTTACTTTTTCTTTTAAATATATTAAAAATCAAATGTTTTCTCCACACTCTCACTGATTGATATACATACCCTGTTTATTAATTAATACTTTAAATACTAAAAGGATTCTTACTTATTATTTTCATTTCATTTCAAATTTTATGATTTTAAGTCAGCTTATTTAATAAAAAATGAAAGTTAGTATAAAATATATCCCTTTCCTTTAAGCCATATATTAGAATATATTAAATTAATTTGAAAAAAATAAATTACTATTTAAAAATTATCACCAAAGAAGTGCTATGTTTGATTAGATAAAAAAGTTCTCTCTATCTTCATAAAATTGTATGATAAAGAATTATTATTTATATTTCCTGATTATGTACGATGATTCTTTCATTTGTTATCATTAATCAATTTTTACTAGAGGCAAATTGATTTATTTAAAGTAATTGATAATAAATTAAAAAATCTTCAATTAGCAAAGACTATTAAAAAAATAAATAAGTATTTTGTAATATTATGGATTCTAATAAGTAAGCAAAAGGAGGATAAGGAATAAAAACAAAATCAAATGGAGGTGGCACATAAGTTATAACATAAAAGTAATAGATATAATAATAAAAATAGGAACAAAAAAAATAGCCACAAAAAAAAATTCCTAATAAACCTCCAACAAAATTGAAAGGAGGAGTAAGATTAGATGGTGAAATAGATGATGATCTTAATATTTAAAATGAATAAAACTAAAAATGGCAATGCTAAAACTGCAAATATATTAATGAAAAATCATCAACAGAATGTTAAAAATGTGTCCATCTTTAAAAATTAAAATAAGAATAAGAAAAAGATTAATGAAAAAAGTTCATTTTTATGTTATAGCTATTTATGTCAATAAAATACCAGCATATGTAAACCATCATAGAGTTTTAAAAACAAAATTCCTAGTCTAGATAAAACTAAATAAAACTATCCTAAATCAAATCTAATAATTTTTTTATTTTAACATTTATTTAGTGTATTAGGTATTTATTTATTCACAATCATAACTTTAAGGAATATAAATTGATTATATTAAATTAACAAATATTACTTATTAGCTGAATAAAGAATTCTAATTTTGTTATCCAAAGTATTATTAAAATATTTACAAAATTTATAAAGATGTATTTATTATTTTTATGATTCGTTAAAAATCTATCTATCTTGCTTACTTATTTTTTTAATAAAGTATAATTTACATTTAAATTAAAAAATTATTTTCAATGAAATGAATAATTTAATAATTATAATTGTCAATTTTGTTAATATGCAAATATTATTTTAATTATTTTAAATATAAAGAAAAGGTTAAACTATCTAGCAATATTTTAAATTAATAAATGTAAGCCCGTGTAGCTCAGTTGGTTAGAGCGCGAGTCTCATAATCTCGAGGCCGAGGGTTCGATCCCCTCCGCAGGCATTTTTATTATTTTATTTTTTTTACAAAAGATTAATAAATAATACTAATTAATAACTCTAAACTTTATTTTACAATTAGCTGAAATATATTTTAAAATAATAAATTATTGAATTAGATTATTAAATTTTATTAAAAAAACCTATTCCATTAATTTTTTTATAATAAAAATATTATTTAAGTCTTAAATCTATTAACAAATCTAACTATTTCTTTTTTATCTTAATAATAGAGAAATAGTTATTAATAAAAATTATAAAATTAGAGAAAAGTAAATAGTCTCTTGTTATGAAAAGTATTTTTGAAATTCTAATTTAAATGTTTGATAACTTTTTATACAAAAGCCTAAAATAATAATTATTAATATTGATAAGTGATTTTAATATATTCTTTAGATCAATCAAACTTTTTATAAATCAGAAATTTTTGTTTTTCAAATTTATCAAAAATGTAACTAAGTAAAGTATTTTTAGTTTTTCCATAAAAATAAAATAACAAAATATTACTTTATCTTTTTAGTCAGAAAAAAAATAAGTTTTTATAAAATGTCTGATAAATATAAATCAGAATTAAAATTTATTGCTTAAGATTTCATTTTTAACAAGTTTAGTGTTATGGTTACTTAAACAATTGTAAGACCTTTGCAGAACTATTAATTTATTATGAAAGAAAAATAAACTCTTTCTTTATTATAGAGTTTAACTATGCTATGGAGTGGTAATAAATCTATGTGTATTAAATAAATGTTTAGCAGAGGGAATAGTTTTGTCTATAAAGATGTTTTGGAAAGAAATTTACTTTAAAAATATAATTAAAATGAAAATGGAGGAATAGCATTAATGTGTAAAAACTATATTATATGTGGGGTAGCTTCTATTTTACATAGGCTACAAAGAGATCTTACTATAAATAAGTTTTAAAGTCCATTAAATTTTACAAAAAACCTCTAATAATTTGCTTATAAAGCAGTATTTATTGGTACTTATGACACTTTTAAACCTAGCATATATTATTAAAATTAATAACTATACAAAAACCTAATATTAGCTTTGATTTGCTCTAGTTTAGGTTAACTCATTATTATCCCATTTAGGCTCTTTAAAATTTAATAATGCTTAATGCAAAATTAACAAAATTAGAAAATAAAAAATGGTTTTTCTTTTATTTAAGAGATTTATGGTAAAAAATAACTATTAAAGGTTCTTTAGACTGATAAGAGCAGCATTTACAAAAAAATAATTTTTGATGCTATTTTAATATTTAATTATGACAGTATAAAGATTCATAATATAAATTTATATTGATTATTAAGTATTTCTATAACATGATTATCCAAAAGAAATGATTAAAATTGTTAATACCAATTATTTATTTTTTTTATTTTAATTTCAAAGGTTTTATGAATGATTTGCTTAGTACTAAAAATTATCTTTCTAATTTTTACTATTTTTTAAAGAAATTAAACGTTAAATTTTTTTTGCATTCATAGAATATTTATTTTAGTTTGAATTTGAATAAAAACCAAAAGATTCTTTTAAAAAAAATATTCACAATAATATTTTAGATTTTTTGTGTGATAAAAATGAATAGCAGTGCAAAATCCCTTTAGCCAATTAACGAGTGCTAATAAATATTTAGTTAAACAATTAATTTTAGCAGTAGAAATTCTTTGAATACTTCTTAAAATAACCATAAAAGAACCTTAAGTTTAAATGGAAAAGAAAATAATAGTAAACATTTAACAAATAATCTTAATATATTTTATAAAATTTTAACAATTATATTATTGTAAAGGTAGTAATAAGAGCAACAAAAAGTAGAGTGGATTTAAAATTTTCAAGAAATCATCCTAGAATAGTACTCTTCAAAATGAAGAATGTGATAATTCTTATTTGGAGAATTCTTTTTGTGGTTCTTAAAAACCTAATGAGAATATAAATAATTCATTCAAAAACTAGCACACATCTGTCTTAGAATTAGATCATTTTAGTCATAATTTACCTTCTACTATTCCTCAAAACAAATCATCAAATTTACTAAATGTTGAAGTAAACAGCTTTAATGAGTAAGCGTTCTATTTTTTTAAATCTACTTAAAAAATGAATAAAATACTCATTTATTAAATGTGATAATTTTTCATATTTTAGATTAATAATTTATTTTATTTAATTTGCAGGAATTTGAATTGCTCAAATAACTTTGATGGAGTCTTTAAGTAAATTGATTTGTCACACTATCAATCATAGCTCTCAAATCTTTAATCTAAAATATAAACTCTAAATGAAATAAATATAAAAGAATCAGCTGAATTCGGAGGTAATTTAAAGAATAAAATAGCTGAAATTAATTGTAAAGCAAACAAGAATGGGACATTTAACGGACTGAATCTAATTAGTAACTTAAACAATAATTATTAAAATAGCTTCTATAGTGATAAAGAAAACTATTAGTCTTAAAATTTTTAAAGAGAGGAAAAAAATGTAACAATCAGTAAAATTTTAGAGAGAATGAATTAAAGATTTGAAGAAATTGAATAAAAAATGGATAATCTAATCTAGTAAAATTAAAGAAATAAATCATAATAAGAAGATCATGCTAATTCCTAAGTTAGAATGCATAATTAAATTGATTCTAGTGTTATACAAAAACTCAACGAAAGGATTGAGAAATTAGAGTAGAAAATGCAAATCTATGATTGCAGCTTCCTTAATTATAAAAAATAAATAGAAATAAACCTATCAGATTTTTAGTAAATTGTTTAAAAATCTTTAGTATAGTTTATGGAGAAATCTGAGTAGATAGAGAAAAAGATGGGGATCGTTTAAATAAAAATTTCAAATGACTTAGTAATAAAGCAAAATTACGAAAGCATTATTGAAAGATTAAACAAAATAAATTAAGATTTCAATGATAGATTTTCTTAAGCTGAGTCTTAAACTCACAGAAAAGAGGAACAAATTAGTATGGAGGTTTATAATCATTCAGAAAGACTAAATGCTCTTGAAAGAGAGATTAATAAATTTACTAATACACTTGGTGACTCAATAGATAAAAATAGCAATTACAAGTGGTTGAGCGATGAAATAAATTATGTTAAAAACAGGCAAGTTTAATTTTTATCAATGCTTATGGAGATCTCCACACTTGTAGGACTAAAGTGAATTTAAAATTTTTCCTTCTTCACTTATAAATATAAATAAATTATTAAAAACATCACAGAAATATCATTAGATTAAAGCAATTAATAAATAAATTATAAAATGACAAATTAATTTATTAAACTATTTTTAGTTATTTGTATAAATTATATAAATTAATATCTCTATTTTTATTTAATTATTTGCTGAATTCAAAGATAAAAATACAAAACTCCTAATATATTAATGAACAAAGAGTGAAATGTAGGTAGTAACTAAGTTTGTAAATATATAAATAGATTGTAAAATGGATTTTTAATTTTATAAAAAACACTGAATTAAATATAAAAAACCAAAAATAATTCTAGGTTATACATGCACTTAATAATTAAATTTTTTATTTTAACTAATTAAATAAAATTCATACATTTTCCTCTAATTTTTATGATTGACCAATTAATTTAATTTAAATTTATATCAAGAATTCATTTACATAGTTTTTAAATTTATTGAGTACTTGAATATTAGTAACAAAGATACAAGTTGCAAATTTATATTCATTTCAATTAGTATTTAGCTGAAAGAAATACTCAATTTTATTTTTAATGTTTTTTGTCTACTTCATTACTATTTTTTCCATTTTGCTAATTAGAGCTCTTATTTTATTTTAAAGGTTGAGTTTCGCTATTATTTTCTTTAACTGGCAACTCTTTATGAGATGCTGCTTGCTCTGCTTTTTATTTATTGTGTTAGCTATTCTTTTTATATCCTTCATATAATTCATATGAAACTCCTAGTAATACTAAAGAAACACCTACCCATTACCCAAAGAAGAGGTTGTGACCAAAGTATGCAATACTGGCAAGGACAGTAAAGAATTTACGAGTAGTAGTTACTAGAGCAAGAATGACAGGGCCGAAGTGGCGAATTGTGAAAAAGATAAAGACTTATCCAATGCAGCCTAAGAAACCAATTGTCAATACATCAAATAAAATATCATTATGAGTTAAAATAAAATTAATGCAAGTAATCAAGCTTCCACTAACTGCACCATATGCAAGAGACAAAACAGCACACCAGAAAGAGCATATTTCCATTAACTCAAAAGAAGATGGATTTTACTTTTTTCTCATCTCTGCTTGCTTTTCTGCTAACATGCCATCACAAAACAATGATGTTAAAATTAAAGCAATACCTACAAATTAAGTCTCTTTACCTGATTTCATGTCCTTTAAGTTAAAACATCAAATATTAACCCTTATTAAGTATAAATATTAATTACATCACATAAGTTGAATAGAATAATGCCAATGGTAACGACAACACCGCAGATATATTAATTGAGTGGATAATCAACTTTACCAAAAATTAATCCTACAATTAAAACTGACAAAACTTTACAGCTCTTAAACAAAGCTTAGAGAGGGTAAGACATGTATCCTAAAGCTGTATTACTGCCAATCATCGAAACAAAGTTAAAAAATCCCATAATAAATTTCTCTTAAAAGCTTATCTAAGTCTTAGCTTGATTAACTTTGTTAACAATAAAGGCTAGTATTACAGAAAAGAAGCACTGAGTAAAGAGGAGTAAAAAAGAATGCCTGAATTTATCTTAACTTTTACCATCAATAGAAGGGTATTCCTTCTTAAATCTATTTATAAATAAAAATATTTTGCATATACTTACTGTTTGTTTATGATAATTTAAATAAAGATTTAAATGTCTATTTATTCTACTAATAATATATTTTAATTTAAAAATGCTAAATTGCTTCATTTTTTAATCAGTTTACAATTTTTCTTGAACTAGCCCATAGATCATATATGAAGCATAAATTCCTCCTACACCAATGGAGAATTTTAATAATTTTCCATGTATCTTCATTTCTTTTATTGGTTTACTGCTTAAGTAAATTTATGATTATTTTTTAATTATTTTTTTATTAAAATTCTGAAATTCAATAATTTTTTATTTATTTCAAATCATAAACCAATTTTATTTTTGATTGATTGATTGATAAATTAAATTCCTATATTCATTATGAGAAATCTATAAATTCTCCTTTGAAGCAGTATTAATTCATACACGTTAATTATACTACCAATTACGAGAGAAAGAGATATTTGTAAGTGGTATTAGTGATACTGATTTATATATCTTGAAGAAATTTCTTAGATACAAAAATTTTTTATTCATTCTTAATAAAAATTGTTTATTATTTTATAAACTTTTATTTTATTGGTTGTAATAAAATATAGTTTTTTTAGTATTTATCATTGTATTTCTTTGTTTATATCAAAAATTTAGTACGAATAGACATATTTCATTTAGTAGTTTTTGTTAAAATATCAATCTAGTAAAACTTTTAACTTTTCATTAATTTTTAAAATCTTCTATTATTATCACTTTTAATACCTTAATACCTATATTAAACATTTAATCTAAGAATTAAAATAATTTTTCATTAAAAAAAACAATAGCTAAATTTTTAAATATTTTATTCAAACAAATATTTAAATTTTAAGCAGGTGTTAATAAATGAAATTTATAATATGCTAGAAATAAATAAAAAAGAATATGAATTATTATTTTTATTAAATCTAGCAACAAAAAATTAAATTAATTTAGAGAAAAATAGAACAAATAAATGTATTTTTATTTTAAGAAAAATTTAATTTTTTTTAGATACTATTTTTTTTTTAATATTATGAATAAATATACTTTGAAAAATTAGATAATTAATTTTAATGATTCATCTTTCATAGAATTTTAGCAGAAAATATTTCATAAAAAAAATTCAATATATTTAGATTCTTTTGAGTTTAAATTATTTTAATGAGGTTTTCAAAAATTTATTAGTAAATAATTAAAATAATTGCAATACAAAATATCTCAATAATAAATATTTTAATCTTATGATAAGATTGACGAATGCTCTGTTTAAAAGTTATATTAAAATTATGATTAGATATTTAAAAAGAGATAATTAAAGTTAGAATTAATTTAAAATAGCTTTAAGATATATTGTATGAATGAGTTTATTTTGAAATATAAAAATTAAATTTATTTGTATTAATGTATTTCAATGAAATTTAATAGGTTAGCTGGATAGATATTTAATTGCTTATGATTATGGAAATATGGGTGGATCTTCAATAAATTTTATTTATTGCTTAATTATTATATCATGAATGAATGAAGTATTGTATATAATTAATTATGTATTTATTTATATTGAATCTGTTGGTAGTCAGTCATTGAAAATTAAATAAATTTATAAGTAATTACTGAGTTTTAATTTTAAATTTTTTCTTTAAAGAGTTTCAAATCAATTAAGAAATTGCATAAACTCTTGATTGGATCTCTCTCTTTATATATTCATTCACAGATAAACAAATCAAGAATTTTTTAAGAATAAGTAAATAAATTATAATATTTTATATAAGATATGGCGACAGTATAAGCTAAGATCGATTAATTAGAAAAGGAAATTAAATTAATAAAAAAAGAGCTTTTTTTAACTCAGGAGGTATCTGAGAAGGATATAAAAAATGCTCTTGATGAGAAGGTATTTCAAGCTGAACCATTTTATTTCATTTTTAAAAGAAATTACTAATTCTTGTTTAAAATCTAAAAATTTAGATTAACAAATAGCAAACATTACTCAAAATATAAGAAAATATGATTGAAGTTCTTTATAAATGAAAAAATATTATTCAAAGAGCTTTTTAGTAACATATATTTATTATAAATAGAATGGTGGCTATTTCGATTAGGATATATTTGAGTAGCTCATAGATCGCATGAAAGAAAAGCAAAGAGATTAAACTATAAAAACAATAAGCTGGAAGAATTTTTTCTTAACATACATTGAAGCAGAACAATTACTGAACTAAAAAATTGTAAATGCTAGAAAAATATTAGAGGATTGCTATAAAAAAAGAAATGAGGTACAAGATAAACTCATAGAGGCTCGTAGCTCAGAAGTTTTGAACTAGCACGGTATTGCTTTCAATTCGCATTTAACCGTTACTGTTAGAAGTATAAGCTTGAATGTTCCCAGCAACGTGTAGCCATATGTATAAATCTAAGTTGGTCTGGACCAATCACACTAAACAACAAATGCATTTGGAAATTAAGCTACCTTTAACAATACTTTCGAATTGTAAGCCCTAAAAAACTTTCTCATATATATTTTTAATACTTATATACACTAAAAAGTTGTTTAATAATCAATCTAGTTATGAGTGATTAAAATTTATTTAAAATAAAGAAATTTTTGAATTTGGATACAAATTTTTAGCATGTAAAAAGAAAAGCAATTGCTTTTAACTTAAAGGTTTAATTAAAATAATCTATGAAATAAGTAAGTTATCTCCTAAAAAAAGTGATATTATCGAAGAATAATATACAAAAACGAAGTCCAAATTTGATGAAATAAGAAAATAATTATTGATAATTTTCAAAAATATATTAGAATAATAAAAATATTAAAAGCTAATTAACTATTAATTTTAAAAAATAAAATTTTAAAAAACATTTAAAAAAATATTAATTATTTCAAAAATTAATTTAGTAAAATCAACACTGGCCAGGAAAGCATACAAATTAATGTCATGAACTACGATAGAGCTTCTTAAGATACATTGTTAGGATCTGTAACTATTCCTTTATCCATTTTAAAAGACTAATATCCCAGAGAAAATGAGTACTCATTACTTGGATATGATAAAAATGAAATTGGTACTATATTCTTGTCTTTATAATGGCTGCATTCATAGGTAATAAATATACTTATTTTTTTATTTATTTTGGTTTTTTAATTAGAGAATTTTTATTTCAAATAAAAAAAATATTTCTAAAATAAAATTTTAGGAAAAATATCTTTCTGATACTTTAGCTCAATGGGATGAACACATTAAATAACAAGAGGAAGAATTGTATGATTTTGAAAAAGACTTATCTCTACTCTATTCACCCTTCCCTCAGTATGTTTAACTTTTTAGAAATGATATTAAGTTAGGAAATGCTCTCTATTCAAATTAAGGAGCAACTAACATTGGCTATAAGGTTGACGAACAGCCAGGATTAATTATCAACTAAAATCCTGAATATGAAAAAATAGATTTAAGAGGAGTAGCTCTTCAGGGATATATTGAAATCGATTAAACAATTTTCTAACCTGTTAAGATTTTACTTGGAATTTTCTTTATTCTGACTCTCCTCATCCATATTTATAGACCTAATTTTGTTGATGTAAATAAATTTACCAAAATATTTTAAAATTCATCTTTTAAAAGCCACATTCAATTTAAAACATTTTTGAAGTACGAATTAATTTCATTTAAATATTTTTTGTTTGTTAAATATTTATTTATTTTTTATCTAAAAAGTTGTTAATATGTTTGACTACTATTTTGTTTTACGAATTACACATATTTGATCATTAGAGAGCTAAGTTTTTGCTTATAGCTATATGTGTTTCTTGCTTCCTAGATTTCTTTTGGTTATTTAACTACTCTTCAGGATGGTGGTCTGAAGTTTACGATCAAACTGAAATTCAAATAGAAGATTCTAGTTTCAAAAAGTTTGTTGTCTGTATGAGTTACCTCTCATTCTTCATTAAGGTAAAAAAATAAATTAAAATAAGAAAATATTCATTAAAATTTAAATATAAAAAATAGTTCCCCTTAGCTTTCTTTGTAATGAAATTATGGAGGGAATTAGAAAGTCAACTATAAGGAAAAACAGTAGTGAAAGAAAAACTATTAAATACATTAAATTTCAACAGATCCCCAGAATATGCTGCAGCTCAAATTCCTTACTCTTAAGTTTATGTGCCTCCCTAAGGAAGCATTAATAGTAAAGAAATATTTACAAAAATAATTCATAAATTAATTATATTATTTTAAATAAAATTAGGATAATATATAGTCCCCTCAGTTTCTAGCTAACCTGGTTTCGGAGTCCCTATTTAATAATCTTATGTTGTTGCAAATCCTCAGCAATCTGTCTATGGAGGAAATATTCAATAACCTAATTTGGTACAAACAAACATACAATAGTCAATGCAAGTACCCTATTCCAATATAGCACCTTCCTATTATTGAAGATAAAAGTAGAAAAATAACTTTTCTATAAAATTTTTGTTGTAATAATTTATAAAATGAGTAAGTTTATCTTATATAATTATATTTTCAATCAGTTCAGAACTTAAAAAATATAGTTGTTTTAATTTATAATTTTAAATAAGATTTTATAATTTCATTTTTTGCTACAATTATTTACTTATTTTTTGTCTGACTGACTGCTTGCATGTATTCTTTCATCTTTAAAATATTTTTAGTTATTTCAAAACAAGTTTTTTTATTAGATTATTTTAATGATTTGGAAGATGTATTAAGTTATATTATGTTAAGCATGCTTACTTGCTTAAAATTTTGCATAAAACTAAGTTTTAACTGTTTGTTTTTATAAATATTTATGCTATAATTTTTTTATCTAAATTAAACTTTTATTTATTTGAATAAATCATAATCAATAATTGTCTAATATTTTAATTAATATTCTAGAATTTACTTAGAATATTTTAACAAAATAAATATACTTTATATAAAATTGGATTAATAAAAAATCTAATTCAACATTTTTAGTTATTTTTAATTTAAAATGTTTGATAAATACAAATAAATTATATTCATATTTATCATAATTGTCTTAAATAAATTATATTCATTTCTTTTTTGATCCTCCCATGCAACTAGGAGATACATTGACTGAAGAATCTTAATTCCATTCGTTAGCTGTTTTTGTCATTAAAGATAGAGCATGAAGTCCCTTTTGAAATTCTGGTTGTAAAAGAGAATAAATTTTTTAATGACATTATACTTTAGATAAACCACTAAAATCATCTGATACAATTACTAATTTGAAATGAGTTTCTGAGCCTTTTGGAACACTATGTTTATGTGATTCATTCTCAATTTAGAAATATTGAGGTTTAAAAGCTTGCTATATCTTAGAAGTAATAGCATCTTTCATAGGAGTAGTAGAGCTAAAAGAAAATCTGATAATTCTTTATAACATTTTTTTATTAATCTGCAATTTTTTTCTTGTAATTAAATATTGAATCTATATTTGATAACAATTTCCAAGATAAATAAGAATTTTACCAAATTTTTTGTGAAAGTAAATCAAATTTAGCAAACAAATCTTAAATTCTAGTTTATAATTTATTTTAAATATCAAACAAATTTATGTAATTCTTAATGATGATTCAAATAGCTATTTTAAGTTTTCTTATTTTGTATAAAAATAAGTCTTTCATTTTTAAAATATTATCACTCATTCACTTACTAACTAAAAATTTTGAAAATAAAAAGTAAATAAAAATAATTTTTAAGGAATTCTTTTTCTAAATTCATTTAAAACGAAAATATTTTTTAAATAAAGTTTTTAGTCATCAAAAGAAGCACATTAAATTTCTTTTTAGTTGAAAATTTTAAAATTCAAATTACTTTTTTTAATGGATTGACATATAAAAAAATAATTATAAAATAAAATCATATTAATTAATTATTAAGAAGAGTTTAGTATACACTATTCATCATTAATTTCCTATCTTTTGAACTACTTCATATAAATCATATCTTTTTTAAGAGTAGATTGGGATCTATTAACGAACCTAATCTAAATAATCTAGATCAATTTCTCCATAAAGAATTGCAGGATCATGATCAGTTGTAGTTACAACTTTACCGAAAGGATCTACAAGAGTTGAGTGACCCCAAGCTTAGTATACTGAAGGGTCTTCAGTAAATCTAGCACAACATGAACCAACGACATAAGCCATATTGTCTAGAGCTCTTGCTCTTAATAATAGCTCCCAGTGAATTGGACCTGTTCCCATAGCAAAAGAACCTGGGTAGACTAAAACTTGAGCTCCTAATAAATAAAATATTTTTTAATTTTAGAAACTTAAAATAAGTGATTTACACATAAATATTATTTATGTTATTAGAATTTGACAAATAGCATGCATTTAATTTATGGCAAGTTTTAAAAATAAAAATTAATGAATATTAACAATTTTATATAAAAATTTTGTTTTGATGCTTTTGTTCCACATGTAAAATATCTTTTCTGATCTAGTTGATTTTTATGTATTATGTATTCTATCTTTGATTTATGTAAAACTTATCTAAAAGTTATTTGATTACCTTGTTTTTAGCACATTACCAAAGCTTGTTCAGCAAATCTGATATCGTAACATATACCCAAGCCAATCTTACAGAAACCAGTATCAAGGACTGTAATTTAATTTCCACTTGAAAAAGTATCTGATTCTTTATATACAGCTCTACCAGGGATATTTATATCAAAAAGGTGAATCTTTCTGTGGGTTGCAGCTAATTAACCTTGAGAGTCTATAGCTATTCCAGTGTTATATAATTTATCATCTGAAGTCTTCTCAGGAATAGAACCAATGATAAACATATTATATTTCTTAGCGTATTCCTTTAATAAACTCAATGTAGGGGTTTTATCTGATGAATCAGAAAAATTTTCACTAGCAGCTTGTAAGTATTCTTTCATATATAAGCAGTTAAAGGTCTCTCCTAAAATAGATACTTTTGCACCATTTTTTCCAGCTTCTTCTAAAGCTTCTTAAACATAACTAAGAGTTTATTCTTTAACTTTACTTGCTTTTGTTTATAAAATGGCAATCTTGAATTTTCTTAAGGCTTGCATATTACTTAACTTTCTATTTTAATTTCTAATCTGATTTCAAATATCTACTAAATCTTTTTAGTTTATTAATTAATTAATTATAATTCATCTTCCTACGATATTATCTTAAGAATTTCATAGTAAAAACCTACAAAAAATCAAACCTGATTCTTTTCCATGAATTTTCCATATCTAAAACTTAATAAATCAATAATGAATTAATTTTCTTAAAATGCAAAATTAAAAAAACATTGTTAAATAGGTCTATCATTATATTTAATAATAATAAAAATAATATATATGAATATTTAAGTTTAAATAAAACAAATTTATCAAATTAGCATTTTATATCAAAATTAATCTTAAAAATAAGGTTAGAAATAAATAAGTTTTTTTGTAGCAAAAATAAATAAAAATTTTTGTTTTTTGATTTTGAAAAAATATTTCAATAATGAAAAAATGTATTTTATTTTTATTAAAATTTTATAAAATAATTTAAAAGTTTTTAATTTAATAAAAACACAAAATAAATAACAAATTTTGTTAAAAAAATTATTATTTTTGTTAAAATATAAAAATAATTAGTTGGAAGTATTTTTATACTAAGTATGAGAATCCAATGAATAAATATTTTAAATTCTTATGAAATGCTTTCAAGCATTAATTATTATAATTAGCTGATACATTCTACATTCAACAAATGATCCAATGAAAATTTATTTTTTAAGAGTAAATAAATAAATAGAACTTTTCAAATAATAAGCAAATTTTAGTGCATTTTGAAATAATTCGTTATAAATTAATTATCTAACTAACTCTTAAAAGTTTAAAAAGCATTATTCGAAAAAGTAGAAGTAGAAATGAAATCAGAGTAAGATATAAACTTTTCTTAAGCTCTGAAAAAACAACAGCAAGCTCAATCAAAGACTCATAAAGCAGTTGGTCTGATTAAAAATTTAGTGCTTGTCTTGTTTTACATAGAAGATTAAGAGAATTAGCAACTATTTGTTTAGGCTTTTTTACTATTAGTTTAATTTTTGTAGAATCATGGAATATTGGTTACTTTACTGGGATAGAAACCGCTCTACCTTCCTCTCTATTACATATTTTAGTAAGTATTTATTAAATTAATTTTAAAGTAGTAAATAAATCTTTTAAAATAATTTAGTGCGGCAGAGTATAGCAGGATATCACCTTTTTTAAGCAATTTTAATTCAGAATTAAGTAGAGGATTTATGTTTGTCTGCTTTATATTTGATATTTTAATGCTCTACTATAGTCTTAAGCTGTTATTTAAAAAATATGATGAGCATCAATCAAACTAAATTCATAGTTATTATATCAGGTATTACTCTATGATTTACTATTATGTATATTTTTAGTTTAAGAGTGATATGATAGGATCTGGATTTTTTTGTGTTATAAATCCTGATTTGAGTTATAATTGGAGATGTAAAAAAAGTATTTTCGCACATACACCCAATTCTATTGATTTCTAAATTAGTCTTTTCGCCTCTCTAATAATACTAGTGGCAAATACGCTCATTGCTGGAATAGCAAATTCAAAATTTCTTTAAAATGATAGAAATTTCTTAAAAGAAGCATTTGGCATTAAAATATATATAGTTTATTTAATAGAATTTTTCTATTTCTAAAGCAACTTTTTAGAGAACATGAGATCCATAATATTTATAACTGCTATTTGCTTCTCTTTTTATAACACTATTTACTACTTTCTAGGATACGGACCTTAAAATAAGTCACTTAGATTATTTTATGGAAGTTTTCACATGGTATTAATTATTTCAAATTGCAAATTAATTTTTATCAATCTTTAAATTAATAAATAAAAATAAGTTTAATTTGTTTAACATATTTGAAATTAAAGATTAAATTAACAAAACTATATAAATAAATAAATAATATAAAGGCGAGCATATTGACGAATGTTTTGATTTCTATTTCTTACTTTTAAAATAAATACTTAAACGAAGACTTGCACTTTTGTCTGATATGTGTACTGACTTTATTTATATTCGCATTTAACTATGTATACATCTTTAAAAATGAATAGCAAAAATTTAATTTTCAGATAAATGTATCAACTGAAAAAAGTTTAGTATAGCTTTCTTAATTGTTAATCGAGCTTGCAAATTACAACAAGAGCTCTCATACTAACCATAAGGATTACATCTTATTAATGGGAAAGTTGAGATTTCATTTAAATATCTGTAAATCTCCTTTGTGCAATTGCCACACAGAATTTGAAAAATATGTATTTAATAATGGTGAAAGCACAGAGGTATAAAACCAATAAGATTTAATAAAAGCTAAAACATCTTTTCAAGTCGTTAATGACTTTATTGAATAATAATTTTAGCAAATTCTTACCAAAATCAAAAGCTTAAGCACTAAAGATCAAGAGAAAATAATAAGCAGCTACACCTAGTTTTTATTTTTTTTTGCAGGTAAAAATTAATTGTCAAATTCAATAATTTCTTAATAATTTATTTTAGAAAATAAATGCATTTAAAAATAGTAATTTTATTGATTTATTAATTTATAAAAGCTGTCAATATTTCTGATTTTCGATAAAACTAAAAATAAAAAAATTGATAATTTTTATATATTCTTATTCAAGAGAATATCAAAATTTTTGATATATCGAGCCTCAATATTCTATTTTTAAAAATCAGCATGAACAGATTAAAAAAAATTGAATATCCAGTAACTCTACTAAAAATTTATATTTATATGAAAATAATTTTCATTGCCAAGTTAATAAATAGAAAAATAATTTTCCAAATATAAATTTCCTTAATAATTCTTTCAAATACTAAATTATATATAGGGAAAAAAATGGAGTCAATGATGTTCTTAAAGCAAAATATTTATAGCTCTAAGTCTACCTCAGTTAATTTGTAGATGGTTGAATAACTCCTTACACAGTAAATAATTAAATATAATCGTTTCAAAGCATATATTTATTTATTCATATTTATGCAAGAATTCAAAGAGATGAGCTTATAAAGTCTAAGTCTAAAATGAGATATTCTCTTGACAGATAAAATGTTTTAAATGCAAATAGAATAGATTAATTTGATTTGTATATTGTTACATAACCTTTTATTGAAGAGTTTAAAGATCATCTCAAAAGCCTTATAAAAAAAAAGAAAGAAATATTTAACAAATTGATAGAGGGTTACAATACTTCTACACAGGCTTTTATCGACATAACCGAGTTAATTAGAAATTAGGAATAAATATTAGCAAACATTAAAAAATAAATGCAGATTGCTCCTCAAAATATTTACTTTCTAAAATTCCAAGCAATTATACTTACACAGATAATTTGCGATCCTTTATTTAATGATAAGATTGAAAAGAAAGTGAGCGATATTTTATTCCAAGATAAATATATGAAAGATAACTACACGTCGTAGAATGCTATCATTCATGGAAACTTGTCTCACATGATAATATCAGTTTAAGACACTTAAGTAAACAAAATAAATAAATATTTAAATTACTATTTTAAGATTATTTTATTTTGTTTAGATGAAAATAGAATCTTTTTCTTAAAGACTTCCAACTTACTTTGAATACTCAAACAAAGACTTTCAAAAAATAGGTTCTCCTAATTCGCTAATTCCATCAGGATTCATATAACTACATAACAAGCTTATTTAACATACAATATCAGTACTATTAATTTTTTTTTAATTAGATTGAATTCAAATATTTATTCATTCATATTTTACAATTTTTTTTTTAAGTTATATTTATTTCGAATTTTAAAGAATATTATTTTAATAAAATAAATAAATATTGAATGAATAAATAAATAACTTTATTGTTTAGATAATATTATTTTTTTTCATTTTTCAAAGCAAATAATTAAACAAATTAAGAAAATGAATTACGATTTTTTATTTTTTTGGTATTAACTTACTTGTTTTCAAAAAATAATTAGTCAGACAACTACTAATAAAATTTCATGTAAAGGTAAAGAGAAATATTTCTAAAGACTAGAAACAATCGTTACATTTAGTCTTAAATTTTTCTGAATTACTATCCTCTAATTCAAGAAAAGGTAAATAAAAAATTATTTGATGATTTGTGAACAATTAAATTAAAAAAATATTTTATTTAAAAAGATCTGCTTCTACGTTATATTTTAAAAATATCAAAATATGAATGGTTGCAAATTCTGTTTTCAAATAGACAGCTAGCTAAATATACTAGCCTATACAGATGAATTTACACTTTTTATTAAACAATAATTAAAGATTTAAGATTTAAACCCTTAAAATTTGATTGGAGTTCATTTTTCTGTTTTAGTTCCTAACTTCTAGTAAGTGGTTGCTAAGCTAAATCAGAATGAATAAAGAGCCTACGATAATATAAATATAGAAATACCATTATGTAAAATAAAAAAAACTAATATTTTTATTTATTTATTTTTTAAAAAGAGATAAATAAGACTCTTTAAGCTTTCTTAAAAAAGAAGGCTGAGGTAGAAAATTAGTAGAATAAATAACAAAAAAATATATTATATTTGTGCTTAAAAGACCTTCTATCATAATATTACAAAAAATCATATATCATTCAAGCAGATATATAAATCTGTAAAAGAACTTATTTTATAAAAAATGAGAGCACTTGTATCTACGATATATAGGTACTTAATTATAAGATTACTGGATTTCCAAGTGAATTAATTAAAAAAATTCATCCTGAACAAGACAATAAAAAAAAAATAGCGAGTAAAATTTTATTAACATTTTATCTTATTTTTTTAATATAGTGATTTATTTTAATTCCAAAAATATTATATACATTGAAAAATTAATACAAACAAACATATTTATTGAAATAAAGATAAAAAATAAATTATATGAAATGTTTTTTTATGAAAAATTTTTTTCTTAAAATTCGTCAGTAATTTTGAAATTGGTTGTATTTACCTATTGAATATATGCTTATAATTTGTAAAAAAATATTGTAAATGCAATTCTTTAAAAAATAATTACTTTATAAACAGTTTAATTTGTTGATTAATTGCAGAGTTTAAATAAAATAAAAAAATTTCCTGTAGAATAAACAAAAAATCGAACAATAGCTCTGAAAACAGAAAAAGAGGATGAAAACTGTAAGTTGAATACAAGTATTCCTGCTGAAGATTCTATGAACACGAATAGGGAATTAGTTCAATAGCAAGAAATTAACTCTATTGTAAAATTTAAAAATCTAATTAAACTTTTTTGAAAATTTGAAATTAAAAAGGATGTCAATGATACACGAAAATATTTATTTTCTCCTTAATAAAATGAATCTCAGTTTATTTAATAAGCAAAAAATAATGAATCATAACTTTTTAACAGAATTGAGTTACAAACTTCTAAATTGCAAGTACAAAAAGAATAAAATGAAGAACTATAATAATAAGAAGAAGATGAAGAAGAATTAAATTAATAAGAAGAAATAGAAGAAAATAAGTTATACACTGACAATTAAATAAACAATGAGATTAGTTAAAATTTGATTACAGACGAAGATATAGAAGATCAGTTTGAAGGATAAGTATGCAACGATAAAAAAAGTAGAATAAGTTTTATTGATCAAGCTGAAAAAGTAAGAGTCAGGAGAAAAACAATAATTGAAAAATATAAATAAACTGAAAAAGAATATTCTTGTATTACATAATAAGAGTTTCAAGAGTTATTTTCTTATGCAAATAAAAGATCAAAATCAACAAAAACTGATATATAAATATAAAAGTCTCTAAACTTTGATACTGACTCGTCGAACGAAGATTCTGCTATTTAATAAATCAGAAAAGATTAAGCTGAAAATAGTAATTAATTAACAAAAATATTTATTAAAATGTAAATGATAATAATTTTTATCAACAGGATCATGCTCAAATTAAAAAATAGTAAATGAAGCAGAAAATTAAATCACTAACGAAAGGGGTAGCTTTACTAATAATTTAAAAGCAGTTTTATAGATATCTTAAAAAAGCTCTTCATTAAATTTTGTTTCCTTATATATAAATTCTTATAAGGCTATCATCTTAATATTTCTTCTTATTTCAATAATAATTGTTGTTTTGGTAACTTAGAATTACCAAACTTTTTAGCAGACTTATCAGAACTCTTTTCTAACTTCAGGTATAACTACTCCTTACACGGAGTTTGTGTAAGCTATAAATGGTATAATAATTAACAACTAAGGTCTTTTTGGAAATGGTTCAGAGGGTAATTAATTAATTAATTAATTTATTTATTAATTTAGTTACTAAAATTTGTTTACAATTTAACTTTGCATTTATTTTTTTATGTTTACTTTAAACAATTTTTTTAAATATAATTTTATAATTTGCAATATAGATCAGGAACAATACTATGAATTTAATACTAAGCTCAAAACTACTTCATTTAATAACTTTACTCAATTATTCTATCAGCTTATGGATAATTAGAAGTTTCATTCAACTTTAGAAAAAACTCAAACAAATTTTATTAATATTGACCTTTCCACAAAAGTAGGTCCATAATATTCAACAAATACATTTAGCATTTAAATCGATGAGTCTCTAGATTTGCTACAATAATAAATGTATCAGTATTATTTGTAAGATATTTCCTAAATTAATTTCAATAATTTTCCATAGACTCTCTTTTATAGTTCAGATAGCATGTTTAGAACATTAAATGCCTTAAATTAAGATGTTTATAATAACTTATAAAATCAAATTAATTGCATAAACTTTTAAAACTCAATATTTTAAATTATTTCATAGCTTATATTATGCCTTCTATCAATTTACATGATTAGGTACATCATAGTAATATCAAAGAGAGTGAAACAACTGCTTATGATTATTTGTAGGATGACTGAAGCTGATGCTCTATAAATTCTTTCATAGCTCAACTTTGCAGATGAGATCCTTTAATCTCAATCCGAGGAATACTTAACAACTAATTTCTTTCAATTAAAAGATAAAATTAAAAACTTAAATGGCAAAGAATAGTTCGTGTACAACAACAAAAATAAAAAAAAGAATACATATCTTTAGGATAGAATTGATGAAGAAAATCTATCATTCAGCTTTTAGTATTTGATATTATTTGCAGTTATAGCTTCTTTTGAAATAGTGTTTTTAACAGTATGTTATTTTTTGCCAAAATTTGAATATCAATTTTATTTTTTTTTTTATAAGTAATATTTATTAGTGAAAGATTACAACAGTTCTTTCTCTAAGGACATTTCTTAAAGTTATTAAATATAGTAAGGTATAATTTGGTATAATTTTGGCACTCTTACAAACGATATAATCATAGCAAACTAAGTATTTAATTTATATGGAATGAATCTTTTAAGTTAAGATTAAGCAAATTAATTGGCTTCGTGGAATTAGCCATTAATTTAATAATTATTAAATTTTATCAAATCTGATTATTAAGACTTTTCTAATAATGGGGATTCATCAACAAAATAAGAACTTAATTAAATTAATAATCAAAATAATTGCTTAAATGGTAATATTTTCAATGATGATGAGTAGAATGTTTGCTAAGTTATAACAAACGGATTATTAAACAATGGTTTTTACAACACGCTCAGCTCTATTCAAAGTCAATTAATTACGAGATTAGATTAAATTATTTCTAAGCCTTTAATTGACTAGTATTTTCATTAAGACGGTGGCTATATTGAAGGATAAATTGTGATTTAATTATCTAAAAATATATTTAAGTATATTTCTTAAATCATTCAAGAAAATTATTCATAATTAATATCAAATAGCAGCTAAGTAAATTTTTTACAATTTAAATTTTATTTTTATGTTTTTTTTAAATAAAGTAAATCATTATTGTCATATCTATAGAGTTAGTAATAGCATTATTTTTGAGTGTTCTAGCTATAAACTATAATAAAAAAGTTATCCTATCATAGTATTACTATCTACTTAAGTCTATCTAAATCATACCTTTTTAAAGACTATCTGATGATTCAAACACACTAAATCTTATCAAAAATACTCTCTCTATAAAGTGAGTTTCATGTTAAAGTTAATAAAATTTTTATTAAGTTTAGCTTTTCTATTTTTTTTTATGTCAGGTTGAAATAGCTAATTAGTTAGCCCAAATTTGCATCAATTTAGTAATTTATATTAAATTTACTATTTATTAAGTGTATTTATTTAATCCATCTAGTTTGTTTGTTTTTTTTGACATTTATTTACCAAATTTTAAATAATTTAAAAATTATAAGAACTTTTTAAATATTTTAAAACCCATCAATCTAATTAATGTATAAAAACTTCTAAGCTAAATAAGACACAATAAAACTAGAAATGCTTCTGGAAAGAGCTAAAATAATTACATTTGTATGATTAATGAAATGCATGGTAGATTTTAAATACAAAAATATTTTAATGTAATTGATTAATAAAAGAGCAGATATAGCTCAGTTTAACAAGTTTAGGCTTAATTAAAAGGGCCTTAAAAAATATTTTAGTATGATATTCAAAAAATAAAATGACATAATTTCCATAGTGCAGAAAATTGTAACCAGTAACAATAAATAATCAAGCTAAGTATAAAGAAACACAGATTTAATAGACTTTTGATTATCATAATAATAGCTCTTCCACATAATAACTAAATTTTGCAATATAAATACTGTTAAATGGTATACATATATGATGTAATAAACTAAAATATTTTTTAAATTTATGTTTTTTTTGATCTTATTTCTTAAAATTTAAATTTCTGACTATCAGTCCAAACAACTTTTTTGCACATATAATATTTTTTTAAAGATTGATAATCAATTATAGGTTTAATAAAAAGAATTAATTTAAAAATATTTGATGAGTGTTTTAAGTTTATTTTGTACTTTAAAAAACCAATTGAAACAGATATTATTAAAATTATAAAATAATTGATTTCTATCTTTAAATATTGAAAATAATAAAATTTAAATAAAAAATTAAATTAAGTTCATAAAATTCAAGAAGAAAAAAAATGAAATATTATTTAAATTATTAATAATTTTTTATAATCAAAGAATTTAATTTAATTTTTTTATTAAAAAATGTAAAAAATTTTATTATTAGTATTTTTGAATTAGATAGAAATGATTTAAACAATCTCAAACAAGTAATTAATTTAATTAAAAAATAAGTACAGAAATATTTAGATTAAAGATGAGAAAATACTATTCACAATAAAATATACTAAAAGAAAATATTGTGATTTTTATAATTTATAAATATATTATTGTGTGGTTATTTTTGTTAATTATGCTTACATCTTAATTAATCAATTTTAAATGCTATAAAAAATCATCAATAGCTAATTCATATAAACAAACTATTTTAAACTTAAAAAGCCAAAATTTCTGCAATATTATTTGAACCAGTGAGTAAAAACTAATGAAAGATTTTTACTCTACTGAAGATTCTTTACCTAGCGTAAATAAAAATGATTTAAAAATAGATCGCTATGAAGCAGGAAACTCCTTAAGAGAAAAAAATTTACAACAATCAAATCTTTAAAAGCTGTAATTTTACAATAACATTCAATTTCCAAAAAAAGAAGAAATAAAATGCTAAATAAATAATAGATCAAAACGCATCCTAAGTTTCTCATGTCCATCTGAGGATACGTATGACTTATAAGAAAAATAAAACACATAATAAAACAATTTTAATTAATGCAACAAACCCTCATTTAATATTTCTGATTAACAATCAAAAAATTTAAAGTAAAACATAATCTATGAAAAATCACATACTGAGAACACTGTATCAAGAAAGTATAAATTATAACTCAAAGATAAAATTTCAGAATAGTTAAATGCTCACTCAAAATAAAAAAGTTTTGTTAAATAAAATCAAAGCCAAAAAGTTTCTCTTGATATTTATCAAAACCCTGAAGATGAAGTTCATTTAAAAAAAAATTAAAGTATCTAAATTGAGAATTCAGATTTAAATATAATTAACAACAAAAAAGAAAGAGTACTTTTCCCTAATTTTGATAAGATATCACCTCTTGAATACAGAGGGATATCGTCTTCTTTAAATTCTAGTATTATTTAAAAGTAATACTCAAAAGGAAGGGACAAATTTTCTTTAAGAAGCGAAATTTAGTAAATAGGAAATATGTTTGTTTATAAATCTGAGCTAAGTTCTTCAAAGTTACCATACTTAAGAGATTCAATTCATGATTAAGACAATAATGGGTTAAGAAATAGTTTAATCGCTTTAAGCAAGTCAACGTTATAGTAAGTTCAAAAAAATAATAGAACTACTTCAATTACTAGGCAACCAACTTTTGATTAAGAACAATCATTCTGTAATAGTTAAAAATAAATAAACTGTGCTATGTAAAATGACACAGATTAATTAAAAATAATTCAAAAAAAATTAAACTACTCTGATAGAAAACTGGCTGTATTAAAAGTGCTTAAGAACAAAATAAAAAATAGATAAAATAGTTTACCAGCAACTCAATTAATGATTATAAATTCTAAAAATTAATATAATGAGCATTAAGAAAATATAAATTAAAATAATTCATAGATATTTCCAACATAATATGAATAGTAAAATGAAGAAAAACGTGAAAAAAATTTATAGAGCAGCTTGGAATATTTAGAAAACAGCTAAATAGAAGATAAAAACTAGCTCTCAAGACTACTTATGAAGTAGTAGCCTTTGAGATTACACGAATATAGAAACCAAAGTTAAATCATTTTTCAGCAAGTTTCTCCAACAAAAAATTAAGAAGAAAATGATTGCCCATAAAAATATTAAAGGAAAAGAATCAAAACTTAATGTTCGAAATAAAATATGCTACAGAGTTTGGAGAAATAAATAGATAATAAATCATTACTTATCAAAAAAAGCTCTATAGACTCCTAATTTATTTATCCAATAATAACTCAAAGACCATCATAACAAAATACTAAGCAGAACAGTCCTTTTAAAAAAGAGAGCTTATCTCCAATAACATATCTTAAAAATAATTATGATAAAGAGGAAGAAATTTTAAAAAGCTGCTAATAGTATATTGCAAGGCTTTTTAAAAGAAGAGAACATAATTTAAAAAAGAAATCTGCATAAAGAAACATGGATAATGAGGTAACAGATAAAAGTAATTAACAATTAAAATAAAAGAAAATGAAATAAGATAAGATTTTGAATGATCTCCATAGCCTAGAGAAAACTTATGAAGATAATTTTAACTAAGATTTTGAGCAGCTTTAAAAATATTATGACTAAAAATACTTATAAAATAACCATGCTGATAATTTTAAAGGAGTAAACGAATAAAAATGTTAATCTCCAAAAAATAAAGATAAATCACCAGAAAAAAATAAACTTTAATTAACATAATCAATTTAAAATGAAGATTTCCTCTATCAAAATGTAAAAAAAATCAAATCTAAGAAAAAACCAATCTATCAGAATGATGAATAAGGTGCAACTTAAAACTTTTAAGACTTAAAGCCTTGGAATGATTTAGAACAAAACAAAACTTCTCTTTCCTTTTTTCATAAAACAATATTTGATCCTGACCAAGAGAAAAATATTCGTAATAGTTAAAAACTTTATTGAAATCACATCAAAAATAAATAAAAAACGATAAAAAATTAATAAAAATGAATCTACATGAATATTTAATTACATAAGTAGTTATTTTATATAGATTTAAAGTTATTTTAATTATATTATAGTATGAAAAGTTAATTACAACATTTATATTTATTTATTCATATAAAAAATTTAACTGTTTTTGGTTTCTTTTTATAATTTTAATAAATTTGTATCTTATTTTGTGTAATCAGATATCATTTTTACTAAATTTATCTGTAGCCTTTACAATAGCATCCTAAATTCCTAGCTCTGAGCCAGAATGACCAGCATCTGATATTATTACAAGCTCTGATTTAGGGAGCCTTTTATGAAGATCATATGCTGATTTTGCAGGACAAACCATATCATATCTCCCTTATATAATGATAGTAGGAATATGAGCAATTTTATTGGTATCTTCGAGCAATTAATCTTTTTTATTAAAAAAACCTCCATTTACAAAATAGTGAGCTTCTAGTCTAGAATGGGCTAAAGCAAATTTATCATCTTTTCCTTTTTTAAGTTTTTCTTCATCTATAAAGAGTTTACAAGTTGCCATCTCCCAAACAGCCATAGCCTTAGCAAATTTAAGTTTCTCTTCTTCATCATTTCCAGTTAATTTCAAATAATAATTATGAAGGATATTACCTTGTTGTGGCTCTGGGAGTAATTATTTCATTTACTCATGGAAATCGGGAAAAAGCCAGCTACTTCCCTCTTAGTAAAAGAAATCTACTTCTTCTTTTCTAAGCAAAAATACACCAATAACTATAATATGTGAAACTCTTTCTGGATATGTTTATGAGTAGGCTAATGTTAAGGTTGAGCCCCAGCTACCTCCAATAACTGTGTGCCATTTTTCAATCTTTAAGGTTTCTCTAATTTTCTCACAATCTTTCACTAAGTCCCAAGTTGTATTTTCTTCTAATGAAGCAAATGGTGTCGATTTTCCACTTCCTCTTTAATCGAACTATACAATTTTATAAATTGCAGGATCAAAAAAACCTCTATACAAAGGATCTGAACCACTTCCTGGACCACCATGTAAAATAAGAGCAGGCTTTCCATTGGGATTTCCACTTACTTCCCAATAAATTGTATGAATTTCTGAAACCTGTAAAAAACCTGTTTCATATTGGTCTAAGCCTTTATAAAGTCTCCTCCTTTCTTAATTTGATTCCATAACAATGTATATATCTTAATTTTTGCAAATAAGTTGATAAATCTTCTAAATAATTAAATTGATTTGAAATACTAATTAGTCTTTCACAATCACATCTTACTAATAAAAAAATATTTAGCACACATATAATTGTGGATGTAAAAGAAAATTAAAAGTAATAAGATGATTTTAGGTAAAAAATAATTCTAAAAAAGTCATTTTAAATGGAATTTTGTAATTAACTATTATTAATTAAGGTTTATTTAAATACTTAGAAAAATATTACCATAATAAATTAAAATTTTGAGATTTATTTATTAATATATTTATTAAACAAATAATGTAGCTTTAACATTAATCTTTGGATGAATGAATAAATAATTAAATAATTAATTCACGTATAATATATTTTTAATTAGATATATTAAAACTAAAATAATACTTACTTAATTACATATATAACCACACATTAATTTGTTTGGGAAATTATAATTATTAAAAGAATTTTTGTTAATCACCAGTAGGAACATTTAAGATCTATCTTGTTTTTTAACAAAAAATTATTAGAAATACAAAATTTAAGCAAGCAGCTTTTAACTAAAAATAGAATCATTATACAAAAATTTTAATGTCTACTTATTTTCCTCAGAATTTTACACCTATTCTACCTAGGACACAATAAATTTAAAATGAAACTTTTTTTATTCAAGAATTTTACAATACTTTTATTGAGAAAATTATAAATGAGTTCGATATGAGTGGAGAAATCAACCTATATTGGCACCAATTAAAGTAGAAGATTAGTGAAGAAAAAAATTTTCAATAGCTCTACAAATACATACTTAATCTTGAAATAAAGAAAAGGGAATAATCCAAGCAAGATTTGTTCGATCTTACCAAATACAATGCAGACTATGCTCCATCATCTCAAGCCATTTCTTCATCAAAGTTACCAAAAGAAGATGAACTGTTTATTAAGAAAACTCCTACTAGCGTAAGAACAGTTTCAATTCAATTTGACATGTTGAGTAAAATGAATAGCACCTAATAAAATGGCAGTGGCTAAAAAGATATTCAATAAGTAGAAACATCTTCTTAACAGAGTAGCCCAAAATCTTTTTCCTAAAGACTACCTTCATTAACAATCCTTAAGAACATTTCATGCACAAACTAAAAATACTCTAATGATAACCCTTATGGAAATTTTTCTCCCTAAAATGCAAATTCCTCATTTTCTAATAACAACTCACCATAGCTAGGAGGCAAGAATTGCTTTAAAATTTTAGAAAATATCAGAAAAAGAAATTCTTCACCTAGCTATACTTAGTATATGTGTTTTTCACCTTTGTAATAAAAACCTTTGTCTTAAGGCTTTGATTCTAACTATAAAACATGTGCTAGCTAAAAATAGTTGACCTTAGAAACCATTACTGATATAACCCAAGAAAAAAACCAAAAAGATTGTGAAAAATCATTTTCAATTGTTAATGATAAGGATAATAATAATACTAAATAAAAAGAATAAAAAAATAACAAGCTTAAGAGATTTTCACCATAACAAATTATTAGAATGGGTTCTATAAGAGAGGCTGAAGATGAAGTAATAGAAAACACTAAAGATAATGAATAAAAGGAATCTGTTTCTAAGATGTTGGCATTAGTAATATCTGCGAAAAATACATTTAAACTTGATTCCGAAACAATTAACCTTATACACGGTAAATTTTCTTTAGCCTACGCTTAAAACTGCAAGAATTCAATGGGTCATGAGCAATTTAAAGCTCATGCTGAGTTCAATAATAAAATTGCTCAAATTGGTATTGATTAGCTAAAGAAGCCTACTCATAAATTAAATAATAACGAATTTAACATAGAAATAAATAATAAATACTAAAATAATAATACATTCCTAATTCCATAATCTCCAAAAAAAAAAAAAAATTCTACGCCAGTAAGGGATAAATATTTTCCAAAATGATTATTATTTTATAATAAACAAATATCTTTATTATTTTGAAATATGATAAAGCAATTCTTTCGTCATTTTCCATTAAATCAATACATCTATATAAATTTAATGAAGAATAATAAATTAAAGAAGTAATATCATTTATATTATCAAAATTAAAACTATTAAATATTTTATCTTTACATTTTTCCATTTTTACAGTCTGATATATTAACTTAAATAAAATATATTAAATTATTTTATTCTACATTTATCTTTCATATATTTTTATCTTTATTTGGATTAGTCAGTCTACCAAACTTTAAACTTTTATATTTATTGTAAATTTTTTGAAATATTAAATCAAAAAAGTTGTTTAAAATAAAATTACTAAAATGAAAATTCATTTTTTAAATTTAAAAATAATTTTCCATTATTTATAATAAATTGAGTTTAAAATGTGTGTCTAGGTTTCTTTAATCAAAATTATTAGGAAAATAAAAAGAATTTCTAAAATTATGAAAATAATTATTTTTTTTTATTTTTTATAATATTTTTACTTTAAATAAAATTAATTAATTCAATAAAATTCCTAAGTTATAAAACTCAAAATAAATTTAATGTTTAGAGGAATTAAAAAGTTTAGAAATTCATTTTTATCTTAGTTGTTCAGATTAAGAATATGTATTTAACATTTTAATTTAAATCAAATTGCTAAAATAAGATTTCATAAGAAAATAACTTAGCCAATAACTATTTTTGAAATGTAAAAGTGAATAAAATATTCTGATTAATCACAATAATAACCACAATTAAAAATTCAATTATTTAACAAATTTTAACCATAGAGTGCTTTTATGTATTTATATATGTTGGTTGGAAATTATCTGCTATTATAACGGCGAAAATAGAAAGAATATGAAGGGATATTTTTAAAATAATTTAAAATACCTCTTGGCATTTTAACTAGTTGTTTTAGTAATCAAAAAAAAAAAAAATCACTATATTTTCTAAAATTCATTTAGAAACACAAAATTTGTTTAAAAATACTTGAATATCAATAAAAACATAATAAATTATTCGCTTAAAAATTAATAATAAAACTAATAAAAAGAGTACTTACAATTAATTTTTATTCAATTTTATTCAATTTAGTTAGGAATAAAATAGCTGTATAATTATTTTTAAAAAGATATTAATGAGCGGGAGTGGAGGAAAATGCGTAATATGTGGTAAGTAGACTAACTAAAGGTGTTAGGCATGCAAAATACCATATTATTGTTCATAAGAGCATCTTGAACAAGATTGGGGAAATCACAAAGAAAAATGCAAATAATATAGAAAAGCTCAATAAGTTAATTCAAGCTAGATTACCGTCAATTCAAATGCTAACAAAGAATAAGTGATAACCAAGTAAACTTTATATTACATTCGATTTGAATTCTTAATTTGCTTGTTAAAACTCCTAAAACATTAATTTTGTATTAAAAATTTTAGTAGGGAATAAAATGGTATTATGAATAATGCATAATTTAATCAAAAGTAGGAATCCAATACACCTAATTTATCTATTTCTTCTAATAATGCAGTCAGTTAACCAAATAATAATTTAGCCTAAATAAATTCCTCAATGATAAGTTCTAACTAGAATTAGTAAAATTAAGCTACTCTAATATCAACACCAGGAAATATTAAAACAAGCAGATAGTCTAATAATGCAGCATTAGTAGACCAATAGAGTCCTTAAATTTCAAACAGTTTTAACTACACGCACAACAATCAAAATAATACAAATTAAAATACTTAAAATATTTAAATCAATGGTAACGAAAATATTATTTAGAAGTAGTATTATAAAGACCCTGAAAAATTGTAAAAAGATCGTGAATTATAATAGTTAATGAGTGAGCGCTTAGCTTTTAGATCAGATGTTGTCAAGCTTTTAGCCAAGTTTAATTACAGCGATGCCCTTATATAAGTAAGAAATCTATGTAAAATAAGTGAATAGATATATCGTAATGCTAAAAGGTAAGACCAAAATGAATTGTATGAATTATTAGCAGATTAACTTCTAGAAGTTAAGATTATGATCAAAACTTAATCAAGTAATGCTAACAAAGAAGCAGGAACAAAACTATAAGATATTTTTCATAAAATTAAGTCATACATGAATGATAACACTTTAAAAAATTATTATTAAGATTTGGAAGTTGAAAAGAAAAATGAATTCATGAACGAAATTCGTAAAAGGTGTAATTTGATTTCTCTTGTTGCAAATCTATTTTATTCACTTGGACACCAAAATGAGTGTGAAGAAGCGTATGTTAGATATGTAAAGCTCATAGAAACTGTTATGGGTTAAGATGTAATTCGCTTTTAAAATATATTAATAATTTTTTATTAAAAAATTATTTTTAATAGGCTTTAGAGACTAGTAATTGTTATTTCTTAATGGGGGTTTACTATCTCTAGCATCGCTATTATATCAAGGCTTTAGCTTGTTTTAAGCGAAGCATGAGTATTAGATCTCAAAGACTTACTGAAAGGCATGAGTCTGTTACAGATTGCTAGTACAACATAGGTATAGCTTATAAATAATTAGGTAGAAAATAGAAAGCTTTGGACTAGCTAGAAAAAACCCTTTTTATACGTAGATAAATTATTGGCCAGAGCAGTTTGCCAGTTGCTCAAACGTTAGAAATATTAGGTAAATTATAGTTTATTCATCTTTTTTGTAAATTTAAAATAAAATATAAATAATTTCTCTTTAACTAAATTTATCATAGGAAAAATATACATGGAATCTCCAAGTGATTATCCAATAGCTCTTGACAAATTTCAAGAGTGCTACTCAATAAGAAAATCAATCATTAAAGTTAATAAACATCCTGATATGGTAAGAATCTCCCTTCTTATTGTGCATTTATACAACTTAATTAAGGCTCAGTTAGCTTAATAAGAGGCTTCACAGCCAACAAAATAAGCTCAATAGCTAAAAGACATTGAGTTGAAAATGTAAAAGAATGTAATAGATGGAAATATTTAACAATATATTCAAACATAAAAAAATAATCCAGACAGATTCCAAGAACTTTAAAATTAATATGGATTATATAATAATGAAATGCAACTAAATGCTTTAAATTAAGCTAATGCAATTTAAAAATAACAAAATCAAGCTAGTTCGTAGGCACTTTTACCAGATAATAGTGTTGATGACTTTTTAAAAGGGTAGAATTAATCTTAAAATAATTCCTAAAATGTCTCTGCTACTAACAATAATAATAAAAGTAACTCAGCTAACAGTGCTGTAAACTCTGTTATGAATAGTATAATTAAACCTAGCGGTGGGGTTAGTGATAAAAATTATGGGTTCGGACTTTAAAGAGGAAGTGTCGCTAATTCATTTTAATTAAGGGAAAGAGAAGGTTCGAAACAATCCACGGACTCTAACTCTCCTAGTAAAACTATATAGGAAGAAGAACAATATTAACCTCAGAAAAAAAGTAATTAATCAGGAAAAAGTAAATCTAAAAAAAGAGTTTCTGAGGAGATATCGGAAGACAGCGATAATTCCGATGAAGATCTACAAGAAAAAAATATCAAAAAGCACCTTTTAAAATTAAAAGAAAGGACGATCTCTCGTATAACTCATTAGTAATTTTAAGAATTGGTTAATATCAATGAGAAAGTAGCAAGAGAGATGAAAAAAGATCCAAAGTTTAATCCAAGGGATATGATTATAAATAGTGTCTTTGTTTAAAATATGAAATAGATGGATTATAGAGATATTTGTTAAGATCTAATAGAAATGAATCCTTAATATTTTGGCCCCGAGGACTTTTCAGATTTAAGATATTTTGGAACTTCCAACGATGTCAATTCATAGTAAGTAGGAAATACTTAATTTGATTAAAAAATGAGCAACCAATTTTAGTAGCAGCCATCACCATACGATTATTAGCAATAGAATAATTTCTAAAATTAAAATAGCATGGGCTCTTTTGGCAAATAAAGTTAATACTAATAAAATGGATTTTATCAAATGTCTGAAGATTATTCCTTCCCTTAAAATTTTCAAAAACCAAGACCTGAATCAAATTCTTTCAAAAAATATTAAGATGAAAGAACAGATATGCAAATGGATCCTAATGAAGACTTTATGGATATTCTTAATAAAAAACCAAGTAACAGGAATCCTTCTCGAGACGGTAATTAAAAGTTTGGAGCAAACAATAACTATGGCATCTCAAATTCTAGTAATTAATATAATCAGACAACAACAACTGCTACAAAAAATGTCAGAATAGCAAGCTAAGAAGTCTACTAATATAACAACTAAAAACGAGACTTTGAGAGTGAAAATGTTGAAACACCACCTTTAGGTAGATTTATGTCAGAAGAAAATACTAATAAAATTCTTTAAGGACTCAGTAAATTAAAATAATGATTTTTATTATTGAAAATATTTAAAATATTTAATAAATTAAGTAAACAAACAAAAACTAAAATAAAAGTAAAGATGAGCTAACTGCAAGTTAGCAAGAATCAATTTATAATTAAACTATAAATTGATTTTATAATATTTTATTTCAAAACAAACAGATTTTATTTTAAAGTTTAAAAATTGTCTGCCTATCATCAGCTGTTGATTGATTGATTGAATTACAAATTTAACTTTAATTTGTATAATAAAATTGTATAAATTGTAATCTATTCATATTAAATAAAATTAATTTTTCTAACTATAAAATCTAATAAATAATCTCTAAGAAATTTCTTTCATCTTCTTCACACGCGATTCTCTCAATTCCTAACAGCCGCTCAGTCCTATACCCATCTCTCACTCACTCAATTAGATCTGATTTAAAAATAATTTATGATGGATAAAGTAATTAAAAGGTTATTTTAATTTATCATTTTAATTTATTTAATAATTTTAAAAATTAAAAAATCTCATCTTAGCCAAGAGATAATAAATAAATTTTTTAAAAATGCTAATATAGAGCATTCTTATGATTAGTGAATGAGAGCGGACATGAGTAGTTTTTATTTTTATTTAGGAAGCCTTTTAATAAAGTTAATGATTTAAAAATTTTGATTGGTTGATTGATTTATTTTTTTATTTTTGCAAAATAAAATTAATTAAATTAACTATTAAAATTAATAATAAATAAACCCAATTTAAAATAATTATTTGTGAATTTAACAATAAATTTGAGATAACTTTAGCGTTTAAATCTTAAACTAGCTTAGATATTAATTTCCGTTCACACTTCTACTTAGTTTAAATAAAACGTTTTGATCAATCCTAAAATGCTGTGTTGGTGAGAGATGTTTATTGAAGGAGAGAGGAGAGATTGTTATTAGAGTTTATGGGTTGATGATAGGACAGACAATTTTAAGCATCTAATAATTTTTATTTTGTTTACAAAGTAGCAAAAGCATTCAACAAAAAATTGCTTGATAATTTGTTCTAAATAATTAAAAATTATCTATCTATTTTATTTTTTTGAAATAATTTTTAATAATTATATGCAAACATAGGGATGTCGACTCCGATAAAGTCTGTAACTCTATCATAAGTAAGCTCTAATTAAAACCTCAACCAATCTCCAACAACTTCTCCACCTTAATTGGCATAACCTGAAAAACTAGATCCAAACTATTAAACTAATTAGTAATTCCCTCCTACACATTATAGCACTTAAAATAGCTAACAAAGCTAGTTAATCTAAATGTAACAAGTTCAATATGATGATAATTTAAAATAAAATAAAAATGATTTTGTGAGCAACAAAGAGTAAAATTTCAACGAAAATAAATAGAATAAATAATAATAGCAATTATAAAATAATATTTAAATTAACCACACATAAAATATTCCAAATTCAAATTAATTTATTGTGAGCAATTAAGAGTTAAATCTAAACGAAAATAAATAGAATAAATAATAATAATAATAAAATTAAAGTAATATTTAAAATAGCAACATATAACAAGTTCCAAATACAAATCAGACTTCTTCACCTGAGAGATAACAAATCTAATAAGATAAAAAAATTTAATAGGAATTAATAGGTCTAAAGCAAGAATAGATTAATATGCTAGAATCTCAAAAATCTGCAGTTGCATAAGAGAAAGAAAAGTTATAATTAAGAAATAGCTAATTAGAGAAAGAGAAAAAATAATAAATTTAAGAAATTAACATTTTAAGTGAGTAACTTCGCTCAAAGACTAACACTCAAACTCAACAAACAATCTTAGAGGAATCTATTCGTAGAAAAACAAACCAACTATAATAAATAAATTAATAAATTGAAATTCAAAATGATAAATAAAAATAATTAGAAAATAAATCTCAGTAAGAAAATTAAGAATAAATTGAAAAATTAAAGCAATATGAACAAAAAATAAAAGAATTAGAAGAAAAATTAAAACAAAAAGAGTTGGAATCTTAATCAGCTTCAAAATAAAATAGCTAGATAAAATAGACTAACGAATAGTAAAGTCTAGTATAAAGTATCCCAAAACCACCTATGTTTATACCTCCTCCACCGCCTCCTTTAAATATTAATATTCCTTCAGCACCTCCATTGATTCCATCTATTCCAGGTGCTCCTATACCTCCTGCTATAGGACTACCAGTTCCCCCTCCTTTAGGACTCCCTTTTCCACCTCCATTATCAATGTAAATAGTGTAACCAAAATCAAAAACTAAACCTCTCTACTGCGATCCTGTAGAATAAATTTAAAACACATTGTGGGCTGATGTGAAAGAAATACAAACTATAAAATTTGAAGACTTAGAAGAAAAATTTTCAAAAGAAAATAATTAAAATTAGCTTAAAAAGTAGATGACAGAAAAAACTCCCTCTTAAAAATATTTAGAAATTATTAACAAAAATTAGGCTTAAGGGTAATTTAATAATAAAAAAAAATCATTATTTAAGCCAGAAAAAGAAGGAAATTTAAATATCGAGTTTAAATAATTTTTAAAGAAAGGTTCAGTAGATGAACTTATACAGGGATTTTAAAAGCTAAATGAAAATTTAATAACAGAAGAGGATTGTTAAAAAATCCTCAAACTTTTAAATAATTAAGAAGATATTAGGAATTTTGAAGAATTCTAAGGAGATCGTTCAACAATTGATAACCTTTCACAATTTGTGTTAGGAGTATTAGGAATAGGTAATATTCGCCACAGGTTGATCTATTTTATTTTTAAAAAAGAATTTTAACAAAGATATTAAGAATCACTAGAGCATTTAAACTAATTGTTAAAAACTTCTAATGCTGTTTTACAAAGTAACTCGATAAAAGCTTTTCTTTTCTAAGCTTTGGAATTAAGTAAAGAAATGAACAAAGGAGGCCCGAAAGAAAATATCAAAGGTTTAAAATTATAAACGATAATAGATTTAAAATAGCAAAAAAGTACTGACAAAAGCACAGATATTTTACAATACCTTGTCACTAAAACATACCATTAAAAACCAGAATATCTCAGCTTTGTTGATGAACTTTCGCCTTTACTAAATCAGACTAAAAATTATGATATTTAAGAGGAAACTAATTAAGCGAAGTAAATGATTGATAAATTTACAAAACTTGGTATTAAATTAAAAGAATTAACAAATGATGAAAACATAGATGCAGATTTCTACAATTTTTTCTAACCATTTTACTAATAAAACCATGAAAAAATAGTTGAACTCGAGCAGGTACTCTCTCAAACAAAATCTTAGCATTAAAAGTGTTTAGAGCGTTTTGGTGAAACTAACGATAAATAAAAATCTAATGAATTTTACAAAACAATGCTAGCAATATGTGAAATGGTTAAAAATGAAATACCTAATAAAATTTATAAATCTTTAAGGCAAAGTTGATACAAATTACTTCATTAAATACCTATTTATTTGTCTATCTACATATATATCTATCTATTTATCTATCTATCTACTATTCTATTTATCAATTTTCTCATATCTTTGTTAGTAGTAAGGAGAAGCTTATTTTAGTGATACAATTTATAAATTTAAAAATTAATTTCATTAAATTTATTATTAATTTTTTTATTACATCTTTTTTTAATAATACAAGAGTTTAAAATTAATAATTTCAAAATATTTAGTTAAAAAAATTCATAATTAGTAGTGTTAAATATAGGTATTAATCAAAAATGTATTTTTTTAAAGTATCAGAATAAAAAAATTGCTTATAAAAAAATAATTACATATAAGATTTAAATATATTTTTTATTCATTCTAAATTAATTATTTGGAAATCCTTTTATTCATTTTGAGTAACCAATTACAACTAATCATTTTAATTTTAACTTGAAGTTTAATCTTCTTTGAGTTGATCTTTGTTATCCTTATTATTGATTAAATTAAAATCATCTAATTAAGTCTCATCTCTTTATTCTTGAGGAGTACCTGGGATAAGGCTAGGAGTTTATTGCATTTGAGAAAATAATCCTAAATTTAATTTTTATAATATTGTATTTAAATCCTTTCTAATTGTATAGTTTAATTAATTTTAAGTATAAAATTATGTAATACTTTATTAATCTGGTGAGTCTTGAATAAAATTAGGTCTATTTAATTTTAAATCTTAATCAATCTTACTATTTCCTATTAATAAATTTAATTTAAAAAAATGAAATAATGTTCAAATTAACATTTGTTTTTTACTTTTCTTTATAAAAATTTGCTCAGCTTCTGCATTATTTACTTTGTTATATTGCAACTAATTCGATGTTAAATTACTAAATATAGAATTTTTAGATTAAAAATCTTCTTCTTCTTATTTTTTAATAGTAATGTCTTAATTAGTTTTCTTTTTTGGTTTCAAATGAGTAGCTTTAGTATAAATTCTTAATACCTTCCATAAATAATATATCCTATCTTTAGGGACTTAAGGTATCTTTGATTTAAAATTTAAGTAAACACACGTAATTAAAATAATAAATTTACATTTAAGTATCTCGCTATTTTAGGATGCTATATAGAAAATTGAACTAGTTTATCACCTATTTTTGCTTCTAATTTTTAAGTATAGCCAGAAATTAATATTCTAATTAATCTAATGACTAGAACGAAATTTATTGAAAACAAAATTATGTATCCAAACCAGACTAGGTAAGCAAAAGGATTGCTTAATATAAACATAGATATAATTATAGAGGCCATGACTGTCAGGTTTAAATTCAAATCTAAATCATTAAATCTTTTTTCTAAATAAGGCTAATATTTTATTTGCAATTTTATATATATAAAAAGCACAAAAATGACGAAAAATCCTTTAATTATATTGTAGCTATCATAAATATTGATAAAAAAAGTTATAAATGTCTTTTGATAAACTTTTACTAGTTCCCAAAAGTAAGAATTCTTTTTATATTCTGTATAAAGGAATCCAAATTTATATTACATATCTATTTTATTCAGCTTTATATGATAGGTAAAAAAGAATTAACTATTAAAATTATAATATGAATAAATTACTTTTTCTCTGTTTTTGTACATACTTCTAAACAAATACAAAGGTACTAAAAACACCCAAAGTGCTAAAGTAGGAAGAATAAAAAGTAAAATATACTTTATATGCTATCCAGTATAACATATCTCTGATACATTTGATTTTATGTACAGTATTCCTGATATTTATCTTTATTGATTAATACAAAAAAATTTTAGAGTTTTATAAATTTTAAATTTTATTTTAATCTCTTTTTTATTAAATGAAAAATTTATTGTATCAAATAATTTTTTCTAAAATTTTAATTCATAAAAATAATTCATGATTCTTTAATTTAGCTTGAAGCAGTTTTTTCTTTAAAAGAAAATATTTTTATTGAAATCAAAAGAAAATTAAGAAAAATAATAAGTGAATTTAAATATTATTTAAATATAAAAATAAACAATTTGTTACCTGCAAGACATAGTTTGTATGTTTTGCTTCACTATTGAGGGTTGCATAGAGATATAAATATAAATAAAAGCTATCCAGGCAATTACTGCTCTGCTTTTGATTTTTCTAATCTTTTAGTATACATAATGCCCAATCAAATAAGAAAGAACATAAAAAAGCGGCATTAATTATGACCACATCAATCTAAAATATGTCATTGGTATATTTCCAGATATCTTATAAAGACCGCAATCCATGCTAAAGCTCATTTGTTAGACTGGATCTCCAACATTAATAGTTATATCACTAATTCCTGGGGGTAACTGCAAATTAAAAGTACTAATAACTACTATCAATTGAAGATATGTAGTAAATAATTTAATAATTATTCCTACAGATTCTGTGCTTTATTTTGCACTTTTTTGAATAAAACCAATTTACTAAAAATAAAATGTAATTATGTAAGAGTCCAAAAGAGCTTTTGTGCTTTTAACAGAAAATAAAATGGCTATCAAGGTATAAATTGTTAAACCAACCATTTTTAGTGTGTTATTTGAAGTGTCTCTACATTTACCGCAACTAAATTGATTACTGTTTGAGTAGCTTTCAAGCCAAAATCTAGCACTTATATCACAAACTTCACAAAGAGCTCCTATATGACCTTCTTAGCAAAGCTAATCGCCTACTCCTTTACCACCAATACAATTAGATTATTAATTCGAACATTCTTCAATTAAGTCTGAATCTTTTGAAGGACGCCAATATCCAGACTGCAAATTTAGAACGCTTCCACCAGGACAGCTTTTAACTCCTATCTTTGGGCAATCTAAGCAGCTTGTTGAATTTGATACTATGCTATAAGTAGTATTTGCACATAAAAAACATTATCCACTAGTTACTATAAATGATTCACCAATTATACAATCCCTCATATTAATAATTAGAGGAAGATAAAAACTATTATCTATACCAGTTAGTTGCCCATTAACATCAAATACAGGAAGTTATATGATTGATGATTACAGTTTTACAAGTAATTAAGATAAAGGTTATTATTAAAATAAGACATCTTTAAGATAAAATCCTCCTATAATTGCATCATAATTAACCTTTGAAGTTCCAGAAATCTATGCATTTGAAGGTACACTGCTAGATCCATAATTTAATGATACTGTTAATGTGGCAGTTTGACCTGTATCTAGTTTTTATATATTACCGTCTTTACCAGTTAAGTAAACAAAAAGTTCTTAATCAGTTGAAACACCAGGAGACCAAGAATTAAGCACAACTGCATTTTAGGAAGCATCAAAAGGTATATATTTTCTATTCTGATAAACTTTCAGGCCTACAGGATAGCTAGTTATATCGCTTCCAGACTTAGACGCAGTATTTCCACTTACAACAGAATTTTTCTATAATTAAGGGAACGCTTTTTAATTAAAAAGTGTAAATAAAATAAAATCTATTTATTTATTTATTAAATTAAAAAATTTACTTCCTATAATCTTTATTCCTCCTCCGTATTGAGCTTAATTGAGCTTAACAGTTGATTATTACAATATTAGGGTATTAGGATTGCTTTCGCTTGTAAGAAAATAAATTGCGCCACCTTGTTCTGCTATATTTTACTCAAAATCACATTGTACTAGCATTAAGTTATTGTATGCTATATACAATCCACCTCCTTAAATTGCTGTATTCCCTTTAAATGTAACACCTGTGAGTGTAAATAATGTACCTGAAGTTTTTTATACAGCATTTAATATTCTAGAACTAGCTAAAGCGCTTCCTCCAAGATATAAAACTCCGAAGTTTGAGGTGTTAATTTTAAATATCCCTCCTTAAAACTAAACTGCTTTACTACTAGATTGTATACCAATTATTCCCTGCAAACATTTAGTGCAGATAACATTCTCCACATCAATATTAGTTATTTAAATGTTTGTTGTAGGACTTTCTACCAAAAAAAAATTATTAAATGCTGTCAAAGTATAATTTGTTAAAAAAAACAATTCTTAATTAGATATTTAGCAATCAGTACATTCACTCAAATTTTAAATTTTAAGGTCAGCAATAGAACTAATTTATTGTTTATAGATATAAACTAAAGGTGTGAAACGAAAATTTGAATTTGAAAAAGTGTTAGAATCAAATTAAACAATTCCTCCAGTAACGTATATGAGTCCTTATAAATAGTTGACATTCTGAAAGTTATTTGATAAAAATTAGACAAATCCTCCTTAAACGTAAATAATGTAAAATTGTTAAATAACTTATAAAATATCTATAGATGCATTTAAGAAATTATTATATGCAAAAATCATATCTGTCACTTCTAATGAAGAACTATAAATGTTTTGATTAAAATATAACGTTTGGCTCTATTTATTAAGTTTAACTAATTAAATTTATTTAAAAAAATTTTGTTAATTTATTGAAATATATAAAATTTGAAAGAAATACTATTCAGAATACTTCCAGAAGGAGCAAAAACATTGCTAATTATATTGCTTGTTATACTAGTTGAACAGCTTGCCTAGCCACAAGTTAATTATAGCACAGCCCCTTACTTATAGGCAAATATATTTTTAAAAGTGCATTATTATATTGTTAATGTAATAGAGGTAGTACCATCAATAAAAATAGCTCCACCTACTCCTGTAGAATATTGATTCATTGAAGTAGTAATATCGTGAAATTAACTAGAAATGATACTTACCAATACACTTGAAGAGAAAGTTTTAATATATATTGCTCCACCTTAATCAGAAACAGAATTAGAAAATGAACTCTAGATAATCATAACCTGCCTAGCTTATAGATTTAAAAAGCCTCCATTATAATAAAAAATATTTTGCTATTGCCCTTAATTTGCTTGATCGTACGTTGAGCCAGCAGTAGCAAATACCTAACCATTAAATAATATTCCATTTTGAATCTATGGTTAGGAATTACAGTTTTATAAAATATTTCTAATTAAGACTAAAGAAGAAAGATTAGAATCTTAATTAATAAATGTTGATGATGCTTGTAAAAGAGAGTATTAGTAAGTAAATATTCTAATATCTGTAGCTGAAACATCCACTAATAAATTTCTATATCTGATATTTGTATTAAAATAAAATATACTAGATACTATATTAGAGTCCAAAACATAAGTATTCATATTGCTAAAAGTACACTAATTAAAAACGACTGTTGTCTAAGACTTTAAATCTAATTAATCGAATTAATTAGCATTTTATGTTATAAATTAAGCTATATTATCATTTAATTGTTCAGGGAGTAAATTAGGATCTCTTTAATCATGTTAAAACCAAAAAAGTGCCTTTATTATAAAATTTTTTGATATAAGTATGGCTGTAAGATAAAATAAAGTTTAATTATTGATTAGTGTGTACTGTCTATATTCTTTTTCTTTTCTTTTTTTTTTAATCTTTCTAATGAAATTTAATTCGTTATTAAAAAAAATTTTGTAGCTTTCTTAAATAAAAGTTGAGATATTTTTATTATTTTTAATTTTAAGAAAGCTAAAAATTTTTTTTTTTTCTGAAAAAGGTAAAATATTTTTTAAATAAAATAGCTTAAATTTTTTTCAATCATGTAAGAAACATAATTTGCTTCTCCAATTTATTTTATGAGTGCCAAAAATATTTATTCTTCTAAAAATTATAATATTTTTTGCATGTGAGTAATAATTGTTTTATCAAATGAATTAAATTTATTTTACTCTGTCTATGATGCATTGATATTAGAATTACCAACCAGTTACATAAAGCCTAGTCCTTAAATTTTTGATGTAAAGAATTGTTCCATGAAATTAGTTCAAATTTAAATTTGAATTATTTATATTTGAGTCCATTTAACAAATAATTGGATATTATGTGTTCAAAACACTTCCTTATAAAAGAGAAATTTAATCACATTATTAAGCAAAGATAAAACCTAGACCAAGATAGTTTTATACTGTGATAATATTAAAAGTAATTTGCTTAATATTATTAAAGTAAAATAGATAGTTTGATGGGCTATCTCCAATACAATCTAATTTTAAAAATTAAGTTACTAATAAATAATTATTGAAAATTATGAAATTTACTGCTAATTTAAGAATTTGTAAATAGTACAACTCCTCTAACATTATAGCTATTTTAATAACTATTAAGTTTCATGATTATACCATTAACTCCAGTGAAAGATATGTCAGAGATAGTAAGCTAATCAATAACTATACTAGGAGAGGCTGCAGAAGGACTTGAAGATGGGTAAGAAAATAGAATAATATTTGTAAACTAAATTTATTAAGGTGATAGGCTGCTTTTTATTGTCATTCGAGAAATATTTACTGTGTTACTTGTAATTAAAGAGCTAATAGCGCTCGATTAAACACTTGTCGAAAATTATAGAGTAAAAATAGTAACTGAAAATGAAAGCATATTATAAGCTGAAAGAATTTAGCTATTTGTAAATTAGTTATCCTAATATACTATGTTTGTAATTTGTATTTAATGTTGAGATTGTGAATAGTTATGACCAGGTAATTATTTAAAAAGATTGCATTTAGTAAATGCACTATTGTTTATTGTGATTTATTACATTTATATAGACTGTGTATTAAAGTAGAGTTAAATTAAATCTATGTTTGTGAATTAACATTAACTTATTGCCAAATTATTAATTACAAGTTTAAAAATCTAAATAAAACTTGTATTAATTTAGTTAAAATTTAAAAAGCTTACTGCTGATTAATAAACGAAGTTCTATATTTTTATATTATCTAATTCAATATAATATATATTATTCGTATCTATAACAGGACAAAAAATAGTCTTTGCTGATTTTAACAATTTTTGTTATTTTGTTGGATCATAGCCGCTTGTGAAGGTAATATCCCTCATATTTAATTTACTAGAAAAAAGGTTATTAGAGAAATCGAAAAACATATTTTTTAATTAAACGGTAGGCTTTATTGAGTATGTGGGTAAGAAATTGATATTTTAAAAAGTAAATTAATTCCATCCTTAGAAACTAAATGAAGTAACAAAGAAGTCAAGTGGATCTTATCCTATTTACCCTGTTTAAGGATTGACTGTTTTAAATGTTAGTGATAAGATATTAATATTTGCAATATGTTAAGCAAGCTGCAATGAAAAGTTAACATCATTCGGAAATAAGCAAACATTCGCATTTTATTTGCTTGTTCCATCATTTGTTTAATAATTTTGCACATTAGGCACAAATAAAATCTCAAATTCTATTTGAGAAACATTTTCTTCATTTAAGGCCAAATAGACATTTCTTTTAAATAAAACAGTTATTTTATTAATTAGGAATTTCTTTATTCAATAAATGAGATAAAAAAGTAAAGTAAGTTGTGATAAACTTTTTTTGAAATTAACATTTAATTAAACTAGTTTTTTTAGAAATAAATATTTTTTAAAGATCTTAAAAGTAAAAATCTTATTAAAGTAAAAAAAATTGTAATGAAATTTTTCAATTATTAATTTAGGAATTTATTTACTAATTTGTGTAGTCTAAATTGTTGAAACTTTTGAAATCAATGTTTAATGGAGTAGTAGGACTCCAACTATCTAAAAATACTACATTTTCTCCACTGAAAATATGACTTAAAGTGCTATCTCCTCCTCCTACTCTCTATTAGTAATAAATATTTTAATCTGATCCTAAAGTAATATCACCACTAGATATATTGGGTCTACAGTCAACTAATTATTATATTTTTAATACTCTATTGCATGAAGGTTAAGTTATGGGACAAGGAGTACATTAGTTAATGATAGGATCATAGTACATTACATAATTACTTTACTATGAGCAGTCTAGTTAATATCCTCTATACTGTTATGCTTGATCCGTAAAGTCAGAACAGATATCAGCGATAGATCTGCAACTGACACATTGATTTTAATATTTGAAAAAATCGAAATATCCTTATGTGCTAAAATATGGGTTTATTTAGTTCATTTAATCATTTGATCGAGTTTCACAGAATTGACAATATCTTGAACATTAGATACATTAAGTTGCATTAGATGAAACAGCTTAATTAAGGTTCCATTAAACTGATGCTATGTTTCCACATGCTAAGCAGTTAGCGGTTAGAGTGACAGGATCTGTAATGCATGCATTATAATTAATATCTTAATAACAACTAATAAATTTGTAAATATAAAATCTTAACTTAAAAATGTGTAATTACCCATAAAAGCATGATAATGGACATGTTCCATAAACTTTTTTAGTCTAACAATATGAGCAAAATGGCTGAGTTGGTAAATTATATTAGCTTTCAACTTATATTGCTTTTTCTATTAACAAAATATATTTTTAAAAGTTTAAATTATTAATTTTGTAATTTAATTACATGCTGTAGTTCCTAATTAAGTAGAAATTAAATAGTAAGTATAATTAAATCCTGTTGAAGTTATAAAGCTGCAACCGGTACATGTATTCGCTTAATAATAATTTTAACTATATGACGCTTGAATTCCACTAGAACATGATACACAGCCTCTTTTTGCTGAAGCAGTATATCCTTATAAAAAATAAAAATAACTTAATATAAATCAACAATTGCTTAAAAAAAACAATCCAATTTTATATTAAAATAAGGAAAATTTTTACATCAAAAATTTAAAATTTAAATTAACACTTGATTATAAAAATAGCTTTAAACAAAAGAATAAATATCAAAAAAGATATTAAATTTTAAATAATTTATTTTCTAAATAATATAAACAAAATGCTTAAAAAAATTTATAAAACTTAATTAATGATAAATACAGTTTAAGTATTTATAAATTTATTTGAATTCAGTAATTTTAGTTTTTCAAAATAAAGTAAATTAAAGTTATTTGAAATAAATTTAAAAAGAAATTAATTTTTTTTATTATCTAATATTTACCTTGTTAGCATTTTATGCAAGTTATTGGTTAAGGAATGTAATTAACTGTAGCATAATAATAACTAACACAGAAAGGTACATTCATTACTGAAGGAGGTTAATCACATATCCTATTTTAAATTATAATTAAACAATTTTAGATTTTGATTATAAATATACATACCTATTTTCAGGATTTTTACCTACATCATAACCATACCCATTCTAGCATTCAATGCATTTAAAGAAAGAGGCATCTAAACTCACTCCTGTAGATAAAGATTTCCATTAAGACCATTTTGCGCAATTTTGGTCTCTAGAAAACAAAAAGCTTAAGCCAGTTTAGCAAGTACCGTCAAGCATTAAAGCAGCTTAATGAGAGCCGTAAACACAAAAAGCGCATTTTAGGATTAAATTACCTTATTAAGGTGTATAAGGAAAATTATTTTGTAATGTAAAAGTACTATCAATTCCCGAAGAAGTTCCATAATAGCACAATTCACAATTTGGATCCGTACATATTTCACAAATTCCGTTGTAGTTAACAAAATATGGATCTTAACAAAGCAAACAATATAAACTATAACTACTTTAATCTAATTAATTAACTATAAAAGGATTGTTAGAGTGATCTAAAATTTCTCCATAATTTAAAGTAGCATATCTACATCCTAGGCAATTATTTAAAGAAGAACAATCAACACACTATGTTAAATCTAAGCTTGGGATCAAAAAATTACTAATTGATTTAATAAAATTCATTAAATTTGATTACATTTAATTGGTTAAAAGTTAAATATTTTTTATTAATTAAAATTTTATTTTTAAAAAGAATTGAAATAAAATTTAAGAAGCATGGAGAGGAAGGTTAAAATCACACTAAAAATAATTAGTAGAATTTTTTGAAATTTTAAAAATTTGTGAATCCTAACATCATAAAATTAAAATAAATTACTTTCCTTGCTAAATTTAAAATTTATAATCAAAAAAAATAATTACGGATATTAAGAACATGAATTACATCTCATCATAAATCCTGCATCTATTAGCGATTATTAAGTTTAAAAATTTCCTGAAATATACTAATTTGTTTATAGGCTATTTCCTAATGAATCTCCAAAAAAGCAACTTAAGCAATTATTTATTAAGCTACTACATTAAACACATAAAAACTGTGCACCCAACGTATATCCATTTGAGCATATTAGGCATTAAGAACTTGACAAGCATTAATCACAATTAGGAGGACAAGGATCACAGCTTAGATTGGCTTGGTTAAAAACAAAACCTACTCTACAATATACTGCAGTCTAAGAAGCATCTACAGGATTTTAATTTGATATTGAGTTGCAGCCTATTGGAGGTATAGGCTACATAATTTAATATCCACACCATAAAAGTCCACCTAAAAATTCAACAACTTGTGTATTCTAGCTAGTCGAATCGGTAGAAAATATTTAGAAGAGCTTATATTCCTCCTTTATAGTTACTTACTGATATCTAGTTAAGCCTTAAATAGAGCTAATTCTTGTAAATTTGAAAGAGCATATTTTAGTATTTGCCCTTTAGTAGAAGTTTAATTTTAATTAAATTATTATAATTTATTTTACCATGTTAATGGGTTAGTAACACAATCTCCACAAAGAATGTTATTCTAAATATCATTGATATCAAATAAAGGGCTTTATGTTAGTTTAAAAAAGTATATAGCTTCATTTAATTTAAAAAACTAATTTATTAATTCTACCATTTAATGCAATAAATGTTATTATTTTAAACAGGAGACCATTAAAAATAACCATATTAGCAGGAAGTACATGAATTTGGGTCATCACATGATCCACAATTAGCAGGACAGCTTACATACTTGCTTATTTCTAAGCTATAAAATTAGCTTGGCGTAAAAATAGAAAGTCTATTGTAAATATTTAAAATATATTTTTATTCAATTAATTAATGATTAAATTATTATGCCAATTTTACCCATTTATATCTAAATTATATCCAGGAATATATGTACTAATATCAGTACCTTTTACCTATTTTATAATAAATGAGAAAGAAAAAAAAGCAATCAGCTAGAATAACTAAGATTAAAGTTTAGACATTTCTAAAATTTTATCTTTTTTAATTTTTATAAATGTTTTTTGTTTTAATTATTTCTTTTAAGTAAGAAAAGAGGGGATAATTTATCATATCAAAAACCTTTATGATATTAGCTATAGAAAGACAGCAGAATCTAATAAACCACAATTAGATAATTTTAAAACTTATAAAAATTTAAACATATACGTTATTAGAAATTCAACAATTATGAGAAGAAATAGATAAAAATTAACTCATAATAATTAAATAAATAAAGAAAAATAGATTATATTTTAATATGGTTGGTTAATAAATTTTAAAACTGCATACATAGCTTCAATTTATTATAAATGAATTTTAAATTCAGGTTTAATTTGTTTGCATTTTTGTAAAATTTGTTCATATAACTATTTCTACAATCCACTATATTATCATACTAAATTTTTGAAAAATGCATCTATATTTTCATAACTAAATTATAATAATATTTTAAACATTTTTTTACTTCTATTTTATATTTTGTAAATCAAAATAAAAACCATTTTTTATTATCATTTAAATTTGTGTATTTATTTATAAAAATCCATCTATTTATGAAATCATTTCATATATCATAAGATTTTACATTTAAAGGCTTTAAAATTTATTTAAAACCCCTTCAAACCATAATTAGTAATATTCTTTTTAATTTTTATTATAATATCAAGAGCTATATTAGGTCTATGATAATAAAGGTATATATTATTCTTAGAGATAAATCCATTCAAAATAAATACTTAAATATTTTATGATATCCAAAAAGTTTATTTATTATTCATTTTAAATTCAATATAAAGGATAATAAGAAATAATATATTAAATATTTTATTTTTTTTAATAATTAACCAATATTTTTTTTTAGATATTAGAAATTTTATTATTTAATAAATATCTTTCACAATTTAAAATAATAAATTTAATAATCAGCTTAGAATAATGAGATTTAAATATAATATTCATGTCTAATTAAAGCAAAAATAAAATTATAATGTCACAATTCAATACACATTTTTGCGGACTAACATGTATTTATTAAATAATTTTTGAATTTCAAACCATATTAATAACTTCAATTTAATTATTTTATTCATTTTTCTATTAATTTTGAAAAGTAATTTATGTTTGTTCGTTTATATCTAAGACTGCTTTATTTTGAACTTCATTCAAAAGATTAAAATCATCATGATTATTATCAATTGGGGAGTCATAAAAATTAGGATTTTACAAAATCTTCATTAATTACTCTTTATTTAAAAAATTTTTTGTTTTTAAAATAAGGATTAATTTTTATTGAGAAAAATTTATTTACTGCTTGAAGAAGGCCTATTAATTTTTAAATTGGTTTCAATATTCTAACCTGTATTTAATCCTCCAATCTAGTTATGAGTGTACATATTTTGGTCAATTTATTCTAATGATCCTAAATTTAATTCTATTTAAAATTAAAATATAAACGTTATTAATTAAATCTAAAGCTTACTTGGCCTTATTTTTACTTGTTCCATCTCTTAACTGGCTTTTTATGAACTCTTATCATTCAAAATATCACTTTTAATTAATTAATTTTTAGACTCATAATTTTCAATCTTTAAATCATTTGATTCATGTTTTTATTTTTGTTCTTTTTCAGCTTTTGGCTTGATAAAAGTAAATTTAACATGAATCCTACATTTATTCCATAAATTTTTGATTCTTTCTTTGGGAACTTAAGGCAACTATAAATAAAAAATTGATTAATAAATATCTTATCAAATATGCTTGCTTACATTCAAATATTTTGCTATTTTCGGATAACGAATTGAGAATTTTACTATTTTATCTCCTATTTTAGCTTCAAATTATTAAGTGTAACCAGAAATTAAAATTCTTATAAGCTATGCAATTATAATTGTGTTTATTACAACCATAATAATATAGCCGAACCAAATTAAATAGGAAAACGGATTATCCAAGATGAACATAGAAATAATAATTGATGCAATTACTGTTAAATTCAATTAAAAATCTAGATCATTAAATCTTTTTTCCAAATAAGGCTAATAGTGTTGTTACAGTCTTAAGTAAACAACAAGTACTAGTATAACAAGCACTCCCTTAACAGTATTATAGCTATCGTAAATATTGATAAAAAAAGTAATAAAAGTTTTTTGATAAACTTTAACTAATTCCCAAAAGTAAGAAGTCTTTTTATACTCAGTATATAAAAACCCAAATCTGTATTACATATTAATTTTATCCAACTAATTTATTATTTAAACTCAATATTATATCTATCTTCATACTTTTAATAAATTACCTAATATCTTCCGTCATACATTTTTTTTAAAAAGAAAATAGGTATCAAAAATACCCACAGAATCAGGGTTGGTAATATCAAGAGAAGCATATATGCTATATGTTAGGATGTATAGCACAGTTCAGAAACATTTGCTTTAATATATTAAAGTCCTGATATTTATCTATTTTGTTTATGAAATATTTTATTTGAAAGTCAATCAAATTATCATTAAAAAAAATAAATCAAATTTTGCTGAAACCTTAAAGAATAAATAAATTTCATAAAACTATTTTTTCTTACTTTTTTTAAACATTTATTAAAAAATTACCTGCATGATATTGTCTAAATGTTTTATTTAACTATTGAAGGCTACATAGAGATATATATGTAGATGAATGCTATCCAAGCAATAACAGCTCTACTTTATATCTTTTTGACTTTTTAATATAAATAATGTCCTATTAAGTAAGTAGTAACATAAAAAAATGGCATTAATTATGACCACATCAATCTAAAATATGTCATTGGTATTTTCCCAGATATCTTATATAGACCACAGTCCATGCTAAAACTCATTTGTTATACTGGATCTCCCACATTTACTGTAATATCGCTTATACCTGGAGGTAATTATAAATTAAAAGTAGTAATAACTACTATCAATTGAAGATACGTTGTAAATAGCTTGATTATGATTCCTACAGATTCTGTACTTACTTTAGCACTTTTTTAAATCAGACCAATTTTTTAAAAGTAGAATGTTATTATGTAGGAGTCCAAAAGAGCTTTAGTACTTTTAACAGAGAAGAAAATTGCTATTAAAGTGTAGAGAGTTAACCCTACCATTTTTAATGTATTATTTGATGTATCTTTACATTTTCCACAAGAATATTAACCGCTATTAGAGTAGCTTTCTAACCAAAATCTAGCACTTATATCACAAACTTCACAAAGAGCCCCAATATGTCCCTCAGAGCATAGCTAATCACCTACTCCTTTACCGCCTGCACAATTAGAAAATTAATTAGAGCATGGTTCTATATTATCATTATCTGCTGATGGACGCCAATATCCTGATTATAATTTAAGTACACTTCCTCCAGGACAACTACTTACACCTATTTTAGGGCAATCTTGGCAAGATGTTGAATTCTATACTATACTGTATGTTCCATTTGCACAATGGAAGCACTAACCAGTTGCAGCGAGGAAGGCTTCGCCAATAGTGCAGTATCTAGTGTTAAAAATTAATGGAAGATTGTAATTAGTATTTATTGAAACTAATGCTCCTGTATTATCGAATGTAGGGATTTTAATAATGGAAGACTATAGTTTCGCAAGTAACTAAGACTGAGGTTGCTACTAAAATTAAACTTGATTCATATAAAATCCACCAATTAACGAATCATAATTGACTGTAGTTGTTCCAGAAATTTTAGCAGTAGATGGAATTTAAGAATCAGATTAATAGTTTAGAGATACTGTCAAAGTTGCAGTTATCCCAGAATCTAATTTTTAAATTGTTCCGTCTTATCCAGTAAGATACACAAAAAGTTCCTGATCAGTTGATACTCCAGGAGACCATTAATTAAAAATAACTGCTCCTTATTATGAATTATATGGTATATATTTTCTATTTTAATATACCTTCAATCCTGTAGGATAACTAGTGATATCACTTCCTGATTGCATCGCTGTATTTCCACTTACTGTAGATCCAAGCATCAGCTAAGGGAAAGCTATTTAAAAATAATTTATTTAATAACTTAACTTCTATAATATTAATAAAGAAAAATTTACTTCCAATGACTTTGATACCTCCTCCAACTTAAGCTGAATTTTAGCTAATAGAAGATTATTACAATATAAATGTATTTGGGTTAGAATCAGAAGTAAGAAAGTATATTCCTCCTCCTTAAGTTGCTGTATTTTTATTCAATTAGACAGATGAAAGCAAAAGATTATTGTATGATATGTATATTCCTCCACCTAGAGTTGCGCTATTACCTTAAAATGTTAAAGTACTAATTGTAATTTACGCGCCTGCAGGGCTCTATTAAGCTCCTAACATTCTTAAAGAAGGAGCAGAATTTCCTCCAATAAACAAAGAGCCTTAGTTTGAATTATTATTTTTAAAACTACCACCTGTTAATGTAATAGATTTAGAGGTAGATTGAATTCCAAGAATACCTTAAGTGCATTTAGTACATACTACTTTTTCGATATCTGCAGATACTATTGAGAGACTGTTAGAGGGACTTTCTATCAAAAAGAAATTGTTAAATGATGTCAACGCGTAGTTTGTTAAAAAATGTAATTGACCATTTTCTAAGCAATCACTACATTCATTCATATTTAATACAGTTAATTAGTTTAATGAGGTTATTCCTAATTTATAAAAATAAACTAAAGGAGTAAACCTAAAATTGGAATTCAATATCTTATTATTATTAAATTACAACATCCCTCCTGTTACATAAAGGAGGCCTTGTAAATAATCAACTTGATCAAAAGTATTTGATTCAAAATCTATGGCTCCTCCTTAAATATAGATAATATAGAACTATTAAATAGACTATAATATATCTGTATTTGCTTCTTAGAAAAATTAATATTGACCAATCATATCAGAGATCTTTAAATTAGAAGAGTATTTATTGTCTATGAAAGACAAAGTTTGACTTATCTTATTGAATTTTACTAATTAATTATTAATTAAAAATTGTTAAATAAAATAAATTTATTATTAATAAAAATAACAAGAAAAAAATAACTTTAAATATTTGTTTCAAAGCTTAAATCAATAATCTCAAATATTTAAAAAGTATTCTAAAATAATTAATTTACCATTGAATATACTGCCTGTTGGTGCAAAAACATTAGAAATAATATTGCTTTTAAAATTTATTATGCAAATTGTTTAACCACAAGTTAGATCTAGAATTGCTCCTTTTTTGTAAGAAAAGATGCTATCAAATGTGCACTCAGAAACAGTTAAAGTTAACGAGGTAGTCCCATCTATTGATATAGCTCCTCCTATACCAGTTCCTTAATCATTAAAAGATGTTGCTAAATTCTAAAATATACTTTTTATTATAACCACTTTTGCTGTTGTTGAGAATGTTTTCAAGTAAATAGCTCCACCTTAATCAGATATAGAATTTGTAAATTTAGAAGATAAAATTGTCATATTTTTAGTTATTATATTTAGAAAACCTCCTTGATAACCAAATTAATTATATTTTGATCCTGAATTAGCTGTATCATATACAGAAGACTCAGTTGCAAAATTAATACCGTTAAAAAGAATGCCATTTTAAATTTGAAGATTTGAGTTGCAGTTTTTTAAGGTAAGTCTAACTAATATTAGAGATGAAGGATTTGAATCTTAGTTTATGAATGCAGATGAAGACTTAAATAGTGTATCTTATTGAGTCACTATTTAAATATTATTAGCATTAACATCTACAAGTAAATTTCGATATTAAATGTTAGTGTTAAAATAGAATACTGAAGATACTACATTCGAATCTTAAACAATCGTTGAAATACTGTCGAAAGTTAAAGTATTAAATGCAACATTTGTATTAGTACCTTTAATATCAAACTGGTCATATTAATTAGCATTTTATGAAATGAAATATGGGATTGTACCAGAAAGTTTTTCTGAAGGGAAAATAGGATCTCTTTAATCATGAATAAAATAGAAAAATGCCTAATTAATTAAATTTATATGTTATCAATTTTCTCATTAAAAATTAAATAAGGAGAATCTATTATTCTTTAATTTAAAACTAATTAATTTTTACATTCAAAAGTGTTATTTAATATTTTCTAAAAATTATTTTTTAAAATGTATTACTCTATCAACTGTGCATAAATTTTGAAAGGAGTAGTTTTCCATATAGAGTTAAGACCTTAGATTTTTTATAGATAGAATTTAGCCATGATACTAGTTTAGTTAAGTTGACGATACTAAATTTTAGCAAATTTGTGGAAATTAAGCACTTTTAATGCTACCTTAAGATAGAGTTATCTAATCTGAGTATCCTGCATATATAAAGCTAAGGCCTAATGTGTCTGAGATAGTAACTTAACTAAATGTCACCAACCTAATAGAAGAGAAATAAAACAAAAAGTTTTGAGGAGTGTCTCCAGAACAACCTATTTTATCAAGTTTAATAAAAAATATTAAATTGTTTGAAATTATACTTTTTTTTGTAAATTTACTTAATATTTTTAAATTGGATACTACTACTTCTCCTCTTACTTAATAGACATTTTAGTAGCTTGCCAAATTCATAATAAATCCATTGGTTGCTTAAAATGTAATTTATTAAACACTTAGTTAATCTAAAGTTATGCTTGGAGCTGCTTTTGCTTAGCTTTAAGTTGGAAATTAGAAAAGTGTAATGTTTGAAGCATATATGGTTTAAACAGGTACCTAATTAGTCAAGGAATTTAATAAATTCATTTTAGTAATAGTTCCTATATTTGTAGTGATTAAGGCAGTTTTTTATTTGTATTAAAGATTAGACACTAAATTTAAAGTAAGAGAAGTTACTTTAAATGTAAGCAAATTATATGCGTTCAAAAAAGTGCTTGATAAGAATTAAGTACTGTCAAATAATATATTTGTTAATGCTAATGAATGCTAAGATTAAGCAAAATTATGACCAGGAAGCTAATTAATAAAATTCATATTTGTTAAAACACTCATACCTATTGTAACATCACTAATATGGATAGTAGTTGTGTTAAAATAGAGCTATATAAAATCAACATTAGAAAACTAGCATTAATTTATAATTAATTTATTAATATTCATCATAAATATGGAAGTTTAATAGGCTAATGCTACATTAAATTTAAATAGGTTGATTGATTTCTAGTAAATAAAATTTTATACTAAAACATTCTTTAGCTGAATATAATTCATATTGTACGTATCAATCACAGGACAAAATATTGTTTTGGCTGAATTTAAAAGTGTTTATTGTTTATTAATATCATAACCGCTAACGAAATTTATATCAGTCAAAAATAGTTAACTAGAAAATTAGTTATTTGAAAAATCAAGAAGCATATTTTTTAAAGGGACAGTAGGTTTAAGTGAGTACATGGGAAGAAAATTGATATTCTCAAAATTAAAGTAGTTCCAACCTGAAAAACTGAATTGAGTTATAAATAAATCTAAAGGATCTTAGCCTATTTACCCAGTATTAGGGTTAAGTGTCTTGAAAGTGAGTGATAAAATGTTAATGTTAGCTATGTGCTATGCAATTTGCAAAGAAAAGGTAACATCATTTTGAAATAAACAGGTGTTTCCAGTTTTAGTAATTTTATCATTTGTAGTATATTATTATTCATAAGGTATAAATAGCAATTCAAATTCTATGTTAGATACGTTTTCTTCGTTTAGAGCAAGATATAGTTATCTATGATAAATAATTTATTTCAAATTAAAAAATATCAAGAAAAAGCAAATGATTTTTGAAAAATTTTTTATAATTTGTTATTAATTAAAATTTTTAATTTTTTTGAGATTATGGTAGTTTTGATGATTTTTTTCTTTCAGTATGAATTATAAAAACCCTTAAAGCTGCTCTTATAATTAGTTTTTTAAATTTTTTTGAAAATTAAATTATAATAATTTTTATATTTATTGAGGAAAATAAAATTATTCTAAATCAATGTATTAAATCTTACAGGTTACTTTAGTCAACATTGGCAAAATCTTAAAAATTAATTGACAAAGTTGTGGAAGGATTCCAAGCATCTAAAAATACAACATTTACTCCAGTAAAAATGTGACTAAGATCTTAATTACCTGAAGCTCTATTTTTAAAATAGTTATTTTAATCATTTCCTAAGTTTAAATCATCGGCTGATATATTAGGTCTACACTCTATAAGCTATTATATTTTTAATATTCTAGTGCAGGATGGATCAGTCTTTAAACATGGTGTGCATTAGTTGATATTTGGATCGTAATTCATTATGTAATCACTTCTTTTAGTGCAATCAAGATGATACCCTTAATATTATTATGATGGATCTTAAAAGTCATCACAAATATCATCAATTGTTCTGCATTTTATACATTAATTAGCATATTTTTGTAAATCATAAGTATAGACTGCGTTAAAATATGGGTTAATCAAATTCATTTAAGTTGTAGTTCTTTGTTAACACATACCACAATATCTTTAACATAAAATGCACTGAGTAGAGTCTGATGATAATGATTAAGATAAATTCCAATCAACGCTTTAGACATTGCCACAAGCTACACACTTAGAACTAAATGTGGATGGGTTTTAAATGCATGCGTTATATGTCAATTCTGAATAACAGCTAAATCAAATAATTTTTTTAATTAAATTTTATTACGAAATTTATATTTTTTAAAGATAAAATTACCCATAAAAACAAGCTACTCGACAAAATCCATAAACATTTGTTGAACCACACTAAGTGCATAATGGAATTTATGGTAAATTTTATTAAATTTCTATTTAAGCTGTCTTAGCTAAAATTAATTATAAAATTATTTTCATATTTTCATATTAACTAACTATAAAAAAATTACCTGCATTTAAATTTTATTGAGATGTAATTAAGTAGTATGTATAGTTAAATCCTGTCGGCGAGATCAAGCTACATCTAGAGCAAGTAGATTGTGTCTAAAAATTCATCGTATTTTGACCTACTAAACCACTAGAACAAGAGACACAACCTCTGGCTGCAGAAGCAGTAAACCCTTTTTATTTACATTTATATATTTATAATAAATAATAATATATTTAGAAATGATAAAATTCCAATCAAGCCCTTACATAATTAATATCGATAAAATAAAAAAATTTATAATTATTACCTTATTAACATCTAATACAAGATACTGCTTAGGGAACATTATTTATAGTAATATAATAAAAACTAGTACAAAACGGAACATTCATTAGAGTAGGTGTCTGATCGCATATCCTTTTATATTTATATCAATATTTTTACTCATTTAAATAATTTTTATTTTGATATTACCTATTTTATGGTGCTTTGCTCACATCATACCCATAACCATTTAAGCACTCTACACATTAAAAGTATGTTGCATCTAAGCTTGCACCTGCTTATAGAACTTTAAATTAATTCCACTTTCCGCAGTTTGGGTCTTTAGTTTATAAAAATGCTAGACCTGTTCTACAAGTTCCATCTAACATAAGTGCTGCTGAATTTAAGCTATAAATACAAAAAGCACATTTTAAAATGAGGTTATCTTGAGTACTTTTATAGATAAAGTTTTGCTATAAGGTATAACTGCTATCAGTACCAGAAGAGGAACCATAATAGCATTGCTCGCAGTTTGGATCACTACAAATTTCACATTGGCCATTGTAATTTATGAAGTAAGGGTCAGAGCAAAATAAGCAATATTTTCCATAATTTGATATATCAGACTAGTCTACTATAAATGGGTTACTAGAATGATCTAAAACCTACCCTAAATCTGTAGATGCATATCTACAACTTATGCAATTATTTATTGAAGAGCAGTTTTCACAATTTGTTAAATCTAAACTAGGGATAAAATAAATCCTGTTTTATAAAAATGCGTTTGAGTAAAATAATAGAGTGTATTTATTTTGTAAATTAAGTCAATCAATGTAAATTAAAATCGCTCAAATCATTTACATTTTAACTTATAAAAAATTGTAAAATGAATATCTATTTAAATAATCTTTGCAAATAATTGAATTAATAAATAAACTCAGGTTATTTTTTAATTAAAATATGATGCATTTTTATTAATAAATAATAGTAATGCTTTTTTTCTCTTTAATACATTCAAGGTTCTTTCATATTTTTAAATAAAAATTCAAGTTAAATAAAATTACGGATTTTAAGAGCATTAAGAACATCTCATAACGAATCCAGCTGCTTGCAAGCTATTGACATCTTGAAAATTTCCAGATTAGTAAGAGTTTGTTATAAAATTAATTCCTTAAGAATTTTGAAAATAGCAACTATTACAATTTGCTATATAAGCTGTACACTACACACATTAAAATTATGCTCCTAATGTATATCCGATTGAACAAACAGAACATTAAGTACTTGATGCACATTAATCACAATTAGCAGGGCATTAATCACAATTACCAGTGTTCCAATTAAAAGCAAATCCAGTTCTACATATTACAGCTGTTTATGATTAATCTACTGGGTTTTAAGTATATATGCTATAACAATTCAGACCAAAAATTTAATTTTGTAATTCATACCCACACCACTTATCACCACCAGGAAACTCAACAACTTGTATATTCTAGCTTCCTATTTAATCATTAGTATAAACTTAATATAGATACTAGGTTGAAGAATCTGAAACATTCAAATATCTTAACACTTTTTGATCTTAAATTTCTTATATTCTTGTGAATTTATAACTACATCTTTTGGTATTTTACCTATAATAATCAAATAGATAAATATGCAGTCAGTCTAAAATAAGTTTATTACCAAGTTAAAGGATTCATTACACAATCAGCGCAGGGAATATTATTCTAAATATCATTAGGATTAAACATAGGACTTATTTTTTTTAAAAGTAAACTAACTTAATACTTTTTATGAAAATAAAATAAGTAAAACTTAAATACCATTAAACACAATATAAATTATTGTTAAACACAGGAGACCATTAAAAGAATCCAAATTTACAGCTTATACAAGTATTTTAATCATTACATGCTCCACAACTTTCAGGGCAAGTTAGAAAAGAATTTTAACCAAAGTCAAAATATTGATTTGTTAAGGCAATCGATAATCTTAAAAATAAATAATTTAATAAAACAAACAAATATTTTATAAAAATTACCCATCAATGTCTATATTGTAGCCTGGTATAAATGTATCTATATTAGTAGATAAAACTAATTTTAATAAAAAGTATATGTTTATTATTAACATATTTAGTTTCTTTTATAGCATTTCTTATTTTTTTATCTTTCTTTTTTTTCTTCTTAATTAATTATTTATACAATCTGTAATGAAATAATATAGACAGTTTTTAAGTATATTTATTGTTTTTAAACTAATAGTAAATTTTGGATAATAATTACTTCGAATCTAGAAAATTGTTTTTATTTGAGCCTCAAATTATTTGTAAAGATAATTTATAGGCCATTTTTTAAATATGAAACTAAATAGTTTAATATTTTTCAGAAAAAATTTATTTTGTTGTTGATAATTAGGCTTATTTAATAAAAAGAGCCAATGTTTTTTATTAAAGCCTTAAATTATTATTAAATAGTCTGTTTTCAATAATAGAAAATCTTCATTTTATACTGATTTTAAAGTGTAAATTGTTTGAATAAGATTTAAAATAAATACAAGTTATTTTCTTATTATCATCATTAGTTCTTTAAAATTTCTAAAAATTATATGCACACACTTAGATGTATCGAATTATAAAATTATCTATTTTTATTTAACTTTCTATAATACATTTCTTTATTAATTAAGATAAGTATTAACGTATCATTTATTAATGTGAAATAGAATATTTTTAAAGATTTTTGAACTAATTATTTCATTTCTGATAATTAGGTAAGAACCATCAACATTTTTTTTACAGCCTTAAATTATTTTTAAATTGTTAATTTCTAAGTAAATTGTTACATTTTAATTATAAACAGCTTTTAAAATTTAATTTACTTGTGCAATACCTTTAATAATCACTAATACTTTTATTCCAACTATAATAATTATTAGTTTTTTGATTCATTTTTTAAATTTTGAAAATGATCTGATCATAACTTTATTGTAAAATTTTCTTAAAAATATTTTAAATTTTAATTATCTGAAAATTATTTTTTATATTTTGGAAATATTTGTTGCTTTTTTTTATTTATTGTAAAAACTTCATTTTTAATATTTCTTTTTTTAACTATAAATACCAAACTTAAGCTTTTATTTCAATTTTCCAGTTTTTAAAATATGAAGAGTTGGAGTTCTTAATTTATGAGGTTTAGCAGTATCTGAGAATATTACATTTTTTTTGCTAAATATAAAAAAATACACAATATATAATTAAAATAATTTATTTAGTTCCTTTTAAAGAATTTAAAAATATTCTGAAAATATAAATAAGTTTATATTATTTTTTTAAATTACAATTATAAACTCTACCTAAATAGGTAATAAGCATATTTGCAAATATATATTGAAAAATGCAATAAATAAAAATATCTTATCTATATATCTATCTATCTATCTATCTATCTATCAAGCAAAGCATGTTTTATTTTAACTTGAGAGAGGAATTATTAAAATTAGAATAATTTCTCGCATACTTTCTTTATTTTTGTTTATTTTTTAAAAATATATTTTTATTTTTATTTTTATTTGTTAAGTTTTAATAATTATTTTGATTTAATAATGAAATAAATATTTTATATTTAAAAATTTTAGTTTTATTTAAGAACGCACCAGTTATGAATTGAATTTTGATGAAATATTTAACAAACAAAATAATTGATTGAAAATTTAACATTTGCTAAGTATTTTACAAATTATATATAATGAATTGCTACTTTAAAATATATTTTTTTTCATAGTATTTAAAATAATTGTTTTCATCTCTTTTCTTTTACATAATGAGATTTTTCATGAGCAGAAAGGTTTGAGGATTAAGTAAAGCGTTTATCACAACCAGGGAATTTACAAACGTATGGTTTTTCACCTGTATGAGTCCTTAAGTGAGTCTTTAAATTAAAGTCAAGGGAAAAACTTTTACCACAAATTTCACATCTAAATGGCCTTTCACCTGTGTGTACAAGTTAGTGTCTCCTTAATTTTGAGTTGTCAACAAATCTCTTACCACAACCTTCAACTTAGCAAACATACATTTTGGCACCGTGGGTTAGCATATGCTTTTTTAGAGCAGATGAATCTAAAAATACTTTACCACAGTCTTCTTGTTTACATTTGTATTCTTTTTATACTGTAACTTAAGTTTTTTCTTTGCTTTTAGGAGTTGTTCTTGGTTTTAAACTACCTCCTTAACCGTTACTTCCAGCGCCTGCACCTTACTAAGCTGAATTTTCTCCTTTAGAAGAACCTGAAACAGCTGCTGCTTTATCTGGATTAGCAGCAGATCCATTACTTCCCTGGGCATTATTAGCTGAAGTTGAATTTTATTTAGTGCTATCTTTAAGTTGAGGATGTGCCTATATAGCTATTCCATTAACTTCTGAATTTCCATCATCCTTTTTATTTGAACATATCCATTTACGGATATACATATCTGAATGAAAGTCCCAAACATTTTAAACTCTTACCTAAGTTTGTTTATTCATAAATAAAATATTATTTTTATTTAATAAATTAAATATTTTTTTTTTCTGTTTATATAAAATATTTTAAAAGATTTTTGAATCAAACAATTTTCTGATATCTTTTTAATTAATTTAAATTAAATGCAATTTTCTAAATAAATAAATAAATTGCTCTCTTCATAAATTTTAAAGATTTATAATTGAGCTCATTATTTGCAAATGAAAGCATGCAATTTAAACTAAAAAGCTTTACAAAAATAGAAAATTTGATATTTAATTGAAATATTTGCTATTTCAAAGTAGTTTTTTACCCAAACTAATTCCCATTTTTTAACCTTTTTTGGAATCATTGCAACTGCTTCTTCACTCATTTCATTCTCTAGTTGATTAGATGTTTAACCTTAAGTTTTTTCAAAGTTTGATCTATCGAATTCACTCTCTCCATTTGTTTAATCATTCCTTTGATAACATTTAAAATAATGTTACAAATTTATTTTTGTTATACTTAATAATTGTTTTATTTTATCACTAAAAAAAAAACGCTAGAAAGATGAATTTAAATTTAATTTTTAAAATGAAATAGATACATTTTAGACATTTTTTTTTGACTCTGACTGTTTTATTAACCATCTTGGTTGTCCAAATCTCCTTCATTGTCATCTTCATCCTCTTCTTCATCAATTTGCATTTCTTGCTTTGAATCTTCATCGATTTCTTCTTCATCATCAGACTAGTCACTATTTTGATTTTCATCATAATTCTATTCCCTTTCATTATCATCTGCTTCATCGTCTAATTGTTCAGGTTAGTTAGATTAATTTTAAGATTCTAATTCCATTTGATGTGGTATAACTTATAATATTGTAGTTTAATTTTATTTATTTAGTTCTTCTTTCTCTTCCTCTTACAAGTATTGTCTTTTTTATTTTCTTCCCTCCTTTTTCACAATTTTTTTTGCTATTAATTCTTTAATATATTTTCCATTTTAATAAATTATCTAATAATATCTTAATAAACAAATTTTAATTTAATAAATTTTTGCTTGTTTGCATGCTTTCTTTCTATTTATTGATGTCAAAATATTAACATTAATTAATTATTTCCGCCATAATAAGAATTTTTATTTCACAATAAATCTATTGATTTATTTTTCTAAAATATAGATAGCATCATCATTCAAATACAAAACCTATATACAAACTTGCATGAATGTACACACACCTACCTGCATATATATTTGTATTTAATAATAAAAATGATATTAAATTTTATAAATGTCAATGTATTAAATAATTAATATGGTTTTTACTAAAAACGATTAATTGTAATTTATTTAGATTCTAAATTATTTAAAATTTATAATTTCCTATCTAATATTTTTTTATAATAAATGCATTATGGTCAAATATCAAAATTTAAGAAAATAAGAAAATTTGTTTTATAAAAAAAATAAATTTAAAATAAATTAATAATTTTTTTTCACTTCAAATAACAATTGCTCATTTATTTATATTTTGATCACATAAGTATTCTTTTTGAAAAAAAAATTATCTCTTTTATAAATTTTATTTATTTAAAATCGCAAAATATAATTACTATTATTATTAATGTAATTCTATTATATCTTTGATTAATGTTGAATAAGTTGATCAACCTCGAAAAAATTAATTGGCAAGAAAATTAATGAGTAAAAAACAACCTGCACAATTTTAGAAAACTAATTTTAAAATTTTGTTAATTAATTAAATAGTATTAAATACTAGTAAAGCTATGACAGAAGATTAAACTAAATTTCATAATGTTAATACAATAAAAGCAGATGGATTGCTTAACTAGAATTAATATTAAGCCAGAAACTGCTTGATAGATAAAAGACCTAGCCGCATTTAATTACTACCATAGCTTAATAACTCAATCCACCGTAGGGCTTCAGCTTTTATAACTCCTTAAGAACTGCTGCTTAATAAATAAGCTAAAAAGCTTTTTGATATTGGATAAGGCGGTATATCTTTACCTGGATTAAGCTATATTAGCACGAAAATTCACTCTCCTTCACAGAGAATGGAGAGTTCTAAAATTATTGCCTAAAAAATATCAAGTTAAAAACCTTTAAACGAATCAAGCTAAGAATTTTTAAATAAATAATTTCCTTTTTTTGAGGTTACTAATGTGAAAGAATTAGATAATAAGATAGACTTCTTTTCATAGCATGAGGCAGAAAGAGGTTTAAAAAGCGATTAAGAAAAATAAAAGAATATGATGAAAATAAATTTCTCTAATAAAAGAAAAAGAGACAGCATAGTTTTAGATTTAATTTAACTACAAAACAAAAATACGTTTGTTCAACCTCAGTTTATGCAGGAAAGGGGAACAATGTGCATTACAGAGTTGTGGCCTGAGAGTATGAAAAAAGAACTAGTTAAATCTCATTAATTTAGCCAAAAAAAAATCTAAAATGCATAAAATCTAAGATTAAACAACTCTGATAAGAGCTTTATGTCAGTATTTAGACCTGAAAAATAGAGATAGCAGGTGGACATCTAGTAAAATCAAAGAGATGAAAATAGTTAAATGGTTCTCTCTAAATTTTCTGAAAAAAACGTTATTGAAGTTTTTGGTTTAATGAATGAAAACAGAAATAACAAAATTCTTCTTAAACAAAGGTCTTTTACGTAATACAAACATTTCTTTAAATTTTTAATCTTCAAATATATTCTTTGAAATTGATTTTTTTATTATTATCTTACTCCTTTTTAATATCGAATAATGCATTTACAAAATAGATAGAATTAGTCACTATAATCACCAAAATCAAGATAGCAGACAGCTATATAAGAAGATGATGAAATTCATGAAAATACTTCAAGCCATTCTTTTTATGGTAGACAAGTGCAATAAACAAATCCAAAAAATAAATTTATTTTTTCATCTACTCCTAAATTTAACAATAAATCTACTAATTTTGAGATAAATAAAAGTTCTAGTAAATTAAATTCTAAAGTCAATTTAGCAAACAGCAAATTCTTTACTTCAACTCCTAAAAAACATAATTACTCAAATTACTCAAATTTGTCTTAATTTAAAAATATCCAAAACATAGATCTCAACTACAACAACAATAGTATGTAGCAATAACAAAAACAGCATCAAGATATACTTGAATCTAATAACAAATTTGATTTCCTAAAGAGCTAATGTGAATAAGAACTAGAACATAATTTAGATTTAGAAAAATCAATTAATAGTAACCTTAAAGACATAAGTACAAAGCTATAAGGTCTTCTCTAAAAGCTTAAATGAAATATAAAAAATAGTTTAAATCCCATATTAAAATTGAAGTCTTTCAACACTAGAATATTTTTTTTATTATAATTATTAATTTTCATATTTTGATTTATCAATTTTATACTATTTGTAGATAATTAACAAAATAAAAATATTGTATAAAAATATTAAATTGATTAAGAATAAACCAATACATTTTGTATGATATTAAATAAATATTCTTTAAAAAATAATTAAAAGACTAAACCATTAATAAAATATGTTAAATATATCAAGTATGTAATTTTATTATAGCAAAGACCTTATTTCGAAATTAATTAATAATTAATATTTAATAAATGGTGAAATATTTAAAGATAGATTACCTACAAATAATTAGTTTTGCATTTTTTTATATCCATTCATGTGTTAGCTTATAGGTAGTTAGGATAATTTAAGAAATAAGATAGACCAACAAAAATTTACTTGAATCCATTAACAAAAAGAATTATGCATGATATTTATTAATTAAGTGTTACAGCACTAAAAATAAATAATAACAAATATTAATAAATCGTTTGTATAATAATAAAAATAATAAGAAGGGTTTGATATCTTTCACAAATACCTAATTAATAAAATATTTACTATTAAGCAAATAAAAATTAAATAAATTAGCATTTTATGAGTGACAGTTATTCTTTGGAAACTATCAGCATACTCTAGTAAAGATGTGAAAGTTTATATAAAAGTGTAATAATTCAAGATAATTTACAAAAAAGCTAAACGTTATGAAAAGTCAATAATATAATTTTTAACTAATAAAAGGCTAAGTATAATGAATGCATAGAAAGCATGGAGGAATTAGTTAGCGCAAAAAAATTTCATTATGGAGAAGATAGCTCTGAGGTAAAAATTTCTTTTATTTATTAAAAGCTATTAAACTTCGATTCAATTTACATTTAATTGTTTTTATATATCGTTAAATAATATTTTTTAAAAAGTATGCTAAAAGCTCTGAAAGACTCTGTGAGGTGTTGAACCTTTCAGCTATGATAAATTTGCAAAAAGAAAAATTTGATTTGACTATTGAGCAGTTGAGAAAAGCAGAGATGCTTTGTCATACTTCTCTTAGATTCAAAGCTACTACTTATAATAATTTAGCTTGCTTTTACCGTAGAACTGGAAAATTGAGAACTGCATACAATTATTTATAAATGGCTCTTGAAATAGAACTAAAAATGGGAAATATGCCTTCTCTTGCAGATACTCATCTAAATTTATGTGCAGTTTTGAGCTAATTAGGTAATTAATTTCATATAACTATTAACTTTCTATTATAAATGTAGAATATTTTATATTACTGAATAAAAAGATTGAATAAACTACTAATAAGAAACTTAATAAGTATTTATTATAGGTTAAATAGTTTATTAATCAATGAATAAATTAACAAATATTTATAATCAAAGCATATTAAATATTATTTATATCATAAAATGTAATGCTTAATTTAAAGATAGGCATACTTAAGCTTTAGAGCACTCTCTTTTGAGCATAGTTATTTTGTAAGATGAGTTTTTATAGATAACTCTTAAGCATTATAGAGAATAGAATGGATTAAGCAAGAGTAATGAAATCAATGGTATCAAGTTAAGTGATATTGATGTCAAAGCGAAAATTACAGATGATCGCCTTGCTGTATTAGCTATAGCTTATCATAATTTAGGAGTAGAACTTGAACATCTAAAAAGAGTAAAGCTATACATTTGCTAAAAATGAATGATATTATATTAACTAATTATTTTTATTAAAAATTAAGTATGATGAAAGTATGAAGATATATAATAGAGCTCTTAATTTTGCATCTGATAATTTAGGATAGAATCACTCATTAGTTTAGAATCTCACTAGAGTTCTATAATAAGCATTTAGTTAAGTAACTTTGAAACAGCTTTATAAAAAATTAAATAAAAGACTTTATGTTAAAAGCTTGAAGGAAATAAAGCAGCATCTAGATGTCATGTAAATGGAACTAAAAAATAATTTAGAGATATTTATAGGGAAAGAGTATAATCAGCAAATGTATAGCATGATATGAATAGTACAATTGGTGGAACACCAAGTGCATCAAACGCAGCATAAAAAAACCTACCTAAATTGACAAAACCAGAAAAACTAAATACATGCATTTCAACAAACTATTATAAGCCAGACAATTAAGAAAGTACTAAAGGGATTTTAATGAATAATGGAAGTACTCCATTAAATAACAAATTTATAAAAAGAACTATGTCTGGAAACGATAGCATCTAAAATGATCAAGGGAGACGTACCTTTATTCATTTTTATAATTCCTTTATAATTATATCATATTATAACTCAATAAATTTATTTTTTTATTGATATTTTATAAATGAATAAAATTTTGATCAATAGATTATTCATTTATATAAATTATTATTGAATAAATATAAAAAATTAATTATTTAATCTCATAATCTTGGATTGATTAGGATAGATTAAAAATAAAAATAATTTATTAACTTACTTACTTTTTTTAGTAAAATTAGATTAAATTATTCTATTAAAATAATTATTTAATATTTATTTTATTTTAATATTCAAAAATAAATCTTAATTTATTAACCAAATTTATGTTAAAATAGTAAATTCTACAGTTAGAAAGAAAAATTAATATTTTATGGCAGGTTCAAACAGGTAGACTCCTACTTAGGCATATAAACCGAACCCTTAAAGTTTTGACTTTTCAAACGGAAATATTGGTATTTAGTAACACTAGAGGAATATGAGTGCAAATACTTACCATAACAGCAATAACTCAAGACCTATGAGCATTAATGATAGCTAATAGCTTAACTTGAGTTACATAAATAAATCGAATACGCCAAGTAATAACAATTTTTTGGGAACTTATTAAAATAATAATAACTACAGCTTTGATGCAAGCTTATAAAACGATATAGTTTATAATAGCTACAATATCAATAAAAATTAAAATAATTAGCAAAGTATTTTAAAACTTACTCCTAATTAGATAGGCTTGAATAGCAGTGTTAATTAATCAATTAATAATTTTAATAATATAAATTATCAAAATAGTATATCTTCTAATTCTCCTTAAATACAACAATCAATTAGCTTTAATCAAAGGAATGCATAATTAATTGATAATCATTAGTAGCCTACTTATCCTATTGATTCATAAATACAATACAATAATTGATAAATATATAAAATTTTTCTTAAAATAATAATAAATTTTATTAGAAATAAATAATAAATTTTAAAATAATTTTATGTGAATAAATTATTAATTATTAAGTCAAAAACTAATTTTATGTAAAATAAAAAAAATTCAATAAAAAATTAAGAAAAATAAGAATAGATTTATTAATTTTTAAAATATTGTTTTTTATTTTAAATTTATTTTTAAAAAATTAAATAGATAAATTATTAAATAGATATTGATAAAATATAATAAAAAAATTTTGGCACATTTATATTTAATAAAAATTAATATTGAAAATATTAATCAATACAAATCACATTTAAAAAAAAGGCAACTCTTTAATAGAATAATGAATTTTTATATTTAAAGCAATTATTAAAATCAAAACCTTAAAAAGGTAGTCACCAAATACTAAAATGCGCCAAAATTAGAAGTTAAACTGATCCATTTTTAAAAGAAATTTTTAATATTTTTTTAAAATTAAATTTATAAAATTTTTAATTATATTAAAAATATTTTTGAGTAAATTTATAAAGTAAAATGAAATAAATTTATTTATTTATTAAAGTATTTATATATCTTAGGAAAATATTACAATTTAAATTAGATTGTTAAAAAAAATAAAGAAAGAAAGATATTTCAATTAAATATACATATATATAAATGCATTAGCTATGTTAGAATGCATATGAATAATTAATTGAATTTTTGAAAAGCAATCTTTAAAGTGATAGTAAAAAATATAAATAAATATCTAAGAAAAATAAATAAATAAATAATAAAAAATAAATATTTGACTTAGAAAGATTATTGAAGTTTTTAAATTTGTTTGTTTATTTGTTTATTTTCAAAAATACAAAAAAATTTAAAAAATAAATCGCGATAATAATGTTAATTAATTAATAGAATGGAAAAATAAATATCACACAAAAAAAGGGAATATCTTTTTGGGAGATGAAAACCAAAAAATTAAAATAAAAAAATAAATAAATTAAAAAATCAAAGAAAAACAAAAATAATCAAATAAATTATATAATTTTCAAGCAAAACAAAATATTATCAAAATGTTCTAAGGCGGTCAACATCAAATTATGGTTTTAAACCAAAACACTAAGAGAGAAAGTGGTAAGAAGGCTCAATTAGCTAACATTAGCGCTTCCAAGGTAATCAATTTGATTTAATTATTCAAAATGATACAAACAAAATTACTTCAATTTCAATACTAGTCTAACCTCAATCTTTCATCCTTTTATTTGCAAGCATTTTGATAATCATTAAATTTGTCATTATAAAAATTCAAAAAAAAGCAAATTCGTGATTTCAAAAATATGATAAAAATAAAATTAATTTAAAATGTATCACCTACATGTCTCATATTTAACATTTTTACATTCTTTAACCTTTCATTTTAATTAATTAGGCTGTCTCTGAAATCGTAACTTCTACTTTAGGCCCTCGTTCTATGCTTAAGATGTTACTTGACCCTATGGTAATCTATAATATATATCTAAAATATTTAAAAGCTAACAGATAATCTGCTATTCTTCCATCCAACTTAAATAAGCAAAATTATGAAACGCATTAAAGTAAATTAGATGCGGAAAGATAAAATGTAAATTTAAAGGCAAAAATTATTAGTAGTAAACCTAAAATAGATATAACTACAAGTAAATAGTAAATTAAACTTGCTTATAAGAGAGCTTTTTGAGATGTTTAAGCAACTCCTAGCAATATTCATTAATAATTTAAAGCATTAAGCAATACAGAAGATGAGCAGAATATCCAAATTAATTAGCTATAAAAAATAACCAAAGAATCTAAGTTTTATCATTTTAAATATAATTTTAGGGAGGTATTGTTATGACTAATGACGGTAACGCTATCTTGAGAGAAATCGATGTTAATCACCCTGCTGCTAAGTCCATGATTGAATTGGCTAGAGTCCAAGACGAAGAAGTTGGTGATGGTACTACTTCAGTTATCATTATGGCTGGTGAAATGATGTCTGCTGCCAAGCCCTTCATTGAAAGAGATATTCACCCTTCCATTATTGTCTCTTCTTACTACAGAGCTTTGGAAGAATCTATTAAAAAGATTGAAGAACTTGCCGTTCCCATTGATGTCAATGATGACGATAAGGTCAACAAGGTAAAAAAAAAAAACTTTTATATTAAAAATAGCTTCATAAATAAATAAATGACAGTTTCATAGAAAATATTTCAAAAATAAAAAGTTCAAGAATAATATAAGTTTGAATAGAAAATGATAAGAGTTATTTGCAAAAGTGGCAACAAAAAATTAATACTGAATGAAAGATTTATCAAACCAAACATTTTTTGAAAACTTAAAAGCAAAATATTTAATAAAATTTTTAAAATAACAGGCTTTATCTTGCTGTATTGGTACCAAATTCACTTCTAGATGGGGTAAATTGATTTCCGACTTAGCTCTCAAGGCTGTTAAAACTATCATGAGAGGTGGTAATCTCTAAAAACTCAATCTTGAAATCAAGAGATACGCCAAGGTTGAAAAGATCCCCGGTGGTACTTTGGAAGACAGTGTTGTTTTGGATGGTGTTATGTTCAACAAGGATATTACTCACCCCAAGATGAGAAGATAAATTAAAAATCCCAGAGTCATTTTACTTGACTGCCCTCTTGAATATAAGAAAGGTGAATCTATGACCAACCTTGAAATGATGAAGGAATCTGATATGTAAATATTTATTTTTATTCATTTATAAATGTAAATTAATAAATATATAATTAATTAATTAAATTAGGACTGATGCCTTACAATAAGAAATGGAAGAATTAGCTTTAATGTGCAACGATATTTTAAAACACAAGCCCGATGTCGTTATTACCGAAAAGGGTGTTAGTGACTTAGCTCAACATTATTTATTAAAGTAAAACGTCTCTGTTATCAGAAGAGTTAGAAAGACCGATAATAATAGAATTTCCAGAGTTTCTGGTGCTACTATTGTCAACAGACCTGAAGAAATTCAAGAATCTGATGTTGGTAAAAAGTGTGGTATGTTCGAAGTTAAGTTAATTGGTGATGAATACTTCACTTTTATGACTGAATGTGAAAATCCTGAAGCTTGCTCTATTATTTTAAGAGGTGCTTCTAAGGATGTCCTCAACGAAATGGAAAGAAATCTCCACGATTGCTTGGCTGTTGCTAAGAACATTTTTGTTAATCCTAAGCTTGTTCCTGGTGGTGGTGCTATTGAAATGGAAGTCTCTTCTCACTTAGAAAAGATCTCTACTTCTATTGAAGGTCTTCACCAACTTCCTTTCAGAGCAGGTAATTAATTTTACAAAAATTAAATTAAATAAACTAAAAAAACTATTAATTAACACTTTTTCTTTATAACTATAATTATCTTTTAAAATATAGTTGCTTACGCTTTAGAAGCTATTCCTAAGACCTTGGCTCAAAACTGTGGTGTTGATGTTGTTAGAACCATCACTGAATTGAGAGCTAAGCATAATTAAGAAGGAAATAAATTTATTGGTATTGAAGGTAATACTGGTAAAATTACTGATATGGCTGAAGCTAATGTTTGGGAACCTGTTTCTGTCAAGCTCTAAGTTTATAAGACTGCCATTGAATCCGCTTGTATGCTTCTCCGTATAGATGATGTTGTTTCTGGTCTTAAGAAGCATAAGGTTGCCAAGGGTGGTGCCTCCGTTACTGATGCTTAAGGTCAAGAAATCCCTGAAACCGTAATTTATTTTAACATTCTAAAAGCATATTAAATAAAAAATAATTATAATAATAATAGTTCGGTGATGCCAGAGATGGTTGAATAATGTAATAATAATGAATAGAAAAATTAAAATAAAACCAAAAAAATTAACTCATATATTTCCAATAAAAAATTAATATATAATTTTCACATCAAAAGTTTTAATTGTATGATTTAAGTATTATTAATTATATAGTATGGTTAAAAATATTTTAATTCTATTATATCCAACTCAACTTAATTCTATTATTTTTTTAAATAAATATCTAAATAATTATACAAATCATTTTTGATAATTTATTTTAATTAAATTTCTTCAATGTTAAGTTTAATTATTAAAAAAGAGATATTGTTTTTTTTTATGAAATAAAATTATTAAATTAAGAATTATATTTTAAGAAATTCTTTCTTGTTATTTATTAGAAAAAAATAAAAATAATTTATTAATATCATCAACAAAATAAATTCAAATAAATTTTATTTTATTAAAATATTTGGAAAACAGCTAGCTATTTAGTCTACTAAAAATTAAGTTCCTTTAAAAATAAACAAGATAAATTTCAATATTCTAAAGCATTATTAAAAAATTGAAAAGATGAATCTTAAGTTTTATCTATACACTAAGAAACCATAATCCTCATGAATATTCAAACTAAAATAATAAATAAAAACAACAAATAAAATGAAAATTAATTAATTTACAAATTAAATACTATCTAAAGATATGAGTTATCTAAATTTAAAACACTCAATTCTATTTACAATATAAAATTGTAAACTATCAGAGAAAAAATAAAATATGTATTAAGTTTAAATATGTAAAATCAATATTCAAACATCAATGTTTAAGATAAAAGAAATAATATTTGCATGCATTAAAAAAATTAAATAAATAAACCAATCATAGTGTAGAAGTTATTTTTATTGGTTATGTTGAGTGTAGAAGTTATTTTTATTGGTTATGTTGATCAAAAATTTTTGCTAGTAACATTTTGCTTCATCAATTTAAAATTTACTAAATGCTCATCTATTTATTTTATTTTTTTAAATATTAAATCTTTTATTAAGCTTGTGAACTCAAGTGAAGAATTTTTAAATCCAATTAAATTTTTAGATTTATTCTTCAATAAATATTTGGTATTTTAATCTAACCTCATAAGAATATTTATTTACCATAATTTTGAAAGATTCTAATCCTTTAAGATCTCCTTTAGTTATCATTTCAATTTGAGTATTTAGAGTTGTTGTTTAGTGACTAAGTTTTAACTTAAATTTTTTATTGAAGATTTTTTTATGTCATTTTTTAATTTAAATTGAATTGTATCTCATCAATTAATTATTGAATTTTTTAATTTGCTCTTGTTTATTTTAAATCTTAATAATCTAAAGTACTTTAATACTATTAAAATAGAATATCATAATCAAGAATAGTCCAATTATAAATAAAATCAGATTCATTCAATTATTAATTTTCAAAATAAAATAATAAATGTTTCCCCTTTAACGCTATGTCAATTTTAAATATCAAATAATTAATTATTTAAAAATAAAATACAAATTAAAATAGTTTTAAATTATTTTTTCATTAATTTTTTAATTGCTCTTAATTATTAAAAGAAGAAAAAAATGATTAAAATGAAAGTATTTTATTGTAAACTTTGAATGTACAAATTAGTTAATTAAATGAATGTATAAATAAAAGTATTTTTTAAATACAAAAAGAAATTTCTTCAATATAAAAAATTTAAGCTATTTAATCTGAATATTAAAGCTATTTTTCTTTGTAGATGATATTAATGATGAAAAAAAATTTTTTATTGATTTTAACAATATAATTCCAAAGTCAATAATAGTTGAAAAAATTATTATTAAAATATGATTCATGAAAAAACTGTGAAAAAAGCTGCTAAAAATTTTTATAATAATTGTTTATATAAATTATTTGGAAGAAGGAAAATTTTCCTTTTATTAAATGACTAAAGTAAAAAATGACTTTGACTTTAATTAATTATTAATGTAATTTGTATAAAAAAAAGTATTTTATTTTTATTATTTCCAAAAAAAATGTTAAGCAATATAATATATAATAATTATTCAAGCTAATGGAAGAATAAAAATTTTAATATATATGCTTGTTTAATTTTTGCAGTATAAATTATTCATTTGAATCAATTGTTTATCATGAATCCTTCAACAAACTTCAAAATTTTGATAGATTTTATTGAATAGTGCTCTATTCCAAATACATATTCTTAACTCGATTAATATCTTGCCACTTCTTCCTCTTTTGCTTAAGTGACATTTTTATAATCAGGGTAATCAGCAATCTAAAAGAACTTATCTTATAAGCAAAACTAAAACTCTAATTTTCTCATTAGTTCAGAACGCCTTATTTGGCTATTGTTAAAGAGATAACCCTTTTTACTTAAATTAAATTTATTGCTAACATGGTTTGAAAAAAATAAATCAGAGAGAGATAGATTTTCTTAATCAAGCCATTGCTAATTACATTTAGATTTTTAAATAACTCCTATAGCTATTTTGTAGCTATTTTCGTCACCTATGAATGGTTTAAATTCAAATTGAATGGTGTACTTTTTAGATGGATCTATGGCTTTTTCGGTAAAAAATTATACCATTAACTAGGAACTTTTTTATTTGATCTTTGTTAATCCTTCTTTGCTTTTCTTAATAATTTAATTAGTTTAGCTGTAATTGTCCTTTAAAGATTTGATAAATTAATAATTTTCTGTTGCATCAAGTTCATATTTATGCTTGAACATTAATTCATTCATGATTAGCTATTGCTTTTTATTAAACTCTTATGTAAGATTTTAAAAATCTTTGGTTAATTTTTCAATATTCTTAAAACTACTAAGACTTTGTTCGCTAAACTAGTTTTCATTTAATTGACTAATATATTGGTTCTTTTATATCTAAAATTACGCAGTTTAGATAATATACTCAAACTAAGGATTTGACAAATGATTAAATTATAAATCTTTTAAAGAATCAATGTGTTAAACATATGGTGATGCACATTAAGAAATGTAATCTTGAAAATCTTCAATATTGTTTTAAGTTTCTATATTTATAATTTTGTCATTTCTTAAATGATTGTCGAGAAAGTAATGTTTTATTAGCTTTAATTTTTAGAATATCTACTTTTAGATTAGCTTTGGAAATTTCAATTGAAGAAATTGATTGCTTTCTTAAAATTTTTAAAATTCCTCTTGAATAATTTGTTAGTTTTAAATTCTGTTTTTATGTGATTCTTTGATGAGGTTATTAATTTATTCTAATCCTTATTTGTTTCCTTACAACATCTATTAAATATAGTTTTAGAATTCCTTTTTGCATGATATATTTTAATAAACCTCAAGTAGTCTGGATTTAGTTACTATTTTATCAGATAAATAGTTAATAGCAGCTTTTTTCATCTTTAATATTTTTTGGTTTAATTTATATTATAGTTCTTCTATAAACAGTTCAATCGTTTACAATTCATCTTAAAAGCATTCTTTTTATTCATTTAGAGTATTCTTCAAATTTGATAGAATACTTTTATCTTCCATAATAGGCCAATTAGTTAAAATTTCTGTATCACTTGACTCAGCAATATCAGCATAAAACAGTAAATCCTTACCTTACAATAGATTCTTAGTTACACACCTAGAACAAAAGCCTATTTGGTTTGTGTCAGTAGAAAGATTTGTGTTAAAAAACTATATAGGATACCCTTTATGCGTAGAGCATTGATCTATTTAATTTTATTCTTATGTTTCTATTTGATTCATATTTTATTCTTTACTTTACTTTTCTTATTTTATTTTTTTTAATTAAAATTTTCTTAAATTAATTATGTGATTTTAGTGTTTTGAATGAATAAAAATATAATTAGAATATTAAATTTGCATAAAAATTACAAAAGACATTTTAAGGCTCTAAAAAAATTAATTAATTTATTTCTCAATAAAACTCTTTTAATTATACTTATTAATCATTTAATTAAAACCCTATTCTAAATAAAAGTATTTTAAAAATAATTTAAAAATATTTTTATTTTTTTACTAAGAGACAGCCATATAATATTTAAAAAAATTTTTTTAATATGGTTTTTAATTAATATAAAAGTTCTAACAAATTTATTTACCTTATTCAATAAGAAATTTTTGAAAAAAATTTTGTTACTTATATAATTTTATCTTAATTATAGTTACAAAATAAATAAAATTATTTTAATAATAATTTATGTTATCATTATGAAAATATATATTGAGTATATTACTCGTTTTAAAATACAAGAATATAATTTGATCTAAGAAAAATAAAATGATAAAATGAAAAATTAATTTAAGAAATAAAAATAATTAATTTCAATGCTTAATAAATAACAAAGTTTGTATTTAAAAATATATTATCAAGAATATGTATTAAAATTAATAATATCCTTTTCTCAAATATTTTTATTTTTATTAGAGTTGCTATATTTATTTTATCAAAGAGAAATTCAGGATTATATTTTCAAATTTAAATTATTTCGTCAACACTATTTTTGAATCTTTTGAAAATATTCACACTACTATCAGCACTATGAACTACAGGACTTGATTATGATGAAATTACTGAATAATTTTCACCTTACTAATTAATATTTTGTAGCTATGAAACCTCTTAGGCTTTTGTTGAACGATCATAAAATTATGGGTTCAGCAAATTAGGATTATATTTTTATGCGATTTATTTTAAATAACTTTGTCCTTAAACTTCATTCAAGTCATTTTTGTTAGGCACTAATTAATTTTAAGTTGCAGTGTTATTTTTTACGCTGTTTTGAGAAGTTCTAATCCCTAATTACTCACTTAAAGGAGTAATATTACTAGGAATAGACTATGAAGCTTATTATTACGTTTGACCTATTGAAGTTAACTAGATGGAGTAAGGAGATGAACTATAAAATTAGTTTTGTTATTAATTGTTCACTTTATTATCGTATAAATTAAATTAAGAATTAAGAGAAGGTCTTTTATCTGGTACTTATTACATGGCTTATGATTGATTAAGCAATTTTGAATTACTTTTACTTGTAGCTGCTGTTATTTATGATTGACTTAAATACTTAGAGTGAGAATTATTTTACTTTGAATACTTTTAGTTAAGAAGGAAGGCCTTATCAGGTGAGTAGAAATCGAATTAATTAGGGAGTTCTAAAAATAATTAAAAAAAATTAATTTTTAAATTCCAAACATTTCTCTTCATTTTTTTTATTTAATTATTTTTCAATTAAAATTAAAAGTCAGCAAGAGACATTTTTTTTCTTCCCAAAATTAATTTTTGATAAATTTTTTTATTTTTTAATAATATTCTATCATAAATTGATATAATTAAATTTTACTAAAAACTTTAAATAATATTTAGGTATTTTCTAAATAGATTTTTATAAGATTAACTAAAAGCAATTACTGTAATGATCAGATGCTGGTATTGATTGAGGAGTTGATATAGAGCTGTATTTTTGATGGTGATGTCTACCACTACTTGCTTAGGATGAAGGTAAATTCGTATTTGATGAAGCTTAAAGATTGTTAGAGTTCAAAAGACCTGGAGTTGATATTATTTGCTTGAGATTTTGAAGTTAATTGGGGTTTTCATAAGATTTATTCTTTCTATGGTGTTTCTAAGTACTATTTTGTTATAAATTAGTCGAGCTTTTTGTCGATATAAATTAGTTGGCTAGTCTTTTTACTGAAGAAACAGATGAAGTAGCTGGATTACTTCTCTTAGCACTTTCCATTTAAGTATCAGATTAATCTGACTTGTTCAGAGTTTACTCTTCTGGAATTTCAAAGCTGTTTTGATCAACAACTATCTACTACAAATTCTTAGCTGATTTGTGTAAATATGTTGAATATGAGTCTCTTACTGTTTCCAAATCTCCTTCCATTTACAGCATAATTCTTTCGTTATCTAGAATTCTTAGCTTCTGGAGTTCTATTGTTTTGATCATTTTTGCTTTTTCCCTGGAAAATTTTGTAATTATAGCATTCATTTCTTCTTTGTGTTAACTAATGAGTTTTCCTTCTATCTCTTTTCTGACTTCTTCTCTAATTTGTGTATAACGAATCATAGGTCCATTCAACATATTTTGTTATTTTTGCAATTTCTCTCTCTATAATTCTATTTCCTGTCTCAACAATTACTTTTCATTTTATGCTAACTGGAATTTTTGGGATAAATCTATATTTTCATCATTTGCTTTTTTAAGTTACTCCTGCAAAAATCTGATTTGCTAAATTAAAAGTTAGTTTGAGTCATTTTAAGAATGATTTTATCCTTCTTTATTCACTCTTTCCATTTACAATTACTAAATTTTAAAAGATAAATTAGATATATATAATCAATTATAAAAAGTATTTTCTCATTTATTTTGTTGTTGCTTCAGCTTATAAACTTAGAAAAGAATAAGCACATATTTATCTTAAAATTGGAATTTAATTTTATTAAAACTTACTATCAAATTATTGACATGATTTTTAAGGCTTTCATTTGAATTAGCGAAGTTATAAAAGAGATCAATGTAGTTATTCTTTTGAATCTGAAGCTCCCTTTATAATTACAAGATTTAATTTTATTAACCAGAGTTTATAGATTAAGGCGTGTAAGATGAAGTTGGAGACATGCTTCTTTTTAGATTCTAAGTATAATCACTTTTGCTTGTAAAAAAAGGGGAGGAAGCTTAGTTACTAAAAGGAGATAACTCTAATTTCTAAAATTCTTCTATGATAGCTTCATCATTTAGGTAATAGCGTTGACTTTTTTAGTAATCAATGCTCCTTTGTTGGATTTAATTTGTTATCGCATAAATATTGTTGGGGTCAGTAACTTATATTTTCGCAGAAGTCTCTAACTGTGATGTTTAACTTAATGAAGGAGCTAAGATCTGCTTAGGTTATTAAGCTGGAAGAGTAGGACATGTAGCTTAAGTGGTCCTAATAGTCTAGTTAGTAGACTATACAGGATCTAGATGGCTTTCACTCATTTGGAAAAGTAGTTGATTATTTCTGAAATTAATTAAGTAAATATATTAATTTGTATATTAATAACTTGAAAATAAATTGCTTATAACTTTAATATTTTATTTGATATGGTTTCGATCTAAGCTAATTAAAATTACTAAAAGCAAAGCTAGTATGACTTATTTCTTTATTATCAACTATTTTTTTTGGTATTAATGAAAATAATTATAATTATTTGTATATTTTCCTTTCAAACAATTTTTATTCAAGTAAATCTTTGCTTAAAATTATAAACAAATCTACTAATAGAATAAACCAAAATACAAACAAGCCAGCTTGCATAATTTCTTCCTCTTACCACATCCATCAAAATTAATTAATAAATAAAAACACTTTCAAATTAAATACCCTAGTCAGTAAATTATATATTTGTTTCTAGAGCCTATCAAAAAATAAGTAATGAAGATTAATAATTTTTATTATCAAAACATAGAAAAATTGATTTTTTAATTAATACACTATCACATATAATAAAATTAAGTTTTTATAATTAATTTTTAGTTTTGTTGTTGTATTAAAAGTAAAATCTATTGTTGTATCCGTTAGATTTTACTTAATTTATATTTTATTATAATGTAAAATGATACTTTCCTTTTAGTAAAATATAATCAACTAGCATATTTTTATCATAAAATAGACTAATTTTAGACTATAATTTACTTCATTAATTTACCTCAATATTTTTTAATTTTATAACATTTAAACTAATTATTTTCTTGATTATATATAATGTTTGATTGTTTTAATAATATATATTTAAATATCAACTTAGATGATAAATTTTTATTTTTGATGTTTTTAAATATTTACAAAAATCTAATCCTTGAATATAAGAAAATTTTCTAAAAAAATACAGCTAACACTCTGTTTGCTTATCTATTAATATATACTGCTAGTAAAAAGATTAATTTTAGACCATTAATATCGCGTTAATTTAATTAAAAAACCATCTAAATTTTTTATCAGTAGCTATAAATGATTATAATTTAATAATTAATATTTGTTTTAAAATTTACCTTTCTATTAAAATATAATTGTAATATTACATTTACTTCTTAAAAATAGATGTCTTTACTTTAATTTATTCAAATTTATAGTTACAGAATTTTAATATATTTATTTCTTTAAAAATATAAATAATAATTTTATTTGCAGTTATTTAATATGATGAGCTTTTATTCTTAAATTTTTGTTTAATAAAAATCCAAAAATATTTTGATTAAAATAACTTCTAGAATTAAATAATATTTTTATAGAAATATTTGATTTTCTTTCTTTGTTCTACAAACCTTCTAATAAAAAAGGTATGTGGATTAATTCATCATAAAAATAAATGTTTTAAATATTTGTATTGAATATTGTTTCCTTTTAAATTAATAAGCAAGATGCTTGTCAAAATACATCAAAATAAAGTTTTCAATATTAAATATAATTTTTTAAGATTTTTTCCATATTGTAACAAAATATAAATTTATAAAAAAATGAATACTGACAATTAAAATTAAGAAAGTGTTTAAAAACCTGAATGGGATGAAAATCTAGGGATATGGAAAAATAGTAAAGCAGCCGGTTAATCAACTCTTCCAGATCCTCTTTGGATTTTCGGTTATGGCAGTCTTTGTTATAAGCCTGGAGATATGAAATATGTAGAAGAAAGAAATGGATATATTAAACATTATACAAGAAGGTTTTGGTAAAAATCGTGCGATCATAGAGGAACTCCTGAAAATCCTGGCCTCGTTTGTACTTTACTATCTGAAGAAGAATGGCAAACATATGGAGATAATTACGAAAACGGAATTGTTTATGGAAAAGTATTTAGAATAGATGAAAAAGATAAGGAAGAAGTTTTAAATGAGTTAGATTTTAGAGAAAAGGGAGGCTATTCATAAATTATTCTAGATGTGTATTTTTAAGATTTTGATGAAAATTAATCAGGAAATTAAGTTTAAAAAGTATAAGCCTTGCTTTACAAAGGAAATGTAGATAATCCAAATTTTCTTTAAGACAAAGATATAAGAGGTTGTATTAAAAAGCAAGCTGAAATTATTTCAAAAAGTATAGGACCTTCTGGAAAGAACATAGAATATTTAATCAAATACTACTAGTATTTACAGTCAATTGATAAAGTTGATAGGTATATGGAAGAATTAGTTTAATTAGCAACACAGGTGATTAGTTCTGATTAAGATAGCTGCTCAAAAAGTTGAACATAAAAATTTATATTTAGTATTTACATTTATATTTGTTAATGAATGAATGTATTTTTGATTTCATTTTTGAAATTTATTTTCTTTAACATTGAAACCAACTAATAAATAATTTCCAGAATGATAATATGAAAAAATATTCTAAAATTAAAATACTGTACTATGACATAAATCATACGTAATTTATAAATATTTAATTATAATATTTTTTTGAAAATAGATTCTATACAAACAACTTTTTATTTTCTATTCATTTAAATTGATTTTGTCTTATTTTATAAATTTAATTTAAGCTTCATTTATTAATCTACAAAAAAATTGATTGGAACTTTGTTTTTAATTATTTTTTGAAATTATCTATGGCCTTCTCACTAACATTTGTATCATAAAGTTGAATTTCTAAACTTTATAAACTAGGTAATTTTATTATAGCCTCTACTAAATATTGAATATCCAAATCATTTATTATTTCATTATACTAAAAATCTAATACTAAAGAAGTGAGCTTTACTAATTTTGCTAGAACATCTCCTATGTATTGAGCACCTAAATTGCTGATATTACAACTATTTAGATTAATGTTTAACTAAGTGATGTTTGGAGATTTTATAATAGCTTCAGTTAAATATTAAACACCCTAATCACCTATCTTATTGTCGCAAAATTCTAATTATAAAAAAATTAAATTTTGACATTTTGCAAGAGCTTCTCTTAAATTTTAAAAAAACACCACACCCATTTTTTAATTGAAACTTAGGTTAAGAGTTAAAGAAGTTAAAGCTGAAGCTATTACATCAATAGCTTCTCCTAGATATTAATAACCCAATTCACTTATATTGTTTCGCCATAGAATCAGAGTTACTGAAGTAAGGTTAGGACATTTTATAATAGCATCTCTTAACTATTGAATACCCGAATCATTTAAATAAGTATATTTAAGGATAAGAGTTAAAGAAGTGATCGTTGAACTTATTGCACTAATAGCTTGTCCAAGATATTAAGAACCCAAATGATTAATTTTATTTTAAGATAGATTAAGAGTTAAAAAAGTGAGTTTTTATCTGTTTGCAATAATAGCCTCTCCTAGATATTAAACACCCAAATCAGAAATACCTGTATCTTCTAGATTAAGATCTAAAGAAATGATGTTTGGACGTTTTATAATAGCTTCCATTAAATACTAAACACCCAAATTACCTATTACAATTGATTTTAGATAAAGAGTTAAAGAATTGAGATTTTGAAATTTGACAATAGTTTCTCCTAAATATTAAGCACTTAAACTAGTTATTTTACTTCCTTTGTATAGATCTATAAATAAAGAAGTTAGATTTGAACATTTTTCAATAGCCTTTCCAATATGATTAATACTCATATCATTTAATGTACTATCCTTATCAAAACGAAAGAAATAATAAAATAGGTCTATTTTTAAAGAAGTAATATTTGGACATTTTGCTAGAGACTCTCCTATATATTCAGCCCATATTAGATAAATTTGGTCTCCAAAATTACTGTAAAAATCTGCCCATCTGTTGATACCTATTTAAAGAGAATTAGGACATTTTAAGCATTCATTTTATTATTGATTAGTATCAGTAAAACAAACTGAGAATTAAGGATGAGAATTTGAGCATTAATCTATTCCCAATTCAATTGAACCTGTTAATCTATCTTATTTATAAAGAAAGATATCATCTTTTAAATATTTTTAAACTTAAGTACAATTATTTGAGCATATTCTTTTTGATAAATTCTTATAAGATTAAATAGAGCATTATTCTATACTTTCTACACATTGTTTAGTATCTAAGTTCATAAATTAATTTTCAAAAAAGCATTCAACAACACATTCATATGTCTTCTTCTTATTATTAAATTGCAGAATCTTATCCTCATTGCAACCAACACTACATTCCTATTTCAAAAAGTTTGTAGTTACAATTATCTGATTACTTTGGTGTGGATGGAAATTTGAAATAAACTGTTCATATTCTTTTTCAGAAATCTATCCCTTCATCCTCTTTTCAAAGTATTATTGTAATATTTCTTAAATTTCTTCTTACGGACAAAAATCGTTTAAAAACTTGAATTATGATGATGAGTTTAAAAATCATAAAGTAATTTTTATTGATTTTCAGAAGTTTTCATAGAAAGTTAAGGTAATTCATTAAAACATGAAGTAATAATACATTTATTTCCAATTACAAAATCAGAATTTTCACATTCTTTGACAAACTTATTTCCTCTCTAGAATGTCTTCTATTTACTTTGATTATTGTACAAAATCATTCCTAATATTATCAAGCAAATCATGAGGATTATACATAACAACTTTTTATAACGATTCTATCCCTTCTTTTTTTAATCTTTATTACAAACTGCTTGATTTTATGGATCCTATTCATGGCTTTCTTCCAACTCTAAATCTTTGTATTCATTTTTTATTTTTGAACTATTTTTCATTAATTTCAATTTATTTTCTATTTAGCTCACTATTTTCTCTTTTTTATTAAAGAAATTTTATTAATTAAATTGATAATATGAAAAGGTATTTGAGGAAATCCTAATAAGAAAGATTACTCCCATATTAAAATTCATTTAATGAATATCCCTTAAATGCTATTTAGTATTTTTTCAATAAATTAAATAATATGTAATTAAATTTATTTTCAAGAGAAAATAAAACTATGCTCAAAAATAAATTAATAGATTTGCTAGCTAAAAAGGTTATTTCATTTATAAAATTATTTCAATAACTGTTACTTAAAAAATAATTTTATAATCTTTTCAATAAAATAAATAGCATTTAATTAAATAAATTTGTAAGAATAAATAAAAGTATGCTTAAAATATAGAGCTAATTAAAAAAGCTGATTACCATCTATATCAAATTTAAAATGAATTTAAGAATTATAATTTAAAAAACAAAATTTATGCTTTTCATAAAATGAAATAATGATTTAAATCTTAATAAATAGGCTATTTTTCTTTAGTCAAAATAGAAAAATCTTTATTATTTTACTTCACTTGTTAATAAAATTAATGTTTTAGCATAAATTAAATATATTTATTTACTTATTTTTGATATTAAAAGTAAGGTATATAAATTATTATTAATTTTTTACAGTAAAATTTATTATGTATAATTTTAATTGGATAAGAAATTTACTTTTCGAAAGTTTTTTTTTTTAATATATCAAAATTTTTATTTATGGTAAAATGGAGTTATTAATTGATTATTTAATGAAATTTTTATGCTATTTTTATCTTTCTTATTAAATCATCAACTTTTGGGAATTTTTATTTATTAAATATTTAATAATCTTAAATAAATAAAAAGATCTGGCTTATTTTAGGCTTTATCATTGCTCCTTAGCTATTGTTATGGCCTTAAAATGGATATCCTTATTATGAATAAAAGTACTGATAGCAGATTGAACATTAACATGTATGTCTGATGTGTTAAAAAAATAAATATTTGGAGACACCATGCTAAAATTTGGCACAAAATGAGTTTTTATATCATTATTGTCTGTTTCAGATGATTCTACGTGGGTGTGAATTTAAGAAAGAAATCCTTCTTAGTATGTGCCCTCTTACTTAGTTACGCAATTTAGTAAATAAACATTCCAATAAGTTGTTAATTCTTGGTTTTTATAAATAGTTGGTATTACAAGAAAATATTACTTATTGCTCTTTATTGCATAGGCTTCTTACTATTTTATTATAATGGGAGATCTCAAATTATGAAGTTCTTTGTTAGGAAATCCCTTTGTAATATTATTGCCTGTTTTAAAATCATAACTTAGTATTTTAAACATATTAGATTATATGTCTTTGTAAACAAAATGATAGGTATCATGAAATATTTCATTCTAAAAGCAGTATTTTATTTGAAGACTTTGAAACTGTTAGAAAGTATAGTAAGAAGGAAGCATAGGATCGGTAAAATAGCTCCAAACAATTAACTCATCGCAGCTGGGGTCATAAATTATTATTTTATGGGCATTTTAAACGCATATAATTTAAATAGAATTTGTCAAGTTAGATGATACATCTTTTCTAATTATGTATTAAGCAAATTGCTGAGAATTCCCTGTACGGTAAACACTCAAAACTAAAAGGAGATAGAATGTCTCATCTTTATTTACCATATAATAAGTATTTTTTACAATTATTATTCCATGATATCCTTAGCCATAAATTTCAGAGTAGAATTCTATGCAATTTTAAAATAATTCACGTTGATTACCATCATAAATACAACCCACGTCCTAGCTATCTTCTCCTATATATTTATTAACAAATCCGATTCCCGAATCATTAAAGTTACTTACAGTAGCTGAGAAACATTAATTGTTGCTACTGGCATTAATTTAATTTACATTGTTGCATTAAGAAGAAAAAATAGTTTTAAAATTTATATTTTTTTGTTGTAATAAAGTATCCCTAATATTGAGATTATTGTTATTATTATTTTTGTTATTATTAGAACTTGATCTATCTTATTCTGTTTAGTATTTATCACTGCTTAGCTTAGATGCATCGTAATCAGGTGCATACTTATCTATTTGATGGTTTTTAATATTACTATTTGTTAAAGAGAAATTATCTCTTATTGAAAGGTCATTTGCTTCTTTTACAGTATCGAGAGGCTATTAAATTTCATTTTTTGCTTATTATGAAGGGAGAAATTCCTTATAATTAAGCATTTCGTTCCTATTAAAATTTATATACTCAAAATTATTAATGCAATTAATGTCTTCGATCAAATCGTTGATTCCTGATATACCCTAAAAGTCTTGCGTTATGAAAGAATTCATGAGAGACATATCTTGCTTATTTTCTAATTACTCAATAAAAAGTGGTAAATTTCTGTCTTCTATTACTGGTAGAGATTATATGTTTGATTCATCAAAGCTATTTAATTGCTATTTTTTATTTGCTTGCTTGAACATTTAACCATTTTAGTTGTAATTCTTTTTTTCGATATCGTTTTATTATAGTTTTTCATTCAACTCTACATTTCCATCTTCATCTACATCTAAAATATTTGCATCGAAATCTTCCTTATTTTAATTTTTAAAGTTTGTTTGTTTGTAGTGATTGCAATCATTAGCTAATTCTACCCCCTTATTTTTAATTTGAGGATTTAAAGAAACGGCAGTATCTTTCCTGTAAAGAATATCAGATTCAGGGTTGTCAAGATTAATTTTATAAAGCTAATTATTTTCATCTAACTCATCTAATTACTGTTCTTCTATCATCATTTAAATTAATTACTAGTTTTTAATTTTTTGAGTTTCAATTTCTTTTTTCTTTTTATCTGAGCTTGCAAAGACATCCACTAGAAATAAACATTGAACTCCTGTTTCTTAAATAACTCCATAAAAAGCAAGCTAATTTGATTCTAAAGTAATCACATTTGAAGAGAGTTCATAATTATAAAGGTTAATTTTCTTTTGCTCTATAATACGCTCTGCATACATGTCCCAAATTTCAAATAAAATAACATCATCTTCTGCTTGAACCAAGCAAAGATGGTTTTTATCTTTCATCCCAAGTAGCTAATCGATACGAATAAGCCCGCTTTTTTTTAAAAAAATGTCCTTCTGCTATATTGAAACCATCTTTATTAATATGTTTCCTTTACAAACCTATTTTTATAAAAAAGCTGGTGCACGATAAAAATATGATCGATCTATTTTTTCAGATAGTAATTTTTCAAAAATTTTAATATAAATATTCGTCAGCAAGCTTTTTAATTAATAGTAAAGAATCAATGTTTTGTTTTTTTACTTTTCTGACGAATAAATAAATAAAATCAAAGAAAAGAAACTTTAATTTAATATTACAAAACCAAAGAGAAAGAATAATTCATGAGGACTTATACATCTAATTAGCAAGAAATTCCTTTTTTATAATTGATATATACTCGATATACATTGCATTTTAGAATTTAAATTAATTTATACGAGAGAAGAGCTATTTATTTTATAAATTTGTTAGAATTATCAAATAATTTTCAGGTTATTGAGTAAGTATTGATCAATTCCAACAATTTACTTAATTTTTCTAAAAATAGAAAAAAAAGATTCTAAGTATCAAATTAAAACTTGCTAGGACCATGACATTTTTCTGTTTAATTTTTTGTGGTTACATCTAAAATTATCTTCTTAAAGTCTAATTAGATATTCATTAAATTTTTTCTATACTCATTAAAATACCTTTTTACGTCATATTCACTCAAATCCTTCAATCTATGAAATCAAATGCAGTAGAAAGTAAAATATTTGAAAGCAAATTGATGTGTTATTAACTATTAATTTAATGCTAATTTAATAAAATTGCATTTATATTTACATAAATTATTTCTGAGAAAATTCCAAAAAGTGTAAATTAAATAAAAAAGATGTTTTCTAATTTATTAAATTTGATAGCTTAAACAGAGAAATATATAAATAAATACAAATAAAATATTATAAATTTAAAAACTAAACAATTAATTTCTGTGATATTATAATGATTATTTCTTAATTTTGTTTAAATAAATATTTTGTTTGTTTTTTTAATTTTTTATTTGATTCTTAAATAAAAGCCAAGCTAGTAAAAACTTTTTATTCAACAATCTTTTAAATCTCCAAAAATAATAGAATAAGTATAATCTCAATTTCTAGAAGATTTTTTATCTTTATTGCTTGATTTATTTTCATCATTGTATTTACTTTCTTTATTTCTATCTCTAGAACCACTTTTACTTCTTTTTTTACTTCTTTCAGTTCTGTCCTCTCTATTTTTATCGCTTTTTTCATCTCTATACCTATCACTCTTATAATCTCTATTTTTTTCATACTTTTCTGTTCTACTTCTATCTGACTTTTCATCTTTATATTTATCATCTCTACCTTTATAATCACGATTATCATCTCTACTTCTTTCTGATTTTTCTTCTTTACTTCTTTCATATTTATCATCTCCTCTTCTTTCATACTTGTCTTCTTTTTTCCTATCAGTTTCCTTATCTTTTTTTTATTCTTTTTGAGGTGAATCAGCTCTATCTTTTTTTTTACTATCTCTTTCTTAGCTTTTATATAATTTAGTTGATCTATCTTTGCTCTTTTTACTGCTATTTGGACTTCTAGATCTTGATCTAGATTTATCTTTTGATTTTTTTGTATCTAATTTTATTAACAAAATAATATTAAAAATAAATTTATTTTAGTTTGTTTGCTTTTAATACCTAATTGTTTTGAGTCATCATTCTATTTATCTTTATTTTCTTGCTTACTTTTTTTTGATTCTCCCTTATCTTTCTTACTTTTATTCTTCTTTTTTTCTTTTTCGTTAGATGAGTCAGAGGAGTTACCATCGTTGTCTAAAAAAATAATATAAAACATTATTTTATAAAAAGCTTAATATTCTAATTTAGAATACAGATCTAAATAAACCTATTTTTTCTAAATTTGAGCATAATTTAAAAATAATTTACCAGAATTATCAGATTATGATGATGAAGAAGAAGCGGAGGAAGAAGAACCACTTTTTTCTGAACCTTCGCTTGAATTAGAGGAACCAGAATTTGAGCTATCTTCATCAGAAGAATTTGATGAACTAGAAGAGGAACTTGAAGAAGAAGAAGATGATGGTGATGGGATTTCTATATTCTCTAAATCTAAACTATCCTTTCTCACTCTTCTATACTTATCATAAACTACAGTAGGTCCTTTAGGAGCTGCTTCTGGTTCAAATGTTTACTTCAACTCCTAATTCCTTTTAAATTAAATATTTAATTATATTATCTGCTTCTTACGATTGAAAAAGGAAACTTATTTTCAAATAGCTGAAACTTTTTAAAAATAATTTATTTTCATCTTAATAATTATTTACTTATATTGCATAGTGGCTGATGGACGATAAACGTATGCTGCTTAGTTTTAGCATTCATATGTAAAATGACCTAATTTTAAACATTTTTAGCACCTATAATTTTCCTAACTTTTAGTATCTTTTTTGTATCTTTGTAAGAATATCTAAGCTTAGCTAGTTTGTTGCATTTCTATTTATAATTTATAAGTGGATATATTTATACTAAATTGCTTTTTGTCTAACTACTGTCAAAATTGCTTTTAATTTGCATATTAATTATATATTAGAAAGATTTGATCTGACCACAAAATTTATTTTTATTTCCAAACCCTCCTTTTTATTGTAATTCGAAGGACTCAGAATTGTATAGGCAAGTAGCATTTAATCTTATTTAAGTTAATAGTAGTACTCTATATTTTATCTTTATATAAATTTTTATTTTTTTAATAATTTTATATTAAATAAATCAATACTAATAAAAAATAATTTATTATATTTCAAAAAGGGAGAGGCTATAAAATAATAATTCCAATCATTATCATAGGCTTTATAAAAATATTTTTTTAAAAACATTAGTTAGTCATTTAGTTATTTTAATGTGTTTGTTTTGAATATCTTTGTATTAGCTATAACCTTAAATTTTTTTATGAAATAAAGAATAAAATTAGTTTTAATATGATCATTTTTATTTTTTTTAAGTTCAAAAGATATAAAATAAATTTAAATTATATTAATTATAATTATTTTATTCATTAAAATGCTCTCTCTTTTATTTATTAATAAAAAAAATTATACAAACAAAGTTATTTTTGAGCAATATTAAATTTAATATAATTATATTTTATTTTTTTTAATTGGTTGATTTCAAAAATTTTATTTTAAATTATGCAATTTAAAAGATTATATTTTTTTTAAATTTAAAGACAGATACTCTGAACATAATTATTTTATGAATTAATATTGAGACTTCAAAAAATATTGCAAGCTGACACTCCTTCAGACTCTCTAACTAATTTACCAACATAGTCATCGTAACTTGGTTCGGCTTGTTAATTATTATAGTGGAAAAAGTATATTTCCATATCCTTAAATTATTCCTTTTAGTATCCAGTTAAATTGGGGACTTATGCTATTTAAATTTGAGCTTTATAATTTGTAATAAAAAATAATTAACCCTTTTCATTTATTTTTTCTCTTTAAATTTCTTAGAAATAGAATATCAAAATAACTAAAAATAATTTCAATTTCTATTCATAAAATTTAAATAAAAATAAAAATAAAATTTAAGCTCATATTCAATCTATGATTATGAAACATATATTAATATTAAAAGATATTACCTTGATCTATTCCATCAGAAACTATATAATTAGAATTTTAGGGAATCTGAGATGCTCTAGGATTTGCTGAGGCTTTTTTTGTTTTTTCTTCATACTCATCTTACTAAAATATATATTGATTTTGCACCTAAACTTAGGATTATTGATATTGAAGTTGTTGCAGTCTCTGTTATTATAACTATTATGAACTATCCAAGTTAATCTATTATTTATTTTAGATATTTTGTTAATCAACATGATGTTTGATCAAAATTAACAAGAAAAATTAAGTAAATCAATAGTATCAATAAAATTTATACATCAACAATATTATTTGAAACATTCTACTAACTCTATTGCTAGTTAATTAAGTTTAAGTTTGTTTGAGATCTACTTCTATCTTGAAGATTGGGCTTACTTATTTCTTAATTTTGCATTGCTTAGATATCTCTTTGTTAATACAAATTATCCCAGTGCTATTTATCTTAGACAAAGCTTCTATTAGGGGTATAGCTTTACCTACTGTTTTATATTTTTATAAAATATTTTAAAGCTTTTCGAATAAATGAATAAATTTAATAAAATATTTACTTTTGCACAGAAGAGTTAGCTAGTTGTGGCTAATAAGTACTTCTGTAATTGTTGTTTTAAAAGATCTTTTATCTACCGCTATTGTCTAAGTTTGATCTGTTTGCGAAGGATTATGATGGGTTTTAGTTTGAATCTTTTTTAATTTTTAAATAATTAATTTAAAATGGTTTTTATTAAGAGATAAAGAAGCTTTCATCCTAATAAGTATATATAAATGTCTTTAATTATTATAATTTCAAATTTTTTTCAATAAACCATATTATTAGCTCTTTGTTTGTTCTAATGCTGTCAAAAAATATATGTAATCGACATTTTATCGATTTAATCCAAAATTTATTTAAACAAATAAATAAATATTTCGCTAATTACTATATTAAAAATTAGGTGGTAGAGTTTATTCCATTCTTGGTTAATTCATGGCTGTGATTAGGTTTTGTACTTTTTATTCTCCAATAATTTTTTTGCTTAAAATTTAAAGCTACTGTCAGCAACGCAAGTTTATTATTATAAGTTTTTTATGCAGTATAATATTTCTAACAATTAGTTTTTTAATAATTCAATATGCAAATTTCTAAATCTGAAGTTAATTAATAAAATTGATTAGGGTGATTCACATAATAAATTTATTAAATATGCATCAAAAACCATTGGCTTTCCAATATTAAGATTACATAATTGATCGAGTTGATGGGATGATTGAATATTTTAAATTTGAAAGAGATAAAAATTATATTATAAAGTATGAGAATGGACAATGCGAAGTATTCATCTTGCTGTAATAGGAAACAAAAATTGTAATTAAATAGAATTTGATTAAATTTATATTATTCATATGAATGCATTTAATAGAAAACGTCTGCTAAAACGGATTATATAAATATATTGGATTTTTGTATGTTTTCAAATAAATATAGATTTACTAATTTAATAAAGAAGATAGAATTGACTTACTTTAAATACAAAGAGAATTTAAGATATTATATAAATAATAGAAGGCTCTATCTAGTAAAAGCCAAATTCATAGATAAACATAAAAGATATTTATTTATTTAGAGTATAAGGGTTTACCTAATATACTGATTTAACTTCTTGACTTCTCACGCTAGTCTAGAAACGATTAGTTAAAAATTATAAATTTATTAAGCGTGATTAATAAAAATCATATTGATCATTAATTATAAATATTATGAAATATAAAATTAATTATGGTAAAATCTACTTATTGAAAGTTATCACAATAATGATGTTCTTCATGTACTCTTTTTGTATCTAAATTTAATTAGACTAGGTTCATGAAAAATAATTTAATTAGTTATTTGCTCATAGAAGTGGAAGACATATTTTAGGCTTTGTACAAAAAGGTGTTGTTGATTATGGGAATGTAAATGATGTTATAAATAGAGCTTAATAATAAATAGAAGAACAAAAAATAGAATACGAAAGTTAAATCAATTACTCAAATAAAATGATTTCAAGAATATAAAACGATTAAGAGAAATATCTAAATATGATTCTTTAGAAAAAGTAGTTTAAAGAATTAGAGCTTTCATAACTAAATCAAAAATTTTACTAAAATTACAAGCAACCTAAAGACTATTAATAATAATAATTTTAAATTGGAAAGAGTAATCTAGATTGGCTTGAAGATAAAATAAAATAAACATAAAAAATTATTAGTGACTCAGAATAATAGTATAAAAAAGATATTGAGTAAGTTCAAACAAGTTTTTCTTCAGTTATAGATATATTTTCTTTAATCGATGAAATGAAGCATTTACAGAGGCTTAACTAGGCTGGGATAGGATAAAAAAAATAACTTCTTTCCAGTAAAGTCGAAGAACTATGCAAATCAAAAATTAGCAACTCTTTGATTTTTCTGAAAACAGAAATAAATGTTTTGCTAAGTTAAAATTTAGAAGACCCAAAGACTATAGAAAAAGTTAGAAACGACTTAAAAGTTTTAATCGAAGAAATTTTAGACAAAAGAGATGAAGCTTAAAGTTCTTATGAAAAAACACTGGCAGATTAAAATCAAGAACTTAATTACCTCTAAGAAAAGAAAAAAGAAGCTACATTAATGCTAAAAAAAGCAAATATCACTCTAAGCAATTTGGAAAGTAATTAATAGAATTTATATATATTTATTAGATTTGAAATTATCTCACTTTACAAAAATCTTATTCATTCATATATAAAAATTAATTTATTTTTTAAATATTTATCATATTTTCATTAATAATAGAAAATGTAGTCTAAATTGAATAAGAGATAAATGAAATTGAATAATTTCTTTCAGAAGTTGAAAATTAAATACAATAAAAAAATTAAGAAACTACTAATTTGGTTTAAATGCACCAATAAAAAATCAAAGAAATATAAAATGATTAACAAAAAATCTAAAGCATAGAATAAGCCCTTTACGACGATGCTTTTAGCACCTTCTTAGTTAAAAAATTAGAAAATTAGAACTTTAGAATTCTTGAAGACAATATTTGGTGATTTAAATTAAATTTATTTTTACTGGATTTAAAAACCAAAAACTATTAAGCTATTTATTTTCACATAAAATTTATTTTTCAACAAAAAATAAATTCAATTTACCAATAAGATTGACAAAAAAACTATGTTGCATTGATGTAATATTTCAACGCTCTATGCAGCAATATGTTTAAATTTTATATTTATTTAAATTTAAATTAATTAATTTATTTATAACTAACATCAAGATAAATACTTTTAATAACTAACCCATTAACTACATACTTTGCTATTAAAATTGTATATTACTTATTATTTATATTTTAACAAAAAATTACTTCTCTTTATTATTTAATTATAATTAATATCAAGATAAAATATTTTAAATAACTTACCACTTACCAATATATAAACAGCTACTTATATTTTTCATATTTATTTTTTACATTTTCATAAAATTCTTATTCTTCATCATTATTTTTTTAAGGATAAATTATTTTCTTTCACTCTAAATTTTAATTATATTTCTTTTTGCCTTTGAAAAGCTGTGTTTATAAAAGATTTCAATTAACTGCATTTGAATTATATTTTATTATAATTAATTTTAACTTTATATTTATATGGGATAGAAAAAATTAAAAAAATTATTTAATCTTAATTTATTATTAATGAAAAAAATAATAAATTTTTTATTTATTTCATTTGAATTTTTTTGAAAATTATTTTAAATTAATATTTAAATTAATAAATTAATGATTTTAATTTAAATAAGTAACTAAAGCAAGTTATTAATAATGTGATTCATAATAACTATGAAATAGATTTTTAAAAACATAATCTTACTATTACATTTAGTTAATCAAAAGATGTAAATAATTCACCATTTATAAAATAAAACTAGGAAATACTTTTTGGTTTAAGAATAAATAAATTAAGTGGTCCAGGATTGGAGAGTTACTTTAAGGAAATATGTGTTTGAAAATAAATCTTATATGTGAATATAAATAGATCTTACTTAAATTATTAATTTTTTTGGTTCAATTATTAATAAATTACGAATAATTTGTTAATTAATAATGATTATTAGGGGTGTTAAGAAAGAAGATTGTATTGTAAGGGGTGATTAGAAATCACCTAAGCAGTGTAGAGTACACGCAAGAAGTTTAATAGAGTTGAAAAAACACTTAAAAGATATAAACTATTAAGATTAATAATAAAATGAACAAATTTAAAGCAATCAGCAAGAATAAGTCGCAGATATTAAAAAAATTACAAGATAATTTTCAAACTCTTTTTTTAATTCCAAAAATCGTAATACAAGCAGCTCTCGCTTAAAAACAGATGAGGGAAGATAATCATTTCATAATAACTCTTAGTAATAAAATCTACATAATAATAAATTTGTTCCATTCATACATGAGCGTGATCGGCTTGGTAGATTAATCACTGTAATCATTTCATATTACAAAACTTTCAAAATTATAGACTAATATATTCGTTCTTTAAAATTCTTAAGCTGGTTTTACTTTATTAAAATGAAATAATTATATTATTTTTATTGATAGGAAAACTAAGACTAAGATGATGATTTGAGTGTTTTTACTTATCGTCCAAATACTTATAGGAAACATGCAAAATCAACAGACACTTTGAAGGTTAAAAATTTACCAACCAAATCGGGTGTTGTAAATGATGGTTTAAATAAAAATGCTTACGCTTAACTTAAACATAATGGGTTATTCAAAGAATAGAAAGCTGAAGACTAGCTAATAAAAAATAAAATTGAGGAAATGATATAAAATCACTAGTTGGAAAATAAAATTTTATTAGGAGTTAATAGACAAAATAACTATGAAGTTTAGTTGCAAGATAATTATAATGATATTTAAATGGTAAGCTATAGATTGAATATAAAACATTAAGAAGATTTGCAAAGGAAATAATAAATTGCAAATAGTTTAACTTATGCTAGAGGATTTTATAAAAGAGCATAAGCAGATGAGTAGTATAGAAGAGTAAAAACTAACCATTCTAGCAACCGAATATAAACAGTTAATACAGAAGAAGATTTGCCATAAGAAAATCAAGAAAAAAATGATTTCATAACTAAAAATTAAAAAAAAAATTATTTTTTAAACTTAAGAAAATAAACAGGCTAAAGCATAAATGATTAGTTAAAAATTTTTAAAAAACGAAATAATGAAATTTTAAATAATCCAATTCCTCCTCTTGGATTTTATGATGCTACGAATTCATAAGAGAACTGCATACTTAAAAAGTATCCTAAAGTAATTTTTAATAAGTAAGAAAGATTCATCAAAATCAAAACAGAAGAAAATGAAATACAATTAAGTAAGTAAAAAAATTCTCCATAAAAATCATCAACAATTTAGAAAGGTGAAAACTAAAAGTAGAATAATACAAGTGCTTCCCCTAAAAAACAATAAAAAGATGATAATATACATTAAAAACTTAAAACAGTAGCTGATTCATCAGTTGCAAAGATTGATTAGATAAATCCTAAAATACTTGAGTAAATTAAAGAGCAAGAAGAAAGAAGGTCTAGAATTGAAAAAAATATTGATTAAATAGCGCTTGATTTTAATAGTGAAAAGGCATCTACTATTTTTACTCAACATTTCTTGCAAACAAAGCAAAAAATGAGAAGAATAAGAAATAATTTAAATAATATGGAATTTGATACTCTGTAATTCTTTGATAAGTTAATATAGTAATAGCAAAAAAAATAATTGGACGATGGCTTATCTTGATATAAACTATATCTAAATATCAAAACATAAATAATTAAATATTTAATTTATTTTCATAAAATAATTTATTCTCTAATTTTAAAAATTATGAATTAACTATAGCAACTATCAATTCACTTCTCCTCAAAATATCTTTTTTTAATCATGTAACTAAAAATTAGTCTAGCATAAAATATTAATATAACTATGCTATCATATAATAATATTTACACTTTTTAAAAATAAACCAATTTTTTTAAAAATATAGATAAATAACTTAACTAAAAAAGTAGTAAAAAATATTTATTTTTATTAATAATTATTTTAATGGTTTATTTCTAATATATGGGCTTATTTTAAAAATATTTGGAACAAACAACCCATAATATAATATATTAAATATTACAGAATAAATAATAAATTAAAAAAAGAAATTCATAAATAAAAATTAATTTTTTAATACATAGTAAGCTTTTCTTTTGAACCAAAATAACTTATAATTTAAAATCTTAAAAGATATAAAATACTTAATACATAATAAAATTACAATTTAATTAATCATAGAAAATAAATTAATTTATGAATTATTTCTTAGATGAAATCCATGTTATATCAGATTTTTGATTAATTTAGAGTGACAATTATTGGCTAATAAATTTATCACTGAATCAATTTCATAAAATAGTATTTTTTTTTTTTTTGAATTTCGGTGAAAGTTTAATTTTTAGCAGATTCTAAATAAATTTTATGAGACCAACATCTGCTCATGGTAGAGGATTAAAAATCACGGCAGCAACTTAAGAAAACTTTTACAATAATAATAAAGCAAAGTATTAAAAAGCAAATAATAATCCTATTTTAGTAGGAAAAGGGATATTATCAGATGAACAAATAGAATAATAAATATTTAATTGTAAATAGAATGAAATAGAACTTTTAAAGGCATAGATGAATTTGAAGCTAGATGTTAATTAAAAGAAGTAAGAGGAGACTAAAAAGATAATAATGAATGGATATGAAGAGTAGTGCAAATTAATAAATGAGATGAATGAGAAAAAAATGGATACACTAAAGTAGGAGCAGGAAAAATTTGTAGAAAAATTATTATTAAAATAGAAATAGGAAATAAAAGATTTAGAATAAAGTTATGAAAGTAAAATAAAATAGCTCAAGCAGTAAATAGATGAATAATAAAAAGAAATAATAAGGAGATAAGAGGAGATGGGTAATTAGTTTGAGAAAGAGAAGGAAAGGCTAGAGTAAAAGCATTAAAAAAAACTTGAAGAAACTAAATAAAAGTAGAAGAGCAAGTTTAATTCAAAAATAGAAAGAATGAAGTAGGAATGGATTGAAGAGTAAGAGGAAGATAAAGCTAAAGTTAAGAAAGAGTGCTAAAAGGTTGTACAACAGGAAATAATAGAAATGAAACAGTTGATAAATAATATGAAAGAATAGATTAATGAGTACTAGATTTAATTAAATTAAAGGACATTATAGGTTGATGAGTTGAATCAGCAATTAAAATAAATATTAGAGTAGAATGCTTTATTATAAAAAAAAGTTGTAAATTTGGATTAAAGTAAGAAAAGACTGAAAGCTTAAAATGATATAAATGAAAGTTCAGAAAATAGTAGACAGTTACATAATTAGCAAAGTAAATAAAAATGCTAGAAGATTGCAGAGCAAGATGAAAGCAGTGATCTTACAGATTTTGAGTCTTTAAGTAGTGATTAAATTTCAGAATAGCAAATAAGAAAAGATTAAGAAGAGGATTTTGCATATATAAACTAAATTTAGTAAGATGTCTCTGTTCCTTACAGTGGCTAGGTATAATAAAATAATAATGGTAATAGTGATAATTGTAATACTAACACTAATGATGAATAAGAAATGATGGATTTGTAGCAGTTACAGAGTGATATAAAATAATCAATAAGATATTAAATTAATCTTTTACATAGTAAATCTTAATAGAATTCAAACTAATTTAATTAAGGTAATTAATTAGACACTTTAGGTCCATTTGAAAATAATGCAGTTTAGAATTCACTTGAAAATATCAGCTTAAAAATTGAGAAAAATGAGTCAATTAAGATTTAGTCAAAAGATATTTATTAAAATAAAGGAAATTCTTAATTTTTGAATATAGACTAAAAAATTAATCATCATTTACAAGATATCTCATTAAATGATTCTCAAGATGTGATACTGGAAACTCAAACAGAAGGTAATAATCGCAATGTATATAGAACCTCTTAAAAGTTTGACAAATGCATTAACACAAGCTTTGATTTTAAAGATGAAGTAAGTGAAAAACAGAAGGAAATTGAAAATTTGAGAATCAAAATTGAAAACTAAAATAAAGAAATTGAAAACCAAAGAAGGCAGATGGAGAGAATAATAAATGAATAGGAAATTCAATTTAATAAATAAATGAAAAATGTTATGGAAAAGGTTGTGGAGAATAAGAAAAGAGAAAGCATTATTATTAAAAACTACTAATTCGAATTATCCAATCTTATGACTAAGATATAAAATATCACCAATATCATAAATGAAGCAGAACTTCTCCCAAATATGAAGTAAAATTAAGAAGTTCTCCTTGTTAAAAAATAAAATTAAGAGATTCTCCAAAATAATTAACCAAAGTAAGGAGAGCCAAATAATAAAATTGGTGAAAATAAATCTGACCAGAAAAAAAGTGAAATTAAATCACCTAAATTTGTAATTCACTAGAAATAAAATACTTAGTCTCAAAAAGCTTAAATAATTGTAAGAAGTAGTATAAAATCTGTTAATAATATTGATTAAAAATAAATACAATAAATAAATAACAAATAAAATAAAATATGATTGATTACATATAATTAATTTGCACTGGTTACAGTATTAAAATTGTAATTCCAATTTTTTATCAAAAATCTGATAATTTGATTCAATAGATTTAAATTTAAAATGAGAAAATAAAATAAAATTAAAAGATATTTCAATTATAATAAATGAATCAATTAGTAGATGTTTTCAAACCATCAAAATTGACATTTATTTCTGATATTTAACGTTTAATGTATTAGGAGAAAAAACACTTTTATTTTATCTTTCTCACAGCTGGTAAAATTACCTAAAACTTAAAAGAAACACTTTTTTAAACTTAATTTTAAATTCCTTTCACTCAATAAAAAACCATAAATTAAGCAAGGCAATTCTTGAATACAAACAAATTATTTCTGATTAATTTTATAATATTTTGTGTAACAATAATAAATTGTCTAATATCAAAAATTAGTTATAAAGAAGACAAAAATATATTTATTTAAAAGTGTATCTTCCGATTATATAAGTTTTATATTACTCTATATTTATTTTGTACTTAAATTCTAAGTCAGTAATTTATTTTGGCTTTTAGACAATAATAAATTTGATATCATTCCTCTTTAAAAGTTTAAAAGACAATAATATTCCATCTAATAGTTTTAAAAGATGCGTTTTAATATAAATGCACTAGATTTTATCATACCTAAAAAACTATTTATTTGTGGTGATTAATGATTAATTTTAATTGCATCATAATTCTTTTAAAATTAAAAATAAATTAATCGCCTTCTAAATTTATTAGTTTAAGTTCTTTTAGAAAGGATAAATATTTTTAAAAATTAAATGGTGAAAAATCTTAATAAAATAGTTATTTTCTCATTTTATAATTTTTAATGTGGAGGAAGGCATTTATTTATTTAATTTATTAATTTACTTAAAACCCATGAAATTTAATTTGTAAGAATTTAATCGAACTTTAATTTTAATAAATAACAAGGATAATTTATTCAGAAATTATTTTAGTTATTCTATATGTTACAGTTTTGGAGATATTTACAGACTAATTTTCTAATAGAAGTTTAAAAATTTAAAGAGTAAATTAAAAACTCATTTATCATTAATTCATAAAGGGATGAGAAAATACATATTTATGATATGTTCTTTATAATTTCTTGTTAGAAGGCATAATAGAAATTAAAAATATATCAATGCTTTAAGGTGTTCTAATGGTTTTGCTTTATTAATTATCTAGTTAATCTCTTTAGAAAAAAATCAATGAAAATAGTTTTCAAGAATAATGATGATAATGATAATCATCACAAGAAGAAAAAGGAAATAGCTATTTACTTTGCAAAAGATGATTCAATCCAAAAACAGATTTAAGAATTAATAAAAAATAGATAGTGTTGGGTGGATTATTAAAGCTTTTTAAGCCTAAAACAAACATTGATTTAATAAGATTATTTAGCAAACAAATTAAAAATAATTAAAAAATCAAAGAAACTATCAAAAGTAAAAAAGAGTCTAAATAATAAGTAAAAGCTGTCTGTGATAAGAAGGTGGATAGGCTCTAAATTATATCAAATACTATTTTAGATAATAAATTATTAAATATTATTATAGACTTTTCTTTTCATAGAATAGTGTATCACAAACATCTGATTTATTTATTTTAATGTAAATGAGTTTTAACTAGCAATTTACTTAAAGCGGCTCATTTCCCATATAGCAGTATCCAAGTATGAATGGCTCTACTTATTCTTACAGCAAAAGCATAAATATGAACGCTAAGAATCAAAGTGATTTCAGGAATTCTTTATTTTCTACTAATACGGATGGACCAAGTTCATCCTAGATTCCACAATAGTTTTAAGGATAATTTAGCAACAATGATTTACGCTTCTCTCCTCCCACTAGTTATTAATAGTAGCAGTAGTAGAATATAGAAAAGGGCTATATAGAGCATTTAGATTTATCTACATTCAAGATTGAGAAGTGCAAAATTACAGAAAATCATAACATTTACGTAATACCTCTTGCCTTTAATTTTGTTTTCAACAATATAAAAAAATTACACCACGAAAGAAATCTAATTTTACATTTATATTTATTTTTTGAATTTGACACATTAAAGTGATTACAAATGTTAGAGCTATTACTTTTTGAATATAAAATTGATTGTTAGCAAATTTTATGCTAAGGCGCTAAAAGAAATCAGTTGTTTAAATAAAAATGAAATTTGAGAAAGCATTTAATTTATTATTACTATTAAGCTCTTAATCTCATATATTGGTTTTTGTGATAAGAATTGAGAAATCAGTATTTATTTTTTAGTTAAAAAATTTAATCAAATATCTTAGTTAATTTAATATATGAGATTAATTCTTTTAATATTCAAATTATCTTTAAAAAAAATCACAAAAAAACAATATTCATTCATTCTTACTTAGATCATAATGATATAAACATCTTAATAAATTTACACATCCTTCTAGTTAAAATTGAAGTGTATTACAAGTATTTAAAATCTAAAAGGTAAAAAATAAGAAAATAGTTAATTACTAATTGATAAAGCTAAAAATATTACAAATTGTTCTGTAATATTAAATTATGAGCTAGATTATTTTAGTAAAAGAAATACATTAAAGAATATTTTAAGTGAGAACCAAAACGCTGCAATACAAATGTATTAGAGAAAATCATAATAGAATAAAAATGATAATAAGCTGTTAATATAAATTTTTAAAATTGTATTTTATTGTGATTATTTTATCACCTAATTTATAAAAGCTCGATATTTTTGCTAACTATTTATTTTTTTTCTAAATTGTGTAACCTTAATAATTAAATTTTTTAATTATTTTATTTATTAAATTTAGAGATGTCCTTATTACCACAACTCAAATGATAGGAGAAGAGTTTGCTAGGTTTTAAGTGAATAATGCGATTAGGGAGATAGGTGCTCTTTAAAAGATTAGTGCCCTAAAGCACATAGCTCAGCTGAAGTTCATTACTCAAAAGATTAATATAAAAAGAAATTTTGCAAACACATTAAAAATTTGAATAATTGCGAATATGGAAATTATTGTTCGTATGCACATAGTGAATAAGATATTTTGATTGAATTGATTCATCTCCTTGAAAAGGATGATGATTTTTACATGTTTCATTATAAAACAGTCATGTGTCCTTTCATTGACTGTTAATAGCGTGATAAATGTGAGTATTATCATAACACTTAAGATTTTAGAAGGAGACCAGATTAATACTCTTATGAACCAGAGACTTGCCCAAAGTGGCCATCAAAAGATTAAATAAAATAGTATGAAAAAGGATGTCCAGAAGGTTATAATTGCAATAAATGTCATGGATGGAAGGAACTAGATTACCATCCAAAAGTATATAAAACAAGAAGTTGTGAAAAATGTAAAAAGTAATAGCACTGTCCTCATTACCATAACTCAAAAGAAAAAAGGTAAAATTATTTAATAAAATAAGGATTTTTTATTTGAAAGTTTGTTTTTCCTGAACAAATAAAATTACAAATCTATTTTGATGAATTTTATAAAATTTTTAAATTAAAAATGAATTTTTCTTTAAATATATTTTTTTTGTGAAAATTTTGAATTCAAGCAAACTAACTAAAAAACAAACAAAAAAGAAAGTATGCAGTATTTTGATTTTTTTTGTAATATAGAGATAATTTATTTGAAAATAATAAGAAACTTGTATGGTTTTTATTAGGATAGAATGTAAATAGATATGAATCTAGATCGAACATTATATTATTTTTGATTATTAAAATGAAAGAATTTAATACCAAAAATACATTAATTAATTAAATAAATTATTTCCTCTTTTTAATTTTTAATTTATATTAAATACACTTTTATCACCACTAAACTGTTTTGGAAATTTAATTTTTGTGAAAATAATTAGCTTTCAATAAACAAAAAATTTTGTCATCTAATATCTATCAATCAATTTATGCATCAATAGAACGATTTTTTTTACTTTCTCCAAATTAAAATTCATAAAAAATTTTAGATTTGATTAAGAAGAATCTATAACATTAAAAATTTAAAATACCTATCCATCTTTTCATTAAATAGTTTTATACTTAAAAGATATTTAAAATAATTTTTTAATGTAATTTTAAAATATGAAGATAAGTACCTGATACAGTGTTACAAAAGATATTTAGATTAGTACCAAAAAATTCATTTTACCTACAAATGAAAAAATAATTATCTTCGAGCTTAAATAATAGTCTGAATAACAATGAAAATAGTAGCTTTACAACAAATAATTCTAGAAACAACAATAGCTCTTTTATGAATAGCTAAATATAGCCTAATCCTGCTTCTAATTCATACTAAAGCAAAATACTTAGTTAATCTAATGTTTCTTAACAAGATATGTTTATGCTTAATCAAAATATTTTATAATTCTAAAATTCCATGATCAATAACAATGGAGCTAACTCCTCTATTCAACTAGGACTTAATGGAGCAAGAGGAAGTAATATGCCATAAAATATGGGTTCTATGCACTTTTAAATTTTCAATGACTAAATTTCTAACCCCTCTAATTTTTAAGTTAGCCCTCAATAAATGGCTTCTTCTGACTTTTTAACATAATCATAAATGTACTAATTTAAATAACAATTTCAAGTATTTAATCCTCAAGATTCGTACTCTGAGAGCTAAGTTTTGAACAATTTTGAATAGTCCAACAGATTCAATGAATCTAATAATCTTTAAATCATTAAAGAGAGTCCGCACACATCTAATTTATCCTCCAGTATTGCTTAAAATACTTAAAATAGCAATAATTGGGTGAGCAATAATCAACAATGCGAAAGTGATGAAGAAAATAGCAGCCCAAGTAAATATTATTAATTAAACTCATTTACATTTTTTCTCTTGTAATATTCAAATTAAATAAAAACCCCTTACAAATTTAAAGATTCATAAAAAGTTACATCATCCTAAAGGCTAAAAATAAAAATTAATTTAATATTTTTTGTAAACCAAATAGATTTTAGCAATAGAAAAAGGAGCAATAGCGAAGGAGAAATGAATGAGTAATTATAAAAATTGCACCTTTCATAAAATTAATATTGTTCACGCTCTTAAAATGATTTAAACAACTCAGACAAATCAAATAGTCACAGTAAAGCCTCTGGATAATCTCCAATAAAGCAAGCAAATAAAAAATCTAAAAACAAGCAATAATATATTGTTAAGGAATACAGTGACTCAAATTCATAAGGATCAAGAAACTAACTTAGTGATGATTATAATCAAAGTCAAAACAAACCAAATTACAGTTTATTTGATCAATCTAAGACAGGTAAATAATAATTCATAGTAAAATATAAATATTTATAATATATTAAAAACTTTAGTAGTAGATAAACATATTGAAGAAATGCTAAACGAGTGTATGTAGCTCTAAAATTGAACAAATGTCAATAAATCAAAAATAAAAAAATCAAAATTAACAAAAATTAATTTTTGAAAAAATTTACTTTTTAATTCAAATTTATTTCAAAAAATTTTCTTTATTTGAAAAAAGTCTTAACTTAAAAATTCTTGTCTAGAAATTCAAAATTATTCAGTGCAATAGTGCTTGCTTTATAGCTCATTTATAATGATCATACCCTATTTTAAAAAAACTTAATAAAATAAATAATTAGGTATACTTTAGCATGCTTATTGATTGAATTATTTTAGAATAATTAGATAAGTATATTTAATTTCTCCATAATCTCAATAAAATTTATTCACTCACTCACTCATTCATTAACCTATTCATGCATCAATCAATATATTATATTATACAAATAAATAAATAAATAAATAAATAAATAAATAAATAAATAAACAAATTAATAAATATTCTTCAAAGCTTTTAATATATATACATATATAAAGTAACAAATTTTATGTTTTAATAATACTCATATTTGATTACATTATTTTATTTATGTTTAGCTATTTGCTATTTATTTAAATCAGTTTTACGCTAAAAATTTCAGTTTCTTCCTTTTTATTTAGCAATTATTGATGATATTTATTGCTTTTGAGATTAAATAACTCATTAGAATTTTTGTTAATTATTTTTGATTTTTATAAAAATATTATGATTACCAAGCCTTCAAAAAAATACAAATTAAAAAAATTAGTACAAATATATCTTAAATAGATATCCATCCAATATTTACAAGAAGATAAAAAAAATACTTAAATAAAAGAATTAATCCTAATTTTTAAATAACTTTTCTTTTAAAAGAAAATAAACATATTAATAAAATAAATGCAATCAGCTTAACTTTAAAAACAAATTTAGATATGAATAAGTATTTTAAATATTATTAATTGTTTAATTTTACTTTAAAAATAAAAAATATTTAAACTAATAAAAAGAGTCTTATATATACGTATTAAGTATAAGATTATAGAAATCAAAAGAAAACATCTTTATAAATTAATATATGTATTTTTCATTATTATGATAATATTTAAAAAATGTCTATTCTTCAAAATATAGATTTATATATTAATAATAAATCAAATTATATATATATTTTTTAAGATAAAATATTAAATTAAATAAAAATGTTACAATAAAATAGAAGAAATTTAAGACTTGATAATAATCTAGTTTTATTTATAAAAAATTACATAATTAAAAAAAAATAATTATAATTATTAAATATTTTAAGAATAGTAAAAAACAACCAATGAAAATATTATTTATTTTATAAAATAAATTTATTTTTGATTTAAAGTTAAAATCATTAAAAAATGAATTATATTTTCGATAAATTATATTTTTACAATGAATAAGCATTATTCTATTTATAATAGTGGCTCCTTCATTTATAGCATATTAAATTTTACTTTTGATATTTTAAATATTTTGAAGTAATTCTTCTAGAAACATCAAAAAATAAATCTTTTTTTAATAAAATTAAATCCAATTAATTTTATTAATATGCGAAGTAATTTCAGCAACTTATTTATCCAATCAACAGTATAAATTAATAATTTATAAAAAATAATTTATTTTTTTTCATAATAAACTGTAGTGTAATTATAAAGTTAAAATTAGTGCTTTTAATAATACACAAAATATTGATAAATTCTTCAAATTGGAATAAATATTATAATATTATTATATTTTCAAATTATAAAAAAGGAAGGACAGAATTTCTTTTTTCTATTATTTTAACAATTTATATAAACTATTGTTATCAGGAATGAATTTTATGGGGCAGTTTTTGATAATAGAGCATCTCTCTAATCTTTTATTAGATATTATGATTATTAAATTGACTACTTTTATTTATTTTAATTAAAAAAGATTTATTAATAAAAGATTTAGATTTAGAAAACCAACTTCAATCAAATTAAAAAAATGTACAGGTCCATAGTAGTTAACAAATACAAGGATGATGATTAGATTACCATCGAAGATTCCTCTTTAGATGAACTAAGAGAAGAATTAAATGATAAAAATTTTTTAGTTAAGCTTCATGCTGCTCCTATAAACCCACTAGATTTGCTAAAGTTGAATGGGCATATCTTTTCGTACAAACCTCCATTCACACCTGGCTCAGAAGGTTCAGGAGTAATAGTTGAAGCCAAAAATAAAGAACTAATAGGAAAGAAGTTATCTTTCATCTCTCCGATAGGTTCATGGAGAGAATACTCTGTAGTTTCTGAAGAAAATGCCATTTTGTTAGGAGATGATGTGGATCTAGATTCTGCTGCATGTGGATTTATTAATCCATTAACATCATAAGGCTTAGTTCTCTAAGCTATCAACCACAATGCTAAAGGTATTGTCAATTTAGCTGCCCAAAGCACTATTGGTAAGATGATTAATGATTTAGCATTTGTTAGTGGGTTGAATTGTTTAAATGTAATAAGAGGAGATCAAAAAAGAGTTGATGAGCTCAAGGAGTAATATAAAAACTAAAATGTTATCACTTTAGACTAAGATCCCATAGAATTTTAGAAATAAGTGAAAGAACTAAGCGAAAAATTATAGGCTACTGTTTGCTTAGACCCTTTAGGAGGTCCTGTTTCTGGCTAAATCTTTAACAATCTTCCAACAAATAGCAAATTAGTAAACTACGGATCTCTAAGTGGTAAAGACATAGAGGGTATTAATCCAGTATAGCTAAGATGGAAACATAAATCGATAGTAGGTTTTGATATATTTAGTTGGTATGTAGGTTTAAAGCCTGAAGAAAAGAAAAAATCAAAGAACATTGTCAGATAACATGCAAATACTATATTTAAAATCTAAATTGAACAAACTTATAGCTTTGATTAAGTAAAGGCAGCTCTAACATTATTCAGAAGCTTGAAAGGAGGTAGAAAAATAATTTTAAAACCATTTATTTGAAACAATTTATATATATTAAATTTAAAATTTGATTGAATATTAATTAACATGTATTTAAAATTAAATGTAAATTTTGTTTTTTTTATAGAAGTCATTATAGTAGTTAAATCTTAATCTAAATATAAGCTTATGCCTTTAAAAAAATTATGGAATATTAAAAGCATATTAAAAACAATAAAAAATTTCGACATTTTCAATTTAAATTTTTAAATAAAATATTTAATTTAAGTTATTTATTTCTTTTTTCTATTTTAAAATTAGTTTATAGATTTTAATTGAAATTTGATTAATATTATTAAGAAATTTTGGCTAATAACAAGCTAATTTTTATTTTATTATTAAATAATTAGTTTACATTTTAATAAAAATATAATATAAAAATATCTTTTATAATAAAATGAATTAGAAAATGTTTATATTAAACATCTTACACATTAAAATAATATTGTATCAATTTATATATTATACATTTATGGTACAGTTTATTTTATATATTATTTGTTTATTTATTTTTAAATAGTAAAGTAAAATAAATATTTTTTATTTATTCATTTTTGAGATTAAAATTTTAAGAAAACAGATTTATATGCTTGCTATCCCCATAGCTTATCCTGGTATTACTTCGGTATACTTAGGATTTATCTTTCAATATTGTTCTTAATTTTTCCTACATCAACATCTTTTATTCTTTTTGCTGTTTCAATCAGCCATTCTGGATTTTCTAAGTTAATTTATTGCATTTCATCAATTTCATATTCTGTTTCAGGCTCTTTTTACTAACTCTAAGAATTGTTAGGTGTTGTTGCAGATTTTAATGATGAAGATTTATTTTGATTTGATTTTACTATTTCTGGCTCTTCACATTCATGCTTTCTTTCCTTTTTAGTATTGCCTTACACGTTTAAAGGAGACATTGAGATTATATTTTTTTTTTAGTGATATAGGTTTGAAAAGGTAAGTAGCTTTTTGAAATCAGTAAAGCTATTTTTAATTGTCGACAAATCTTAATCATTGTTAATACTACTAACTTAGGATCCTCTTAGGGGAATAAAGAGTGGATTGGAGGAAGACACATCGCTATTTCTAACTGAGGGAGAAGGAGAAAAAGTTTATCTATTGTTATCATTTATTGGTGTAAATTCTTATTTTATAGGCGTGTACTTCAAATTTGGAGATAATCCTTATAAATCAACGCTGCTATTTCTATTAAGTGTTGAAGACCGATGAAGTGATTAAGAAGAAAAAATATTTCTTCTTAATAAAGGAGACAAATCTCTATCCTGTTACACTTTTTCTTCTTTTTGCAAATCTATTTTTTTGAATTAAATGTCCACATTTCTATTAAAATTATTACTAATTGTTTATTTCTTTTTTTCTTCTTCCAATTGCTGAGCTGTTTTCTTGATTTAATCCATCACCATTCTTTATGCATGCTGAATTTTTAATGGATTAGACAGTTAAGAAAATTTTTACACAGAATTTGAGGCTTAAAGCTGTGGTTATTACATTAGTTATGTTGAATTATAATTAGGATCATTTTTTTTATTTAAACTTGTTGTATCTTATTCTATATTAAACCTAACATTCTTACTATTTTTTTCCTAGCTGTTCAAGCTGTTGTGCATTGATAATGTTGATCTTTACCTTTATGAGCTATTTTATATTGAATTCGATGGTAATCCAATATTGTTCATAAAGTTACTTATTTAGCCATTATTTATTTAATAAAAATTATTTTAGTTATTTTAACTGCTAGAAGCTACATTTTAAGTTTGAGGAAGATTTTTTACAGAATTAAATTTAGCATTTTGCATAAAATCTAATATCTCTTATGCAATTTATTTCTTAAGTTATAATTTGTATTAAATATCTCTCGAATTAAGACTTTTAACTTTTCTATGTAGGCCTCTAATAAGCCCACTTTCCTTCATTTCTTTGTAGATTTCAATATACTATTTTTTTTTATACCTCTGCAGTTGCTTGAAGAAAGAGAAGATATTGTTGTTAATATTCATTTCAAAGTCCCTTTTTTATATCCGATATACTATAGTGTCTGCTTCAGCATAGCAGGAAAAGATTCTCTTAGAGTTATCGTCTTCAAAGCCCAAAAAATCTCCTTCTGAATATTCTTTTATAGGCTCTTAAAGACCACTTTTTTTAAGTAGCATTTTCCCATAAGAAATTAAATAGTAATAATCCACAATATCATTTTCGTTATAGACATAACCACTCAGCTCAAATTTGTGAAGTTCAAAGTGAAATGATAATTCTGAACATCTTAGCATCATCTCAATACTTTATTTCTTTTCTTCAAAAATCTAGCTATTATTTTACTCACTCTCATTGAGCTTCCTTTCTTCTGTTGATTCTTGCATTTAATTCTGCTCACCTGAAATCTATCTTTCTCTTATTTACTCATCTATTTTATTTGGTTTATCCTTTTACTTATTATTTTTCTATTAGCTAACATAATGCGAAAACACAGTATCCAAAATATTTGCACTAGCTGTTTTCTTTTAAGGCGAAATAGGACTGCTGTTAGGGTTGTTTCCTTATTAGATAATTTGTGAAAGTTTTTCTTCTTCTTACAATAAAAGTCTTACATTTTATTCATTTTTACAAAGCATTTCTGCAAGGTGGCGATTTATAAAATTAAATCTATAAGCTTCTGGTTAAAAGAAAAATTCATACTTTTTTTTAGGTAAAATGATAACAGTTGTGTCTTCTGTTGCAATAAATGTTGCTTCATGATATTAAGTGTACCCACCAAAGGCTTCACCAGGTGTTAAAATTTTTATTTTTTTATAGACACAATTATTACCACTAAAATACACATGCGAGTAATATAAATCGCTATTTAATAAATCTTCATCATCTTTATTAATATATTTATACGAGTTATTATCTCCATTAAATTTCTATCCCTCGCTACTCCATTAAATAACACCTAAAAGACTTGCTTGCTATGTAGGAACAAAACAAGCAACTTTACCCTTCAAAATAACATAAAGATGATTATCTGGGTCAATCTTATGATAAATAAACTGATTTTTGCTATATTTTTTCATTATTACATATTTATATAATCTAAAAATATTTTTTTTGGATTCAGGCTAGCCAATAGCTAATTTAAAATGGGCACTATCTTAAAGAAGATTACCTAACCTTATTTTTTCAGTTTTGTTAAATAGTAAGGGATTCTTACTTTGGAGCAAAAGCTAAATACCATAAATCTCATTCATCTTAATTGAAAAATATAAGTAAGTTTCTGATTATTAAAGAATAGTTGATTATAAATCAATCTATGAGATATTTATCTAAAAAAATCTTACTCTTATTTTTTATAAATTATTTATGTAATTGCAATTTATTCATCTAATTATCAAAGTATAAGAATTACATTAAACCAACCAATTATTTATTAAAAATTTCAATTTAAACCATTAAAAATATTATATACTTTTTCTCACTGTACTTTATAAAAAAATTTTTTATGGCATCTTAGCTCACATATATCTCAGAGATTAAATTAAAACTTAATCAACTTTTAAATTTCTATAATCTTTTTAGCTAATTTTATAAATTTTTCAAAGATATATTAAACTTATAAAAAATTAAAAGATGTCTTTGTCCAATTTTAGAAATTTTTATTTGATTTTTTAATTTTACTAAAAATATCATAAATATATTTCATATGACTTTTGGTTATTAAAGTATTTTAATTAATCAAAAGACATTAATCTGTAAATTAATCAATATCTAAAGATTAAATTACCATTTCGAAATAAATATCTATAAAAAGTTATTAAAGAATCTAAAAACAAAAATACTGATAATACTAAAATAAAAAATACTGCTATATATTACTATGTCTCATATTATATTTTATCAATGATATAAAATATAATTATAACTATTAATAATTTCCTGGTATTTTCATTTTAGTATAAATCTCATCAATGTATTTCATATGACTTTTGGTTATTAAATTATTTTAATTAATTAAAAGACATTCATATGTTTAATATCTAAAGATTAAATTACTATTTAGAAATAAATATCTATAAAAAGTGATTAAAGAAGCTAAAAACAAAAATACAGATAATACTAAAATAAAAAATACTGCTATATATTACTATGTCTTATATTATTTTTATCAATAAATAAAATATAATGATAACTATCAATAATTACCTGGTTATAAAACTATTTTTAATTTTTGAAAAATTTTAGAATAATTTTAAAGCATGTATGCAAATTTATTTATTATTTATTAAATAAATATTGATCTATTTACTTATTATTTATTCATATAACTATTTGGAATGAAATAATATTATTAATTTTGAAAAAATATACAAATTAATGATATAAATATAAACATCTATTGTAAGTTTATTAAACTTATACTTTACAAATTAATACAAATATTTTTTGATTACTTTTGAAAAACAAGGACTTAATGAATGGCTAACTGACTAAAAACTATAATTTGAAAACGCACAATATTAATTAGTTTATTTTAATAAATTATTTTTTTAATTGTTTTTTTTTTCGTTAGTTCATTCTTATTTAAAATATCATATAAAATTTTAATCAATGTTTTTCTAAGTTGCTGTTGTTGCTTATTCGGCATTTCCTGTATTTTCAGATTAAGGTTATGCTTATTGCTATTGCAGATGCTACTGCTGCTATTATTATTAATATATTTCATTCTAAGTATAATTTAACTAATATTATCCAGTACTTTGTTGTTATTATTGTTATTACTATTGGTTTGATCTTGAATACTATTGCTATAGTTGAGGCAGTTGCTAGCCAGCAAAATTTTAATTTGATTCTTAATTGCAAGCATTTGAAAACATTGTTTTTTCAAAGAAAGAAGAGGGAGAAGCTATTTCATTCTTCTAGTAGCTATTATTAGGTGCCTCAGAGTTAATATTTGCATTTATTGGAGCAACCTGTTAGAAAGATTTTAAAGAATTTACTCTATGGGAGAAATCCTGCTCTTAATTTAAAATACTATTGTAAGGATTTTATGCAGTTTATTAACTATACATATTTTGCTACCCCCCATATGAAGAAGTCCTATTAAGACTTAACTCTGTAGGGTATTAAGAAAACTATTAAAGATTATTGCTATACAAGTTAAATTAAGCTGGTTGTTATGGTGTTGGAGGAGGTGTATTCTTCATAGATACTTTATCATCTAAACCATTAAATTAGCCTTAAGGGTATCCAGTTTATCCTAAAAAATTACTATTTTATTGCATACTAAATTGATTTAAGAAGTTATTACTTGGGTTTATATTATATGAAGGATAGTTTCCTATAGCAGAACTAATAACCTCCATTTAATTTTGAATTTATTATGCTAATAGAGGATTTTAAGGATTACCTGCTGCATTCTTTTGTGATAAGAATGAGTTATTACTCATCATTGAGGAATTTCTGTTGCGACTATCATCACCCTAGTTTTGCTAATCATAATTTTAATATTTTATTAGGCTAGTAGGATCATCGAAATAGTTTAGCCCGAATGTGTTGTTAATTTGTTATGAAACAGTAGTATTATAAGGATTCTAATATTATGCTTAATACTATTACGATCCTTATGAATATTACTTTTGTAAGGTCTATTGAGCATTAAGCAGAGAGGAATCGTTTTCACTTGCAAAGAAATTAATTGCTCTATAATTATTTCCTGTATTGATAACAAGATTTTTACCTCTGCTTTAATCTATCTAGTTAATTTATTAATTAGGTTGTTATACTAATTGGTTTTGTGAAATAAGATTAGGAGCTTATTAAATTTAGTTTTGTTGTGGGTTAGCAGGATTTTGAGCAGGTTGCTATTCTTTTGCTTGTGCAGAAAGTTGAGGAGGGAAGGGTTATTTTTAATCTTATTTTGATTATTATTATTACGATGAAGGGCTATTATTAATAGGTTGAGTTGGTGCACTGCTTTTTTCATCTAACTTTTTCTAGTCTATTTTTTTAGCACTTGCCCCTTATGCTAAAATGGGGGATATTCCACCACTAATAGCTGCAGGCGAATGTAATCCTGGAATATTTCCTAAGCTCTTTTGAGAATTTATTTCAGCCAAAGAGCCTATATCATTTTGAGAAAGTCTCTAAGCTTATTAAACTTAACTCATTTACTACTAAGCTGGAATTTATTGCATGTTATCAAGAGTCTTTGAAATCTACTAATTAGAATAATTAGCCATCATATTAGCCTAACTCGCTAGATTAATACTTTACTGACTCTTAGATCCTTATTATTATTAATTAATTTGATTACTATTACCGATTAATGGCTATGATTGACTTTACTATTAATTCAGCTAGTAATTCTATTGCATTCTTAAATGTTATTATTGTTAAGACTAAGGGTGCTAAAGAACGTTTGAAAATAATTAAGGATTTTATTGCATTTACTGTAATGGAAGTTGATTATTTTAGTTTTAATAAATATTTTAAGATTAGATCCCATAATTAACTTACTAAATTGTATGCTACTAAGGTTATCCCTAGATCAAATTCTACTATTACTAAGGAAGATATTGTGCATTCTGCTAAGTTTGCTGCTGATTTTGTAATTAAATTTGGTTTTGTATTAATTAGTGTGGATTATTTTATTGCTATTAATACTAATTAGAATTTTAAAATATCTACTAAGATCCTAAACCTATTATTTAATTTTAATTTTAGAATTAATGCTATTGAAGCTTTTGATGATGCTATTACTAATATTATGGCTATTACTACTGCTATTGGACTTACTAGTGCTACTGCTATTAATATTACTGGATAGTATTGGTTTGATTTATTAATTGCTAAGCAGCTTAGTTAACAGGAGCTTACATATTTAAATATCCTTAATTAAGAGAATTACTTTATGCTTAATAGGGCTGAGATAGTAAGTTATTTTAAAATTAATTAAGCGGCGTATTATTAAAGTAAGGAGCTAAAGGTGGAGAAACTTTTGTAATATCATTAATAGGATTTTTAAGCTGTTCTAAAATTTATTGGTTTTATTTTTGTTAAGTATTCTATTGAGGTTGGTTAATTTATTGCTGCTATTACTAATAAATGATTTAGTCTAAATTTTTTATAGTAGAATTATCTAAAAATCCATTAAATTATTATTGGTATTAGGTAAGCAAAATGTTTTACTGCAATTGATTTTATTGCTGTTGAGCTTATTGTTATGGTGATTGCATAAAAGAAATCAAGTTATTATTTAAAATATTTCCTCCCTATATAATTTAATTTTAAATATCTTATTTTAGGTTTTTAGTGGTGTCTAACACTTCATCTAAAGGCTATCCTTTAGTTGTTTTCTTTCTTTTTTAAGTAGCCTAAGTAAGAGCTTCAGCTGCTGCAGACTAAACTTGCTCAGATTTTTATATGTTAGGTGAGGGTTGATTTAACTTTACATTCTTTTTAACTCCATGAATAGTTTCATAATAACTTTCTGGAGAATCTTCTATTACACTATTTATTATATCTTCTATTGCCTGCATACTTAACCCTGATAATTTAATCTCAACTTCTTTCAAAAAATCCATTTTTTCTTTAAATGACTTCTGATGTACTTCTAAAACTTGCTCTATGTAATTTGGAAACTCATTACTATAGCAAAAGCTATCATACATAAAACTTCCATATTGACTTTAAATATTATCATAAAAATTGATAAATTAACTAATTTAAATCACAAAAAGCTTACCTCATTTGATTCTTAAAACTCCACTTATTAAAATTATCTCCTGGCCAATAACATTCTGGCTTGGTCTTTAAGTGATCCATGAAAACTTATTTTGGATTTTCCTTTTGAATGATAAAAAATAATCAAATTAAAATATATATTTTTTATGATGAAATGGTTTAATTATATTTTTTTGAAAAATTACTGCTTATTTATTGTCTACAAAAGGATAGAGGGTAGAACTCTCTTTAAAGGAGTTGGAGAGTTAGGGATAAATAAGAGGACCTCTACGTTCGAGAGAAAGAGTAGTAGCAGGGTTTGTTACTGATTATTTGTACCACATATTTAATTAACCCCACACAAACAAAGATGTATATGTCTTTTTATCAGAATAAGCGGTAAACTCTTGTATGTTCCCTTGTTAGTCTTCATCAAATAATTCTACATTAATAATATCTTCTTTTTGAATAATTTGCTCCTCGCTTGTGAATTTCTTGTAACTATGTGTTTTAAAATACTTATGAGTGAAGGCATGGAAATGCAGAATCAAAGAAAGAGCATCTGACTGTAAATTGCAATTTTTCATTTATAAGAAAAAGTCACTTATAATTAGCACAACAACCCTTACTACAAGCAAGCCATGATCGAATTAGCCAAATTTCTAAAATATTTAGATCTTTTTAGTAGCATTAGTTATTATAATGTGGGCATACTCTACAAGTTAATAATTTATCACTTTACTATGAATTTATTGAAGAACTTCAAGTAAATCGTCTTTCAAGGTATTTTCTGTCTTAATCCAATAATTTTCTAAAAGTTGCTTTTATTTTAAAATAAAATTAAAAGATTTTCTTTTTTAAAATAATTTACATCATTTTGCATGTTAAGTAGAGGAGGACTTGAATCATTAATTTAATTAGTGTAGTATTTGATTTTGTCTATTGATATGACTATGTTTTATATTCTAGCATCCTTCCTTGATTATGCTAGGTACTTTAAATAGGGCAAATCTATTTTTTAGTTTATTTATTCCTAAGTTAGGTTAACAAGAGATTCCTCTTTTTGAACTTTCTTTTTTTCAGCTTCTACTAACTCCTCTAAGAACAAATCATATTCTTAGTTTATTATTCTAAGGACTAAGGCTGCCCATTTTTACAACCATTTAGGAGAATTTTCTCTAATGTTGCTTCTGAAGCTATACTACTCTAAAATATTCTAATTTTAAAATTTTAATTTTAATTTTTTTTTTTACAGAATATTTATAAAGTTTATCATTTTAAATTTAAAAAATAATTAAGTTAATTATATTTTTAAGAATTACTTCATCTTCTTCATTCAGTTCTTCAGTACAAGCAATGTAGAGAGTGTAAGTTCTATTCAAGAAGCAATGTATTTTTTCTAGTATTTAATTAAATTATTTTATATTACTGTTCGACAACTCTAGATATCTTCCTCTACACTTACTTGAACCACATAAGCAAATAGCTCTCTGTTTAATAGTATAAAATATTATGTAAATTGTTTTTATTTTTAAATAAGTAATCTACCTTATGCTCTTAAATGCTTTCAGTCACTGCCATGTAATCAAACGACCTTTTGTAAATAATATTTAATGAATTTAGTTTAATGAATTAAATTATTTATTTATTTACAGTTCCTCTCCGTACTCTATTGGATGCATAGCAAACATAGCAATAACATAATTTCCTGTGTTTGTGATTGTAGGCACTGTACCACAATTAGGTTCACAGGAGTGACTAAGTCGGCTGGAAAAATTTCCTTTCAATATTGGATCAACAAACTAATTAATAGTGCAATTTTACAAAATAATTAAATAAAATGAATAATTATTTATTTTTTATAAATTACTAATATATCATATCCCTTCGGATCATCCTTATGTATTTCTAGCATAATATTCCAGAAATCAGGAAGAATGTCTCTCTTATTGTTTTCTTTCATGTATTTTTTGATTGTATCTTGTTTTTCAAACCATCTCCAAGGTGGAAATATCTCTCCAATATATTCAGTGATGAACTCATTTTATTCTATACCTTTAGGGCTATTTAAATTTAATATTAATATAATTGTTAAATTATTAAATAAATTACTTAATGCAAATAAGACCCATCCCTTTTGTGTGAATTCTAAAAGCTTCACTGTAAAGATTTTCTGGATCAATATTTTAGTCAATTAGTGCTTTTTTAATGTACTTTATTGCCTTGATAATACTTTTAGCACATTTTCTGCTATCCTCGTTAAACTTAGGTTCAGCTATCTCAGCATCTTGCTCTTCAAGCCTTTATTTTTTATTTTAGCTTCTTTCTAATATAAAGTTGCAGCAATGAATAATATCCCATCCCTTATCTTTTTAAAGATTTATAGCTTTCATCAGCTAGAACTAAATGAACATATTTTTCTGCTCATCAGAATATCTTTCTGGCAAAATATAAAAAATATTCTTTTTAGTGTACAAGTCTATTCCCCAACACAAAGTTTCTTCAACATCTCTACCTACAACCTAATTATTAAAATTAGTTAAAAAATGTAATTATAACTAAAAAAAATAATTAAAATATTATTTTTCATTAAAAATTTATCAATTTACTTATCTTTCATTCTTAGAAATTTATTGGTTTTTACATTCACATTCAATGCACTCTACCCTGCTTGCCCTGTTTAAGCATTTACTATTCCATGTACATGCTTCTAAATTAAAATCTCCCATTTTTGAAAAGCTATTGCAAACACATTTTTTATCGCATTTAACAGGTTCTTTTTTAGATTTCAATTTTTCTTTAATTTATTTTTCAAATGAAGGTGGCTAAGGATCATATTCTGTAATTTGGATATAATTACGATAGGAAGTAGGTATAATTGGCCACTTTTTGACTTACATTTTATTATCTAGATCACCTCTTACTAGAGTGTGAATATCCTTCCTCTTTATAACTTCAATCTAGTTAATTGAATTATTTTTTTTGACAAACTCATAATAATCTTTAATCAAGTAAGTCATATATTGAAAAGATTAGACAGATTTACACCTAAATCTTAATGTATAGTTAAATAACTTTCTCATATCCCTATCAAACTCTTAAAATTCATAATATGTGTTGTTTTCTGCCTTTATATTTTTTTAATTTAAATAGAATTTACTTAAACGTTTTTGTTAAATAAAAATATTAATTGCAAAATAATTTTATTAATTCTTTCTTTCTTCACTTTTAGATAAAAATATGAATAAAATTGGTTTACCCTCGCACGTATTGCATCGATTGAGTTCATTTTAGTTTAAGTTAAACAGTTGAGTTAAGGTTATGGTATAATTTCAGAATAATTTATTTTTGAATAGCTAAAATCTTTGAGTGGGATTTAAAAATTAAAATCATTCAAAAAGAGTTGCTTAAAATATGATGAGAGGTTTGATGTTTCGATTTATCTTATTTCATCTTCATATGTAAACTAGTTGATATATTCTTCAAAAATGTCTTCATCTGAATTATTATCATCTACTTCTTCTAAAATCTACTGCTCATCTATTTGATCATCATCTTCTATATCCATTTAATCTTCTTCATTATTGGAATTCTATGATTATTGTGGGGAGATAATTACGGAGTTATTATTTTAGCTTTAACTAGCTTAAGAATTTGATCTATTCTAGCTGTTTTCTATTTAAACATTACTATTAATTTATTGGCAATCTCTCTCTGCAACATCATCATTATTATTTTATTTAGAATATCCCGAAACTTAAATTTCTATTGATTTATCATTCTAAAGCTATAATTTGATGTCACCGTTCTAAGATGCTGTAAAAGTTTGTGAGTTTTCATCATCTTATTGCTAACTTTATTCCATTAGATCATTTTTAATTGTATTATTCTACTAGTCAACTCCTTGCTGCTTTTAATTTTTTTACTAACACTTCGAAGGTGGTATCTTTTTTTTATTTTTATTTGAGGTACTTTTCTTCTTTTTATTCTTTTTAGAAGACTATGACTATATTGATTCTAAAATTACATCTTTATATTAATAAAGCTTAGTTTACTCGAACGGTAAGTAATATTACAATCTCCCATGCTTTTTAACTTTCTAAGTAATCATATTCGAAGGCTCAATTACTTCATCTATATGGTTTCCAGCAAATTTTTTACGAAGAAAAGAGTGAATATCACGCTCAATTGTATTATCTATAAGAGCTAGTAAATAGTCAGGAGCATCTGATCTGAATGGTATTTCAGTACTTTTTTTAGCTTAATCTGATGAGTAAGATGTTTGTTAATTTTGCTATGATTATTACTAAAAGGCTTAACTGTTACTATTTTCATTCACCATGCTTGTATTGTTAGTTGCTCCTCCTTCAAGGATTGAGCTTAATAATTTACTATTTGCATTAGAGGCATTTAAATTTTAACTGCTTCCTGCTTAATTTTAATTTCCATTATTTTTTCCTTTTCTACTTGCTGTGCTATTTTTTTCTGGTTAATCTGAAGAAAATTATTAATTGCTTCCTAAGGAAGGTCTACCTCTCTTCTTTTAAGGCTATTCTATAGTTACAGTAGGTTATACAAAATCACTTTCTTCTAAATTATTTTAATTTTCATGGTTTTTCTTTTGTTGCTTTGCTTATAGTTTATGGTCTTTAGCTCTTAAACCTTTTTAAGGTAATTCATTTCCAAATTACTGAGGTTAATTAACTAGAATTTTATAATTTATATTCTTTTTCCCTCTAGTCTTTTGGTCAAGCTACTCTTCCTTCATCATCTCTGCTACTTCGGCTTACTTTCTGGAAAGTTGCTTGGGTTTATTTTATTAGCTGCTAATGCTATTGCTTTTATTCCCATTCCTATTCTCTGCCTATGATCTAGTTTCTCTCTTTGGAAGATACTATTCAAATCTAAATGGTTAACTATTTCCTTGCTTCTTTTTTTCGGGTATTGCTAACACTAACTATTCCTTATCAGTTGGTATTTCAAGTTCCTCTTTTAATATAAATAAATATATATTTAAAGTAAAAAAATTTAATTTAGATAGTTTATAATAATAAAATGTGATTTAAATTGCTATTTTTGTAAAAAAATGTTTATTTATGTCCTTGTAAGGTGTCCTTAAATTGAACAATACTATTTCGCTAATGACTTAGCATTTTTCTTATTTATTCTACTTTGTCAGATAAATGCAAATAAGCTAATAATAACGATTTTAAATTTTTAATATATATAATTAAATTGCAAAAATGAGTGACAAAATACTTTAAATTATCTCTATTTATTATATTATCAACAGCTTAGAGTGCTTCTCCATCTTTTTTTAGAATTTTTCTTCCAAGTTTAATAAATTTTTATGTTTTGATTTGTTTTTGCTAACAAATTGGTATACATTAATAATTTGCTAATTAGCACAGATTTGATGATAATCAATCAATCACACTAATAAATTTCTTTTGTAAAAAATTTATTTTATTAAAATTTTTTGAAATACCTTGCATTTTTTGGGACTACTCATCTACAGTCAATAATTATTAATCTTTTTTTTAATCATTCAGTTAGGGTTATTCATTTTCGATTAGCTTATTTTCTTCATTTGATTATAAACTATTAAAAAAAACACTAAGAGTTAAAAATAGAATTATAATTTAAATTTAAAAATGAAAAAAATTGTAATTTGACTTAATTTATAAAAAATTTATACATTTAGTTAATTTGGTTGGTTTCTTTAGAAGCTGTATTTTCTGTATTTAAAGCTATTTGCTAATCAATCTGCGTTTATTCGACATTTTGGTCTTTTTAGATTTCACTAATAAGCGTAGATTATTCTTATTATGGGATTTATGTTTATAAATTTTAATTTTCCTATGCAATTTAGGATATATCCATTTTAAAAATCAACTATATAATGAATCAATGCTTATATAACTATGACACTCTAATTGCTTATTTATCTTTAGCTAGCTAATTGATATGTATTAACCCTGTTTATTTTATTGAATATGAACTTCTTTTAAATATCACAAACAATTACTGTGAAAGAGTTAGCTCCTATTCCTTATAATATATGTATATAAATTATGATTTTTTTGCTTATATTTTTAAAAAGTATTTTTTCTTAAATTCATTCTTTTTTTACTTACCCTTAAGATAAATTTCTTTAATATTTCTTATAGATAAATAGATAAAATATCAAAAGGGTTGCATGCATATTTGGCGGCTTACTTTTTTTCCGAAGCGCTCATAATTAAATTGTTTTTCATATCTAAATCAGAACATTAACTACTTTATAATAAGTTTTATTTATAGAATTATGAAAACTATTTACATTTCCATCTTATATTTTTAATATAAAATAAAGTAATTTTTATAATTTAATGCAATTTAAAATATAATAAAACATTTCTACCTGCCTCATTTCTAAATAAATCAAATTTCATATTCATTTTTTATATTTTATTATTTAAATCAAACTTAAGAAAAACATCAAATAATTCTTTAAATTATTTTAAATATTCAATAACCAAACATTTTTATTGCAGTAATTTATGATAGTAAAGAAAAATTAAGAATTTTCATTAAATTGCAAATAAGTTAACAATTCTAAATTAATATTTGTACAAAAAAAAATAAAGTTTTCCCAAAAAAAATTAAATAAACAAACACTATTTATGTTCAAAAAGGAACTAAACTATTTTAGAATAAACTATTATATTAAAAATAATATTTCATTTTGAAACTTTATTTCTAAAAAAGATTTAGTGCAAAAAAAAACAGAAACATTACATAAGGTTAAAATAAAACTTATTTAAATTTAAATTTCTCAAAATTTTGTTGACAGCTTTAAGCAAATTAATCAATCAGATTGTATTCTTATTGATTTTAAGAAGAATTTTACTAGATTAAGAAAGTTTACAAAGATTTTTTATAATTTAATAATATATATTTAGAAATTAAAAAATTTATTTAAAAAATAATTTTGAAATTTTTAATTTAAGAATTAAATTCTAATAAAATGTTATTTACATACTTAATTAAAATCTAACTAACTAATCAGATAAATTTTAGATAATTTTTTTTATTGAAATAATCTTAGATTTATTAATTTTAATTATTTAAAATAATACTTTTATTAATTTATATAAATGAGACTAACTATAATAAATTAGAACAAATTAAAATTTATTTTATCACTCCTTTTTTTGATTACTATCTTAATAATCTTTGGTGTGTTGCACATCATCATGTTAAGGTTGCTATTATTAATTTTCTCTTTCAAGTGATTTTTACCAGTCTGAATTATAATATTTTTCAAACATTTCTTCATCCTTTTTTGGATTTATATATTTATTCGTTATTTCTGCTCTATATTCTTCGAAATGTTTCACAATGTCTCTTGCAGTTTACTAATCAACTCCATTTTTCATAAAAGCCTTTTCCATACATTCCATAGCTAAATCGAAATAGTGATTAGTAATTTTAAGTGCTCTGTGTGAAACTCTCAAATTTCTTCCTGCATATGGGAAAGGACCTCCTAAAGAATTCACTGCGTAAGCTTAGCTACCAGGAACATATTTTTTTTCATCTTTCCATATGAAATAATGCTCTAATTCAGGGTTTTCTCTCATCATCATTTTAAAATCTCTCATTGATTTTTCAACAACTGATTTGCCACCAGCTCTTTCAAATAATGTATTTCCTGTTCCTACATTTTTGTTAAACCAAAAAGTGTAGCTCAGAGTTTAATTCAATTACTTAGATTTTATCATGAATTTATTTACAAATTTAAGCTAATTAATCAACATTTAACTTGCTATTTTTACCCTATTGCTATAAAATTTAGATGGATCAAATCCTGATTATTTCTACTAGTTAATAATTATTTATTATTTTTTAATTAAATTTTTTGCGATAATTCACTGAATATGTATTATTAAATTACAATAAATTTGTTAATTTAACAAATTTTTATTGTATCTTATCTAATATTGAATAAACAACAATAAAAATAGAATAAAGTTAGATTAATTATTAAATTTAAAAAAATTGATATCTAAAAATTTTATAAAAAATTAACTTAAAAATAGCTGTTAAAACATCAATATTTTTTTAAATTTTCATAATTAATTTATGTTGTTATTTCAAAGTTAACAAGCTTAAAAGTATTTTTTTAAAAAGAAACTCAACATTCTGTATCTTAGCCTCTTCAGTCAATATATTATACTAATTTTAAAATACTTAAATTTTTTATTTTATTATTTCATCAAACAATATTATGTATGAATAGGGTATTGTTTGTTCATCATTTAAATTTTGTTAGAAAGAGCGCTTAATATTTTAAAATGAATTATTTTTTTCAATTTTTTTTATTTAATAAGAAATATTTATTATTTGTTTTATGCAATGTTATGCTTGATGGATGCCATTAATTTGATGGAAAAAAAAAAAAATATAATTTACTTAACAACATTTTATTTAAATTGTTAACAACTATATTCCTTTTTTGGCAATTTGAAATATCAAACAAAGCTTTTAACTAACTCTCTTTTGGGTTTTACTAGTAAAGAAATTTAATGGAGAAGGAAGAAGAAAAGAAAGGAGGAGACGATTCAAAACAGAGTGTAGTTGATGAATAGGAATCTGACTACTCTGTCATGAGCAGCCTCTATAAAGATGCGAAACTCACATAGGGTTTTTTTGGAAAAAATTAAGAAGTGAATCACTTAACAATGATATTAAACTCAATTCATCACTTTTCAGGAAGAGAAGAAGACTATGAAAATTTTTACAATCGATATGTAAATGACTACGATATAGAAATAGAAAGTCAATAGACTCCATGCTTAGATATAACTGACAAAAACTGGTAAAATTACTCGAACAATAAAGAAAACTATCAGAAATTTTAGTAGTATTTTGGGTCTAAATGGGAGCTAATGGGAAAGAAAAACATTCTTAAAATATACCTACCTGTTTTGACTAAAAATCCTTCATGTGGTTTCTTCCATCCACTGATAAAAATGGGACATACTTGTTATTTAGAGGATACTACTGAAATAACTAACACACTCTCAGTTTGGGCATGCTGCTATTTTTAGAAGCCAGATTATTTTAATATTGTTACCTTTAAGAAAGGAGATGAAGGTGAAGGATTAGAAAATATTTTTGATAAGCTTAGAGAATCGAGAGAAATGTAAACACTAGAGTTTATTAGTGGAACGCATGAAGAAAGGATTAACAAGTTGTTCCAGTCAAAGGAATTTTATCAGTAAATTCTATTCTAATTAATACAATTTTTTTTTTCTATGAAAGATCATTAATGAATAAGATTTTAACTTAGTGCTTGAATATACGTAATAAGTTTATGATTGTTTTAATAAATGAGTGACATAATATGAATCTAATATGATCTTATTAAAATTGTGTTTTGTACCATTTTTTTAAAAGATTTTTATAAATCCCCAATTAGCATCAAAAAACTATCTAAGAAACTAGAAATTTGCTTAATCAGCTCACTATTCATACTTTAAATTATTTCTATATAAATGCATAAATTTCTTTTTTATTTAATGTAAATACATAGTCTTTGTTCTGGCTACTAGAAAAATGATGATACATTGAAACAATTAACAATTTCGGTATGTAGTTTATACCTAGATAAACCTTGCTTTGCTACTATGCATTTAGTTGAAGCATGTGAAGGTTTGAGATAAACACTACAAATGCTATCTAAGGAAGGTGATAAAGAAGATGCTATCTTTCAATTTTATTTAGGGATATGTGCAACTTATGTGTCAATAGGTATGCCTAAAGTTAGCAAGCTTATAGCTCCTACTAATCTCCCTCCATGGAGCACTATTTATAATAAAACTCTACTTAGCCATGATGAGCATGTATTACTCTTAGTTTATGCATGCACGAAGCTCTATTATATGTACAAGGGTTTCAAAAATTATGAAATAATTCGATGGGTAGCTGCATCAGAATTGAATTTAACAAAAAACTGAATGAAAAAGAAGAAGAAGAAGAAAAAATTGGAAATGCTATTAAAATAGATATCGCCTAATCAATTTTTTCAAACTTAAAACAAAAGATATTTTTTTAATTTTACTTCAAATGTAGTAATAAAAATCATATCCACGCTTACTTTAATTAGAAATTAAAATTCTAAATTAGATTAAATATAATTTCGCGAGATTACCAAATTATTGTTTGGTATTTATTTTAAGCAGAGTGGTGTTTTAATTTACAAATTCAATTTCATATAAAAGAAATTTATATCTTGAGGGGGATTAAATGTGTGTAAAAATATAAATCATAACTTTAATTATGTCAAAAAAATTTTAACTGTATTTATTTAGTTTAATATATTTCAATTATAAAAGAAATTGCAGCCAAAAGGTACAGACCTCTCGATCTCTTTATTTATTTCAATTAATTTTTTTAGGTTGCACGAATTTTATTTTGATTAAATTACCGGCCATCTGGTATGAAGAAAATTGTAAAATTAAAGTAAAACATGTGAGAGCTCCTTTCTTTTTATAAATATAAGTAAAAACTTATTAGAAGTAAAAATAGCAAATTAAAGTGAATTAGTACAACTTAACCTTAAATTTTAATTAGCACATCTCTATATAAATGTATGTAAGAGTATGTATGATAAATAAATAATAAAATGCTTAATTAAAATTTTATTATTAGCTGATTATTTTTATACATTAAATTAGCTTGTTGATTTTGTCTTTCTTTTTTCACTCATAAATTTCAATACCTTGTTTATCCGTTATTTTCATGAATTTAATATGGCAATTTTTATAATTAGTAAGTGAATTAATAAATGAACTAATAAATGAATTATATATAATTTAATGCAATTAATAAATAATTGGTAATATTTTTTGTTAAGTTACATATGATAATTTTAATATATATTTTTATTGAATAATTGAGAGTTAAGATTTAATAGAAGATAGAGATTTAGATAGTTATTTACTTTGTTAGTTAGTTAGACAGATGAAATTTTGATTTTTTTTGTTATTGCTTATTTGATTGATTGCTTGCTGACAATTTTATTAATATATTTATTTATTTGATAAAGATATTTTTGAAAACATTAAATCAAGGTCAATTAAATTTGGATGATATTACCAAATATTTATTTTCTTGACTATAGCACAACATATTTTTTTTTTTTTTTTTCATTATTTAATGTCTTCAAGTTGAGGATTGTTAATTCCTTCGAATCCATTTTATTCAAGCCAAGCTTGGCTATATATTTTAGAAAGGTATTTAACACCAGCATCTGGGCAAACAGTCACAATAGTTGCAGGTCCATCTAAAGTAGAAGCTAATTTGAGAGCTGCTGCTACGTTCAAACCAGAACTACCGCCAACCATCAAACCTTCAAACTTTGTAAGTTTATAGCAGGTTTCAAAAGCAGTCTTATCGTCCATTTATACGCATTGATCAATTAAATCAATATCCATAGCAAGAGGAATAGTATCTTTACCTACACCTTCTACTTAGAACTTTCCAGGAGTAATAAGTTCACGAGTCTTCCAATATTGGTAAAAGACACTGCCATAAGGATCAGCTAAAACAGTCTAAACTCTTCCTTCGCTTACCTCCTTAAGATATTTAGAAGTTCCAGAAATAGTACCTCCAGTAGAACCAGCAGCAACGAAATAATCAATATTACCTGAAGTTTAATTCCAGATTTCTGGTCCTAGGGAGTTATAGTAAGCAAGAGGATTTAAAGGGTTATCATATTAATCAATATCATAATAATCGGGATTAGCTTTACACATGTTAGTAGCCATATTCATATAATGGTCAGGAGAGTCAGCAGAAACGTTTGAAGGTCCAACAATAACTTCAGCTCCAAAGGCTTTAGGAGCATCTTATTTCTCCTTACTACATTTAGTATTAGTAATAACCTTGCATTTGTATCCTCTTTAAGCAGCAATAAAGGCTACTGAACAAGCAGTGTTACCAGAAGAGGCAGCAACTACAGTCATTCCTTTTCTAAGTTTACCTTCAGATTCAGCTGTATCGAAAATATATTTAGCGATTCTATCTTTGATAGATCCAGTAGGGTTCATGTATTCGGCTTTGACATAAATCTTGATTCCCTTTTCACGATAAGGATTGATTTTTTTCAATTCAATAAGGCCAGTGTTGCCAATCATTTGTTCAATAGTGTCTCCGTTTCTTTGTCTCATTTGGATTTAGAATATGTTTGTATGTATTTAATATTAGATTTAGATTTAGGATAAGTAGGGTTTCAGTCTTTTGTTTGTTCAATCAATGAAATCGGTTGAGTGATTAATTAAGATTGTGAAGTATAAATTAGTAGATCTTAAAAAAAGATATATTTTTTGATTTTTTTGATGATAAATATCCTTTCTTTTTTTAAAAGGCTTTTTTTTTAATTTGCTTTTTTTTTGTTTGATTTTAATTACAATTATTTTGGTACGCCTTTTAGGTGAATATATATAGGCAGTAATTGGTCTACTAAAACTTTGCTTTTTTGAGTATACCCAAATTGAAAGGCAATTTAGAAAATACTAAGGCAATTATTATTCAAAAATGAATGAATTAGGTAGAGATAAAAAATAAAATGATGAATTAAATGACGAATAAATACAACTAAAATGAATTTAATGGAATTAAAATTATTATTTTTACTGATTTTTTTTGTGTAAAAAATGCTTTAAATATTGCTAAATAATACATAGTACAATTTTTTTCAAATGATTTTTAGACAATTATTTACACCTCTAACTTTTTTAATTCAAAATCATGTACTATTTTGACTAGAAATTTCATGTATCAAATAAACTAGTATTTTTAAAGAATAAGTTTTTATTAATACAATTAGAATCAAAAAATTTAAATAAAAATTAAATATAAAAGTCAGTATGATACGTGAACAAACCGTCAATTTAAGAAGTCCTTGTAATACTTTAAGAATCACCACTATGTACAATTATGGTATGACGCAATCAACTAAAAAACATACTCATAATATCTAACATAATTAATTATATTCTTTTATTAACATTTTCAATGACAATTAATATCTTTTGTCATATTAAGCTTGACTTTCAAAATAATGAAATCATATACCATCAATTAAGGTGATCTTTTTTATTAATCTCGTCAAATTTTAGGGCCCCGTTCATAAATTTATTTACATCTCGAACAAAATAAAAAATAAAAATTATAATCAAGGCTATTTGTAAGGTATCACGTAAAAATTGTGTGTATTTTCGAAACATCAAGAGAAAAACTTAAATTGTTAATCAATTAATTCATTTAATTCTATCTTTAGTGAGCAGAATTTCTAATCATGAAAATATATTTATAGTTTTTTATTATGAAAACTAAAACAATTTATTTTGCTTTTAATAGAACATTACTCAAAAATACTAAAAATATAAAAGGACATAAATGAAAATTCAAATATAATGCTTGAAAAAGTATTTTGAATTTTCAGAGTTATTTATTTGTTAAAAGACAGACAAAAAAAGCTTATTAAGAGCTAAAGGAAGAGTTATATAATGGCAATATTTTTGTTTACTCTTCTCACAGATTAATTTTTTATTTCAGACTTTGTCTGTTATTAATCACAATACTATCTTATAAAAGTTCAAATTTGCAAAGAAATATCATCTTCCCCACTATTTTTTATCACTTTCTAATTATCTTTTTTCTTTAATAACTTTACTTTCTGTTTTAGTTTTGCAAATGAATACTTACACTAAACACAAATTAAAACCATAATCAACTCAACCTTCCTCAAAATATTATAAAAACTCTTTTTCCTCCCCAAATTCACTTTTTTAAGGCAAGCAATCTTTACTTTATTTCTTCAAAAAATTAATAAACTCCTACCTTTCTTATTTTAGAACAATTAAAAACAATCTGATAAAATCTATTTGAGACACTAAGTTCAACTGAAATTTTGTTTATTTTTACGTTAATGGAGTAATTCAGTCTATTTTGGTGAGGATTATGGCTATTTACATAGTTTTTACTAAAGTCTTCATTTTTAATAGCTATTTTTATAAAAGATTTTTATTTTTCCCTTTAATTAAATATTGGTATTGCTTGATAAATTTACAATGCGACATTAATAAAGCATGATTTAGGTTACTAATTTATATTGATTAAATTTTGGGGAAATTTTTAATTTTTCAAAGTAATATAAATATCCTATCATTTATAACAAACAATTTTCAAATTAATTTATTTGATTTAAGTTAAGCCTAAAACCTAAATTAAATTAATTTGCATGGCAATCAAAATTTAAGGATATAAAATAAAAGAAATACTGCACTTTACTTTAACCTGCTTATATTTGCTCCAAAATATAATTAACACATAAGACATTAATTCTGAACAATAATTTCTTAAAAAAATTAAATAACTTGATTGTAATTATACAGATAGATTGTTACTTATTTTGATTTCAAAACCTGAAAAATATCTCTTTTTCTAAATTTAGTTTGAAATGCTATATAATTAATTACATTAATATTTGAATTACTAATAGATATTTTTTTTTAATTTACCAAAAATAAAACGATCTATAATAGTTAAATCTTTTATTTATTTAAAAAAAATATTGATAATTATTAATTAAGACAAGAGATGTTGTCATTTATCAATTTTTTTAAGCCTTGATATACATTTAATTTTATTTAATATTTTTTCATGTAATATTCAATTAAACTCCTTATATTTTTTAAACAATCTAATTGTAAAGCTCAAAGTAAACTTTTTTGAAGCACTAATAATTCTTTTACCAAGTGTTACGTCAACAAAAGTAAATGTAAATTAAATTTTGATTTTCTAAATTCTATTTTTGTAACTCTCATATTTAGCAAAAGAAATTAAAATGTAAAGAGTTCTGATTTCTCAATTAATTAAGGGTTTATATTACAAATATTATATGTAGTTAATCCTCATTAATTAAGACCAAAAAAAAACATTTTTTTAATATTCTGGCCTTTAATATATTTATATTTATAATTTTTTTTAAAAAGGCTTTTATTTATATAAAAGGACAAAAGTGAAGAATGCAAAATTGCCAATTTATTTAATTGATGAGAAATATTGTTAAAATAAAGTAATTAAATAAAATAAATTCAAGGTAAAAAAGAAATGTAACATCTTAGTATTTAAATGAAATTTTAAGATAAAATTATATTAGTTATAAAATTTGTACTTTTTTTCTACTTCAAAGTAGCAATTTTTGTGTAAAAATAAGAAATATTTAACATTCGTTAAAAATTATATAAAAGAATTGAATAATTTATAGATGTAATAATAATAGTAAATTTACATATCTATCTCAGAAGTATTTATGTAATTCTTTTATTATTCTTTAAAAATTTTTATTATTATAATAATAACAATAAAATAATTAACTATTATTTTTATATGATAGATGTTCTATATTTCACATTATCTTTAAAAATTAAAATAGGTTTTGATTTTAAATTATTTAATAAATCATTTTCGTTTAAAAATTTTATTTGATTTGCCAATTTTTAGTTAACAACTTTAAATATTATTATATTTTGTTTTTCAAATATGATGATTCCTTCGTATTCTATTTTTTGAAGTCATCAATCATTCTATTACTTACTTGTACTATATATTCATAAATAAAATAACTTATTTTAGAATATTCAAATTAATTTTAGTAAAAAAATCATTTTATAAATAATTTTACAATTAATTATCTTCTAATTAAAAGAATGAATGAATGTTTTGTTTTATGTAAAATTTTTAACTTAAAAAACTTTTAGGTGAAAAAATAGATTATCTTTTTCTCAAATTAAAAAATAAAAAAAATCAAATTTAGTTAATAATAAAAATAAATATCAACTTTAAGCAAATAAATTTTAACTCAAAGAAATGGTTTTAGGATATTTTTATTTTAAACAAATCTTTGTCAAAAATATTTCATTCTTAAAACATAAATTATTTATTTAAATAAATTAATTAATAAAAATTCAATAATTATTAAAATTCGATTTAATTTATTTATTTATAAAATTTTTTAAATGAGAACTAAAACAAATTTAAATGATTTAATTCATATTATTTGATAATTAAAATAAAACTTGTTAAATAAAATATTGACTGAAATATATTGCAAATTGTTTAATATACTTACAACGTATAATACAAATAAATAATTATAATTAATTTTAAATATATTAATTTTGTTTAATTCGTTTCACTAAGGTGTAGCTTATTGATTTGGGGAGTTGCAATTATTTAATGTTCAGTTTAATTTTAATTGACATATATTTATAATATTTTTAATCATTAGTAAATGTAATTCAAATTTTAATTTAAAAAATTTTAGCTATTTATCAAATTAATCAAAATATTTTTAAAAATTAATTATTCAAATAGTTTATTTTCTAAATTGATTTGAAAACTATGATTTTATAGATTTCAAGTAAAATTATAATGATTTGATATTTAAAGTATATAATCATTAATTCAACAAATAAATTTATTAAATATTTATAACCAGTCGCCTAATTAAAATCTAGTGGTTTGGATATTACTGAGTTTAAAATTAAATAAAAATATATATGAAATTGTTAGTTCCAAGCTATTTTTTGTTTAATTCGTTTTTATTTATGATAAATTTTTGTGTTATGGGTTTTATTACCTTACCTAAAATGTCAAAGAAAAAAAGCTTACTTGGTTTTACAGCATTCAAAAAACTTATCAAAGATAATTTAATTTGTTTATTTAAAAAGAAATGAAAAAGTTAATATAAATTTAAATTTCAAAAAAACTTTTAAATAAATAAATATAAAATTAATCAAATGATAATTCATAATATGTGTAAAGAAAATTTGTGATTAATTCCTGGCCTTTAACATAATAAAAAAAAAATTGATTTGTTTTTATTTGGTAAAAAGAAAGATTTATGTTAAGAATAATCTTTAAAATAAAATACCCAAAAAATTTAAAGCTAAAGAAAATTGATTCTAAAAGAATCAAAAAATATTAAGACAATAAATGTAAAAATAATGATAATATTTTATTTTTTATTCTTTTTAAAAAATATTTATAATAAATAATAAATAATTAGTGAGTACTACTCTCATAAAAAATCATTTAAATCTAAATGCTAAAATAATTATATTTGATAGATTTTTTTTCATGAATTTTATATAAATATTAATATTTTTATAAACATAAAGTTGTCCTTTTGCTCTTATAAAATTTAATTTAAATAAATATTGTTTATTTAACTATCGTAAATATCTTGTTTATAATAACATCCTATTCTACTTTTTAAAATCTAATAAATATTAAAATATTATCTTGCTTTTTACCTTTTTTAGAAAAGAGTTTTTAACATTTCTTCATTATTTTTCTATTTATTATGTAATTTTATAATTTTTTTATTTCAATATTACCAAAATAATTTTAAGTTAACTCTAATCTTTATAAATAAAATAAACTCAATTTTTCGTTATTTTTCTATTTTTAATATTTTCAGACTTGCTTTCTTAAATTTAAATTTAGTTAAAGTTTTAATTCCTGAGTCTTTTCATAAATTTTATTTTTATTAAAGTTATGATTGTCCTGCTATTATACAAAATTTAATTTAAAATTTATTGTTTAGCTGATTGATACAATAATATTTTTTTATAATGTTCTTTTAAATTAATTCTTAAATTATACAAAATATGAAATATTAAAAAGATATGTTGATTCTTATTCAAAATAATTTTATCTGTTGAAAATTTTTATTTTTAAATACCTTAGTTTATTACTTAATTTTTGAATCTTTTTTTATAGTAAATTATTGTTATAAATAAGTTTCTATTTTTAGCTATTTTTCTATTTTAATTTGTTATATCTTGCTTTACTAAAATTTAAAAACTTTACAAGTTTTTGATTTGAGATAAAATACTACCTATTTGTTTACTTTTAAACTTGATTTTTAATAATCAAACTAATTATTTGCTGTTTTCATTTAAAAGCAATTTAGTTAACAAGGTTAGGAGTAAATATTTGAAATAGAAAGTTTCGATTGAATTTAAAAATTTCTAGAAAATAGAACAATGTGTAAAAGAGTACTTAAAGTATTTCTTTACTTTTTATATTTATATTTTGCTAAATATTTAAAAATGATGAATTTACTATTAAATAATATCTAGAGAAATAAAATATATTACGCATTTAATTATCACAATACAAAAATATTTTAATTTAATATGATAATAAAAAATAATTTTACATTTGAATATTTTTGTTTTTTAGTTACTTTTTAGCTTATTTTAAATTCATTTTTTCAGAATATTTAAAAAAGAAATGATAAATATGAAATTAGTAAAGAAAAATAATATCAATAAATATATTAAGGAAATTGCAATTCATGTAGTAAGATAGTAATCACGTCGTGTATTGAGTAACCTTAAATTCTTAAATTTGATTAAAATCAATCTCTCATAAACATATTTAATTAAGAATTAGTGAAATCAAATTACGAAAATAATAATTTAATATTTTTTAAAATAAGAATAGCTTAAACATATATAATCGATTAAACTGAAAGCATATATAAAAAATGGAAGAAAAGTCATTATAAAACTTAGAAAAACCCACTTAAAATTATGAAGATTAAGAAGTGGCAGATGGTAAAATACCATTTTGGCATCTATTTAAACTAGCATCGAAAACTGATATCATTTTAGTTGTTTTAGGAAGCTTAGCTTCTGTTATAAATGGTTGTCTGTAGCCACTTTTTGGTCTACTATTTGGTGAAATGGCATAAAAATTTAGCCCTGGATATAGCGCCGATGCAGTTGTGGATAACTGCAGGACTATTGCATTATGGTTTGTTGGAATTGGAGCAAGTAATTTTTTTTTAGTTGATAATTTTGATCTCATCATAATGGTAGAGATAAGAGGATAAAATATGCCTACATCTTTTAATAATTTTGTTAAGTATATATCAAACTTTACTATTTTTATATTAAAAGTATCATTTATACTTTCAATCTTTATGATGTACTTTTGGATCAGCGTGGGTTAGAGATAGGCAATAAAATTTAGATTAGAGTACTTTAAGTCTTTGCTCAAATAAGAAGTAGGTTATTTTGATTAAATTTAGGCAAATGAGCTTTCATCTAAAGTATCTACTGAATGCTTCAAAATATAGTCAGCATTGGGAGAAAAAACATGCATCTTTATTTATTCATTGAGTATGTTTATTGGTAGTCTTATAATAGCCTTTATTAGGGGATGGCAAATTGCTCTTGTGGCAATTGCTGTAACACCACTTATAGCTTCAGCAGGCTACTTTGACTAATGGGTTTCAGAAGGAATTGTAAAAAAGACAAGCTCAGCCTATTCATCTGCAGGAGGTATATCTGAGTAGGCCATAAGCGCTATTAGAACAGTAAAAGGTTTAAATGGTTAAGATTTTGAATAAAATAAATATTAAAGCATGATCAAGAAAGCATTCTAAGTCTCTTTAAAGTTTTCTATCTATGAAGGTGTTGGATTAGGTAAATCATTAATTTATTTATCTTACTCAATAAATAATAAAAAATATCACACAGAAAAATTGTATCAAATAGGTTATTAGTATTTATTTGATGTAATAGTCAATAATTGAACTATTTTTATATTTACCAAAAGATTTTTAAACTAATTAATTTTGAATAATTCTCTTTACTTAAAAAGGACTTTAAAATATGATGTTTTTCTTTGATTTTGCTTTGACTTTTTGGGTAGGATCTAAATTTATTGAAGACGAAGTTTATAATCATAATTAAGGAAGAAGCTATAATTTTTCTGATGTATTAACTGCATTTTTAGCAATTATGATGAGCAGCTTCGAATTAGGCTAAGCTATGAACTCTATTAAGGCTTTCACTCAGGCTCGTCAAGCTGGATTTAACATGTTTTAAGTAAATAAATTAGCCAGTTAATTGATTTTTTAAATTAGATGTTTAAATTATTTGCTTACAATCAAATTAATTTTTAATATTGCTTAAAATTACCATTCAATATTTAAAATTTTTTCAATAATTAAATAAAAAGATATTAAATAGAAAATCTAAAGTAGATTTAAATGAGAACGGTATTGACTTAACTAAAAAATAAATCAATGGAGAAATTAAATTTGAAAATGTAGATTTCTCTTACCCTACTCATCTTGATACAAAGATTCTGAAAAATTTAAATATCTCAATATAACCTCACAAAAAAACAGCTTTTGTAGGTGAATCAGGAAGGTATTTTACTTAATCCTCTTCTAAAATAGGATGTATTTAAATTTTATTTTTTTCAAAATTAGTGGAAAATCAACTATAGTTTAGCTCATAGAGAGATTTTATGACCCATAATTTGGCAATATTTATTTGGATGGTGTCAATCTAAAGGACTTTAAATTAACTTCTCTTCGTTAATCTATCGGATATGTAGGATAAGAACCCGTTCTTTTTGCTACTACTATTAGAGAAAATCTATTATATGGTAAAAGAGATGCAACTGAAGAACAAATGATTGAAGCTCTCAAATAGGCAAACGCTTGGTAATTTATTGAAAAATTAGAGAAAGGTTTAGATACTTATGTTGGTACATCTGGTGCTTAATTCTCAGGAGGCTAAAAGTAGCGTATTAGCATTGCAAGAGCTATTTTAAAAAATCCAAAAATTCTTTTGCTTGATGAAGCTACTAGTGCTTTAGACCGTAAAAATGAAGCTCAAATTTAAAGCACTTTAGACTCTGTTTCTAAAGGATTAACAACCATCGTTGTAGCCCACAGACTATCAACAATACAAAATTCAGATGAAATAATTGTTTTAGATAAAGGAGTAGTCGTTGAAAGAGGAACTCATGATGATTTATTAAAAAACAATGGTGCTTATTTTAAATTTGTAGAAAAATAAAAAATAATAGAAAAAGAGCAAGAAAAATAAGCTGCTCATAACAATAAAACTTTATGTTTGCTGGGAGAAACATAATCAAGATTAGCATCTTAGTCTTCTTAAACTCTAAATACAGAACAAGAATTTTTAATGAAGCAGGAAAGTTAAAATTAGAATTGCTAAAAATTGATTTAGCAATTTTAAAACTTGAATAATATTAAAGAAGAAGATGATGATAATGATGATGAAGAAGCCTAAAATAAAGCAATAAGAAGTTCTTTTAGCAGCTAAACTTAAAACACCCCAAAACAAATAGAGATAGTAGAATAAAATATTATTGATTTATAGAATATTTAGAATACAAATGTGAAGTAAGCCTAAGAAAAGACAAACGATTAAGGTATTATGAAAAGACTTTTTTCTTATAATGAGAAATAAACCATCAATTATGTGCTTGGTTTTCTTTTTGCTATTGGCAATGGAGTTTGTTATCCTTTCAGTGGGTACGTGCTTGGTAAAATCAGTGATGTGTTGCTTGATAGAACAAGAAGTGATTTTAGAGAACAAAGCAATTTGTAAAGTCTTTATTTTTTGATTTTGGGTTTAGCATAACTCTTGACATGTACTTTCTAATTTTACTTCTTCTCGAGAGTAGCTGAATAACTTACATTCAAGTTACGTAAAGATCTCTTTTAAAAATATTTGAAAATGCCTATTTCTTGGTTTGATCACCCTCATAATACTCCTGGATCACTTACACAAAAATTATCAACTGATTGCCAAGCTGTCAATAATATGACAAGCTCTACTCTTGGAATTTAAGTAAATAAATATAAATTTTGTATAGATAGATTAATAAAAGATAATTTAATTTTATTCAATAAAGCTTTCTAATGTAAGCTCTTTGGTCAGTGCTTTAGCTTTGGCTTTTTCAGCAGATTGGAGAACAACCCTAGTTGGTTTAAGTCTTATGCCTTTGATGGTTTTGAGTTAGGCTTGGTATATGAGCAGAATGGAAGGCTTTGGAGAAAAAACTGATGCCGCATTTAGGGATTCCACCAATATGATAAATGAAGCTGCTTGTAATATAAGAACCGTTACTAGTTTTGGAAACAATTAGCAATTAGTCCAAAATTTTACATAAATTTTAGATAAAAATATCAAAGAGATAAAAAAATCTGCTCTGGAAGCAGGTCTTGCTATAGCATGCACAAATTTCATTTTGTTTGGTAATTTCTTAATACAAATATTAAAAATAATTAAAATTAATTTATTTCTTTATCTAGCTATCTATGGTACAATCTTTTATGCAGGATCTACTTTTCATAGGGATTATGATCTTTCGATTGTTGATATGTTTATTTCTATTTAATGCCTAATGTTTGCTGCTATTGGTATAGGTAATATATAAGATCATTTTTTAGAGTATCTATTAAGAATTTTAGATACATTTTAATTTTTATGTATTCGAAATTATCTTTTACAAATATTACTAATTATCAAAAGGCTCAAACAGTCATTATTTGGGAGATGTAGGTACTTCATAAAATGCTGCAAAGGGTATTTTCTAAGTTCTTGATAGTGTAGACGAAAATCAATTGAATATTTTAAATTTCGATAACCAAGATATTCACGGAGAAATATAATTTAAGAACGTTACTTTTAAATACCCACAAAGAGATTAGATTATCTTAAAAGATGTTTCTTTTACCATTCCTGCAGGATAGAAAGTTGCTTTCGTTGGACCTTCTGGAGCAGGCAAATCTTCTATTATCCAATTGATATAAAGATTTTATGATAACTACTAGGGAGAAATTTTATTAGATGGTGTTGATATAAAGAACTATGATTTGTTGAAATACCGTTCTAAATTTGGAGTTGTATCGTAAGAGCCAACACTTTTTACGGGAACTATCAAAGAAAATATAATTTACAATACTGAAAATGTAAATGAATAATAAATAGAATCCATAACTAAATAAGTAAATGCCTATGATTTCATTACTAATTATTCAAAAAGTAAGCTTTTTTTTCTATTAATATCCTTTATTAATTAATATTTTTTTTTAAAAGATGGCGTTAATGGATTTGATAGATAAGTGGGTTTGAAAGGAAATTAATTAAGTGGTGGATAGAAATAAAGAATTGCTATTTGTAGAGCTATGATTAAATAACCAAAAATTATGCTACTAGATGAAGCAACAAGTGCTTTAGATTCACAAAATGAAAAAATAGTCTAAGAATCCCTAAACGAAGCAATGAAACAAAAAACTAGTATTTGTGTGGCCCACAGAATATCTACTATTAAAGATTCAGATATGATCTATGTGATGGAAAATGGCAACATAGTCGAGCAAGGAAAATATGATTAATTGATGAATTTAAAAAATAATTTCTATAAATTACAGTTAGGTAGTTCTTAATGAATGAATGAAAGAATGCTATAAAAAAATTATTGACATAACAAAATTAATATTTTAAATTTCTTGTAAAATATATTTTATACATATCAATCTATTATGATTTTAATTTCAAGTTATCTTTTAATATAAATTTAATTAATATATTTAAAAATTCATAAAAAAAAATTTATGATTAAAAAAAATATTAACATAAAAAAACAATAAATAAAAATTTTATTTTAAATTAAAAAAAATAAACAACAAACAATGTATTTAAAAATAAATTATTTATAAAATGATAGATTTTATAATTTCTTTACATATAAATTTATTAATATTTAATTAAATAAAATAAGATCAGTAAAAAAAAACATAAAATTAATTATTATCAAATTAATAAATTATTTTTTAATTTCTATAAAATAAAATTAAAATTAAAGATGCTTATTTAATATTAATAATTATATAAATAAATATATTAAAATAAACAATTTAAAAATAAAAAATAAATTAATTAACAGTGTACTAAAATAAACCAACATAAAAATTATAAATAAATAAATTAATTTATTTTTTATTTGTGTTTTATATATAAGTAGCTTCTTTCATAGCTACATTTATTAATCACTTTCACCTGTCTTTCTAATTATTGCTCTTATGAGCTGTTTAGGAGGTGGCAATACTTTTTTTTTTAAGCTTCAAATCAGTCTTATGTTCATCTATATAATTTAAAAACTCAGAAGTATTAGTAAATTGAGTTTTAGATTCCTTTGAAGCCTACTCTTCATTCAATTTTTTTATTTTATTAATTAGTTTTTATCTCCTTATGTCTTTTACTGATTCAGGTTTTTCTTCTTTTATAGGTGTGATTGGCTCTTTTATCTTTAATGGTTTATTTACTAATACAATATAGTCAAATGCTGTCTTTTGAGCTTGGTTTTAAGTTACAATTAATTTTTTTTTTTATTGTGAAGAAACAATCTATGTTTGCATTTGTTATAAATGGTTTTTCATTTTATGTATGGTTTGATTTTAATAAACTACTTTTTGTCTGGTTTTTGTTTGGATAAATATTTTTAAATTATTTTTTTTTATTATTAAATTCAATTTATTAAAAATTCCCTTTGAATTTAAATTAAAAAAATAAAAGGTTTTTATTTTAAAAGTGTCTTCAATTAATTAAAAGTAATCAGTTTCTAGTAAAATTTACTACTCTTAATTAAAAATAAAAGTATTTTCTTATCTAGTAAAATTTTCTACTCTAAATTAAAAATAAAAGTGTTTTCTTATAAATAGAAATATTAAATATGACTTGTGTTTTAATCAAAAACAAATTAAAATAGAATAAATGCTATTACCAGCATCTATTAATAGTAACAATAATATTTTTAATGAAATAGATATTAATTGTTTATTTATCAAAAGAGACTTCATGAAAAATAAAATATTTTTAATATAGTTATTATGTACACTAAATAAATAAATATTTCTTCTCTTATTTATTGGCACTGTTAAAATAAAATTTGTTTAAAATTTAAAATAAAATTTATTTTATGAAAATAAATAACTAGAATTAATTTATTTCATTAAAAAATATTCCAAATTGGTAGTAAAAAAATTATTTTTAAATGTTAAACTTCAAATACATTTAATCTTGTGTTTTAATCAAAAACAAATTAAAATAGAATAAATGCTATTACCAGCATCTATTAATAGTAACAATAATATTTTTAATGAAATAGATATTAATTGTTTATTTATCAAAAGAGACTTCATGAAAAATAAAATATTTTTAATATATTTATTATGTACACTAAATAAATAAATAAATATTTCTTCTCTTATTTATTGACACTGTTAAAATAAAATTTGTTTAAAATTTAAAATAAAATTTATTTTATGAAAATAAATAACTAGAATTAATTTATTTCATTAAAAAATATTCCAAATTGGTAGTAAAAAAATTATTTTGAAATGTTAAACTTCAAATACATTTAATCTTCATTAATTACGACCCATATACTTTGAAATAATCTTATTGAAAATATAATTAAAAATTTTTTTTTTTTCTACTTTAATTTTTGAGCTTCTAAAGTATCCATAAAATCTAAAAGCAAATTCAAGAGCAGTTAAGAATATAAAAATTGTAAATTTATTTATCAAAATATTTTATACAAAACTATTTTATTTTTAATTTCTATCATTTTTATTAAAAATATATTTAAATTTCAAAAATTTAGATGAAAAGCAATTTTGTTCAAAATATGGCGAAATTACCCTTGAAATTTTTCTTTTTATCAATACAAGTAATCAATATTTATTTAAAAATATAATTTTATTTTGTTTAATCAATTAAAAATTCTTGAAAAAAACCCTTTAATATAATGAAAATATTTTATATGAATAAATGAGAGTAAGTGTTTTTTCAACTAGAATTATTCTTTTTAATAGACTAAGCTTTTTCAAATTATTTTTTAGTCAGTAGTACTTTATTATATTTAACTTTTCTAAATATTATGAATTATTTAAAACAAAAATTGTAAAAGGTGATGATATAAGTTAATAAAATAACTAGAATGAGTTTATTGATAATAAAATTAAATATTTTTTTTGTATCCACTTTAATTTTTGAGCTTCTAAAGTATCCATAAAATCTAAAAAGCCATTTCAAGAGCAGTAAAGAATACTAAAATTGTAAATTTATTTATCAACATATTTTATTCAAAACTATTTTAGTTTTAATTTCTACCATTTTTATTTAAATATATTTAAATATAAATAATTTATATGAAAAGCAATTTTGTTCAAAACAATGCGATATTCTTCTTTATTAATACATGTAATCAATATTTTTTTTTTTTTTAATTTTATTTTGTTTAATCAATTAAAAGTTCTTTTTTTGAAATAAACTCTTTAATATAATGAAAATATTTTATTGGAATAAATGAGCGTAATTGGATTCTCAGCTTGAGTCATTTTTTTTAATTAGCTAAGCGTTTCCAAATTATTTTTTAGGTAGTAGTACTTTATTATATTTAACTTTTCTAAATATTAAGGATTATTTAAAACAAAGATTGTAAACGGTGATGATATAAGTAAAATAACAAGAATACGTAAATAAATATTTGAAAGATTTAATTAAATATTTTTAAGTCAGCATAATATTGGTCTCTAAATAATAGAACGAAAGTAATCTTCAAAAATGCAAATAATTAATTAATATTTTCTCATAGATAAAACACGATTACATATTTAAAAATTATTCACTGTAAAATAGACCTTAATTTTAGATTTTTTTTTCTTTCTTTTTCAAGCACACTAAACAATAAAATACTTACAAAGAATTTTTAATTATTGAAAAAATGAAATCTTTTTAATAATTAAATACTATTTTACACTATTATAGTGAATCGAAAAGTATTAATAGATATTTTTTAGTAGTTTAAAAAATAGGATGCTAAAAAAAATTTTAGAAAACTATTTAATAAAAACTTTACAAATAAAAAATATATTCACTACTGTTAAGTTTAATTAAAGATTCTTAACTTTCTTATCCATTCTTGTTAATGAATTAATAAATTTAATAGGAAAAAAAACTCTACTACGTAAAACAATATTCTCATTTTTATAGTTATGGTAGAAATATTTTCTTTAGCATAAATAATTTTACTATGTATATTTATAAATATCTTTAAAATTCAAGCTCAGATTTAATTCATTTTTGTTTAATTATCTATTTTTAAAAGTACTCTTCTAATTTAAATTTAAAAACATCTTAGACTTAAAAAAAAATTATTAATAGTATTTCTTAGATATTCATATATTTAATTTACATAGTTTATTTTTATATTTATAAAGTTTTAAAAATAAATTCTTAAAATTATATTTATTCTCTTTAAAAAATCATATATAAATTTAACCTGTATAAAATTTATGAAAAAGAATAAAACAAAACAAAAAAAGTAAGCTGTAATCATAGGAATATAGGAAAAGAGAAACTTGAAAATGCTCTTTTTTGTTTTGGAAGATTACTTTAGTTTTTTAGATACGATGCAGTTTTATTTATTTATGTTTGATTGTTTGTTTGTTAATTTGTTTATTAGATTAATTTACCAACAAGAAATATTTGGTAATGTTTTTATTTTAATTAAATTCTACCAAGATAGATAAAAACCATTTACACTTTTATGAAAAAATACAATTATTTAAAATATATTTATTAATTAATTAATTAATCCTCGAATGCAGAGATAGACTGATACATAATAAAATCAATTGATTTTTTTGAATACTGGTGGGGAAATTTTATATTAATTATTTTTTTATTTTGTTTTTCTAATACTTTTGTAATTCAAACAGTTGTTTACAATAAGTATTTATTTTTATTAGTATCATTTTTTTATAATTAAATATTAATAAATGTACTTTTATCTATCCATGTATGTGATTTACCACTTGCAATTTATCATAAAATATTGATAAATTTATTAAACCATGACAACTACTTTTTTTCATTATTCTTTTTTTTAAATATGTTCAATTCAAGCATTATTTAAATAAATTTGAGCATTTATCTATTTTAATTTCATATATAGTGATAACTTCTTTTATTAATTCAACATAAGCTGGACTTTTAAAAAATACCAATCATTTTCTACACTTATTGTTTCAAAATTATCCATCCCATCTCTAAGATTGTTTAGTCTAAGTACGTATCTATTTATAATTTGTGAATACAAAAATAAAAATGTATTTTTCTTTATATTTTACAATATAATAAAAAATTAATTTGTCTTCCAAAAAAAACATTTAAATGTATTTAAAATTGATTGAGTATTAAAAATTGTTAATTCCATCGTAATTAATTATCCCCTTTTAAATTTATTGGTAAGATCGACTGGGTGATAGTATTCAAGGACTGCACTTTAATTTTTATATGCTTACATAAACTATCACAAACAGATACATTCTTAATTGCCAATGCATTATATTACACAAGTTTTTTGCTCAACATAGTTATAGACCTAATCATTAATATTTGATATCTTCATTTATGCTGAGCAACGAGTTTATATTCTCAGAAATATAAACCAATTTTCTAATAAATTTTTTATATAAAAAAAGCAAAATTTTTAACAAGAATATTCATTTTAAAAAATATATTTATTTTTGCTTTAAGAATAAATGGTAAAAGAAGATAGCAATTCTCAAAGCAATGTTTCTTTTTCAAATCTTTTTTATTTAGTTTCTAAAAAAGATTCATTGCAACTTATAGGTGGATTAGTTTGTACTCTTTTAAATGGTGCTGTATAGCCAATATTTTGCTGGCTCTAAGGTGAAGTTGCCTATGTATTCTCTTCAAGTAACACTCCTAGCTAAGTTTATGATAAAGCAGTAGTTACCTTGTATTACTTCATTATATTTGGTGTAGGTAAAATACATTTAATAACATATTAATAGCTTAAGCATTAGAAAATAGCTTCTTATTCAAAAAAAGAAACTTAATTTCTATAAAAAATATGATAGAATAATCCGAATAATCCTAAAATAAATAAAATAAATAATTATTTTGTTATTTAGAAAGTTAAAATAATTTTAAATAATCTATAAAAATATTATTATTAGTTTCTTTTATACTCTCAACCTTGATGATGTACTTTTGTGTTTAATTTGGTGAAAATTAGGCTATTAAATTTAGATAAGAATACTATAAAAAGCTAATTAGTCAGGATGTTAGCTATTTCGATATGATTAACTCAAATGAGTTATCAACAAAAATGGCTAGTGACTGCTTTAAAATCTAGCAAGCGATAGGAGAAAAACTTTGCTTATTTTTATATTTTTCAAGCATAGTAGTTGGTACTATAGCACTTGCTTTTATTAGAGGATGGCAACTCTCACTTATATGTTCTATTATAATACCGATTAATTTATTGGTAGTTAATACTATTACTAAGATCACTCAAAAGTCAGTCAAAGAAAACTCATCTATTATGCAAGTTGCAGGAGGAGTTACAGAGTAAACTCTTGGCAATATAAGAACAGTTAAAAGTCTTTAAGGAGAAAAACATGAATCATAAAAATACTCAGAATTAATTTAAAATGCTCTTCAAAAAAAGTTCCGTTTTAATTTCGTTTCAGGAATTTCAATAGGTAGAATATTTTAAGAAAATAATTTAATTTTTTTTTACCTTATGGGGTAAAAAGTATACAAAGTATAATTATCAAAAGTTATTCTTAATTTTTCAAATTTACTGGATCGATAGTGGTAAATAAAATGCATCTTACTATCTATCGAAAATTTATTCATCCTTTATTTAAAATTGCTTTCATTATAATTCAAGAGATAGAATTATTTTTATCTTTAAATAATAATAGGACTTTAATCAATGTTTTACTTTCTAAATTATACTCTTCCCTTTTGGGTTGGTTCTATTTTCATTGAAAGAGGAGTATTCAATGATAATATGGGCAGACCATACGACGCATCTGATATCAATGCAATATTTTCTTGCATTTTGATTGGTGGATTAAGACTCAATATGGCAATCAATAGCTATAAAGTTTTTTATGAAGCAAAAGTTGCATGTGCAGATATTCTGAAAGTACTTTAAGAATTATTTAAATTTATTTAAATGAATGAATATTATTTGTTGCTTTACTCAAAATAAATAAAAAGCTATAAATTTTACATCTAATTAATTTAATTTACAATCAGAATTAATTGGATTAACATTTTTCAATAAAAATAAGGTCTTGAAATCTATTCCTCTTATTAAATAAAATGAATAAGGCATAAAAATCAACAGAGAGGACGTTAAGGGAGAAATCGTCTTTGAAAATGTTTCTTTCAGCTATCCTTCAAGAAAATAGTAAAATTTACTAAATAATGCATCTTTTTCTGTTTTACCACAAAAGAAAACAGCTATTGTAGGCAAATCAGGATGGTATAATGCTTAATTTATTTTGTTACAACTTTTTTAAAAACCACATCTAAAATATTAAGAAAACTAGACAAATCTCCCACTTTAATTTCCCAAAAAATCATAAATACTTTTGAAAAATTGTTTCCTAAACATAAATTTAAATTTAATTTAATTTTAGCTTAACTTAATAAAAAGAAGGACATCTTTTTATCTTACATATATACTACTGTAATAATATATTACTTTTTCTTATAAATTTTTAATTATTTTACATTTACTAAGTTAAGCTAAACTATTTTTACTATTTAAATTCTATGATTTTTATTTACATAGATTAATTTAAAAATAATGAGATGACTGATGTAATCTTTTTGACTCACTTCTTCAAATTTTAATTAATTTTTATTAATAATGAATGCAAATATTTATGCTTAAATATTAAATAAATCCTAAATATTTTACATTTCATTAATTTTCAATATTTTACTTATCTATGAAAAGGATAATTATAATTAATATCCTCAAATCCTCATTAATTAAGATCTTCCCATAAATCATTTTTTTTTTTTTAATCATTCATAAATCCAACATTCTTTAAAATTTTTAATTACTGAATTGATTTACTTTACTTAAATAGTTTACATTAATTACTATATTTTTTTCCTTCAAATATTGAGTAAATTTATGTTCCTTAATCTATTACAAAAAACTTATTTTTATTAGTTTTTGTAGTTGCGACATATAATTTCTCTAAATTATTTTGGTTAATACTATTAATACTTACATTTTTTTTTAATTGATTTTGCTAATACTTACAAATTACATATAATTAACAACCCCATTAAACTTTACTGGTATTTTTTTATCAAATGAATTTGTTTGAAAAATATTTAGTAATATTGCATTTATTATGCTAAATTACTTCAATTAAAACTCTTAAATTTGCTTAGATTAATCTAAATTATTTTTAGATTTATTAATTTTCTCTTATGTTACTCATTATTAAGTGAAAATTTTAATTTCTAAATATAGTGGCAAATCTACGATATTATAGCTTATAGAGCATTTTTATGAGCCAGATTAAGGAAGGATTCTTCTTGATGGTACAAATTTAAAGGATTTCAATTTAAGCTCACTTAGAAATTGCATGGGCTTTGTCACGCAAGAGCCATTTTTACTTGCAACTACTATTAGAGAAAATCTAAGATATGCCAAGCCAGATGCTACTGAAGAAGAAATGATTTAAGCTTTAAAATAAGTAAATATTTGGGAATTTGTTGAAAAGCTTGATAATAAGTTAGATAGTTTTGTTGGAAATTCTGGATCTTAGCTTTCTGGAGGTTAGAAGCAAAGAATTTGTATTGCAAGAGCAATTTTGAGAAACCCTCCAATTTTACTTTTAGATGAAGCCACTAGTGCTTTGGATTGTAAAAATGAAGTCTAAGTGTAGGCTGCTTTAGATTAAGCTAGTATAGGTAGAACGACTATAGTAGTTGCTCATAATTTATAAACAATTAAAAATGCTGATTAAATTATTGTTATTGATTAAGGGGAAGTAATTGAATAAGGTTCTCATGAATAACTAATTTCTTAATAAGGCTACTACTATAAAATGCATAATAAGGATGATAAAAATAATAAAACTGATTCATAATAAAGCTAAAGTCAAAGCGATAGCTCTTCATCTGGTGATTCTTCTCCTTTAGAAAATATATCACCAATTCCTCTTTTCTAGAATCACTTAAACGACCATAAATCATTTAATTGCACTAAAAATACTCTACCTACATCAAACGATTTACGTTAAAGCCACCTAAAAAGTAAAGATTAAGAATTGACTACTATAAATACTTTAACCAATTATGATGAGAAAAGCGCAATGTAAATAAATGATGATAAAAAGAAATTTCATTTATTTTTTAATACCTCACCGTAGCCAGATCCTTAAGCTAAACTAATACAAAGACAATAAAGAGTAGAATAAATTAAGAATAGCAATATTTTATCAATTACAACTAAGTCTAAAAAATTAACTGCAACACCTAAATTTTTTAATGAGCAAAAAGAAGAATCATTTGTTCAAGTTGAAGAGTAGAACATTACTAAAGATTAAAAAATGACAACTAGCTAAATATTAAAACGTCTATTTTCATACGATAAAAAAATTTTATTGAACTTATTCATTGGAATGCTCTTTTCTGTAGGTAACGGGTTAACATATCCATTATGTGGGTTAATTTTAGGAAAACTGGTTCCTGTTATTCTTGATTCAGACAGATCAGATATCACCTCTTAAATAAATGTCTACTGCTTATATTTAACTCTTTTAGGATTTTTTGAACTAGCTTCAACAATATTTTAATAATATTTTACATCTAAAGCTGCCTAAAAAACATCGTTAATCCTTCGCAAAGATCTTTTTAATAAATTTTTAAAGATGCCTATTGCCTGGTATGATTAACCCGAAAATAACTCAAGTTCTTTATCATTAAGTATCCAACAAAGCTGCGACACAATTCACTCATTTATATAATCCACTTTTGCTTACAATGTAAAATTAAAATTTTTTATTTTCTTTAATTTCTAATTTAAATTTTTTTCTTTTGTTGTTAAGTATTTTAAAATTAATTATTAAATAAAGATTTAGGCATTTGTCAGTATTTTAGCAGCTGTTTTAATTGCTTTTTTCGGAGATTGGAAAACAAGCTTAATCGGTATAGCTATTGTGCCTTTTTATCTCCTTAGTTTTATCAATTATGCACTTAAAATTGGCTAATTAGCAGTAACTTGCCATAAGTCCTCTATGAGCACAGTTGGCTTAATTAATGAATCAGCTTGCAATATAAGAACTATTAAGAGTTTCGGAAGCAGTGAACTCTTAATTGAAAATTTTATTTAAAAACTTTAAAAAAATGTGGATAATATAAAGAAACAAGCTATTTCTTGTGGTATTGCTATTGGATTTACTAATATGCTTGTCTTTTGTAAGTTTTTTTATATTTATTTTATTGAAAGGTATTTATTTTTTTCAATTAAAAAAGTCTTTTTTGGTGCAACATTTTTCGGAGGAGCATTCTTCTTTAAAAACAAAACATCATCTATTGAAGGTCTTATGATTTCTATAGAATGTTTAATCATATCTGCTAATGGATTAGGTAAAATAACTTACTTAATTTAATTGTGTTATAAATAAATAATTATTAAAATTTAAGGGAAGAGTGCCTTTTTCTTGGGAGATGGTAAAAGTGCAATAGCAATGGCAAAAAAAATATTTAGTAATCTTGACTCTAAAGATGAATTCTAATCTAATCAAGGAAAGCAAGTTATAAAGTAGACTGTTGGTTAGATTGAATTCTAAAACGTTTCTTTCTCTTATCCTGAAAGAAAGGACTAACTCATCTTAAAAAATATTTCATTCAAAATACCTGCAAAATCTAAAGTTGCTTTTGTGGGTACTTCAGGAGCTGGTAAATCATCTATAATTTAATTACTCTAGAGATTTTACAGTAATTATTCTGGAAAAATACTCCTTGATGGCATTGAATTGAGAAAATATGATTTAGACAACTATCGTTCAAAATTTGGTTCAGTATAATAAGAACCTCTTTTATTCAACGGTACTATAAAAGAAAACATTTAGTACAACTAAGATGTTAACTTTGAATAAATAAAAGAAGCAGCTATAAAAGCTAATGCTCTTTAATTTATTTAAGAACTCTCTAAAGGTAAAAAAAAATATTAAAAATTTTTAAGATTAAAAATTTATTTTCTATTTATTAGATGGAATGGACGGATTTGAAAAGTAAGTTGGTATTAAAGGAAATAAACTAAGTGGAGGATAAAAATAAAGAATTGCTTTGAGTTAACTTATCCTAAGAAATCCCTAAATAGTACTCTTTGATGAAGCTACTAGTGCTCTTGATTCTAATAACGAATAAATTATCCTAAATTCGATTGAATAAACATTTAGAGAGTAAACTATTGTAAATGTTGCTCACAGAATTAATGTAATAAAAAATTGTGATATAATTTTCATGCTTGATCAAGGAAAAATAGTAGAATAAGGTACATTCGAGCAACTGATAGAATAAAAATCTCATTTTTATAAACTAATATAAAATTCTTAATTGAACTGATAAAGAAATTTCAATACAAAAAAAAAGTATTTTATTTGAACATTAAATATATAAAATTAACTTAACTTAATATATTCTTTTTATAAAGTAAATTATGTTTATATCTTTACATAATGTTTAATATAGCATTAATTTTATCTAAATCTCCTTAATATTTTTAATGTGATGTTATAAAATTTTAAAAAAAAGCATATCTTTGAAACGTGTTTCATATTTGAATCAAGCAAATAAGTTATTTTGCTTCTGAAAATATAAATTACTTAATTAATTTGTGAAATTTATTTAAAAATTAAAAAACTAATAAATTCTGACATTTTTTGTGTAAAAAGTGATGTAATTAATTTATATACTAATATTAGGGTTTTTGATAGAGTTATTGAAATCATCAAAATCTTCTGATTATTTGAAGATATCTTTTTGCAGTTTTATGACTTTATTGATAGAAATATGTCAAAAAATGATTTTTCTGTATTTATTTAGCTTTTCAAAAAGAGTGTATTCGTTGATTTTAAAAACTCAATTATATTCTGTCTGTTTTTTATACAAGTAATTTTATTGACATAAGTTTATTTATATTTTAAAATTTGATGTTTTTTTATATAATTTATAAAAAATAAATGGATAGATAAATATGATAAAACTTAAAAAAGTCTTTTTTTTAATTTAAAATATTTATAATAAACCCAATTTACTTTTTTTAAAATTCCTAGTTTCAAAATTGTTTAAAGAAATAATGAATTTAAAGAATTTAAATTTAATAAAACAATAATATTAGAATTTTTATGTTTTAACCAACATTAACTTATATAAATATAAGCAATAACTAACTAATATTACTTTTTATATTATTTATAAAAATTACTAAATAACATCATTAATCATTTTTTAATTTAAATTTATTTCAGCTCTGTTTCTTGCAAACTGATATTGATTTATCAGAAAAAGTAGTCAAGAAAAGTGTTTCTCCTGAAGCAGAAATAAGTCCTCCAGCTAAAACAGCACTAGCTTTTTCAGCTGTAAATAACTCAGATACTGAAAGTTCATTTGTTTTTGCATCAAACCTAACTGCATCAACTCCTCCCCAGTATGTTATTAAAGATTAGCTTCCAGGATTTTTCTATACTTACTCGTAAGCAGGAAGTAAGTTTTTTAAATCAAGAAAACTAAGAGTACCTCCTACCAAAAACTAATTTCTAACTTAATCAAAGTTTATATTATCAGCTGCAAGTCTAGTCTTGAGGATTTAAGATAGCTGCAATGAACCATCCTATTACAATTTGAAGGAGCGAAGTTCTCTTCCGAAAGTATCAGAAATCAAAATTGTGTCTTTTTAATCAAAAGCAACGCCATTCACCATAACACCTTCACTACCTTAAACTATTTGGCAAGTACTTAAATCATTTACCTTAAATTAGCAATCCCAAAGATTTGATCCTTTAATTTTAAGCATTTAATACATATTTTAAATTATCTTATTTTTTAGAGAAGCATGTGTTGGACCTTCTAGAGGGAATGCTACAGGAACCCAATCAGTAACTAAGAATCTGTTATCATTTAAGACAACTAAATCATTTGCAACTCCTGTAAATCTTGACCCTAGTTAAGTGTAATGATCATATTTTAATGATAATTTTCCATCATTGCTTTTTTAAATTTTGAAAACTTCAATTCTTTCTCCTTTTCCTTTGTTATATGCATGATTAGAAACATAAAAATTATTATCTCTTATGTATTAGCCATGGGGAAAGAAATCTAATCCAGAAGGATATGAATTTAATTCTAGTCTTTCAACTTTGAGATTTCCAGATACAATACCAGTCACAGAGTAGCACCCACCTTTCTCTACTTATTCTAAAGGTACTGCTGCAAAATAAATTTTAAAAAGATTTGAATGGCAGCCAATTAAAGTGTCTTCATCATAAAAAACAGCATCTTCTGATCCAATAAGATTCAAATCTGTTTTAATGTACTCACAATTTCCATAATACTTTGTGAATTCTTCCTTCTTGTAGCCAAGACCAAGGTCATAAAGCTTATATGCAATCAATATTATAAGAACACTAAAAGCTATTGTAATTTATTTAATCATTTTAAAAAGTAGATTTTATTTATTTTATTAAATTTTATTGTTTTTTGATATATTTTTTTCCCTTAAGCAATAGCTTTTAAAGCTAAATGATGATAAAAAAAAGTGTAATCTTTTTTAATTTTTTTGTAATTTAATAAACTAAAAAATAATAAAAGTTTTTTTGTTAAATAAAAAGATAAATTTCTGGTGATTGATGATAATAATAATATACCGATTAGTATAATTTTTATATTTTGATTTTAAAATTTTATCAATATATAAATTATTAATTAATTTTTGATAAAATACTATTTTTTATTTAGTTTTTTATCAGATAGGTTTTAAAATAAAAAGCAGCTAATTGAAACTAATAGAGGATATTAAAGAAGTAATAAAATATTTAAATAATTGTCTAAACGAAAAAATCGATTCTAAAAAGCTTAGAAATCAAATAATATTATAAGAAATGTAAACAAATTAAAAAATTGTACTACTAAAATCAAATTTTTACTAAAAAAAATTTATGTAACTAAAAGTGGATATTTGAGTAAGATTTATTTCATTAAAAATTTTATTAATGTTTTTTGTTACAAATCAAAAGTAATTTTTATTAATTCTAATTAAATCTAATAAATCAAATTAACTTTAAACAAAGAAAACTTCTTTTATTAATCTAAAATTTTTTATTTTTATTTTTCTATCTGTCTTCTTTTTTCAAAGATATTGTTCTATTTTATTATATTTTTCTAAAAGTTATTAATGCCAATTAAAAATAGCAATATAATTTTTTAAATACAAATTTATTTTCTATAATAAGATAGTAAATTACATAGTTTATAATCTTGAATTTTTAATTAATAAGTATTATTTATTTAAAATTTAAAGAAAAGAAAATAATATATTGTATTTATCAACATAAAAAAATAAATATAATTTGATTTATTTATATTTCTATTTCATAGGATCAACTAAAGTAAAATATAAATTTTTTTTTATTTATTTGGCTTATTTGCATATAAAATGTAATAATTTTACTGAAATATAATATGTCATATATTTTTATTTAAAAAATCAATATATGATTTACATTCATTAATTAAAAATTTTAAAAATAAAATTAATTCATAATTATAAATATCAAAATTAAAACAAGGAAAGAGCGTAAAGTAAGCATGACTATATTACATTGTTTTTTAAATGTGATTTGCTTTTATTTTATTTATCTTTATTTGTTTTTTATCTTATTTTTAATTGTTAGCTTTTCTTTTTATGAATATGTATGCTTTTTTGTTTGTTTGTTTATTTATTTTATGTCTTCTTGATTTATTTAATAGTTAAGTCTTTTTATTCTTTTTCTTTTTCTTTATCTTTTTATTTTTTATCTCTTTTTTAATTTTTTTATCTTTCTTTTGATTTTATTTATCTTTCTTTCTTTTTAAATAAAAATAGGTAGGTGAACTCCTAAAACACCTCCTTTTTTGTCGCTTAGACAATTTCTTCATCGAATTGGGTGCCTATGGGAATAAGACAGGGTAATAGAAGAACGGGAAGAGAATTGGGTTTCTATACCCGGACCGCGGATTAAAAAACTTATTTAAGTATCACAGAGAGGCAGCATAAGCACAAATAACTTGTGGTACAGACTTTCATCTTTCTAAGGGGAAAGGATCCGATCTGTGGTCTTCAGTTTAGAGCTCTTTTTTAGTGTTTCGGTTCGTTTTAATTTAGGGGTTAGGACTTGCTTTGAAATGTGTGGAGCATTTCTCTACAAGTTTTGCTGCAAATATCCATCCTGAATACAACTTTACTTGAATACGTAAATTCGTTCGGTTAGTATTCTAAAATGACAGCGTAAATCATTTTATTTTTTGTGGATGGAACAGCAAATTAATTTTAAGGAGGCTGCTAAGAGCTTCTCCATGCGAAAAGTAAGCGAATTTCCTCAAAAACTAACAAGGTCTTGTTATTTTAATTATGATTCAAAATATTCAGTTGACAAATGCTTATTAACCATTTTTAAAAACTTTTTTATCACCAGTTTAAGTAATAATCATCCCAAAAGAACTACTATACAGACATGAGTAATTCGATTTATTATTTTTTAAAAAAATAATCTATCAATTTTCACCGTGAAGGGATGGCGATAAGCAATTAAAAACAAAATCCGTTGAATCGTAAGCACGACGAAAAATATCGCTGGATTTAAAAACTTGAAGAAGCATATGCTCAAGTTAGAATCCTTGAGCAGAACTGAGAGGTTTTTTGCCGACCTCTGCAGCTCTAACTCAAATCTCCTAGTTCAATGATACATACACACTCCCATTTAAAAAACTTCATTCATCAACTGTTTGAATCTTAATCAAAATACATAAGATGTTCCATGTGTATTTATATTTTGTATTTAGTTTTTTTCTAAATAGATCTTGTTGAATCGATTTGCTCACTCAATTTGGAAATGTCTTATTCCAAGATTGAATATTAGAAGGAGAAGAAAACTTGCATTCATCAAATGAACTACATCTAAGATTTTTCATCGGAGCTTTCTTAAGTGATTAAAACACTCTTGAAAGAGAATCAAAATCATTGACGAAGTCTTTCGAATCCTGTAAGAGACTCTCAATCAATCAACTTAAGGAATAAGTAAAAAATCCAAGAGGAGGCCGTAAAAAACTTAGAATTCATCAAAAACATTCATAAACCTACTTTAGGTTAGAGTTCCTCTAAACTGAAAAGTGCTTGTCCTATGCTTCATTGCCCTTAATATGATCTAGCTTTTTCCTAAATTATTAAGGAATAAAAATTATATAGAAACGTCGGGGAATTATTTTTTCCTTTTAATCAAAGATCAGAGCAAAGAAAATCAAAAAAAAAATTAAAGTGGGAAAAATATTTGAAATTTAATTTCATAAAAACAAATTTTCAAAAATAAATTAATATCTTAAAGTATTCTTTTCATTCATCATAAATAATAAATAAATAAATATTAGAATCTTTTTTAATTTGTTTCATGATATTTAATATTTTTATTGAAATCCTTTATTTAATTATTAAATTTAAGAAAATTGCTTTAAATAAATTTATTAATTTAATTTAATGATAATGCTTTAATTTAGGATTAAAAAAAATAAAATATTTAATTTTTTGAATATTTTTTATATTTATTAATAATTAATTATTCTCAAAATTTAATAAATAACGAAGTGAAATAAAGTTTTTATATACAATTTAAATAATTAATTTAATTTAGAAATTATTCTGTTTTTTTGAGGAAGATTTTGAAGATTTTATTGATTTATTATTAAATTAATATTTATCAACATTAGAAATTCTTAATGAACTCGCTTGGTGCAAATACTCTAGATGTTGAATCAGCTGAAGTAGAAAGAACAAATGGAAAGAATGGGTGGAATTTACTCAAAACAACTCTATCAGAATGATTGTTAATCTTAGTAACTATTTTCTCTTCCTCAATATTATAAATACATATAGATTTATCGAAAGATGTTGATATCATGTAATTTCCTGTAGGATCAAATTCGACAGACCTTTATTTTAATAATAATTAGCCTTAATAGATAACTAATTTATTTTTTACCTGCAATCTGCTGTATGATTTTTTATTTCATAAAGGCTCCTTGAAGGGTTATTGAGGTCCCAAACAGAAACTAAACCGTTTGTGTGTGCAACACAAGCTGTGTTTTCATTTACTGCACTCTTTTAAATAAATTACAAAAAATTATAAAATTTAGAATTCAATTTAGCTTTACCTTGATTTGCTTTTTCGAAAATTTAAGAAGATTTTTAAGATTTGTGTTACTAAATCCATTATTGAGATTGACATAATTTAGTTAGTCGTATTTTTTATTTGTTAAATCGATGCATCTAATTTATTTATTGGCCTTCAAATCCCATACTCTTAAAGTATTGTCTTTGCTTACACTAACTAATGTGTTGCCTTCACCGTCTATCTAATAGAAGGAGTAAAAAATTTAATATAATTTATTACAAAATTGATTTATTTTACATCTAATGAATTAATAGCATTTGTGTGACCATCTAATTTACCTAATAGACATTTTTTTTCTAAATCCCAAATCATTATAGAAGTATCAGGTAGTCCAGCAGAATAAATTTAAGTTGAATCTGGATGAAATCTTAGAGTTCTTACTATTCCTTTATGTCCATTTAATGTTACTGTTTTGAATTCTTTCTCTAAATTTTCACTTTAGAAAGTAGGAACTCTGATTACTTTAATAGTCATATCAAGAGATCCAGTGGCTATAAATTATTTATCTCCTATTGTTTTGCTCCAGTCAATAGTATAGATAGATCCATCATGGTGGTTTTTCTTTTCCCAAATTGGAAAAGACGTTTCATTCTAGTAAAAAATTTTAATTAATTTTTAATTAAATTGTTTAATAAAATACTTTTCTGTAGTTTTTAACTATTTCTTTTATTGAAAAACATTTAATAGATTTAGAATTTGTTCCTAAAGCAAAAAATTCTCCATCAGGGCTGAATTACGCCGTTCTTATAGGCTGGCTATCTTGAATCTAACAAACTTCAATTAATTCTGTATAATCCTTTTAAAAAAGCATTCATTTAAAAATTTTTTAGAAACGAAAATACTTACATAAGAAAAAATGCGTTGTGATTCTTAAAGATTTTAATTGTGATTCTTCTGGTGAGATGTATTAGAGAAGTTTCCTTTATTTTACAATTAGCCTTGATAGTTTAAGTTATTTGTTTACTAATTATGCTGCCATGTTTAACTCTTGCTTTACTATGGCTGCTTGACTTAACTATACTAACCTTATTTACCTTTTTGTTAATAATTAATTTATAAAATGTAAAATATTAACAATTTTTAAATTTAACCAAACAAATATCTATTTTTTTATTTTTAAATTAAATTTTTATTTTATCAAATGATTGAAAAAAATATTTTTGAAAGAAAAAATCAATTTAAATTACTTAGATCTGTTGTTTAATTGAAGAATTCTTTTGGAAATGAGTATAATTAAAAGTCTTCCTAATCTTATCCTTAATTTTAAACAGCACTGCCAGTATTAGATGGGTTATTTATAAATGAAGAACCTTATTTATTTTTTGAGTGTTAAGAAACTCCACTTTCTTTTATTTAAGAAGATTAAGCTGATTACTAAGAAATTTTAGCACCAAGTTCGCTCAAATTATGCTAATTAATACCTTAATTTGACTATCTGAGCTTAGAACCGGTAGAGGCGGCAGATTAATTTAATGAATTCAAGTTACTTTTATTTGATGACTTTTTAGTTCTCTCTTCGTAATCTTAGTTGTTATCCCCACCATAAAATTATTTTCCTTTGTTCTAAATAGTTTAGTTTTGTTCATCTATGAGTTCAGATTAGTTATATCCAAAATTTCTTGATTCTGCTTATGATTATTCTTAATTTTCTTGATTTCTATAGAAATTTAACTAGTTATGATGCTATTATTTGTATACATCATTATCTTCTTCTCCTTCATTTTCTTGTATATCATCATCATCGTTAACTATATCTTCATCTTCCTGGTCTTCATCATAATCCTCACCTTCTTAATTCTAGTTGGTGTACTGATCTTCTTCTGATCCTTGTTGGTTATTAATATTTTAAAAGTTAATGAAAGGAATATCTTGTTTATGGTTCTATTTATTTCTGTAATGAAAGAAGAGCTGTTTTCTCTTCATGTTTTTCACAGAAGAGCTCTTAACCATATCTAAATCGACTGTTAAGAGCTCTGCTGGTACATTATTCTCTTGGTTTTATTGATTTATAAATAAAAGAGATGCTTTTTTTTCTTGCTAATTGATTTATTATTGCTATTACAACAACAACTACTACTTCTATAAACTATTTTCTAAATTTTTATGAAGAGCTTGATGAGAATTATTACTTTCTTTTATTAGGTGATGCAACTAATTTTGTAGTTTTTTCTCTTGCTCAGATTATTAAGAGTGGGTTAAAGCTTAGCTCTTGCCTGCACCTTAATTATTATTTGAGACAGGTTTCAATCCTTAAACTTATTACTGAGGAGGCATTGACTAGCTGTAATAATTACTATCCCAGTTTTAGTTATTTCCTAAATGCTCGCTTTACACAAAACCTGGACCATAATAATAAGATGAGCCATCCATGCTTGGATTATTATTTGAAGCTAGCAATTTTTATCCCTTTATCATAGACCTGTTAGGCTGCTACCTAATTTTATTCTAATAATTTTCTAAAAATTCTGTTTAATGGCTTTCTTCTAATTAACTCTCATCCAATTCCATAAAATCTAGCTCATTTCTCTTTATTTCATTTTAAATTTGCTGCAATTGGCTTTAATGAAGTTATGAATTTAAAACACTTTCATTTTCTATTTTATTATTTTTTTAAATCACACTAAAGAAAGGCTTAGCTTGAGTGACAGATGTTTAACCTTAAATATTTACCCTTTAACCTTACTATTACTACTTTGCTTAAAAAGGAAAATTGACACTTTTATATGCATCAAATGCTGGAGTCTTATCTTCTTAATCTGAAAAAAAGTTTACTTTATATTTAGCAGCAGACTAACTTATTATAGAGTCATCTAGTATAGATAGTTAATTAGAATTATTCTTATAGCACTCACTAATCACTCTTTCAAATTTTTATTTGTCCTTTAATTCGTTGTTTATTAGCTTTTCTATAATCTAAGGTAACTCATTATGGATTATATTTTCATCTTATTAACCAAAATTGTAAACTTCTTCAATACAATTTTTAACTTTTTCAAAGCACTCAAGTCTACCCTAATAATTTGTATATTTTTTATTCAAGAAAAAAAGGAAATAGCAATAAATATGGATTTATTTTATCTATATCTTATTATTAGTGAATTTTAAATAAAATAAATGTTAGATTTATACCATTTCAGGAGACCAATTTGCATAATCTGGGTGTTCTTTTATATTTTCAATACTCAATAAAAAAAAAAGTCTTTTATAATTCTCTTTTGATGTAAACTATTAAATAGATTTTAACAATCTTGTCATAATCTAATAATCAGGACCAATCTCAAGTAACTCTAAAAAATATTGCTTTTTAATTTCGTACATCGCTGGATTCATTTTAAAAGAAAATTTTTCAATAAAAGGAACTAAAAACTATTCGCTTTCCTCGAATTCTCCTTCTAAAATTAGTTTTCTTAAGATAGCTAGTTCAGATGGATACTTTACTAAACTAGTCTTTTAAAATGAATTTATTAAGTAAAAATGCTAATCCATGATGCTTTATCTAATACAAAGCCAAATACTTTAAATTAATTACTTTGGTTTCTGTTTCTAAAGCTATATACGACTTAAATAATCCTCTCTCTTTTAAAAATTTCTTTAGTTAAAATTGAAATATTAATATTACTTATTTGTAGGAATATTAAATGTTACCAATATTAATAGGTACAACTCATTGTCTGCTACTTAAAAATGAATATCCATTATATTTTTTAAACCTTTGAATTAAAATCTACTTTACTATAATATATCAGCTAGTTATAATGAGAATTGAATAAATAATATTATTTATTTATTACTAAATTATTCTATAAACAAATTTTAAGAAACAACTTTAAATAATTAAAAATAGCTTGAATATTTTTTAAATATTGATATTTTAATATTCTTAATGAGTAGTATCTTTGATATATGAAAATTATGGACAAGTCAATCAATTTATTTATATTAAATTAAATTATTATAAAAATTAATATTTATGCACAATTCTAAATATTGCAAGCGAATCAGTAACTTAATTGATTTTGTTTGATTGAATTAATATTTTAAATTTAAATGTTACTAGCATTCATAATCTTGCTGGAAATATTTTAAATTAAATATGATTTTTTACTTTTTAAATAAATAATTTCTTAATTTTAAATAATTAAAATAATAAATAAGAAAAAATATTTTTTTAATAAAATTAATTTCTATATTTCCATTTTTATTTGATTTAATTTGATTTAAATATTTAATTAATTTAGATTTTAAATTATTTTTATTTATTTTAAATTAAAGGATATTATAAAATTTATAGGTTGCTATGTAATTGTAAAAATTATAAACCTTGATTAAAAGCTAACTATTTTATTAGTTTTTTTAAAATGATCCCATTTTTTTAAGTATTAATTGGGAAAAAAAAATTTTTATTCTGTTTTTTCATTTTTTTTGAATATTTATTTTTTTTATATTCTAAATTATTTTTATTTATTTTAAATTAAATACAACTATAAAATTTGTTGATTGTTACAGAATTTATTAATGAAAGAAAAAAAAATAAATTTTTGAATCAATAAAATTTGGTAATGTTAAGAAAAGATATTGTGTTAAGAAAGGATATTTGTAAAAAAGATTTATTAAAAGCTAAATATTTGATAAATTTTTAAAAATAGCTAATATTATATGTAAGAAAAAGTTGAATCTCTTGTTTAATCACCAATAAAATTAAGATGAAAATAAATTTGATTTAAAATAAAAATATTTGTATTATTAAATATTAATTGTTGTAAAAAGCTACATTTTATATTTATATATATGTCTGCTAATCGAAATATTGCTTTTAATTAAATTAATATCAAATATATTTACAAGACTTTTAGTAAATAAAAATATTTTTAATTTTTTTAGTTAGCAATATTTTTGGCATTAAATTTTTAAATATTCTTTTTTAGAGTATAAAATAAATTCTATGCTTAATTCAAATTTGAAAAATGCCACCTTTTTTCTTTTTTGAATTATCAATATTGCTCTATGATTATACATGCATATATTCAAATATCAATGGCTGATTTATTAGCGATAATTTTAAAACTCATAAATTTTTTTTGTTTAGATATTTATCTCTATATCTATATTTCTAATAAAAAGTTGATAATTTATAAGCCGATAATTTATTGATGCATTATTTTTTGTAAAATTCAAATACGCAAAAATAATTAATTAATATATTAACTAATTTAATAATACATCCAAAATACTCTACTCAAATCAAACTCAGTATTTTTAATATTAAAAAATTATCTAATAAACATGGCTCAAAATCGCTTTGAGAGCTTAAATATTGATTTAATATTACAGAATTTAGTAATAGAAGATAAACAAATATTACAATAAGAGGACGAGTTTAACTATGAATCCCCTACAATTAATCCAGCAAGGCGCAACAAATATGAGTTTCATAACTAAGAAAGTGATTACAAAATAAGTAGTAAATATCAGGGTAATTAGAATTTGAAATTGAATGAGAGCTATAGTTCTATAGAAGATTAATCTAATTAAATGTAGTACGATGAAGTAAATAAAGAAAATAAATGTGTTTAAGATAGCTGTACTCCTCCAAGGAAAAGTAATGCAAAGGAATTTGGCTATGATGAAGATAATAGCGACTAAAAAAGTTAAGATAATGACAATCATTTAAAAAGAACTCCTTAAAATAATTTTTAGGTATTTTCGCCTTATAATGAAGTTAATGGGAACAAATTTAAGATAACTCTTGAAAAATTCAAACTTTCAGCAACTTCCTCAAACAAAAAGCTTCAAGAAGACCTGTAGCTGTCTAAGAGCAATAAAAAATAGCATGTCCTTCTTACATCTAATAGAAAAAATATATGCAATTAAGATATAGAGAGCCCTAATTAAAACTCTTGCTATTCAAATAAAAATAATAATTTTTCTCATACTCCAAAAATTTTGAATTTTTTGAATTCTTCTGCAACTCCTCAAAAAAATTTAATAACCCGCACTGTAAATGGCAAAAACTAAAATTTAAATAGCATTTGTGCCTAAGGAGCAAAATAAAATTTATTTATGTCATCTCAACCATGCAATTTTTACTAATACTCAGATCAAAAAATAAATTCGAACAACTAATTTTCTTACAGCAAAAAGTTATTCTAAGATGATACTGAAGACGAAGAAGAAGTTTAATAAGACTCATAAAAATAAGTTAAATAAAATCTATTTTCAAAATTCACAATAAGCGATTTTAGTGATTCTAAGGTGAAAAATAGCAGCAATCAAATCTAGTTAGAAAAGATAGATGAATTCAATTCGCCTCAAGCTACTAGTAACAATTTACTAGGCTCTTTTAATACAATGAATAACCTCTTTGCATCTCCTATTGTAAACTCTTCTAAGAAGAAAATTCCTGATTTATTTGCAACTGAGTAGGAAAGCCACTCTTTAAGAAATAAAGTAGATAGCAATAATAATTAACAAGTCAACAAAGCTAACAATTTATTTAATACTAATAATACCATTCCTAAAAAAGGATTCAATTTATCAAAAGACGATCAATCAACAGTTAAAAAGAATCTATTTGATGATAATACTATTGAAAATTAATTTGCTAATCTTGAGCAAATAAATGCCTTTTTCTCTTCATAGTAAGCTAATTCAAATTCATAACCAAAACTTTAGTAAAATATTTTTGAATTTAAAAATGGATAATTAAGTAGCCCATCTAACATAAATTAAGACAATAATAATGATATCAACAAAATTAACAATCAAACAGCAGATTTATCTAAGTTAAATTTACCTTAGGTAAATGAATTTTCATTCGAGACAGAAGAAGAAGATGGAAATGCTAGTAACAAAAATGTTTATTTCCAAAATTAATTTATGCAAAATGTGAAAAACCTTTCTCAAGAAGGATATGACTCTGATAACTTTATTAGAAAAAATACTTAACCTAAAGACTTTTGGGATAATGATTCACAGATGGAAGACAGTTAGTAAAATATTTAAAATTCCTTTGCCACTGATGAATGTTTTGATTAAAACAACCTTCAATTAATGTAAATAATTTTTTTTTGATTACATAAAATAATTCAAATAAATTAGTTTAAAACAATTACAAAAAAAATAATAAAAACATTCTAAATTTTTATAAATTATATCATTTTATTTTTATAAATTAAACATTGTAATTTTTATAAATGAAACAATATAATATTTATCAAATTAAACAGAAAGGGGAAAAGCGTTAATATTATTTCTTATGAAAACGATCTATTTAACTAAAATGATTAGAATTCTTGGAATTTAGGATTAAACAGTAATTTAGAAATTATTAATAATTGTTAAAATATTATTTAACTTGAAAAGGGAGAAATTCAGAAGTAGGATTAGACAGCAACAGCGATCATAGAAATAAAATTCAGATAGATATAGGAGAAAATGAATTTACTAGAGCTATGCCTGGTGTCAAACCTCATTAAAGACTCAGAATAGGAAGTCTAGTATAAAATAAGAAGAGATCTCAAACTGTCCTATTTTAAATTCCTGAAAATTCATCTAAAAAGCCAAAATAAGTCCAACCACATCAATCAAATTATTTTGAAGTTGAAGATGACTTTGATGTTTAAACTCCTATAAGAAGTAAAATGATTGAACAGTAAGACTTTTCAATGTTGTATAAGAAAGCCTCTTCTAGATTCTTTTCAAATGCCCTTGCAGAAAAAGATTACATTATTACTAATAGGATCAATTAAAATAAAGAAAATAGATTTAGTAGAGACTTCAAAATACTACAAGTTATCAAGCAAACACCTTCTTCTTAAGTTTATAAGGTATTTATTTAATTTATGATGATTTTAATTATTTTAAAATTTTTTGTAATTAATAAAATAAATTTATACATTTATTTATTTTAAATAAAATATTTTTTTATTCAATATTTTAGAAAATAAATATTTATTTTTTAGAAAAGATTTTAAAATATTCGATTAATTAAATTTTTGACAAAAAATGTTATTTTGTTCATTTGAAAAAAAAAAATTTTTACATACTATCTTTTGTGAAAATATGAATATCTTCGTTTTTAAGTTAGCTTTATGATTAAAAATAATTTTAAATAATATATAAATAGTGCTAAAGTAATGTAAATGGACTTATTTATGCTATAAAAGCAATATAGATTCCATAGGAATACTCTGAACAAGAAAGAATATTTAAAGAAGTGCAAAGCTTAGTTTAATTTTCAAGTTATGGATTTGGAATTCTTAAATTTTATAATGTGTGGATGGAAGATTCAAAGCTTTATCTTGTGGTAATTATTTTTAATTTATTATAGGTTTATTATTCTTATTTAACAATATTAGACTGAACATTGTCTGCATAATTTAAGATAAATTAGAAATGCTAATTCTAAACCATCTGAGTAGTTGATAAGGTAGATTATTAGAGATATTTGTGAAACATTAAATTTTTTGCATTAAAACGACTGTGCTCATTTAGGTATTAAACCTGAAAATATTTTAGTATCAAAAAAAATGAAATTTAAACTTGCAGATTTAGGTTTATCAAAGATTTAGCTCTCTGAAAATAATATATCACAATAAGAATCTCATTTCCCATATATAGCACCAGAATTAGTTGGAGGGTGCCCAACAAATAAATAAAACATCAGAAGCATAAAAGCAGATATTTTTTCTTTAGGAGCTGTTTTATACGAATTAATGACAGGTAAAATTAAATTAAAAAAATATTTACCTAAATATTAAAAACTAATCAAAAGACTAAGATCTTCCTAAATATGGAGCAGAATGGGAGAATTTAAGATCAGGTAGATTCCACAAGCTCATGAACTCAGTAAAGTATAGTGCAAGCTTAAAGAATTTAATAAAATCAATGCTTCTAAGGAACCCTTAGCTTAGACCAAGTTGTCAGGATATTTTAAATTAAATACCACCTGATAACGCTCTAGAGTTAGAATTAAAATATATGGTTGAAGAAAATAATATATTGTAAAAGAAGTTAGAAGATCTTCAAAAAAAGAGTGAGCAAACTAATTTTTAACAAAATTGCATTTTAAAGAAAAAAGGTAGTTTTTGAGAAGTAATTTTGCAATCAAAAACGTTTTAATCAGTACTTTTCATAACAAATTACTAATTTCTAAGAATAGCAGTTGATAATAATGACCGAGTTTTCTATATATTAAATTAATTGAAAATATAATTATATCCTATTTATTTATACATGAGTTTGAACTCTATTGTTTTGACATTTCAAACTACTTTAGGTCCAGATTCATTTGTGTACTCAGACATTGGAGATACTTATCTATCAATTTTTCTAATTTTAAACTTTTATTTATTTATCATTTTTATTTGATTTCTCTTAAGCCAATCATATCATAAAAGGAAAAATGCATCAAAATATTTACAGTTTATTTAATCTTTTTTTAATTGAATCTAGTCAAATTAAACAAATCTAAACTAAGTATTCTTAATTTTTAACAAAATTTTATTTCTTTTATTAAAATAATTTGTTTTTTTTTCAGTTTTCATCCAATAGTTAACATTTATTTTACCTTAATCTAATACAGTCAAGTAAGTTCTAAAAGTTTAAATTGTTAAAATAAATGTTTTTTTATTCATATTATTGCTTTTATCTTCTCAAAGTATAAATAAAAAATAAAAAATAATTAAATCAATCGTTCTAAATTAATAGTAGCAAAAAATATTATTTTAACTGATAAATTTAAATTTATTTTTGTATATTAATTTTTTAAAAAACTAAAAAAATTATTATTTATTAAAAATAAAATTATACATTTTGACAATTATAAAATATCTTGTCTAATTTTATTTAAACTTTATTACATATTATTTTAATAATAAGTGAAAATTCATAAATTAATTTAGTTAGTCATTCTAAAAAAATATTATGAGCTAAAATTTAATAAATTGAATGAATAAAATTAAAATGAATGAATATTTATTTATTGATTGTATGTATGGATTCTTGGATTTCTTATAATTTGGGTTAAAATAATTATTATACATTTTATTACAGATAATCCAATTAAACATCCTTTATAAATTTAAGTTAATAATGTTAATTCTATATTTTAATATTTTTTTTGTTTTAGAAATATGAATAAATATAATTGATCAAATATTTGTGATTGTTTATTCAATAATTTGATCAAGAAATTAGCTTTTTTTATAGTTTATTTGTTCCTGGATTATTTTCATAAGGATCAAAATCATCCTATCTTGGATCGACACAACAACCAAATAGCTTTTGAAAAAAAGATGTCTTTCTTTCTACCGTTGATTCAGATTTTGATGAACGTTCTGCTTTTAATCTTAAGTCATCTATAAATTAGAAGCTGCCATTAGATTTAGGACGATTTTTAGGATCAAATATTATTTCAGAATCAAGATCATTTTTAGTATCATTAATTGAAACATTTTTATTATCTGCTTATTTAGATTCTTTTGCACTTGCTTGAGGTTATTCGCGTAGTTCTTCTAAGGGAGTATTTTCATCTGCTATTAATTATTAAATGACTCTAACCCACCAAGCACAATCCTGCTCACTTTTAAGTTTAAATCTTCTTTGCTCATGTTTTTTTGTTTCTATGCGAAACTTTGTTAGCTTTTCATCTTGCGCTACTTTTTCAATATCTTTTATAATTATATAATCATCTACTTCTCCATTTGATACATCTTATTCATTGTTGAACAATTGTATAATTTAACGTTTTACGATACATATTTTATCTTTCCATCCAATTTTCAGCTTGCTATTTAACTTGATTTTTATAGATTATTTGAAGATTATTTAGTTCCTCGATAATTTAGTTTCATCAGTGGTGTTGCCAACTGGAGTTTCTTCTTCTCCAATAGATTTTGATGGTGATTATTTTTCTTCATCATCTCCTACTGTTTAATTTGCATCAGAAGTTTTGTTTGGAGACTCTCCCTCTGTTGTTTGATTTTATTTCTCAATTTCTTCTTACTCTTAATGATACATATCTTTAGCTTTTTGTAAAGAGTTTACCCATTTTTCAATTTATATAAGAGACTCAGAATAAAAGTTATGAGTTGTTTCTTTATTTCCCTTTTTAGCTACGATTTAGAAGATGAACTCAAATTAATGGATATGAGCACCTAATTTATCAAGAAAGGTAATTTCAGCTGTTTTATTTATAACTTTAACCATTTAATTTCCTATAAACCCAACACCTTTTTTTAAAATATTGTCATCTTCAACTTTCAAGTCTATTTTTTTAATGCTGATGATATTTTTGACGTGAATCTCTCCTTACATTTTGGAATCGTCATACTTACTATCGAAGTAATATAAGACATTTGGGTTAATGAAAGGAGGCAAATCATCTAAATCAAAGTCATTAGTGTGAGAAGCATTTTCTGTTAAGTTATATTTGCTAAAAAAAAAGAACCAGCGAAGGGTAGGTTAAATTATCTTTGTGTGTAACTTTTCTTTTTTTTTGTATAAAAATCCTTGCACAACATGATTTTGGAGGATTTCTTCCTCATATTTTTCAAAGTAAGGTCTTATGCCTTTAATTTTTTGCATTTCTTCATCTTTTACTTCTATTTTTTTGACCTCTTCTTCATCTTGGTTCTTTTTTTCTTGGTTAAGTCTTAAATTTCTTTGTTTATCAGCATCTAATTTCTAATTTATAAAAATATTAAAGAAATATCAAATAAATCCTATTTCATGTTTATGGAATGATTTAACTTGAAAAAGAAAAAGTTAATAAAATAATTTATCTTAAAGCCTTTATATTAATTATTTATTTATTTGTATTTTGCAGTTGATTTGATAATGGAAAAATAATAAAAATTTACATTAAACCTCCATGCTTTTTTAGATCCTAACTCATCGCTTGAAGTTCCTTTAGAAATAAGATACTCCTTTAAAAATTCAATAGTTTCGATCCACTCTTTTTTTGTTTAAACATTTGGAGCTTTCAAAATAAAATTTCTATCACTAAATTTGAAGCTGAACTCTTTTGAGTCATCTTTTGTAACTATTTTATCAATCTAGCTAATCAAAATAGCACCTTTTGGTATTTTATCTTTTTAAGGTAATGACTTGTCATAGAGTAAATAAAATTGATCCTTAACTTCTCCAATACTAAAATATCTTTTTTAAAATCCTACCAACAATCTAGGACTTTTCTTTTCTAACCAACCCTCTTTTGATTTGTGCTTTTATAAGGTAGCTTGCAGATTCATAAATGAAATGTATTACTTTTTACTTATTCTCCTATCAATTAATTTATCGAACTAATTATCTTATATTCTATTTGATGTGAATATATATATATTGAGAAAATAATTAATATGCCTTTTATATTATTTGTTATCTTAATTTTACCAAAACCTATTTAAAATAAAGTAAATTACTTTTTTTAATTTCTGCTCAGGTTATTTTATAAAATTTGTGATGATCAGAGCCATCTAAAAATTGATTACTTTATTTTATAGTTATTGTAGTTAATTAAGAGTGCTTTTAGTATTTAATAAATATGCTTAAAATATCTTTTATCTTTTAGTTTTGAACATAGATAATTTCACAATCACTTAAACTCCATAGTTTATCTGAAATTTTTATAAATTTGTTATAGTTAAAGATTAAATCAACAAAACTTTAATTATTTAAAATAAATATAATTCATAATTTTTTTATTTTATTTTTTCATATATAGATGATTTGTAATTAAGAATGATTCAGTATAGATAAAAAAATAAAAGTTTATTCTCGAAATTTATTAAATTAGATTAGAATCATAAAGTTGATTTTTAAGCAAAAACATTTACTAATAAAAAATGTATTTCATTTAAATGAATAGGATTTTACTAAAAATGTAATTTAGAAAAATTGAAAAAAAATAAAAATTATATTTCTTTCAGTAGTCAGTCTGAAAATCATATAAATTTATTTTAAATTTTACATGTAGCTCGATTAGCTCAGCTGGTTAGAGCATGCGGCTGTTAACCGCAAGGTCGTAGGTTCGATCCCTACATCGAGCGCTTTTTTTAGATAATTTCAATAATTAGTTTATTTTTTTATTAAAGAATAATATGAAAAAAAATTTTTAATTTGTAATAAATGATATATTTAGAATTTCTTTGATGATAAATTAATCATATTAGATTGATTACTTAAGCAAATATAATATTGAAACGCTCGATTAGCTCAGCTGGTTAGAGCATGCGGCTGTTAACCGCAAGGTCGTAGGTTCGATCCCTACATCGAGCGCTTTTTTTTTAATACTAATTTAGTCGTTCATTTTTTTTTAAATGTTGTTTACTAAATATTTAACATTTTTTCTAAAAATAAAATAATTTTTAGAAACAAAAGTGAAATGAGAAAAAAATATTTTTAAATTTATTATTGAAATGAAGAAATATTTTGAAAATTCTATCAGAATCAGAAATTTCTAAATCATAATTTTTTTTAATGCTAGATTATACGAAGATACATTTAAATCAGAAACTCGTAGAAATCTTCTAAAAATATATAATTTACAATAAGTGTGTAAAATATTAGTCTAAAGAATTTGAGGCAAATGAATTTCTTTAAATAGAAGTTAAACTACATTAGATAATACTTTTCTAATATTCTCAGGCCATGGTCTAAATAATATAGCTTTTCAAATCGCAGACAATAAGTGTTTTAATAAGCTCATTCCAAAATATTTTAAAATCATGCATTTTACAGAAATCTCTTGCTTATAGGAATTCTTAGCTCATATTATCACAAGTAGATTGTTTAGTGCATTGAAGATGATTAAATATAAAAAGCGAGAAAAACTATTGAAATATAAATTAATAAAATGAAAAAGGAATTCGGTACTTAAATGGCTGCCTTTCCTGAAATAAAGTAATAAATTTGAATATTCTACTGAAATAGTATTTAGTAATAAAAGATAATTTGTATTTTAAATTTGATACTTAATTACTTAAACTAACTAATTAATCATGTAAAACGAAGCTAATCTTATTTTTTGTTTTAAAGATATACTACTAGAGGTAATTGGTATGTGATGGAATTTATTGTTGATCAAAGAAATTGTGATTTATTTTAACTATTTATTACTGCAGTTACTACTTTAGAGAAGAAAGACAAATCAGTCTTTGTATTCAAAAATATGCAAACTGCTAAAGATGGAAATATGCTTACTTTATAAATCGATTTCGAAGAAAAAAAGGAGAAACAAAACGGAAGTATTTATTTTTTTGAATTTTTTGATAATAAAGTTAAATGAAAGGTTAAAAATAATTATATTTATAGGAGTATACAATAAAGGAACTATATGTGTAACAGGAGAGATGATTTCTGATAGACCTGGCTTTAAATTTTCTATTGAAAAGACTGAAGAAATATCTGAGACAGATATGGAAGCAGTGATTAATGTCTATAGGACAGCTATTTAGCCTTAATAGCATTCTTTTGTTAAAGACAGAATGAAAGCAGCTCCAAATTAATTTGGTAGCAGTGACCCTAAAAATTAAAGCAAGTAAAAATCTTAAAGAGATTAGTAAAAAGAAAGAACTGATGCAATTAATAAATTAGAAGAACTTGGAGTTTCTGTTTTTCTTCCAGATGCAAAATAAATTAATTTAGATTGGGTAACTAACTAAAAATATTTTATGAAAAAGCTTATTTTAAGAAATTATTTGAATTTAGGATTATTTGGCTGGCTACGAGTAGTAAAAAAGAGATATTGAAGACACAGTTTTATTGGCTTTATAATATCCAGAAATATATGATTAAATAACAGCTGGTAAATTTATTCTTTTTCTTTTTCATTTTGTTTATTTTTTCTTCGTTAATTATTAGCAACTAGAATGAAGCAAGAACCTAACAGACCAAAGGCTGTTTTATTTGAAGGGCCACCAGGTACTGGTAAAACAACCTCTGCTAAGATTATTGCTCAGTAAGTCAGCATCCCACTTATATATATGCCTCTTGAGTCAATCATGTCAAAGTATTATGGTGAAGCTGAAAAAAAGTTTGCAGATTTATGGGAAGCCACAAAAATGTTAGGAAAATCCATCATATTTATCGATGAAATAGATGCTATAGCTGGAACTAGAGGTATATTTTATAAATTACATTGTAATTTGTGAATGGTAATCATTTTAATTTTAAATTAATTAGATTCTGAAATGCATGAAGCTTCTAGAAGAATTTTATCTACTTTACTAAGAAAAATTGACAGTTTTGAAAGCTCATCAGATGTTCTTTTAGTTTGCGCTACAAATCGTAAATAGGACTTAGATCCTGCAATGCTATCTAGAATTGATATGAGCATCAAATTTGAAAAACCAGATGTTCACTCAAGATAAGCTATTTTTAAAAGATATGCAAAGCATTTATCAGAGGATCAGTTAAGATAATTAGCAGAAAATTCAGAAAACTTGTCAGGAAGAAATATATCTGATATTTGCAAAGGTATTTATTTTAAGCGTTAAAAAGATTATTTTTATTAAATTAAGTTACTGAATAAATATAATTTCTTTTAATTATCCCTAACAAACCTAAATTTAAAACAATAAATAAATAAATAGATGCTGAAAGAAGATGGGCAAGTAAATTAATTAGAAAATTAGTAGATCAAACTGTTCCTGATGTTGACCAATACATAGAGGCACTCCATAACAGAAAATACTAAAATCTAGCCTGATATTAAAATTATAACAATTTTAAATCTTTGCATTTTAAAAACACATTCAGATATAATATAATTTATAAATACCATTAAATAGCCTCAATAATAATCCATTAAAATGTATATAAATTTATTTTCTTGTTAGCTCTTAGAGAAGATAAGCTAGCTTTAAATTTTATATTAATCATTTATACATCAATTAAATTATTAATAATTATTGGGTCTTTTTTATTAAAATTACATCATAAAAATGTGCTTTGTGTTTGGAAATATGTATGAGTTAATTAATTAGTTTTTTTATATTGTTATTTATTTCCACTAATTATAAATTATAATTAAAAAATACTGAAATAAATAAAAAAAGTAAGTAAGTAAGGTGAATTTATATTTAAGCATTTATGAATAGCTCAAAATAGCCTATTATAAAAAGTACTTCTACTACAACTACTGCAAAGCATAGCTCCTCTATGAAGCTCCTTCCTAAGATAGAGAATTATTCTAAAGCCAAAAATGTAAATGAATAGCTCTTGATCAGATAGAATCATACTCCTATAAAAGTTGCTCTTAAAAAATCTAGTTTTACTAATATTGATTATAATGAAGATATTCCTCAAAGCAACAGTGTCAGTAATGCAAATCAAAACGAGTATAAGAATTTTTTCAATAGAAGAACTCAGTAAATATTAGATACTAGCGAAGAATAAAAGATATAAAAAAAATAAATGTTGGCTAAGAGCTAAATTCAATTTAAACCTCCATCTTCTTCTAATTAAATAGTGAGAAATGTTAGTGGAATATATGAGAATCCTTTACAAGCAAATTATTTGCAAAATACTTAAGTATAAATTTAATTTTAAAAAAATATTATATTTTAATTGTACTTTATTGATGAAAAAACAGTCTCCATCTTCTGTTAAATCAAGCTACACTAAAATTCCTCTGTAAGCAAGCCAAACTTTAGAAGAAGCAAAACCTGTAAAGTTTACTTCTCCTATTACTTAGCTTTAAATAGATGCAGATTAAAACAGGTTAGATTTTATGCTAGAAAAAGGGATGAATTTTGAGAAAAATAACCAGCTTATTAAGCTGAAGTAAGATAATTTTGAGCTAAAATAAGAGATTAGAAAATTAGAGGCAGAAGTAAAAAGGATGAGATAAGAGATAGAGGCAATGAGGTAGTTAAATCTAAAATCTTAGCCAATAAACAATGAAAGAAAAAGTTCCTTTTATATGCAAGACGATTAATTAATTTAAATAGAAAAGAAGGTACAAATTAATGAGTACTATAGACAGTAAATTAGTAACTTAAAAGCATAGCATGAAAGCGATTCAACAAAGTATTAAGAACAGATCAATGTATTAAATACTTAACTATAATAAGCATTAGAGTAGATACAAAGTTTGTAAATTAGCAAATAAAATCCAATCAAAGAATAAAAAGATTTAGAGTAAATATAAGAAACTTAGGCTGAAGTATAACAAATATGTAATAAATGTGAGTAAAATATGAGATAGCTTTAGGAGTTCAATATATAAATTACTGTATTAGAAAGTAATTTAGCTACGTCTAAAGCTTAAAACGATAATCTCTTTAAAGAGAGCTAGTCTTTAAGAGAATGGTAAATTAAAACAAAAGAATCTCATAGTAGAGAAAAAGAATAATATGAAAAATATATTTAAGAGCAATCGGTAATAAAAATTCGATTTATTATTTATTACTATGTTATATCTAAAAATATTTAATCCATATTTTAAAATATAATTTATAATTATTATAAAAAAGGAGGAAATTTTGAAGGTTGATTAGCAACTCAGGGATTATAAAAAGTCGTATGATGACTTAAATGAAAAAATAAAATTAATTAAAAATGGTAGTGATATAGTTAAAGTATTTCTAAGGAATGAGTATACTCTGCTCAAGTTAGAAATTGTGGAGAACATTGAGAGATTAAATAAAGAAAGGTAAGATAGAATAAATGAAAATGCTGTTTAAATACAGTAGCTGCAGCAAAAATACGATGACGAAAAAAAGAAGGCAACAAAATTGTAGGACGAAGTTAATTAGTTAAATCAACATCTTGAATGGCTAAAAAAGAGAGGCGTTTAGTAATCAAAGTAAAATGGAACCTTCAATTATATTGGTTTGAGTGAAGAAATTTTGAGCTTGAAAAAAGTAATAGATCAGCACATATCTGAAATCCCAAATAAAGACATGGTTCAAAGCTTTCAGAGTAAAGTAGATGAAATGAGCTTTTTAAATAAACAAATGGTAGATAAAATAAACAAAATATAACAAGACGAAGAGAAATCAAGAAAAGCTACAGAATAAATCCCTGTACTTAAATAGTTTGATATAGCACAAGTAAATACTCTATAATAGAATAGTATTTATTTTATATATTTATTTATTTTTATATATTTAGACAAAAGTAGAGTACCACTTAGTTTGTGCTAAATGTGAGGAAATTTTAGAAGAAGCAATTACGTGTGTTCCTTGTGGCCATAACTACTGTAAAAAGTGTCACTATACAAAAGATAGCTCTTTTTAAAAAACAAATGAATCAGCTGATGTATCTGAGGCATCTATAAGTTGCATGAAGTGTGGTCCATCTACAATGATTTACAGAAATGAAACATTAGATGATATGATAAAAATGTATAATACAATGAGAAGTGCTAAAGAAGTAATAAAAATGTATCTTAGTTAATGAAAAAACTAGATGCTTATTTATTTTGAGCTAAGATAAATAAATAATATAAAAATAATAAACAAATAACCTTAACTAACAATATAAATATATCAAATTATATAAATAAATTATTCTTTTAATCAATTTTGCAAACAAAAACAATTTTATAAATAAATTCATAGTTCAAAAACAAACATATAAATTAATAAATTAGTACATAAAATAAATAAACAAAATAAGTAAAATTAATAAATTATTTTTCTTTTTAGGTAATATTTTATAACACTCTAAAATTAACAAGTTTAAATTAATTGATGAATTAGATATTATAATTTAGATAAAATTTTTATAGTAAATATTGGGTTATAAATTCTTTAAAATGAATCAGGCTTAAAAGAGATATTTTAGGATTTTTTAATACTATTACATGCCAAAATTTTTAAATTTAATAGTTTTGATAAAAATCAGATTAGGAATATTTGATGAGAATTCTTAATTTAATCAAATTATTTAGTATAAATATTATTTTATGCTATTTTTATGAACTCAAATAGTAATTTGTTGGGATCAAAAAGTCCTTCGCTTTCTCCTTAAAAGCAAAATTAGAATCCTTCTTCATCAGATAAAAAAAAATAAGGCGATAATACTAAATACCCTATTTGCTTTTAGTGTAAAAATAGAATTAAAGAAAAATAATGTGTGATTTTAGGTTAAAAGAAGTATCATATTGATCATTTTCGTTGCAACTAATGCAATCAAAAGCTAACAAATAGACTTTTTTATGAGTATAGAAATAAAATATATTGTGAAGACGATTACAAATAAATTATAGCGCCCATTTGCCATTAATGCAAAAACTTTATTTAAGGAAAATATATAAGTGCGAAGAATTTAAGCTTTCATTTAGAGTGCTTTGTTTGCCAAGGGTGCAATTTTGGAATAGAGGAAAAGTAAGAGTTTTTTTTTAGTGCAGACAAAAAGTTTATCTACTGCAAAAAATGCAAGAAAAAATGTTCTGAAGTGTGTTAAAAATGCAAGAGGGTTATAAAAGAGAATGAGTAACTGATCAATGGAAGCTATTATCATACAGGGTGTTTAACATGCCAAAAATGCCACGATTAAAACCCGTAAGGCATATTTGTTCTACATAATAATTAGATTGTGCATGACACTTGTATTTTAATTTGTCATCACTGCAATCAAAAAATAGAGGATGAAAAAGACATTTCTCACTATTTTGAATATGTTCTTCATTCTAAATGTTAGTAAGCTTACACAAATTTTGTCAGACAAAAGACGATTGATGCTTTTAAAACTTAAAACTCTAAGAACTTTAAAAATTAGTAAAATAATCAAAATTAAAATTATGCTCTCTCTACTAATTTATCTCCGCCAAGCTACTCAGTCAACCTAAACCAATTAGAAAGTATGTTTTCTAATAGTCTTGATCAGCTTAATAAATAATTTTAAGAGACAAAAATCAAAGATAATAATTTTGATTTGGAAATCGAAATGTCTAATTTAGCTAGTGAGAATTTAGACTTACCTAGTCAAAATATTTAAACAAATGAATATAAACTTTCAGATGATGAAATATCTCCAAAAGAGCAATCTAAAATAAAGAAGGAGAATTTTCTATAGCTTCCTAATAGTACAGATAAACAGCTATGCATTAAAGGAGCAAGCATTTCTGCATAAAAAATACAAAATAAAAAGAAATAAAAAATTGAAATAATTAACTCTGAAAGTGAAAATGATAGTGACTGAATGTCTAAAATACTTTTTAGTTTAGCAAACTAGTTATTAATTAATGAAATAGCAATAAGCCAATATAAAATTATATTTAAATTTTTTATTAGTTAAATTTTTCTAAATAATTTAAAAGATTTGTAGGAATTTGTAAGAATTAAAATTAATTTAAAAATAATTTAGTTTAAATATTGAATTTGGATAAATCAGGAATTAAATTTAGTTAACTAAAACTACACGTGTTTTTTTCTCAATATTTATTTGTCATGATTGCTTAAAAAGATTTACAAACTATTTTTTATAAATAATTAATTTATATTAAAAACATTTGATTTGTTAAATAGAATTCTTAAATATTGAAAATGGTTAAAATAATTGTAAAAATATCAATAATTATATGCTTAATCTACTTTGCAAACGCATAGTAAATACTACGTTCCTAGGATGTAAAAGGCCAAAATTTTCTTTTTAGCTTTGGTAAAATTACATTCTTTTTCTTTTTGCAAAACAATTTCATTAAATTTAATCAAGGGTCTTGCTTTTCCGAGAGAAGATTGACTGCTTTAAATAGAACTTCTATATTTGAAAAAATATCTGAATAAAAACCTGATGTGTTTGCTTGGTTAGGTAATTTTTTTCAATATTAATCAATAAAATTTAATTTTTATTAAATTTTAGGAGATTTTGGTTACCCAAAATTATTTGAAGATTTTATACCAGCCTTTGAGTTTACTAAAAACGAGAAAGGTTATAAAATGCTTTAAAGTAATAACATTACTCAAATTATTGGTGTTTGGGATGATCATGATTACGGAAGAAACGATGGTAGATTAAAGATTCTTATAATATTTATTTAAATGTTTTTTTTTAAAGGAGATAAGAACTATAAGCATAAACATGAAACAAGGTAAATTTATTTAGACTATATCGGAGAACCTAAGAATAGCATTAGAAGAACTCAACCTGGTGGTATCTATACCTCTTATTATCTTGGAAGTACGAAAAAAGTCAAATTAGTTCTTCTTGATGTTAGATTTTCAAGAGATTCATTCTGGTTTGAGCACTCAGACATATTAGGTAACTTTTTTTACATAAACTTAAAATTTTTAAAACTATTTTTTAAGGTCCTGATTAATGGAAATGGCTTGAAAATGAGTTCAATGACCCTCATTCTCATACAATAATTTTAGCTAGTGGATGCTAAATACTACCAGACGATAGAGTTATTCCTGAGAAGTGGTATCCTGATAGTAGAAACAGGTTATTTAATTTGATTTAAAAACACAAAGACCATCAAAGTAATTAAATTATTTAAATATTAAATTTTATTAACTTTTAAAATTTATATCAGGAGTCATATTAATAAGTGGAGATATACACTTAGCAGAAATACTTGTTGAACCTAATTCAGTTAATAGTATTCAATCTTTTATTTTAAATGATATTTTTTAATAATTTGACAAAAAAAATAAAAACCATACAAAAAAATGAAATAATTTTTTTATTTTAATGAAATTAGAATTTGGTTATAATATCATTGAAATCACTAGTAGTGGTCTCACTCATCATATCATGGACTATAAATTTCCTCAATTTATTGTTGATGGATTTCTGCCAAACACTTTTAATGTAGATTAGAGACTTTTATTTAAAAAATTAAAAATTAACTATTAAAAAAGGATAGACAACATAGATTGATGGATTTTAACTATGCCCTAGTTGACATAAAAATTGATCCAGAAAATAAAGAAAACACATAATTAGAAATTAGTATAAAAGATCAAAATAATGCTACTAGATTGTAAGTTAAAATTGAACCATGGAAATAGGAATAAAAGTAGTTAAACCTGACTAACTCAAAATATACAAGGGATGATCATCGTTATAAAAGATGGATTATTTGGATGTTCAAAAACTATTTTATAGAGTATAGAAAAGCTGGAATAGCTTTAACTAGTATCGCTTTTGTAATTTTAATTTTGGCTTACTTTATCTGCAAAATATTGTACGATTGTTACCAAAATAAAATAAAAAATTAACAAAAATAAAAGACAAACTGAAAATAGATAAAAATAATTCATTTCTCTACTTTTTTAAATTTACATATTTAAAATTTTATTCATAAAATATTTATTAATATGAAAGTATTTTGCCTATTAAAAAATTTATGCTGTAACTTAAAACAAACAAAAATAGATTAATTACGTTGAGAAATAAAATAATAAGTTTAAGATAGCTTATTTGGCAAAAAACTAAAAATATATTAATTTATTGGAATAAAAGTAGTTAAATATGAGTAACTCCAATAATACAATGGATGATCATCGTTTTTTTAGATGGATAATTCAAATGTTTAAAAAATAAATTATAGAGCATAGAAAAATTGGAATAGCTTTAACTATTATAGCTTTTGTTATTTTAATTTTGGCTTTTATTATCTGCAAAAAAATTTTACTGTTTTAAATAACTAAAAAAAATACATGAAAATTATTTATTTATTTATATTTGAATAAAATAAATTTTAATTAAAAATTTTATTTATAAATCATTTTATTTGTATCAAAGTATTTTGTCTATCAAAAAATAAACTTTATCTACTTTAAACTTAAACAAATAAAAATAGATTAAATATATTGAGAAATAAAATAAAAAGAATTAAGATAGATAATTTCGTAGAAGACTAATAAAATCTGATAATTCATTTTTCTATTTTATAGTTAGTGTTTTCTTAGTTGAAATAAGCCAACATTTATTTTTATTATAATATTTATTTGTGTGAAAATATTTAATAAAGTAAAAAATGATGTAAAAACTAATATTAGTTTTCTTAATTAATCTTTTACTGCATAATTGCTAGTAAATAATTTAAACAAAAGATGAAACAGGAAATCATATTAAATTTATATTTGGTATTGAATTAAATTAATTTTAAAAATATTTTTATCATTTATTTTTGTTTGTTTGTTTAAATATAAATTAATTATAAACTAAAAAAGCCTCTTGTTTTGCTTTTGATAGATAATAAAAACACGGACCAGTATCACTTTTTCATAATATAACCAAACACAATCCTGATATATTCGCTTGGTTGGGTATACATTTTTCATATCAATTATCTAAAATGATTATAATCTCTTACAATTTTAATTAGGAGATGCTGCATATGTTTATAATTTTACTCAAGCATAGCAACTATTTGATTCAACTACAAATGACCCAGGGTATCAAAAATTGTTATAAAATAATTAAACAAAAATAATTGGAATTTGGGATGATCATGACTATGGTGTAAATGATGGTAAACTCTTTATTTTATTTATGAAACATTAAAAAAATCAAATGTTTTATTTTTATTAGAATTTTAAATATTTTTGATAATTTTATACTTTAAAACAAGTTCTTTAAAAAAAATTAAGAAAATAGGTTGATATTTATTTATTTATTATTAATAATTTCACTATTTAAATTAAAAATAATTTTTTTAAAAAATATTTTAAAATAAATTTTAATTCTTTTGAATTATATTTTAAAATAAATTTTAATTCTTTTGAATTATATTTTAAATGTTCATAAAATAAAAATAAATTAGGTGATAGACTACATATACAAAAAGAAGAAATGAGAGAAATATTTTTGAATTTTTTAAACGAACCTAAAGATAGTATTAGAAGAACTTAGCAAGATGGAATATACACTTCTTATTATTTGGGTCACACAAAGTAAGTAAAATTAGTTATGCTTGATGTTAGGTATTCTAGAGACCCTTATCGAAAAGGAGCAACAGAAATGTTAGGTATAATTTATTTAGATTATATTTTTTATTTTTTAATTGATAATTACCATTTTCATTCCTTGAAGGTGAGGCTTAGTGGAAATGGCTTGATAATGAATTTTAGGATGAAAATGCTAATGTCATCTTATTGACTAGTGGTATGTAAGTTTTACCAGATGATAGACTTGTAACTGAATATTGGTACAATCAAAGTAGGGAAAGGCTTTTTGATCTCTTTAAAAAGTATAAGGATACAAAAAGTAATTAATTCTATTCTAAAAATTGAAAATTGATTAAATTTAATCTATTATCTTTTTAGGAGTTGTCATCTTGAGTGGAGATGTTCACTTTGCAGAAATTTTATCAGAACCTGATTCTATTTAAAGTAAAATTTTCAATTTACTTAATAAATAAATATGTATTAATATAAAAATATAGCAATAGGTTACACTCTTTTTGAAATTACTAGTAGTGGAATTTCTCATAGCTTGGGTTATTCTAAGTTCCCAAAATTTTTTATCGATACTTTCCTGCCTAACACCTACAGTGTAAATTTACATTTCTACTTAGTTTATCTAATATCTTTCTGATTTTAAATAGGAAAAAAAACACAGGTTATTTGATTTAAACTATGCTGTCGCTGATATTTAAATAGATTCAAATAACAAAAATAATACAAAAATTAATTTTGTCATTTACGATAAACACGAAAACCCTAAACTTTCAATTACTATTCAGCCTTGGGAAAACATAAAAGAATCACACACCCAAACTTTTTTAAATAGAAGTAGTCATTACCTTATTAGGTTTACTTTACAAGTATGGAGAAACTATTTTTTTGATTATTGTGAAATAGGGATATTAATAATTGTCATTGCTATTTTCATAATCAAAACTATTAAATACTTAATCAATTTAATTTTTAAGACATTTCCAAAGAAATTTAAGACAAACTGAGTGAAAAATAAATAAGATCTTAAAATTAAATTCTAAAAGCAATTATTAAATCTAATTTTTCTTGTTTTAAATCAAAAAATCTAAATATTTTTTCAAATAATATTTGTTAAGTTTTTGTTTTTTAAATACTGAATAAATGTCTTATAAGAAAACTTTATAAACTAAAAATAAAATTAATATTTTTTTAATTGAAAAATTATAAAGATTGATATAAATTAAAATTAATTATAAATATTGTTAATTAAATCCTATTATAAAATTATTTATTTTGACTTAAATTATATTTAAACACATCAGCCATTCGGCTCTACTGTCTTTAATTTAATTTTATTGAGAATTATTTATTCTATAAATCACTAAAAGTCATAGCATTTTCTATTTTAAGTGGACTGTATAATTTTAAAGTTATTAAAATCTTAGCTACTATGATAAGGAGTGTTTGGATTTATCTTGCTAAAAGAGTAATCATTGCTTTCTTGTGTGATAAATTTGTCTACATTTTATGATAAATCTAGTTATTTAGATTCTGACAGAGACTGATTCTAAGATAAAAGTTACTTTTCGTTATTAGACTAAGGATAAAAAATTGATTATGAAACAATTTTATGATTGTTTGCAGCAAATATTGTTCTTGTATTAGAATTATTTTGATTGAATTTGGATTCTTATTTAAAGTTTTATTTATTGCTTTCAAATATATTTTAAGAGTTACTACTTCCTTGATATTTTTAGCTTTTACTGAGTATATTTCTAGTATTAGCTTATTCTAAAGGCTTACACACAGTCTTTTTTCGAATATTTTGCATTTTTTTAAGTTTAAGTATTATTTTAGAATAGTTGAAATTTGAAAAATAATTTATCGTAATTTTCATTTTTTCAAAATCTCCTTCAAACAAGTCAAATTATTCTGATAAATAATCTATTTTATTTATTTTCAATTCTACCTATTTTTTTATAAAATCATCATAAACTTAGCTAGGTATTCCAGTCACAAATTTGGTCATCTTTTTCTGGAATTAGTTATTATTAGTAGGAACTAATTACTTTGTATACAATTATTAGGAGTTTTTTCGAGGTCCATTATTCAAATTAGCTAGAATACTATTTTTTTTTGGAGCTACTTATTTACTTACTAGCTAGATTTATTAATTGTTTTCTTATGGAAGCTAACTTTAGATACTGCAAGTTCGACTGAAATTACTTTACATTTGCTAAAAAGTACCAAAATACGAAGGTCTCTTAATGTTTCCAGATATTTGTTTTATCTTATCAATTTCTTAAATATCTTCATTACTACGTGTATTATCATATTATTCGTCCGTTTCAGTAGTTTAGAAGGTATTAAACCTTTAGCTATTAAGGCCCTCTTATGGTTTTATCATTTGATCACTATTCATCTAATTTAAGAAAGAAGAATTTTAATAATATAATTATGGCCCACTTGAAACACTTAATCGATTAGGATATGTTATATTTAAATTTGAGTTTTAATTCAACTATTAATTATTATAAAAAGGGTTGCTCTAATTTGTTAAATTATCCATATTATGATAAGAATATGTTGCTTCCTTTTGCAGAGAAGAACTAAATTAGGAGTTTTGATGACTTACATAATTTAGACGTAGATAATTATCTTCATAGTTAATCAGATTTTCATACTTATCATTTAAAAATTCAAGTAGTTAATTAGCATTAATTTCTATTAGTTTTAAAGTATTTTGTTTAGTTTTTAAATGTCTCTCTAATTTTGGTTTTTCTCTTTACACATGAGGTTAACTCAAAGACATCTATCCAATAGCTTTATATTTATTAGGTTATAGATGTAAATAAGGACAGTCTCCAACTTCATGTGTGTAATCTTTACATGAAATACATTTTACTTTTAACCTAGTACCATCTTTTTAAAGTAATATCATATCTTTTATCATGCAAAATGTTTCATATTCTTCCTGATCTTCAATCAATATTCTTAAAAAATCAGATCTCTTAATTTTAATCAATTTCGAGAAACTTAAGCTCTTTAAATTCATCTTTGGTTATTGACCACTGAAAAAAGAAAATTCACCAAAATGATCTCCCTAAATAAATAATTGTATATTTGAAAAAAGCGATTATATATTAGTTATGTTATATCTTAAAAATAATAAAGGTAGTTAATATTTAAATTAAAGAAAAATTTTTAATTAAACTTAAAGTATATTTATTTATTACTTTTCTAAGAATTGAAACTGTAGAAGTAGATGAGTTGTCTTATGGTTAGCATTTACTGTTAGGCGGTTAAATATAAACCTCTAATTCTCCAGATTATACAAAATAAATCCATACATCTTAGCTACTTACATCTGAATTATAAACAATTTCTTCGGGTGTACACCTTTATTCTTAAATCAAAGGAAGACATTTTTGCATTGTCTAGTAGCTAAAATTGTCCTTGAAAATCGAATTCTGCTTGAATATATCATGGTAAGATTCTGTTAAGAGATTTTCTCTTAAACGGTTAGAAAGTTAGCAAATAATCTCTTATTCTTCTTGTTAATTTTCGTCACTTTTCTCCTTCCAGTAATAACTTTTATTTATTTATTTAATTTGATTTAAGTAATATTAATAATGAATTAATTCAGTTAAATTACTCTAGATATTAATATATTTCTTTCATAGTCGATTTAGTCACTCCTTTTCTCATCATATAGTTACCGATTATAAATCTCTTTTATCTTATTAAATTTTCCTTTGAATAGAAATCTTAAAATATTTAGCCAATAGAATTAATTGTGAATCCAAATATCACACAACAAGTCATCATTAGGAAAATGCAAACAGATACTTCAATTACATTAGTAGGCCTGATATCACCATAGCCAACTGTAATCATAGTAACAGTTATAAAATAGTAAGAGTAAATATATTGAACAATCCAAGATGAATTTGTTAGCAGCATCAAATCTATCCAGGATTGCGGATTATTAGAATTATCACTTTAGCTATCTTGTAATGTATAAATGCTAATAGATAATTTACCAGCTATTAACCAAAAGCAGGCGAAAATATGAGAAATTAAAAGAATATTTTTAAACAAACTGATCAATTCAATAATATTTTAAGCTTTTTTATTTAGTAAAAATTTATCTTTCATTTAATTTATAATCATATTTATATCTTTGTATTTAAAAACAATAAATAATAGCAATGACTATACTATCCTTGACTCCCATTAATCATTTGTGATAATAAAATAAGAAAATGGAAATAATTGAGATATAAAATCATATAGCAACGCTCTTGATTCTTTGTAGTGTTTAAAAATAGTTTGCCTACTTATGCATAGTATACCTTTGACATATATTCCTGTATTTGCATGAACAAACATATCTAAAAACAAAATTAACTAACAAATAAGAATAATATCTAATCTAAATAGTTAATGAAGCTGAGCACCAAAGCTAAAGCAAACAAAATAGCAAAAAAAGCATATAAGAGATGCAAAAATTTTTAAAGCCTACCAAACTTCTATGCATCTTGTATGTGGTAAAAAAATAGGTATTTATTTATAGAAATATTCTAAACAATTAATTTTCTACTTGCTCTTTTTAACTGCTTTGTCAAAATAAATCATAGTATTATACAATTTACTTTTTTCAGATATTATTTTTTAACTGAACATTTTATTAGCTTAAAAATATTGATGCTTTTCATCCTTAAAATGAGATCTGTCATTTATCATTTCTGTTTACCTCCATGTTATTAGTCTTTGCATTCTACTTCGAGCAAACTATAAAAATATTTGAGCATACTTTCTAAATCTAATTTTAAAAGATATTTCTTAAAGTCTTTAAAGTTAGTTTTTTTTATTGAAGAATAATTAGCTTTAATCAAGTAAAATGTTTTATTGTTAATTTATTTAATTAGATTTATTTTATAAGTTATTTTGGCTATGGTTAGCAAATTATATCTTTAAATCCTTTTTCATACTTATTTTGTATATTCAAAATCTCAACAAAAGCTAATTTCTACTTTTTAATTAATTAATTTCTACTAATTTAGTAAAAAATAAAAATTTGCAAATTTTTTAATTAATTAAAAATCCTTTGTAACGTTTTGATGTAATTTTAAGAGTCCTTGGTCTTAACACTAAAAACTTATTTAAAGAAAAATAAATCAATAATGCAAATTTATTTTATTCAAGGCTTGCTTTTAAAGCATTAAATAGGATTAAACAATATAAATTTTAGCTATTTAAATTAAATTTATTATTTTTAATGATTAAAATTATTAAACTTGAATAAATGATCCTAATTCTTTTTGTTATTTATATTGGAATAACATTTAAGTAAATCAACATAAAAATGACTTTAATACAATTTACTATTCTTCATAGTAGTTGCTTGAGCTTTTGAAGTATGAATTAGGTTTAAATATCATATTATTTTAGCTGTTTAAATTAAATTTATTATTTTTGATGATTAAAATAATTCAGATTTTATGAATGATACTACTTATTTTAAATTTCATGTAAAAATAATATTAGTGATGGTATTAAAAATATAATTAGATTTTTTAAAAATTGTTTGGAAATAAGTACTTAATTCCAAATTTCTTTTAATTTTTAAGAATTAAATTAGTTTATTTTTATATATTAATTCACTAAATAAAAAGATAAGTAATATATTTAGTGCACAATGTTTGAATGTTTTTTTGATAAATTTGTAAATTAAATCTATTTAAGTCAGTAGAATTTTAGATATTTTCATAGATTTTTTAATAAGTAGACAATTTATTTCTAAAAAATATTTAAAAATAAAAAATAATAAGGGTTTTGAATAACTCCTTTAATTTAAATACACATTTTTAAATTTTTTTTAGCTCTTTAAATATTCATAAAAATAAAAAATAACTAACTAAAAATAAATAAAAAGATAATAATGATTAAAGGTATAATACTGAATAAGAAAAAACATAATAGAGTACTTATTTTTTATATCACTATTTTTAATATCTTGAAAGCAAAACTTTTTTATATATCTTAAAATATATTGTATCGTTTATTCAATTATTTTCTTTAAATTTCAAATATATTGATAAAAAAGATGACATGTTTTTTAAAGAAAACATGAAATATAAAATAGATAAATATCAATTATTTTATTTATTAAATATATAAGCTGCTCAAAACATAGCTCATTCATCAATTATAATATGTGAATCATTAATTTTCAAAATATTACTCATTATTTAGGCTATCATTTATTTTTTATTTTCAATTATCCGTTTCTATTATATTTTAATATTAAGTTGTGATTCTTGAATTTTGTGTCATGAATTATTTGTAAATCTTTTTATTTCTGATAAAAAATATAAATTGATTGACTCATGATTTAAATCATGAGTCAACCTAACTAATTTTCAAAATTCTTCTATTCTAAAATATAGATGTGATTCTTGAATCTCTCTTGAATATAAAGTAATTTTTTATATTTCTGATATAATTCTTAGCTACGTGATTCACGATTTATGCAATGATCCATATAAAATAATGTAAATAGTGTATATATATATATTCGTCTTTTTTATTCTTTATATAATTTAAAAAAATTAAAAAAATTTAATAAAGCTCTAATAAAATAAATAATAATACTAAACTTAAAATAATGGATAAAGTTAATAGCTGTTGCTGTGGTGTAAATGCTAAGCCATGCTGCACAGACCCTAACAGCGGATGTTGCTGCGTAAGTAAGACTGATAATTGCTGCAAATCTGACACAAAGGAATGTTGCACTGGTACAGGAGAGGGATGCAAATGTGTTAATTGCAAGTGCTGCAAACCTCAAGCAAATTGTTGCTGTGGAGTTAATGCTAAACCCTGCTGCTTTGATCCCAATAGTGGATGTTGCTGTGTTAGTAAAACTAATAACTGTTGTAAATCTGATACTAAAGAATGCTGTACTGGTACTGGAGAAGGATGCAAATGTACAAGTTGCTAATGCTGCAAACCTGTTTAATAAGGATGTTGTTGTGGTGATAAAGCTAAGGCTTGCTGTACTGATCCAAACAGTGGATGTTGCTGCTCAAATAAGGCAAATAAATGCTGTGATGCTACTTCAAAGCAAGAGTGTTAGACTTGTTAATGTTGTAAATGAAATAAATATGTTAATTAAAATTTAAAATATGTTGATGTTGTAATTCATAATTGCATAAAATCAGTTTCGTATTTTATTAAAAACTTTAATATTATCATCCTAAAATTTATTAAAAAAAACTGTTATTAATAAATCAATAATTATCGCTATTTCATAGATTTTTTTAAATGCAAAAGCAAGTATGTTATTTAAATTAAGTAAACATTGATTGAAAGTATTATCTACAGAAAAAAAAAATATATAATTTACTTTTTAATCAATTTAATTGGAAATTATTTTATATTTTTTAAAAATGAAAAAACATATATATTTATAATAAACATTCAAATTTATTTTACAAAATTTATATAAAAATCTTTAATAATTACAATTAATTGAATTCAATCTGTAAATATAAAATTACACCATACATTTATATTAACAATGACTACTTTTAGAAAAAAATTTAAAAAAAAATAAATTAATGTTTTATTTTAAATTTTGGTAAAAATACTCAACTTATTTGAATTTAGAAAATGTAAAATCAAATAAATTATTTTAATTTAATGAAAAAGTTTTTTTGAATTAGTAAATATTATCAACTAAAAAACAAACTGAAAAACCATATTTGGTAATTATTACTTTTGCATAAAGAAATTTAATAATGTAAATGAAATGAATATCTCTAAAAATTATATAAAAAATATCAATTTTAAGCTAATTGTCAATTAATAAATGCTAAAATGAAAATAAATCTAAATAAAAAAATATCTATGTTCATATTTGCATAAAATAAATTGTTTGTTGCAGTTTTTAGTTGCAATTAAAACTTTAAATATAAAAATATATTTATTATAATTTAATTTTAAGACCTACTTATTTTTTTTAAATTATATTTATTAAAAGAATTTAATTTATTTGTGAATTAATTTTAATATGTATTTATCTCATAAACATCTTTGGATATTTACTTAATAGATTTATTTGATAAGAATTGAAAACAAAATAATTTTTAAATTAAATTAAATAGATCAGAAATATTTTTAAAATAGAACTAAATTCTAAAAATAGTAAATTAGTATTCAGTAATACCAAATAATAAAAGTATCTATATTTTTTTTAATTAGCAAATATGAAATTAATAATTCACAATTTTAGAATACAAATATAGTTTCTATCTTCTATTTCATATTTTTTAATTTATTGAAAAACCAAATTTTATTTAATATCTTAATCAATATAAAAATTAACTTATTAAAATATAAAATAAAATAATATTTTTTAAGATGTAAAATTAAAAAATTACTCTTTTACTGATTACTTATGTCAATTTCTGAAAATATTCTTTTTACGATTGTAATTGTTTGAAAATAATTTGATTTTTGTCTACTTTTTATTTAGATGTGATTCTTGAATTTCATAAGCTATTATTAATTTTAAAAGATAAATTTCTGTTAAAATATAAAACTTTAGGATGACTCATGACTAAATCAAGAGTTAATTTAAAATATTATTAATTCATTAATCTAGTAGCGATTCTAGAATTATTCGTAAATATTTATTACAATTTTAAATTTCTTATGTATTCCTTCTAAATTACTCATGATTTAAATCATGAATTAAATTAAATTTTTGCATGTATTTATATTAAGATTTTTATGAGACCTATAATTAAATAATAAATAACAATAATAAAGATAGAATAAAAAAAATATTAGACTTAAAAGATGGAAAAAATTAATAACAGTTGCTGTGGTGAAAATACTAAAATCTGCTGCACAGACCTAAATAGACAATGTAATTGTGCTTGTAAGACTGATAATTGTTGCAAACCTGAAACAAATGAGTGTTGCACTGATACATTAGAAGGATGCAAATGTGTTGATTGTAAGTGCTGCAAATCTCATGTAACTTGCTGCCATGGAGTTAATGTCAAATCCAGCTGCTTAGATCCAAATAGTGGATATTAGTGTGCAAGTAAAACTGATAACTGTTGTAAATCTGATACTAAAGAATGTTGTACTGGCACTTAAGAAGGATGTAAATGCACTAATTGTTAATGCTACAAACAAGCTTAATAAGGATGTTGTTGTGGTGATAAAGCTAAAGCTTGCTGTACTGATCCAAACAGTGGATGTTGCTGCTCAAATAAGGCAAATAAATGCTGTGATGCCACTTCAAAGAAAGAGTGTCAGGTATGTTAATGTTGTAAATGAAAATAATCTAAGTTATAATATAGATTTTTAGTTGAATTTATATTAATATACAATGAAATGAAATATCTTGGTGATATTCATTATTAACATACAAATGAGTGATATAATTTAAAAGATTCATTTTATATTAACAGAATAAATATACACTAATATTATTTTTATTCTTGTATTTAGGGTGTATATATATATGGATGTATTATGTTTTAATTTATATATAAATAATAATTTGTAATTTAGATTAATTTATAGTTTATCAGAAAAAATTTAAAATAAGTATGAATATTTAAAAATTTTAGCAAATTTATGTCATTTTAATTGAAGTAAGATAATTTTGTAAATGATACAATAAGAAACTAAGTAACATATTGGTAAATTATATCTAAACAAACATAAATAACTAGCATAAATTGAAGTATTTTGACAAAAAAGAATATTAAAATATGTGGTAAAACTTATATCACCAATAAAAAAGATTAAGCTAAATTAAATTAAAGTAAGAAGATATTATTATTTATTCATTGTATAGAATATAAAAATAATTAGTGCAATAAGATGAGCTATTACTCATAAAATGTCTTTGTCAAAATTTGGCTAATATTAAATGTAATTTTAGGATTAATGACTGGTTCGTTTTTTGCCTATGAGAACTTTAAGTCTTGTGGAGATATTTTTGTCGCTGGAACAGTAGTAGGTTTTTTATTTTCGCTCATTAATCTAATATTATTAGGTTTCTAATAAGCTTGGAGAATATTTTTGCATATAATTATAATAGTTATTTTAATAACATTTGCCATTTTGGCATTTATATTAATAACATAAATTAACAACGAATCTTTCTGTGATAATTAATGGTGCATTAGCCAAGGTGTGGATTTTTCTTAAATCATTTCAAATTTATCTGATTAGACAGAAAGAGCTATTTGTCAAAAAGAGACATCATAATAATAAAATTTTGTGTATTAGTAGGCAAAAAAGTAAAATAATACTTTAAGGAAAACAGATATTTGGAATATTGATAACTCAATACCATTTGCATTTTCATCTATGCAAGGCTCGATATGTTTACTTATGAGTATCCTCCTAATTGCAGATATTGTAAAGTAGAGAAAGATTAAACAAAAAAAAGACCAATTAATATGAGCTTATTCTTATTTAGTCTAGTAATAACAAAAAATAAAAGATAAAAAAACATTTTATTTAATTAAGTTATTTAATAGATTAATTTTAATAAATTAAGAGTATTTTAATCATACTTACTGAAATTTTATTCATTTATATTATGTACAAATTAATATTGCCCTGAAAATATATTAATATTTTTTGAATTGAAGATTTTTAATTATACTATAATTAATTAGTTAATTTTTAAGAGAAAAAATACAAAAGTCAATATATTTAATACATACATACTTTTTATATGGTATATCATATAAATCTATTTGTAATTAAAATAAGATTTATGAAAAATCAAATATAAATTTTAGTTAGTTTTTATCTATTATAAATAAACAGTATTAGAAGGTTAAGTAGATAAATTATGAAAATAGTAATGTTTAATTTGTTTTTTAAACACTATTAAGAATCTTATATATAAATTAAATTGACAAATATTTAAATTTAAGATAAGTTCTTTTGTAAGTTTAGCAAAAGCTGATATAATAATTTCATCCTTAAATTTATATTGTTATTTTATTTAGGAAGTTAAAGAAAGTATTTAATTTTAAAAAAATAATTAACAAAGGAAGAATAATTATTATTTTTTAAGCTTTAAAATAAAAATAAAATAAATTTGTTTATTTCTTGAAAAGATATATGGTTGAAGATAATTAATTAAATACCTTAGTTTTAATATTTATCAATATATTATTGCCAAATATACAGTCTATTGGTAATAAAATTATTTCAATTTTTCTTTTTGATTATTAATTATTTTTCATTTTATTTTTATGAAAATCATGGTGATTTAATATTTTATTACTTTAAAAAGTAGTAAGTATAAATCATAAAATATTTGTCATATATATAGATTTATTATATCATCATTAAAATTTTAAAATCAATCTTTAGGATATATTCCCTTAAGTGATAACTCTTATGTAACTCTTTAAAAATAAGTAGGGTCTGGGTATCCAAATTGTGCAGAACCTATTTATTAATTTATATTCATTAGAGATTTATATATTTATTTATTAAATAAATTTAAGGATGTTTTTTGAAAATAATAAAAGTTTAATAGTTAAATAATTACCTCCATAAGTGTTAGTTTTAAAGTGAACTCCATTCCATATTATTCTATTGTCCTTTCCTGTAGTGACACTTTTACCTATAGTATAAAGCAATCTTCTCTTAAACGCTATTTTAAACATTTCTAAAATTTTTCTGGCTTCTTCTGTATTAGGTAAATACCCTATTCTTGATGTAGAGGGTACATGATTTCCGTTTTTTTAGGTTGAATTCAATCTCATTTCTATTACTATTGTTGATATATCAGGGTATCCATCACAGGATGTGTATTTATCCAAATATATACTCATAGTTCCAGGAGGTTAGTCACCTAAATTTGAATTAAAAAAATTTATGGAAGATTAAATTAAATTAAATTTTATTTACCTATCATAACTCCATAGATTTTGGAGCAAACTGGACATTTAATATAAGTGGATTAAATCATCATTTAAAGACAACTCTTATGAAAGTAATGAGATTCACAGTGAACTAAGTTAATTGGATCCTCATCTGAGCTAGTTTATAATTACTTTAGGAAATCTTCTTGAGAATAGTTGTCTATGTTTTCAAATAAATCACATTGACAGATACAGCAAATTTCTTCCTACCACTATTAGTTTTAAATTCCTCTTTCTTGCCTGAAAATATCGTCTATGGTTTTCATTAAGTAGTATTCTATAGCTGTGAATTAATTATGATCAGTAATTTTCATTAACTCTTGTATCTTTTCATTTTATTTAATCTTCATTTGTTCAATTAAGTCAGCCATATCATTAATAATTTTTACTAGTTTATCATTATTCTTTACTATTTCTTTATTTAAATCAATTTTATATTCTCTGGTGCAAATTTTTATTGTTATAATATTTTCTTATTCGTTAAGTTCAAAACTTATATAATTTGTTCCTTAGTTAATAACATTAGTATTATCATCTTCTATAATAGCATCACTAATATATATGTTTTCTTATTTAATTAAACTATCTTCATATTCTCTTTGCTTTTTCTTTTATTATTTTTAGATAGCATTTTCATCTTAGTTAAATTCATTTTCAGGATTATTATTAGATTCATTTTATACACTATTATCATCATCATCTTCTTCATCATCATCCCAATCATTATCATCACCATCATCATCATTATTATCTTCTTCTTTATCTTCCTCTTTTTCCTCGTCCTCTTCTTCTTGTTCATCCTCATATTCACTTTCATCTTCTAATTCCTATTATTTTTCTTCTTATTCATTTTCATCTTCTTTTTTTGATTGAGTACCAAAAAGCTAATATAATTCATCATTTGGAATATTTTAATCATATTATTGATCTTCTTAATCCTCTTAGGATTTATTGGCTTCTTTGTCTTAAAAAATATCATCTTCCGATAAATCTTCCTAATTAATTCCTTATATATTTTTGTTTTCTTCATCTTTTTACTCAAATTCATATTAAGCTAATTCTTCTCCTTGTTTATCATCGTTTTGCTTACTCCTGCTATCTAATTCCCCATATTATTAAATATTTTCATAATCTTTCTATTATTAAATTTAAATTCCAGCTTTTTCGTTGTAATTTTCTCCATTGTTTTATTACGAAATATTTTTGAAAATTTTATTGGACTCTTCATTATTAGTTTTATTTTCTTTCTCATTATTAAAGCTCATTTAACTGCTTTAAATTTTGAAATCCTAACTGCTTTATTCTTTGTAAAAACCTTTCAGATTACTAGTACTGTAATTTTTGTAATCTTAATTATCTTCAACAAAAAAATTTAAATCTATTTAATTATTAAATAAAATTTGAAATTCTTTATCCTTAAATATATAATAATTATTTTTTACCTAAGTTTGAATTATTGCTGCTTTGTTAAATTAAAACTTGGCTTTTATCATTTTAATTCACCTAATTATCTAAATTATTTAAATCATCACCACTATCATTCTACAAGTTATCATCATCTTGCCTTCCTTAGTATTTATTTAATTAGGTAAAATGAGATAAAAAATTTGATAAATAAAAATAGAATTTAATTTAATTTATCTTTATTATTATGGTTGTAAGCATTTATTCATATATTGTTTAAATTTATGATTTAAAAATTTTTGATAAAATATTTAGAAGTCAAAATGAACAAACTAGCTAACTTTCATATTTCTACATATTTATATATTTTTTATCTTCTTATCAATATTCTAAAAGTAATTCAATTAGATTGCTAGATAGCATATTAATTAATATTATTTTAATTTAATTTACATCATATATTTTAATTTCTTATCAAAAATAATTTTATGAGCATTCAACAATCCATATAAAATCAAAGGCTTGGTAGGAAATAATATAAGACTAAGGAGGTATTTTTAATTATTTTATATTTCAATTTACCTTCATTTAATACTTCCATTAAGTTATTAGATGATTAAGTTTTATATTATTGATCTTCTATAATCTAATCTTTAGGATCTCCACTAAATATAATTTGTGGAAAGATAATAAGATCAAAGTTATTTTAAAATAAGAATTGCTAAAATTACTTGTTGTCTCTAAGTTTTTTACAAACAGCTTCATTTAAATCCTTATCTAAATTCTAATCAACATTTTCTTAATCTTAAAAAGGATTTTTGCGCTTATTTAAAATACTATCTTCCTGCTTTTGCATATCATTTTGTAACCTTAGAAAAGATTAAACAGCCTTTATCTTGATTTTTAATTTTTCCCATAAATTAACTCCTTTATTTGCTTATTCACTTATTGTCTCTGCAATCATTTTAATATTGTTGATATGTTTTTTTGGAAAATAATCTCTAATCTAAAATTTGTTTGTTTATATTTACTCAATCTAATTTAATAATTTTTTTAAATTAATTAAAGATACTTTATCAAAAAACCTCGCATTTTTATTTTTAAAAATGCTATCTTTTTATCAGAAACTAACAATCTTTATTAAATCCTATTTATTATTCTAATACCAAAAGATATATTATATACGTTTTGAGAGACTCATTAAATTTTTATTTCTATATGCAATTCGTATTTATAATAAAATAAATAAATATTTTTTAGTTTAAATTTAATTTTAAACAATTAATTATCTTGTTGATTAAATTAAAATAAAAAATTATTGTTATCAAAGTAATCTTTAAAATACTTCAATTCATTTTATAAACCAAAGTTTATATTATTTAATAAAATAAACTTTAAAATATAAAATAATGGCTAAAGAATAGTTTTGTATAATAGAAAAAAGGTACTCTTGAAAGGATGGCAATAATATAATAATGAATCTTTTAATAAGGAGGATATAATATATAAACTTTTTTTTATTTTTCAAAAAGTATACCACTTTGCAAGATCATTTTTTTTTTAGGATTTTAAAAAAAGAAAATTAGAATAACCTTGGTAAATTAATTTATATTTAAATAGTAATTCTTATTGTAAAATATAAAAATAAACTTTTATCACCAACCAACCAACCAAACATATTGAATATTTTTAAGTAAAAAGAAAACAAGTTTATTTATTTAATAAAATTTATTAAAAGTTAATATTTTTGAATTAATATTTATTTTTATTATAAGCTTATTTATTTATTATTTTGGAACTAGAATTATTAATTTCTAAATGAAAATTTGAATATATTTTTGTCTACCCTTTTTAATTATTTTTAATGGTATATGTTCTTCATCCATACTTCCATATATTTAAATTTCCTTTGCTATCTGTTGTAAAAAGTTTTTATGAAAAACTGCTATATAAGGAACAATGTATTGTTGCATTTTTTTCTGTTTAAATAACGCTTGGAGGGCATAATTTATCATCTATTGACCATATATCTACAATTTTTAATATAATATTGAAATAAAATTCGTTATTGTCAAACTCAATTTTAAATTACATATATCTCCATCGTTAGAACCAGCCACAATGCATTTATCATTAAATGCGAATGTTGGTTTGTTATAGCTACTTGAATTTAAATAGTTAATATTCTAGAAAGTTTGCAATATTTTAAACATACGTAGGTCTATTAAAGTTATTTCTTCACCATCTTAATTAGCTGCTAATGCATAATTTTCGTTTTAGCTTACCTAAACGTGAGTGACACTAGGACACCTATCTAAATATATTGTATTTATAATCTATTTATCTTATATTAATTTGATTGAGCCGTCATTGTGACCGCATATGATTTATTAATTGAATTGAAAAGAATCAACTGTGTTAACTTTAGAGCCAACTCTCACAAACAAAGACTGAGCTTCTGCTTAAATATCCCAAATTCTAATAGTTTAATCAAAAGAACCAGAAATAATTTTTGTATCATTTGTAATTTTATGAAACTGAACAGCTTTGACTGTTTAAACATGACCTAAGAGCTTTGTTTTAGATTTATATTACTAATTATTGTCATATTAATAAACAATGACAGATTTATCTTAACCACCAGTAATGAGAAGATTGTTATGTGATGAATATTTAATTGATTCTGTTACAGAGTTATTAATATTCGATAATTATTGAATTTCTTTAAGATCAGTAGAGTTAAACACTTTTACTTCTGCTTTTCCATTTATTATGGTCAAATTAGATTAATCCCTTGACTCTTCAATTTAAAATATACTACAATCCTAGAATTTAGGAGCTTTTCTGTAACTCTGAATATTTAAGCTATTTAATATGACATCTTTTTTTATATTATATATATGTTTATTTAATTAATTAATAAATATGTAATAAAAAAACTTTTAAATAGCACCCTCTCAGTATTTTTTAAATATTACTTTTTGAGATGATTTTATGAGGTTACTGACTGAGTAAGGTTTGATTATTATGAATCTAAATTATAATATAAAAAATATACCAGATTTATATTCTGCCTTTACAGTGTATGATCTATTTATTAATCTTATATCTGTTTCGAAAACTGATTGAGTATTTTTGTTATAAACAGTTTAAGATCTCTCCATAAGTCTCGCAGTGTCAAACTGGTTTATTGAAGTCTTTGATAAGTTTTAATTATAAATGCTTTTTTAAATATTTGATTCTAAGGATTGAGATTTGTGAATTAAATTCATACTCTTATCCAAATAATTATCTCCAACAAATGAATCTGCTAAATCTAATGATTGTTATCTTTTTTATGTTCCTATTTAAGAGCAAGACTAACATAATTTGTCATTATTTTCGTTTTCCTAAGAATTTTTTTGCGATTATAAATCAAAATGTTCATAATCTTTAATTTTTTTTTCATATTCTCTTAAATATTATTCCAACGATTCGTTTTTTATTTTTAGAGCTTCATTTTAATCTTTCTCATCTTTTAGCTATGCATTCAATTTATTGTATGCATCTTATAGATTAATTAATTTATTTTAGAGATTAACGCACCTACCTTCGCTCCTTAATATTTATTTTTTCATAATGCTATACTTATCTTATAATCCTTCTTAGCTTGTTAGGAAATGTATGTCTGACTTTTTTCTAATTATTTCTTCATTTTATTCTTTAATCTTTTTTTAAAGTTGCTAAAACTCTTCAAAAAACTCATTAATTGGATTTTTTATTTTTGCCTCTTATTTGCGAACCTATTCCATAACTTGCCTATTTGTTTCATTTAGGTCTATGGCTTATTTGGCAATCATCATTTTTTTAAATAGTTAAAACAATAATTTGCTTATAATACTCAATGAATAGATTTAATTACTTATATCCTTTAATTAAATTTTTATATCAGAATTACTATTTATTTTACAGATATTTCTGATTAATCTTTACGCTCAATCACCTTTATAAATTCAATCTAATATAATTTATAATTTGATGGTATATTAATAATTACCAATTAAATTCTAGTAAAAATAAATTAAAAAGAAGATAGAAGTATTTCGAATATGAAGCTTATATTCTCCTATAAATATTTAACATAAATAACATATGTATCTATTAAATTAATGTGCATTTAACTTTTATTTATTGATTTTATTTTAATTAAATAAAAATTTCCGATAAAATATTCATAATTGCTAAAATTTGTAAAAGAATAAGACAAAAGGTTAAAAAAGTTAAGAAAATATCTAAAGATATGTAGGTATTTCATAAAAATTTATCAAATACAATATTTAAAGTAAGTAAAATTATATTTTAATTAAAAATTATTTATTTATTTATGAAATTGTGATATTAAAATAAAATAATAAAAACTATTATAAAAATTGTATGATTATTAAAGAAATTGTATTTTGTATTTAATTAAAAACTATTGTATATATAAAACTGTATAAGATTAATTTTTTAATTAGAAACTTGTATTAAAATTGAAAAAATTATTTATTTTATTTTTTCTAATAATCAAACAAAAATTTTTTAAATTAATATTGAATATATTTTTATATAAAGATAAAAATTATGCATTTTTGTTTTTTGAATACAAAATTCAAAACCTTATAAAGAAAACTTATGTTTCTATGAATAAATTTAAGTTAAATATATTTCTCAAGATAATTAAAAGTGTTAATAATAAAATTTTAGATTTAAATAATTAAAATAGTATATTTAATCTTTTTAATATCAAGTATCTTTGCTTATATTTATTTTATGTTTATTTTCAATTTGAAGTATTTAAAAATTAAATTAATTCTAATTTATTTTAATAATTTGGGTTTATATTTTTAAAAGATTCAATTAATTTAAATTATTTTTCTAAAAAGAATTAATTTATTTACGTTATTTTTAGTAAAAAAAATCATTAATTTGTTAATTTAAGCAATAAAATATCAACTTCTTTCCGATAGAAATATAAAATTTTTTAATTTTTTATATTTTTTAAAATAATGAATTTGATAAAAAAAGTTTATTTAATTTACAAAAATATAATTTCAGTTTTACATTTATTAACAGCTAAATAATAGCTGTCTAAATTAATTCATTTTATTCCTTTAATATAATTTTTTATAAAAACTTATTGATTATCTAAAAGAATTTTAATTATTTTTAAAATTTAAATAAATGAATTGTTTAGAAAAATAGATTTTTTATGGATAATTTAACATATTTACCTAAAGTGATTTAAGTATCATTAAATTATAAAAAAAAATCTTAAACATACAATTAATTAAATAAATAAATCTATAATATGTTTTCTTATAATATAAATATTAATTTAGTAATTAGTTATACCAATAAAGAAAAATGTACATTAAATTAAATAAAAAAGATTTTTAGACTTATTATTCATAAATATCTATCATCTCTCATTAATTATAAAGTATATAGAATAGAAAATTTTTTATTCCATAAAAATTTACTTTAAATTACATATTAATTTTATTTTATTCAAAAAAAATGTACTAAGGAAATTTCATGAAAAATGAAAATTGAAGAATTCTCTATACTGATTGATTATTATGTCAGTCATTCAGTCAATATCTCTATTATTATGTATATGATCATTACAAATAATGAAATATAGCAAAGAGACACGAAGTGAATGAAAAGTTCTTATACAAATATTTATTTCTAATTATTTAACAAATATAAAAACAATAATTGTGAATAATCTAGGGATATGTCAATTATATTATTTAGCATTAAAAAATGAATAGAAATACTATATTTCTTCGCAAAATTAAAGAAAATTTTAATTGAGATAATAAAGAAAGAATGTTTTGTCTTGCATTGTTATGTCATAAGCCATTTTAGGGTGAGAAAGAATAATCGATAGAAAAATTAACAAAAAATAAAATAAATACAATTAATTAAATTAAAAGTCTTTACTTTGAAAGTTCAAAAGAAAAAAGTATATATAATAATATTAATATATAAAATGTTGAGAACTATTTTTAAGACAAGATCGTTATTCAATGCTAGCGTTTCCAGATTCGGCAGTGGTTTCGATCGTATTGCTGAGTCCAACGATGCCACTTCTATTTGCTTAGAATCTATTTCAGGAACTATTAAGGGTCTCCAAAAGGCAAACTACGTTGTTGAACACAATCCCAATTTGACTTCTGAAGAAAAGAAGCATTTGAAATAATTCCTTGTTTATCGTTACAACCCTGCTGTACCTATTTATTCAACATTATTAATTGCACTAAAAAGATGAATTTGATTGTTTGTTTCATCATCCCTCCCTTCCCCAAGCTCTCTCCCTTTTGTATTTATTGTACTTTATTCTTTCTCCAGCTATAAGAAATATCTGAAAGAAAGAAAAAAGAGACAAAGAGTTATCAATAATAATTAGTAAGGAAATAAATAAATAAATACATACATACATAGATAATATTTGCAAAACCAATTCTTTATTAGCATAGCAAATCTTTTATGATTGTTTTCATTTCATACATGAAGTGAGAGTCTTTTAAGGGTTGAGGGATTTATGAAACAAATCTTTCTTATAGATTAGCATTCAACAAAAAAGTATTTATAGCATAAAAATTTTTAAATTTAAAAAGGATCCCCATGATCAACCTAAATACGTTAGCTATTGGTGTGACATCAAGAAGTTCCCTCCCATGTTCTTGGATGCCATTCTTTACATTAAAAACGAATTAGATCCTACTCTCTCTATCAGAAGGTATTTATTTTAGCTTAAATGAGTGGAAAATAATTTTTATTACTTCGAAATCGGAAATATAATTCATATTTTTATTACTTTTATAAAGATCTTGCAGAGAAGGTATTTGCGGTTCTTGCGCTGTTAACTGCGATGGTTTACACACATTGGCTTGTATTTCTGGTTTCAACAGAGATTTATCCAAGCCCACTATCATCACTCCTTTGGGTCACATGTTTATCTTGAAGGATCTCGTTGTTGATATGACCAATTTCTATGCTTAATATAAGATGATTGAACCTTACCTTAAGAGAAAGACTCCTAAGGTATATTTAATTTTCCATAATTCAATAGCATCAGCTTCAATAATAATTAATTAATAGATAAGATATTTTCTTTAATATATTTAAAAGATACATCTATTAGCAATAACATAATAAATAAAAATAAAAATAATTCGTTTCTTAAAAATGAATCCAAAATTTTTATATAAAAATGCTTAAAAATTTTAAAATAACTTTTACTAACTTATTCAATCAAGATTGTTTTAAAATTTATTTTATAACTAACACAAAAATTATTTTTTTAAAACTAATTGTAATAATATTTTCAAACAAAAGCCTGATGCCAACAAGGAATACCCTCAATCTCCTGAACAAAGAGCTCTTTTGGATGGTTTATACGAATGTGTCCTTTGTGCTGCTTGTTCTACCTCTTGCCCCTCTTACTGGTGGCATCCTGATAGATATCTCGGTCCTGCCATTCTCTAATAAGTACTTATATTTATTTTTAATGCATTTTGGTTATTTGATAAATAAAAGTTGTTAACTAATTCATTAAATTATTTTTAAAAAAGGCTTATAGATGGATCGTTGATAGCAGAGATGAATACACCCAAGAAAGAATTGAAAGAATTGCTGAAGATGTCAGACTCGATGACTGTCAACAAATCGGTATGTGCTCTTTCACTTGTCCTAAAGGTAAAAATAGCATATTTATATTAATAAAAATTGTAAATTTATTTTTAAACATAAAAATAGGTTTAAATCCTCAACTTTCTCTTAAAAATTTAATGGATATGGTTAAGGATTTCAGATAAAAAAGAATCGAATAAGAAGTTCTCTGAGGAACTTTGGTTTGAAAGAAATGTTGGGTATATAATAAGACATCTAAAAATCAACCAAGAAGTTACTTAATATATAATAGTAAGTAAGAACTAACTTTTGATTGAAAAAATAAATAAAGTTATTATACAAACATACTAATTAATTTATGCTAAAATAAATAAATAAAATTACAGACCAAATAAATATCTTTAAATGTAAACTTGCTATGCATGTAATCATTATTGTTAGTTTTAGTATGATAACTTTTCATTAAAAATTTCATTACAATCCTTCAAATTAAATTTATGTTTGTCAATTTTTTTAAAAACTAATGAAATTATTAATCCTAAAACTATTAAATTCATTAAAGTTTTAATTTAAAATATTAAAATGGATGATTAAATGAATCAACGGTAAAAGGAAAATAGTCAACATAATTTTTTAAAACAACTTATTTTTTTAATAAAAATAGTTGTTTAAAAACTCTTAAAATTTTTTAATTTATTAATTTTTTGCTTTAATTTTAATTAGATTTAAGATTCTAATTTGATTAAATAAAAAATATTTTAATAATAATTTTTGATATCTATATAAATATTAAGGGTATTAATTAATTAATATACTAATAAATATAAAATTTTTATTTTTAAGTTAAATAATTTAGTTATTATTTATTTAGTGAAGTCCATCAGAAATTTGATTAGAAATATAAAATAAATTTTAGTTAGATTATAAAATTTTGAAAAAAAGAGAGAATGAGAGAGATAGATAGGTAGGTAGGTAGATATGGGAAGTATTAGAATTTGGTTAGTATTTTAGATGTCATTTTTCTTGAAGAAGATTTCATAAGTTCATTTATTCACTTAGGTCATTATTTAATTAGAGAGAAAGTTATTTAGTCAAACTGTGTTACTTTTTGTTGTTGAATTCGAACTTTTCCTTTTTTATTAATCAACTAACATGGAGTTTGGTATTTAAAAATCGCAGTCTTCAGCTACTGAGGAGAGTGAGTTTTAATGTAAATCAAGTAAATCACACATTCTTCTCTTTGATATTTGATAGTAGTAAAATGGTATTTTTGTTGAATATGACAATCCGAACGAGTCTTTTCCTCTAAAATAATAATAATTTTCCCATTGTTCAAAGCAATCGCTATATTTTTAAATAATCAAAAAATATTTAGATTTGCTATTTATTTAAAAAAAAATACCTTATTTTTTACTTCATGTCAGAGCACTAACTTAGTAGCTCATTTATTTTATTTACTATATCTAATTCATGCTAATCACCTCGATTCCAGGCAAATAAATAAATTAAAATCAAAGTATTCATGCAACATATATCTTTTATATTAAAAAAAATTTAAATTTAAAAAATTTAAAAGCAAAATAAATTTCTTATTACTATCTTGATTTAATTATTGATTGCACATGGTTTTTATGATTAAAATGATCCATTAAACAAGGAATTTATTCAACCTTTCATAAGTCTAATATTCTTCAATAGGATACTTTATATTAAATAATATTGGATTAATTAGGTTCTTTAAAATGAATTAATTAATTACAGAAATAGATTGAGTTTCCAATTTATTTTATGTAAGCCATAAAGATCTTAAAAAAACGTTTGAATCAATAATGTTAGATTCTAGTATTTGAATGAATTTATTTTCCTTGTTTTTAATTCTCAAGTATTGATAAAAATATCTTATATTGATCAAATTGTATTTTGTAAATTCTCCCATCAAATCCATTAATATTTATTCCTCAGGATCCTTTTTCTTTGTATTTTAATTTGTATTTTACTGATTTGATTCAGATTTTTCAAATAACTTATCAGTGATTTAGTGTTATAAGCCGAAAAAGAGGATCATTATTTAATGATACTGATTGGAGCCTCTTAAAAATGTTTCAACACAAGAAGCAATCCAAAATTTCAATGTTAAATTATTACTTTTTTCCATCTCAGAATAAATAGATATTAATAAATTTATTGTTCCCTTATTTTTTATATTAATAAATAAATTTTGCGAGTAGTTAAGCTAAAGGATATTGTCCCATTAAATGTTTTAGGTTTATTCTTTAATATCTTATTCGCTATTATAATTTTTTATTAACTATGGAAAAAGATTCCATTTTGCATATTCTCTCTCTTCAAATGAAATCATTCTATCCTGTTTTAATTACAAAAAAATAATTTTAAATTTAAAAATTATTAATTGAATATAAATTCATTCATTTCTTTAATTTTCTTTTCAAATAGCTAAGATAAATTCTGTTAAAAATCTTTTGATTTTAACAGAGAATCAATATTGAAGATTTTAAATTAGAATTATTTATTACTTTGATTTGCTTATTCTGCTCATCGCTGTCACAAAAATTAATTATTGACCTGAGAAGTTAAATTCTTGATGTTTGCAAAAGATCGCTTCCACCTTAACCTTGAGGACTATTGCTCTAATATAAAAATTTTATATAAAAATTAAAAATTAACCTATTGATGGCATATAAATTTACATTTAAGTGTCTAAAAAATATATTAAAGAGAGGATTGAAAATTTGCTCAACAAAGCCCATCTTATTCAATTCATTTTATATTTCTTTTTTTCTCTTTCCTTGAAGGATATTAGAAAGAAGAAAAAGAATTTCAGTCTATTATTTTAATTAATCGATATGTAAGAATAGATTTTTATTAAATTAAATTTCGGTTTAAAATAAATTAGCTTTATAGAAAGAAGAATATATAAAATAATAAAGTATAAATAAGTAATAGTAATAGTAATAGATACTAGATTGCATGATTTCAAACATAATTCTAATAGATAGTTTGAGGTAAAACACTACTAAGCTTTTAATAAAAAAAATTATTAAGATTTAGCACAGATTTTAAAAGATTAAAGTTGCTTTTAAATATTAAATTAATTTGTTTATAAAAATAATACTTTCATTGTCTGATCTATCACAAATTTATTAAAAAGGAGTAACATCAAAGTTAGATAGCTGAATGACTTGTGATTAATCTAAATTAAAGATCGCTTCAGATAACTCTAGCCTGCTTTGACAGACAGATATATTTGATGTTATCTTAGTCAAAAAAAGGCAGATATCTATTGTTTTCAGGACAAAGTTGTTGATTGAGAGCAGAAGCTAATGATTATTTATGATTATACTCTCTTCATATTATGAAGGTTGCTTTTTGAAAGGATTTTTAACCTTTTTAACATCTAGAACTAAAAGGGCCAGTACCTTCGTGAAGTGAGCCATCTATTTATAATCTGCATACTGAATAAACTCTCTTATGTCTTTGATGTTGATCAAATTAAAATAAAAATTTGATCCCTCTATAAAAAATTCCATCAAATCTATGCATAATTTTTATCTCCTTACTGAACATTTCTCTTGCTAATTTTTAAGGAAATAATTTAAAAATTTATTGATTAATAATATGATAAAAATAATTATTTGCATATTTTGTATTTTTTTAACACTGTTTATTTATGTTAATTAATTATGCATCATAGACTTAAAATTCTGGTAATAACTCCTGCTTACAGTTTATTTAAAGCTTTAAAACTTTTTCTTACCTTGAAAAGCCAGAAGACTTGGCTGAAAAGCAAGTTGAGATTGTTTATTCCATGTATAATTTTGGGTTGAATCAAAAAGATTATCTTTAGAGTTTTCAAAAGTATATTCATCGCCTCTTCTTCATGCCTTAGATCTGCATTATTCTTAGGTTTTAATACTGTCAACTACGATTCTGCGTAGTATATCATAGAAAACTAAATAAACATTTATATAAAACATTATTAATAAGCTCAAATGATGATAAAAAATTTATAAAATGATAATTATTTTGAGAAAATCTAAAATGGTAATTTTATTTTTTGAATAGGTAAATCTTTTACTATATTCATAGATTTGTAGACGATCTATGTTAGCATTTAAAAAATAGTGTTGTTCATTTTGCTACGTAAGACTGTAATGAAGGTAAAGTTGTGATCGAAGTCACATATTTGAGTTAGATCGCTTTTGAAACATTCATATTTTAAGCTTTAGCTAGATTAAAATTTATCCAAAACCTCCATTAGCTTTTATAATTTTTCTTCTACTTCTTCCTCTTCATAATTTTTACAAGCCTATGCAATTAAAAACAACAAATAACTATCATATATTAGCAAAAACCCCAATTATAAAAGAGTTTTTTATTTCTATTAATTTGTATTTGTAATACTTTTTGCTGTTTGTCTAAGTCTTCGTTAAACATTTTGTCTCTAACTGTTGCTTTTTTCCTTGAAATCATATTTAGAGTATTTTTTATTATGCCACTATAAATGAACCTAATTTTTGAGATAAATAATTTTTCAGTTTAATAGTTTAATGCTTAATTAATTAAGTGCTATTATTATTTTAATTTAAAAAATTTTGCAATTAATTTTCAGGCTTATGTAGGGATATTATTTCAAGATTTTTGGCATATTTTAAATAAAATCTTGAATGATAACCATAACTTGTTTGATCTACTTTAATCTATAACTAATTCTATTTAGCTAGCTGGCTCATGTTTTTGTTTGTAGCCTATCCTAATTTTCACAAAAACCTGTAAATGACTATTACAAAACTTTTTCAGCTAATCAATACTTTTAATTATTAAAAATCCTACTTTTAAATTTAATAAAAATAATTTTTAGTGTTTAAATAATTTATCTGGCTTAAATAAATTTATATTTTTTTTAAAATTCTATTTATTTAATTAATATAATAATTTTAGCTTGTCTAGTAAAAATTAACATTTTTACTTTAATATTTCATTATAGTAGCAGTTCAATTATTGTTTTAAATTGTAAAATTATTTATTTAAAATCTTAATAAACTTTAATAAGAATATCTGAGCAATAAAATAATATTTTTTGTAAATTAATTTTTATTAAATATGTGTTTTTGAGATAACTTATAATTTACATTAAAATAGTAGAAAAAAAAATTATTTTTTCAACTCTAATAAACTAAATCATCTGTAAAAATTCCAAATTAAAATGAATTATCTTTATTATAATTTAATAATTTTATTTAAAAATATTTTTGGTAAAAATAATTTCAATTTAATTAAAATAGTTTGTTTGATGGCAAATTAATATCAAAAATAAAATATTAATAAAATATTTTGATTTTAATTTATTTTCTAAATACCATAAAATATAAAATCGATAGTTCAAAAAAATATCTTTATTCTATATTAATAAATTCACAATATTTCAAATTTTATAAAAATACACTTTATCATAATGCAGCCTTCATATATAAACATTTACCGTATTAACTTAAAATATGTTTTTATATTATAATTTAATAGTAATTGATTACTTTTCTTTAAATTTTTTTAATAAAAGCATTTAGTTAAATAATTAAATACGAATTTTATATTAAAGAGAAAAATATTTTAAATAAAATGAGTAAATATTCTCAGTGAATTAATTTTTGAAAATAAATTTTAAAGTTAATAATCATTTGATATTTGATTTTTTTGTTTTGAATCTATTAAGATATCAATTTAAATGTTTTGATTTACTTTTTATTTGAAAATCTATTTCATTTAAAAATATGTAATTAATTTATAAGAGAAGATAGTTATCTTTTAAATTTTTATTTTATTTTGATTTGATTTGAATCAATTAAAGAGCTAAAAAAATTAATATTTTAAAAATATATTTAAATTATAACATGTAGTTTTAGCTTGATTTTAGATTTAATTTGAGTTAATTCAAAAAATAATAAATTTTTTTGAAAAATTTTTAACCTAAATAAATGTTAAAACTTAATCCAGAATTAGATGAAGAGAGTTGTTAGTCATAAATTCAAAAATGATTGAGGATTTAGTTAAATATTAATAATGTTAATTATAACCTAATTATTAGTATGTTCGTTCGTATTTTTGTATATATGTAAATATGTATACAAGTTGTTTTTGATTTCAAACGATTGCTTAATTATAAATCAATTAACAAAAGCAATATCTAATCAAATTTTTTAAATTCAAATGTGAATAAGTAAATTTTTTTTCATAAAGTCTATTAATTAAAGAATATCACAAAGATAAACAAAATAATTTAATATTGCTAAATTTTAACTAATTTCATTGGATAATTGTGTAATAATTGGGTTATCTTTTGTGAAAGTTCAATTAAAGCTTAAAATAACTTTGCAAAAATAATTTGATAAGTAAATTGCCTGCTTATGGCTCAAGTAATTGTAGCGAATGCCGTTAATTTGGCTATTATCATTGTTTTGATTGCATTATTAATCAAAATGTACGAAAAAGTGTCAAGGAGAAGTTAGATGAGAACAATTGATGCTTCTAATTCTATTCTAGAATAAATTAAAAATTATGTTATCGATTTGAAGCTTAAGAAAGGTAAATGTTTTAAAAATTTAGTTTATCAAGAATTGATTCTTTACTTATGATTTTGGCCATTATTTTTTGACAGTATAACTAGAATTAATTTATTTACTAAAAAGTTAATGAGTAGCAACAAGAGGCTACAGAACATTAGATCATGCAAAATGAGAGAAAAATGCTTCAACAGCCTGGAGTAAATCATAATTCTTTTTAAAAATATTAATAACTATTAATTATTTATGATAGGTAAGAAAGAGCGCTGTCACCACAAGCTTTTCTCATGTTAATATGAACAATCCTACTAGAATGGAATCAAGATTAGAAAAAAACACTATAGACTTAGAGGCTTAGCAAGAAAAATTAGAAACTCCTAAAAACAAAGGAACTTTAAGAAAATAAGATGATTTAGAAAAAGTTCCTGCTGAAATGAATAGCAAAATTAAGCAAGTTAACATCTAGACTCCTCCTCGTCCAACAGCAAGAAAAATTAATCATTAAAATTAAGCTAATAATAGTGAAACAATAACATCGTCTTAAGATGATTTTCTGACTAAAACCTTATTAAAATAACTATTTTATAGGTCAGTTAGATAGTATCATTCTTTAGGATCTATTCTGATGTATTTTTACTCTATTAGAAAGTACAGGAATTTATTGGAAAAAGGAGAATAATTATTTTGTAGCAATCCTGCATATGATTTAGATATCATTTCTCACATATTTTAGTACATTTGCTATTTTGTTTATTCGATTTTTATAGCTGTATGTATATATCACAGTGACAGCACTATAGAAATCGGATTACCATTGATAATCATTTTGATTTTGACTATAATATTACATATTTTTTTGCTTTATTTAGACTTGAAATTCTAAAAAAATCATGTAAAAGAACTTTAATCTTCAACTAAATAATAAGCTTGGGAGTCAATTGCAATTTAATAAGAAAAATAAGCTCAAGCTGTTATAAGTAACAGTAATAATTAAGAACAAATTGTAGATAAAAATAATAATCAACTTGCTTAACCTAAAAAGAATATTCCTCATCCTCCAGTTAAGAATCAACCTCTATCATCAAGAAGAGTAGAATAGAAAAGGCCAAATAGTGGAATTTCGACTTTCCCTATGTAATGTGAAAATGCGAATGTTGAAAATTAATAGGTGATAGGAGCTGAAGAAAGCTATAACAATAACAATGGTATATAATAGAGCTAGTTAGGTAATGCTAAAACTATTGCAGGAAGCAGTTTTTAAAATTAAAATGGCCACAACAATCACGGTAGTGCATTAAATAGAGATAGTTCAAAAAGTAGTGGAGTGCATAGTATTAGCTAAAATGGTGTTCAAGGAGTTGAATCAAATAATTTAGTTATTCAATCTACAGAGCATTCAACATTTTTTGACGTTAAAGATGAAGTATAAATTGTTTTGTAAGATAAATCAACCTCTCATAAGTTACATGGATGTATCCTCTTGTTTACTGTTCTTCTTGGTGGAATAGGTTCCTATTTACTATTCAATACAGAGGATATTATTGGAGGTTATGTTTTACTTACTTGTTTCTTTGTTGCTTTAATCGATTTTGTGTTGCGCTATTTCATTTGTGGAGCTATTTCTGTTATTATATTGATGAAGTATAAATTAACAAAGAATATTGATTACGTTAGAGAAATTAACGAAGAAATAAATTGGGTGATGATTTAGATAAATCATTTAGAAAAGGAAAACATTACACAATAACAAGAGGTTAATTTAAAATCCCCTGAAAAAATGTAAGCAGTAGTTGCACAAGTTAAAAGTCCTTCAAAATCAGTAAGAAAAATAATGGAATCTTTGAAAAAAATAGTTTCGCCATCTAAAAAAAGATATTAGAATTCTCCAATGAAAGAATGTGATATGCAACAAGACGAAATTTAATTTTTGCCTAACTATAATAATGGGGATAATATTCCAATTAAGCATCTAATTTTTAACTAAGAAGGAAAAAATGCAGTTGAGTTTGATACTTAAACATAACATGACTATTCAATTAATAATGTATCTGTTAATAATCCTATGATGTAATTTGAATTTTTAATTTATTTGAAATCATACTTACACTTTTTAAGCAAAGATTAATTTTTCCTCCCCATCATATTTACTTTAAATTTAAAAAGGTAAAGAATTTCTTTGATTAGAAAGGCTAACAATTAGAACAATTAGTCTCAGGAAAGCATTGATATCCATGAAGAAATAGCAATTAAAAAAGTCAATATTACTCCTGCAAGCCAAGCTAAAAATCACTATAGCAGCAAGAAGCCAGAACAGCAATTAGTTTAGGTGAAAGATTTTACATTGGATTCGCATAGAAATAACCATATAAAAATATTGTCCGACAGAAATTAAAATTCGTTAAGATAAGAAAGTTCTAAAAACGGAGTAATAAATTTTGATGATTCTGAAGATACCTACATTGATAGTATTAATTTGTAACCAGAACCATAAAAGGAAAAAAATGTAATTAAATTTGTTATTTTTTAATTATTTTTCTTAAATTTTTAGTTGAATAATTTTCAGTTAGGAAAATATGAATCATATTTATTTACAAATTTTAATTAAAGAATAACAAGAAAAACAAAGGTAATTCAAGAAAGTCAAGCATTGGATAGATTGCACCACTTCCAAGTTAAATAATCTATAACAACAATGTAAACAATAGCTTAAACAACAATGGAGATGGGGAAATTCATTCAGGTAGTCTCTGCGGAAAGAAGAAATCTTAAAGATCAGCTCGCTCAAAAAAAGATTTTTAGACTTCAATTGACCATCAAAATAAAGTAATTAAATTTAGATAAAAATGATATTTTTAATTCAGTTTTTAATAAAAAAAGGAGTTTGCCAGTAGAAATAAAATGATGTTTGAAAATACATAAAATGAAATTAGAACTGATGAGAATATTGATAACTCAATTAAACCCCTTAAGGCAGCTATAGATTAAGGGTACAGGGACTCCAGTTTTCTTCATAACAGAAGCATAAATGGTTGTGATCAATCTCATATTTATACAGCTGGTGACATTACTAATATTCAAGACTAGTCAAATATTTTACCAATAAATATTGTAAAAATATTATTTATTACTGAAAAATAAAACACTTAAAATTCTAATAAAATTTATTCTTATCATTTTTAGAATTAAAAGAATGATGGAAGCATGCTGCTAGGTGAAATTAACCATGGAATGTAAGCATACGTCAACAACACAATTTTAGATCCTAACGAAAGCATAAATGCTCATAGAAATTAGACCTGGGATAAGAATACAACTTTGGATAACAACAACACTATTCATCCACCAAGCAGTTCAGAAAATAGGTATATTCAAGACTCTAAAGACAGGCTATCAGCCATTTAAACTAGAAATATTTAACAGTAACTTGCTATGAAATAGAAGAGAGAATAACTGAAAAATAAATCTGCTGTCTAGGATAATTAAATTAGAAATAAATCAGAAGACAATAGATTATCTATTTCTCAAAATGCAGAAATTCATATTGACAACTAAAAGTAGAGTGGTGATTTATTGGAGCTTCAAAACAAGAAAATTTCTTTAAGTGTTGGAAATTTCTACGAAAACCCCCTTCAAAATGAAAAGAATTTCTCAAATAAATTACACAAAGAAAGTAAATTAAACAACTTAATTTCTCAGGCCTAATTAAACTAATTAAGCTAAGCAAATTCTCTATCTTTCCTCCACAATCAAACTCAAAGTAACAAAAAATTAATTGAATATTTAAGATAAAAAGTATCATTAAAAAAAATAGATGATGGCACTATGATAATGTAGTAATAATAAAAAGACCTTTCAATCTTCTTTAATAACATTTCTGATAACGAAAATTCAGTTTAAGTTCATCCCACAAGCCCTGAAAGAAAAAGAATAACAATTAAAAAACCTTTGTCACCAATCCCACCAACAGATTTGAAAGCAAATGATGATAATAGCGATATTACAGGAGGTAAATCTCATAATAGATAAAAAATATTTGATACAGATGGTGATTGTGATGAAGAATAGTCTTATGATGTTTAAAAGAAATAAATGAGACTAAATAATTTAATGCATCCCTCATATAATATTTAACAAATAAAGAGTTTTGATATGAATACTTCTGAACAATCAGTTAAAAATAACAATGAATCTAGAAGCTTCATAGATAAGCAAGCTGCTGGCTAATCAATTTTGAATAAAATTGATATAAATGAAAAGAATTTATAATCAAAATCTCTTTCTAATGGTAAAATTATGAAGAATATCCTAGAATAGAATAGAAACAAAGAAAATTATAACATGAGATCTTATGATTTTGAAAATAATCAAGGTTAAAGCATAGTACCTATTTCTAATCCTGGCTCTCGTAAAAATAGCTCTTCGACTAATGTTCCTCTTAAGAACATAGTTAAGAAGAAAGATTGGGAAAAAATGCAATCAAATTCACCATATCTTGAATTTTTACCTTCAATGCTAAGCAACTAAACAGTAATTTTGTTAAATGATTCAAATTTTATTAGCAAAAAATGTTATCTCCTTTATCAGAATTTTTCTTAAATAATAAATTTTATTTAAAATTTAAGACTAATTCTTATTTAGATTTATTAATTTGGAATTAATTTTTGATTTTTGATGTTGATATATTATAGGAAGAGTTAAAGGAAAGAGAAAACAAGCTTAAATCTAAATTGGAGAAGAGTAAAAAGAATAGTAGAAGAGGATCTAATGAAGCAACAGAAAAAATGAAGTAAGTATCTGATATTTATGGGTTTGAAATTCAAAGAGCAGACCAAAAGAATGTCTTGGTTTCTAAAAAGTCAGCTAGATCAGTTAAGAGTTAAGAGAGTAAGAGAACTTTAGATAATAAGCTCCATGAAGAGTAGGAAGAAAATCAGAAATCTATTTTACATGACAATACTAATTATGCTTTAAACGAAAATCCAAGCAACATTTACGGAGGCATGATTGGAAATAATAACAATTCAACTAACATAGATTCATTTTACAACTAAAAGAAGCAATACCCTCATCAGTAGTCATTTTTATCTAAATCTAAAAAACCTCCTCTAAGTAGTTAAAACAATATTTTAAATAAAAATTTGATGTTGAAGGAGAATAATTTAATGAACTATCCAAATTCAGCAAGACTAAATTTAAATTCTATAGCATTGAGATAAACAACCACCCTTGAAGGTCATGATATGAGCACTATGGAGCATAATATAGCAACTTAAAGCAATCATGAAGGATTCTTTAATAACTAAGAATTTGTAATAAAGCCTAATAACTAGAATTCTATATAACTTGATATTGCCAATTCAGATAGATAGCATCATAAATCCTTTAATGATGAATTTGATTTAGATGCATAGTTTTAATAATTTAAAGACCACGATAATTCAATATCTTCTTTTGAGCACTCTCATTTTGGCAACTTTTAACAAAACAAGCACAAATGACAAAACTAATAACCGATTAAAAATAAACCTACTAATTAACAACCAACCAACCAATAACGTTCCATCAATGTATGTATTTAGATAGAATAAATGTATAAAAATATATATACAATTCTTATATAAAATTTATATAAATAATTTTAACATTATAAAAATTTTTTGTTAACAACAAAAATTATTTAAGTTTAATCTTCTTTAAGATAAACTCATGTTTGTTTTTAATGTGTTTTCATATTATTTTAGTGTGTAATTTTTAAATTATATTTTCGCTAAGGTATTTTTTCTTTATTTAATTAAAAAAATATAATCAAACAATTAAATACTTAATAATCGTATTTATATTTTCATCAAATTCTTAAAAATTAATTTAAAATTTATGTATTTTTTTATTAAATAATTTTGTTATTTTATTTACCTAAGAATTTTAAATTCTTTTGAAGTTTATATTTTATTTTTGATATAAATTGAATAAAAATAGTTATAAGAAATAAGTTAAATTAATTTTAGCAAATAAAAAATTACATTTTATTTAATAAGATATATATATTCAAATACTTTTACACATTTTTTAACAAATTTAAACATAGAAATAGCTTAGCCAAATAAAATTTGGTTCTGAATTCTAAAAATTCAAAATTTTGGAAGGATTTGATTTGAAGATTTTGAAATTGAAAATTAATTAAACTGGCTAATAAAAGAAAAAGAATAGTTTAGTTTGCAATTATTATTGGCTATAAAATTTATTAATACTTTATAAAGATTTTTGATAGCTAGATCTTAGCAGAATAATATATTTATTTTTTTGTAGAAAACATGCTGAAAAACAGCTCGAAAAGAAAGAGTATTTATAAAGAATTTCCAATTTAATAAATTTACAATACAAATGTTAATAGTGGAAATAAGAGTAATAATAAGTAAATGTCTCTTTCTTCTACAAATTAGAGCTCATCGCATGGCGGATCTACAAGTACATCATCTTAATAGCATCTAGATTAATAATAGGTCTAGAGTAATCAGAAATTGTCAATATTTGCTAGATTAATTCCTGAAGATTTGATAGCTTAGAAGTAAGAATATAAAGAAGGAATCAGATAAGAGAAATGTATTTTTAAGTTAAATAAGCATGAAATTTAAATTATCCAACCAGATGAAAAAAGAATACTTGAAGAAATTGATGCCTTCTAAAAAAGAGAACGGATTTAGCATTCTCCTCCAAAGTTTTATATAGGATAATAAAAAGAAGAAATCAATCAAAGGTCAATCTCTCCTATTGGATAATAACAAAATGCAAATTATGTTAATAAAACTGTTAGGAATGAAGGAAATGCTGTAGCGTAAGAAGATTTAGATTTAAACTAAAGAAGAAACAATTTTCAAGAAATTACTCCTGAAAAGGATAGGAATAAACATATTAAGCCTTTTCAATCTCCTATTAGTAAAATCAGCTACTTTGAGAATAGTAATAATGATAGTAGACCTAATACATTTACTTTTGACTAAATATTTGATGAATCCGTCAATGACGAGGAGTTTTTTAATAGTATAAAGTAGATGTATCTGAGTTGTATTAGGAGTAGTAAAAATCTAATAATTCTAAATCTAAATAGAAGTTTAATAAATAGTCAAACTTTTTTCAAAGAATTCATCAACGGATTAATAAATTTATCAAAATTACAAGGATTTTAATATATTTCAAGCGAAAAATCTCAGTTTTTCTTGCAGTCATATGAAATTCTCCATCCCCCAAACGAAAAATATTTATTATTAGATTTATAGCCCATTAACTAATAGAATCCAGATGATATTATAAAAGAAATGCGTTTAAAATAGTCTTAGATTCCCCGTAAATAAACTTAATCTTGCACAGTCTTCAATTTTTAACTTTTTGATGATAACAAACTTATAAATGAAATAGTTATAATCGATATGTAGTCATTTTTAGATAAAAAGCAATCATAGAACTCAAACCAAAATTAAAATTCATATTAATAAAATTACAATTCTTACTGTAAGGATTTAATAAACTTGCTAAATTTATAGTAGACTGGTAAAGTGAATAGTTCTGATCCATTTTTGTAAATACTTCTGTAAAAATTCAAACTAAGCGATGAGCTTATAATATTAGCTAACTTTAAAGTTATTCAACCATATATAACAACTAATTACTATTTATTACTTCTTTCATAAATTCTTTATAAATAAAAGATATATTTTAATAGTATTTTCGTTAATTTCTGCTAGATACAAAATCAATATATACATCATTTTTTAGGAAGAGATTTAACTTATGACACCTAGTAATTATCAATGAAAGAAGAGAATTAAATACTTTCTTAAAAAAATCACATGATTAAAGAGTAAGTTAGGATTATAACAGCTGATTTAATTCATCATCAGGAATAATTAAGCAAATTATAAAAAGAAAATAGTATGTACTTAAGTGATATAAGAGATTTAAAGAGAATAATAGTAGATTAAGACAATCAGCTAATGGCATACAAAAAAAAAATTTCAGATCAAACCAGCAAAATTGATGGTATGAAAAAAAATTTTGGAATATTAGACAACTTCGATAAAAGCATGGTAATTGACAGTAAAAATAAATCTTTTAACAAGATACTCAGCAATATCTACAGCTCCAAAAAATCATTTCATGAAATAGAAACTTAAGATCAAGAAACTCAAACAGATTTTATCTCAAATAATTTAGAGAGAGATGTTTCAAATAATCTTAAAAAGAGTTTGTAGGATGAAAGAATAAGTTAGTAAAATAAAAATATTCAAAATTATTATCAAAACCAGTAAGAATAAAATTTTTGCAAAAATTGCAAGTAAAATTTAGATGTTAATTAAACAGACTCAAATATTAACAACCAAATGAATTATAAATCATTTAATGCATTGCAAGATATTGCTAGCTCTGATTTTGAAAATTACCCCTTTCTGTTTAATGAAGATGACAAAAATGATATTATAACACCTAATAGATTCTTGTAAAATTTAGACGACATTCTTTTAAATTTAGATTCTAAACGATCAACTTATTTTAGCCCTAGGAATCTTAGCTTAGCAAACTTAGCTTTGATAGAGAACGAAGGATATAAATAAAAATTACTAATTAAAGATCAAGAAATAGAGAAACTTTAATTTAAACTTAAGGAAATAAATAGCAGCCTATAATAAAAAGACAGCTAATTTAAGTTTAAAGATCAGGAAAGGCTAGTTCATTTAAAATAGATTGAAAAACTAATTACACTGTTTGAAAAAAAACTAATAGGCTGCGATTAAATAATAGCAGATATAGTTGAATATTATGAAAATGAGCTTTTAGAATTTAAAAAGATAATTCAGTTTGGCTTTTAAGCATACACAAATGAAATAAAAGAGCTTTAAAAAGATATTCATGTAATTAACCAAGAGAAACAAAAATGGGGTTAAGTTTTTGCCAAAAAAACAGAAGAAATATACAAGTAAATGAGCAGCAAAATTTAGTAGAAAAATGAAAAAATTAAATAATACGAGGAAGTGCTGTAAAAATTTGGTTAGATAGGTAGTTATAAGTGAAATCAACAAATATTTAATAATTATGTAAATAAAATATTATCTTAGGTCAAATTTTGACAATTTAATTTTTAAAGTATAAATTCTATTCACAAATGTAATTAATTATTTATTTATTTTATATAAAAATTAAAAAAGTTTTTGAAGACAGACTTTAATTAAATAATCATTTTTCATTTGTCAATAGAAAAGATTATCAAGTTTAAGTTTTATTAAATTTTATATTTTTAAGAACTAATCGTTTTTTTTCTGTAATTTTTTAGATAAAAATATTTATTTATCATTTTAATTTTCATAAATATTAATTAAAATTTAAAAAAAACGAAAATATTTTCCATATAATTTATTATATTAAAAATATTAATTGATTTTTAACTCATAAATAAATCCTAATAATAAATATAATTTCTGGTTAAATTTCATGTTTGTTTTTAATAAATAGATATTAATTATAATTAGAGAAATATTAAATTCATAATGCGTCATATTAACTGGTTTTATTTTTAATTTCACTCTCTTTTATTTATGTTGATTTTATTTAGGTTTATTTGTAGTTAGTAGGGAGTTATGAACAACCATCTTTTACTCCATAAAACACTTTAAATTTTTTTTTTATGAATATATTAGCATTTTAAATTGATAATTTAATATAAATCAGTATATGGAGATAAAGATTTGCCATAAAATTATTGTTTAAATTTCATTTTAGATATATTTTCAGTATGAAAATGTAATTATGACAATAAAATGTCTTTCTTAAAACAAAATAGCAAGATTTCACATTATGTTTAAATGATTGAAATATATTTTTATTGGTAATGATTAAATCTAGAATAAATTGTACGATTGTAGATGGAAACATAAAAATAAAATTATTAACAATCTATTTATTTTATATTTAATTCTTATCTATTATTTGTTAAAAGGTTAAACGCTATCACTTAGCAAGACTAGTGGCATGGTCAATAGCTTTTTGGAGTTTACCTTAATCGAAACCAGTAAAGCTGTGAGCAGCATCTAACTTTCCTTAGTTGTAGAAGAAAACAGCGGGAATACCAGAAACACTGTGAGATTAAGCAATGGACTTAACACCAGCGTCATCACAATTAAGCTTAACAATATTCCAACCGTTGCTTTCTTAAATGAGTTGTTCGAAAACCTTGCCAAGGGCTCTGCAAGGAGGACACCAGTCAGCGTAGAAATCAACTAAAACAGGGTTTTTAGCTTGTAAAACTTCCTTGTCAAAACCAGCTTAATCCTTAATGTGAATGATAGACATTTTGCTATTAACTTATTTTATTTATATTTGATTTATTAGATTTTTTTGTATTTTAATTATGTTATATGTAAATAAATATCCTAAAATCAATATTTAAAAACGAAGCAGTATTCAAATTATATATATCTATCTATTAATCTAAATTTTTGTAATTATTATTTTCTTTCTATCCTTAATTTAAAAATACATTCATACTATTAAGGTAAAACTTATATATAAGAGTACACCACCTTTTTTTCTAGAATCATTTCTATTGAATTGATTGCTTCATCATCAAAACTTTCTCGAAAATTTCTCTAAATTATTTTGTAAAATGAATTGAAATATCATGATCTAAACCAATTAAAGCTAATTTATCAAAAAATTAGTGTAAAAATTATATGATTTCTCATGTATCTTGCCAAATATAATTTAGAAGAGTTTGTTGATTTCTCATTTTTTGGATCTAACCTGATCCGATCTTATATAATGTCTATTAACTAGTAACTCATCTAGTAAAGAAATAGAAAAATTTTTAATTGAATATTGTTATAGAAAGGTAATATGAATAGAAATAAGAAAATATTAATAAAAATCAGATCTACTCAAAATTTTCTAATTTTAGAATTAAATGTGTTATATATATTTTATTGTTTTTTCTCCTCATAAAACTTAAACTTTTTAAAATTTTTATTTTACTATATCATAAAACATATTTAAAAACAAGAAATATTTTTTATTTTAGCTTTAATATTTTAATTTTAAAAGTTGAAAATTTTTAATTAGTTCTACTTTGCTACTACTTAATTCATATGTAAGATATAATACAACAAATAAATAAATAAATATTTAGAAAAGAAATTAATTTCTTATTAACATAATTCACTACGTACTTTTATTTAGTATCACAGTATTTTGAAATATAATCAACATTTATATGTTTGTGCTTAAATTGAATACTATTTAATATATATTTATGATTGATTAAAATAAAATACGATAAGTATACAACATATTAACAAAATAAATTTAATTTCTTATTAACATAACTCACTATTCGCTTTTATAATTATTATATTTGGTATGCAATTATCTAACTATTGCTTATTAATTTCTATTTTTAATATTTATATTTTTTATAAAAGCTTATAATTGGAAGAAAAAAAAAAAAATATTTGTTTAAATAAATTCAATTTTATTAATTTATTTATTTTCAATAGTGTGTTAAATTAATAAAAAATATATATTTTGCTTTGCCATTCAGATTTTAACATTTTTTCAAACAAATTGAAAAGTTTTTATAATGTGATTTATTATCTATTTTATAAGTTTGCATTATAAAATATTTAATTATTTTTACCTTTTTTTGAATTTTAAAATATTTAGGATTGTACTGGTCGATTTACTTTATTTTAAATTTTATGCATTTAATTATCAATGAAATTTATATTACAAAGTAAATAAATTATTTGTATTATTTTAATTAGAAAATTTATCATATTTTTAATTTTTTGTTGCTTATTTGTGAATTTGTTTTTAATTTCTAATTATAAAAAGTATTATAATTTTTGGAAGAAGAAGAAGAAAAATGATTGAGTCAAATAGTTAGAGCCCAGAAAGAAGACAGTAGGGAGGAGGAACAAAGATTATGTCAATAAAAAATGTGATAGCTAAATCACATTAAGCAAACTAGAACTTAAAATAAAATGAAATAACAAAACTTTAAAAGTTTAAAGGATAATTTGAAAACGTAAGATCTCGAGCTCTTATGAATATTGAGCAAGGTGGAGGAGAACATTTCAAGAAGTAGATTAAATACAAAGTAAATCAATTACTCTTATACAACTTGATAAAAAATTTAAGTACTTCTTTTTCATACCGATAAGCTATTTATACAAACTATCTTTACTTTATATTAAAGTTGAATGTTGATACAGACTCTGAAGAAGAAACAGCTCATGAAAATTCTTAAAGATTAAAAAGTAAAGCTTCAAAGGACTCAAACAATAATTAAAATGCATATTTTGAAGCCTAAATGACACTAGGAGCAGAGCAAACAAAAGCAAAATAAAACACTAATTTACTATTTAACAATTTTGATAAAGCTTCATAAATTATTCCAGCTAGAATGAATTTAAAAAAAATAATATAAAATGATTAAAAAATATAACCTGCAAGTTCTCCAACTGCTTAATAAACTTCTTTAGGACAAACTTATAGCTTAAATGTCTAGGCTTAAAATACTTTAGCTAATCAGGGCACATCTCAAACAAGCTACCCTTCTTAAGGAGATAATTCTACAAATTTGAAATTGTAGAAGATAATGAACTTAGCTGCTTTAAATAACAGTAATTATGAAGATTCTCCTAACATGGCTGGAACAGAAGAAAATGTAAGTTACCTTAAAGGGCTGAGCTAAAACTAAAATCTTCCTAATAATTGCGAATTAATCGAATATGTTGACAGCGATAAAATTACAATTGGTATTAAAACAACTGACTTCTTTACTTTCATTAGACTCTAAGATGAAGTTGATGAGCTGAGAAGAAAACACAATCAATTTTAATTATAAAAAGAGCTGATTTAACAGCAAAGAATTTAGCAGAACAAATAATATAAAACATAAGTCTTTAATGAAAACTAGGAAATTTAATCTCCAAGTCATACAATTTCACAAAGCAATTAAAAATCTGGTAACAAGCAGACTATTTTATAAAATATAAAAAACTCTCCTCTTTTGAACTCAAGCTAATAAGCTGCTACTAAATAAAATTTATTTGCAGCGAATTAAGAATAAGAAGCAAATAATGAACCTGAGGCAACGAATAATAAAAAAGAAGGCCAAAAAATTTTCTAATTCTACGTAGCCAGAAAATATGGAATGCAGTGGCATAAAAAGATGACATAAATAATAAAAAATAGGATTAATAAATAAAATGTTTAAAATTAATCTTAAAAAATTAACTAAAATAAATAATTTACAGAAGAAAATTACTCAAATTTGTCTTCTTTACATGAAAACACAATTGAAAAGATATGAACGAGCATTGTTACTATATTGATAATAGATTTCAAATAAATTAATAAATTATTTAATTTTTTAAATAACTAAAAATTAAATTTTAAAATATTTTTAATCATTTTAAACTTTTGTAATAAATTAAACCAAAAAATAATAATAAATAGACAGTTTCTAAATAAAATATTTAAAATTTATCTTAAAAAATTAACTAAAATAAATAATTTACTGAAGAAAATTACTCAAATTTGTCTTCTTTGCATGAAAACACAATTGAAAAGATATGAAAGAGCATTGTGACTAAATTGATAATAGATTTCAAATAAAATAACAAATTATTTAATTTTTAACATAACTAAATACTAAATTTTAATAAAAATATTTTTAATTATTTTAAACTTTTATAATAAATTAAACCAAAAAATAATAATAAATAGGCTGTTTCTAAATAACAATTAGTTTATTCAATCTATTTAACAGCTATAAAATTTTTTTTTTATGTTTTTAAAAATAATCTAATAAAACCTATATAATTTATCTACAAAACAATTTTTAAAAATTACATATAAATAAACATGAATTCTAAACAATTTAAATATTAAAATAAATATATTTATCTAAATAAATAATTAATTCTTTTAGTTTTCTCTTTTTTAATTTTTTATTTAAAAGTTCATTAGAAAATAAAGCATTATAAATTATTTTATTTAACTTAAAATTTTTAATTTTTTTTCAAAAATTAAGGATTTTATAAAATTATTATTTAAGATGCTTATTTTATTTTTTTGTTAGGTATTTTCTCTAAAAATATATTCTTTTTTAATTGCATTTAATAATAAATTTATTATGGATTTTGATATATTAATTTTAAACATTAATTCAAATGTTTAATTAATAACAAAAAAATCAATAAAATTAATATGTTGGAGTTACAAATTTAGTTTTTTGTATAATTAATAATTTAAGTTTATGATTAAAAATATAATATTTACAGTCATATATTATATAATATTATTAAGCTTTTTATATATTTTACATTTATGAAATAAATTTATTTAAATTTTTTATTTACGATTTTATTTTTAATCTTATTTGAATGTTTTTTTTCAAATTTCTCAAAAATGTTTATTTGTTTAATAACAAATTATTGTTTTATAAATTAAATTTATCTGAAAGTATTTTACTTAGATTTATTGCTTAAAGTAACTTTTGCTTTTAGAAATTTTCATTCCAATTAAAATTAAAAAAAAGATATTGTTTTGTATAATCTCATATATTTTTTTAATCAGAAAACATTATTTAATAAAAATAAGGTTTCAAAAATCTTATTTAATTGCTGTAGAATGTATAGTTGAAGATGCTTCTGTTTTATGAGACTTTTCTTTTTGATTTTGCTTTTTAAAATAGGCCTCTTATAGTTTAGTGAAAGACTATAGGTCAGTTATATGAGTAAAAAATAAGGAAAGAGATAATTCGACACAATAGAGTGAATTGGAATTATACAATAATTTAGGATTCTCTTCAACTTAGGTGAGAGCATGCTATATATGAGAAAAAGTTAACTAAATACCATCTTCTAGTATTTACTTTATTTGATCCATAATAAGATGACAGATTGACATATCCTCTTCATTTGAAGAGAGCTAAGCTAATTTATTAACACTTTGCTAATACCACTCTACTTATTTACAGTTACTTTCTAAAATTTTCTTTCTCTCTTCTTCTGCCTTTTCTCTCATATCATTTAGAGATAAATTCATAGTCTTCTCTTTTTCTTTCTCTTCCTATCTTTCTTTTTATGTTGGATTAAGTCTACTGCTGAGATTATAATTTTTTAATCTAATATCTCTAGTCATAGGGCGATCTCTATTGAGTGTTTCTATTAAAAATTTAAATTCTTCGTTTTTTCTTTATTTAGTTTTCTTGATATCTTCGAATTATGAAATCAATTTATTCTCATAGTATTATGTTTTTTAAACCAATTTTTCAAATTTCTATGCCTTAATTTCTTCTTCTTCATCTTCTTTTTACTTTAAAGCCTAGAATTATTTTCTGCCTAACAGCTATTGCTTTTTTCTTAGTTCAATTTTGACTGTAATGTCTTTTTCTCTTTCAATTTACTCATCAAGCATTTTCATTTCTTCCCAGTATCCTGGCTTAAAATTTGTATGCTTTCTTAAACTATTATTTTTATTGATTCAAATTTAAAAAAATTTTTAAAAATTATTTTATTACTTATTTATTTTTTCAGTGAGCTTTTAGTATTAACCAAATCTTTAGTTGACTGTGAAAATATTAGAATCGTTCTTTTTTTCATTTTAGTTATTTGGCTTATATAATTGTTTAGGGAATTAGTCAAATCTATTTTCTTTACTGCCTCCAAAATGTGAGAACGAATATTCAGTATTTTCAGGAATAATATTATCTTGTCTAATAACAGAAATAGTGTTTTTCTATATTTCAAAAGAAGAAGTGCTTCTCTTTTTATTTTCTTTCCCAGCAGCATTGTTTGGTGTATTTCCATTTGATGAAGGACCTTAACTTCTATTAGCATTTCTGCTTTATTTATTCAAAGTATCAGTTTATTAGTTGCTAGACAAGGTTGCAGTGTTATCATTAGAGTTATTGAATGCACTTTTCTTTTTTTCCTTATTTAATTACGCATTTTATACAGATTATCTAGCTGTAGTTGTTTTACTTAATTGATTTGAAACTGCATTCAAAAAGCTTTTTCTTTATTATTTAGAAGCACCATTATTAAAAGAATTGTTGACGCTTTAACTTATAGATTAAGTGCCTTGTCCACTTTAAGAGTTCTAAGGATTTATATTTTGCTAGTTCATATTCATATAATATTATGATATAAAGTTAGAATGCGTATTTGGGATATTCTTTTGATCACTTGAAAAGTTAAAATTTCTAAATTCCTCAAACATTCTTAGCTTATTATCATCTAATATTTTAGTTTTTTCTCTTTACTTTCTTTCTTTACCTCTCATCTCTATTTTATCTGCAAGACTTTAAAGTTATAAATAAGGACGTATAGGCTTTCCTGTAACCATAGAAATCATTGTTTTCCTTACAAATTTATCTTCTAAATAAGAAACATTATTTTCTGTATCGCTTTCTTCTTATTCTAAATCTTTCTTTTGAACTTTCTTTAATGCACTTTTTTTGTTAGCTTGCTAAGTTAAGAATGCCCCTTGAGTTTCGTTAAAATCATCATAAATATTATTTGTGTACTTCGTTTAACTTGGAGTGTAAAATGCTTCTTTAGTAAGGTTTAGATGGTCTCTTCTCTAATTAACTTAAGATGATTCTATGTTTTGTCTTTTTGGTTTTAGTCCAGAAGGGTTATAAATAAAAATATTCAAGTTTTTGTTTAAATTTTTCTGTCCTGAAAGCAGAGATTAAAAGTTGCTCTCCTTTTCTCTTAAATCTATTTCACACTTTTCAGCCATATTATAAGGACTCAAATCTAAACTCCCTTCAAATTTAATTTTCTTTTTAGTTTTTTGTCCACTTTGCTATGTAACATAATTATCTAATGAAACATTTTCATTCTCAAAATCTGAGTAGTAATTGTTGACTGATTTATTAAATTTAGCTGCCTAAGTCTTTTTAGATCTGCTGTAATTTCTAGAAGCACTTCGTTCTAAAATCCCATTTTAAGCAGTTTGAGCTCTGCTTGCTGCAATTGGAGTGTGCACAAAAAAAGATTCATTTGTATTAGACAAACCTTAAACAAAACTTTTATTTGCATTTACAAGTTAATCTTTAATCATATCATTGCACTCTTTTTGTAAAATTTAGCACTCCTTATTGATATCAACCTTTTTCTTATTGTATTAGCTGATCCTTAAATTTACATTCACAGTATTTGGTCTTTGTGCATAAGGCTTATGAAAATAATTTAACAATTTTTTATCTCTCTCATTCAATTCTACTTCTGGTTTGATTTCCTTAACAATAATCCCATGCATAGCTAACTCCCTCATTCTTTTTTTCTCTTACCTTTTTTCTATCTTACTTTTCATGTATTCTTCTCTAATTTTTTTGCAATTTAAATAGCTGTTGAATGCATTCTTATTTATTTTTTTATTTTTTTCTGCTAGATATGCCTCCATATATTTCTTAACATCCTCATACGAAGGCCTAAATGAAGTGCCATGCTTATTTTCTATAAATTTTTTAACTTATTCATAAACTTTGTCTAAATCTTCTATTTCATCCTCCTCAAGGATGCCATCATTAATCCTTGTTTTATCAAATTTTTTATCAAATTCACTTGGAGGTTTTACTGGAATTTCCTTCATTCCCCTATCAGATCTATGAATAATGTAAGTTTCCTTTCCCTTCTCTCTCTCATTTCTCATAAAGGAGAGAATCTTTTAGCTTGCCTTTACCTTCTAAGTTTTTTGGATTTCCATTAGTCCTTCTTTGAAACTTTTGTCTACTAATCAGGTATGTCTTAAATATATATATTAATAGCTTAAATGTTAGCAACTACTTAATAAAAAACCTTTAGTTTCTTTAAAGTAAATATATTACCTAAAATTTACAAATAAATTTATTAAAAATTCTTAATAATTTATACTAAAATAATAGAAAGTGATAATATTCAATAAAATTGTTATTTAATCACTAATATTTATTAAGTATTTAAAAAGATAGAATCCTAACCATTAAATTACACTTTTTAATATTTATATTTATGTATTTATATAGAGTATTTAGATAAATATAATTTATTAAATTATTTTTTCATTCATCTACTTTCTTCAACCATTCAATAATAGATTTTATATTTACCTTTAAATAATAAACTAGTTTTATGATTTTTATTCGAATAATTAATTATATCTGCTTAATATTTTAAATATTAAATAATTATTATAAAAAATTATAAATATGAATATTTATTTATTGATGAAAATAAATTATATTTTGATTTTTTGATATTTAAAGTTTTATTTTTTTCTAAAAATATATATATCAACTTAACTTATAAAATAAATACATACTATTAAAAATAGATAGTTCAATATTATTACTTTTACTTAATATCTATTTTAGTTAGTATATTGAATACATATTATTTAATAGTGTAATTAAATTATTTTTTCTTGAAATAATTTCTTCAATCAACCAATTCATGAATTATTTAACAACTACTTTTCGATAAAAAATTAATTTTATAATTTTCATTTTATTATTTATTTTTACTTGATATTTTATAAGTGAATATTTTTATCGGTGTAATTAAATAATATTTTCTTTCATTTACTTTCTAAAATCAATAAATGAATTATTTACTATTCTCTTTTAGATTTTAAATTAGCTTGTAATATTCATTAAAAAAAGTGATTGCGATTTTAACTTATTTTTAAGTGTATGAATGAGTAATCGAAATATTAATTTAACTCAAATCATGGAATTATTTGTTTTAATTTGTTTTCTTAAATATATTTTATTTTTTATAGGCTGTTTGAGAGGATTTTATTAAAAAATATTTTATTCTTATATAAATTATTTACAAAATTTAAAAATACGATCTGAATTTTACTTTACTCATAGAAAACTAATAGAAAATTTAATAAAGATATTTTTTTTATTTAAAAAATAATATGATAGAAAATTAACATCATATGCGAAATTAATGGCTCGTTAATTATTTTTAAATTTAAATTTATTACAATGAAATAAAATAAATAATGTAAATTCTAATGATTACTAATAATTTGTTTGTTACTTATTTTTTTGAATTTTAATGTTGATTTACAAATCACGATTACTCATTTGCATACTTGCTTATTTTTATTAGAAAAAAGAAATCTGATTAAAATTATTGAGAAAAACTTATAATTAATTAATTAACTAATAAAACCACAAAAGATAATTAAAAAATAAGAGAATAAATGATCTTCGAATTGATATTGATTGCTGTAGCGCTTTTTGCATACTTTAAAATCGCGAAACCATACTTTAGCTATCTTAAATATAGAAAATATGGGAAAGGATTTTACTATCCTATCTTAGGAGAAATGATTGAGCAAGAACAAGATCTAAAGTAACATGCTGATGCTGATTATTCTGTTCATCATGCTTTAGATAAAGATCCAGATTAAAAATTGTTTGTAACAAATTTAGGTAATTATTTTTTAATGAATATTCCTTACTGAATTTATTTTTGAATCTTATAAGGAACAAAAGTCAAATTAAGATTAATTGAACCTGAAATAATTAAGGATTTCTTCTCAAAATCTCAGTACTATTAGAAGGATTAAACTTTTATATAAAATATAACAAGATTTCTTAAAAATGGAATTGTTTTCTCTGAAGGGAATACTTGGAAAGAGAGTAGAAAGCTTTTTTCTCCTGCTTTTCATTATGAATACATTTAAAAGCTAACACCTCTCATCAACGATATTACTGATACAATTTTTAACTTAGCAGTTAAAAACTAAGAATTAAAGAACTTTGATCCTATTGCTTAAATATAAGAAATAACTGGAAGAGTGATTATTGCCTCATTCTTTGGAGAAGTAATAGAGGGAGAAAAGTTTTAAGGCCTTACAATTATTTAATGTTTGTCTCATATTATTAACACTCTTGGCAACCAAACATATTCAATTATGTATTTCTTGTTTGGTTCTAAATATTTCGAATTAGGGGTTACTGAAGAACATAGAAAATTCAATAAATTTATTGCAGAATTTAATAAGTATCTTTTGCAAAAGATAGATTAACAAATTGAAATTATGTCAAATGAGTTGTAAACAAAAGGATATATTTAAAATCCTTGCATTTTAGCTTAACTAATTTCAACACATAAAATTGATGAAATCACCAGAAATTAGCTATTTTAAGACTTTAAGACATTTTATATAGCTGGTATGGATACTACTGGACATCTTTTAGGAATGACTATTTATTATGTATCTTAAAATAAAGATATATATACCAAATTATAAAGTGAAATAGATAGTAACACAGATTAATCTGCTCATGGATTAATTAAAAATTTACCATATTTAAATGCTGTGATCAAAGAAACTCTTAGATATTATGGTCCTGGAAATATTTTATTTGATAGAATAGTAATTAATTAATTACTTTTTTATTTATTTTATTATATATAATAAAATTAATAACTTTAAGAATTATCTAAGTATTTGTTTATATTAAATAAAATATATCTATTAAAAAGGCTATTAAAGATCATGAGCTTGCTGGAATTCCTATAAAAAAAGGCACAATCGTTACTCCTTATGCAATGAGTATGTAAAGAAATTCTAAGTACTATCAAGACCCTCACAAATATAATCCTTCAAGATGGTTAGAAAAATAATCAAGTGATTTGCATCCCGATGCTAATATTCCATTTAGTGCTGGTCAAAGAAAATGTATTGGAGAATAGCTTGCGCTATTAGAAGCAAGAATAATTTTGAATAAATTCATCAAAATGTTTGATTTCACATGTCCTCAAGATTATAAATTAATGATGAACTACAAATTTTTAAGTGAGCCAGTAAATCCTCTGCCCTTATAACTAACCTTAAGAAAATAATGAATGATTATTATTAATTATTATAATTTTTTTTATGAAGAATTATTCATATTTCTTATTTTATTTATTGCCTCAAAATAAAATTTAATTAAAGTAAAAATAACTTAAAAAATTGTTTTTTTATCTATTTATTTTATCTAATTTAATTTATTATTAATTAAGACCCCAAATAATTAAGCCCATTTTTATAAAGATTTTTAAAATAACTTAATAAAAACCAATCCTAAGTATAGTGGGAAGATGGGTTTGGTTATTAAGGAAGTGAAGTATAATTTTTTATTTAAATACAATACAAAAAAATAATATTTTTAATTTATGAAAAAATGAAATTCAAAATCTTGGTACTGAATACTAAAAAATATTTTTAAAAAGACATAAATAAATAAATATAAGTAATAAACAAGATTTAGATAATAGATTTGGTTTTTAATAAAAATGAATATTTCCAAATAATAATAATTTCAGCCAATTCTTTATTATTTAAATGAGGTAAACTAAATTTACTCCCTCTTTTCATTTAACTGCAGAATTAAATATTAATTTTTTTTATTTATTTTTATGTTTAAATTTTACTTCTACCTTTCATAAGTATTCTATAAAGTAAATATCTTATCTTAACTATCTAATATTAACTCAAATTTTTAAACGTTTGTATCTTTTGATTATTTTTCTATTAACTTATGCTTTTATAGATTTTAAACTATTCCCATTTAAAATTTGGCGCCTGAGTGTAATGGGTGATATTAAAATGATATTTTATATTTGAATTTTTATAATTCTAGTTTGCAATACGATTTAGAATCTTGATTAGCTTTATTTTTAATTTGGATTGAGTTTTTAGTTCTTGTTATTTCTATGTTGTCTTCATCTCTAGATTCATAAAATTAAATATTTCCTATTATTTCATGCTCATCATAATAATTATTATTAGTTGATTCAATTTCTATATAGTTATTATTATTAATTAAATTAGGTTAATTATTAAGCAAAATATTGCTTTGATTTAACTTTTTGGGATCAAGTAGTACATTATCAGATATTTATTTAGCCGATAATTTTAAATTTGTTTTATCATTCAGTTTTTCATAAAAATTTTAACTTTTTTAAATATTTTAATCATTGTTTTTTATCTAATAAAGGTCTAAAGACTTTATAAACTATTCGGCTTTTTATTAAATCTCCATTTGTTTTTCATCATTTATTTAATCTACCAATTATTCTAATTCATCAAATAGCTCCAAAAGCTTTTTAGAATTATCTTTTTTCTTTTCATTAATTGATTTAAGTAGCATATTCATTTCAGCAATTTTTTTTTCATTATCATTTAAATTAACAATATTCTAAAGATGCTCTACCTAAGATAAGATTGAATATTAAGCATAAAGATAATCCATTTTGTTAATAATTTATTCAAAATGGGAATTTATTTGTTTTTCAAGCTAATCTAAATATTATTTCAGTTATTATTGTAATTCTTAAGCAAAATCAAAAAACTTATTCATTTGATTTTTATAATCATTTTCAAATCTTTATTTCATTCCATCAATTTTTTCTTGCACATTTTTTTCTAGTGGAGGAAAGTTTTTCAAAATCTCCTTAGGATTATGGTTTTTAACATCCTGAATGAGAATAAATTAGTTCCCTGAAACTTCATGCTAGCTCAAGCATTTTATGCATAAAAATGGATTAAGTATTTTAGAGTTGTAGCAATTTAACACGCATAATATTTCTTAATTGTGTATTTAGCAAATAGAGATATTGCTTAAATTATTTTATTAAATCATTAACAAATAAACTGTTAAAAATAAATGTATTTTATTTTTTGTTAAAATAAATATAATTTAAGATCTAAAACCTTATTAAATACAAATATCTTTCTATTAGGTTTCTATTACTTTAATTGTCTAAAGTAGTCTCTTATTTAGATAAATTTTCTATCTATTTGTTTTTTTTTTGTATTTTTGAAATATATTTAATACAATTTTGGTAAAAGTAGAAGATTTAATTTTAAGTACATATTAAATTAATATAAACAATCGTTTATTGGTTAATTTATTAAAGGAAATACTTATTAAAATTTATGTAACAAAATAAATCTTCTATTTTCCATAAAATATATAATCTAATATAATTATAAATATAAATATTTAATATGAAATCAATCAGTTTTTGTTCATAATTAAAGTTTATCTCATGATACTTGCTCTTCTCACTGCTTCATTCAAAGTTTTTTTCATAATAGGGGTTCCCATTCTAATTTTTTACTCTTCTTCCTTTTAAATTTTTCCAAGTCTCATTTTGCTATTGACAAGGTCAAAGAATGAATTAATTTTTTATCCTGAACTTTTAGCAACATAATATTTTGTAGAGGCAGAGAGTCTAGCATAGTCTTTAGCGATTTTCTCTCCTATAGTCAAGCTTTTTTTTTAATTAAAAATGTATAAGTAGGATTTAAAAATATAATTTGAGTTACTCATGAGCTCTAGTTTAATTTTATTATTAGCTATTAAGATCATTAAAATCTGAAATAGTCCTGTTGAATTTCTTTTTATGTCCTTAGGATATTTCGTCATGTGCATTTTAAATCAGATAATCTAACTCTGTTAAATGTAATTTTATTGTTTCTTTATTAATATTCTGAGTCTTTTTCAGTTTTCCTTGTTCATCCAATTGCTCCTCCTCTTCTGCAAACAATAAATTTTTAAGTGATCTAATAAAATTTTTAAAATATCACAATTTATTTTTTTTGAGAATTGAACAAATTTATTAATTAATTAAAATGCCTTCTTTAAAAAATTTTTTATTGTTTACCTTTGAGTCTATTGCTAATCTTATGATTTTTGCTGATGATTTGTAATTTGTTTTAAATTTCTTTTGACTAAATTCAAACCAAGCTTTTTAGAATGGTTGTATAGAATTTTCTTGAACTTAGATGCTGTATTTTCGTCTTTTTGGTGAGGAATGAGGTCTAGATTAAGACTTTTAATTCTCTTTGTTTCTTCTAATTATTTCTTCTTATCTTGTATTTCGTTATTTAATAAAAGAGTTGTCTAAACATCACTTGCCTCTCTTATCATTTCGTTATTAGCATCATGAATGTTAAAATCCTTTTCTTTTTCAGTGAGAGTTGATGACATTCCTTGTTTCTATAAATTATTTATTTTTAAAAAAATTAAAATAGCCAACTTGAATAAGAAAAATACCTTGAGATGAAGCACTTTTCTGCAGAATCCAAACTCATTCTTTTCTTAATAATAGTCATTTAAATTCTACTCAGTTGCAACTCTAATATGATTATAAGGCATACAATTGCTCTTTAGAAGAATCTACCTCGCAATAATATTATCTGCAAAGGTATCAACATCATGATCCAAAATGTTATACTTTTTCTTTTTATGTACCCCAAAGATCTTATCGACTTCCAGTTCTTTGTTGTTTCTTAAATTTGTTGCATCTGTTTCATGCTCAATTTATTTTTCAAAGAAGAATTTGTTGCTGCTTACAAGCTTTGGCTATTTAAATATATTAATACAATTTAAAAAAATAAATAAATATTAATTAAGTATTTTACCTGATATTTTTACAGATACTCTTCCTTTTACTAAATTTTTTGAATATCTATTACTTTTTTTTTACTTTTCTGAAGTTTATCCCAATTAACTTAGTGCCCTTCCTTTTATTTTACTTTCTCAAATGCTGCTACAGATTTTATCAAGTTAAATTTGATACTATTTTTTCTTTCTGATTTAGTAGTCTAAGGTAATCTTCCTAAACTTGACTACGAAAGAATTTAAGCTGATTTACCACCCATCATCAAATTAGTCGAACTCTTATTTTCAGTTTAGTTAAGGGGATGTAAGAAAGAAGAGGTAATAACCTGTATCCTGTGTTGTTAAAATGTTTTTTCTGGCGACTCTTCATTCAGCGTGAGTAAAGCTTCAGAAGTAACAGTGTTATTTTAATAAGTCCTATTTAAGTAATAATCTTTCTTACTGATATTAGTGAAATTATTCAAATTATTATTAGTCGTTGACTGAGTCATACTCTCATCAGTTTTATTTTCTGTTCCTTTCATTGTTGTTGTGTTCTGCTCAGTAAAGTAAGTTTCTTTGCTCTCATTAATTTTACTAAGCTTGTTCTAAGAAGTAATAGAATGATTACTTTTTAAAGAATAATAAATTTAATCTTTAGCCATTTCATTCTTTCCTATATCAATAGAACTCTATCCTCCTATTGATTATTTAAACAGATTATCAATTATTGGCTTTTTCTGTATTATCACAAGTGTCTTTTTTATTTATAAAAATTGAATTAATATAATTATCTCAAAAATTCAAAATATTTTAGCTAAAATATTTATTCTCTAACACTTTTAAAATTTAGCTAATAAAATCAAATTATATTTTTGATTTAAAAAATAAAATACTTCATTTAGTTCTTCAGCTTTTGACTTTTTGTACAGATATTAGTTGACAAAGTCAAGAAAGTCTTCATTTACATTTTTTTAATCATCATTAGTTGAAAACATGTACTTCTATCCTCTGTTTAAAGCTATTGAAAATATTTTGTTTATTTCAGCATTCATGTTCATGAGCTCATCATATTTAGATGTGAATAATTAATAAGATTTATAAGATTCATTAAGTAAATCACTATATTATTGCTACTTTATAAACGTAATTATTAGCCAGTAGAGTAACCTCAAGCACTCCATTCCCTATTCTATCTTATCAAGTTGCTCATAAGCTTAGTGCATAACTAGCAAACCAACACACATTAAACAAACCTTTTTTATAATTAAATCTTCAAACACAAACTTAAAATTAATCCTTATTTACTGTTTTTTCTATTTTTTGATTTGCCAAATTTATGTAAATTTCTTTGGCATTTTTTGGTAAGAAATTCTTTGCACTTATTTGTTAATTTAGCATTCTTTGTTATATTTGCAAGGCTTCTTCATATAAAGCAATAGCATCTGGAAATCTAATGAAATAATTAAATTTATAAAAAAAATTTGTCAAAATTAACTTAAATAATATTTACAATCCTAATTCCATAATAATCTAGGCTTAGTGCATTCTTACTTATGAGCTAACTTTGAGTAATTAAATATTCTTTTAAATATTAAAATAAATTTAAATTATATACATTTAAATAATTTCTAATAAAATACCTCTGTAGTGTATACTTATTTTTACTCTATAAGCTTCTCAGCTTTGCTCATAAACTTGTATGAAGCCCATGCATCCTGCATCCTAATATATTTTAATTATTACTTTCAAAATTATTAGATGATTGAAATTGATTACTTTTTGTAGTATATAGACCACATTACAAGGAGCTCAATGAACAGAGACCAAAAGTCAATCAAATTTTTTGCAACTTTTATAAAACAAATATTATTAATAAAGTATTGATTACTGTTTCAAACACACCAATTAATATATTTGAATCAAGAATCTAATATTTAAATGAATTGTTTGCCTTTCAGATTAAATATGAAAATAAAATTACTTTAAACATCATCAGGTATTAAATTAATCATTGATGGCTCAATTAAATCTGTCATCATCATTTCCAAGGATAGCTCTGGATATTTAAATTGTTGCTTTAATTCTTCTTTTTTTTGCTTTTCAAGCTTGTTGACCATGTTTGAAAAAGAAGAAAGTCCAACCTTTTTCGAGTTTTGTGATTATTGTGGATAATTTTGAGATTAGTTAGTTTGAGGATTTGGAGTGTTGTAGTCAGTATTTATTTCAGGGACTATAAATTCATCATTGTAGCAACGATTTTTATCAAGAATTTTGATCAGAGATTAATACCACAAAATAATCATTGTAGAGAGTTTTTTAAGTAGTATCATAGTTTATGATTTTTAATGAATTTCTTCTCTCTATTAATATTATCTAAGTATGGCAATACCACAAGTTAAGTATCTTCTCCCTAATTTCATCAAAACTGATTCCGAAAATTATTCGTTTTTGTTTCTTTCATAAAATTTATCTAAGATAATGAATGCTTTTCTGTGTTATCCCTATTTAATGTTTATTAAAATTTAAACAATATTTGTAAAAAAAATTTTGAAAATAGATAGTGAAATATATTTAAATTTTTATATAGTTTATCCATTATTAGCCATTATTTATGAATTAAACTTAAAAAAACTTTAAATATAAATGAATTTAGATTTAATTAAGTTGTTATACTTATCTTATGTATCTCTGTGTTTCTTTAAAGTAATATTCTGCTGGATATTTTTCTGTACCAAAAAAGGCTGAAATATTTTTTGTTTAAGCACTATTAGATTCAATAGATTCTTTTCTAACTGGCTATTTGTTCAGTGGTAAGTCTCCTACCTTTTCTTATTCGTCGCCTGAAGCGATATCTTCCTAATCTTGGGATTGATCTAGCTCTGTATTTTTCATGTAAATAGGTAATCAAATAATTAATATTTTAATTCTAATGATGGATTTTATGATACTTTATGACTTTATTTACTATACTATAATAGATAGATTTTTAATAAATCAATCTTATATTTTTAATATACTGAAATTATAGCTTTATTGATATGATGGTTGATCAAAATAATAATTTAAGTGATTAATTTTCATTTTAAAAATCATATATAAAACAAATTAAATCATTAAATCAATCAATCAAATAATCTTCCATTCGTTCAGCTAGAAAGAGAGCCAAGAATTTTTTCATTTAATATTTATTTCAAAATTAGTAAATTATTTGCTAATTGAAAATTCAGTAAATTAGCTCTTTCTATTATTTTAGAATGAAAATTTTATTAATTCAGCTTTTTCTTTTTCATAAATCTAAAATAATAATAAAATTCATTTCATTTATTTATTTATTGATTTTTTTTAATTCATTATAACTTAACTTCATAAATTTATAATAATATTTTTTACTGATTAAAAAAATTTATTAATATATTGATAAATGTACTTTAATTTATTCATTATCATTTATTAATCTAAGCTATTAACAAAAATATAAGTATTATTTTTATTTTTTTAAAGCTAAAGCTAAAGATTTAGATTATTTTTTTTTTAATTACTAAGTATTCTGGTAAATAATACTTCAAGTAGTAAAAAAAAATATATATATAATTGAATTGTAAAATAAATTTGATGTTTTGACATTATTTATGAAATTAAAGTAGAAATTTAATAACTGAAAATTAAAATAGAGTATAAATAGTTTTTAATTTTTTCTATTTAATGAGTAATAAAGATAGATAAATTGATAGATAGCTAGTTGGACTTAATTCTAATATTCCTATATTTCATAATAAGAATTTATACTTAATATAACAATAAAGTAGATTTATTTATCGTTTATTAATATTATATATAAGTTATCTGAAGTAAAAATTTATGAATGAAAACTTAAGTAGTGAGTGATATAGTAATAGTAGATAGATATGTAAAATATTTGTTCAATTATTTTATAATTATAATAAAAATATAAATAGCTAGACTGATATTTAAAAACATTTTTTCTATTTGTTTTGCTAACAAATTTTGGGAATGTCTTTAGCAACCAATCTGCTGGTCATTTGAAGTAGAGTTTTTTGCTTCATTTTTAGTTAAGTCGATATTTTAATTTTCACTACTTAATTATTCAGAGATTCTTTTCCCCGAATAATTCTTTTTTGATGTTTTCTTAGTGTTCCATAGACATACTACCATATTCACCTTCATCGTGTTAGTATGTTTCATTTACTTGGCAAGCTGAATCTATATTTAATAAATGCTCTTCAGATTCTAAAATAAATTTTCATAAATAGAAATAAATTGATGATAAACAATTAAAAGATATTTATTTTACATTTTCTTTGACTTTCATAAATCTAAAGTTGATTGTAATCTCTGAACATAGCAATTGATTCATAGAATGATTCAGGTATAAGGTTAACGATTAGTCCAACTAATAGACCACCCATACCGATAATGATGCAGAAAAGGTGTTAGGTTAAGCTGATACGAGTGCATCTGAAAGTTTAACCACCGAAAAAGACTAAAGAATACTAGACTATAAAGCTGAAAATGATAACACCTAAGAAATATCTGTTACGGAAGATATCCTTAAAGGGATTAAGTATATCTCTACGAAGATCTCTGCAGTTGAATTCGTTGAAAAGTTAAAGTAAAACGAAAGTATGGAAAAAGATTGTCATGTGTATAGCTCCATTATGATTGAATTCGTGAACATCCAAGTATTACATTTCTGGGACACCAAATATGTTGTCACCATACAAAAGGACAAAAGATAAAGCAATAATCTAGTAAATGCATTAGAAGACAATATTACGTTTCATGTAACCATTGATCAAATCTTCATTTCTTCTATAAGGTTGTCTTCTTAAAAGTTCCTCAGTGGGATGATCAGTTGCCAAAGCGAGACTTGCAAAAGTATCCATAATCAAGTTAATCCAAAGCATTTAGCTGGAAGATAAGGGAGATTCTTAAATGATAATTGAACCTAATAAACAAATGAAAACACCAACTATATTAACAGTTAATTAGAAGACCAAGAACTTTCTGATACCTTCTTGAATGTTTCTACCCCAAGAGCTATTATAAAATAATAAAAAAAATTATTCACTTCAATTATAATATTTAAATAATATATATATTACCAAGCAGTTACGATAGAAGCGTAGTTATCATCAATGAGAATGATATCACCAGCTTCTTTGATGATTTCTGTACCCTTTTAACCCATAGTGAATGAGACATCTGATACTTAGAAGCAAAGAGCATCGTTTGTACCATCTCCAGTTACTGCAACAATTTTGTCTTAAGATTTTAATGCCTTGACAAACTTTAATTTTTATTCAGGATTGCATTTGGCTACAATTTTGAATTTATCTACACAAGAGCTCAATTCAAGTTCACTCATTTAAGCAATTTGATAACCAGTAGTAATTGCAGATTCTTCATGAGGATAGATGATACCAGTTTGGATACCAATTGCCTTTGCAGTTTAATAAGAATCACCTGTAATCATACGAGTAGTTACACCAGCTTTTCTGAGTGATTCTACTGCCTTAGGAACTTCTTCACGGACGATATCCTACAAATAGCAAGTAGCAACAAAAGTTAAATCATTAGAACTGATCAAATCATTTAACTGGACTGTGTTAAAGTCACTTGAGAAGTCACCTTCTATTTGCTTGACTGCAAATGTAAGTCCTCTAAAAGCTAAGCAATTGTGCTCTTCAATGTTCTTTAAAATCTTTTGCTTCTTAGCTTCATCAAATCTATTTTATTCAATTTATTATTTTAGTTTAATTGTTAAATATATAAAAGTAAGTTTAAAATATTATTAGTATATAAAAATTACTCAATAATTTCGTCATTATGATATACATTAGAGCAAGAAGGAATAATGGTATCTGGTTGTCCCTTGACATATAAGTATTAGGTACCATTAACATTGACAATAGTACCACTGCACCTGTTCTTAGAAGTGAAAGGGAATTCTCTGATTTTTTGTTAATTGTAGTATGAACGTGGTTGCTCTTATTCTAATATCCATTTAATGAGACCAATTTCAGTAATATTTCCTTTTTAGATTGCAACTCCATCATCAGAGACATCAACAATAGCCTTTGATGTATTTTGAATGCTAATTATGAAAATAATTTATTTTTTATGACCATAAAATCAATATATTTATTCTAATTTACATTTTAAGTAAGAGTTCCTTTGTCTATGATTTGTTATTTACTAAAGATTCAACATTATAGGAATTAGAGTTGAGTAAAATTTTTTTCAAAATCATGTTGCCATAAGTTAAAGTACCAGTCTTATCAGTGCAGATATCACTAACACCTCCCATAGTTTCACAAGCTTTTATTTAAATAAAATAAATAAATAAATAAAATTAATTTATAAATAATCAAATTATTTACATTTAAGTTTTTTAACCAAATTCTTTTCCAAGTACATTTGATGAACAGAGTAAGCAAGAGCAATGGTAACTGAAAGAGGGAGTCCTTCAGGAATAGCCATGATAATTATACCAAAAGCGGCCATTAAGTGTCTAGAAAGGTCTTAGAAGAATTCTAAGCAGAAGAAGCAAAGCTTTTAGAAAAACAAAAAAAATTGTTTAATTTATAAAGCTAATATTTTATTTGAATGATTTTTGTATTCAAAAAATAGTATTATCAAAGATAACTAAATTGAAATAAATTAAATAGTTTTACATCTTTCTTGTAGTTGTTGTAAATTTGGAATGAAATCAAAGTGATAAAAGTAATTGAAGCAGCATAAAGTGCCAATACACCAATTTAGTTGGCCATAATTTCTAACTTATCTTGTAAAGGAGTAGTTTCTTCTTCATCTTCTTCACTCATTAAAGCCTTAATTCTTCCTTAGCAAGAGTCCGAACCCAAACGAAGGACAACCATTTCACCATATCCATCAACAATTGGGCAACCTTCAAAAATGCAGCAACCAATTTCTTTGTGTTAGGGCTCATTTTCACCAGTTAATGAAGATTCATCAGTTTGAATAGGGATATCACAGTTGATAAGGATACCATCAGCTTTAGGTACACAACCTGGAGTAATTTAAATAATATCACCAACAACCCAATCCTTAACATTAAGCATATGGATATGGCCATTTCTCTTTGTTTCGTGTTCTTAAACAGATTAAATTTTGTGTAAAACAGCAAATTACTTTTCCTTGGAATAATCTGAATAAGATTGAATTGATACGACAATTATAACAGAGATAATGATAGAAGTGCCTTCAAACCATCCCTTTTTAATTAAGGATTAATTAAATTTAATTGAAATAATAAATTTCAAATTAAAGCCAATTTTTATATATTAAATATATTTATGCTATAAAATAATAGCTAAATTGGTTATGTGAATAATGATTTGTTGATATTTATTTGTAAATATATTATGCAGTTTGTATAAAAATAAATATTGTAATTAAGTAACAGATTCTAAATGCTTCCAAAAATAAATCTTAAAGATAATAATCTGAATTACCTTTGCCCAACCATCTTAAATTATACCCAAGCATATAGAAATGCAGGCGACTACAATAAGTAAACGAAGCATCACATCTTCAAGAGCATCGAAAATCTAATTAAAAATAATTATATCAGTATTTAATTAAAATAACTCGATTAATTAAGAGTATGTAAAAGAATTTCTAAAATAATTTTTAGAAAAAGCCAAAGAAAAAAAAAAAAAGTACATATTCGAATATGGATTTGCTCTTATCTTCTTGGTCAACAATGACTGAGTACCTTTAGGGTAAATAAATAATAGCTGTTAAAAAGCCGTTATTTAATACAATATCGTTTTTGTATTAGTTTAAAAAAAATTCATTTATACAAAAAAACATTAAATAAATATTGATTTTAATGCGTCGATCTTTAAAAAATTAAACACACTTTTATTTTTGTTTTGTCTTTATATTTTTTCAGATTGTATTTAATAAATTAATTAATTACATGGATCTTCTCTTTTATAAGTCATCCAAGTTATGATGGTCCAAACCTGTCTATTAAATTATAAAATAAAGTTTTAAAAGAGGTTCAAAAAGCTTTCCTCTACTCCTTCAAGTATTAAAACATAATTTTTTGTTCGCGAATGAAAGTTTAGTGTGGAAAATTCTTATGAAAAGGTAGAGGTGATCAAAATTTGAAATAAATATTTACTGCTTTATTAACATTAAGCTTTTCAAGCAATCCATCCAAATTTTTGTACTCTTTAAAGTCAGTAACCTTTCTGTCTTAATAGATTTCGAAAATATCACTTTTTTTAAGAATAAAAGTTTATTAGTTTCAAATAAAATGGCAAACACATATCATGAATTGTAAAGTATCTTTCTCAGTTGAATTTCTTAAGTTGTGTATATTATAGACATCAATCAATCAACTGAATATGATAATAATTAGCATGATATGATATAAAAGAAATAATCTTTTAAATTTAGCGTACTCAATATCCCTCTTAGGAACCAACTCCTGTGATGATTACTCGGTAGTTGAAATTTATATGGTATGATCCATTTTTAGATTGAGTCAAATCTAGTTAGTAATGTCAGATGAATAATTACCCTAACTCCAAGATTATTATATATACTATCTTATACCTTTCTCTTAAATTTGTTTGTTTAATTGTTTTTTGCAAGTAATTGCTTTTAATTTATTTGATTCGTACTTTTAATATATGTAATAAAAACTGATTAAATAGATGTTTTTTTTCAGTGTTTTTATGACTTTTAATAGCTGAATAAGGTTAAAATACAAATTTCTTTCATTCATTCGAAGTATTTTCTATGTGATAAATCAATGGCCTATTGGAATTTCATTGATTTCATAATAGACTTTATCTAAATTAAGTCAATAATAATACATTCCTTCATTCATTCACTGAAGATCGATTTTTTGTTTGAGTCCTAAATAAAAGTAATAGACTGCTTTTCCTTTGCAAATATTATTAAAATATCTATTAAAAATTCACCCTTTGATTTTTTAACTTAATTTTTACAAGGAATCTTTACGTTTTGACAAGTTTTTTGATAAAATACAAACAAACAATCAAGTGTGAATTTTCTATCGCTCTGCAAAACATTCTATATATAATATTACATTACAAAAGGTTTTAGCTAACATGTTAAATGATATATTATATTTTCCTCCTAACGCAATTTTTTAAAATATTTTTTTCGCCCTATGATTAACATAAGGAACTCTTTTTTTATGCAAAAATGAAAAAGAATATTTGTTAATCTTCCTTTAAAAATGAAAGAATTTTGTAATAAAAAAAATAATAATTACTTGTTTCTGCTTAGATGAATAGACAGACAGATAGACATTCAGTTTAAATAAATACTATTTTTATCAAGCACTTTAATAACACCAAACTGTTTCAAGTAATTAAATAATTTGAGAAACTAAAAACGGTTAATTTCTTTACTAAATCAAAATTTGTTTAATACATAATAAAAAATTAAGATGAACAAATCAATGGTTTTATTACTTAACTAAATTTTAATAAATTATGACTAACAGATAATAGTATTATCAATTTAATAATAAAAAATGTATTCCATAGTTTTAATATTTCTAAATACTAACAAAGAAATAATAAGTCAGAAATCAAAATTGAAAGTAAGCACATCAACCTTGATATTTGGGAAAATCGAAAAAATCTCCAAAATTTTTTTCTATCAAGAATAGAATTGATAATAAATTTTTTGATGATATTGTTAATAGTTTTTAAATTAAATAAATAAAAATATTTGTAGATATTTTTTGATAATTAAAAACCATAAAATAAAAATCAATCTGAAAATGTTTTTTGATGAAGCGTGTTTTTTGTGTTTTTAAGATAAATCTAATTATTTTTTGAGCTTAAATAAATACTGCTAATAGCTAAAATAGTAAAATAAAATTTCGAATTTTATATTTTATTGATAATAACTAACTATTTATAATTTATACATGTATATATATTTATATTTACTTTACTGATTGTGAAAATTAAATAAATTATTATTACTAAATATATTTAAATGTATGTTTTAGTGTTTGGTGGGTGAGATGAAATATACTTTCCTGAAACTTTTATACTCTTATTAATATACTATCCAATCTGTCTATAATTAATTAATATGTGAATATGAGCAGATAGAAATGAAGGTAGATTTATAATTTAAAAATTAAATAGCTATTGTTGAATTTGTATCACTGTTACTTTAAAAAAAATAGTTTATTATATTTTTTACAATCTTATTTTTTTGCAGCGATTCGCTAGTTAGAATTTGCAATAATTTACAATATATCTTTTTTTGATTCTTTATATTATGCTTATTTATTTTATTATTGAAAATAACAAAATTTATGGGAGTAAGATTCATTTTGTTATCAATTCAGATATATTTTAATTGTATTCTAAATTGAATTTTTTTAAATGTTTTTGAGAAATGTTTATGAATTTATTATTTATTTTTTTTTTCGGTTTGCAATCATTTCAAGGCCTTTCTTTTGGGAGACTACTTCTCCTTAGATTACTGCTTCATATTACTATCTTCTATCTCCATTTCAGTCTTGCTGTTATTATTATTATTATTAGCTTTTTCGATACTTTAAATATCAGATGATTTAGCAGATGACTTTTAGATCAATGGACTTTGCTGGCTCTATTAATTTTATATATTTTATTACCCATTCAAATTAAGTAATTGCTCTTAGTACCTTGTTTACATTGATTAGTTAGATGGAGTCGGAGATTGTGGAACTAATTTTTCATTTTCATTAATTGCCTTTTTCTTCTACTTATTATTATCTTAGGTAGAACTGATAAGTTAAGTCGTTTAAGATCTAGTAGAAATTTCATTAGAAGGAGTTTTAAAATTATGTTGAGGCTGCTACTATAAATTCTAACCTTGCTATTTAGGTACATTCGTACTCTTAGGACTAGGACTTGGAGTTAATCTTGGGCTGGATTGAATTATTTTTTAAGGACTTTAATTACCTAATTTTTTAGGACTTGAAATACTTGAGCGAGTTGTAATCACACTTAATATAGTTTATTTTGGGCTTTAATTGTTATCAGAGCAATTTGCAGAAGTTGCAGATTTGCTTGGGCTAGAATTAAATGCAGAAACCTTTTTTGGGCTTCCATGAGTAACATGAGATTTTTATGGGCTATTATTATTTGATGAATTACTAGCTCCATTCAGCGAGAATGATTTATTTGGACTTTATGCAGCTGATGGAGTAGAAGAGTTTATCATTGGAGAACGGTTACGAGTTTGGCTTGCAATAGAATTAGCAGGAGGTTGATATGCTTATGATGGTTATAGTAAATGAGAATTGTTTATTTAAGGTGAAGATAACAAAATATTTTAATCATTTAATCCTTAGGCCGAAATGCTATTTTAATTTTAAGCGCTTCCTTTTTCTTTTTATTATTTTCCATTGCTTTTATGATCATTTTGTTAAGCTTCTTTTTACTTAGACTAACCTTATTAATTAGATTAATTAGATGATTGCTGTTGATTAAGCTTCTTTTATGTATCTTGAGAGCGGAGCACTCTACCATTTGAGCACGAAGGGCTTTGCGAGAGAGCTTTTGGAGTAGAAACTTAAAGATTTTAAACAAGGATTTAGTTGAGATATTCCTACTCTTTTTTCTTTTAGTTAATTGTGTTTAAAAATCCTTAAGATAAAGGTGTATTTTTTTCGTTAAAGACTTCTTCTAATTAAGTTAATTTACGAGTTGCATCATAGTAGCGTGCATTTTATATTGCTCTATTGATTTCTTTGATCAATTTTTATTTGCTAACTTCTTCTGTTTCTATAAACAAGTAAACATAATCAACAAGTATTTTATCGAAAGCATAAGAGAGAGGATTGATGCTTTAGGTCATTCTGTCTCTTTTTGAGTGGCCATAACTTTCAAACCTGATTACATACTTGTCATGCTATGGAACTAGGGGAGAGCTTATTTAAGCGTGTCCATTTTGATTTGAGCTATGATTATTTGTTAAGACACTGTTAGAATTATTGTTTCCAATGTTTGTATTAAAATTCTATTAGGATAAAGCCGATTTATTTGGACTTTTACTAGATTTTTCACTTCTACTTTCAAACGAACTGTTTCTTCTATCAGTCTGCTACGCTTATCTCTCTATTTGTTAAAAAGATTGTAAAAAATAAATAAATGATTTTAATTCTTCAAGAATTATAAAATGATGTGCAATTTATACAATTTATTTGATGAAATCAAATAAATGTCTTCAATTAAAAATTTAGCACTATGAAATAAAGGATCTTTATTATAATTACAGATGATGAATCTTTGCTTCACCCAGCACTCACAACGCTTGACTAATCCATTGATTTGTACTTCATAAAGGGATGCTACATATTCACTTTTATCCAAACCGCAGACTTGTCTAGTTTCGAAATCCCAAGTATAGCAATATTAAGCACTCTGCTTAAACATTCTCTTGAGCTGATTTCGAACTTTAACAGGGTTCTCAATATTCTACAAAAACATGCCTTTTTTTTGAAATAATTAATCCTAATAGCTGCTCTCGAATGTTGCTAAATCCTTATAAATTATTGGTTTACTTTTTGCTTTATTTTGTTATCCTTTTCAATAAAATATATTTAAATTTTTCAGTCTATTATAAACAATTCATTAATTTACTATTATAGGTTTCTTTTTGTATGTTTTTCCCGCTTCAGATACCACTTCTTTTTCAATTCAATATTTTAATCTGATTCACTTATTCAAGTCAAGATTATAATTCACTTTTAAGATTATTCTAATGATAATAAACATTTCACATTGTTTTTTCAATGAAATTCTCTCTCTCTTATTTCAAACTAAATTTTGTTATTAAACTAAAATAAAAAAGTAAACAACTATAATAATTCAATGAACAAAAGATTATTCCTATTTATTTATTTTTCCATACAGCCTGCATCCCTTTTTTCAAATATTTCTATTTCAATTTATTGAAATTTTTAATGGTTAATCTTGCTAATTAGACATCAATTATTTTCATTAAAATTAATAATCAGAATAAATTTACTTTTTTCTAAATTTTACATTTATTTTCTCAATTTTATTGCACAAACATTTACTGCTTTTTAACTATTGAATATAATATTCAAATTATAATATTTTGTATCTATTACCATCATATTTGAATTTAGAATAATTACATTAATAATATCAAAAGATATAAATAGTGACACTTGAAAATTCCAATTAAAATAATTTAAGATGCCAGGTTTATTTTATGCTTTTTGTAATAAGCAAAGTAAAGCAAACGATGCAATAGAAAAAGATAATTCTTTCTTAAGATTGACTATCTAAAAATTATAATATTTAATTGTTAGAGTGTATTTTAAAATTATAGGTTACTTGCTATTTTTATAACTTCATTGTATTTGAATAGTTGTATAGATTTTTTAAATTTTATATAATTATTTGATACATAGAAAATAAATATCATACTCAGTATTAATTAAAAAATAGAATAATATGAGTGATAATTTCAAAAAGTTACTTAAATTCGCATAAATCTTCCTTTTATTGCTACTGATCTATGCTCTAGTTATTTTTGTCAGTGAATATCCTTAATTGAAAAATAATTAAAATGAGTCTGTTTTTTTTAGAAAAAGCGCACTTAACAGTACAACATCTAACTGGGTTATAAACGGAAGATATAGTAAAGATGAAACTGAATGTATTGAAAATTGTATGAGACAAGGAGGTATAAATTGTGGTGGTGTTTTATATTTCGCATGCTGTAAATCTTAAGAAAAATGTATCACTTACCCATTAGGAATTGCTAAATGTTAGGAAATTTTACCAGATTTTAGTTGCTTTAGACCTTCTTGAAATATAAGATAGTTTGAAAATTTCTTATAATCTTAAAATATTAGATTTATTTACAAACAATATGAAAAACTCTATTTTCAATCAATATGTTTTTTAAATGATTTTATTAAGAATTAAATTAGATTTTAAAATTTTGATAAAAATTTAAAGTTTTAAAAACATAAATTAAGAATAAATTAGGTTAAATATTTTGAGTTGATAGATAAATTAACTAATAAAAATTGAGGATTATATATTTACATTTTATATATTATAACTAACCATTTTTAAATCTTTTAATTATTAAAATAAATTAATATTTTATTTAATTTGATCAATCTTTCATATTATTTATTTATTTTATATTTTAAATTTATGTTTTCTTAGTAATTAATTAGATTTTAGTCAAATTTAACTAAATTTTCAGTCACAGTTATCATGGACATGAGACTCTTTTAGTTGATACTTATCTGTGAAACTTTTACTAAAGCCACCAGATTTTATTTTTTAATGTGCAAAATCAAGATTATCTAATTTATCTTTTTTGATACAAGTATCACTTCCACATTCACTTTCACAATTATTATTTGCATTTAAATCACAATTTTTGCATATAATTTTCTTCTTAAGCCTTCTTAAATCATCAGCTGCCTAAAACCAACTTTTACTCTTTTTTATTTTATGTTTGTGTTTACAGTTTATTGGATCATTGCATGGTATATCATCTATCACTACTATATTTTAATCTTTATTTAATATAATAGGTTTTTATTCCACTTCTTCTTCATCTTCACTATCTTCAACAAAAAAATGCTTCTACTCTTTCTTTTCCTGTGATATTGGATCTTATAAGTCTATCTAAAAAATTAAAAAAATAAATTTAATAAATAAATAAATTAATGTAAGCATATTTAAAGTCTGCTTTTAAAAAAGAATTAAAAATATTACATTCTCCTTAGATCTATTTCTAATTGGTAAGACATAGAATATATAAGGAATCATAATAGATGGTATAGCTTGCAATATAAATCTTACAAAGCTTACAATTTAACCTAATGGAGTTTCAGAAATATATAAATTATGATCAATGCAATAAAAATCTATGTCCCAAATAAGCTATGTAATCAGATCAAGAAGTAAAGTAATCAAAGAGCAAAGAATGAGGGTAAATATAACCATTTTGATTTGCTTGACTCTTTCTTAGTAATAAAGTTAGTCTGCATTATCTAAATGCAATCTTTTTCTGACTTTATTATCGCTGCTTTCATCTACTTCCTCTATTCTGATTTCCCTTTAATAATAAATTATTGAAAAATTCATGAATCACATTTTGAAAACTAAATATATTTTTAAATATAAAAATGCTTAAATTGTATACTTGATTAATTTTTTACTATAGATAATGCATGTAATCATAATAGCTAATTATTCTAAAGAGACGAAATACCATTAAAAGCCTTTTTATTTAATGTAGAATTAATAATATTGTTAATTTATTTTATATATTTACTGTAACGATTTTCACATTTATACTAAGGAATTCCACTCAATCCTAGAGTTAGAAATACTGATAAATTTATTATATTTGCTATGAAAATATTCCTTATAGTTCTAAAAAAAATTATAAGTAGAAATAAACTTAACTAAACTAAATCAATTTTACTTCCTTTATTATTCCTAATAGGGTTTGATTGTGTAATAAATTTCAGCTATTGCATATGTGATTGCCCAAAAGAGAGTTAATTCTAAGTATTAACTTGCCAAGTCAATTTTAATATTTTTTTCTTTAAATGCATGGAAGAAAAGCATTACAGACTATAATTAAATATTATTATAAGCAATTTTAATTTTTTATCATAATTAATCTAAAAAATCTACCATAATCAAGGAGATTAGAATAGGGAAAAACTCAAATTGCAGCTTTTTATTAAATTTTACTATGCAAACGCAACAGTAAATCCCAAAAATGAATACTACCAAACATATTATAGCTGTTACTATGAATCTATTTTTTAATATAAAATTTGAATATTATTTAATAATCTTACAAACTTACATAATGCAGCTACTTGAAAAAAACGATGGAGAGCATTCTTATTCTAAAAACTTCATATTTCTTTCTTGTGCTATACAATTCTCACTAAATTTATTTTAATTTTATCCGCTATATTTATTAACCTTTATAAGTAGTTAGTATTTATCTATTTTTGAGTTATTTTAATTGATTCCTGATCCTTTTAATATAATAGTATAGGTTTAACTCAATTAATTTATTTATTATTTATTTATTTAGTTGTTAAATTTAATTAGTTTTTAAAAATTAATTTTGTGAATATAATAAATATAATAACTCATCATAGAATTTTTATTAGTTTCTTAATTACTTCTATTTATTTTTTCAGTCTCGCCAACAAATCTAAAAGATATTTCAAATAAATAAATCAATAATTAAAGAAACAAACAAATTATTTATTAATTTGCTTGCTTTCTTGTTTTCATAAACATAAATAATTAATAAGTGCTCTTTATTAATTTTATAAATATATTTTTATTTGTTGGTTTTAATTTAAATTTGAGTGACTCTTTAATATAATCAGTGATTTTCTCCTTAATATAAGTAGAAATAATTTGATTTTGAACAAATTTTTTTGTTTAAAATGAAATTTAGTTTCTGAATTACAAAATTGATATTTTGATGAAAAAAATTACTTCTTTTCTATTTAATATCTTGTAACAAAAATTCCATTGAAAAATTTTAAGATTGCTTAAAAAAATAGTCTTAAATTCTTAAGAATGAATTATATTAATTATAAATTTTAATAAACATATTTATCATTTAATAATACAGTAGTCAAAAATAATTAATTAAAGTTATCATAGTAATTTAAAAATTAAATGAATAAATCATAAATCCAACAAATAAATACTGATCACAGAAAGAAATATGGATTCTAAGATTAAAAAATCAAGCTATAATTATTGCTGAAGGAATAATCTAACTATAGGAATAAGGAAATACAAAATATAAACTCGCTTGCTTAAACAAAATACTTAAACTTAGCTTCAGATAAAAAATAATATTCTTCTCAAGCTACTCAAATATAAGATGATTTGCTAGACTACGGTCAAAATATAGACAAATATTACAATTAAATGTTTTAAGAAGAAAATTAAGATGATTAAAATAACTCATGGGATAGATCTTAAAATAATTCTATAGTTATGCAAAGTAGATATGAAAATGACGATAGCAAACAATGTACTCCTGAAGTATCATATGTGCAAAAATATAAATAGAATTTTCATAGCAAGAATTAGAAACAATTAATTTACTTGCATATCCCTAATGAATCAGAATAAGGAAATGTAATATTAAGAATTAATTGCAATTTATTTAGTAAATATATTATTTTAAAGTAGAGTTTTAGCTCTGTTATCAGAAGATGTTCAAGCAATCTATGTTCTATAAAATAAGAGATTAATTAAAAGCCAAAAATTAAGTAATTAGATGATAATTCTACTTATTTTAATAGTAACTGCTTCCCCTCAATATCAAACAATACAAGCTAACTAAAGAAATAAATTCAAATTAACTACAAAGAGGTTTATAAGCTTTTTTGCTCAAAAATGAAATAACAAGAAGAAGATAAAAGAAACTAATCCAAATTAAATACATCATAGTTTAATAATTCTTAATTTCCTGTAAATTACAGAACACCATTCATAAATAATCCAATATCAAAGGCAGAAGACTAAATTTCACAACAAAAAAAGATGTATTTTGTTTCGTCTCATGGTTATGGGGAAAATGAGTATCAGCCATCAACGATAGGTAAAGTTTTTTCTAATGCTGTTTCAAGGAAGACTTCAATAGAAGAGAGCAAAATTGAATTGAAGAATTGGAACTTAGCTAAATTTAACCACATTTAAGATAATTAATCAAAAAAAGAAGACATCAGGTATTATTCTAAATAAATAAATGAAAGTTAATCTTAAAAAAATATAGAAAAATTAAAATTTGCTAAAAATTAATAAATTTTTGAAAATTAAAAAGAAAATAATCACACTAATAGAAAATTTAATTAATAATTAGTTTAAAGAAATGTACTTTAATTTAAATAAGCATTCGAAATACCTTCATAATAATTAAATTAACACCATGAAATTCAACCAAAAAGACTATTAAAAAAATATTTCTCTGTAAAATAATTAAATTTGGACACATCAAAGCACTCAAAAAATGTAAATGTAGAATAATCTGATAATTTAGAAAGAAATTTGATAATCAAGCAAATAGATAACTATAGCAATCAATCTTCAAAGTTTAACTCTTAAAAAAATCTGCAATTTCAATAGTATGCTCTTGAAACATGGAAATATAGAAATAAAACTTGTGAGTAAGAGCCTTAAAATTAAATAAAATCAAAATAAATTGTTGATAAAAATAAATTATAAGTATTAGATAAAAACTACTTTGAAAATTATTACTCTTGAGTCATAATTATTTTTTAATCCAAATTTTTTTTCTAATTTTGTAATCAATGATATAATCTACCAATCAGTCATTACTTTACTTTGAGAAATTTAATTGTTTTTATTAATGTTATACTTTAAATTTTCATTAATTAAAACAAATTAACACTTGAAATTTTTGCAAAACTGTTTTTTTATTTCAAAGATAGTAAAAATAATTTAAGAGAGATTAAGTATTTGGTCTTGTAAATGTGCAGTATAACATTAAAATCATAAATTGTATCTAATATATAATTTTGATTAAATTTGTTCAACATATAAGTATATATAAAACTGTCAAACTTTGTATAATAAATTATTAAATTTTAAATTTTTTTGGATATATTATTCTTATAGTAGAATATGTTATTTTTTTATGATTGATATTCTTTTTTCATTAAATCATTTTTTGATAATTGGTAACATTTTTTATTTTCAAACATAATTTATAACATGATTTTTAATTTTTAAAATAAAGATTTTCCTTATAATAATTTGTCTATTTATTGAATTAAATATTGATTGTCAAAAATATAATTTTTGTATCAATTTTAAATTTTAATTATAAAATCATTTAACTATTTTAATTATATTATTTATGTAGAAACTCTTAAAATATATCTGCTTATTTATTGTAAACTATTAACTTTCATCTTTTATTACTAATAATTTTCTACATTTTCTGTCGCTATATAAAAATTTATTAAATAAAAAGCAAAGCGAGCGCAGGTTAAGAAATTTAAATAATAAATTCTTAATTTAATTAGATCAAATAAACATATATTTATTATTTTTAGTTAGTTTTCTTTTAGAAAGAAAGAAGTAAAAAAGCTTGTTTTAAATTAGTTTATCAAATTAATAAAAAATAGATTTTTTACGCACGTTGATTAAATGTTGAATAAATTTGTTCTGGATAAACAAACAGATAGAAATTTCAGTCCGTTTGATAAATACATTTTTGAGTAATTGCATTTAAATTCTAATAAAATTAATCCCTTTCACACAGGTAATTTGAGAAATAATATCATTTTAAGATATAAAGAGGTGACTTTTGGTAATAAATTCTATTTTTTTAACAAGATTGCAAATTTACAAAGAGAAGAGTATGCTATTGCAACTATCATAATAGCTCTTTAATAGAGCAAAGAGTAAGAATGAAATTTATTACTAAATAAATATTTAAAAAATGTATTTTACTATCTATTAATAGTCATAAGAGTTAAACGAAGCAGTAAATAGATATTTAAAGGTTGACTATAGTGGAGCTACAAAGCAAGATTTAAAGAGGTCACTCATAAATGTATTATTATTTCTATAGATGCAATAAATATAACTAGATTTATAATATTAGAGATAGCTCGCTTAAGAAAAAGTTAAAAGGTTATAGGATTTAGAAGATTTATTTTACATGGCACCAAAATATGAAAAGTACGTTGAAGCTTAAAAAGAAGAGGAAAATGCAATCTTAAGAGAATAAATCATTTAGGAATAAAAGAACATGATCATTAATGGGCAGTGCTACTATTGTCAAACTACTCATTCAAATAAATTTTATGAGATAAGTCCTGTAATATTTTTTAGATCCTTTAATGAAATAAATATTTAGTTTGGCGGAACAAAATGCTTGATAAAAATAGATAGAATTTAATAATGAATGTTTTAATTAGAATTTTAATTTATAAAATGATTAAATAACAATTTGAAATGCATATCTTTTTAATTAAAATACTGATAGAATCCTGCTGAGACTGTCGTTATCTGTGAAGAATGCGCAATTTCTAATCATCCTGAAGTAGTTACTTACAATAAGTAATTTATATCAAATATATTTATTAAACTGTCTCACTCTTCTCAATATTTTTTTATTATAATTTTAGCAAGCCTGCTTAAAAGCCTGAAAATCTTATCGAAAAGAAAAAAAAGAGGCAAGAAGCTCAAGCTAAAAGATTACAAACTCTTCAAGCAAAGAAATTACTCAAAATGGGTACCTTGGATTAAAATTCTAATAAGCAAAATAAATAAGGAAATGAAAAAGTAATTAATTAATTTTCCATATTTAGCAAATCAGTATATAAATTAAATATATTTTTAGAGCACAACAAAGCTTGACAAAGAAGATGACGAAGATGAAAGTGACATTTCAGAAACTTAAAAAGAATGCAATTGGGAAAAATGCAAAAAGAAAAATAAAAGTGATCCTGAAGACATTCTTGTTTGCAAAAATTGCAACAAGAGCTTTCATGCTGAGTGCTGCGATCCTCCTCTTGAAAAGGGAATAGTTTCAAAGTACGATTGGTTTTGTACAGAATGCAAGCTATGTATTGCTTGTAACAAAAACACTAAAGTAAATGAAAATAAATTTAATATTCACTTATTTATTTAATTTTGTTAAGATTGATTCAAATTATTTTAATCACATTAAGCAAGCAAATTTAAATTTCCCCAAAAAATATTTTAGGAAAATGAATTGCTTATGTGCGACTGTTGTGATAGACCATTCCACATGAGCTGTTTGGAACCAGCAAGAACTGATATTCCAGAAGGTAGATGGTTTTGTAAAGATTGTGAAAAATGTCCATGCTGTGGAGTTCTCTTATTCTAAAATTATTCAAGAGAACTGCTTAAGTAGTATTCAAAATAATAAGTGGATAATAAAATAATATGTAAAGATTGTTGGGTATACTACCAATAAGTAATTCTTTAAATAAAATTTTCAAAAAATTATCTTTATTTACCCAAATATAAATAGAAAAAATACTGTCCTATTTGCTTCAAAATAATAGAAGAAAATGCGGAAGGCTAGTTTGTGTATTGTGATAAATGTGAATTATGTAAATTTAAAATAGATTTTTAATAATAATAGTTTTTAAAATGCCATTTTTCAATAATTTAAAATAGGGCTACATTACGAGTGTGAAAAGAAGCTTAGCAACAGATCCTTTAGAGAAATTAACAGATCAAAATAGTTTTGTTGTAGTAAATGTAAGGTTATTGAAGACAGTAAGTAAAAATGAACTAAAATTTAAGAATGTAAAATTAAAATAAATATATCGCACTTAATTAATAATAACAAACAATTATTGCGTATATATAAATATATATTAGTCAATCATAATTAATTAACCACTAAAAAGCTAACTTTCTTACTTTCTTTAAGTTTTTATTATTTATTTGTTGATTTTACTCTGTTATTACTATTGCTCAATTAATTTTATTTTTTTAAGCAATTTTCTTTCAATGATTCTCTAAATTTATTAATTTTATTAAGAAAGAAAGTTTGCAATTTTATTTGCTTTTTTTATTAGCTGATTTTATTAAATTATAAAATTTATATTTTTAATTAAATTTATTTTTATTGCGTGGACAATATTAATCTATCAGGAAGAATTTATTTATTTATTCATTCATTTATTAAATTATCTAAACACACTATTTTCTAAAATATTTATCAGTAAAAACTCACTCTAATTGTCAATTTTAGTTCTCATTATTTACTGACAGATAGAGACTAGAATGAGCTTCTTTTGAATGATCTTCGAGTCTACTTTTATTACTACTATATAGTAAATTTGTATTGTCTTTAAAAAGTGATTTTTCAGGAGTTTTTAAGCACTCAATCCTATCATTTATTTTTTATGGAAAATTATCACTTTCATTCAGTTATTTGCACTACTGTCTTTAGGATTGCTATATTAAAGATTTGTTTAGTATAGTATCTTAAAGTATAAGTGTGAGTTGTTTTTCCCTAAGCAATTGTGTTTCTAGATCTTTAATCTTTTCATTTTACTTCGTTTCTGCCTATTACAAAAGCTAAACTTCATTTGCATAATTCTTCATTTCTTCTTATAAACTAAGTATCATGGTTTACACTTCGATTCCTTTTTGTTAAATCATTTTTTCATAGTTCTTTAGTTTATTTTGTAGTTAGTTTATCTCATTTTTTAAAGACTCATTTTCTTGTGTTAATGTGCATGTAGTACTGCGATATTCCTCTAGCTACTCATTTAGCTCTTCTTATTCCTCATTTTAGCTTTTTAATTTAGATATCTTATCTTTGAACTCATCACATTTTTCCTTCAATTGATCTATCTTTTGTCTCAACTCTGTAATTGTTTGGTTTTAAGATTTATTCTCGTTTTCTAAGTCTGTCTTTTCTTAAGTAATTTTTTCTATTTCTTCCATCAATTTTTATTCAATTTAAAATGAATCTTATTTATATTTAATTTAATTTTCATTATCTTGCCTAAGGTTAGCAATTTGCTCGTTCTAAAATTTCAATTCTTCCTTCAGTTTGAGAATTTAACTCTCTTTTTCTCTTACAGTAAGCTCAACCTCTGAAATTTAGATTTCTTTTTAAAGAAGAAGAGAATCTTTATCTGAAACCATGCTAGCATACTCAAGAATTTTCTCCTGCAATTTATTGACCTCTTACACCTTAGAATTAATGTAAGCTCTCTTTTCAGCATCAAATTACTCAGCAGCCTATTTTATATTAAAATAATTTCACATAAAAAGCGTATTTTATTAAGAATTTTTTAGAGAAATAAGTAAGATAAATAAAGTAATATTAAAAAGCTATTATTTATCGTTTTTAGCAAGCAAAAGATAGAAAATAAAATTATAATTACCTCTTAAATTCCACTTTGAGCTTTGAACAAAAAATCTTGCAGCATTTCTTCTTAAATTTTTTAAATATTCCTAGGATGTATAGACTCTTCATATTTAGATTTCCATAAATCTCTCTCTTTTATCAAGTTGCTTAATTACTAATTAAGTTCTACCCAGTTAGATTGCTATATCTCTTATGCAGATTATGTTTTTTACACAGCCTATGGTGACCCATCTTTTACCTAGAATAAATCATTTTCAGAGTGCATCTATAAATTACTTAAGCTGGTGATTTCAAACTTTAGCATGCTGTTTTCCTTTTAGTCATCCATTTTTACTCCAATTAAATGCTCTTGCTATTATTCTATATTCTAACCAGCTAAAATCTACTATTCTATCTTCTGAAATATTTCTATTTCTTTTTATTCGTCTTATTATATATCCCATATACTTCCTCTTTAAATTCCCTATTAAAAAAAATGGCAAATTAATAATAAACTTTTTAAAATAATGATTTATCTAGCTTGGACTGCTATCAAATCAATAATTTATTTACATGAGTTTGCTTTTGCCTTTTCTAAGTTAAATCATCAAATCTACTCTTCCAATATTTAACTTCTCTTTCAAGATTTCTCAGGTAATGCTCGTCTGTGGGGCGAGACTGTTTTAAAATTGACTTTAAAGGTTAGTCTTGTTTTGATTTTTGCATATTAGCTTATTTGATAGCTTTTAATTATTTTTGATAGGTTGATACTACTATTGCTTTTATTTATATTTATTTTGAAATAATTTGTTATAAATTAGAATGTGATAGTATTATTTGTTTTTATTGATTAAAACAAATTTAATTTTCCAGCATACTTTACTTAGCTTGAAGTTTCTGTTCACCAATTAAATAGATATTTATTTTTTTAATAGCCAGGATTTATCATAAATTTTATTTAACACTTTCAAAAGATTGAAGTCCAGTGCTGGCTGAAATGATATTTATAGAAATAATGCATCTAATTACTAAAATAAGTACTATTACTAGTTTTTTATTTTTCTAATATACATATTAAAAATAAATATAAATTTTGAAAATTCTTTTATATATTTGTGATTTACTGAATTAGAATAATTAAGTTTCATAAAATAAAAATATTACATACTATTATTAGAATAATTTAATAACTTCAAAATATTCTTTGAATATAATAATTTTTTTTTTAATCGATTCTATTTAAGCCAATAAAAAATGCACGAAAAAATAAATCTATAATTAATTGCTTTAAAGTATATCAGTAAAATCATTAATTTTGTAAATAAAACCACAAAACATTAAATTTAACAAATTTTAAAATAACAAAATTAATAATATCTTATTTATGTATCATTTTTTTTTCTATTTTATTTTTAACTTAATATTTTTTATTTCATTATTTTTCTATTTGAATATATTAATATATTTAAAATCTGTTCTAGACAATAAATTACTTTAAAATAAAGTATCAAAATCAAAAAAATATAATATACTATGAATTTTCATTAATTATGATAAAATTATATTAATGGATTTGATATATTTTTTAGAAAATTGATGGTAAGCTATCTATTAAAAAATAACTTTTTCAACCCATAAAAAAACAATAGATACATAAAATAATTTTTAAATATTATCAATAATTAATTTTATGTTTAGATTTGGTGAGATAAAAATTAGTTTTTATTAATTAATGAATGAAATGTCTTTAAAGAAGTAAAAAACATATATTGAAATACATTTATTATTTAATCAAATTAATAAATTAAATACTAAAAAGCTAAGTATTATATAAAATGAATTAATCATATAAGAATGATTAAATTTGGAGATATAATTTGTATTTTAGATATTAAATATATCATTTAATAGAACTTAATTAGTACATTAATTTGTATCAAGGTAATCACATTAGATCTTACTGATATCATATAGTAAAGATCCTAGAGGCCAATCTAAACTAAAAAACTTTTAATAATAAACAGATGTCATTTTACTATTTAAGAGCCCTAAACCATCTATTAAAAATGTACTGATCCACATCATTTCTATACAATTAGTAAATGACCCACTATTTTATTAGAATTCTTTCCTTGTAAGAGTAAAAGAACAAAATTATTTCACTTATTTTCTAAAGTCTTTTAATGAGAATGTATCACCTTATAATTTAAGTTTTTGATACAGTTTTTCTTTAGCAAAATAAATGGAGCTAAGCCCTACAACTTCTTGTTAGTCAGAGAGCTTTTTTGATATAAAATATAATTAATTTTTTTTTATACAACTTTTCTATACCTGCTTCATTTTGGAGAAAGAGCTACAGTCTTATAATTTACCAAATCTTGGGTACTTACAATTATCTATTCTCATAAAATTTAGCAGAACGTTGGTACAATTATCAAAATCGTAATTGCCATCTACTTAGACTATTTTTACAAATTTTATATTTATTTAATGAAAGAAAAAAATATTTTTATATACCAGGAAACCCATGCTAATTGATTAATGCTTGAGTGAAACCATCAGTTTTTTAGAAGCAACTTTCATAGTTTTCTTATACTAATATTGACTTTTAATATATAAAAAATTGTAGATTTAAATATTCAAAAAAAAAAAATACCTTTATAACTTAATCAATTCCATATCCCAAAAATATATTAGAATAAATCTGTATTCTTGTTTTTTAAGGTAGATCTAAAAATCTATTATAGTCTTAGAAACTAGAAGAAGCAATTTATGAATACGCACTACCTATTTCAATGACTGCTAGAGTGTTTGAAATACTGAATGACTCTATAGCTTAAGACCTTATTTTTTAAAAAGCATAGTTCACCGAAAGCCATAAAAATTAAATTTCATCTTCTCTTGAAACAATTCCAACCCAAGAATCCTCTAAGAAATAGAAGTTTTTTTATTTTCTAAATATATTTCTGACAAGATTCAAAACCTTTTCTTATTATTGCTATTCCAATAATCTTAGACTTGAAGAAGCTTTGAAAAATAAGAAAGGCTTAACATTATTATTGAAGCCGTAAAATTACTTCATTTAACTTATTATGTTAAATGCGATTCTGAAATAATCACCAAAATCTTTTTCGTTTTCAGGAATAGAAGTAAGAGGAATATTTTAGTTATCAATTTATATCCTTTCAGGAAATATTATTTATCCTCCTGAATTAATAGGAATAAGAGGTTAAATATCAGGTATCGAAGAGAATCTTCTGCATTATGATTAATACAATCTAATTCTAGTACTAGATGATCTTGAATCTAAAAAAGCATAAAGGCATGTCTCTTATTAATGAAAAGAATCTCCCAAAATTCTTTATGTTTGATTAAAAGTTTTATTTGTGCAAATAAAAATTTTAATATTTAAGCAAAGCAATATTAAATGAATTAAAGCTTTCATATTTACCTAGATTTCAATTGTTTCTTAATTTATATTAATTATAAATTCCTAGATGTCCTTTTTTATCCATAATTAAGCCATTAAATAGATCTATAAATATTCAAAAGTTTCTATATCTAAATATTTAAAAAAGATCAAGTTCTATTAAATTTATAGACTTTTTATATTTTATGAAATTGACAAATTTTATTTATTTTAAATTTAAATGTAAATAAAGTGTAAAAAACTGAAAATTGAATTATTTTAAAAAAATAAATATTTAATATTTTATATCAATAAAATTTAATAAAAATATTCTAATCTATTTATAGTTTGAGTTACAATTTATAAATATTCTTAATTTTTAGAGTAAAGTTGTAACATTTGGTTATAGTAATAAAATAAATATACTTTTAACATAAATTTGCATGAAATGTTTTGTTTGATAAACCAGTGAAATAGAATAGAACCATTTTATATTTCTTCTTCACATTCAAAGTAATATTTTGTTGATTTATTATATATGATAGTTTTTGGAATTAAAATTTAAAAACTGATATGTTTTATTCATTACTAGAATCAAATTAAATTATTTTGAAATTAATAATTACAGTAAATCCTTATTAATTAAAACCTCAAAACCCCAATCCATCCACTCCATTTTTGCAAAACCATAATAAAATTTACAAATTTCGACCCTTAATATATTTGGTCCTTAATTAATAAAGATTTACAGTAATTTATAAAATATATTTTAAATAAGACTTAATTATTAAAACAATAAATTTTTTATAAAATTATTAAATGTATTGTTAATCCGATTTTCTATCTATCAATCTATCTATATATCAATGAATCTATTATTTGAATTTCATTTATATTTCTTTTTAAGTACATTAATGTATGAATTTTTAAAAAGCTCTCCCATGAAAAATAAGAATTTAAACGTTTTTATTGAGAATATGGCATAAATTCTGAAATGCAACATTTAATTTGATATATAATTTATTTCGTTTAATTGGTTTTTGATAAATCTTGAACACTATTAAAAATTTTTCAGACTTAAAAAATATGAAATATACAAGACAAAAATTTTATTATTATAATTTATTATTTTTTTCAAATAAGTAAATTAATTAAAAATAATATTATTATTGAGAATAATGAGTTGATTATTATAGAGTGATTATATGTATTTGTTTGGCCTACTTAAATGATATTGCATTAGTTTACATCAAGGTAATCGCATTACATAGTATTGATATCGAAAATTAAAGACCCCAAAGACCAATCTACACTAAATGAATTGTATTATTAAATAGAAGTTACTGAGTTATTTAAAAGTCCTAAACCATCTATCAAAAATGTACTAACCCACATCATTTATATGCAATTAGTAAACGACCTTTAATCAGCTTGATAATCTGCATTTGTAAGTGTCATAGAGCAAAACTATTGAACTAGTTGTCTAAAATCTTTCAATGTGAATGTATCATTGATTGATTAAAACTTTTAAGATAAAGATAGCTTTGAAAAATATATAGAACTTGCTCCAATAATTTATTTTTGACCAGTAAGCTATTTTTTATAAAACTAATTAAGACTATTTTATACAAATATGCTTTTGATTTACTTGCTAAATTTGCGAAAAGCTGCTACAATTCTATACTGAACCATCCTATTTATATTAACAACCTGTAATTCCCATGAAATTTAACATGGTATTTGTGCATTGTACGAAATCGTAGTTACCATTTACATCAACTTTATTTTTTAAATAATTTTTAGTTTATAAATATAAACAAACAAAATGATTATTTATTAATTTACCTTAAACATTATTTTAATTATTAAGTTTTACAGTGAAACCATCAGTTTTTTAGAAGCAGCTAGCATAATTAGCCATACCTAATATTGACTTTTAAAGATTTTAACATTAAATAAAATTTTTAATTATTTACTGCAATCACTTAGTCATTTCCATATCCCAAAATTGTATGAGAATATATTTAAACTCTAGTTTTTTCAGGTAAATCTAAGAGCTTGTTGTTAGTTGATGAGCTATGAAATGCAATTTAAGCAGAAGCACCACCAATATCGATAACCGCAGCAGTGTTTTGAATGTCGAATTACTAAATGCTTTGGTGCTTAATATTCTAGTATGCATAATTAACTGAAAGCCATAAGAACAAACCTTCTTCTTCTCCAGTGATAACTCTGGCCCAAGAATCATCCAAGAAATAAAAGCTACTTTATTTTCTAAAAACTACTCTTACAAGATTCAAAATTGATTCTTATTAATCTTATGTGAGCAATCTAAGACCAGCAGTAGCTCTTAAAAACAAGAATGGCTAGATATCAAATTTATAGAACTGTTTCATATCACTAATGATTTGAAAGGCTACGTTGAAATAATTTGTGAAGTCAGCTTCTTATAAATTAACAGCAGTTAGAGCAACATTTTTGCCACTTATTTATATCTTATCAGCGAATAAAGCTTTTCCATCTTATCCTAAAGGAGTAAGAGCTTTAAGTTGAGGAATTTAAGAAGTTTATCTGCATACAGATGAATAAAGTCTGATTTTCGTGCTTGATGACCCAGCATCTAACAAGACGTATAAGCATGTGTCTTATCCTTGGGATAGTTCTCTTAAAATTCTTTGATTTTTTTCAAAAGATTAGCTTTTACAAGCAAAGATTTGAATATTGAGAAATACTATGATCAAAAATATTAAATTGTTCATTTTATCGATTTTTTATTTTTTATTTAAATATATTTTATTATAAATTTATAGATTAAAGTTTTTTATTTATAAGCAGTAACATTTAACAGATTTTTAATCATACATGGATTGCAATTAATAATTTTAATTATTATTAAAGTTATTTTAAGAAAAAAATAATGTAATTAAAATCTCTCCATTAAGTAAGGTTTAGCTATTTCAATAATCAATTATTTAGTTCATGAAGAGTTTTAAGTAACATTTTGTGTTTTTTAAAAACAAAAATTTGCAAAGCAAAATAATTTATGGAAAATAATGTATTAAATATTGAGAGTCTTTAAGCATAAGTAAAATATTATTCAATTGCAATTTACAAATGTATTTTTCATTTAAAGTGTTTTTTAAAATTTTCTAAATTAATTATTTTGTAAGGTTAAAAAAAAATAACTATAAACTAATTTTATGATCAGTAAATTCTGAAACTTTTAATTATTTTTATTATTTCTAATTTTAGTATTAATTACATTTTGTTAAGTGGTTTTAAAGACTTTAGTGAATAAATAATTAAAATAAATATTATTTTATTAACTAAAAAATCATTTAAAAGATGGTAAAAAAATGGAAATCAAGTATTCATCAAATACTTATTACTCAGATTATAAATATATTAAATTCTTTTTAAACAAAAACTAAAATCTATTCATTAATAAATTAAATCTTAAATGTTAAATAAATAAATTAAAATAGCGCTTTTATGATAAATGATTAATTATTAATAGTTCATGACATGTTTATTTCATTAATTATATCTTAAAAGTGATTCAAAATATGCGCTAAATAAAGTCTTGATTAATAGAAAAATTTTCTAAAATAAAAAATTGATTTTATTGAGGTTATAATCTCATAAATAAATAAATAAATAAATAAATAAATAAATAAATAGCTAAAATTTTGAAAAAAATATTATTAATGAAAATAATTTTTATTCTGTTAAAAATTTATAAGAAATGAAATACAATATATAAAAAAAAAATTAAATACATTAAATACATTAAATGATTTATATTTCAAACAAAGAGATTAGCTATCACTAAAATAAATAGTGAGAAGAATGAATTAATAATCAAAGAGCTGCTAAAAGCATTATTATCTTCAATTTCTTTATTGCTAATATCGTTAATTGTAATTCTATCAATACATTAATTCATATCTAAATAGTCGCATTGCAAAGTATTGATATCATAAATCAATGATCCTAAAGACCAATCTATATTATATGTGTTATATTTCTTGATAGCTGTTACTTCATTGTTTAAAAGACCTAAGCCATCGATCAAGAATGTGCTAACCCACATCATTTATAAGCAACTAGTAAATTTTCTATTGTCAGCTAAAATTTCCTCATTTTTTAAAGGAGTAGAACAGTATTACTTAATTTATTCTCTAAATTCTTTTAATTTAAAGGAATCACCTTATAAATTAAGCATTTGGTATACGTTTTATTTAGCATAGAAAACAGAACTTGTTGCAATAATTTATTTTTGATTCGTTAGCTTTTTTTAAATGTAAAATTAATATTTTAAAGGAAAAATTTTTTTATTTACTTTTTGCATTTTTGAAAATTGACTACAATCGATTACTGAGTTATCATTTTAATATGAACAATTAGTGATTTCCATTATGTTTAACAGTGCATTTGTGCATTTTACAAAATCATAATTACCAGTTACTTCAACTTTATTTTTTAAATCAATACTTAGAAATAAAATAAAAAATATTAAATAGTTATTTACCTTCTACATCATGCTTATTTTTAACTTTTCCAGAAAAACCGTTAGTCGTTTAGAAGCAACTTGCTGAATCAGTACTTTCTAACAAAGACTTTAAAAAAATTAATAAACTAAAATGTAAAAAAAAATTACTTCAAGGATTGCATCATTTCCATATCCCAAATCTGTATTTGAGTATATCTAAACTCTAGTTTTTTCAGGTAAATCAATGAGTTTATTATTTTAAGTACTATGAAAGGCAGTTTAAGCAGAAACACCACCAACATCAATAACTGCAGCAGTTTTCTGAATATCAAATTACTAATTATTTTAGTGCTTGATATTTTAGTAGGCATAATTAACAGAAATCCATAAGAATAAACCTTCTTCTTCTCCAGTGATCACTTTAGCCCAAGAGTCATCTAAGAAATAGAAGCTATCTTATTTTCTAAAAACTGTTCTTACAAGATTCAAAATTTTTTCTTACTACTGTTATGGGAGTTTTCTAACACCAGCAGTAGCTCTCAAAAATAAGAAAGGCTTGATATCGAATTTATAAAATTGCTTCATGTTTTTGATGATTTCAAAAGCTACATTAAAGTAATTAGTGAAGGCAGTTTCATTTAATTCGACTTTAGTAAGGGCATTCTTTTTATTATCGCCCACTTATATTATATCAGGGTATAGATCCTTTCCTTTATTATTTTTTGGGGTAAGAGCCTCAAGTTAGGGAATTTAAGAAGATCTTCTACATACAGACTTATAGAGTCTAATTTTAGTACTCGATGATCCAGCATCTAGCAAGACATATAAGCAAGTGTCTTGGGTTTCAGCAAGTTCTCTTAGAATTCTTTAATTTCTATCAAAAGTTTCATTTTTGCAAACAAACATTTGAATACTTAGGCAGAGTAAGATAAGTATAGTTGAACTTTTCATTTTCATCATATGAGTTTTTTATATTTTTTTATGAATTAATTAAATTATACATTTTATTGGTAATCTCTGCTTCACACTTAAGCTACATAATAGATCTTTAATTCTACAGTAATTAAATAATTAATAACTCAACAGTTTAAAAAAGATATTTTTTTTAAAATTAGATAAATTTAATTAAAGTTCGTATTAAATTTGTAATATTTGTCTATTTTAAAATAAATTAGATAACCAAAATAAATATTTTTTATCATAAATGTTAAAATAAATAAGAATTGTTGAATATAATCTGTAAGAAAAAAAAATAAACATCTCGATGCAGCCAAAGTCATATTAAATATTCTTAAAATAAAGAAAATTGCATAAGATAGGTTTAATATATTTACCTTACTAAAAACAGGATGCATAAAAAAATTTCAAATAAATTGGTAATACTAAATTTAATTTAAGGAATAAATGTAAAATCGTTCTATTTTTATTAACAATCTTCGAACGGCAAATACGTTTGTATTAAATTCAATTGATTACTTTATTTATTACCTTACGTATAGCTTGCTGATTAGGTTTTTCTTGATTGAAATCAATAGATTTATAATTTGAAAACTTTTAATTTTTTGTGAATCTACTAAATTTTTAATGCGATTAATTATTAAAAAGAAATGAAATAATATATTTTAACTTATTTGATATTTAATTTTTTAAATTTAAGTAATATTTTATGAGTTTTAAATTTTTGAATAATGAATAGTTAGATTTGATATCTATTAAAAATAGCAGAATAAAAATCTTTTTTAATTAATAGTTTTTAAAATACATAACTGATAAATATATCATGGTTATATAACAAATATTACTATTTTGAATTCATAAATTAAATAAAGAAATTTCATAAATTAATTACATTCAAACTCTTTAATTTCAATCTTAAATATAAAATAACTTTATGTTTAGCTTTAAAGATAGCAAGGTCATTTAAAGTAAAATTGATTTTAAAAATATAGACAAAGAATAGTTTTTTAAAGATACAAATAATATTATGTAACTTTACAAATATAATTAATTATTTTAAAGTTAACAAAAAATAATTATACCTTTAAATATCTTTTAGTTAACTTAACTAAAAAGCAAATAATTTATCTATTCTTTAATCATCCTGTATTAATTAAATCTGACGTTGAACAATTTAAAAAAATAAATACTATAAATAATCATAATAGCATTGGCACTTTGATTTTAAAAATTATTTGAAAATAGAAGTTTCAAGATTTTTTTAAATAAAAGTTAAAGTAGGTCAATCATTTAAAAAATTTATGCTTGGTACTGTATTCTCTGTAAGCTTTAGATTTTCAACTAATGATTTTGTTTCATTGAAAATTACTAAAACTAAGCTTTGTGATTAAAATTAGATTTAAAGAAAAATATTTACTCATCAAGTAAAAGTGTGATGATGAAAATAATTTAAGTTAAAAATTAAGCAATTTAATATTGATATAAATTAAATTACTATAATCAAATAAAAATAAAATGTCTATTTTTAAAGAAGGTACTATATATATTAATAATACATTTGTTATAGTGTCTTTGTATTATTTTATTTAAATTTTACTCACTAAAGTAAAAATTTAAATAAAAACATAAAATATTTTCATTTATTTCATATATTTTATTTATATAACATTAAATTATATTTAATATTAAAATAATTTAAGACTACAGGAATAAACAATCTATAAAGATAATTGAAATTAATTTACTTCTCAATTTTATAGTAAAAACAAACTAGACTAAACAAATTAATTTTATGTAAAATTTTACTAGTAAAAATTTATAATTCACCTATCTAACTAATTTTTATATTTAGCTTAAATTTTTAAATTCAAAAGGGCTAAATGGCTAAGACTATTAGACTAAATACAGCCTTTTTATTACTTTTTTAGAATCTTAAAGTGTCTTATTTGAAAAAAAATTCTAATTTAATAAAAGCTATTAGTAATTAGAATAATTTAAGACAGGTAAATTGAAGTATTTTTAATGATATTTTTATTTTTTCTTTTATTGTTTAGTTAAAAATTATTTTCTTTAATTGCTTATTTTTAATCATTTATTTACTTTTATTTTTAAACTATAATTATTTTGAGAGTCGTATGTAATAAAAAAATCTAACCTTAATAAATAATTATTTTATTTACATCAAAAGTTTAAGTCAGTTTTAAAAAATAAAAACTCAATTAAATAAATCTATTATATTTAAACTAATTCAACTTTTTTAAAAGAAATATTAAAGATTAATCTACATTTTTAATTGCTTTAATTTATTATCAAATAAGCTTAGATAAAAAAAAGTTCAATAAATATTATTTATTTATCTAATTTTATTTTTAATTTTCCTTAAAATGTTTATTTTTCTTATTTTGAAAAAGCAAATATGAAAAGAATTTATAAAATAAAAATAATTCTATTTTCAGTATTACTTCTAAACTTCTTTATATAATAATATTTTAATTAATAAAATAAGTTGTTTTTAATTTTAGTGTTTTGATTTAACAGGATGTTCATATTGTTAGATGTGGAAATCGTATTGTTGATGTCTATAAAAATAATAAAATTTAAACTTTATCTATCTACTCAAAAAGTTTTGTTAATTATATTTATAAATGAATTTCTCTATTTAATGAATATATAGTAAAATAAGTTTAAGTAAATATATAAATTAATTAGATGTACTACAAATTAATAGAAGCAAAAGCTCCATATCAAAGTTTCATTGAGAAAAAACTAGAAATTAAAAATTAAAAATTAAATTTCAGATTATTTTATATATATAGATAATTTTAAATAATACAAATATAAAAGTATCAGTAAAAGTTTAATGTAGTTTTCATTATTTTTAAAAAATAGTTTGTATGCTAATAAGATAATGATTAATTAGTGTTTTAATTGAAATATTCTATCTAGTGTGAGTAACCCCAATAAATTATAAAAACTAATCAGTTTCCTAACTAAAAATCTTAAAAAAGCTAACACAAAATTTTAAAACTAGTTATTATAATTTAATTTAAAAAAAAAATATATATATATATATAATTTCAAACTGTTAATTTTAATAATTAAAAATATTATGAAAATAATGTTTATTATATTAAAAAGATATTAGAGTTGAATTACTATAAAAAAAAATATTTAAATACATTAAATAATAGATATTTCAAATCAAGAGATTAGCTATCACTAAAATTAATAGTGAGAAATTAATAATCAATGAGTTATTAAAAACATTATTTGTTTGTCCATCTTTGTTAATATTACTAGCATCAGTTATTGTAATTTGATCAATACATTAATTCATATCAAGATAGTCACATTGCAAAGTATTGATATCATAAATCAAAGATCCAAGAGACCAATCTATATTATAGTTGTTATATTTTGAGATAGCTGTCACTTCATCGTTTAAAAGACCTAATCCATCAATTAAGAATGTGCTAACCCACATCATTTATAAGCAAGTAGTAAATTATTTCTTTTAATATGACTGCTAAGTTAGACCTTCAGAACAGAAATCTTTAACTTATTCTCTAAATTCTTTTAATTTGAAGGTATCACCTTACTTACCAAGTTTTTTGAATAAATCACTTTTGGCGTAAAAAATAGAACTTGCTCCAATAATTTATTTTTGGCCAGTTAGCTTTTTAATAACATAAAATTAATATTTAAAAGGAAAAAATATTTTAATTTACTTTTTGTTATATTGAAGATTTGCTACAGTTAAATTCTGAGTTAAATTCTGTGTATGAGCAGTCAGTAATTTTCATTATGCTCAACAAAGCATTTGTGCATTTTACAAAATCATAATTACCAGTTACATCAACTTTATTTTTTGAAATAAAAACTTAGAAATATAAAAAATATAAAACAATTATTTACCTTCTAATTTTGTATTCTTGTTAAAAACTTTTCCAATGAAACCATCAGTCTTTTAGAAGCAACTTGCGGTTTAAGTACTTTCTAATATAGACTTTAAAAAAAATTAATAAACAAAAATGTAAAATAAAAAAAATTACTGCTATGATTCTATCATTTCCATATCCTAAAGTTGTGTTAGAATAAATCTAAATTCTAGTTTTTTCAGGTAAATCAATGAGTTTATTGTTTAAAGTATTATAAAAGGCAGTTTAAGCAGAAGCACCACCAATATCAATAACTGCGACAGTTTTCTGAATATCAAATTACTAATTATTTGAGTGCTTAATATGTTAGTAGGCATAGTTAACAGAAAGCCATAAGAATAAACCCTCTTCTTCTCCAGTGATAACTTTGACCCAAGAATCATCTAAGAAATAGAAGCTATCTTATTTTCTAAAAACTGTTCTTACGAGATTCAAAATTTGTTCTTACTATTGTTATGGGACTTGTCTAAGACCTGCAGTGGCTCTCAAAAATAAGAAAGGCTTGACATCGAATTTATAGAATTATTTCATGTCGCTGATGATTTTAAAAGCTATATTGAAATGATCAGTGAAGGCAGTTTCATTTAAATCAACTTCAGTGAGTGCTACAGCATCTTTATTGACAATTATTTTATCAGGGAATACATCTTTGTTATCTTTGTCCTTGGGGATAGGAAGAGCTTCAAGTTAGGGAATTTAAGAAGATCTTCTGCATACAGATTTATAGAGTCTAATTTTAGTACTTGATGATCCAGCATCTAATAACACATATAAGCAAGTTTCTTAAGTTTCAGCGAGTTCTCTAAGAATTCTTTAATTTCTATCAAATGTTTCGTTTTTGCAAACAAACATCTAAATACTTAGGCAGAGTAAGATAAGTATAGCTAAACTTTTCATTTTTATAATCTGAGTTTTTTTTTATTTTATGAATTTATTAAATTATAAACTTTATTGGTAATCTGCTTCACACTTAAGCTGCTTTAATAGTACTATATATAGCTTTATATTAATTATTTACTAACTCAATAGTTAGAAAAAGATATTTTTTTAAAAATAAGATGAATCTAATTAAAGTCGATATTAATTTTTGTAATACCTATCAATGTCTATCTTAAATAAATTAGAAAACTAATATTTTATTAACTACAAAGATATAGTGGTCTCAGTTGATCCTGCTACAACCAGCTAATCATTTTATTCAAGCCTATTTTCCCTATTAGATTTTGATTTATCTCTTAATTTTTAATATTTAATCATCTTGTAACAGAATCAACCATTACCCCTATATAAATAAATATTATTTTATAAATAAACTCTGAAAGAAAAAAAACAATAAACATCTTTATTCAGCCAAAGTTTTATTAAATGCTCTGAAGATAAAGAAAATGCATCAAGAATCATTATTTTGTTACATAATTAATACAAGAAAGAAATCATAAAAATTTATATTACTAAATTTAATCATTCATGGCTAATTAAGGAATAAATCTAAATCGTTCTATAATATTTAAAATTTTGGTACAGTAAATAAGATTTGTAATAAATTTAATTAATTACTCTTATTTACAATCAGAGGTATAGTTTTCTGATTAGTTTCTTCCTAATTTAATTTTTTATGATTTGATGCCTATTCTAGGTAAAAAGAAATAGTATCATATGATTTTATTATTTAAATTTGAGTTAGATTTTATCAGTTTTAATTTTATTAATAGTAAGTAAATAGTTATATTTGATATCTATTAATAGTAGTATACTTTTTTAATTAGTAGTTTATAAAGTACGTAGCTAATAAAATATATCTTAATTACATTTCAAATGTTTCTATATTTATTTCTATATCAATTTCAAAAATACAACTAGAAATCTCATAAAATAAGTTTAAACTCTTTAAGATAGCTAGGCCATCTAAAGTAAAATTTATTCTACTAAAATTGGCCAATAAATATGTTTATATGTATACAAATAAAATAGAGTAATTTTCATATTTAGATATTTTAAAGTTAAGAAAAAAAAAATAACTTTAAACATTTTTTAATTATCTTATTTTATTTGCTTTTTAGTTAAGCAAATAATTTTAGTGTTCTTTATTTTATAGAGAAAATTAAAAGAAATAAACACTGTAAATATTCAAAAAACATTTTCTCCTTGATTTAAAATTATTTTAAAATAGAATATTAAAAAAAATTTTCACTTTAGAAAAGTCATTTTTCAATGATTGTTATTATACTAGAAGCTATAAGGTATTTTTTTAAAATATGAATAAATGAAACTATCTATTTCATAGTTACTGACTCTTACAGGTTATACTAATTAATTAAATATTTATTAAATTTATTTAAAAACAGAGATACTAACAAAATTTAATTTAAATAAAATATTGCATATCTTATAGTTTTATTAACTACAAAGATATGAAGAAATATATGTTCACTTTAAGCTTTAGAATATTTTTATCATAAAATATTTTAAAAACCTAAATTTATGATTAAAGTTAAATTTAAGTAAAATTTGTTGCTAATCAAATAAGTGGGTGATGAGCATATTGTATATTAAAATTAAGCAATTTAATCATGATATACTATTTATAAATTAAAATTCAAATGTCTATTTTTCAAATAGGTACTATATTTAGTCTTAATCTATTTGTTAGTCCTTTTTTCTGATTAGACTTATTTAAATTATAAGTAATATAGTAAAAAAATGTAAAAATAAAAAGAAATAAATTTATTTCTAAATTTAAATTTAGTTTTATTACAATAATATTAAGTTAAATTTAGTATTAAAATAATTATAAGATTATATCAAAGAATAACAATTGATATGAATAATAGAAATTAATTTACTTCTCAATTTTATTGTAAAACAAATACACTAAGTATATTAATATTAATAATAAATATAAAATTTTATTAGATAGAAATTTAAAATTCAACTATCTAGCTTTTATCAGATATAGTTTTTCAAAATACAAAAGGGTTAATTTATTGAGTCTACTAGACTCAATTCATTTTTTATATTACTATCTTAGAATCTTAATGTGTCTTATTTAAAAATACTAAATATAAAGAGATTATCTCAACATAAAGCAAATTAAAAGACAAAAAAATAATTATTTTTTTTTTCCTTTATTGTTTAGTTAAAAGCTATTTTATACATAGTAATCTATAAATACATATTTTTTATATCATTTACTTTTTTTTTATTAACTTGAAAATTATTTTTGAGATTCATAATCAATTAAAAATCGTATCTTGATAAATTACTATTTTATTTTTTTCAAAGATTTTAGTAAATATTTAAAAATAAAAAGCTAAATTAAATCTTTATATTTAAACGAATTCATCTTTATTATAAGAAATAAAGATTTACCTGTTTTTTAATTTCTTAAATTTATTATTAAATAAACTGAGTTTGAACAAAAAATTCTAATTCTTAAATTAAATTTTCCTTGAAATATTTTTTTTAATTGAAAATAAATATGAAAATAAAATTATTAAATAAAATTTTTTCTATTTACTGTTAAAATATTTTTCTTTATTTTTAATTAAGGGGAGATGATTCACACCCAAAAGTAAAAATACGTCTAAATGAACTCAGTTTTACTTTAATTCCTTTTATTTGATATATATATAAATTTTTAAATGCCCTCTAAAAATAAAATAAATTGATTTATGTTAGAAGTAAAAATTAAATATTTAAAATTGATTAGATCTACTTATTAATTGAAGACCAAAGTTAGTATTAAAAACTAAATTAGAGAAACAATTCAAAATAAAAAATCTCTAAATAAAATTCAGCTTTTTTTATAAATTTAAATATGAATTTATGCAACAGAATATAAAAGAGTCACTTTTATGATTTAGAATTATAATTTTCATAATCATCTTCATCTTCTTTTTAAAATTTACACTCTAATAAAATATAATAATTAATTAGTGTTTTAATTGATATTATTATTATTATTTTTTCAAAATTGCAAAGATTAAACATTATAAAAAGGTATTAAAAGATATTTTTTTAACGGAAATTAAAAATATTTGCATTACAAAAACAAGAATTTATTCTGATACATATTAGTTAATTCAAATAAATAATTTAATAATTAATAGAGCAATTATTGAGAAATATGAATTAATTATTAAAGAACTACTAAAAGTGTTATTTTATTAATCCTTATTGACATCAGTTATTTCTATTTTATTACTGCATTAATTCATATCAAGGTAATCACATTACAATGCATTAATGTCATAAATCAAAGACCCGATAGACCAATCTATATTATAGGAATTATATTACTAAAGTGTAGTCACTTAGTCATTTAAAAGTCCTAAACCATCTATCAAAAATGTACTAACCCACATCATTTATATACAACTAGTAAATGTCCTATCGTTAGCCTTAAATTAATCCTATGTTAGAGTTAATTAACAATACTATTTAGCTAATTCTCTAAAGTCTTTTAATATGAAAGTATCACCTTCTTTGTTAAGCTTTTTATACAATTCTTATTTAGCATAAAAAACAGAGCTAGCTCCAATTATTTATTTTTGACCAGTAAGCTTTATTTTTTAATGAAAACATTAAATTTTTTTAACATAAAAATTGTAAATTTACTTTTTTTAATTAAGAAGAAGCACTGCAATCTACTACTGAGTCATCATTTTTGTATTGACAGTCAGTAATTTTCAATAAAGTTAACATAGCATTTGTGCATTTTACAAAATCATAGTCACCACTTACTACGACTTTATTTTAATAAATTAATTATTATAAATATGAAAAAATATTAATTAGTTATTTATTTACCATCATTTTTATTCTAATCTTTGAGTGTATGAGTAAATCCATCAGTTTTTTAGAAGCAGCTTGCGAAATCTGGGGTTCCTAATACAGACTTTTTAAAAAATTAGTAATCAATATTAAAATTTTAAATAAAATTACTGCAATTATTTGATCGTTTCCATATCCCAAAATTGTGTTAGAATAAATTTAAACTCTAGTTTTTTCAGGTAAATCAATGAGTTTATTGTTAGAATTGCTGTAAAATGCAGTTTAAGCAGAAGCACCGCCAATATCAATAACAGCAATAGTTTTAGATACATCAAATTACTAAATATTTTGGTGTTTAATTTTCTAGTAGGCATAGTTAACTGAAAGCCATAAGAATAAACCTTCTTCTTCTCCAGTGATAATTTTGACCCAAGAATCGTCTAAGAAATAGAAACTATCTTATTTTCTAAAAACTGTTCTTACAAGATTCAAAATTTGTTCTTATTATTGTTATGGGAGTAACCTAAGGCCAGCAGTAGCTCTCAAGAACAAGAAAGGCTTAATATCGAATTTATAGTATTATTTCATGTCACTAATTATTTTAAAAGCTACATCGAAATAGTTAGTGAAGTCTGTTTCAGTTAATACCACATCAGTAAGGGCATTCTTTTTATTATCACCTACTTTTATTTTATCAGCAAATAGATCCTTTCCATCCTTATCTTTGGGGATAGTAAGAGCTTCAAGTTAGGGAATTTAAGAAGATCTTCTGCATACTGATTTATAGAGTCTAATTTTGGTGCTCGATGAACCGGCATCTAGCAAGACATATAAGCAAGTGTCTTGGGTTTCAGCAAGTTCCCTAAGAATTCTTTAATTTCTATCAAATGCTTCGTTTTTACAAACAAACATCTAAATGCTTAGACAGAGTAAGATAAATATTGTTAAATTTTTCATTTTTAAATCTAGACTTTTTTTACTTTATTATTATTTTTTTTAATTAATTATATTTAATCGTAAACTCCTATTCGTACTTAAGCTAGTTCAGTAAATCTATAATTTTATATTATTAAATTTAATTAAATAAATATAAGATAGATTTATTAATTTGAAAAGACTATTTTTAAAACAAATAATTTATAAATAACTGGTTTTAGTATAATTCTAGTAAATTAATTAAGTTCAAATTTTATATTTTTGATATTAATTTTGAAGGTATAAATAAATAGCACAGTAAGAGTTTAATTATCATATTTCCTTATTTTTAATCAAAAAAATTGTAGGTGGGTTAGGTTTACTTTTTTTAGATGACAATGGCCAAACAATCATGCAAATTTTATGTAGGGTATTCAAATATAAAAGAATTTACATTATATAATTTTATAAAATTTAAAATCACTTATAATTTTAAATAATTAACATAAAAATTGATTGATATCAATGAACTGTATGTAAGAGAAGACCTTTCAATATTTGAGTAGAACTATTATTTAGATTCATACTACTAACATATTAAAAATTTAATTTTAGTTTTTTTCCCAATCGATTGTAAATACATTTAAGTTTAATTTTTTCTAGAAATTTTAAAACTTTTAAATTAATTGATTCCTTTGAATTATTATAAGCATATTATAAATACTTATAATAAATAGTAAGTGTAAAAGAATTGTATCTTTTAATTTTAAAATATTCATATTCATATGCATATAAATAGATAGATGGTGTTTTCAATCAAAAAGTAAGCCCATTTTTTGAATGAGTAAAATAAATTAAAAAATATGATATTAACTTGGTTCTAATTTAATTTTAAATTGGTAATATATCATCCAAAACATAACGATTAAAACTGATTAGTTTTCTTTGATTAAATGATAAGTATAGTGATAATTAATCAGTATCTGGTACATAAGCTCTATTTTTGGAAATTAAAGCCATATTTTAGTATAAATCTAGTTAAAACTAGCTGGTTAATAATTAAAATAAAGCAAATCAATAATTTTAGTGGAAATAAATTTAGTAAATTTTAATCTTTATCAATTTCAGCCAGAAGAGAATCAATTTATATATATAAAATACTTGAAAATTTTAATAAATTTTGAAGTATAAAATTATATTATTAAGATTCTACAGTTTAATTTAAATTTTTATGAATGAAATAATAAATTTTAATTTACTTTAACAAATAAATAATCAAAATATATTATTTTGTTATTTATATTTTATGAATTTAAACAAACTAGAACTATTATATGATTAAAAATTAAGCCAGTTAGAGTTATATTTCAGTTATTTGTTTCAATTATTTGCTTTTATTTCAAACTAACGACATTTTACTCTTAATATTTAATAAATATTTTTTTATAAACTATAATTCGAGAAATAATTTTAAAAAGGTCATACATAATAAATTTATATCATGTTAATTTTTACATTTTTAATTCGACATTAATTAATTATTCTGCTAAAATCTTTAACTAAAAATAGGTACTTAGCATTCAAAATATAAATAATAGTACTGGTTATATTTAATATATACACTTGATTCAAACAAAATAAACACTTTTATTAATGTTTAATTAATAAATAAATAATTTATTAAAGATATTTTTTCTGTACTATTAATTGTAGATCTTTGATTTTTAAAATTAAATAAAATATATTAGATAATTAAGTAATTGAATTAAATTTTTTTATGTAATTATAAAAATAAAAAGCTAATATAATAGAAGGGGATTTGTTTTCTTTTAAGCTAATTTAGTATGATATGGGAGTGTTGTGATCTAATATATTTCTATCAATATCAGTTAAGATGAAATAATAATCATAAAAATCTGTTATTCAAAAATTGACTTTTTTATTTTCTGAATGAATGAATGTTTAGTATATTTTATTACAATATTAGATTTAATTGATTGTAATAAGAAAACACGAATTTCAAAATTTAGTGAAGTTTATTTAAAATAGTTTTTCGTATTAAAATTTATTTAAATGTCTTTAATCATTTATTTATTTATTTATTCTTTATACTTTAATATTAATTTTTTTTTATCAAGTAATATTTAATATTTTAAAAGTCCTTATATCCTTCATTTTATTAAACAACTTTTTTTTAAAATGAATTTTAATGAATTTGGGGTAAAAAATTGTATTTATTTTTATTTTAAAGAATAATAATTAGATTGAGAATTTAATTATTTTATTTTAATCATGGCATTAATCCATGTTTAATATTTGCAAGTGTATATATCATTATACATTTTTAAAAAACCATTAAATTAATTTTAATATTAAAAATATACCAATTTTATACAAAAAAAGAAATTAATCTATTTAAATTTTACACTAAGATCATATCAAAAAGTTTGTGATAAATTAGATGAAATTGTTACTTAAGATGTTTGATCAGTTTAATATGATTAAAAAGAGATAAAAAAAACTAATGAGATAGAATAATAAACTCAAATATATTCAAATCAATTATTAGAGATCATATAAAAAAATAATTATTTTAATTAGAAAGTTCTCCTAGAAGAGGTCCGTTGTAAAACTGTGAATAATTAATTCATTATAAATTATTTATTCTCCCAAATGTTTTGCTTTAATAGGTGATTTAACATTTATTATTTAGATATTTATTTCATTATTTTCAAATATTAAGTTTTTAAAGATATTATTAAAAGCATTAAAAACACTTAAAGTTAAATAGATTATCAAAAGCTATATAATGGGTTGCGGTTTATCTAACGAAACGAAGAAAACAAAAGAACCTACTGAAACAAAAAAGAAGGATAACCCTGATGAGAATCTATATTCTAGATAGATGGCTGTTTATGGTGCGGAAACTTAGGGTAAGCTTATGAAAATGAAAGTCTTCATTTATGGTCTTTAAGGCGTAATCTTTCATCATTTATTTATGAATTTTTTATCAGAAACTAACTAATGCAAAAATTTAAACTTTTAGGTTGGCATTGAAGTAGCTAAAAATTTAGTTTTAGCAGGTCCTAGTTAAGTAGTAATTTACGATGATAATATTTGTAAGTCAGTCGATTAAGGTGTCAATTTTTACATTTAAGAAAAACACGTCAAAAATAATAGCACTAGAGCTGAGGCCAGTGCAGAGTAATTGTAATAATTAAATCCTTATTGCCAAGTTACAATCCTTAAGGGTGAAATTGATACACAAGTATTATCTTCTTATAATGTTGTTGTTTTCACAGATTACTTCAATAAAGAAAAATTGATAGAATTCAATAATTTCTGCAGAGAAAAAGGAATCGGTTTTATCTACACAGCAAATCTTGGTTTGTATGGATGTGCATTTGTAGATTTTGGATAAAAACATAAAGTAAATTTAATAATTATAAATCAATTTGATGATCAATTAACGTAAATTTCAATATTTATGAATGAAAGGTTTTTGACAACAATGGAGAAGATCCTAAACACTCTATTGTAGTATCGATTACTTAAGATAAAGAAGGTCTAGTAAGATAATTTAATATACAAATAATTTTTTGTTTGTTAAATAAGTTATTTATTTATTTATTTACTAATGTTTTAATACTTGAATAATAAATAAATAAGTAAATGGTTGTTGTTTTTGCTAAAAATCAAATTAATTTATTAGGTAACTACTCATGAGGATAAAAGACATGGTTTGGTAGATGGAGACCACGTTACTTTTAAAGAAGTTTAAGGAATGACTGAAGTAAATGATTAGGTTTATAAAGTTACTGTAAAGTCTCCTTTCACTTTCACTATAGCTTAGGATACTTCTAAATTTAAAGCTTACTAAAGAGAAGGTATTCATTCATTCATTTATTTATTTACCAATATAAAAAAGATGTAAAATTTATTTTTTTAATTTTTAGGTATTGTCCAACAGGTTAAAGTATGTGAGGAAATATAGTTTAATTCATTATAATAAAGCTTGAATAACCCCATAGCTCCTGGAAAAGATTGTCTTGAAATGTGTGATTTTGAAAAAATTGGTAGACCAGAGCAATTACATATTATTTTAAATGGGATATTTGAATTTTGCAAACACAATAATGGTCAACTTCCACAACTTTTAAATTAAGACCATTCTAAATAGTTAAAAGAAATAGTCCATAAGTTATTGGAAAGTAACAAAGCTGATGCAAGCAATAAATTTAAAGTAGAAGAAATACCTGATGAATTAATATAAAATGTTTCTTTGTATGCTAGAGCACATATCAGTCCAGTTGCTTCTTTCTGGGGTGGTGTAGTAGCCTAAGAAATAGTAAAATTCACTGGAAAGTTTACTCCATTAAGGCAATGGCTACATCATGAGGTTTTTGAATGCCTCCCAGATAGTTAAGTTACTAGAGAAGTAGTTGACAGCTAAAATGGTCATTACGTTGCTATATTTGGAAAAGAATTCTAGGAATCATTGTCTAAAATCAAGTATTATAAATTACTGATTAACAGATTTTAATTTTTTAATTTTATAAATGAAAAGATTATTTTTAGTAGGTGCAGGTGCACTTGGATGTGAGTATTTGAAAATGTTTGCTCTCATGGGAATGTCAACTGGCTAAAGTGGACTTGTAAGTGTTACAGATGATGATAACATTGAAACATCTAATTTAAACAGATAGTTCTTATTTAGAAAAGAAAATGTTGGTAAATCTAAATCAGAAACAGCTTGCTAAGTGGCCAAGAATATGAACAACGTAAATAAATTTAAATATAATTAATTATTCAAGATTTTTATTTTATTTAGAGATTAAATGTTAAGAGCTACAAACTCAGAGTAGCACCTGAAAATGAGTAATTCTTTAACGACGATTTTTGGGTCAGCCTAGATTTTGTAGTTAATGCTGTTGATAATGTTAAAGCACGTCTTTTTGTTGATGCACAATGTGTCTGGTTTGAAAAAGTAAAGTTATTTGATCATTAAAAAAATAAAAGTATCTATTTTAAATTGTTTAGCCTTTATTTGAGTCAGGAACATTGGGTACCAAATGCAATTCTCAAATAGTTATTCCTAAACTTACTCAATCATATGGAGATTCAGCAGATCCTCCTGAAGAAAGTATTCCTTTGTGTACTTTAAAGAACTTTCCTCATTAAATTGAACACACAATTCAATGGGCTAGAGATTACTTTGAAGGAATAATGGTTGAAGGGCCAAATGAATTATCGCAATTCATTAAAAATCCATAAGAATACTTATCTAAAATGTAAAGAGAAAACGAAGGTAAAAGTGGTATATTAAGAGCTAAGCTAGAAATTCTATAAAAATTAGCAATAGCTTTTAATGGAGGAACTTACTAAAATTGTGTTACTCTATCAAGAGAATTATTCCAAGAAATGTTCACAAATTAAATTGCACAACTCTTACACAGTTTTCCTTTAGACCATAAGGTAGTTATAGCATTAATTAATTAATAAACATGTCCATCATTATTTTTTATTTCATAAATTAGACTGAAGAAGGATAACCATTCTGGAGTGGACCTAAAAGACCACCATAAGTAAATCATTATAGTAATTTTATGATATAAAAAGAAATTATTGTAATTAGATTATTTATTTTGACGAAAATGATGAGGAACATATCAACTTTATCTAATCGTCTGCAAATATTTTTGCCTATTTATTCGGGTTGAAGTATAATACAAACAGAGAAGAAATTAAGAAAATGGCTAAATCTGTTCATGTTAGAGAATTCAAACCAGGCAATGTTAAAATTAGCACAAATTAAAACGATAACACTTAAAATGTAGCTGAAGATGATGAACAAATTTGTACAAAAATAGCTGATGAACTATTGAGTAAATTTATTAAATTAATTATATTGTTTAAATATTAATTATGCTATCTAACTGATAGAGTTGAAAATATCCTCTTCCAAGAAAATTAACACAACCGAATTCGAGAAGGATGATCCTACTAATTATCATATAGATTACGTTTCAGCAATAGCAAATCTACGTGCTAGAAATTATAAGGTAAAAATAATTTGATAAATTGACTGAAAAGAATATTTATTTTATTTCAAAAATCAAAAAGATTACTGAAGTAGATAAATTCAAAGTAAAATTGATTGCAGGTAAAATTATTCCAGCTCTAGCTACTACAACAGCTATGGTTGTAGGTGCTGTAGGCTTAGAAATCATTAAATATATCTTGAAAAAAGTAATTTAAATTTTATTGTTTTGAGTATTTAATTTAATTTTTTTTAAAAAGCCTATCACTCAAATAAAAAATTCTTTTATGAATCTTGCATTACCAATGTGGTTATTTAGCGAGCCTTTACCACCTATGAAGCACAAAGATAAAGATTATGATGAGATCCTTTTAGGCCCTGTAAAAGCAATACCTCCTGGTAATTTAAATTTGCTAGAAAAACTTATATTTATTTATCGTTAAATAGGTTTCACTAATTGGGATAAAATTGATGTTGTAGGACCTCTAACAGTCCAAGGGCTTTTAGACTATTTCTCATAATAATATTAGGTAAAACTATCAATAATATCTGTTGCAAAGATTTGTATTTATAATTCTTATGCTGGTGATTCTGAAAGACTAACTTAGGATATAGCAGCCTTATATGAAAAACTTAACAAAGCACCTATTTCATAATTTAAAAAATTCCTTGAAATTACAGCTAGTGGAGAAACTTTAAATGATGGGGTTGATGTAAATATGCCAATTGTTAAATACAAATATAAATGAATTACTTAATCTTTTATATCAAGTCAAATGTATTTCTAAAATTTTGTATTTTTAATTTACATTTGTCAATTTTTTCTAATTTTACAATTTTTTTCAACAAATATTTTTAAAAAATTTTTATTAGATAAAAACTAAAAACAAATAATTAATTCAATTATTTTAATTTTTAAAAATATTTTAGGTTAGATTTTTATAAAATATATATTTATATTTTTGTTGTATGAATTCAATTTATATAATTTTTAAATGGTATAGGGTAAAAAACAACATTTTTTTTATTTTAAAGAGATAGATAAAATATTTATCTTAATCGCTACCGAAATTGCCCCAAATCCTTATTTTTGCTACCCCACTTCAGAAAATTTAGCAAAATTTAAAATTTTTGATGTAAAAAACTATTTATTTTTGAAATAATAATAAATTAAATTATTTTATAATTCTAATATAAAATATCAAAATCAGATTATTTTCTTTAATTTTTATCTAAATAAAAGTTGTATTTTGGATTTTTTATCAAATAATAAAAACTTGATTTTACATAATCAAAAAAAATTAATTAAAATATAATTTATTTTTTGTTTCTTTAAACATACTTAGGCATTTAGAAAGCAAATTCATTTAATAATGGATAAATCTTTTACAAAATGTATAAAATTATCAAATAAAAAACCCTTAAATAATTATAAATTTAGATTTGTAAATAAATAACTAAAAATCTTAATTTAAGAAAAAGAAATTGATTATTGAAAGGAAAAAATAAAAAAAGATAAATAAGTATTACTTGAAAAGAAAGAAATTTAATGAATACACTAAATTAATAATAATAATAGTAGTAATAAAAAGTAGCTGGTCGTACTTGTTTCTTGGTAACTAATTTGATTAATATTTTTGTTCATATCTATATTCTTCAAGGATCATATCACAATATTGTATCTCAAACATGGATCATTTACATTCTTATTAGTTACCTTATATCTCACTATATTTTGGGAATAATTTCTATCACTTAGCCAGATTAGTAACTACATAAGTTTTATAAATTTTCTTGCTTGCTTGTCTGTATATATATATATATAATACACTTATTTGTTGGCTTTACTTGCTTAGGATATATAATTTATTAGGTCATCAAAAATCCAAATGAAAGTGTTTTAAATTGGATACAATTTTTAGTTTTATTTGCTTTTCTTACTTTTTGTTTCGCTGATGGATACATAGATTACAATAATTACAAATATATAAATAAATTAATTGCATTATCAATTGCCTAAAACATAAATAATTTCTCTCAAGCTGCTAACCATATAACTACATAAGCTTTATAAAATTAAGCCTAGCAGTAATAACCTTATATCCTTTAGTATCAGTAATTCTAATAAAATATTCCTCAAATAAGTAGCTTGGACTAAAATTAATAATAATTTACATAATCTGTTTCTGATGATATCTTAAATGATTTAAATTCCAACTAAAATTAGATTTTAATCTAGCAAAACGGTTACAGTCAATTCTGATTTCATAAATAAATAGGATATTGCAACAAATTTTTTAATTAATTTATATTTAAAATTAATATTAAATAAATCTTCAAAACAAATTTATTTTGTTATTTTAAATAGATTTTCTCACTTAACTAATTTTTTTCACAACAAAAATAAATAAATAAAACTAAAAATAACATTAATATTAATTAATTTTCTGATTCAATAATTTTATTTGTAAAATTAACATAAATTAATTAAGAAGTGATAAAAATGAATTTGGCATATTTTGTTTACTCATAAGCAAATATTTTTAGAAATAGGAATACTTTTTATTTATCTTTTTTTTATTTGATTAATTGTAATATTTTTTAATTAAAAAAAATCAAAATTTTATCTTTAAAATTACAAAAATAAAACTTTTTATTGAATTTTTATTTACAAAAACAAATATTAAAAAAATTAATTTTAAGAAAAAAAATGTTTTTAAAATATTAATTTTTTATTTGAAAAACTTCTCAAATAACTTATACTCTTAACAGAAATTTGTGAATATTATCATTTTCTTAGGCAGAAAAATTATAATTGCTTTTCTTGATTTATTCTATAATGTATTTCACATCTTCGTATTTCGATATATCAGTAATTTCTGGGAGAATTTATAAAAATTTTTAGAAATTAATATTCATTTGTTTGTGTGTTAGATTTAAACCTTAAATTTATTAGAGGCTGATCATAGCTTTAGCTATTATAGAAGCAATCATAGCAATACTAAAATTACTATTTTCAGCTTCAAATTATTTTAGAAAATTAGATATTAAACTTATTTATTTTGGAGTAATTTGATCAATACAATATCTCGCAATTTTAATTAGGAAACTAAAAACAGCAAAACAAATCACTTAATCTCCATAATTAATCTTACCAGATATAACATCATAATAAATCTAACTTATTATAGGATATACTTATGGATTAATATCAATAAATATATAGAATCTTTATAGACAGTATTTAACACATTCAAAATCAGCAGAAGTTGGTAGCCTTATTATTTTATCTTTGTAAATTTCTTGATAAAATATTGTATCTTGATCAACACTTTCATGTCTTAATAGTTTTTAAATAGCTGACTATGACATTTTGATTCCTTCTATCATTTTATCAGGTAGTTTTTCATATAAGTTGGCTAAAAGTTAAACTCCATTAATAATTGATATCTTATCTTATCGGGCTAGTTAGAAAATTGTTCTCATAATAGATTCGTACAGTTATTAATATAAAATAGCAATAATTTATTTATCTAACAATTTTATGATCTCTTAAACAACTTTAGTTAAAGATTATTTGTAATCTTCAGATCTATTTTTTTCTAATTTTAATGCTTAATATACTGTAAGCTAATACATCTAAAATATTTCAATAGCTCCTTATTCAAGGATTTAAGAATTTCCTTACTATTTAATTTCTTCTTGATGCTTTTTTAGGAAGTAGAGCTAAGTAACACTAATTATTTATAAAATAGTATTCATGATAGAGTGTACACTTTCTTCAAAAATGAGCTCATTTTATAAGTTTTGTGAAAGCAAGTTAAAAATATCAAATTTCTTATAATTTATGAATGTTTCTGTTGACTCTTTGCAAAAAATCAAGATAAAATGTAAAGCTTCTTCTACTAAAATTTATTAGGGCAAGGACGGTCTTAAAATATCATACTCTATACTTTCTTCATCATCTTATTCATCATCTATATCTTCATATTCATCTTCTTCATTAACTTATTCTTCTTCTTCATTACTTTATTCATCTTATTCTTCTTCTTCTTCGTCATCACTATATTCATCTTCTTCATTATCAGCCTATTAATTTTGATGGTTTTAATTTTCTTCTACTTCTTCAGAGTTATTATCACTTTCCTCCTAAGTTATTTTTAAATTGTTTATTTAGCAAATAAAATTCAATAAAATGTTAACTTTTCAAATTTTATTTGTGAATAAATTTTATTTTTTTTTACAAATTGCTTTTTCTAATAAATATTAATTTGAAATTACTCGCTATTGATCTGTTAAGTGCTCTCTGCTTTTAATTATAATCGGACAATTTTTGACTGAACCATCTTTCAAGGCTGATGGTAAAACCTAAAGGAAAACTTAATCAAAGCAATTCTGAGATCCTAGCATTTCCACAGTCAAAACTTAGAAAAACTAATAGTAGAAGGTTTTTTAAGTAGTGCTTATTTAATTTGATGAATTTTAAATCTTTTAAGCTATTTCTTCAGCTATGGCTTTAATGTTTTATTTAAGCTCACTGCAATCCAATTTTAGCATTTGCTTTATTTTTAAAATAGCACAAAGGCAGATTTATTGATTACTTTGGATTAAAAGCTCTCTTTTTTCATTATTAACAATCATTTCTAAGAATAAATTTTCAATGATTTGAATTTCATCTTCTAAATACAGGTATATATCTTCCAACTCTAGAAGCTACTTTATAAATTTCTGTGTTTTTTATGATAGCAAGGCACTATGCTTTTAAAAATTTTCGTTGGTGTATTCCTTAATTAAGATATGAAGTATATCTTTTGTGTAAGGATATAACTAAGCTTGGTCACTTTTTTGTAGATTTTAAAAAATATATATAAACACACTCAAAGCAAAGATCCTTAATTAACTATCATTTATTTTAAAAACTTCTATCAACTATGGAATGAATTAATAATGATGCAAAGTAATGTATTGTTTACAAATTACTACAAAACTCTATGAACTCTTTATAGCATGATATTGTAAAAATGAATCAAAAAACATGTAGCTAAAGAATTTGAAAAACATATCTATTTCTTTTAGCTCAACATCTTTATTAAGTATGTATCTCATGATTTTAAAGCAGCCAATAACTTAAAATTTATCGCTTTTATTCACCACAAGTATGTCTTCTTAAATTAATTTCTAACTGTAAGATGTGTCAACCTCTTGATTTTTACTTAATACTTAGCTTTTTTTAATAACAGAGCATCTCTTCTCAATATTATTCAATTCCTTGTATATGTAATCTATGATTTTATTCTCATTAATGCCATTTAAAACAATATCTATTATCTAATTTATCCTATAATCAATTTCATAATTAGTAAGAAATTTATCATTAGTGCTCAATACCTCAAAAAATTTTAATTTACATACTTATATAGCTAATTGTATATACATGTTTTTATATTTTTTAGCAAACTGAAGGAAAGTGTCTGCTAGTATGGCTTCAGCTATTTCTACACACAAAATTGAGTAAAGTTCAAAATATTAATCTTTTGCTTCAAATACTTATTTAACTAAATATTTTTCTTCAAAATTATTTTCTAAATTTAAAATCTATTCTGTAAATTAGTTAATTTTGTCATATAAATTTTTAATTTACTCTAATCTTTTGTCTTCTAGGATAAGATATATCTCTTTTTTAGTATTAAGCTCAATTACTCCACAATTGATATTAACATTTTAGAAATAAGAATCATTTAAATTAATTATTAGTTTTAATAACATTCCATGAGCATAAACAGTTGTAAATTGAACTTAGTTTTAAATTAGAATGTAGAGATATTAACAAACTATATCAAATTTATATTGGCAAATAATCTCTATTTAATACAGATTATTATAAAATATTACCATAACCATAGAAAGCTAAGCTTTGCTCATATATTTATGTAAAAATAGTAGACAATTTATTGCTAACGCATTAACTTCCTGTTTTTATTCTTAAATCTAATCATCATTTGATATTTTTATAAGCTCATCTATAAGCCTAGATGGTTCTTATATTTTGACTAGGCTAGGCTACTTAATATTCTTCTGTTGTACAATAAAATCGAAAGATTCTTCTTAATTTTCTCTCTTTTTTAAAATAGTGCTTAAGAATGTTAGCACTCTTAAGCATTATTCTGAATCTTTCTAAATAATATATCTAATTAATTCATCTCCTTATATGATAACCTATTGATTAAAGTAAGTAGCTAGAACATAAAGCGTTTGTAAATGCTTCAAGCTAGAATCTGATGTGATGTAGTTGGTCAAAATACTATTAAAAATTTTTTGTAGCATAAAACTATCTTAAGAGCACTCTTTAATCAATAGCGAAATTAAAATAGAAGAAATGTATGAGTAATTATCATTATACCCATAATCAAATAAGGCATCGGTTAACTATTAAACAATTTCAAACTTATTCTCCTTAAACAAAGAAACTAGGTCCTTAAATTGCTTGTCAATATTTTAAAAGTTTAAGCTACTCAATATTGAAGACATGCTTTTCTCTAAATTTTAATATAAAATCTGATTTTTTATTTTTATTAATACTTGAAAATTAGATTCGGCTATTTTAAAAGAACAAATAATAATAAATTAGGGCCACGAATATTAACAGAATTGAGAATGACTTTTATTTGATTTTATTTAAGGCTAAATAATAATAAATTTGAGCTACATACTTAAACATATATGACACAGGAATATTTTTTAATAGAAATATTTAATGAATGATTTCTATTTTAAACGTTTTAGGATATTTTTTTTCCTATATCCAATATTGAAGACATACTTTTCCCTAAAATTTAATATAAAGTCTAATTTTGTATTTTTATTAATACTTGAAGATTAGATTCGGCTATTTTAAAAGAACAAATAATAATAAATTAGCGCCACGAATATTAACAGAATTGAGAATAGATTTTTATTTGATTTTATTTAAGGCTAAATAATAATAAATTTGAGCTACATACTTAAACATAATGACACAGGAATATTTTTTAATAGAAATATTTAATGAATGATTTCTATTTTATAGGTTTATTGATATTTTTTTTTTCCAATTATTGAGAATTAAATGTGTAATTATTTATTTTTTTAACCATAATATTATAAATATGATAATGAAAGAATCTAATCGTTAAATATGACAAAAATTAATATCAAAGTAAATAATATATAATTTTTTCATACAAATTTTTTGAAATTTTATTATTATTGAAAATAAAACTAATTTTTTTCACCATAAATATTTAAGCAATAAAAAATTTATAGAATAATTAGCAATAACTCAAATAAATGGTATCAAGTTATAAATCAAGAGTAATTTAAATTTGATTTTGATATTTTTGAAAATTTTTAATAACTGAAAGAATCTTTTTACCTGTCTCAATCTATGAAAAATTTCGATATCTTAATTTTGTTGTAATTTAAATTTTTATTAAATATTTTTTCAAGTTGGTTTAAAAAGCTTCTTAATAAATTATCCTAATAAAAATAATCAACTTAATGTATAAAACTATGAATAAGAATAGTAATCCTTCTATCTTGTTTGTTTGTTTATTTGTTTGACACTCAATTAATTATATTCAAAAATATAAACTGGTTATTTAATTTATAATAACTTTACTATTTTTTTATTATTTTGTAAAAATAAAAAATTTGATGTCTATACCACTTAATTTCAATCAAACCAATTTTTTCTCTATTAAATAGTTAATTAGAGTAAGTTGCCATAATAAAATAATATTTTATTGGAAAAAGTACATTTAAAATATAAGCACATAAATATCTATAATTTACAATCAATATTTATTTTTAAATTAATTTGAATTGATGGTTTTAAAAATCTAAAAAATATAAAATTCAAACACAATTTTTTAGATTTTATGTTTTCACCACTGTTCATAATTTTTAGGTGATTGATTATTTTATGTTAAATTAGAAATATTGCATTTTTAAATAATAGCTTAAATAATTTAAATTGGGTCATACTAATTAAAAGTAAGTTAAAAAATAAAAATTGTTTGTATTATGCATATTTTTATTTTTAAAAATGATTTTTTTAATCTTTGAGCGCTTTAATTTAAAAAATAAATATCTGCAAATTTTATTTACGATTTTATTAAAAAAAATTATTTATTTGTAAAAAGATATTGATAGTTTATAATATCATTTGTAAAATTATGCAAAAAATTTAGAATAGAAAGGCTAAAAATACAACCAAAAAATTTATAAACAAAATATTTAAAAAATAGAATAATTTCTTTTATTAAATGAATAAACAATAAATTAAATATATAGTTTATAACATAAGTAATGTTTTCAAACTATATTTTTAATAAAGTTTACATAAAATTATTAAGATTTGTCATTATTTTTTGAAATTAGATTTAGATTTTTAAAATTATTTTTTCTATTTTTATGTTAACTTGTTTGAATTAATTGGAAATTATTCTGCTAGTTGATCAAGTATTAATTTATTTTTATCAACTTTAATTTTTTATACTGTTTCGATAAAAACAAAAGGAGGTTATGCTTATTCAACTTAAGGAAGCTCTGGAAATTCATTATCAGAGGGCGAAATAGATGGAATAAAAAATTGTAGAGCACAGTCCATAATATGAGATTTTTAGAAACATAAACCACATATTTGAGGACTTTTATATAGATCCTTAGGTGCATTTTTTCCAATTTCTAATGCTTTTTTTGAAAGAGTTTTATATTAAGCCTCTACTCCTTTAGCACCTAGAGAAAACTATTTCTAGCTCAAGTCTAAAATTTTTTACCATGTTTCACTTTTTAGAGCATATTAATTAAAGTTACCAATGCAGAAAAATCCAATTTTAGCTCTAGAAAAAGCTACATTAATTCTGTGATCATTCAATACAAAACCACTTTTCCTTTCTATGTTTGATCTAACACAAGAAAGTATTATGATATCATTTTCATTTCCCTAGAATTGATCTACAGTATAGGTTTTAACTTTAGATAATCCTTATTCAGACAAAAAACATTATATTAAAATCTTTTAGATTTTATAGGTAGTCAAAACACTAATTTATTCTTCCTCAATTTTTTAATCTTTTAATAGTTATAAGACTAGCAATTTTACAAATAAAGCTTCATGCAGGTTAATAAATGATTTATCTTCTTACTAATCTGGATAACTGTGTTAGAGCATATACATACCATTTTTAGAAATTTAAGTTATACATTCACGACTCTTAGTAATTGGAGCATCAATGTATTCGTTACCATAAAATATTCTAGTAAAGTTAGCAAATTATGGCACCATTCTCCTCTATTAGTAGAGGATGACATGGTCAACTTTATTAACTGAAATTAGTCTTTCGAAATAGGACATTTTGTAATTATAATTTGATTTCAAAGAATCGCATTTAACAAATGGCCTTAGTTGATAGTGATCTCCTATTTAGATTAAATGTTTCACATTAGGTGCTAAAACGGGATAGAAGTGACTTTCAATTATTTCACTTGCTTCTTCAACAAGAACAATTTCAGCCCCAAGCTCTTGAATAGCATCAAAATTTTTGTGATAACCAGAAAATGTCATTCCTATGTTTTTTAATTAATAATTAATTAATAATAAGTCTTAGCTAAAAATAAATAATTACCAATAACATCAAATTTTTTCATGAATTTACTTAGTTTTTTTTAATAAATTTTATTGCTATTCAAATTAGAAGTTTTTATTAAACGTTCGTATACTCTCATTTAGTTTTAGATAATATTGATTTCAATGATATCTTCATTTATTTTTAAAAATTTACTGAATTGAACTGATAGTTGCTCAAATAAAGTAATTTTTTCCAAATATCTCATAATTGAGTTTTCATCTGCAGAGAGCTAAAATTCTTAATCTTTTTGCTAAATATTGATAGATTTTTGAATGTATTCTTTTTACTCTCCATCTAAATCAATACCACCTTCATCAAGATATTTTAATAATTTTTCAGAGCTTAATTTTCCTTTCATCCATTTTGAAAATATTTTCTCCTAAATCTCATTACCAAAATTAGTTATTTTAAGTTCACTTATTAACAAGCTTATCAATCTAAATAAAAACATTTTTATCAATTAAAAATCAATCACACAATTTTAAAATAATATTTACCTTTTCTTAATAGAATTTTTTAATTTTTTTGGAAGTCCTGCTCCTTTTTCTTGTTAGATTATATTTTAGTCTCTTCTCTTTTTTATATTATTAATGCAATCTTGCAATTCTTTATTAATTTAATCTGCTTTTATATTATATTAATCAGAATATTGAAAAACAGGTGCACCTTTTAAATTGTTTAGGGTATATTTTTCCATTTATCTATATTCAATTTCGAATCCCAATCTCAAAATTTTTATATCTTTATTTTCATCGCTTATTTTAAGTAAAAGCCTATCAAGACTTAAATTCTTCAAACTCATCACTAGTATGGGTTTGGGTTTTTATATATGAATACTATGAGCACGTTAAAGCACATTTACAATTTTACAACCCAAGAAAGTTTTTCCAGTTCCAGGAGGTCCCTAGATAATAGAGTTTTCATTAAACAAAGCATGTCTTATAGCAATCCTTTGATATTTATCTAACTATTTTTCTTTTGATATTTCGAACTCAAGTTGTCTTTTGAAGTCCTCAACTTCTATATCGTTTTCTAAGAATTCATATTTAGGGAAAGAGGGGAAACCTTTTTCTCCTTACAAAGTTTAAAGTGGAAAAGCAATATTATTTAGATGTTTAAATTACATCTAGCAGTTCCAGCTTTATTAAAGAGAATTCCAATAGTCAGATGGTATTACTAATTTAAACTTTGAGTTCTATTTTAATTATAAAAAAATTAATTATTTGCATAAAAATATGAATTTTTACAATATCATCTGAATTTATTAAAAATTCATCTAAATTATCTAAAGTGTTCATTTTAATCTTAAAATTTTGTCTGTATTCTATTACTTCAAATAAATTTTTATTTAAATCGTCATCGTTTTTTTAATCTTTTTTTCTTTCATCTTTATTATCATAACCTTCAAATCTTAGGTCGCCGTCGTAATCTTTAGTTACTTTTTTATTCCATTTTACAATAGTTTTACCTATAAAAATCTTCTAGGTATTCAAGCTCACAAAAATGACAATCTGGTTATTAATAATCTCAGCCTATTCTTACATATATCTTGGGATAATGACTAAGGTTTCAATTTCTAAAATTAACCCTCCTTATGGTTCGTATGTGGGTCTTTCAATTGAAAAATTGGAAATAACATAAAAACCTTCTTTTTTTGTTTTCTCATCTTAAAACTTTTGTTGAATATGATGTTACAAGGATTTTCTGAATGATTAGAAAAAATCTATTTTTAATAATAAAAAAATAAGAATAATTTTAATTAATTTTAATTTTTTACTTTCATCTTCAAGTCTTAACATAGTTTATCTGTATTACATCAAATCATCAAACTAGTAATTTTTAGGAATAGGAAGTAATTCTACCATGGCTTCTTTCAATTTTCTCAACTATGGAAATTCTATTTGCTCTTACTCATATTCTTCTTAATCTTTTTCTTCTATTACTTCCACATCTCTCTACTCTTCCTGACTATCTCTATCTTATTCCTCACTTGTGGATTATTATGATGAAAACTCTGATTCGTCATCTCTCATTTCAGTTATTCCAATAAGATGAACCATTTTAGTTTAGCTTTTATAAGTATTTTAATATTTTTTTTGCTTTTTGTTTGATTTATTTAATTATTATAATTTTTTGGTATTAATTTCTCATAAAAAGGCTTGAATCTCTTCTTATTTAAAATAAAAGTGTTTTATATTTGATTAACCTTTATTTAAAATAAAAGTGTTTTATATTTGATTAACCTTTATTTAAAATAGACTCGTATGTTTTTAATTTCAATTTAAAAAATTAGTTAAGTAACTTACATGTTTTTCTGAAGCGATTGATAAAGCTTTAGTTTTTGATTTGTTAAATTTATATTTTTAATCAAATTTTTTGAGGTATTAATTTTTTTAGTACTAAATTTGATAAAGTCTTGATGAATTTCTTTTTTTCACGAAACAGGCTTTTTAATCCATAAAAAATAAAATACTTTTTTTTTTGTAATAGAAACCTTTAAGGATAAAGCTTTTTTAATTAAGAAACACTTAAAATAAATTGATCAATTTATGGTTTTTAACAGCAAAAAATAAAATAAAAATATTTTTAGTTCATAATGACATACTAACTTTATTTTGACATATTTACTTTAGAAAAAAACTATTATTCTGACTAATCAAATATGTTTTGTTCAAAACATTTTTTTGCATTCTCCTTCTCTATTCTTTTTTGGTTTTGGTTTATAACTAAATAATGTAAGCTTTATAATTCAAAATACTATCTATTATGAATTTAAAAAGGAACATTCTTATTAATATATTATAAAAATACACATAAATTTTTTTATTATTTTTAATAATATTAAAATAAATTAGCTTCAAATAAATTTGTATTTTTATTAGATTACTTATCCTTAATATCTAATAATAAAAATCAAATGTTTTTTCTTTTATTAAATTTACAAAATTGTCTTACTTACTAATATTTTAAATAGCTAAGTGGCGAGACAAAATCTTTGAGCAAGTAAAACTAGAAAAGCATGAAATCTTTTTAAAAAAATAAAGATCGTTGAATAAGTATTATTTTTGCATTACAATACTCAATAATTCTAGAAACAAAAGTATAGTTACTTAAATTCCATTTTTTACAAGACTAGTCATTTTAAGCTAAAAAATAAATCAAAATCAAAATATTGAATGGATTAAAAAATATTCTGGAATTATTCTATTAATCAGAAAAATAAAAAACAAGGTTAATTAGAAAGGGTGGTTTCCTCTTTTCAAATTTTATAAAAAATTGAAATTCATTTAATTTTCTTAAAAATATTCATTTTTCTTTTTTATTTCAAGTCTTCTGATGTCTTAATATTAATATTATAAAGTAAATTTTATATTAAAATTTATTTGAAAATGGATTTGAAAAAAACTAACTGGATTTGAGTGTGTTCCAAAAATACATACCTCAATAAAATAATTATTTTTTATTAGTTAGTTTTGTAAAATATTATTTAAAATAATTTATTAAATTTTATTAAATTGTAATATAAATGCCAAACATTCAGGTTTCGGTTAATTTTATAAATTTTTTTTTTAATTTTGTTGAATCTAATTAAGTATTTTATGTTAATTTAATTTAAGGAAGTTATGCTTATTAGGTTTTAGGAAGCTCTGAAAATTAATTATCTGTGAGTGAATAGAATTTTTGAGCTTTACAGTTTATTATATGAGATTTTTATGAACAAAAGCCACATATTTGAGGACTAAAATTTAATTGTAAATGCTCACTATGAATTTTCAATAATTGTTAATAATAGGAACTAAACAATAAAACCCTATTTTATAATTTAATAGTTTCTTTATTTTAAGATAAAATATCACATTTACTAATAATGATATTATTTCATATATTAATCAAAATAACAATAATTTCCAAACTGGACTGGCTCATCTAGAGTTTAATGAAGATTCCATACATAAGGGCATATATTTGATTAAATTGGTCTTTTTTCTTCTTGAAATAATACTTTATTGCTTAAACATTATTCCATATTAACTTAAATAAAATACATTTTATTGCTCACTAAATTTTTAAAAGCATTAAGAAATCTTAAAATCTTATGTTAGTATATAGAGAATTTTAATTGATTAATAATAATATTTATTTCTAATACTTATCATACATGAGATATAAATATATATTTATTAATAGCATATCAATCTGCACTTGTCTAGATCTACCTAGACCATATTTAAGTAATTTATTAAGAGTTCAGACCAATTAGAAATTTTTTGAGATGGTCTGGATTAAGATCGATCAGTGGGATCAATCTGAGCAATTCGATCTAAAATATGAAATTCCTAATTACTAGTCATTTAAAATAAGTGTGATAATAAAATTTGTTATATTAAGTTGATTTTTTATTTTAAAAAACAATTTTTAAAATTTTTAAGCACTTTAAATTATAAAATATATTTATTCAAAATCTTTTTTACACTGTTAGTTAAAAATATAAATCTTAAAATATACTTTATTTATATATACATATTCAAAATATATTCAATATTTGTAAAATCAAGTAAAACTTTTAGAATAGAAAGGCTAAAAAAATAAATAAAAAAATTTGAAGAGATAATATTTAAAAAAATAAAATAATTTAAGATTTATAAAATGAGAAACAAACTATAATATAAAATATAAATTTATACATATTTAATATTTTCAAACCAAAATATTTAATAAAATAATTAATTAATTAAAATTAGTAAATTTTTTCATTACTTTTAGAAATTAAAATTAATTTCATTTTGAAAATTATTTTTTCTATTTTTTTGTCAACTTGCTTGATTTAAATGTAAATTATAGAGCAAGTTAATCAATTATTAATTTATTTTCATCAACTTCAATTTCTTATGCTTATTTAATTTAAGGAAATTATGTTTATTCAATTTAATGAAGCTCTTCAAATTAATTATAATTCAGTGAAAAGGGTGTATCTATTTCTTTTTAAGCTGTACAGTTAATAATATGAGATTTTTCTTAACATAAACCGCATTTTCGAAGAATTTTTTCTTGATCCTTAAGCATATATTATTCATGTTTGAGTGCTTTTTCTGAAAGCTTTCTATATTCAGTCTCTACTCCTTTAGCACCTAGAGAAAACTAGTGCTAGCTCAAGTCTAAAATTTTTTACCATGTTTCGCTTTTTAGAGCATACTAATTAAAGTTACCTAGGCAGAAAAATCCAATTTTAGCTCTAGAAAAAGCAACATTAATTCTATGATCATTCAAAACAAAACCACTTTTACTTTCCATGTTTGATCTAACACAAGAAAGTATTACGATATCATTTTCATCTCCTTAGAATTCGTCAACAGTATAAGTTTTAACTTTTTTAGATTATTTCTATTTACGCAACAAACTTTCTATTAAAATCTTTTAGGTTTTATAAGTAACCAAAACACTGATTTATTTTTATTTAATTTTTTTATCTTTTAATAGATATTATACCAGTAATTTTACATATTAAGCTTCAAATGTGTTAATAAAAGATTTATCTACTTCCTGCTTATCTGGATAACTGTGTTAGAGCATATACATTCCATTTTTAGAAATTTATTTTACAAATTAAAGACTCTTTGTATTTGGATCATCAATGTATTTGTTACCATAAAATATTCTAGTAAAGTTAGCAAACCATGGTAACATTCTCCTCTATTAGTAGAGGGTGACATGATCAACTTTATTAACTGAAATTAATCTTTCGAAATAGGACATTTTGTAATTGTAATTTAATTTCAAAGAATCACTTTTAATTAATGGTCTAAGTTAATAGTGATCTCCTATTTAGATTAAATGTTTCACATTAGGTGTTAAAACTGGATAGAAGTGACTTTCAATTATTTCACTTGCTTCTTCGATAAGAACTATTTCAGCACCAAGCTCTTGAATAGCATTGAAATATTTGTGATAACCAGAAAATGTCATTCCTATGTTTTTAAATTATTAATTAATTAATAATAAGTTTTAGCTAAAAATAATTCATTACCTATAACATCATAACCTCTCATAAATTAACCAAGTTATAATTAATAATCTTAGTTACTATTAAAAAGAGCAACTTTTTTTGAAGATTCAAACTATCTCATTTCGTTTTAGATGATATCAATTTCGATAATGTCTCGATTTATTTATAGGAATTTACAGAATTAAACTGATAGCTGCTCAAATAAAGTAACTTGTTTCAAATATCTCTTAATTGATCTTTCATCAGCAGATAGCTAAAATTCTTAAACTGTTTACTAATTATTGATAGATTTTGAAATGTATTCTTTTTACTCTCCATCTAAATCAATATCAGCTTAATCAAGGTATTTTAATAGTTTTTCAGAGCTTAATTTTCCTTTCATCCATTTTGAAAATATTTTATCTTGAATCTCATCATCGAAATTGTAGTCTTTATCAGATATCTTAAGTTCATTTTTTAATAAACCTATCAATCTAAATAAAAATAATTTAATTAATTAAATATCAATCACTTAATTTTAAAAATAATATTTACCTATCCTTAATAGAAGTTTTAAATTTTTATGGAAGCTCAGTTTCTTTTTCTTATTAGAATCTATTTTAATCTTTTCTCTTTTTGATATTTTCAATGCAATCATGCAATTTTTCATTCATTTTATAAGCTTATACTTTTGAGAATTAAGGATATTCAAAAACAGGCTAATCAGATTGGCATTTTAGAGTAAAATCTTGAATTTATTTTTTTTTAATTTACTCTCCAAGTCTCAAAATGTTGATATTTTCATTTTAAGAGTATATCTTAAGTAAAAGCTTATCTAGACTTAAATTTTTCTTACTTATCACTAGTATGGGTTTGAGTGTATGATGATTATGAAGGCGTTAAAGCAGATTAACAATTTTACTAGCCAAGAAAGTTTTACCAGTTCCAGGAGGACCCTAAATAATAGAATTTTCATTAAACAAAGCATGTCTAAGAGCAACCTTTTGATATTTATCTAATTATTATTCTTTTGATATTTCATTCTCAAGATAACTTTTGAAGTACTCAACATCTCCATCATTTTTTAAGAATTCATATTAAGGGAAAGAGGAATAACCTTTTTCTCCTTTCAAGGTTTAAAGTGGAAAAGCAATGTTATTTAGACGTTTAAATTACATCTAGCAGTTCAAGCTTTTTTCGAGAGAATCCCAATAGTCAGATGGAATTACTAATTTAAACTTCGTTTGCTATTTCAATTACAAAAAAATAAGTTATTTGCATAAAAAATGTAAATTATTACAATATCATTTGAATTTATTAAAAATTCATCTAAATTATCAAAAGTGTTCATTTTAATCTTAAATTTTTGCTAGTATTCTATTATTTTAAATTAATCTTGTTTTATAGCTTCATCGTCATCATCCTCTCTTTCATCTTCTTACGAGGTTTATGTATTTTTAATACTATCTTCATCTTCATCATCTTCGTCGTCGTCGTCGTCGTCTTCGTCATCTACAAATTCGATAACGTTCTATTTTACAATAGTTTTACCAATAAAAATCCTCTAGGTCTCCAAGCTCACAAAAATAACAATCTGATTATTAAGAATCTTTGCCCTTTATATCTAATATCTTGGAATTTTGACTGAGGTTACAACTTCAAAAATTAACCCTTCTGATTCATATTTTGGTCTTTCAACTGAATAATTGGAAACAACATAAAAACCTTCTTATGGTGTTTCAGAATCTTTAAACTTTTCTTTAATATGATGTTACAAGGACATTCTGAGTATTTAGAAATAGTCTATTTTCAATTATAAAAAAATAAGAATAATTTTAATTCAATTTATTGTTTTACTTTCATCTTCAAGTCTGAACATAGTTTATTTGTATTACATAAAATTATCAAACTAGTAATTTTAAGGAACAGGAAGTAATTTTTTAAATGGTTTTTTGAATTTTTCCAACAATGGAAATTCTATTTATTATTTTTTGATAGATATTTTTTTCACAGCTCCTTCATCGCTTACTTCTTGTTGTTCTTCTTCTTCAGTCACTTCTTCCTTACAATCTCTGTCACGTTCTTCATTTGCGGATTATTATGATTAAAACTCTAATTCATCATCTCTCATTTCAGTTATCCCAGTAAGATGAACCATTTTAGTTTAGTTTATTTAAGTATTTTAATTTTTGTATTTGATTGTTTTTATTTTGATTTATTTGATTATAATTATTTTTTGATGTTAATTGCACATAAAAATATTTGAATCTCTTCTTATTAAAATTAAAAGTGTTTTATGATTAATAAAACTATATTTTTAATTTTTCCTTTGATTAAAAGAGAAGTTTTTTGAATGCGATTGATAAAGTTTTAGTATTAGATTTATTTAATTAAAATCAAAAATAAAATACTTTTTTTTTTGTAATAGAAAGCCTTTTTACGCTAAAGCTTTTTATATATCAAAAATTAAAATAGATTGATTATTTTTCTTACATAATTACCTAGTCACTTTATTTTAGATGTATTTACTTAAAAATAAAACTATTGTTTTAGCTAATCAATTATCATTTTTTTAAAGCTTTTGTTTACATTCTTCTCTTTTCTCTTTTGTTTTTGTTTTAAAATTATTGATTCAAAATATTATCTATCATGAGTTTACAATCCACATTCTTAAAAATATATTATAAAAAAAAATAATATTAAAATATATTAGCTTTTACTAATTTAAATAAAATTTTTAGTATTTATTTTGTTAAAATCAAAAATAAAACACTTTTGTTTTGTAATAGAAAGCCTTTTTAGGCTAAAGATTTATTTTTTACCTAATTATGAAAAAAGATTGATTAACTTATGATTTTTAACAAAATAATTTGTGCCTTATTTTTGATATATTTATATAAATATAAAATTCTGACTAATCAAATATCACTTGTTTAAAACTTTTGTTTGCATCCTTCTTCTTTTTTCTCTTTTACTTTTGGTTTTAAAATTAGAAAGTTTTATGATTCAAAATATTATCTATCATAATTTTACAATATAAATTCTTAAAATATTTTTAAAAATAATAAAATATACATCAACATTTTTTTCTTATTTATAATAAAATTAAAATAAATTAGCTTTTGTTAAATTTTGACTTTGATTTTATTACTTATTTTTAATATTTAAAAATGTTTCTAGATGCTTTTTCTTTTATTAAATTTACAAATTTCTATGAGAAGTGTCTAAGTATATTAACAAGAGTTGTTTTTTTAAAGTTTTAATCAGAATTAATTAGTTTTAATTTTAAAATTCATTGATTTTTATAAATGTATTTTTTAACCATTTTAAAAAGAAAAAAATGGCTCATTAAAGAATATTTTAAAATAGCTGAATGGTGAAACAAAATCTTTTTGTAAGCATTTTTAGTCAACAGTTTTTATCAATTGAAAAGTATGAAATATTTTTAAGAAAAAAAATTTGTTGAAAAAAAAATAAAAGATATTATTTATTCACTTTGATTACCAGCAAAAACAGTAATAAAGATATTTATTCAACAGAATATTAGGTTAGAAAGCATATTTTATTATTATAAATCATAAAATGAATGATATTCTATATTATGTTTTAAATATATATCCATTATTCTAGATAGGTTCCTAAAAAGCATAATGTTCAGAATATTAATAAAAATATTAAGACTTAGAAAAATTGAAAGAATTGAAGATAGATCCCTAATATTTATAGATTCATAATATAAACATCTAAAAAGAAAAGTATTATTCTTACTTTTGTAAGGTATAACCAAAAATAGAATTTTTTATGATAAAAAATTAATTTAAAATAAAAAAAAATTTAATTCAAAAATTGTTCAATTTTTATTAACAAAAACAAAAATATAAAAGAAAGTTAAAAATCTTTAAACCAAAATAATTTTATATTTATAAATTTTTATTTATCAGAAAACTTATACTCTTAACATAAATTTGTTTATATTTTCAGTTTCTTAGGTAGAAAAATTGTAATCGCTTTTTAAAATATATTGTATTATATATCTCGCATCTTCGTATTGACTTTATTCTATAATTTTTGGCAAAATATATAAAAATTTCTAGAAATTAATGTTGCTTTATTCTTTTGTTTCTTTCAAACCTTTAATATTTTCGATACTGATCATAGCTTTAGCGATTATAAATGAAATATTAAAAAACTAATAGTCAGAATTCTTAGATTTTTATTTAGCTTCAAATTTTTTCAGCAAATCAGATATTAAACTTATTTACTCAGGAGTAATATAATCTTTACAATGTCTCACAATTTTAGTTAGGAAATTATTAGCAACTGTACCAATCAAAAATTTACTGATATATTTTTCATCAGATATAATATCAAAATAAATTTAACTTATAATTGGATATACTTATGGGTTAATCTCAAAAAAATCATTAAATCCTACAAGACATAATTCAACACTTTCCATATCAGCAAAAATAGGTCGTTTTAAGATTTCGTCTCTGTAACTTTCTTGATAGTATAAAAGGTTTTAATAAACAATTCTATGTCTCAGTAGTCCTTAAATAACTAAGTATGGCATTTTGATACCCTCTATAATTTTATCTGGTAGTTTTTAGAATAGGGTTGTTAAAAGACTAAGTACATTTATAATGTGCATTTTGTCTAATCTGATTAGTTAGAAAATCATTTTCATTATAGATTCATAAAATTATTAATATAAAATTAAAATTATTTATTTATCTAAAGATTTTATAATGTTTGATATTAAAACGGTTAAAAATGTTTCGTAATCTTCTGATTTATCTTCTTATTATTTTAATATTTAATACACTGTAATCTAATACATCTAAAATATTTCAATAGCTCCTTATTCAAGGATTTAAGAATTTCCTTGTGATTAAATTTCTTCTTGATGCTTTTTTAGGTAGTAGACTTAAGTAGATTTAATTATTTGTAAAATTATGTCCATAATAAAGTGTATGCTTTTTTCGAAAATGAGTTCATATTACAAATTTTACAAAAATAAGTTAAAAATGTCAAATTTTTTATAATCTATGAAAATTTCTGTTGACTCCTTGCAAAAAGTCAAGATCACATTTAGAGCTTCTTCAACAAAATTTTATTCTTAAAAGCTAGGTTCGTAAATGAGTTACTCTTATTCTTCTTCTTCCTCTTCATTGTCTTCTTCTCCAATAAAATGAGCTTACATATCAACATTAAAATTCATATTCTAAATAGCAGGGTTTGGGTTTTGTTAATTTTGTTGATTTTAATTTTCTTCTACATCTTCAAAGCCATCGTCAATTTCCCCCTAAGTTATTTTATATTAAATTAATTTATGTACTAAAATTCAGTAAAAAGTTCATTCATTTTTCAGTTTATTTTTATGCCAAATGCGAAAAGTTTATTTTTTTAAAAAAATTATTTTTATCAACAATTACTTTTTTTAATAAAGAATTAATTTTAAATTACTTGCTATATATTTGGTAAGTGCTCTTATTAATCTAAATCAAGCTCGTCTAATTCTTCATACTAATATTAAATATTTCTGCTTTTAATTATAATCGGACAATTTTTGACTGAACCATCTTTCAAAGCTGATGGCAAAACTTAAAGAAAAACAGAATCAAAACACTATTGAGACCCTAGTATTTCCACACTTAAAATTTTAAAAAATTTATAGTAGAGGGTTTTTTAGGCATTGCTTATTTTATTTGATGAATTGTATATCTTTTAAGCTAAATCTTCAGCTATGGTTTTGATGTTTTATTTTAGCTCATTACATTCTAATTTTAACTTTTGCTTTATTTTTAAAATAGCACACAGGCAGATTTAATGATTCTTTTCAATTAAAAACTCTCTCTTTTCATGATCAACATTCATTTATAAGAAAAATTTCTCAATCTTTTGAATTTCATCTTCTAGATACAATTCAATATCTTCCAAATCCAAAATTTATTTTATAAAGTTTTATATTCCATCTGTTAGAGTAATATCTTGTTTAAAAAAATTTTCATGTGTGTATTCCTTAATTAAAATATGAAGTAAATCTTTTGCGTATGGATACAACTAAGATTGATCAATTTTTTGGAGATCTTAAAATATATTTAAAAATACATCTAAAGCAAAAATCTTTGATTAACAATCATTTATTTTAAATACTTCTATTAATTGTGGAATGAATTACTTATGTTGCAATAGAATATACTATTTGAAAGATATTACTAATTAAGCAGCAATTCTTGCTGTAAAGTTATATAAAAAAGGATCAAAGAGCATGTAGCTAAAGAATTTGAAAAATAAATCTACTTCTTTTAGCTCAAATTCTTTTGAAAGTATGCTACTCAATGTTTAAAAGCAGCCTATCACTTAAAATTTATCACTTTTATTAACAACAAGTATATCTTCCTAAATTAACTTCTAACTGTAATCTGTTTGAAATTCTTAATTTTAACTTATTACTTAGCTTTTGCTAATAATAGAACATCTCTTTTCAATATCATTTAGCTCCTTGTATATAAAAGCTATGACCTTATTTTCATTAATTCCTGTTAATACTAAATTTATTATTTCTTATAATTTCAAATAAACTTCATCGTTAAAAGAAAATTTATCTGCAATAGGTAATTGCTCAAAAAACCCTAATTTAAATACTTATATAAGAAGTTGTAAATACAATTCTTTTTCTTATTTTACAAACATATAGTAGGAATCACTTGTTAGTATGACTTAAACTATATCTAAGCAAATGAATTAATAAAGCTGAAAATGTTAATCTTTTGCTTCAAATATATTTTTAACTAAATATTTTTCTTCAAAATTATTTTCTAAATTTAAAATTTATTCTGAAAATAAGTTAATTTTGTCATATAAGTATTTAATTTACTCTAATCTTTAGTCTTCAAGAATCAGATAAATTTCTTTTTTAGTATTTTGCTCAACTTTTCCATAATTGATATCAACATTTTAGAAATATGCATCATTCAAATTAGTTATCACATTTAATAACTTTCTATGCTATTAAGGAGTTATAAATTCTGTTTAGTTTTATGTTAGAATGAAGAGATATTAGCATATTATAGCAAAGTTATACTAACAAATAATCTCTATGTCCTAAAGATTATTGTAAAGTATTTTCTTGAGCTTAGAAAATTAGGTTTTACTCATTTATTTGCGTAAAAATAGTAAACAATTAATTGCCAACGCATTAACTTCTTCTATTTAATTTTTTTAGAAAACTCCTTTCTAAATCTAAGTTTTATTAGATATTTTTAGAAGCTCGTCTATAAGCCTAGATGGCTCTTATATTTTAACTAGGCTAATCTATTAAATATTCTCCTGTTATATAATTAAATCGAAGGAATCTTTCTAATTTTCTCTCTTTTTTAAAACAACACTTAAGAATATGAGTACCCTTAAGCATTATTCTGAATTTTTCTAAATTACATATCTTATTAAGCTATCTCCCTCTATGATAATCTATTGATTAAAGTAAGTAGCTAGAACATATAAAGTTTAAATATGTTTCAAGCTAGAGTCTGATGAAATATAATTTGTTAAAATGCTGTTAAAAGTTTTTTGCAGCATAAAATTATCTTAAGAGCATTCTTTTATCAATAGAGAAGTTAAAATAGAAGAAATTTATGTGTAATTATCTGAATGCTCTTATTTAAATAGGGCATCAGTTAACTATTAAATAATTTCAAACTTATTCTCCTTAAACTAAGAAACTATGTCTTTATATTGCTTGTTGATATTTTAAAAGTCAAAACTATTTAAAAATGAAGTCATGTCTTAATCTAAAGATTTGATTTAATAATTATATTTTTATTTATGTTTAGAGATTAGTTATGACTATTTTAGTATCAAAATCAAAGAAAAATAAATTCCCTCTACATATTTTATCAGAATTCCAATAGATAGCAAGACAATAAAAGATATTTTAACATTTGATATTGAAATCTAATTTTTTTATTTATTCATAATCCATCCTAAAATATTGATGAATATTTATTTACTACCATAGTATTATAAATACTATAATAGAAATATCTCATCAATATAATTATAGAAAGACATTCATTAAAATTATTTGATATTTTATTAAAAATTAAGCTAATTTTTTATTTAAAATATTTTTTTTTATTACATTTTAAAATTATAAGTAATAAATATTGTTTAAAATAAATATTTAAATGATTAAAAATAATGATTGAGAGAGTAGCAATAATAAAGAATAATAAGCAGTGATATTTTTGAATTTGTTAATGACTGAAAGAATCTTTTAACTTAATTCAGTATCTATGTAAATTATTCATCACTAACTCACTCACTTTTGTTTGAATTTCAATTTTTATTTAATTTTTATTAGTTTTTTTCAAATTGATTTAAAAAGCTAATAAATAAAAAAGTTATTATTTTCATCTGTTTATTTTAAGAAATGTAGCAATAATTAAAGAAAAAAGTAAAGGAGAAAGTAGAAGAAGTTTATCCAAACAAAAATACTCTTCTAAATGAGCTACGCAATGAAAACAATAAAAAATACATTTAGCCTGAATGCTTGACATTAACTTATAAATAAATAGAGAAGATTGAAGAGCAAGGAATACCGGATATTTTTACAAGCATTCCTTATGTTCATTTAAGTCATAATAAAATAAGTAGTTTAAAAGGTATTTAATAGTTTAAGAATCTGCAGGGTTTGTCTGTTTCTCATAATTTGTTAGCTGATTGGACTGAGTTGCTGAATATTGAGGATAAATCTCAAATTTAATTTCTTAGAGTAAGAAGAAACCCGCTTTGCAAAAATCCCAATTATCACTCTAAATTATTGGAAGCATTTTAAAATTTAGAGAAGCTTGATGACATAAAAATAGATGATAAATGCCATTAAATAAAATATTAAACTTAACATGCTTCATAGCCATATGTTATGCAGCTATTTAAAGTGCTACAAATAGAATTTGAGAAAATAGAGCTGAAAGTTTAAGGTTTATATCCTCATCTATTTGACGAACAAGCCCCAACTAGTTAAAAAATGAATTAAATTGCTCAGTTAAACAAAAATGCTTAAACTGCAAGCACAAATAATATTTTAGGCGAGCTAAATAGGTAAAAGGCTAATAGCTATAGTTTCATTAATTCCAAAGGAGTTTCTAATGTTACAATAAACTAATAAAATTAATCTACTAATAGATCTAATTTACAATAAGGTCTAAATACAAGTATTTCTGTTACATAGGCTCCGCCTATACAAAGCTATAACTAACTTAAAAATTAAATAGAAGATGTAAATTATGACTTCTTTGATCATTTAATTGCATTCTTAAATAATGATCCTACTTTGAAGTTGAAGAAAAGTGCAGGTTCTATTCTTTTAGGTGGATTTTTATTGAGATTATGGAGAATGCTAGGAAATTTTATGCTAGACCCTTTTTATAAAAATATGATGAATATATACGATTTGCAAATAGATTTGTTTAGTAGGATTATGAAAAAATACAGGGAGAGGCATGACCACACAATTGAATAGTTTCTTTAGTAATAATGTGAAAATAATCCAAAAGTTGATAAATAGCGTCTATTTTCTGATTTAAATTATGGCTATGCATGTTTTTTCTAGGAATTATTCAAAATTTCAGAATCACCAATTATTGAAGAATACGAATTTGTAAAAGATCATTTGGGAATCATCGAAAGATAATCTTTCTAAGAGTAAGAACAGGTAAAAAATATCAATAATCAATCAAAATAATAGGCAAATTTAGTACCATCTTAGCCAGCAAATTTATAGTCATAAAATATTAATTAAAATGAACTAGATTAACATTTATAAGGAGTAAGACCTGCTTCTCAATAGTATAATCCACAAACATTTGCAAGTTAAATGAGTTAAAGTATAATGGAGGACTATAACAAGGAATAAAAAAAAGTAAACTAATCTCAAAGTCATTTCAAGAATTAATCAGATCTTTCTCCAAAAAATGTTAACTATTTTATCAGTAAAAATGAGCAATATTAACAGTAGTAGCAAAGTCAGGCAAATGCTAATTAGGCAAATCTAGAAAAAGCTGCTTACTAAGCAGAAATTATGATAATACAGAATTATTTCCCTTTATTCTTACTAAATCAAGATTATATGGAAATTGTATTTGAATGTGTTGTTGAAAAGTTAGTAGCCTTACTTCATGGTTACGAAATAATGATGTATGGAGAATTAGAGGACGATGATGAAGTTTTTTATAAGTTTTAAAATGTATAAAAAATTTTTATGATTTATAATCCATAAGAAGAAATTTATCAGTCAATATAAAATATTGGAAAGCAATAAGCAATTAATGAGTCTCGTTTGGAAAATTAATCTAGAACAAAATCAGAAAAAAGCATAAACAACTTAAAAAGGAGATCTAGTGCCAATTAGAGTGCCCTTTCAAATAGGAATAATGCTTCTTAAAATTAAAAATCAAGACTTTCTAACAGATAAATAGATGCATCTTCTTATGTTAGCTAGTCAAAAACTAATATGTCAGTTCGCTCTATGAGACAGTAAACAGCTGAATCAATAGGAAGTAGAAAGACTCTATAATAACAATAAAAAGATAGGTCACAATCAGTTATTGATTAATTGAATAATACTCTGACAAGGCTTAACTCAAAAAGAGGACTTACAAACTCTTTTATTTAAAATAAATCAGCACTTAATTTAAATTAAAATACTACTTATCAATAGTTATAGCAGTAATAACAACAACAGTTGAATAATAACTATACTAGCAGATCAAATGGAAATATTGTTCCTGATTTATCTCCCATTAACTAAATAGGAAATAACTATAATACAAATCTGTTAAATACTTCTCAAAATTAGACAGGTCTCAATATGTCTAGAGAATAAATGTTTTAGTCTTTAGGTTAATAAGGGTAGTAATAGTAAAACTATTAAACCTTGTAATTAACAGATTATTCTCCTTTAAATTAATAAGGAAATCATAGTATTTCTCAAAACTATTAAAGTACAAATATTTATGACTAAGCGAATAACTCACCATTTAATATTTAATAGCAACATTCATAATAATAAGAATAAGAAAATGCTTTTTCTAAATCTATAAATTAAAATCAATATAGCAATAGCTAAAGGCAAATTAATAATGGAACTTTACCGTCTGAAGAAATTTAACAAGGATAAATTGGAACTTCATATTTCATGCAACAGAATTTGAGTTCAAAAGAAAATAATAGCATAGATCATTCTTTTAATAAGCAATAATCGTTTAGCAAATTAAATTAAAGTAAAAGTGCAGCAAATTTTAACCAATAAAATTATTTGTCTCATCCTGGATAGCATATTGGAAATTATGATTCAAAAGAATACTCCTCATATAAAGAATACATTTTGAGGTAACAAATACCTTGGAGCTAAATGGAGCAATACAAAAGGTCACTGTAAAAGAGTCAGTATTTTGTAACAATATTGAAGAATATCATTCAATTACATACAATACCTTAAATGAAAACTTTCTTCTTGAAATTAAAACTAGCTTCAGATAAAAAGTTACTGAGCTTATACAATATTTTGCAAAGAAGAATGAAAATGAATGCTTTTAAGTTCTGGCACAGATAAGTTAGGAAATGCACTAAAAACCTATTATTTAATCTTATGATAAAGCAAAAATTCTTTAATATTTTAAGGAAAAATGCATATCTACAAAAAATATAAGCTGAAAAACATAGCAATTTACAAATTAAATACAAAGTATTCTATGGGTTGGTTAAAATACTAAGAAATAAAAGAAAAATTAAGAAGGGACTAAGAAAAATAAAGCGTTTAGTTTTGAAAAAAGCTATTTTACCTATATTTTAAAAGCTTACCTTATACTACTTGACAATCCCTAGAAATCACACAGTATAAGAAATAAATTATAACAAAATTCATTAGAAAAGTAAGCAACTCTTCAATCAACTATCAATACACTTTAAAATTGAAGATGATTACAAAACTTTACAGCATTAAAAATAAGAAGTTATTTTATAATCACTAAAATCGTAAATTATAGATTAACCGAAATAAAGTCTTTAAATTAAAGATTCATTTAAGATTGCATAAGAATAAATTGATATCCTAAATCATCAAAGTAGAATACAGCCAGATAAAGGAATCCTTTCACAAAGAAATTCTGCTATTTTAAACAATAATAAGAAATATACGAAAGATGACGAAGATAATAAAAAAACTATAAAATAAAAATAACAACCTTCAAAAAGTTAAATATAAAAAATATCTCAAGATAAGACATTTAAATAATCTCAAACAAACTCTCAAAATTAAACCAGAAGATGAGCTCTAAATAAATTTTGATTGTTTTTTGAATTTATATTTTGATTATTTGTAATTTGTATATATTAAAATAAAAATAATTGCTTTCTTACTTTTATCAATTTCGCATATTTTTAAAACTAAAAAAAGTTTTTAAACAATTGGTTTTAAATTAATTAATAATTTTATTTATGTATTTAAAACCATAAAAAGTAAATTTTATTAAAAAATTTAATGAGATAGCCAAATAATAAATAATTTATTTAAGAAAATTATTTTTTTTTTTAATATTATTAATGTTTTTAAACGAGCATATAAACACAAAAATATTATTTGAATTTATTTTATAAAAGTGTTTTGAAAAGATAAAAAATAAAATTTAGTTTTCTTTAAATAATTTTAGTTAGAAGCATGGATTATAAAAAATAATTAGTTTATCAAGTAAATTTTAAATATTTTTCATAAAAATATCTTAATTATGTAGAACTTTAATTTTTTATGATTAAAGTATCAATCTTCTTTTGAAAATACAATTTTATTTAATATTTTTAAGAAATTTAATATGAGTTAGTTAGTTAATATTAAGGATTTACTTAAGTATAAACAAATGAAATAACAAAAATAGTTAAATTTCTAAAATCTATATTCAAGAGTAAGCATAATTTTTTAATTCATTAAGTTGCTCTTTTACCTATTTTTTATTGGAAATAAATAAATTGTTTATAATTAATTAATTTAAAATTACATCATTTATTTTAAAATCAAAATTTTATTTCTATGTCTCCAAGAATTCTAATCTTTGTATTTAATTTATCTCTTTTTCAATCTTTTGCTCCAGAATTCCTTTTAATATAAAGTTTTTTAAAAATTAAATAAAACTGCTTATAATTACTTATAGCTTGAGCTGATTTTGAGAATTTTTGGCGAATGTTTTCAAGATTTTTTCTTAAAGTGATGTTTTCTTCACAAAGGGGATTATTTTTTACAGTTGTTTTTAAATCTGTTTCATACTTTTAGAGCATTGATTCGTATTCTAATTATTATTTTGATATTAATTCTTTTTATTTATTGTGCTCTAGTATTTCATTTATATGTGACTGTAATTTTTCATTTTGTATTTTGCTTACTATTCTAAATAAAATTAAAATATTTTTAAAATTGAATTGGAGTTGTTTATTAATAAATCATATTACTAATTAATTATGTATTCAATTTTTTTCTTTTCAGAAACAACCAGCTAATATTAATTCTCAAACATTTTGTTTTCTATACTTGACAAATTTTGCTATTAAATATCTATTGTTTAAGTTCTTAACTTATCTATGACCTTTTACTGATTAAATATTTAATTTTTTTGCTTCTCGTTTTCAGAGAACAAGAGAGCCATTTATTTTTTATTTTATGCATAATAATTCTCTTTTAAATTCATTTCATTCAAAATTTCTTATGATTATTTTTGTGCATGTGCTTTCTCTTATTACAGTTCATCTATTTTTATAAGCAGCTCTTTTTCCCTCTCTTTCCACTCTTCTCCTTCGTTGTTAAAAGAATAAAACTACTTTTCCATATTAGAAAGCTTTTAAGTTAGAATCCTATTTTCTTATCTTTAAAAAATTAAATCTTCAACATGTGAATTAGTTATTTTTGTTTCAAAAATGTTGTTTTAAGAATGATAAGTGGTTTTATTTACCTGATATCGCTGTATCTTTTAAAAACAAAGATTGAATCAGATAATATAAGGCTAAACATCTCAAAATTAGCTTAAATCTATTAAGAAAGACCAATATCTTCACTTTCTAACAATTCAGTAAGTATCGATTTTGCTTATGATATATTTTACAAGTCTTTTTGAATTGAAGAAGGAATCTTATCAAAAAATTCTTTAATTTAGGCATTGATTTTCTTAATCTAATCCTTTGAAATTTCAAAGTCTTCTAAAAATTCTCTACCCTTCTTTTTCAGCTCACTTCTCTCCTTATTCACATTTGAAAGATGTTCATCAACATTTAAATACTCTTTTTGCAAATGGTTTATCTAAGGGAACAAAGAAATAACATTTTTTCAATTCGTTTCACTTTAAAAAACAATAATTTACTTTTTAGGTTAAAATGTGGTGTGTTTATTATTATTTATGTAATGAGTCCTTACTCAGCTTATTCTACTCTAAGAGTTCTGTATATTTCTAAACAATCTATTAGTTTTAGAGTTATAACTTTGCGTTTTCGCTTTAAAAATGGCTATTCTATTGCTGCAAAAACTAATTTTCATCTAAAATAGATTGGTAGTTTCTATCTAAATCTTGCAATTTTAAAGTTTATTATCTGAAAGCCTCTATTTATACACTATAATTTTAATGCAATTCTTAGTAATTTTATTCTTATCTATCACGTTCCTGTCTAAGATCATTTAATTTAGTTCTTAGCTATGTAATTTCTTCCTGCATTTTTTGATTTATTTTAAAATTAATTGAGTTGATAGATAGATAGTAAAAATTAACAAATAAATTTCAAATTTTTATTTATAGATTTTGAAGATATTATTTTTATCATTCAAAAATTATAAAATCAAACGTATATAGATAGATTATGATTTATTTCATAAATAATATTTAGTTTCAGTAAATTTTTTATTATTTTTTATAATAACTTTTAATATAAAGAAAAAGAATATTATTTTAAAAGCATTAAATTAGGTTACTATAAACATTGATAATTTCTCAGCAATTAAGATATAAATTTGTAATATCAAATGATAAAGATGTAGATAGATTATTTGTTATAGTCAAATTATAGATTAAAATTTATGGTTTAAAGCACTTTTCCTTATGAAAACATTTATAAAAAAGTTAAATTAATTAATTCTTTTAACTTTTTAAATTGCTTCTTACTATGATTATGTAAAAATTTTCTATAGAAATGCAATGTATTACTTTTAATTTTGAATATTTAATTTATTATGAAATCTTTAATAATACTCATTCAAAAATTAACATTGTTTAACTATTGGTTAAGGAGATTGATATTATTTTATTACGCAATTATACAAAACTCTAAAGATCAATAAAAGTTTAACAATGAAATTAAAAAAATTTTTGATTTTTTTAACATTTTGTTTATACACAAAAGCATAATTATAGACTACATCTTATTTTAAAGTCAAAAACTTTTTCCAATTTTTTAATTTTATTTTCTCATAAGATGCCATTTGAAATGCTTTTCAAATTGCAAGCTTTACTTTGCCACCTTCAACTTTAACATCACCTTCCTTTTGTTGAGACTATTATATAAATTGTAATATAAACGATTAATCATGAAAATATTTCTAAAATGTATTTTACTGATGAGGCATCGTTAAAACCTAAGTCTAATTTAACTTTATCACCAGGCTTGAATGCAGGTAAACCTTTTTATTATATAGATAATTTGTTATTTTTTTATATCAAAATTAATAAGTTTAAACCTTTGTAAGGACAGCTAGCACATCTGAAGGCATCTCCTAAATAACAATTACCACAGCTAGATTTAATATCACCCTTTTCAAGAGCTTGGAGAAGCTAATCATCAGATAAACCTTGTCTATTTTATATAATTAAAAATAATTACAATCGATTTGCTTTTTTCATTGTGTTTAAAAGTGTTAAAATTAATTTATGCTGTTTGAAAACATTATTAAAATTTTACTCTTTTTCTTTTCTTCCACAAGTGCAGTTCTTGCAAGCTTTTGGCTTAGTAGCACAACTTTCTTCAGTAGGGACAACAACATTAACTTTATCATTGTTTAAGAGAGCATCTTCATCAACAGTGTTGTTGTCGATTTTTACTGCCTAGAAAGCATTTTTCTTTTTAATTTAAGGTTCAACTTGAACAACAGGACTATGCATATATTATCCATAAACATTGTTTTAAGTTTCAGTAGTAGCAGTAGTGCTATTTTAATTTTAAGTAGCATTAGTAGAGGCTACTTCTCTCTTAAGAGAAGCAGCTTATTAAAATTCAGGCTTAACAAAAACTAATTAGTTTGAAGTAGCAGTCTAAGCAGGATTGCTATTCTTAAAACCAGTAGCTTTCAATAATTTAACAAACTTTTCAAAATCTTCCTAATTAATTGAAGTGAATTTAATAATAATTTATCCTTCATTAGCCAAAATTCTATATATGTGTCCAAGAGTTTTCAATGGTAATTCGCTAATGTTATCAACTTAAGCCAAAAATAATTTAAAAGAGTTGTCTCTTAAATATTCAATCAAAATTGTGGAGTCAGCAACAACTGTTTCCTTAATGTTTCTTGTTTCTAAAAGTGATTCTCTTTATTCCTTGCTTGCAGCGAAAACGACTGTATTCATTTTTATATTTTTCAACGAGACTATATTAAACTTTACCTAATAATAAATTTGTAATTTTGTGATTTTTATTTATTATTCTAAAAGTTTCTTTCTTTTTTGGAATTTTTCTAATTATCTTTTTATCTTAAAGGAAATTTACCAATTCGCTCCGAAATGATTGAAATATACATTTTCTCATTTATAGCATCTATGCTTACTTTATATGGCTTATCAGAATGGCGTATATAAAATGATAATCCTTCTTTAGAAAGCAAATAGTTATGATATAATTATTCTAGAAATCTTCTATTTATATTACAAAATCTTTTTTTATAGAATAACTGCTAAAAATGTTTTTCTTTTCCACAATATAAAAATATCAAAATAATAGGTTTCAAAAATTTAAAAATAATTCATATAAATATATTTTAGACATCTAAATATATATTCTAACAGAAAATAATAAAACAATTATGATTACTTTTCATATATTCTGGCCAATTAATATAATTATTATCTATTTACACTAAAGATAATAAAATTAACTTTCAAGCTTAAATTTTAGCCTTACTTTAATATTCTATGCACTTTCAAACGTATTAGAAAAATAAAATATTATATAAAATAATGCTTATATATTTTGTGTAATTCACTTCTTTTTGGACAATATAGTGTGGACAAACTTGAGCATTCAATTTCGCGAAAGGAAATGCTGTGCTTGAATACATTTAGTAAGTAACTTGAAAGAATAAGGAATTGCTCAAATAATTAGTAATTAATGAATTATACATTTATTACTTTTTTAAATCAAGTAGGAAGAATACTTTAAATAAAATAATTTATTCGATATCATATATATTAATTTAAATTAGATATCTAAATAAAGGATAATAAAAATATAATTTTTAATAATATTATTAGCCACTTTATTCACTTAATAAATTACTTTTTTACTATAGTTGTGTCGATATATCGAATTTTTCAAATATCCAATCTCCATATTAAATATAGATAATTATTTATTTTTATTTTATCAATCATTTTAGGTAAGCAATTATAAAATTTTCAAATTTTAGAACTATGACATTTTATTTTAAAAATATATGTATCTATCAATATAAAAAAATTAAATATTGAGAAATGTTTTTATTTAGAAATTTATGAAAATATTTATGGATTGTGTTTTTAACATGAATTAAATGTATTATATTATATGGAAAAAAATTAAAACCAAACATATAATTTAGGAATTTATGTTAATTTAAATTTATGGTTTTTTAAGTAACAAATTTTACCACAAAATTAGTAATTATTATGGATTAATAAAAGATAATAAAGTAAGTTATTAAAATCAAATATTTTTTATTATCTCAAACTGCAGTTTAATTTTATTTAGGAACAAACTGCTATATACTTTGAGATCAAATTTTATAAATTTTAAATTATCAGAACAATACAACAAACAAAACCACTTTTGTGAATAAATTATTAATTAATTAATTAGTAGAAGTAGGATTTTTCTTTGCGTTATTATTAAATTAATTAGAAACAAAATAAGAGGAAATTTAAAAATTAATTTATTAATAAGTAAGTAAGTTAGTTTGTTAGTTAGTTCATTTTTTAGGTATGTAAGAATTCTAGATAGAGTAGTCTTAAACTTCAAAAATCCAGAAATCACTCTCGTTTGGGATAGCCATCAAGCTTACATTGAGCTTTTTAGACCTTTTGGGTAGCATCGATTATATTGTCAATGCTTAGAAATGTGAATAATTTATAAACTATATGCTCTACGCCATCATTGGAATCAACCCTTTAATTTAGGCAATTTTTTGGTCTAAGATATTTCATAAATCTGCTGAGCTAGATAAATAACATAAGTTTGGTTCTTAGTATCACTTATCTTAACTTTAAAAGGAGTTGGTTTACTCTTAGAATATGAGTTTGTAAAAAGTTGTTAAATTATAAATAAAATCTTATTTTGCTGAATGCTTAGGTGAAATATTTTCAGTATTAAGGTATCTTCCTCATGGAATAGTTTATTCGCTGGGTAGTCAGCTAAGGATACTAAACATTCTTATTTCATCCAAATATTGCAAGAATTTGACAATAACTCCTCACTTTTTCAATGTTTTTCGCTAGAGACTTAACTCATAGGGAAATGAAATATAAATTGAGACAGGCCACTATAAAACTAAACTTAATGACTAGGATGAAGTCATAGACGATAGAATATGGCTATAGATGGATATAGAAACTTCAGTAAACAGAAGTGACAAGAGGAATACTTAACCCAGCAATTCTACCTTTAATGAGTCTCAATTACTTGAAGTACTTTAGCCTTAAACTTTTATGGATGTCTTTACAAGCTAATAAATGAGAAGGTTTATTATGATTTCAGAGTCTATTTAATTCTTGTTTTAAAGTGTTCCTTTTATCATTATTGAAATTATTAACAACTAGATGACACAAACTTGGTTGTCTGTTGATGAAACTTACATACCAAATTTAGCTATATTCATACTAGCTTGCATATAAGTTACTTTTACTTTGAACATTTTTATTGATCTCCTTATTACAGAAGATTCTATCTTATATTTGAAAATGTAAGACCTTCTCAAATACTATGACGAATAATTTAAAAAAGGAGCTAACGTACATCCTTTGATATCTATTCCATAGATACCTTCTGAATTTGTCTTTTTAGACATCAAAGATGCCTTCTTATTTAACAACATTAATCAAAAATTCAAAGATAGGATTAAGTATCTGAAATATTTGATTTCTAAATAACCAGATTTATTTTAGCATTATATCACTCTCCTTGGTTAATATAAATGCAATAATCTCAAAAGAATTTAGTTTGATTTAAAGTAATCTAAAATATATTGCATTTGTTTCTTTTAATTTGTTTTATTAAATATTTAATTTATTGTTTTAATTAATTAAAAATCAATAAAAATAAATTTTAAATAAAAAAATACTTTGTTTTTATTGATTAAAAGTTTTTGATTAAATTTTAAAAAGGTAAAATTAGTTAAATGACTAATCAATTGATCATATGATAAGCAAGAGCTTTGAAACACTTACAAAATGTGAGTAGCTTATTGATGTTAGTTTCGATTTTAGGTAATTAGAGTATTTAGTTATTTAAATATTTAGTAATACTTTTTTATAATGATATTAGCTAAAATGAAATCACAAAGGCTGGCTCTTAAAAACTGACAACTTACATTAGCAAAAGATTCAAACTATAAAATCTAGAAATAATATTTAGGTAAACTAAAATCAATTCAATAATCTTTACATTTTTTATATAAATGTAAATAGCAAAAACAATATACTTTTATAAGAGGCATATGAATCTCTTAATAGCTTTAAAGAGTACTTAAATGTTAAAGAAACTAAAATCGTCTGGTAATTATTTGTTCATAATTAATACTGAATTAAAATGTAATAATTTGCTAATTAGGAGTGACCATTACCAAACAGAAAACATTTTATCAAAGAAATCCCTTATTGAAAATGAGAGTGTTTATGTACTACTTTACAGAGGATCTCACCCGTTGGAAAAATATAAGGAAATGATTGACAAACACCAATCTTTCCATTTAGATATATAGTAAATATTCAAATTAATAAATTTACATATTTCCCTCCTTTTTTTTTAACTCATTTTTTCTCAAATTTGCTTTTAGTAATTTCAATTTAATTAAATGTAATAAATCGTAAAAAATTTTTTGAGTGGCTTAAACAAAATAGTTTAATAATTAAAAATATTCCTTTAAATAATTATAATACTAATAATTAAAAGAATTGACGAATTGTAAGCAGACCTTATATACAACTTTTCTAAATTGAAGATAAATGATGCTAGATATTCTGTTTGGTAAATTAATAATAAAATAAATTATTTTTAGAGTTTGTTTAATTCGATTTAGTTCACATATTGAAGACAAAAGAAGCTTCACAATATACTCAGATCTTAGGAAAATCAAATATGAAGAGAAGCTTAAATCGCTTTAACATCACAACAATATCTCAAACGGAGTTTTTATATTTGATCTACAATGCCTCCTTCTTTCTAGCAAAGACAATATAAATTCTGATAGTCTAGAAAGACTTGCTCTATAATTAAATTAGCTATAAAAATATCAGGCTATTGTTCTTGATTTAACGTAATTAAATATAAAATTAATTCTAACTTTATAAAAATTATTTTTTTCTCTCAACAAAGGTCATTTAACATAAACTTTGACTTTATACCTAGCTTTGCTTCTACTTTCAAAGAAGATTCAGCGATCAAAAAATAAGTTCACCTTTACATAAAGTAGATATTTTAATTTATAGTTTAATAATTTTATTAAACTCTTTAATTTAGCTATGAGTCTATAAACTATGAATCTGTAGAATAGCTCTTAAAGATATAAAACGATTCTGTCAACTTACCAAATTCAAGTGAAAATGATAGAAGGATACTCATATTCACTAAGTAAATTTATTTATCTTTTAACTCAATTAAAAATTAACAATCACGTTTTGTTAGGTAAAAAAATTTAAGTGAATCTTAAATCATAAACATGATCTAATCTTTTAGAAATCTTAAAGATCTTACTAGTATCTATTTGAAGTATATAATTTAAAAATGGAAAAAATTATTGTTAAATCATTTTTTAAAATAAAAGTTTACCTAACATAGAATAAAATGGTATTAGTTTATTATCTCAAAATTTAGAGCATCTTTAAAGTCTAAAAGGTCTAGAGCTGATTTTAGGGTAGATATATATTTTGATTGTTTAAAGATGCTAATTTAATTATATTTTTATTATAGAAACTGTGGAATTAAAATTGAAGGAATAAATAAAATTGCTTAGTCTCTCAAAAACTTTAAAAATCTTAACAATTTAGGAATTGACATAGAGTATTTATAAAAATAATTTTTAATTATTAAAGTATTAATAAACTAATAGGTTCTTTTAGTTAAAGGAAAATGGAGTAGCTTCATTTTGCCAAGGAATAGAGGAACTAATAAACTTAAATAGACTTTTCTTAAGGATAGAGTAATTTTATTAAATGTTAAATTAATAAATTTATTTAATATTTTTTAACAGCCATGGAAGCATTGGAAATTCAGGATTAGTTACACTTTCAAAATCTATTGAGAAATTACAAAATATTAAAGATCTCATACTCTTTTTAGGGTAATTATTTAAAAGATTTTATGTATAAATAATTTTTCTAAAAATGATTTAAAGAGCAAATAGCTTTTCGATAGAAGGAATCTAAAGTTTATCTCACTCTTTGTGCACACTTTAGAATTTGCAACAATTATCTTTGGATATGAAGTAATTTAATCATTAAAAAATTAAATTTAATTTGAGAAAAATAATATATAATAGCTCCACTAATATTGGATAAGATGGTCTAATAGAAATTTTATAAGTTATTTAAAAAAATAAACTCTTACAATAATTTACTTTAAAAGCTCAGTAAAATATTTTTAATTTTATTAATTCTTTGCACTCAAAAATAAAATAATAAAATATAGCTATGGATCAATATTTAAATCAGAATTAAGTCATAATATATAAGAATGCTTAAAGGAATCTCAATTAAACAAAATAGTCCTAGATTTGTTGTAATATAAAATTAAAAAAATAAATTATAAAATCTATTTAATTAAAAGTGGAAATAAGATTACAAATGATGGTTTTATTTCAATTACAAATGGACTTTGTGAACTTAAAAAGTTGGAAGATTTAAGTTTATTATTAAGGTTATTTATTTATTTTTAGCTAATATTTATTTATTTTTTAAAATATAAATAGTGATTGTGAAATATAAACTGAAGGATTGGATTATTTTAGTTCATAGTTAAACAAACTTGAAAAGTTAACAATCATAGATTTAGATTTCAGGTAGATATTTCTAAACTTACCTATTTTTATTTATAAATACTTTTTTAACTCCTCATAAAAATTTTGAGTAAGTATTCTTATTTTTTAATGTTAATTAATAAAATTGTTTTATTAAAAAAAGTATTGCTTTTAGAATTAATTATCTAAGTTTTTATAATTTAAAAAAAAAAATTTTTGAAAAATGAAATTAACAAACATTTTAGTTTCAACTAGAAACATTACTTTAAATATTATTTAATTTTTAAGAAATAATAGATTAAATCGAACAAGCATTTAAAAGATAAGCTAAGCTCTTTCAGAAATTAAAAAGTTGAAAAAAATAAACTTAAATCTTAGGTAAATTATAAATTTTAACTAATTAAAAAATTTATTCAAAACAATAAATAAAAAAAGGAACACATATTTAACTGAATTCCCTTTTTCTTGCTTAGTAGAAAATCTATGTATATTGACATAAATTGAAACTCTTCATTTGGATTTAGGGTATTTTTAAAAGAATATTTAAATACTTTTACAATATATTTTTAACTAATTATTAAAAGGGAGAATGAATTTTTAACAAGTCCAATGAAAAATTTGCAAATAAAATCATAAAACATAACATCTTTAAGATTCTTAAAAGTTGTCATGGAGTAATAAATATATATATTTATTAAATATCTAATTCAGATAATTATTGATTTATTAAATAAATAAATAATAGATAAAGTCAATTCCTCAACAAAGATCTCGATTATTTATCAAATTTCTTGTCATAAAATAATTAACTTTTTGAATTATCAATTAATATAAGGTAATTTAATAAATTGTTTTAATTTTGCCAATTATATTTCCTTATCAACAATAGTGGGGTATATATTGAACCAGAGAGGGTTTAAAATCTTTTAAATACTTTTGAAGACTTCAATTCTAAATTGATTAAGCTAGTATTAAAAATAGAGTAAGTTAATTATTTATTTGATTATCTTTATTTTATAAACAAAAAAATAAACAAATTAATTAATTTTATATAGTTAATCTTTGATGAATGACATCTAATACATTTATGAGAGGCTAAAAAATAGAAAAATTGACTTTCAAATATTACATTGATGAGAAAGAGTGATGACAATAATTATATTAAAATTTATTTCATCAAGCAAATCTAGTTTATTCAGTTCGTTAAAAGCAGTTAATTATAATAAAATCCTTATTATTACTATTTTTTATTTAGGAATTTTGCTGTAAATTTTTATATATAAAGTTAATTATATTATTATTTTTATTTATGTATTTTTTTTTTTTTTTTATGCTTGTTAATTGCGAGAATTTTAATTAGAAATTAAAAAATTTTTTCTGTGATTATTTGATTGAATGAATTTTAAGCTAAATCTTTTTAAGTATTTAAGAATTTTATGTGGATTAGAAAAATCTCATAACCATACATTATTTTTACAGTAATGAATTAATTTAGTATTTTTATTATATTTATCTTGTGAGTTATGAAGTTTGGATTACTGAATATCCCAGTAAATAAATTAAGAATAAATGCGTTTGAAAACTAATTGGTAAAATAAATATAAAATTTACTTTTTTTTGTATAATTAGCAATTATTCAATCAATTAATCAAAAATTATAAGTAATAATTTATAAATGTCATTTCTAAGAAACAAAAGTTAACCAAGGCTAGCCTCTTTGAGCAAAATTAATCCTTAAATGCAGGCGTTAAATTAGTTAAAAAAATACAGAATGTTGAGTATGGATAATTCCCCTATTAATAGTTATAACAAGATTGATTAACCAGGGTTTCTTCCTTCGATTCTACCTACAAATAATACTCTACCATTATCTACAAAAAGTAAAAAATCATCAGTTGACAATTCTATTTTTACAAATAATTCTATAATCCATAGCGAAAGCTATGCTAGAAAATTAAAGAAAAAAAGCTTAAGTACTCAAAATATCCATGATTAGTTCCAATATCTCAATAATAGCTAATTGAGTAATCAACAACAAAATGCTAAAAATAAACAAAGTGTATAGTTGCTAAAAAATAAAAATTATTCATAGATAAATATTAGTAATGCTAGTACTCTAAACGTATCGTAGAATAATAGTAAGCAGGATTTTAGTATTATGTTGAATGAATATCAAAATTCAAAATTGACTAAGAATGCGATAAACAACTCCTACCTTTCATCTAGTATAGCTAAATCTCTTAATTCATCAAGACTTTATGCTAATAATAGCAAAATGGTAACTGAACAAAAGATTATTAATTTTGAAAGTGAGCTCCAAAAAATGATAAACATGTATAACAATAACTAAACTCACTAGCATACTGAATCGGATAATCGAGCAAAAGCTAAAGATGACTCATTAGTCTTCGAAGAAGATAGCATTTTTGCTAATTAAATTCAAACGGATTCTATAAATGATAAAGAAATAGCTTCAAGGACAGCTATTTAAAGAAGAGATAAACTAGATTTTTAGAAACAATAAACACGCCTCAGATAAATGGATGCACTCCATTTAGAATATAAAATGTTGTTATCTGAGATTCAAGGAGATATTAAGAAAGATAATTTATTCAACATAATGAATTCAATCATAGAATTAAGTGAGAAATCATTTGGAAATTCTGAATTTCTAATTAAAAATTATTGTCTGTATGCTGATATTTGTAGAGACATTGGAGATTTTAATAAATCTGTGTAACTTCTTCACCATGCTAGGCTTATAAGCACAATCACTTCAAAATATTAAATTAAATTGCAGCTATATAAAAAAGTTTCAGAAATCCTTTCTTAGTCAGGCTAGAACGAAAAAGCTCTTGTCTATCTCAAAAAAATGTTGAGACTTTCATGGAAATTAAAAAATGATGATGTTGAAATAGAGGCTTATGACTTAATTGGAAAGGTACTCATGTTATTGGGTGAAGTTGATCTTGCCGATTTTTTCCATCAAAAAAGTATGAATAACGATAAAGAATTAGCTGATTCACCACTGAGAATAGCAGGTAATTAAAATCTTCAAAATGTTCTTTTTTAATACTAAAAAATGTAAGGATATTTTCTTTTAATGAGCCAATCCATCCTTATAATTTTTAATATTATTCATAATTTTCTATTTATAGTTCTTATTAAATAAATTTTTAGTATTAGTTTATTTAATTTTCTTAATCTAATAGATCTTATTATAATTTAAACAAAAATAATTTAACAGGGGAAATTGGAGTAAAAGTTAGAATTGCAAATTAATAAATTAACGACAACTAAACCTATAAAAGTGATAGTGATGACGATTTAGATTTATAATCTTTCCCTAAATCAAAGCAAGATGAACATGCTATGAGAAGCGAAATACTGAAGCAACAAAAAAAACAATAATATTTCTCTCTACCTAAAATAGTGACTAACTATGGAAAACGTTATTAGTCTATTGGAAGAGTTAATTTACCATCTTATATTAGAGAAGAGTTAGAAATCAAAGTTTCCTAACGCCTTAGTCACATGAGCCAAAACAGAGATTTAAAAAATTTCTATGTTTATACCTATAAAAACTAAAACTTCTGGATCAAAGATGGCGACTTTAATTAACAGTAAAGATTTTATGTGCTAAAGAAAAATTATAACAAACACAGATCAACTGTTAGCAAAATAGTAAAAGAACTAATTGCCTAATAATTTAAAAACATGTAAGAAGTAAAGTAGATTTTAGAAACAGACAACATCAAAATACTAAATCCTGATATTTTATAATGAAGCCATCAGTTATTACATTATAAGAGCATAAAAAATTAATCAATTTTCCACCCATAGTACCACTTTTCCTACTATAAATTTATTTATTTATTAAATAATAAAAAATAAATTATGTTAGTTAAATCTAATGTAATAGCAAATTATGATATATTTTTATTTATTCCTTATATTTTTAAAGTTAATATTTGTTCTCATTTAAAAAAAACAAATTAATTAAATTAAATTAGTTTTTTAAATATTTTGAAAACTATCAAAATTTTTATATTAATGTAATATGAAGTAAATCATTTTCGCTCAATCTAAATAATATCAAAATACTATGAGTTTGTATAAATTCTTAATTTTCAATCTTTCTTATTTTTTAATCAATAAACAATAAAAATAAAATCATCATTCAATTTTTTAACATTTTATTTAAAGAAAGTTGTTTATACTATATTCTTTTGATTATTTTCGATAGTAAAATTTACTCTAATTTAAGGAATGACTAAAATAATTTTTTTAAAATATATTTCTCCTTAACATTAGTTACTTTCTAAATAATAGTTGAGAATCTAAATAAAAGATTATGTATTCAATATTTTACATTGAAAATATATTGAAATTAAAAAAAATAACTAAAAATAAATTTATCTTTCAATTTTTAAGAGTAAATATTTAAACTGAAGCTAGCATTTAAAATGAAATCAAAATAATTTGTTTATAGAGCAAAGAAATAGCAAAATTTTTTATACTATCTATGTTTAAGAATGCTTAAATTATTTATTTTTACAACACTAAAAATAGAACTTTTTTTAAACTTTAAGTGTAGTTTATTATGAAAATATTCTTATTTTAGTCTTTTTAGTACAAAAGTTTTTAAAATATTAATATCTAATTTTTGGCAAACATCACCTTTTAAGTATATAAAAATTATAAATGTTTTACAATTTCACTTTAGTTTTACCAAATTTTGGATTCAAATATTACTTGAATAATAGAAAAAAAATCTAAAAAAATTATTATCAAAAAATTTATATTGAATAATATTTTAAATCTAATAAATTAGATTAAGAAAAAAATATTTTTTTGATTTAAAATTAAGTCAATAATAATTATTAAAATTTACCAGATAAAATCATAAATGTTTATAAAAAGTCTATATTATAAATAAATCATCTTCAAAAGATTTTTTGAAATTATTTTGAATGGTATAAATCAATTAATCAATAAATTATTTATTTTGAATTTGAAGTATTTTACTTGTATTAATTTTAGATACAACTTTAATTAAGATGATATCTTGTAATAAATTTAGAAATCATAAAAATTTACCTGTTTTTGTTTATTTGTTTAATAATAAGTTTTTTAGATAAACAAAATAATTAATAGCCAAGAATAATAAAGGAAATAGTATTAGTTGTAGTAGTAGTAGTTTGGAGAAATTCATCTAATATATGCGTTTATTAAATTAAGCTAAAATTGTAGCCTTAGCTGTATCCTTATAAATAATTTGTATTTTACACGTGAAATGTCATGATGGCTCAAAATAAGAAAGTAAAATTAAAAGGAATTCAATTTTTTCATTTATAAAATATAAATAGTACCATTCTCATCTTAAGTTTACTAGATATCAGGATTTGTTTTAGTACCAAATAAAAATATTTTAATTTTGAGCTGTTACAATTCTGAAGTGAATTCTAATACTTTAATCAAGTATCTTAACTTACAGGATACTTCTAATAAATTAATATATGAATTTAAGCGTAAATTTATAAAATTTTGTTGAGAGATAATCGATTTCATTTTAATCCAATATAAAAAATAAATTAGTGCATTTTGATGTAAAAACAATGAATTATTTAGAAGATACAAATAGCATTTTAGTCAGTAGCAACTAAAAATTAATATTAGTCGATCCTTATAGCTTTTCATAAATTTTAGCTGTTTAAATACCTGAATTAAACTATTTTGATAGAATTGAAAATACAGAATATGCAATTGCTACTTCTATTTATAAATTGTATGTGTTAAGGATTAATAGTTTAGAAATAATCAAATAATTCGAAATTAAATATCAGAAATTAGACTTCAGCTATTTTTATTATAATTAATATTTTATATTTCAAAATGGAGAAACTAGTACTTATGTATAGTCTTATAATGGAATATCTCAATAGGATTAAACTAAAGAAAATATCATCTTTTAATAAATTCATAAAACATCTTAAAGTATTTTTGTATGATTAAATGATAAATAATTAACATCAAGTATTTAATTTTTAGGTGCAAGTAAGAACCGCTATGCAGATAAAGTTTAAATTATTCCATAAAATTATGACATACTAGTATGTGGAGATTCAAGTATAGATATTTTATATGTTTAGGTCAAAGAAGATAAAAATGGTGAGCTTTAAATTCTCAATCAAAAAAGTAATTAATTTATTTATAATTCTTAAAATAAACTTTTTCACACAATTAATAAACTTTTTGTAAAAATTGAGAGAGAAAAAAAATAATTATATGGTTTCCAATTAATTATTTACATTTTTTTAACAACATTCTCATTAATTAATAGATTTAAAACTTATCAAAATGCATATTTGAAGACAAAAATAAATAACATTTTTAATAATTTTAATGAAAAAATATATATTTCATAATAAGTTAGTAAAATTTAGCTATTATTTTTTAAAATACATTTTTCATAAAAGCATAATAATTAATTAATTAATTGATTGATAGATTTAAAACAAAATTAAACTAAGTGGTAAATTAAAAGATAAAAAAGAAATTTTAAATATTTTAAAATTCGTATATTTAGAATAAAGATAGATAATCATCTCAAATTCTAGCTAAAAATATGCATACTTAATACTTAGAAATAAAAAACTTCAAATAATTAATTAATTATTTTAATGAAAAAATATTTATTATAAATAAGATTTAAGATTATTTTAATGTCAAAAATATTTTAATTAATATTTTATTTACAAATTAGAAAATATAGATTTGACTTTTGAACTAAGACGTGATTCTGATTTCAGCTATTGTTTAGATTAATTGCCTATGTCCTGCTCTCTTTGCCCATCTGGATATAAAATGAACAGATCATATTGCTTTCAAAAGTGCACTGAGAGTACGAACTAATTGGTTAACAGAATTAATAAAAGATAGCTTTAGTCTGTTTGTGGTAATGGATTTTATTTGAATGGATCAATATGTACAGCATGTCATACTTCTTGTTAGACATGTAGTGCTGGCACAAGCAATGATTGTTTATCTTGCCCATCTAATTTATTTTTCAAATATGGATAGTGCGTTGTAACATGCGGCACACCCTTTACTTTAACTGTAGTTAACTATTTAGGTTAAACTGTTCAAATTTGCAGTTCATGTAATAATGGTTTTTATTTGTAGAACTCTATCTGTGTTACATCATGCCAAGTTGGATTTTATTTAAATAAATATTTATTCTAGTGCTCTTTATGCGATAATTCATGTTATACATGTGCTGCAGGCACAAATAATGATTGCTTAACTTGTCCAGCTGGTTAAAAATTTAAATATGGGCAATGTGTTGCTAATTGTGATACTAACTAAATAATTTAAACAACAGTAAATAGCTCAGGTTAAACAGTTTAATCATGCTTAAATTGTCATTTATCATGCAAAACTTGCTTTGGAGTCGATCAATACTCTTGTACTACTTGCAATAACTTTTACTATGAGCTAAATACAACCCCAAAATAATGTGTTTAATATTGTGAAAGTAACCAGTATTTAGTTCTTGTGTCACCAGCAACAAATATTTACACATGTTAAAAGTGCCTTTGCGACTCTTGTGATGCTCAGGGTAACTGTTTATTGTGCCCTTTAGGAATGTATTATGATTATACTAAACCACCAACTAATCCTTGTGTAACAACATGTACCATTCCTGGTACATACAATGATGACGACAACAGAACTTGCAGTATTATATTTACTCAATCAATAATTAAAAAAATTAAATTTTCCTTTCAATTTAGATAATTTTTCTTGCTTAATTTAGTTATAAGGAATATCTTATTTTTTAATTTTAGATTTTTTAAAAAATCTTCTATATTATGAATAATTTTTTTAAAAAAAAGTCATATTTTTATCTAAGTTTTAAAATAAATTTTTATTATAATTTCTAATTTTAAAATTTTAAACTTAAAAAAATTTGTTAAACTTTATTTAAATTAACAGCCAAATGTTATGATAATTGCTTAGTTTGTGACTCAGATACTCCAAATGGGTGTAAGGTTTGCATTAATGGGTACTAACTGGCTCTAGGTTAGTAATGCATTCCAATAATAACGTGCGGTCCTAAGTAGTGGTTTGATGGCTTGCAGTGCGTTAACTGTATAGACAATTGTGACATTTGCTTTGCTTCAGACACTTGTTCTCAATGCAATAAAGGGTATGCATATAATACTTATACTTAAAAATGTGAATATTTGCTCATTAAATAATGTCCTATTGGATATTATTTTGATTCTAATTTAATGAAGCAATGTGTCTAGTGTCCTAGTAATTGTTTAAGTTGTAGTAGTGCTAATAAATGCAATTAATATAAAATTTAATGCCATTATACTTGCCAAGATTGCTTTGGAACTACAGATAATGCTTGCTCTATATGCCCATAAAATAGGAATATGAATAGCTATTTTGTTGATAAAAATGTTGGAATGTGTAGATGTTCCGATGGATACTCAGACTATGGAAGCACCTTATGCAAAAGTTTATTATTATATTTATTTTATAAAATAATTAAATATATTTAATTATCTTTTTTTAAATCCTTTTTAAAAACTATCAAATTTAAAATTTTTAAAATTTGTTTAATTAAAATTAGAATCAAATGCAGAATAAATTTAATACGTAGCTACTGGCGTTGAGTTGATACTCTAAAGCATACTTTCTTCGTTTTTGTCGATAGTCTCTTTCTCTTCAATATATTTCTAAATAGGTTCAGATTATTCACAATATTTAGGATAATTTTCATATGTAAATAAATTGAATAAATACTTATTTTTTGATATTGATTGATATTAATATAAGCTGAAAAGACACAACTTATTAGGACTTGATAGAACGTTATAAAATTTCAGGTATTATAACTTTAATTTACTGCTCAGAGCAACTTTTGGATATCCTCACTATGAATCTTAGAAAAGAATGCTATACTAATCAACTACAGCTATTAGGAGCCGCTATGTTACTAAAATTGAACAGATTCATTAAAGTTATAGTTTCTTCACTTCATGCTTTTCAATTATCATCCTTGATTTAGTTTTTGCAGCAATAATGGTTATCAGTAGATATTTTAAGACTTCAGCTGATGATATGCCATAAGCACTTTAGGATTAGCATCAAACAAAATGGAAAATAATAAGTTATTTTTAACTTTTTATTCCATCGTATGTATTTTCTTTCACTGTATAAGAATTAAGTTTATGCATTTTCATGCAATTTCATTTATTTAATTCTTCTAGCAACGATTCATTCTAAGAGGTAGGCTTGACATTCGCTATTATATTTTTCCTGCTAATGATTGCAATAATAGGCTACTAGTTGATTTTTCTTCCAAAGAAAAATTTAAAAGATAGTTTAATGATTTAATCCTATTTTCAGTTAGTAAAGAAAGACTAAAGCTTCTTTGCAGCTCGTTTATACGGAATTTAAAATGCAAAAAAAGTATTCTATAGCTTTTTAATTGTAGTAGCTTATGAATAACCTCTTGTTCCCATTATTTTTATGTTTTTTGGTGAAATAGTTTACACCTCATTAATTATTTATTACTAACCTTACTGTCAAAATGAACTTAATATACTAACAACTTTAGTTCAGGCAATTATGATTATAATTACATTAATAATGTTTATAATGATTGGACAGTCAGAAAACTCTTCTGTATAACTAAACGGAGTTTTTGGAATAGTTGTAATTTTTAACAGCTTGATAATTTTCTACTGCATTTATTGCATATACTTATCCATAGTCAGATTAAGAGAAAACTAATTTTTAAGCAGAATATTTCCTGAGCAAGTAAATGCACCAATTAGTGTTCCTAACTAAGACATGAGTGCTATGGAATAAGATTATTTAAAAAATAATACTAACTTTATTTCTTACACAAATAATTATGCAACTCAACTACCTTAATTTACTGATTTAAACGAACCTAAAATTGTTCAAGATTATCAAACTCGTAAGAAAATACTCTCAAACGTTAACAGAAAAAAGCTAATTAATTATGAAGGTATAAAACAAGAACATGAATTGAGCATATAAAATTAGTAGAGAGCATTAAAAGATTTACAACTAAAAGGAAAGCTTTATTAACAATAATAATTGTAATAAAACTAAGAGTATTATAATTAGCAAATAGGATAAGCTTACCATTAACAAGAATAATCAATCGTTTCTCAAATTACAAATACAGCAAATGTTCAATACTAAGAAAATTCTCAGCCGCATAATAAAACTTAAAAAAACAAATTTTTTTAAAAATAAAAATAATAAATCAATAATCAAGAACAAAAAAATTGAGAAAAGATATTCTTTAAATGCTTTAAACTCTAAATTTTTCATTGTTAAATTTATTTTTGTTTAAATTAAATTATTATCATAAACATAAATTAATATTTTTATATTCTTAATTTTTATTGATTTTTGAATAAATGCTTCTATAATAATTAAAAATCAGGAATATAAGTATTTTAATAAAAGGTTGTTTACATATTTTAATATTAAATAAATTGATCGTTAAATTTATTATTTTACAATTACTTTCATGAAAAAAACAAACTGAAATTTTAATTTCTGAATTTTTTTTAATATTCAAGCAATTAAATTTCTGATATTACTTTTCTTGAAAAGCTTGAAAAGCTTTAAGGTTCATTTACTTTTAATTAAATCAACTTAAGTAGAATTTTATTAAAATTTTAAAGTAAATAAAGGATTTAATTAAAAAATCCCAACTTTTGAATCCAAAAATATTCTAAGTTATCTCAAAAAAAAAAGAGAGAGGATTTATTTTGATTATAATTTAAATATTTTCAGAACAGGATAATAATTATTTAAATTAATCTTTTATTGAATGCATTAAATTAAAAACATAATAGTATTTTTTTTATTCAAAGTTTTTAATTTATTTGTGTTTTTATTAGTTCAATTAATTAATGAGCGGATATTAAAAACCTAATTTACATATCAAAGATTAAATTAAGAAAATACAAAAAAAAGATATTAAGCCTATTTATATCATCTATAAATAGATATTACTAAAGATATTCAACTATTTATTAAATGATATTGAAAGATGAGTGAATGAATGGATTTACTTATATCTCAATAAAAATAATCTTATTTTGATTTATTGATGATTAATGATTATTAACTAATTTAATAAATTAATTGGATAAATTAATGGTAAATTTTAATTTTCATAACCTTGATTTTAATATCAAGGAAATCTACGATCAAAGAATATTGCTAATTGGACAGTAATTAATTTATTGATTATTTATATTGTATTATATATTAATTTTTGTTAGATTAAGATAATTATATAACGTGTAGGGTACTCTTTAGTGAATATCAAAATATAGTAAGTATCCCATAGACAATAATTTAGTGTATTTATAAAAAATAATGAAGCCTTAAAAAAGGGACCAAAAGATTCTCCTTTAGTTGAAAGAATAAATAAATGACCCAGCTGATTCATTTTTTTTAGGACTCGCTTTAAAAAAGGAGTAGAAAAATCACAAATCAATGTCTCAATGTTTAGAGTATTTAAATGAGTTGATTGTTAAAGTGAATGATAAATAAAAATAGCTTAACAAGCAAGACGATCAATTTTGGAAACTTTCTATATATTATGATTACTTGCAGGAAGTAGATACTGATAAAACTTGCTATCAATTCTTGTAAAAATACATCGACCTCCCAAAAGATGACACTGTAATTAAATCATAAAATAGTTGCTTTATATTTAAAAAAAAAAAAATCATAATCATGTTAGGATAAAGATTGGAATACTGAATAGACAGAAGGTCATGACAATTTCAATCACTCGTTTCAAGCCAAGAAATAAAGACAAAATACTTTGAGCTCTAGAAATAGTGGTCATTTTTCACCATCATTCATGAGGGAAAGGAAAGCGCATAAAGATTTAGAAAATAGCTTTGAACCAAATGGTTTTTAAAAGGAAAAGCATAACAGTTAAATAGAAAATCAGCATCAATAATAAACCCATTCTAATTAAAAAGAAAAGGAATAATAGCACAATCATATTTAAGAGCAGATTTAAAAGTAGTATGAGCAAACCAAACAAAATTAGATTGATCAACATGAATAAAATTAGCATCAATAACCTTATTAATAATATGAATAAATAGAGCCTTAAACATGCTGTAAGTGTTAAAACAAAATTCATTAAAGTGATATTTTGCAACTTGTTTGCGAGCATTCTTATCATGTGAATTGTTTTAAAAAGGAAGCATCAGCATTATTAGAGTAAGAAATATTTCCCATAAAATGTTTAGAAAATGACTGCATTAATATTCCAAATATGGATTAAATGGGTTGCTTATTAGATAAACGTAATTTTTAACTCTATCAAGACAGCTATGAAAAATATCATACAAATCAAGGAAGAGTAAACAACTTTATTTTTCAAGATTTTATTTTTCCAATTTCCCCAATATTTGTTTTAAAATTGAAATCTAATACTAAACTGTAAATGTGTGATTACCTCAAAATCAGATTTAATTAATTATTTAGCAACATATTTTTTATATATCTTTATTGATGGTTTCGCTAACTTCAACTTAATTAATTAAATTAAATAAAATAGATAATTAAATGTCCAAATAACAACTGTAGATAAAAGATGCTTTATGGAAAACCAAAAGAAAAATTTGCTAAATGTATTTTTTGTAGCTAGGAAATATGTTTAATTTGCTACAGAATTCGTCATAATGGTTTAGATTGTGAACAAGTCTTAATGTTAAATGTAATTATTAATATTATTTGGAGTTTACTCATTAATCACTTCATCTTTTAATTTAGCCAAAATAAATTGAAGAAATAGCTGCTCAAAACAAACAAAAAATGAATAAAGAATGTCCAAAATGCAAAATCGTTCATCGTAATGAAGACTGTCTAGATCAATTGAGATGCGTTTGTGGTACTAAATTTTGCTGTACTTGCTTAAAAGATCCATCTAAATGCAACTGTTCTGCATAGGTGAATTCGAAATCTTATGTTTCTAACCATAATGCTAACATTTCTTCATATAGTTATTCATAGCCTAGATAACAAAACAGTATTTAAAATAATGGCTATAATGATTATTAAGCTTACAAAAATAAATCTGGGTCAAGAATTAGGTCAACTGATTAATCTAAAAATAATCTTCGTTCTATGAACACAACATACTCATAGATAAATGATAAACAGAATACTCATATAAATGCTACAAATCCATCCTCACCTCAACTATTAAATGAGTTCAATAATAAAAATGGGTAGTAAAATAATATTTAAAAGTAGCAAACCTCTTATTATCCCAATAATTTATCTTAATCTAGGGACTTTTACACTGAGAATAATACAAATTATTATCCAGATACAACAATTACAAGATACAACGAAACAAATAATAACTAGATTTAGTCAATAAATTCAGATAAAAGAGCAAATTCTCCCCCTTACCAATAAAACCATCACTATCACCATTAATAGTATAAAAGCTATGAAAACAACAGAAACAATCCAGAAATCAATAGTAAAAGTAACACTGTTGATATTATGAATACCTCTAACAATAATAATTCTAACAAATATCCTGAAAAATCTAATTTACCATACAATTATAAGGGTTAATAATATAATAGTAACAACAACAATAGTCAAAACTATAACAAATAAAATTAGTAAAATGATAACTTGAATTATCACAATTAAAGCTAAAACAGACAAGGTAATCATTAAAGTGACAATAAGTAAAATGATATTAAATAAATTTAATCCCCTCACAATGATAATTAAAATTATAAGCAACAAAATGGTGAAATTTAAAAGAAGTAGCTAGATCATTAGTAAAAATCTCAACAAAATAATGAAAATCATTAGAAGTTTCATCATTCAAATAGCACAGATTAGCATTAAAATAATAATAATTAGCCTCCAAATCAAAAAAGCTAAAATGAAAATAATTAGAAATTATCTAAATAGCATGAAAATTAAAATAATGTTTCTTTACATACTAATAATGCTTTAAATAAAAATTCATATAACAACAGTAAAAGTCTCGATTAAAACAATAATTCAATTTTTGAAAATAACAGTGCTACATTTACTCCACCTGAATAATCAAAATAACAAGCAAATGAGCATACTCCTATAAAAACTAGCTAAAAAAAGTAACAAATGCACAGTTTACATCTATATCAAGATGGTGACAATTAAAGTGAAAATCCTGTTACATTTGGAGGAGAACGACACATTCCAAAAGTAAAAGAGATAGATCCTCCTCTTTTAAGTTCTAGAAGTACAAGAAACTCTTAGAGAGGAGGTGGTGTAGTCCCTATGGTAGTGGCTTAACCTTCATAACAAAATAATTAAGGAACTCCATATAAATCGCTTCAATTCAGCAAATACAATTTACCAAAACTAAACGATACATCATCATCTAAAAGAGGAGTATTTGTACAAAATACATTTACAAATTAGTAGATGAACGAAAATTTTGAAAACAATTTGTCTTAAAGAAGTAATAACACATAGATGCAGAAATCTATATTTGATGACGAAAACTAGTAATCTGAAGAAGGATTTAGAAACAATTCCTATTTGGCAGAAAGCAGATTCAAATCAAATAACAGTTTTATAGTGACCACAACTCCTCGTAATTCTAGTCAATAAGAAAGGAGATAAACTCCTTAAAGAGGAATCTCTCCTTATAGACAATAATAATACTAACATTAGCAAGGCTATGATTTTCAACCAAATCACAACAATCCAGTCAATCAATCTTCAGGAAATAAAGAATAATATTAAAAAATTAAAGTGTGATATGATACTTAATAATTTTTTAATAAATCAACAAAAAAAACTTTATCTTTTTCATCCCTATATTAAACCTCTGTGTAAAAATAATTTTTCAAAATATTAAGTTTATTAAATAATATTTTATGTGTAAAGAGTAGATAACTGTGTAGGTCTATATATATTAAAATAAATAATATTATTTTAACACTTTTACTTTATCAAACTTTAAAAGTATTAACTAAACCTTCTTTAAAAATTAACTAAATTTATAATCAAGAAATATATATTTAATCATAAACTGTTTTTTATTCAACAAAGCAAGCTCTTTATTTTTAAGTACTCTTTATTAACAAGTTATATTATATAAATTATAATTACAGTATCTTGTTTGTAATTTAAATAATATTAAATTTTTTCTTTAATTTAATTTGTGTTTTAAAAGATATTCTATTTTAAATATATTTAAAATAAATTAGAAAACAAAAATAGTTAAGATATTAAATAAATAATAAATTAATTAATTATTCTTTAAAAATAGAATTCTTAATGTTATTCAACATAATTAATAATTTTTCTTTAAATTTATTTTAAAAAGTTTAGCTAAGATTTCTATTTGTGTTTTAAAATATTAAATTAAGAAGTAATCTTATAAATACGAGGACAAATAAACCTTCAAATAACCAAATTTTGCACATATAATGAATGATCTGGTCTGGATAAACATTTCCATATTAAATCTTATTTTTTGTTAGTTTTAACTTCTAAATGATTAGAAATACATTAAAAATTAAGATTTTTAATAAATTATTTAAAAACTTAAACTATTATTTTATTACTTTTAATGCTAGTTATTTTTCTCTATTTTGTAATATTATGTTGTTATTTTAACTTATAATTTATTATTCTTCATTTACAATTTGTATACATTTTCAAATTTCTTTCTTTTGTTTATCTACATTATACTAAAGTTTACTTTTGTGTATTTTTATTTTCTTTATTTTATTGATTAATTTTTTTTGGTTTTAATTGTTTTTATAAAAACCAAAACTCACTTTTATAATTAGTTTTATAAAAAATAGAAAATTTAATTATCAAGGTTATACTATAATGATATAATATAAAAGGAATAAATAATTTAAAAATACTTTGAAATATTATTAAGATGTTTGTTTAAAAGTGCTTAGAAATACTTTTTTGATAGAGAAATCTTTAATATACCAAGATTATAAAGCATAAACAACAAAATATAAGTAAAAAATATAATAAAATTGATTGATTATTGGCTTTTAGTTATTGCAATAAACTTTAAAAAATTTATATATTATTAAAAATTTTCGAGAATTAATATTTGAATAAAAAAATCTAAAACTTATAAAAAGGTAATTTTAGCTAAAAGATTATAACAAGTTATAAATAAATACATGAACAGATATTTAGATTGAGAAACAAAAATAAAAAAGTAAGATAATATTATCAATTATTTATTTATTAATTAATTAATTAGTTTTTATACGAGTGTTAATAATATAATAGTATTTTTTTATTTATTTTAGTAATTTTGAAATACATGAGATAATTGTTCTTAAATAATATTATCTTTCTCTCTAATTTTAATCAATTTAATTATTAGTAGTTTGGTAATATTTGAACACTATCTCCAGGACAGCGTAAGCATGCACAATAATAAAACTTTCCATCAGAGATTTGCTTGCTATCTAGGTTAATTATAAGTTCTTAATTTTCAGTGTGATTTATAAATTTTAACTTCATTTCTGAGCCAATCAAATGGCTTTGATTATTGATATTGCCTTGATTATTATTAATATTTTAGCTGTTTTAAGAGTTCATCTCATTAAGCCTCATTTCTTCATTATTTGAATTCATATTTATATTAGCAGCATTATTACTATTTACATTATTATTTTAATTATTTAATTAACTATTTTATACACTGCTTGCAAAATTGTTATTGTTTATTGGATTCTATTCGCTATTGCCAGGAACTACTTGGTTGCTTGATGAATTTATATTTTACATGTTATTCTATGATTAGGCATTCGAAGAATTTTATAGAGCCGAAGGACCTGGTTTGAATAAAAATTAGATTGATATTACATTGTCTATTTCAATCTAGAAAGACCTATTTTACCAATTTTCATTGGCACTATGAGAAGAGTAGAGTATTCCGTTTGCCGATATGAGATAAGACAGATGACCAATATCGTGGTAGCGACGTGAGGAATAAACATTAGATTCGTCACAAATTCCAATTGCAAACCAATCAGATCTACGAGACAAGATTTTGAAGGTAATCTGTTGATTAGTATCTAAAAGAGGTTTATGAAAATCAACAATAACAAATCTGTCTCTTCTCTTCTTTTTGTACTCTCTAACAAGTGCTATATTTGCAGGTTGATTAACAAATATATCTTGATCTTTGTAAATCTATGAAAACTAGAAAGGTTGATTTTAATTATTTTTTGTTATTATGTTGTTAATTTTTATTATTTCTTGTTAATTTTCATTTTGAATTGATGTTAATTGTCGTTTTAATTCACGATTTTCATTTTCTAATTGGTATATTTTTTAGCTGGATGTCTTTTAGATATTTTCAATGCAAGATTCTATGGTATGGACTGCTAGTTCTCGGCGTTTCATTTTTGTTTAACACCTATGACATAAGACTGGGATTTCCTGGCATGTCTGATTGTGAAGGAAGTGATCATTCAAGCAGCACTCATAGTTGCAGCCTTAACATCTGACTATTCTTTCTCCACAGCAGTCTTCATGATCTCTAATTTCTTTTTATTTGATCTTTTTACTGCACCAAGAGCAATCTAAGATTAATTCAGGACATTTCTAATTATGATCCATTTAGTCTTTAAATTAGAAAATATCACCACATAAATCACAAATTATTTCCTTCTAATCGCATGCCTCCTCATGTTCTTCAATTATCTTTTTTTTGATTTATTATTCACACCAGCGACACTTAGAAAGCACATACTCACATTCTTCTTGAATGTGCTTATCTAATATTTTCTTAATCATCTACTATCCACAGCCTAAGACAGGACAAATTTCTATTTTATATTCGCAGCTATCTTCGTGCTTAATAACTTACTCATATCTTATTATTTCTTCACATCCGTTTTTCTTATTTGTGCAGAAAAATTATAGCTTATCAAGCATATTCTTTAACATAGGCACACAACGCATCTCTCTAAAATTCTTGCAAAGAGGACAGGTATTAGGATGCCTAATAAGCCACTCTCTAATGCAAACTGTGCAGAAGTGATTTAAGCAATTTCCACAAGCAATAGGATTCTAATAAATATGCATACAAATAGTACATTTAACAAAATCAATATTTTCAGTTGAAACAGCAAGATTTTCTGTTCCAAAAATAAAATCCTTCTCTTCTTGATTCTAAAAAATGATGGTACTATCATTATCTGAGTCAAGAATATTGCTACTATTAATGTTGCTTTATTGATTTGAAGAAGAAATTCCGATCGGACTCATGTTAATGACTTAGCTTTCAATAATTAGATGATTAGCTCCTCTGTTGCTGTTAGTTATATACGAATAGCTTGTAGACCTACTTGGCTACTAATTCCTCTAACCATTTCTCTCTAAATCATCTCTCCTCATAAAAATGACTCTATTATTTACCAAATTAGGATTTAGAGGATTGCTGTTAATTGCAGGTTATTGCATATTATATGCAGGATAATTATAAAAGTTAAAATTGGCAGGTTGACTATTAGCTATCTGATTAGAATTTAAATTCATATCCTGACCTTGCCTTGCCAATCTAATTTAAAAAAATTAATCATGCAGAATTCTGTTACTGCTACTAGAGTTGTTATTATGATTATTATTACTATTTGAACTAGTATTCGTGCTTTAACTATTCATAGAGAAATCGATGTCTCTTTTACTTTAATTGGAATAATTTAGAGAAAAATTTTTTTCTTCTTTTTTTTAAATTATTTTCTGATTTTTGATATTCGAATTACTTTCAATTTAACTATATGCCTGAACAATCGAAAACCCCTCCTTCTTATTTCTAATAATTTATTTAGTATAGGTTGATATATTAATTGATTGATTAATTTAATGAAGGTATTTTTCCTCAAAATTATATTTATTATTTATTTATTTGTTAACTTTTTTTCTTTATATTTTATTAGCTAATCAAAATTGTTATGATAATATCAAAAATCTTTTACATATAACTTTTTTCAATGTTAATATGCTGACATTAATTTTAAATTTTTAAAAGCAAAAGACTTATTGATGTTTTTTTTTTCATTTCTGATGCTTTATTTTATATGTGTCTCTTTCATTTAATTTCTTTTTTATAATATTGAGTCATGTAACAAAATCCTTTCAAATTAAAAATAAAACCTGATTGACTGGCTAATCATCTTGTTTGTTTTTTAATCATATTCTTAAGTAAAAATGCATTTATGAATGAATGTTGATAAAATTTTATAAACTAATAATTATAATTTAGTATTAAATACTTTTTAAATTTTTTCTCTAAAAGTAATAAAAAACTACTACGTTTGTACAAAATTTCATGAAAATTTTTTATTTTAATTTATCATCCTTTATTTTTTTTTACTTTATTTAGCCAAACTTGATCTATTTATAGACTTTTAAGAAAGGAATAAAAAATAAATATCTTAATTAATTAAAAGTATTAGTAAATTATTAATTAAAGAAATTAAATTTTAAAACAAAAAATTATTTTATTAACTTTAAAATGTATTTTATTATTTTATTTTCATTTAAATTAAACAAGAAAATTAATTTAATAATGAAATTGATTGATTGAATAAACTTTGTTAACCTTTAAATTTTTAGAATTTTATTACTTTTATTAAATTTCTCAAATATTAATTTATTAATAGTTCAAGAACAATAATAAGCAACTAAAGTGTTTATCAAATTCAAGTAAAATAATATATTTTAAGTAAATATAACTAAATTTAATTTATAAATTACTAATTGCTTGCCAAACATTTGGTAGTTAAATAAGTTAATTAAATTTTCAAGGTAGAAGCATATGAATTATTATTTTTTATTATATTATATCACAAATCAAAATATATTTTAAGTTCTCTATTACAAAATAATGCTTAGTAATGTTTCCTATATGTAATATTATGTGTACTAATCTTTCTCATTAATTTCTTTAATTTCTCAAACAATAAGATATAATTAAAAAATATATCATATAAATATTATTTTTTGATTCTCTTATTAAAGTGGTTATCCTAATTCTAAAAAAATATATCAAAACAAAGCAATTAATTTGTTTGTTAAAAAATAAAATTAATATTACTTTATGCATCTAAAAATAAGTATTTTTTAATTAAAATAAACTTATTTTTATCATTTATGAAATTATAATAAAAATTCAACCTAATATAATTTTATTTTTTAATAAATTTAGATTAATATTAAAGAATTTGTGGTAATTAAAATTTGTTGATTTATTAAACCAAAAATTAATAAAATAACATTAAAAAATTAAAAAATTTATTTTATTTATTAAAAATTTTTTAATTTAATTTTATAAGAACTGAAATGAATATATTTGGAAGTGTTGAAATGTAATTTTATTTAAATTAATACAAATTTTATGAATTAATATACACTTTATTGAAAGCATAGTTTAAATTGAAATACAGAGTTTTTTAATATGGGTTTGAGTGTTTGTTTTGTGCAAAAAATTGAATTATTTTTAATTATCTTTTGTTTCTAAAAATACTACTAAGATATTTTATCTTTTTAGTGTTTTTAATAATTTATAATACTATTTAATTATTTAATAATTAATGTTTGATTATTTTGTTAAATTTTTAATAGCCTTGAGTTTGATAATTACTTTAATTAGTTTTGGATTATCTATGGAAAAATATGGATGGATTATTTTTTATTTGCTTTTTATTTAGGTTATTAATTGATTTTCAATTAGAAATTAACTTAAAATCAAATTAATAGTTAATTCTGATGATTGAGCCAAGAGTAGAACTCTTAACTTCAGTTAACCAATTAGGATAAGAATTAATCAGATCGTTAAGCTTGGTTTCTGCTATTATAAAATTAGTATTTGTGTTTTTGGATATGTAGTCAATAATATTCATTTTAAAGATGTTGCTAACGTTTCTGCTTTCAAAGTACTCTCTTACACAGGTAGCGATGGCTGAGAGAGGAACTGATGAAATCATTTGTTCTTAGTTTTATTATGCCAAAAGGAGAGTGAATTCGTCTTTTAATTAATTCTACTTTTATTATAAACCCTCCTTAATTGTTTCTGTGAGCTTTTAAGAAATGTAAGCAGGTTACTCACTACTAGCATTTTAAGCTTGTTTTTCAGAATAGTAGAGGCGTTGCTTGAAATCAGCTAAACGGGATTCTTTCCATGACTGATAAGAACCAATATTTTCTAAAAATGACAATTCAACAAACATATCTTGTTATTTATATTTATTTAATTTCAAACTTAGTTGGTAGAGGTTTGGTTAAACGTTCATTATGGATTACATTTTCAAAATTGTTAAACCGTTGATTTAAGAAATTAATTCGCTTAAGTAAGCACAGTTTTTTCTCATCATTATTTCATCAATTTTGCTCATCAAAGTTAATAATTCCTAATTTTATGCATTTTTTAATTCTACTGCTTTTGATCCTAGTAGACTTCTGTAACGATCTTTGAGAGATCCACGGTTAAGAATGGCGTTTAATTTATTGTTACGGGCTGGACTAAGTGCTTTTTTAGTTTCATCCTTATTGCTTTGGATTTATGAAATGAGTTTGGAAACATTCTCAGAAAGAGTTGTTGATTTTTTATCATCAACGAGTAAGGATTTGACTGAATCAAATTTATTTATTTTAATGCTACATTAGCTACTTCCTTTCTTTAATTGCTTATTTTTACTGATACCCTTAATGAGTTTTAAAGTTTTAATATTTTAAATATCTTCTTCTTCATCTTCTTCTTTATTACCTTTTAAGTGGTTTAATTTATTGTAAGGCTTTTCAAGAGTCATTTCTGATGGCATCTCATTAAAAAATGATTCATTTACGCCATCATCTTAATCCTCAAAGAGTGTTTTATTATACTTTGAGTCAATTGGGATTGAACTGTGACTCTTCTTGAAAGATAAGAGGCGTTGAGTCATTTAACTTTCTTCGTTACAAGTTGAAGGTTCTTCCTCCAATTTGTTAATTTTTTGTTACAAATTTTAATTTTCTAAAGTGGTTGTGGAAGGAGGAATGGAGGAGCATTGAGCAGGAAGTGTAACTTCCTTGCTTTCTAGTTTAGTTGGGGTAAAGTAGAAGTATAAGTTGGTTTGGTTCATCATTTTTAACAGCTCAAATCTGGAAATGTTTGTTGGTGTGATTTATAATTGATTTACACTTACTTATTGCTTTGTTTGTGAATGCAAAAAGATATAGCTTTTCTCTTCCAGGTTTGATCGTATTTGTATTTTATTTGTAATTAATTATTTCCTTTGATATTTTTCATTCAATTCTAATATTTATTAACGTTTTCTTCGTACCTATAAATCTTCTCTTTCCCCCTCCAAATAACTTTAAATTTTTTTTCCATACCGCTAAAGCCTCCATTTTTTGGACATTGCACCTCTCTTAATATTACACATTTATTGTTCTCCCTAGATAGAAAACTTGCTCTTTATGTGTTCTGATCACTTTTTTAAAATTGTTTTCTTACAAATATTCAAACATTTAACGAATTCAAATTTCATTTTTTTTAGGTGGATCTAAATATCTTTCTTATAATAATTATTTTTTCTCGCGGGCGCGCAATTAGATTATATTAACTTAAGGGTAATTGCATTCATTTGAGCAAAGAAAAAAAAAAACACACCGAAGATTCTTAGTTTTGATCAAAAAGATTTAAAACAATTTTCAAATTTTAATTTTGTTTGATTTAAAAAAATAAATTTAAAATTAGTTTTTCTTACTTATTTTTGACCGTTAAACTTCAACAACATCTAAAAGCAATTATTTTATCTATAAAAATTCAAGGAAATAATTTAGATTGTTTTCATATCTATTTCGCTTCTCAAAAAAAAAAAAAATTAAATTTATTTCCCTCAATTTAATAATTATTCAAATTTATTTTAATTCGACATAAATTTGACAAATCTAAACTTTAACTATCAAATATTAAATGTTGATATAAATTTAATTTGATTTTGTTTAAATCTGCATACTTTGTTGATATTCAATCTCACTTTAGCATGTTTTAAATGTTAAAAAGTATTTATTGATTATATTTTGTTAATTATTTTTCTAAGTGAAATTTTAAAAATAGTTAAAAATAATAGAATATTTTAATAAAAATTGTATTTTAAATTTTACAACAAATAGTTTTAAATTAGAATCAAGAATTTAGAACAATAATATTAAATACAATTTAATATATTTAAAATTAAAAATCTATATTTTATCATCATACTTTATTAGTATTAATGATATTTAAAATTAAAATTAATGATATTGATAAATAAATATACTTACAAATAAAAATTTTAAATAAATTTAAATTTAGTCTTAATTATTTGAATTTTGAATAGTTTATTTATTTAACTATACTTTGAAAATTATTTTTTACCAATTTAATTTAAACTTTATATAATAAAAATTTAATAAAATTTAAATAATTTATCTTAGATATTTAAATCAAAATTTAAATTTAAAAGTTTAAAAATTATTAACAAAGTTGCTTTTAATAATTTTAAATTTATTAAATTAATATTGATTGAAATATTAAAATAACAATAGTCAAATGGTTATTTTATTTGTTTTTTATCATAAAATTATTATCATTAATATTTAAAATAATTTCCACTTTAATTTAATTAAATAAAGTTAACAATTTATATTGTGCTGAGAAAATTATTTTAGGAAATTAATTAAAGATATTTGTGAAAATAAAATAATTTACTTAAAAAAATAATTTATTTAACAATCAATAAGTTTTAAAATATTTAAAATAATATAAACTTATTTAAATAGGTTTTCTTTAATTAGTATTAAGAAATAAATAAATATTTTAGTTAAACAAAAACAAAAATATTTTTGGAAACAGTTTTAAATTCTATTATTTTCTATGCAATTATATTTTTTATTAATATGTTAAAATTTTAAATTGTTATCTTCTATAAATTTGTAATTTTATTAATTTATTTACTCTAAAATGAAGTAGTTATTGTTGATGATTAATTCCAAGAAACCTAATAATCTGAGAATATTTTTTTACTCTCAAGAAAAATTAAAATAAAGGTTTTCTAAAGAATGATAAAAAATAAGAGGGAAGTAAAATTAATTAGATAATGTTCTTCTGCTTTTTATTTCTTTAAATAAATATAAAAAAATTAGTTTACACTGCAATCAAAATTATAAAAAATTAAAAGAATAAATACCAAATGATTAATTTTTTAAAAGTTGATTTATCTTTTTAATTTCTCTACAAATACAACTTTTTAACTAAAAAATGATAAATATTTATTTAGAATGAAAACAATCCAAAAATATTAATAAATATATAAATATAAAATAGTGTGAATAATGTATTGTTTTATTATTGTAATTTAATGATATTTTGATTTTTATAACATTTTTAGTGGCTCAAAGATCTTCGTATAAATCATATACAACTAAATTCGGATTATTTATAAGAAATGAAGATATGTTGTTTTTGAAGGCTATTTAAAAATAAAGGGTTTCATGAACTATTTTATTGAAACTTTCTGATACTTTGACAATCTCATTGAAATTATTATATTATTTGAAATAATTTATTATTTATTATCTTTTTTGGATATGTTTTTACTCATTTTCTATGACGTTATTTTTAAGCACACTGATTAGAAATAGATTAATTTCTTTTTTGTATTACTGTTCCAAAATAATATCAATATTAATGGATTTTTTTGTTTCAAGGGCTGCTAAATATAATTTTTCTGCTTATTTACTTTAATTGATACAATTGAAAATGATCTCTACATGTTAATTTACAATTTGTATCAGGAATTGATTATTATAGCAAATTGATATAAACCCTTCATTTTATTCGAGTAGCTGATTTATAATTTCAAAGTCGCTATCAAGTAATAAATTTTGTTTTAAATTACAGATATAAATTTCAAAGTGGTAGAATCCTCTAACGCATTTAATATCAATTTAAGATAAATTGGATACTGATAATTATCTATTTTAAATTTTAAAATATATCCAAATAATTGATTTACATATCATCAGTAAGCTATTAAAAATTAAAATTACTAAGTAGATTTATTTATAATCTTGGATTTCTGTAAACTCTTTTTCATGTGTTATTAAAGTTATCAATTATATCTAAATTACTGTTTAGAAGAGAGTAAAAATTCCTACATTTATTTTATTCATCTAGACATAAAGGAGCATATAAAGTTAATTGAAGTCTTTTTTAAGTAATGGCAACAAATAGCATAATTACCCTCCTAGGAGTAATTAATCAAGTGATCCTACTATAAAAGAATCAAAGACATTTGAAGAGCTGGATAAGATCTTTAAATAAATAATTTAGATACTGAATAACGCAACTAGATAGGAGAGATAATTAATTTATACTATAGCAACAACAAATGTTAATGAAAATCCAAAAGAAAAGATGGACTCAAAAACAATTAGCGCAGTTTCAAAAAAATTATAATTCTTCTAAAATACAAACATCTTTAGATAATTTAGGTTAGTAATGAAATAAAAAATCAGGCTAGCTATCAATAATAATTAATTTATTTAAGTCAAAACTGAATCATTTAGTATAAGTTAAGTCATCAAAAGTATTCCAATTAATGCAAAAAAATACCTTTTTAATTACAGTTAACAAACGAGAGTTTTCTAAATCTAAATTAACTATTAGTAATCATATGAAAGGTAAAATAAGTTTCTATTTAATTATGATTATTCTGAAAGAGTAAAAAGAGTATAGTCAAATTATAACAAGCAGCAGAAACTCTAGAAAAAAGTCTATTTTAAATTATAGTGATTCTCAGAGTATTTTTAATAAATTAAAATCAGTTAAATTAATAAAGAAGTGAGGTTTAAAGCAAATAGAATGTCATTGTAGATGTTTTATGGATTTTGAAAAAACTCTATAGTTATTAAAATTTTAAATATAAAATCCCCCAAAGCAATTATTTTAAACAATAATCCAGCTTACTAACTAGCTCTTATTTGATTTATGATAAGTTCTTTGAGATAGCCTTTTTCATCTAATGTATAGTTGGGTTTTAGAATCTAGCAACTTGAGTCAATTACTTAGTTGTTTAGCTCTATTTAATTAGGAATCATTATGTTTGTTAATGTACTTTTTAATTATTTTTATATTTATGAATATTTATTTAATTAAAATAATATAAATATTTATTAGCTTTTTGTAAATTTATAAAGCACAAAAGCTCTTAAAAGAAACATTTAATATAATAATTTAATAACTCATTTACATAATTCAACCATTCAAGATTATTCCCTAATCAAGCTAATCAATTGAATAAATTTCAATTGTAGAATTCAATATAAAGTTAAATTAATTTTTCTAAATGCTCATCTTTTGTTTTTGTTGCTGTAAAATTATTGCTAATTTATTTTAAATTTTAAAACTGCGTTATAAATTCATTATTATTTTTCTTTTGAATTAAAATCAGAAATCATTAGATTCGAGTTATATTAGAGTAAAAAAAATAATTCTAATTAATTTTGATATTTAAATAAATTTAAATTTTAAATTTCCGTTACAACTGCACTACTGTTAAGTAAGGAAAAATTCTTTCTATAAAGGATAGTTTTGATAATAAAATAGAATAAGGTGAATTCATTAGCTTATTACTCAGTAAAATTTATGCGATTATATAAAAAAAATATAAAAACTAAGTAGATTATAATTAATTAATTGATAGGAAATATTTATGTAGATTTTTTCTATTGTTAGAGGAAGTAGTAAAGTAGATATCAAAGGTTGGCTTTTTAAACATGCTTCAAATAATATTCAAAAATATTCAATTAATTTAGATTTAATCAATTCTCTATTTATTTTTAAATTTGCTACCTTTTTTATTATTTTCAAGTAAAATGATAATTTGATATAAATTAAATTAAAATACTTTATAAATAAAATACAAAATAAAACAGATTTATGTTTTTTGTTAATTTTTTGGATAAAAATCATTCAAATTATGATTTTTTATAAATAAATTTATTATAATTAAAAGTTAAAGAAAAATTTCATTGAAATCATTTTTTAAAGATGAGTTTGTAAATTATTTCAGTCATCAAAAAGGTCATAAATTAATGAAGTAGGATTATTATACAGGAGTGGAGAAATCTGCTTATTAAAGGCGTTCATAAAGCAGATTAAACTCTCTTTGTTGTAACTCTAAAGAATTTATTCAACTTTTACATAGTTTTTTAATGGAAGCAGATTTTCAATAATCTAACTCTTCTTATTTATACTTATTAACTCTTCCTTGTTTACCATATTTTTTAGCTATTAAAAGTTAAATTTTACTACAAGTTGTTTATCTTCTGTTAAATTTTTGCTAAGTAACACATTTATAGATTGGCTCTTATTAGTGCTTACTAATTCTTAATAAATCTAATAACTTAATTATAGGCATTTGGAGTCTTAAATTTCCATTTAAAAGTTTCCGTACTAGTTAATTAGGATGAGAGATTATTTGAATATTATTTATGTATATCTTTTATTTTCTCTCATTACTTAAGCTATAATTTCAATATTTTTTTTATCTAGCTCAAAATGAGAAGTATTATACAATATCAAATTAACAATTGAGTTTTTCATATTGTTTATAATTGAAAAACTCTCTTTATCTACAAATGTCAATTAACTTACATAACTAGATTTCTTATACTGGGCTATGTAAGATTTTAAAATGGCTATAAAGCTATTTAAGACAAACAAGCCTAATTAGATTTCTTAAACAGAATACTCTTACAAAAGATTGCTTTCAGTAAAAAATAGAAATCCTAAATTAATAAAGTAATAGATGTAGAAGAGGACTTAATTTATCTTATTAAATTTGTTAAAGTAGATCATGTCTATTTAGTTAATGTCTTTTTGCATGAGTGGAAGTAAAAGACTTGTTTTACATCCAAAGAACATTTATTCAACTAAACTGATTGTTCTAGGGTCAATAATTTCAGTGCATTAAACTTGCTCTTTGACTATGATTAAACTCAGAAAATAAAGGATACAAGCAACAAAGATTATACTTTTTATTTCTAATATGTAAAAGCAAAATAGAATAGACTAGCAGAATTAGAAAGAAAGCTCAATAATATTAGCTATTATGTGTAAAGCTCTTTGTTTTGAATATAAAATACAAATCTAATAGTAGCTACTGTTTACATAAATAAATGAGACACAATTCCAAATTAAAATTGCCCCGAATAAAAATCTATTTAAGGAATCATCAGTTGCAATATTTAAGTCTAAAAGAATAAATATTTTAATTACTGAGAAAAACCTTCTAAAAAAGAACCAGCTAGTTATTTAATTAAATTATTTTTTAACATCTTCAATTTCTAATTATTAAAAGCATTGATTTTTCACGATTTAGTGAAATTTCTTTGTTTACTTTATAAAATAAGAAAAATCATCTTGGATCAAGATCTTCATAAATATTTAAAATTTTTGTTATGCAGTCAGAGTCAAATTTGTGTACAGTGTTTTATTTACAAAAGCTGGTGAGAATGTGATTGTGTGGAAAGACATGATGCTAGTTTACATTAGAATACAAATAAAGAGATTTAATAAAATGCATGAGTCACTTTCATAATAATATAAGTTTATAAAATAGCATAGGACTACTAAAAATCTAGCTACAGAGTCAAATTAGTAGATACATTTGTCAACAGTATTCATATCATTAATTTTTTCAACTACTCTCATACATCTTTAAATGAACATCCCAGTAGTATCCTAAAATTTAGGGTTTTCATTTTATTAAACTTTAATTTTTAGTGGAATTTCCTTTGGAGCAATTTCTAAATCCATTTTGCTAATTTTTTATTTTTTTAATTTTAAATTAATTATTAGTCATACTTATATGAATATTCGATCCATAAAAACAATAATAAAGGATAAATTTGAGTTAAAATTGTTAATCATATTTTTTAATCTGATGATTTCAATTATGTTATACTATAAAAAAAGTAAATCATTCTCTAAATTTCTAAAATAATAAGTAAAATCTTTTATTTAATTTTAATTTTTAAATTAATTTACTTCTAACTTTTAACATTTCAAAATTGTTTTATTATTTATTTTTAAAGAAAATTAACAACTATGTTAGTTATTATATAAATTTTTTAAGATAGACAATCTTTTACTTTTAACTTTTACTAGTAATTTATTTGCCTTGTCAGATTGAGCCCACCTTATAATAAATACTTTTTATTTATTAAATCATTAAATTATGCAATAATGTAAATATCTTATATCATTACATACCTTATCTCTTTTATTTTAAGGTGGTTAAATGACATAATTCAGCCTATTTCATTCATTTTAAGTCATTTGAATTTATGTTTAGCAAGTAGTTGCTTTGAGTATGTAGAATAATCAGAAAAACTCTAAAATTATCAATGTATTAGGTTTTCTGTAAAAAAGAATTTCACTATTCTTTGATAAAAAAATCAAAGAAAAATGTAAATTATTTTAATTTTTAAAAATTAACTTCAAAAAAACAAAATATTTTTAATTTAATTTGCTTTGAAGGAGAAGTTTATTTAAAAAAAGCTAGAGTAAATTTTATTTATTTGATTAATTCTAAATACAAAAATATTTATTTTAGCCACTAAATTATATAATTTATATTTTGCTTTAAATATATAAAAATCTTGAAAATTTTGAGAAGTGATAAATTGATAGCTGAATATATTAAATGCAAATTAAATATATTAATCTAAAAGTTAAAATTATATATAAAATTCATTACTTGATACTATAAATATTCGTATGCAAAATAACAAGAATAATTAGGTTATAAAAAATTTAATTAATTATTTTTGATGGATGGATAGATAGATGACACAATATTAATAATGCATTAAAAAATAAATATTAAATATTTTTACAATTGGAATTGCTCTAATATTATTAATACGTATTTTAAACCAATTATATAAAAAATGCATTATATCTAAATTTTAAAACAAATGTAGCTTGGTTAAGCTATATTTTTCTACTTATCAAATAACTCTCCAAAATTTAATTAATAAACTATAAATTCCAAATATTGTCTTAGACAAATATGAAGGTTTCAAATCTCGAAACATTAATTATCACTAAAAAGTATATTTTTGTGGCTTAAATAAATGGCTATTTTTACTTTTCATATATTAAATAGCTGTAATATCACTTTGGAACTAATTTTATACTTAAGAAATGAGGTAGTAGAACTATTTATTTAAATGACTGCTTTGGTCTATTATATTAATATAAACTAATTAATTTATTAGATACTAATTTATTTTCAATTTACAAAAACCTTTTACTAGCAATATTTCAATGACGAAATTTTAATTTAAAGCAGTCTTTAATAACCCTTGGTTAAGTTTTACACTTTTATATTTACACGAAACACTTATCATTTATTAAAGCACAATTGTTTAGAGTATAATTACAAATTTATTAAATTCATAACAAAAAATTAAAATAAATAAATTTAAAAAAAATATTAAATTATTTGTATTTAAGTTAATAATAATTAAATTTATTTTATAAACACTAAATATCAATATATTATTAAAAATATTTTTATTCTTTTTTAATAAAATGTTATTATTTCAAGATGCTAAAAATTTCTTAAGCTGAGCATTTAAATACTTGTTAGAAATGTAAGCTTCTTAGCTGAAGCTGTTAATTGCCTTTTATACTATTTCTTGAATTTCTGGAAGGTTTTTAGATTCATCTAAAATCTTGAAGAGAATCATTTTATTGAACTCTGGATGGAACTAGAATGTAAGTGCTCTATTTCTGATAGACATTCCCTCTATCTCTACTTTATCTGAAAAAGAAATTAACTTAGCTTCTCTTGCTAACTCATAAACATAATCACCATGGCATTTGATAGAGTAAAAAGGCTAGGGTAGAACTTTGCTGAGATTAAGTTTATCATTAACATCAATGTCGTTGAATTTAATTTAATCTCTAAATTTGTAAAAGTTTTTATGAGGCATTCTAGAAGCTTTTCCACCACATCCATGACCAACTGCTTGATGACCCCAGCAAACTCCAAGTAACTTTTGATCCTATTTTGTTAAATAAAAAGATAATTTTAACAGATTTTATTGAAATTCAATTATATTACATTTTCTTATTCAGGATATATAATTTTGTTAAAGATATCATAAGAGAAAGGCACCCAAGGCATAGAGGTATCATAAGCATCATAATGGCTTCCTGTAATAACAAATCCTTTAATTTTTTTAAAGAGCTCTTCTTCGAATGGTTTCATTTCTAATAAATTAAATGTTATCCATTTTTAGTTCTCACCTTGCAAAAAACCCTAAAAAAGTCCTTCATACATATTTACCCAATGTTTTTTGTCTTCTGAATTTAAAATGCAAAATAGAGTCTTTTAAGCTTTTAAATTTTACTTTGCATATTCTATTATATTGTGATCTTAGAAGAATTACTTTGTTTATTATTACACATTTTCTGAATTTAATTCAGCCTTATGAAGTGGAAGCTTTTCTTCGAAGAATTGATTGTAATTTATATAATAAATCTTGAAATTTTATCCATCTATTAAAGTGTCGCAGTCATTAATTTCTTTCAATATTGCTGAAAATTTGAAGAAGTGCTCATCTGAGTTCAATAATTTTATGTAATCTTCTTAATTATTCACCTCATAAGAGTAAATTTTTGAGTATAAACCTCTAGCTAAAGCAATGTTGAGAGAAGGGTCAAGGTCCTCAGACAATAAGTCTAATTAGATGTGATTAAGCTATCCAGTTGTCTTATCTTAATCTAAATAGAAATCTAAATTTTACTGTTGATCAGTTTATCTGTAGAAAATTGCAGATACAAATTAGCTAGTCATACTTATTTTGAATTTTAATAATTTTATATACTCCTTTTACTAATGATTAAATCTTTTAATGAATAAGATAGTGATATTTATTCTTTATAAAGTTAGATTCTTTATTAAATCTGTTGTTTTTCTATTAGATATTTTGAAATAAATCAATCAGTTTTCGATACTTTTTGACTTCTATTGACGTAAAGATTTTTAAAAATGTGAAATTACTAGAAAGTAGCTATAAATTTTAACAGAATTATTTCTTAAAAAAATCTAAATAAATGTCTAAATAATAAACAAACAAAAAGATCAAATTATAATCAATATGACATATTTAAAGTTATCTAAGTATTTTTTATACTACCTATTTTATTTCTTTGGGTAATATGATCAATAATTTTTTGAAAAATAGCAAATGGATGAAGTTCATTAAACAAAAAAATCCAAAGCTTATAACATAAAATTTTACAAATAAATTTATAATTATTTATTTAGCTGTTTAAAATAATTCGATTTATTTCATTTTTGAAAAATATTTATATTTATATCAAAAATATTAAATTGAATAAAATTATATCATATTTTATTTTCTTAACTAATACAATTTACCAAATATTTCATTTTCATAATGTAAATATTTGATTTATGTTTATTTATTTTAGCTTTAGTGTTTTTTAGTAGTTTATACTTGATACTTATAAATATCAAAAAAATAAATTACATTTAAGTATTATTAATTTTAGCTATTTTAGGAGAATAAATAAATTTTTAATATTATTTATCATTCCAACAACAAAAACCTTTTATATAATTAAAGAGATTAATTTAAATGAACCTTAGAAGCTCCTTCTTTTTTTTGGATGAACTATGGTATTTTTATATGTTGTAATAAATAATCTTAATAATAAATGCATTTTAAAAAATAATGAAAATTTAATTCATTAATTAATAAATTTAAATTTTAATTTTTATATATTTTTGAATAAATTTAAAAAATAAATAAAGAATTTGCTAATTATATTTATAAATATAGTGATGATTTAAATATTTTAAATAGTAAATAGATAAGTTATTAGTGTATCTCAAATATTTTAATTTAACTAACCTCTCTCTATAAATTAATTTGATTTATTTTTCATTCCATATTATCATAGAGATCAAAAAGTATCAAACCAGGGTTAATAATTTAAAATATGGATATATTTTATTTGTATGTAATTATGTGCAAAATGATTTGTTAGTAGTTATTTTCTTTAAGACATTTAATTAAATCTTTAGAAATATTGGTATTGTAAAACTATTTAGTTATGTCAGAATTTTCTATGTCGAAGATGCTTTAATCAGTGATTGATGTTTATTTTAGAATTAAAAATAGCTATTCTATACACTTCTTATCTATTAACTGTTATTCCCTCAAATTTAAATGTAAGCTAAGTTTTTTTGAATTTTTTAACATAATTGTGTAGGCTTAGAGTAGGCAAGAAGAGTTTAAAGAGAATATGCGCATAGTAGAATATCCATTAATTTATTGTAAGCTAAACTTCTTATCAATATAAATGAAATCAAATTAATTTTTAAAATCTATGTAATTAGCTAAATTATCATTTTATTTAAGGTTTTCTTTTACAAAAATTACATTTCTACATTTTTAAGTAGATAGTTAGGCATCTATATCTGAAATAGATTAGACATATTGCGATTTATTTTGGACATATAGTTTTATCACGTATTATAATTTAAATAAAGCAATTAGGATATAATAGAAGATAAGTAGAAATTGAATCACTATTATTGATTGTGGTAATTAATAACTATCCTACCAGTAAAATAAGCAGCAAGCTATTATAAAATAGAGTTAGCTAGAGCAATATTAAGCTAAGTTTTTATTGTTTTAAAATATTATTTCAAATTATACGATATCATCGTTGTGTAAAGGAGAAAAATATATTAAATTGTGACCCATAAGTATTTGCTAAAATATATTAACATGAAGCGGGTTGTAAATATCTCTGTACTATAATATGCAGCTTAAAAAGCAAATATAGACAAGCATAATAGCTACAAAAGCGAATAACTGAACCAAGTTAACAATAATTTAACAAACATAGCAATATGATTGAATTAAGCAAAGTGCGGACTCAATGAATGTAATTGCTTTTTAAAATAGAGTTTATTTCTTTTGAAAAATGAAAATATTAATGTATAGCGTGTGTAGTATTAAGTATTGAATCGAAAGATAAGCTAATATACCAATGTAAAAAATAAGTTTGCAATCCTGTTGGTACCTTACTACAATCATGATATAAACAATAATTGAATGAGCTTTTATCAAAATAAAGAGTTTTTTAGTACTGAACCATTTAATGAGAAGGTGATAGTATTTATATTACAAAAGGTTTTCATTAAAGTTTTGATGATCTTAAGTTAGTTCTGTATTACAAAACCTTAGGAAATAAATGTAGTCTTGATAGAAAGCAGACATAAATAAATTTGATATGATGTGAATGAAAATACTTTCTAATGATTGTTTCTATTTATTTTTTATGAGGTAGCTTACATTTTATATTTAAGTAAAAAATAATTAAATCATGTAGATTATAAGAATAAATCTTATATTATTATTAAAATCATCAGTCAATAGTAGAGTTATAAGAGCAATCACAGATAAAAGCTCAAAAAAAAAGATAATTCCAAATAATTTTTTATGCTATAATATTTATTTTAAGCAAGCTCTGTAGGTGTTCAGCATAAATCCATTTATTTAGCTATAATTTTGAAAAATACCTGCCTATCTAATGCAAGTATAATTATGAAATTAATTATTCATTTGTTTTGTTTTGCTTTATTTTTAGGTCAAGTATATCTTTTTGTTTGATATAATTTATTAAGTTTTAAATTTATAATAATTTATGGAATCAATTATACTTTATTTAATACAGTAAATACAAAAATATAAATTTATTAATTATCTTTTTTAACTTACAGCGCTGAATTAGGTATAGGCTGTAAGCAGCAGATAATTTTAATTTAATGTTATTTTTATGGCATTAATTTAATTTAATTTATTTATTTATCATTCCAAATTATCAAAAAGGTCGAAAAGAATCAAATCAGGATTGATAATTTGAAACATAGATATGTTTTATTTGTATGCGACTATGTGTAATATGATTTGGAAGTAGTTATTTTATTTAAAGCATTTAATTAGATCTTAAGAAATATTGATACTGTTAAACTATTTAGTAATGTCAGAATTTTCTATGTTGAAGATGCTTTAATCAGTAATAGATGTTTGTTTTAAAATAGTAAATAGCTATTCCATACTTTACTTAGTTATTTATTATTCCGTCAAATTTAAATGTAAGCTGAGTCTTTTTGAATTTTTTAACATTATTGTGTATGCTTAGATCAAGCAAATAGAATTTAGAGAGAATATGTGCATTGTAGAATATCCATTAATTTACTCCAAGCTAAACTATTTATCAACATGAATGAAATCAAATTAATTTTTAAAATCAATATATTGTGATAGTCTATCAGATAATTTAAGCTTCTCGTTTACAAAAATTACATTTCTACATTTTTAAGTCAAGGCTTAAGCATCAATATCTGAAATAGAAGTAACAAATTGCGATTTACTTAGAATATAAAGTTTTATTGTGTAATATAATTTAAGTAAAGCAGCCAATATAGAATAGACAATAAGCATTAATTAAATAACTATTATTAAGTAAGGTAATTAATAGTCGTCATAGAAATAAACTAAGTAGCAAGTTATTACGAAATAGAACTAGCATGAGCAAAATTAAACTAGATTTTTATAATTTTAGAAAATTATTTCATATTGTGCGATATCCTTATTGTATAAAGGAGAAAAGTACATTAAATTTTAACCCATAAGTATTTATTGAAATATATTAATATGAAGTGGGTTGTAAATATCATTGTATTATAATTAGCAGCTCAAGAAGCAAGTGTAGACAAGCATGACAGCAATAAAAGCGAATAACTAAATCACATTGAGGATGATTTAACAAACGTAGAAATATGATTGAACTAAGCAAAAAACAGATTCAAAGAATGTAATTACTTTTAAAATGAAATTTTGTTTCTTTTGAAAAATGAAAATATTAATATACATTGTATGTAGGATTAAGTATTGAATAGAAAGATAAGCTAATAAGCCAATGTAAAAAACAAGTATGTAATTCTGCTCACTCTTTACTACAGTCACGATGTATATAAATATCATATGAGCTTTTATTAAGGTAAAGAGTTTTTTAGTGCTAAACCATTTAATCAGAAAGTGGTAGTATTTATATCTCAAAAGGTTATCATTATAATTTTAAGAATTGTAATTTAGTTCTATCCTGCAAAATCTAAGGAATAATATATAGTCTTGATAGAAAATTGACAATAAAACGTTTGAAATAATGTAAATGTAAATATTCTCTATAAGGTGCTATTCTTTTTTTCTTTTGTAATAGCTTCCATTTTGAATTTGAATAAAAACTAATTATATAGCATACACTATAAGAATAAATCTTATGTTATTAGAAAAGTCATCAACCAGTAGGAGAGTTATCAAGACAATAGTAGACAATAGCTCTAAAAAAAAAATAACCCCAAGTAATACTTTATGCTATAATATTTATTTTAAACTATTTCTGTAAGCATTCGGCATAAATCCATCGATCTAGCTATAGTTTTTAAAAGTACCCACCTAGTGTATATCAGCATAGTCATCTTATTGATTATTCATTTGTTTTATTTTATTTTGTTTTACTTTGTTTTATTTTAAGTTGAAATAAATCTTTTTGTTTGATAACAATTTATTAAAATTTAAATTAATAAATAAATAATTCATAGATACCTTAAAATAGAAAAGTCAATTCTTTCTATACCAAAAATAATTAATTAATTTCTAATAAAATAGGCTTATTTTTACTGAACTGAGTAAGATCAAGTATATCATATGAGTCTTTAAAGATCTTTTATTAATTAGAGTACACTTTTTATTTACATTCTAAGTATTAATCAGAACTCTTATTATCTCTTGATATATAACTTATATTTTTATATATTAAATTAGTTTTATTTTATTTATTTTTTAATAATTAAAACTACGAAATAGTTGAATTGGTTTTTTCAAAAATGAATTTTACTTTTTTTCACAATAAATTGTTTTTAAAAATATTTATTTTAATTTGTTTTCTTGGTATTAATTTAAATATAAAATTATTTAAACAATATTATAAATTTTTACAGAATAGTTTAAAAATATATTAAAATGTGTAATCAAAATATTTTGAGAAATGTTCAGGGAAAAAAAATATAAAAAAAATATTATGATAATTTGAATATTATTTTATTGTTACAAACTATTAATAAAAAAATTTATGAAACGCAACAAACAATTTAAATATTAGCAAAATTTGTCCCAAGTAGTTATAATTTTTAAATCAATTGTCGTGTAGATCATATGCTATCAATTACGGATTTATTATTTGATATTTAGATAATAATTTATAATATGATGTTAAATTCAAAATAGTCACTTCTGAGTTGAATTATTTTAAAAATCCTAATAAATCTTTATAATAATTTTGATTTCTAAATGATAAAATGAGATCAGAATTTATTAATTATATCTTTTTTTAGTCAGATATAGAAATTTATTTTAAGCAATCAAATATTTTACTACAAACTTCACTGTTAAAATGTTATGGTTGTTCTATTTGCACAATTTCAACTGTTATACAAACAGATTTTGAGAGAAAATACCTAAAAAGTTAGCTTATTTCTTGAGATTTTAAGTCAATAATCTTGAATGTACAATATCCATTAATAAACTCGATATTTATTTGGTTTATAAAAGTTATTTACAAAAACTAAGGCTGTGAGCTTAAGATTTTCAATAGTTTCTTAAAATCATTTTATTTTAAATCATAATTTAAATTAAATATAATCTTGCATTTTGCATTAAAATTCAATTAGTCCAATTCATCTAGTGAATTCAAGTTATAGATTTGGCTTTCCTTTTTAATTCTTTTTATTAAAAAGTATTTGCTTATTATTTACAATCCATTTATTAAGCAAAATATTATTTACATAATTATTAATTCAATAGGGAAATTTTTGGTGTTAAGATAAAAAGTGATTATGCTTATAGCAACAAAATAGATCTAAGAGATAAAAAATTAAAACTAATTCCTTTTATTTTCTATTATTGTTTCATATTAAAATAAATCGCAATTGTAAAGTTAGGAAAAGAATGTTATCTTAAAGCCCATATAGATTAAAGCTATGGAGCTAACGTTCATAGGATTAAACACATATTTTACTTGGTACTATTAGCAGCAATAATATTAAGTTATTTGCTAAAAGGCAATCAAAATTAGTAATGCATATATTAAATATATGCTATAAAATATTAAATATATTGTGAAATATGCCTAAACAATTTCTACTGTTAATTCAAGGGCTGTAAACAGCTGCTAAAAAAGAGTCTATCGTTTTAAAAAAACAAACATGTTTAGATAAAAAAGATGGATTATTATATTAATCAAAGCATTTATCAATAAGTACCCAATCATCACATAAAAGACATAGTCTCTATTACCTTAAATGACTATAAATATATTAAGCACTAGAGATCGAATAAAAATAAAGAACATCTTGATAATAAATTTACTAACTAAAAAATATATGAATCTTTTAGAAACTATTTCTTTGTCAAACCTTCTATTCTAAATTTCTTTCTATTCTATTATACAAAATCTAATAAATATTAGTAGATCAAGAGACATTATAGAAAGGACTAATGTTGAAAGAGCATAAATTAAAGGTTTGCCAAGTGGTGAGCTAGTTTTTTTATAATACAAGCAATTTTGCATAAATTAAAATATGGCTGAGAATATCTAAACTACTATAAAAGATACAAAGCCGTCTAATTTATTAGAGAAATGGTAGAAACATATTAATGATATGCAAAATATACTTTCTAAAAGTGAAATAATTATAAACAAAATCTTGAAATTATTTATATTATCTAGCGCCTTTTTATATTTATCCTGAATAAACCCATCTATTTAAAAGCAACTGAAATATGACCCTGCTTAATTCAAAAGGATATCATTTACATTATTTATATTCATTTTTATTATTATTATTATTATTAATTTAGCTAGTTAGTTATTCAGTATAAATACTATTATTTACTTTTACTTATTATTGAATTAATATTTGATTAATTTTATAATTTTTAATAACTCAAAACTTAAGTTTTTTAATAAGTTTGTTCTAAAATTATCAAATTATTTTAATTTTGTATTTCATTTTTTAGAAATCCTATTTTATAAAATCACAAAAAAATAAGTTTCCATGAAATGAATTTAAATTATTTATGAGACAAATTATCATAAAGAATATTAAATTTTTTATAATTAGATTCGATTTTCACCATTGCAAATTTAAATACTGTTCAAAAATTAAATATAAATTTTTTGAAAACTTTTATATAGCATATTTATCAAATAATCTATAATTTACCCTAGCTCCTCATTAATTAAGGTAATCACTCACTCTCTCCTCCACCTAACTTTGGAATTTTCTTTTTAATATATATGATTTTAATCAATCTTCAGTTGGCTCAGTACCTTTATCGAATTATAAGGTATAAGCAAAATAAGATAAAAAAGAAAATTTTAATAATTGAAGTAAAAACATAGCTTTTTCTCTAAATACTCTAATGTTTTTATTATTAATATTTAGCAAGTTTATTATATTTTTTATATTTCAAAAATAATTAAACATATTTACTGTAAAAAACTTAAAAATTATATTGTTATTTTTATGAAGCATTCATATTTCAATACAAAAAAGTAAATATTTATATAATTTTTGATTATTATGTTTATTAAACAAAACTAATTTGTATAAAAATTACAAAAAATATACACTTAATATTTAAGATTAAAGTAAATTGTAAAATAATTTAGATTTGATGATTAAATAGTCAATTTTATGTTCATTCTTCATAATATTATATTTGATATTATCTTCTTTATAGAAACGTAGAAATCAAAGAATTATAAATTAAATTGCAAAGTTATATCTAATATTATATTTTACTATTTTCAGATATCAAAGAGATCATAAACTATATTAGAAGGATTAACGAACTAGGTGAAAGAGATATACTTATAAAACGTGACCAAGTTTAGAACGATATTTTCCACATTAAATTACTCCAAGAAATTTTGAAGATTTAGAAATTATTTTTAATTATGAAGGACCAAGAGCAGATCAGAGTCTCTAATATTAAACTTTACTTAATCTGTTATGGATATTTACCTAAGACAAGAAAGTATTTTTGAGCATATTTAACTGTTTATAATTAAATCTTGATTTAATTGTTCGATTTAAACTGAAAAAAATTATGATTTTGATATAAAATAACCAAAAAACTCGCTAATTTCTTCAGAACTTAAATCAAATATTTTCATCCTACAAAAATTATTCACTGATTCAATAGAGAATTAATTAAAAAATTTTATCTAGTAAAATTAATAGTTGAAATTTGAGTTTTGATATTTAATGAATTTTTAAAAATCACCCTTTTGAATTCTACTTTCAAAATTTATAGACAATCTACAATATGATTTAGGGACTACTTAGGTAATTTCTTCTAATGAGTTAAAATTATTAATACTACACTATTTAGTCATTTTTATTATTAAAATAAATTTAATTATGAAAAATACTCCAGTGAATCCTCCAAAAACAATCAATAAGTTAGCTATAGGTTAAGGAAAAAATCCTTAAAAGATTTAAAATACAAAAGCATAAATTCCTCCAATATAAATATTGGCAAATAAGAGAATAAACTAATTCTTCTTGTTTTAAATTAGCATTTCATACTAAAATAAATCACTATTGTAAAGAGAAGAAAGGTAGGAAATCTTAAAACCCATCAAGATTAAACCAAATATAGATTAATTCATAGGATTGTATAGTAAATTAATTTTGTAAGATTTAAAGTAGAATGAAATTACTTGTACTGCAATCATCATAATAAGAGTAATCTATATCAAAAAAATGAAGTATATGTAGATCGACATAATACAATATGATTAAGATATTTCGATTAGTATCTCAAAAACGGTTAAGATTTACTGCTTTGTAGATTATTTTACTGAGAAAACAAAAAGATTTAAATACTAAAATTATAAGAAAATCATAATTATCATATTTAAGATGATGTAAGCCAGTGTATAATAAAAATATTCATTCACAGCATTATTTAATACGATTAAAGTGATAAAAAAAACTGATTTAACGAAAACAAAAAATATTTTCACAATAAATCTTCCTGCTAATTTCAGAACCAATTTCTAAACTAAAATAATCTTTTCAGTTTTTTTAACACTTTAATTCCTCTCAATCTTACAATATCTTAAAAACAGAAATATATCTAAAGTCAAAGCAGAAAGTATCAAATCAAATAGAAGGTAAGCCCAAAAGTTTCCTATTATCTATTTAGTTCCTTAATAATAGTTGCAATTTTGATAAAAAGAGATTAAGGTTTGTACACCTAAAATAGCTATTAAACCAATAAAGGCATTAAAATTTTTAAAGTATTACAATACTATAGCAGAAGTGCAAATTAAAAGCTCTAAAAATGCAATTAATTGATACAGTCTTTTCCTAGAATATATCTAGATACATACTTGGCTATACTTATCCTATGCGTATCCATCAATCAATAATGAATTAAAATAAATGCCAACATTGAACCCCTAAATCTACTCTATATTTTAATTATTGTTCATAATTATATTTTAATGTTTCTTTTTAGAATTAAATAAAAGAACTCTTTAAAAAAAACAAATCAACAAAAATATTAATTATTATTTTTTAGTCAAAACAAATTTCTTTGAAATTAATAATAATAATATAGACAGATAAATATTATAAAAATAATATGAACAGTTCATTTATCTTAAATTTCTACTTAAATAAACTTAAAAAACAAAAAAATTTCTATATAAAATTTGAACAGTTTTGTTGTTAAAGTAAGATACATACTTTTCCTTTATTTTTTCAAACAATTTTCTTTGAAATTAAAAATAATAAATATAAAGTAATCTATATCCTTAAAATAATCTGAACAATAATGCGTTTGTTTAACTATTCTAAATAAATTAACTGATAAAAGAAATCAAATATTCCTAAAAAAAATTAAATATTATTATATTTATTGAATACTAAAGTAAAGCATAGCAATAGATACAATCATACTAAAATATGCTTTTATTTTTTTAAATTTTAATTTTCACAATCAAAAATACTCTCATCTTTTATTCATAAATTAAAAAGGTGGTTATTAATTTACATAAGTGAATTCATAATTTAAAATTACCCCAGAATTTTAAATATACAAAGTAGCAAAATATGAATCTAAAATGTTTCTAAATCATTAAAATGTATAAGTTAAATGTTATTCATAAATAGATATAGATTTAAATTTTAAATATTTAGTCAAAACAATTTAGTATAAACATTAAGTAATTCCAATTAAATAAAAAAAATTTTTTTATAAAAAAATAATTAATTTAAATTTTTGTATTATTTTTGTAAGAAATATAAAATTGAGTGTTTTTATTTACTAATTAAAAGCATTCTAAAAACTTAACAAAAATAAATAATTTTATTATGCGAAAATAGTATGAATAAATAGTTTAAAAAATGGTATAAATATTTATAAAGATATTAAATTAAATACTAATTTAGTAAAGTTTTATAAAAAAACATAGAAATAATAAGTGATAATAATTTAGATAATTATCAAAACCAATTTATTTACAAGATTTTATAGAGTATTTTTTTTTAATTTTAATCAATAATTTGATTCATATAAATCAAATAAGATCATTGAACTGTTAAGATATTGATATTGAGATAAATGATTGTAATAGGCTATAGTTGTTACCATTATTTTTTTATAACTATATTAATTTAAAAGTTAATTTAACTATTTATAATAGTTTTCATTTTTAAAATATTTAATTAAATCTGAATTTTAGATATTCTTTTTAACTTAATCATCAAGAGAAGCATTCTTAAGAAAATTGAAAAGGAAGGATTTAGCTTAAGTACTACTTGATTAAATTAAGTTTTTATTTTTATGGTTTATACAAATCTAAAAAGATGAAGAATCTTTCATAAGCTCATTGAAAACTTTTTCTAGGCAAGCAGATTTAAAATTATTAATTTCTAAAATTCTGTAATTAAGAATTTTAATAGCTTTAAATTGTCCATTCAAGCACAAGTAAAATTGTTTACAATCAATTTGAAAATATTTTTCAATTTGTATCCAATCTTTTTCTTCTAATTTCTATTCAGTATAGATTTAAAGTTTTATTTTTTTAGAAGATAAATTCTCGCCATCAAGTTATTAAAGTTTTTCTACATAGTAGGATTTATCTTCATAGAAAATTTTTTTGATTTGACGTAATTTTATAGGAAGTAATGTCATCATTATTAAAAGTAATATAACCTATAAAATTATTAAATATTAAGGAAAGACTTATGCTTACTAATAAAAGACTAAAATAACGTTAACTAAGAAATAAATTTGCACTGTTGAAAATTAAATAATGTTAAAAACATTATTAAATATCATTTCTTGTTAGTTTAGATCACGATTACAAAGACTTGAAACATAGGTAAGCTTTTACCCCATAAAAATCTACTGAATAATATCAACGCTAAGATTATTAAAATATCCTTAGTTCTATAACTAGCATTTTAATATCGTTATATACAATATAACTAGGCAGACAGCTGTAATCCTTAACTCAGCAAAGTAAATTGCAGATATGAAATAGCAATAAGATTAACCATATTGAGCTGTTAGTTCAATCAGAGTAAGCAAATCAAACCCAAAAGTTAATTTTTGTTAGAATACAAACGTCTTTAAATAGAAATGACTTAAGATTATAAATAAAGCACTTGAGTAAGCTAGATAAATAATTAGTATACTTTTGTTAATGTTCAAAGCATGTATCTAGTCTAAAATTAAAAAACCTAAATAGATGTAGCACTTAAAAGTTAAGTAGAACTTCCTCAAAGTGTGCCATTGAATTAGTTAGCTTTAAAGAATCTTAAGATTTTTGAATTATATTTTTTTCTATTCAAACAGTGTAACCTATTTTATTTGAACTTTGCAGTTTTGGTAAAAAAGAATGAAATCTACTTACAGAAAGCTATACAAAAAATGCTTGAAAAAAAGTTTTATCAAGGTCTTCTTACTATGAGTATGAGATTAAACCAATGATAGTTTAAAACTAATTATATTCGTAAATGTATATAAAACTTATGTTGCTACAAGCACGATAAAAATTGCAGAAAGTGGCTTAGCTACTGAAGTATATATTATCAAGCCAACAGAAGCGAAGATCTCTACAAAAAATAAAAATGAAAAAATTATGCTGTATTTTTTTATTTCTTTTAGTGTTTGCAAATATTTGTCTTGCATGTAAGCTTCTACAAAGTTCAAACCTTTTTCATAATCTGCAACTTCTATATGATTCTAGTTGTTTTCCTCATTGTTTTGTTGGTTTTAATTTAACATAATTTTCAACTCGTTTTAGCTTAACTTTTATCACCTTTTTTTGTAAATCTAATTTGAAAATTAATAAGTGAGATAATTTTTTTTTATTAAATAAATTCTTTTTACAATTTTAAAAACTTTATTTAGATTATTACTTTCTTTTTAAAGACACATTTTAAGAGGTGAGTGTATTCTTTCGTTTTGAATATATTCAACTAATTTTAAAATTCACTCAATTTTTTTTAGTTCGATTCAAATATTTACAATTTAGTAAAATAACTCAGAAGTCCTACAACGCCTTTGTTAATAAAAGAATTAGCTAAATTCATGAATTTACTTCGATTAACAACAAATAAATATTTGTAATAGATAAAAAAGTAACATTCATCTAATTTACTTGACAAAAAATATTCTACATTATAACTTTAAACATAAGTCTATCAATTTTAATTTCTTGCGTTTTTTCAAAAACAAATAAAATAAAAAAATATTTCCAAAATTATGTTTAACTAATCCTATAAATTTTATCCAGCATTCTAATTTATAAATTATTTCTTATCAAAATTATCCTTCACACGTTTAGATTTATTTTTTTCTTGTCAAAATTCTGTAAATAAAAGAGAGAATTCCTTAAACTTTTATTAAGAAAATACTAACAAATTTTCTTTTTTTAAAATCAAATTTGTTATTTAAATTATATGGATGAATGGATGGGCGAGTTATCGGTATAAATTTAATATTATTTTGAAAAAAAATTTTGCCTCTAAAATACAACAAAACTCAACAATAAATAATTTACTAAGCAAATAAAGTAAGTAATCTTCTACTTGCTTCAAAAAAATCTTTACAAAATGGAAAAAAAGACATTTTAAATTTTGATTAAATAAATCTCAACAATAAATCATTTAGTAAGCAAATAAAATAAGTAATCTTGTTTATAAAGTTGATAAAGCCTTAATATACATTAAACTATATATAAAATAAACTTTTAATTTTTATAATACTGCTCAGCTATTACTTTCCTCTTAATCTTAGAAACTTTTGAAACTTTAAGTCTTATTAGAATCTTAATCATCAAATTTATCTTAATTTTATTAAATAATTCTATTTTCGTCTTCTTCTTCTAAATCATCATCATCTTCACCATTAACTTCTTCTTCATCCTCCTATTTTTCCTCTTCGTCTTCATAGGCCTTATCACTATTATCATAATAATCTTCAACTTCATCATCTTCATCATATTACAAATAAATTAAGTAGTCTTCTACTTGCTTCAAAAAAATCTTTACAAAATGGAAAAAAAGACATTTTAAATTTTGATTAAATAAATCTCAACAATAAATCATTTAGTAAGCAAATAAAGTAAGTAATCTTGTTTATAAAGTTGATAAAGCCTTAATATACATTAAACTATATATAAAATAAACTTTTAATTTTTATAATATTGCTCAGCTATTACTTTCCTCTTAATCTTAGAAACTTTTGAAACTTTAAGTCTTATTAGAATCTTAATCACTAAATTTATCTTAATTTTATTAAATATTTCTATTTTCCTCTTCTTCTTCTAAATCATCATCATCTTCACCATTAACCTCGTCTTCATCGTCGTCTTTATCCTCCTATTTTTCCTCTTCGTCTTCGTAGTCCTTATCAATATCATCGTCATAATCTTCATCTTCCTCATCTTCATCATCTTAAACTCTGTTATATGTGGAATTATCTTCATCTTCATATTCCCATCTATAATTTTCAAATTAAGATTATGCTCTACTCTATTCTGAATTAGATTCGTCCTCAATCTTATTTTGCTTCTCTAAATCCTCTATTTCTTCAAAATAAAGATCATTATTGAACCATTTAAAAAGTTTTCCTTTCAAGTTAGTTGTTATGATTTCCATTTTTTTTGGATGCCAAGCTGCATCTCTAACACAGGTTTGTTCCATATCATTTAAAATACCAGCTGTATATTAATTTTTTTCCTCTTAGAATTCTAAATGCTTAGTTGTATTAGATAAAATATCATACAAGAAAACTTTTCCACAATAGCTAGCTGTGTAAATATATCTTCTATCAGTGGGGCCTAAAGGAGAAAAATGACATCTCATTAGAGTTTTTCCTACTTTATGTCCTCTAAACGTTTATACTGAGTTATCAAAGTTTTATTCTTGAGTTAGATTACGTATATTTAATACCTCTTTTTCTGTCATAGCTCCCATTCTAATTTAACATTTGGAAATTAAAATTAAATTTAAAACTAAATCTTTGGAAAAAGTTAGATAAAAATTAATAATGAATTTTTAATAAAATAATTTTTGATTCTGGATAGAAATGTATTAAGCAAACAAAATATTTTGCATTAGGTTTTATTATTATTTATTTAAAAATTAAAGAAAGTTTAATTAATTAATTTTCCAAAAATAATATTTTTTATAAATATTTTACCTATAATCATAGTGCTTTTATACTCTATTTTTACCAGTAGAGGAAGATACACTTTTTCTTAAATCCCAAAGTTTTACACATTAGTCTTTTCCATTAGAGGCAACATAGTAGTTATCTTGTCTAGAGTCAACGTGAGTGATTCCAGCAACATGGCCTAGTAATTCTCCTGCTGATTAGCCATTAGGTCCTAGTGCTCTTGTATCCCTATATTAAAATGTTTCATAGTATAATTTTAACATTTTTTAATCATAAATTTAAGTATTTACCATATTTTTACAGATCTATCATCTGAACCGGAAATAAATACAGATGAATTATGCTTATCAACAAAGGCTATAGAATTGATATCATCATCATGGGCAAGAATACTATCTGAAACTCTCTCTCTCTATACATCAAACATTTTAATTTAAGCTTTGCTTTAAGAAGTTTTTCCAGAAGATGCTAATATCTTTGAATCATCTCCTGAGTATTTACAACTAAAGAACCTTAGAGAGTGGTAATAATAATCTTCATCTTCTTCTCCATCACTTAAGTTATAAAAGTTATTATATTTTCCAGTTTAGATATCAAATATAGAAATAAATGGATTAAGTGAACAATGTATCAAATATCTTCCATTTTAACTTAAGTCACTATCCGTAATTGTCCATGTAATATTTCTAGGGTAAAGCACTTTGCCTCTTTTATATTCACCATCATCTTAATTATAGTTATAAGTGAACAATTCTTCCTTTTATATTGAATAAATTTATAGTGTTTTCAAAATTTAAAAATATTAAACGTTTTTAATTCTGGAATTTTTACAGAACAATATTTAAAGAATAATGATTAAAGTTACTATTTATCAATCAAATCTATTTTTTTTTTTAATTTGTTTAAGAAATTTGTTTACTTGAGTTGTAATAAGCAGTTAGTTTCCATCTTAACTGAACAAAATGTTGTAAACTGGGCTTCTTAATTCGTCAATTTTTCTTCGCTAGTATTTTAAGTTAAATTAAAAATACATTTAAAGAGTTTATTCTAAGTTAAAAGCAAAGTAAATACTTTATTTGGAATCATATTTTCCATCACTTTAGAATGATAATTATATGATGGAGGGAGTTCTAAATGAGGAGCGTCGTATTCAAATTTGTTAAAAACAGATTTAGAAGTAAGATATTTTAATCTTCTATTATAGTCTTAGTAGTGACTTTTTTGCTTTTTGTAAATTTATTTTTTTATTTTGGCTTCAAACAAATTGTCTGTAAAGATCATATAGTTCTCATTTTATTAGTCTTCTTAGATTGAGTAGGGTTTTCTACTTAATTTTTTTGGGGGTTATCTCTGCTGAGGTTAATATTATGATCTAAGGTATTAGTTATATAAACTTTAGAGTCTTTCATCGCTAATATCTTCGTCATCAAGATTAATAGTTCCGCCATTAACAGTATTTTAATTTCCCATTTAATTGTTTTATAAATGTAATTCAATTGATTTTTGTGCAAGTTAATCAATCAGATCTATATTTTTTTTTTATTCTAATTATAAAATCACTTAATAAAAAATATTATCAGAGAAGTCTTTTTGGTATCATCAGATATGCAATTAAAATCAATAATATAAGTGTAAATCTTATTTAAAAAAGGTAAGCTTGGTTCCATTGGATTCCAGAAAATTTCTATTTTAACAATAAGAAGTTTAACAGAATATTAAAATTAATTTACACTATTCCTGCTATTCTGTTTAAATATAATAATTTCGGTGGTATTTATTTTTCTATAAAATATAATAAAAAATTTGGATTTTTTAAATAAAAAAAAGTTGCTTGATTGATTGATATTTTATGTTACATAATATCCATTACAAAAAAAACATTTTGATGTCAAAATATTACTAAAGATAGATATTCATTTTTAATAAAAACTTTATGCTGGTTTCTGGTTATTATTATAGAGTTGAAATTATTGCAAAATTTTTAATTTATTAATTTGATTTAATTTATTTGATATGAGCTCTTGTTTAAAGTACATTTGTTGTTGTTTTAAAAGGTAAAATGATTAAAATAACTATAAGTAGGAGAAGCTAAAAGATTTTGAAAGGTGCGCATTTGATAAGTAATAAAAATCATTTATATTTAAAGGCAATTTATATAATTTGCAAGAATAAATTGGATAAGGCGCTTTTTCTGAAGTGTACACAGTTTTTAATTAGAATAAAAAAAGATTTGAAGTTCTCAAAAAGCTCATTTTAAAAGAATCCGTTGATGAATATATCCAAGAATATAAAATTTTGAAGTCTATCAAACATGAATTTGTTATTTAATTTTATGATTGTCTTTTGCTTGATGATGATTTATGCTTTTTGATGGAATATGCAGAGCAAGGTACATTACAGCAGTTTATAGATAATCCATATTTGTTGAATAAGAAGATAGATGCAAATTTTATATTAGAAATATGTGAAGGAATATTCGAAGGTATTTAGTATCTCCAAATAAAGAAAATCATTCACAGAGATTTAAAACCAGAAAATATTCTTATTTCAGATTTTAAGGCTAAAATCGCTGATTTAGGCTTGTCTAAATTTCTACTATCTAAATATGCAAATACTAATGTGGGAAATATGCTTTATGCTGCTCCTGAAAAGAATAATGCTGACAAAGGTGGATATGGATTGAAATCAGATATTTATTCTGCAGGCTTAATATTATGCTAAGTAATATTAAGACTTGCTGTTAAGTAGATATCTCAAATCAACTTTTTTGATAATCAAGATTCTTTTAAAAATATACCTCAAGAATTAAAGAAGCTTATCTCTTTATTGATCTCAAAAAATCCTGAAGAAAGACCCTCCTGTGATTTTGTCATATAGTAGATAAACGCTTTTAAGCAAAGTTCAGATGTTATCAAGTTTATTTCAAATAAATATTAGTTTAGTTCTCATCAAGTTAATCAAAAATCTATAAACATCGAAGAATAAAATGATATTGAAAAATAAGACAAGCTAAATAAGCCTTTAATAGAAGGGGAAGATGATAAAGATTCTATTGATGTCCTTTCTTGTGAGAAAATTTAAATTAACTTTGGGTAAGATTAAACATAAAATTAAGATTACAAACCAGAAAACGAATAGTGGTTTGAACAAAATTTCACTGCAGGTGCAGTTTCGATAGTCAGATTTAAAGACTATGAAAAAGGGATTAAATAGTTTGAAAAGGTTTTGAATGTAGAAGTTAGAGATGAATTTATGGTTTAAAAAAAGCTAATGATGGTGTTATGGATGATGAGAAAAAAAAATTTTACCTTACAAAGTCTTTTCAGCCAACAAAAAACGTAACAAGATTATGAGAAAGCAAAGTAATATGCTGAAGTGGGTCTATAGTTAGATCCTTTAAATTAAAATTGTTTAAGCATCGTTGTACTTTCAATGATAAAGTTAAGGTATACAGAAATAGAAATTATGATACACATTGAAAAATTCATATCTAAAATTTATTTTGGAGGACTTTTATTATTTATGACTCTAGTAGACATACAAAAATACATTCATCCAAGCTATGCTAAAAGTATTGCTAACAATTCTACTAATTTCAATGAAGAGGTTATCTTAGGATGCTCATTATATTTTTACTCTAAAAACTAATTATTTAGCATTTAAAAAATTATATTTTAATAAATAAACAAAGACAGCCAATAATTACAAATAGTAAATCAACTAATTTAAATGCTAAATTCTGAAAAAATAAATATTTTTATAGATGCAGCTTAATCCACCAATTTTGATAATAATCTTAGACTAGGTTTCTGTTATTACACAATATAACAATACTTATTGTAATATTAAGATATCAAAAACTAAAATTAATATTACAGTTTAGGTATTTAAATATAAAGTAATTTACAAATAGAATAAACTCTATCAGAAATATTAAAAGAAAATGAAAAATTTTATGAAGAAATAAATAAATTGTAAAAAATATACTTAGATTGCTGAAATAAAACAATTAAACATATTAACTCTTAAAAATTTAATTTAAAAAGTATAAATGAATTTTATTGAAAAATTACTTGAAATTTTTAATTTATAGATTCTATATATTTAAATGAATAAGTTTTTTTTGTTCTCAATTTAATTTAAAAATTTAAAATAATCCTTTCAAAATATTTTAATTTCTTAAAAAATCAAAAAAAACTATAAAATAAAGTTTTTTTTAATTTAATGATTTAATTTTAAATTAAAATTATTGAAAAAGTTTTACTCTTAAAATAGGTTAAGAAATAACTTATATTTCTTAAATTGTATTTTATTTATTTATTTAATATTTAAAATTTATTTTAACAACAATTCTAAATTTAATTAAAATATTTATGATATTTTATAAATTATATTATTAAGTTAAAAATTACAAAATATAATTTTGTTTTCATTTTAAAAGTTAATTAAATATTATAAAATATTTCTAATTTTAGATATTTTTTATTTTTTAATTAAAATTAAAATATAACTTTCAATATTATTAAATTTACTCTACAATTTTTATTTATATTTTTTCCATTTTTTCTGAATAAAAAATATATTACAAAATTAGTATTTTCTTATTGATGCAAAATACAACAAAATTTTAATTTTAATAAAAATATTTGGTTTAGAAATAATAAATAAAGTAGCAAAATTGTTTGATTGATGAATATATAGTTTATACTTATTTTTGATAACTCTACTTGAATTAAAAAAGATCCTTCTAAAATGAAATTGTGAGTATAGTTTTTTGATGATTTTAATACAATATTTGACTTTTGATTAAGACTTCATAATTTTCAGCTTTTTTTGTATAGATAACATTAAAAACGAAAATTATTTAATAGAAGAAACTTTCTTTTTTAATTATCATAAAGAATTACTGAATATACATATATACAAACAAAAATAGATATTCTAGCTAAGAGAAGTTTATTGTAAGAAGGAAAGCTTATTTGAAGCGAAAAATAAATAAAATATTTGAAATTCTGGATGAAAAAATAATTCATATTATTATTAGTTTTTATACTTATAGCTGCTTGTAAGATATTATTATCAATTTTCAAAAACAATCATATTGAAATTATATTCAAATTTAATAAAGGTAACTCAGCTCATGTAAAAAATAAAAAAAAGGTCTCTGATAATTTATTGAATGAATAAAACAAGAAATCCTCATCAAGTAAAATAATTATCTACTGAAATTATAATAAATGAGCTTTTTTAAAAGAGCAAGTGTAAGAAACCAATGAAATAAATAAAGAAGATGAGAATAAATTTAAACATTTTTCAGATTATGTCAAGCAATCCAACAAAGCCTAAAAGGACTTCATTATTTAATTTATGGGTAATATATTTTATCATTAATGTAGAGTGTTTAATTGTTATATTTAAATGGTAAAACAGAAATAAATGATTTAGAGCAATATCAAGCAAGATTTCTTATTATGAGTCTTTTAGCCGTTTTTACTGTTGCTCTTTGCTGCTTTGGAGTAAAGTATATACTAAACTTTGTAAAAACTTACTAAAATCAAATACTTAAAGAATATTAACTTTATAATTAATAAAATAAATCAGTCAAAGACATGCAAAACAGCGTTGAGTGAAATCAAATGGATTAAAGAAGTAGAAGCTTAATAAGAATAATAATAATAAAATGTATTTACAGAATATTGATTAATTAAATAGTGTTTTATACAATATATAAACTTGTTTATATTTTTATATTATTTTATCCTTTACTTCATAGAAATAAAATGACTGTTTAAATTTTTGCTTAAAATATTTATTGCTTTAGGGAAGATGTATTTCTTCTTCAAAAAATATTTCTAATTCAAGAATAAGTAAAAAAGTAAAAATAATTTTTATAAAAGGAATTTAAAAATACAAGGATTTCTATTTTGGAAAACTAAAAACCTAAAAATTCTAAAAATTTAATCAGAATCAATATTTTTACAATTGCATAAAAAACTAAAATTATTTTTCTAATAACACAAGAAAATATTTTGCAATGAAAATTATACTTAATAAACCAAAAATAAAGGATTTTAATTAACAATTAAAACTATATTTAGATAATTAAAAATTCTTCAAAAACTAAAAATTATTTAACGAAATACTTTCTAAATGTAAAATCCATAAAATTTTGTTGACTTTCAAAATGATTTACTCAACAACAAATAAATTAAATTTTATAATTAATTATGAGAATAAATTATTGATTAATATTTTTGATATAAATTTTAAATTAGATTTGTGAAAACAAATATTAATTTTATCGACAAATTTAATCAGAGTTTCCATGTATCTGCAATTTTTATATTATCATTAAAAGGTTTTTTATAAATACTTTCAACAATACTAGGACCACATTCTATACATTCTATTGCTAACAACTAATCTAATTCTTCCTAATATTTAATTATAAAATATTTAAAAAGCTAATTTGTATAAAAAAATTACTCTATATTTAAGAAGCTCTTTCTAATATTACTCTAGCTATACAGTATTTTCTTCATTATCTTCTTCAATAGCATGGCTTGCAACAAAATTTACAAGCTTATTCAGAGGATTATTGAAAAGTCCTATGTCAATATCTTCACTTGAAGCTCCTTAATTTAATAAAAAAATATTTGTTTGTAAAAATAGATAGATAAAATAAAATGAATTTACTCTTTCTTGTTGTAAGAGATTCTATGCTTTTTTAAATTTGTTCTATTTTTGAATTCAAAGTATTTATTTTTTCTAATTTTATTTGATCGTCATCATTTTTTATCACTTTATAAATCAGGCATGCCTATTTTTTATTTTTTATTTAAAATCTTTATTAAAAAAATAAATTTAATTTACTTGATGGAACCCATGCTTACAGGGGAATATATAAAATGAATCTGTATATAAAGGTCTATTACACTCTCTACAAGTTTTATCTTATTTGATAATAACATATTTATTAATTTTATTAAGATCAGATTTAATTTTATCAGCTGCTAGTGAGTAGGCTTTGATTAAAATTCTGAGTTCCTCAATCTTTTTGTTCTTTTGTTCTAAACCGTTGCAAATCTACTCAGTTACTTTTTGAACATCAACACTCTCAGAAAACAGATCTAAAATTTCTTCAATCTGAAGAACAGGATATTATTGCAATAAATCTATAACTTCAAAAATATTGTCCTTTTCAAGGTAGTATTTAGCGACTTATAGCATTAGCTTTTTTTATTCTTTTTAGCTTGAAGGTTAAGTTATATAACTTTAAATAAGATATCCAAGATCATTTTCCAAAGCAACTTTGATAGCTTCGCTGCACATATCCTTTAATCTGTATTATAATATAAATGATAATTTAAACTTTTAATTTTGTTCGAGAATTAATAAAACCAAGTTTATCTAACATTTAAAATTTCATTTAAAAAAATATTTTCATCTATTTTAATTCAAAAATACAAAAATTAAATAAAAGCAAATTTGTTTTAAAAAAAATATTAAAAGACTTACCCATATAATTTAACAAGTATGATATGGAAATCGTAAGATTTGGCAATAGTAAATGCAAATTCAAAACTAAAGTTAAATCTTTCTTGTTCCTTTTTGACCTGTTCTTATTCAGTAAAGTACTCATCTAACTCAAATTCTTAATCTAGTTAGGACAAGAAAAGAATAAGCATATTATGAATAATTTTGTCATCACACTTATTGTCGCTAATGAGACCTTTTATATACTCAATTACATGTCTTTTTTTAGATGGAGGAGTATCAATTAAACTTCTTATAAGCTTAATTTCTCTAGTGTCTTGTATTTAAGACTATTATCTTTTATTAATTTTGCTTTCTTTTCTATAAGGTTTTATTGAGTAGTCCTTAATTTTTTCAATGAATTTTTCTGTTTCTTTCTAAATAAGGAGATGAGAATACTATTTAGATATAAATAATATTATTTTAAAGATTTGAATTAGAATAATTTATTACTTTGACTAATAAATCATTTCTATATCTTTCTTTTTCTCTAGGAATAGACTCTAAATCTAAAAGTACCTAATCAAATTTATCTTCATTAATGTCATTCTTGATAATGACCTCAAAGGATTACTTTTTTCTAGCATATTCGAAGCAATCTTTCAATCTACCATGAGTTTACAAAATTTAGTAAATTGTATTTTCGTCTAATTCTCTATCATGTATATACTGTTCTAAAAGTTATTTCAAGCTATCTTTTAAGCTCTGTATTTTTTAGCTAATTAACTCCAGGCAGTATCTCTTATCCTGCTCGTTTTTAAACTTTGAGATAGGATACTACTAATAATCTAATCAAATTGAAAATATCTTAAAAAATAATCGAATTTTTATTAAATTATTTACATTAGTATCTAACTTCTTAAGCATTAATTTTCTCTGCTTTTATTTCAATTAGCCAATAAATTAGAATATGCTTTTAAGTCTTTACATCTTATCTTAAATTTTTAAGCCATAATGTGAGGTATTCTAGATAATTAAAAGTGATATTAAAAGATATAACAAATTACCTAAAATTAAAAAAATACCTTCAAGACCATCTCTTGCAGCTAAATCTCCTTATAACTGCTTATTTAAAAATTTAATTGTTATCTCTTCGAAATTTCTGTTTGTTTCAAAGTAAAGTTATGCTGCTTTCATATAATCTTTTTACAAAAACTATTGATCTCCATACAATCCAGCTAGCTATAAAAATTATTAAAAAGACAATTAATATGTTTTTCTTGTTAAAAAAAGTACATAAGCTATATCTTCTTTTGTCACATCTGCTTTTTTAGCACTTTCGAAAGCTAGATTGAATTATTTTTTTTCTAAATAAAGCTTCCAGCCATCCTTTTAAATTAAAACAAAATGTATTGAAATAATTAAAATACTAAGCTTTATTACTTTTTCTTCATTTTAAATACTAAGGTATTTGATATCTTTGCTCGAATATATCCATATAATTTTATTAAAGCTATCATATTACATACCATAAACTACACCCATGCTTTTGAGGTCATAAGAAGTTACTATTCTCTCGTTAATTCTAGACATAATTGTAAGATTATCATAAAAGAGTAAAATATAATGAAATTCCGTCAACAAAATGTCTATAGGCATTTCATCTACAGACTTTGGGTCTACTTTAGAACCTCTAAATTCATACTATTTAGCATAAGAAAGTTTTTGTAAATCTCTTAAAAAGGTATCTTTGTATTACTCGTAACAAGTTGGAATCTAATATTTTAAATAATTCATTTTTATAAATATTTTAAAATTAAAAACTCATTAGAAAAATAAAATACAATTTAACATAAAATAATGGCAAAAAGTTAAAGAATTAAATGCTCTTACCAATTGATTAAACAAGCCATATTCATTGACCCATAAAACAGAATGAGGGATTTTCTTTTTATCTTGACCCTCAACAACACTGCATACACTAAGTAAAGAATTTGGGGAAATTCTAAAATCGTTATTAAAACTAGTGTCATTCACATTAAAGCTAACTCTGTTTTAATAGTCATACAATTTAAAATTTTAAAGATGAATGACAATATCTTTTTCTGAAAAGGCGTATACAGAGGAGTTTGTAGAAACAAAGACAAGAAACTTTTTATCTTTTCTATTATCACTATATATTTTTAGATATTTAATAGCATTAATAGCTTTAGAAGAACTTGAACTATGCAGCTCCAAAGCCATGAAGGGTATTGTCTCTTCTATCTATTCTTAATCTAAGCACTTTATACTATAAATGTAAAGTACACCTTTAGAAGTACCTAAGATAAAACTCTATCATAATTTTTTAAAAATAAAATAAATTGTAAACTTCATAGTGATTGTTTTAAATATAAACATTTTAGATCAATTTCTTTTTTAATTTAATTTTCTAATCTAATTTATTATTTTTAATACTATGATTTTGATTATTTAAAAACACTCTATTATTAACAAAAACATTTATAATGAATGTTTCATTAAACTTAATATTAAACTAGAATATAATATTCCACTAAGTATATATAGCTTCCAAAAATTTTTAAATTTATTTATATTTTTATATCGTCCTATTAAATATTTATGCCTAAGACTTAAACTGTAAACTTGTATAAATAGTAAGAATTTTATCAATACATTTTTTTGATAAATAAACTTTTAATTTTTAAAAAAAATTTTGATTTACTTTTGTTTTATGTTCTATACTATCTGCTTTTTATTCTGCTTATGAGTCTTCCCATCCAATAGATGTAATGATATACTCTTCTCCTCTTACATTTTTAAGCAGCTTCATCTGGTTTTCATGATGGTAATTAATATAGAAAGAAAATCCTTGATTGCTACATGCTATTAAATGATAACCTATTTTAATTTATATAACAATATTCTTTTTATTTGAACTCACGTTTTATATTTTGAACTTTAAAATCATTCTCAGATGTTAAATATTATCCGAAGATTAAAAAAATGTTCTGCTATTTCATTTTATTGTTTATTTTTATTTATCAAATATTCAACTTTCATTTTTAAATTACCAAAAGGGTCAAGATAAATTCTATCTATGATTACTGGCTAAGCACCATCTGTAATATTCAACATCTATCCAACACCTTATACTACATAACCAACTCCATATCCAACTCCTTAGACTACTGTCCCTACTCCATTAAAGACATTGCTGAATAAATTAGTGATTAGATTTCCTTAATTTTGTTGTGCTTATTGCTATTATTGCTACTAAACTGGTTACTCTATTCTATCAGGAATCTCCAATTTCTACCAACCTTTTTTTTTAGTCATTCTATATATTTTATTGCTCGCGGTCAATACAGCTATTTGGTTAAGACTCACAGCCAATTATTTTATTTATTCACTGCGAAATAACTCAGAAGGTAAATCATAGTTCTTTAAATCTCCAAAAATCTATTCAGTTTAATAAATTTTTGATTGAAATCCCTTCACATCCTATTACTATATTAAAAACAAATAACTAATTATCCATATTATTCATCTAACTATTAAAGTTTATCACGCTATAGTAAGGGCTATAATCACTAGGTATGCTTTAATTCATAGATCCTTGATTGCTTGCTTACTTGCTTAATAATTAAACTATTCACTGAATTTGCTTGAATAAATTTAGTAAATTTCAATAATTAATTAGTATGTGCTGCTTAATTATATTTAATATATCTGAAATGCTTTGTTAGTTTTTTTAAAAATTAAATATAAAGAATTTAGTGAATTTAGATATAATTTCTATGATCATTATCAATAAAACTAAAATTTATATAAATATTTTAAATATTTCACTTAATTTATTTAGAACAATTTAATTTGTTAAAAATCTATTACAATTTTTAAATATATTTTTATTAAAATTAATAATATTTTGTAAATAAAAAATAAATACGGAAGATACTTCTTTCTTTATAAAAACTCATTAAAAGGTATTTTCATTTACAATTTAAAATAGCATCAATTAATTAATATCTAATTAATTAGCTAATTATTTAGAATCTTAGAAATATTTAGGAAACAAAAAAATAGATTCTTCTATTTTTGATAATATTTAATTAACTCTTGAAGTAAAAAAGCATCTCATCAGCAATTTTTATCATTAACTCGCGCATACAAAAAAATGGATATCATAAATATATCAGTCAACAAAAAATTAGCTAAAGACAAAGACTTTTAGTTTTTAGTATTGAACATGCTTATTATTAGGAGATTGATGAATCTTGATGTAAAATATAAAAAATTATTTAATACAATCAAATGAAATTACTATAAAATGAAATAATAATCAGAATGATATAACTCAAAAATATATACAATGCTATTAAACTCCTAGAGGTGAGAGAGAGTCAACAGATAAGTATGTAGCTAATGTAGAAAAATGTTTATTAAGTCATAAAAAATAGTTTGATTTTACTCAAAGTAAAATGGAAGAAGTAATTAAAAACATTGAATAAGCTAAGGTAAATTAAAAAAATAATATTTTTAAAGTATAAAGTAAATAACAATGATTCTACTTAATAAATTTAATTAATAATATTCCTTGTATCATTAACTAATTAAATTTAATAAAAGGATAATTATAGATCCAGAGATATTAACTGCTTCAATCTTGTTGGTGAAAGTGAGCTTAAAAATTGCAAAGAAGTAGAAAAAAGAAACTATTTGCTTAAGATCAAATCTATTTATGAATCAGTCCCAGAGTTAAATAGCATAAACAAGCTATGATTTTTATAAATTATTTTTAAAATTAAAACTTTATGTTATTTTTTACAATATTTATTAAACAAATTATTCTCAACCACCTCTAAAAAAATAAATTTTAATTGGTAAAAGACTTTATGTATTTTGAAAAATGTATTTATTAGATTTTAAGAATAATTCAGACTTTTAAAAAACTCACCTAATTTCCTAGAAATCATTAAATTCTAATAATACTTTATCTTTCTTTCATCTCATTTCCCTTTAATCTTATAATGAAATTATTTAAAATAATTAATTTAAAAAGAAAACGAGAATGAAATATTATCTTTTTTTATAATTTTATATTTAAAGTAGTGATCAAATATTGATCAGATAAAAAATAAATATTTTTTTCAACTCATTTAAGTCCATTCAATTAAAAAAATAAATACTAATATTAAATAATAAAAAAAACATTATTTGAAAATAAACAAATTAGATATATATTTATAGCTTAATGAGTGAGGCATAATCCTCTAAAATAAAAACAATAAAGACTCTTAAAACAAAAGAAATTTCAGCAAACAAGGAGGAGAAAAAAGAAAAATCACCATCTCCAAATAGAGAGAGTTAAAATTTAGATAATTATGATGAAGATGATGAAGAATATGTGGATGCTTCTTAATTAGCAGAAAAAAAGGTATTAAAAAGAAGGATAAAACCTTAAGCAGACCGTCTGTACCCAAAAGAATAGAATGCATATGATTACTAAAGCAGCGCTGGAGAATACTATCATGTAAATATGGAAGTAGCAATAAATTATGTCCTAATGAAAGGAAAAAACTTAAAAGATAAAATAGAAGAATAGAACATATCTCCTTAATTTATTTAAGATAACATAGTTTAAAATAAACATTTCAACATAAGCTATAATTCATTTTTACAAAAACTCATCAATAAAAAAGTTCTTCATCCTGAATTTAAAAACGTTAAGCCCAAAACTTTAGAAAAATTAGAGCAGTTTTTTATAGAAAGGATAGAAAGGTGTCTTGAAAGTCTTAGAATTCACAACGCATACCATGAAAAAGCAAGAGAAATATAAAATGAATTCGATAAAAGAATAGAAGAGCTATAAAATAAAATTAAGCAAAAAAATAAGATAAATATTGATTGATTGAACTAAGCAACTTTTTTCTACTTAAAGATATTATAAATCTATGATTATCTTTATTTAAAAACATATTTTATATTATCAAATGTAGTTATAAATGATAAAAATATTTATTTTAATTAACTTATATTTTTTAAATATTAAATTTAAAGTAAATTTAATCAAACAGGATATATATTACAAATAATTTTTAGATTTTCAAAAGCTATCAATAGTTATTCTTTTATTTAAAGATAATTGTTTTATTTTTGATAAAATAATAAAAGTATTTATACTAATATTACCTATTTGCATTCACAATAATTTACATAATGAAATTAAATTAAAGTTTTTATTTATAAGGAAATAATTTGTAGTTATTAAATTATTATTATTTTTTTAATTTTCATTGCTGTATTTAGAATTTAAATTCACAATCGTTATTTATAATTTTAGTTAGCCTTTAATTAATTCTTTATTATGAGTTATAATTAAATAAAAAAGAAATATTTAATTGTTGATTTTTCTATTTTCAAATTAATAATATAAATATGGAAGATATAAATAATATTATTTATTTGATAAATTTTTTATAAGCATTTTGATAATAAATTAGGATATTTTAAAAATTAAAAGAGCTTTTGTAAGGGCAAAGTTTAATAAATTAAATAAAGAGCAGATTATTTTTCATTTATTGGAAAAAATTGTTAAAATTAAGCTTTTGCAAAAGTATTTATACTTTTGTTAAGACTATCATAATCAACAAATAAATTAATCTGTAAGCAATAATAGTTGGCTTATAAATAAAATAATTAAAACTGTCTCCTCTGCTTGGAAAATAAAGACTACTATATCTTAAAATAAAGCTAATTAAATATAGAATATTCCATTTTTGATAATAAAAGGTCTTTATTTTCTGAAAACTAATTGAGCTTCTTACTTCCTAAATTTAAGTATTCTTATTATCCCATTAAACTATGTGCTCTATTTAAAATTTTTCTACTAAATCATATGATAAATATTACCATCATTTTTACTAGTGGAGGTATATTTTTTAAAAAAAATATATATGATGGTATTTATTAAATGTTTAAGAAACCTATAAAAAAATATTTACTTTTCTACCAAATTTTATATATCCTACTCACAACAAAATAATTATTCGAGAATATTTATAAATAAAATAAATTAATTTTCTGAATAAAAATTTTTAATTTTCATAATGATATTTATTTTAAAAGTTTGTTTTAATGGTGCAAAAATGATTAAGAGTTGAAAATATTTAATTAAAATAGACTTAAATTAATTTTTCATATCAAATGCTGGTAAGCATTTGATGTAGTTTTTATTAGGTTATTAGCTAAATTAATTATTTTTGATCATTGTCCCTTATTAGTATCTAATCCTATCAGATCTTCTAATTAAGTTGAATAGAGTTGATTTTTAATAAATTGAGAATTAACACAGGAGTAAATTGAATAATATTAAATACATTAAAAATTAATCAAATATAGGAGAAATTATATTAAATACTAAAATGATTTTTTAAAATAGAAATTTTCTGCTACTTTTCTTAGGTTTTCTATCTTTATTTTCTATCATAAGTAAACTCTTTGCTATTATATTTTACTGCGCAAAATTCATTATAAATTATCAGCAATTCCAATTATCATATTAAAATAGGCTCTAAAGAAGTTTAACTGATTAAGATTGATTTGGATAAAAATGAAAGAGATAATGAAAAAACTCTCTTATCATAAAGCTCAACTATCAATTTGTTAAATTAGGAAAATGTAATATAACTATTATAAATTTATAATGTATTAAATTTAAATTTGAAATTTATTTACAGCTTGCTTATGTTGGATTAGTATAAATTGGTACTCCTGCTTAAAATTTTTATGTTATATATGATACAGGTTCTAATGTAATTATTTATTTACTTCAAATCTTTAAAAATATACTCATTATTATAATAAATATAAGGATCTTTTTGTTTAATAATATGGTTGTTAAGGGTGTACAGTTACACCTAGTTTAGGCTATACACCAAATGTCTATAAATCTTGGCTATCATCTACAAGCAGTGTTTCAACTAATAAAATATAGCTGAGTGTAATAAATCTTTTATTTTTAAAGAATTTAACTAACTACAACTAAAAAATAAATAGTATGGATCATTAACTGCATACGGATATAAAGGAAATGAAAGTGTTTGGTTAAATGGGCACGCTGCAACTGCATTTAAAATGATATTTGTTTATCAAGAAGGTAGTTCATAGTTTGGTAGTAAAAGTGTAATGAATTTACAATTTAATTTTGTTAGAAATTAAATTAGAATAACTAAAATGAAATTTAATTTTTTTTTTTTCCAAACAGTCAGCTTTTGATGGTATAATGGGTTTGTCTAATGCCTAATCAAATATTAATATATTTGAATAAGGAAAATCGGAAGGAGTTTTAAATGTAATTTTTTACTTTACAATAGACTAAATAAATTGAAATATATTTCATAATTCAAAGACTTCTCTCTTTGCATTTGATTTAGCAAATAATAAATTTTACTATGATGATATCGATTAAAAATATCTCGATGCTCCATCAGTACCTTGTTCCATGGATGATAGATGGGTAAATTTTTAATTTCTTGAGAAATTATAACAATTTTGATTTTATAATTTCTAATAGACATTCACAATTTTAGGCCTTCATATTAATGGATAAGATTATACTGATAGTTTAAGCTCTTAAGATGGCTTAGTTGACTCAGGAACATCTTTGATTTATTTAAGCAATGGTATTGAAATATAAACTAATAATATAATTAAATACTTTTACTATGACATTTTTTTTTAAAAAACTATATCATTTTAAAAATATTATATTTTAATAAAACTAAAAGGAGTTATATCTGCAATTGTAAATTCAAGTAGTAAATTTTCAAGTAGACTTTAAGGAGCATATAGCTTAGATAATTGTGCTGGTTGCTTATGCTAAGAAATCAATTTTCTTCCTGTAATAGAATTTTATTCAAGAGGAGCTTTAATACTGTTACCTCCTTCTTAGTACATGATGGTATATTCTTAATACTGTATATTGTCAATTTAAGACAGCTCATAATTCGGATTCAATCTTTTAGGTGATGCTTTTATGAGATAGCTAGTTGTTACATACAACAAATAAGATAATGAAATGACTTTCTATGGGTATATTTTAAATAAATATAATTAATAGTATGTTTTATCAATTTAAATTTTAACTTAATAGACCAAACAGCTCTTTTATGACTAACAAGAAAACTATACCAACTTTTATAGTTTTAACAGTATTTGCTGCATTAGGAATTTTAGCACTCCTTTTTGTTTCATATAGAGCTCATAAAGTTAAACAAAGTTTATATTACAATAACTCACCTTTAACTAGGAGATTAATTTGATTAAAATGAATAAAAATAATTAATTATCAAAAATGTTTAATAAATATTTTATTTATTTATTTCTTTGTATTTTTATAACAAAATCTTTTTCAAAAGACTTTGCTTTCAAAACTGTTTTAGTTAAATTCCTTAACCTCAAATCAAATAGATATTTATTCTTCATTATTAGATATTTAGTTTTGTTGCTTTTATTGTAAAAAGATTTAGATATTCTCTACAAAAAAATTTGAATAAATTAATTATTATTAAATTATTGCAAATTATCCAAGAAAAAGATTTTCTTTAGTTTTCAAAAGATATCAAATAGTTTAAAAGTTGTATTGTATTTAGTTTGTTTGAAATGTCTGCAGAAGATCAACAAAATTTAGATCCTTCCAAGGTAGTCTATGAAACTTACAAGAGTGAAGAATAAATAGGAATAATGATGAAGATGATAGAAAGCGAATTAAGCGAACCATATTCAATTTTCACATATAGATACTTTTTAAATGGATGGAGAGAATTATCATATCTAGCATTTTATGAAGGTGAAATGATAGGCGTAGTTATTGGAAATTTAACAAAGCATAAGTCTTAAAGACTTAGAGGTTATGTTGGAATGATTGTCGTTAAAAAATAATTTAGAAGACTTAAATTAGGCAGAAAATTGGCTTAAATATTTATCGATAAATGCAAAGAATTAGGAGCTGATGAAGTATGCTTAGAAACAGAATGCTGCAATATCGCTGCCCTTAAGTTATATTAGAGTCTTGGTTTTGCCAAAGTCAAAAAATTGATGAATTACTATTTAAATGGTAATGATGCCTACAGACTTAAGTTATGGTTCACTGATAAAGTAGGAAGAGAAGAAATAGAATATAGGTAACAGGAAGTATTAAAAAAGCTTTAGTAGCAGTAAGAAAAAGAAAATTAAGCTGAGAAAGATTAAGAAATAAACTAAGAAAAGAAAGAATAGTGATTAATTAAAATTACTAATATTTATTTAAACATAAAGTTTATATTTAATGTTGTTAAAAGTATATTAAAATTAATAAAATATATTATTCTTCAGAGTAATTGTTAAAATTTCATCATGATTAAATAATAAAATTATCACAATAACATTATTTATTCAAATAGACAAACATAAATTTTCATAATTTCTTTTTTCAAAACATTCATTTAATTTTATATTTAAAAAAATTTATTTTTATTAAACTTAACCCAATTAATTCTCATCTATTTTTAATTCAATAAAATAGATTTAAATTTTTATATTTGTCTAGTTATTATTTTTTTTATATTCTTTAAAAAAAAGTTAGCAACTTATTTATTAATTTTTGTTGCTATATTTAGCTCAATAGAAAATCTTTTTAATAAGTAATTAAAAAATTCAATTTCATAAAAAACAATTCATTTTTTAAAATGAAGACATACATATATATTACATGTTTTTTCCATTTTAATGCACAAGAATTTATAAGATATACTGTGGTTTATTTATTTTTTGCTTTCAAAATATAAATTTTGAGCAGGGGATTTGAATTAAAAGTCCTATCTTGGAAAATAAAATATTATTTGTTCTGTCATTTTTTTAAAAACTATGGTAAATGTCTGAATTTTAATATCTCCCTCTTAGATTAATAAAGAAATGCATATATTTTTTTGCTTTAAAAAAATTAGTTTTCTAAGGTTAAGGTAAATTAAGAGTTTTAACATATTCAATAAATGTAAAGTTTAAAGAGTAAATTATTACAAAAGTAATCTAATTTAATATTATTAAAATATAATTAGTCTTAAATATTATGATAAACTAATTTGTTTAATTGTTTTTTTTTTAAATTATAGTTAATGGATGATTCATTTTAAGTATTAGAAAAAAATAAAATCTTTACAAAATGTTTTTAAATTTAAAAAATATTAAAAAACATATTCTTATTTTTAACTAATATGATATCTTGAATTATTATAAACGAAAATGAAATAGGTAAAATTCATAAAATATTACTTTAAAATAGAAAAAAATTAAAAAATACTTTTTAAGTTAAAATTTGTAAAGATTTTCTAATTTAAATTGATCTAAACATCTTTCTAAATAAATAAATAGTAATTGATAATTATTTAATTTTAAAATTTATTAAACAGGAAAAATATAATATGATCTCAAAGTAAACTATTAGTTCCTTTTCAATCATAATCTTTAGTTTGGCTTGTATAAATTCCATTGCTAAGTTAACATAAATTCCAGAGGCTGAGTTTTTTTATTCTTTAAATGTAACCTCTGGATTATTAAAAGATGGTGTTTACTATTTTCCAATAGCCGAGTTTGATTTTTAAAATTATAAAGATGAGTCAATTAATTCAAGTTTCTATTCTGAAAAAATGATGTTTGAGGTTTTAGCAAATTCTATACATGAATATAAAATAAGCTTATTTATTAAAGACATAAATAATTCTACATCAATTTATGAGTTTCAAAGTTTTAGGAAATACTTTTACTTAAAGTATTAAAGCTTGAATATTTTAGAAATGCAACTCATGTTTGCTAAAATCAAAGAAAATAAATAGTAAAACATAAATCAGTTGTAAAATGATGAAGATTAGTTTTTAGTTAAAATAAAAAGAATAAAAAATTAAATTTATTGCCCTTTTTAATGTTTCAATAATGGATAGTGTACAAAAGATGACACATGCAATTGTTATTTTGGATATCAAAGTGAATACTTTTGTAATTACCATTTTTAAAAGAAAAATATAGAATTAAATAGTATTATTTAAATCTAACATGGTGATTAACTAATTAGAGATAATCAAAAATTTGAAAAAAATTTATACTGGCACCCAAATTAAAACTTTTATTATGAACTAAGGTTGAAAGATCCAAATAATATTATTTATAACATTTTATTAAACAAAATTTACACTGAAACTTTAATAATTAAATTTGAATATCATAAAAGTGAAAATTTTATTAAAAACCATAATTAAAGCATTGAAATTTTATCAGGAAATAATTTGAAATAAATATTTCTATCTGAAGAGTATCTGGAAAATGATAATTATTAATTGATATATAAACTTGATTATATAGATATAATTGATATACTATAAGGCTAAAAAAAATCAAAAATATTCATTTCTTTTGATAAAACAGTAAAAAATATAAGAGTAGAATTTATAATACAAAATAATAAAGTGGAAAATTCATACCCTAGTCTTGAGACTCTAATAACATTTTTAACTTTTTTGTATATACTATTCAAACTAATAAAGTTTTGCTAAAATAAATCTGATTAAAATCAAACTAACATTGTTAGCTTAAACTAGAATTCTATCTAGCTCAGCTAAAATTATCTTTTTAAAGAGTAAATGAAAATTACACATTAAAACTTTTTGTAAAAAGAATTACAAAGCTATCAGCTAATAGATGTATCTTAATAACTATAAAATTAGAATGAATGTTGCATTTGCCTAGAATAATACGTTTTGTTAGATTAAGTTTCCAGTTTAAAATGTGGTCATATATTCCACAAAGAATGCTTGCAGCTTTGGTTAAGTAAAAATAATTCATGTCCAATAGATAGAAAGAGTGTAATAAATCTAAAACAATTTAATTGACGATTAATACTTCGAAATAAATTTTTTCAAAATATAACAACAAAGTAGTAAATTTAATCTATAAAATTAATGTTTTGTCGTCCTCCTCGCCATGGAAAAATGTGTTTATTGTATTTAATCCGCTTAAATTTAAAATTACTTTAAATTTTTATAAAATGAAATTAAATGAACCAAAAAGTTTTAAAATTATTATTTTTAGAATCAAATAACGTATAATATTTATGATTGCAAAAAAAAAATATATATATATATTATATACTCTCATAAATAAAGACAAATTATTTTGTAGTGCAATTTATTTTTCACAAAAACTCTATTAAAATTATTAAGAATTGAATAATATTTTTTAATAGTTAAAAAAATTAAAGAAATATAAGTAAGTAATTATTACTATTATTTAACAATTAATAAAAAAATAAATTTGAAATTTATTTAACTGAATTATAAAAAACTATTTTTCAAATAATTTGAATCATATAATGCATATTTGTTTTTAATTCCATTTATATAAATCTAATTTGTGTTTATTAAAAAGATATTTATTTTTTAAATTTACTGAGATTTATATATATAAAAATGTATTTATAAAGACTTATTATTTTTTTCATATGTTTTTTTAACTTCTAAAAGCTATATAAATAATAACAATAAATAATAATATCAATTCCTCTAATAACCACAAAATCAAAAATTTTTGATTAAAACAGAATTTAAGAGATTGGAAATTTTAATAAATAAAGAGGATATAATAAATTAATTAATTATTGATGAGATCATATAATTATAATTAGATATAGCTAATGGCTTTTTACATAAGTTGTTGGACTATGTAATATTACATGCGAAAAATGAAATAAAAACACAATGGCATTTTGAATTTTGAATGATTTTATATAGACAAACATAAAAGTAAAGAAACAGGATGTTAGAAATGCAATAAAATGTATAATTTGAATATTAGCAAGCTAAATTATATTTTTTTAAAAATTAGTGAAAGATAATATTAATATTAAATTTATTTATTTATGGTTAAATTTAGTCTTGTAAAATAAATTTTAGCAATCCAAATTTAAAAATAGAAGAATAATTAAATATAGATTTACACTATCCCTTTGTTTAAGTTTTAATTAGGGATAATCAATTATATTTATTAGATAGATTTATGCTAAAAGTTAATTTTTTATATTCACACTTTAATTTTTTCTAATTCATTTTTCCATCTTTGTTCATTTATTTATATATTCATTTGTTTGTTTGTTTACTTAATTTATTTATTTATTTAATTTTTTCGTTTAAAAACGCTATTTTTAGGTTTTATCTGGTTTTATTATAGATGAATATTTCTTACGTAAATAAGTTGATTAATTTATTTATTTATTTTCTCAGCTATGTATATAAATTTTGAAAAGAGATATAATTAATTGAATTAAAAGATTATATTTAGAGATTACACTTTTTGTTTATCAATCTATTTCAAGTTAAATTAATTTGTTTCATTCTTAAACTTCTTGTATATTTTACATACTTTGCGATTTATTTATATTAGTACTATTATTATTAGCATTCTAAATGTTAATAATTGCTGATTTAAGCATCAATTGGTTATCAGTCATAGAAAATCTTATTGGTGAAGAGGCAACTACTTTTTAAACTTTAACTTTCTCGTCTTGCATTGGAGTGTATTCACTTGATACATTATTATATTGAGAAGAGTTTTATGAATGTTCATCTTCTGCGCCATTTTGGGATATATTAATTTAATAAGGTAGATTCATGTCTGTGGAACTTCTCCCATTGATATGATTCTATCCAGACTTGCTTGTTGATAAATTTTTAATTTCTTCTATTTAAGGATTAGAAGTAAAGTGAGGAATGTTTCCAAAACTGTGTCTAGACAGTGTCAAAGATTGCTCAGTTCTAAATAGAGGTACTTCGAATGTAGAATCTTGAGGTCTTTCTACAGTATCTTCATAAAATTATGCAGTTTCTGTAAACTAAGTTTCTCTCCTTTTAACATCACTGTTATCTTCGGAATTAACTATTTATGGAGTGCTTAAAATACTATTTCCATTTTACTGCTTCATTTTCAATTACAATTGTCTCTATATTTGATCAGAGTATTACTTTTTGATAGAGCAATTATTTTCGCACCAATCTAGGCAATGTTAACTTTCAATAGGGATATTTTTTTCTTCCTGTATTTACTTTGCATCTCTCAAAAAGGATTACTGTAAAAATTTATATTTAGGCTCTTACTCGAAAGATAATCCCTTAACATGTTCCATGTAGGTTTTAAAAGAATTGGGTAGTCCTTTGCATAAATCGTCTAATTTGGTTTCTATCTTCAAATGTTTGATTTATTCAAATTTCTCTTCTCTTTTCTCGAGGGTAAGATTTTGCCAGGGAAGTTCACCTTTTGCAAGATAGATAAGCACGTAGCCAAGTGCTTCTAGATCATCTCTACGAGATTACTCAATTCCACGGTGACTATTTATCGAGGTATAACGAGCTGTACCTACTAATCCTTTATTGTTATCTTCTGGGATATGCTTATTGTTCAAATCTATATACTTCTTGGAAAGTCCAAAATCAATAATATAAATGTTATGGTGATTCCCTTCTGTGCCTATGACAAAATTTTCAGGCTTGATATCTCTGTGTAAGAATCCTTTGCCATGCATTAACTCAAGTGCTTCCACCATTTGAGTACCAATAAGTAATGTTGTGTAATGCGATAATTTGTTATATTTCTTCTTCAGAGATTCCAAGTTTTGTCCCAAAAAACTCATAATTATGAAAGACATCTAATCATTTTGCATTTCTTCAATGAGCCTAGGAAAATGATGGCAATCCTTCATCTATTTCATAATATATGCTTCTTTTAGGAGCATCCCTTGTGCTCCTCTCTTATCTTTCTTTTCAATTTTAACTGCCCTAAGCTTCTTATCAACCATATCATAAACTTTATGGATTTCTCCAAAGGAACCTGAACCTATTTTATCTATTGATCTATATCTAGGATTGAAAATAGTATCCTGCATAATCTTCCTTGGTATATATTCACTTAAATTTGCTTTCATCCTATTATTTTAAATAAATGTTTAATATCTGAAAAGCTACTTTAAATTTTTATTATTATTAGTGCTAAAAGCAGTAAATTATCTCATTTTTCATTTATCTCCTTGTTAAAAATGGGATTATTTTATTCTAAATTTTTCAACCATTTTTCAACTACGTATTTCTTTTACTCTCTAAAAGCCCTTAAATCACAATGTCGTTTTCAAGGTTCATCAAAATAAAAAAATTTGATTTTCCTTGTACATTAAAACTACTTTTGATAGATATAAATCCTCAAGTGTATCAAGTAGCTATAATAAAACATTTTGAAACTCTAAAAAATTTCTTCATTAGAATAAATTTTAGTATTATCTTAATGAAATTATAAGCCAGGTAGAAGGGCTGATTTTTGGGTTATAGAACTGCTTGCCTTATAAATAACTAAAATACTTGAATAAAAAATGTACCTCATATTATCTAATCCAGTTTTCATCCTAAAAAGTTAAGCTATTTTAAAAAAGACTTAAAAAACTATATGTTGTTTGTTAGTTTTTTATGAATTTTGTATATTTATTAAGAATGAATTAATTTGTGATAGATGTTGTTTTATTCTTATTATTGAAATGACTTATTTATTCACTCTTTTGCTTAAATTTCGCTGATTTTTTATTAAAAAATGACTTGATTTAATTATCAAATTAAATGTCTTAATTTTTCTTTATAAAAGTTATATATGTATTAATGTTATATATATATTAAATTTTGTTTGTTTGTTTGCTAGCTTATCTGTGATCTTCTATTCTTTAACTCTATCAATTTCTTTTAATTATTCCTATTAATAAAACTATATTTTACTTAATTAAATTATTTAGAAAAATTCTGATTAATTATTTATGGATTTTGTATGTTTTTCTTTCTTTCAGTCTATCTCTCTTTTTGACTTTATCAATTATTTACTCATCTTATCTTTATTTTTCATTTCTTATCTTTGACTGAGCGCTGATACTGAATAATCAATCTTAACTCTTTTAAATATAAAATGTTCCAATTTTAACTCCAAACAATCTCTAAATTTATTTTTGATTAAAATAGACTAGTAAATATGATAAGTTGTAAGTTTCTTTGGGTTTAAAAAAGATTTATTAATACGTTAATATTCACAATTTACTTACTTTCTCAATTATTTTTAATGTATTATTGAAGTAAAAAAAAAACTATTTTCATTTATAATTTTTTAATTTTGTTATTTTCAAAGTGTATATTTAAAAATCAAATTAATTTTTTGATATTAGCCCAGTAATCCTAAATGTTTTATGAACAGTATATCTAATATTTACATTTTATGTATTCAATAATAAATACTACATAAATCATTCAAGTAAGTGTTTTTATAACAATCTATTTCATCTTTGTTCACAAAATTATTTTAAATAACATTATAATAATTTTTTTTGTTTAAATTATTACCCAGTAATTTTTATAATTTTTAATGATTAACTTTTAAGTTTATATCTAGATAAACAAATCGAAATTTTTTTAAGCATTTGAGTGACTGATTGCATTTTTTTAATTTAATAACATTAAAATTAGTTTTAGTTTTAAAAAAATGTATAAATTGAGCAATTTTATTAATAATTCTAGAAATTTACAAATTCTACTCAATTAATTATAAAAAGCAGGATAAAATTTATAGTATATTCCAATTTATTTAATTTTTTTAAAAGATACATTAAATCAAGTTTATTGATAATAAAATCAATAAATTTTATATATTACAAAATCATTAAAATAATTATTTGTTATTATTTAACTAAATTTTATAAAAAATATTCTGTTTTATTAATAAATTATTATTTAAAAATGAAATATTTATAAATTCATCTGTGAAAAAAAAAATAATAATCACAATAGATTATTTGCATAAAAAGTTTAAATATAAGTATAATAAAATTTAAATTTTTATATTAATTTAATACTATTTAACTTATATAATAAAAAATATATATCAAGTTTATTTTAAGTTTATACTTGCTTTTGATTTTTTTCTTTTTAAAGAAATCTTTTTTATTGAATATTAAATAATAAGTATCGTAATTCTAACTTATAAAACTAAAAAATTTTTATTAATTTATCCTATCTAAAATGTTTGTTTCTAAAATCAAAATATTACTTTTTTTTGACAAGTAATCCTTATTCCATTTAGCAGATAATAAACAAAAAATATTTATTTTATGTATAATATAACCATTTATATTAAATTTAGGTTATATTTTAGTTGTTTTATACTTTATATTGATGAATGGTATTTTAAACATTCAAATTTATTTTCGAAACTAAATAATACTGGTTGTTGTGTAAAAATATTAAATCGCAAAAATCACAAAATAATCATAAAATTTTATTATTTCCAAGTCTAAAATACTTTTGGATGCAAAAAATATAATAATCATATTTACTATAAGTTAAATTAATTAAACTTATAATTTTATTTTATTTTTTATCATTAAAATTTTTGTTTTATTATTTTTTAGTTTGAATATGAAATTTCAAATATTAAATTGTACTTTTATAATTGATTTTTATTTTAATGGAATTTATTTTATGTTTAATCACTTTAAAAGAATATAAACTATTAATATAATAGCTAATATACCCATAGTTCAAGCATAAGCATGAGCACTCTAGAAATTCAAATAGAAGACACTCAATCTAGTAAATCTCTAAAATACTAATTAATTTAGTTTCCCTAGAAAATGAATTAATATGCATGTTTAATTCTAAGATAATTTAGATAAAAAAGATAATTTACCTCAAAGCTATTAAAAATATATTATTTTTTTTAGTAAGATAGTTGGTAGATATCAAATAATTTTTATCAAGCAAGAACTTTACAATACTAGAAAATAATAAATAAAATAACTTATAAACTATAGCTGAAAAGGTAAAAGAAATAGCTAAATAGAATGGAAAGTGTGCATATCAGTAAGAATAAATTATTGCATTAAATTAAATAAAATAACGAAAAATCCCACACTAAAAAATCAATAAATTAAACCTAAAAAATAAGTAGTACATTAAACTTAATTTCGATTTTCTGAGCAATAATTAAAAGAACAACAAACAAAGAAAAATTAAGAAATTATCCCTCTATACTTATATAAATAGTTAGTTTTATATATTAAATAAGAAAACTAAATATTTTGAAATATAAAATAAATAGCTGAAGTAATTAATAATTTAATATGCTAAATCTCTAATCATAGCGTTTATACTCAAATACATTAAGTTATTTTATTTTTGAAAGCCATCACAATAATTTTTAAGTATAAAAAAAATAATTTAGAAAATCAAAAGTAAATAAGTATTATGAAAATGAAGTACGAGACTTTATTCAGGAAAATTTTTTAAATTTAATCTTTCCTAAATAAATTTAAAAGTGTTTTTTTTAATATTAGAAAAACATGAAATTTCTTTCTTTACTAGAGAAAATGTAGATAAAGCAATAATCAAAATTTTAGCACAATAAATGAAAGTATTTTTGAAAGAATGGATTAAAATTCTAATGAAATAAATATTGGCAAACAGAAGAGTTTTTAATAAAATTTCTTCAAAATAATTAAATTTATTCACAAATAGAACTTGACAGTGCTATGAAATAAACAAATATTAATTAAAAAAAATTTATTTCAGGATATTTATAATTTAAAAATATTAAATAAGTTTTTCTGTTGTTTTCAAATGTGTTTTACAAACTTCAAAATATTCAATAGTAGAAATAAAACTTAATTAAAAAACAAAAAATTAAGTTCTCTTATTAAAGTAAATAATTTGTGTTTGTAAAGCTAATATGAAGGACACTTTGGCCGAGTGGTTAAGGCGGCGGCCTGCTAAGCCGTTTCCCTCTGGGAGCGTGAGTTCAATTCTCACAGGTGTCGAATTTTTTTATATTAGCATTAAAATTTTTTTATTTCAATAGTATTTAAAAATGATTCTAAAATATTAATTAAAAAATTAATTTTAAACAAAAAAATTATTATTATGCTTTTATAAAATAAGAGCAATTAAAGATAAATGTTGATAAATAATAAATATTATACTAAAAATTTTTAATATAGCTTTATTAAAGTGTTTAGTTTTGAATACTATACTCTGTTTATAAGAAGTAAAAAATAAATTGTACATTGATAAGTTTTTTTCTAAAAATGAAATTTCAGATCTAAATCATAATCTATCCTGCCATATTTTATCATGATTTAATATCAGAATACTTACTATCTTTTATATATAGCTTTTTTATTCAAACATCAGTATTAATTTTTAAATTTTAAATTAATTAATCACTTGATATTTTAAGTTACTTGCTTCGTTTTTAAAGTAGTATTTATATTTTTTTATAAACTAAATTCTAAATATTTTATTTTTGCATATTTACATAGTCCTTCTACAAAATATTTAGCTTCATTTTCATTTACATTAGTATAACTAGTAGATAAAGATAAAGATCTAAGATTTTAACAATCTGAAATTGCTTTTAAAAGAACTCAAATTTAAGAATAATCATTTTTATTAGATTATATAGATTTATCTTATGGAAATGAAATAATAAAAGCTTCCTTAAGGACTGAGGAATATGAAAGTCAAAATAAAAAAAAATAAATATATTCTTAAAGGAATGACTAAAAATAACAATTTAAAATATAAATATATAAAATGGCGAAAAATAAATCAAAAATACTATTTTAAGAAATTAAAAATTTTATCGAACCAATATTAAATATAAACAAAAAATAAAATAGTAATTTGCTTTTATTTAATCAAAATCAAAAGATAGAAGATGTGATAAAAAATACAAGATTAATTAGATAAGAAACTTTAATTTCTATACCTAAATTTAGATAAAATTTGACTTTTGTATTTAAACAATGTTAAGAGTCAGAAAAGAAAAGAAATTAAATGATCTACATATTTAAGATATTTTCACCAAATAAAGGAAATAATTTACTTAACTTTGAAAAATTAAATATCCGAAACAAAAAATAATTCAATCCATAATTTAGGTATGAACATTTTCCATAGGTAATTAATTTATTTCCAAACAAATAGAAGATTTTTATAGTCTATTAAGATAAATAATTACAAAATATTCAGCAAAATCAACTTAATCTTGCAAAGATCACTTACACTTTTTTTTATTTAGGATAATGAAAGAATAAAAACCAATAAATAGTTATTCATAAATTCGAATGTTAATATAAATTCGGCAAATTAGTATTTTTTTATCTTTTGACTCTAAAATCAAGTAAATAATTGTATCATTTTTAGGCAATTTTTAAGCTTTTTTTATTCGAATTATTTAAATACTTATTTTTATTAAAAATTTGATTGAATAAAAAATATTTAGATCTATCTGCTCTTATGATAATAAAAGTGTATTTAAACTAAATGTAATATCAAAATATTTATTTAAAAACATTACACCAAATAGAAAAAAATAAACACTTCTTTTTTATTTTTTTTTTAAATAATTTAAAATTCAAGTGATAAATAGTCTTAATTAAGTAATTAAAATTGATTTTAATTTATTTTGAAAGCTTATTTTAAGATATCTCATTCATACAAAATAAATGTAAGATTTTTAAATATATAATTTGTTTTTAGCTTGCAAAATTTATCCTAAACAATCTAATTATTCATTCTAAAACTAAGTCTATAAAAATTTAAATATAATTATTTGGATTCTAAATTATTTTCTTCCTCTTAATTTTTATAAAACAAGTTTTTATTCTTAATTAACCAAAGAACCAAATAATGAATAGTTTAATGTTAATATTCAAATCCATCTAAATTTTTAACTTACACATTCTAGTATAAAAAATGAATAGACTGTAAATTGATTGATTAATTTTTAAGGAAAGTGTAATGTTTTATTTATTTTAATTAGAAAAATTAAATCAAAAACTTTAAAAAATATTAAAAGGAATTTAAATATTTTTTATATTCACCTTATACATTCTTATATATAATCTTCATTATAAAAAGTCTATTTAATTTAATCTATTATTAAAAATTTTATTTTTAAATAAATAATAATGAAAACGTAATTTAATAAACCAAATAACCAAATATATATTAATTTTAATGTAAATCTAATTTTTGTATTTAAATAAATTATATGGCTTTTAATAAAAAGTGAAAAGAAAATTAAATTATAAGCTTTTATATTCTAATAGTTAAAATAGAACTTATTGGTACCAGTATTATTGATTGATTTTTAATTAATTAAGTATGCATATGTAAATAACTATATTTAGATTCTTAATAATTTGATTACATTAAAAATCAAACAAATAAAGTGTAAAATATTTGTGGTGAAATATTATTTAGTTATAACTTTTTTAGTTACTAATGTTTGCATAAAATATTGAACATAAAATTTACATTAAGTTAAATATATTTACTCAATAAAAAAAATTTGTTTAGTCTTATTTATAAGTAAAGCAAACTTTTTTATGTAATGAATTTCTAAATTTATAGAAAGTTATTAATCAATAAATAACTTTTATAAACAAATTAGAGATAAAAAAAGTGAATGAAGGAAGAGAAAATAGTAATAAAAAATTTTTTAACATAAACTAATATTTAATTAATTAAAGAAAAAGATAAAAGAAATTTCAGTTTGAGATATACAATGTAAAAAAAATAGATAAAAAAGCGCTTTATATTTTATTTAGCTTTAGTTATTCAAATAAATGAAAGGCGATCTCAAAACATAAGCTACTGCTTAAAACAGTCTTCAGATGGATAAAATTGTCTATAATGTATTGATGGATATAATTTAATACAATAATCTTAGGATATTTCTTCTTTAGCAAATTCATAAAATTCTTTTTAATCTATTTCAACCAGCAATAATAATAATACCATTTGCCAAGCTTAATGTTCTCCTTATTTTTACCGTGCTACTTCTCCATCGTCTGATGGCAGCTATGCGTGTAGCTCAACTTGTTCTCAAACTTAATTAGGAGACAATCTTACACGCAGTTGCTAAGAAGTTTTCTAGTGTCCAGATTCATTTTAATTTGGCTAGTCTTTCCATCAAGGGATAGCAGACAACTTGATATTTTATAGAAATAACCTTTAATAAGGGATGGGAGAAATACTAACAAGTAGTCCAAGTGATCAAAGAGTTCTTGTTTGGGACAGTTAAACAGGATAACTAACAGCTGAATTTTAAGGGCACACTTCAGGAGTTTTGAGGATTTTGTTTATAGATAATAAAACTAATCAAAATTCTGATGTGATTAGATTGTTGAGCTTTTCTTCTGGAGGAGAAGTAATAATATGGAACTTTTTAAAGGCTACAATTATATCAAAAATTTAAGTTATAAATGGATAGCTTTCATCGTCTAGTGAAGTTGAATTAAGTAGCAACTCAATTATTTCATTTGGGTTGTAAGGAGAGTTTTATCTAGTAAATTTTATTACCTCTTAAAGTAGCAAATTTGTTGGACATACTTAAGTAGTTACTAAAGTTGTTTTTATTAAATCTTCTAGTGGTTTAATTAGCTCAGATTACTTAATTTCTACTTCTATGGATAAGAATCTTCTTTTATGGCAAATCAATTCTCCTAATTCTCCATTGCAATTAATTACTTAATTTTAAATAACATCTTTTTTCATTCTACCATTAAGTTTAACCTCTTAGACTACTTCATTATATTTGTTTGCATATGGGTTAGATGTATTAAACAATAAGATAGCAACTAAAGTTTGTAACCTTGGCGATATAAATGATAGCAACTTTAAAACTAATTTTATAAATAACATGCAAACATTTAATGACCACATTAACAGCATAATAAATATAATTGTTGACTAAAACAATATAAAGATGATCACTTATTCATATAACGAATTAATTTTTTATGATTCCAAGTTAATAGGAGCTAATCTTACTTTCTTATTAAATTCGTAATCAAATTTAGCAACTCTCTTCCCTTCTGCTGATATTTAAATTGCAAATTGCTAGCTATTTGGAAACAGGTTGATTATTTCTTCTTTATTTGGAGAAATTCTTCTTTTTTAATATTCGCCTAGCTAATAACCAATTGTTTCTACTCTTCCTTAAAATTACATAACCATACAAAGAGAGAAAAAATTAAATTCAGTAATAAAATTTTAATATTCTGATGTAGACAATATACTTTTTGCTTACGCAAATTAAGTGGTAGCGATAAACTATTCAACTAGAACTATATAATTTATTATAAACAACTTCCCCAATCCAACCATAGCTTATACTAGTGCTGCCCTCAAAGTGTATTAAAAGCCTAGTAATTCTCTAGTAGCAACCGTTTCTACTGATGGAAGAGGATTTGTGTATGACAAAATAACTTTTTAGCTAATTTCTGTGTTATAATACTCTAAAAATTTAAATTTAAGCAGATTTGCTAAAGTAATTCAACCAGTAACAGTTGTCATTGTTTTAAATTAAAATGTATGTATTTCTTATCAAGATACAGCGTTTGTTTGTTATGATCCTGTCACAGCATAAGTTAATTACTAACATCAAAACAATGTAGAAGCCTACCTTAATTTATTCGAAGATTATACAAGAAATTTTGTCTTTGCATTTGGTTTGAGCTAAGCTGTGGTATATGACTTAAATCTTAAGAAGGTAAGGTCGTAAATCTTCATATAGAACTAATTCTATGTCTACAATATTTAGTGCTAATTTGATCTTCTTTATGTTTCCTCTCCATCAGGAATTTTGGTAAAGCTAAACTACCCTGACTTATCTGTTTAGTATTAAAAAGATTACACTTATTTGAATTAAAATAGTTAAAAAATAAATGGATGGAAATTAGATGACAAAAATAATTTATGCATAGTCTATTTTGATGGTGGATTAGTAATTTTAATTAACACAGACTTATCTTTGATTAAAAGCTTGTCATATAAATCAGCTCCTACAATTGTAAATTAAATATTTTCTTTCTTTAAATAAGATTCTATCAATTTACATCTTAACGGTGTATATAAGATTATCAGATTTAAGCTCTGATAATATTAATTAAAATTTAGAATATTTTGTAACTCATTTTCAAAAATATAAGCACAATTTATTTTAATAGTTTTTTTCTTAATTTATTATTATTGGAATTGTATTATTTCTTTACTATTAAAAAAGTGTGGAATTAACTATCCTGAAGTTGCAACATGCGCGACAATAGGAGGTGGAGTTGTAGCTTGGGGATTATATGTAGATTACTTTTTCGAGCAGTAATTATTGAATTTTCCTATTTAATAAGGATAGTTTTCGTTTATTTATGGACAAGCTTTCCTCTAAATTGATTATGCAGCTTATGGTTCAGGCATTATGGTTGGAGACTTGTAATATCTGCTGGCTTCTTAAAATTTCAATACTATACAAAAAATATAAAATTTCAATGAAGATGATGATAGAATGCAAATATTCACCGTGACAGATTAAGGAAGTGTGAATGCTTATCACTTTACTCCCCAGCCATCAATTATTGTTTAATGGCAATAAGTAGCATAAAATTAAGTAATAAGTAAGGTTCAAATCTTCTAAGAAGCTTATAAATATATAATTCTGAGTTAAGCTGTAACTGTTTTTGACTACCTAAACCAATAAATTTACAAGTAAATCAATTTTTAATTATTATACCATTCATTTTTAATTTGATAAGAAATCATGATTGATAATCGTCAAAAACTAAAGTAAATTTCCATCCACAAATAAGGTTTTTACTATCAAAAGATAAGAGTTTCATTTCAATATAATAATTATAAGATGAGCAAACAAAAAATTCAAAGAGAAATTATCCAGTTTTTTAAATCAACTATTTTTATAAATTTATTAAAGTAAATGAAATTTTTGATATTAATTGCATATAATTAGATGGTTTATTAATGATTAAAAAGTTTTGACATTAAAGTCATCTTAAACAAATAATTTTCTTATTTTTTATTTTATCCAAAAAAAATAATTTTCATTTTCTCCATCTTAAAAAGATATTTACTTTCTCTTCTAAAAAAATATTTTTAAAATGGATATTCATTAAAAGATTTAACTTTTATTTATATATTATAATTAATATATGAAGATTTTACCTACCATTAACATAAATTAATATTTCTCATTCAATATTTTATAATTCACAAAAAAAAAAACTGAGTTACTTAAGCAATAATAAAAATTAATATATAATAATTTTAATTTAATATTTCCTTGAATTATAGTAATAAGAGCTTATTTTTTTCTAAGTTAAAAAATTTACAATAACATTTTAATCATAGATTTTTAAATTAAATTAATTTTTTTTGTTGTTGTTGTTGATTTGCAAGAAAAATTTTACTTTTAATTTTTGTAACTAATCTAAATGTAGAGCTTTATGAATATTAATTAATAAAAAAGTAATATACTATATTATTTAGCTTATTTTAATTTTTAATTACCTTCTTATCTATTAAAATTATGAATGTTCAATTTAAAGAAATTTTTAACCTCTTAAAAGGTTAGATTTTTTTTTTTATAGGTTACATTTTAAAATAAAAATTTCAAAGATTACTTAAGAAGATATGTATAATTTTAATTTTTGAAAACTGTAAAATAAAATCAAATAATAATTCCATCATAAATGCATGTTAAAATTTTTTAATTAAAATAGAGTTAAATAACTTCATAAGTAAATGGTTAATGGAGTAATAATTGACAAACCCAGATTTACCTTAATAACCTTTAATTAAGATACTTCCAAAAATTTATTTGCCTGGTCTTATGAATAAGATAAATCATATGAACTAGTAGGACATACAGCTGGAATTAATGGAGCTTATCTTTAAGATACGCTTGGGACTTTAATTACATATTCGAATGATGGATTTATTATTGTTTGGAATTATCTTTAAAATTCTATTGTTAGTAAGCTTAATAATCACAATTCTTAGGCTGTCCTTGATTTATTTATAAAACCATTTGATAATAGCTAGCCTAATGGAAGAATTCTTTTTATATCTAGAGGAGCAAATTATTAAATTTGCATTTATGATTTTTAATAAAGGCAACCTATTTCTTTCATTTAGCTAAATGCCGGTACTAATACCTTAGTTACAGATGATCTTTATTAAAGAGTTTTTGTTCTATTTACCAATACAATATATGTATACAGTTATTTAACAGGACTTAAAATCACTTAGCTTCCTGGATTTGATGGTGATATAGGTTAAAATTTTATTATATAAGGGAACTACATCATTGCTGGTGCATAGCTTGTTATCTAATCTTTTAATAGACAAACATTAAATTTATTATTTTCTGATAAATCTACTTAAAATATTTATTAGATGTCACTTCTAGGTAATTTAGTTGGAATCATTAGCAATGGAATTAATGATATAGTTAAAGTTTGGAATTACTAAACTGGAACCATGCTTTAAGACATGACTAACTAATATTATCCTCTTTCGATCAATGGCATTATGGCTGAATAAGAAGCTAATATTTTTTTTGTAATGAATGTTAAAAATTAAATTTTTACGTTTAACCCCTTTTCCTCAAGCTTCTCAAAAGTGTAAGATTTTATGATTCTTCCAATTTTTACTAGTGATAAAATAATTGAAATTTTGATTGATAAACAGAGCAATACAATGATTGCATACAATAATAATGCAATTATGTAATGGAAATTTTACTCCTACCTAGGTTAAAGCGGTTAGCAATAATCTCTTCCATCAAATTCTTTGATAAATTTAGCTTATAATCCAATAAATGGTAAGATATTTTATTTATTAAAGTAATTGAAAACAAAAAATTTTTTATTTTTTAAAAAGATTTAATTTTCTATTCAGATTTTGAAAGAAATGTTTGGTTAATTTAGGAAAACTCCCTTTAGTATTTAATGCAACTTAGTACATAACCTCTCCAGTCTATAATTGTTGGAAATGTGCTGATAATAAGAGAACAAACTACGATAAAGAGCTATAATACAAATTATTAACTTGTTTCAACATTATCAATTAATTCTTATCTTCTCATTTCAGATAAATCGGAAAGCAGTTACTTCTTTATTGTCAATATGACTTAGGATATTGTCAAAGTTTCTGTTGATTAGACATCTTCAGTTATAACTATAAAAAAAACCTATTAATAAAAAGATGGAGTAACTGGAGATTCAACGTCAAGAATAGTTTATTCAATAATAAATGCTAATTTGACACATTTAATAGTTTGTTCTCAAAATGGAAGTATTTTAGTTGTAAATTATGCTAATGATTAGAAGTTAGCTACTCTAACTAACCATTCTAACAGAGTTACTAAAATAAATATTGACATCTCTAAAGGTTTGTAAGACCAATTTAAATTTTAAATAATTTTTAAAATCTCAATTAAAATAACTCTTTTATGAATTTTTGTTTAAAAGAATTCAATCTTTAAAATAAAATAAATACAAAAAATAAGTTTAATTTATTAAAATAAACTTTCAAAATGTTTTAATTTTTTTATCTTAATTAAATATTAAAAGCAATTTATTATTTTAAATAAATTAAAAAAATTTGTTAATCTAAAATTTTTAATTTTTATAAAAGAATGGTTAGTAGTTCTATAGATGGATCTATTGGACTGTATGCTTACTCTTAAACTTTAGTGAGTTTACTTGCCAGTGTTCCTATTGGCGGATAAATAGATCAAATATTGCTTGATGCTCAATATGATAGACTGCTTATATGGATTAATCTTTAAACAAAAATACTAATTTTTAATACAGCTACTATGAGTATATCAGGTACAATACTTGCTCCAAGTGATACTTACATTTAGATGAAACTGTCATAAAGCTTCAATAAATATGCTGTTTTTAATTTTTTTTAGGTAAATATTTATGATAGATAAACATTTCAATTCATATCTAGTATCCGTAATCCTTCAGATTTGAATGATATTGTAGATGTCAGCTTTTTAGGTAGCAATCTCATACTTGTAAACTCAAAGTCTAGCTTGAGAATCTATCAAATTCAAACTGGTTCAATTACAGCCATTCTTACTAATTAATATAATATGTAAGGAAGTTAAATAGTTTCCTAATCATTTGACCCTGCAACAAATATTGTTAACCTAAAAGGCATCAACTATAAGACATCATTTAATTATACTTTTATGATGTACTCCTAAAATTAGTCAAACGCAGCATTCGATTAGAGCTTTTGTTATTCTAATATTTAAAATTCTAAAAGTTACTTTACTATGAAAAGAAGTATAGACTTGCATAAAGCATCCTTTACATAATTTGGTTTAGGAAATATAATAAAAACAGTGAAATACAACATAATCTACTCTTCAAGCAAAGTAATTTAAATATTATTGATTCAAAATATTTATTAAAAAATTTGATATAAATTTTAATTAATTAAATTGAATTTCTTTTAATTCTGTAAAAATTAAAATATTAAATAGGCTACTACTGACTTAATAAGTGTTTTCTATCCTGATTCTAACTCAGCTTCATCTACTTATTAGGATTTATTTTTCTATGAAACTAAATTTAACTAATAAGGAATATAACCTCGAATTTTAGTAGGCTTGTCAAATGCTTTAACTGAATACACACTTAGCTAACTGTAATTAAAAAAATATGCTTTGTATATTTAGAATCAGGACTTAAATTCAAATCCATAGCCAGTTAAATTCCATCCAAATACATAAACCTTCATCTTTAATGATGGAGAAATACTAAATCAAACTTCAAACTCATTAATTACCCAGGGTTTCCTCTTCACAAATGTGTCTAAAGTTATCATCGAAGGTTTCAGTATGGCAAATATTTATTTTGATGGTACCTATACAAGCTTAAATACTAGAATATTGTCAAACTCATAATAATAAGGATCTAGCTCTCTTTTTTACGTTAGCAGCGCTTCTTATGTATACATTAAATAAATTGTTATTAGTAATTGCACCTTCAAAAACCAGAATTTATTTAAATTTGAAAACATTCAAACTATAATTATTGACAATATTTAATTTAAAAATATTACATTTGAATCTACATTAAACAATACAAACGCTTTGTTTTAAATGATCAGCTCTTAGAACATATAAATATCTAATATTTAAATTATTAATTGTTCTACTCTAAATAAATTTAATGTCTTTTCTATGCTAGGAAATATATATACAAAAATAAGCTAAATAACTATAAGCTAATCTATAAATAGCAGAATTTTATACTACATTTAAACTTACACATAAGCTTAATATTAATATAAAGTTATTACAGATACCTTGATAATGGACACATTTAACATAAATAATGTTAATACAACTGAACTCTCTTTAATAGATTTACAAACTAACAATGTATAGATTGCAAGTATAAAAGCAAATAATGTAACATGCTAAAGTTGTCTAGGTTCTGTTATTTCTGCAGACGCAAATTAGTTTATTTTAACAGATTCAACTTTTAAAAACAACGCAGCATATTAGGGAGGTTCTATATACCTGAGTAACTGCTAAGTTCAGTGCCTGCTTAATTAGACAAAGATTATCAACAACTAAGCAATAAATGGTGGTGGAATTTTGCTATAAAATAGTGAATTACAGTTAAAAGATACCTAAATAATCAATAATACTGCTTAAATTGGAGGAGGAATAAGATATACTGGAATTATCCCAAAATAATTTATAAATAAGTAATGGTAAAATAATAATAACATCATTTAAGGCAATACAGCTTAAATTTTTGGAGATAATTTAGCCTCACATCCTAGAAGCATGAAGCTCACTTTCTAAAATAATAAAACTCAAGTTTATTAGATTGCAAACTAAAGTAATTTTTTATTTTTTAAATATTTTTCATTTTATTATGAATTATTGGTAAAACATTAATTTGGTTTTGACTCTCAATCTAATAAATGAATAAAATTTTCAATCACTTACTTACTTACTTTTATATTTTCTTTAGTTATTAAAAAAATATTTTTTTAAATATAAAATCTTAAATAAATTTACTCAAAATTCATTCATTCGTTCTAGTTTGGAATTTTCAATTTTAAAAATTTTATTTTAATGAAAATTAAAAAGCTTCTGACAGTTTTTCTTAGTCTTACTTGATATAAAATGTTATGAGCGGTGATAACTTTTTGTTTAAAATCTAGCTGATTGATGAAGAAAATAATCCTGTTAAAATTAAAACTGATCATATTTAGTTATTACCATAAATAGTGTATGATGAATTGAATTCGTACTAATTTTAATGCATATCAGATAATGATTTGATTCAATTAAATTCAGAAACATTAATAGGTTTAAATAAATACGAAATATCTACTCATTCTTTTGTATTTGACAAGCTTGCAATCAATTCGAAACCTCCAGGAACCAATTATTTCTATGTGAAAACAAATGCTATTCAATTACAGAGTCCTTAAAACTCTTCTCTATTCTTTACGCCATAGTTTAATGAATATATTCAAATTCAATTTAGATCTTGCTAAGTAGGCGAATTATTCATGCCAAAGTATTTTATTATTTTTAATTTTTTATTAATTTCTTTTAATATTTTAGGTAAGCTGGTTAGTTGGAGTATTGTAAGTAATGCCCTGATGGCATGTATTCTTTAGCTGATCCTTATAGCAACAGTAGTGCTAGTTTAAGTTGTAAAATTTGCCCTACAACTGCTGTAAATTGCTATAGAGATGTAATTGAGTTAAAAAATGGGTATTGGAGAGAAACTAATAATACAGACACAATAGTAGAGTGTGTAAATGCACCTGATAACTGCTAAGGAGAGTCTAGTGAAAGCAAATTTTACTGTAAGTAAGGATATATAGGTAATTAATTTTCTTAATTATTAAATTAAACTATAAATTTAATTTTTTATTGTTTAAATAAGGTCCATTATGTGAAACTTGCGATATTGAATCTAAAATATGGCCAGATCGTTATTCTTATGCTGGAAATTTTTCATGCAAAAAATGTGATTCTTTAAATTCTTACTATTTAATGCAAGGATTAGCATTTTTGTTGATTATATTATACGTAATATATGGAGTGGTTTAATCTAACTTTGTATCTAAGAAAAAAATTATAGGATATTATATGAGAATGGCTGGATTTGCTAGTATAGGAACAAGCGACTGTGAAGACTACACAAGCATTTTCCTTAAATTTTTAATGCACTATTTATATATAAGCAAGATTGTAAATAAGTTGAACTTTTAGTTACCTTTTGTATTTGATTTTATTTAAGTTTAAATATCAACCCCTATTGACTAAATGAAGTTTGTACCAGACTGCTATAGGTCTATCTTTAATCAGCAACTTAAACCTGTTTACTCTAGATAGGTTATCTCTTAGATAGTTCCCCTTTTCTACTTAACATCTGTTTCTCTTATTTACTTTTTACTTGTGTAAAGCAAAAAAATCAAACACAATTCTAATCAAATTTTTAATGGACTTGTTTTTCTTTTTATTTTTATCCAACCAGATTTGCTGTCAGGGATAATATCTGCTACTTCATGCAGGACTATTGGGGATAAATAATATATAACTGACGATATCTCTTCTATATGCCTTTCTAGAGATCATGTTATATTTATCCTATCGTTTAGTTTGCCTTTTTTCATTATTTGGGCTTTCTTATTACCATCTCTCTTGTTTAGTGGCATTTACAAGCTAAGAAAAAATTTAGACTTCATAAAACCACGTATCAGGTTTGGTTTTCTTTATCAGGAGTATAGACTAAAGATATTTTATTGGGAATTTCTAAAAATAGCATTAAAATTATTAATCACTATTGTAAATAACTTTATTTCTGATAATGAAATTTTAAAATCTTCAATATCTACCCTGTTCATACTAAAATACGTTCTTCTCTCAATCAGACTAAGACCTTATTAATCTCATATATTTAATAAATGTGATCAGTACTCTCATATTATTTTAATAGTCATCCTCCATTTCAATATAATAATAAATATTACGAGCCAAGTTTTTATCTAATCAATAGCAATTATTCTATTTTACTTTTTCCATTACTCATTTATAATTTATCTTATCTTGCAAATCCTAAAATCTAAAATAAAAGCTTTATTAGTTTACTTTGCCAAGAGATTTCCATACTTTGAAAAATAATTCTCATCTTTACTCAATTTAATGAATGCAAAAGTAGTGAATAAAATGTAAGTTTACAAGAACTGGAAAAAAGTATATGCTTTTGTTTATTGTAGCAATTTTAAAAAGAGAAGAGAAGAAAATAATTCTATGCTTGAATTAACTCATAAATAAGAAAAACTTAAAAATTAAATATCTAAAGAAAAGAAAAAAAGTATCTTCCATAACGAATAAAATACTCCTCGAACAAGCGATTTCTAAATTGATTCGAGTTAAGTAAACAAAAAAGGTAACTCTCTAAATTTATACATTTATTTATAAAAATTTAATTACTTTATATATAATTAGAAGATGATGACCAATCTTAATCTAACAGTATATCTATAGAAATCTAAAAAAATAGTTAGAACAAAGAATTCCCTAAAGTTCACTCTATAAAATCTATATAAAAAGATCAAAGTAAAATTTTAAATGGCTTTATTAATATTGAACATTTTTTATAAAGTTCTAAGATCTAGTATGGAATTTGCTTATATTACAAATAGAGATCTCATACTTTCAAGCCGTGAGTTAAAATCAGTAGTTAATAGTCCTATTAATTAGGATTATAACTTTTAAGAAAAGCTTGTAAAAACTTTAAAGTTAAAAAACAATAAAATTTGATCGATAGATACTCAGCTTTTATAGAATAAAAATAATATAATATATTAAAATTAGTCATAATAAGTTTAAATATGTGTAAAAATCAATTAAATTTATCTTATGAAAAATTAATTTATCAATCAATCAATCAATTAATCAAACATAATTTAGTAAATTTATATATTAATTTGTACATACTTTATTATTTATGTTTTTAAAAACTTTAAAATCAATTATTTAGGTTATTATTTATTTTATTTCCTTTGTTTTTTTTTTATTAATAAATTTATTTTTTTGCTAATTTAACTAAAATATCAAATAAAAGTATTTTAAATGAAAGAAAAAGTTAATTTTTGTTTGAAGGAAAAAATATGTCTTTGTATTTAATGAATGCTTAATAGGCTTCAATTATTTTTAATAACAATAAAAATACTAAAAATAATTAAAAAAATTATAAAATAATAGTCAGTTCTATTTATTAATCTTAGTACCTAGATACATTAATAAAAAATCTTTGATTTTTTTTTTCACTCTTAACAAGTTATAAAACAAAAGTTTTTTTTGTTAAATATAAATTTTTTTGAATCATTAATCTATCACATTCTTAATTTTAATGTATTCATTATTATTTTATCCCGAATTTTTTTTTAATGATTTATTTAATTGCTTAAATTAGTTAACCTAAATTATTATGTATATTATGAATTTTTCAAAATAAAAGCTTTTATTATAAAAAGCTATAAAATAAAAAATTGAACAGGATATTTATTTTTTAATTAAATAACTCAAAATAATACAAAATTAGAAGCGAATATATTAGTTAATATTATATTTTTAATATGTTTTATTGGGGAGTTGTAATTTTTAAATTGAGCTTTCGTTGTTAACTTTATTCATTAAAAACTCAAGCCTTTAGTTACTTTTGGAAAATGAATTTTGTTTTTTTCTACTAGAAACCAAATTAATTTGAAGTATTTAAAAAAATGATAAAATAAACAAAAAAATAATAAAAATGTTGAAATTACAAAAAACAATGGTAATCACTTTTAATAAATTATATTTTTTAAAGGAATTAAAATATTAGTTAATAATAAATCTATGTAAATACAATTAATTTTATATTTGTAAGTAAAAGATTATTTTAAATATTATTTTATTCAGATTTATTTACATTGAAAATAAAACTTAATTTAAAATAATATTAATTTATCTTATTTTTATTTTTGGAATATCATCTAATATTTTTCATTTTTATTTCTATAAAGATAGATTCATACTAATTATTTAACATAAGATAGAAAATTGGTTTTGATTAATGAGATCATTCATCAAAAACTTTTCTTATTTGTATAGAATAGAAAAACTTTAATTTATAAAAATCTGTTAAAATTAGAATATATCTATTTTGTTTTTTTGAAAATTTTTAGTTCTAAAGGTGATCAATCGATTTAATATTATTTAACAGAAACAATTACCCTTCTAATTAAAATCTTAGTTTTTATTTACACGTTTGAAATTCACTTGCTAAATTTTTATTTTTTACAAACACAAACTTAAAAAACTCCATTTAAAAAGATAAAAAATTGCTGATATAATTAATATTAATTATTATTTTAAAACTTTATAATTTAAAAGAGAAAACATTTAAAAATGGTAGATTTTTAAAACTTTAAAAAAACTATTGTTAGTGGTACTTGTATCACTGCACTTCTGCTTTTGGGTCTTTTACACGATAACACAGATTACAAAGATACCGTTCTTGAAAATTTTCATTAAAAACTTGAAAGCGACTTTTTCCTTGAAGATGGATTTAAATAATTACTTAAAAAATATGACAGCTTATGTATAAATGGCAAAGATAAGTCTAAACTAGATACAAAAGAATAATATGAAGAGTTCTTAAGAGGTAAAAAATTATGATTTATATTTAAAATCCAATTAATCTAAAAATGTATTTTGATAGATGGACATTTATTTATCTCTTTCAAATTGCAAAGAATGATTTTTCATACTGAGAATTTAAATAAATAGTGGGGAGTTTCGAATGATTAAATAAAAGAAAATAGATGTCACTAGATTATAAGCAAATTAATTAGAAACAAATTAAATTTTGTTCTACTTTCTAAATTTAAAAATTAAGAAATCAACTTATTAGTTATTTATCAGATCAGTATTTTAAATCGTGTAGAATTTTTGTGAAACATTCTATCTAAAATTCTTTTTTCTTATTATCGCAAAAATTTGTTTATTTCATTTTAATTATGAGCAATTTTTTCTTAACTCTCTTTATTAAAATTTAAATTAAATTAAGGTCCCTGCGCTCCTATTATATTTGTTCCAGGTATACTAGGTACTTCTCTCTAACTAAAAATAGATTGTGAAACACTTTAATCTAAAAACCCAGAAATTTTCTCAAACTGCGGATGGGGCACATGCTCAAGCTATAACTTACTTTAAAAAAAGCCAGCTTCAGAATACAAACTATGGATTGGAGATGTCTTTTCAAAAGCAAGTTTCTTACAAATAAGCGAAAAATCAAAATGTTTTGGTGACTTGATTGGATTAGTCTACAACAAAGAGAGAAATATACTAGAAGCTAAAGAAGGATTAGAAGTTACATGGTATGGAAACACAGAATAGACCAAAAATGACAGCAAGTGTGGAGCAAACTCTGTTAGAGATTTTACAAAAAATCCAATCCTCAAAAAAATGAGCTGTGCTATAAGAGGATTTGGTAATCTAATTGATTTACTAGAGGTGATGGGTTATTAATCGGGACTCACTTTCCAAGCTCTACCTTATGATTTTAGATAAGATGTGTCACAAAGTAAATATTAATTAATTTGAAATCCAACAGCTCAAAAAAAAAAGCAAAAGAAATTAAAAATAGAAAGAAACCAACAACTGAATTTTGGTTATTCTTTTTATTTCTTATTAATTTTTTAGGTGTACTAAATTTCTTTTGAATAATAGATAATACATCATAATCAAATAAAATAATTGAATCTTTATTATTCAATATATGATGTAAAATACTTTGATATTAAAAAGGTGATACCCAAACGTTGATTCCTAAAGTAATAGATCATATTTATGAAATGACTGGCAAAAAATCTATTATTTTAGGACACTCTCTTGGTAATTTACATATCCTAAATTCTCTTAGTAATATTCCCTAAGAAACAAAAGATTCAAAGATCAAATAATTTATTGCTGCTGGTCCTCCTTTCATAGGATCACCTAAAGCTTTTATCAGTATGCTTGGCGGAGATCCAGATTATCTAAAAAAAATATTAGGAAAGTCGTTTGGAATGAATTATTATTCCTAAATGTAACTCTCATCAGGATGCTCAAGCACTTTTGATATTCTCATTAAAGACTCGTTTGAAAGGTAAAAATCAAATTTTTATTTTAAGTTGAATTGTCTAAAAATAAATTTTTGAAAAAAATATAATCTATCACAAATGACTAAATAAATAAATAAAGTTTATGCACTTAACTGATTATCCTTCAAAAATAAAATATTTTTTCGAACATTAAAATAGATTTATGAGCAATTTTTTCATGATAAATTATTTAGTTTTTTAATTTAAATTAATAGAACAAAAAATATTCCTTAAAAAAATCAAATTAAATTAATTCTTTGATAATATTTTAAGTTCATTTCTACCCAAAATAAAATAAAATAATATCATTTATTTGTTATGAAGCTTAATAATAAATTCATAAACACTTTTATTTTTTTTAAATTATTTATTTTTATTTGTTAATTTAAAGTTAAATAAACTTATTTTAATTTTAAATATGAAAGATTTAAAAATGAGGAGTGGATGATAGATGTCATAAAAAGAATAGATTATGAAGAAAATGGTATTATTGAAAATTCTGTTCCTTTTAACTTTTTACCTGAACCAAACGAAGATTGTGTAAATAATGTATTTGATACTAGAATTGGAGGAAAATGCAAAAGTGGATTAATTAATTTATAAAAGGAGCCTATCTTGAGTATAAATAATGAATAATTTAAAGCCAACAAAGAAGATATTAATAAAATTATTGAAAACTATAGCATCTATGATGCAGAGTAATAAAAAAATTTATTTAAAAAGGCCTCAGAATCTAGAGGACTTTACGATTTAATTAATCCAAACGTTCCTGTTTCAATAATATATGGAAATGTGCTCGAAACTGAATGGAATTTTAATTATAAAAAACATACAAGAGAAGTTTTTGAAAAAACAAATAATTTCTATTTCCCTGAGGATATCAAAACTGGACTTGGAGATGGTACAGTACCTACTTTCTCTGCAATTTTACCAGGATTTAAATGGTTTCATGTAGAAATTTCACTTAAAACTTACTTTCATACTAATAATTTATATAAAATTTATTTTGATAATCAAAATGATAATATTAAAATATTTAAAAATAATTTTTTTTTATTGATAGGAATATTAAAAATCTAAAGAAAATAGTAAGCCTATTAAATTAGTAGAAATTTGTTCTAACATTAAAAAAAATAATCCCTTTTATGATTCTACATCAATATCTGGAGAGTAAGAATAAAACAAATCAGAATATAGAGGAATTGATTGTGAATGCTCTAAAGGTGGAGATATTGGAAATTGTTATCACTCATGTTTTATAAATGACTAATTTTTCTTAGATTTTATAGTTTAATCTCTAATAACTAATTAATAATCAAATATAAATTCCAGTTAATACACTTCAGATGAGCTTGATGAACTTATGTAATCTTGTCCTGCCTTATAATTATAAAAATTAGATAAAAAATTAAGTGAAATGTGAGTAATTTAAAAATTTAATAATGAATAATATTAAAAAGGTGTTGACTGACTATAATTGAGTTTATAATTAAATAAAAGATGCAAGTTATGTGTTATGATTAATTTTTACTTAATGTAGTGTATTTTTTAAAATTTAATTAAGTTTTTTTTTTGCTATTTTAAAAATTGTATAATTTGTATCATACTTTCTTTCTGATAATATCAGCATTAATTTAAAAATAATTTTACCCTTATTAAATATAAGAAGAATTAGTACAAAAAAATTGTTATTTTTAATATTCAATTTTAAAAATAAGATATTTCTTGATTTTAAAAATAAATTAAAAAATTAATTAACTTTTTTTATATGACCATCCAACTTCCAAAACTTTTTATTAAAATAATTTTTATATATGGGTAGAGGTTAGGTGTATTTTTTATAAAAAAAAAATTTATAATTAGATCTCTTTTTTATTTTTAATTTCTATTTATATTTTTAAACTTTTTCTTAATTAAAATAATGTTAAATTTATGAATTTAAAAATTAAATTTTGCTTCTAATATTTGTCTTATTTTTACTACAAAAGAAAATTTTAAAAGCTAGTTAAGATATTTAAAATTAAAATAAATTATTTTTTAGTGTAGTAAAAGTTAAAGTAACATATTTTAAAATTTATTTAGTTTATTTTTCTAGTTTTAAAAATTAAAATTCAATAACAAATAAATTTTTATTAATGTAATAAATAAATTACGATAAATACCTAGATGATAGTTTAATAATTAATGATAGATATTATGGAGTAATTCGCTTATTTATTTGTAATATTTTTTAAATTTTCTTTTAAAAAATTTGATAAAAAGCTTTTTTAATTAGCTTCCATTAAATATTTAATGATAGATTAAAAAATACAAAATTAATGTTATTTTATATTTTTATATTGAAAATGTAAAATTATTATGAATAGATGAATGCTTTTATTAGTAATAAATATTTATGTATCTTTTCAAGATAAATTCAATTTTATGATTATATAAAGTTAAATAACTAATAATAAAGATTAATTAAGTAATAAATAGATACGTCAAAATAATAATTTATTGTATTAATAAAGAATATTTAATTTGATTTATTTCTGTAAAAAAGAAATATTAATTTTTAGAAATTTCTAATTTACAATTAAACTTTTAGGTTACAAAAACTCATAATTTGAAAAGAATTATTATTCATGGCTAAAATTTATCTTGCTTTGGCAACTAATTTATCAATTAAAGGAATGAAATGGAGATATTAAAAATTTATAGCAAGGTCTTAACAACTTAAAAAAAAAACAACTTTATAAAAGGATTATGAGATTTTATTTAGTTTTTAAAAATTAATTTATTTTATTTTAAGAAAAAAAAATATTGAAATATTTTTAAAATTGAAGGCAAATTTAAAATGTGTAAGGCTTCTTAGTTAGACTTCATAAGATTATTTATTTCGAGAAAAATAACTAGAAAGGTGATTTGTCTACAATTAAAAAAGTGAAGATCCTTCAACTTTGCATAAATAAATAAATAAATAAATTATTTGAAAAATAAATATTCTTAATCATCACAAATAAAAAGTGGAAGTAAAATGCCAAATTTTTAATTCATAAAAAAGATAGCTTTAAGTGCTTTAGCTATAATTATCCTAGTCACTTTTATTTTCTTCAGTGATAATACTGACTATGAGAAAGATAATAGAAATTTAAAAGATTTCAGATAGCTTGAATAAAATAAATACTAAGATCACTTTTAAGAAATATTGAAAAAATATGATAACTTTTGTATTAATGGCAAAGATAAATCAAAATTAAATACTTAATAGTAACATGAAGAATTTTTAAAAGGTAAAATATTCAATTCATAAAAATTATCTTAAAAGTATAAATTCTTATTTAGGATTTAAATTTTTTAAACTATTCAATTTATCTCAAAGAAAATAAATTCTATTAAAAAAAAATTATTAACATTTGTTAAATTAGTGGAATAGAGTATTTAAAATATTTCATCAAAAAATATAAAATTTTATAATTTAAAATAGGGCCATGTGCACCTGTAATATTAATCCCTGGTCTACTAGGAACTATTCTTTAGGTAAAAATTGATTGTGAAAAATTGTTATCTAGAAATCCAGAAATCTTCTAAAATTGTGGATGGGGAACATGCTCAAAATACAACATTTTTAAAAAGAGACCAGCTTCTGAATATAGGCTCTGGATAGGTGGAATTTTCTCTAAAACAAGTTTCCTTTAGTTAAGTAGTAAGGACAAATGCTATGGAGATCTAATTGGATTAGTTTATAATCGTTAAAAAAATATATTAGAGGGTAAAGAAGGACTGGAAGTTACTTGGTATGGAAACACAGAGTAGACTAGAAATGATAGTAAATGTGGAGCTAACTCAATTAAAGATTTTGCTGAGGACATAATTTTGAAGAATGCTTTAGGCTGTACATCTAGAGGTTTTGGAAATGTTATTGAATTGTTAGATGCTATGGGATACTAGTCTGGATTAACTTATTAAGCTATTCCTTATGATTTCCGCTAAGATGTAGCTTAAAGTAATTAAAACTGTTTTTTTATTACATTTTAAGCATAAATGAAATAATTTCATAATTTTTTTTTATTTAAAGCATTTAATATTAAATTAAAATAATTAATATTTATGTGTAAATTTTTTAAAATAGGTGAAACATAATAAATAATTCCTAAAGCTATAGATCATTTATATGAATTAACTGGTAAAAAATCTATCATTTTAGGCCATTCATTAGGTAATTTACATGTACTTAACTCTTTAAGCAATATTTCGCAAGAAACAAAAGACCTTAAAATTAAATAATTTATTGCTGCAGGTCCTCCTTTCCTTGGAACTCCTAAATCCTTTATTGCTATGCTCGGAGGCAATCCTGAATACGTTAAAAATATTTTAGGCAAATAATTTGGAATGAATTACTATACTTAAATATCTTTTACCCAAGGCTGCTCAAGTTCTTATGATATACTCATTAAGGATACTTTTGATAAGTAAAATAAATACTTTCATCCTTTTTAAAATAAAAAAACTATTTGTCCATTTAATTTTACAATTAAAAATAATTTTTTTAAAATTTATCATTCCTCAAATAAAAAATTTCTGATTTTTACTAATTATTTCTGAGGCTTATTTTATAATAATAAATATACTTAAAATGTGTTTTATATTTAATATCAGTTTTCAATTTATAAAACTTTTATTTTTAAATTTTAAGATTCAAAAATGAAGATTGGATGAAGGAAATAATCAGAAGAATAGATTATGAAGAAACTGGGTATTATGAAGGTTCTATTCCATTTGCCTTTTTACCTAACCCATAAGAAACCTGTCTGAATGACGTGTTTGAAACAAGAAAAGGTGGTATTTGTAAAAATGGGCTTGTCAATCTGTAAAAAGAAATTATAGTAAGAATAAATGGAGAAGCTTTTAAAGCAACATAGGAAGATATTTAAAAAATATTTACAAAATACAGCACTTATGACGTAGAATAAGCTTTATAGTTATAAAATAAGTCTTTTGAAGCAGAAGGTCTACAAAATTTAACTAATCCTAATGTTCCTACTTCTATAGTTTACAGTAATATGCTCAAAACTGATTTATTTTTTAGCTACAACAAAGATACTTAAAAAGTCTACAATGATACTAACGATTTTTATTTCGCTGATCACGTGGAAAGTGGTTTAGGTGATGGTACTGTCCCTACATTTTCAGCAATCATACCAGGACTTAAATGGTTTTATGTAAGTTTATTAAACTAAAAAAATTGTTTAAGTTTATAAATAAATTGATCAAAAAAATTATTTTTTATTTAAAGGAACATTAGTAATAAAAAGAAAATAGTAAACCCCTCTAATTAGTAGAACTTTGTTCTAATGTCAGAAAAGAAAATCCTTTTTATGATTCAATATCGGTTAATGGTGAAACAGAATAAACTCACTCATAATATAGAGGAATTAATTGTGAGTGTTAAAATGGGGATAAATAAGATATTTGTGGTCATACATGCATGATTAACGACTCTTATTTTTTAGATTTCGTTGCCTAGTCTATGATTACTTTTTAAAAATCTAGTAAAAAATAGAATTATTTTAGTCTTAAAGAACTTGAAGACCTTAAAAATTATTGTCCAACTCTAATTCTATGATAATTAAAAAATTTTTATTTTAAACAATAAATTAAATTTTATTTTATTTCTTCCTAGTAAAATGTTTGTTTGTATGATAATATATTGATTCATTTTTAACAAATCTTTTCCAAATTCTATTTTTCAAGTTTTTTAAATAGTGTCTAAGTATCTATTGAAACTCATTTACATTAAAGAAATTCTATCAATTTAGTATTCATAAAGAAAAAAATAAGTATTGTTTAGAAGCATTTTTTTTAATTCAATCAAATTTTAAAATAAATATCTATTGAAGCAGTTTTAATGTTAGCTTTTTTTATTTCTTGTAAAATTAACAAACAATATTTTGCAAAAGCTATTTAATACTTTTAAAACTCATTCTTATTTTCCATTTTTTTTTTTAAATTAAATTCATAATTTTGTAGATTTAACCACAAAAAAACAAATATCTTTTTCAAACAATTTTGAAGAAATTATTTTTAAAATATATGCTAATTTTATTAATAACTACATACCAGCCATCTTTTAATTACTTTTATATTTTAATTTAATAATAAATTTAATAAAAATATGGGAATAATTAATTAGTTTGTTTGTTTTAAAACCAATTATTTATTAATTTATTATTTATCATATTAATTAAAAATAGATTAAAATAAGTAGAAGCATTTTGAAAATTGACAAGGAGAGAAATGGTTTTAAAGAAAATAAAAAATTTAGATATGTTTGGTAGTTAAATACAATTACTGTTAAGAGGGGAGAGACAATACAAAACTAATTTAGGAGCCTTATTGACTATTTTGATATTTTCGATACTCACTTTTCACTTTGTTTAGAATATCATAAATGTTTATTGTAGAACTTCTCCAAGAGTCTATTAAATAGAAAGGTAAGTAGATAATCCGTAATAATTTATTATGAATTCAACCACTCTGTAGTTTTCTTTTGGAATGGAATACCCATAGAATTTTACGAACTATATTGATCCCCAAATTTACACAATTAAAGCCTACTAAATGTCAAAAAAGATGGTATTTAATCCACAAACTAATTAAAAAGATATAATTTGGTAAAAAGATTATTTCAAAATTTAGTAATGTGCTTAAGATAACTTCTAAAACCCAAAAACGAGAGAAAATTTTCTAAATAGCAGCTACCAAGACCTTTACTGCTTTGAAAAATCTTCATAACTGGCTATATAAGGTGATTATCTTTAAGATAATTATGACTTAGTTTATATTGAAGTTTATCCTTGCTAAGAAAATTGCAAATCTTAATAAGAAATAGAAAGCCTTTTAGGTTTAGGTTATTTTGCAATTTATTATTCCGATGTTATTGTTGATCCTTCTATTAAAGATAATCCTTTTAAATTTTATAATAGAGACATTTACTGGGCAACTAGTTTAAATAGTCCTAAGATAGCTAACTTATACTATAGAAACAACTACGTTGAAAGCGATTTCGGATGGATATTTGCTGATTCTGAAACCTAGAGATATCCATCTTTTAGTTATTCTGATCTTCAAGTAATTAATAATAAAAAATATATAAATAAAATTTTTAACTTTTATCTTTTTTTCATTACTTTAATTCATATTTTTTAATGATTTAAAAAAATCTGCTAAGGTTTTTTCCTTTCATATCATTTTTAAAGTTAAATTAATATTTACTTATAAATAGAATGTATCTGATTCAGATTTCTTTATGTAAGTGATAATAAGGTTTGAGAAATAAAAAGAAAATATGATATATAGAAATTATGCAAGAATTCAAGACATTCTATCTGAGATAGGAGGTTTTGCTTAATCATTAATAGCAATAGGATTTTTTTTGAGTAAATTCATATCATAGGGAATGCTTTATATATCTATTATTAATGATGTTTTTACTTTCAAAAAAAAGAAATAATAGGAAGTATAAAATTAAGATTATTCTAAAATATAAGAAAAGTTTTAATCTCCTTTAATTACTAATAAAAGTCCTTACTTGTAAGATTTTGATGAAAAAGTAAAAATCAAATCAAATTTAAATATGAAAACTTCTAAAAAAATTGATTTATCTCCAAATGTTGATTTTAATAAGTAAATGAGGTTGTCTAATTTATCTTAATTTAAAAATTAGCAACAAAATAATTTTAATTAGAGTCTGCGATTTCATGAATAAAGAAATTCAAAATAAGATCCCTTCAAAAATTATTTGGAAAGTTAGCAGAATTTAAATAAACTCACTGGAATAGACTATCTAAAGATATTTTTATGGCCTTTTAAAAATAAAAAATTAAATCAAAATAAGAGAATTCTTTAACAGAGTCTGAAAAGGCTCTATGGCAAAATAGATTTAATCAAAATTATATCCTAGCTGGAAGAAATTGATAAGTTAAAAAAAGTAATTTTAAATGAAGAATAATTAAAATTGTTTGAATTAATCAAATGTCCTGCAATATTGGAAGAAGAATTGTATGCTAATGAAAACTCGAACTAAAATGACGAATAAATGAATCAGCTAAATAAGCTCAAAGAAGGACTTAATGCTTATTTAATTATTTAACAAAAACATGAAATATCTGATATTGATTTAAAGATTTTAGAAAATATAGACCCTGAACTAATAAAATTGTTTAGCTAGAGTTAATAACCACGCTTTTAATAAGAACAAAAAACTACCCATAAAGTTAATTAACTCAATTAATCATAATAATTATACTCCTTTTTGAACTAGATGGATGCAAGTATAAACTTTTCTCCTTTTAAGATAAATTGTGACACTTAAATAGAAATATCTAAGTAAAAATCTGAGCATAAGAAGTTGGATAAGTTAATTTCATGCTAATAAAATAATATTAACAATTTTATAACAAATAATAACAATAAAGTAGACTATGAATATGACTAAGTAATCTAAATTGATTCTAAGTAAAGTAATTCATAATAATCAAACGTTAGCTAATCACTTAACAATAATACTTCTAATAATGAATCTTCAATAATTGTTTTCTCATAAAAAACAACTTTAAATTAAATTGAATGAACTATTGTAAAAAGGCAGGCACTATCCCTTTCCTTTTGTATTCAAATTTATTTTGTTTAATAATATTGAATAAGTAAAATTGGCTGATAACATATTAAAACTTTTTAGTTATTTACTTTTTAATTAACAAATATTATTCATTTTTTTATTTTTTTAATAAATATGTAAAATAAATAACTTTTAATATGAACAAATAAAAATCAAATAGTTTTAATGTTTATTTCAACAAAAATAAATTTTTAATTTTTAAAATAGATTTTTCATTTAAAAACTTCTGAAAAAAATTATTTTTTTTATGAATTACTATTATTATATTAAACTGACATGATCTTTTTCAATATTTATAATAAATTTTTATTAATAGAATCAGCTGTATTATTATAAAGGATTATCAATTTTTTTTGACTTCCTTATATATAATTATTTCTATTAGGATAATATAAATATTCTACATTTTTATTTGAATATATAAAAAAAAAAATAATTGTAAATAAACTAATAAAAGTTATCTTTTCAATAATACTTTTACAAAGCTATAAGAAAAAACCTATGATTAGATTTAAAAGGTATTTTAAAAAATACATCTTTCGAATAACAATACAATTTTAATATAAATAATACTTTAATTTATTAAATATTAGAAGCTCAATGCTTATGTTTATAAATTGCTAATCCTTTCTAAGATAATTCTTATTCCCATTGCTTAGCTTCTTATTCGTATAGTTCTTTTAGCTTGACGTTTCTAACCATTTTGACTTCTTTTAAAGCATATTTCATTTCCTAATCAATCATCTTTCTGGCATATTTATTTTAATTAGCATTATCATATTTAACTTTTGTTTCATGCCAGTTAGTAATTCTAGATATGCCTTCTAATTTTTTAGAATATTACTCTGCTTACTAGTATTTTTCGTTTAATTTAATGGATCTTTAGATATTTATCATTTAAAAACTATTTTTTGAAGATATTTATAAGCTAGCTTTTTTTGCTTTAGTGATTTTTTAAAAAGAAATTTTATCTAATTATCAATTAATTTGTTTACCAAACAACCTTTTGAAACTCCTAAAATCAAGAAAGAAAGAAATAAATAAATAAGTTCATCAATTTTGAAATTTTGCTTTTTAGTTAATTAAAAAATAAACCTAACAACTAACACAAACCATATTTAGATATATTAACTCATTTGAGGGATTTATAAATAAAAGATTATCGATTGAAATAATTTATTACAGATTTATTCTAAATATTTCCTTGAATAAAAGAAAATATTAAAAAAATTATTTTTATTATCTTGCTATTTAATCATTATTTTATATGTCAGTAATTTTAATTTCAAATAAAACCTTATTTTTTACTTATTAAAATAGCTAATTTAAAATAAATTTGATTTTAAAAGTTTAATTTTTTATGCTTTTCTAAATCAGATAAAAAATAGTAAAATATTTGTATATTGACTTATTTGAAAATGTAAATAAAAATAATTTTACAAATTAAATATTAATTGAAATAAAATATAAATGTTTTTTTTATTAATTGTTTTCATTATTTTTATAAACTCTGTGAAGGAAATGTTTATTTTCTAAAGTAATTTTAAAAATTTATAATAAAATAATTAAATATAAATATATATATAGTACCCTAAGGTACTGCCTTTTTCAAGGCTACATACACGAATGATAATAAGGTTTATTTTTTATTAGTTAGTTTAGTTTTCAACTGAATTCGATTAAATATAAATTAATAGAAAAAATATATATTTCTTTTCTATTTTTATTGCTTTCATTTTTTTTTAAACTTTAAGAAGGAAATGTTTATCTATGAAATTAGTTTTGAGAATTTAAATGAAAATAATTTTAAAAAATTAAATATTAATATATATTTTGTATTTATGTATTTATAATATATATTTTTAATTATTTTTATATTCTCTAATTAAGGAAATGCTTATTAACAAAAGTAGAGAGAAGGTGTAAATTAAAATAATTATACATAATTAAATATAGATTAATAGAAAAAAATATTTATGTATGCATTTATTTATATAGTTTTCATTATTTTTTATATATTCATTTATACTCTTTAATTTTTCATTTTGTTTTGTTGAAGTTAAATTTACTTAATTTTTGCTTTGCTATTTTTAAAGTTCTTTTATATCTACTTACTATTTTTTTCATTCTGATGTGTTCTATATATTTTTCTGAGAGTTTTTTAGGATTTTTAACTTTTTAATCAGTTTCTCTGACCAAGAATCTAAGTGGAGTACCTTATAAACCAAATTCTTCAGCCATTTTTTAACGCATGAATCTCATGTAATTTGGTTTGAAGAGGACTTTATCATTAACAAAAACTACAAAAGTAGGAGGACGAGATTTTACTTATGAAACAAATCTAATTTTAAGTTTGTTACCACCTTCTGTAGGAGCATTTTGAACTTTTTTAAAGCGATTTAACCAATCATTTAGCATACCTGTTGAAATACGAATATTCCATTTTTCATAGGCTTTTAAAACATAATTCATCATTTCTTCTTTATCGTTTCCATTATTTTTTGCACTCATGCAATGCAAGTAAACACCTCTGACCTAAGCTAAGTGCTTTTCCAATTAGTTATTCATATATCTTAGAGCCTTTTTTTTGTATTCTTCAGGAACGAGATCCCATTTATTGACTACAAGAATGAGAGCTCTTCCTTAATCACAAACATACTATGCAAGTGATAAATCTTAAGACTGGAAAGCACGAAGTGCATCAATCATGCACACAACAACATGTGATTATTTTACTGCTCTTATTGTGTCATTTTAAATTTTCTTTTCTACTTCTGACACTTTTGTGATCTTCTTATCTATACCTGAAGTATCTACCAAATCTATCTTTCTTCCTCTATAAGCCCATTAAACTTTAATTGCATCTCTTGTTGTTCCAGCTAAATCATCAGCTATAACACGCTCTTCTTAAAGAAGATTGTTAACCAAAGTAGATTTACCACAATTTGAACGTCCAATAATTGAAATTTAAATTGGCTTTTTCTTCTTATCGTTTTAACTTGTAACACCTTTATCTTCTTTCAATAGATCATCTTTTGTGTTTTACAGAGTTTCTACAGGATCAAATTCGTTATCACTATCTAAATCTGAATTGTTTTCTGGATCTGGATTAGCTTTATCAAATTCTCTCTCCCATGCAGTAATATCAATATCATCTGGTAATTCTTTTTTTCTCATCAATTCCAATATTTCTTCTCTTTAATTGCTTCTAATTTTTTAGAATCTCTCTAAACGACGCTGCTTTTTAAGTAAGAAATTGTCTTTGAAGTCTTGTGGAACTTCATCATCAATTATACGTAGCAAATCAATTAAACCGTCACCTTAATGTGCAGAAACAAAAAGAGGATCTCCCAAACCTAACTTATAAACATCATTCATGATATTAGAATCTTCTATAATTGTTTCATTGTCTGCTTTGTTAGCAAGCAAAATTAGTTTTTTAATAAAAATATCTTTGTCTAAATCAGTAGCATTTTCATTCATTTTTTTTACATTTTCTTCAGATTTATCTTGCAATAATCTCCTTTTTAACCATTTTGCTAATTCTTTATCTCTTGCAGTAATTCCCTATCTTGCATCGAGTACAAAGAGAGTCAAGTCACTGTAAATTAAAGCTTACACTGTTTGATCCATCATCTTTTACTTAATTTAAGTAGGCTTAAATCTATGAGGATCTTTTGGGAGTTTTTCAACACCAGCTGTGTCTACTAAACGAAGTGGATATCCTAAAATAGTTGTTATTTATTCTTTTCTGTCTCTTGTCAAACCAGGCATTCTATCTGTTAATGCCTTATTCATTCCGTCTTCACTTAATTTGTTAAATAAAGAGCTTTTACCAACATTAGGCCTACCTACAAAAGAGATAGTATAAATATCATCTTTTCTTGAAAAATTATCGTTATTTTCAAAAGAGCAGAATTTATAAGCAGTACTTAAACTTAATGAACTAAATTTATTCCCTTTATTGCAAACGCTAGCTAATTTATTGATTGCTTATGTTTGTTTGGAAGCCTATTATAAAAATTTATTTTGGTACCTAAATAAATTAATCATATTTTGAAAGAGAGATTTAATGTTATTTATTTAATGTATTTAATTTTAAATATTGACAAATTCTTTTAGATCTTTCTATTTTTATCAAAAGTAGAAACAAAATAAATATCCCAAATATTCTCCTAATCAAAATAATTAATTAATATTCGATCAATATTCATTCTTTAAAAAATTTATTAAATACTCTAAAATTAAAAATCAAAATGTAGTTTGTAAATATAAATTATTAAAATACATTTTATTAAAATTAGTTCAATTAAACTACTAAGAAATCCAAAATAAAAATCGTGTTAGTTGTTAAAGATTTGCTCATAAATTTTATAGTTTATATTTACTTTAAATATATAAATAATTTATTTTTTTAATTTGAAAGGAAATTATTTATTTTTAATTTTTAATAATAAATAACCTTAAACTTAAAATTAAATACTCAAATTAACAATTGAACATAAATTTTATTTACAAAAATAAAATAAAAACTTTCTTTGCAAAAGTATTTCATATTAAAAATATATTTCCAACCTATGTTGTATAATTTATATATCAAATTATTTGAAAGCAATGACTGGATTCAGTTTTTATAGAATTTACTTAATGTATTAATTAATAAAATATCAATAAAAAAATATGAAAATTACTTTATTAAATATTTAAATTTTAAATTTTTTTAGGATTATATATTTTATTTTTCAAACAAAATAAATTTTCAAAGTTTTGAAAGTTGATTATTTTTAGTTGGATTAAAAAAGTTCTAAAATATCGTATTATTTATTTCTTCTTCTGCAACATTTTAGAAATTTTTTTGACAAATATTATTCAAACTATTAGAGTTTGTTGTTTGTTTAAGTATTGCAAGATTTTCTTTTGACTCATCTTAAACTGAACAAAAGTTATTTTTCTGGTAACTATAAAAGACTTTTTTATTTTAACTTTATTTTGTTTAATCTTCAAAAACATTTGATATTTTTATTAATTCTAATTATTCATTTTTTTCATTTTTATTATTTATTTGGCTTTCTTATTTTTTTTTTGAGTTATCTAAAAGTTTGCTATTGATTCTTTCATTTTAAGAATCAAGCTTAAAATTAGTATTATTTTATTCAAATACAGATAAAAGATTAGGATCTAACATTTATATAATTTTCTCATCTAACTAAGTTTGCTGATATTTCTACAAAATATTTTTATAAGCTTCTTATGCTTCTTTTACTTTTTGCAAAGGTGTTCTATTATCTTAATATAATAAATCTATTTCTGATCTTTCAGATTTTCTTTGATTCTCATTTTGCTCTTATATCATGTCTAAGTGAATAGTAGGCTTTGGTAGATAGTCAAAAAGTTTAATTTAATCTTTATCTAGTAATAATCTTTTTAATTTTTCTACCTCTATCAGTCTCTTTAATATTTACAAGATATCTAAATGGTTGTAAAGCTTGTTAATGCTATATTCAATCACTTTCTTTTTTTATCTTAAGTTTCCGAAAGGAAAAAATATAGATTTAATATATTCCCATACACTCAACTTCATACTCCTTGTTTGCTCTTCTAACATAGAATTAAAATTCTTTTCTTTTAATTTTTGACTATTTTAATTTATTTTATCTATTTTTTTAATGAGCTTATTAGATATTTTTTAATTTATTTTGCTTTTATCATCTTTTTAGATTTTTTACTGCTCCTATAAAATGGATGCTAAGATTAAGGTATGATTTTAACTATTAGAGATAGATCTTTTATGTTCTTATGATTTGAATTGGGATGATGTAGACTAATTAATCTTATTTTTAAATTTAATTAATTAGTTTTAATTTTAGTCTGATTTAAAAGTATAATCAACATTTTTGTTGAATATTTGTCTTGTATCATTATTTTATATAGAGCTAAGTTACTGCAATTATGATGCTTCTGTTTATTAATTATTTTTGTTTTTTTTTTATTTATTTTTGAAAATAGCTCTGCAACATCCGTGAGTTTTTTATTCTTTTATTAAATGATTTTGTTAAGTTTCTTCAGGCTCGTCATAATTAAATACAGAATTGACTAACTATTAATTCAACTATAATTAGGAAATTTTAGTGCAGATCAAGAAGCCAATGGCTAGTAGACTCTGAGAAAATCCACCTATTTCTGATATTATACTGCTAATATCTTAGTATTTTCTACTGTAAGAGTTTTCTTTTTATTTTTCAAACTTAAATGTTAAAGTAAGAAAATATTACTGAAAGTTTGGAGGATAAAGCTTATTTTATTAGTGAAATATTATTAATATATATAAATAAATATTATATTTCAAATTAAAAGAGTGTAAAAAAGCAATGAAAACTATTATTAAATATAAAGGAAAGTAAAATTAATTACAAAATTCTCATAGAAACTGTAAGAAGGGAACTTTTTTATATCTTTGTCTGAAATAATCCATCCAAAATCACTATAAACATAATTATTTCTGATAAAAATAATTACATCTTAGGGCATCTAGAGACTTGTATGCCAATACATATTTCTGGCATAGATCTAAAAAGGATCATAAAATTATGTAGGATCTACATAACTATCAGACATATAAAGAGCCATTCCTGATTTTAGTAAGTAGTAATTTATTTCTTCTTATGACTTGCAATTTTTTTAGCATTATTTAAAAATGAATTAAATTTATGAGAAAACTGGAGAAGGGAAGTCTCCTTGAATCGGTAATACTGCATCAGGAGGAAGACAATACATATTTGTATAATTAGAAGATATGAAATATTATAAATTATTGGGATTTTAAAAATTCTAAGAAGTACAGCGCTGCAAAATTATATCAGTATATTTCCATGTAGTTTAGTTTTATTAAGTAGAAGAGTTAAAAGTAGTAAATTTCTGCTAGAGTTAAGCCTAAACTGTGTAAATACTTTCATCAATATAGTAATTTTTAGTAACAGGATCTTGCATAGCAAATGCCATAGGGAATGATTTACTAGTGGCTTCAAATAAGGCTGGATCGTTCACTTATCTCTCAGTAAAAATAACAGTAGGATTATTTCTTTAAATGGCAATTAAAAATATTGAAATTAAACGAGCAATAATAACACCAATTATAAAAATAGTGATTAGAGAGCCTATATTGGACTAATATGTTTATGCACCATTAAATCTCAAATTTATTTTACTACCAAATAAATCAATTTTTCTAATCATCTTCAAATAAGTTAAATTTTTATTATTTTTAGTCCCTAAAAAAGTAAATTCTACTTTGTAATAAAAATTAATATTTTTTAATCAAAAATTATAAAAAGTCATTGAATGAATATAATTAATATTAATTAATTAAAAAATCAAATTTTATCATCGAATAATAATTTTTAAAAACATAAAATTAATAACTAGAGGGGATTTATTTTAAACATTTTTAAAAGAATAAATTGTTTTAAAGTTTGTTTTGGCTGCTTTATAATATATGAAATCAATCAATAAAAAATAGATCTATTAATCTAAAATAAAAATAAAAAAAATATGCAAAAATAATTCTTTAAGCTTTTAATTTTAAACATTACTCTTAAATATTGTGAATTAAAGCATAGAAGTATACTTATAATTGGATACAAAAGTATTTAATTTTTATTTTTATTTATTCTATCATATTTTCTTAATTTTTATATTAAAAATATCTTTCTATATAACTTAATACTGATATTATTCGTTTTCAACTAATATTTTATTCTATCAATGAAGAAATGTTTTTTGAGAAAGGAAAGTATTTTGAAATAGAACTTTTTTCAAAAGATAATTAATATTTTATTTAAAATCGAAATTCTTTTAAGCATTTATTTTTATTTGATTGTAAATAAAAATAGAGAAGATTAAAATAATCAACTTGGCCTTTAAATTCACAAATTTTGTTCACAAATTTGTAATTAACTTTATCAATTTTTTGATTATTAATTAATAACTTTTCTTTTCATTTCAATATCAAAGTTTACATTTTTAATAATTTCTTATATACTATCTTCTAATTAAGAATAGACAATATTATATTATCTAAATGTACAAAAGCATTTATTTATTTACTCATTTTAAAAAATTTTACTTTGTTTTTTTATTTAAGCAAATTTAAATACAATAAATGTAAAATGATATTAAATAAGAAAATTTTAATCAATTTAAATAATTTTTTTTTCTTAATAAAAAAACAAATTAATGAAAAATTCATTTTCTTTAACATTAAAAATTAACCCTTAATCTTATAAAATTAGATAATTGAAAAATAAGGTAATTCAAAGTTATTTTTAAAAGGTTCAATAAAAAAATTTTTTTATTCTAGGCGTATTTGACTTTTAAATAAAAAGAGTTGACTTAAAATACTTTATAAGCTAATTAATTCTAAGTTAAATGTAAAAATATCTAAAATATTATAAATATACATAGATTTAAGCAAGAAATCACTCATTATTATACCTTCTATCATCAATAGTTGAGTTGAATAATATAAAAAAAAACACAGAAATTTCAAAGTATATACTAGTTTTTTTAAAATACATCCTTAAATACTAAATTATAACTAGAAAATATTAATAAAACCTACAAAATAAAATCAGAAAAGTAAATATTTTATTTGTAATTATGAAATATTTTACAGATTTATTGAAATTGTAGTATGATAAATAAAAATTTCAAAAAGATAAAAAAGTATTATAAGATTTAAATAATCTCAAAACAAAATCATTATGAGTGAAGTATATAAACTAATATTGCCATTTTTTTGTTTTTTAGATATATAAAAAAAGAGTTTTATGAAAAAATTATTTTAGGTTTACTTTACGAGAAAAATTTTAGTAATAATAAAAAATAAAAAAAAAGTGCGTCTGGAATAAATATAAGAAATTATTTAGAAAAGAATGAAGTTAAAACATTTTTTAGGGTGTTTTTTGAATTTGAATGAAAAATTTTAAAACAATTTACAAAAAGCTAAAAATCTATTTATTTCCTTTATCCTTTTTATTTTTCATTTCTTAGTTATTTATTCATATTTATCATAGCAAGTATATTTTTTACTTGTTTATTTCTTACTTAGTTTATCGTATTTGAATAGTTTTGTGTTACAGCTTTTTTTGTTTTAAAAATTCACTTTTACTATAAATAATTAAAGAATTTCTAAGGAAAAAATATTAAAATCTTAAAAATAATCAAATCAATAATCTTAATCTCAATCTTTTATTTTTATATACAAAAAGCAATCGAATCAATACATTTAATTTCTTTTATGCACAGTTACTATAAATTTTATTGATTTTCGCATTTAAATTCAGTAATATAATAGTTGAAAGATTGGACTTTTATATTAATTATCAATTAAAACAAAGTTATTTATTATTTTAACTAATTTAAAAACTCTTTCCTTTAGATAATAAAAACTTTTTTATTCCTATCATATAATCATTCATAATTACTTGATAAATGATGGTTATCATTTTAGCTATATTTGAAGCATTAATAATAACTTTATATATATTATTTACCTTTACATTTTTGATGTTATGTTATGTTATATATTTTTATTAATATTATAGTTTACGAAATTCATGAATGTAAAAAACACAAAAACATTTAATTATGAATTATATTTATTATCTCTAAAAATTTATAGAAAAAAAATTTAATTATTTGTTGTCAATTTGAATTGGAAAAAAGAAAATTGGTTGTAAATTGATTGGTTCTTTTTTTATGTTTTCATAATTTAGAAAGTTAATTTTCTTTCTTTAAATTTCTATTGTAAAACATTAATTCGCTTTTTTCCTCAGAAGGGATTTCAGTTTGTATATTATCATCAAGTGTATAATTATATATTTTTTATTGGCGTGAAAAGTCGCTTTATAGAAATTCTAATTGCTTGAATGTATACACTTCTTTTATTTCATCTTTTTATTCATAAGGAGATATCATATTCTGGGAAATACTTGGTTCATATTCTTAAATACTTGAAGGTCTTTGTCTTGGACTCAAAGTATTTTATTACCCAGTAATTTACTCATTTTAATGTCTGTCTAGAAAATTTCTTTTGCGTTGCACCTTTTCCTGTAAGCTGTTAGTTTCTATTATTCTCATACTTTCTTTTAAAGACTATGAATGTCCAATATTAGAATTCTATATTTCAAATATAGATAAGAGATTAGGATCTAGCATTTCAATTATCTTTTCATCTAACTAAGAATTTTTTCCCTTTTATTGTATGTTTCTATAAGCTTCATAAGCTTCTTTTGCTTTTTAAAGCGGTGACCTGTTATCTTAATAGAGTAAATCAATTTCATTTCTTTTTGAGTCATCCTGTGTTTGCTACTTATCTGAAACTAAAACAGAGTGGATTGTGGGTTTTGGTAAATAATCGAACAATTTTATTTAATCTTTATCTAGAAGTAACCTTTTTAGTTTCTCTACTTCAATAAGTCTCTTCAAAATTTACAAAATATCTAGATTATAATAGAGTTTATTTATGCTATACTCAATTACTTCCTTCTTCTTTTTTAAATAACCAAAAGGATAAAATATTGATTTAACATACTCCCATATACTCAATTTCATACTTTTTGTTTATTTTTCTAATAGCTTATTAAAATGATTTTCTTTAAGCTTTTAACTTTGCTCCTTCAGTTTTTTAAGCTTATTATTAATTTTATCTTTTTTCAGATCTGTTTCAAGTGCATTGAAATCATTCTTATCAAAATTTAAATTTTCCTTTAAGATGGAATTCAACATTAAATTCTAGCCTTAGCAAGTAGGTGAAAACTGTGTTTTATCTTCTTTTATATGAGCAGCAAGTTAAGACAACTTTATATTTTCAAAGCTTGAATTGTCTTTACTAGAGTTACTTTTGCTATAATTACGGTTATTTATAGTTTAGCTTTTCCTTTTATAATCAACTTAAGATAATTTCTTTTCTCTTGTTGAGATAAATTCTTTAATTTTATTACTATTAGATAAAGGGTTTTCACAGACCTAATTAATTTCCTTATCATATTCTTCGACATTTTATTTTGATTAATTATTTTTATTATTAACATTATCAGACTCATCGTAATTAAACACTGAATTAACTAGCTATTAATTCAACTATAATTAGGAAATTTTTGTACAAATCAAAAAGCCAATTGCTAGTAGACTCTAAGAAAATCCACCTATTTCTGATATTATACTGCTTATATCTTAATACTTTCTACTGTAAGAGTTTTCTTTTTACTTTTCAAACTTGAACGTAAGAGTAAGAAAATATTATTGGAAATTAGGAGGATAAACCTAATTTAAATAATTTTTATTAATAAAATTATTTTGATAAAATTTAAATAGAAAAAATTAGAATTTCATTTAAAAGAAAGAAATTTGTTTTCTATTTTTAAAAATAAAGCATTACAAAATTTTCATAGAAACTAAAAGAAGGGAATTTCTTGGTATCTTAGTCAGAAATTATCCATCCAGAATCGCTATAAACATAATTATTTCTGATAAAGACAATAATATCTTAAGGCATTTAAAGACTTGTTGGCCAAAACATATTTCTTGCATAAATCTAAAAAGGATCTTAAAATTGTGTAGGATCTACATACGCATCAGACATATAAAGAGCCATTCCCGATTTTAGTAAGTAATGATTTATTTCTTCTTATGATTTACAGTTAGTTTAGCATTATTAAAATATGAACTAAATTTATGAGAAAGTTGGAGAAGGGAAATCTCCTTGAATAGGTAATACTGCGTCAGGAGGAAGACAATACATGTTTGTATAGTTCACAGCTGTAAAATATTATAAATTTTTAGGATTTTAAAAGTTTTGAGAGGTACAGCGTTGCAGAGGTATGTCAGTGTATTTCCATGTTGTTTAATTTTTTTAGGATGAAGAATTGAAAGTAGTGAATTTCTACTAGAGCTAGGCCTTTACTGTGTAAACACTTTCATCAATATAGTAATTTTTAGTAGCTAGGTCTTCCATAGCAAAAGCCATAGGGAATGATTAACTAGTGGCTTGAAATAATGCTGGATCATTAACTTATCTTTCTGTAAAAATAACAGAAGGATTGCTTCTTTAGGAAGCACTTATAATAATTTAAATTAGACGGAATAAAATAAATCCTACTATTACTAATGTAAAAATAGATCCTACCTTAGATTAATATGTAGGCGCTCCATTAAACCTAAGATAGATCTAACTTCCGAACAAATCAATTTTTTGAAGCATTTTATTTGTTTATTTGTTTGTTTTTTCTATTTAATATGTAAATTAAGCAATACATAAAAAAAATATTAATCTAAAGTTTTAAATTGGTTTTATGCTATAACAGTATATTTATTTATTACAAAAATAGTCAAATTTATGGAAAATAGATGGCTAGAGAACTTTTTTATACAAAAGTTGATAAAAAAAATAAATTTTAAAATTCAGAATTATTATTAAAGTAAAATTGGTATAAAATCATAATTAGCAATTTAAAATAAAAACTTCATTAATTATTGTTATCTAATAAAATCCATGAATTGATGACAGGTTTTTTATCTTTAATTTCTTTTAATTATATAATTTTTGCATTATATATTTTGTTAATTTTGTAAAATATTTAAAATGAATTCTAAGGGAGGGAGTCAACTATTAATCATTCATAACTATTTAAAAAAAATAAAATGTAAGAATTTTTGTTTTTTGTAAGAAATTCATATATACTTTTTTAGACTTTAACTATTCTTTTAATAAAGGAAAATGAAATAAATTGATTGATTTTGTTTGAAAAAATAAAATTTTCAAATTATTAACATCTTTTTTGTCAAAAACAGCCATACTTAATTGATAAATATTTAAGTTTAATTTTAAAATTTAGCAATATAAAATTTTAATGTTTGATAGATATCTTATTAAAGGTTTTAACTAAAATAATATCCTTATTATTGGCAATATTATAAATTAAAAAAATAAAATATGAATTTTTGAATAAAATAAAAGTAATCTAATTCAAATAAATAAATGTTAATCCCAAAAAGAAAAAGATATACATTATAGTGATTATAGAAAATTAAAATATTATTAAATTAACATATAAAAGTAATAGATTTTACAAATAATTATTTTGGAATTTTTATCAGATTATATTTTTCCTTTTATTTAGCTAATAATTAAAAAAAAATAAGAAAAATTTGTTATTGAGATAATTTAACTCTCAAAAAGCTTGCAAAAATGTACAAAAAGTTTCTTTTTTAAACAAATTATTTTGTTAAAGAATCACCAAATTAATTAAAATATAACAATTTAATTAATTAATTTGATAAATGAAATTTATTCTTAACTAAATTAAATATACTAAAAGTATAAAAGGTTTAATTTCTTTAAATTAAAATAAAGGCACATAGATAGATTTCCATTCATCCATCATTATAAAGATGAAAGTTAGTTTTTATTGTAAATATATTTATTCTAAAACATAAACTTTATTTTTTCTTCATCAGCTACTCCTATTAATAAATTATTTGAAATACAGCTGCGTTAACTATTCTAGGAAGAATTTTATTCAATTTTTTAATTTGATGATTCATTTACTTCGTCTACTTCAAGATGCTGTTTTCTAGAATTCGCTAACATTTTTTGTCTTCTACTTTATAGTGATTAGTAAATGTTTTAACTAGAAACTGTATTTATTGTTTTTTAAGGAAATTTTAAGGTATCTTTATTAAGCATAGATTAATAATCTAAATTTAAATTTCCTTAGCTGCTCATTTATATTTAATCTTGCATTTTTTCTTCTTCAAAAAATTTAATTAAATTTGGATCAAGCATCTCTACTATTTTTTAATCAACATCTGAATAGTTTTACTTGCTAAGTATAACTTTATAGGCCTGATAAGCATCTTTCACCTTTTAAAACTCAGCTCTATTGTCTTGATAGAGTAAATTTATTTCTTAATTTTTTTAATCGTTTAAATCTTTTTTTACCTAAGCAGCCAAATCAAAATGAATTTTTGGTTTTGGAAGATACTCAAAAAGCCTAAGTTAGTCCTAATCTAAAAGGAGTCTTTTTAATTTCTCAACTTCTATCAACTTTTTCAAAATATTAATAATATCTAGATGGTAGTAAAGCTTTTCAGTGCTGTACTAGATGATTTACTTCTTTTTCTTTGATTTTCCAAAAGGAAAGAAGATTGCTTTGATTTAATCCCAAATACTCAATTTCATACTTTTTGTGTGGATTTTGAATTGTTCATTAAATTTATTTTCAAATATTGCTTATTATTTTTCTAAAGATTCTTTGTCTGGCTCTTTAAAGTTATTCTGAAATTAAGTTATGTTACCATTATTTTCTTAAGTTTTTTGAATGATATTGGAATTAAAAACTTATTTCCTATCTTAATAAATATCTGATTTTTGTGAAAATATAGATTGTGGAGAATTAGTAATTTTTCCTTCTTCAGTGGGAGATTTTTCAGCAAATAAAAATAACTGTTAATTTTAATCGTCTTTTTTAAAAACAATATTCTTACTTTTTTGCTTCTCTCTCAATGATTAGTAAGTAGAAGGGCTTTTATCTAAATTAATTGCTGCTTAGGGTTTTTGAATATTATTTAAATTTATAGGAGCCTCTTAAGGCAAATTAGATTATTGAAATTGAACATCCTTTTCACATACTTCTTCATTAGAATCATAGTAATTAAACACAGAATTAATTATTTATTAGTCAAATTAAACTTAAGAAAGCTTTCTACTTAGCAAAAAACCTATTGCCAGCAAAGTCTATGAGAAACCTCCTATCTAAGAACTAATGTCAAAAATATTCTAATAGTTTCTTTGATATTCACTTTCTTTTTATTTCTCGAATTTAAATGTCATGCTAAAAAAGTAATCTTAAAAGCTAGGAGGATACATCTAATTAAATATTTAATTAATTTAGAAATACATTTATAAATCGCATTTTTTATATTAAAAAAAAAAATATTTTAATGTTACAAAACTTTCATAGTAGCTGTAAGAAGGAAATTTTTAAGTTTAGATGTCAGATGTCACCCATCCGAAATCACTGTATACATAGTTATTTCTAATATATACAATCACATCTTAGGGCATCAATAAGCTTGTAGGCCAATACATATCACGAGAATAAATCTTGAAAGGGAATTCTTTGACTTTAGGATCTACATAAGCATCTGAAAGCTACATACCAAAACCTGATTTCAGCAAATAGTATTATATTAAATCAGATGACTTACAATTTGTTTGGCATTATTTAACTTAAAATTGTATTTAGGAAAAAATAGGAGAAGAGAAATCTCCTTATATAGGAAGAATACTATCTGGAGATAAGCAATACATATTTGTGTAGTTTAAAGATTTGTAGTAAGCAGCATTTTCAGCATTATTAAAGTTTTTTAATGTGCTTCTTTATACAGGAATACTTGTTACATTCCATACTACTGTATTTTCTTAAGTAGTAGAATTATATATGATGTACTTTTACTGTAGTTAAGCATGTACAGTATAAATACTCTCATCAATGTAATAATTTCTAGTAATTGGATCCTCCATAGCAAAAGCAAGAGGAAAGGTTGTACTAGTAGCTTCGAAAAGCTCAGGATTGTCAACTTATCTTTCATTAAATATAATACTAGGATTATTTCTCATAGAAACTCCTATTAAAATAATTACTAAACGGAAAAGTATTATTCCTATAATAATAAGACTCAAAATAGATCCAAATTTAGTTTTATAAGACGAATCGCCTTAAAATTTGAGATGAATTTAACTACCAAACAAATCAAATTAATTTATTTTACTAAAAGTATGTCGCATCCTTATATTTCAAATGAGTTATTTAGTTAGACAGTTAATATGGTTTATTATTATTTTTTTTATTTTTATGATTTTTTATAAATTATGATTTTATATAAAAAATTATATAATGGTTAAATAAATTTAAATTAATACAATAAAAATTTTCATAAAATATATTGAATTTTAACCAATAGATAGTGATTTCTCAAAATAATATTGATAAATTAGAATCTTCTAATCAATTTTCATAAAAAATCATAGCAAAAATTTTTATTATTTTGAATAATAAATGATAAAAACACTGATTTTATTAAAAAATTATTTAAAAGTTTAGAAAAGTTAGATTTTAACTAATAAGTTCTATAAATATTTAAACATAAAAATATCCAATACAAAACATTTTTATATTATTTTTAGGTTCTACAATAATTAGTTCATTTCTTTAATTTGGAGGAATTCCTCACGTTTTATTTAAATTTTTATTTAATATTAAGTATTAAAATAGTAGTATATATTTAAATAAATGAATAAATTTTTAATCAATCAATAATTAAAAAAATAAACAGTTACTTTCTTAATCATATAAAACCTCTTTGATTAATCTTTTTGTTTTAAGAATTATATGAGAAATTAAAATCATATTTAATCCTTTTGTGTAAAAAAAGCTATCTAGCTCTTTTTTTTATTAACTGCCCTATTTTTATAATTGTCTGTTTGATGTGATTTGCTAGTCTCTTTGTTATTGGTTTTTATTTTAAAATTATCCTCGTTCACCTCATTAAGAATTTTATTTTTTTTATGTTTAATAATTTTTCTATCTTTTCAAATCAGATGAACGTGTTTAGTTGTTACTTATTTTTGATTGATTTATTTGGCTGGCTTTTATGTCATAAGGCGCATCATCTTCATCTCTCATTAAATTTATAATTCTATTTCCAACAAAACCATATTCTACTTTCTTAGTATAGGAATTCTCCTGTTTATTTGCTTAAGATTTTGGAGTGCTTTTTTCAATTTATTGGTTTCTATTTGTTGGAGAGGTTAACTTATTTTAAATTTATTGTTTTTTCTATTTCTCTTATTCTTCTTCATAGCTGTAAGAATCATTCTATTTTTTTCCTTTAAATTAGCTTGCTAATTTATATTTTGCTATATTATTTAAATACTGAAAAGTTTATTTGATTTGTTTTCTTATATTCTATCATTGCAGTTAAATAAGTTCAGTAAATTTAAATAATTTTTATTACTAATATTTCTTTATTATTATTCACTCCTTACATTTTGAAGGTTCAATAAAAAATTTTCTATTGTATTTGTATTTAACTTTTGAGTAATAAGAATCCACACAAAATACCTTATAAGTAATTGATTCAAAATTAAATGTGAAAATACCTAAAATATTATATAAAAATAGATTTAAGTAAAAAATAACATATTATTACACCTTTTTCCATAAATACCATAGTTTCTCATATATTAAGAACATATTCAGATAAAAACTTTTGATCAAATTTAGTCTTTAATTCACAATTTATTGAAAAAAGTCCTTAATATATGGCTTCCTTAATATATGAGAAACCACGGTAGTTAGATTGAATAATTTAAAAAAACACAGAAATTCCAAAATACACTAGTTTTTTTTAATATAAACCTTTCAGGTTAAATTATAACTAGAAAATATTAATATAGCCTACAAAGTAAAAATCAGAAAAGCTTATATTTTATTTGTATTTATGAAAGATTTTACAGATAGATTGTATTTGTATCATCATAATTAAAAGTTTCAAAAAGATAAAAAGTATAATAAGATTTAATAACAAAATTTAATAATGATATTTTTTTTTGTTTTTTAGATGTACTAAATATATCTTTTTATGAAAAACTTATTTTAGACTTACTTTAAGAGAAAAATTTTTGTAATAATAAAAAATTAAAAAAGTGCGTTTGGAATAAAAATTAGAAATTCTCTACAAAAGAAAAAAATTAAAACATTTTTAAATTTTTAAGAATGTATTTTTGAATTTGAATAAATTTTAAACTAATTAAAACATATAAAAGCAAAAAATATTAAATTCCTAATAACTTAAATGATCAAATAAGTAATCTTAATTTCAATTTTTATTTTTTATTACAAAAAACAATCAAATCAATCCAATTAATTTCTTTTATTCTCAGTTACTATAAATTTTATAGATTTTTTGCATTTAAATTCAGTAACATAATAGTTGCGAGATTAGAAGTTTATTATTATTTTTAATGAATACAAAGTTATTTATTATATAAGCCAATTTAAAAACTCTTCCCTAAATAGATAATTAAAGCTTTTTTTCTTCTTATCATATAATCAATCATTCATAATTATTTGATAAATGATGGATACCTAAAATAAAAAGTATAAAACATTTATTTACAAATCTTATTTATTATCTCTAAAAAATTTATAGAAAAAAAATTAATTTAATTATTTGTTGTCAATTTGTACTGGAAAAAAGAAAATTTAAACAAATTAATTTACTCTTTTTTTATCTTTTCATAATTTAGAAAGTTAATTTTCTTTCTTTAAATTTCTATTGTAAAACATTAATTCAATTTTTTCCTCTGAAGGGATTTCAGTTTGCATATTATCATTAAGTGTATAATTATAGATTTTATATTGGCGCGAAGAGTTGCTTGGTATCTATTCTAATTGCTTGAATGTATACACTTCTTTTATTTCATCTTTTTATTCATAGGGAGATATAATATTCTGGGAAATACTTGGTTCAATCGTATTTTGGTATTCCTAAATACTTGAATGTATTTGCCTTGGACTCAAAGTGTTTTTTTACCCAGTAATTTACTCATTTTAATGTCTGTCTAAAAAATTTCTTTTTCGTTGCACCTTTTCCTATTAACTGTTAGCTTCTGTGAGTCTCATACTTTCTTTTAAAGACTATGACTACCCACTATTAAAATTCTATAATTCAAATATAGATAAGAGATTAGGATCTAGCATTTCAATTATCTTTTCATCTAACTAAGAATTTTTTTCCTTTTTTTTTATGTTTCTATAAGCTTCATAAGCCTCTTTTGCTTTTTAAAGTGGTGACCTGTTATCTTAATAGAGCAAATCTATTTCATTTCTTTTTGAGTCATCCTGTGTTTGCTAATTATCTGAAACTAAAACAGAATAGATTGTGGGTTTTGGTAGATAATCGAACAATTTTATTTAATCCTTATCTAGAAGTAATCTTTTTAGTTTCTCTACTTCAATAAGTCTCTTCAAAATTTACAAAATATCTAGATTATAGTAGAGTTTATTTATGCTATACTCAATTACTTCCTTCTTCTTTTTTAAATATCCAAAAGGATAAAATATTGATTTAACATACTCCCAAATACTCAATTTCATACTTTTTGTTTATTTTTCTAATAACTTATTGAAATGATTTTCTTTAAGCTTTTAACTTTACTCCTTCAGTTTTTTTAGCTTATTATGAATTTTATCTTTTTTTTGATCTATTTCAATTGCATTCGAATCATTCTTATCAAAATTTTCCTTTAACATTGAATTTATCATTAAATTCTATCCTTAGCAATTAGGCGATAACTGTATTTTATCTTCTTTAATAAGAGCAGCAAGTTAAGACAACTTTATATTTTCAACGCTTGAATTGTCTTTACTAGAGTTACTTTTGCTATAATTACGGTTGTTTATAGTTGAGCTTCTCTTTTTATAATCAACTTAAGATAATTTCTTTTCTTTTGTTGAGTTAAATTCTTTAATTTTATTATTATTACAGACCTAATTAATTACCTTTTCAATTTCTTCAACATTTTATTTTGATTAATTATTTTTATTATTAACACTATCAGACTCATCGTAATTAAATACAGAATTAACTAACTATTAATTTAACTATAATTAAGAAATTTTAGTACAAATCAAAAAGCCAATTGCTAGTAGACTCTAAGAAAATCCACCTATTTCTGAGATTATACTACTTATATCTTAGTACTTTCTACTGTAAGAGTTTTCTTTTTACTTTTCAAACTTAAATGTAAGAGTAAGAAAATATTATTGGAAATTAGGAGGATAAATCTAATTTAAATAATTTTTTATTAATAAAATTATTTTGATAAATCTTAAATTTAAAAAATTAGAATTATATTTAAAATAATTTAATTTTTTATCTATTTTTCTAAATAAATAATTACAAAATTTTCATAGAAACTAAAAGAAGGGAATTTCTTGGTATCTTAGTCAGAAATTATCCATCCAGAATCGCTATAAACATAATTATTTCTGATATAGACAATAATATCTTAAGGCATTTAGAGACTTGCTGGCCAAAACATATTTCTAGCGTAAATCTAAAAAGGATCTTAAAATTGTGTAGGATCTACATACGCATCAGACATGTAAAGAGCCATTCCTGATTTTAGTAAGTAATGATTTATTTCTTCTTATGATTTACAGTTAGTTTAGCATTATTAAAATATGAACTAAATTTATGAGAAAGTTGGAGAAGGGAAATCTCCTTGAATAGGTAATACTGCGTCAGGAGGAAGACAATACATGTTTGTATAGTTCACAGCTGTAAAATATTATAAATTTTTAGGATTTTAAAAGTTTTGAGAGGTACAGCGTTGCAGAGGTATGTCAGTGTATTTCCATGTTGTTTAATTTTTTTAGGATGAAGAATTGAAAGTAGTGAATTTCTACTAGAGCTAGGCCTTTACTGTGTAAACACTTTCATCAATATAGTAATTTTTAGTAGCTAGGTCTTCCATAGCGAAAGCCATAGGGAATGATTAACTAGTGGCTTGAAATAATGCTGGATCATTAACTTATCTTTCTGTAAAAATAACAGAAGGATTGCTTCTTTAGGAAGCACTTATTATAATTTAAATTAGACGGAATAAAATAAATCCTACTATTACTAATGTAAAAATAGATCCTACCTTAGATTAATATGTAGGCGCTCCATTAAACCTAAGATAGATCTAACTTCCGAACAAATCAATTTTTTGAAGCATTTTATTTGTTTATTTGTTTGTTTTTTCTATTTAATATGTAAATTAAGCAATACATAAAAAAAATATTAATCTAAAGTTTTAAATTAGTTTGTTTTAGTCTATAATATTATATTTATTACAAAAATAGTCAAATTTATGATAATATAGATGGCTAGAGAACTTTTTTATAAAATAGTAATATAAAAAAAATAAATTTTAAAATTCAGGATTCTTATTAAATTAAATCATAATAACCAAAAATAACTAAAAAATTTCTGTTAATTATTTTTACTAAAATAAAGTAATCTAATTCAAATAAATAAATGTTAATCCCAAAAAAGATTAACTATATATTTTAGTGATTATATAAAATTAAAATTGAAAATAATAATTTATTTTTAAATAAACATATAAAATTAATAGATATTACAAATAATTGTTTTGGGAATTTTTATCAGATTATATTTTTCCTTTTATTCTACTAATAATTTTATAAAAATAAGAAAAATTTGCTCTTGCGCTAATTTAACTCTCAAAAAGCTTGCAAAAATGTACAAAAAATTTCTTTTTAATACAAATTATTTTGTTAAAGAATCACCAAATTAATTAAAATATAACAATTTTATTAATTAATTTGATAAATGAAATTTATTCTTAACTAAATTAAATATACTAAAAGTATAAAAGGTTTAATTTCTTTAAATAAAAATAAAGGCACATAGATAGATTTCCATTCATCCATCATTATAAAGATGAAAGTTAGTTTTTATTGTAAATATATTAATTCTAAAACATAAACTTTATTTTTTCTTCATCAGCTACTCCTATTAATAAATTATTTGAAATACAGCTGCGTTAACTATTCTAGGAAGAATTTTATTCAATTTTTTAATTTGATGATTCATTTACTTCGTCTACTTCAAGATGCTGTTTTCTAGAATTCGCTAACATTTTTTGTCTTCTACTTTATAGTGATTAGTAAATGTTTTAACTAGAAACTGTATTTATTGTTTTTTAAGGAAATTTTAAGGTATCTTTATTAAGCATAGATTAATAATCTAATTTTAAATTTCCTTAGCTGCTCATTTATATTTAATCTTGCATTTTTTCTTCTTCAAAAAATTTAATTAAATTTGGATCAAGCATCTCTACTATTTTTTAATCAACATCTGAATAGTTTTACTTGCTAAGTATAACTTTATAGGCCTGATAAGCATCTTTCACCTTTTAAAACTCAGCTCTATTGTCTTGATAGAGTAAATTTATTTCTTAATTTTTTTAATCGTTTAAATCTTTTTTTACCTAAGCAACCAAATCAAAATGAATTTTTGGTTTTGGAAGATACTCAAAAAGCCTAAGTTAGTCCTAATCTAAAAGGAGTCTTTTTAATTTCTCAACTTCTATCAACTTTTTCAAAATATTAATAATATCTAGATGGTAGTAAAGCTTTTCAGTGCTGTACTAGATGATTTACTTCTTTTTCTTTGATTTTCCAAAAGGAAAGAAGATTGCTTTGATTTAATCCCAAATACTCAATTTCATACTTTTTGTGTGGATTTTGAATTGTTCATTAAATTTATTTTCAAATATTGCTTATTATTTTTCTAAAGATTCTTTGTCTGGCTCTTTGAAGTTATTCTGAAATTAAGTTTTATTACCATTATTTTCTTAAGTTTTTTGAATGATATTGGAATTAAAAACTTATTTCCTATCTTAATAAATATCTGATTTTTGTGAAAATATAGATTGAGGAGAGCTAGTTATAATTCCTTCTTCAGTGGGAGATTTATCATGAAACAAAAATTACTTTTAATTTTAATCTTCTTTTTTTAAAAAAAGATTCTTACTTTTTTGCTTCTCTCTCAATGATTAGTAAGTAGAAGGGCTTTTATCTAAATTTATTGCTGCTTAGGGTTTTCCAATGTTATTTAAATTTTATGAAACCTATTTAGGTAAATTAGATTATTGAAATTGAACTTCCTTTTCGCATACTTCTTCTTTTGAATCATAGTAATTAAACACAGAATTAATTATTTATTAATCAAATTAAACTTAAGAAAGCTTTCTACATAGCAAAAAACCTATTGCCAGCAAAGTCTATGAGAAACCTCCTATCTAAGAACTAATGTCAAAAATATTCTAATAGTTTCTTTGATATTCACTTTCTTTTTATTTCTCAAATTTAAATGTCATACTCAAAAAGTAATCTTAAAAGCTAGGAGGATACATCTAATTAAATATTTAATTAATTTAAAAATAAATTATAAATAGCTATCAATTTTGGTATTTTTGTAGTAAAGACTGGATATAATAGAAATATTTTAATGTTACAAAACTTTCGTAGTAGCTGTAAGAAGGAAACTTTTAAGTTTAGATATCAGATGTTACCCATCCGAAATCACTGTACACATAGTTATTTCTAATATATACAATCACATCTTATGGCATCAATAGGCTTGTAGGCCAATACATATCACGAGAATAAATCTTGAAAGGGAATTCTTTGACTTTAGGATCTACATAAGCATCTGAAAGCTACATACCAAAACCTGATTTCAGCAAATAGTATTATATTAAATCAGATGACTTACAATTTGTTTGGCATTATTTAACTTAAAATTGTATTTAGGAAAAAATAGGAGAAGAGAAATCTCCTTATATAGGAAGAATACTATCTGGAGAAAAGCAATACATATTTGTGTAGTTTAAAGATTTGTAGTAAGCGACATTTTCAGCATTATTAAAGTTTTCTAGTGAGCACCTTTATACAGGAATACTTGTTATATTCCATACTACTGTATTTTCTTAAGTTGTAGAATTATATATGATGTACTTTTACTGTAGTTAAGCATGTACAGTATAAATACTCTCATCAATGTAATAATTTCTAGTAATTGGATCCTCCATAGCAAAAGCAAGAGGAAAGGTTGTACTAGTAGCTTCGAAAAGCTCAGGATTGTCAACTTATCTCTCATTAAATATAATACTAGGATTATTTCTCATAGAAACACCTATTACAATAATTACCAAACGGAAAAGTATTATTCCTATAATAATAAGACTCAAGATAGATCCAAATTTAGTTTTATAAGACGAATCGCCTTAAAATTTCAGATGAATTTAACTACCAAACAAATCTAATTAATTTATTTTACTAAAAGCTTTTCGCATCTTTGTATTTTAAATGAGTTATTTAGTTAATTAGTTAGTTAGTTATTTAGCTAGTTAGTTAATTTACTTTTTTATTATTTTTTGTCTTTTTATGTTATTTTAAGATTATTTATTATTGGATAATTATGATTATTTTCAAAATTTTATAAAATGACTATATAAATTTGAATTAATAAAATAAAAATTTTCACTGAATATACTATATTAAAGCCGATAGACAGTGATATCTCTGAATTAATATTGATAAGTTAAAATCTAATCTGACTAATAAAAATCAAAGAATAAATTTTTATTATTTTCAAAAATAAAAGGTTAAACACTTATTATATTAATTAATTCATTGTTTTTTTAATAGCTTACAAATTTTAACTAAAAAGCTCTACAAATATTTAAAGTTAAAAATAATCAATACAAAATATTTTTATATAAACTTAAAATTATTTTAGGTTCTACAAGAGTTAGATCATTTCTTTTGTTTGGAGGAATTCATCACCTTTTATATTAAATTTGTATTTAATATTACATTTTAAAATAGAAGTAAAATTTTCAATATTAAAAAAATAAATTATTAATAAATGATTAAAAAAAAAAATAAATAAATAAATAGTTACTTTCTCAATCATAGAAAAACTCTTTGATTAATCTTTTGTTTTTGAAGTATTATTTGAGAAATTAAAATCATATTTTAATCCTTTTGTGTAAAAAAAGCTATCTAGCTCTTTTTTTTATTAACTGCCCTATATTTGTAATTATTTGTTTGATTTGCTACTCTCTTGTTATTGATTTTTATTTTAAAATTATCCTCTTTCAGAATTTTATTTTTTTTATGTTTAAACATTTTTCTAACTTTTCAAATCAGATGAGCGTATTTAGTTGTTACTAATTTCTGATTAATTTATTTGGCTCGCTGTTATATCATAAGATGTATCGTCTTCATCTCTCAATAAATCTCTAGTCCTATTTCCAACACCTCCATATTCTACTTTCTTAGTATAAGAATCCTCCTGTTTATTTGCTGAAGATTGTGGAGTGCTTCTTTCAATTTATTAGTTTCTATTTGTTGGAGAGGTTAACTTATTTTAAATTTATTGTTTTTTCTATTTCTCTTCCTCTTTTTTTTTCTATATCAAATCATTAATGTTAACTTTGGTATTATTGTATTTTTATAAAACCTTTTGAATTTCTTCTTCATCACTATCAGAATCATTATATTTTTTATCTTTTAAACTGGCTCTCTAATTAATATTTTGCTATATTATTTAATTGCTCAAATTTTTATTTGATTTATTTTCTTATATTTTATCCTCGCTGTTAAGTTAGTTAAGTAAATTTAAATTATTGGTGTTCCTAACATTTCTTTATTATTATTCGTTGCTAGCAGACCTACTTACAATCTCTCTGCTGAATGAATCTGTGTTATTTTCAGCTGTCATTATTCTTTAGTTAAGTCTCATAATATCTGAATCATCCCCTAAAGAAAATATTTAATTACCTTTATTATTAAATTAATTATGCCTATTGTGTTTATAATTTTCATCAATAGCTTCTTAATCTATTTAATCATGCTCTTATTAATTGCTGTAGTCCTCCTCTTTTCTGTAAAAGTTAAATTGATTCTTTTAATCTGAATCAAGTTCTTCATTAAAAGTGTCATTCATATTTACATTTTCAAATTTTTTACTATAGTTATTAACTCCTTTGTTTTAGTTTTTTTCACTGGTGTAAGGTGAAAATTTTTAATTTTAAGGAGGCAAAGATTTAAATTACTACTCTCCAACTCCTTTGTTATATTCTTTGAAAGAGTCATATTTTCTATTTAGTTTCTCTTCGAATCCGTTATTTGCTTCTTCTAGTTATTATTCTGTTTATTGAATAAATTTTTTTAAACGTTCTCTTCTCTATTCTAGGTGGTTAGCTAGATTTTCATCTACTTATTCAGTAGTTGGGCTTTGTATATTTCTTTATTGAATTTCTTCAAATCTATTCAAAGAATTGCTCTTTTGTAAGCGAGATTAAGGTTTTACATTGTGATCTTCATTTTATTCTTAATTTTAATTATTTAATTAAACATTCTCCACCTAGGATTAATATATATTATTTGGTTCCGTTTATAAGTTGTAATTGACATCAAAAATTCTTCTCTTAAATGAATCTGCATGAATAGGCTATTAATTATCTTTACTAAATAAATTCTATTTCACATTTTTTTAATCTAGTACATTCTAAATGCTTGCTAAATTCTACTTAGATGTTTTTGTTTCTGAATCATTACATTAATTATCTCTATCATTAGGATTATAAAATTTATTAGACCTTTCTTAGCTAGAATTGTATTCTCCAACAGAATTTTACCTCATTTATTGTTTGTGGCCAACTTGAGGAGAACTGAATTAGTTTATTCCACTGGGAGGTTTTTAGTTAAAAATATTCTTTCTTTTTGAAAGCAGTTCCTCAATAGACTCATTTAAGGAGTCAGTATTTTAACTCCTGTCATGTTCTTTTTTCTTTTTATTACTAAAATCTTATTGGGCATGATTACTTTCCTAAGAATTATCCCTAAAATTTTAAGTTTAAGAAGCTAATCTGTGAGGTTGATCTTCTTAATAATGTTCTTCCCTTTTCTAATAATTCTGCAACTATTACTATTCTTCTTCATCTATTAATTTTCTCTACTTTAATTTTTCACTAATCAAAGAATACTTTTCTGCCAAGTTGTTATTTCTTTCTTTTCCTTAATTTGCTTAAGAAATATTGCTACTACTATTTCTGCTATGCTTTACAGTAACTGCATGATGTTAATATTATTCATCATCTCCAACTACTTAATCAAACTACCTTTCATTCCTTCTTTCAAAAGCACTCTCTTCCTTTTTGGGACTTATTTTTAATGCATCATACATACTTCTAGGATCCATTTTCATAATTTTCTTTTCAATTGAGAATTATTGATCTTATAATTACTTTATGATCTATGTTTTACAGAAAGCAAATAAATAATTGAATACTTCTATATTTAATTTACATTTTATAACTTCTCAAATTAGCTTGACATTTAATTTGCAAGTTTTACTTCTATTTTATCTATAGATTGTGTCTTTTATTGATCATAAACCACTGTATGCTATTTGATATCACTTCTCTCATTTTTTTCTAATCTATTAAAATTGTGTTGAAAATAATAATATGACAAAAAAGAAAACTGAATTACTTTTCCACCTTTTCCATAATCAAATTGGAAATATATTTGAGATCTTAAATGTCTTTTTTCTACTTTTGTTATTCTCTATCATCTTATTTGGCATTTTATTCTGAAAACTCGAAATACTATAGTCTTTCTTCAATTTCTAGTAAAATAATTTAATTCTTGAATTACTTAACAAACAAATTACTTTATGCAAAATCATTGAAATTAGTCTTAGTCTTTGTACTTAGTAGTTCAAAATAGGCATTAAGCTCTGTTTTTTAAAGGTCAAATTATTCATTTATACTACTTCTAAACTCTTAAAAATGAGTATATAGCTACCTATCCTTTTACTAGCTTTCAATTTCTCCCTTTTTTAGGTATTTAATCAGCTTTTTATAAAAATAAGATGAAATTAAATTACTTTCATCCAGTACAATAGCTCATTCTTTAATGAAGATATTTTTTCTTCAAGTTTGTTTTCCATTTACTTGAGGTCTATTGCTATTTCTGATGAAAACTCTTCATAATTAGCTTAAATCTTTTTATCGAAATTGTCTACTAATTTCTCAAAATCTCTTTACTTTTAGTTGAATTTCTTATTTAAATTGCTTTCCTAATTTAACTTAACAAATGAGAACGTTCAAATATATATTTCAGTTAAATAATCATCAATTTACTAACTTGTCATCCACATCGAATTTAGAATCTAAAACTTTAAATTTCATGTCAATATCAAGATAAATCTTATCTTTGAATACTTTCAAATCTTCTTCCTTTTTAAATATTAATTTGAGAAATTGTCTAACTTTAATGTAATCTAACCTGGTTGTCTACACAGGTTTGCAAAAGTTTATTTATCTTTTAAAATTTGTCTGTTTTCTCCGAAATACGCTCCATTTAATTTTCTATTAATTCCAATCTTTCTTTTATTTAATCACTCTCAACTAAAGTATCAGTCAGCTTTTTTAGCTGATCCTCTAGAAATTGGATATAACTCTCTTTGTCGCCAGACGAAAATTTTTTCTTATTGTGTAAATTTTCATATGATTGCTATTTTTGAGTATTTATATCTCTGTTCATTAATAATGGATGGAAGAATCTATCTATCAATCAATCAAACTAATCTACCTACTTTTGTTGTAATTTTAAAATTTTTGATTTATTAAAAAAATATATTTGTTTTTAATTACAAAAATTTCGCAACTTTATTTAAAATTTACAATTCTTAATTTGAAAATATCTTATTCTTGCATTCATAGATTGAACAATCTCCTCAGATTTTATTTATATCTTTAACAATCATTCTTATTTAAAAATAAATAAATTATTCAATCTTTAAATCTTTATTTTATATTTATTAAAATCTTATTTTAAAATTAACCAGTTAACAAAAAAATATTTTGATGATAAGTTTAAGACATTTATTATTTTTTAAAAATAATTTAAGCTTAGAATAAATAATTAATAATTATAACCAAATAAATATTTATAAAATTAATAAGTTATTCTATTTAATTTTAGTTAAAAATTATCATAATTAATTTGCTATTCGGATGAATATATATTTGATGAGTATTTTAATACTTGATTTAAATTTACCAAAATTAATTTTTTAATTACAATATTTAAATTTTAATTTCATTTATGATAAAAATTTGAAAAAAATCTTAATATTTATTTATTCTAAGATTATATATATACCATTTTATAAATTTAAAGAAGATTTTTAATAATTTTTCTTTAAAAAAAATTTTCTTTAATTTTATTTTATTTTTTTATCTTTGAGTTATTATTTTTTGTTTTTTTCAACTATATTATTTAAATAAATAATTAATTAAAACTATTTTTATGTATAAATTCTTTGTTAATTAACAATTTAAGTTATTAAAACATATTAAAACGCCTTCTAAAATAAGCTTGCTTATTCATCTAAGATAAAATTTAAATTTGTAAAAATTTTATTATTTAAGGGAACTTATTTATTTATTTTTTGGATTAATTTTATTTAATCATGTTTTTATTTTTAAATAATAGATAAAAATTTTTTCAGTATTGATTGAATAAGACAACCTGAAATATTCATTAAATAAACATAATTAATATTTTATTTTAACTCTAATAATAAATATTAATAGCACTTTATATCAATTTCATAGGTAATTTAAAGAAAGCTCATATTTAACTACTCTTGAACACTTTTTAATTTTATTGAGGAAATTAAAAACTATCTGCTATTCGTAAAATGATAAGCTATTGATTAAATTAAATAATTAAATATTTCAACTTCAAGTTTAAAAAAATACTCTATAGCTAAAGATATAATATTAAGGCTACTAAATTTTTATAATAGACGACAGAATTAAAGTAGGGAATTGTAACTAATAGAATTGTTGCTTTTATATAAAATTCAGAAATAATTTCATTTTGAAAAAATAAATCTTACAATAATTTTATTTTCAATATTTTAAGATTAACAATTTGTTGTAGTCCATCTCCCAAGCAAACTAAACCTTCATCATCGATATTATTGCTTCTAATTTTAATAAAAATAAAATTTTTTTACAAAAAATAATATTATTATTTTTCTTTGAAATAAACAATACCCTAATTAAAGTAACAAATATTCTATATTTATGTTTTACTTCAATCCTTGAATAAAACCAGTAACACCTTCACTTCTAATTTCATTCATACTTTTTTATAATACAATTTTAATTAATTAAACAATTAAATTTATGTATAAATTATAATAAATGTATAAAATTTACGAAAAATCTAGTGTCAATTTATTTATGTGTTTGCATTCACCTAAAGCCAATCCTATAGAGCTTAATCCTTCATCTCCAATTTTATTATGGCTATAATTTTAAGATAATTTAAATGTTAAAATATTTTATATAAAAGAAATTTACCATAAAAACAAAGATAAATTTTATAAATGTTCTGCTTTTGCTATTCCTTTAATTAACTTTGCAACTCCTTCATTACTTATATTGTTATCTCTATTTTTAAATATAAATTCCTTTTAATAAATTTAATTTTATAAATCATTTTTACGATAGTTCAACTACTAATTTTTCTAGGTTTTAACATTACTTAAACCCCTAACCAAGGCCTTAAGCCCCTATGTCTCCAATATTATTATCTCTTTTTATAAAATTTATATGTGAACAATGTAAATTCTCAACTGAAAATAATAATTTATAAGATAAAAAAATAATTATTGTATTTTATAATAAAAAAATAAGAGAAAAAAAATAGAAAATGCATTTAATAAATAAAATAACTTACTAAAGATAAATAAAAAGATTTTTAAGATTTAGACTAGACTTAATTCCTTTTGCAAAATCAATCAATCCTGAATCTAAATTTCCATTTTTACTTTTAAACAAAAATAAAAACAAAATAGTATTAATAAAAAAATAAAACCTGAAATAAATCTCAAGATTTTTCAATTTATCTAAATTAGCTAACTCATTCCACAAATAAGAAATACCTTCAGATTCCATGAAATTGCTTCTATATTTATTTATTGAAGTGATTTTAAAAATTTTTAGTCTTTAAATAAAACTAAACAAAAAAAATTAAACCTTAAATCTATTAATAAATTATTCAAATTTTTGCACGAACCAATTCCTTTAGATAGGTCATCTATTCCTTTTTGAGTTATTTGGTTTTTTCTATTATTTAAAAACATAATCAATAAAAACAAACAACAATTATAAAATTATTTAATTTAAAAGAGAGTATTTAAAAATGAATAATTAGAATTTACTATAAATAAAGCTATAAAACTTCTAAATTTTCACATTGTGTCAAATATTTTCCCAAATCAGAAGAACCTTCATCACCAATCCATCTATTAAATTTTCAAGCAAAATTTTAAATTCAATACTTTGAATAGAATACATTTTTTACATAAAATCTAAAAGGAGACCTTTTTAGGAAGAGAACTGAGAGTTTGAAAACTTTGGTAATTTAAAAAGAAAGTTAATAGTTAACTCTTATTAAATAATTATTTACAGCTTCTATGCACTTATACTTTTGGATTTAAATCATAGCTATTTTATTTTTTTGAAAATACAGAATTAGCTGATATTTTTTAATTTTATTTCCCTTTTTTATGAAGTTTATTTAAGGTGAGGGTAAAAATATCCTAATTTTTACAATTTTTTGGGTAAATATTGAATAATTTTCTAAAAAAAATTAGGAAATTATTTGTTTTTTAATTTTTACTTTCCTTTAACATTATTAAACAAAAGTATTAATACAATATTACAACTATTATTAAATAAATATAAAGACTTGAATTTAAATGCTCAAATTTAAATATCAATAAATAAAACAAGGTTTTTAAATAAAAAATTAATATAAAATTATTTTTTTAATTAATCTAGTTAATATCTATATTAGGAATTAAACTCTTGCTCTTAGGCACCAGATGAATTTAAAACCTCAAAGTGTTATTTTTGTTTTTTATTTGGAATTTTAATTATAATATATAGAAATGTTTAATACCTCAAAATTTTAAAATTGATTTTATATCTTAAAAATCTATCAGAATAGTTTAGTAAATTTTCTATTAAAAGCATGAAACTAAAAATCAAAAATAATAAATTTACAAACATGCATATATACATAAATACACATGCATACTACTTTTTATAAATAAAAACAGCTTTTTTGAATTATAAAATATAGGTGTTGTGTTTATTAACTGTTTTAATTTAAACTCAAAAGAAAGAGAATCATTTCAGATTAAATATTATTTATTTTCAATTATTATTGATTGTAATAATTATTTGTAAATTTATAGATAGATTTTGCAAATAAAAGTTTTGAAAAAGTTTGTGCTAATAGATAAATAAAGAGTGGATATACTGATAAAAAATAAAAAATAATTATTTTATTTGTTTTTATTAATTACAATAAAATACATACATAAATAGGTAATAAACTATCCACTATATTTATAAAAAAAGAGTTAGAGTAGATAAAGTAGGAGAAATTTAATATGAGCTATTATACTCCATTTTCTAATAACTATAACGTTTAGAATATATACGAGTCAATATAGAATTCTACTGTATTCAGCCCATAAAAAAGCTATGCAGCCCCAATTTCTAGCTAATATCGTCAAAACTAGTATTCGAATTAAATAGATTACACAAACAAAGGTGCTGCCTATTTTAATGGAACAAATTCTCGTCTTTAATCATCATGTAAATTATGGATCATCCTAATTATTAAATTCTTTGTCATCTTCAGAATTAACTATGTTTTATTATTAATTTAGTTGTTCCTGTTAGTTCAATGCAAGACTCTAAATATTATTAATCATAGCCATAAGCAAGCGCTATAGGAGGTACTTATTCATAAAAAGCAGCATATAAAAGCTATGGAGATAGCAATAATAATTATTTGAATCCTCCTCCACTTAATAACTACAATAGCTCATACTAATATGGAGGTATTTAAAGACCACTTTCTACTTCTTAACTATCTCCTTAAATAGGTATAAGCAGATTTTAAGATTAAAAGTAATATGGATTTTCAGAAGACAAAAAGATAACTTAATATGTTGGGTCATATATACGTGATCCTACAAACGCATAAACAATCCCATATAGCAGATAGGGTGAAGCTAAAAAATTCGATAGTTTTAACATCAACGCATCTTCTTATCTTTATAACAATGGATTATAAAACTCTATGAACAGATTAGATACAATTTAAAGTAGAAGGGAAGATTAAATAAATGTATCATCATTTGCTAGGGCTGAGCCTAATACCGATTATCTCAGATAAAGTTTTGGTAAACCAAGCTAATATTAAAACGAATTTTCTTCTTCACCTGAATTTTCTAAAAATGGAGCTAAAAGTTAAGTTTTGATTTCATAATCTGGAAACGAAACCAGTAAAAGAGACTAAAATTTCTATTATGATAGCTACATTACAATAAATGGACTTGGAACCTATAAAAAATATCCTCTAAAAATGAGAAAAAATGCTTAAAATTAAGATGCTGACAGAAATTAGCCATATTCTTCTAATTAGGGAACTTTTGAAGGTGCAAATTTTGAAAAATCTTAGCAAATTCAGTAGTCTTATGGTGGCTAACAAAATGATAGTAAAGATGAATAAAAAATGACTTATTCATAATTTGCTGCTTAGTTAATAGAAATATCAAAAGCAGAAGCTGAGGTTGAAAATGCTAAAAATTAGCTAATTAATTAAGCAGATTATAACATTCCTTCTTTTTTCTAAATATTTGATAAGAATGCTGTTGGAAAATTGTCTTTATACGATTTTCAATAAGGATAAAAAGGGATTGGATTAAATCTATCTCAGTTATAGCTTTCCCTAATTTTCACAAGATACGTCCCATCTGCTTCTGGTTTATTAATGTAATCATAAACAATTACTTTTTAAAAAATCTAATTCAGTTTAGCCAAAAATAAATAGAGAGCTTTTTAAATAAAAAATCAATATTTCAAAAATTTATTTTTGCATAAGATATTTTCAGTTAAAAATAAGATCAAATGAACTTTATTTGATATATATTTTTATTGATGAACTACTTAATTGAATTAAAATTGTTTTAATTAATATTTAGATATGAGGATTTTGAATAAATGTGTCTGCCATAACTCAATAATGAAGTAGGAAAATATGTAACTTCTAGAAGAGTAGTAGAGGTAAATTAAACAGTTTTTAATCAATCTAATAAATGAAAATAAATTTATTAATAGAGAAATTGGAGTGAATAAACTGTTGATATTTTTAGAAGAATGCTTTAATTTATTTATGAAAGCGAAAATATGATTGACAAACTAAGGAAAAAGCTATTTCAAAGCTCTACTAGAGTAGATTAATTTTTTAGAGAACTCAACAGTGAAAGAAATGGTAGAATAACTATATCTGAGCTAGAAAGAGCTTTGTAAAGATTTAGCGACTCTCTATCAGCTTATTAAGTAGCTGTCCTCTTCTATAGAATGTGCTAAAATAAGGCAAACTATCTTACATACGACGCATTTGAGAGGTTCTGTTATGGAGGAGAAGTAGGAAGATCTGAGTTTTTAAATAGCCTGAGCAGAAGCAAAGTAACTGAAAACACCTATGGCGAATATAAATTTGAATATACACAATTTAAGCCCAGAAATAATTTCAGTAAAGTAATTGAAAAATTAATAGCAAATGCAAATCTGGAAGCCGACATTGAGTAAATTTAAAAATACCTCATCACAAAAAGAGATCTGAAGCTTCATAATTTATTTGGAATGTTCCGTCCTGAAAAAAATTATGTTGATGTTTACAGCTTCACTTAAACTCTGAAAAATCAATTTAATATTCCTCTTGTAGACCCTACAGATGTCGCACTACTCTTCAGAAAAATAAAGGATACAAACAAATAGTAATTTTAAATCTTAAATAAATTTATAAACAAATAATTACTTTCAATTTTTAATTTGAAATTTATAATTTTTTTATAATAAAAAGACCTGATTTAATAGATTTTTCTGAATTTTGTAATCTGATTATTCCTAAAGGTGAGTAACCTTCTAAGGAGATTTTTGATAAAGATAGAGCAGGTGACTTAGAATTTTACTCAGAAACATTTACATTTTTGCAAAAATTATTTAAATCTCACTTAAATAATGAGGTCATTTTTAATGAAGTTAGACTTGAAATATAAACAAAATCTATAAATTTAAATGATCTCTTTGACTTCTTAAGTTAAAATAAAAGCTACTTAGAAAGACAAGATTTCGACAGAACTTTAAAAGATAATGGATCTCCTCATAATACTCGCTATCATGATCTTATATTTTCCAGATTTGATCCTAGATATGAAGGCATAACTAACTTTACAATATTCTCTCAGACATTAAAAATCTGAATCTTATATACCAATTAGTTATTAAATAAAATGAATAAATATTTTAATACAAATTTATATAATTACTGTTCAAATAGATAATAGATTTTAATTGTTTGTATGCTTTATTATGTCATTCATTATCATATATAATATATATTATATTTGTTTATTTTATTAAAAAGTTAAAAAATATTTATAATAATTAAAAAAAACAACTAAAAAATTATAAGAAAACATAGATATTTTTTGATAGAGAATAAAACAAGTTAGTAGTATATATTATCAATGTTTTTACCATCGATTATTTATTTAAATTAAAATAAATTTATTTATTTAAAAATGCTTTATTATTTACCAACTCTATAACAATATTTAGTGCAATTATAATTTCATCATATTTTAAATTTAGCAAATCTATTTTCAATATCCTCTATTAATTATGATTTTAATTCATCAATATTCTACTATTTAGGTTTGCTTACAATGAAATCAAGTAATTATTTAACCTATAAGATATTTCTATCTTCGTCTCCAGTTCTTTTCATTATTAACAAAAGTGCTGCCCTTCCACTCATTTTTTAGGTTTAATGATTATATGATTTTTCACCTAATGCAACTTTAAATTAATCAAGTTTCTCCTCTAATTATTTTTTTGAAAAGGCTCCTTTATAAATCTCTTTATGAACAGATTCATAACTGAATTATAAATCATTTGGATTTTTTAAATACTTTTGTATGTCAACATCTTCTACTGTTGATCCTTGTGATTCTTGAGAGGAAATTGAGATAGACGACTTTTCAATAGATTTACCTGTTTAAATAACTTCCATGATTAATTAATAAAATTGAATTTTTATTTATATGATTTTAATTATCAAATTAGAAGATATCTAATTATTAGGTTTCTTAACCACTAACAATTCAAAAATAAAAGTATTTTTTTAAAATAAAAGTATTTTATTTTTTAATATTTGATTAAAATAGATAAATAAACAATTATTTTAAAAAACTACAAGAAATTCAAAATAAAAGTATTTTATGCTTTAATCTTTGATTAATAAATAATCAATTAACCTTAAAATAATTTATTTACTAATTTAAAAATGATATCTTTAATATAGTTTAAAATTTAAGATGAAAAAATATTTAATAGAATATAATCTAAATAAATAAATTTACACCATTCTTACCTCTTAGCTCTTAAAAAATATAATAAAAATAAATTAGAATTTTGTTAATTAATGGATAAGATAAAAACTTTTTTATGCATAAATCTTTTTAAAAATAAAAATATTTAATAGTAAATATCAAATTTAGAATTTTATGCTAATTATTTTTTAATTTAATATATAAAATATTCGCTCTTTCTCAATAATTTATTGTCAAGGTTTTTATTTAGACTAAGATGCCCAAAAACAGTAAGGTAGTTTTATATATTTTAAAAAGAAGTACTAAATAATGCATATTAAAATATATAATTTATTTTAAAAAGACTTATTGACTATATGTTAGATAAATAGATATGAAGATAAAAATATTGATTTTATTGACGAGATTTTTGAAGATAAATTAAATCTAATAAAAGGTTTATTTTTTATTAATTTATAATATCCATTTTATTTTATTTATTAGATTGTAAATTTTACTGGATTGTTAAGAATTAATTTATATTTTTTAATGATTATTTAATAGATTTCTTTCCATGCTAATTAAAACAAAATTAAATATATATAAGCAAATATAGTGTAAAATAGCCATAAATCAATAATTAAATAAATATTAGACGGATGCTTAATTTTGATGAATTAATTGGCTGACTTTATTTACAAATAATATTGTAAATAAATAAAATCTAACAAGATATACGCACAAATAAAATTAATAAAATATAACTATTATCATCATTTTAGCAAGCAAGTTTCTTATTAGGCTAAATAAATAAAAAGCAGGACACAGAAATGTTTGAAAAGAAGCGTCTATAGTTTTCTCCAGGCAACAACGTATAAATAAATTTTAATGGTTTTAATAAGTTATTTAGATACTTTAATTTACTAATTCTCATATATATCATATTACAAAATTGGGTTTATCTTAAGAAATAAAATAGCAAGTATACTCTAAAAATAATACTTTTTTATAATCAAATAGGACCATTTAGAGGATAATAATGAGTATACGAGATATAGCAAGTAGGAATTAAAGTAAGAACTTGATAATGTGTAGTAATTAACTTAAAAACATATGCTTGACTAATACACTCCTTAGTAAAAGGATCAACTAATCTTAAATTTAGCATCTAAGATAGATATAATGGCAAATGAGATATTCAATCTTTCTAATATAGCTGACACACTCATGTATGAACAGAAACTAGCAAAGGAAAAGTATGAGACCCTAAAGTCAAGATTCAACACTATAGCAATGACCCAATAAAAGGAAGATATAATCAATAATAACCCATATAAGTTTTAAGAGACAGGATAAAACGCTATGAGATATAATCAATACAGTAAAAAAGAAATGTACCAACTCCTTAAAAACGCAGACAATAAATCTTTAACATCTCCAAGAAGAGTTATTTAATCTATCGGCATACTTTACAAGGATAAATTATTATCTCAGTAAATGCTAAGAGATAGAATTAATGAATTAGAAAATGAAGTGGCAGCACTTCATCTAGAAAATAATGATCTAAAGTAAAGCATTGAAACTAATAACTTAATGACATTTGGCAATAAACCAACTGAAAATGAAGAAAAAGAAGACTCTTAGTAAGAAGGTTCAGGAAAAAAAGCTTTTAGTGACTATCATTCTATTGATACCATGGTTTAAAGATATCAAGGAATGTGATAAAAGTTATTTTAAGATTGGTTCATAAGCAATACATACATAATGAGGACTTCATAAAATAGATTATTTTTGATTTATCAATCTATAAATGGAAATTTGTTTGCAAACAGAAAGTAAATACAAGTTAATAAGTAAAAAATTAATAAAATAAATACATGAATTAAAATAATGTAAATAATTTTGAAATTGTTCTAAAATAAATGTTTTTTGTTTTGATAAATTTATTGCTTTTCATGTTTATAATTTTAAATAAATCTTCATTATTCTATTACAGTAAAGTATTATTATCAAGTAAAGGCTTTAAAAAAGCATTTGCTTTAGTAAATTAATATTTTCATTCCTAATAGTTTTCAATAAACCTTATCAAAGAAAGAAATAAATGAACTGATTTTTTAATGAAAAGACTTTAAAATTAATGATTAATCCAATTAAAAGTTATAAAATAAATAGAATAATATTTAAAATGTTAATTTTTTTAAATAATTTCATAAATACTTTTTCAAAATAACAATTTACACTTAAAAGGATCTTTAAAATAGTAAATTTATGATAAAGAATAAGTAAAAAATTGTAAAAACTTTAAAAAAGAAAACGATTTTTTATTATTTCAAAATTGATTTTACAAAAACAATGATCATAATGATAAATACAATAGGTATAATTCTCTCTGAGATAGATTTACAAGAGGAGTTTCGAAGAAAAGATATAAACATAATTAACAAAATATTTTATAAATAATTTATTTAATAATTATTTTTAGAATGAATAAAAATATAAAAATTTTATAAACTTCAATAAACTTTATTTTCTCTTTATTATTTTTGAATAATCATTTAAAACAATAGACATTTTATTATTATTTTATTCAATTATTTATTTTAAAAATTCATTTTTTTCTAATAATTTTTAATTTTTAACAATTTTTCTTTTAATTTATGATTTATCTATCAAGGTTTTATGATATGAAGTCATATATTTATCTGTTTTGTAATTACTTAATAAATTCAGATATTTATTTAAAAATTTATAATAAATCTAAAATTTTTGCTATGTTTAATAAATTTTATTTTAAATTTAAAATTAATCAATCTTTCAACTTTAGAAAAAAAAGTATTTATAATTATTTAATTCAGATTCTTAGTTTAATTACTTCTTTTATCATAAATATTTTAATTATTTTAACAAATTTTATTTTAAATATTTATCATTATTAATATTAAATATATTTTAACATATGTTTACTTATAAATTTCTAATTATTTATTATAATTTTAATTAATTATTTTCACAAATAAATTTTACTTTTATTTATTTAATTTAAATATCTTTAACAATAAATTTTGAAATGGTTAAAAATAATTTGGGAATAAATATAAAAAGAATATCATTAATATAATTTAAATAAAGTAAATTTGATGATAAAATATTGATTGATTGATGGATAAATTACATTTTGCTCAAAATATAATTGCTTAATGAAACAAAACAAAACAATTAAATTAAAAAATTAATTAATGGCATATACAATCTAAATGATACTAATTAAAACTGAGGTTATTTACTAATTAAAATTAAATAAAAAAAATTCATCAATTTTATTCAAATCACCTTGTAACTAAAAAATGCACGTTCACACTTTAAATTGGTAAATTTAAAAGAAAACACTAAAATATTATTAAAATATAAATGTAAGACCTTAAATTTATTCACTCCTTTATTTTAATCTTTGATTGATTAAATCGTAAAAGAAAAAAACTAAAATTCTTATATAAAATATAAATATGAGCTTTGAATTTATTTAGATGGATTTAAAATATAACGCTAGATCTATTTTTTTCAATTGCTCTGCAAAAAGCCATATTAACTAATGGATTGATTAAGGTATTTTATAAAGAACAACAAATAAAAAAGCAACAAATTTAAAATAATGAATTACGAAAGATATATAAAAGAAATATCCAAAGATAATTATTAATTGCTTAAGATATCAGTGTGTAATTTAGATACTTCTTTGTCACTAAATCTTTAATTAGTTTTTTAATTGCATTGTAAACAAAAATTTTTTAATTTATTGAATGCATTATTAGGGTTATTAAAAATCAAAATAAATAACTAAATTAATCAATCACCTCATACTATAACAAATGTACAATTTACAATGTACTTCTTGCTGATAAATAAAACTGATTATTATAAAGCTAAAATAATATAAAATTCGCATGAAATAATTTAATTTTAAGAATAATTTTTTACCTTTATGTATGCAAATACAAAATTTTAAAATTGTTATTTCTTTTATTTAATAGCAGAATTTGTTATTTGATAGATAATTTAGTCGATATTTTCAAAATTTAGATAGAAAGTCTATCTAAGAAATTCAATTATAAATAATAAAACTTATAAAAAATGTAATTAGCACAAATATAATGACAAAATTAAATGTTATTTTGCTTAAAATCAATGTTTTATTGATATAATAAAATAGAATTTTAATTTGCAATATTTATTTAATAAACAAATAAACAAACTTTTTATTGTTACTGTTTGTGAAATTTAGAAAAATTAAATGATAAAGCAAAACCAATTTAAAAATTGAATGTATTTTTTTCATATAAAATAAAAATAAAATTGTGATTTGATTGCTTAAGATCAATTTTATTTGCTGAGTTATTTTAAATTAATATTTTTTATAATAATGTTTATTATAAAAGTATTTGTAAAAATTGCACTGTGGTTTTTTTGTGTTTTTAATCAAACCCTTAAAATGTTTTATGAAATATTGTGGCTATGAATTTACATTAAAAAATGTTAATATAAAAGGAAGCCGAAGACAGAAATTTAAATATTTGTTAATTCTTCAATTAAGTAAATTTGATGTAAACCTATTTTGATATCTTAGAAAGTGATAAAATAATCTATATTTATATCGTATATATAGCAAAAAACTTGAATTTATTAACAAATAAATACTTGAATGAAAGTTGATTCTACTCTTATTTTAACGCTATTATAATTTTATAGCTTTCTCTATTACAAATAAAAATTTTAAATTATTTAATTCAAGCTATAAGCTTAGGTCTTCTAATGGAATAAATGGGAATTCTAAATTTGCGTGTGATTATACTATCAATGGGTTGTACTTAATATTATTCAAGACAGAAACTAAGACTTATTGCAATTTTTTTTTCGAGTTAAGTATTTGACGTCGATCATTGAAATTAATTCTATGCAAACCAAAGAAATGAAATCAATTAGAAAGTAATCAAGTAATATTAAAATGATGCTGATTGATCAAAAAGAAATTGATCTTGCAAATTATATTTAATTGATTAATAATGAGTTATTTTGGATTACGTCAAGAATTAAAAAAATCCGAAAGTCATTTTCATTCTAAAATATTGTAAGTAGAATGAACTATATAAGATTAATATTTTGTAATCATGGTCATATCATTTTGTGGTTATAATTAATTTCTTTTTACAAGGGTTGTTATTCTGTCTGCAAATTTTAGTAATCTAAGATATTAATGGTCGATCAAACATTACTCGTAGCACAGATATAAAATTTATCTTTTATAAAATATGTATGAAATAGAAACTGTGAATATACTAAATAAGGGAGTTAGTGTTTGAAAATTTAATTTTAAAGAAATTAAGGAAAAACTAAGAAAAAAGAATAATATACTAGATTGCGCAATTTATGCTCAATGTATAAATGACGATCTATTGATTTGACCAGCTTATTCTTAGCATTAGTACTTTAAATTAAATTACAGCTAATTTAAATAATCTTAAATTTTTGGTATTAATTAATAAAAAATTAAAACAAAGGTACATAAATACACACAAAATAATCAATCAATCAATAATAAAAGCAAAACAAAAGCAACAAAAAATGTCTCAAGCCAACGAACGTATTGAAACTTTAACTAAGCAAGTCAAAGAATCAACACTTATTGCCGATGGTAAGCAATACCTTTCCATTAAATTTTTGATACTTTTTCTAGATAGCATAATTTTCTTATTTTTGTATTTTCTGAGATATCTTTATGTTTATTTTTAAAGGTTTATAAGCTTTAACTCATTCATTCATTCATACATACATATAAACAAGCATACCAATTACATAATATATTAAATAAGTTTATTATTTTATATTAACCTTTACCTATAAATGAATAGAATTAAATCCTAAAAAGTCTTTAGAATTCTATAGATAAAAATCCACTATTTGCCCCAAATAAGTAGAAAATACAATCTATGGATATAATAGTCATTACATGAAGCGTGTCTATGAAGTCATTAAAAATAGTCCTTAGATTTTCAGACATCCTCATTTGGAAGAGTGGAGTAGAGAAGTTTACAGATATATGTCTTTCCGTTAATTAGTTCAATTCGATAAGGAAAAAAATATGAGCTATGAAGACTACAAGAAAGATCCTCATATTGCCACTATTATGGGAACTGCTTTATACTAATGGAATGCCTCTCACTGCATTAAGCACGGTGTACACTTCTATCTTTATGCCAAAACTATTATAAACCTAGGAACCTAAAAGCACGAAAAATATGTCCAAAGATCAATAGATTTAAGTGATGTAGGTTCATTCTCATTGACAGAATTAGGTCATGGTTCTAATGTCCGTTCTATTTTAACTACTGCCACTTATGATACTGCCACAAATGAATTTATCATCAATACTCCTAATGATTTAGCTCTTAAATGGTGGATTGGTGCTACTGCTTAACTCGCTAACCAAACTGTTGTTTGGGCCTAATTACTCCTTAATGGTGAAAATCATGGTGTCCATGCCTTCCTCGTACCCATCAGATCACTTGTAATATTTTAATTTCTTTCATAGTTCCAAAAATCCATTTCAAAAAAGTTTGTAGAACTAAAGTTAATTAATAATGACAACTTAAGAAAATAAAAATATCTAAGTAAATAAATATATATTTTAATAATTTTAGGAAGATCATCAACCAATGCCTGGTGTTGTTATTGGAGACTGTGGTTCTAAGGTTGGTTTAGATGGTATCGATAATGGTTTCTTATAATTCACTAACTACAGAGTTCCTTATGACTCCTTACTTGACAAGTTCTCTTAAATTGAAGATGGAAAGTAAGAATTTATAAGTTTATTTAGTTTAGTTAATTTATAGTAAATACATCCTTGAAGTGGATTGTGCAAGATAGATCAAATTAAGAATAGCTCATATTTTGAATATTAATAATATTTAATAAAACAAACTCCATAATTTATTTTAAAGCTGATCAAAAAAAGCCAAATTATTTGAATTTAACGAAAAAGATATTTTGTAAAGCGAATCATTAAATAATCAATTTTTTCTAAATTGACGCTTTTTCGAAAAGATATTTCTATCCATTTATTCTATTTATAAAAGATAAACAGAATTATAAATTAAATAATACATAAAAATAAAAGAATTTCATAATTACTTTCTTCTTTATTCCAATTACACATGTTATTTACAAAATTATTTAATAATTAATTAGATTCAAGACTTCAATTCCTAGTGCTGACAGACGTTTTGGTTTACAACTTGGATCTTTATCTGGTGGTAGAATTGTAATTAGTATGCATGCTGGCTCTAATGCTATGATGGCCTTGACTATTGCTACTAGATATGCTTGTATTCGTAAGTAATTCGGTCTTCCTGGTCAACCTGAAAATTCCATTATTGAATATCCTTTGGTTTAATATAGACTTATGAGCTCTCTTGCCAAATATGCTGTCTAACAAGTTGCTGCTTTAAACCTCAACTAATTATGGGATCACAACTAAGAAAATGTCTTAGACTTAAAGAATAACTTAATCAATTAACTCCATGCACAATCATCAGTCATGAAGGCTATTTGCTCATGGTAAGCTAAGGATATAATTTAAATCTCAAGAGAAATACTTGGTGGACATGGTTACTCTTCTTATAATAGAATTGGTATGCTCTACAGAGACAATGGTAATTTTTAAATAATTTATCTATGAAAAAAAATTAAAATAATTTTTGAAATATTAAAATAAATTCTTGTTGTTTTTTTTTAAATTAAATTTTATTTAAAAATAAATTTATTTAGATATTAACATTACTTGGGAAGGAGATAACAATGTTTTACTCTAATAAACTTCTAAATTCCTTTTAGACGCAGCAAGAACTTTGATGAAAGGCAAAGAAATTAAATATCCAACAATTAAATTCTTAACAGTAGAGCCCGTTGAAGGTTAAAAATGGGATGCCAAGGAAGTTGCTTAATTTAGAAACCCAGAAAATATTTTAAGAGCTATGGAATGGCGTGTTAACTTATTGCTTTAGAGATCTGGCTTGAAATTACAAGAAAACCTTGGAAGCCATCCTGATCCTTTCGCTGCATGGAATGGAACATAAGTTTTCTACTTAAATAGCTTAGCCCTCGCTTATGGTGAAGTCTATCAAGCTCAAGAATTTATTTCAGCCCTTAACAAAATTCATCACGAACAAACAAAGGTAAATATTTATAATTTATATCAATAATTAAAATTAAATCTAAATTAACTAATTATAGGAATTCATGTTGAATTTGTTCGAATTATGGGGATTGAATATTATTATCAATGATTTGGGTACTTTCAGAGAAGGAGATTTTGTTGAATCAGACACTGCTAAGTAAATGAAGGACAGAGTTGTTGAACTTATCAAGTAATAATTTTAATTTTTTTCTTTTGAAAGGAATTTAATTTATTTTAATTTTAATTAATAGAGCCTTAAAGGATGAAGCTATTGGTTTCTTAGATGTTGTTTGCCCTCCTGATCATATCTTAGGTTCTCCCTTTGGTGCTAAAGACGGTGATATCTACAATAAATATCTCACCTACGTTAGAGGTGCTAAAAATTCTTACAGTAGAGTTGACTGGTGGAATGAAATTCATCCTAAGAAATAGTGAAAAAATAAAAAATTAACTTATTTAAAATAAAATCTAAAAAATTAAAAAATAAATTATTACAAATCAAGATAATTAATAAAAAATAAATACACTAAAATACAATTTAACTTTATTATTATTTTTATACATCTACACTCATGTAACTAAATTTTAGCTCTTCATTTATTCATTAATTCAGTCAATCAGTCATTCATCGATTCTTTAATTTCATTTAGAATAAATATTCTTAAATCTGTTTTTTTCTATTTATTCAACAACAAAATGATTTAATTCATTAAATTAATCTGGAATATTTGTTAAAAACAAATATATTTTTTAATTTTAATTTCTTTTGTGACAAAATAAAATAAGAAAGATGTTTTTGCTTTCTTTTTTTCTTAATTAATTTTATTTTTCTGGTAAATAACAGCTCTTAATAAAATTTACTTACTTATTTTAAGATTAAATTAAATAAGGCTATTGATCAGATTTTTTCATGTGAAATAAATAAATTGATTACCGCAGATTGCTGCTTTATAGATAGAATTTATTTATCTTACGACTAATACATACATATTAGCTATTGATCTATTCTTTAAACTTTGAACTAATTATACATTTTTTTCGTTTTTGTTATTTAATAAAAACTTATTAAAGTAGTCCAATTATTTAAGATAAGTAATTAGTATTAATGCAAAAATATTCAGAAGATTTTGAAGACATCTTAGTTAAATAAGAGTATATACTTTCATTTGTAGGAATCAAAAATAAAAATAGACTTTAATTTCACCAATAAATTTTATTAGCTCCTATTAAATATGAGATCATCAAAATTTATTTATTTATTTTATAAAATCGTCAATCATCTATTCTTATTACACTACTAATCAATTTATTTATAAATATGTCAATAAATCAATATTGAATTTGTGTGAAGAATACATTAATTATTTCTACTAAATTAATTAATTAATTTTTTAACAATTAATTGACTAATTAATTAATTATTTGTATAAAAGCCAAGCAAAAGGTTTTGATTAATATTTTTTATTATCTTAAAATTCTACTAATATATAAATAAAACAAAAATAGACAACATTCATTAAAATATATTGCATAAAGCAAGAAGGTGCAGATAATCCTATTAGTTAGCTCAAAGTCATCTTATAAATTAGCAATACAACATATAGCTTAAACTTAAAGAATATAGTTATAATCATTTGAAGACATTCCATCCAGTTTATATTAATAAGAAAATATGAATTGCCTTAGGAATCTATAAAACAGCAATCCTGCTAATAGAAAAGAAAGTCTTGACTACAGTCCTATAAATGAAAAAAAATCTAACTCTTAAAATGTAGAGAGCTAAAAATACCTTTCTCCCTAACAGCTAGGGTAAAGCTATTCTACTTAGCCCAGTTTTAGAAGTCCTATGAGCGGTGAGAACAGCAGTTGCTGCTAAAACTAATAATAAATCAGTTTTGTATAGCAAGCACATCCGTCTCTTCCTTGTTTTGAAGAAGAATTTGAATATTCGCCTGCTGAGGGTATTTGTACTCCCTAAAATGGAAATAATAAAGATAGCACTACTAAATAATTATGCGAATAAGCATCTTCCTTTTCTTAGAAATCAGAATACTCCATACAGCTCTTCAACTAGTAAACATTATTTAACTTTTTACAAAAAATGAGATTTTAATTCAGCATCTTAATGCTAAAATCCTCACATAATTCTAAAGCTTATGAACGATATTTCTATTTAAAAAATGAATTAAAGTTATAATCTTTAATGATATTAAAAAATTTTTCTCTTTTAAATCTTAATGATTCAATGAATAAATATGTGAGTTGTATGAGTATTTTATTTAATATGAAAATATTTAATATTAGGTTGAGTGAATAATTCAGTAATATAAGCTTAGAAGATCAAACAATAGGAAGTCCCTTGTAAAACAACAGCTCATACTTTTAAGAAAAATCTCAGAATAGTGAATAGAATTTTTACAATATGAGTGACACATTTTTAAATAGTACACAGAATAGCAAGACTCCTTATGGAATTAGAAATTAATATATAGAAAACCCAGATATTGAGTTCTTTTTGAAGAAAGGAATTATGAGTGCTCGCTATACTAATTCTAATGCTTTTGTCAAAAGAAACGACCAATAATCTACACCTAAAGATCAGGATGGAATGGAAGAGAGTTTTGATGAGATTATTACTAAGTTTGATGAAGCATTGGAAGTTTCAGATTTTACTCAGAAGGTAAAATAAGATGATTTGGTGATGCAAATTCCTTTGTAAACTCCTAAAAGTCAAAGAAAATTAAAGGAAGATGACTGGAAAGAAAATTTTAGTTCTCCTGAGAGATTGAGTCTTTAGACAAGCTTATTTAGTAAAAATAAAACATAATTTGATAATTAACTTTGCACTCTATCAAATAATAATTAAGCCATTCCTAGCATTTGGAAAAGCTCTAAGTAGAAATTCAATAAAAAAAAATCTGATCGTTTTATTCCTAATCGTAAAACATCAAAGTTATCTATTGCACTCACATCTGCGCATGAAATTAAAGATGAAAATGAAAACAAGAATTTCTTTAAAGGCGAATTTTACGATAAGTAATCTTAAGTTTCTATTGAAGAACTCTATAAATCTCACATTTTGGGAATATCAAACAATAATTAAAAAACTCCCTTCGGTATTTCGTCTTCTTAATTTTCACAATATTTTGCAAACCATGGAAGTGCCATGATTCCACCAAGATATGTAAACAATTCTTCCTAAGAAGTAGAGCGCTCAAATAATACTCCCCACTTACCAATTTACTTAAACCAAGACGAAAATGAAGTGTCTCAAACAATTCAGAGCTTCTCTAATTAAAATATTTTAAGATTTAAGGATTCTCCTTAGAAGAACAAATAAGATATTGGAAAGTTCCTACCTGAATATTCTAACAAGTATAGCTTAATTGATAATTAAAACTCTTGCATATTTGATTTTAAGAGAAAAGAAACTCGTAAAATAAACAAAATTCCTTTTAAAGTTTTGGATGCACCATCACTATAAGACGACTTTTATCTAAACCTAGTAGATTGGTCTAGCACTAACATTTTAGCTGTTGCTTTAGGTTCTTGCGTTTATCTGTGGAAGGCAGACAACAACAAGGTTATTAAATTTTGTGATTTAGGTTCTACAACTGTCACTAGTGTTGCATGGCATCCAAAAGGCCATCAACTTTCTCTTGGCACATCTGCTGGATAGGTCTAAGTCTGGGATGCGAACAGCTTAAAAATGTTAAGATCCTACAATGATCATATTGTTAGAGTTGGTTCTCTTTCATGGTCAACGTCTCTTTTAGCATGTGGTTCAAGAGATAAAACAATATCTCTTAGAGACTAAAGAGATGATAATTCAATAGTAAGAACATTTAAAGAACATAAATAAGAAGTCTGTGGACTGAAATGGAGTTTCGACGAGCAATACCTAGCTTCTGGTGGAAATGATAATAAATTATTTGTTTGGAATAATCACTCTACTATTCCCATTTGTAAATTTACTTAGCACACAGCTGCAGTGAAGGCAATAGCATGGTCTCCACACTAGCATGGTAATTATATATTTTTTTTTTTGAGTTTTAATTGATAAAAAACAATATAAATTTTAGGTTTACTTGCTTCTGGTGGTGGTACTCAAGATAGATGCATAAGATTCTGGAATACATAAACAAGCACAATGCTCGATTATATAGACACTTAATCATAAGTTTGTAATTTAATGTTTGGCAAAACAGAAAATGAAATTGTGAGCACCCATGGATATTCGCTTAACTAAATAGTTGTTTGGAAATATCCTTCCTTACAAAAAATTGCAGAGCTTACTGGACACACATCTAGAGTACTTTTCTTGGCAATGAGTCCCGATGGCTAAACAATAGTGACAGGAGCTGGAGATGAAACTCTGAGATTTTGGAAGGTTTTCCCTTCAGTAAATGATGGTTACAAACCCCCAAGTGTATTAGTAAATGATATTAGAGATCTAAGATGAATTATAATTCAATCTTTATAAAAAAATGAAAATTTTTTATTTCAAAATAACTTTTTAAATAAAAGGAATAAATAAATAACAACAATATTCTCCTTCTTTTCCTTTTACAGCTTATTCAAATTTAAAAATATAAAATGAACATCACTTATGTTTAAATAAAACTACTAAAAAGTAAACAAAAAAATAAATATTTAAACAAATATAAATAAATAAATAAACTAATAACTATCTAATCAATCAACTAAATTCTTCATAATATAAAATTATAAGCAAATATGACTAATATTAGTTCTAAATATATATAATATACTATCTTATATAATATAAACTATACATCAATTTATAAAAAAAATAAATAAATTATTATAAATCAATACTCTTTCTTATACATTTTTATTCTTTCTAGATTTATAAATTTCTTATTAATTGAAAATCATACTTTGTAAATTTTTTTTTATACTGAGTTTATAAATTTGTTTAATCTTTTTATTTTCAAAAATTTTTAAAAAAATTTTGAATATTTTCTTTTTTTTATAAATAATTTAATTGAAATTTTTTGATATGCATGAAAATGATGTTTTTTTGAGTTACTCTAGCTATAAATAAAAAATATACCAAACAAATAATTTTTTGCTAATACTAATACTAAGTTTATATTATTTTAGATGTTTGATCAAATTTTTTGTAAAAACTTAGCTTATTTATATATATCAAGGATGAGGAGATCTTACACAGTAATAGGCAGTAGAAAATACGTCTTTAGAACATTAGAGCCCTGGACAGATCATTCTTAAAGCATAAATTATTTTCTGAGGTACAAGTATCGCTTTCTAAATACCTTTCAGGACTATAAAAAAGCAAATATATTACTAAAATTAAAGCTCCAAACAAAAGCAATGCTAAACTTACTATTTTTTGAATATCCATTTTTAAGTTGAATTCTTATTTATTTATTGATTTACTTATTTTTTTATAATTTATGTTTATAAAAGATAGAAACATCGAATTCCAACTTGAATATAAATATTTTGATAAAATAAAAAAATTTTTTAAAGTTATTTTGAAAATTTTGTCATATTAAAAATAATGAATGTATATCTGATGGTGAAAAATAATTTAATTAATTAAAAAAGAATTTAATTGTAACAAAGGAAATTAATTATTATAAATTATAATAAATCACTGAGATAAAATATCCTTATGTATTTACTTTTAGCTTTGAATATTTTTTTATTTTTATTTGAATTATAATTTTTTTAAAATTTATTTTAAAAAAATAATATTTATTAATTAAAGAAATAAATTATAATTTAAAATCATAAATTTTTCCCTTTAAATACAGTATAAATGTTAATGAATTTTCGATTTAAAATGAATATTTTAGCACTATTTGTATTGTTTGAAAGTAGTAAATAAACTTTTGCAAAAATTTACTTAAAGAAAGTAAAAAAATTCTTAAGCTTTAAAAAAATAAATTTGTAAGTAAAATCTGTTATTGTAAAATTATTTGAAGTTTACAATTTTAAACATCAAAATATAATGGCAAACAAAGAAAGCAGAAAAATATAATTTAAAAGTATTTATTTATTTATGTGCAATATTTTTAATTGTGTTTGTAAATCAATCTATACTTTTTAGAGATTAGATTTTTTTTATTTTTAGATAATACATATCTCCAAATACACTGTTGCTTGTTAGATCTTAAGGATAGCATTCTTCTACTTTTTATTGAAGGAAGGTATCAGGACATAATGAAGATGTTAACATTAATTCTTAGAGGTTATTTGAAATATTTGCGTTTAGTAACAGAACATCATTTTATACTTGAGAAATATCTGTTTTGTTTAGTGATCTTAATTTTTATTCATTTTTCAACTGAACTAAATATTTATTTTTAATAAGTTTAGATTTACTAACAGATTTAGACAAATAGATAGTACCTCCAAAATACATCATCAAATTAATTGTTATTATGTCTTCATTAAGATAATCAAGTCCAAATATATTTTCAAATTCATACTTCTTTTAAGTTTCGCAAGAATATAAAAAACATTTGAGACCATCAATTATGTTTTAAAATCCATATTCAAACTATCCTTATCTAAAATATATACTTTCTTCTATTGATTATTTCAAAAAATTTTTAGCATTTTTAGATACATCCTTCTAGCAATCATAAAAAATACCTGCAATAAAATAATTTTTATTATTTAATCTTCCGTTAATCTCAACATTTTTTTCTTTTTAAAATTAGTTTAAATCAAAAAATATAAATTATTTTCTATTATCAGTCTTTTTCCTATACTAGTAAGCAAATTCATAATCAATTTCTCCTTTTTTTTCTTTAATAATCTCCAAAAATGTTTATTACAAAATATAGCAGCCCATATTTTTTTACTTTTTGATTAAGATTAATTTTACTTTTTAAAATATTAAACAATTAATTGACACTTTCGCTTTTTAATATGTACAAAACAGAAAATTTTGATGAGGCAAAAATTATATTAATAAGTATTAATTTTTTTCATCTTTTAAACAATAATTTCTTCACAAACAATAAATAGTTATGAATAGTATCAATTCTAAGATTTTAAAATTTTAGTAAAGTAAGGAAACAAACCATATTTTGAGAGGTTAATTATAATCAAATTTAATAAATTTTATTCTCCATCAATAATGTTTAACATGTATAGAGTTTATAAATTTACTTTTGCTGAAAATAAATAATTTCATACTATAGAAAATTATATTGATATTTTAAACATGATATATAGAAAAGAAAAATAATCAGAAAAGATTGAAAATTAATTCTTTTATATAAGAATATGCGTCTCTTTCAATTTATTAATTTTATAATTTATAATAAATAACCAAAAAAGTACTATTTCACAATAAATAAATGATAGATTACATATAAAATCATAATTAAGTTTATCTACCTGATTTAATCCTAATTTAATATCTAAATATCTAAATAACATGGAAATATGCATCTAGATTTCTTAAATTATTTAGACAATATTCTATTTAAACACTCTTAATTGAAAAGGTTTTATCATGAATGTACCTTCTTCTATTTAATAGAATCGTAATATTTTTTTTAATAAAGCGTATCTAAATATTTATAATTTTACATATTTCTTTTTAACAGTGATCTTATTATGACTGATAAACCTTGTCATGATTGCCTGTCCACTTCATTTGTTTTTCAGACCAGCTTTTTTTGCTCTAGTTAGCTGTATAAGTGAGCTCTTCTAAACTTAAAATTCTAAGAGATACTAAATTAAGCAGAAGATATATCATTTAGATTTTAAAACTTCAGTGAATAGTAATTTTTATATGCTATCAAGTATACTCTCAGATAAATATTTTGTCTTCTTCCTAATTTTCACAATACTTTGCATGGAAGTACCTTGATTATACCAAGATATGCAAACAACTCTTCCTAAGAAATAGAGCTCTCAAACAATACTCCTCACCTACCAATTTACTTAAATCAAGACGAAAATGAAGTGTCTAAAACAATTCAGAGCTTCTCTAATTAAAATATTTTAAGGTTTAAGGATTTTCCTTAAAAGAACAAATAAGATATTGGAAATTTCCTGACTGAGTATTCTAACAAATGTAAATTAGCTTAGCAGTCATAAGTTTGTAATTTAATGTTTGGCAAAACTGAAAATGAGGAAATAACCTTCCTTAAAAAAAATTGCAGAGCTTACTGGAAACACATCAAGAGTACTCTTCTACAATAGTAACAGGAGCTGTAGATGAAACTCTGAAATTTTGGAAGGTTTTCCCTTCAGTAAATTATGGTTACAAAACCCCAAGTTTATTAGTAAATGATATTAGAGACCTAAAATGATTTATAAAATAAATAAATAAATTATTAAAGATTAATACTATTTATAACACATTTTTATTTTTTATAGATTAAAAAAATTCCTATTAATTGAAAATAATTTGTTGTAATTTTCTTTTTCTACTGAGTTTATAAATTATTTAATATTTTTATTTTCAACAGTTTTTATAAAATTCTGTTAAGTTTATTTGATAAATAATTTTATTGAAATTTTTTTATATCCATAAAAATGATGTTTTTTTTAAGTTACTGTATCTTTTAATAAAAAATATATCAAACAACAAATTTTTGCTAAAACTAATATGAAATTTCTATTATTTTAGATTTTTGATCAACTTTATAGTAAAAACTTAGCATTGAATTATAATTATTAGCTTATTTATATAGATCAAGGATGAGGAGATCTCACACAGTAATAGGCAGTAGAAAATAAGTCTTTAGAACATTAGAGCCCTTGACAACAATCATTCTTAAAGCATAAATTATTTTCTGAGGTACAAGTATCGCTTTCTAAATACCTTTCAGAACTATTAAAAAGAAAATAGGTTGCTAACATTAAAGCTCCAAGCATAAGCAATGCTAAACTTACTATTTTTTGAATATTCATTTTCAAGTTGAATTCTTATTTATTTATTAATTTTTTTTCAATTAATGTTTATAAATGATAGGAGCATCGAATTTATTTCAATTAGAATATAAATATTTTGATACAATAAAAAATTTTTTATAATTTTAATTTATTTTTAAAATTTGTGTTATATTTAATATGATGAATCTTTTTTTTATGGTAAAAAATAATTCAATTAATTAAAAAAGAATTTAATTGTAACAAAGGAAATTAATTTTTTATAGATTATAATCAATCATTCAGATAAAATATTCTGATGTATTTACTTTTAGCTTTAAATGTTTTTTTATTTATTTGAATTGTAAATTTTTTAATATTTATTAGTTAAAGAAATAAATTATAATTTAAAATCATAAATTTTTCCTTTTAAAGACAAAAATTATATTTTTCATCTCATAAATGTCAATGAATTTTCTATTTAGAATGAATATTTTAGCAGTATTTGTATTTTTTGAAGGTAGTAAATAAACTTTTGCTAAAATTTACTTAAAGAAAGTAGTAAGATTTAAATATATAATAAAAAATTAGATCAAATATTGTCTAAAATAAATTTAATAATAAATAATTAGGGTTCTTCATTTTTATTTTAAAATAGAATTCCAATATTTTTTGTTAATTTTTTTTTTTTAAAAACTAAAAAAAATATTTTTAAAATAAAATAGTAATTAAACATTTATATTTAATTCTCAACTAATTTTCTTTTTTTACTATCAAAATTGCTAATGCTTTAAAAATAAATTTGTAAGTAAAATCTATTATAGTAAAATTATTTGAAGTTTAATCTAATCACAATTTTAAACATCAAAATATTAAGGTAAACAAATAAATCAGAAAAATATAATTTAAAAGTATTTATTTATTTATGTGCAATATTTTAAATTGTGTTTGTAAATCAATCTATACTTTTTAGAGATTAGATATTTTTTATTTTTAGATTATACAGATCTCCAAATACACTGTTACTTCTTAGATCTTAAGCTTTTACTTTTTATTGAAGGAAGGTATCAGGACATAATGTAGATGTTAACATTAATTCTTAGAGGTGATTTGAAATATTTGCATTTAGTAATAGCACATCATTTTATACTTAAGAAAGATCTGTTTTGTTTAATAATCTTAATTTATATTCATTTTTCAACTGAACTAAATATTTATTTTTAATAAGCTTAGATTTACTAACAGATTTAAACAAATAGATAGTACCTCCAAAATACATCATCAAATTAATTGTTATTATATCTTCACTAAGGTAACTAAGTCCAAATATATTTTTAAATAGATACTTCTTTTATGTTTCGCAAGAATATAAATAACATTTGAAGACCATCAATTATGTTTTAAAATCCATATTCAAACTATCCTTATTAAAAATATATACTTTCTTCTATTGATTACTTCAAATAATCTTTAGCATTTTTTGATACATCCTATTAGCAATCATAAAAAATACCTGCAATAAAATAATTTTTATTATTTAATCTTCCGTTAATCTCAACATTTTTTTCTTTTTAAAATTAGTTTAAATCAAAAAATAAAAATTATTTTCTATTATCAGTCTTTTTTTTATACTAGTAAGCAAATTCATAATCAATTTCTCCATTTTTTTCTTTTATAATCTTTAAAAATATTTGTGACAAAAAACAGCAGCCCATTTTTTTTTACTTTTTGATTATAATTAATTTTACTTTTTAAAATATTTAACAATTAATACTTTCACTTTTTAATATGCACATACATAACAGAATATTTTTAAAAAGACAAAAATTATAAAAATAAAGAATTATTTTCATCTTAGTCACATTAAATAGCTATGAATAGTATTAATTACAAACTTTTAACATTTAAGTAAAGTAAGGAAACAAACCTTATTAAAGGAGGGTAATTAATTGTAATCAAATTTATAAATATTATTTTTCCATCATAATTTTTAACATACTTAGAGTTTATAAATTTACTTGTGCTGAAAATAAATAATTTCATACTATAGAAAATTATATTGATATTTTAAGCATTACATTTAGAAAAGAAAACAAATACAATAAATTTGAAAATTCTTTTATATTAGAGAAAAAAGTGCATCTCTTTTAATTTATTAATTTTATAATTTATAAGAACTAACCAAAAAACTATTTCACAAAAAATAAAAGATAAATTACAAATAAAATAGATTTAAGTTTATAATCTGATTTAATCCTAATTTGAAAAAAATCTAATTTTTTAATCTCTAAATATCTAAATAACATGGAAATATGCATTTAGATTTCTTAAATTCTTTAAAGGTATTAGATAATCATCATAATCACAAATCATGTGGAGACAATATTCAATTTAAACACTCTTAGTTGAAGAGGTTTTAGAATGAATTTTCCTTCTTCTATTTAATAAAATTGTAATATTTTTTTAAATAAAACGCATCTAAATGTTTATAATTTTACATATTTCTTTTTAAAAGTTATCTTATTATGCCTGATAAACCTTGCCATTATTGCTTGTCCACTTCATTTATTTTTCAGACCAGCTTTTTTTACTCTAGTTAGCTGTAAGAGTGAGCTCTTCTAAAATTTAATAGTTCTAAGGGATATCAAATTAAGCAGAAGATATATCATTTACATTATACAACCTCAGTGTATAGTAATTTTTATATGCTCTCAAGTATACTCTCAGATAAATATTTTGATTTTCTATAATTTTGTTTCTATTTTAACTATTGCTTCTGTAATCAAAATATTAATTTTTAGTCTAAGAGAAAAAAATTAAAGGTGAAGCATCTAATTCGTTTTAAATTCTTCTAGATAATTATTCATTTTACCTCTCAAAAATTATAAAATGCCTAATTTTTTAAGAAATACCTTGATTTCTTTAATCAACCTCATTTAGAGATTCACCAACTCCTCTAGCATCATCCCTTACAATTCTTTTTTATTTTAACAGATTTATTTATTTAAATATTTATTTTTAAAGTAAATTTACCTTCTATGTATCATAATTTCTATTTATCCTTCTTTTAATGATGTACCACCTTAAGACCTATCAGTAACAACAGAAACTTATTAATCAGAATTAATATCCTTCAAACTTATTAATGCACCAATAGGATAGTAGTTTCCACTTACTTCTTATTATAGCTAATAAAAAATAAATATTCAAATAAAATTACTTTATAAAAACTTAAAAATTACTTGTAAATTCCAAGTAGGTCTAAAATTGAGTACTCTTTTTTGCATATCTAACCCATTCGAGTCTGTGTAAAATGTTTTATTATTTTATAATCCTGTATTTAAAACCATAATTATTTCTTTGCCTGTATTTTAAACTTGTATTGGGTGTACAAAAGTCTCTACTTCAATTACCTTATCATAGTTTGCAGAGTAAAATCTCAACTAAGTTGTTACATGTTCTCCTTCTAAAAGCACTACTGTAACTAATTGGCCTTAGTAAACAACCTATAATCATTCAAAATAAAATCATAAAATTTTTGAAACTTTAATTTTTTTTATTATTATTTGTAAATTATTAAATATTACAATATTTTTAATTTCTGAATAAGTATGGCTTTATTGAGTTTCAGGTCTAAATATATAAGCTCCAGATGATTGACCCCAGTCTTAAGACGAGTAATACAAATTATAATTCAAGGAAAAATCATACTCTCTATACTGTTGCATTTAGAAATCTGAATATTTTTAACTAGTTTCCCAGGTTTAATAGGTAAATTTTTTCGCTTGCAAATCTATTTTTAGATTAGAAATACTTGATAACTCAATTTTAATTTATGTTTTGTCTTCAGGTATTTAAAGAGGTTGAACATTTTTGTGGTAATTGGAGTTAAAAAATACTATTTTATAGTGCTAAAAAGAGTATCCTTAAAACAGATCCCTAAAATACAAATCGCAGTCTGTCTTATTCTCTGGATTTGAACAAATAAAGTCAGCTAATGAATTAAGCATAATAAAAATTTACTTTTAAATTATTTTTTAATTTTAATATTTTACTTTTTAGAAATTGATTCTTATCATTTAAAATTGTCACGTTAGCTTAAGGAATTCTAATTCTGATATTCATCTATCTCTTTACTGAAGGATTAAATATACTTATCAAAATAGGCTTGTTATTTGAAATTAAAGAATTAGTAATTTCGCACTCTGAAGAAGTTACATTCCAATGACATTCATGGTATTTTATTTCTGACTCAAAAATATCTTATAAAGCATATTCTTAAAGCAGTGGATGTAGAAAATCTCTTACTTTCTTTTATCCTTCACATACTCTTTTAATATAATCGTTAGCAACATGTTGTCTTTCTGTACCAGAAACTGCGTCATGATGCATTAAAGCTGCCATTTACTATTTTTATCATAATAATATATTTTATTAATTCTCAAACTCATTAAAATAAAATATTAATTAATCAATATAATAAAAACAACTATTTCAAAAAGAAAAATTGTTTTACAATTATTTTAATTTTGATAAATAATGAATTAATTAACTAACAAACTAACTTACTTGTTCATAGTATTCTAATTAATTGTACATAAAATCAAATTAAACTGTAAGCACGTTTGTCCTTTTTTGGATGTTTTCAAACGAAATTATATTTCTTACAGCTTGCAAATATCTTCCTGCGTCTTTAGTTAAGCCTTTAAGTGCTGGACGAGATGTAAAATACCCAGTCCAATAAGCATTAGAATTGTCAGCGTAAGGGAAAAAGTCATTATTATTTACAGGCCAGATATTTTATTATTTGTTAATTTCTTCTAAATACTTAGAAGGAGTGGAGTATAGAATTTCCATGCCAAATTAATCTTTTCTACTATTTATGTAATCAATCAGATTATCTATGCTATTAAACCATATTTCAGATTTACTAAACGCAAAATCCTATCCCATGGTGTGCATAAGGTGATTTGTACGATAACTTCTCTGCATTTATTTAAAATAGTTCACGAATTCTTAAGCCTTATGTTGAACATTATAAGGAGTAACTTGCTCATCTCTTTCAAAATAGAAATCTATTTTTTAATAAAGGTTAAAATTAATATTAAAGAAACAACAAAAATAAATTTCTATTTTTTTTTAGGCTAAAAGTAGTTTTATCAATTTAAAAAATTTTATCATGAAAAATATTTAGAAATATTAAAAATAAATTATATTTATTAAAATAATTAGTAAAATTTATATTTTCTTTAAACTATTTTAAAAATAAATAAATTAATTAATTAATTAATAAAATAATAATTTTATTTTATCTGTTTAAATGAAATAAAAAAAAATTTTTACTAGTTGGAGCATCATAATGCTTATAATTTACAGCAGAGAAAATATAGTTTTCTTCGCATTGCTCTTAAGGTTGCCAAATCATTTCTAGTCTTTTTTCACTTTTTCTGTATTCAAAGTCTTAGTAGTCAACTCTAGCAAACCATTATGCGTTGAATCCCATTTGACTAAATAAAGCTGCGTTCGTTGATTAATGACCAAATGGATCAATTTACCATCCAATAGAAGGAATAACATCTAGATGATCTTTTACCCATTGATGACCAACAGTCATTTAATCTATTATGTCTTCAAAGTATGTTGTTGCTTCATCGTGCATAGTCCATCCACCATTTATAATTTCTATTTAACCATTTTTAACGAGGTCTTTGTATTTTTAGCGAACATCTTCTGTCTACCTATCCCACCACATACTAAGAAACCCTATTTCTACTTGAATATATTTTCTCTAAGGGTTTTTTTGAATCTCGTTATAAACAGAATTGAGAATATCCCTAATATCTGATATAATAATTAAAAAAATGAATTTAAAATCTATGAAATGTTTTGTGTTTGTTACTTCCATAATCCCATCCAAATTAGATAATCCTATTGCTGTAATACTCGTCAATAGTATATAACCACCCATAGTCGTCATGTGAGTGTGGGACTAAGTGAACGTATGTGAGTTTATCTTATTATTAGCAAATAATAAAATGAAGAAGTACAAATAAAATGAACATTTATTTTGAAAATCGATACTATTGATAAATTATATAAAAACTTTTTATTTATTTTAAGTTTAATCCATTTTTAATATATCAGTTCAATTAATTTAAGCTTACACTATTTTACATGTATATGCGTTAATACGTAAATTAATAAAGTTTAATTAAAAAATGTTAGTTAACTGTCTGGAAATAATTTGAGTTAAGATTCATATAAATATTAAAAAAAGTGTAAATAAAAAGTTAAAAATGAGAAGTCTACATAATTTTAATGCGAAAATCAAATTCAAGATCAATACTCCATAAATTTAAATAACTCCATAACAGATTTTATCAAAATAAATTATTAGTATCAAAAAATCAAGCTTAAAATTCTTTTTTCTAAAATAAGTTTGGCATATTTTAATTGAGAATATTAAATAAAATAACTACAAAATAAATAAAATTATTATAGATTAGAGAATTCTTTCTCTTTATCATTCAATTAAATTAATTTTTTCTCAAAAAATATCATTTTTATAATGAATTTATTTTCTATAAATTCGTTTGAATATTTTGATATTAATTAAAATGATCTAGCAAGAATCATACTTACTTTAATTAAAATTATAATTTAATTTAATATAATTGTAATTATATTTTTTCTTTTTAATAAAAGTTAAGTGCTGATGTACTTTAATTTTACTGTAAATTCCAATTTAAAACAATATTTTTAAGAAAATCTGAATTAAAAGGGTATTTAACACAATCCTAATAACGAGTTTGTTTAGATTGTTAAATAAAAGTAAAGTATCAATGCTTATTTAATTAAAATAATTTTTTATGTCAAGCTATTGCAATAAATTTAAAATAGTTTCATTCATTTAAAAAATTGATAAATTAAATCTATTTTATATTTTTATATTCGTCAAAAATCAAATTTGTTTACTTGCTTGAAGATTATGTGTTAATTGGTAATCTTATAATTTTTATCTATAGTGCAATTTTCGAAGGAAAAGCCTTATTTTTTCAATTGAAACGTGAAGGAAATTGAAGAGAGGGTATTTAAATGTATCAATATAAAAGCTAATCAAATTTTATTTATTTGTAATTAAAAGATGACAAAATTATTTTAATAACATATATTTGATTGATGAGATTAGTTAATAAATTTGGAAATAGTTCGTTTGATATTTATTTTATTTATTAGAATTGGAGATTGAATTATTAGATATATAGAGATCACAGTACCTCATTTTATTTTTTAGGAAAATACTTTTTTTTACTAATTTCTTCTTATCCTTCAATAAAATAAGAAAAAAATCTCTTAAAATTTCCTCTATTTTTCTTGATAATTATTGGATTTACACCTTAAAATAAAAAAATAAGCATGCCTAAATTTTTTACTGAGCTAAAAAGTTACGAAAAATAAGACGCACTTATTATTTAAATACTTCCTTTAAAAAATTTTTACAAAGTAAAGATATTTATTTACATTTAAATTTTTATTTCCTCCGTATTTTTAACAAAATATTTCAATAAAGATCGTAATTAAATTTGCTTAGAATCTCTTTTTATTATGAATGACATAAATCTTTACCAACTTTTTTAAATATAAAAAAATAACTTCTTTTTAATTAGTATTTTAAACTTAAATCAATAAAAATTTATCTATCTGAAAAAGAATTATGTTATTTATTTATTAACAATAAATATATTTTAAATAAATTATTAATATGATTGACTATTCTAATAAATAAAAGTTATTTGTTACTTTTAGAGAAAATATTAGAACTGTTAATATATTTATTTTAAGAATAAATTTAAAAAATATATTTAATATCTAAATGAAGTAAAAGAAGCAGATAAACATAAAAACTTTAATACTTAAAATTAATTTAATTTATTTTTTAAATTGACAGAGATATGTGAATCAATACAATATTAAAAACTAAAAAAATTAATAAATTTTAAACAAAAAAAGGTGTGAGAATGATTCAAGAATTTCGTTGCACTTAATTTTTGTTTGATGTTCTGATCATACTTAATAAAAAATATCTTTTATTATAATCTTTTAACCCCATTCTTTTTTTAATTCATGTTTCAAATAAAATTGTGAGAAGAGATATTATTGTAAAAGTATGTGAAAAACGAAAGAAAAAAAATGAAATCTTTTAAATGGTTGAATATTAAAACAAGTTTTATATGAATGAAATTGTAGATAAAAATTGAATAAATATATGAGGGCTATAATTAAGAAAGGGTCAAATTACTCCTTCCTATTCATTTTTATTAAACTAATAAGAGAGTTTGATAGTTGAGGAATAAGAGCATTATATCTTTGAATATTAATTGAAGTGCTAAAAAGAAATAAAAATAAAAATAAAATTTTAAGCTTTTAATGATATGGATAGTCTGGGCCATTATAGTGAGTCTGGTATAATAATATTATTTAGGAAATAATTATAGAAAAAACCATTAAATAACCAAATAATATAATGTGAAGCTATAAGCTAATAAATTAAAAATATTGAGGAAAGCAAAATATCTTATTTATTTTTTTATTCGAAAAGTAATAATTTTATTAGTCTAATTATTTTCAAATTATTTTGGTTTAATTTATAGATTATTTATTTGATGAAGTAGATAAGGCAAAATTTATTAAAGATTTCTTTTTTTCTATTTTATTAATAAATAATTAAAAATTAGGATTTAAATTGATAAGAGAATGCCTGAATCCAATTATTGGACAAGGAAGCTCAGTTATTCCTTTTTATATTGAATAAAAATCAAAAAAATAATAGTAAATATAAATAGATTTAATTACTGATATTACTCAGTCTAAAATTAAGTAATCACCTTACTTAAAATAAAAATTTAATTCAAATACTGACTCGATTAGATTAGAAGAGAACATAACTGAAAAAACATAGTATATTGATCCAATATTTCAAGATAACCTAATCAGACAAAACAATTACTCAAAAGAAGTGAGGGGAAAAACTATGAAGTACTTTGTTTAATAATTCCTCTAAAGAGATAAATAAGGTTAAACCAAAAGATATGTAGGCCATTTTTAACAATCATATTATAAAATAAGACTAATAGACCTTCTGCTGGATCTACAGAAAAGAAATTTAATTTTTGTATTCAAAAATATATATATAATTAGTTTAGTTAAGCTTGCTCAGGTCTATTTTAATAGAAATCTGTACTTTCTTTAAATCAACCTTATACTAATTTTAATCAGAATAAAATTTTAAACAAAAAATATTAATTTTTTATTGAATAAAAAATTATTTTTATTCAATCAATCATCTTTCCGAAAAATAAATAAAAAATATCTATTTTAGCTTTTGTTTATCTTTTTTATTATGCTTATATCTATTACAATAATTAAATTTATTCTTAATTTATTATTCTTTTTAGGATTAACTAAAAATAACCTTATTTTGATATCTTTACATTAATTAAAATAAATTTCAAATAAAATTAATAAAATAAACATAATTTTTATTTTTATTTAATTTTTAGGATTATATTTCTGATATAAATAAATACTTATTATTTGGATTTAACTATTTTATTTTTTTAAGCTTTTTGAAGTTTAGTTTTACTTGTATTATAATTAGGATTAAATTTTTTTGGTCATCTAGTGTTTTTAGTTGATTTAGCTCTATTAGTATTATTTTAAATATTTGCTTGAATAAAAATATTATTTAATTTAGGATTTCTGACTTAAATTAAAAAAAGAGTTTAAGTTATTTTTATAAAAATTTTCAATTTAAATTTAGATTCATAAAATCGTAATAAACACTTAAAAATTAAAAAATTTAATTATAAAGTTGATAGTTATATAATAATTATTTATAAGATTGATGCTTTTAAATTTAATTTTGAAAAAGATATTCCTGATACAAATATTACAATCGATTTTGTTTGCTATTTTATTTATTTTGAATAATAATAATTATTTTTATGATTAGAATTACTTACTTACTTACTGATTTTATTATAATCAAATTTGAAATTTGAGAAGTAAATATAATATTAATTCAAAAATTATATTAAATTACACAATTATACAAACTTTAATACTTTTTAATGAATAATTAGTTATCATGCATGTATACATAACTCTATGCATATTCCTAAATCAATTAATTTCTATTTTGCTTTAATTTAATAGAAGGACTTACTAAATTATTTATTATTAATAAATTATAAATACGATATAAAAAATTTAGATAGATATATTGTAATTTTTTATCCACATAAATAGTTTAGGCATATTTCATAGTTGATTCACAAGCTATTTAATTAAGTAGAATATTCTTATAAAACAATAAATCGAATCAAGGGATAGGATGTCTCTCTCATTTCATAATTTGGATGACGATGAGCGTGGCTAAAATTCAAAGAATAAATATGGTTATCAAGATGTATTTTAAGGGATGGGCAACTCTTACTCAAACTATGAACAAAATTAGAGTTTAAGTGATTTAAAGAGACCAATTATGCCAAGGGAGGTAGTAGACTAACCAATATATCAATAAAATCCTATGTATACCCGTCTCGATAGCCTTCCATTTAGCAAGTGGCACTATTATGCCATTCTAGCTTTAAGTAAATTTTTAATTAGCTTATATTTAATTTTTAAGAGTATAGAGCATTCTTAAATATTTTAGAATAATTAAATAGCAAACTCAGTTTAAATATTAGCATCCATAATAAAAGATATAAAAAGCGTGTTCTTATTTGCTTATTTTAATGATTATAAATGTTAAAAAGTGAATTTGAGCATATTTTGAAGTATTCTCATTTTATTCAATAAATAAATGAAATAGAAATTTAAAAGAAATTTTAAAATATACTGCAATTTAGCTTAATAATAGATTTTATGGCTTATAATATTTAATAAAGGTTACATTTAGCTATCTTATTTCAGCAATATTTCATAGAATTATGAAAAATCATTTAGAGTTCTTAAACAGTTTAGTCAGTAGAAGAATACCTTTTGCAATAAAACTCATTCAGAGTAAAAAAAAATAAATATGTTTTAGGAGCAGTATAAATAAATACAAGAAAATTCTTGGGAAAATTTTAAAAATTAAATATTCATATTCAGTTAATTCTTTAGAAGAGATAATAAAACTGATAGATAGCTATAGAATCCATAAATATATAATTAAATAATTACTTTCTTACTCTTATGTTTGAAAAATATTTATTAAGTTAGCATTGAATTTAAATTTTTATTTAAAAGGTGGAGGATTGTTTATTGATGGTTACGAAGTAGCTGTAGTTGCTGTATCTTCAACTGAACTGTAGAGAATTTATAGTGCTTCTGAATCTTAAGTCAGTCTCTTAGCTACTGCATATATGATTGGTGCAGGTATAGGATCGTTAATTTTTGGATATTATTCTAGTGAACATGGACGTAAGAAGGTTTTTTACACTACATTAGCTGTCTATGCTATTTCAATTTTGTTTGTAATTATAAGCAGAAGTCTTTTGTTTTTATATTTGGTAAGATTTTTTTCTGGTATCGGGATTGGGGGCGAATATACAGCTATCTTCGCTATGGTTGATGAAATTGTTCCTTCAAGCTATAGAGGTACTGCAAATATATGTGTTTCTTCTATTTGGCATTTGGGATCTTCTATAGCAGGTTTACTTGGATTAGCATTCAGCCACAGATTAAATAGTCCTGATGATACTTTGACCTGGCGTTTTTTATTCTTATTCGGAGCCTTATTTATAATCCCAATAATATATCTAAGAAAATTCATTCCAGAAAGTCCTCGTTGGATAAATGGAAAAGGCAAGCCTACTGAAGCAGACTAAATTGTAGATCTCATAACTTACTGTTGTGATAATGACTGCATCATACCTTTGGAAGAATAGTAATTTAAAATTTTCTAACATTATATTTTAACCAATAGTTTATAATATATAAAGTAAGATCCTTTAGCAAAAGCCAAGGATGATAGGAATACACCCATAGAATTACAATGTATACATTTTATTTGGTTAAAAGTAGTAAATTATATATGATTTTTTATAATAAGGATTTAAATTAGGATGAATTACCAACTAATTTATTTGAGATTATGAGATTCATAATTAATAGATATAGAAAAAGATTTGCTCTATGTTTTGCAATCATTTTTGCTTCTAATTTTGTCTATAAAGGGTAATTTAAAACATTTTAATTTAATTACTCAAGTTTAATTAAAATAGAATATTCTATACACATGTGATGATGATGAAAAAAATAGATAATTTTGAATAGAAAGAATATAGTGGTAAGGTATTTTCCCTCATTAACCCAATATTTAAATCTTTTCATTAAACAGAATAGTATTTTATTTTGCCATTAATTTGTGCAAGCTTTTTAGGTCCTCTTATCATGGCTAGATTTTTTGATACACAAGGTAGAAAAAGAATGATATTTTTTATATGTAAGCAGTATTTATTTTATTAAAAATATTTTGAATAATTATTTAATGTAATTTTTAAATAGTTGTTGCAAGCGGAGTGCTCCTTTTTATAAATGGAATTTTATTTGACTACTCTTTTATTAACCATAATACATAGCTAATATTTTGGATTTTAATCATTTTCTTTTCATCTCCTGGTATTTCGGCTGCTCACTTAACCATATCTGAAGTTTTCCCACTAGTAATATTTACATAAAACAATAGTTTATTAAGCTTTTTTTTTAATCTAAAAGAAAATCAGAAGTTAAGCTCTTGCTCTATTTAATACAGTGGGTTTATGTGCAGGAGGAGCTTTGGCACCATACTTTTTTGGTGTCTTAATTAGGTTAAATAGTATAGATTCTCTATCTTTAGGCTACTACTGTTCAAGCTTAATAATGATTACAGCAGGGCTTTTGGGTTTAGCAATAGGTATTAGAGCAGAAAATCTACCATTAGAAGAAATATGAAAAATAATTTATTTACAGTTAGTATATTAAATATTTTGGTAATCTTAAGAAAGAAATAAACAATAAAACAAATAAATAAAGATATAAAATGAATAAAGAAAGATATAACACATTTCAAAAGTTTTTAATATTAGTTAAAAATTTTGTTTTATTAATAATTTAAAATATATATAGTTAAATTTGTATACAATTATCTACTTTGATTTTGTGTTTATATTTTAAGAATATAATTTAATTGGAATGTCCTTTACAATAAAATTTTTTAATTAATTTTAGTATTCAAGAACATATAGGAATTCTTTTTAGAATATAATTTTATGTTATAAATTGTTAAGTTTATTACACATAATATTTGCCATACTTACAAATTGTATCCGATTAAAGCTCAAATTTTATAGAATATATTAAATTTAACCAAAATTAAGCCTTCCTAATTATATATTCAAATTTTAATAAAATATTTATGTTTTTAATAACATCTTTGATTAATTCTTAAAATCTAGAATTAATAATCTTATTTAAATTAATTAAATATATATAAATACATATTTAAAGAATTAAGTTTTGTTGTCGGCCATACTAAGGTGAAAACACCGGATCCCATTCGAACTCTGAAGTTAAGCGCCTTAAGGCTGGGTTAGTACTAAGGTGGGGGACCGCTTGGGAAGTCCCAGTGTCGACAACCTTTTTTATTTTAAAATAATTGCTTTTATAATCTTAATGAAAATAATTTTAAAATTTTTAAAGTTTTATTTTGATTTTTTGAAATATATATAAATACACATTCATTAGGAATACTTTTGTTGTCGGCCATACTAAGGTGAAAACACCGGATCCCATTCGAACTCCGAAGTTAAGCGCCTTAAGGCTGGGTTAGTACTAAGGTGGGGGACCGCTTGGGAAGTCCCAGTGTCGACAACCTTTTTTTTATTTTAAATTTAATTTATTTAAAATAGAATTTTTAATATATTCTTTAAAAATAATAAAGCTTTATTTGGAATTAGTAGAAATGTATAATATAAAAACACATTCATTAAGGTTAATTTTGTTGTCGGCCATACTAAGGTGAAAACACCGGATCCCATTCGAACTCCGAAGTTAAGCGCCTTAAGGCTGGGTTAGTACTAAGGTGGGGGACCGCTTGGGAAGTCCCAGTGTCGACAACCTTTTTTTACTTTAGAATTAATTGCTTTTGCCATAAACTTAATGATTATTATTTTTTAATGTTTTATTTTTATTTTTAAAAAAATATATAAATACACATTCATTAGGAATACTTTTGTTGTCGGCCATACTAAGGTGAAAACACCGGATCCCATTCGAACTCCGAAGTTAAGCGCCTTAAGGCTGGGTTAGTACTAAGGTGGGGGACCGCTTGGGAAGTCCCAGTGTCGACAACCTTTTTTTTATTTTAAATTTAATTTATTTAAAATAGAATTTTTAATATATTCTTTAAAAATAATAAAGCTTATTTGGAATTAGTAGAATTGTATAATATAAAAACACATTCTTTAAGGTTAATTTTGTTGTCGGCCATACTAAGGTGAAAACACCGGATCCCATTCGAACTCCGAAGTTAAGCGCCTTAAGGCTGGGTTAGTACTAAGGTGGGGGACCGCTTGGGAAGTCCCAGTGTCGACAGCCTTTTTTTTTCTTTCTTGATAATCCTTAAATAGGTAACTTTTATAGTAGAATTAAATAAAACTAAATTTTAAAATATATTGGAAAAAATTTATTTTTTATATATGTAGGCATTTAAAGTCATATATTTTGCTATCGGCCATACTAAGGTGAAAACACCGGATCCCATTCGAACTCCGAAGTTAAGCGCCTTAAGGCTGGGTTAGTACTAAGGTGGGGGACCGCTTGGGAAGTCCCAGTGTCGATAGCCTTTTTTTTGTTTTATAAATTTTTATTTAGAATATATTTAACTGGCGTAAATAAATGATTGTTAATTTAAAAAGAGAGTAGTGAAATTTTATAAAAATAAAGGGATATTAATAAAATATTCAATGAATGATTGTTATGATTTAATATAAAGTTCGAAAATAATAAATAAGAATAAAGATTTGAATTTTTTATCTGAAATTTATATAGATAGATAGGCCTTTTATAAAAAATGATAAAAACAAGTGGTTTTGGCAATTAATTTACAGACCAATATGAAGATTATGAAAGCAAATTTACTGAAATACCATATACTCCAATTTATAAAGAGTATGATGAATATAAAAAAGAGTTTTGCTAATATACAAATAGAAATCATTCATGGAAGACTGCTTTATTTTAGCAATAAAATATATTGTTAGATCTTCATGAAATGACAAATGTTAAATATTTAGTTATTGATGATTTTAAATATGGCTGTGAAATGACCATTTCACTTTCTGAGTTTAAAAGCGGACCTTATATACCCATTTTTGAGAAAAAATATTTCTGCCGTTCTACTGAAAAAAGAATTAATCTATCCAGCCTCCCTTGTAGATATATTTAAATTAATGTCTCTAAAGGAGTTCATGTGCATATTTAGAGTATTAGAATAATTGGCATTAAATCAAATGAATTAGCTACAGAACTAGGTTTAGATTTCTTCAAGGTCATGGTAAGTGGGCCATAAAGAATTATGTATAAGTGATATATTAAATATTTTTAAATTTTAATAGATTTATAAATCAATCAATTGTATTTATTTATATTTATGTGGAGTTAGTTAGTTTTACAAATTTAAATTTACAAAATATAATGAAAAGCCAATTAAAATAAATTACATTTTCAGCTCATTTAAATAAAATAAATCATTTCAATTTTAAATATTTAGTTTGTTTTAAGAAATTTTATAAAAATTTTTAAAAGCTTTAAAATTTTAACAAACAATATAAGTTTACAATAAACATTTTTAAATATAAAATCACTCAAAATTAATACTTATTTAATTTTCATTAAATGTAAAGTTTAAATCTTAACTAGTAAAGATAAGATGGATGTCAACAAAAATTATAGTACAGGAAAATTTAGCTTAAAAATGGTAAAAAATAAAATCATAATTTATCATTTAAAAGCAGAATCAGGTGGCATTATAACTTTAATTGTTTTTTATGTAGTTATTGGAGCTTTTTTATAGTCTTGTAAGGTTTAGTTTGGCTAAATTTTAGGCTTAGAGATAGTATCTTTAATACATATTTATATGGATATATAATCATTTTTCTCTTATTTTTTGGCTTATGTGTACTTTTTCCACTCTGAAAATGTAATAGAGAGAAGCTACGAATTTATTTTGTTTACTTTTTAATTTAGGCCTAATCTTTTTTTTCTTAGTGTCTATGCTGTTGAGCAGAACAAAGTAAAGAATTGGTTTTATAATTTGCTTGAATAGTGCATTAGAGCTCTTACATCAACTGAATTCTTAACTTCATTGATCTTATTCTTGAATTTTTAGAAAAGGGTATTTTTATAGTAAAGATCAGCTTGTCTCTTCATTGCTTTGTAGTTGACTATCTTCTTCCATTCGGTATATACTTTGTATATCTTCATCATTTTATTATTTTCATGAATTGCTTCTATCCATTTCTTGTGCTGAACACAGAATTTTTTAATTTTAGCAAAAGCAATAGTTTTAAGCTCCATATTTTTGACTTTCATGTTTTATTCAATTTATATTTTACGATTATTTTTAACTCTGGAATAATCACTGTACCATTTTATTACATTAAAGCAATTTTGTTTTATATTTTCTTGCTTATTTTAGTAAAAAAGCTTTGCATTTTGCATAACCTTCATAACCCTACACATATCTCTCACTTATTACTTTATGTTCATATTTACATAAGAATTAATTAAATCTTTCAACTTTCTGTGATAGAGGTTTTTAAAAATGTCGCTCTTTTTAAAATTTTCAAGGTCTAAGAATAATTCATGTTTTAACTTCTCTTGAAGAGTTTTATCAAGATCTGATTTTTCATTTTCATCCTATATTTCATACTTATTATTTATAATGGCAGGAGCACTTCTTTCGCTGTTATTATCATCACTTGGTTTTCGCTTCTAACTATTTTATTTTTTAGAGTCTTTATATAAAGAAGAGTGCTTCAAGCTTTCTTCATACTTCATCTCACTTTAAAAGGATAAATCAACTTCATCAAGTGCTGACTTCTTTCCCTTATTACCTACCTAATCTTCTTCGTTATTTAATTTCATTTCCAACCTGTATTTAAATTTTTCAATTATATCACTCTTGTCTTTAAGCATAGTTTGAATTTCTTTTTTTAACTAAGCCTTTTAACGAATTTCTTAAAGTTCTTTTTCTAACTCTTCATTTACTTCACTCTCCTCTAATTTATTTGTTTGAGGAGCTTAAAGTTTCGATTTAGAGTTGATAGGTGGCAGATTTTCATGAGATTAATTTTGATTAAATTTGTTATCCATAATTTTTAGCAAATCCTCATGAGTTATTTTGTCGTCTTCATCCTAATCTATTTATTATTCGTCCTAATCTATTTATTATTCATCCAAGTCTATTTATTATTCATCCTAATATCCTTCTTAAATTTATTAAAGGGTCTATTAGGAATGTCTCAAGCTTTTTTAACTTATGTTAGCTAACTAATTTTATGATCCTTCATTCAATTCTAAATATTAACCTTGGTTATTATTGTTGTTCAATTCATTAGGATTAAACATGTTCATGAAATCAGATTCATTCTAAATATATTCTTGATTTTACTTTTAAATATAGTCCCCAAGCTCCATTAATGATTTTTATGCTGTAGAATGTTTACGACTTTAATCAAATATATTCTCATGATTAACATCTTTATTTTTTTCATAATTATCAATTAATTTGCTATCAGATTAGCTTTAATTCTTTGATGAAAGCATATTTTTTGTATTTCTTGCTTATCTTTAGTTAACTAACTCCTACAATTTCTGATCTAATTACTTGAGCTAAGTAAGTAGATTTTAAATATCCCCTTCATAGTCATCAGGAGAAATATCTTCTATTTAATCAGATTTCTGCTAGCCTTGTTTTTGGATTAATATTTAAACAAACAATTTTTATATATTCATTAATTCTTCTATTTTTTCTTGAAATTTTTAATCTCTCTAAGCTTGATCCAATAAAAATTCTTAATCCTAAGGAATTAAATTCATTAATCTTAACTAAATTAATTCATATTGATGCTTTCTTTCCTCATCTTCTTTTTTTTCTTTCTCCTTGTTAACTGCTTAGAAAAGTTCATCAATCCAATCCAAAAGCTTATTTTCATCTAAATCATTTAGATACTAAAGCTGCTCTTATGTTAATTCCTACTCTTCTTATTTTTGCTCTTATTCATGGTTTTATATCATTTAATTTGAAAAGCCATGATTAAAAATTTGAGAGTCTGTCTTTAACTCTTCATCAGCTTATTAATTTTAAAATTTTTATTCTTCTTCTTCATCTCTTATATTATACATATTTTCGTCATCATTAGCTTCTTCAATAGGTTGCTATTATTATTCATTTAGCAAGTTATATTTCCTCCAATCTTTAGGATTAACTTCATTCCCTTAATAATTTTGAAAATCAGCCATACTTTTGTTTTTTAAAGCTTAGCTTTTCTTATTTTTGTTATCATCTTAATCTATATGATAGAGAGATGGGTATTTATTTTAAGTTTTTTTATTAGAAGATATTTGGATATCTTACAGTGAATGCTACTCGCTTTAATGCTCTAAAGAATGTGAGTGCTAACCAGCCTCATCATATTCCTTTGCATTATTATCATTACTGTTTTCTTAAATTTAAACTTCGAATTATTCCTTATCTTATTCTTAATCACTTAAGTTCTCATTCTCATCATAAAAATCATCTTTATCTTCAATAATTATTTAGTCTTTAGGAACTACTTATGTTTTCATTAACTCCATATCCTCTTCAAGCTAGTGAACAAAAAGAGGATTAGAATTAACAGAGTTATCACTTTAATTTGAAGTATATTGCTGTGCTAATTTATGGTCGTGAAATTTTTGCTAATTTGCTTTTTTATCATTTTAATATTAATTGTCGTAATCATCGTATAATACTCCATTTTATTTAGCTAAGGCTTTTTGAATCTATAATTTGATGCTCTGTCCTAATGATTATTACAAGCTCTCTTCAGAAGAAGAGGAGTAAGCTGAACTATTCTCCCCAAACTTGTATGAATTATAAATGTCTTATAAATGATTAATTTATAAAACTTTTGAGCTTCTTAGCTCTTCTTTTAAACTATTTTCTAACTCCTAAGTAGTAGGTCTTGAGTGAGGAGAATATTTTCTAATATGATTTTCTAAATCTCTCTCGAATTTATTTCTTTAACTCTCAAATTTGCTGTTCACAGTTCTAACTGAATCATAATGTCTCTAAGGAGATTTATCTAATAAATTTTTAGATATCAAACGAGAATTATCATTGGATTGAAATGTATTTTAAAAGCTTTTATTAGACTTTTCTGAGTTTTAAATAGAATTCATTCTTTGTTCCTTTACCATCTTTTAATACTGCAAAGAAGCTTACTGTTTTTCATATTAATATTGAGAGTACTTTTGATAAGGAGATGCTTAGTTTATTTTTGAAATATTTTCATTTTTATTTGGAGAGGCTTGCAATTCATAAATCTTCTCATATTGCTATCTCATGTCAGAATTAAATTCAGGTTCTTAATTATCTCTATTCAACCTGAAAAATTCATAGTCCTTCTATCCACTAAACAAATATTGTTAATTCTATGAGGGTTGATTAAAAGGAAAGTGTGCTCTTACACTAGAGCTAACTACTGAAGAATTATTGTTTTGTAAGTTATTATGAAGGTGAAATGATGACTATTAAGAATTATCATGCAACGAAGGAGGATTAACTAGCTAGACAGATGGTTGCTATTAGTATAAACTTTAGCTTAGTATCCACTATGGTTAACGATACTGTTAATTTGAGTAATTTATTACATTTATATTTTCACTGTTGTTTGAGTTGTTTGACACAAAAGGTTGATTTAATCTCTGAATATTATTGTTATTTTACAAAGAATTAGTAATCTATTCATAATTTATAGTACCTTTTTGTGAAGAAGAGGAAGAAAGCTGATATAGTTGATTTGTTTTTTAAGTTTAACTACCAAAGTTGTACTAATTGCTATAAAAATTTTATTGAGAATTTCTTTCTTCTTCGATTCTTTGAAGACCTTCACTGTCTTTTTGGCTAACTAATATATTATCTACTTGCTTATTAGCATAAATTTAATTGCGCTAAGCTTTTTATTCTCCAAAATAGTTGTCATAATTTGTATTTTCATTTTAAAAGTTATTATTAATTTAAATGTTTTGATTATCTGATTTAAAAATTGACTATAAATTATTATTGCTCATGATATTGTTACTATTGTTGTTAGTAAAGATGTTAGATATCTTGATATTACTATTTTCCATTCCGAAATTATTTTAAAAAGAAAATTCCTCCACTCCACTTGAGTTATTCATAATTTACTTTTTCAGAACAGAGTTGCTTGTTTTCTTCATTATTTAATGTGATTATGAGTATTCTAAATCTGATGAGCTTTCCATGCTAAAATTTCTATCATTTTTGCTTAAAATATGTTCTTCTATTAATTCATGAATAGATTCATCATTATCTTCAAATTATCCTGTTTTTTGCTTGTTTACAAGCTATTAATGCTTCTTATTTAAATTTGGGCTAATAGAATTGAACTTTTGCATCTATTAATTAAATAACTCGCTTTCATTCTTCAAACTTGGAGAAGAAATATTTTCTGAAATTTAACTGGATGAGCCCTCTGACTCGTTTAAGAACTAAGGATTCTTTTCGATAAAATTTTTCCTATCTCTATCATTTCGTTGAAGTGATTCTTCAATCTATTTTCTCTTTTCTGCTAATTAACTGGCCTTCATTCTTATAATTTGATTAAAGATTTTTCAAAATTTGAAATAAGTCCCAGTAAATTTTTTTGATTACAATTAAAAGGACTTCTCTCTATAATTTTAAAAATGAACAAAAGATTTGCAATTTATATAAAATTTATTAAATAGATATATCAGCTACATCAATCAATCATACAATTAATATTTATTTAAGATTTTTTATATCAAATAAGGTTATATTTTTAAGATGATTTATAATTATTACAATTATTTATCATTTTAATTCTATAAATTTAAAATAAAAAGCAGCAAGCAGTGTGATTGATGAAGCTGATATTAAAACCATAAATTATTTTAAATTTGAAAAATTAAAATTTTATAAATTAAAAAATATATTTTTTAATAATGTTTATAATTATTAAAAATATTAAAAATTATCCAATATGTAAAATCTTAAGCAAAAATTAAAATTATTATTTTATTTAATAACGAATTAAGCTAAACAAAAATGAATTCTAAAGATATTCTTTTAATGAATTTTTGAATAATATTTAGTTAACTATTTTAGTTTACACATAATTGCAAATATTAATTTTGTTTGAATTTATTTAATAAAATTTCTTATAATGATTATTTGAAAATATTTTAATTATAGATAATTTATTTGGTTATTAAAGATTTATTTAGTTAAATAATTATTTAGTGAAGAAGTGTTTGGAGTAATAAATATATTTTTAAATAATTAAATAAGAAATTCTTATGAGTCTTTTTTTTTATAGCTTGTTTTGATGTAAAAGGAGTTTAAAGTAATTAATTAATATATTTTATTAAATATAATTAATGTCTTTTTTTTAATTGATCATAAATTAAATTGGTTTAATGCTTAAACTTAGATAGTATTTTTGCTCTTTATTTTCATCATTATTTGTTTAATTGATTAAATTATTAATTTGTCTTTTTTAGCTGGTTATTTTTTGAGGATTTTAAAAAATTTCAGTTATTTGATTTTTCGAGCAGCTCTAAACTGCTTATTATTAATTTAAAAACTTTATTAAATTATTTTTCACTATTATAGTATATTAGGCTCTTTACACTTTTAATTTATCATTACAAATTTTTTTAGCTGATCAAACATAATCAAATATATGTTAGTCACTCGCTCTTTTTTTATCAGCAATTTTTAACTAACAATATTTTTAGATTTTACTAATTTGATTATTATTTTTTATGAAAATCTTGTAATTTAATAACTTTTATTTATTACTAAGGTTTTGTTATTTAATTAATTATTTATTTTAATTGCTTATTATGAATAATAAATATAAAATAGAAATAAGTTTTTAAAAATATCATTTATTTATTTAAGAGACTTTCTTTCAGTCATTACAAGTATTCTATTTTTCCTTTTCTGGACTCTGAACATATATTGAAAGTAGCAAAAACTCTTGAATTAAAAATTATTATATCTGTAATTTAAAATTCCATTTTTATGACTTTTTTGAAAGTGAAATCTTTTAGGCTTAGAATGAAGACTTCATTGTAATTTTAAACTCCAATGATGTAATCTTCACTTAGCTATTTGCTTAGAACAATTTAAAATGGTAACTGAAGGTATTTAATGAGTTTGAGACTATTAAGGTTATAGACATATATTGTATTCTTAAAAGAAACGACGTACAAACAGTTTCTAAATGTCCACATATTTTATATCATTTTTGTAGGCAATTGAATTGACTTTCTTTGCTATTTTCCAGTTTAGAAATTCCATAAGCGAATTTTGTTATCACTCTCACAGTGAGAAGCGATTGTTGAATTGTTTATTTTAATTATGCGATTTATTTTTTGTTAAGATGATCCAGCTTTCATAGTATGAATAAGATGATGAGTTTTTATATTCCATATTTAGATTTTATTGTGGCTGCACAAGCAAGCCATCTTATTTTCATCCACTTTGATAAAATGTCCATATTAGCGATATGTGCGTTCTTATTGATTATTATTATTATCATTGTTATTATCTGTATCTAATTCGCTGTTTTGCTAGTTTAGAGCTAAATTTTACAATTCTTGCTATAAAACAATTTCAGATATTACTGAGTCAAAACTTTGCTGGCTATTTTAATTTTATTAATTAGCAATTTGATTTAAAGAGCCATTATGATTAGCAGTGGGATATAAGTTAAAATTATTAGTAGCTTATCTCTAACCGCAAGAAAGAGGAGGACTAGTCAAGGGAGAAATAGATTCCAGAGAGCTATGGAGATGATGATTATGATGCCTATCTTCTTCTAATACTTTTATCAATTGGAAAGGATTAATTGAAAAGAGAAAAATCTATTTAGTATTATTGTTGCCTATTACAACGTGCTTGTTATCTAGAACACTGAACTAGCCCCATCCTATTGAATACTTTTTACCATTTAGCTCATGAACTTATTCTATTTTTTTTTCATATGTTATTCTTCTTTGTTTGTTATCCCATATTTTTATTTGTTCACCTATTAATATAAGTTCATTCTCGTTTTTTAATAGAACGCTTTAAGTTTCTTCCAAGCTGAATTCAAAATTATAAATTTTTTTGCCTTAAAAACAATGTGAATTTTAATTAAAGGAGGAGGATTAACTTTACAGTTAAGGAGAATTTTAAAATTTTAGTTGGATGTTATCTGAAGATGGAGAAACTGGAGTAAGACAGGGAGAGGCAGTCATATTTCTAAATCTGGAGCGGATATTTGGTGATTTTGTTTTGGGTGGTGAGTTGAATGGAGATTCAATTTATTGTGACAATCTAAAATTACTACAATCTGATCCATTACTGTTCAAAGAAATTTAAGAATCTATTGAAGATTGTCTTGAGTTATTTTTTTAAGAAAGGGGAATCTCTAATGATTTTAACTTGAGCTTGGCTGGGGAAGATAAACAAAAACTGCTATTATTCTCAAAAGTTGGTTCCCTTCGTAGTTCATGTGCTATAATTGAATCCGGTTATTTTAATTTTTCAAGTAGAACCAAATCAGTTTTTTTCAGGTTTTCTATCGATCGGGTTATGTCAGCATAAAAATTAGCTAAGATATTTTATTTAAGAGACTTACTCTGCTAAAGTATTTGTAATTCCTTTTCCAATTTACCTGATAAGCATTGGTTTTTAAAAAAATTTAGATCTTCTTCTTGTGCTGTGTTGCCTTTTTAAGAGATCACTTTGATAGTTGCTTTATGCTTTTCGAAAAGACTCTATGTTTCTTATTACTTGATTATTCTTTCAAGCATTTCGTTTACGCTATCAAAAAACTCATCAAAAGAGCTCCTAAGCTTTTTCAAAAAACTATTCTTTTCTTCTCTCCAAGGAGCATAATCAAGCTGAGTATAAAGCTTCTCAGACAAATAGCTTGCGCAGCTTTTAAGATCAAATTCTTTAGTTGGAGAGTTGCTTTTATCGCTTTACTTTGAAGAGTTAGAATTTTTTCTTGATGATTTTTGATGATTGTGATGATGATGATGATTGTGATGATGATGAATATTGTGGGTTTAACTAGCCTAAGCAGTTTAAGCTGCTGACTTTTTAGCTAATGAATTTTGAATATTTATATGATTAATCTCTTAAAAATCCCTCACCAGATCGATAGTAGAACTGGAATACATTTTTTTAGCTTTAAACCTACCTTATGTTGTAAGAATTTGTTTGTATGATTTATATATTTTTAATTACTTATATTCCTTTTAGTTTTTTTTTGTTATTGATTATGGTATATTTAAGTAGTTTATATGATTGTATATTATTTATATATTTATTTATTAACTTACTTATATTCTTCTTTATATTTTTAATCATTATTTTTTTTGATATCTAAGTCTTTCTTAATTTTTTTACTTATGCCTTTTTTGTTCTTTTTCTTTTTACTAAATATTGTTGTAATATAAAAATTTCATTGGGCCTTTAAGTTTATGTAATACTCTACTTGTATGTATGTATGTATGTATATAGCAAAGATTCAAGTGTTGCCTAACTTATTCTTACTTAAAAACATAATTCTTATATTGCTATTATTTATTTCATTTTTGCTAACCATGTTTTTATTATATTTTAACTGATTCTCTATCCACACTTAATAACCCAAGTCCTCTCCTCAAATCATAAAGTTACATTATCCTTTTTCTCTTTTTAGGTCAATAATTGACCGGAGCTTCTCACTTAAAAATAAAAGCAGAAAAATATTTCAAAAGTAAGCTATTGTTAAAAATAATTAAAACGTTTATCTAATTCAAAAGAAAATAATTAATCCTATTTTTTCAGCATAATTTAAATTCTGTAAAAAAATAATTCTTCATTAATTCTTTGTGGATTGCTTGGTTTCTTTAAATTTTTACCTAAAAATAATGGAAGGAAAAGTAAGATTTTTTTTTAAAAAAAGTAATTCCAAATATTAATTTGGCTTTATATTTAAATATTATAATGAACTGATATTTTTATAGAATCAATCAAAAAGCTTTAATTAATTTACTAGTATGTAAAAATAGTAAATATTTTCGAGCTTATTAAACAAAAAATTTGACACTCAATAATTTACTTCACTTATTTAATATTTAGTTTGCCTAAGATTATTTAGTTTTAGATATTAAATCCATCAAATACTTTCACGAAAATACTTTAGATTTATCCTAAAATACAATAATGTAAAAAAAACTATCTATGCAAAGTATTTGTAAATTACTTTACAATTATTATTTCTTCTCAAAAAAAGTATGTCAAAAAAATTGATGGATTGAAATTTAAAAAATTCAATAGTTTATTTTTCAATTTAAAAATAGAAAATTGTGTCAAGAACAGAAAGAGCTAAATAGAACTTACTACTTACTCATTCTTAACTTAATTAACAATAAATATTGAATGAAAAAAATTGATGAAATTTTTATAATTTTCTCTTTTTTATATAAAATATTTTCTTTAATATTTCATAATTTGACGATAATAAAAATGTCTTATTTTTTGTAGATTTGACTATTTTTTAAAACATTTGCTTTAAGTATTTAAGTATTTGTTTTTTGGTTTAAGTCAAATGATTCGCCCTAGATATCATAAATTAAGAGCAAAGTTTACCTCACTTAAAAATAATACATGTAAGCTATAATTGAGATATTCTTAGTATATTTAGTTTGTTCTTAGTTTTTAGATTTATTTTAAAATTTTAGAAAGAATTTTATTAATTTAAATATTTTGCTTGTATTTTTAAGTAAGCTTAGATAAAAGTAAGTAACAAAAATAATTTACATAAAATCTAATAAATTTAAAGAAAAAATAATTCAAGCATTTATTTTCACTTTAATGAAACAAATCAAGTTTTGTAATTTTATTGTTTAAAAACATTTTTTGTAAAAATCATATTTTTATAAAATTTTTTTATTATTAGCTATTAAAAAGCTATATTTTTTTATTTAATAGAAAAAAATAGATTGTAAAGTCATATATTATATTAACTTTTGATTGGATATTTTTATAATTTATAAAATAAATAATAATAAATGGGAAAGACTATCAGTAAAGCTTTTTTTTTTTAGCCTCCTAAATAACCAAGCTACCATTCTAAAAGCGACTTTTGGGTAGATAAATTAATATTTATAAATGAAGACTTTAGCACAATTTAAAGGGATTAAAGTATTCCATGCTTATTTTGTCCTTATTACTACCCAAACACGACCTAGATATCTAACTAAATATTGATATTTTTTCATTCTACAGCTAGCGATTTAGCTCAAGACCACCACTATATATCTGAAATACGTAACCATTTGTAAGTTAGCGTTTTAGGAGTTGAATATCCAGGTTATGGCATTTACAAAGGGAATCCTTCTCCAGAAGGTATAGAGAAAGATGCTCTTATTGTATATAACTTTGTCAATCAATGCTTGTTATATCCTACTTAAGATATAATAGTCATGGGACTATTAATGGGTACTGGCCCTGCTTCTTATTTGTGTTCTTAAGTTAAATTTAGCCTTTTAATATTAATAGTACCTTTTAAATCTTGGAGAAGAGTAGCAAAAGATCATGCATCATTTTTAGGAAATATAGTTCCTAAAGACTACTTTAATAATTTTGAAAACTTAAATAAAGGTATATTCAATTGTAAAACAATTGTTATAGATGACGGTCCAGATGAAGATCAATGTGCTTAATGTAGTCATTTGTATTTTGACAAGATTTACTACAGTGAATAAATGTTTTTACATTTTTACAATAAAATAAACCAACTTAATAAAATAATGAAATTTAGATTTTTTCATAATATGAATCCTTTTTAACATGACATTTATCTTCATTGTATAAATCCTGTTTAAGAGATTATTAAAGAATGGAATATTCAATCTCACAATATTTCTTATGAGCACACTTAGTATAAGCTATAAAAAATTTAAGAAAGGTGTTATTGATTTTGATCAACAACCTATTTTATTCATAAGTTAAATTTCTTGAAAAGAATTAACAATGTCTATAATATTATAAGATAATTAATTATTTATTTATTACATTTTTCTAAAATTATTTTTCATTTTTTAATATTTTCTTCTTAATTTTAATTATGATAAATTAATTGTTTTATTTAATAAAATATATTTAGTAATTTAAATAAAATTTGTAAATTTAAATATTTTAATCATTAAAACATTTAAAATATTAAAAATACTAAAGCTTTTTAGTATAAAATTTTTTATTTTAAATAAATTTATAAAAAATACATACCTACATATACACCTTAATATCTAAATTATTAATTTGTATTTAAGTAAATAACAATTTTGAAAATATTATATTATAAAAAATGTAAGTGAATCTATTTTGAATTACCACGTGTATTGTTCAAGCAAAGTTAAAGTACTTATTAATTTAGAATAATTTATACTTGAATATATAGTAATTTGAATAATTTTCAAGATAAATTAGATTTTAATTTTATTACTAATTATATTTTCTTTTAAAATAATAATCTTATCAAATGATTGATAAAAACATTAAGGGATTATAAGAAATATTATTAATCAATCATAGTTAAGAAATAAAATCTAATTATTTAATATTATTTGTTAATTAATTTAAAATAGAAGTTTATTTGGTGGATAAGATTGGTTTTTCAATTTAGAGAAAATAATAAATTATTAATTAAAAAGATATTTATTTATTGGTAATAAACTTATTCTTTCAATAGTAATTAGAAATATTTTAAAAAAAATGGGTTAAGAATTAGATTATTCAATATAAGCATTCAAAATTTTAGCAAGGATTTTTTTTTTATAGCTGCTTTGTCTTCTTCTTTTCGCTTATGGATTATTTTTTTTCCATAAATAGTTAAGTTTAGTAAGCAAATCAGATCTTTAGTCTTTTGTTAAAAGAGATGAGTGGTTCGAACTTCAGTAGCATGAAACTATAGGATTATTTATTTTAGAAGGAAAAAATTCATTAAATCAAATGAAGTTGCCATCTGATATTCAAAATATTACTCTAAATCTAAAAAGAGAACCGCAATGTTATGAAGGATAAGAAATCATAGCTTTAATGACTGGTAGTTATTCATCGCTCTTAGAATATGTATATTCATAAGATAAGGTAATTGAAATGAAAATTGACCAAGATATGCAATCAAAAATATTCTTATTTATTAATTGATATAGCTGATTGAAGATAGCATATTCCATTAGCTAAATCATACATAAAAGTAAGTTGCTTACATCGGAGAGCAAACCTTTTGGCAAGATTTATTTCCACATATGACTCATTCTGAATATAACAGTGAAAAGGATTTAAAATATATTTTAACTTCAAGTGAAAGCTTCAAAGCAGATTTTATTATTGGTAAATCTTTTAGATTAAGCATCTTTTTTTAAGCAGATTAAAATTAGTTTGTTAAATAGAAGAATCATGTTTACCTTAAAAATATTAAATAGGCTTGATAGAAGATAATTAAGAATTTTATAAGCAGATTTAATAGTCCTTATCAGAGTTAAAAAAGAAAACACTGATCCTTATTTTAGAATGTAAGTATTATTTTTAATTAATTAGAAAGCATTTTTTATAAAATTGTTATTTTCTTTTTTGTCATATTTTTTTAAATTAAATAAAGAGGATGAATGCAGCATATATGGCTCAAGGGAAAGTAGACTTATAGCACTTAGCAATACTTAATTTCAAAATATTGTACAGCTACCTGATTTAGAAAGAGAAGAAATCGATATGACTAGCACCTTGTCAGCAATTTTAGGCATACCCATCCCTTTTTGCAATTTTGGTTAAGTTATTCCGGAATTATACTCAAAAGAAATGGACTTAGAATTAGACGGTGAATAATACAGCACTGAATTAAGAACATGGTATACTGTTTTCTACCATATTCTACTTAATTCACATTAGATGGAGCACTATATAGCATCATTTTAAAAATATTATCCATTATTCTTTAGCAGTGAAAAAGTTGAGGAACTAAAAACAGAAATAGAAAATTTACAAAAAAGCTTTTCTAATATTTTAGATGATATTTAGCCTGGACAGTAAGGAAGCAAAGAAGAGTAGAAAGTTATAAAGTAAATTAAAGATCAAATAAAAGCATTTAGAAAAGCTATGAAATAAATGGAATTAATTATTTAGTAAAGTAATTTCGGTTAGATACACTTGATGGTGTTCGGTTTAGTCTTTTTTATAATTGCATTTTCTTATTTACTCATAACTGAATTCAAAAGTTAGTAAAATCTCCAGTTATTTACTAAATTGATAAAATCAGCTTTTTATTTTAATCATACCTCGCCTGTTTAATACAACTTTAATATGATCTTAACAATCTTCCTATCCCTTACTTTTATCTTTGTAAGAAATGGTAAATGAGTTATTATTACTATATAAATATACCATATAGATTTTTTTTTAATTTTAAATCATTTTTATATTTTTTATTTTTAAATTTTTGATAAAAGAAATTCTTTTTCATTATAGAAAATAAAATTTTTTATGCTTATGTTGATATTAATTAAGGTATTTTTAAAAAAAATTAGAATACATAATCTAAATTATTAAAAAATTATAATTTAATCAATTTTTATAACTTAAAATTAAAAAAATTAGATTATTTAATTTTGACTGCTGACATAATTTTGCACGGAATACTTTTACTAAATCTTGATTAAGATAAGATAAAAAAGTATTTATTTTTGAGCTCAATAAATATAGCAATAAATGCTAAGTGCTTAGGATTGATAAAAATTAATTGGGCTTTGAAATTGGCTGATACTATAGGAGTTCACTACATATTCGATGTTTTATGTTTTTTAGTTATAGTTTTTTTTGCTTTCAAAGTTCTCTCAACAATTTATTTTATAGAGATAGAATTTCTAATAGAAACGAAAAAGAAAAGGATTTTTAAGGCTTTGATATCTATTTCATTAATAAATATAATTCTAAGTGGATTACAATACTTCTTTAATGATATTATATCTCACGATTAGGCTTCATTTTTAATTATGCTCTTTTTTACAATAGTATCTTCTATTTTAGTTAGGCCTTTTGTTTATAAATCTGAGGACTTCAATAAACTGAACTGTGAAGCCAAGTGGATTCTTGTAAGTATAAACGTTCTTCCTTTAGTGTTTTTAGACACTCATAATGAGCATATTTTTATTATTTTAATACTTTATTTGTACTAGCTTTTCAACTTTTTCCACTTAATAAAGAATGCAGGTTATCTTAATTCTTCCATGCAAGTATGCTATTTGATATTCCTAACAATTATAATATTCTAGAAAGGACTGCTGGGTTCAATAGAAATGGGATCTCTTAAAAATGCTATACACATGGATCATCATCATGAACATGAAGAAAGTAATGTAGTTGTTCACAGTGAAAAACACACGAATGAAACATCAGAAGGAAATGTTCTATTTAGCTTTATTACTAACTGCATATAAATAGGAGCAGCTCCAATTATTTTGGGAGGAATTTTTCCTGTGTTTTAGAAAATTGCCAATAAAGCAAAGACCATTCCAAGAGAAAAGTTTATGAATTAAAGTATTCTTAAATTGTTATTTGACTAAGATCTATTCCTTAGCATTGAAAATAACTACTTTACTAGTCTCTAAAATTTAATAACTTATCTGTTACTGCTTTTAATAATACTATCTCTAAGAATTATATTTGTGCTTTCAAATATAATCTTAAATTATAGCTCAAACTTTAATCTCTTTAGATTCTATAAAGAAATCTTCATCTTCGAAATAATAAACTTTATATTCATTTATATTACTATTTTAGGTTGTATTCACTTGTTTGTGTAGCTAAATTAAAATGATCAAAAGTAGTACGAGCTTAAATTACAATCTGATAATGAACCAAGTGAAAAAATAAAAAACAACAAATAAATCTCATTTAGTTAAAATGATGAAACAGAGCTATTTAAAGTGAATAATAGAATGAAAAGAGAAGATTCATTAAACGAATAAAGTGCTACTTAAGATGATGAAATATGAGAATAATTATATTCAAACATTAATATAATTATTTTCTTTTAATTAAATTTTTTTAATTTCATAATATATTTTATATAAATACTACTTCAGCTAAATATTTGTATTTCAAAAAAAAATACTTTTATAAATTTATGCAGCAAAAACTAAAATAAATATTAAAAATTTTAAAATCAGTTAAAATATTTTTTAAAAATTTGGTTCAAATGTTATTTTATAATGAGTTTGTCTCTTTGCTTTTAAAATGATAAAATAATTTTTTAATTTTTTAAATTACTGATATTATTCATCAAGGTTTAAAGCAATGATTTTTACTTTAAAAAGCTTTTGAATCTCATTCATTTTTAATGCTTAAGAAGAAATATTAAATATTAAGTTAAGTTATTTATGACTTTTATGAATTTATTTCACATTAATAATTACTTTATTAGCTTAAAAACATACCATGACTTTTTTGTCTCTAAAAAATATTCTTATTTTTAAGTTTTTAGTTAAAATATAAAATATATTTTTAATTCTTATTTTTCATAATAGCTTTATTATCGATTACTTAACTTTACTTAAAAAAACTATTTTTAAAATAATTAAATTAAAAATTTAAAGTTAAGCTATTAAATGTAAGAAGTGAATTTATTTAATCTAATTTTTAAATTAAATTAAATTCTAAAATTTATGTTATATGATCATTTAGTTGCAATGGTGCTAGCTTATATAAGATAATATAACTAATTTTGTTAAATATTTATTCAATTTATTTAAATATTTCTCATATCATTTTTTATTAAGACAAATGGAACTTTTATAAATTTAAAATACAAAAGTTTTTAAAAGAATTAAATGTATCTAATAATGTAAATTAAGTTTAAATAATATTTTTATCTTCATATTTGTTTTATAATTAGAAATATAAATATTTTATAGCATTATTATGAAGAATTAACTTTCCTATTTTTAGAATTATAAATTTTTAAAATAGAAAGAGTGTTTGAATTATCTCTTTAATTTAAGAGGGAAGATATTTTTGAAATTAAAAATATCGCGGAGGATGAGTGTATATTTATTTTAATTTGATAAGTCGATGAGAGATATAATATGAATATAAAAGTGATGCTATTAGTTTAAAAGAGCTGAATTTAATTTTGATTGCTAAGATAAAAATTAATAAATCTGAGTACTATGTGTACATAAAGTATAAAATCATTCAGTTTAATTTATTGACTAGCTTTTTAACGTATATTTTGAATTGGTTTCTTTCTATTAAATAAGCGGAATATAAAGATATTTCAAATAGATTAAATTTAAATAATAACAAACATATAAAATATATACATGCCTACTTAATTTCTTAAAGCATGCCTTTCATGTTTTTTTGTAAACAGTCAGGGTTATTCAGTCTATTACATTATTTTTACTAGCTGAATTTTTAAAATTTGGCATGGAAATAAAGAAAAGAGGATATTATAATAGACTAATTGTGTGTGTCAACCATTTTGGAAAAACATCAACATGAACAGTGTTATGAAAGAATAAATTTTATGAGAGTTTTCAAATATTTTTTGGTGGGAAGAGATAATTCAAATTAAAACAACATATTTAATACACTTATGAAGTATTTATGCATGTGTAACTTAACTTTGTTTGATTTTGAAGTGTGTTTTTAAATAGCAAAAACAAATTTTTATCTTGAGTTTTTAGAGTTTATAAAAGAAACATTTTGATATAATGAATGGATTAATGTCTAATTTGCTAAATAAAATATAATAATTACCAAATTGCATATTTTTTATTAATAAAAAATGCGCCACCAAGCAATTTAAAACTGTTAAAAAATCTAACTATTAATATTTTTCTAATCTAAATAAAATTTATTTCAATCTAAAAGCTTTTCAAATTGCTACATTTTTTCGTTCAATTTATGACTCTATTTAAGATTTTAGTGTAGCTGTGACATTAAATGTTTTAAAATGTAATCCATCAGAAATTATGTACTGTTAAAAATATCTTTTTTAAATGAAAATATTCAGAAATATCTTATATTTGGTTTACTTCTGTATTATTTCCCTTGCTTAATTTGGAAGTATTCTAATGATAATTAAGAAGCATATAGGTAAGTAAAATTAATTAAAAAAATTTAAATGCGTATATGATACCTTCCTTCCTTCTTTTTTTTTAGTTTACTATCAACTTTTAATAAGCCACAGTATCTTATTTATCTAAAAAAAATGATTCATTTTTTTTCATAAATTTTATTACTCTCACAGCAGTTTGTAAAGAGCTTGTTTATCAAAAATTTATTTAAATTGAGGAGATTAATCTCAATTAACTTCTTTACTGGACATCACTTACTTATGATGAGCCGCATAGGAGAAAAAATCCTTATTTCTATTTATATATTTAAAAATAAATAACAGTCTTTTTGTTATGTAATAACAAATATTTCTATATTAATTCTTTATCATTCTAATATTTTAACTGAATTTAGAAATACTATTTGCTATTAGTGATAGAAAAAACATTCATATGCAAAAAGTTTACTTTTGCTTAATCCGTTTACAGACACGTTTAAAAACTGAATGAGAACATAAAAAGTTGATTTAAATAAGCAAAATACAGTTGATAGCACAAATGAAATTTTGAAATTTTTAATGAAGGCGCTATTTGCGAAAATTAAGAATTATAGCGCTCATTGGAATAATATTTGAAAATCTTTGGTTTAAATATTGAAGAATTTGGATAAAAGATTGAGTTATATTAATTATAAAATTAGAAACATTCATTTCTGCAATACTTTCATAAACAAATAAGAAAAAAAATATAATTAAAGAAAAAGAGTATCAATCAATCAAACGATCTTTCATATAATTAATTGCTGGTTAATAATAAATCATACAAGAAATCTAAACTGCACTAAAATCTGCGAAAACATACATACAAACATAATATAATTAAAATAATAAATTTATTTTTGAACAACTCTCTAATTCAAATATTAACGAATACACTTTTAAACACATTTTAAATTTAAAAAACCTACTATCATGCAACAAATTGAACAAACTAACGAATAACTCTTTGCTCCTTCTAATGTCGACTTATAAAAGGCTGCCAATCCTAAGGTTAACAAGTACTTAGCTACTGGTATGAATCCCCTTCCTCTTTTGAAGTCAAAGAATGATGAAGGCAAGGCTCCTAAGGAGGGTTATGAAGATGAACCCTTACTCAAGGATAACCCTAACCGTTTTGTACTCTTCCCTATCAAGTACAACAAGGTCTGGGAAATGTACAAGAAGGAACTTGCTTCTTTCTGGACTGCTGATGAAATTGATTTATATCAAGACTTGAAAGATTGGGAACGTCTCACTGATAATGAACGTCACTTCATCAAGTACGTTCTCGCTTTCTTTGCTGCCTCTGACGGTATCGTCCTTGAAAATCTCGCTGAATAATTCATGTGTGAAGTCTAAATTCCTGAAGCTCGTGCCTTCTACGGATTCTAAATTGCTATGGAAAACATTCATTCAGAAACTTACTCTCTTTTGATTGACACTTATATTAAGGATGAAGTTGAAAAAGATTATCTTTTCAAGGCTTCTCAAAATGTTCCAGTAATTCACAAAAAGGCTTAATGGGCTCTTAAATGGATTAACAATAACGATAATTTTGCTTCTAGACTTATTGCCTTCGCCGCTATTGAAGGTATCTTCTTCAGTGGTAGTTTCTGTGCTATCTTCTGGCTCAAGAAGCGTTCTTTAATGCCTGGTTTGACTTTCTCTAATGAACTTATCTCTAGAGATGAGGGTCTTCACACTGATTTCGCTTGTTTATTATACTCTATGTTGAATAAGAAGCTCACTAAAGAAGAAATTTATGAAATTATCACCGAAGCTGTTGAAATCGAAAAGGAATTCATTTCTGAAGCTCTTCCTGTAGAATTAATTGGAATGAATAGCAATGTAATTTATAAATTTATTCTTATCTATTTTTAATAATCTTTTAATTTCAGGACATCCTATTTACTAAAATAATAAAACAAGCTATTTTTTGAAGCTTGTTAATCAGTTTATTTTGTATTTACTCTGATATCTTAGATAAAGAATGAAACAAGCTTCTACATATTTGAGCTTGACTTAATTATAATAATATTTAATCCATAAATATTTGACCTACAATAATGCTTAATATTCTGGATAATTAATCCTCCCAATAAAGAATATTCCCAAAATTTTTTAAGCATATCAAACTATAATCAATAGTCTATTTTATATTGATTCTGATATTAGATCATTAATAATTTTTGTTTAAAATATTAGAAAAACTTAGAATTTTCTAAAAAATATTAATTAAAAAAACTAATATTTAATTTTATTTATAATTAATAATAGATGATGAAACAATACTTAGAATTCGTTGCTGACAGACTTTTATTCGCTTTAGGTGTACCCAAATTCTACAACAGTAAAAATCCTTTCGAATGGATGGATATGATTTCTATTTAAGGTAAAACTAACTTCTTCGAAAAGAGAGTTGGTGAATACTAAAAGGCTAACGTTATGTCTTCTAAAGAAGATAAGGTCTTCAGATTAAATGCTGATTTCTGAGATAGATGTGTAATCATTTCAAAATAAAAGCTAAATTGCTTCAATAATTATAAATATTCTCAATTAAAATATTTATTCCTCGCCCAAATAAAAAAAAATGAGCAAGGACAGTTCTTTCAACAAATTAAAAAAAATAAATAACTTGATACTCAAAACAAACATAAAAAAAATCTCCATAAAATAATATAAACAAGCCCTATAATTAAAAATATACTTCTTACTATTAATTTTGTAATTTTATAGTTTATAATTTGTGTATAATATTATTATCCTTACACCATTATAAATCAATCTACTTTTTTAAAATAAAAATAATATTTTATTAAGTTAATGAATTTATAAAAATAATAAAACAAATTTATTTAAAATTATTGTTAACTTTTTTAATTTTAAGTGTAGCTGATTTTTATAGTTTATGTGTACACTGAAGATAGCAACTAAATTTCCTTGTTTCTATAATAAATTTTTAATAATAATTTATACTTTCTTTAATTATTAGTCAAATAAATTAGCTCATTTTTTATCTTTTAAAAAGTAAAAAACAAAAATTATAAGTTTTAAAAGGGATTATTTTTTTGAATTTGCTCAATTATATTAATAAGATTATTATTAAATATTTTGATTACTTTTACTTTCTTCTTTAATTGTAAAATTTATAGTTTTAAATACTCCTTTTAATTAGAATATAATCATTAGTAGCAAAATAATGATTAATTTATCAACATTTTCCTAAAATTAGTCAAGAAAAATATAAAAATTGTTTATTAGTGCTTTTTTATCAATTATGGCCTGGAATCACTATTGAGTTTCAAATATTAAAAAAATGCTTTAAATATTTTAATGGTTTTAGTTTATTTTTTAAAATCAAATTTAAAAAATGTTTAAAAGTATAAATTTATTTAAAAAATAAAAAACTTAAAAAGTTAATACAGGTTTTTTTGAAAAGGATTATAATTTCCATATTTTTTTCTATCATTTTTTTTAAGATTCTTACAATAAATATTTAATCTAATTTAAATATTAAGTTGATAAAATTTGGAAATTTGAAGCTTTAAATTAAATTACTTATTTTAATAGCCTTGTTAAATAGATAAAAAGAAATTTTAAGCTAATTTCAAATTCAAAAAAATTTAAATAAAAAATGTTACTGACTATTTAACATTTAGAATCCAAAAAAAACTAAATTTACTCAATTTTTCAAAATTGTTAAATTAAGATATTCATTAAGTAAAATTAAATAAAATTATTCAATTATTAGATAACTTAATTAACCATATTAAACATTATTTATGACTACCTTAATAGTATGAGCACTCAATTATTGTTGAAACATTTAAAAAAATGTAGCTAAAAAATATTCATAAATTAACTTGATAATATTAGAAATTGTAATTTGACTGAAATTTTTTGTTTAGGCAGTATTCACTTTAGAAAATTTTTTTTATTATTAATTTTAATTTGACTTTAATAAAAGAAAAATATTAACTGTTTAATAAATTTGAATATTCCTATAATAGTTTATTTTTTTATTTTTCTCAAAGTATTTTTTATTTTTTAAAGTAAATTTTATACAATTTAATTTAATATTATTTATTTTAATTAAATTTTTTCATACTTTTCATTTAAGCTTAAATATTTGATTTATCTACTAAATTTAAATTAATAAAATAATTGAATTGAGAGGCAATTTTTATTTATATTCTATTTTGAAATAATATTTTTTACATATCCATCTCATTTAAAAAAATTATAAATTATAATTTTAAATATTAGAATTTAAAAATTCTAATAGATAGTTTTTTATTAAAATATTTCATAAAAGAAAAAGCTATTTAGCTTTTATATGTTATTAAATATTAATAAATTTCTATTTAAAGACACTGTTATTAAATTTTAAAGTAATAGATCTATTTTATCTTTGTAATTTATGTTAAATTAAAATTAATTATTTGCTAATACTATCAAATTAGTGAAATTCATAATTTTTGATTTTAAAGTAAGGGTTAAGAAAACAAAAATGATATATCAATTTTTATCAATTTTTAAAAAAATAGAATTTTAAATAGGATTATTATTAGTATTTCCTTAAGTCCTTCTTCTGCTAGCTTGTTCAATAACGATAGCTATCTCTAAATGTTAAAATTTTATAGAACTAGGTTCACTTTATTTTTATTTGGAAAATTAGTAAACACAATTCGCTAAATAACTTAATAATGGAGTACTTTAAATCTTCTAGTATGACATACAGCATGAACAATCTGTTATTAATTCTATATATAGGTCATTTCTTTAAATAATTAATCAAAAAATGAAAACAAATGAGTATTTTATGATGCCAATCCTAAATATAGAAGATACATACTACAATATTGGAAATTAATATCTTTTAAATTTATACCAAAATAACATGACTTAGATTTCAAGTTGGTAAATTTAATTTAAATCAAATTTGAAATTGAATATACTTTATTATTTTTTTAAACATGTTTTATTCATAAGATTTAAAAATGATTTTATTAAATAATTTTTAAAAAAATAAAGAAAGAACATAATTCTTCATAAGTAGAAGTTTTTTTTATTAATTTAAATATATAAAAATTTTTAATAGAATATCAACTAAATTTTATAATTTTTCTTATTTTTTGTTTGTTAAAAACATCTAAAGTCCCATATCTCATTTTTTAAAATAAATTTAAATTAATAATTATCTTAATAAAATACAAGGTATTAATAAAACTCATAAATTCTAAGCAATTTAGATCAGGTCTCTTAGGATTAGATAAAATATTCTAGTTTCATTGATTTTATTTGGAAATCAAGCCTTTCATCTAAAAATACTCAATCTCACTCATAAAAAAATTTAAAATTATTTGTCAAATCATATTTCATGGTATTTAATTATGATGGTATGTTTTTTGGCTCAAAGGCAAATATGACTTACTAAAATATTTAAGACTATTGTTTTAGCAGTAAATTTGATTCTAGATGCCAAGAGTATTTTATAGTAGCTAGTTAAAATAATAAAAATACTACCTCAATTTATCCACCTACTCAATTTATGTATGATGCATTTAATTAGCCATTCATTGCGACAGGAATATGCAAGAAATTTAGTAACTTAAATCAATTTAGCAAAATTTTAGTCTCAAAATCTTCTAATAATTCTTATCAAGATGATATGTATTCAATAATTTGTAATGCTATTTATTTAGAAAATTAAAAAGAAATATTGTAAACTTAAAATGATACTAGTGAAGTAAGAATAATTTTCGAACCAAAAACTGAAAGAGTTTTGTTTTAGAGCGATAAGGTAATTCAATAAAATTCTATTTTGTCTTTGGAAGAATCATTTTTAAATAGGATTGACTCACAAGAGCAATTAGATTATTTTAAATAGTAAATATCTTAATTCTAATCTTAGATGCAAAGCTTTTGCTCCACAACTAAAAGTGATATTTATAAAGTAGCTTAAAGCCAAATAATTTCTAATTTTACTTTCTTTTCTAAAGGTTAATAATTTAATGTTGTGTAGTAATTCACTTACTTAATAGACAAAAATATTAACAATAACAATGAAATAACTTACTGCTATTAAAATAATTATTAGCTTCTCACCATAAGTTCGTTAGAGCCATTTAAGTAAAAAGTAGAAGATTTAAACGATTAGATCAAAATAATAAGTATATTATTTTTTACTACGATTCTTTTAATTGCAATGCTTGGTTTTGTTTTTTCTGTTATTTTCTCTTTTTCATTTTGTAAATAAATGAATATTTCAATCTAACATCTAACAAATATTATGAAAATACTTTCTATTGATGAAGATACAAAAGAATAAATTTTGCTTTAAGGAAGATAAATTTTAAATTAATTTGAACAAGAAGAAGAATGCATATTTAACTCAAGTGACATAAATCTTGTTTATGAGAGCTTTTAAAATTTATTTTAAGTGATAATTTTTGCAAACCAGTCTATCTACAACTAAGATGAGAGTCTCAGCATTATGCAGCTAAATTAAGCTATTTAATTCTTTAAAAAGTTTCAAAACTAGAGAGCTTTAGGAATATGTTACAACAATATTGCTAATATTCACTTCTCTAATGGAAGATATAATGAAGCCTATGATTATTACTGTTTATCAGTGGTCTGCTGTAGATACGAGCTAAATATGTACTAAGAAAATGAAACAACTACTATCAATAAGCTTGAAGAAACCCAATAAAAACTCAGTATTAACAGCTAAAAATCTAATGGTAAAAGCAAAACTAGCTCAATTAACAAATAAACTGAAAAATAAATTTAAAGAAAAACTGAATAAGTTGTTAGTTAGGAGCAATAAAGCTAAATTAGAGATAAAAATTAAAAAAATATATCAAACAGAGTAAGAAAACAAAAATTTTATGATATTAGTAAGAATTTATTATAAGATGATTTTGATAAATATGATATACTATTTACAAGAAAATTAAATGGATTTAAATGTGCTTTATTTTTTATGGTCTATAACAGAAATTAATCAGATTTTGATGCACTTGAAGTACTCTTAGCAGAGGTAGAAGAATTAAACGAATTGTATTATAATTAATTATCAAAGAGCAATAAAAATTAAATATTCATTAATTTTTTTTACACGTTCATACACGGATTGAAGCAAGACTTACAAAGTTATGAAGTGTTTATTAAAGAAAACGATGAAATTTACCTTTAGTGCATCTTGGAAGCTTAACAATAAAAAAATTAAGTTATGAATATAAATGATAATAATTTAAATAATTTATAAGTAATGACTATCAGCCAACCATAGGATACTTATTAGTAAAACTAAAGTAAAGCTCAATAACAAAACATCAAAAATCTGTAGATTTAATAGTAGGAATATATTTATTAACAACAAGATATAACCATTTCAGAATCAACAGACTAAAATTTTTTCTCTTTGAATAGATCAAATACAACTTTTACTTTGAATAAGTATTAAAAAAGAAACTCAAAAGTTGATTAAATATCAAATGGAACTTTGAAAGATAAGCTTAATAATAAATTTTCATAAATTTTTGGTATGAAAACAATATTATCAAACAAAAAATCGCCAAATTAAAAAGGTAGAAGCAGCTTAGTAAATTACCTAAAATAGCCTTTGAATGATACAAAATTCTCAAACTAAAATTAATTAAAACCAGAAAATGAATATGCTCCAAATACAAAATTAAATTAAACTTAATTAAATTTTATTTAAAGCAGCTTATCCAAGTCAAATATACAAAAATAATTAAATGCAGTAAAAGAGAGTAAAAATATTCCTTTTCTATTATTGAATGTAGATTAGATGTTTTAATACTTTTACTTCAATTAACTTGGAACTTATAATCTATTAATTAAATAATTCAAGTCAGCTGCTGAAAATTTCACAAGAATGTTTGAAGAATGCAAAAGAATCATCCCCTACTAAAAGAACATTTGCATAAAGAAAATGATTTAAATTTTTATTTCATTTAATTTAACACATCCACTTTTAGATTAAATGTATATCTAATAAATAAGTGATTTATCATATAAAATAACTGTAGTTTACTTTGATCAAACAAATAAAGCAAAAAATCTAACTAATTCATCAAAAAATATCTTAAATAAATTTTACCAATCTAATCTTGATTATTAGTACTAAGTTATAGATTAGATTTAAGGTTAAGATGCTAGGTCTTAGATATTTGATTTTTGCTAGAAAATAATAGACTAATTACTGAAGTACAATGACGATCATTTTGGATTTATCTTAACTTCAATAGAAGATATGTGCATCTCTTAAAATATAGCTACAACTAAATTTGAGTTAATTAATAAAAATAAAAAAATGTTCAAGTAAGTATTGTTTGAATGTCTTTTAGCTGAATAAGTAAATAAAAGTGAAAGAAAAATTGAATCATAATTAATATAAGATTATATTCTTTTAGAAGTGGAAGAAGACTAAGATATTTCAATTTATAACAATACAAAAGAATAAGAAAAAAGTTTACCAAGTGATTTTTATTCAAATTTATATGGACTAAATGAAGTTAAAAAATTAAATGTTCCAGTTTCGCAAAAGTAAACATTTAAATAAGTAATATAAAAAAAGTTAAAAGTAGATTTGAATAAAAGTGATAAAAATAATTAAAACATAAGAAAAATGTTTTATTTCAGTATTAGAAAAGCAATTTAAGAATTAGTAAGTAGCAATGGAGCAAAGGCATTACATTTTAAACTAAATTCAGCCTTTCATAATAAAAAAAATGAAAATAATCACATTTTTAAATAGCATAATTTGAATAATAAACTGGAATTTATAAAAGAATTCCTAAGAGCAAACGAAATGAAAAAAAAATTCTTCAAAAATGTAATAATTTTTGTAACAAGTGACTTGAATGCTTTTGATTAGGACGAAGATTAATTTAAAAGCATCATTAAATATTTAAGAATTTTTGATATAGAGCTTTGTATCTTATTTTAAAATGATCAATATTTAATAGAAGAAAAAACCTAATTCGAAAATATAATTTTTGAAAATAAATATGTAGTAAACTATTTTTTCAACTCCAGTAATCTTCATGATTATCTCAATACTTGCAGATGTAGTAAATACCATGACTCTATCCCTTAGTTTATAGAATACTTTTGAAGAACTATAATTTAAATAATATTTATTATAAACAATTTGAATTAACTTTTTATTATAAAATTAGCTTTTATAAATATTGAAAAATTGCAGCATATTAATTTTTTTATTCTCCCATATGTACATAACAATTTGCTTTAATTTTTAATCATTTATCTTATTTATTCATTTTCTTAATTTTTATCTATTTAAATGTAAAGGATAAAAAGAATGCGAACTTACTAGTATAGTAACAAATTTTGATGTATTTATTTTATTCTACTGGGTTTGCATTCCATTATCCTTTATATGCTATTGTTACAAGCCTTTCTAAATAAATTATAGAAATTGTAAAATTAAAAAAAAATTTAATTGAGATATTCATTAAGCTAAATTAAATCAAATTATTAATTAACTAAATTACTAATTTTAAATTTTAGTTTATAAATACCTTAATAATATGAACACTCACTTATTGTTGGTAGATTTTTTAAAATTTATTAAAAAAATATATTAGAAAAAATTAAAAATCTTAAATATATATCAACTTAACATATAACATATATGCTACAGTATTATTATAAATTTAAATTCTTGATACTAATAATATTATAATAAATTTTTTACAATTAAATATCACTTGTTTTAATGATTTTAGTTTAATTTTTTCATGTCTCAGATGATTAAATTTTCTATTTAAGCAAAATATAAGAATAACTTCCAAATTTAAATAATTAAAACAAACTAATTGAGAGACAGTTTTTTAAAAAATTTTTATATCCATCTCAATATCTCAGTATAATATTAATCATCAGAAAAATATAAATAATAATTTTAAGTATTAACAATTTATAGAAATCTACAAAATATAAATAGATAGTTTGATATAAAAATATTCCATAAATAAAAACTACTCAGCTTTTATATCTTGCTAAATATATATAAATTTATATTAAAAAACTAAATTTTAAAGTAGTAGATTCTATTTTATTTTTATAATTTATGTTTTATTAAAATAAATTAATTGCTAATATATCAAACTAGTGAAATTCATAATTTTTCAGTTTAAAGTAAGGGTTAAGAAAACAAAAATGACATATAAATTTTTATCAATTTTTAAAAAAATTGAATTTTAAATAGGATTATTGTTAATATTTCCTTAAGTCCTTCTTCTGTTAATTTGTTCAATAACAATTGCTGTCTCTGAATTTAAATATTTAGTAGAATTAGATTCACTATATTTTTATTTGGGAAATTAGTAAACAGAATTCATTAAATAACTTAATAATGGAGTATTTTAAATCTTCTAGTACGATTTACAGCATGAATAATGTGTTATAAATTCTATATATAGATCATTTCTTTATATAATTAATCAAAAAATGAAAAGAAATGAGTAGTTTATGATGCCTATCCTAAATATAGAAGATACCTACTACAATATTGGAAATTAATATCTTTTAAATTTATATCAAAATAACATGACTTAGATTTCAAGTTGGTAAATTTAATTTAAATCAAATTTGGCATTAAATATACTTTATTATTTTTTTAAATCTGTTTTATTGAAAAGATTTAAAAATGATTTTATTAAATAATTTATAAAAAAATAAAGTAAGAAGTCATAATTCTACAAAAGTAGAAGTTTATTTATTATTTAAAGAAATAAAAATTCTGACTTCAATAAATACACTTTTCTTTTTTATTTCTCAAATGCTTATTTCATAAAAAATAAATTAAGAAATGAAATTTTTTTTGAAATTATTAAAATTTTAAATGAAAAAAGAAAATAAGTGAGTTATACAATCATAAATTATATTTTTAGTTTTTTAATGAAATTATAAATGACATTTTACAATAAATTTGTATTAATATATTATTTCATTATATTTTATCAACCTAATTTTTTAAATTTTTCTTATTTTTTGTTTATTAAAAACTTCTAAAATTATTTTTTTTAAATAAATGCTTTATTACCCTAATTTATAGATCATTATATAAAATATTTTAAATTAATAATTATCTAAACAAAATACAAGGTATTAATAAAATACATAGATTCTAAGCAATTTAGATCAGGTCTCTTAGGATTAGATAAAATATTCTAGCTTCGTTGATTTTATTTGGAAATCAAGCCTTTAATCTCAAAATACTCAATCTCACTCCTAACAAAATTTAAAATTATTTGTCAAATCATATTTCATGGTATTTAATTATGATGGTATGTTTTTTGGCTCAAAGGCAAATATGACTTACTAAAATATTTAAGACTATTGTTTTAGCAGTAAATTTTATTCTAGATGCCAAGAGTATTTTATAGTAGCTAGTTAAAATAATAAAAATACTACCTCAATTTATCCACCTACTCAATTTATGTATGACGCATTCAATTAGCCATTTATTGCGACAGGAATATGCAAGAAATTTAATAACTTAAATCAATTTAGCAAAATTTAAGTCTCAAATTTTTCAAATGATTCTTATCAATAAAATATGTATAGAATCATTTGTAATGCTATTTATTTAGAAAATTAAAAAGAAATATTCTAAATTGAAAATGATACTAGTGAAGTAAGAATAATTTTCGAACCAAAAACTGAAAGAGTTTTGTTTTAGAATGATTAAGTAATTCAATAAAATTCTATTTTGACTTTGGAAGAGTCATTTTTAAATAGGATTGACTCACAAGAGCAATTAGATTATTTTAAATAGTAAATATCTCAATTCTAATCTTAGATGCAAAGCTTTTGCTCCACAACTAAAAGTGATATTTATAAAGTAGCTTAAAGCCAAATAATTTCTAATTTTACTTTCTTTTCTAATGGTTAATAATTTAATGTTTAGCAATAATTCACTTACTTAATAGACAAAAATATTAATAATAACAATGAAATAACTTACTGCTATTAAAATAATTATTAGCTTCTCACCATAAGCTCGTTAAAACCATTTGAGTAAAAAGTAGAAGAATTAAATGATTAGATTAAAATAATAAGAATATTATTTTTTATTTTGATGCTTTTAATTGCAATATTTGGTTTTGCTTTTTCTGTTATTTTCTCTTTTTCATTTTGTAAATAAATGAATATTTCAATCTAACATCTAACAAATATTATGAAAATACTTTCTATTGATGAAGATACAAAATAATAAATTTTACTTTAAGGAAGATAAATTTTAAATTAATTTGAACAAGAAGAAGAATGCATATTTAACTCAAGTGACATAAATTTGGTCTATGAGAGCTTTTAAAATTTATTTTAAGTGATAATTTTTGCAAACCAGTCTATCTACAACTAAGATGAGAGTCTCAGCATTATGCAACTAAATTAAGCTATTTAATTCTTTAAAAAGTTTCAAAACTAGAGAGCTTTAGGAATATGTTACAACAATATTGCTAATATCCACTTCTCTAATGGAAGATATAATGAAGCCTATGATTATTACTGTTTATCAGTGGTCTGCTGTAGATACGAGCTAAATATGTACTAAGAAAATGAAACAACTACTACCAATAAGCTTGAAGAAATCCCCTAAAAACTCAGTATTCACAGCTAAAAATCTCATAGTAAAAGCAAAAGTAGTTCTATTAACAAATAAACTGAAAAATAAATTTAAAGAAAAACTGAATAAGTTATTAGTTAGGAGCAATCAAGCTAAATTAGAGATAAAAACTAAACAAAAATATCAAACAGAGTAAGAAAACAAAAATTTTATGATATAAGTAAGAATTTATCATAAGATGATTTTGATAAATATGATATACTTTTTACAAGAAAATTTAATGGATTTAAATGTGCTTTATTTTTGATGGTTTATAACAGAAAGTTATCAGATTTTGATGCACTTCAAGTACTTTTAGAAGAGATAGAAGAATTAAATGAATTGTATTACAATTAATTATCAACAAACAATAAAAATTAAATGATTATTAATTTTTATCACACTTTCATACACGGACTTAAACAAGAATAATAAAATCTTGAAGTATTTATCAAAGAAAATGATGAAATTTACCTTTAGTGTGTCTTACAAGCTTAAGAAGAAAAAATTTAAGCTACAAAGCTAAATCAAAATTTAAATAATTTATAAGTAATGGTATTCAGTCAGCCGTATAACTCTCATTAATAAAACTAAAGCAAAGTTTAAGAACAACTTATCTCAAATTTATAGATTTAATAGTAGGAATATCTTTATTAACAATAAGATATAGTAATATAAGAATCAACAGAATAAAATTTATACTCTCTTAATAGATCAAATACAACTTTTACTTTGAATTAATATTAAAAAAGACACTCAAAGGTTGATTAAATATCAAATAGCACATTGCGAGATAAGCTTAATAGTAAGTTTTCATAAATTTTTGGTAAGAAAATAATCAAATAAAACGAAAGATCACCAAATTAAAAAGGTAGAAACAGCTTAGTAAATTATTTAAAATAGCCTTTGAATGATACAAAATTCTCAAACTAAAATTTATTAAAATCAGAAAATGAATACACTCCAAATACAAAAACAAAGTATTCTTAATAAAATTTTATTTAAAGCAGGTTATCTCAATCAAATAGCATAAAATAAAATGATACAATTAATGAGAGTAAAAATATTCCTTTTCTATTTTTGAACGTAGATTTGATGATATAATACTTTTACTTCAATTAACTTGGAACTTATAATCTATTTCTTAAATAATTCAAGTCAGCAGCTGAAATTTTCACTAGAGTATTTGAAGAATGTAAAAGAATTATACCTTACTAAAAGAATATTTGCATAAAGAGAATCATTTAAGTCTTTACTGCATTTAATTTAACACACCCTCTTTTAGATTAAATGTATATTTAATAAATTAGTGATTTTTCATATAAAATAACTGTAGTTTACTTTGACCAAACAACTAAAGAAAAAAATCTAAATAGTTCACCAAAAAATATCTAAAATAACTTTTCACATTCAAATCTTGATTATAAGTACAAAGTTATAGATTAAATATATGGTTATGATGCTAGGTCTTAGATATTTGATTTTTGCTAGAAAATAATATACGAATTACTTAAGTACAAAGATGATCATTTTGGATTTATCTTAACTTCAATAGACACTATGAGCATCTCTTAAAATATAGCTACAACTAACTTTGAGTTAATTAATAAGAATAAAGAGATGTTCAAGTAAGTATTGTTTGATTGTCTTTTAGCTGAATAAGTAAATAATATTGAAAGAAATATTTAACCATATTTAATATAAGACTATATTCTTTTAGATAATGAAGAAGACTCCTAAGAAATTACAATTTAAAAAAATACAAAAGAATAAGAAAAAAGTTAACTAAGTGATTTTTGTTCTCATTTATATGGACTTAAAGAAGTTTAAAAATTAAATATTCCAATCTCACAAAAGCAAGCATTTAAATAAGTAATATAAAAAGAGTTAAAAGTTGATTTGAATAAAAGTGATTAAAAAAACTAAAGCATAAGAAAAATGTTTTATTTCAGTATTAGAAAAGCAATTTAAGAATTAGTAAGTAGCAATGGAGCAAAGGCATTACATTTTAAACTAAATTAAGCACTTCATAATAAAAAAAACGAAAATAATCACATTTTTAAAAAGCATAATTTGAACAATAAACTGGAATTTATTTAAGAAGCCCTACGAGCAAATGAAATGAAAAAAAAGGACTTCAAAAGTGTTATAGTTTTTATAACAAATGACTTTAATGCTATTGATTAGGACGAAGATTAATTTAAAAGCATCATTAAATATTTAAGAATTTTTGATATAGAGCTTTGTATTTTATTTTAGAGTGATGAATATTTAATTGAAGAAAAAACCTAATTTGAAAATATAATTTATGAAAATAAATATGTAGTAAACTATTTTTTCAACTTCAGTAGCCTTCAAGATTATCTTAATACTTGCAGATGTAGTAAATACCATGATACTATACCTTAATTTATTGAATACTTTTGAAAAAGTATAGTTTACATATGCAGTAGGTCTTAATTATACACATTTCAACCTAGTAAAAAAAGGAATGTCTAAATTTAGATTTGAGTTTATGAATTTTAAGAACATGTTTTAATAGATCTTTATTGGGGTTACAATTTGAGCTACACAAAATAAAAATTTAAGCAGAGTTAGGTAATGAAATTATTATTGCTAATTGCAGAATTTTTTTTTTTTGTAAGAGCGAGATAAATTAATATAATATTAAATAAATTTATATAATAGTATTTTATATGTTTTTATGTTATTTGTATTAAGTTTATAATAGTTTAAATAAAGTGAATATGACTGGAGAGATGAAATATATATTTTTTTCTTTTTTGACTGGGATCAAATTCACTTTTTACTATATATGTTTCTAGAAAATTAATTAAGTAAATTTTAATATTTTGATTTGATTTCAACTAAAATTAAAAATGTAATATTATAAATCAAAAAACTATTATAAAAAATAAATCAGGTAATTTAAAATTATAAATTTTATTTTTACTTTTATGCTAGTTTTATTTTCTTAAATTATATCTAGTATTCTTATTCTTATATTAACTTATTGTAAACACTTTTTATAATTAATATTTAAGCCTTGAAATTAAAAAAGCACAAATTGATTTTATGAGGAAGTTAACATAATCAAAACTTGTTTATTAAAAAATATAATAAATAGAATTTTAAACATTTTATTCTTATTTATTTATTAGTTTAGTTTTTTTAAGTTAATAATCAAAAATCAAAAAAAAATAAATAAAGAGATAAATAAATAGAAAATAAGTTAAGTAATCACTAACTAATTGATTATAAAATCAATATATTAAAATGAAAGCATATTTAATATTTTTTATAGTATTATTTAAATAAATTTAAACATTTATCTAAGCACAGAGCTCAGTAGATTTCGTATATAGCTCTATTCCTTATAAAGAATATGACTTAAAGAGTATAAATGGAACATCTAGTGATATTAAAGTTGCATCTTCAGCTAGTATAGCAGTTATTGCTATTGGCTAAGGAGGATTGATGGTTATAGATAGTTCTTTTAAAAGTTATTATATTTAACCTTCAGATTAAAGTTTTGTGTAAACCGTTTAGATTACAAATGATGCTAACTTTATATTTATAGGAATGAAAGAAAAGATAGGTATTTTAAGGGTTGACTAAAAAGATTTTAGTGTTCATATGATTAACCAAATTGATGATCCATCTATAACAATTGTAGATATTTAATTAAGCTTAAATGAAGAAATTATGTTTATAATTGGCTATTTGGGAATATTATAATGGTATGATGTAAGAAATATGACTAATATTATTTAACTTGGATAGTTGAACTATCCTTTAATGGTTTTTTATAATGGACATATCTCTCCAAATGATAATCTTTTTTACATAGCCGCTGATTAAGATGGATTACTTGCTTTCAAGATTGATAAATATTTAGAAAATGATAATCTACATGTAAATCTTACAAGAATATTAAGAAAGCCAGCTATTTCTAGCATGGTAAATTTTGTTATCTAAAGTAACAACTAGTATGTTATTGCTATAGATATGTGGGAAGGAATTTTTCTACTTTAAAATTTGAATTAATTGATGCTAGTAGGAGATAATGTTGAAGATCAAAATGAAAGTAAATCAAATAACATTAATTTTAAATCTATTATGACTAAAAAACATTTGACAAATTCATAAATTACTTTTTTTTTCTCTTTAAATTTAACAAGTAAATAATTTTAGGTGTAAATCTTAGTTTATTTTACATTATTCATTTTATTTAACTAAGCAATAAGTAAGTAGAAGTAAATTATAAATCAATTATTAATTAATTAATTATTCATTCATCCCCTAATTAGTAAAAGTAAAAATTGATCAATTGAGAAAAAATAAAAATTATATTAAATCACTTAGTTTAATATTTGAATCAAATAGTTGATTAAATACAAAAACAATTTAAAAACAAAATATCTTTCTTATAATTTATTTTAAGATTTTGTTAATTTTTTATTTTAGATTTATTAAATTTTTTTATTTTAATTTAAAAATAAATATATTTAGGTATTGTTAATATGATCATGCTAAACATAACAACCACTTCTGAATTTCTTTCTTCTATAGCTATAAGTTCTGATGATAAATTTCTCTATATTGGTGCAAGGTCTTTGGGTATACTAATATATAATATATAAGATGTCCTTAATCCTTAGTTTTTTTAGTAAATTCAATTAAATGGGTAATCTTTTTCAATAGGCTTATCTCCTAGATTAAACAATAATAACAACAATAAATTTGATAACTAATACATTTTTTATTCCAATTCCTTATCTGTGTATGTTTTTCGAAAATAACAGCCTTAGCTTTTTAACTAAATACCAAACTTATTTAATGTTTAATAATCTTAGATGTTTACATAAAGTACTTCTAATTATAAATGGAGATGCACAATATCTTAAAATAATAATTATTTTTTAGGTGGTTTTGACAAAGATGGCCTCTGTGTATTTAAAATTTAAGTTAATTCCTACACTGAATAAAATCCTTCCAAAATGTAATTATAATATTAATTTGATTCGGTACTTCAATAAATAGTTAGTACAAACAAACTTATGTAATTTAGCTCTCCTGATTAAATTCCTTGGGGATTCTATGTTGAAAATATATATTTTTCAAAAAATGACTAATATATTTATTTTACTTCTACATAATATGATTTAAATATAATTGCATACAGATTTAAAGTTATTGTTTCCGATAATGGTGAATATTCCTTTTAATTTGATAAAGCCTTAGTATATGATTAAGTTTATTATAGTGAGTAAATGGACTTAAGTGAAGACGAATAACATGCTGTAATGTCTTACTAAGTTGGAATAGCTCTCGTTGATTTTGTGAAATTCGAAGTTATATCTATGTACAGTAATTCAGATGTAATAGGTAATTTTTGTGGTGCTGTTCTATCTCATGATAAAAAACATGCATTGGCAGTTGCTAGAAATGTTGGATTATTTATTTACGATACTTCAGATATGAAAAATCCTAAATTGGTTAATCAATGGAGGACAAGTGGTGGCGAAACCTTAATGAGATCAAAAACAGATCAAATTATATATTTAATTGACGGATTTAATGGATTAGTGCTATTAGACTCTACTTAATTACCTCAGATAGTTGTTATTGGAAGCTTTATCACAAATGGCTGGGCAAAATATATTTCCTTTACTTTAGATGAGAAATACGGAATAATATCTACTACAGATTCAGGAACTTTAACTTTGATAGATTTAACAGACAAATAAAATTTAAGAATTATAATGAAATCCACCATCTAATAGTAAACCTCTACAACAACCTGTGTTGGTAACTACAAATTAAAGCTTATTTCATTATTAAAAATTTTTTTTTTTTCATATTGATTGATTTATTTATTTTAGATTAAACAGGTTTATCTTTTTTATTCTCGACTAATAAATACGGAGTGAGACTGTATAACTTGCAAAATTAAGTGCTTATTCATGTTGAAAGAGAAGTTTTAAATGGAGCTGATACTTCTCTTCAAATGAAAAGTAACGAAAATTTTCTAATAGGTTAGTCCTACATAATTAGGTTTACTTCTCTCTATAAAAAGTAAAACTAAATAATTTCATAAATATATTACTACAATAATTTGTAGCTGAAAAGTTTACCTAATTGGATTGATATCGATTAAAATTAGAGTGATCCTAATTTATAAATTGTGCTAAATCTAGTGATTCCGAAAGAATCTTTGGATTTTGAAAACGACTTTTAAAGCTATTTAATTTTGGTTACTTAAACATGTCTTTAGCTAGATGAAAAATCTTTTATATTTAACAACGAAGATATTACCACAACTCAAAATGAAAGCGCTTTAATCTTTTAATTTCTTCAGCATAATGGTTACACAGATAGGTAAAATTGTGCAACTAACTTATTTGACTCTACTTAATAGCAATACCTAAATATTTAAACAGCTTTTGCTGGAATCAGCATAGATCCTGTAAGGTTTGATATGATTTAATAATATGTAACAGAAACTTTTAAGAGATCAATTATTTTGAATTAATTTATATTTAATGTTGAAAGCTCTTTGTATTTTAACATAACTAACTCCTCATAAATGATTTTTTCAAACGTTAAAGATGTTACTGTAAGTCTAACTCTATCAAATAATTCTCCTTTTATTTTCGTTCAAAAAATATATCCCAGCTTAATTATTTATTTTAATGAGTAATTAACTCAAATGAAAATATAAGGGTAATTGGATTACATAAATTAAGTTTTTTATAATAAAATTTTATATTTTGACTAAAGGATAGCAGGGAAAAATGGAACTTATAATGAATCATAGTAAATTTCAGTTTAAATTATTGATAATGTTAATTATGATTTAAACTTAAACTTTAATATATCTTAATAAGTCTCATTCTTAAAGCTTAAATCTGATATAATCTAGCAAAAATCGATTTAGGATTAAGTTAATAAGTAATATCATTTAGCTGAACTCTAAATTGATGATCAATTCATGATCGAATTTGATTAGAACACATTTTAGGATACAGACTCCATTACTTTAACATACCAAATACTATAAAAAATAAATGGAGAATATTCTCCACTTTCTTCAGATTCTTTTATTAAATTTGATAGTTTAAACCTTCGTATACAAGGAACCCCTCCTTCTAGCTATTTATTTCAAACTGTTTATCTTAGATTTCAAGTTACAAACGGATATACAATCAATTTTTAAGATTTTTACTTAAGAATATACCTGATGTCCTTCACCTACATTTTTAACTTATTAATTCAAATTTTAGGTCCATTGGCTTTTGCTGTTGGATTTTATAAATAAAGATCTATTTTCATGAATATTTATTTTAAAAATAAAACTTTATACTCAACAGAAACTGCTTATGTCAATCAAATTTATAGAAAAAAAATAGCTATTTTAGACTAAGATTATAGTATTGCGAGCTTATTTTTCTAAAAGTTTCTGAAAAAGATTGGTCAATCTTTATAAAAAGTAACAGTCGTTCAAAAATAATTGTAATCCTAGGTTTTTAATAGAACTAAAACTCCAAATTTATAAGTGAATTAATCTATGAATTTCTCATTTGAGAATCGTAATAGCAGCTTTAATACAAAACAGTAAGAAAATCCAGTTATCAAAGTCTAAAAAACATAAATGTTTTTAGCAAATGAATCATAACAAGCTTGCTTTGATAAGCTTTTACTTGATAAAAAACAGCATGATAAGATTAATTTAAGTTAAAATAATTAAGACAAAGAATAATAAAACTTATAAAAAAGTTAAGCATTAAAAAAAAATAAATCAAAAAAATAAAAAAATTCCCATCATTTTTCATAAAAATTTAGCTTGAAATAAAAATAAATTAAGCAATAATTAGAAATGTCGAACGATAATACTTCATAAGTTAAATTTAAATAAACAGAAACAATTAAGGATCAAAATGAATAAATAAACTCAAACTAAAATCAAAATACTTCAGAAGTAGAATAAGAAAATGATTTAGTAAATTAAATATTTTAAAATAGTAAATCAAAATATAAAGAATCATAGCAACTTTCAAGCAAACAAATTAGGAAATAAAAACTTCCTAATCAAATATTTGATATATAAAATGATAATAGTTCTTAGTATTCTCACTAGCTTAACTTTAAAAAAACAGATACAATTAATGATCAAAATGAATAAATAAACAATATTATTTAAAATTTTTGCTTATAAAATGTCAATAATAGTCTGTACGGTTTTGTTTAATTTTTAGTTAAAGGCACTTAAGACTCACTTAACTTGGAGAAATTATTTAATATTATGATCTAATAAAACTTGACTATTTAATTAAATATGTAAAATTACCAAATATAAAATTATGCCAAAGATTTGTAAAATGAAAATAGCAGGTTTTATTACTGCTTAAAAGCAATAGTTGTGAGATTTTTATTAGAAAATGAAAAAAAAACTCTTAATGCCTATCAACAGCTGAAAAAAAACTCTATAAAAGCAGGAGAGTACTTAGCAAACGATTGGTATAAGGATTATGTTGAAGTTACAGCTACAAATGAGTTAGACTAATTTGGAGTACCATTAGCATTTTCGAAAACAACTTTAAAAAATCATGAAATAGTTAAGTAACTAAAATTGTTACAGATGATACCAAATATTTAAAATACTAGTCTAAATCAGTTCTATTCTATTTAAAAATATGGTATAAATCCATTCTTACTTAAAGAAGGTATTATTTATTTTTTATATTTAATTCTTAGATTATAAATTTTTTAAAAATTCAATTAATAATTTAAAGTCCTCTTTGCTGATGCTCTGGGCTTAGATCTAGTCAACTCCAAAAATATAGTTAAATGCTATGGTGAATCTCTTCATTTAAAAAAGAATGAATTAATGTCAGTAGAAGCTTTCGAAAAGATAGAAGAAGGTTGCTGCTTGTTTTTAAGAAAGTTTTTTAATCTTTAATATAAAAGTCTGCCCATTTCTAAATATGTCTCTTTACCAAGCTGGTTATCCTACGATTACAAAAACGGTGTCATAATTTTGGAAGGAATACCCACCAAGTTAGATATTAATCATTATATCATAAGAGTTTACGATAATATTCGCTTTGTTTGCTTCTAGTATCATTTGATAATCAAAGATAATTCTTATGATGTAGATCAGGTTTAAGGTAATACCAACTCAGTAGATGAATTTCAAAACTAAATTAAAAAGTTTTCATAAAGTTTTGAAATAATGAATGCCTCTCAATCTCCTCTACTGTAAACAAAATAGGTAATATAGGCAAATTAATCTTCTTTTCTGAAAGAAATTTAATCCTAAAAAATAGAAAACTTAGTAAATATAGCATTTGATTAATCTATCAAAATAAATTATTCCAACCCTAGCTCAATTAATATTGATTAAAAAAATGATGAAATTGATGAAAAAGCTGACTATATAAACAGATCAGTAGGTGAATTAGATAATAAAGTTTCCTCTTTACCACACTTTAAGTATGGTCCTTAGCTGAAAATTCCTTCTTTTTAAAATACACAAAATCCAATAAATAAAAATTAATTTGAAGACACTAAATAATTGAGTAGCAATTAAATTTGATGAAATCTGAAAAATTATTTTTAAAAATAAATTCCATAAAATATATTTTTTATTATCCAAAAACAAATAAAAATAAGTTTATTTTTATATTTTAAATCGTTTTTAAAATAAATTTAAAATAAACGATTTATACTTTTTTAATATTTTTAATTAATTTTTTAATAAATACTTAATTTTTTTAAAAAATTAAAATAAATTTTAATTTTGAATATATTTATTGTGCTTTTGAAAAATATTTTATATTTTAATATTTATTGTAAAATCTAATTGAAAAAGCTGCTTCAATTTTATATATGTTCTATTTATCATTTTAAATAATTATTAAATAAATAATGACACATTTCATTTGTAAAATCTTTAAATTTAATAAAAGCAGAAAGAAATAAGTAACACAAGCTTTTTGATATTAGAAAATAAATGTGTAAATACTAATAAAATTTTTTTATCTAATTCAGCTAATTTTTATGGGTGATATATTTATTCTTTTTTACTCAAGATTAAATGATAAATAAATATTTTTTATATTTAATGGATCTTTTATCATAAAATTTCTCATAGAAGAGACTTTTTTACTATTCCCATCTCTTAGTAAATGTTTATTTTATTAAACAATCAACCAAAAGTGATATTTCTAAAAGAGAAATAATACGGCTTTTTAACATAGCTTTTACTAGCCATTCTATATATAGTTAATTCCTAACATCTTAAAGCTAACTAAAGCTACTAAATTCTTTTAACAATCTTAAAACTACAGAAATTAGAATCCTCTTTGATAATACAGCTAATATGAATTTGTTAAATTGAAAATAAAATAAAGATTACGAATTTAATTATCCTTGAAATAGTGAGTGTACTATAAACAAGAGTAATATATATATTAAGAAACATACAAATATTCCTAGCTGATTTTTGAAAACCCAAATACATTAAATATTAGTAGTTAAAATATCATAAAAAAAACAAAATTTGCTTCTTTAGTTAAGCTAAAAATAAATGTATAGAAATACTGTGCAAATTATAAGTTCAGATCAAATGAATTTAAATTAAAAACAAAAAAAATACAATTTTAAAAAAATATAAATATAAATAAAATATGACAATTCATTTTTAAATAATTTTGATAAATATTATATCCCTATTTAAAATATTTTGATTGCTATTAATATCAAATACAAAGAAAGAAATGATTTATATTATAAATTATTATATTCTCTAAATAAATAAAAATAAATTCTAATTTGAAATTTTTATCAATTTTTATTCACTGATTAAATCTAAAACTATGATATTTAAACTTTAATAAAAGAATTACCTTTTATGTGTTGCTTATGCTTAAAAACTAATAAGTTAAGCTTAGAAGGTAAAAGATTCTAATTTATATGGTTTTTAAAAAATAATTGTAATCAGTCAACCTAATAACTCTTATTAGTATAAACAAAGCAAGTTTTAGAAAAAATAAACATCTCAAATATTAGAATAAATAGTTTAGACATTTTTTTTCTAAAAAGATCAAATTATTATTTAAGATTCTTTTTATTAATATATGATATATGAATAAAGAAAATAAAACTTGATTATAATAAAAATCATTAAGTCTCTAAAAATTGATTAAATTTTGACTATACAATCCTAGATAGATAATAATCTTAATATAAATTCTTCAAAAATTTTTAATTAGATAGATATTAAGTAAAAGAAAATATCCAAATGGTAATATGCCAATTAAAAATCTAGTGGTTCATGTGACTAGATATTTAATTGGCTTAACTTAAAAAATAATAAATTAATTATAAAAAAATTTATATAAGATTTAAAACTAATACATACATACTCTAAATCCTCATTAATTAAAGCTAGATAAAAAAATTTTTTTTCAAGAAAATTTGGCCATATTTAAAAATTCTCTTAAAATGGCCTTAATATAAGTTGGCCTTAATTAATGAGAATGCACGGTATCTAATTTAAAATTAAAAAATAATTTAAATTAATACCCACATAAGTTAAAATTAGTTGTCATAAATTTATTAAAATTATTTTTTTAAGTAAGCTTGATATTATTTATTCATATCTCTTTTAAAGATTAATTCTTTTAGTTACTTAGAAAAGATTAGTATTTTTAGACTTTAAAATTTTAATTAAAAAATGAATAATTTTAGTAAAAAACTTAACTTGTGTTTAATATATTAACATACTATTTTTTTTGATAGATAAGATAAATTCATCAGAAAAGGCAATAAGAAAATCTTATGATCAAATTTTAAAAATTACCTATCAGAAATAATTAAATTAAAAGGACAAATTTAATTTTTTAATCCATATATACGTATTATTAAGAGCTCAAAAAAACATCAAAATCAATATTCACATCCAAAACTAAAAAGTAGACAAATATTCAAAACTAAGTTCAACCCTATTTCAAAAAAAAATTAAGTAAATTTATCTTTTCGTCTTTTTGTTAATTTATTTGATTAAAAACAAAAATTTTTTTCTTTTCTTTCTTAATTCAAATTAAAAATGCAGCTTTGAAAATGATTTTAATCTTATTTTATTTATTTATTTATGAAATTTATTTATAAATATTTTCGGTGGTTTTTTTCTGTAATCTAGCAAGTGGAATTACAGTTGCCTATGTAGTATTAAAATCAGAATTCCTAAAGATAAGGTAGCTGATAATTTAATTAATTTTTTTTGAGTGAAATTAAAATAAGCTATGACCAGGAAAACACTAATCTGTGAATAGGAGATATTTAACTTTCAATCAGATTAATTTACCTTAATTTATTTTTTGCTTGATGTTTACTTACTACTTTATATGTATCTCTATAAGAATGGTAAATCCATAATAATTAAATTAATTAAAACAAAAAAAAGCAAAATAAATCCAAGAAATGAAATCTATTTACATTACCTTAGCACTTATCTCCTTATTGGCATTTACTCAAGCTGCTGATCTCCCCTGTCCACTTCCTAGTTGTGATGGTGATGCTAATCCTTAATAATGTCAAGCTGCTTAGTCACAACTTGCAATTTGTTTTGAAACTAAGTGTGCTAACTTATCAGCTTAAGATCCCTAAGCTCTTTTAACTTGCATTACTACTTGCTAACCAACATACTAACCTTTAAAGTAGAAATATTAAGATTTTTTTAAATGCTTATCAACTAATTAGTAAATTTAAACCCTTTCAAAATGCGTTCAAGCAAATATGCTAGGATGTTAAAATGATTAATAAACTTGCGCAACTGCACTTTAAGCTTAATCCTAATGCGTTCAATCTAAATGTGCTAGTAGTATCAAAGGATTTGATGATTTGGATGGTATTTAAAAATGCATTTTTTCAACCTGCAAAAGCGACTCTTCATTAGTTAATAATGCTGAAAAATAAATTTATGAATGTGCGACTGGAAAAAAAGTTTCAGTTTCTGCTAAAATTTTAATTTCATCAGTCTTCACCTTGATTGGATATTTAATCCTCTTTTGATTAAATTATTATTAAATCAATAAATAAATCTAAAAAATAAATATGTAAATTTGTGTTTTATAGAAACAAACTTTAAATTTAAATTTTTTTTAGAAATAAATTTTCACTAACTATTTTCATTTCTCATAAAATCACTAAGATATTACATATATAATGTTATATATTCTAAATTCAGAACATTCAAATATTACTTTAGATGATAAATACCTCATTTTCTATACTAAAACAAAATATAAACAAGAACACTATTGCCTATTTCTGTTTCTTTGATTTATTAATATTAGTTTATTTGATTACTATTTTTTTTTTAATTTTCAAAAATATGTGAGGTCCTCCCATGATAAACCTCATCATATATTTTTGAGACTAAAAATTTGTGTTGGGATTATATTGATTTTTATTTAATTTTTGATAAAAAAATTTTAAAAAAATATTTAGATATTTCAAATTAATTTCTTTAAAATATAATTTCTAAAATTTAAAAAACATAATTCATTAATATTTAAAAATATTTTTTTTAATTTAAATAATTTTAGATAAATTGAAATAATCTTACCTATCACCTTGCATCATTCGTCTTGAAAATGAAGTTTATTTGAAGTAAACAATATGCTGCAAACTACTTCTCCATCATTAATTTATTCTTTATAATTTTTAAAATAGAAATCTTTTAAATCTAGGGAATGTACGATGAGAATGGTAAGGCAAATATTCTCATATTTTTTTATTTGTTTATTTCATTAATTTAAAGAAAATTTAAAAATTTCAAATTTATTTTTGATTATTTAAATATTTTTCGAATAATTCAAAAATAAAATATTAATGATAAATGATGAGTTACTCATTTGAAAAGACTGATTAATTAAATATATAAAATGCAACTGCATACGCTGTACCTATAATTTACATAGATACAATACATATTTTTTATTTTTACTAAAATATAGTAAATTTTTATTTTCAAAATAATTAATATCAAATTATTACTGAAAAAATAGTAATAAACCTTTAACAAAAATAATAATTCAATCAATCATAGTCTAATCTATAATAATAAACATTGATGTCTATGAAAAGTAATCTTTTAAAATACATTTTAGCTATTTAATTGTAAGTCTTCAAATCAGTTTAGTCTCTATATAATTATTTATAATTTCAAAGATTATAATTATTAATTACAAAAATATTACCCAATAAGCATATCAAATGAAATTAAATTTTTTATTTAAGAAAAAGTCCTAATAAATTAAGTTAATTCATATTTTTAGAAAATAGGTGCTCTTATTTTATATAAAATATATTAAATTTGCTTATTTTTAATTGATAAAGTTAATTATTTACTATAAATTTATACTTATCTTGAATAATTACTAAAGTTGCACTGTACTTTTGGCTAAACTCAATAAACTCTCAAAACTTTAATTGTTTGCCCTTTGTAAAAAAAATAATTAAAGAATATCTTTTTATAGCTTCATAATTTTACTTCAGTATTAGATTCATTATTTGTAATTATTTACACCCAGATATCTGCTTGCTTAAATTATACATATCATTTGAGTTTATAAAACAAGAACTTTATTTATATTAAAAAATATCTTAAAAACAAAAAGTTTATTCTTTTAAATATCAACTGATATAAAAGTTAAATTTTATTAATTAAAAAATTTAAAGCTTTTAAAGTATATTTTACGTTAAGTTTAAATAGATATTTTTTAGGTTTTATTTATTTAAAAGCCCTAAATCAAGTACTTATCCTTCATGCAACACATTATGTCTATTTATAAATTAACTTTATTATTTAAAAAAATCAAAAATTTTATAATACTATAAAGATAACTTTAATTCTTCCAAATAACTACATTCAATTATTGCTTATCCTATTTCATTTGCTCCATACTTTGTTATACAATTTTCTCTTTGAATATTATTTATAATTAATCTAAATTTTAATTTTACAATTAAAATTATACTTTAAAAATAATTGTAAAATCCTAAGTTAGGGGCAACTTTTAATAGCCAAACTAATTTTTTGTGCACCTTCATATTTGAGGAAATTTTAACTATTTATTTAATTTTATCAATTTCATATTAAATATTTGCAATAATACTTAAAATCTAAACTCAGAACATTTAAGTTTTATCCACTTTATTAAATACCTTTAGATATGTCAATAATCCCTAAATCTTCTACTTCATTTTATCTTTTAGTTTACAAAAAATTATTTGCTATTTAATTAATTAATAGATAAAAATAAGAAATCATTTGGATAAATTGGAGATTGCTATTTAAAATAAGTCATAGTTTTATTGATTTATTTTTCTAAAAAAATATATAAGAAAATTGTAAATAAGATATCCTAAAATTGAAAAAATTATGAAATTTTATAATAAAAATAATCGAAAACAATAATGTTCAAAAAATATTTTTTATCAAAAATTGGTTTTTATTTAATTAAGCCTTAATTTTTTTTCTCATTTTTCTTAAATTTTGCTTTAATGAAAATTATTATTTGTTATCTGGATTTTAAATAAATTAAAAAATTTCAATTTAATTTAACCACCTAAAATTTAGCTTGAGAAGAGATAATCTATTCAAATTAATTATGGATTAACCTAATTTACATAGCAGCTTGTTTTTTATTAGACACCTCCTATTTAAAAAAAATAATTTTAATAAAAATCTTTGATAATGCATGCATTCACTCTAAATCTAATTCTAGATGTTCAAGATCATCACATTTCTTTAAATTAGAAACTAAAAATTCGCTTTCTTCACCATCTCTGATTGCTAAAATACTTTGATATTGAAAGGATAGTTTTTAAATAAGAAAAAAAATAACAAAATAATTTGTAAAAAAATTTACTTGAATTTTATTCTCAAGTATTTCAAATGGATATTTTTAGCAATTACTTCACCAATCAGTACAACAATTTATTGGCCAATCATGCTATTACTAATTTATAATAATTTTTATTTTTAGTTCAAGATATTATTTACCTTAAATGTATATCTAGCTTTTAAAGTAAATCATAAGTTTTAATAGCTTGCTTAATACTAAATAATCCTTCAGACCATATATAGCATTCTCTAATTTTAATATTTAAGCATCAAATTATAATAATTTTTATATAATTACGGTAACAAAAGAGATAGTTCTTTTATATTTTTTAATTTTTTTAAAATTCTTCCAACCTAAACAACATCCTTTCTTGAACATTATCTATTTGTATATGTTTTTATTAATTTTATAATATGAATTTCATTTTTTAAAATATATACTTTTTGTGAATCTCAAGTATTTCTATTGAATCAATATTAATATTAGAAAGCTTTTTTTTATAAGAAAGATAATTCAATTTCTTTATTTTAATTATACAATCATATTTACATTTATATTATCAATATCTGATATTTTTAATTCCATTTTATTTTACTATTAATTCTTTGAAAATTAATTCTTAATATTTGTGAATTAAATTTGGTTTTTAAAGAAATTCCTTTGATTTTGTAACACAATAAAATTATAAATTGATGAGATTTATTTATTTATAAACTAGAATTTAATTGATTATTTTAAAAATATTTGCTCAATTTCATTTTTTATAAATTTTAATAATTATTTTATATTCGTAATTATAATAAAAAGACTATTAAATTTTTATTTGAAACTAAATGAAAGACATAATCTCTATTTCAATTTTATAAGTATTCAACTACTATCAAAAATTTGCATCAATTTTTATCATCATAATTAACAAAAACAAATTAATTAAGATTAAAAGTAAATCATAGTTTAAAAAATTGATTAAATGCAAAACTTCAGTTGTCTTCTGTTATGATTTAGTAAAAAACAAAAAAATTTTCTAAAATTTTAATTTTTGAAAATTCTCCAATATTCATAAACCCAATTCGCAACTAGCCATGAATAAATATGGTATATAATTATTTTAAACTACACCTACTTCAAATAATTTAAAACGAAGCAAAAATTTCAGGTGTCGTTTAAATTAATTAAAAAGCAATTTAGTTTAATGATATTAATATTTAGTGTATCTACGAGGGAATAGACGAAAGTGTTGTTTAAATATATGTTGACCAGAATTTCAAAATAAAAAATTTGTTAAGCTAGATAATATATTCACTCTAAATAAAAGATCAAAGTGTACTTAACATTTTTTTGTTTTATAATAATTATTGAAATGTTAGTAATAAAAATAAAATAAAGTATTTTTGGAGAGCAAAACATCTCTTTTTTGATTTTTTAAAGAAAATTTGATGATATTATACTTTTATTTCTATAACCTTGAACTTAAAATATCTTAGTAAATCAATTAAAATTTGCTACTAAAACTTTCACAAGATTGCATCAAATAAAGAAATATGTTATCTATAATAATAATTTAAGTCTTTACTACATTTAATTCAATCTAATTTTAGAAAAAATTCACATATAAACAGATAAGCATCTTTTAATTTAATGAAGTGAAGTAAACAAACAAATAAATATAGAAAGATATCTTATTAATCCTCTAATTAATTTAAAGAAAAAGAAAAATAATAACTTTATCAAAAATAATCATTCGAATAATAAATGGAAATTTATAAAAGTGGAACTAAGAGGAAACAATAATAAAATTTAAAATAAAATAGTTTTTAAAGTAAATAACTTGAATCTTTTTGATTAGAAAACAAATATACTTTAAAGATTTGATAAATATATAAGAAATTTTAAAAAGAATTGTAATTTAAAATAAAAAATGGTTGTTTATTTTAATTGAAAAAAAAAAATTCTTCGAAAATAAGTATATGATAAACTATTTTTGGAGGTTTTCCATCATGCATTATTTTATCATTACGAATAGGTAAAGTATGTTTCATAATTCTATAATAAAATTTATACAAAACTTTTGAATGGTTATATTTACGCATATATTCAATATTTAGAATGAGAAGATTTTAAAACAAATTAAATGTTTTTAGATATGTTTTATGTATTAATTATTTAAATATAAATCTTAATTTATTTGTATAGTGTTTTTGTTTACTTTAATTAAGCTCTTGCTTTTAATAAGAAAATGGAGATTAAATTATTTTCATCGTGATTAATTAGAAGTCTAAGTTAGACTTTGTATAATAATTAAGAGAAAACAACAGCTTTATGAATTTTTTAAAATCAGAAATAATATAAAAAAAATTCAGTAAAATACTTATCAAATTAGAAAAAATTAATTAAATAATTTTAGATGGTGCTTTATTTGTCACAACAACAAAAATTTTGAGTGACTTTATCAATAATTAAAAATCTAAATTAGACTTTGTACAAGAATTTAATTAGTAATAAGAAACTTTACTTATTTTTGTTTATAAGACATGATAAAAGAAAATTTTATGTAAAATAAACATCAAATTAAAAAAATAGCTTAAATGACTTTTAGTTAGATATTGAATGATTTGCCATTACAGAAAAATGAAAAGTTTATTGATAAAAATAAATTTATACCTTATTTTTTCAATTTTCTAATATAAAATTAAAAAAATTTACATCCTAATATATATTTTTATTTTTATTTATTTATTACATTGTAAATTTAAACAAAAGTTGTTTGAGTGAGCAATTTTATATTAGGTATATTTAATTTATTTGTTATAATTAAAAAATAATATAGATTAATGACTAAAAAAAATTAAAATTATTTGGTATTTATTTTAATTGAAAAATATTTTGTTTAAATATACAATTTTTTTAATTGCTAATTTAAAGAGTTGCCACTTTTAATCACAGAGAAATGATAAATATTATTAAATCTTAAAAGTTTATTTTAAAAATGAATAATTACCGCAAAAAATCGAGCTTTTGTTTCATATTAAAAAAAGTAATAAAAAATTATTATTTTTTTAGAATAGATAAATAAATAAATAGAAAGAGAGAGAGAGAGCTAAATGATAATTTTATGATCAGCTTGTAATAATACGATCTATCGTAAATTATTTAATTAAAAGGACAAATTTATATTTTTTAATTTAGATAAACATATTAATTGGAAGTAATGCTTAGGGCTAAAAAAAACATCAAAATCAGTGTTTACAGCTCAAAGGTAAAGCTGATGATTGTAAATTAAATTTTATATAAAAAAAATCTCTCTTTACACTTTATGAAAGAAAATTAACTAAACTTATGTTTTTCCTCTTTTTGTTTATTTGTTTTCTTCAAAATTTCTTAAATATTTTAAAGAAATCCTTTTTCTTTTCATTAAAAATTGATATTTTGAATAACTCTATAAATGATTTTATTCTTTTTGTATGAATTTATGAAATTTATTTAAAAATATTTTGGATGGTCATTTTCTTTCAATTTGGCTAGTACGATTATAATTGTCTAGAAAAACTATTAAACAGAATTCGATCCAAAAATTAAATTGATCGCTCCTATTTTAATTAAATTTTTCTGAATAAGTAATTTAAATTATATGACCAGGAAAAAACTAATCTGTGAATAGGTGGAATTCTTAATTTTCTATCAAATTGATTTACCTTAATTTAATTTTTGTTTGGTGTTTACCTATCTATCTATCTACTATAAATACAATTCTAAAAAATTGATAAATTTATCATAATTAAATAATTAAACAAAAAATAAAACAAAATAACCCAAGAAATGAAATCTATTTACATAACTTTAGCACTTATTTCCTTATTAGCATTTACTTAAGCTGCTGATCCTTAATGCCAAAAACCTACATGTGCTGATGATCCTAATCCTTAAGAATGTCAAGATGCTTTGTCAAAACTTGAATCTTGTGTTTAAACTAGTTGTACTAACATTTAAGCAGGTGATTTCTAGGCTATTTTAACTTGCTTTACTACTTGCAAACCAACTTACTAACCTTTAATTAAGAAATTTGAAGATTATGCTGAATGCTAAATATCAACTAATCCTTAAATTGCAAAGCTCGTTAAATGCGTTGAACCATCATTGTTAGGATGTTAAAATAATCCAGCAGATTGCCAAACTGCATTTTAAGCTTAAGGTGAATGTATTGCAAATAAATGCCCTAGTGTAGTCAAAAGTTAAGATGATTTAGATGGTATTTAAAAATGCATTTTCTCTACCTGCAAAAGTAGTTCTTCAATAGTTAATAATGCTGAAAAATAAATTTATGAATGTGTCACTGGAAAAAAAGTTTCAGTTTCTGCTCAAATTTTAATTTCATCAGTCTTCACCTTGATTGGATATTTAATCCTCTTTTGATTAAATTATTATCTATCTACAAATAAATAAATACTAAAATGTATTATCTATATGTTAATTTGTATTTTTTAGAAAACAAACTTTAAATATACATTTTTTTAAAAAACAACTTTCCACTAAATATTTGAACTTTCCATAAAATCACTGAGATATTACATATATATTAAATATTCTAAATTTATAACATTCACATATTACTTGAGATATAAATACCTCATTTTTTTTACTAAAACAAAAAGTAAGCAAGGAAGCTGCTATCTATTTCAGTTTCTTGGGTTTATACATATTAGTTTATTTAATTGCGTATAAACACAATATAAAAAATTGGAAAGGGGGGGAAAAACATAGGATTGAAGTTGAAACCCAATTTTATTACCATTTTATAAAAATTAAATGAAATACCTATATCTGTATCTACACAGTTGGTGATTTTTTATTACAGGATTACAATATATAAAAAGAAAACTACCTAAGAGGTACATATACATACATACAATACAAATTTTTTACTTTTACTAAATTTATAATTTTATTTTACTTCTAAAACATTTAAATAATTTTCAAAATAATTAATATTAAATTATTACTGAAAAAATAGCAATAAACCTTAAACAAAAACAATAAGTCAATCAATCATAATCTAATCTATAATAATAAACATTGATGTTTATGAAAATTAATCTTTTAAAATATTTTTTAGCTATTTAATTGTAAGTCTTCAAATCAGCATAGTCCCTTTATAATTATATATAATTTATAAGATTAGAAATATAAATTATAAAAACATTACCCAATAAGCATATCAAATGCAATTAAATTTTTGATTTAAGAAAAAGTCCTAATAAATTAAGTTAATTCAGATTTTTAGAAAATAGGTACTCTAATTTTATATAAAATATATTAAATTTGCTTATTTATAGTTGATAAAGTTAATTATTTACGATAGATTTATACTTATCTTGAATAATTACTAAAGTTGCACTGTACTTTTGGCAAAATCCAACAAGCTCTCAAAACAATAATTGTTTCTCCTTTGTAAAAAAAATAATAAAAGAATATCTTTTTATAGCTTCATAATTTTACTGCAGTATTAGATTCATTATTTTTAATTATTTACACTCAGATATCTGCTTACTTAAATTATACATATCGTTTGAGTTTATTAAACAATAACTTTTTTTATATTAATAAATTAAAGTATTCCATATTTTTAAATATCAAAAAATATCTTTATTAACAAAAAGTTTATTCTTTTAAATATCAATTAATATAAATATTACTTTTCACTAATTAAAAAATATTTAAATATTAAAAGAAAAATTTACGTTAAGTTTAAATAGATATTTTTTAGATTTTATTTATTAAAAAGTCCAAAATCAAGTACTTATCCTTCTTGCAATAAATTATGTCTATTAATAAATTAATTTTAGTATTTAAAAAAAAAAATAATAATAATACTATAAAGATAACTTTAATTCTTCCAAATAACTGCATTAAATTATGGCTTTTCCTATTTCATTTACTCCATACTTTGTTATACAATTTTCTCTTTTAATTTTAATTAATCTAAATTTTAATTTTACATTTAAAATTATACTTTAAAAATAATTGTAAAATCCTAAGTTAGGGGCAACTTTAAATAGCCAAACTAATTTTTTGTGCACTTTCATATTTGAGCAAATTTTAACTATTTATTTAGTTTTATCAATTTAATTTTAAAATTTCTTTCATTTTACTTAAAATCTAAAATCAGAACATTTAAGTTTTATCCACATTATTAAATACCTTGAGAAAGGTCAATAATCCCTAAATCTTCTACTTCATTTTATCTGTTAGTTTACAAAAAAAATATTTATTATTTAATAATAAAATAAATATATAAAAAATAAGAACTCATTGGATGAATTGGATTTTGTCATTTACAATAAATTATAGTTTTATTGAATTTTATATTATTAAGAAAACAGAAAAAAGAAGATTGTAAATAAAAAATCTTAAAATAAAAAAAATTATAATAAAAAATAATGCAAAAAGATAATGTTCAAAAAATATTTTATATCAAAAATAGGTTTTTACTTTATTAAAAGTTAATATAAAAAAAAATTTTTTTCTCATTTTTCTTAAATTTTGTTAAATCAAAATTATTATTTTTTGTTTAGATTTTAAATAAGTTTAAATAATTTAACCACCTAAAATTTAGCTTGAGAACAGATAATCTTTTCAAATTAATTATGGATTGACCTAATTTACATAGCAGCTTATTTTTTATTAGACACCTCCTATTTAAAAAAAATAATTTTAACAAAAATCTTTGAATATGTATTCACTCTAAATCTAATTCTAGATGTTCAAGATAATCACATTTCTTTAAATTAGAGACTAAAAATTCGCTTTCTTCACCATCTCTGATTGCTAAAATACTTTTATATTAAAATGATAGTTTTTAGATTGTTCTTGATAAAAATTCAAGATAAAAAAATAACAAATTAATTAATAAATCATTTACTTAAATTTTATTCTCAAGTATCTCAAATGGATATTTTTAGCAATCACTTCACCAATCAGTAAAGCAATTTATTGACCAATCATGCTGTTACTAAGTTATAATAATTTTAATATTTAGTCCAAGAGATTATTTACCTTAAATGTATATCTAGCTTTTAAAGCAAATCATAAGTTTAAATAGCTTGATTAATACTAAATAATCCTTCAGACCAAATATAACATTCTCTAATTTTATTATGAAAGCATCAAATTATTATACTAATTATGTATAATTTACGGTAACAAAAGAGATAATTCTTTTATATTTTTAAACTTTTTTAAAATTCTTCCAACCTAAACAACATCCTTTCTTGAAGATTATCTAATTGTATATGTTTTTGTTAATTTATTATGGGAATTACATTTTTTTAAAAATATGCTTTTTCTGAATCTGAAGTATTTCTATTGAATCAATGTTTATAGTAGAAAACTTTTTTTTTATAAGAAAGATAATTCAATTTCTTAATTTTAATTTTACAACCATATTTACATTTATATTATCAATATCTAATATTTTTAATTCCATTTTATTTTAATATAAATTCTTTCAAAATTAATTCTTAAAATTTAAATATTAATTAAATTTTGATTTTGAAGTAATACCTTTGATTTTTTAACACAACAATAATACAAATTAATGAGATTAATTTATTTATAAACTAGATGTAATTTTAGTTAATTATTTTAAAAATATTTGCTCAATTCCTTTTAAATTGATATTAATAATAATTTTATCTCCATAATTGTAATGATAAAAAGATTATAAATTCTTATTTGAAACTAAATAAAAGACAAATAATCTCTATTTCAATTTTACAATTATATTAATTAACATCTTGTTAGATTTTTATAAATTCAAATTTTTTAATTCTTTTTGACTTCAATTAATTTTAATAATTTATTTTTGATAAAGTTAGTAATAATTTTTAAAATGTACTCTAAAAATAAAAATAAAAAAATTTAAATTTAAAAAATACTATATTAATTTTCGATTCTGAAATTATTTTATTGAATATTCACATTTAAGTCATTAAAATCTTAATTTTTAATCAGATAAAATTATTTTTTATGTTATTAAATTTTAGTAAATTGGGAAGTAATATATTTAAAAATACAGAGGTATTAAAATGGTAATTAATTTTTCTAACAGTAAAATTAATGACAAAGCTATTTCTAATTTCAAATTAAAATATTCTTGTTTAAAATATCTTAGCATGCCATTTACATTTTAATCCATGGTTGGAAAAAATAATTAAAATTTAAAAGTGGAGATTTTAATTTTGATCACCTTGAAACAAAATTTTACTGAAAAACACAAATAAATAAGTAAGTATTCATAAATTGCTCGAATAATTTTAATTAATTAATAAATAAATAAATAAGAAAATAAATTATAATTTCTGATATATATTTATTTGAAAAATAAATTAAATGAATATTTAAAGTGGGCCATTATAAACAAACTAAGTTAGCTTTTAATCATAATTTAAGTATAATTCTTAGCTGAATTTGACTCAAGGTGAGCAATTAGATTAGGTTTAAAGATAGAAACATCATCATAATTAAAAATAATAAAATAATATCAACTTAGAAACTAAACACCATCATTTATAGAAAGATAAAAAGTAAATTAAAAGCGATGATGAGAATGAAGCTACAAAACAATCAAAACACAGAAAGGAAACCATTATAAGTAAAAAATATACCAGTAAAGGTAGTCAAAAATACGATAATATTTTTGAGGGATTTGGAGATTTGCTATTTGATGAAGAGGACTAGAGTAAAAAAGACAATTAGACTACTGATAAAAATAATTTGACATCACCAAAAGCAGATGATCCTTCTGATAATTAAAATATTTTGAAAAATAACACTAATTAAAGCAACTTCAATATGGTTGATCCTAAAATTTGCTTAGACATGGATCCATTTAATATTTAGAGTTAAACAAACTAGCAAAACTAGTAAATAAATTTGGATTTTGGTACAACACTTAACAAAGAAATAGTAGACTAGTAGAACACTCAAAGGAATCTAAATCTTAATTAAGACTAAGTTACACAAAATATAAAATTACCATCTTCTAATTAATCAAATGAATAAGAATAGATAAAAAATTATTATAATTTAAATTCTAAAGATTAAAATTAGCAGATCAATATCTAATAACCAAATTAATTATTTGGAAATTAGATTGTATAAGGTTTTTACTCTTAGAGACCTAACTAATAATATTAAGTAGAATATCTTTCTTTGCTATTTACTGATGAATAAGATAATAATAATAATAATAATAGTAATCAATTAAACAATGAAGTTAAAAATAAAAACAAGATATTCTTCTTCTTCTTGATGCTACTTCTATTTATTATATATTCTTTATTTGGTTATATTGTTATTTTTATCATTTTTATCATATCTGCTTTTAGAGAAATTAGAGGTAAATTGTCTAAAGTTTGCATATTATTTTGGACTCTAACTAGCTGTGCTGCAACACTTTATGTTTTTGGAATTTAATTCTATTATTATATCAGTGATACTAAGGTATAATATCTCTTATTTGATATCAATAGTTTTTAATTAGCAGTCATGTTAGTTATTTCATATGTGAGAGCTTGCTATGTAGAGATTATAGATTAATCTAATATGTTCAAATCAGTTTTAAATTTTGATACATTTAGAGGTCTAATCTATCTAAATAGCTCTTCTAAAGATTCTGAGGCTTCTCTTTTTGATATACCTTTCAGTGAACCAATTTCAGCTTAAAATATTCAGCAAAGATACTCTCTGCTAACTATTTCACCAATTCCTTCATAGCTTAATTATTCTATTAGTAAACTACTAAGCGGATTTTAGGATTATTATTATCCTAATTTCCATCAGTATTTAATAATTGTCTGTATTTTGATTCTTAAATTTGTTTTAGGATTTTACTATTTATATAGTAAGCATAACCATATTAACATAAGATATGCTATCGATATTACTATAACGGTGTTCGTTTATCTTTACTCAGCCTTTATTTTAATTAGAATTCTGGGAAATTACGACCTTATAAGAAAAGCTGATCAAATGAATAATCTGAATGATTCAATAAACTTTTAAAATCTTAAATAAGAAAAGTATCAAGAAAAACTTGATTTTACTTGTCCAATAAGTCTCGAAACTTGGGATAACGCGCGTCAGTATGTTTGTTCTATAGATCTTGAGTTTCTTTCTGAATTAGAGTATGCATATTTTGGCTTGTTTTTTTACTTTATTTTTGTATCAGTTATAATCACCACAGCTTATGGAGAATTTTATTGGATTATCCCTAAGGAATCTATACTACTTGAACCATATATGGTTATATTAAATACATTTAACTTTTTAATAGTTAATAGCTTACTTTTCTTTAGGTTATGGTATGGTTAGCAGTTTAATGATACATTCGAATTGTAACAGTAGAGCCTTGAATTTTTGATGGATATTGTTGAAGACATTTAGCTAATGTATGAAGCTTACTTTGAGCCATTCAGGTTTGCAAATGAGCAAATAATAGTTTAATAAAAGCAATATGGCCAAAATAAAGTAGATATAGAGAATATCAAAAGACAGCAAAGAGAAAAATATATAGCTTAGTATTTAACTGAAGTATAAAGCAGGAGTGAATAGTAAATCATCACTCAAAAAGATATAACTGTTGACAAATACTCAATATAAGGACTACTAATATAAAGAGTAAAATAGACAAGCAACTTTTATATAGATGAAAAGGTGCAATACTAAGGAAAAGTGTATTAAAAATAGGACAAAGCTTTATTAAGAAAAAAAATTCTAAAAAATATTTATCTAAGTCTTAATAAAGTGATTACTTCTATCAAAAATGATGCTGAAAAATATTAGTATCAGTTTTTAAACTGCATACCAGTTTCATTTTCAAATACTCTTACAACATTTGCAGTTGCTTTATTTACTCTTCTTCCTTAAGTGATACCCAAATTCTTAGGCTTCTACTAAGATATTAGTTAGAATTCTAAATGATCAAAACCTTTTCTAAAATTAATTAATTAATTATTCTGTATAAATTTAAAAATTTAAGAATAAAAATTTTTTTAAATTCAATTAGATTTTATAAAATAATAATTAAAAAAAAATTATTATAGAATTATTTAGATAAAAAATATCTACATTATTTATTTTTTTAGCACAATATTTCTTTGGCATGGTAATATCTTCCACTATTTTATTTGAATATGGCTAATTAAGTGAAAAAAACAAAAAAATAAAAAATAAAAACAAAAAAATTGTTAAAATTTTTTCAAAAGTAATAAAAAAGATTTTTTTTTTCTATATTTATAAATAAATTTAAATTTTTGATATTTATTCAATTTTTAATATATTTTATTTCAAAACTTCTCTTATGAATTATTTATTTTTTAGATATAGAAATATTTAGATTAAATTATTAAAAGGTATTTGTAATTCCGCTAAAGTAATCATTTAATTGAAAAACAAAAAAGCAAATAAATTTTGATTTACCAATACAATAAATAATATGTATCTGTAAACTTCATTTCTTAAAGTTATTTAATAAAATAATACGGCAATTTTATCATATCAAATAATCAGATCATAGATATTTTATTTAAATTGAGATTTATAAATAAGTAAATAGAAAAAGAATATTTTTTTTAAGTTAAAACAATAAAAGAATAATATATGTACCTTGATACAAAACTTAAATTGAATTGCAAATCCAATCATTTATTTTTTTAATTAATAAATTGAAAGATAAAAGATATTAAAAATTTTAAGATATGAGTTAAGAAGTATACGATATTATAGTTTTAGGTTTGGGAGCTATGGGCTCTGCATCTTTTTATCAAGCAGCTAAACAAGGTAAAAAAGTTCTAGGTATAGAATAGTTTGAAGCAGCACACAATAAAGGTTCTTCTCATGGAGAAACTAGAATTATTCGTGAAGCATATCATGAGGGATCATTTTATGTTCCAATGTCATAAAAATCAGCTAAATTATTTTAAGAACTAGAAAAGGAAACTGGTTAAAAATTATATGAAAAAATTGGATGCCTCATGGTTGGTACACCAGATTCATAGACCATTTTAGACTCAAAACTGAGTGCTGATAAATATAATTTACCATACAAAATGTATAATAGCAAGACTATTAAAGAAAGAGTTCCAGCATGGAATATCCCTGAAGGGTTTATAGCCTTGTATGATGAAACTGCAGGCTTAGTCTATCCTGAAAGAATAATAAATGCACATATAGATGTCGCTCTTAAAAAGAATCCATAAGCTAGGGCATTGTTTGGTACTAAAGCTTTATCAAAAAAAGTTAGAAAAGAAGATGGATTAATAGAAGTAAATACAAGCAAGGGTTTATTTGTTTCAAAGTAGCTTATAATTAGTGCAGGCTTATGGGGAAATGATTTCCTTAAAGAGTTGAATCTTCCTCTAATCATCTAAAAGCAGTCAGTAGCATGGTTCGAAAATGATGACTCTGATAAAAAGTTAGGATAACTTCCTTGTTATTTAGTAGAATATGAAAAAGATAAGCAAGTTTATGGATTTCCTAATGCATTAAATACAGGAGTAAAAGTAGGACTACACAAAGAAGGCCCAACCTTTAAAATTTCAGATGAAATTAATTATGATTAAGACCCTGCCTTTTATGATAGAATAAGACAAAAAATATCACCCTTTATCCCTTCTATTTCTCAGAGTAAAATAGCTAAATAAGCAGTCTGCTTTTATACTCTCACTCCTGATGGTCATTTTATTATTGATTTCCATCCACAAAACGATAACATAGTTATCCTAAGTCCATGCAGCGGACATGGATTTAAGTTTTGTTCTGTAATTGGTCAAATGGCAGTTGAACTACTTTTAACTAAGTCTAATCCATACACTTACTTCAAAATTTCAAGATTTAATCCTACTTAAAAGCTCTGAAAATATAACTTTAAAATATTTTTATAGCTTCAATTAATAAGTAAATAAATATATTTAAATGTAATTGTTTTTTTTATATTAATATTTTATTAATTATTTTTTAAAAAATGCTATTTTCCAAATTAATTTCAAATTCTTATTAATAATAATATTTTATAAGTTAAAATATCTAAAAATAATTATTTAAATAATATATAATACATCTTTAATAATTAATTCCCTAAATTCTAAATTAGGAGATAAAAAAAATATAAAAATTAAAATATTAATCTTCAAATTATTGTTACTTCTTATTTTGAAAATCAATTAACTGGGTGGATCATAAAATACATTTTAATTTATAATTGTTGTATTTTTTTTTATTAAAAATAAATAATATTTAAAATATTTTAAAAAATCGATAGTATTTTTACCCCCTTGTAAATTTATAAGTAAATATTAAAAATAAATCCTAATTTTTCATTTATTAATGGATAATTAAAAAAACAGGATACAATATAAATTATCCATATTTTATTCAATCTAATTTTTCTTTAGGGTATACTAATTATATTAATAGAGAAAAATAAAAAATAGAATTTTTTAATTGTTTAGAAAGTGTATCAACAATATTTAATTTCAACTATTAAAAGGTAAATCATATTCAACAAAGACGTTTTAAGTAAAATAGTTATATTTTATTTCAAAACGAACTAATCTTAAAGCTTTTTTAACTAAATTTATTTTAATTAAATTATTAAAAGTTGTTTGAATAGCAAGTTTATTAACTGTGATATCTAAATAAATGAGTGATTTGAGCATTTAAATACTTTAACTAATAGTTTATAACACATCAGAAGAATTACTTTTAAAAAATAATTTTTTTAATTATCATTTTTATATATTTAATTAATTAATTAATTACTTTATGTTGATAATAAGAAATCTGAGCCTGTTAAATTTTACTAATTACTCAAAAATATAATTAAAACTCTTGTCTTCTAAGTAATTATAACTTTTAAGAATTAAAAAATTTATTATTAAAATTAAATGTTATTCATATTTTTATCTATTTACCAAAGTCCTAAATTTAGAAATTCTAGATTTTGTAAATTTGAAATACTATTTATTAAATAAATTAATCCTTCATTTCGTAAACAACTTGCTCTGTATTATTTTAAGTTAAATTATAATTAAAACAGTTATTAAAAATAAAATTACATAAGATCAAGACAAAGGTATTTTAGTGAAGATTATTTTGCTAATATTTCAGATATTCTTATTAAACCTTTACTTCCAACAGGCACATAACTTTATTTTAAATTATAAATAAATAAAATTTATCATAATAATAATAAAATTAAATTTCTATGTAAACATTAGATTTTACCTTAAAATTATTTTTACTGCTTCTAAATTTTGTGCATATTAAAAAAAATTGTTTAATAAAGTACTAATTTCTTAAAACCCTATTTTATTTTTTCTAAAAATACAAAAATTATTAAATTTTAAATTAGGTTATTTGCTAAAACTATAGTTTATTTATTTTCCTTGATAGAGATTTAAAGAATTTAAACTATGCTGATTAACCAACATTAAATTATGATAAAGAGAATTAAATATAAATAAAGCATTTATTTTATATATGAAATCTTTAAGCTTATACTTTAAATTTAAAGAAACTGTCTTTAGATCTAACTGCTAAGTTTTCGATAACTTCAAGTTTTCTATCATCTTAATATTAATGATGGGACTATATAATTAAACTAAATTAGGTATGAAAAGACAAAATTTAATTACGAAAAATCTAAAACAAGTTCTTGTATTCGATCATTCTCAAATCTTAATAAAGTTTCAGATAATTCTTTGGTAGTTTTAAAAGAATTTAGATTTGACTCACTAATTAATTAATATCAAATTTTTTTAGTTGTACTCATTTATAAAAAGATAAATTACTTCATTTTAATTTTTAAAATCTTTCCTTCGTTAAAATTTACTGAAATTAACTTATTTTAAAATTAAAAAAATAAAATATAAACATTTTTTTAAATTTTAAATATGAATATTCATTTTACATGAAGCTGGTTTTAATTTTAATTGATTTTCTTTTATTTATTTCCCATTTTTTTAGCAAGAAAATTTAAAGATTTATCAGTATTAATATATTAATAATCATAATAAAATCTAACTATATCTCTTTTCTATATTATTTACAATTTTCATCATAATTTAATCAAACAATATGCGATTATTAAAATAATAATATTTAATTTCGATAGTTTTTTATATCTAACTAAAAAGTAGTATTTGTTTTAGAATCAGTTTCTCTAAAACAATTTTAGAATTTCAAACTAGCTAGTTAGACAAATTAAATATGAATGAAAATAAATCATTAGAATGTTTGCTCAATGTGAAAGGTTTGAAGGGAAATTTTAGGAAAGCAATTTATCTCAATTATTTTGTTGTTTTTGATAGCATTGTTATGGTTAGAAGAGGGATTATTTATGCAATTAGTTGGGAATTAAACCGCATTATTATAATAAATATAAAAAACAGAAAGATAATCAAGTAAATTCAATTGCATAATGTGATGGAAATAAGGATAATTACTTCAAGATATTCCTTACTAACAACCCACAATAAAATACTATTTGTGAAAGATATAGATTTAAATTATGAAATAGTTAATGAAGTAGATATTGAATATACTAAATATTCAATATTTCCTTTACTAAAGTGTATGTTTTGCATTTACTATAAGGGATCTTAGCTAATCCAAATGTATTCTTAATTTGATTTGGTATGCTCCATTAACGTAAAGCATAAACAAGTTGTTTCAATGGTTTGGCCTCTAAAAATGCATCCTGAATTGATAGCAATTTATGATTCACAAGAAATAGAAGTAATAAACTGGAAACTGAATTAGTAAATATTTAAAGTTGATAATCTTAGAGTATAAAACCCAAAAAAATCAATAATGTGCTGTATTGATTCAAGCCAGTATCTTATAAGCTCATAAAGTGGAATGAATATTTTAAATATTCTTGAGTATGATGGCTATCCTAAAAAGGAGTATTGGCCTCGTCCGTGCATGAACGCTTAGTTTATTAGCATTATTCTTTTTAATGAAAAATATTTAATAGGATCATTCTTAAATGAATACTAAGACTACTTTTTATATGTTTTAGAGAAAGAATCGAACTAAATTTCTTTGATTCAAGTTGTATCAGATTACTATTTAATTAGAATTAACAATAATAGTTTCCTTGCTACTTTTTCACATTATGACAGTACCAAATTTTTGATATGGAAATGAGATAAACATAAATCAGACTATTTTAAAATTTCCAATAATAAAATATTTAAAATAAAAATAACTTTATAATATTAAATTAATAATTATTCATTCATTTTCAATCTTTAAACTTACTTTTATTTGTATATATAATATATATTTTGTCTCTTCCTTATTTTCAAAAATTACACACTTCTTTCTCATTAACTTAAAATTTCCAATTAAGACTGCTATTTAGTTTTGAAATATTCTAAAAACTTGTTTGCTATTTTTTTATAAAACCTCAAAACATTTTAAAAAAAGGTTGTCGACACTGGGACTTCCCAAGCGGTCCCCCACCTTAGTACTAACCCAGCCTTAAGGCGCTTAACTTCGGAGTTCGAATGGGATCCGGTGTTTTCACCTTAGTATGGCCGACAACAAAATTATAGGTCTTAAAATTAAATTTATATAAGAAATATTTTTTAAATAAGAAATTAAAGGGTTTGAAAATAAAATTTATTACTGAATTAAAATATTTTTTACTCCACATTTCTCAAAAATAATAAAATTAAAAAGGCTGTCGACACTGGGACTTCCCAAGCGGTCCCCCACCTTAGTACTAACCCAGCCTTAAGGCGCTTAACTTCGGAGTTCGAATGGGATCCGGTGTTTTCACCTTAGTATGGCCGACAGCAAAATTATACTCATCAAATGCCTATTTATAAATGTTTTCAATTTATTTCTAAAAATTTAATTTACTTTAAAAAAAAATACATTTTATTAGAAACAAAAAGATGTTAAAAAAATAAACACAAAAAAGGTTGTCGACACTGGGACTTCCCAAGCGGTCCCCCACCTTAGTACTAACCCAGCCTTAAGGCGCTTAACTTCGGAGTTCGAATGGGATCCGGTGTTTTCACCTTAGTATGGCCGACAACAAAATTATATCTCTTCTAAATATATTTATACTTGAATTCTTTTTTAAATAAAAAAATTATTTTCAAAATAATATGAAATTTAAAATTTTAATATAAAACTAGTCAAAAATATAATTAAAATAAAAAAGGCTGTCGACACTGGGACTTCCCAAGCGGTCCCCCACCTTAGTACTAACCCAGCCTTAAGGCGCTTAACTTCGGAGTTCGAATGGGATCCGGTGTTTTCACCTTAGTATGGCCGACAGCAAAATTATACTTATCAAATGCCTATTTATAAATGTTTTCAATTTATTTTTTAAAATTTAATTTACTTTTTTAAAAAAAATATATTTTATTAGAAACAAAAAGATGTTAAAAATATAAACATAAAAAAGGTTGTCGACACTGGGACTTCCCAAGCGGTCCCCCACCTTAGTACTAACCCAACCTTAAGGCGCTTAACTTCGGAGTTCGAATGGGATCCGGTGTTTTCACCTTAGTATGGCCGACAACAAAATTATAACTTCATAGCTTTTATTTATATTTGTGAAATAATTTTAAATAATAAAAAAATGATAAATAATTAATAATCATAAATAAAAAAAACCTTTTAAATAAATAAATTTAAAAAGGCTTAAAAATTATTATAAAATAAAAAGGCTGTCGACACTGGGACTTCCCAAGCGGTCCCCCACCTTAGTACTAACCCAGCCTTAAGGCGCTTAACTTCGGAGTTCGAATGGGATCCGGTGTTTTCACCTTAGTATGGCCGACAACAAAATTAAAGCTATTTTATATGATTAAATAAAGAAATAATTGTAATCAATATGAATGATTAAAAAAAATAATAAAAAAGATACTTTAATTAATTTTAATTTTTAAGTTAAATCTTACGAAATTTAAAAGGTAAATTTAGATTTTGAAAAATAAATCATTTTGTAAAAATTTAATTCAATTTAAAATGAAAGAAAGATAGAAAAATTTATAGTTCATGTAATTATTAATAATAAATGAAAGTAGGATATAAGAGCAATTGAAGCAAATAGGAATAAGAATAATTTTTAATTTAGCCGGTGAAAGTACAAATAAAAAAGAGTTGAAATATAAGGCTGAAAGTAGGCCTATTGAAAGCTAAAAAAATAATGCAAATGAAATTAAAATAAAGGAAGAATATTGTATAACTTGATATATAGGAATTTTGATTAAAAGCTTAGACGACTTAACAAATCAAAAAAAGATTTTTAAAACAATCAAAATAGATATATAATTTTATAGATTTATTAAAGTACAATTTTAGAATAAAAGCATAGAAATGTAGTATATTTTTAAGGGTATCAAGACTATTCCTGCTTCTAAGGACATGATCAACATTGTCCTTTCCAAGACTTAAAGAAAGACTCCTACCGTTGTTCATCCAGGCTATTCCATTGGTCGTATTAGAGGTTTCTACATGCGTAAGATTAAGTTCACTTAAGATACTATGCATGAAAAATTCAATGACATTTTGAATGGTTTCCCTAAATTGGATGACATCCATCCCTTCTTCGCTGATTTATTCAATGTCCTTTATGACAAGGATCACTATAAGCTTGCCTTGGGTCACGTTCATTCTTGCATGAACTTGGTTGACAACATTTGCACAGATTACGTTAGACTTATCAAGTATGGTGACTCTCTCTATCGTTGCAAGCAATTGAAGAAAGCTTGTTTGGGAAGGTAATTTAACAAATTCTCTTAAGAGAGTTTATTTTTTAAATATTTGAATCCATTTTAACTTTTTGTTCTCTCCTGCTTCAAGCAATAATAAAAAAACTGTATTTTTTATCTTGCTTGATCCTATTAATTAACTCCTACATAGAATAAAATAAACATAAAAAAAATAAGTAACAACAATTATGAGTAAAACTCATTAATAAGAATTAATAATACTTTAATGATGTTAATTAAAAAGGCTATCAGTTTTTTAGGAGTTAAGAATGAGAGGAGATAATTTTTTTAGTTCTATTTGAATCAACTTCATAATTTTTTATAAATAATTTGTAGAATTTGCACAATCATAAAGAAGTTAAATAGCAGCTTAAATTATTTGGAAGAAGTCAGAAAACATTTAGCAAGATTGCCTTCAGTTAACCCCTTCGAAAGAACTTTAATGATTACTGGTTACCCCAATGTCGGTAAAAGTAGTTTCATCAATTAAATCACTAAGGCTAACGTTGAAGTCTAAAGTTATCCTTTCACAACTTAATCACTTTATGTTGGTCATACTGAATACCAAAATGTCAGATGGTAGGTTATTGATTCACCTGGTATTCTTGATCATCCTTTAGAACAACGTAACACAATTGAAATGTAAAGTATTACTGCTTTAGCTCACTTGAAGGCTTGCATTCTCTTCTTTATTGATTTATCTGAATAATGCTCATACAGTATTGAATAATAAGTAAGCTTATTCAACTCTATTAAGCCTCTCTTTAAGAATAAGCCTCTTTGCATCGTTCTCAGTAAGTGCGATTTGAAATCTTTTGAAGATCTTTCTCAAGAAAATAAGGATATCCTTAACAGCCTTGCTAAGGATTAAAATGTATCTCTTCTTTAAATGTCCAATAAAACTGGTGAAGGTATTGAAAACCTCAAGGTCCAAGCTTGCGAAACTCTCTTAAAGCATCGTGACGGTTAAAAAATTGAATAACTTTCTGGTGGTAACCAAATTTTAAAGAGAGAAGAAGAAGTTTTAAGAGGTTTACATGTTGCTAAACCTACTAAAGTTAGAGATAGCAATGTAGTAAGAGCTCCTGTCATCCCCTAAACTGTCAAGAGTGGTATTAAGAATGAAAAGCCTACTCTCAAAGAAATTCAAGAAGAACATGGTGGTGCTGGTGTTTTCAACTTCCCATTATAAGAACATTTCGATTTAGCCAACCCTGAATGGAAGTATGATGCTATACCTGAAATCATGGACGGTAAAAACATTGCTGATTATGTTGACCCTGATATTCTTGAAAAACTTGAAGAACTTGAAAGAGAAGAAGAAATGCTTGAAAAAGCTAGAGAAGAAAAGGGAGACATGAGTGAAGAAAGCGATGGCGATTTACCTGATGAATACTATGAAGCTCATGAAATTGTCCAATCAAAATAAAAATTACTTAAAATCGAACACAAGTTAAAGAGACACACAACTGCTCATGTTCATAAGGAAGCTTTAAGTGAAGTTAAAAAGGATCTCGAAACTAAAGGTAAACAATTAAAAAATTTGATTTAAAAAAAAAGAAGAACAAGAATTATTATTGAGTTATTAATAGAAACAGAAATAATTTAAAAAAATTTTTAGTTTAAAGCGAGTTAATTAATTGTTAAATTTTATAATTATAGGTATTGATTCTACTAAGCTTGAATAAAGAGTTCTTGCCAAGAGATAACCAAGAAGATTACTTGATCAAATTAAAGACGAAAAAGATATTGAAGATGATGATGAAGATATCATGGAAGATGAAGGTGTTGCTGATAGAAAGAAGATTGAAAAGAAATTAGAAAAGAAGTAAAGATCTGCCTCTAGATCAAGATCTAAAGGTATCAATCCCAATCCTATTTTAACTCCTGCTGATAAGGCTATGCAAAGACTTAAATACAAGATTGAAAAGACTTGGTCTGGTATGGCTGGTGAAGCTGACAGAAGTATTGCCTAAAAGATGCCCAAGCATCTTTTCTCTGGTAAGAGAAAACAAAAAGCAGATAGACGTTGAGAAATCAATATAAAGTCTAAGAAAAGAATGCATTTTTTCTCTTCAAATACATAAATAATAAAAATAAAATTAATTTCTCCTTAAAATAAAAAACTTCAATAAATAACAACATACTATCAATCAATCAATAAATAAATATGGCTGGCTTTTTATCTTAACCATAAGCTACAAAATCTTTCAAATATAATTAATATTAATATCTTTTGCATAATTAAGAATTATCAATGTAATTTATTTTATCCAAAATTTATATTTTACTCGTATTGACATCTATCTTTTAAGTTTATTAAGTAATTCTATCATCCTTTCACAAAAAAATAGTTTATTTAGCAATTTTTAAAGGCAGTTTGATAAACAACAAAATTTATAAAACAAAAAAAATAAAAAAAATTTTTTTTGCTATCAATCCTCTTTCTTTCTACTGCTTAAATATAATATAAAGTTAAAGCAACATGCAAGTATTTGTTTTTTTTATTATTTAAGGCATTCAAAATTTATAAATAATATTTAACATTTAAGATATAAAAAAAAGCTTCATCAAATCATCAAAGATAATTAAAATCTTTTGATTTCATCATAGCAATCAAATTTTCATTTAAAATTCGCAAAAAATGCAGTTAATTTAAATGAAACGAGGGTAAGTAGAAGACTTAATTTATCATTATAAAATAGAAGTTTTAATATTAAAATTCATTAGAATTGCTTTAAATAATTGTTGATATGTTAATAAAAGTTGTTAAATTTTACTAATGCTCAAAAATAACTCAATAATATCAAGTAAATATATAATTTATTAGAACTATTTATTTGTTTATTTGTTTATTTAAATAGAGACATCAAACATCAAAAAATTTCAAGCGATATTAATTCTTTCAAACAACTTTATAATAAAGAGGATCACCAAGCAATAAATCATTACCATACCATTATAATATAAAAATGAGTGAGGAAGACAAAGTTATAGAAAAGAGTGAGATGCGTAATACTAAGTAGAGCCAATTCGGATATTCTTAGTATTCAGAAAGATCAACGTTTTTAGGCAAAGATATTGAATCACAGAAAAGACGTTCAATCAAAAAGATCCTTTTGTAAATTGGATTAGAAAATAAAATAAATTGATTTTTTATGATCAATTTAGAATTTTAAAACTATTTACATTTGACTCAGCTATATCTAACAATTTTTTTATTCCAATTTTCATTTGTTTCTTTTGTAAAATAACAATTAGAATGAGCTCTATGGATAAAGACACAATGAAGATCTTGTTAAAAATCTTGTAAGGTGGACTTAAAAATTTAACTTCTGAAAATAAAGAAAAGTTAAAAAAGAATGCAAGTAACATTTTGGATAAAGATAGATAAAAAGAGTTAGATGTATTACTTGAAAGGCTTGAATCAGGCGATGATTCAAGTGATAATTTTTTGGTAAAAAATATTTGTTGTTAAAATTAACAGTTTAGCTATAAATTAAAATATATTTTACGTAAAAACAATAGCAAATTATTAAGTATTATGTTCTTTCGCCAGTAGAAAAATCTTACATTGCTAAGATAGAATAAGAACTATAAAAAAGTGTAATTATATAAATTTATTATTTTTGAATAATGGTTTATTTATACATATTGTGTTAATTATTAGCAATAACTGGATGATGAAATAAAAAAAGTGTAAGAAAACATTAATGAAGAAAAAAAGAAGAAATTGGAAAGATATAGAGAAGAAAAGGATGGTAAAGCAAAAGTCAATAACAAAGAAACTTGCGAAGCTCTTTTGAGAGAAGTAAATAATTTTAATTTATTTCTAAATATAAATATATACACTGTTTATAGATTAAATTAATTTACAGTTTCTTTTTTGGAATAACTTAAATAGGTCAGTATTCATGAAAATAAACTCGAAAAAGCAAATCAAAAGCTTAACGAAATTGTAGCAAGAAACAATTAGCTAAGAGAAAAAATAAATGTCTTGAGAAAAGAAAAAAATGTCATCGAAGAGTAATTTAAAATAATTAATTTAATTAAACTATTAATTTTCATATTAAGAGTTCTAAGTGCTTATTATATAATTTTAATATATTTTGTAATTGAATTATTGATTTTGAATATATAATTTGCAACATTTATAAAAAGAATATATAACAAATTGAAGAAAGAGCTTGAAGAGAAAAAAAAGAATGTTGAAAAAACAATAAAAAGTGCTGGTGAAGCTTACTATAATAGAAATAGAGCGGAAGAAGAGTTAAAGGCATTATAAGAGAAGGCTGAATAGTAAAAGCTGAATTTCGAACAAGAATACAAGAACTTGAATGAAAACATTTAATACGATAGAAGATTTAAGTAATTTATCAAGTCTAAGCAAAAAGAAAAAGAAGTTTTGGAAAATTTAGAGAAGTAAATTTAAAGAAACTAGGAGATTATTGCTGAAAAAAAGGCTTCTAATGAAATGTAATTAAATAAATAATTACTCAATCAGTTTTCTTCTATATATTATTTTAAACTAATCAAATCTCATCTAATTTTTTTCTGAAAATATAATTTATTATTTTTTAAATGCTGTGAAATCAAGCTAAAAAAAGACAAATTTTTTTATGAGAATTCTATTGATTTTTTTTTCTTTTTAAATTTCAAAAAGGATCGATAATGAATATATGCTTTCAGCTAAGAAAGAAGAGGAAATCAAAAAAGCTTTTGAAAGAATTAAAAAAGAAACAGGTATTAACGAAACTAAAGATAAAGAGAGCAAAGAACTTCTCAATGTATTCATCAACCTATATTAAAAGAATACAATCATGAGCAAATTCGTCAAAGAACTAAATGAGGAAGTTGAAGAACTTGAAAGAAAGATAGAGGAAAAAAAGAAAGAAATTTAAATGTATAGTACAAAGGGAGCAACAAATGACAATAAAAGAAGAGAAATGAAAATAGTAAACAAATATTTAGACTTAACAATTATAAAAATATAATTTTTTATTTTCATGTAAGGCATTAACTAACAAAATTTAACAAGAAGAAAAGAAGAAAGTCATTCTCAAAGCTTAATATGAAAAATCTATAGAAACTATTAATTTAATCAAATAATATTTAGAAAATGTATTTATTGCTATTGATGTTGAACCAGAAACTATTGAAAAACTAAGTAAACAAAACATTTAAAAAGACCTTAATTTAATATTATTAATTTATATAGGGAGTGCTGCAATTACAGAAGAAAATATGGTACATTTCTTAGGTATTTTAGAATAGAAAGGACTTGATGCTATTTCTGAATATTCTCGTTTGATTGCAGAGGTATTTAATTGAATTTAAATCGTTTATAGCTAACACTTAATTATTCTTAAATAGTAACTAAAATTAGAAAAAGGAGATATGCCTGGTTTAGCTCAAAATATTGATGATCTCAATAACATTATTGCTTATGAAAACGCTAATATTATGAATTTCTACTCAAGTGCTGGATAAGGAAAGTAGGATTGTCCTGGTAAAATAATAAAAATTAAATAAATTGCATGCTGAATATTTTTTTTTTTAGATGATTTATTGCAAGTACAAAACAATGAAGATGGTGAAGACGAAAAAATATAATAGATTGGATAAAGAGGAGATAAATTTTTCACTTAAGAAGAACTAAGAAAGCAAGCTTTAGATGTAAGAAATAAAATATAAAAGAAAATCAAATAAATTATTATTTTTTTAATTAGGTAATTACAAAGAAATTTACTCAAACAAATCCAAATAAAGCTAATGCATCTGGAGTTAAAACAAAATAAAGAACATAAAAATAATATAAAACTGTTAAAAATTGATTATCAATTTATTTTTCTATTTTGTATACTAATTAACTAATTAATACCACAATAATTAAGATTTTTTTATTCATTACTTGTTTCTATTTTATGCAACATTTTTATCTTGCTAAATTTTACATAAATTAAAAAATAACTTTTAAAAATAAGTAAGAAAATAAATTTTATTTTTAATTTAAGTTAAATAAATTCTCTCAAAAAAAAATAAAAAATTTATTTTTTTATTATTCAAGATGCAATTATAATTTTATTTGTTTTAATAGATAAGAATAATTTTATTTGTTTTAATAAATAAGAATAATTTTCTTTATTTTACAAGTAAGGATTATTATTAGATATTATAATTGATGATAAGATAGATCTCTTAAAAGTTTAAAAATAAATTAAGAAAATTATTTTTTAAAGATTTTCAATAGTTAAAATCTTAAAATTCAAAAAAATTGTCTTCAAAATTTTATAATCAGATTATTATGTTAATTATAAAATGACTCTTTCTTTTAAACCTTATTTATAAGTAAGAATAAATAGTAAAATTTATTTGTTATTGATGGAATAATTAAAAATTAACTATTTTGATCAATCAGAAATTAAGAATGAAAAAGAAATAAATTTATTTATTTATTAATTTTTTCATAAATTTGAAAGTCAAGAGTCTCTTTGAAATAAACACATTTGGGATAAAAAACTATTTAAATAAAAACAATGATATTTTAGATACTAGAAGAAGTACATAAATATTTTATTTTTTGTTGATTAAAATTTCTTTATAAAAAAATCAAAAGTTTTTAAAGGCTAACTTAAGCAATCTTTCAGAAGCCTAACTTAATTTTAGGTAATTAATTACTCCTCTATAAAATATTTTTTCAATTAATTTATTTAAAAAAGAGATAGTTTTATAAATGATTAAAAAGCAGCACTTTTAGGAGTTAAATTATAAAGTTGTAAAGATATTTAAACGCTCTTTATTAATTTAAGGTAAAATTTAAAGTTTTCATTTGAAAGTAAACAAAATTTATTATTATAGTGGAAATAATATTGGAACTTATGGTATCTCACATATAGCTAATGGAATAGGAAATTGTATAAACGTCTAAAATATAAGCATCAATATATCTGGATTAAGTTTAATATAATATAATACGTATATTTTTAGATATTTTTATTATTCATTTAAATTTAATTTGGCTTTTTTTATCATTTTAACTTTTAAATTAATTTGAAACATTTCTTATTTATCTATTTCATATTAAAGCTTAAGTTAAATTGATTATAAGGGTGCTTTGTGTTTAGGAAAAAATGTAGGGCAATGCACAAATTTAATTTCTCTTTGTATCAACTTAGAGTAATGAGATAATTAATTTTTATAATTTAATGATGAAGAAAAATTGAATTTTATAATTATTAAATTAAAATAAATTATTTATTAATATAATAATAGAAATAATTAAATTGGTGATTTAGGTGCTTAAAATATTGTAAAAAATCTGAATAGATGCAAGTATCTCTAAACTCTGGAACTATATCTTGCGTAAAAATTTTAAAAACTATAAAATTAATAGTTTTAATTTAATAGAACTAATAAAATTTAAAAGACAAAACGAAATTGGTGAAAAAGCTTTATTTGGAGAAGGATTAGGTAAGTGCTAGAATATATAATACTTAAATTTAAACTTAAGGTAATATATTATTTTTAATTTTATTATTTAATTCTAAATTAAAATGGATTTTCTTAATAATAGTGGAAATAATATTCAAGAAGAAGGAGCCTCAGAATTGGCAAAAGGTCTATCTAAAATAAAATCTTTAAACTATTTTAAACTAGATTTTTAGTAAATATTTTAATTCAAAGATTAAAATGCAAATTAAAATTAATAAATAAATTTAAAAGTGGGAATCAAATTAATGAAAAAGGTGGATATGAATTAGGAGTTAGTATAAGTTAATTGACTAATCTCTAAGTATTGAACTTAAACTTAGGGTAAAATTATTTTATTAAATATTTTAACTTATTTAATAAAATTTAAGCTCTAACCGAATAATGAGTAAAGGTGCTTCTAGTCTTGGAAAAGGGATATAAAATTGTTAAAATTTAACAGATTTAGTATTGTATTTAGAGTAAAAATTATTTATTTAATTTAATTGAAATATTAATATCTTAATTTAAATAAAAAAGATATGAAAATATTTTATAATTAAATAATTTCAATTAGCTATTTATTGATAATTTAACATATATTTTAAAGTTCTAATTATATTGGATACAAAGGAGTAGAAGATTTAATCAAAGGAATTCAAATTAGTAGAAATATTAAAAACATGGTTTTAGATTTATAGAAGTAAATTTAATTTTATCATGAGATTAAAATATATTATTTTATTAAAATTAGTTAAACAGCAATAACATTTAAAGGTGTATGCAAATACAGCCAAATTTTATAAGAATGTTTTAATTTATAGAGTTTGCAATTAATTATAGAGTAAATTTAATATTTATTTTAAATTGTTTTATTTTCAAACTAATTCATTGAAAAAAGTAAACTATTTTTTAAAATTAATAGCTAATTATAAGTTTAAGATTATTTAAAAACATAAAAGGCTCTTTAAAATCTAAAGTAGAGTCTAATGAAATCAAAAAGATTGGTCTTTTATAAAGGTTTGAATAAATACTTTTCTTGAAAATTTATTAATTTATGTTTTTGCTTACTAATTTTATAAAAAAATGAAAATAAATATTTGTTTAAAAATAAATATAATATTTAACATTTTGAAGATATTTCAATTTAATAAATAGCATTATTTCTTATTAAAAATAGAATTTTAAATGATTATTTATTAATTTTAGCTTATTACTTTTTTTGATTTAATTACATTTTATTAATAAAAATTTTTAAACTGTTTAAAATAATATTCATATTGTTTGTTTTTTGTAAAAATAGTTCTTTGATAAAATAATTTATTATGTTTAAAATAATACTTTTGTTTATCTTTTTGTTGCTAATCATCTTTCTTTTTAGATTTTGAAAAATATCAAATAAAATGTTATTTTTTAGTAATTCTCAAAACAATACTCAATCAAATAAAATTACTATTTCTATTTAAACTTTTATGAGCAATTTGTTAAAAAATAAATATTTCTAAGCTATTTTTACAATTCATGAGAAATTTTATCTTTTCAAATTTTTTTTGAGATTTATTTTATTTCTTTATTAATTTAGTAGAATCAGTTAATTGATAAATAAAATAAAATTCTGAAAAGTTTAAAATCAGATTATTTGTTATCTTTTAAGAAATTTTTAAGCACCTTTTACTATGAAAAATTTTAAATATATAATTTATTTTTATTTATTGAAATTGGAAATATTTTTTATGAAATAATTTTCAAATTAAATATTTATTTTTTAAAATAACTTGAAAATAAAATTTAGCATGGTAAATTAATTATTTCATTTGTAAATAATAATTTAGTTATTCATAAATATAAACAATGTTATTATTTGTCATTAATTATAAATAAAAATTGGATGTTTTGATAATAAGATAAAAAATAAATAATTAACATATCTATCTTGACTTTACTTATATTTTATTATCGAATTTTTATGAATATAAAATTTGTTAACAGCTATTTTTAAATTAGTGATAACTTGTAAAGTCTTTCGCTTCAAAATCAATTAACTTTTCTAAATCTAAATTAACAAATTTCTAATTAATTTTGGTAATATTTTAAAAAATAACTATAGCAATTAATAAATTATTATTAGTTAGTATTATAAAATATTGTCAACAAGGCATAGTCTTAATTTATGAGCAAATAGTTAGTTTTATTTAAATGTCCTGTACAAGGACATGATCCTTCAATGTAGGATTCAGTTTGTTTAGATAATCAGTGTTAATCAAGAGGCTTAGTTTGTGATAAATGTTCAGCCTCTAATCATTCAAATCACTACAAATTACCATTAGCAAACTTTGTTGATTAATATAGGGAATGTTAGAATTTAAGTAATATAGAATAATAAATGGATAATGACACAAAAAGCTTGTAGAGTATGCAAGCTGAGATAAAAGGTCATTTGCAAAGTTTTATGAAGACTATATAAGATGAAGTTTTAAAGACTTTAGAGAGATTACAAACATAATTTGATAGTGACGTGCAGCAGATATAGAGTATGAAAGCAGCAGAATAACGCTATACATAAATATTGAAAGACATTGAAAGGAAGAATATTGCAAATGCATAAGAAGCTTAGAGAAAAGTTACAGAATTAGTTTTAAAGGTTCAGTTATAGCCTAATAAGCGCTTTTAGTTATTCAGTGTTAATGAGGAAGGGTTTTAAAAAATAAAAACGACTTTAAGAAACACAATGAGTGCAAAAGAAAATGTTTATACGGAAACTACTAAAATTGCAAAAGACACACAGAGATATCTTGACGGAGTTTATAGATTTTTATCTGCAACTTTACAAAAAGGGTCGAATTTTAATTAACCAATGCATTCAGGAACATTTGGATAATTTGGATAAACTGTAAATCATAATGAACCTGAACAGTTTAAATTAACAAGTGAATTAAATCCTCCTACTGCAAATTTTATTCTTGAAAACTAAAATAATCAAAGTCTGAATGGGTAGAGGTCTTTTTCGAATAACGCAAGCAGCCACAATTTTCATAGCTCACTACCTCAAAACAATATGAGCAGGGTAGATGAATAATTACCTAGCGGAATGTTAACAAATAATAACAGCGTAAATATTAACAATAGAAATACAATGTACAATCATTCGAGCCCAACAAAAGTTAAAAATACTTCTACAATTTTCGGAAAAGGAGTAAGTCAGAGTCTTAGCAGATAATTTAATACTAGATAAATGGATTAGCCAATAAATGGTATTGATAATCCTGTCAAATAATTACATGAATTCGAGAGGAATAACGAAAACATTTTCTTCTAACAATAAACTGGTAATAACAAATCTCCTTCTCCTTTTAGGGAAGAAATCCATATACAAAACTCACCTTTGAGGAGTGTTGGACCTAGTAAGTCTAAAACAAGTAACTATTTTAAGTAAGATGTTAACATGCCTGCAGGAACTTAAGCTCTTGATTAGGGATATGACAGATCCTTTTCTCTTACTAATAATATAGGAAAAGCAAATACTCAGCTTATAAATGCTGCTCATAATTAATATTTTGGTGAAGGACCTGCAATTTAAATGAATCCTAATACATCTAGAAGTATGAATTAAATAATGGACTAATATAACAGCTCAAGCAGTCATAGTCTGAATCAATTAAACAATTAAAGAGTCCCTTATGCAGCAATAAATAGCAATAGAGTTTGGTGGAAATCTCATGACTTACCTGTAAGAGATATTGTTTTCATCGATAATGATAAAATTGCTTCTGCAAGTGATGACTGCACTATTAAACTATGGGAAAAGATTGAAGGTAAGCTGCTTACGACTTTAACGGGTCATCAAAGGCCAGTTACTAGTTTGGCATACCACTTTACTGGAAGAATTCTAGCAAGTGGAAGCACTGATAGGACTGTGAAAATATGGAGGCCTGTTCCTACATGGTAGTGTGTACATACTTTTAAAGGACATAATGATATCGTTCGCTCTTTAACTTTCCTTAACGAACGTACTCTGTATAGCGGATCTTTAGATAGTACAGTAAAAGTATGGGACTTAGAAAAGGGAATATTTATTAGAAGCTTAGAGAATGAAATGCTTTAAAAAGTTCATTGCATGTTATTACTCTAAAATAAATCATTATTAGTAGGATATGATAAATAGATATGTGCGTGGGATTTGAAATCAAATCAAATAATCAAAAATGTGAGTGCTCATAATAGTCCTGTAGTCCGTTTGATATTTGTTAAAAGCAGAAGAAATGATTAACCTTTAATAATTTCAGGAGGAAGAGATTCATCTGTCAAAATTTGGGAGGCTTCAACACTTATCATGCTTAGATCAATAGAAGAAACCTTTCCAATAACTGATATAGTATACCTTAGTGAAATCGATTGCATCGCTGTTAGCTTAGTAGGGTAAAGATTGGATGGAAAAATAGCCGTTTGGAATCTAAACAATTTAAGAAAGGTGAGAGATATATTTGATAACCCTTCTGCAGCTTATAGATTATAATACGATGAAAACTACAGGTTGCTCTATTCGTGTCATGAAAATAGATTAGTAGAGTACTGCCGTTTATAAATTTGAAATCAATTTGAGAATTTTTCGATAAAATTATTTTTAAAATCTAAAATATATTTCATAAAAATGAGAGAGTGTTAGTTTTTGCTTTATTTTGATTTAATAAAAAATATAAATAAATTTTGATTAGCTAAATATGAAAAATAGAAGTTTTTGATTGTATATATATAAAATGTATCTACCTATCTATCTATGTAAATATGTATGCATGTATGTATGTATTTATGTAAGTTAGTTAATTATATAAAGTAATAAATAATTAATTATGTTATGTAATAATTTGTATCATTCATTAAGTATTAATCATTTTGTAAAATAAAAATGTTCATTTTTAATATAAAATTATATCCTAAACTCATAGCATAAATCAATTTGAGTCAACTTTAAATTTTTGATATATCGTTTTATGGATTAAAGGAGACGCAATTCTTTTAAATTTTGTCTATAAGATACTCCCAATCAAAAATATTTTATTTATTTTGTGTTTGTTTTACATAATTTATTTCAAATTCATTCAAAGGATAAATGATTTCAGGTTTTATATTATTATTTTTGTTATTAAAATTTCTTTCAATCAGAGTTTCTATTAACGAATTGAAAGATATTAGTAGGTCTTTTACCTAATATTAGCTCTATAATAATTAAAATTAGATTTAATGACTTATTTTTTAAAGAGTGCTTTATTTCAATGTTTTGCTCATGATTAATTATTTTAGTACTACTATTAAAAACCTCAAAGGCCTATCTACTTAAGTTGATACTGCATATGAAACAGCACATACTATTATGATAGTTATTATGCTCAAAGTTACACAAATTTTTACAGTTAAATTTTCAAGTTGCAATGATAAATTTTTTATTTTATCTTTTACTTTATACATTTCATCTTCTTCAGAATACAATAAAATAGTAAAATAGCTATCTTAAACAGGATCTTCAATCTAAAAAAATATATTTTTATTAGTTTTTTCATAAAAAAGTGAAAATAAATGATAAACCAAAAATTAAATTCTTATTAAATAAAATGAATTATTAAGAAATTAATTACACCAATTTTTGTAAAATCTCTTTAATCATTAGGATCAAATTAATCCTATATAAAAATTGGAGTGATTTAATATATTTTTGTCTATCCTTCTTTATTTAGCTTAGAAATTTTCATTTAAGTTTCCTGTTAAATTAGAGTTTGAAAACTAGTTTAATCAAGCCCTTTAATTACAATAAATTATCATTTATTTACATAGCGAAATAGCAATATTACCACTAAAATTGCTGATGTTTTAATCAAATATATACTGGTTTTAACTAGTCACATGCCAATAATCACTGGCATAAACAAATTAACCCCTTTTGTTTAGAACTATGATTTCACTTTTTGATCTGAAACCATGAGCTTTGACAAAGCTATCTATAACTTTCATTTTCATTTCTAATCTGATATCTAAAATAATAGCAAAATTTTCTAAATATTTATTAAATTGCAACTAAAATTATTTTTACGAAAATAGATCTCTTAAATAGTTGATTAGATGTTGATATTAGCTTTAAAAGTTACAGAAAGAGACATAACTTACAATTTTTAGTTTCCAACTTGCACATCATAAGGGCCTTAAACAAAGACTCTATTTCCTTGTCTTTTACTTTTCTGAGAATTTTGTTATTGAAGCTTATAAAATGTTGAATCTATGTTAACTATTAAAATATTTTAGATAAATAGAAAAAAAAGTTTAAGAAATTTAAAAAATTAGACAAATATAAGAAAAATATTTTAAAAATTTTACATTAACTCTATGATTCATCAATAAATGAAGCAGGATATGATTTATAAATATTAATATTTTAGGTATTTTGTTATGTGTAAATTTATACTATAATCCTTTAAGTTCTTTCTTATAAAAACGCAGTTGAAAATAAGCTATTTACATTATTATCTAATTCCAGTAAATAACTAATCAATTGCTTCTATTCATTGGTTGTCTAATTTTAATTGAAGCTTAAATTAATAAAATTTATAAAGATAAATTGATTATTTTACTTGCTAGATATCAGAAACTGAATCAATGCAAATCGAACTTGTTTCATATTGTTAAATTACATTTATATTGCAATTTTATAATTACTCCTATGCTTTAGATAACCCTTCCTTATCAGAGCTGCTTAAATCATAAGTTGGATAGACGTTGTAAATTCCAGCAAACTTGTAATTTGGATAAGTTACTAAAATTTTATTAATAATCTTAATAAGTATAAATTAATTAATTAGATGAAAGCTTTTTTAAAGATATAACTCTAAAATTTTTTCTTTTATTTATTAAAATCTTGAATTAGTAATTTTATTACTTCTTTATTCTTGTTTTAATATTTTATTAAATTGCTTTAAAAGCCATCAAAAGGCTTTTTTTTGTCAATTTTTTGAAAAAAACCCACTAAAAATTTTTCTTTTCAAACATTTTCAAAAAAAGTATATGGAAATAAAAAATGATTAATTAATACTCTTATGATTAATTTATGTTTTTTATATATTTAATTTTGATCAAAATTATTATTAAAATACTTTTATTTATTTGAATATAAACTTTTACTGAAGTCTCAAAAACCTAAATTAGTACTTTTTTATTAGTTTTTTACTTCCAAAATATTGTGCCTTTGTTTTGTTTTAATTACAATCTAAGTATTCGAAAAATATCCTTATTAATTTTGTAAAAAAATAACTAAATAAATTTTTAGTTACAAAAATTTAATTAGAGTGGTTGGATAGTAAAAAAGTCTATTTAATTTTTAATTAAAAAACACTTTTTATAAAAAAAAGATTAATACAATTTTTAGAGGAGTAATGCTTTAATTAATTTTTATTAGTGTAAATAGTTTGTTTTTTATTTTTTTAGGCGATTAGGAATTGGATATTTTGTTGATTACGATTTTCACTCTCAAAAATTAAAATTTTTAACTTTTGGATATAAAATCACTAAAAAAATTTGTTTACAAATAATTAAATTAAAAAAATGTGTGGTATTTACAATTAATTTTCTTTTTAATTAAAAAAATATACTTACTAGCAACCTTTTAACTATAAATTGCTTGTAAGTGAATACTTTAGTTACAAATACTTTCTTCGAAAAGTAATTTAAAAGCTTTCTTCTATAATGTAAAAAGTTAAATAATTTTACTAAATACATCACTGATCACTTATCTTATATCATTAATGAGTTATCCCAGATTATAAAGTGAAGTTTAAAGCACTGTTACCATTTATCTTTTAAAACCAAATTAAGAAGATTATAATTAAATTTTAAACCTTTGAAAAATTTACTTGATAACTCTTTCATTTTCAAGATCAACATTTGAACAAACGTAAGACGCCGAATCTGAAATAATCCTTTGAGTTACTTGTTTCTAGATAAACAGCTATTAATTCATAAAATAAATGCTTTTTTACCATTTAAAATACTCTTTAAGGTAGATCTTGTAAGAAGAAGTTGAAAAAAAAATGTATTAATTACAATTATCAGCAAAGATATAATTAAACAGCAGATAAGAGAAATAACCCCAAATCTTATAATTAACTAATGTTTTAATCTTAAGAGTCCAAATCTATTAATTTCATAAGGTTTTTTATCTACTTTTACCATAGCTTATTTATTATCTAAAAAAATACTATATTAATTGATATATTTGTTTGTTACTTCTTTATTTATTTCTGCCAATATTTTAGTTCCTCTTAATTTATTTCAAAAATTTTTTTAATTAATTGAAAAATACTTTTGATGAAATTTAGTTAAATAATGCATCATTTTCTTATTTTGATTTGAAAAGCAATTTCAAAATAAATAGTTGAGAAATTAAATAAAATTATTTAGATTATGTATAAATATCTATTAAAAATATTTACTATCATACACGCAACAGTCCTATTAAGTTTATTCAATACTCTGTTAATTAAAATGTAGTTATTCAAACATATTAATATAAGCCTAAAAAACTACTTTTTTTAATTTTTACTAAATTATTTTTATTTCTAATTTTTTGAACAAAATATATATTTCTAAAACAAATAAACTAACAAACAAACAAATAAATAAATTAATAAATTAATTAATCGAAATATTTTTTATTTTTAATATTCTTATAACTTTCAAGCAAATGTCAAAATCAAACATATCTTAATAATATTTATTTTTTACTTAAATTTAAACAGCTTTTACTACAATTTGTAGGGGGGAAAATTGTTGAGTAATTTATAACATAATAAATAAGTAAGAAATTCAGTATAATTAATTCTTTATTTCTATAAAATAATACCTAACTTACAAAATTATTTTATTGATTGATGTTAGTATAATTATTTTATTTAATTTCAATAAATATTTTTCAAACCAAAATAAAGCAATATTAAGTATTAATATTATAAAAACCTCTAATTCCTTATTAAATAAGTTTATCCTGACCCAAAATAAGTTTTAGAGCAAAAATTTAAATTAAGAGCCAAACATTTTTTTTATGTCGAACTTAATCAATGAGGATATTTTTACTTCTTGAAAGAAAATAAAATGCATTCAAAAATAAATGAAAATGTTTTTTTAAATCTTATTATTATTTTTATGAATTTTTTTTAATTATAATTTAAAAATGAATAAAATAAAATAATTATTTTTATTATGTGCTTTACTAGCCATTAATTTGGAGCTAAATTTTAAAAAATTTAAGAATTTCCAGTTAAAGATCACAAATTATCCTTCCAAAATGAAAGGGATTTCTTAATTAATGAAGAATTAGAATATATATCTTTTAATCCTATAAAAAATACACTACTAAATAATATTGGTATCTTATTTCTAATTAAATTTCTTAATAAAAATTTCTTATTAAAATCTAAAGAACTATGAGCGAAGATTAAAATACAAATGTAAGTTGTTTAACTTGTTAGAGTTAATATAAAAAAGATCGCATCTGCATTTCTAAGTAGTGTGATGAATAATACCTTAAATATATCTGCAAAATGTGTCATTATGACTAACACAAATCTTAAGGAAGATTAAAAACTTCTGAATTAGATATTGATATTTTAAAAAAAGACATTGGAGATCTTTTAAAAAATTAGATGGATTAAAATTAAGAAGAAGAAAAACTCTACAATTATTCAAAATAAATTAGAGTAAAAATATAAGAATCTATAAAATGCTTAGAAAAGTATGATAAATAACTTGAAGAATATTAAAATAGGTATAAAGATTCATATGAAAAACTTAAAAATTCTTTTGAAGATTTAGATAAAAAAGATGATTTAGAATTATAATAATCAATTTATAGCTTATTTGAAATAGTTAAATTATGTGAAAGTGATGATAATAACAAGACTGCAGGATTTTGGAAAGTTGATAGATCTTTTAACAAAGATAATTTAGTCTAAGTTAGCTAAATTTGTGAAATTTCAAATTATATAAGTAGATTCACTGATTTCGAAAAAATTGAAAGTATTTCATAAGAGATAATCAATATAAATAGAAACACACAAGATAACGAATAATTAAACTAATAACTATCTGATAATAAAAAATAAATAAATTTATTAAATGTAGAATATAAAAAATAGTTAATAATTAATGAGTGTAATAAACTTGTTTAAGGAATAACTAAATATTTCACAAATTGGTTTGGCTTTGATTACATCAAAATAGAAAGATTAAATTGCACTAAATGTTAATCTTTTTATTATATGATTGAAAATAGCTATTATTAAAACTATGGGAAAAGTAGCAATCCAGATTTATGCAATAATTGTACACCATAATATCGAGAAAGTAGTGATCCAGAAGGGACAAGTACATTTTATTATTATGGACATTAAAGGAATTCAGCTTGGATAAAAACAAGAAACGCATAAGACTTATATAATTACTATACAAAAATGCTTGAAATAATAAACAATAGAAAAGAATTATAAGATAAAGATGCTTAATCATAAGAAGCTGAGTGTTTTTATGAAATTAAAAATTGATATAAATGAATTTGTATTTAATAGAAAACAAGTGTTAATTTATGTTTATTTTATTAAATTTACATAGTGATAAGTAAATAAAGCATTTAAAAAAACTTTTGTTAAATAATTAAAAAATATTCATATTATAAATCTTGTAACAATTATAAATTTCAAAGCTATTTATTCAAAATTTTTTACATTCTCACTTATTAAATGCAATTTTATTTTTTACTTCTAAAAGTATTAATTAAATCTTTTTGTAATTTTCAATAAATTTTTTACTTTTTCTTATATCTAAATTATAAATTATTTAAGTTATTTTTGATCTTTCTATGTAAATTTTGCTCAAATTTACAAATTTAAGTTATATATTAGTTTTTAGCTCAAATATCTTAAGAGCTTTAAAACAAATTTATTAATGATATCCTTCCTTATATCTTTCATTTGTATTATAAATATTTTTAAAAATTTTAATATATAAGAAGTTTTTCTCAAACTATCTTTAAAAATTGTTTTTAATTAAAATTAATTTTTATTATTCTTAAGAAAATAAATATTATTATTAGGATTATGAAAAAAGAATTATCTATCTATTAAAATATTATTTTTCAAGTTCTAAATATTAAAATTTCATGAATATTTTAACTCTTATTAAATAAATTGTTTATTAATAAATTATTTATTTTTATATATTGGTTTATCTATTTAATTATTTAATATTTATATATCTACTTATTATTTATATATTTAATATTAATTTACTTACTTATTCATTTAATGTTTATTATCTAAATATTTAATTAAAATTTATGTATTTATTAAATACTTATTTATCTAGCCATATATAAAATTAATATTTTTTACTTATTTGTTTGTTTGTTTATTTATTTATTTAACATTTATTTAGCTAAATATTTATTAAAAATTATTTATTTATTTATTTATCTATCTATTTATTTATATTTTTAATATTATTTTACTTATTTGGTTATTTACTTAATATTTATTTATTTAAGTTTTTATTTAAAATATATTTAAGTTTATTTACAGGGGATGCTATTGTTTGTTTATTTAATATTAATTTAGCTAAATATTTATTAAAATTTATTTATTTATTTTTTAATATTATTTTACTTATTTGGTTATTTGTTTAATATTTATTATTTAAGTTTTTATTTAAAATATATTTAAGTTTATTTACAGGAGATGCAAAATAAAATGTTTAATTATCGAATTTGTTATTAGTTAAATTTTAATATATGATTTAATTATTAGTTTAGTATAAAGTTTAATTAAATTAAAATATTTTTGTTTCTTAAATTAGGTTTCAATTTTACATTAATTGGGTATCTGTTTGTTCTTTTTATCCATCAAATTTATCTTTGACTAAATTCACAAACTTTAATACATCAAAGTCAATTTAATTACCCTTAGTTGTTTTAACGAAATTAATTTCTAAATCATTTAAGGGGTATTCTATTTTTCTAGGTATAATTTAATTTTTGGTTGTGGATGTTTCAATCATTTTATCAATTAGATCTGAAAAAGATTTTACAAGCTCTTGTACTTAGTATTAGCTCTGAAAATATTAATATCTTAGCTATTCTCTAATTTTAAGTAAAGTATTTTATTTTATTGTTGTGCTATTATTAAGCTTTCTTAGTATAATATTAAGAACATTCAAAGGCCTTTAAACTTAAACAGTAACTAAGGAAGTTGCTACATATACTAAAACTATCGTGATTAAGCTACTTACTATACAAATTCTTACTGTGACATATTCGATCTGACTTGTTTGATCTTAAATAGTAGTTTGAACTTAGTACATTTAAGATTTTTCTCCATATATAAGAAATATAAAAAAGTTATCGTTCACAGGATCATTTACCTTTTTAAATACAACATAATTTTTGGTCAGTTTTTTAAATAAAAAATAAATTTAAGCTACTCCTGTAGTAAAATAAGATTTAGGATCATTAGCATTAAAAGTATCAGCTAGAAGTATAACTTCTACAAGATAATCTTTTGTTACTCCTTATTTATTAAGCTTAGAAACTGTTGCCTACTATGTTTTATTAGTAATAAGATCTGTAAGAGTGGGCTCATCTAATCCTGTTTGAACAAATAAAATTAAGTTCCAATAAAAATGAAATAGCTTCAATAAATTCATTTAATCTTTTCAAGATTCATTTAGAAATTAAGATAAAAAATTAATACCACTATAAATTTAAATGTTAGAATCATAGATAACTTAGGATGGACCAGTATAACTTTTCTTCCAATAATCTGTCAGATAAACAAATTGTCTTCTCTTGTTCAAAATTATAATTTCAATATCTGACCTATAATTTTAAGAATTAACAAATTCTTATATCACTGACATTAGTATTTCTATTCTAATATCTGTTTATTAAAAAATAAAAATTTTGATTTCAAACAGTTAAAAAGATTCAAAAAAACCAAATCAAATCAAATCAAATTTATTTACGATAAAAAATTGTATCAGTTCCAAAAGGAAATGGTATTGTAATTGAGGCACACACCACTTCAACTGTTGTACCATTTGGGAAAGTAGTATTATAGGGCCCTTAAACAATAATTTTACTACTACCATTAGGATATGGGTTTGTAACTTACTATTGTTCCTAATAGTATCGTCTAAAAATGCTATCTATTTATTTATTTTAAATTAAAAATATTTAAAAAAATAAATAGTAATCTCATAACAATTTAACTAAGAACTAATAAATTAAAAGCTTTTGCTTTTAGTTAAATTAAGCATCTATCTAAAAAATTACATTAAATCTAAGTGCTATCCAAATAGGATGGAGGATAAATTTTATAAATATTTCTAACAGGATCTGTCATAGAGTAACTTTATATAAAAACTCTTAGTATTTTTTCCTATAGAAAAGGTGTTGAAAACAAACTAGGTATAAAGTCATCTAACTGTAAAAATTTTCCAACATTATATGTAGTGTAGTCTGGACTCTAATTTATATATTAATATGCTTAACTACCATTATTCTTTAATACTTACTGAAGTAGGAGTTTATGGTAGGTTCAAAGGTACATCCATACATAGAGATGCAATTTAAGTAGTAGAAGATAAGCTTGGGGCACATGCCAATATCTAATTTTAAGCTAATTAAAGATCATTGATATTTGGGCTTCCAGGAGTGAAATCGTAGATTGGAAATGGAGAATATATATTGGAAAAGGGATATATTGTATTAATACCTATTTTTTTACAAAATTGTTAATTATTTTAATGCTTTTCTTCTCTCTAAAATATTAATGAGTTATAATATAATATATCCTTATTTTGATGAGTATTTTTTATGTTATAAATTTGCTTGTAAATGTTAATATTAGTTAAATACTACCAAATAATTTATTTAAATGAAGACCTTTTAGTAGATTTTTAAAAAATGAAAACAAGAAGTTTATTGATAAGGTAAATTTTAATTCTTACCAAAGGTGTCTTTGGTGACCTATTCGACCTCATAAATAAATTATCCCATTATAAATAGCGAAGTTTGCAGTTAATTAATCATCATCCTTTTTATTTTTACCAGTTAAAAATAAATTATCTTCAAAATTGTTTTGTTTAGTGAACAAGTTACCCAATGACTGTGCTCATTTCTAGTTATACCCTCTAAGAAACATACTAACTGGAATCATTTAAAATCCGATCTGTAATTTTCTTCTGAATAAATACCTTAATATGTTATAGTTGATATAAAGCTTTAGCTTTGCTTATTTAAAGAATTTTATTCAAATCAATCTAAATTAATGAATAAATGAATTCAATATTTTAGTTAATATTTACAGTTATCAAAATTGAAATAATTGAGCAGGAAATCAAGCTAAGAATAGTAAAATTAACAATAAGCTGAACTTTGAGTTTAATCTATCCAAAATAACTGATTGTTTTCTCTACTTTTTTGACGCTAACCATATTTTATTCTCAAAAACTATATCTAATTATAAATATTTTAGTTTGTTTGTTTGTTTGTTATCTGCTTTTAATCTTGTTTAACCAAGATATTTATATTGTTGGTTAACAAATTAAGTATTATTTTTTTTGTATACTCCAATATTTATTTACAATATTTATTCTTCTTTCGTTGTTCATAAAATAGTTAATCTAATTATATTTCAATCAATAATCTAGAGTAGCATATGTCTCTTTCCTTATTGAAAAGTTTAATTTAAATTCCTTTTTTAAAAGCCCAATAAAATGTAAATAAAAATACATTAAATATATAGCTTTACTCTAACTTAACTTAGAATAATCCTTTGTTGGTTAAACGCATGCATCATTCATATTAAAATGCATATTATATAAAAAGTATTATTAACAAATCCTCTAAATTCGAAATTTTCAACTTACATTTAATTATTATCAAATACAAAAAATCACGTTTATAAATTAAAGCTTAAACAATTAATAAATATTTTTAGGAATCAAAATATTACAAATTATCTTTACTTTCTTTAACTCAATTTAAAGAAAACATAAATTTTTATCATATGATGTAATATCTTAATATTTTAATGCGCATCAAAAGATTTATAAGCATCATTTACATAAATGTAATAAATTAAATTTTTTTTAATTCAGTTAAGCATTAAAGTATAAATTTAGGGTTTTTAATATTTCATTATATTATGAATTATTAACTAAAATACCAAGCCCTCTTAAATATTTTGGAAAAATTTGATTTCACTTATTGTAAAGAGTTATCCACTCATTCTTATCTTGAAATTAAATTTTTTTTTTTTTTTTTACAGTACTGCCACTCAATAAAACAAAATAAGATAAACAGTATATCTGGTGGTTAAAATACAATTATCAAATAAGATCTCAATTTACTATATTTTAATAATTGAATTACTGCTAAATTCCACAAATAAAATATACAAAACTCCTAAAATAATAAAAAAACATATTGAAATCTAAAGTACCAGTCATATGATTATAATTTAATTTAATTAAATTAAAATATTTTCGAATTAAATATTTACTTCTATATTATTATAGTTTTATTTATTAACTATAATTTTCTTGAATAGCATTTAAAGCTCTTAAATATCAAAAAATGTATGTAAAATATGTGTGTTTATTTAAAAAATCTGAAGATTAGATTTTAAAAAATAGATTCAATAAAGGTAAAATAGTGAAATAAGATTTCAATCTATTATTTTTTTATTTATAATTTAATTAATGTCTCATTCCTCAATTATAAAATAAGTTTCAAGATTAATAAAAAATATATTTACATAAAAATATTTCTTTTAAAGTAATTAAACTAAAATTAGTTCATTCAAATAGTTTGTATTTATATTATTTACTATTAAGATTTTATTTTATTTAACAAATAATAAAAAATTTCATAAATAAATAATATATGCTTACACATTGTGATATATTAATATGATCTGCTTTTAATTAATTGAAATTTATTAAAATAAATAAAAAAATAATCAAAGTAATTCAATTAGAAATTGTAAATATTATTTATTTACTTTCTAAATTAATTAATTAATTGCATATTCTCTTAATTTTAAATGTAAATAAATTCAAGCAATATAAAGTATAATATAAATAGTTTAGTACAAAGAAGAAAGAAAGAATAGGGTAGTAAAAGTAGATGTATTTGTTAATAGTTATTAATTAATTAAATTATTTATTTATTATTTATTAATTTTAATTTATAAACTTTGGTTTTCAGTTTAAATTATGGAACAAAAAGTAAATCATTCTTATTTTTTTGGTTGTTAATCTTAATCGTTTGCTTCACCAAACTGTTCGTTTTTAGATTGTTAGTTTTTAACATTCAGATTTTCCCAATCAAATTCAAATTTTTTGCCTTTAGTTTTTTGGAGGAAGCTTGTTTCTAAATCATTCAAAGGATACTCAATAGTAATAGAAATAGTATTATTTGTTTTGTCTTAGAATCTTTAAATTAGTGTTTCTATAAGATCTATAAAGGTGAGTAACAGATCTCTTACTTAGTATTGGCTGTTTCTTGACTAAAATAAAAGCTAATCTTTTATCCTCAGTAATACATTTTGCTATAATGTGACACTATTATTAAGCTTCTTAAGAATATTTATAATTAATTTTAATGGTCTGTCTACTTTTACTGACACAATATATGTAGCAACATATACAAGAATTATTGTTACAAAGCTTGTTATGACGCATATAAGTTTAGTAATATATTTTTGAGATTAAGCCAGAGATTCTATTTTACTTATAACTTCATACATTTGGTCTTTCTCTCCATATAATAAAATCACAAAGTAGCTATTATTCTAAACATCGTAGACCTATTAAATTATTTTAAAAATCAATATTTTACTATAAAAACTAGCTAAAAAATTAGAAATTTAAAATCAATCATATTTTTATTTAAATAATCATTTTATTTTTAATTATTTTCACTAATTATGTTGCACATATTTCAACTTACTTATTCGAATTGAGTAAAAAAATTTATTATTTTTTTTTAGTTTAATGGAAATTATATTAAATAATATCTATTTTTTCTACCAATGAATATTAATTGATTAACTAACTAAAAATATTTTATTCATTTGATATTAAATTTATTTTCTAAAATCATTAATATAATTTAATGATGAACTTTTGTGGATATTTCTCATAATATATTCTGATAATAATAATAATAACAAATTGTTAATTAAATTCTAAAAAAAAATTGAAATAGTTAGTTACAAATTTTAATTATATCTTATTAGACTAACAATATTTAAAAATTGATTTAATGATCATTTTAAGATTAATCCTATAAAAAGCTTTCATTAAACTTCATCAAAATACTTATAAATATGTATGATCTTTATGGAAGGAGGTTTTATTTAAGCTATGTTATAGATAGAAGATGGCCATCAATCATAAAAATATGAAAAAGAAAGAAAAATATTGATGATAAAATTAAAAAAAATATATATTTGCTTTGCAATTTAATTAATAAAAATAATTTACTCCAGTTTATAGGTATTGAGTAATATCGTTTGCATCAAATGTATTGTTAAGAAGTATTGGAGAAACTAAAAACTCTTTAAATTATCCATCTTTGTTGAGTTTATTGACTTAAATTTATTCTTAATTTACTACTAAATCCTAAAAAGTCTATTCATCGAGCCCTTTGTTATAAAAAATTCAGTTAATAGTTCATAAAAATCTGTTAGAGCAGCAAATATTTTTTTACCACTAAATTTTTGCATAGTTTAATCAAAAATATAAAGAGACTGCTGATTCAATTACCAATAGTCAGTAATATAGACAAAAGTTCCGTTTTTATTTACAATGATTATTTCATTTTTTGATTAATAATTTTGCTGTTTTAAGAAAGCATCTATCGTTGACATTAGTAATTCCACTCTAATATCTGTAAATAAATAAATAAATATTAATTAGTTTAAACTTTATTTTAGAAATAAAAAAATTTACTAAAAAATATTTTTTCAGAGTTAATTTAGGCCATAAATGTATTTGATAGTGACATAACTTATATATTTTTAGAGCTTGGGTAATCAAAGACCTCATAAGGACCTTATATAAATATTTTCTATACCAAACTTTATTAGTAAATAATCTCCATATTTTATTGTTGATTCTAGTAGAATCTACTATCTACTGTGTATTCTTTTATTTTAAATTTTCATAATTAATTAAATTTCAGATTTATTTTATTAAATATTTTCTTTATTTCAATAAAAATAATTAAAATTAATTATCAATTTTTTTTTAGCAGTCATAAAAATGTTTTAAACATAATTAAATTATAAAATATTTAATATATATTTAAAACTTAAATCATATTAGATAATTTATTGTAAATAATTATCTAATAATAATATAAACTTATTATCCTATGCACTGCACTTAATTTTAAATTACTCATTTTATTTAAATAATAAATTTAAGATAAGAAATAAAATACAATTAAATAATTTTAATTACAATTTGGACCACTTCCAGATTAGCAGTCTAAATATGATGCAGGATATATTTTAAATATATTTCTTTTTAAATCTCTCCCAGCTGAAGTACCTGATGCTGGTGGAGGCGGAGGATTTGAATAAGTTTATATCATTACTCTATATACCTTATCAGCATAATTTTATTGCTAATATAAATTTGGAATGTAATTATCTAAATCCATAAATGGTCCTAATAAGTATTTTTGATAGTCACCCATCTATTAAATTAAAATTCATTTTTATCAATTAGTTATTTTTTTAACTTATTAAATCTAAAGTTTATTATTTAATTTATATTAAAATTGTTACACTCTAGTCAAGTGTTGCTTCTAAGCAAATAGAAGAAATCTAAGAATAAACACCAGCTGCAGGTAAACAATTTTATATTTGAGTTTAAATATTTTAACTTAAAACAGAATTTGAACTATAATCATATGTTGTAGAGTATATATTGTTGGCTGAGTATATTGTCGTTACTTCTTTATAATTAAAATATTGTTATCTTATGTAATATAAACATTTTATATGTTATTTAGCAAGGTATTTTTTAATAACTTTTTTGTATATTCTTATAATTTTTAAGAATAATAAAAAGTAGTAAAATACTTAGTTTTAATAAATAATTTAAAATAAAGACTCTGTTAATAGTATCTGTATTTATAAATTAAGAGTTTATAAATTAACTTGTATTTCAATAAGTAGATTTATCAAATTGTATGTAAGGTATTTAAAAGCAGTTAGTTAATAAAAAATTGTATGTTACTTACGGAAAACATCTTTTACGACCTGCTCCATTTCCAAAATTAGCTGACCTAAATTGAAGAAATAGCTTTCAATAACTACAACAATTTAACTTTATTTATTAAAAAATAATTGTGAAAAAATATTTGAAATGAAAACGTCTTTATATCTAATTTACACTATAACATTATGCATTTCTTTTTTTATATTTTCTTACACATAAGTTGTAGAATCATATTAGATCCTATTAGTTATCTTGTTCTCTATATAAACCTTAAATACAAATTCTGTTAATATAAATTAATATTGTAGCTTGAAGAATTATACTATAATAATGAGTGAGATTATGAAGCAAGAAATAATAGATATTGTTACAAATGTAACCATCATTTAGAAATTTAGTTTCTACTAATTAAACTTGCTTATTTCCTTTATTTCCTTTTTCACACTAACCATTCCCTTTGAATTTTATAAATGTTATGTTGGAATATCTATAAAAGATGATGAACTTTTATTACTGTTTTTATTACTATATTTCTTTAAATATATTTCAATTACTCTTTTTTTAATAGCTAAATATAAAAATTTGTGATTTACAAATAAATTGCAAAAAATAATATAAAATAAGCCATGTATCTTCCTTTTATTTTTTAGTAATTCACGATAAATTCACACAATTCCATACAATCTAAATAGTAAATTTTTATTCATAAATTTTAGATGACATTTTTTACTCGTACTTACGCAATTAAAATCCATAAAAAATCTATGTTTTTAATTTCAAACAGATTCTTAAGTAATAATTTCTAAAATGTATTTATTTATTTATTTTTAGATTTTATCGTACCTAATTTCTAAATTATTTGATATTCTATTTTCTAATATAATTTTTAATTCAACTCATAGTATTTGTTGTCATTCATTATGTTTCTTTTTTAATTTTATAAGATAAAATATTTTAAGCTTATTTCATGCTTCAATTAATTATAATAATGCTAATTAATACACTAAACAATGATTTGAAAGTTAAAAAAAATAATTTATTTGAAATTTATTTTTAAAATTTTGTTTTAATTCAATCATTTATTTTTTAATATTTTGAAATTTATTTTTTAAACTGTTTAAATTCAATCATTATTTAATATTTTGAAATTTAATTTAATGATAAATCAACTGTCTGCTCTCTCTGCTATGGCAAATTAAAAAATTTATTTGATTTTAACAATAAAGAGCAATCTAGTAGGCATCTAACGTTAAAATTTTGCTTAATAGCTGAGACTTGGCAGATTTTTGATTCTATATGAATAAATTTTGTTTGAAAAATATTAAACAAATAACTAAAATAAATAAAGTTAGTATGCAAAAAATAAAAAATATTTATCTTAATAAACTTAAATATATTCGGTAATTAACTAACAAAGTTTATAACCAAAAAAATTAAAGATAATTTGTTTATTTTTGTGATAGTAGCAGTAGAAGAATTTGAAAAAATCATTTTAAAAGAACTTAGATTTTAATGGGTAACTAGTGCTGCACATCAGTGAGATATTCAGAAGCACAATTTAATGAAATTTAAACTTAAAAAGCAATACAAGGAATGATAGAATAACCTTATTTTAGCAGCATAGTAAACATTTTTGCTAATTGAATTAGATATATTTTTCAAAATAGCTAAAAAAATAATGTCATTTTTATTTTTACTAAAGGATAGGTATAGCTTTAGCTGTGGTTAGAATAGGGTAGTGATAATGAAAGGAAATACTTAGATCTCAAACAAGAGTGTATATGAAATGTGTTTTTTAATCAATGATTTGTTCTCATAGATAGAAGATTAACCTCACAAATTACTAATTACTGAAAATCTAATTAGTTTCTTTCGAAACAACCCGAAACATATAACAAATAAATTAGTAGTTGACTGTTTAGTTGAGCTATTTAGTGAATAATTTAGTTATTAAAAAATTACTTATATGATAGAGGTAAATACTTTTTTAAATAAAAAAATGATATAATAGCTAAAAAAACTCTCTATATTTAAGCATGATTATATAATTTACAATTTTTAAAATCTAGGAACGCAACAGTAGAGACATCAATAAAAACTCTTATGCAAATTAATATGGGTTTGGTTTAAATTAATAGCATTAAAATGGAATGAGCTAAAGCCATAGCTAATAAGGTTTATAAAATAAGTATAGTTAATTAGGTTATCAACCAATAAATGATTAGGATTAGTTTGGGTTACCACACTATTAAACAGGATATAATGATAATTCACCTATGATTGCTAACTATGTAAAAACAATTGATACTTTTATTCTTAAAACAAAATATATTTTAATGAAATCATCAAATATTTACTTAAAATGTAATCTATTCAAAAAGTTTTTATTAATTATTACAAAAAAAATAAGTGATTAAAATAAAATTTATTTGTCTTTTTAAAAACGTTATTAATATACTCTAACTCCTCATTATTTCAGAGTAATTATAATAAGGCCAAAAAAAATTTTAGAACCTTAAGAGTTATAAAATAGCCCTCCAAAATGGTTGGTTCCCCCTTAGTTAATGAGGAGTTAGAGTATATTTTTTTATATATTCATATTTTTAAAATTTTTTAAATTATTATTAAAAGGACTAATTTAATCAATTTTCTGGTGCTGAGCCGAAAGAAAAGATAATTGATTTTGAACCTAATCCATCTGATATCCATAGGATATATGATATGAATTAAATTGGTGATAATCATAGATAAATGTAGTTTGATGAGATTAACTAACAAAGTAATTAATTTTTAAATGAAGAAGAGGGATAGTCTTATAACTACTCAAGCAGAGTTTACAACAATCCAAATACAATGTATAAATCTGGATTTTAGTCACCTAGGAAGTAAGAAGATTTATAAGCAGTGTAAACTTAGTTAAATTAGCTACAAATAAGCACAAAAAGATAGCCAACTATTGATTAAAATATTTTGTATGTGCTGGAGTTTGTAGCAAATAAGATGGGTTCATACTAATTAGAATAAACAAGTTAGAAAGACATTTGGTAAATATGGAGAGTATTTGATACAAGCACTGGTTTTATGAATTATCACAAAAAATATAACTTACTTTAGTTTAGTAAGTAAGCTATGAGTATTTATTAGAAGGAAGCCACTGTCCTTCAGTTAATTGAAGATTCCTAACTAAATATTACCCCAAGATTAATGAAATATGATGCTAAAAATAAAGAAATTAAATTCGAAGGTGGATATTGTACACTGTGGGAATACTCTATAGAAATGGGTAAAATTTAATAAAGATTTAGTGAAAGAGATCTCATATACATTACATTGGAACTAATTAGAATGGTTTAGGATCTATAGAAATTGAGCATATACCATGGAAATATAAAACCTTAAAATATTGTTTTAGTACAAACTGCAGAAGGTAAATTTTAAATAAGGCTTATAAATTTTGAAAACTGTGTTAGAAGCCAAAAGGATATATATCCTCTCTCGAAAACTGAAAGCTACTATGATATCATTCATAAATTCAAACTTAATTCCGATATTATGTCATCCTAAATTTATCAAATTGGAAGAACTGTTTTAAACATCATTATTAAATAAGGAATAAACACCAATCAGCTTCATAGCAGGTAAGTTATTTTTATAAGCTTTTTTAATATATTAAATTTTACATATAAATTAAAATCTTTATTTAATTAAAAGAGATTTATAGTAATTCTTCTAATTAAAATCTTTAAATAATTAATTATTTTTATTCAAATTATTCATATCTATCTATCTTTATTTTAATTAAAATTTAGAAAAAATCATCCTTTGATTTCTGCAGAAGTGCTTAAGACATACTATAAAGAATACCCGAATATTATAAATTTAATTTCAAAAATGCTTAGATAGCCATCCACAAATCCAAACAATAATATAAACTAATACTAAAATATATCAGCATCTAAAGCTGCAAGCAATCTTGCTGAAAGAAACAAAGAAGAAGTTAATTCATTCAATCAGAATGCTTCTGGAGAATAAACTATAAATTCACTTAGTATTCAATACTCCATGTAATAACTTGATAGAGACTTAGTATAAATAAGAGAATAAATGCGCAGTGGATAATAACAAAATTTCATTCATGATGTTAAAAATGTTGTAAAAATAATTGGTAGAAGGAGAGTAGAAATGGGAGCTTGGGATTAATCTATGACACCTGATGCTTTCAAAAGAGAGATATTGTACGTTCTTTCTTTATAACAATTTGAAAGAGGGTGTGAATTATGCAATTATTTATTAAATTTTAAATCTTCTCCTAACTATAATTTAATTGGAAATAATAATTCCAATAACAATAATAGCAGCAATAATAATAACAACAGTGGTTTAAAATAATCTGGTGTTAATAACAATAATAGCAGCAATAGCAATAACAATAACAATAAATATTCTTAGATCAATAATTCTAATTTGAACATCTAATAACAAGACCCAAATAACCCAAGTCTAATTCCGTACCCTCTTTATTTAAAGAAACCTATTTAAACTCCTCTAAAATAAGATTTAATTAAATACCAAGGGTATTAGCATGAATTTTTAGTGAAAGCATAACTAGTTTTAAAACAAGTTTATTCTAAACAATTAAATGAAATTATACATGCATACTTTTAAGTTAAGGAGGAGCTTTCGATGTACTATTTTTAAAATAAAATGTTTAACGAAGCAATAAAAGAATAGGAAGATTTGGTTTAAGAAAAAAAGAACTTAAATGGCAGTGATGAAATTAGCCTTTCTAAAAGTTTTAGAATTTTAGGAGAAATATATTTATAGGCTAATAATTATGATAAATCTATTAAGAGTTTAGCTTAGTCTCTTTATTATATAACTAATAAATCTAATAATTTAATGCATTTTCAGGTAGCTGAAACATTAATTACAATGGCAGAAGCTTACTGTGTTTAAAATGATTCTAAAAGAGCTATATAGTCAGCTATGATTGCCTACGATATTAGCTCATAAACTTCACCAGATTCTCTTGGATTTGCTGAAATTTGTATTTAAATTTCATCAATATTTATGAGACTTTTTAATGATTTTGGTAAAGCTATTCCCTATTTCGAAAAAGGAGTTAAAATAAAGATAAATTGTTTCAAAGAAACTTTTTTAAATTAGTATTTAGATTTAAATATACTTTAGCTAGCATCTTATTATGAATAATTTTAAAACTATGCAATGGCATAGGAGTACTATGAAGTACTTTTACATATTCGTTAAAAAAGACTTCCACCTAAAATTATTTCTTCACCTTAAGTTGCTCAATCTCACACTTTAATAGGGTTTGTACATGAGAAAATGAATTAACTTGATAAAGCTTAAGAAAATCACCAAAAAGTAAGCAAAATATTTATTTAAAAATCTTGTTAAATTTTTTAGTAAAAGCTAGCAAATGTTTTTTTTAAACATTTATTTAAAAATTTTAAACAGTTATTTTGTTTAGAGAAAATTTCAATTAAATTTTAATATTAAAAAAAACAGGCTTTGTTAATGAGAAAGCATTTATATGGAGAAGTTCACTAAGAAGTCGCTGATAGTATGATCAACTTATCAATGGTGTAAATTAGGAAAGGTTTATACTAAGAAGCTTTAAAAATGCAAGAACAGGCTCTTAAAATTAAAGAAAAACTCATGCCTGACTCTGCTGATGTAGCATAATGCATGAATAATTTAGCTATTTTATTAGAGACATTAGGTAATTTCGAAAGTGCAATAAGCTATCATGAAAAATCTATTGCTATAAAAAAGAAAATTTATGGAGAATAAAGCTCTTCAATAGCCACAAGCTATAATAATTTGGCTTTGACTTATTAGAATAGCAGTTAGCCTGAGAAAGCTATCCCATTATTTAAAAACGCACTGCTAATACGTGAAAAATTGGATTAAAACAGTGAGGAAGTAGTTTCTGTCCTCAATAATTTGTAAGCCATTTATATGGATTTAGGGGATTATGACTAAGCAAATTAAATCAAGGAAAAGATAGTAAGTATAAAAAAAATTATTAGTTAAAAAAAAGAAAAAAGAGATCTGTCAAAAGCCAGAGAAGAAGAGCTTATTTACAGAACTTCAAATCCTAGCTAAGCTGTGTTTAACTAAGCTTTAGTGATTAAAAATCAATTAAACTAGCAAAGTCAACTTAACCTTTCTAAGCTACCTATTAATTAATAAAGTAAAACACAAGATAACACTTACGACACACAAACTTTTAATTAAAATAATAATAATTATGTTAATTAACAAATTTCATAAATGAATTAGTAAGAGATTCATCAAATTAATTAATAGCTAAATAACTCTATTAATATAATCAACTAAAATAATAATAATCAATATCAGCAACAATAGAGCATTCTGAATTAATAAACAAACTACTCAAGCTAAATTCCACAAACAGCTAACTTTTTCTCAAGTAATCATTTTAACTAAAACAATTAATCTGATATGAACCAAAATATCTTGCCAGTATAACCAAATTCATTGACTTTCACAGAATTAAATCATTTTACTAATAATAATGGGCAATAAGATTAAAATATGCAACAAAATAATAATATTTAAGTATAAAATTAACAGTTCTAATAATAACAAAACAACTTTCAAAATTCAGTGTTTAATAATAATAATAATAATAATAATAATTATCATAACAATAACAACAATAACAGCTAGTAGTCATTATAATAGGGTTCTATGTAGTTTAATCAACAAAATCATTAGCAAAATGAACTAAATTAATAGCAGCTGCAATAATAAGCTCAATAAAATTAACAATACAATTAATAAAATTCATAATTTAACAATAATTCATCATTATAATAGATATCATAGCTTTAAAATCAGTAATAGTCCCAACAACTTACATAATAACAGTCACAAATTTAGCAACAATAAAAAAATTAAAGTAGCAACATATTTTTATAAAAGAGTTAATACAACCAAAATAATTAGCCACCTTCAAATAATATTAACTCACAATCAATTACTTAAAGCCAATATTAAAAAGACTAACCTTAATAACAACACTAATAATTTATATAATCTAATTCTTAAAGTCTGGGTAACCAGTAAAGTAATATTTAATCTTAAAAAATAGGTGAAAACATGAAAATAAGCAACAACAATTTATAATACTAATCAAATAGACCAAGTTAACTTTAAAGCATGCGTGATTTTAATGCTAATAATCAAAGAGTAGAATGATAAAAAATATTTTTTAATTTATGAATTTATTTTGACTTTATAAAAATTTTGTATTTCATCAAAAAAGTAATTTATTAATTTTTAATATTTGTAAATAATTTTAAGAATATATTTATTTAGTCTGGTTACATAATAAAAATAAACTTTAGTTTACACTTATTTGTATTGTTAATTTGAATTAATAATAAATGGCATTGAAGAATTAAAATACTCATCTATTTTCATAAACTTTATTGTGTCTAAGAAAGAAATTTTTAATTGTTATAAAAATTAAATTAATCATATACTAGAAATAAAATAAAGTGAGATATTTTATAGTAGTTGTGTTTGGCTTACTAATTAATAATACATATATATAAGAAGAAAATTAATATAGTAGTATAATGAAGGTGTGTTACAAATATAATACTTTTATAGTTTTAGAAAGTTTAAATTTATAATAAGTACAATCTATTTTGATAATATTTTAGTACAAATTTCGTAATATTATTAAAAGAAGCTTTAGAGAAGATATTATAAATATAAAAGAAAAGCTTCGCAAAAAAATTTAATAGTTAATATAATTAATGGATGATATATTCTAACTCTTAAGCAAAGATATTGTATATTTTTACAATTTTTAAGTAAATTGGTGTAATACTCTGATTAGTTATTAATAAGAGTTAAATCTTTTATTGAAATGAATGACATAAACAACCTTATTAGGTTTTTTTTTTCTCATAAGATTAGGTTTGGTACAAAGATAATTTTTGATTAATAATATTTCGTGTTGCTTCTTATAAAAAAAGTATAAACAAAAGAAAAATAGTGAAATAAATTATACTATTTATTAATAAACATATTAGGTTATTGTCAGAAAAATGAGGTATTATCTAATAACTCCTATTATAATGAGTATGGGTTTCTTCATACTATTAAATAGCATAGATAAAAAGAATGATTCATAAAATGTAGTTAAACTATTTAGCGTAAAGCCATTTTTATTTAATTTTGCAAAAGGAATAATTCAACATATTTTTCATAATAATTTCAAAATTTTAATGAATTCAAAAGCACAAATTAAAAATTGATTTCTATAAAATAATCAATCAATATTTTATTTAAATATTAATGGCGTTTTAAAAAAATAATATACAGGAAAGATAGATGGAAAAGTAATAATAATTGTAATAGAATTCAGAGTTAGAAGAAAGTTACAGTAAAAATAGAATGCTTGATAACATTAATTAGCCAAATACATACAAAGATGTTTTCTAAGGTGATTGGAACAATTTAATAAACTTCGTAATAAATACATTCATTATTATTAGCATTTTTGTGATCAAAATAATTTTAAATAACAATAAAAATATAATTTTATTTTAAATGAAGACTGGAGAGTAATTTGATTATTTTGGTGATGATCATGGAATAATTCTTCTTGGGATGTCTTACTAATCAAGTATAAATGAGTATGATGAAGTAGATTTCTTGCTGCTTGATCCTCAATATGACGATGAAAAAAAAGTTTATATTTAAATTACTGATATTAATAAATGCCTAATATCATAAACAAGGTAAAATCAAATAAAAATAAAGAAATTTAAACATAAATTTAATATTTATAAATAGCTGGTCATGTCCTAACTAGCCTATGTCTGTAAAAACTTATTATAAGAATATAAAAAAATCGTCATCCACACTTTATGTAGATTTCACTATGAGTATAATAGCATTAAATGCAACCGAACCCTTATCTTAAAGCAACTCATAATTTAATATTTAAATGATTAATACCCAACAGTCAAGTGCTTAAGTGGGATTATATGCTACTCTAAAAGTTCAAGATGGTGATTATACCATACAATTCTTATTATATAATCTATTTATATCTGCTTTTGGTTTGTAATAGCTCTACTCTGTTATGGCCCTTACAAATTATATTTAGTTAACAAACGAAATTATTTCTACTAAACTATCCATGCTAACTCTAGGTTTCATTACGATATACGATTCTTACGTTTCGCTTGCCCACTTGTATATGGCTTTACAATACACAGTAAATAATCATACTTTTGCTAATTAAAAATAATCAATTTCTAAAAAAGCAATGAATTTTAGCGAAAAAAATTTCAAAAATTGAATTAAAAGTGAATATTTAAATATTTTTTAATTATTTAGAGCTACTTCTATTATTTTATATTACCAACACTGATATATTTCGTAATGACTACTATTGTTGATATGAAGCTCCTGATATTAGTCTGGAAGAATCGCTGTTACGTCAATTTCACCACTCCTTCTGAAATAAGAAAAGGATTTGCTCTTTTTTATGCTAAATTTTGTAATTAAATTTAATATAAAAAAAACTTTAATAAAGACTTTTTATAATTTAAAATCAAGATATTTCATTGATCATCTTCTTTACTTTAACTTACTTCTTCTACCTATTTAATGAATATCTCTTGCTATGGCCTTTATTTATAGTTCCTCAAATAGTACACAACTTTATGAAAGGAAATACTCCTCTCTTTTCAAAAAATTACATGTTTGGCATGATACTCTCACGCGCTATTATTCCAGTATTAAAAAATAATTAAAATTAATTTATTTATTTAATTATTCACTAATAAAAGTTTTATTTCAGAGCATGCAAATATAACATAAGAAACTTAGCTCCTTGTCTTTATTTCAGTATAACATGGCCTCTCTTATTTGTCTTCTTTGTAAGATTAATTTCATATCATATATTATTAGTTAATCTTAAATTATTTAATTAGATCTTAGTCTTATTTTTATAATACAAAATCGGACCTCGTTTCTTCGTTCCAAGGAGATTTAAAGGAGGTTTTGACTACTATAAAAGCTACTACTCTAATGAGCCTGTTATGGTAAAAGATTAAATATTTAAAATATCCATTCCTAATTTATCATATTTTATTTTTGCTATATTTTTTATGTTATTTTTTATTATTTTAGGATGAAGACTGCCCTATTTGTATGTCTAAATTGAAAGATGATGTTGATGAAGAACCAGTTAACAGCTCTAATGATCAATATGTTTCCTAATTACGCGGAGCAGGATCATCCGAAAGTGATGGATCAGAAACAAACAATGCAATAAATAATGAGAAATTAGTAAAAAAAATAAAGATAGTTCAAACACCATGCAACCATAAATATCATATCAGTTGCTTTAAATCATGGATCAATATAAAACTTGAATGCCCTTCATGCAGAAATCCTTTGAAACCACTAATTGATTGATTGATTGATAAATTTTGTTGGATTAAAAGCCAATTGTTTAACAAATAAATAAATTAATTTCTTAACAAAATTAAAATCAACAAAAAACTTAATTCATGAAAAATTAAGCTTAATTAAAATGAAAGAGTTTTGAGTAAAATAAAAACTTAAATTTGAAATGTCACAAAAGATTAGTTATATGAATACAGTTTAACAATTTGCAGTTTATATAGAATACTTTGTATCAATTAATAAAATCAGTATTAAATTCAACCTTTTTAAACCCTTCATTTGTAGCTTTCAATTTTATGTTAAGCAATCCATTCATCTTTTTAATCTTAAAATTCATATGTTAATTTAGATGTAAGGAAAATTAATGACCCTGGAGAGCTCATACTAAATAGCTATCCATTTTATAATACCTCCTAGTCATAAATAAAGTGACTCTTTTCTTTATGGTGAGAAAAAAAATTTAATTTAATTTGATCTATGTTAAATGAATCTTCAGCTTAAAAATAGTATGGATGACCTTCAAAGCTTTTATATAATTAATTTCCATTTTCTTTTCTATACCAAATTTCTAATTATTTAATAGCACTCAAATGGCTTCCATCAAAACTTTCACAGTCAGCAAACAAATCAAAGCTGCAAAACCCAGTTTTCTAAAATCTCAATATAATATCCCTTAATTTCATATTAAAAAACAAAAATATGTATTTAAAAAAATTTAATGCAAAATGTAAAAAAGCTTTTTTTTAAATAAAAATTTAATGAGTAAGATTAAATATTTCTTTTAGCGAAATTATATTAATTTGACACAAGTAGCTTTACATTTTAAAAAATAAATTCAAATATTTACCTTTAAACTGTAAATTTATCGGGCTAGAAATTAAGTTTTTTAAGAATCAAATCAAAGATAGGTTCACATAAACCATTAATTTTAAGTGCCTTCGAATCATAGCTTGTTTTTTGTAGATTTATTATTACTATAGGAATTCCTCTTTACTAAGAAATCCAAACTAACCTAGCTGCAGATTAAACTGTCAAGCTCGTTCCTACCACTATGCACAAATCTGCACTTTCAATTTATTCTTATGCCTTTTAATATTAATAAAAAAATTAAATTAAATAAAGGAGGTATAGTCTTTTTTCTACTTTATAAGTAGAGTTTATTAATTAATTAAATAAAAGTATATTTAAATCCCTAATTCTCATATTAATTTTACTGATTATTTTATATTTTGTAATACTGATTCTCCAAAAAATACCAAAGTGTCGTGCAATTATCCATCACATCCATTTTTTTAGCAAATTCTTCCAGTGTTATGTGGATCTCCCCATTTCAAATGTTTTAAACGAGTATAAAAATCTCTATAATGGACATAATTACACTTTTCACATCTCTCTGAAATAATATTCCCATGCAGCTCATGAATATCTTTCCTTGGAATACCACTTTAATGATGCAAGTTATCAACATTTTAAGTAATTACTGATTTTATCAAATTCTCTTTATATAGTTTTGAAATTGCCATATGAGTTGGAGAAGGGAATGCATTTATTGCTAATATTATTTATGGCTTACCTTTTTCTTCCAAAAATTTTTTTTTGTTTTCCTCTAATTCCCACTTACCAGGTCCTGTTTTTAAAATAGTATTTGCACCACTTCTATAATCAGGTATACCTGAAGCTGTACTAACTCCAGCTCCAGTTAATATCACAGCATTCTTACTTTTTTAAAGTAATTCTATAAGCTGATTTACTTTGGTATCTATTTATTCTGGTGAATCTTAATGCTCTTAAGTATCTTTAAGTCTAGGATTAAACAAGAACTTATCTTTCTAATGGTATACAGAGTTTTTAGAAAAGTATTTGCTATATTCGCTTTCCTAAATAGTAGAGAACGCTTTTTTAATGAATTTATTAATTTTCATTATTAAGTCTATTTTTCACTTATGAACTATTTTGAGAGAATAAATAATTCTTTTTGTTTAATGTTATCAAATAATTTCTGGATATAGTTAGAAGTTAATTATATCCTAAATTACCAATTACATTCAATTAGGTAAAACAAACAACCTATTAACAATAATCTCATTATCATATTTTCCAAAAAACTATTGAATAACTAAGTGTATTGTCAAAAGCAAAATAACTTTAAAATAATATTTAAAAAGATTTTATTCAAACTCAAAATTAACAAAAATAAAATATATTTTTTGATAACTATTAAAAAAGTTATTTATTTTATAAAATAGCTAGTCAATAAGTATATTTTTAATAATTATCAAATGATTAAAATCAATTTTGAATAAAAAGCAAGTTTTCAATTATTTATATCATTATTTTACAATCTTCAAATATTTTTATACTTGGAAAATGTTAAAATTTGATAAATTAGAATTTTTATTTTATTTTTCTTCTTTTTAATTTGAGAATTAAAATATCCATTATGTATTTTACTCTTTAAAATAATTTGATTATAATAAGCAATAAAATTTGTAAATTAAACTATTTTTGTTTCATTAAGTGTATATCATCTTAAAAAATTTTAAATATAAATCATAAAAATTAAAATAAAATGATAGTGAATTAAAAAATAAATATCTAAAAATTAAAATCAATCAATTAAATATAAATTTAAAATATTTAATTTAAAAATACTTAACTCATAAAATAAACAATCAAATTTGTAAGTGAAGCAAATTAATTTCAATAAAATAAAAATAAATCTAAAAATAAAACAGAATTCAGAAATTTTAAATATTTTAATAATGCAAATTGATAATAAATTACATTATAAATAATTCTTAAAATAAACAATAAAAATAATAGGAATCAATCAATAAATTAGATATGATAAAATTAATCTTAATAAATATCTTTTCAATATTAATGAAAGATTAAAAAGATGGCTTTATTAATATTTTGATTTTGATAAAAGCTTTATTAAAGTCTAATAAAAGTTTAAAATTTAAATAAAAACCATAAAAAATTGAATTGAAAAAAAATCTTAATTTAAAAAATATTTTCACATATTTTCAATAACTAATTGGTTGATATGTAGTGAATGAAGCTAATTGAGCTTTAAAATTACAATAAAAATATAGTATGCAAGTACTGCACTCTACAAATTGCTTAGTGAGTAGTTATCAATTAGATCAAATATTTTTCTTATCAACTCTAAGATGCTTTTTAGCTTTAGTTTACTTGTAAAGTATCTTAAAAGAGGAATCGTTGCTCTCATTCTTGAACTCAATAAAGGCATTGTTATTGTTATCAAAACCTTCAGACTCTTATTAATTGTTGTCATTTTAATTTGAGTTATTATTATTTTGATCATTTTCATTATTTTAACCATTTTTAGTTTCTTCTTGATTGTTCCAATTATTTTCTTGTTAGCTATTATCATTTTCATTGTTATTATTGCTGTTATTGCTTTCTTGATTAGAATCATTTTATTCTTGATTTTTGTTGTTGGTATCATTTTCTTAGTTATTGCTATTATTAACCTCTTAGTTGTTGTTGCTATTTTCATTGTTGCTATTGTCATTTTTTTCTTAGTTACTGTTATCATTTTGATTGGTATTATTTTCCTAGTTATTGCTACCAGATTCATTATTCCAATTAGAAGATTCTTCATTTTAGCTGCTTTCATTTGAACCATTTTAGCTTTAATCTTAATTCTAGTTATTCTAACTTTATTCTTGATTAGATTATTAGCCTTCAGCATTATTTTGTTGTCCTTATTCTTAACCAGATGTCAAATCCTCTTATTAGCTTGAAGAATTTTAACTTTATTATTCATTATTGCTAGTCTTATCATTACTTTCTGATGTATTTTAACTATTTTGTTAGTTTTAAGCTGACTAATTTTCCTAGTCACTTTCTTTATTGTTAAAACCTTCTTCTTAGCTCTGATTTTCTTAATTTTCAAATCCTTACTGATTATTGTTATTATTTGCATTTTGATTTTACTCATTATTTTATCCGTTTTGATTATTTTACTAATTGTCTTAGTTGCTTTGATTTTCTTATTAGGTATTATTAGCAGATTATTAGTTATTGGTTTATTGTTAATTGTCATTTTGTTGTTACTAATTATATTCGTCAACTGCTTAATTAACATATCCACCTAAGCTATTATCAGCTGTATTTTGTTAATTTTACTGCTATTAGTTTTGTTAATTTCCTTATTAACCATTGTTTTATGCCTAATTCTATTATCCCTAGTTATTTTTTTAATTAGCCTCAGCTTCAGTTTAGCTATCAGGTATTTTTTGATCAAGCTCTCCATTATGAGGCTAGTTCTTCCAGTTAATTGCATCGTCTTCGTGGTCAACTTTAGTTCCTTTTTATGAATTAAGACACAAAGATTAATCTTCGTTAAGTTCAAAGCCATCATAACAATTTCCACAAGTAATTTCATTTAAATAATATTGACAATGGCTTATTTAACCCTTAACACAATCAGTCTTTTAAGCTGATAAGAAAAACTCTTCATTACAAACTAAACAATAGTTTGGATTTTGATCATAAATGTAGCAATTTGGTATTAATTCTTCTGCTTTTGTTTATGCAAATATTAAATTTTTGTATCTTTGTTGATGGAAACTCTTGTTTTTCAAATATCCTGAACCAATTTAACTTGAACTCATCTACCTTCTACTGGTAATAGAAGTACAGTTTGCAAAACAAATAATTCCCAACAGAAAGATCCCTAAAGAGAATTATATTTTCATTTTACAGATTATCTATTCGTTAAAATATGCTCTTATGGCAAGCTCTATTAATATTATAAGATTCTCTCTTTTTTTGATTGATAATCTCTCTTCTTGTTATTAATTTATAAACAAATCGTTTTTTTTAATGATAATATTTTTGCTTGCAAGCAAAATTCAAAAGAAAGTAAAACCCTTAAAAACGGTTCTCTACATCTAAAACAATTAATTAATTAGTTTAAGCTTTTTAGATATTAAAATTGAATATATATTAAAGTCTTATTCTATAAAGTTTGATATTTTTTTCTCTATAAATTAATATTTTTTTATCATTAACTTTATTTAAAAAAATTATTTTTTCAAAAAATTAAATTTAAATAGAAATTACTTTAATTTTTTTTGTAATATTAAATGATTTTGTTATTATTCAATAATAAAAATCTTTGGTAGAATAATAATGATAATTTTGATAGAATCTTAATTATATATTTGATAGAATATTAATTATTTATTTGATAGAATCTATATTATAATTTTAATAGAATCTTAATTATAATTTTGATAGAGTCTTCAAATAATAAATTTTTATTTATAAGAGTTGTCAAATTATGAATTTTTTAAAACATTTTATTCAGAACACTAAAAATTTGTCTATAATTAAATTAAAATCTAGTAATACTCACTAATAATTAATCAAAAGTATTTATAAAAATCTAAGTTTTTTTCATTATATATTTATTAATACTATATTTTGTATTACAAATTTGTATGTCAATCAAATATCATATATTATAAAATTATTATTATTTTAAAAATATATTATTGGGCTTTTTAAACTTTTTAAATTAGATAAATTTATTTTGAATTAGCAAAAGAAAAAATAAACAAATTTATTTAAATCATAATTTTTACCCTGAATTAATAAATTCAGATTTATTAATCTAAAGATATTGAAATTTAGATAATGAGCATAAGGATATAAATCTCAAGTAAACAAATTAATTTAGTCATCTGAAATGTAATCATGCCTTCTAGAAATTATCTAAAAGTGTCTACATTGTTAGTAATCTTAAAATTTTCTGACTATTCTAATAAATAAATCAGTCCATTTTAATTTATACACTTATTATCAATTGTAAGTTGTAAATAAACTATTATTTATTTTAGGTAATATTTAAATGGATGGCACTTCTATGTTCCATACTTTTAATCTCTATATATTTTAATTTTATCAAAAGATGTTTAATTTTCTATTTTATTAAAAAATAAAAATTGGATCATTATCTCAGTAATATATATTAAATTTATATGATATTACTTTTAAAATTGATTTTTTTTAAATATATAAATACTAACCCTTAGTAAACTAAATAAAAACAACTTTTAAAAATTAAAAGATCTTATATTTTTATTTATTTAAACATTTTAAAAAATTAAAAAGATAGTAAAAGAAATAATTGGCATATTACTTTTTTGACAATTAATTTAATATGAAGAATTTATTAAAATTCTTAGAATTTTAAATTACACTGTTATTAACAGAATCTGATTATCTCTGGTTTACAAATATATAAGTAAATTTATTTTTGATTTGTTTAGATTTGATATCAGAGAAATATTATTTATTTTATGCGAATAATGTCAATTTGAATATTTAAAAATTGAAAGTAGGTAAATTATGAGAATATTATAGGCTTACCATCGTTAAAAAGGGTCATTAGTTATAATTACCAGAAATAATAATATTCTATTTAATTAATTAAGATTTATTGGTAAATTTAATCTAAAAATATGCAATGTTTACCTGAATCCAAAATTTTCTGCTATAGAATGAAATTCCACAGACATTGATATAGCTGATCTAAAAAAATTTTTTAAATATAAAAAATAGATTTTTAGATTCCTGAATCAATAAATGAAAATTGTAAAAATAATAGAAAAAACAATGAATAATTTTTTATTTGGGATTTTCAGCTTAAATACTTTTTTTAGTTTATTACTTATTTTTAAAGTGCAAATAATCTTTTTTATGGTTGAATTTAATTTCTCTTTTATCTAATTGATATTTAGTGAAAGAATATTTTTTTGCAGCTTTTTTTGTGTAAATTGTAGCTGAACAATTTTAATTACATTTTTGATTTTTTTGCAATCTAAATTTTGAAAATCAATTAAGAAAGGATTTAATTGCGCAGATTTGTAATCACAAGCAATTTCCAAAATTTGTTAAATATCAAATCAGCTTTAAAAGGTTGATTAATATAAATCAGATTCTTCTGTGTAATCAATCTTTTCTAATTGATTTCATTAGCATTTTTCAACGAAGGAAAAAATATAAGCAATAAAATAGTAAGTTTAAATTAACTCTGTTAATAGAATTATGCTGATGCAAAATATTTTGTTAAAACTAATAAACCAGCCAAGTTCATCTAACTTAAAAAACAGTATTTTATTAGATTTAATAAACTTTTTTTAAATACTTATTGATTACGCATTTAACGTTTTGCAGTAATCAAAACATTAAGGAATGGAGTAAATAGTAATTTTAATTTTTTTTTTTTTTTCGGGGATATTTTAAACAATTTTAAGGTACATTGAAAAGGATAAAATAATATAAGATAGCACATCCATAAATATATACTTTGCCTTTCTATTACTCTCAATTAGCTTTTTATTATTAGATAATTTAAAAATAGCTAAATATATTTAGTTAAAGGAGTAGAAATGTATAATATATTTTTAAAATTAATAATTATAATTTTCATATCTAATTGTTCCACTAACTAACTAACTAACTATTTAAATTAGCAAAATCTAATCTAATTTAATAATCTTTGGTAAAGTTGCTGAAATTTTTGTGAAAACTCATAAAAGAAAAAAAAAAAAAATGAAAAATTAATTGGCTGAATTTTGTATTTTTTTTTAGAATTCCTCTTTTATATAATAAAGTAAGAATCTGATTTATTGATTTAATTAACTAATACTTTCTTTTGCTTGCTTCTTGAACATTAAAATTTGTTAGATTTTAGGATTATTAAATCTGTTGATGAGTATGGGATAATTACTTAAGTAAGCTTAGGAGAATCATAAATTTATTAATTTATCTTGTTTTATCGTAAACATATTTACATATTTACAAAATATTATCAGCTATTAATTCAACTTACTACTGCTTAATTAATATTTCAATTTCAATTGAAGGAAAGCATTTCAAGTCTAAAACACATTTGTTGCGTATTTTAAATCTTAGTGTTAAATTTTATTTTTGAATTCTATTTTAGAATCTTTTCTTTTTTATTATTAAGACAGACAAACTATTTTAAATAATAGTGAAATCAATCAAAATATTTAGAAATCTCTTTATTAACAAATATTATTGAATTTAAACTAAGATATAGCAAATAGAACGTTTATAGCCATAATTATTTGTGAAAAAAGCAATATATTTATTTTATAAATTTGTTTTCTCAACACACAATAAGGAATTGAATTTTATTTTTTATTAACTTTGTTTTGAAATCTAAATTTTATTGCTCTATTTTTATTATGAAATATGATAAAGCTAATCAAGAAATATTAAAATATTTATGAGATTATATTTTTTAAACATGGATGATTTAGATTTAATATCTTTTTAAAAGTATTGTAATCAATTTTAAAAAGTAAATTTACATTCATAAGTAAATGCTGATTCTTGTAATGTTTCAATCTCTTGATAATTTATGATTTTGTATTAAACTCAAACGGGTATGTAAAAAGTAAATAAATCAATTTCACAATTTTTTTGATTAGGATTATTGTGATTTTAATTGATAATTCAAAAATGGGAAAAAGGTAATCCTAAATTTTATTATTTATTATTAAATTAATAAAAAGAAAATAATAAATTTGATTAAGTTAATTACAAAAATTTAAAGAAAAGTGCTGATTCCCGCTATCAAAACATATTAAATTCCAAACAACCATTTAATAAACAAAATTTTTCTTTTCATCAATTAAAAAAATATAAAAAATGAGTACAGTAACTAAGACTAACGATTCTGACATTATTGCTCATCCTCAGTCTCCGATTTTGAAAGAATATAATCTAAAGTTGTCTCATAGGAGTGTTAGTTGTTCTAACACAGTTTAAATATTACCTGAAGATGCAAATTGGAATTCAGCTTGCTTTAGTAATTCCAGCTAGAGCAGTCATTCTATTTTAAATAATCAACTTTCTTGTGAAAACTTTCGTAATGTTGAGTATGATATCTGCCCTATATTGCCCAGCTAAAATGGAAATAATTAATAGTCTGATATAACTTTTAAATTGCAGCTTAGCAATCTGTTTATGTACGTTAACGAATAAACCTTTGAAAACTCTTTACACATTTCCAAAGCTAGTAGTCACCATTCATCTTTTTTGATTGATGAATAACCAAAATTTAAATTGGAAGAAGAGGAAAATGAAAAAACAATAAGAGAAACAAATAATGATTTATTTTTATCATAGCCAGGACTAAAATGCACTTAAGTGAGAAAGTACTAAAAAAATGATATTATTTAAATAAGTTTTGTTCAAGATGCATAACTATAAGCAAACAAATAGATTTTTGAGCTTTAAATGTAAGAAAGCTTCGCATAACCACAAAAAGATTAACAAATGAATCATTATTAGAAATTATCAGATAGTATGAATAAAATCAACTAACCATCTGAAAATCAGTTTGAATCGTCACACTTACTATAGAGTAGTTCTAAGAATTACATATAAACCAAAAATTTTGATGATTAATAAAGTAGTAACCAATTCACTAAAAGATTCGGAATTAAATTTGAAAATTTATTCCCACATTAAGAAATTTCTAGTTTAAAGCAAAAAAATTTCAGCAACCCCTAAATTAATTTAAAAAACATTAGTGAAATAGAAAGCTGGGTTAAGCTTAGAATTGTAAATCAAGTAGATTTATAGAATTATAATAAGAAGTAAATCCGTAGGGGAGGTTCTAATTACTACATATTTACTTTTGATTAGAAATTGCAAAGGTATTTCCTTGCCAGACAAGTCTTAGATTAATAATTTGTGGATTTAATTCATTCAAATTTTGATGAAATTACCTATTCATATTTACATTCAGAATCAATCACATCAGGGATATCTCCAAAAATTAAACAATACATGCAAATTGCTGTTGACAAAATTTTAGATATGAGCCAAAAAAAGTGTACTGGTTAAACATATGAGATTCTCTAGTCACAATTTAATGAACAAGTATAGACTTTCTAATTAAATGAATTTTTACCAGTTTCTTAAAATGAGCGCTCAATCTTCATGAATGAAAACATGCATTTTTTTAATCCTTTATTCATGGCCAATATTTATTGTGAAAAATCTAACGAAATAATTAAAAAACAAATAATTCCCTATCATATAGTACTTGAATAATCATATTTTATATCAACTGAACCTAAGCAGAATGGTGACCATAAAAAAACAAATAAATCGTCTTCTATAATAAAACTATATTCTAATTCAATCAAAAAAAATGTCTCTTATCGCTAATATATTAACCACTAATACCTTGAGTAATCTATAGCATTTTAAGAAAAATTTTACCAAATCAAAACCATATGGAAGCGTAGAGGTAAGAACTAAAAAAGAAAGAGTAAATATCATTCAGATGAAGAGTTTTCAAGTTTTGACACAAATTGAAATAAATAATTTAACAACAACTTATTTTCCACAATGATACAACTTTTATCCTCATAATTATACATTAAGAACCTGAAAAATTAATCAATCGAAAATTATATATCAAATATAGCCAAAATTTTCATAAAATTCTATTTTAATTCAATAAATTAACTAGCAAGAATAAATAAAAAAAAACAAACAAACTAATAAACCCACCAGCAAACAAGCAAATAAATAAATAAATAAAAAAGGAAAAATAGTAAAATAAGATTGAAAATATTTAAAAAGTGTCTTACTTTTTAAAAAATTTAGGTTTAATTCTAATTAAATATAAATATATAAATTCTCCTCTACTTAATCTCTTCTACTTACCATTATAAAACAAAAACAAGTAAATAAATGAGAATTAATAATCAAATTTATGTACTCTTTGTTTCCTTAATCTATCTCTTAAATTATAATAAATATAAAAAAATGACTACTCTATAAAAATTATAACTAAATATAATTATTGTATTCTATTACATACCTTAGTTTTACTAAATCGAATTTTTGTTTCAAAAGGTTTCAAAATTTTACTTTTTTAAATTTTCTTCTATACCTATCTTTGGTCTTTTTTTGAATCCCCTACTCCTATAGTGCATTTAACTCCTTTTACAATAACATGGTAATTTTTTAATCTCATATAATAATTCATGCCCTTTTCTATTTCATATTTTAGTTTTATAAATGAAATAAGTGTTGAACTTAATATTTATTTCCCTTTATCTTTATCTTTAACAATAACTCTAATCAAAATAGGTTGATTGATTGATTGATTGATTGATTGACTGACTGATAAATAAATTAATTTATCATCTTTGATTTGTTTTTGATTTAGTGTATTAATAATTTTTTTACTTACATGAAGGATAATATATTCTGACAATAATGAATATATATACTGTTTTATATATAATTTATACACTAATCATAATTTAGATATCTTTTAGATGCTGTGTAAATTAAATTAATAAATAAAATAATCAAACATGAGAAATTGATCATATCATTTAAACAAAATAGAAATTCTTTAAATCTAATGATTTCAATAAATCCTATTCAAATTACTCATCAAAAAATTAATTTTATTATTTATTCCTTTATATATATTTTAAAATAACTACTAAATATCTAGTGATTTTACTTAAGAAAAGTGTAATAAAATTCTTTTATAATTTTTTTTTGAAATTTATTTCAATTTAAGCTTACATTTTTAGAATTGTTAATAGTTTTTATATTATTTTATAATTCTAATTTACATTGATAATTGTCATAATTATTCAGAATTCACCGAAATTTACACAGACCGCTATTTTAATATGCTTTTAAATATAAATAATTCCATTCTAATTATCATTTAAATATCGTAACATCTAATCGAATTCATTAGCAATTATTCAAAATTAATAACCAAACAAAAAAAATAATAACTAATTTTCTCATTATTTTTGGGTGGTTTTAAAATGGATATAAACTAATATTCTTGTTTTTATGATTTTTGTTTTAAATTATTACAAAAATTTTAAGTTTTTTCATTATTTTTATAAACACCAATCAGGTAATTAAGCATTTTGTCTATTTTTCTTATTAAAGATATTTTTAAAGCATTTTTTTTTTTCATTTATGCATGCAAATTTTAGTGATTAAATTGTACTCATATATGTTTAAAAGAATTAAAATCATAAACTAAATTTATAAAAATTCAATAAAGCATATTATTTTTTCTATTCTAGATCAATAATTGCTTTTATTTATATTGTTAGAAATATTTTCTTTTGGAATTATTATCATTTAGTTTTTTCTTCACTGTGGCGAGGGAAATAAAAATTCAATTGAAATCACCACATTTATTTTTTTAAGAAACTTTATCATTCAAAAACTATTTTTAGAATATTGATTTGTATGCTTTCTACTAACTAATAATCAGAAATTCAGAATTAATCAATAATATAATTATAAAAAATATCAAAATAAAATTTCTATTCGAAACTATAGATTGAAAATTAAATACATACTTTAATTCCTTGTTAAGAAAACCAACCCGTATCCCAAAATACACTTAAAATCTTAAACAAATTCAAATAAATTTTTATAGATACACCCATAATAAGAATTTTAGATTCAAAAAATTTTATGTTACATTTTGTATAAATTCATCTTAAAAAGAATTTAATTATAAAACATTTCTTAAGTAGTTGGTAGCATAATAAAAAATTAAATTACTAATTTTTAAATGACTTAAATTTACTAAAAGGCAATAATAAATAATAAATAAAAATTTAAAAGTTAGAGAATAGGTATTGAATTACAAATGTGAAATAAAAGTAAAAAGAATGTTTAAGCAATTTAAACATTAGTGTTAATTACAATATTATAGTTAGATAAATATACTGAAATTCAATTTTGTTGCATAAGCAATTTATAATTATCCTTAACCATTCTAAGTATCAATAGTTATAAAGCTAATATTAATTGTCTCCTTTATTAAAATAATTGAATATACTTTTCTATTAGCAAATCTTTTAAATATATTAAATTGCTTGCTTTCTCCATTTAAAATTAATATTTTTTTATTTTATCAAAAATTTAATAGTAAAATATTTTTCGATTTTTGAAAATTTATCAATCTGAACTTTTTGGCAATCATTCAAAATTTATTCTTATATGTTTAGTTAATTTAAAAATTATTGAATCTATTGCTTCCTATTTTATGATAAAGTATAGTCTTAATTTAACAAATCTTGATCGAAGATAACAAAACTTTAAGTAGGTTAAAAACAAAATTTATCATCCATTTTCCAAGCATTAATTTCTTATTCAAATTTTACTAGCATTTAAACTTTTTTTTTGTTAAGAGAAAAGCCTATATTATTTAGGTTTTCTTATAAACTTTTCAATTAAACCTCTATTTATTCTATAAGCGTATATTTATCAGTGTCTTCATTTAATTGTATTTATATAAAAAAATCGTCTAAATAATTTGAAAACTTCAAATTATGAAATTATTTGTCTTATTATTAGCTAAAGGTCTATTTCACTATGTATTATATTATATTACTTATGTATGGTAGAATAAAATTATGATAAACCTCTCCTATAAGTATACCTTTTCTTAGAGTTAACTCCTCTTCTTTCTTAGTAACTGGATCTACATAGTATATTTTTCTTTGTCTAAGATAATTAGCTAATTCAGGAAGATTAATCACTTTTTCTACTAGGTCATAATCAACATTTAAACAAAAATCTTTTAAGTCAAGATAGATATAAAAACTTCTTAAAAGTGGTTTTTTAAGTTCTTACTTAACTTTGTTTAAAATAGTAGAATTAAATTTCATTTAAATTTCATTTTTGTAAAAAATAGTCTCCAAAAATTCACACGACTAAGACTTAACAGCCAATCTGTGCTTATTCTTTTTCAGTCTCATTTCTACCGTACATTTTTAATTGAATTTTTCTTTGGTTAATTGAGGAGTTTTTTAATTTTTACTAAAAAATAATTTGAGCGATTCAAGGCTATTAATATATGTTTAATCTATTTGTAAATTATTAATACTGTCATCTAAGTATTATTGAACTCTCTGCACAGTCCAAACATCCTCTTTCTCTAAGTTAAAGCATTCATTAAAGATGGTATTTTCAGATATGATATTAAAATCTAATAGCTCAGTCCATTGCTCAAACTTCTCAACTTCTTCTTCTGTTATTTCTTCTGATTTCTACTACAAAATTAGCTCTTCCATTTTTGTTACATTTACTGGTGAGTAACAGACATTTGTGAGACTACTATGGAAGATATAATAATTGGCTAAATATTAAGAATAAGCTTTAATAGAATCATCCTGTTTATTCAATGTTCTGAGAGAATTTGACAGCACCATATAGTTATGCTTTTAAATGAATTTTAGAACATCCTTTTTGCCATATTAGTAAAAAAACCTAATAAATCCTTCATCAATTTTTTAAAATTTGAGGAACTGGAATATCAGAATAGCAGCAATCTCATCTTTTAATTAGAAATATTTGCATATATTGTAAAGATCATTGAGACTAACAATTTTGGCGTAAGATCCATTTTCTTCAATTTAAATATCCTCACAGTAATTGGTCTCATCATTATTTTCTAAATTATCTTCATAAATATTAGGAATTTAGAAGTAGTATTTGCCATTTATTTTTATCAAATTCCTCTTATTTGAATTTTTTTTTGTGGAAAGAATGAGATCAACATTGTAATTGTTATAATTTTTATAACTCATTTTCTTTATCTTTATTTCTTATTAATAGTTTTTTAATTGATTAATTAATTAATTATAACACTGATTTTATTTGTTTTTAGATCAAATTTAACACAATTTTTTATTTTCTCAAAATATAGTAAAAATATTTTTTATTCGTATTTCAATTTTTTTATGATAAGGTTATTTAAAGAAATAAAAGTATTTTATCTAGAAAAAATATGATCTATTTACTTAATTAAGAAGAACCTTTCTAGTCTAAAAATAAAAGTATTTTAAAACTCAAATATCTTAGTCAAGATATTTATCTAATTAATTAACATATTAAAGCGTCTTAAAGTAAATTATCGAAATTTGTCTAGATGATATTGAAATTCGTTTAAGATAATATTTCAACTTTAAAAAATATATTAAAAATAGTTATTAAGCAAATATTCAGGTATTTCAATTTGATCAAAATAAAAAAAAAAGAGCTATAAAATATTTTGAATGTGAATTTAAAAACTAAATATATCTAAAATTTACTAAATGTTTTTGCCATAAAACTGAATAATTAATTGTAATTTAAAAGTTAAAAAAATGTAAGCTAATTTAATTAAAGCATCTATCAATAAGAACAAAATTTTCATTTATTCCCAAATAAAAGATTCAAATAAAAATATAGATTGGAATAAATATTAAAAAAGATGAGTAAAAATAAAATAAAATTTTGATTTATTTTTCCAATATTAATACTCTAAATCTTAATCAAACAAAAGTATTTCCTTATAAAATCTTAATCAAAGAATTAAATTAAATTATCTATCAATTTAAATAGATTTTAATTTATTTTTTACCTATTTAAAACAAAAAAAGAGTAAAATAATCGCAATAAAAATAAGTTAAAACATTTAATGGAGAGAAATTAAATATTTTCCATGATGCCTCAATCAAAAACAAGAGAGAATATGGATGTATAAGACATTTTGTCCTTGTCAAGTAAATTTTTATAGTAGCTTGCATCCATAATAAAAATTTAGATTTAAAAAGTTTTATGTTACATTCTGCATGCACAATTTTATCTTAAAAAAGAATTGATTATAAAACATTTATTGAGTAATAAGAAGCATAATAAAAAGTAAAATTATTAATTTTAATATGACTTAAACTTACCAAAATGCAATAATAGATAATAAATAAAATTTTTAAATTAAGAACAAAAGCATTGAATAAAAATGTGTAATAAAAGTAAAAATGGCGTTAATTACAAAATTGTATTAAGATATTTACAAAGAAATTCAATTTTATAATTTTGTTGCATAAGCAATTTATAATTATCCTTAACCATTCTAAGTGTCAATAGTTATAGGGCTTACTTTTATTAAAATAATTGAATATACTTTTTTATTAGCAAACTTTTTCAATGTATTCAATCGCTTTCTTTCTCCATTAAGAATTAATATTTTTTTATTTTAACAAAAATTTAATAGTAAAATATTTTTCGATTTTTGAAAGTTTATCAATCTGATCTTTTTTATAATCACTCAAATTGTTACCAAGTGTGCTTAGTTAATTTAAAAATTATTGAATTTATTGCTACCTATTTTATTATACAATATTGCTTTATTTTAACTAATTTTGATTGTTGATAATAAAATTTTAAAAAGGTAAAAAAAAAAAATTTATGATTCATGACAGCACCATATGATTATGTTTTTAAATGAATTTTAGAACATCCTTTTTATCAGATTACTCAAAAAATAAAATAAGTATTTCATCAATTTTTTAAAATTTGAGGAACTGGAATATCAGAACAGCTGCAACTTCATCCTTTAATTAGAAGTATTTGCAAATATTGTAAAGATCATTGAGACTAACAATTTTAGCGTAAGACCCATTTTCTTCAATTTAAATATCCTCGCAATAATTGGCTTCATCATTATTTTCTAAATTATCTTCATAAATATTACGAATTTGGAAGTAGTATTTGCCATTTATTTTTATCAAATTCCTCTTATTTGTATTTTTTTCTGTGGAAAGAATGAGATCAACATTGTAATCGCTATAATTTATCTAATTCATTTTATATATATTTCTTATTAATAATTTTTTAATTGATTAATTAATTAATTATAACAATGATTTTATTTGTTTATACATTTAATTTAATAAATTTTTTATTTTCTCACAATATTATAAAAATATCTTTTATTAAAATTTCAATTTTTAATGATAAGATATTTCAAAGAGATAAAAGTATTTATAATATGTAGAGAAAGTATGATCTATTACTTAATTAAGAACCTAACTAGTATAAAAATAAAAGTATTTTAAAACTTAAAGATCTTAGTCAGCATATTTTAGCTATTTATCTAATTCATTAACATTTTAAAGTGTATTAAAGTAAATTATCAAAATTTGTCTAATATTAATTAATTTAACAATATTCTAATTATACCATATCAATATATTTACTTAATGTTTTTAATATTATCAAAATATTTTATTAATATTATATTAAAACAATAGGAAAAAATAAAACTTTTTATTATATAGCTAATCCTGTAATTAAAATATCACGAACTGAGTAGGTACAGATCGTGATATTTCATTTAATTTTTATGATTTAAAGCTAATTTTACACTTTCTATTTTTTAATTTTTTTTATCAACCTATTTTTATTAAATTTTGAAAATTTTTTTTGAAAATTGAAAACCCTTTGTCAAATTTTGACCATTTAAACAATATTAAAATTTAATAAATAAATGTCTAAAAATCATGCATATTTTCTTTATATATAATAAAAAGTTTTATTTTTTCCTATTGTTTTAATATAATATTAAAAAAATATTTTGATAATATTAAGAACAGGTGTCACGATATTCCTCAATTTAAAAATAAAATTTAATAATTAAATCAATAATAAATTTATAATTTTAATCATCATCAATTACAATTTGTTATATTTAATTAAAATATTCTTTATATTTTAAATAATTATCCTATAAATATGTTTAATCTTTTTTAACTTAATCAAGTTATTGTTTTAATATCTTATTACTTGTTTCTAATTATTTTATATCAAATTTTAATTAATTTATATTATTTTACAAATCACAATAACTAAAATAATATTTTTTTCCAGAATCTTATTAGCTGATAAATTTTTTTTTAATTTCATATTCATAATTATCATCACAACTATTAAACACATATTCTTCATAATTAAAGTAATAATCATTTGAAATATCACAAATCATGATATCATTAATGGTTGGTGATATTTCAAATGCAGGAACAGCTTATAAGAAACTTTACTTGAAATTTTTATTTTTATATCAAGATCATAAAATTACAATAAAATTTGCTTTTCCTTTTCATAGAATCCAATTAAATTGAATTAATAATAATATTAAATAACAAATAATATTAAAAGATTGTGTGATATTTATGAGATTCTTAATAATAATATTATTATTAACTTCAATTTGCTCTTGCACTGAGCAATGGAGTTGTAATGAAACTTATGCAATTGAATAATTCAAACTGAAAAATTCCACTGGCCTATTTTTAAATTACTCATCTAACCCCTATTAAAATTAGGATCCTGCTTACATTTAAGATGTAAAAAAAAATCTTTTATAGAATAACACATATTGTGGTTTACGTTATACTGACTCTACTAAGACAAATTATGAGCTAAAAACATTTGAGTCTTTAGTCAGTTTGCTTGAAAATTAATTTAATGTTACCCACAAAGGTAAATAATATATTTAATAAAATATAATAGTCATTTTTTTATTATAGGTAAATGTGGCGTTTGTTCAACTACGTAGGATCTTGTAGTCTATCTTGAAAAAGATTTAACTTAGCCTGTTAGATGGTGTGGTCTTAGATACTTTTACTCTAAAAAGTAGAACATATAATGCCTTTTGGATTTAGGATTCACATACCCTTGCGCTCAAATTTGGTATTACAATACCATCAACACTAGAAAATAGTGTGGAGGGATTTGCTTTTTATCTTATATATTTAACTAGCCCTTTGTAGTTGATGGACATCTTAATAAATGCCTATAATGTGACGAAGACAAATCAGGCCCTATTTTTAAGTATGAAAGTGGCAGAACTAGAAGAGATTCTGGAATAGATTCTGAAATAGAGCGCCCTAGCGATACAATTTATAATATGGATCACTGTTATTATTGAAAATAAAATAAATATTATTATATAAATATTAAAATTGTCTTTTTACAAAAATAAAAAAAACATATTTAATTCTTACATAATATGTTCAATTATATACATAAATAAATAAATAAACAAAAGATTTTATAAGTTTAAACCTCATTAAAATATGTTGATAAATTAGTATTTAAATTTATAAATTTTTTAAAAACATAAAATATTTTAATATAACAACAACATAAACTTGTTTTTCCATTTTTTAAACACAAAAAAAAGAAGTATTGATGAAAAATATATTTTGTTTCTCTTTGTTTCTATCTTTATCAAATTACTGATAATATTATAATTTTTAGGTTACTTTTTGTTATTTTTATCACTTAGAAAAATTAGAGTTTAATTACACCTAAAAATTACAATTAAATGATTGATTATTAATTTGACATAAATTAATTAATAAAAACCAATTAAGCATATTAAAATTAATTCACATTAATTTAAACAAAGTGAATCTATTTTATTCAAAAAATTTATTTTTTAAACTAATTTTAAAAGTTGTTAAATATATTTAAAATTATTTAACTACTAAAATATATTTTGAAGTAAAAAATGTAAAATTGAGTAAAAAAAATTTTTTTAATTCTAAAATAAATATAAACAATTAATTTAGAATATTCAAGAAGACATGATTTAAATAAATAATTTTTGAAGGATTGAAACAAAGAAATTATTATTTAATATCTTATTTTTAAACTAAAATTAATAAGGAGATAATAATTTATAAAATGAGCAACTTACACTGTAAACATTAATAAACAAAAAAATATTTTAATTTAATTTAATTTTTCATGGGACATTTGTTTTTGAAGGGAATATTTTGTTGCTTGTTTGACTCTTTTTGCTGTGGCTAGAAAGAGGTCTAGAAATCTAATCAAAACCTTAAACTCTATCAATAGCTTCTGCAGGTTCTAGCTTTTGGAGATCATCATCTTTCATATTTGACTATTTAAGCTTTTCTAGCTCTTAATCATTTACGTCAATATATTTTTTCTTTTTATATCCTACAATATCATATTCATCTTTCTCTACATTTTCAGCAGGAGTTATATAGAACCCTCTAAAAGCAAAGAACTTTAAATAATTTGACTCTATCTCGTAAAAAGCATAGCTCAATACAAAAATATCAAATATAAAATAGTCAACAATAAGGGAAATTATAAAAGCAGCCATGAAATTTCCATAATCTTCTTTGCTATTTATTTTAAAATGAGTTTTATAAAAATAATGATTTAATTGAAATTCAAAAAAAACTATCTTTGCAATTAAAAAAAAATTATTTTTTAATAAAAAAAGGATCTTTAGATAAATTTTTTAAATAAATAAATAATTACTCTGTGTAACCGTTACACCATGTACCAAAAGCAGCATTTCCAATCATGTTTAGCAAAAAGAGAATATTATAAATAAATTATTATCTTTTTTCCTTGTATATGTGTCTTTTAATGATAAAGTATAATCCTTCGACACAGTAATTCATACTGGCGTTGAGTAAAATTGAAGCAAAAGCAGATCCCATAATTCTTGCATCTATCTTGATCAACTAATTATTTTTAAAATAAATTAATTCAAAAATCACAAAACAAACAAACTAAAATATACTGGGATTGAAATGGCAATTTGATCGAATGCTACACAGTTCATTGCAAGCATTCCAACTAACAAGGAGAAGAATTTAGCCAACCTCATTTAATATGTATGAGATTTAGCAGTATGTCCAAACATTGCCATTGATACAAAAGGGTGATAAGTCTTTATTGAATAAAAAATGATGAAACTCAATAAACTTCTTTAAAATAAAAAATTTTACAAGTAAAAGAATGTCTTTAGATTTATTATCATATTCTGAAGAAGGTTTAAGTCTTATTAAAAGTTAATGGATGATTGACAAAACTAAGAAGCAAACAATCATTATTACGAAGAGGATAAATGCTGGAGAATCCCACTTGAATGGTACATAAGAAGTAGGATATGTTGGCAAAGAGTAATTTCTCATAGCAAAAGGAATATTTGTATCATAATTTATTTAATTAGTTGAGTAATATTGCATTTTCTTGTTCATATATTTAGAAGAGTAGAAAACTAAAGTGTCAGAATGAGGTAGGTAATCTTGATAGTATTCAATTGTGCCTCTAAGAACTGTTGCTAAATCTAGCTGATTGCATTAACAACGGATATAAAATTCATTTTCAAATGTGTATACACAATTTTAATCATATGTCCATTAACTAGTAGCAAAATCAATACTAGCTAAGTGCGCGCAAAAGTATTATGAATTAAAGTCTGGTCTTAGTGGAGGGAATCCTGCTTTCTTCTAGAAATGGTATATAATTTTATTATTCTACAAGCCTACTATAGACAGTGGCTAATTATTAGCTAACAGATTAATTTCTATGTGATTCGTTGTCGAATTAGGACGAGGATATACTAAATCTATATTCCATTCTATAAGCTATACTGTAACTGTGTCAGTGTATTAGAAAGTAGAGAATGGAATTTGAACAATCACTCTTTCCATTGGAATGGTATAGAATTTACCATAATTGATATAATTATTTTGTAACTCACGGCCTCGCTAGTTTGTCAAATAAATATTAGCATGTCTATTAATAAATTAACAAAATTAGATTTCATTAAGAAAAATATTAAAAAATCTTTAATTTTTTCAATTTAAAATAAATTTCCTTTAATAAATTTGTTTAGAATAAAAAATAAATTTTTAAATATACTCGAAAGTGAATATGTAATCAACGTTTAGCTGAATATTTTGTGAAGAGAATTTCTGTATGTATGAGTTCATTATCTGTCTGAGTAAAACCGTGTACTTTATTCTTTCGTCAGGACGTAAGGATGGTCTAGTAACTGCTTAATTTAATATTTCTTAAATAATTTGGAAAATATTTTAGAAAATTTCTTAACGAGGGAAGACAGTTCCTTAAATTTGATTTAAAAATGTCATTATAAAACGGAATGTTTTTTTGCTAAGCCCATCTGAAACAGCTATAATGTTTTTAAGTATTTAGGTGATTGAGAAAAGCTATTGTTATGTTATAACTCTATTTAATAAATCAATCTAAATATTATATGTCAGTAAATTTATTATTTTCAAAATTTTTTAATCTTCCCAAGAACAAAAGTCTCCAGCATATTCCTCCATGCAACTACATTAAAACATTTAAGGATCATAAAAGTTTGTTTAGCATTATCCAAATCCATTGCATGAGACATTATCTGCACAAAAAGAATTTTTTAGCTAATAAAGCTGATTCTGTCTAAGTATTTCTTGTTTGAATAATTTATTAGCTTATTAAACTTATATAGTTCCATACAAATACGCCATTTGGTAAGTTATATTCAGATACTGATCAATGGTAACAGACTTAAATTTTAAAAAAATAATAATTAATTTTTAAGTTTTAAAGAAAATTTTTAAATTTTGGTTTATTTTTTTAATTTTTTTTCAATTTTAGTGAATTTTATTAATAAAAATAAAAAAATTATTTAATATAAATTAATTTTTACGCTAGATGGAGTAAATCTACGCACATTGCTTTCCATAGAGAGAGTATCTCCGTTAAATTTAGACAAAGAAACAGTTAAAGTTTATTTTTTCATTTCGTTTTAAGAGTAAACCATCAATTCTATATTTATGACTTTATCGTTTTAGAAAGGAGGGAATATAAAATTAAAGGTGCCGTCTGTTTTTGAGCCAATAAAGACTTGATGTAAATCGTTTTTGAAAAGCGAAGTTTGATTTCTCATTGTTATGCCAGTTTAAATGGAATAAGTTAAATCGTATAGCAGTGAATCTGTAGGATGGGTCCAAAGAGAATAAAAAACAGAGAACTATGTGATTCCAGAAATACCAATGCTTGGAGTAATTGTAAACTCTCCATCTACTATTTCTGGGCTCGTTTAAATCATGATTGACTATTCACCATAATTTCCTGTAGTTGCTATGACTCTGACTGTGAGATAATAGATTGTATTTGGTAAGAGGTTATTTTAAGGGATAACTAAGTCCTACACATTGTTAAAAGTTTTGAAAAAGAATTACTCAGAATATTATTAACTAGTTCCAGTCAAATACCAGTAGATTTCAGAAATAAGTCCTTAAAAGTAGTAATCAGCATGAATCAAAATGTCTTTCTGTCTTCCTACAAGGAGAGGTACATGATCAGGATCAGCTACTTAAGTTCTGTTTGCAATAAGAACAACAGGTGTCAGTAAAGGAGTGCATACAGCTGGTGGCCCTGCGTTTTATGAGAAATCTATAGGGCATGTTAAGACACATGTATCACCCTTCAGATAAAAGTTTGTAGGACAGCTTGTACAACTATATAGTTTATTTATTAATTTTAAATAAAAAAGTTGTAAATAGTTTGCTTTGTATCTTATGTAGTTAAATTTTTAGTAAAATAAATAATTTAATTTACCCTTTTTAACAGACTCTACAGACTATTCCATCTTAGTAAAAACCATTCATGCAGTTACTTCCAGCAGCTACACATATACCATTATATTCATGTATGAGTTTTCCAGGAGGACATGAAAGACAAAATGTTGATTGATTCACACAAGTTGCACATGTTGAGCTACAATCAGCACATTAAAATGAAGTTTAAGTAGGAGGACCAACGATAGTGTTCTTATATTGATTACTAGGACAATTAAGGAGGCATTGTGTTCCATCTTTGCTTAAAATAGTTCCAACATCACAAAAAGCTGAGCATTTTCTATTTACTGTATCTGTTATTACATAAATACTAGGACTAGTCGGACAACTAGTTGCACATTTGTTATTAGCAGGAGTGGCACCTGGAGAGGCATAAGTTCCATAAGGACAAAGCTAAGGAATTACACATTGATACCCTTTTATTTAATTTAAAAATATAATTATGAGGTATAATCAAAAGCAACTGTTTAAATTCATTACCAGTTATATACTATCCAATATCTTAGCATTATTAACAAGTAACAGTAACTCTATCAACAGGATTAAGAACGCATACGTCACAGCTTGGATGACAGAGACACTAATTACTTCCATCAATTGATAATGATGTTCCAAGAGGACATTAGTTCAAACAAAACCCTTAGAAAGAAATAGGGAAATTTTAGCCACATGTAAGACATTAATTTTATTAAGGACCAGAACAAGTTAAGCAAGTAGGATCGCACAGCCTGCAGATTCTTGCATTTGTATCACGATAAAATCCTAAAAAATAAAGAAATAAATAAATAAAATAATTAAAAAACTTAAAAAAGAAAGCAAACATTAATATTTATTTTAAATACGAAATTATTTGAAATGAATAAATTTAATTTGGTTTTATGCAATATTTACCATCCGGACAAGTTAGTTAGCAACTTCCATTAAACAAGAAATACCCAGCTTGGCAATAAATACATTATGGATTAACTATTCCAACAGATGCTATACATTTGCTAATAAAAAGTTCTTTTGTTCCCAAAAATGATCCTTAACCACCATAAATATCCATGAATTAAGCTTATAATGATTAACCACCAATTTAAATAGTCTAAGTAGTTGTCCTCAAAATAGGAAAAACATCAATTTGATTGTTTTTTACCAACTCTTAATCATTTAGCATGATAGAGACAAAAAGTTTGCTTAAAATTTAGTGGAATGCAAAATTACAGTAAAATTTTATCCAATCTAGATTATTTATAAATCAAAACATTAATAAAATATTTAAAAAGGATTTTTACTTGATGCTGTAAATTAAACTGTAGCAAAATTTTAAGAACCTCCATTAGTAAGTACTGTAAGTTACCCATTGGGTTGTATCACAACTTAAATCATTATTTCACTCTAAATTAAAATAAAGAAAAGTTTTATATTATATTTGCTTAAGAGGTTTTACATTTGTATTCGTGATTTGAAATAGAGTTCCTTATTAACCAGCAGGTGGTAAAGAAGTAATTTATATCCAAAAAGTGATAAAATTCATATCCTGAAATTCAGTATTTAGAGTCATAGTTATATATTAATTATTTTAAATTTAAACTCCATTTGTTACAGTATATGGATTTGTTGGATCTGATGGAGGTGGGCAAGAAGAAGTTATGGTACTAATAGTACTGTATATATCTTAGTTAAATAAACTATAAATTCTTTGTGAGCATTATTCATTCAAGTTAAAGTAATACAATTTTGCTAAATTCAATTATTATTTTAAAAAAATTATTTTAAGATAAATAGAATTAATTTATAAAATTACAAGAATCATCATTTAAAACATAAGGAGCGCTTGATGAAGGAACTTAAAAATTAACAATAAATTTTGCATTGTAAATAAGACCATTAAAGCATGTGTTAGGTGAAGTATGAAGTCTATTAACTGTACCGCCAATGTATAATTATGCTCTTTAATCAAGTTATTCATTAGAATATACTGTATTAGAAGTGGTACTATAAACTTAGGTATTAAGAGTAACAGTAGGATCATACATATAAGCTACATAAAATGATTAAGTAAAATCAACTCCAAGGTAAGCATAATACCACGTTCCAGGTGTAATCTATTTTTTTTTAAATATTTATTTATTTATATAATGCAATTTGTATTAAAACAAATTTCATTTCTTAAAATTTAAAAAGCATCATTATTTTTTGTTCTATACTTAAAGTTATTTGGTTTATTTGAAGCGTATATGTTTGTATTATTCATATTATACAGTAGAGATAAAATATTTATTCTTTTACTTATTCTATTTGAAATTTATATTGTAATGAATTTATTTATTTAGTATTTGCAAGCTATGCTTCAAATATTTAGTTCCAGTAGATTTATTAAGTTTTGTAACTAACTAAATAATATTAAATTTTGCTCACATTTTTGAAAATAATATTGCTTATTAATAACATTAACAATAGGGATAAGGTATAATATTTTAAAGGAATTTCAAAGCTATTTTAAAAAACGATGTAAAAAAAATTAGATACATTTGTAGACAGTATTTTTGTAGATGCTGAGGTAGTAGATGTGAAATCAGATACATAAAAATTTAAATTTGCACCTGACTTTTCTATAAAAAGCATTCTTGATAATTATTTATAATCACTAGACTAATTATCAGTATACCAAGGTTAAAATGTGCTTAATTATAAAAAAAATATTGTTAAAACTATATTATATCCAAATAATAATAATTTTAATGAATAGTATTCCTAATTTAATTATCTATCATTTTATCTTTCAATATTTTCCTATTATATGTTTATGATAATAAAGAGAGATAGGTTTAGATCAATTATTAATTCGCTATTCAAAAATAATCACTATTTTATATTAAAGTTATTATTTACTTTAACATTGTGAGATGCACAATAGCTTAGTTGGAACTATCATAGCTTGATGTTGTTGGTTTAAGCCAAAATGATATTGAGTATTTACTTGCTCCCATAACTTTATTTAAATTGTAAAAATTAATTACTGATTCAGTAACGTAAAAAAAATGCATTATGATTTCGCTAAATAATTACCTTAGTTGATAAAACTTTAAGTATTAAAAGTATCATAATTAGAATCGCCACTGGCATCATAAAACTTTTAAATAGGAGGACTGACTTGAATGATTGTTTCTTTAATTATAAAAATGTATTTTGTTTAAATTTTCATAACCTAATTTTATTGTATAAATATAAAAAGGAGAAGGATAATAGTGCGAGTGAGCAGGTACTTTATCATAAAATAATTCTTCTTTGATTGTATTTGAAAGTTTTTAAAATAAATTTATATACATGATTGAATCTAGCCTACTAGATATACACTAATATATAGTAGTAAGCTAGCTACCCTTAATTTCAGTTAATTAGCTATCTCTAACCTTTTCATTTATTAATATCCTGCTTATTCTGTATTATTAATTTATTCAATTAATATTATTACAAATATTTTTTATTAATATTTAACTCCTTTGTATTATCTAAAAAATATATCTTCAATAGAAATCAATAATAGTTATTATAATTGACTGAATAAGAGATCAATTGATTGAGTTAATGAGTGAATAATAATAAAATTAAGAATTACTGATTTATTTTGTTTATAGCTTATATATCGCTCGCATCTTAAAAGCATCAAATATAAATCACTATATCTATCATTTCCTTTAAACGTAAAAATTTCTTTGACTGGTTTGACTGTCTTTTGTTTAGCAATTTAACTCAAATGTGGTAAATTCAAATACATTATTTTTAAGCATTTTTTCAATTAAATAAAATGAATATTTTTATTTAAAGCATAAATTATTTTTAATCTTAAAGTAAAATTTTATTTTGAATAATTATTTTATTAGAAATTTCTCTTAAATAAATATTATAATATAAAATTCTATCAAAGTATATTTCTTATTTATTTTAATTAGTCCAGTACATTAAACGATAAGTTATGATTTGAATTACTTTCATTTCTGAAAATGATAAGATAGCTAGCTATAAAAGATCATTTTTCAATTTAAATTTAATATTAATTTATTTATAAAAAACCTAATTATCATTCTTTTCATTTTTAAAGTTGAATTTAAATAAATATAATCAAATATCATAAATTATTTTTTCCTTCTTTAATATATTCAGAAGTTTAAGAATATTTGTCAAATAATTTGTTTCCCTTGATTTTTTTGAATAATAAATATCAAAATATTTAAAAAAATAATTTAATTAATGAAGTTTTTTAATTATAAAAAAATTTACTAATTTATAATTGCAGTTTTATTTAGATTGTTAATATTTTTAATAAATAGGGGTTGGGGTTGGGGTTGGGGTTGGGGTTGGGGTTGGGGTTGGGGTTGGGGTTGGGGTTGGGGTTGGGGTTGGGGTTGGGGTTGGGGTTGGGGTTGGGGTTGGGGTTGGGGTTGGGGTTGGGGTTGGGGTTGGGGTTGGGGTTGGGGTTGGGG